CACGGAAAATAGCGCACTGACACGGTGCCAAGACTACTCCCAGGCTATTTGTCTCTCCAACGGATAGTTGTCACGCACAGACTAAGCAATAATATCGATTGTCAAAGTTTGAAAGGAAAAAGACGAAAAGAAAATGAAAGAAAACAATAAGGCAGCCAAAAGAGACGATCACAAGGGGATTCTGATGCCGGTCGCCGCGGATTCGCCCACTGAAGCCAATGGGGATTCTCCACGCTTCCGTCCTTCTACATACATAGATACACTGAATCTCGAATGCGAAGCCCCTGCAGCACGGGCTTGGAAGCGGCAAGGGAGCTAGCCGGACATTTGGAACATCCCCAGATCCTCCCTCGCGTTCCTGCGGTGAAGTGATCCTTTTGGCTCCACTAATGATGGTGCCAAGAACATGCCCTGAATCTCATTACTTGCTTGTTTCGATGCCCTTATTTGGATCAATATATTGACTCCGTCGAGGAATAAGCGCCATCTATTCCCCGCGCCTTATTAGATTAACACGATGTGTTGCAAATCCTGCAACTACCGAGAGCTACCGATATCGGCAGCACTGCCGATGCTTAACGGTTTCGAAGCAGAACGCCCGCCTCCACGAACTAAGATTGCCGCTAAGATCTTAGATGGACATATCCAGTTGGACATTAAACCGTTTCTTGTTCGGCTAGTGCGGGGATTTTCCTGGACCCTTAAAAAAGAAAAGAAAAGAAGAAAATTTTCAATATGAGATTCAACTGAAACCTCTTTCATCTCACCTTTTCTCGGGGTCGTTTTAGCGTTCAGCAAGGGCTTCGATATCATTTGCGAAGGGGAAGCACCTCACACCTGATTCTCCTCCTTCTTCAAAATGGGATAAATTATATTGCCAGTTCCCGATGATCTAAGAAGGCAGGAAAGAAAAAAAAAACCGATTATTGGTCGCCCTTGAATAAACCTTTCGTGACTTCAAACTACAAATCATTTCTCACCAAAGGAGTCTTTCTTTATGGGCCATTTTGCTCGCCGAAAGATTTTTCTATTCGCTTGATCTGCTAAAAATAAAGGGAAAATAAGTGGCCGCAGTCTGGACCCGCTGGACAACCGCTCTATGGCTTGGTGGCACGCTTAGAATCACCGAGCCTAGACGATATTTCCAACCCACGTCATCAACATCTTAATGGCTTGGGTGTAGAGGAGTCGGGACCTAAATTCGGAATTCGTTATCTTTGCGGGCGAAACGAAAAGCCCACATCGCTACTGATCTGTCCAGCCTAGGGGGATTCCGGGTGATCAAGAATGTGTGCACCCAAGAATCATTTCTCCGTGGCCATTTCTACGTTGAAGAGGGAGCATTCGAGCGCAAAAAGAAGAATAGATAGAGCGGCATCGCCCTCGCTTTGGTTGCTGCAGGTTCGTTGGAATGGTAGACCTTCGACGCGTCGGAACGTCTTACCGGTGAAAGGAACACCGCTGAGGATTTCCTTGTCTTCTCCGGATGGTCAGTGCAGGGCACTTGCGACGGATGATTTCGAATCAGGATCGACCGAGTTGCACATTGGGGGATCTTCTTTTGTCTCACCTGCAGCACGTCCTCCCGTGCTTCGCTCTACTGCCTGTCTCATCACCCTCTCATGCAGGGTTCGACCTCCAGTTATCAATTTCCTTGTTTGAGAGAGCCATGGGGCTGTGGCTCAAAAAAGGGCGAATCCGAGGTCGGCGACCCGGCACCCCTTGCTTCGTGGGCTTTATTGCGGTGACCAATTAATCGACCCAAAACTTGGTTCGTGATATCCACTCGCCACCGTCTCATCAGTCAATCAATAACATCGATTTGAGTTGCATTGCATTGCATTTGGCGTTGTGTCTCATGCCCCGACCATGGCCCTAAGTGGGAAAATCAGGTTCATCCTGGCAATATTTCTTCTTCAACGATAGACTCGTGCACCACCACCACTACTACCGCATATCCTTCATAGCCAGTTACCCTCTCGTAGGTTTCTCGGTGGGTTTGGGGAGACAAGGCTTGCTGAGCACCGTCCAGATCTTCCTTGCGCCATGCCCTAGTGGTGGTATTCCGTACTACGTCATTCTATTGACTTTGGGGGGAAGAGAGGGCCCATATGCCCTACCTAGGCGATTGAGCAGCAAACGTTTAGCACGGCTTCTAGGTCCCCATGGTCGCCGGTAGTCTCCAGGTTTACTAGTTACTTGCTTCCTGTTCTACTTACCTAACTTCAGGGATTCCATCCGGTCAATCAGCTCGCGAATGGTGTTCAGGCGTCCCCCGAAGCAGCAGCTCGGCCACCACTGTCAGCCCTAATACTTGCAGAGTACGCCAGGGTGGACAGGGCCGTATCAGCCATCAAGTCCCATGGTAGCCTAGAGCAAGCCTACATGCTCCATCCAGTCTCAGTTATACTCCATGAAACAAAAATCACGCCGCTTGCCCCTAAGGCCACCACATTGACCTCTTCCGAACTATTTCAGCTAAAGTTTCCATGGTCGATCTCACTGGAATGCACATATACATGATCACAAAACAGCCAGCCAGCCAGCCAGCCAATTGAACTTTGGGAAGGCTTTCCCAAACAGTACCGATGCATGCATTGACCCGTTCCATCATTTGGCGACTCCCAGGCATGCAGGCGGAATACTGGTGGCCAATAATCCACCATTCTTGAGTGCCTCTCTCTCTTCTCAACCTGGATGGCTGACTGCTGACTGCTGACTGACTGAATGACCCACTAAATGACCCGTTGGTGTGCTACAGAGTACGTCGCGAGAACAGCTTCGCGTCGAATCATGACCGACATGGCCAACCAACAGAACACGGTATACTGCCTGACACTTGGCCTGATTTTTTTTTTCTTTTTTCTTTTTTAATTTTTTCCGCAATACCATTGTTCTATCCACGCATGAGCATATACGCACATACCTACCTATTTCGATGAACTTGCACGTAGGTATGCGGTGGAGATCACGTCGATCCTGATTATGATCGGGCTCCGGCTGGATCTTGGTCTTTGTGTTTAGGGACTTTTTTGACCCTCCCTAAAAAACTAAAAAATAAAAAAAAAAAACCTCTCCAGCCTTGGCATTTGTCTCCCCCTCTCTAGCTCTTACACCGGAATTCTTTCTTTTTTGCCTCTTATCTTCAGTGGGGCTGACAGAACACAGGTAGGGTAGTATCGAATGGTTGTATACAGTCCGTACCAGAGCAAGCAGAGGCCAAGTCTAGATCGACACAGCCTTGGAAGAGTGGATGATTTAATCCAGCATGAATGAGGCGCGGAAGGAAATCTCCGCGGAGAAAAACAGTGCTCCTGGGTTGAATAATATCAGCGTCGCTGTTATTGGCGTTGTTATTATTAGTAAAGGAAATATCTTTCTGCGGTATAGGATAGAGATTACTACTTTGATTCATCTCTCCACCGAGACATAACACCGGCACTGAAACTTGGAAAGGCGGTCTTTCTGAGACTGTTGTAAAATAGCCGAAATACTGTCTTGTCTGATAGTATGCACAGAGTCTTGTTTTCGAGTGTCTTAGATGTTTTACCCATCGCGACCTGTGACCTGCGCTTTCTGTTTTCCCTGCCCATTTTGGATTTCCTAGATAAACATCCAAATTCAGGTTTATAAAGACCATATACCTATGATATATATTCAATACTAGAATAAATATCTATGACTGGAAGCAACCAAGAACAGCCTAGACGGCACTTCAGTACTATATCATGAATCTGTAAAACAATATATTTTCCACACAACGGTCTCGAATGCCACCACCAGTCATGATATGACTACTATTTAACAACAACCGGACAGACAACAGCCAACACATCAACAAATCCTAGACAGGTGCTTTCATGCTCTCAGATCAAGCAAAGAATATCTAAGATATCTATTCTATATGTTCACTCTTGTACTACCCAGATGGTTAGATTCAGGTTCAGGGTTGATTATTGATTTCCGATACCATTAAAATGCTACCTGTGAAAATGTACCTAGGAAGATCTGGTACCAAGAAAATATATACTTCTTACTAGTATTAGTAACATCTACAGGGAGATCCGAGTTCGGCTTCTTCTTGTCCTTTTTCTTTTTCTAATTCTCCGCATGTAGTTGGATATATATCTATTCCATTTAGGGGTGTATTTGAACAAAGGCCTAACAAAGAGGCATTGTTATATTTCCAAACACACAATGAAAACATCAAACAGGAGATTCTAACCACTATATCCGTAGTAGCCCTCTCGCTCTATCTACGTACCCCAACTACACAAACCGCAATACCCCATAGAAAGATAAGCACGGTAGAGAAAAGCCATATTTAAAATGAATCAATTCTCATATGTAACATAAGAAAAAGAAAGAAAAAGAAAAACATCTAGAAACAAAAAACAACCAAAACGACACAAAAAGGGCAAGAAGGAAAACAAAACCACCATGGCAAAAAACACCTGTACACAGAAAAGGAAAAAAAAGAAGAAAAAATGGTATCAGTTATCAAGTCAGACGATCCCTTGCTCCCCTTCCCCCCCCTGAACGTCAATCAATCAAATGAGATAAAAAGTCAAATCAAGTCAGTCAATCAATCAATCCCCGGTTCCCAATGGTTACAGATCGCGTTAAAAAAAAGGCAAAAGCAAAAGCAAGGATGAAAAGAACGATTCAAAGGTCACGTTAATAGGTGGGTAAGGCCATGATTTGCCATTCAAAATATCAAACAACGCCGGCCGGTTTTATCGCGAAATTCCTGTTCCCTGTACAGTCTCCAATAGGCGTGGAGAGAAAAGAAAAGAAAATGAACTATGAGTCTCGAAAGAGAGGCCCAGCTGGAGGTTCTAACTGGACAGGATGGTCTAGTAGACAGCAGAAAGGGTATACCGGGTTGATACGGTTCCGATTCCAAGGAGGTGAAAAAAAAGTAATAGTAATAATAAGGGAGAAAGAAAAAAAAAAGATGAGAAAGAAGAAAGCAGCGAAGAGCTAACAAGCCAGTCAAGCTACTTTCCCATTCCATTTTGCATCATGTTCTGTTGCTGCTGTTGCTGCATCACCTGAACTTGCGCGTTAGCGATATGGGAAGCGCGCTGGGCCTGCATCTGTTCGCGCTCCCGTCGCATGACCTCTTGGATCCACGCTTTGGCACTCCGCTCCATTCCGCTATGATACTGCTGAGCGAGTTGGGGCGGATACTGGGTAGGTGGACCATATTGTGCCATCAGTCGGTTGGTCATTTCCTGCCTCAAGCGCAGCAAGCGCTGTTGATAGAGACTGCTGTATCGTTGGGCAATGGCCCCCTGCGCTATGTTGGCTCCCTGCATATTCTGTGGCATATGCCCACCATTGGCTTGAGCGGCGGCCATCAACATTTGTTGCTGCTGGGAGTTTATCTGAGGAGCAACTTGGTGCATCTGGCCTTGCTGTCCTTGCGGCTGTTGCTGCCCTTGGGACGGCTGCGGCTGCGGTTGTTGCGGTTGAGACTGCTGCGATGGCTGCTGCTGTTGTTGCTGCGGCTCTTGCGGTTGCTGTTGTTGTGGCTGCTGCTGCTGGTGATGTTGCTGTTGCTGTTGCTGCTGCTGCTGTTGTTGCTGCTGCTGCTGCTGTTGCTGCTGAGCCATCTGCATCTGGGCAAGCTGAGCACGCATTAACTGCGATTGGTACGCTTGAGGGCCAATCTTTTGCTGCTGGGGCTGGTGGTTTTGCTGCTGAGCCTGCAACATTTGTTGTTGATGCGATTGAATGTTCTGCTGTGCATGTACATTAGCCTGCAACTGAGCAAGCTGTTGCGGTGTGAGCTGTCCATGTCCAAGATGGCTCTGTTGCGCGAGTAGCTGCTGTCTCTGCTGCATCAACATCTGCTGCTGGTGAGGCGTTAAACCCATGCCACCGCTCATTTGCGGAGTTCCCACCATAGCCTGGTTCATCACCGGAGTAGGCGCCATCGTTGACCGGCTCGGACTGGCGTGGCTCATGCGCTGCGTAGGAGTGACGTTGCGCATGATCGGAGTTGCGTGCGACATGGCGGGTGTTCCCTGAGTCATCTGGGGCGTGCCATGCCGGCTTTGGCCTTGCTGGCTCCTGGAAGGCGCCATCGGATGGCTCATGACGTTGGGATGGGCATGCTGCAACGCGGACGGCGGTCGTGGCGGGCTTCCAGCGCCCTGCATGGAGGACGTCATGCTCATCGGAACACCGGCCTGCGTGCCCATCGCACTTCCGACCAACGGCGACGAGGTGTGTTGAGGAGTTTGATTGCGAACCACAGGCGACGACTGCGGCCCTTGACTGACCCCGTTGGCCTGGGCCATGACGTGCCGGTTCTGCTGTTGCGCCGCCAGCTGGGCCTGGGCCTGTTGCTGGGCGGCAAGATGTTGTCGCCGGGCATCTTCCTTGGCCTGCTCGTCGGCTTGCCGCTGTTCCAGAGCACGCCGCCTCTCCCTCTCCTGCTCCTGCTGCTGTCGTTTGGCCATTTCCTGCTTCATCTTGATTTCGTGTTCTCGTTTTGCCTTCTCTTCGTGCTGCATTCGAATGTTCTCGAGTGTCTTAAAGCGCGAGAAGCGCGGCTCGAAAGGTGCGCCACCGCCTGTATCGTCCACAACTGCAGATTTCGGACCGCCAGCGCCATTCGAAGAGGCCGGCTCCAATCGTTCGTCCATGATGAGCATAAACCGTTCCTCCTCGGCAGCCAAAGCCTCGTCCGCGGCAAGCTCGGCTACGGTGCGCTTCCGCCTCTTGGGTGAAGGTGGCGGGTTGTTGTGAAGAGGGCTCTCCATGTATTTCAGCAGGTCCTGGACAGCCTCCAAGCTTCCCACGGGATCCAGATACAGTGGCGGTGCTATTAGCCCGGTCAATTGGGCCTCGCATTCCGGGAGCTCCTGCGGTTCCAGCATCATTTTCTGTTTCTTGTTGCGATCAGGTTGGTTTGACGATCCTCCAGGGGACGGCGGGGCCGTGGAGGTGGTCCCCCCCGGGGTACGAGATGCTGACGAATTCCCCGCTGCCGGTTTGGGAGCCTTGAGGTCGGGAGTAGTCGCAAGCAGAGTGAGCTCTGCCTGGAGGGAGCGAGGGGTTGGATGGAGGACGGTAGTGAAGACACGGGGTTTCGAGGGGCCTTGCTTCTGCTGAGTAGAGCTTGACTCATTGGATTTTGTTTGGTTCTGAGGGAGGTTGGACTGCTCTCCTTCGCCCTTGAGATCCGATTGAGCCCCCGCGGGTGCGTCCTTCGCGGCCGGCTTTTCTGGTGTCAATTGGCTTTGTTTGGGGTATGGTACAAATGCCGACGGCGTGACATGTTCGTTGTAATTATGTATCGAGAAAGGGGTGTTGCTTTCGTTCGACGATGGAATGGTCGACTTTCTGGTCTGTGCTGACACGGACTTGTGATCGACGACGCGGACGATGAGACAACCTAACCCCCAGACAAAAACCCGTCAGAAAGGTTCCGTTTCGCAGCAAGAAGCTGCCAGTCAGATATAAGGACTCACCATCATAGAATCGCACGTTCCCCCGCAACAGCTCCTCCATCATATCATGGGGGACAGTGCCAGCACGGATATGTTCAATGACAACCTTCATCTCGGAATTGTATGAGAAGCTTCCATCCTGCTGTTCAAAGCGGAAATGGGTCGGATGTAAATGCACAGTAAGGGAGGGGGCCGACTTCGCGAACTTTTTCAGGATATAGGACGTCGTTCTCACTGGGACGCGGAGAGAAAACACAGCCAATGGTTAGCACGCATACGCGGGTAAGACGGCACATGGAAGGAAGCACGAGAGGCGACTCACCAAAAGGCCCCGGAGACGACTTTCCCAAGTGGCGATCATTGTCCGCGGGCAGATTCCTCGTCAATGTCTTTTGTGGCCGGGTGGATTGGTCGGCGGGCTTTTGCGCATCTTTCCTGGACCGGTTCAAAGCTCCCTTGGTCGGGGCGCCATTGGCAGACTCGACGGAACCGTTTGTGACCGGACCGCCGGTCGAACCAGCCGCGGCGGATGTCGGATTGGAGCCGGGGATACGTTTGGAGGCAGACTGTGGGGAGGCCGAAGGATGTTGAGATTTGACTCCGTTGACCCCGGGCTGGAAAGGCGGGGGCGGCCGCTTCATCTTGGGCGGGTGAGAGGTGGGTTTGGAGATCGCGGTGGCCATTTTATTGTCGGAGACGGGCATGCGACGCGGCTACGGCCAGCGGCACGTAGATGCGATTGCTCGGGATGGGCGAGTGGGATGGGGAGATCGGTCGTGCTCCGGAAATCGACGATGATATAACCGGAGCGCGAGACATGTGGGGAGCGGAGGACGGGGACCGGGCAGCGACGAGCAGACCGGAATTGAAGCGGAGACTGGCACGAAGTCCGGGGGCTGCTAGAGAGAAAGAATGGCGCCCATGGAAGAACGAGAGACCTGCGCAGAAAAGCAGGGGGGGAGGGAGTATCAAAGAAGAGATCGGAAGGGTTGACGGAGGTTGGCAAAGGAAAGGCAAAGGGAGTTGGCGATGCCAAGCCGCGCTCGACGTGACCGGAGGGTCACCTGACTGCCGTTAGTCATGCTGGCCAGCCCTACTTGGACAAAGAATCATGAATGCTTTATAGCTATATATACGCTCAAATCTCTTTCATCACTACAAGGCTGAGGCTCACCCCGCCCTCAAATGCTTCGTCCATTTCTCTTCAAAGCACCACCAATATCATCATTCAATATGCACAAAACATGAGAGGTTGTGGGCAGAGTTCATAAAATAAAAACAAAGTCAAGGGGAATCAAATCTCATCAAGAAGACCACAAGGGGAGGTAGAAAGAAAGGAAAAGACAGAAAAAAAAATACACATAGAGACCCTAAAGCATGCACACATTATCGACACTGCCTCCGTAGGCTCTAGTCAAAGCCAGACACTCTTCGTCGCCAGTCATCCCCGGTGCGGAGGGCGTCGACCACGTCGATGCGTTTGCCAATCCCAGTGGTGCCCTCCTTTTGCCACCATGGCTCACCTTTGTCCCCAAGCGCCGACTCGTCTTCGCTGTCGACCAGGCCGCCTCGGCCACCTTCGTCGCCGACGACGACCACAACTTGTCTGACCCACCCGGAGATGTGATGCACTGCTTCTCCTTCCTTGCCCGCCAGAGACTCCTGTACGTAGACAATGTCGGGCGAAAGGTGACGGACGAGGTGCACGTATCCTGTCCGGGTGTTGAACGGCATAATCGCGTTCGATTTCTCAACGATGGCTTGGGCTTGTGTATACATGGTCTTGAAAAGCGGCGTGGAACCCTCGGGCTCGTCTGCCGCCGGGACAGTGCCTGGCGAGGGGAGCTCACCGAGAGACTGAGCTTCCTCGGGGGCGATGTTCGAGTATGATGAAGTGACGGAGAGCGTGGGGTGCGATCCGTTACCCTGAGAAGGCGCATGCTTCAGGCCCGGCGCGTAGATCATCACAAAGATTCGAGTGGTATCGGGATTCACATGTTCGGGAAGATGGGATAGGATAGACTGTCAGATATAGTCAGAATCTGGCTCAATGTAATGTTTATACCCGCATTCTAAGGTCAAGGACATACCACATGCTCGGACGAGAACTCCTCAGGATCCAGGTGCGACGCATCCGACGAAACAACAATAGCCACAGTTCTCTTTCTCTTATCGGCACCGGCAGCCGGACCACCGACGCCAACTTGACCGGGGAGAGCGCCGCTCATCGACGGAGCCGTGACATCGGGCTGCTGTTGCCCTCTGCCGCGAGAAGCTCTGTTCTCGACCTCTTCCGACCAGCGAGAATGGTCTTCAAAGTCGCGGCGATCCTCCTCCCGGATCGATGTCAAGGCACCGCCGACGAACGCACCTGCCGCCGCCACGCCGGCCGCGACTCGCTTGCTGGCCCCGTCGAAGAGCTGCTGCGGACTGGGCGTGCGGCGCAAGGCACCTTGCATGCGGGCCATGACGCCGGCATCGTCCGGATGCTCCCCGTGGATGTCCGTCCCCGTCGCTCGGGCATAGTCTCCCTCCTCGTAGGCGTCGCGCGGTAGGCCCGGCCCGCCAGCGGCCGGACCGGGCGCGGGGAACCTGTCGTCTTCGTGGGGGTAATCGCGGTTGTGTTGGTGGTGGTGGTGGTTATCATCGTCGTCATCATCTTCACTTCGTTCGCTCCAGATCCAGGCTGCAACACCGATGGTCGCGACGCCCACCGTCAGGGCCAGAGGAACCCAGTATCCCATGAAGGTTCGCCGACCCGTGGCGCTGAAGCCCGTACCGGCACCGCGGCGACGAGCATCCTGGGAATAAGGGAAGGACATTGCGGTCGCTGAAGTCGATCAGGGGGTGCGCATAGAAAACAAGAGGATCGCTAATCCGATTCAAATCATACTTCAAGCGGGCTCGAGTGGAGAGGAGGAAGGAGGGCGCGGAGCTAAGGGGAAGGAGGAGAAGAGCGCCGCTCCGAGCAGGCACGGCTGGGCCTCGGGAGAAACATGTGGCTGGTGCTGTTTACCCGTGTTTACGTCGTATTTACGCAGCCCTCGTATTGGGGCGGTACGGGGCTGAGTCATCGGATGGCACGTGATGGACTGTCCCCCGTGATATCAGCCATGTCAAGCACATCCAAGGCAGTTGAGGATGTACAGTACATCAACAGGTCAGACCCAAGCAATGACCGAGCCGAGTAGGCAGCCCCTAAATTAACCTTAACCTTCCACGCTTCCGCAGAATGCTGCCATCTACAGGCTATCAGGAGACCCGACCAAGAGGATTCACAATGACCACAAAGACCCGCAGTGTCGGACGGTTCAATTCAGATACAAGATACACGAGAAAGAAAGGCCTTCGAATGTTGGTTGCATTATCTGCCCAGGCAATGAGTAATAGACGGGACGAGGCAAGATCGACAACGTCCCGGTTCCTGTTCGCTGTACGGCGGAACCCTCCGCAATGAAACGCATAAAAAATCACAACCAGTACTGCAGAATTAATCACAAAAAGAAAAGACCCTGAGATAAGTGTCCAGGAGATGGTGCCCAATTTCCACGCTGTCAAAAAGAAAAGAAGGAAAACAAGAGAGAAACAAACACAAAATGGCTGGGATGCTATGTGGACCGGCAAGGCCGGCAGAGAGTCGGAGTAAAAAGGGAATTAAAAAAGGAGAGGAAAGAATGCCATAAACATGATCGGGCCCCGGGGGGGAGAAGATCGAAAAAGAACACTCGCACAGATCGGTGCCCAATCTCAGGATGCAGAGAGTAGATCGAAGCCATATGATCGCGGGACGGTCAATGGTGGACTCCAACATTCGATCCTTTTGTTCTTCGTCGGTGGTAAAATCCGCATTAAATCTCAACGCATTAAAATCAAAAGACAAACCCCGCAACGGACTTCGGTGGTCATCGCCATAACGCCGTAAAACCCTAGAGAAGATGTGTGGATGGAACGAGTGGTCGCGATTCTGCGAGATTGGAGAAACGATGTATGGAGGTTGAGTGTCGAAGGTGCAGGGCACTGATGGAGAGCTGAAGGCGCAACCAAAACATGGCTCTAGCAAGAGAAAGCAGGTCTACTATGAGGTGAAAAAAAACTCCAAGGCTGGGGTACCGCACGAGTCATAGATCCAACAGCCGTCCAGAGAATAAATGACATGCAAGTTCGCCCGGAAACTGGAATGGGAAAACGCCTTTCAGAATGCAATACTTCAGAGGAAATGGGTGTAGACCTTGGAGGTCTCGTGGACTTCCATCTCCTGTTGACCGGGTTAGCAGCGGCCCCCAAGAACCAAAACAAAGGAGACATACCATTTTGAAATTGTTGAGCTCCTCCTTGATCTGCTGGGCAAGGAGCGGGGTCAGCCGATTGCAGGTGGCAATATCTCCTCGCCGGTCGTACTCCCCGCTGGGCCACGTGTCGTGGAACTGGATCCGGGGGCTGAACACCAGGCTCTTGGGAGCCACAGCCTGTGGGCTGATGGGGGCACTCTTGCTCTCGCCAAACCGGCCCACCGAGAGGAAATCGTCGTCTCCGGCAATCCTGACCGTTTCAGGGCGGCGACTGCCGGATCGCGTCTGATCTTCGGGGGTGCTGGGAGCACTGGAGTGGGGAGTATCGTTGCTGCTAACGGTCTGGGAGCCCTCCGATGGCTTGCCAGCCGTCGGATCGGAATGGGTCTCTATACAAGCAGATTGAGTCAGCCAAACCGAAATTTAGAACCAACGCAAAGTGTCAGTGACTTACTTTTCAAAATGCCCTTGCGAACTGCGGCCAAAACCTCGGCTCGCTCCCGGTCTCCCCCGACGATGCTTTTGCGAGCCTTGTCCAGCGCAGCCTCGTCGTGGCCCGACACCTCCGGGGCAGTCGGTTCGACCTTGGGGAATACGGTGCCGCCACGAGGAAGATCTTGCGGGTCTGGATTCACTGTTACGCTTTTCCTTTCCGCTTCGATGTTGACGACGGACAGCTGAGGCGCCATTGGTTCAATGGCACCGGCGTCTGTCGAAGCCGTGCTGATAACGGACTTGGGGCGGAACAATCCCACGAGAGATCGAGTCGATCGTTTCATCCCCTTGCCCATTTTGCGAAGCATGATCGAGGCGGAAGACGCCGTGGAGGACACGGAGAGGTTGTCCGTGGAGCTATTGAAGAATCGGCCCTGGTGATGCGAGTAGATGCTCTCTCCCAAGCCACTGGCTTCCTGCTGTTCCGCAATAGCGGCCTGCTCTGGGCCAAGCTCTTCCTGGAGCAACTCCCTGCGGGCCTTCTCCAGGGCAATAGCCTCCTTCTTCCCCGCACTGGTCTGAGCGGAGGCCTTTAGTAGCTCCGAGGCGCTCCCAAACGAGAATGCCCTTCTTAACCGGGACTTCCCTGGTCGTCTCAGGTCGCTCTTGGACAGTTCCTCCAATCGCTGGGTGGCAGCACTTGACATTGGGGTGGGCCTTGCCTTGCTTTCTGGCTGAGTGGGTGACGCTACGGGCGTAGGATCCGCATCAACAGGCTGTGATAGCGGGGACGGCTTCGGGGCCCGTTTGGAATCTTCCGGTTTGGCCGCAGCTTGGCTGGGCGAAGATGCGGGCTCTGGGGTTCCGGGCTCACGGGCCTGGTGACGATTAGTACGGAGACTTTGAGCTTGTCGCCCATGCAATGGGCACTTACCGAAGAGGTTGAGGAGGGAGTCGAGTGAATGCTCGTGGTAACGTCACGATGGGACTGGGCCGATCGTGGTCGGTGGTTTGTATCAAAGTAGTCCGTACCACTTGCTGCGGATGGGGTCGGCGACGAAGTCGGCAGATGAAGCTGAAGATTAATGAGGCCGGCATTATCCATATTTCCCCAGCTCCGTCGCCTATATCTCTTGGCCAATTCCGGTTGTGACTTCTCCCCACGCGACGTATCATCCGCACTGGACCCCCGGTGGTGGCCGGGATTCCTGGGCGGTTCCTGCAAATGATTCTCATCCGGGGATTCCGACTGAGGTCGGGACGGACCCGAAGCATTCGTCGTTGTAGTGGCGGGCGGCGTGCCAACTACGCTATCCGGGCGTCGACTGCCTCGACGGTAGCGATCAGGGGACGGACGGACGGTAGGGGAAGATATGTTCATGAAAGAAGATGACGAAGGAGATGGCAGGTTGACGGTCGATAGGGGGCGGAGAGGAGGCTCACTCCGCAGCTGCCTGGAAGGGATGGCCGTGTCGTCTTTCGAGACGTGTGATTGTACAGAAGAATTGGACGAAGAGGTGGATACAGAACCAGCTGCAAAGTGATTGGCCGACCGCGAGTTGACACCGACAGGAAGGAGACTAGGAGATAGCTGAGGGGCGGACGGGGCCGACGAAGTTCGATGCTCAGGTCTCAGATGGGGGGACCACGACTGGCGGTTCTGCACATTGGCGGGAGTGGACAGGTTGGGCGTGCTGGTGAAAGCGTAAGGGGCCACAACCTGGTGGCCTGCCCTGTAGCTGCCCGAACTGCCCACCGTGTTGTATGTGTTCCAAGACATGGTCGGATTCCTAGCGTTTTGCTGTTGCGGGTTTTGAGATGAGGATGTGAAGGTGCCCGAAGAGGATGATGGACGAGTTTGAAGCACAGGTACCGTGCCACTTTGTTGCGGAATCGTCTGGACCAACGCAGCCATGATGCTATTCTCCAATCTTCGGGACAGCGAGGGGGGTCGGACGCGTACGTAGCGGCGTCTGTAGGACAGCGATCTCGACAGGAACACTCGCTAAAATCCGCAGGGACCCAAGCCAGGGGGGGAGAAAGAAACGACGTCTAGTGTCAGGAGTAACTCGAGAGGAGAAGAAGAAGGGAGACAGATGATGAAAGGGAAAAAAACGGAGATCCTGTGCCACACGGTCGTTAGTTAGGATTGCACAAGAAGAGCGACGCACTTCCAAGATTGGTTCAACGATCGACAACCGTGGGTTTGTTCCAAGGGAACGGCGTTTCGATTTCCTCCCAGGGGAATGGATTGACCGTACCTGTTCTAATAAATGCAAAAAAAAAAGTAGATTATACAGATACAATGATTAAAAACACGCTAGGGTTGATGCGAAATGAATGCTGTCGAAGAGTAAACGAAGGGCTTCGGATCGGACGAGGATCGAAGGGAGCTGGCGACGGGGGTGAGGCGTCAGGAACACAGGGCTCCAAGATGGCGGATGCTTTCTAGAGCGGTCGAGCCATGTACAGATGAGTTTTGAAATTTTTTTTTAGGAAAGAGGAACGAGAGAGGGAGAGAGGGCGCAAAAAAAAAAAAAAAGGATAAAAAGTTGAAGAGAGAAAAGCAGAAGCGACCAGTTGGAAGGGGAAAAGAAAAAGGAGTTACCAGATCCTTGGAATGGCACCTTATCTTCTGGGACAAGCAGAAGATAGGCCGTTCGCTGGACCGGAGAAAAGCGATGAGATGAACGGGGGAGGGTGAGTAAAAGGGAGAGGGAAAAGAGAAAAGAGCAAGAGGGGTTGAAGGCGTGGAAAGAAAAGAAAAGGGAATAGGGAGATAATGGGGGGGGAGGGAGAGGTGAGGATGGGCGGAATGGAATGGATGCTAGTCACTTTAGGGGAGACTGACAGGCGGAGACTGACGGACCAGAGAGAAGGAAGCAGCCACAACCAAATGGCCACCTCTTTTTTTTCCCCTTCGCTTCTGGATTTTCTCGTGCAAATGTTATTTGGGGGTTTCAATTTTCGGTCGCAAAGCAGTGACGATTGACCGCAGTGAACAGGGTTTTTCCTTTAGGACGAGGAAATCCGAGTCACCAAAAGAAAAACGAGGAAAAGGCGAAAACCCCCCAAAACACCAGGCGAGCAGGCGAAAAGACGATTCGCAGGTCTGGGGAGAGCTCGGAATCACGAGGAGAACCGAATGAATGATGATGGACAACTAAGAGAATCACTGGAGGGGGGAGAATCGCTGGTGGACAGCAGAATATTAGATGATCCGAAGTAATTTTGATTATTATTATTATTATTATTATCCTATTATTCCACGATTACTCTTATTGCAGCTGCAAGTCATACGGAAAGTTACTCTGGTATAATGATGGTAACTGGTAAGGGACTCGTCCGTCGAAGAAACGCTCCCGAGTAATTTCGTCTCTTTTTTATTTTTTTTTTTTTAATATGATTTTAAAATCCTCTGGACAACGAAAGGACGCAGGACTACTCCGTATGGAATCTCCTGGATCTCCTCGAAGGTAATAATAGCAGGAGGGGAGCGCTACCGACTAGAGGCCTCCGTAATCAGCCAACCATCGATTCCCGGGTAAGACAATTCTCTGGGGCGGTAGTAGGTAAAGGTACGCAGTAGTAGGTACTCCGTACCTGGGTAAGGTAAGGTACCTAAGAATAAGATACCACGGTAAGTCCTGGAAGTATCGGTGTGGTAAAGGCCGTTAATTACCCGATTCTCCCTCGGTCGCCCAGACTCCCACGTATCACTCACGTACGACCGTACCGGAGCGGGTCGCCGAAAACCTCCTGGCTCTGCTCTTTGCACACGTACGCCGTGGTCGCTAGTCAGAAGCAGGAGACCGATCTAACGGCAGGTGTCTGTACGGAGTATGAGCTTCCCCTGGATCGGACGATATTTTCTGTGGGGTAGCAGGAGGGAGCTGCCTGTGCTGGAATGAGGAAGGGCACGAGAGATCCATGGATACTCCAGGCACCCGAAGGTACCGTCCAAGCACAGGTAATCAATCGGATCTCCGGGTTAGTGACTTGCTGGTATCTCCGGTCTCCGGTCGTTGGGGGAGAAAATATTTGAAGAGAAATGATGTTAATACAATGACAATATTACAAGTAATGAATAAAAGAAAATAAATAAAATCAATAAAAAAGACAAGAGAATAAAAAACGATAGCAAGAACGTGCTGGATGCATTAGGCCACAGCCTCTCTCTAGCGAACGGAGAGGAGACGCAGTTGGACGCTGATTTGCGACCGCCGACCGGCTAAAACTCTTAGCTGTAACGCCATCCACGCCGGACGGACCGGAGAAACCGCCTGGAGTCGGCTAGCCTAGGGGATGGCAAATCGCCAGCCATTCCTACGCAGTACTACTACGCAGTAGGTAGTAGTAGTATGGACGGAGTAATCCGTAAGACTCGCTACGAGAGACTCGCAGTGAACATCGTTCGTGATGTGCCGACTCGGCGGGAGGCTCATCCGTCCCTTGTTCCCATGCCGGGATCCTGTTCCCCAGATTCTTCCGCTCGTCCATCATCCATGCTCTTTCTCCCATTCTTCTGCATCCAACCTGGAGACTCCCCGATCGACGATGGATCTCGGATCTAGTGTTTTGGTCAACCCGCCGCCCCTGAAATCCCCCTCTAGCCTCGCTTCCTTCGACGTGGCCAGGTACCGCGGAGGGACCGCTCGTCTTTCAAACATGGTCCGAGTCATGGCATCCCAATCTTTCTCAACCGGCGGGAATTTCCCGCGATCAAGTTCCATGGGTCAGAGCGTCCCACCGAGCCTAATCGACTAACCCACAGTTTGTGTCCATCTCGTAACTCGTCACAGCCTCCTACCCTTCCGACCGCCGTAACCGTGGCATCCCTGGCATGGCTCCTCCCTCCTTTAGTCCGCCGGCCTAGCCTCCATTCAAGCTAGCATTATTGACTCCGGAAGAACCATGCAGGGCGCATTTTTATGTACATTGTGTACATGATGTCAGCCATCTTGATATGAACTGATCGCACGCCATTGCTATCGTCGGCAGAGGTGATTGGCAATCGGTCCGCAGGGATTCATGCGCCTGCTTGTCGAGGCGTGTACTATAACCTCACGTCTGTAGCTGTTCAGGTAAACAAGTCAACCGCTGAGAAAGGGCTATTCTGGACAGCTGTGATTCTAGGTAATCTCTGAGCTAGGTTTGTTGACTTGATTTTGAATATGCCGTGCAGTACATATGGTCTACCGTCTTCCATGGAAAGCACCCTCTGAATAACCGGCGCATACAGCGTACTCCGGCGTAGATGGACTTTATCAGCGATCAAAAGGTGAAACCCGGCTCGTCCAGGTTCCAGTGTCAAAGATATATTGTATCGGACATGCTAATCTGCTCCACACGAGCACTGAAATCTTGTGGCCGACGACCCACACCGCAGAAAAGTGCCCCGGAGGCAAGACAATCACACGGGAGCAGGAGGGAACCGTGATTGACAGAGCCATGGGTATCATTTCTGACTCCTCCGAAGTCTAAACATCTCTTAAACCAAAACTCCAGTGCGTTGTCAAGGAGCCGACGCGGGACGGGGAGAAGCGAGGAGAGCTTCAAAAAGATTCAATAGCTCCGCCACGGGAAATAAACTTTCAGCCCGCGGGATTTTCTTTTTCGATCGTTCATAAAGACTCGTAAAGGCATTCTTCCATTCTTTCATTTTTTGATTTTGATTTTTGATCTTTGGTTTTTGGTCTTTGCGTCCGAGGGCTTTGTTGACCATTGGCCGGTCGGATAGATATCCTACGGTAGGATATTGAAAGTACGAATGAAATCCAGATACTCCTATCTGAATGCAACGGAGTCCGCCAGAGTTGGTGGAGTGAACGCATGCGGGAGAAATTGGCGGCCCACTTTTCCATGCTTTCTTTTTTTTTCTGTCTTGCCAACCCCAAGCAATAATAATGGGAATCGTTGAGCTCCTTATCATTGAGCAAAAATGCGATTCATGCGGCAGACTAGACTCGGTCCGGAATCTATTCCAACCATCATCACCATGCCAAAGTCTCTATGCCAAAGTCCCTAGAACACTTGAACCCGTATAATACATCGATGTCGCCATCAGATAAGGCCATTGCTCATCCGGCGCATCCACCGGTTCGACCTCTCGTGAAGCGCAAATTATCCCCTCCCCTCGGCCCAGCCGCAGTAAGCAATCTGATGCAACCGGCGCAGATCCATGTAAGGAGTTCCCGCGTGATCGACAAGCAACGTCTGGATTCGGGGCTTTGCCCTTTCCACCGCGTCACTCGGGTTGACAGGCGGGCGCATATCAGGATGCCCTGGTCTTGCGTTTGTATTTTATAACTTCCATCTTCAGGTGCGCTTGACGGCTCACCTTGCACTCCGTACGGAGTAAATACACAATACAACCCTTTTCTCCTGTACAGGGGGAGGGGAGGTTCCGTTCTCCATAACCTGCCGTTCACGGAACATGATGGGGTTGCGATTGTCCACTTTCAGAGGGCAGACCCGCAGGGATTTCCCGCAGTTGGGGTCCTTTTTCCACTGCCGTGGTGACTGGATGATGGACCATGCAATTTGTGGGTTGAATACTCCGTAGACAAGACTGGAGACTGAAGGGCGAATCCATGTCTGATCGGGGCGGGGCGTGCCATTCCACGAACATACTCTGTACGCAGTACGATAGAAATTGTTACTGCGTACTGGGCAGGAGATATCAAGTTCACCCGTGTAACGATGCATATCCAGTGGACCGACGGATCCCTGTACGGGCCATACGCAGAACCATGTCTCGTACATCGGAGATAGATCCCCAAGACGGGAGAGCGAGACCTTGGCTTAGACCAAGGGGCCGAAAGCGAGCATTCGAGGAGACGAGGCAGGAGAATGATTCCCGCGGGGGATGGCCAATAGCTGGAGGGGGTTGGGATATCCACAATGGAGGGCAAATTTACCTAGAATTTACTAGACCAGCAAGCGAGCGAGCACCGAATATATGAACTGTGAAGCGTGCGACCTGCATAAAATTGGGTCTTGTGCGTGAGACTTTTTTATTTTTTTTATATCTCCCACTAGTACTCCGTAGTAGTAATACCAACGGTCCTCACCTCCAGTTCCAAGTCAGACCGATTGACCTCCGGAACCGGTGCTGGTTGGAGAAGTATCATACGGTGCGGAGTTGCTCAGCCGAACATCATCTCCAGAGCTCCACCGACATTTTTACGGGCAAGTCGGTGGGTAAAGCGAACACTTCCGACGTACGAAATTCCGGATACGAGAGGGGAGGGAACTGGGGAGATGGAAAATTAAGAAAATTCAAATCCAACCGAATTCTCGCCAACGGTGATGTGCATCCGAACCCCTCCAAAGGGGAGGAGCTTAAATGAACCCGATCGTGTTATCAACGCGTCGTCAGCAAGGACTTACGCAGTACAGCAGTAATATGTACAGTATGATGTCTTCGTATGATGCACTTCCGTACAGGCAGATTTGCATCCCCTTAGAACGGCTGTCAAATGCCCGCCCCTGGTCTGAGGAGAATGCCAAAACCCCTCGATATCCCCTCCCCTGGGCGATAACGAGGACAGGCCAGCCCGAGATGACGATCATCAGGAGGTCATATTACCACCACCCTGGGTTATATTATGACATGTTCCTGACCTCAGGGAGGAGCGGACCCCTCCTCTTCCAATCTCAGGCCAATTATTCAGGAACCCCGGACTCGACGACGTTCGGAGGTACTGGGAATCAGCTCTGCGCGTCGTTCCAGACAGATTGGACGCGAAGGAAATTGGCCAGGGCATTGATGACTTCCCAATCTCCGCGGTTAATTTAATTGAGGGGCCGCTAGACGGACTAAAACACGCTCGTCCGATTGCATGAACCTCGCCTCACCACTCCATCTCCCGTTCTCTGCACTCTCCTGCTTGCTAGGCGGCACGCAAACAAGGGGCCTACTCCGGAGTAATATAATGGTCTTGGTCCGCGTGCCCAGGATCGGCGGACAGAGGGGGATCCACGCCCCGAAATGAAACAGGAAGGGTCACGTCAACGTCTCGTGCCAGATGCATCCATAGTCCGTCAGTCGCACGCCATATCCGGGGAAACCAAGATGTGGAGTACAGGCGACTAGCGAGGGTGATGCCAAAAGCCTCGGACAACTCGGGATGGGTCTGTAGGCGCCGGCGGGCAACATAGTTCATAACCCATGGTGGCAACAGCTCAGTCCCCCCCCGTACTCGTACTACATCCTCCCATACCAGCCGAGCACAGGCCAATGGCATATATTCCAGCGGGAATCTGCGGAGGGAGGGCCTGCGACGAGTGATTGGCCGGTCTTGAGGGCATGGAATGTACTGCGTACATGCCGTTCAGATTGAGATCTCTTCCCCTCTTGAATCTCTCCTGGGCATCGTCCGGGACTAGACCGGACTAGACTAGCCTGTCGATTATTACGAACGTGCATTCCCATTCCATGCACTCGCAGAGCGGACAGTTCACTCTGCATTGCAGATAACGGGGCTCTCGGGCCAGATGAAACGCTGGCAGGCAGGCATGTTCTTTGTTTGCGAGAGAATAATCCGAGTGGACGGATGAGGAGATCCCTGTCTTCGGATGCGAGGCTATACGGGGGATGCATGAGTTGGCGGGTTCTGCCCTGGCGCCTCTGTCTGTACAGAAGCATACACTGTCAACTGAAAAAAGTCAGATGACTACCTCTCCTACCATCTCCGTCCGAGACAAGATTCTCTCCCTGGACCATACTGCGTACTCCGTACCTCAGCGATCGTACCATCCATGGAACTTCCTCCTGCGTAGGAAGACGGGGACATCGGCCGCCGATTGGCGCACGAGGCAGCGGTGCCTCTGCAGGTCGCTGCAAGCGGAAAGCCACCAAGCGGGGTCGCCAGCCAGCCATGAGGGGCGGATCCACTGGATGCGACTCTTGAGTCTTGATAAGAAGGATTGAAGTGTTTTCAAGGATGCCTTCCCAGGAGTCCCGCCGGAGCAGGCAGTAGACCAGGGCGGACCCCCTCTGCCCCACCCATGTGCTCATGTCGGAGTATGAGTTATCCAGGTAAGATTGTCTAGAGAATAAGTTAAGTCGGGTTAATGTTTCTGTCGGTCGGTAGTCGGTATCTGACGTCGTCATAGTACATCTACGGAGTATCTGGACAAGGATATGTAGGTAACTTACACATATACTTTACCTTCAACAGCATAATTAGTTGCTTTATCACTCTTAAAGTTCCCTCCAGAACCAGATAACAAAGTCAAACAAAAACAAGTGAATCTTAGTGAATGTCGATGAGGTACTTATCTTGCACATCAACCTGACTCGTACGTGATATTTATAGCATTTTGTCTCATCCAACACCACCGATCTACACCCATCCTTGCATGAGAAGACCTGCGTCGATTGCGTGTCCTCCGGCGGTTCTGCACGATTAGCCGGTTTTATCCATTTTAAGGTTATCGCGCGGCCGAAGCGGTGAACTTCTGGTTTTATTCTGGTTTTATTCATGGAGATTGGAGTTATGAACAATGCGTTTGATTGCTGACGGCTGAGGCATGAAGGTGGTGTTGAGATTATGTGGAAACTTGGCTAATGGCTGTCTTTTAGGTCTTGATGATCCTCTGTCACTGAAGGTTCTGTTATCGATAATGAGTGCTTGGAGCATGGGAGATCAACCAGAAATCCACCATGATAGTCACTCTTCTGTTACTCCAGTCATCAAGCCATGAATCGTCAAGGAAGCTGCAGACGTGCAGTGAATATTTGAAGACAGCAACCACTCAGACAGCTCCAGTCGTTCGGTTTGATGCCTACTCCCATAGCTTAATATCACTCTTGGACTATATCTTCATGATACATCCATACCTGTCAATGCTTTGATGAGAATTTCTGTCAATCCAGACAGTACCATGGCCAATGGACAGCTATCAAGACGATAACCCAGAGAGATGTCTAGAAAGCCTGACAGTGCCTGGCAGTCTCTGGCAGTGCTTGAGACCGCCCTGAAGTGCGGTTTGCATCACGATGCCCCGATTAGGAAATGCCTGACAGCCCTCCAATCAAACGGCAGAATACCTACCGGCTTCCAGTGCTCCCTGGGCCAGTGCCCCAGCCGCTCGCTCTACTAATTCACTGAGATGTTTCTGGCTTGAAGAGTATAGAGACCTTGATGTGTGAGTGCAGTTCTTCTCTTCCCCTCCCCCCTCCCAACCCCCGGTCTTCCAAGCACATCTATACAAACAACCACACAATTCTCCCATCGAGTATCTTTTCCCTTCTACGGTAGGTAATCTACCCACTGTCGAGTCCAATCTCTTACCCCACCAACCGACGCAATGTGCCAATTGATCGTCTTCTGGTACACTTGCGACCATCTCATCCTCTCTTCCATGAAATGTCCCTTTGACGGCGCAACCACCCACGAGGAAGAAACCACGACGGTCTCCCTGGCCGACTACCCGTGCTGGCTCTGCAAGCAGGGACCGAGCCACGCGCAATGGGAGAAAGTCGAGCGATTGAAATGGGCCATCCTCACCGTGGCGCAGCTGGAGTTCATCCTCGACATTTCCTCCTACGACGCCGACTTTCTCTTCAGAATCGCAGACTTCTTTGCGCGCGGGGACCACAAACGCTGGGGCCAGCCGGGCGAGACCAAGGCCAAATACACAGGGAAGGACCCCTACATCATGAGCCTGGAACTGGAAGTTACCCTGGCGGCGCGCGGCGATACTAACTTCCCCATGAACGCTGGCCTGATGTTTGATCTCGAGTTTTTGCTGTACAAGCGGTTCGATGTCACTAATGTTTCTACTTTGTTCTGGCCGTTGAAGGATTGGCGTGCTCCCAGCACTTCTTTTTACTCTTCCTCGACTATGAAGCGTTTGCCATCGGGGAATATGGTGTGCGACGAAACGGTGAATGCTATCCCTCAACTCGCTTCGCAATATGTTGGCGGACAAGCGTCCAGCTCCAATTCATCTGATACTCCACCAAGCATGGTATGTCTGGAAGACCTCAGAGTCATTTCCACGAACCACATTCGATTGGAAATGACTAGCTAACATCCCCGTCTCTACCAGAGCATCAACACCTGGAGCACAACCTTTCCTGATCCCACCCAAGGCCCAACTGCACCCGGCTTCCCGACTTCCCGCGACGTCGGGTCAGACTGGATGAAGCTGCAGGACAGCGACACATCTGTGAGTTCCGCGCAGGATCCCATGGCCTCCGAAATCTTTAGCTTGGATCCCTGCCGCCAGACCGACGTCATGATGCCGGATCAAGGCCTCCCACTTCCCCAGATGGTCGAACCCTCAATGGCAACAGACACCGTGATCCAGCCACCTCCCATGGGTCCCTATGCAGTGACAGCTAACGACTCCCATCTTCTGTACCCTGCAGGCAATCCGGCCCAAGTCCCTGATCCAAATGCCTCGTTGCACGCCGAGACGCTCCCATTCAGCTACACAACCCCCATTCTATCTGCGAGGCCAATGTCCAGCAGTGCCAGCGCCAGCATGAGCCCAATGTCCATGCCCGTGTCCCAGAACCACTACACCCACGGCCACGCTCACACCGAGCACCCACAACAACCCATTCCCATGAACCTACCCATAAACATGAACATGAACATGAACATGCCGATGAACATGCCCATGATCCCAAGCCCCTTCGGCTACGGCAGTCCCCACCAATTCCTCTCCGCCTCAATCCCCAACCCCAACCCTACCTACCACCACCAAGTCCTCCAACCACAAGACCCAAACAACCTCACCCCAACACCTCACCAACCCAACCCCAAATCCAAAACCCCTCTCCACCACCCCACTGGCCTCTTCAGCTCCCATGGTCAGCCAAATGCCCTCTACCTGACCCCCGGTCCCCTCCGCCCCGTCCAGAAATACGAGACCCCCGACGAATCCAGAAGCGAACATAACTCGACAACCATGGACACAGACAGCTCGAGTCCCTCGCCGACGATGCGCCGCTCGAAGAACAAGGGCAAGGGCAAGGGAAAGGCGCCAAGGAGGACATCGAATCCGCAGAGTGAGTTTGATAACGGCCCTCGTCCCTGGGGCAGAGCGAGAGCCGGGGTCGGGCTTGGAATTGGAATTGGGAGCTCTCAGGCTTTGCCTCAGGTGCAGGTCCAGACTCAGGCCCAGGGTCAATGTCAGGTCCAGGCCCAGGTGCAGGGCTCAGGAATGTTCATGACGCCGGCGCAGACGAAGAAGTTCCAGGGGACGCAGTCGACGGGGAGGCAGAATGCGAGTCGGAAGCGGAAGCGGGATGGTCGGAAGGAGAATACATAAGAAACGGCCTGCTGTGTCTCTCGGCTCGTCTTGGGTCGGGTTGTTTAAAAACGGCACTCGCATGGATGGAGATTTGTTCGTTTGATCGATGGTTGTAGGGGGATGGGTGTTTGGCTTGAGCATGTGTGCATGCATACTTGTACATATATTCCTTCGCAACAGTCTGTGTGGTTGTTGTGATGTGCTCGGGCTGGATGATATGAGAGATTAATATCTTGATAGTGAAGGGTGTAATCAGGCTGCTACCTAACATCGAATGGATATGTTTTTAATGGGTATTTGGTTCTCGCGCAGGTTATGTGGTCGTAAAGTATCATGGTAGCTTGTGGCCGGTGTAGTTGATGAATATTTTTACACTAAAAGATCACCAGTAAGTAGATATTTTACTGTCTTATGGGTATATGGACGGATGGCATGGGGCTGTCAGCATGACTACAAGCACAAATAAATCATCAGTTATATCATCGCTAACCAAACTACAAAACTTTTCATCCACATCCTTACACCAAACTAACTAGAAACCCATCTCAAGCAAACTTCTCTCTCTCAGCATCATACCCCGGCCGCAACCGCTTATCATCGATATTAGCCACATCCAACGAACTATCCGCCACATAGTTAACCTTCCAGTCAACGGTCATGGCGGCGCCGTCCTCGCTCTGCGCCCAGATCGCCACGCCGATGGTGTTCTCGCCGCGGTAGTCCAGAATACCCGCGGGGACGGGGTACACGACCTGGTTTCCGATGTGCGGGTGGTAGCGGCCGTACTGGTAGCCGTTGACGAAGAGCTGGGCGCGGTAGGCCTTGGAGGAGCCGGCCTTGGTGCCCAGGACGAAAGAGATGGAGACGTCCAGGCCGTCGGGGATGTTGAGGGGGACAGTGGTGCGGAAGAAGCGGACGGTGGCGCCGGAGAAGGACAGGGTGGATGCGGAGAGGGAAGAGGAGGAGGCGTTCTTCGAGACGGGCCACGCGCTGTCGTCGAAGCCCGGGAGGTGCCAGCCCACGCGCTCGGCGTGGAGGCCGTCTTCGTTGTAGACGCCGCGGACCGGGTCGAGGTTGGATTCGCCGCCGGCGCCGCCGGCGACGCGCCAGTGGGTGAAGTTGGCGGAGGAGCCGAGGAGGCGGGCCTCGATGATGCCGCGCGGGTTGAGGACGCCGGTGGTCAGGTCGTGGCCGGTGTCGTCGTGGATGACGAGGAGGGTGTTGCGGGAGTCGGGGCGGGTGTTGAGCGTGTTGTTGGGGAAGGTCAGGGTTTTGTTGGCCTGGGGGATGGTGGCGTTGCCGAGGTAGGAGCCGAGGAAGTGGCCGTTCAGATAGGCAGACCAGCCGCTGTTTGAGTTAGATGGGTATGTTAAGGTGTGGTTGAGGTAGGGTGCTTACAATGCCTTGCCACCTTGGACGTTGAGGAAGACACCGGATGCGGTTCCGTTGAAGTAGCCGCGCCAGAGGCGGACACCGTTGTGGAAGCCTGGAAACTGTGAGTGGATGAAGCTGAGTTTGATGAGTGGAAGGATAGCATACCGTATTCGTTGGCGTACAGGACCGGGGAAGTAACGGGGGGATGCGGGTTCAACGTAGTTTCATGGTCGGCATCTGTCCTTGTGAGCGGAGGTTTTATGTCTTCACTCAAATAATGTACTTACCAACCCACGCCGCTCCTGAATCATCGTACGATGCCAGTCGCTCCGGCAAGCTGTCATTCGACCGCCAGGAGCCGAAGGAGGGAAGCTTGATAGACGGGGGCGCGGCGAGCGTGGCCTTGAGGCTGCCGTACGAGGTCTTGGAAGACTTGACCTGCTTGCCGTTCCAGGTGATCGAGTCGACTCCCTTGGGAGCGAACACCTCCAAACTGGTCTTGTCGGTCGAGTCGCCACGGACAGCCAGGGTGGATCCCGAGACGCTGGCCGAACGGACGAGGTAAGGGCCCTGGACCAGGACTTTGACTATGTTAGCATTTGGTTATGGTATTCGGATGAAAAACGTACCAAGTTCATCCTCTGGGGCGAACGGATCAGCAGTCAACGTAGGAGCCCAGAAGTTATAAGCGGCGGTCCTGTCGAGAACAATGACACGGACATCGTCATCCAGCTGAAGGATGCTCATTCCCTTGCCCTGGGTGAATCCGACAACAACATGGTCCTTCTTGCCGTTGAACTTGACGCTAGAGCAGCCGTTGCAGCTCTCGACCTTGCCAGACTTGGTGCCCTTGACGGCGAACTCGCCAGACTCTCCCGTCGGGACCCAGAGCACAAGGGTCGGGCTGTCGTCAATGATCGCATAGGTCAGCACCTCTGCGGTGGAGTACAGGAGGGTCTTGGAGCCGAAGGTGAAATCGGTCACGATGATCTTGGACTGATGGCCGTTCAGTCGGATCTTGCCCTGCTCGCTGGGAATTGTCAGAGCGCCGGCCGAGGTGTTCACGTGGAGCTTGAACGCTTCGTCCGAGCCCACGGTGGTGTCCTTGTGGAAGGTAAGATAGAAAGCACCGTTGGTCTCGGGGTTTCGGAGTTCGAAGGCGTTGACGGCGGCATTGTCGGTGTACTTGGTGCCGTTGCCGATGAGGTCGGTCATAGTCAGATCCTTAGCGCTGCGAGTAAACAGAGAGAGCAGCTTGGTCTCGTGGTACTTATCACCGATCGAACGGTCTTCGGAAATCGGGGAGGAGTAGTCGTAGCTGGTGGCTGTGTCGGGGGTGGCCAGTCCACCCCAGTTTGTTCCGCCGTACAGCATGTACAGACTCATGGCGGTCACTCGCTGGGCGATGTTCCACCGATAGAACAGATTGGCAAAGTCGGCTCCGGTGTCCTCCGGACATCCGCCTTCGGGGCCGCCCCAGGGGTTGTAAGAGCCACCCTGGAATTCAGGCATGAAAGCTGGCATCGATGGCTGCACCTCCTGGAAGTAGTCGTAATACGGGATGACCTTGTAAGGCACGTACTCTCCGTTGGTGGCGGTGCATTGAGAGACATCACAAGTCCAGCACTTGAGCAGTCAGCAACATGTCACTCAGGTATGAATCAGAATGAACTCACCGAGGGGTACGAGTCCACTCCAGGGACATCAACGTTTCCTTCAGAATTGGACCAGTCCTTTCCCCAAGAGCGAGTGTTCAGGTTCGGGTCGTTCGCCGTCAGCGGCACCACGATGCCGTTCTCCCGCGCACTGTCCTGGAGCAGTTTCATATAGGCGACCGCAGTCTTATTAGGGTTCCTATCGCTAGGATCCCCAATCCACTGCTGACCGTACTCGTTCTCGATCTGGTAGACCAAAGTATTCTGGCCGTCGGTGACCTGGTACTTGCTGGTGATCTCCGACATCTCCTCAAAATACGGCTTCCACGCCGCGGTATATCTGGGGTCATCGTTGCGCAGCGATCCATACTCACCGGTCGTCGCCCACAGGGGGAAACCACCGGCAGTGGCTTCCGCATTGACGTACGGCCCGGGTCGCACGATAATGTACATACCCAGTTCCTTGGCGAGCTCATAGATCGGCGTGATGTCATGCGCGCCGGTGTGGAAGTCCACCGTGTGGTTGTTGGGCGCATGGTACGCCCAGCTAGAGTAGAAGGCAAACGCAGTGAACCCGGAGGCTTTGATCTTCTCGAGGATGTCCCGCCATAGCTCAGGGACGGGAATGCGCCAGTAGTGGAACTCGCCCGAGAAGACGAAGATGCGCTGTCCGTGAACCTGGAAACTGTAGTGGTCATATTGCACGACGGTGCTGAGACCGTTGTCGTGCAGAGGCCAGTCAGAGCTGGACTGATTCTGGGCAGCAGCCAGCAGTCCGGCGCTGGAAAGAAGCAGCGCGGCGAGGTGCTTAATAGGCGCCATGACTTGCGCTCTTCTCTATCCCTAGGAACGACTCCTGCAGAAAATTTCAGAAGGGTGCCGTTTCAAAGCCCAGCCTCCAGGATGCCGGGTCAATTTATAGCATGCCGGACAGACTAGTGAAAAAGCCTCAATTCAGACCTTGCGAGCCGATGATGACATGGTGATATATTGGCAATATAGCGTACAACCAATTGACATCCAGGCATTCCAACCGACAGGCCCCAAAGAAATGATGGTGACATTTGACCCGCTTGCCGAAGTCTCAATCGGGCTATAAGAACAGCCGGACAAGAACCTCCGCCGGGAAATGGGAATGCTCGGTATAGTGCGGTCCGCTACAAGACCCTTAGGCTGGAGACAAACAGCGAACCCCGCTGCTTGGAGTCTTGGGCCGGATTTCGGATCTTTGAATGGCATGGTCTGATGAATCGGCTCCATCGGCGCAGCGTTGAAGTGGGGAAAGGATATTGCATCGTGGAGCCCCGGATTGTGGTGCGAGCGGGCCGGTGCGTGTGCGGATGGTTGGGGAATGGACCAGAAAGCGTTCAAGCCAAGATAATGATTACATACCGTGGGATTGATGTGCTCGCGAAGGCAGAGGGTTTCCAGGGATGTTGCCAGGTGGAAACGAATCCTGATTCTGATGACTTCGATGATTCTGGTACTGAGGTAATGAAGGACTGCCGCTGAAGTACTGGAGAATCAGGTGATTGTGGGTAAGCACAGAAAGAGAGAACGAGGATATCCTGTCATGGCTCCGTCTAACATGGAGGTGTTACTGCGTATGCAATCTCCTAGGGACTTTGGCCGATGGCATTTGTGTAGACGGACGCAGGGGTACGGAGGCGTATTCACTCCGAATACTAAACCGAAAGTGCGTGGCAGAAGAGCTCCGAAGACAGGCCGACTGCAGGATTTCCCGCCATTCATCGGCTCGCGCGGAGGAAATTTTCCCGTCCGAGGGGATTTCAACATTTTCTTGCTGAGCCGAATTGAGTGATTACTCCGGAGTAGTGATTGGGTCCATTTAATTTCAAGGATGTCAGTAACAATGTTAGTCCGGACTGGTGGGAGATGTAACTAGATGGGGAAGATAAACGAACTTCCAACGCAGAGAGGGACAGAACGGGAGAAAAAAGGATGGCTCACATGACCAGAGCATAATCCATGTCGACGGACTACGGATTACGCCGTAAGTGTGGGCAATAGGTTGACTTCATACTCATTAAATATTATCATCATTCCAAGCTAATAACACTAAATAAACAATGCTTTTTTCTGACCATCCATGAGCTCGGCCCAGGTAGAGCGATGCGAACATATTTACATAACAAAATCCTTTCCAAAAAGGATAAAACAGTGAAAAGGTCCAAAAGTGGAATAATGAACCTGTTTCGCAGAAGACCAATTCCCGGTGGCGTGGGATGTGCGGTCGCATGATATCACCCGTGAGCTAGTGGATGGTGAGCAGGGAATGCTCCCAACCAGTCCCAGGGGCTAGCGAGTCTGATCGACGACCGGGGTTCGAATGAAGTGCAGCGAGCCGGTGTATATACCGTGGATCAGCTTGACGTGCGTCTACCAGTGTATCGTGGTGGCTGCATTCGTTGATCGTTGAGAAAGGGTGTAAAGTGAGAAACCAGGGAGTTGAGTTTCATCTCTATGCGTTGCTATCCAACACCTCGAAAGGGTTGCTGCCCTTCGGGTCGACGGCGGCAGAGCTCTCCAGCTCATCCTGAGTAACCTTTCTGGCGCCCTTCTTCGCAGAGACCGGGGAGAACCCCTGAGGCTCGCTGGCGGCGGCACGCGCCTTCTGTTTCGCGGAAGCGCGGGTGCGGATGGGAGAGTCATGGGCGACAACGGGTTCCTGGGGCTTCTTCGCGGAGGGTGGCGGCACTTGAGCCTTGGTGGCTTCGTCCTCGGTGGTTTCGCTGGTTTCCCCGGTCATCTCCACCGACTTCTGGATTTCGCGGCTGACACCCCTCAGAGCGTCCAAACCCGCCTTCTCGGCGGCGTTCATGTGCGCCGGGTTGCAGGGGTTGGGATCCTTGCGGTACAGGTACGAGCGGACAAAGAAGCGGACAAAGAGATAGGTGAGGGGGAGTAGGTAGGAGACGTTCAGCCAGATGGCGAAACCCTGGCCGCTGGTGTCCATGCAAGTCGTCATGGGCCCGACGGAGGGGTTCTGGGCAGCGCGGGGCGCCTCAGGCGCACCGACGTTCTCGGCGATACCCTCGGCACCGGCGGCGCGCAGGGCAACCTGCTTCAACCAGGGGACCAGACCGGCTCCGGCTCCGGCGGCCGCAGTAGCAGCGACGGTAGACTGGACGTCGGAGGCGGCGTTCGCGGACTGGTTAGCAGGGAGAGTGTAGTGCACGAAGAGGTAGGAGGCGGCCATGGTGGTTCCCAGGAGGAACTGCAGAATCTGCATGGAGGTCAAGGAGCGCTTGATGAGCTGGGGGACGCGAATGCGCAGGGCCGTGAGAGTGTAGTAGGTGTACTATGAGAATCGCACGTTAGTCTCTCGATCATTTCGGTGGCAAGGCAGGAAACATACCATCATCGCATGAATGGCCGAGTTGACCAGGGTGAAGATCCAGATGGGAGGCGCGATGTAGCGGATGCCGGCCCACATGCACATCATGGCACCGGCATGGTGGTAGGTCTGCAGAGTCGAGCTCTTCTTGCCCTTGGCGAGAATGATGGCGGTATCCAGCACCTCGTAGAACTTGGACAGGTAGAAGATCCAGCCCAGGTAGGCCAGACCGCCGTTCCACGTGCGACCGACGTCGGTCGGGTCAGGCACGCCTCCTTCGGCCAGACTGAACTCGGGATTGCGCAGGGTCCATTGGTTGATGGAGGGATCGTAGGTGGCGGCGTTGCCGTATCCTCGGGGGCCGTTGATCTTACACAAGGCATCGGTCACACCGACCAGGCCGTTGGGGTCGTTCCGGTCGGGCCAGGCGTCGCGGAAGGCGTGGAACATGCCGGCGAAGGTCCAGGCGGAGTAGACAGCCAGGAAGACATTGTGCAGGATGACGAAGAGTTTGAAGAGTCGGGTGTGGCTGAGGGCCCAGGGCTTGTAGCCGCGGCTCTTGTTGATGCGATTGACCAGGACGACGGAGACGGCGTAGACGCTGGCGATGGTGATGGGGACGCGCACGTCCAGCAGCTGGTTGTACAAGGCGGGAGGAATGTTAAACGGTTGAGCCCAGGTGGGTTCGGCCAGTTGAGGCGCCGGGAGGGTCGTTGGGAGCTCGTCCGGGGGGAATTTCAACAAGGAGGCGGGCGGCAGTCCGATGCGCACCACCGCCGGGCCTGATGCGGTGTCGACGTTGATGTCGTACATGACGGATGGTGATATTCTGGTGGCCCTTTGGGGAGGAGAAATCAGTCAATCGCAAGCACTCTGGTGGTAGAATTGCGAAAGGCGCAATCGCAAGTAGAAAGCTGTAGTTCCGACGCGCAGACGACGAGGGAATGAAATATCAACGAGAAGAGAAAATCAAATAAATCAAATAAAAAGAGAGAAAGAAAAAAAAAAAAAAAGAAGGGAAGAGAGGGTCTTTAACTCGGGACCGACCAACAATTGAGGCGATTCGCAAGAGAAGAAAAATGATCGACTGGTAGTTCGACAAACCAAAAAACGGACGGATCGCAGAAGTGGAGCCGCCGTCTGGTTTTGTTGGGATTTTGGCAGGAGAACAGCCGAGGCCCAACAATTGGGACTGGCCAAGGACCTGTGAATCCCTTGGAGGAATCAAGGGGTCGAGATAGGAGGATTCCGGGTGATTGAGCATTGCTGGATATCTGCGTACAGAGGATATACTATGGGGTCTGAATGGAGATCCTCATCCGACGTACTCCGGATGGGTTCCTGAGGCTGCCAGTCATGGGGCAATGGAAGAATACGAGGGTTCTGGAAGCATCGAAGTATGGAATTGACGATTGACTAAATAATGACTCGGTAGAGTGTCGAGTAGAAGGTCGAGAGACTAAGGATCGGAATCATGACGAACCCAACTCCAGTCTCCAGCAAACCTTCTCCTTGAGGCAACGCAGAGGCTGATCCCGACGTTATTTGACTTTATTTGATTGTTGGCCGGTGGATCCCTCTTCCGCTCACGTGTCTCTGCCTCAGGCTGGCAATCTTTTTGCCACTTCCCTAGTAACGAAGACTCTCCGGTCGGAGGAGCTTCCCAACGGCCCCTTGCGTCGGCTCTCCGTCGGCCTGTCACTCGTCGCTCTCTGCATCCCCCAACGAACCTAATCTGTCGGCCATCATTCCGCCTCCAGTGTAGCGCAGGATGCCCTATCACGGATTCAACCAGGTTTCGTCATCGCAATGCGGGGAATTCAAATGTCTCTGGAGTCGTCGAGTCAGGCAGACCTCGGCTCATGGACGAATTCTACTTAGTATTAATTAGTGCATTACTTGTATGATCAACTAACCACTCTCCTCCGTACGTCCTGCGATTCGTTCTACCGAATATGACCAGTCCATTTGACCTCGGGCCTGATCCCTGTCGCATCAAATGGCTCAACTAATGAGCTGCGACGCGTCGGCGCGTATCGCATACGTCATGTTGTGACTGTAAACAACGCCTCTCTCGATCTCTCTTTCTTTCTGCCTCTACCACAGTATACCTACTCAATTCAATTTCCAAACAAAATGCCTCCTAAACGTGCCGCCGCAAGCTCCGCCGCCGCCTCCAAACGCCAGAAAACCACCGGCTCTGCTCCCAAGAGCACCCGCTGGTCTGGCGTCTCCGGCACCGCCAACATCTACGCTAGTTACGCCGAGTAGATGGCCAAAGAGCCCGAGCGCAATTACGAGGATGAGTCCGACTACGAAACCACTGACGAAGAGGACTCGGAGAACGAGGCCGACAACGACGACAAAGACGAAGGTCCTGCATCCAAAGCCCGCTGCGATGACGGCAAGACGTGTCTGTGTCGGAAACCCGCAGAAGAGCACCCCGAGCATGCCTGGGCTTTCACCCTCGCCGGCCGCACCAAGTCCTTCGACCTGCGGCTGTGTGCGGATCTGCGCTGTCCTGACATGTTTGACATGTACACGTACAATGACCACCACGGGTACGGCATCGTGCAGGTCGTCGAGAACCTGGTGCTGGATTTCGACGAGGCGCGCGACAACTGGCGGGAGCAGTGGGCGATGTGCGAGGCGGCGGTGCTGTTTCTGCTGGGCGGCGACGCGGATCCCATGACCCAGTATGTTTATAACCCGTCATACAAATTTGATTTTCTAATGCAATCGGTCCAGGATCGACGACGGTGAGCGAGTGTTTGATATCCAGACGCTCATGGCGCGCATGTTCCTCACCATGCTGGCCACGCTCGAGGCGCGCGATCTCCTGAAGCCCGACTCGGAAATCAAGAACCTCGGCGTCGTGATGGCCATCTACATGAAGTACATCAACTGCGAGCTGAACGACGGCTCCAATGACACCGACCCGAAGTTCAAATTCAGCCAGGCCCACGGCAACATCCTCGCGTATGCCAAGAAACATGGCATCGCGCTGCGTGGCCCGGCCGGCACCGACGAGCTGGTGGAGGAGCTGCAGGACGAGCAGGACGAGATCAACGTGCCGGCGAAGGGAGATGACCCCTGGAACTGGGCGGGTGGACTGAAGAAGTACGAGAAGGACCACGCCGTGAAGAACAGCGGCCACAAGAAGGCCATTGGAGGCGATAACATGGACATCACGACGTGGAGCGTTGCCGAGCGCAAGGAGCACAGCTTCAACGGCAAGGACTGCTTCAGTAAGAAGGAGATCGATGCGCTGAAGAACGGCCTGATTCTGCAAGTGCGTTAGTGGTCAGGTTAATTTCAGGTTCTGTACATTATTGTCTATTCATGGGATTTGCCACTCGGAAGCTCAGTTTCTTCATGCCCGACAATTATAGACTTCGGCCCCAGCCCTATCCTTAATCTACCACAAACCTCCCTCATCCTGTCTCAGCATGCAAACCCAGCACCAAATTCCTAAACCGGCAAGACGCAGGATCTCGGACCCTTACAGAACCCCGACCTGTCAGCTTAGCGGACGGAAATAGTTCCTGGGTGTATTTCCGGCGATGGACTCCGACAGAAACGGCCCCATTCACGCATGCTAAGCAACGCTGTCTGATGATCCTGATAGAAGGATCCACAATCAGTGTTCCGTCTCGTATTCGATGCCGTTCGCTGATTTGATTGGTGTCGTTCGATGTTTCAGGGGTCGCTTGAAGAATGGACTCCGTCAGGCCCGGTGATCCGCTCGCTTGGAGGTATACAAGGTCTGTTAGTGGAGGGGAGTTTGATGCTTGTACGGAGTAGAGGAGAGTGTATGGAGGATGTACTATAAAAGGGCCATGTCCGTTTTCAATCAAACCATTTCCATCACTCTACACACCTACATACATAGATTCTATACACTGTGCTTCGACGCAAATTGACCGAGAAGATCGAGAAAATGCACCTCCCCAACCTCCTCACCCTCGGCCTAAGCCTAACCCTCAGCGCAACCACCGCCCTCGCCGCACCCAAATCCACCTCCTCCCCCAGCAAAACCACCCCCTCCAGCAGCAGCTCATCCGATGGCTTCACCCACCCGGGCGTCTTCCTTTCCTCAGCCCAACTCTCGCACATCGCCTCGCAGGTCTCCTCCAACGCCTCCCCCCAAGCCCCCGCCTACTCCTCCATGATGTCGCACGAGTTCGCATCCCGAACGACCCCCTCCCCCTTCTCCACCGTCGAATGCGGCCCCACCTCCACCCCGGACGTCGGCTGCCACGAGGAGCGCGAGGACGCACTCACGGCGTACCTAAACGCCCTGGCGTGGGTGGTGACGGGGAGCGAGAAGTTCGCGGCGCGCGCGATCGACTTCATGAATGCGTGGGCGGGCACGCTCAAGGCGCATACGAACTCCAATGCCCCGCTGCAGGCGGCGTGGTCTGCTGCGACGTGGGCGCGCGTGGCCGAGATCATCCGGTATACGGATGCCGGGTGGGAGGAGAGTGATGTGCACCGCTTCGAGGACATGTTGAGGGATGTGTATCTGCCGGAGATTATTGATGGGGCGCCGGGGAAGAATGGGAATTGGGAGTTGGGTTGGTTTCCCCCTTCTTAACTTACTTACTTTGTGGACTGGGAATGGATGAGCTAATGTGGTGATGTGGTGGATAGTCATGATGGAAGCAGCGCTGGGAATCTCGGTGTTCATCAACGATAGAGAAAGCTACGACAAGGCCATGGAGACGTTTCTGAAGCGAGTGCCGGCGTATATCTACCTCACCAAGTCAGTCCCCTCCTTCCACCCACCCTAACCCATACATGGACTAGGAACTAAAAAAAGCAGAGACGGCGACCTCCCCAAAACCAGCCCCGAAGACAACCTCTCCTCATCATCCGCGATAACCTCCTTCTGGCAAGGCCAATCCACCTTCCCAGAGAACGGCATCTCGCAGGAAACGTGTCGCGACTTCGCGCACACGGGGTACGGCATCGCGTCGATCGCGCACGTCGCGGAGACGGCGCGGATCCAGGGCCGCGATCTGTACGAGGAAGACACGGGCGAGAGGCTGCGGTATGCGCTGGGGTTCCACACGAAGTATCAGCTGCAGGGGTCGTTGCCGGACGAGATTTGCGGCGGGGAGTTGAAGAGGGAGTTGGATGATGGTTTGTTCCCATTCCTTTCTCTGTTATCGAGTGTTGTTTATGATTATTGAGACGCCGACTGACTAACTTGTGCAGTGACTGAGGTGGCGTTCAATGGTCTTTCGTTCAGGGGGAATCATACCATGACCAATACGGAGAAGTATACCCTGGAGCGACGTCCTGCTGGGACGGATAAGTTGTTCATCGGGTGGGAGACGCTGACTCATGCGGAGAATGATGTGTGAGAAGGGGGTATAAGTACTGTAGATAGAGGTTGGTCCTGAGATTGGTCCATGTGTATATTTAGATAATCAATCTAGTCCGTATTCTTTCTGTAATGACTCTGTCTGCAATGCTTAAATGCTGCAATGGCAACGGAAAACAAATCAATATACCGAACAACACCACCAGCTATGATACATTTGCTGCAAGCAACTTCCGATCCTACGCTACTCGGCTAATCAAAAAACAACATGTCTCAGCGAGGTTTCGTGCCCAATGGGATCGGTGGAGGTGTAGGCGCTGACGCCGGGACAGGGGTCGACCGCATTCCCGATTTCTTAGGAGGCGGCGGCGGCGGAGCCTTCCGTTGGCCCAAGGACTCGGAGCTGGCTGAAGGAGGCGGCTGCACCGCCTTGGGATGTCGGGGAAGAGGCGGGGGTGGGCCTGAATTTCCCTGGGAAGATTTCTTATCGTCAAAGAAGCCATTCACGCGCTGGCTGATGCCGTATTTCTCGTTGAGACCGGACAGCTTCTGCTTTCCGGCATCGATCTTGTCGCTGTGCTTCTCGCGAAAGTCGTTGACGGTCGACTGGGCACTGCGTGTGTCCGACGCCGGAGCAGGCGATTGTGATTGCTCACTGGCGTACGTTCCCCGCGCTGGCGGCGGAGAGGGCGCCTCTCTTTGTGAGTTGGTTCTCATCTGTGAGAACCGTGACTGCAGCTCGTTGAGGGGAGCTTGGCCGACTGAGCCGGTAGGGGCTGGAGAAGCCCCCGGGGATTGCCACTGGTTTCCTCCATTTCCAATTCCGAGCGCCGGTACCGAGAACCCCGATTGAGCGAGGCGCGACGTAGCGGCTTGGTTGATATACGGGTCGGATGGCGTTTCTGCTGCGCTCGGCGAGTAGGCGGGAGGCGGAGAAGGCGGGTGTGACACCGGAGTGGAATTGGTCCGGGGAGGGATTCGAGGCGGAACGCTTGGCTTGGGTCTTGTATTCGTCGGGACTGAAGGCTCAGCCGGCGAGCCCATCCGTCGGACCGGTGGTGGCGGGAGAACACTCGGGTCGACACCTGTTCGATTCGCTCGGTAGGGAAGCGGAGGCGGTGCGGGTTTCTGTGCCTCTTGTTCCTGAGCCTGGATCTCTGCTTGTTCCTGCTCCTTTTGATAATCGATCTGTTCCTGGGATAGCGGGGCTCCTAGGCCTCTTCGATCCGGCGTCGTTTCATTGGGAAGCGCCGCAGCGCCATGGTATTTGACATGTTTCGGTGGCGGTCCAAAAGCGGAGGGATCCTTGAGTGTCGAAAGAGGGCGGGAAACATGCTCCTCGCGTTCGCTGTCTTTGTCCTTGCCCTTCCCCATCCATCCTGCCTATAGTATGGAATAATGTCAGCCAATGATTCGCCAACAGGCTGTCGAGGGATGGACAGACCACTTGATTGATGCCCTTGAAGTCGCCGCGCCAGCTCTCCTTTCCCCCTTCGCGGCTCTTCGGGTGCCACCCCTCCTTGAAAACCTTTCCCATTCCACTCATGATTGCGTTGAGGCCTCTAGCCTGGATGATCCCCAATCAAGTCAATAAAGTCAGGATATGACGCCGATCAAGCAGCCGGGGATGACGAGACGTTCGTAATCCTCAGCGCCCCGCCGTTGTTATGCCGGAGTGCGCTAGCCAGATGGGGTTAGCGCTGTGCACTTATCTCCAATCTCCGCTGGCATCACGTGGCGATAACTTCTCTTTCTGTTGTTCCCTGTTCATCTTTCATCTCTGCTCATCCTGAGGGAGGATTCCACACTACTTGACATAACTCACTAGGAATGTCAGCACCTGGCTGCATACAGACACCTAGCAGCCAGCTGTTTGGAATTTGGCCCCCAACTGCCAGGGATGGGGCCATCCTACACCATACTAGTGCTAGTGCGGATCAAAGGGGCCGTCGACTTTTCCAAATCCAGAGTCGGACTGCTGGAAGCTCCGGTGGGCTAAAATATCTTCCTGGATGATTGGGTTTGCAGTACGAGCATGCGTATCTGTTCTGGTTGTGCTGTGCGAATACGAGATCATCTGCATATCTTACCACGTTCTGATAATAGGAAACAAGCTGCATGTCTACTAATGCTCTCTAGATCTGTCGAGTCAGTTCGTTCAAACAGCCAGATACCTGAAATGGATGAAAAGACTGAATCCCACAATCAACATATACACAGTACGGCGTAGGTCATATACTAATGGGTGTTTTATTGACAGGGTTTATAGGGAACCCACTACGTACATTAATCGGGTCACCGGGCAGTGCTTCATGTACCGCCTGCATGCGACCTATGGTTAATCCGAGAAGCAATGCCCGGTTCGAATTCCTAATTCCTCAACAATGCTGATCGCTCCTCGAGGTGTTCCTTACTACTCCGGACATCATCCTACGTCTCGAGTCTAAAAATATCACGATGCACCAAGGATTGAATCCTTCGCACGTGGTGCAATCATGACCCTGTCAGCTTTCTAATCTCCTGCTGTTCATGAACACGAATGTGTTACCCACTTATTCCAATGTCATCCTCGAATTCAACCTCTATCGAGGCGAGACGAAGGCTTTTCGAAACGTGAAAATGCAGCTCAAGTAGCTGTTATAGCTGTTATAACCATAAGAGGCTTAGTCTGCGTGACTTTTCTCTTTTCTCTTTGTTGCTTTCCAACATTATTCCACGCACTAAAACAATCCCCTGTCAGCTAGGGCCTCCATTCAGACACACCGACTCGCCGTTTTCCTTTTCCGGACAACTTGGGGCGGCGTTTTGTTCGGGCCCGAGACGGGAGCGTCGACGGAGGATTAAGTGCGTGTGTTTACCTGCTTGAGTTTGATCTCATGCTTCGATCCCATGCTTCCATCCTTATTCTTTTCTTTCTTATGTAGAATTACAAAGTTATGCGCAAAAATTCTTAGTTAACCCGAAGTGCTAACCATCTTCATTTAGCGCTTTGTTTTATTAAATCCCAGGTACAAAGATTGCATATCCTCCCTTACGAGCATAGAACCTCTGGATATATACCCATCCACAACCAACTTGATTCTACAAGACACACTCCACGAAGCCATCAATATTCAACCTCCAATCCAAGGATAAAGAGCCTGAAAGAACTAGACCAAGCCCCATGACTGCTAGAAAGCACCATATCCACCCCAACCCTAACCAGATCCTCAAGGACCCCAAGCACTGCCGACTCACCAAATTCGGCTACGTAGATCCTCCAAAGTCGCACAATAGTCCACACCCCCCGCTCCTACAGGCTACGGTAGGCTATACCATCACCTTACTGCGTACTCTCACCCGCCAGAGCCCGGGCGCCAAGGCCACCTCCCCGTGGGGTAGCTGCATGCCTATTCGCTCCCGGGGTTCCGGTAGTACTTGGGCGTCAGCAACTCCCTGGTACTACCACAACTGCTCCTTACAGTTAGATAGGCTAGTTCCCTGGAATACCAGGCTCTCAGCCTCACCGTTCCGTCCTTGTGAGACGTCCAGTGTGGCCGTGAGGTGCGGTTCCATGGTTACTGATTTCGATCCTGGTCGGGTATGTATGTGTCCGGTTGAGCGGGATCGAACCGGGAGGATTATATTGTGTGTAACTCGGGCGACGGCAGGAGGGCAAGAGGTGTGTGATTGACTGGGTCTGGGGGACGGGATTTGGAACCGGGCTATAGGGTGTGAGATTTGGTGTTGTTTCGTGGTTATGTGTGATGGAGAAGTCAGGCGAGTATTGATGATTTATTGATTCCTAGACTTATTGCTACTTAGGGGAGGATTCTCTATCTGATAATATTATGTCTTCTCTCCATTCGAGGCGGAATATAGATCTGGGCATTCAATAGCTCATGGGTTCGTTACATGTAAGCATCGGATCTGTTGTCCACGTCACAAACTAGTTGATCACACCCACCGTTCAGCAGACAAGATATTCTCTTAGGCTATCCGGCAACTTCATATGGTTGCATCGGAGACCTCGGAATGGTAGCAATGAGCAGCACGAGATACCTGAGAACCCTTGGCGAGCAAATGTGATGGAATAGTCTCTGGGACAGTATTGCTAGCATGAGAATCGTCTATATAAGACAACTCATCGTCCAGGAATTCAAAATCAGCAAGACAGAGCAGCTCAGCCATTCGAACGAGACAGATTTACCATCTCAGCAAGACCAAGTTCCACTGCTGCCATGAAGTTCCTTTCTATCGCTTCCCTCAGTCTGATCCTCTTCACTGCCATGGGGGTGTTGGGCAGCCCAATCGAATCCGAAGCTCTAGCGTCGAACGATCTAGATGCTAGGGATGAAGCGGGAATTCTGATCAAATATCCTGGAGTTAGTATCGGGCTTCTCTACCTCTACAGTAGAAGAACAAGCTAATATTCCGCTTATCTGCAGACATGCTCCAAGAAGAATAACAACTGCCGATACAAGTCGCAGAATGGAAGAACTGCTTTCTGCAAGTGCAAGTTCAAGAAGGTACTATACTTTCTCTTCTCTGGTCTGTGTCAGTCTGGCTGATTTCTTTCAGTGTGCCAAAGATGGCAATAAATGCCATTTCGACAGCTATAACCAGGATTGTCAGTGCATCTAGGAGTGGTCCAATGCCTTGATGATGGGTTGAGGATGGTAATCTGGAAGGATTTGGGAGGTATGGATGTAGCTGGGTTTGTATGGATCTCAGTAGGATATTCAACATATCTATGCTTGAAGCGAGGTAATATTGAACAGTTTTTGAGTCTTGTCGTGAATAACACAGCATGCCTTGTGGGCTCAAGCCTACAATTGAACTAAATAAGTAAAAAAGACGAAATTTCAAGTCAGAGATCCATCTCTAGAAGAATGTATCCCCATAGAATTGGAGAATCGGTGAGATGCAAACAGTCGTGGCTGAGCGCCCCCACCGACCACGTTGATCTCCAACATAATCGGAATTCTTATTTATGATTAGTTTGACTCGGTAGTTGAAAAATAAATTAACGAAAAATAAAAATGAAAATAAAAAATGAACTCCAATATGTAAGATCCAGCAATCTGTCAGTATAGTTCGGCCGTGGAAATACACCACCAAGTCCTCCGCCAAGTGGCACTAAGACAGACCCTAGCTCACAGTCGATTCCATGCAAAGAAGCACACGAAACAAAGGCCAAACCGAAAAGATAAAAGTCCCCCAACTGAGGCCTCCGTCATGTAACATGGGGCGACGCTGCGTGTCCCGGCGCATTGCAAGCGCGCGGGCTGATTGGCAGCGGGAGACCCTCATTGTTGGTTGCGGCGATGGATCATGGATGCTGCGCCATGCAGCTCCTCTTTATTATTTTTATTCCCTCTTTGGCGGAGGCTTCCTCTATTTCTAGTGACTGCTGGGGCGTTTCTGACTTCTTACTTCTGACTCCCCTGCTCCTGGCTTGCGCGGTTTTGCTTTGCTTTGACTTCTTTAACTACCTGGGGATAGTGACTATCCAGAGTCATGCCATGATGAGCTTGCATCTCTGAATGAATGTGATTATTAGATTTATTGGATTTTAGAGACTTGGTTGGTAGTTTTATGTGAAGGTAGTACTTTCTTGCTTCTTCCATTCTGGACTACAACATGATACTAAGACGCAGACCAGGCAAATACACATCGCCATTTCGAAACTCGACGCAGCTCAGATTCAATAATACCCAGGATCTACCACTGCGACCAGTAAACATCACCTCGCAGATCAAATATTACGCTCCGTCTTATCTCCACCCCACAAAACATCCATCTCACCACAGGTTTCTCGTCCCGCAGCCATGGACGACACCATCTTGAACAATGACCGCGACTACGCCAACAACTGGGAGCTCTACGCGAATCCGAACGGAGGAGAACCGGGGGAAGTGCATACCTCCTGGGATCAAATGGGTCAGCCGCATCCGGTGACGAATTACGGATATACCGAGCCCCAGCCGACGAATACATGGCAATGGAGCGATGCGGATACTGCGACTGCTACGGAGTCTTGGATGTCGCAGATCACCAGTCAGAGCGAGAGTGAGACGTGGACTGCATCTGCAGATACAGCGACAGATACAGCCAGTGCTACAGCTACAGACACAGAAACAGAAACATCCTCTCCCAGCACCACATCTACATCTCAAACCTCAACATCAACAGACACCACCACCTCCCAAACCTCCACATCAACCCTAACCTCCTCCTCATCATCATCAACATCAACATCAACATCAACATCCCTCCCCACCACAACCTCATCCCCATCCTCCTCATCCTCCCTCCCCACCAAAACCAAACTCGCCATCGCCCTCCCCATCTCCCTCATCGGTACCGCCCTCCTCCTCGCCCTCCTCCTCCTCTTTCTCCGCCGTCGCCGCCGCCGCTCCAAAACCACCCGCTCCGGCCCCTACATGGACATCCGAAACCCATCCTCCTCGCGCATCGTCCCCTCCCACGCCCACTCGCACTCCTTCTCGCAAGGCGAAAACGACAACCCATGGGACTACCTCGGCCCGACAAGCGGAGCCTACGGACCGGGAACATCGCAGACGATGATCACAGGCGGAGCCGCAGCCGCAGCAGCCACTGCAGGAACAGCAGCGGGGGCGAGAAGTAGTCGCGACACGTCCAGAAGTAGTGTCACGAGACAGCCGCATCCTGAGAGGCCGGAGCTTTCGGTTCTGCAGACGGGGTCGGTGACCGGGTTGAAGGTCTTTCCGGATCCGTTGCATTCGCATCCCACTTCGCCGGTTTCTCAGGCGGGAGCTGGAGCTGGAGCTCGGGGAGAGGGAGATGGAGAAGGGAGTGGGATTGGGCTGGCGCGGACGACGCAGGAGTATGACCGTGACCGTGACCGTGACTGCGACAGTGGCCGTGGGGATGGACATGGGCATGGGCAGAGTCTGGACATCGAAAGGTCCCGCTCGCCATTCGATCATCCGCTGGACGATGCGGTGTCTGAGATCTCGAGGATGAGTAGTGGGCGACGACGGGTGGTGCGTGGACAGGGGCATTATTATCGGAATGTCGATGGGGATGAGTATGACGGGTCGTCTGTTTCGTCGGTGAGTGACGATGAGGATGAGGATCAGCGTTATCGTCCTGGTCAGCGGGCTTTGAGGAGGGACTGAGGTCTTTGGTTTGGATTGATTTTTGGATTGATTTGGAGTTGGAGTTTGTTGGACAGTGCTGGTGCTCACTGCTGGTATTCCTGGGTTTTCTGGTTTAGCTGGTTATTTTATTTGGTTCTTAGGACTAGGATTATGGTAATGTTTAGGAATGAGGTTCTATTCTGTGGATTTGATTTTAGGTATTAGTAGTAGAGGGGAGAGGGGTTTATCGTGGTCTATCATGATTGAAATGATGTGGTTATGGAAATGGAAATGAGCCCAAGATGTCTGCATACACTATAGTATAAAGGTTGAGCCAAAGTCTATCACTAGGCGATTGTTATACTGCACTATTCTGTATATGAGAACGCTAATGGATACGAGGCAAAAACCAACTCAATGCCAGAGCAATAATACGGAAACATCGGTCTCCATGCAAGTATATAACCATCATACTTTTAATATATACATTATCCCTAACTCAAGCCCGGCCTGAAAAATCAGGCTTATACGCCTTGACCTTGCCCTTCATCAACTCTCGCAACGCCATCGTCGCGTACTGGCTCGAACCCAGCTGGAACTTCAGAACAACAGCAATCTTATCCCCAGACGAGGACGCAGCGTCTACAGCCCCCTCCTGACCTTGCTGCAGCTTCTGCAGATCCGTCTGGATGAACTGCTCGTCGTCCTGCGAGTACTGGTGCACCTGGCAAGAGAAGTCCGGACCCATGCGGCTGAGGAGCTTGCGGTAGCTTCCGCTAAGACTGATGTCCTTCCACTGCCGGCGCATATCGAACGGGTCGAGCCCGCCGCCTTGCTCGCTGGCCATGAACGTCTTGTACCACTCCGTCATGGCGTTGGCGGGGTACAGCACGTCGAAGCCGGGGAGGGGCAGGACGACGTCGAAGACGGTGTACTTGCCGCTGGCGGCCTCGTCGGCCGTCAGGGCGCGGGCGCGCGTGTAGTCGACGAAGGAGCTGTCGGCAGCGCCGGGGGCGATGATCACCTCGCCGTCGGCGTCGACGTTGGAGGCGGTGTTGTCGTCGCCTTCTTTGTCGCGGTGTTCGTGGACGAGCACGAGGTCGCCCTCGACGACTTTGTCGCCGTAGAGACGCCAGCGCTCGCCGGCGGCGAAGTTCCACACCAGCGACTGGTAGGCGTGCACGTACATCAGTCGCAGATTCCGCGGGATGGTCTGCAGGGCACCGCGGCAGTCGTTGCGCGAGCGACTGAGGTGTCGGATCAGGTTGGATTCGGCGGAGAATTTCCGGGGCAGGATGTCCAGGGCTTCGGTGCACTTGTCACTCGTGCGGAACATGTGGATGGCCTTCGCGCGAGCCTTGTCGTCGGAGCTGATCAGGCTGGTGGCGTTTTCGCCGGCTTCGGCGGCCTCCAAGGACTCGGAGCTGTAGTCTAGGATGGCATCGACGGCGCCCTTGAAATCGCTCTGAAGCATTTTCACGCCCACGGTGTCAGTGCGAGTCGCAAACGTTCCGAAGCGCTGCAGACCGTAGTAGTTGAAGTAGCCTCGCTCGCGGAGATTCCACAACGCAGAGCCCACCAGATCCGAGGCCTTCGCGACGGCCGTCTCGCGGTTCTCGAGGTCCAGACCGGGAATATCGCACTCACGGAGCGTGACGACGAACTCGTTTCCGTTGAGATCGCCCAGCTCGAGCCCTTGCTGCCGGTACTCGAAGTCGCCGATGACCGCATTGCGAAGACAGGCATTCAGCTTGGTAAGGCGTTCGGCTTGCACGCGGTGAGCACAGGCCCTCTGCACCGTCACTCCGCGGCGGTCCTTGGTGCCCGCAAACTGGAAGCTCTTGGGGTTCATCCTGAGTTGGCGAGAGATAAAGGAGATAACCTCCATGGTGTCCTTGTTCTCCTTATAGATGGTGAAATGCAGATACGGTCCTCCGAGCTCATCCCAGTTGACGCGGCCACGGTCGCGCCCAGCACCCGCAGGGCCAGCCTTTGCGCTGCGCTTGTTCCTGTTCGGCGCCGCCGAGATGGTCATCATGCCGTCGGCGTCGGTCGACGATTCAAGCTGCGACTTGAAGATGCGACGGATCGCCTGATGCATCTTGACGCGCAGATCGCGGTCATCGACAACCACGGTAGGGATCTTGCCGAGTTCACTAGGTCGGGCCCGGTCGTTGTTCTGAGCGCGGTTGTGCAGCCCCACGATCTTCTTCGTCGACGGTTCGCCGAACAACTCCTCCATCAGCGTCTTGTCCTCCTCCGAAAGCTCAAACTGCTTCTTTTCCTTGGGCGCCTCCTCAGCCGCGGGCTCCGGCTTCTCCTCCTCCTTATTCTCCCCGACTCCTTCTGTCGTCGGCTTGGCAGCACCATCTTCGTTCTCGTTCGGGGTCGACAGGATCACATTTCGCAGATGCAGGACTTCGCCGGACGGCACGATTTCGTTGACCAGGAAATCGGTATACCTAATGCGAATTAGCCACTGAACCCAACCCGCCCGTCTGGCAACAATACCTCTTCTTCAGAACACCCGAGAACCCTTCATTATCGGCTCTCACGAAGTGCGTGATGCCGACCTCCAACTCCTTCATGGCCTGGGCGTCGCTTTCGGAGATCTTGGCCGGCGCGGACTCCGCAGCAGCGCCTGGGAGCACGGCTTCCTCGGAGGAAGATGCATTGTCGGTCTTCAATCGCTTGCGCGGCGATTCAACGGGCTCGGCGCCTTCCATTGTGAATATCAGGATGGGGACGATAAGTTGCGAAATGGTCGGGGCGAGAGCAGCGAACGCAGCGAGAGGCGGAGGAGATTGAGTCGCCGAAAGGGGCTAGTGTAGCCCTAGCCCTAATTCCGGATTGGGAAGTATACTTGTCTACAAGATGACTGTCTTTTTCCTTTCTTTTATCTTTTCTGTACTTTTTGGTCTAATGCAGTGGCTTAATTCATAGAAACCCATGACTAGGCTGCCATAATATAACGAGTACCCTGCATATAGCCTGATAATGGTTGCTTTATTACCGATCGCATGATGTAACCTCCATTGATGGACAGCAATTCATTGCCTACACCCATTGCATAATCTAACAAAATATGGAATAGCCAGAGAAAACCCTTGAGTATGTTTTATTCTTTCTTCTCTCTGGTTGAACATGAGAACCGTTCACCTCGAGCCTCTAGTACTAATGCATGCCAAGGGTCATGGCATCTTGGCCAGGTCTTCTCCTCACCTCATCGATCATCTCTAAGACCCAAAGACGATGCCTTTCTATATGATTCAGTCATTGAACTCATTCCAAAGCCAAGTAACTCAAATGAAATAACCAATCATGATTCATAAATTTGCGCCTATGTACTCGCTTCAAACAAACCAAACCATCACCCACAACAAAGTATATACCTATCCAAAGAAATACTCCTTCCACGACTTCTTCCACGGCTTCCAACTGCCCTTGAACCGATGATTCACGCACGCATGCTGACTCCCAAAGTTCTCGGACCCGCTATGTCTCTGCCCGTTCCCCCACGCATTGACCGGCAGCACGCAGAGCCCGCCCATCGCGTCCGTAGCCTCAGAAGCATCGACGCAGAGCGGCTCTTTGATGCCGAAGAAAGGCGCCCAGGTCACGCGGCGCTGCGTGAGGCCCGATCTGTGCGTCATGAGGTCGCCAACGCCGAGGTCTGCGCCGACGGACTGCTCGACGAGCTTGTTGGTGGGCGGCAGCGTCTGCGATAGCGTGTCCAGCACGGTGTCGGTGAACATGCCTGGGCCGCTGATCTCCAGGATGGCGTGCTCGTTGTACCGTGGGCCCCACGGGAGCAGGTACTGCTGGATGTGTTGTCGCGTGTGGGAGAGGGCCCGGACGATGGTCTCGCGGAGGAGCGGGCTGAAGCGTCGAGGCGCGTAGAGCGTGTACTGAATGAAGCCGTAGCGTCGGGTCCAGCGCCAGTGGCGCATGAGTTGCGAGGAGGCTTTGGGCTCGTCGAGTTCGATGCCGATGACGAGGGAGATGTTGGGTTTGTGGTGAGGGGGAGGGGTGAAGAGCGGTTCTAGTGAGGGACAGTCTTTGATAGATCGTTTGGGGAAGACGTCGGTGTCTGCGTAGTATCCGCCGTGGTACCAGAGCAGGAGGTATCGGAGGAGGTCTGCGCGGAGGATGTCGAGAGGGTAGGCCATGTAGATGTCCTTGAGGTCGGGGACTGTTAGGAAGACGCTGTCGATAAAGGCGTTGGCCGTGTCGGTGGTGACGAGCTAAATGATACAGGTCAGTTGGGATCTTATACCCTCGAGTTCTTTGAAGGTAGAAGAGATGGCAGACCGAATATTCCCATCCCTCGTTCTCATCTTCGAACGCCAACGAGTCCTCACTCCGCTCTCGATTCTTCCCCAGCATCACCTGCCAGATCCTGTCGCGCGCCACATACTCCCCTCCGTTCTCATGTATAACCGCTCGTTCGATATTGCGCAAGGCTTGCGACACGCGCTCTTCGTACTCTAAATCCGGATCGACCCGAAAGGACGCACGATGGACGAAATGCGGCACGTCGTCGACATCATACTTGGGCGTTCGACGATCTGCTCGATTGCCATTCTTGTGGAGAAGGGGAAGATTGTGCCAAAGCACAAACGACAGGACGGCGAGAGCAACGAATAGAAAGCGTCGACGGGCGACTGTACGGCCCACAAGCCTCCGGCCTTTGGGTAACATGGCCAGGCGGAACGCAAGAATATAAGATTCAAAAACACAGAAAAACAAGCAAAGGACAAGAGTCGACTAAAAAAGAGGACGAAAAAAGCGGGAAGCCGATACGTTAATGCCCCCATGGTGGCAGTGAATCCAGCTACGGCGTGGAAAAAGCCTGCGACAACCAAGAATAGACATCTCGTTCAACTCTGGATCAAGACAAACAGGACCCATCTGAAGCAGGGCTAAGGCCGATTCCAGCAAATGGTGCGGCGGGATTCCGATTATCAAGTTGGAGGGCTGAGGATCAGTGCTGGATTTGGGTGGATCGCATCCGAAAAAACTGGAGATCGTCAGCACTAAAAAACCCCGACGGTGTACCCTGAAAGTCTTGCCTGGAATGAGTTAGAATTGGCTTCATGGGGCTGGATTTGATTGGTTTCGTCGGGTTTGTGCATGCTGTCGATGGCTCTGAGCGTTGAATGTTTAAGACATTGTATTTCCAAAGGGCATTTCCCCGATTTGTGCTGCCTGTAGTGCTCACTTGTTGACTCTGCCCTATTGTGGACTTTGGATTCGACAATGGATGACGGCATGGAGAAATCCATGATAGCTCCTTTGAGTGGGGAGGTATATGGAAGCCTTCCTTGCTGTCTTCCGGCAGACCGAGCCATGCCGTTTCTTTGTTCGTTAGTCAAACTGGCTGCCTAACTCCTGCCGGCCAGAGATGAGTTCGCTCCACCCAAAGGATTGGGTTAGTCCGAAATATTCCCTTCTGGCGATGCTATAGATTCCTTGTCGCATTGTCCTCGACTCGCATTGAACAACCGGCAACACTCGCTCGTCTCCTTGTTGATGGTCGATGTCTATATATTCAACAGGAAATGGCCGTTATTAAGAGAATGGATACTTCGCAGAAAGAGGCGCAAGAAGGGGAAAGAGGAGTATAAATAAGATTTTATACCAGCATTGCATTCAAGATGAAAACTGTCACCATCATCAACATCACCATCAACCTCTATCCACTTTTCACGGCTGAACAATCCCCCTTGCCAAACTCAGGTCAAACTAACCACCTCTCGGTCTAGTCTACTTACTGAGGAAACCCAATTCTGACATTAGAAAGATGTGTCCCACACCACCCGTCGCCACCAACCCCCATTGCCTCCCCGACTGCGTCTGCTCCCATTGCGTCCCCAACTGCGTCTGCTCCCGGTGCGAGAACACACGCAAAGTCGGCCTCCTCAACCAAGGGCTCGAAATCGCCTGCAACGGCTGCGACAAGCCCGACTGTTTGCACTGGAACCCAATCGTCGCGCGGTCGAAGTACCCCACAGACTACATAATCATCTTCGTCGACCTGTGCGTGGCCGAAACCAACCTGAGAGACCAGGCCGGGGTGATTGGCAAAGCGCAGGAGGAGCTCCAGCGTCGGTACGAGGCCAAAGACTGGGCGAATCCGGTCGGCGAGACGCCCAAGGGGCATATCCGGCTGCGGATCTGGTCCCAGACGCGGGCCAGGACGGCCGAGAAGGTGTACGAGAGGCTGCTGTTGCATATGTTTGATTTCGTCATCAAGGAGAATGTGCATGAGCCGTTCTTCAAGGATAAGCTCTATCCCGGGGATTTCTTGGACGTGGTGATTACGGCGGAGAATGGATTGACGAACATAAATATCTCCTACAGTTATTAGTAGACTTGAGTTGACGAGTTTGTTGCTGTTTGAGATTGTGTTATGGCGAAGACTGGGATGCTCGATGGAAGAGTGTTCTTGGTTGTTGTTTGGTGTTGGAGTTTTAGATGAATTGACTTTCTTTTTCTTTTGGATTTGCTTTTCTTTTGCATTGATAGAATAAGGCTTGTAGATGTAAAATGTTTGTTTGTTATTGTAACCATGTTTATTCAAGGGCAAGGTGTGATCTGCTGACACATTCGAGCCACTCATGATAATCGCTCTCGATCGAGCCAGTTCGTCTTTCTAACTATCGAAATCATTCAGGACCAATTCTAGACAAGACATATCTATTCCAATGATCATCATGCAATCATAAAATCGTGCCGGTTCCGGTCCATGGGCCTCCCGTTCTCAATGCAGTTGATAAATCTCGAGGCCAATTTGAGAAAGCGAGGTTGAACTCTGGCGGGAGGCCGGAATACCAACCCAAGACTCGGTCCTGTCCTGCGTCTATAGAGGCTTGAACCTGATAAGACCAATTCATTTCGCCTTGCGGCTCCGCAGAGTCAGCTCAGTCGTCGACGGCTGCTTGCCACCACCCTGCCAAGCCGCCATAATGCTTTGAATCTTTTCCCGGACGTTCCGTCGCGCAGTGTCGCGACTCGTGCCCGCGCGCAGCAATTCTTCGTACGGCGTATGCGTGTGACGAATATGGGCCTCAACCGCCATGGCAGCTTTATTTTCTTCGTCCACTAATGACGTACGGCCCACCCGACCCGAGCCCTTGCAGAATGCGTGATCCAGAATAGCGTCAAGCGACTCGGTTGGCATCAACGGGAACTCGCTGGACAGAACCTCTCGCGAGTGTGCCAGGTCTTTCTCGTCGCGGAGCTTGACAGCGCTGGCGCGGGATTCGGCCGTGGCGGCGGCGGATTTCAGGACGGCGTCGTAGATGTCGGAGGGCACGCGCAGGCCCTGAGGGTATTTTGCCTCGTTGTCCTATGCTTGTCAGTGTCTCATGACAAGAGATAAGGGGGGAAAGGTGTTGATAAAGGGGGACCCCTTACGTAGACTACATATACAGTCCGTTCTGTCTCCTTTGTCTTGCTCCGACAATGCCGAGTAATATAGACATCTCCCTTGGGCACGAAGACATAGTTTTCCGGGATGGGCGTTCGTATGAAGCAGTTCTAGCAGGTCAAATTAGCTAACCACCTAGGCGAATAGTCAGCCGTGCGGGGAGCTGCAGGCAAAGCAAGGGGCAGGGACGCCCACACACCTCTTCAAACGGTTTGGTTGGAGGCGGAAGTATCGCAAGGTTGGCATACTTCAGAGCCCGGCGAGGGTCTTGACGTTTAGGCCTCTTGATGCGCTTGGAGATGCCGGCCTTTCGAGTCAGCTTCGTCCGCGGAGATCCCAGGGTCGTCGGTCGCCGGATTGGCCGGGACTTTTTCTTCAGGCCTGCACGTTTTTTGGAGACTTTTCTCCGCGTAGTGTTGGGAGTTGATGCCATTTTCCCCTTTGTTTTTGGTTGATTTCGAGGGAGACTCAAGATGGGATGAGATTTTTTCGATTGTACAAGATTAAAGAATAGAAACTAAGGAGGGAAAAGATAGAGACTGGCAAGTTCATGGAAGGAAAAGCCTCTGGCCCCAGGGTGAATCATGAAGAGGGTTGCTCTTGCTCTAGTAAGTGCATTCACCACCCAACACGGAACAATTGATAACAGACAAAGAGGGGTCGCAACACAAAGAGCGCAAACGCAGAGTCCATGGTGAATGGGAGGACACGTCGTGTCTCTTTACCGATGCATATCCAATCGATGATCTCGTGACTGGAACCTGCAAGCAACCGAACGCAATGAATCCGAAGAATGAATCGACGAGTCCAAAGGAATTCTTCTTTCTGCCCAAATCGCGGGGTTGCGGAGGCGGTGGCCGTGGGTGCCTGGTGGCTCAGGCAGCAGTCCAGGCACCGTTTCCGGAGTTTCTTCTGGCATGCAACTTTCTTGCTCGGTTGACCACTTCAGAGGATGCAGCAGCCTGGTGATTGATACCAGTGAGCTGTATTGCAGAGTGAAATAGCTTACTGAGTACTCTGTAAAGAAAGCACAATTAGCTAGGAATGAATGCATGATTCGATGCTTCCATATTGCGGCTCAAGTGCTCGTACAGCTGCTAGACCAAAGCCACAATTCGGATACGCATTCGAAAATGGAATCAATCCACTCGTAATCGCAGTGAGGGACGTTGGAGGCTAGGCTGCACTTGGTGGCCTGACCAGTATATGGTACTGATTCAAGGCACATTGCGGGAAGCGACTTCCACCTGATCCAGACAAACTGACCCGTCACGATGGGATTGGGGCCGTTTCAAGGCAGGAAGCTCCGGTGGGTACAGCTGGCATCTCCTGCTTTTTCCCAGTGCGGGATGCGCTGCGAGACGACGAATCTATCAACTAACTATCAAGTGCTGAGGACAAGGAGGCCATCCCGAGCTTGGCAGACGATCCTCCTTGCTGGCGTCTCCAACTTTAAAAACCAGGTAAATCGAACCTGGCCACTCCGTTTGAGGGGGCAAACCAGGGATTTGGCCCGGCGACAGGCGACGCCATGTCAGGGGGCTTGGGCATTATTTACTCGGCCCATGTAGGTGCTAAGGACGTACGTCCTGCGGCATTACACAGCAGCGCCGCTAGTCCGATGCAGGTCCCATTTGCTCGCGTGCATGACCGCGTCGTCGGTGAAGTCTCATTGGGCGTGCCCGGCTTGCTAGCACAGGGGAGGCCAGGTTGCCAGGCACTACCAAGTACTCCGTACGGCGTAGGGAGGACGCCCGACCGGTGTGGGATAGCAGTGCTCCGTAGCAGGATGTGATTATCGGCAGCTAGCCATAGTCCGTCACAAACTCGGACCAAATAATGATAAAAATAAAATTAACCAACGAGGATGAAACCCCAGCAAAGATTAATATCGAGTATGAGACTGGAAATGATCAATGGTCATCGCGACCAGCCCAAAGTCGACAGGATCCCCTTTCCCCGACATTCCGCCAATCAAGGCCGACTAGTCGCCCTGCCCGAGACAGTCTAGACTTCGCCTCGCGGTCCGATCGTCTGCTTAGGTAGCCATTCGGAGCAGGCAATGAATCTCGCTCTGTACGAGGACATGGTCTGGGCAGGGCGGCTCCGGACGGACGTGATTTGCAGAGAAAATGCTCCGATCAGACCAGAATCAACGGCTTGGCCTGGATGGAAAGACTGGCCGTTCGTTTTCTGTCAATAGCCGGACTGGCTGGGGAATACCAGCTCAGGAGGCACCCAGACTAGGCTGCATCGCACAAGGCTCCATCTTCCGGACTCCGGGGGTTAAAGTACGGTTCCGAGGAGCTACTAGCAGCGACCAGTAACCGGATGTCGTCATGGGGTGAACGAGTCGTGGAGAAGAAAGCCGATCGAGGCGCCAGCTGAAAAAAGGGCCCTTGGCTGGGGCTAAAGAGACGGGCTAAAGGATTAGTCGAGGAGGGAAGACGCAGAGATACGGTGTTTGCAGGGTTTGCACCGGGCATAGTACGGAGTATACCTACAGAATCCATAGTACCTACAGAGTACGGCGTTTACTGGAAGAATATCCATACTGACAGAATACACCTCGAGCATAGTCCGTAAACATGTGGACGACCTGGGACTTATACAAACGGGTTAAGGATTACGGCTGCAACCAAGGACGTGTCAGCCGGCCAACAAATAGATCGTGCTGGAGATGACGATGGAGCCGATCCACGGAAATGGGCCGCCGTTCCTTGTGCGCGGAACCAATGACGCTGCGCACAAGACGATGACCGACTGCGGCTGAGGAATAATACATCTATCCGATGTGAACCATCGAGGACTCGGGATGAAGAATTAGGCTATCGAAGGAGTGCAGACATCAGATGCTCGAATTCACCGTGGACAGGCAGTTGATAGTTAATAGTTCATAGTTGATAGTTGAGTTGATAGTTGATAGTTACTCCGTCGTACGCCGTAGGAGTAGACGGAGCTCTTACATAATGGACCCGGGAGGGTTTAGCGCCGCCTGAAGGACCAACTCCGGAGCAGCAGAACATCTATGAGTCGGAGACTACGAGACTGGAAGTATACCAAGTAGCTGGTAGATATTTCCTGGCTGCTGCTCTCAATCAGACAGCAATAGCATCGTAGCAATTCACCCCAAACGATTACACCTTCGAATTCTTCCATCCCGCTTCCAACGAACTGACGGTCTCCACCCAAACGAGACACCCGCCTTAGAGCAGTGGAGGACGATCGGTCCAAGGCCTCTGATTTGATTAACAGGTCGCTGGTTGTCTGGTTAATTCCTCGGGTTCTGGCCTATTTTTTTCTGCCATATCGCAGGTTTGGCCTACTAATTAAAACCAAATCAAATAAAACGAGGTCCCAGCAGTGGATCGGCGGATGGACGCCGCAGTCAGTAAGAAAAAAAAAATTACTCAATTACAAACAGAGCAAAAGGAAAACACAAAAATCCCTTCTCCTTCCTCTCTCCCTGTCAGCCTGCGTCTCTCCTCCTCGGTTCCAGACAAAGATAAAGGATCCCCGTCGGCCGTTACCCCCGAACGCATTCCTCCGCTTCTCCCTTTGTTCAGGAGAGCTTCGTTGGAACCTTCCTGCCAACCTTCGACGCCCTCGATCCTCCCTCCCTCCTTCGTCCACGCCTGTTCTCGTCCTTGATCGACCACCACCTCTAGCCGTCTCTCCCATTCTGAATTAAAAATTGAAATCGATAATTGGAATCATCCAGACGATGTGCTAATCGCTGGCTGGTCTGTCTGTCATTCATTCTGCTCGAGCGGTTCACTCGTTCAATCCGGCCTTTTTTTTCTCTTAGCCTACCCGCTTGGAAGTTCAATGAAATCGTGTGGAGGCGTTGTTCATTCATCGGCTCATCGATCCCTACCGAACCCCTCCACTCCGGCATTCCTGGCCGCTTCTCAAGTATCTGGACCTCCCTCCCACCAGAGAGGGTTGCCTGGCAGCTTGCGTTGAATGGTTGCTAGGATCATACCGTTGCTGACATGAGTTGGGATCACCCTGTCCACAGGTATGTTGCTCAATCTACTAGGTTTTCCCTATCTCCCTTGACCCCAGGCGGGGTTGATCTCTTGCAACTTTTTTTGCACTTGGTACCCTCCTGTGAAATCCCTTCTTTGACTCGGACAATTTTTTCTCTGCCCATATCTTCCTGTCTTTGCCGCATTTATAGATTCTTTGATCTTTCGAATCTGGCATTTAGCTATCCCGGAGCTCTGCCCGAGCTCTAGATCGAGGTTGCAAAATGATGCTAACGGAGCTGCCGCTCATGTTTAGCTTCAGCTATCCAAACGGTGAACCTCAGACCCCGACGAGGACCCCTCCGACAACCGTTTTTGGCGATCCCGCTTTCCAGACCCCCAAGCTCGAGTCCAGTTTCTTCGATCCCCGAGTCACTTGGGATACCTCCGATCCGTATGCCTCCAGTCCGGAATTCCTCAAAACGCCCCAGAGATTCGGGTTGGGCACCTCTTTGAACGGCAATGGCAATATCCTCAGATTATCTGAGACAAGCCCGGATCGGGTCGCTGGTCAGGATGGTCCCGGTCTGCGGAGTGCAAAGGCAGGGGAGCAGGAGACCGATACGGCCAAACGCATTCGTGCGTCGAAACCAAATGGGAATATAGCGGAGGATGGCCCTCGGACCGTGGGTTCTGCCAAGTCAGCTGCCTCGATGCAGACCCCTCCGCCGAGCAGCGCTTCAAGGAGAAAGGTAGCGGAGTTTGCGAGTCTCAGCGATACGGGTCGGCGATTGTCTGCCTCCAGTGCCGTTGGGGGCCATTTGGAAACCCCCAGCCGGATGATGGGCGCTTCCCCACGATTGTTCGGAGACCTTCAAACTTCTCCGGATCCGTTCCAACTGGGTTCAATTGATCCGTCTGCCTCTCCTCTCTTTCCACAACAGAGACTGTTCTGGGATAATGACGTGGGACAGCACGGCGGCAATATGGGCATGCCGGAGAGCAACGCCACCTTATTCAATTCGCACATGCCGAGTGCGTTTCATATGAATCACGCCTCCATGCATGACTCCCATATCCCTCAATTGCCCTCTATTGAGAACAATTTGGAACTCCCCGAGTTCAACAACCATTCCTACGGGCTATCCTCCGGCACCGACGCCGCTCTGTTTCCCGCCCCCTTTTCGACCTCCCCCCGACTTCCCATGGCCAAGGCGGAAGACCCGGCCATGTTCCTCAGTTCCCCTGCTCGCCGGTTTGGCGGCCCTCAGCCCACCCCCGATAAACGACTGTTCTCCCGGCCCGCCGCCCGCCAGCCTTACCACCACCAGACCGAAGAATCCAAAAGAGAAGAACTCCGTCGTGCTCAGAGTGTACATAACCAGATCCCTCGTTACGAAGAGGATGACGATGAGGAGGATGACTTCACCCCTCGACAGGCACGACCCACGCTGACTCGCAGCCTGACCCATACTGCAGTGACGAGTTCTGCCCAGCGGCTGGGACCCAGTGGTGGCATGGCCTCTGCCAACGGGATTCGCAAAAGTCCCTCCAAGGGCCGTTCCTCCCCCACCAAGCCTCTACGGCAGCCGTTGTCACGGGCCACCTCCGCAACTGCTACCGTGCTTCCCAGGCGTTCGCAATCTGTGATTCTGAAGATCGGCAAGGATGGAAGAGCCAAGGCGGAGATGCAGACCGTTGCCGAAACACCAACCGGCTTGACGGATCCTGTCATGGGAATGGACCTGAATGGGTCTGCCACTGAAAGCGAATATGGCTCGCCGGAGTATGCTGAGTACCCGGCATTCCCCAGCCGGAACCCGTCGTTCACCTTCTCGGACGCGGGTAGACCTATGCTGGCCCGCAGCGACTCTGGCTCACGCCCCCAGTCTAAAGGGTCGTATACCTCCACGGCAGCATCATCCCAATCGGGACGCATGTCTCCCTGGGGAGGATCCTCCAGGGCTCCTTCCAGAAGGCCGCAGTATAGACAGATCGGTGAGGACTGGAATAAGACGCCAAAGCGGCAATCTATGATCAACTACGATCTCTCCTACCGCAGCGCCAGTTCCGTCCCGCGGCCTCTGCCCGAACCAGAGGAAGATAGCGGCGATGCACAGCATGCCCTGCGAAAGGTCCTTCAGGACAAGGGACGCATCCCCCGACCTCATACCGTGGGCTATGGCTCGCGGTCTAGCCGATCGGCTCGGTCTCTGGCACATCTTCGGTCTTCACCACCACGCTTTGGAGTTGATCTTGGTCTCAGCGGCCGAGACCCCAACACGTCGCCTACCACCATGACGGACCCGGATCTGGCCACTCCTAGTACCGACCGATACAGCAACCCCAGCAGTGGGACCCGGTGTGTTTGCAATTCCATGGACAACGGCGGCCACTTGATGATCCAATGGTAAGATTTCCACGTCATCTTTGCCCAAGATAATATTTGAACGCAATCCAACTAACTCGGTGCAGTGAATCATGCAGCCACTGGCTACACACGAAATGTGTCGGACTGGAGCGATCCCATCTGCCGTCGGTGTACGTGTGCGTTTTCTGCGCGCAGACTCCGACTCGTCACAATCGAACTCGAGCTCCTCTCGGCAGCCTTGGACTCGCCCCTACGTCGCCGCTCGCACACAAGTCCTATCGCTTCCGATAATCATGAGCCATATTCCCTCTACCGCATGGAGATTTATGACCACGACTTGCATACCATTCTTGCTTCGCCGGTCTTTTGTGGACTGGACGACCTTGTCACTCATTCTATTTCCTTGATGCCCACTTTTCTTGTAACCTGTGCATGGATTTCCTTTGTTCACGCAATATCTTTTAGACATACCCCAGTGTTTCTTGACTATTTGAAACATGCCTGTTTTGTACCGTGATGCGGGAGTGGCCCTAACTGTTGTAATACTTGGCAGACGAACGAAAAGTCTGAGTGATACCTCTTGATGTACTTTGTATCTAATCTGCATTCTGGATGCAGTTCTTGACTATTAACTATTGCATAATGCCTTCATCTCCATCATCCATCATCCCTCCTTACGCCTTCTGCCAACATCGACGCCTTCCGGCGACAACTCCGGCACAACTCCGGCCCGCCGTAGATCCCGGGCCCCGAGCCGGGCGGTGAGTGTCCCCGTAGTGGGGCCTGAGCAATTGGCCGCCTCTCATTGGTGGACCGGAAGCTTATCGGCTCACCGCCTCCGATAGCACGTGCGGTGCCCTGAACGATTTTCGCTTTGTGTCGGTCGTCTTTTCTGCCTTCTCCTTTGCGCATTCTGGACTTGCACCTATTCTTCCCCCGTTCCCCTCCTCTCCTCTCCCCCCTCCTTTTCCCTATGTCTGCCTCGCTTCCTGGCAACCGGGACCTGCCTCCCTCCCAGTATGATCTGAGCACGTACTGGGGCCGCGTTCGTCATGCGGCTGACATCTCGGACCCCAGGTGAGTCAGCACCTCCGAATTCGGACTCTCCTGGAGAACTCACGATGGAGGGAGAATTGAACTGATTTGGGATGTAGGACGCTGTTTGTGTCCTCCTCCGGTTTGGAGCAGGCCAAGAGCCTCGTCTCCTCGTACAAGCAGAGCCTTGTCCCTGGCATGACGCCGGACCTGTGGCGCGCGAAGAAGGTGGTCGATGCGACTCTGCACCCGGGTGAGTGTGAATGGCACAGTTCACCAATTGAGTGATATTAACGAGGATAGATACCGGCGAGCCCGTCTTTCTTCCCTTCCGCATGTCGTGCTACGTGCTGTCCAACCTGGTGGTAACAGCTGGAATGCTTACCCCGGGTCTTCAGGTGAGTCAACCGCGCAGAGATCGAGTCGAGGACAACGAACAATGGCTGACTGATGAATCCTCCAGGCCACCGGCACCCTCATGTGGCAAATCGCCAACCAGTCGCTCAATGTCGCCATCAACAACGCCAACGCGAACAAATCCACCCCCCTCTCCGTCTCCCAGATGACCAAGTCCTACCTCATGGCCGTGTCGGCCTCCTGCTCCGTCGCGCTGGGGCTGAACGCCCTCGTCCCCCGCCTCCGGGGCATCTCGCCCAACACGAAGCTCATCCTCGGGCGGCTGGTGCCGTTCGCGGCGGTGGCCAGCGCCAGCGCGCTGAACGTGTTCCTGATGCGCGGCGAGGAGATCCGCCAGGGCATCGACGTGTACCCGGTGCTGTCGGAGGCGGAGAAGGCCAAGCGCGAGGAGACCGGCGAGGCGGTGCAGAGTCTCGGCAAGAGCAAGAAGGCCGCGACCCTGGCGGTCGGCGAGACGGCCATCAGCCGGGTCTTGAACGCCACGCCCATCATGGTGCTGCCGCCGCTGATCCTGGTGCGGCTGGAGAAGACGGCGTGGTTGAAGGCGCGGCCGAGGATGATCATGCCGCTGAACCTGGGCCTGGTCCTGACGACGTCGCTGTTTGCGCTGCCCCTGGCGCTGGGGGCGTTCCCGCAGCGACAGGCCATCAGCGCGCAGTCCCTGGAGGAGGAGTTCCACGGGAGGGGAGGAAAGGAGGGACAGGTGGAGTTCAACCGGGGGATGTAATGTTTAGATCGGGTTTATTTGCTATTTGAAGGAAGAAAAGAATTTGGGAGGAATCGTCGATCTAGGGCTATATAGTGCTGGATGGATGTCAAGGACCACAAAAGACTAGATCAATAGAAGTTAGAATAGATTAGCTTAACGTAATCCACAAGCGAGCCGCGGATACAACCGAACCGCGGATCCTTCGCCATGGCCATTACTATTTGAAGCTATTCAATCATAAACTCCATTAAATTTACTGAATAAATATATAAAAATTCAGCTATTTACTAGGACAGCTCCGAATTGTATGTTTAACTGTTCTACAGCCACTGCAGCGTGGCAAAGCCCGTTGACGAGGTATAGGAGTAGTTTACTCAGGCTGCTTATTAAGCTGCGTATTTAGCTGCTGAACGCGATTTTAGCCTTCCTGTACAAATAAAAGGGTATTATTCCCTAGTAGAGCACGCCTTCTTGCTTTCTTTTTATATTTTCGCTCATTTTCGGCTCGTAAAGTCTTGATTTCTTGCTGTAAAAGAAGGTTGGTTTGCATCGCTATTTGAGCAGCCTTTTCAAGATGTTAAATATGAGCAATTAGGCTACTAGAAAGCTTTCGTTTAGTACTAAGACTGTTCTGTAAGCTGCGTATCTTTTAATCTAACTGGCGAGTATTCTGTGGAGTCTGGAAAGCAGAGGAAATTGACCCTTTAACTAGTGACGGTGCAGGTGTAGGTGTATATAGTTAAAAGGTAAACTTTGAAAGAACTCGTTCTTGATTAAGTGGCTTAAGCCCTGCTCCTGCGAAACCACTGCAGATATTCGTAGAAGTAAAGACTTGAGCCCGTGCGTCTGGATATAATAATAAAAAGTCCTCTTTATCAATATAGTTGTTACCCGTAATCATACGCCCTTCAAGCAGTTTTCCGTATGCGCGTTTAAGCGGGCCAAAAACACCCACATTAAGCGGTTGAAGAAGGTGCGAAGCGTGAGCAGGCATACAAAGACATATTATTATATTTTATTTGTAAAAATCGTCAAATTCAGCAGTTAAATGACTACTATGGCCATCCAGAATGAGCAGGCGTTTTGCCCTAGTTATATAACGCCTAGAGGAGGGTTTAAAGATATTTTTTAGCTAAAGAAGACCTATTTCATCAGTAGTCCAGTTATTTTAGCTTATTACAATCCACTAGTCTCCGGCAAGTTTAGGTTCTTGAAACCATGCGGCCTGTTGATTACCTGCTTTAAGTATAATGACTGGTGGTATATGTACGCCGCTTGAGCTGACTGTTTCGATGATTATAATCTATTCACAATTACCCTGGATAACCCTGCGTGGCCGCTTATTACGCTTTACTGTAGTAATAACTTTAGCAGCTGAGCAGAGCCCTATTACAAAGCTAGTTTTATCAAAATTCCAGATATCGTTTTCGTGTATGCCGTGTTCTTGGATAGTCTCGTGGATAGTTTGAAACCATGGTATTATAACCTTCGGATCTTCTTGTTTTGCGCGTTGATATGTAATCCGTCTGCTGTATTGTGTACGTAGTTGAGGATGGCGTTTAGTAAAATTATATGACTAGTTAACTCCAATCATTGCCGTAGGGATTTGAAAACGCGAACGAAGTAATATCTCTGCTATTTCACGTAGGAATTCGGGGCGAATTGGAAATCCTCGCGTATCTGCATCTAGTAATCGCTTAACAAGGATTTCTTCTTCAAATTGAGAAAGTTTATGGCCATTGGCGCGCGTTTCTGATCGTGGTTTTACACCGCGGAGTCAATCGCGTAGAGTATTTTCAGGGATCATAAAAACCTGTGCAGCGCGTAATATAGATTTAATTTGACCCTTTTGATAAGCTGAAATAGCTATCTGAATACGCGATTCTTTAGAAGGAGGCATATTGCATTCAGTGTTGAAGATATGACGCGTTGAATAAAGGGGGTGGAATGCTGATTGAGGATCCGCGGTTCGGTTGTATCCGCGGCTCGCTTGTGGATTACGTTATACGAACGGGCACAATCGTTATCTCCGAGACTATCCATATTTGGCCGGCTTAGTTCCTTCGTGACTGATACCATCAGTGACTCAGACTTTAGCCTCGACCTCGATGGGTATAAGATACCATTCCCTCCATTGAGATCTTCCATTCAATCGCAATTGCAATTCATTTCAATCCCTCCCATTAAACAAACACTGGAAATCGAAATGTCCTACCCTCCGGCCTTCCACACACCGCGGCTCTCCTTCGTCCCGATCAACGCGGATGCCCATGCCGAGAGCATCTTTGAGTGTCGGGGTCGCGCAGACGTGATGAAATACAGGTATGTTATTGTGGTGTTTTAGCATATATCTGGGGCCGAGAATAAGAGATTATCTCTCTGGACAGACATGTACCACATTGAGCATGAGCATGAGCATGAGACTGCAAATCTCATTATGCACAAACACAATGCACACACACTCCCCAACATACACCAAGTCCATGCTAATATAAGTCATATAAATATGAATATAATGCTAACCCTACCTCAGCATCAACCACGCCCCCGACCCCTCCGTCGCCGTCACGCACGCCTGGGCCTCGAAATACAACCACTTCGACGACCAGACGCCTATTGACCCCGAGAACGTCTCTCCAATTGGATACGTGATTTCAGAGCTCCCAGCCTCGTCCTCACCCTCAAACGGAACTACAAACGGAACCGTAAACGGCACCATCACCAACAGCACACCCACCATCGACACCACCCCAACCTCTCAAAACCAAGAAGGACAGGCTCGAATCATCGGCACAACCGGCCTCCGCCTCTCCTCCTCCCCTCTCCCCAACGCCTCGCCGTCCATCAAACGCTGGGAGATCGGCTACGGGTTCCACCCCGACGCCTGGGGCCGCGGACTCGCGACGGAGACGGTGCGGGGATGGATTCGCATGGTCAGCGAGAAGGGGTTGGTGGATGGAGTGCCGGGTTTGAACTGTAAGCCAGGAACTGGGAATGGGGGTGTAGAGATCAAACGGGCTCTGGCTGCTTGTACGGACGCGCGCAATGGGGCTAGTATGCGGGTGCTGGAGAAGTGTGGGTTTGTGTTGGCGGGGGAGTTTTTGGATGAGCAGGGGAGGAGGAATTTTGAGTTTGAATTTGCTTTTTGATTGTTAGTATATCTGGTGGGTTTTTTGGTATGGGGTTGAGTTTGGGGGGTGGTTATTGCTACTATATATATATGCTCGTATGGATGCTCGGAAGGGAGCGCGTCATAAAGCTTCGTTCTCCACCCGTAACCTACTCTTCCAGAGCTTATATACCTCGCTCATTATGCTTTGAATTCGTCGAAGTACCTCTATTCATTATTTCCTGGCCTCCCTCTAATCTCTAATCCCTAACACCCCATTAACCAATCCGTACATCCCACCACAATCAAAGTAACACAACAACCCTCCAAAATGCCCCCCAACCAAGTAAGTACATGACATCACCACCTCCCCCATCAATCCCATCAATCTACACAACTCATTCAACTAACAGTAACTCCAGCAACCCACCCCAGCAGAAGAATACCAACTCGCACGTGCAGAGCTCCTCACCAAAGAAAAAGCACTCACCCACGACCTCCAAACCCTCGCTTCTCTCCGCCGCGCCCTCCCCCGAGTACACATCCCCAGCCCCCGGCGCTTCAAATTCGACACTCCGTCTGGCGAAAAGACCCTCCCGGACCTCTTCGCCGGCCGCAAGCAACTCATCCTCTACCACTTCATGCTCTCCCCGGGGTCCCACGACGGCTGCGTCGGCTGCTCCTTCTGCATGGACCATATCGCGGACGTGCGACATCTCCGGAGTCGCGAGACGAGCTTCGTTGCGGTTGCGACTGCCCCTGTCGATGAGATAAAGGCGTACAAGGAGCGCATGGGGTGGGAGTTTCCGTTTTATAGCTGTGAGAAGACGTGCCGGGCGTGGAGGGAGGCGGAGGAGCAGGGGGAGACGGTGACGTGGAAGCCGGGGAATGGGTTTTTTGGGTTGGCCGTGTTTGTGAAGGAGGGCGGGGAGGTGTATCATACGTATGAGACGACGGATCGGGGGATGGAGATTCTGCTCTCGACGTATCATCTGTTGGATATGACGCCGTTGGGGAGGCAGGAGGTGGGGAATGGGATGGGGGGGTTTAGGAGGCATGATGAGTATTGATTCTTCAGTAATTTTGGATTGTTGAGGGTAGTTCGGTCAGACTGATCTGATACTGTATATGGTGGCTAGGTTGTAGGGAGTCTTCTGGAACGAAGTTAGGATAGTAATGTTAGTATGTTAAGTAAGAAGCTTGTTTATTTAATTCTTGATAATAACTAGATTCGTTCCAACTATATGTGAAGTAGAACCGACATGCTCAATAACAGACATCCGCTAAACTATATCCTCATGCAAGTATATACGCCTCAAATAACTATAAATCCAATATTATGTATGTATCCACCCAACCAACCAATCCCTACATACCCCCATATACCTCATCCAAAGGAGCCTTCCTCCCCTGAACCAACCCCTCAAACCTCTCCGCCAACCCAAGCAGCCACTCATCCTGGCCTACTCTCCCCATAAGCTCCAGCCCAATCGGGACGCCCTGCGGCGCGGTGTCCGTGGAGGCACTGAAGCCAGCTACATACACCCCGTTAGCTATGATCAACCCAACCACTCACCTAACTGAGGCCAACAAACACCAAGAAAAGAGACAAGGGGGAAAACAAACCAGGAATGCAAATCGCCGGCCGCCCCGTCAGAGCAGCCAAGATGCCGTTTCTGCCCGGCTGCACCATGGGCCCCACGCGCGCGACCAGCTGGCGTTGATGCGGAAACACGAGAGCGTCGAGCGCTAGGTCCTCAAAACACGAGGTGACAGATTCTTTGAGCCGCGCGATGGTGTCGAGTCGAGAGCGGTATTGGGGGCTGGTGGGTGTGAATTCTCCTCCTTCCTCGTCTTTCTCATCATGGTGCTGGGTCTGAGACTGCGTTTGCCAGAATGCCGGCGTCACAGCCTCGCCGTGATACTCGCCGCTGGCGGTGACGGAAGCCAGGCTGAGATGAGGCGTGGATTTGACCATCGGCGACTGAAGAAAGGAATCCAGGGCGGATTGGAATTCATACGCCTGGGTATCGGCGTTTGCGCGGAGTCGCGCGACGTCCCAGTCCGGCTGATTCTGGAGCGGAAGGAACTCGACGGTGGGCGTTTTCGAACCCACGAGATGCAAGGCGTGAGTGATGGTCTGGATAATGGCGAGGCCGTCGGACGTGGATTCATCAGGGAAGTAACCGATCAAGACGCCGATTCTGACAGGGTCCGAGGATGATTTCACGGACGGGACTATTGCAGGATCTCCAAGATACTCACCGTCCTTCATCACGTCGAACAAGATCCGCACATCTCGTACCGTCCGCGCCATCGGCCCCGCGACATCCTGCGTCCACGACACCGGCATAACACCCCTCGTATCGACTCGTCCTCTGGACGGCCGGAACCCAACGACCGAGCACGCCGACGCTGGCGACCGCAGCGAATTGACCGTGTCGCCGCCGCATCCCGCCAGGGCGAGGTTGGCTGCTAATGCGGCGGCCGTGCCGCCGGACGAGCCGCCCGGGGTGCGAGTCAGATCGTAGGGGTTCAGGGCCTGACCGCCGAGCGAGGACAGGGTGACGCCTTCGAGGGAGAACTCGTGCAGGTTGGCCTTGGCGAGAAGGATGGCGCCGGCGGCGAGGAGACGCTGCACGACGGGGGCGTCGAAGGTGGTGAGGGCGCGGAGGGCGCAGACGCCAGAGGTAGTGGGCATGGAGGAGGTGGCGTAGGTGTCTTTCAGAATGAGAGGAACGCCGTGGAGGGGGGATGGGGAATGGGGAAAGCCCTCTCGGTCCTTTTGGCGGGCGTCATGGAGGGCGTTGGGGTTGATGGTGATGAGGGCGCGTAGGGTGGGATTGTAGAGGGCGATGCGCGAGAGATACTCGGCGACGGTGTGCGCGCAGGTGGTGCGACCGGAGCGCAGGGCGTCGTGATAGTCGGAGATGGTGAGTTCCATCGGACAGAAAGGATATGGAGGAGAGTTGGAGTCTTGGAGAAGCGGGGAGGATGGTCGACTTATGCATCAATGGATTTAGTCCGATGGGCTAGTCTCCAACAACTGACACTAGAGATTGTGTGATCTGCATGGAGTCGTTAGTTGCCAGGATGCAGGGGAAGCAGGGGTATCCATACTCTGTACTATACATATCAAGTGCAATCTCAATCGTCTATCCAAGTCATCACCTACGGGTGACGCAGAACAAAGAGGTATATAAATTCGCACTATCCGGGCCCAAAAGACTCCAAGCCCTGGATGTGGCCCGACAGAATGACAAAATATAAAACAAGACAATCACTAGGCAGTAGGTATGCAATAAACCTGTATCAAGAAATCACCGGCGCCGCCCCCAGAGAAGATAATAGATCCGAGCAGGTCAAAATAATTCATCCACAAGTGATGACGAGAAGATATAAAAAATCAGTGATGAGTATGAACCATAAAAATATCCCACATGCCCAGAACCAGGCCAACCCAAGGCGATAAAATCGAAATTTAGATAATAAACACAAGGTGCTTTGCCATCGACCCGAAGTGCAACCGATGCTTTTTTTCTCCCGTTTTCTCGGATTCTTTTTCGGTCTTTTCCCGGTCTGATCTGACATCAAACAAACTGGCGAGGTGCAAAGTATCGCAAAGATCGCAAAATCGCAAGGTGCCTGGACAAGCGCTGAACCCCATACACCTTGACCTCAAGGCCATAACTCCATACAAAGTCCAAGGAGACCATCCTCAGACGTCTCCGCCGTTGTAGATTCCAATCGTCGTCACGCCGTGGCGCGTGTGGTTGTCATTCCGATGCATATTATCCAAGAGACAAACGACCGTCTCTCGTAACCGTACCTGTATTCCTTACATGTTGGCAGCTTCCATGGCAAACGAGCCCGAAGCCGGAAAAAGAAATCAATATAGGACAAGACGGGTCAGCGGCGTTGGGTGGTGCGTTGCAACTGTTCCCCAATCCGCAGGGCTTCAGTGCCGTCGTCCACCAGAGATTCCTTAAACCACGGATGCTTCAAAGCCTCCTTGGCCGTAATACGGGCCTTCGGGTCGTAAACGAAGATGCGTTGCAAAAGATCCAAGAACAGTTGGTGGAACTTGTTGTTGGTGGGTATAAACTCCTGAGGGTCTTAGCATTGACTTGATAAAACTGAATGACGGAAAAGAAAAGAAGAACTCACGTTAAGCTGTTTCATCGCCCTCACATACTTCCGCGAAGCACGAGTCGTCTCATCGTTCGGGTAGTCGAGTTTATTCCGAACAAAATATCTAAATCGGTCAGCGGAAGCCCTGGTGGGAGATTCGAGATAACATACTTAGCCGACTGGTTTTGACTGCCACTCCGACCTCCTTGCATCACCTGCCGCACGAGTCGGGTATCGATCCGGTCCCCAATGACGGCTTCCATCATCGCGAGATGCTCAAGGTTGTCATGGGTCTGGAAAAGTGCATCACCGGTGAAGAACTCGACCAGGATGCACCCGATACTCCAGATGTCGCACGGAAAGCTCCACCCCAGGTTCAAGATAATCTCCGGGGCCCGGTAATGACGGGTGGACACGACTGACGAATGGTACTCGTCGTCGAAGGTCGCCGAACCGAAATCGATCAGCCGGATTTCGCTGTCCAGCAAGACCCGTCGCTGACGGGCACTTCGAGAGATGGCCTGGGAGGAGGATGGGATGGTCCGGTTGTAGGTGAAGGTCTGATAGGCGTTGCTGACGAGGAGGATGTTCTCGGGTTTCAGGTCGGTGTGGATGAGGTTGAGGTCATGGAGGACTGGACACAAATTAGTATTTACCCGGCCGTTGGGGCTCGAGGAACTCACAGGCAACACTAGTAAAGAGCTGGCGAGCAAAGTTTTGAATCTGACTACTTGGGAACGGGACGAAGCCGTTGCCCTTCAAGAAATCAAACACACTCTGTCCCAGCAGGTCGGTGACGATGCAAATGTGACTGCGGTAGTCGAAACAGTCACGCAGATGGATACATTTGTTCCTGTTCTGCTTGTCATTCGAGGCCAGTGTTGATAGCACTCGAAGTTCGATCCGAGATGCATCCCGGTATTTCTGAATCGAGCGGATGATCTTGACCGCGCAGCGAGCCTTGCGCTGCTTGTCGTATGCTTCCACCACCTTGCCGAACGTCCCCTGGCCGAGGAGCTTCATGATCGTGTCTGTCCGGGTCAGTTCGTATTCAAATCCAGATCGAGGACGCAGTACTTACATCGGTCTGTTAGAGGAGAACCAGGGTTGACAATGTAGTGACCGTCGTCATCATCAAACTTCTCGGTCCGTCCGGGGGGCTGCAAGTGGTCAGATCAAAAATCACTCAGCAGAAGATAGAGTATAAGGGTTCACTGACATCTCGAACGACAGGCACAGGCACGTCCTTGGCCTTGATGGGCGGCTTCGGTGGAGGCACGTAACTCAAAAACGCATCTCCGACGTTCTCCAACTCCTTGCGCTTTTGCTCATCGCGAACGGCCTTTCGCGTCGTGACTCGCTTTCGCTTCTGGCCGGCGTTGGCATCCTCGTAGAAGATGCCATTGCTGGCACCCGAACTGCCCTGGGACAGGGAGGTGGGCGCGGTGGTGTGCATGGAGGTCGTTCGGTCCGTCGACAGCGAGGCGGCGGACGAATCCTCGCCATAGCGCTGGGGGTTGATGGAGTACGAGGGACGATCGTAGTAGGCCACATCGTAGGCGGACTCCATCCCGGTCCGCCGTTTTTTACCCGCGGGCAGTGGTGGTTGAGCGTGGCCGTTGGGAGCCGTGACGGTGGACGTCGTCGCAAAACTGCGAGAGGAGCCGCCCTTTGGCTGCTCTGGCGGCGGAGTGTCATCAATGACAATGACCTCTTTGGGGATGCCGTTTTTGTAGAACTCGCCCCAGTCCGGCTTTTTCTTCCGCCCATGTTGTCCCGAGGCGGCCGCCGCAGCGACGCCATTCTGGGTCTGGGCCATCGTCGCCGCCGTCGCAGGCGTCGTCGTCGGCACGGACGTCGTCGTGGGTGTGGGGGGCGCAGGGGGAGCGAGTTTCGGAGATTGAGCGTAAGGAAGAGTGGCGGTCGAAGGGTTGACGGCGTAGGGGTAAGCGGAAGAGGCTAGGCGAGCGGTGCCTGCGGCGGACGTGGTCGGATAGGATACGTTTGGCTGGTAGGTCTGATGATGGGGGTATCCGTAGTGCTGAGGGTGATGAGAGGTAGGGTGCGTCGCGGTGGCCGTGGAGGGAGTCGACATGATGGATCGAGAACCCTGGCCGGATGGACGAGCCGCGGAGGAATGAGAGGGAGGGCGAGCGAGACAGCGAGAGAACAGGCTTTCTGGGAGGGCTGGAAGGGCTGTCTCCAACCGTCAGGTCGGATCGCAGTAGGCCGCCGGATAATCAATCAATTCGGACGATCTTTCTGGACGGGAGGACAGAGAAATTCAAGAAGAAAAAGAAGAAGAAAAACAGAATCAAGAACGCGAGAGAGAGAGAATGAGACAGGGGACTCGAAGCACCAGGTCGGCAACCCCGGGGATGCTCGTGTTGGCCGCCAGTACCAGTCGAATCTGAGAAAGGGACAAGTGGGAGACGACGGACGGCAGATGCGAAGCGGCCCAGACTCGAGAGAGAAAAGGAGGAGACGAGGCCGAGGAGAGGACGAGAGGGAAGAAGAGGAAGGGGAAGAGGGAAGGGGAGGGAGAGAGAAGGGAAAACGGAGCAGCGTGGGGAGAACACAATGGACAGAGGCGGTCGGGGCGAAGTTGCAAAAGACGACGATACGACGGGATTTCAGGCAGTTTGTCTCATTTGCTTGACGATGACCGCACGATTGAGGCGCATCATTTGGCTGGAGAAGCGAGAGGCAACGCCCGTTTTCTGGTTCGCGGCCGGCAATTGGGACGGCGAGGAGTCGCCAGGCCTGGTCCGGGTCAATTAATGGGCGAGTTCAAAGGAAAGGTCACAATGGAGGATTGAATGAGACACTGCCAGCCGCCCGACATGAAGCAATTGATTCGACGGATTGATTCATTCTTCGCGTCGAGCAATGGGAGATGGTCGAGATGAGGGTTCGGTTACGACGACAACGCCGCACATTTTACTTTCCGCCGTCTACAGCCCAGATTATTCCTACCTTCGATGAGGACAGAAAACCGTGGAAGATACTAAACGATCCTCCATTATGAATCTATCATCATCATCATCCCCGAGTAATACGGATTGTACAGGCGTACGGCGTGCCGGACGCCGGTCGTGCAGATCGCAAGGCTCAGATCGTTGGCAGGCATGGATAATTAATGGCCTTTACTATTATAACACTACTGCGTACTGCGTATTGCTACTGCATTTTGACAGTGAATAACCCCATGTACTCGACCATGTGCATTAATCTCCTGGCCGGGGAGAGTTCACTTTGGCCTCACTGCAGTCCGAGATTTCGATTCTTTGTTGCTGAGGGTGGATTTCATGCAGTTGATTCTTCCGCAGCGCCGGACCGGAATCCATCGACCATAATTGATCAAGGCGATTAAAGTACTCCCCACAGTGCTTTCCCTCGAACTAGACAGACCGCAGAGACGGTGGCGAAGTGACCGTCCAGCAGACCCGAGTCATTCACCTGAATCCTCCCGTCCAGGCCCGTCCAGTCCAATCCCATAACACAACGCCCGTCGCTCCCATTCCAGAACTCCCTGATCGGCCCTTGCGGACAGACGCCGGCTGCATTTGCCTCCATTCCATGCGTCCATCGACTGTCGCCAAGAGCCAATCACGGCGGTGGAGCCCCTCCGCTTTTTGGGTCTTTTTGGCCCTGACATCATCGAGGACGTTTTCTGTTGCCAGTGGGGATTAGTACAGGAAATAGGGGGGAGGGAGAAAGTCAGACAGGGCAGGGGGGATGAGGGTATTGTGCATGTCCAGACCATTGGCCGTTGTCCTTCGAACAGAAAGAAGCAAAAGATGAAAGACAGACCGACAGAGAGAAAGAAGAAGAATTGACGGGAATGGCGCGTCTGGCTGCCCGTAGCCGATCTCGGGCGCTAAACCCCGTGCGGATGGCAGGCCCGTGCATCGGATGGTTTCTTATTCATTATTCATTATTTATTATTCATTATTTATTATTTATTATTTATTTACTATGGATTGTCTTCTGATTATTTAGAATTTACAATTTTACAAGTATAGTGGACAATCGGTTATTTGGTCATAATATTGGGATGGACGACTGCATGCATACGATCACTGGTCATGTCGTCCTTACCGCTCGTCGCGGCTATCAGTAAGGCGAGTTCGTCATTTTCCCCAACACCCCTATATCGCACACTACATGAGAAGAAAAAAAAAAACAAAGCAGGCAGGGAACACATGGAAATAAATCGTCATGGAAATGCATTCGAATGCTGTGGTTTCCCCCGGCCCGCCTCTCGAAAATGCTCGCAGTGATTAATAGATCGAAATAAAAGAACACATCCACGAAGTGAAAACCCCACGTAAGGAGAACCAAGAAGTACCCGCAACGCCAGTGACCACGGTCCTGCGCAGTAACCGTGCGAAAATAGTGGAACAGACTTGACCGACGGTCTAGATTATCAGTAAGGAAGGCAGGAAATTGTAGAGAAAAAAAGAAAAGAAAAAAGGGGTGCGTTCGTCAATCCGCGCGATCCTCTTTGAGATCCTTGGAATACGCCTTCTGGACGTGCCGGGACCCTCGCCCATCAAGCTCCAGCATGAACAGAATATCCCGGACCTGAACGCCGGCCCCTTTCTCCTTGTCCTCTCGCCAGGTTCCCAGTCGCTTGGCCGGCACCGTGGCGGGTTCCCCGGTTCGTCCAGCCTTGTCGGGGGTCGCACTAGGCGTGGCGGCGTTGGCTCGTGACGGTGTGGAAAAGCCGCTGCCGCCCGCGGAGCCCCGGTTGAGCCACGAGTAGGATTTCTTCTGTCCAAACATGCGACCGGACAACATGCTGTTGGTCGCCAGTCGCGCCGTCTCCACCGACTGCTGGTGTTGCTGGGCCTCGCTGGCTTTGGCATCCACCATCTTGCGGGCTTCTTTCTTCGACATGCCTTTCTTATCAAGACTGGGCGCTCTCTCGCCCATGATGGGAGTCGATGCGCCCGAGCCGGGGATGTCCGTCGACTCCGACTTGGTGCCTGCGCCCTCGCCCAGAATGGCATTGGCACCGCGCTTGGCACGTTTGGCCGCACGGCTTTCCTCGCTGGAGTTGTCTTTGTCCATGAGCAGACGGTATTTCTCCGGAAGACTTTTGGGTCCCGGTTGGTCGGCCGCCGATTGGGATCCTGTGTCAGATGTGGTTAGCACATTTGTTTATATTTTTTTTGGAGGTCGTGACAAGGTTTCAGCATACTCTTGAGCGGAGTCTTGGGACTACCTCCGGTCCCGTTGGCAGTAGGAGATGGCACGGCTAATTCATTCCATTCCAGAGGAACATCTCCGTGGGAATGTTCGCGACGGCTCCGCGCGAGTGTGGAGGAGTAGTCAACCACGGTTCGCAGTCGCTCTTCGCATGATAGCGACATCAGATTCAAGATGTCCACCAACGGAGCGCCTTCCTGGTTGAGAATAGTTTGACCTGTGCGCACGATGGATGAGCCGTCGGGTCCGGTCACTTCGATCGGCGCTTGACGGCCCGGCACCGGATGGAACAAGCCTTCGGCCGGTATGCGGACCCCCAGCTCAAACCCCCGTCTCTGCAGTTTCTGTTCCAAGACCTTCGTCAAGAGAAACGGTTCCTGTAGATGGTATTGTGCCCGGCGAGCCGCCTCGCTATCTTCTCGGGTCGGTTCATTTGGGTCTTTGAAGGGCGCTGGAGGCTGAGTTGATGATTCGGTGAGAGGAGATCCTTGGGCCGTGGGCGGCTTGAGCTGTGACGGTTCGCTGAAGCTAGGCTGAGACGATACCGTTCCGGTCGAGGTTTGAGATGTGAAGGATGTGTTGATGGGAGGTTGCGGCTGCTGCTGCGGTAGAGGAGGCTGATGGTGATGCTGCTGTGGTTGAGGTCGTGGTGGCTGCTGGACCTGCACACCTGGACCAGAATAGCTGCTGGTGAGGAAGGCCTCTTCTTCCCTCACATCGATACCCGACGAGGCCAAAACATCCGTCAACTCCGCAGCATCCGTAGCCTTATCCGCAGGTCGAGACGGTGGCCCCATTGCTCCGGGAGGTGCCGGTGCCGGTGCCTGTACAGGTGTCTGAGGCAGTCCGTTCACATTAATGGCATTGGCGGAGGCGGCGATCTGATTTTGTGGGAGGTTCTGAGGAATATTTTGGGGAAGTTGAAGGGTCCCAAAGCTGGGTGAGGCGTAGGGAGACTGAGGGAGAGGCGAAAGACGCTGTCGTTTGGGGGGTGGAGGGACGCCACCTCCATTCACTGGCGATGGAGCTCCCGGCGAGGGTGAAGACCCCGGCGGGGAGAACGACTGGGAAAACTGCTGCGGCTGCGTTTGCGCCATGGTGTATGTCCTTTTTGCTTTCTATATTCGGTCCTTGAAATCGGGGGAATCGCTCAAATTCTGTCACGTCGGTCGGAAGAAGGGCACGCCCGCGCGTGAATTGCAAATCTGAGCGGAATGCTCGAACCGCCGCCGGTACCAGGTATAATCATCTCAAAACATCGCTCTCGGCATACAATCGTAATTTCCCTCGGGGACGAAGACCCCAACGATGGCAAGGTCGTGTGCGCGGTGGATATACCGGGGTTGGCCGTGTAATTCGCGGACGGAAAGGGAGCTTCCAGAGAACGAGGTTTGCTCGAGATCCCGCACGGTCACGTGGGGCTTAGGTCAGCACAATGCGCTGCCTTTCTTTGATTCCATCCGGGGTTCTCCATGAAAGAGTCACCTCCTCCAGACGCCTGCAAAGCGCATTTCCTCTCGGTCTCCTGGTTTGCGACCGGGTCGCATACGGCTTGATTACTCCATCGCGCTCTGCGCCGGCCATGGCTTGTCTGCGTCGCGTGATTTGAGATTGCAGGAACCATAGCTATATTGCGCACCTTGTATATCAGTGTTTCTTTGGACTTAACAGCAATTCTGCCGACCTCCATCCATATCAGTGGCGATTCTATCCAAAGTTTACATCATATTATTGTCTAATAGTTTCTCAATATGGCGACAAAGCGGAAGGCATCGGCTTTAAACGCCGCGGTTGACGATGAACCGGTCGATCCCTCGGATGAGGTCGCGTTTTACTGCCTAGGTGGAGGAAATGAAGTCGGTCGCTCATGTCATATTATTCAGTATAAGGGGAAAACTGTCATGGTGCGTCAATACTATATCGATGGTGGTTTTACGGACATTGCTGACCAAAGATGCTTATAGCTCGATGCCGGCATGCACCCTGCGAAAGAAGGCTTCTCGGCTCTCCCGTTCTTCGACGAGTTCGACTTGAGTACGGTTGATATTCTCCTGATCAGTCAGTACGTTGATCCTCTCTCTCCTTTGAATCTGCACAATCCTTGCTATGCGGTTATATCTTTGTTTGAATGGGTCCGTTGGGGGTTGAGGCATCAAGACCAATGTCGGGTCTTGCTATTCCTCGAGGGGGATTTCCAAGGGCTCGTTTCAGGCCATGTATACGAGAATCGCAATACAATTTATACTAGCTTTATACTTCTTGTGCCCGGTGATTGTATCCTTGTATCTGCGTTGCTTCATCTGTTCCGTCCCCGTGGCGACGACATGCACTTTCACCGATATTATTGGTGTGAAGCAGTGGGCTAACAGATATATGAATTAGTTTCCACGTCGACCACTCCTCCGCCCTCCCTTATGTTCTCAGTAAGACCAACTTCAAAGGCCGTGTGTTCATGACACATGCGACGAAGGCCATCTACAAGTGGTTGATCCAGGACAATGTACGAGTCAGCAACACGGCGTCGTCATCCGATCAGCGCACCACCCTGTATACGGAACATGACCATCTCTCTACGCTCCCCCTTATCGAAACGATTGATTTCAATACCACCCACACTATCAATAGCATCCGCATCACGCCGTTCCCTGCTGGCCACGTCCTCGGTGCTGCTATGTTTTTGGTTTCTATAGCTGGCCTGAATATTCTTTTTACTGGCGACTATTCTCGAGAGGAAGACCGACATCTTATCCCGGCCGAAGTGCCCAAGGGTATTAAGATCGATGTGTTGATCACGGAGTCGACTTTTGGTATCTCGTCCAACCCGCCCCGTTTGGAGCGAGAGGCCGCCCTGATGAAGTCAATCACCGGTGTGTTGAACCGCGGCGGTCGAGTACTGATGCCAGTGTTCGCCCTCGGTCGTGCACAAGAGCTGCTGCTCATTCTGGATGAATACTGGGAGAAACACCCCGAGCTCCAGAAAATGCCCATTTACTATATTGGTAACACTGCGCGAAGATGTATGGTGGTTTATCAGACGTATATCGGCGCGATGAACGATAACATCAAGCGACTCTTCCGGCAACGTATGGCGGAGGCTGAAGCTAGCGGGGATAAGAGTGTCAGTGCAGGACCCTGGGACTTTAGGTTTGTCCGAAGTTTGCGAAGTCTCGAGCGCTTCGATGATGTCGGCGGGTGCGTTATGCTAGCGTCCCCTGGTATGCTGCAGACGGGAACCAGTCGAGAACTACTGGAACGGTGGGCTCCAAATGAACGCAACGGCGTGGTCATGACGGGTTACAGTGTCGAGGGAACGATGGCAAAGCAGCTGTTGAATGAGCCCGAACAGATTCCCGCCGTTATGTCACGAGCGGCGGCGGGCATAGCGAGGCGAAACATGACAGGTAACGAAGAAGATCAAAAAGTGATGATCCCAAGACGATGCACAGTGGACGAGGTCAGCTTTGCTGCTCATGTGGACGGTGTCGAAAACCGCAACTTCATCGAGGAAGTCGCCGCGCCTGTTGTGGTATGTAGCCCTTTTTGCTCTACTTATACACGAGATACTCATTCCTTTATAGATCCTGGTCCATGGCGAAAAGCATCAAATGATGCGACTGAAATCCAAACTGCTTAGTCTTAACGCAGACAAGACAGTGAAGGTTAAGGTCTACACTCCAGCAAATTGCGATGAGGTCCGCATTCCGTTCAAAAAGGACAAGATTGCGAAGGTTGTGGGCAAACTGGCCCAAATCGCGCCCCCGTCGGAAGAAGACGACAGTAGCCTGATGGCCGGTGTTTTGGTTCAGAATGGCTTTGACCTGTCCTTGATGGCACCGGATGACCTCCGCGAGTACGCCGGTCTCACGACCACGACCATCACTTGCAAGCAGCACATTACGCTTAGCTCCGCCAGCATGGACCTGATCAAGTGGGCACTAGAGGGTACATTTGGTGCGATTGAAGAGATCGGCCAGAAAGCCAATGCCAAGGAAGAGAACGTGGATAGCAAGCTCGAGGAAGACGAGGAGATGAAGAACGAACCTGCTGATGAAGAGATTCCGATTGAAGCGAGCCAAACTTATCTTGTCATGGGCTGTGTTATCATTCGATACAACCCCCGGACACGTGAAGTGGAGCTCGAGTGGGAGGGCAATATGATGAACGACGGAGTCGCTGATGCTGTTATGGCGGTGCTCCTGACGGTCGAGAGCAGCCCTGCATCCGTCAAGCGTAAGTATACTTTCTCCAGTATGCATCTTTCTATGCTAATCGTTCTTGATAGAATCGGCTAAGCAACACCACCATCACCATCACCATGGCGAACTGGAACTCCCCAACCCTCACTCTCAAGTAGACGCCGAGGAGCGGTTCACGCGTCTTCTCATGATGCTCGAGGCGCAATTCGGATCCGACATCTCTCCCATCGAGCGTCCCCGTCTACCAGAGCAGCCCAGCAACGGCGCTGTCAAGAATGAAACTTCTATCAAACCCGACCCCGACTCTACCGATCAAACACCCGATAGCGAGGACGACACCAGCAACGTGAAAGCCGAACTGGCCGAGTTGGCTCGTCTCCAGGCCCTTGGCATTCCGGTGCCGGGTATTGAGATCAAGGTCGATAAGCACGTTGCACGGGTCTGGCTGGAGAATCTGGAGGTCGAGTGTGCGAACGCGGTGATGAGGGACAGAGTCCGCGTGGTGATCGAGCGAGCCGTGGAAACGGTAGCAAACATGTGGACCGAGGCGATTCCGACATCTGCTACGAATGGCGAGGCGAAAGAGTTGGACCAGCAGGCACCCTCCAAGGGCGCTGAAATTGAGGCCAAGGCATAGAGCGTTGTGATTATGTATAATTAGGTGCTATCTGATTTTATTCTTCCCTTTCTATCTTATTCGCAAAGGATATCCTGGAACTACTGGAGGCTGTTTAGTAGCTAGCTCATGAATGGATCTGTATCTATTTTGCCTTGAATTATAATCACTACCACCATAACTATATCAGTCGACTCAGCTTAGCGGTAATAACATGAATAACTCTCGAACCCACACTCATCTCAATTCCTCCATTCTACGCTGTCTCCGCCACAATCTTCGCGAACACAGTCTCAATCACCAAACCTGTCTTCTCAACAATCAGATCGATCTCCTCCTTGGTGACATTATACGGCGGTGCCAGGAGAACATGATCGCCGCGCGTGCCATCCACCGTGCCTGACGACGCATACAGTGAGATCCCAAATGCCGGATCCAAGCCTGTTTCCTGGATCTGAACCGCCACGGACGCGGACGTCGGGAAGGGCTCTTTGGTAGTGCGGTCTTTGACGAATTCAATCTGTAGAATCATGTTAGCCTTCACCCAAACCCAGCTCAGAAGCACAAGAGAAAGTAGGGTTAAAAAAAGACTCACCCCCCAAAATAACCCCCTTCCCCTAACATCCCCCACATGCTCACACCCCCCAACCCTCTCTTTCAACCTCTCCTCCAAATACCTCCCCATAACTTTAACATTCTCCAAGAGCCCCTCCTCCTCGATAACCCTCTGCACCGCCAGCGCCGCCGCACACGAAACAGGATGTCCCTGGTAGGTCTGACCGTGGCGGAAAGCGCCGGAGCCGCGATCCAGCGCCTGCACGATCTTCTCGCCGATCAAGACCCCCGAGACGGGCACGTATCCGCCACCGAGGCCCTTCCCGATCGTTTGCAGGTCCGGCACCACGGCCTCGGACTCCCACGCGTGCAGCGTCCCCGTGCGACCCATCCCGCTCATCACCTCGTCGAGAATCAAAAGTGCGCCGTGCTTCTCGCAGATGGATTTCATGGCCTCAAAGTATCCCGGGACGGGGGGGACGGCGCCGAGGGCCTTGTTTTTCGGTCAGTTTGGCGCTTTCTTCGTGGTTCGTGGGTTGGGGAACATCTGAGAGGGGATTGGACAGGGTAGGCAACATACAGCACCAACAACCGGCTCCGCAATAAAAGCGCAGACATTCTGCGGTCCGACGCGCTGGAACTCCGCGTCCAACTCGGCCGCCAGCCTAGACACGTAGTCGGCGTCGGACTCGCCGTCTTTCTTGCCTCGGTAGGCGTAGCAAGGCGAGACATGCGAGGTGTTCTGCGCGAGGAGAGGCTCGAAGGGTTCGCGGCGAAGAACGTGGCGGCCGGCTGCGAGGGCCCCCAGCGTGATGCCGTGGTAGGAGGGGGATCGGGCGATGAATCTCGTGCGCTGGGGCTGTGGGGTGGGGAGCTCGAGGTAGTACTGGCGGGCTAGTTTGAGGGCTGCTTCGACGGCCTCGGAGCCTGGTTTTGTGGTTGGTTAGTCTGTCGCTTTGGTTGCGGGATGTACTGGTTCACGATGGATACATACCCGAACTGACAACGTATAGCTTCGACAGTTTCCCGGCCGTCGAGTCGGTCAAGAACCTCGCTAGTTCTTCGGATACGTTGGTTCCAAAGAACGCGGAATGGCAATATGAGAGTTGTTTAATCTGATTGGTCACTGCCTGGCTGACTTTCTCATGGCCGTGGCCTAGACACGAGACGGCTGCGCCGCCGGTCGAGTCTAGGAATTTGGTGCCGTCTTCGAGAAAGATGTAGCTGCCTTTGCCGCCGATGGCCTTTTTGGGAATGAAACGAGTGTCCCTGTGGAGAACGGCGCTCTGGGGTGTGGTAGTGCCTTGGATTCTTTGTTAGATGAAGTATAGGAAGTTTGAGGAGAGGTACTTGCTTGGGTCGGCCATTGTTGTTGATAGGAATGTAAATGGGTATAGATACTTGTCTGACTCAGTGGGAGAACAATGGACATGATGAAAAAGAAAATTATCCCCTTTTTATATCATGGGCACCGTTCTCCGACTACACCCTAGTAGCAAGTAACAACTGATAGCAGCCATCTACGATGTGGGGTACAACAACACTCGGCATGCCGATGGAGAACCCGAGCCGATGGTTGGCTGCATTCGCCGACATCCCGATCAGGCCCTCGGTTATCGTGAGATGATTGATAGCTAGTATGAGTCAGTTGTTTTGATAAAAGAAGCATATAACCGAGTTGATTGGGGTCAAGCATGTCTGCGTTGCATTTCCATATCCAAGAACACGCCTAATAATTCCACTACTAGTACCAATAGAATTAAGATACTCACGAACTCCAAAGGAGCAACGGAGGACAACAACCCAATTTTAGTTCCTTGCATAGTTCGTGTCTTCAACTCATGATCACAATATCAAGATGAAGATCCCACGCTATTGTTTGCTGTTTCTTGAAATGTGAATTCATACGACTAGTAATTCAAAGATGTGAAATTCCAGCCTCTCCGCTCGGCGACATTATATATGTCTGTAATCTCTCGTCCGCATCTTTATGTGGCGCAGAGAAGGACTTCAATCAGACCATAAATGTGACAATAGAGGTAAGAGCTCGACTCTTCTTCAACACTAGACTGTGACAAGGCTCGTTAGTTGAAGTTGAAAGGCGTTTTCTCATGCACCCTGGATGGAGGATGTATGGAGAGGAGTCAAGCTAAACCCAGTTAGGGTTCAAGGGACATTGGCTGACCGCCAACGCTAGACTGACCGCCCCAGCCTTTTTCTGCCGCCCCGGTGGTCATGTGCCTTCGGCGGCCACTAAATCTCCCGGTGCACACAGAAAGGCCAGACTGGGCTTCAACGTCGACCTCCGCCAGTTCAGTCCCTCCTTTGCACCCCACCTTTTCTCCCCTGTTATCAATTCCCGTCACTCGAGGTCCGATAACCGAGAATTATACCCCAGACAGAAACATGTCTCGAAACGCGCAAGTCGAGGAGGTCTACGACGACTCCGATCCGGAGGAAGTTGCTCCCTCCGACTTCACTAATGAATCTCTCCTCTCCGCTGCAAACATTCCTGCTTCTGCCTCGTCTTCGATACCCATGAGACCGGCCCCCGACCCGCAGCGCGATATCCCCAAACATTTCCAATGCCTGTACCCCATCTACTTCGACAAGTCGCGGTCGCGCGCAGAAGGTCGCAAGGTCGGCGCGGAACTTGCCGTTGAGAATCCTTTGGCCAGAGATATTGTCGATGCGGTGCAGATGCTCGGGTTGACAGTCGGATTCGAGCCGGATAAGCTCCACCCGAAGGATTGGGCGAACCCCGGGCGAGTGCGTGTGCTGCTGAAGGATGAGAACGGGAAGTTGACAAACTCGAAAATCAAGAACAGTAAGTATTCTGCATTTGCGCTTCTTAGTTTCTATTATTCCGACGGCCGTTGCTAACCTCGACCAGAGCATCATCTCTACATCCTCGTGGCCCAGTATCTCAAAGCACACCCGACCACCGAGAAATCTCCGTACAATTTGAGGATCCGAGGCCTCCCCACACCGGAGAAGCTTCCTGAGGCTCCGGCTGCTCCTCGTGGTTGGAAGATTGGAAAGATCCTGCCCCTACACTCTCCGGCTTATACCGGTGGCGGTGTTAGCGACAACCCGCTCAAGGACGCTATGTCGGAGATGCAGAACATGCAGGGTATGCCGGGGATGCCTCAAATGCCTGGGATGCCAGATCTCGCCGGGCTGATGGGCGGCATGGGTGGTATGGGCGGCATGGGCGGCGAGCCGTCCGGAGGCAGCGGCGAAAAGAAGAAGAAGGATAAGAAGAAGGGCAAGGCATAATTTGCCAGACGTGATGGCTGTATGGGATATGGGACACTCCGAGAAATTCTGATTCACTGTCCATATTAATGTGCGTTTCTGGTTGCATTGCACGGGCGTGAGGCGTTGGTTGATTTACACCTGATAAAGGGCACATATACTGTTCTCTGATACCAAGTTGGAATCGAAGATGGATTTATGACATGTGCTATATGTTGGCACGACTCTGGGCAGTTGGATTCATGATGTATCGTCTTTGGGCGTAATTCGTAGTATATTGCCTCCGATCTTCGGCTCTTACCTACCAGCGTAGTCTGATATTGATTTTTATCGTAAGATCTAGATTCCTGTGCTCTATCCTTCCCTATTTTCTGCTAAAACCAGCTTAAACTCATCAAGAATACCCTCTGACTCAAAGCTCGGAAGTGCAGAGCCGGACAATCGCCGGCTGCCGATTAAGGCCGCTCTCATTGGCCGACGGAGTCGATCGCGAGCTTTACCCCGGAGGTCCAGACGTCAACCTGCCGAAGACGTTCCTGGCCCTTCTGGAACATCTACTCCATATACTTGCATGACGTCTATGGGGATTGCGCCCCTTCGTTCAACCTTCCATCGTTCGCATTAATTTCACCCCCTTGCACAACCCCCCATGAACCGACCGTGCGATTGCGCCGACGGCCTTAACAACCCCGCCACTGCGATCGCGCAATCATGAATCCGAGCCCGTCAAGTAGAGACCCCGGCCATGGGGTCTCCAATCCCGGCTCGAATGCCCAGAACCCCTTCAATGCAGATTCTCCTGCGGCATCGAGCGTCCACCATGCGTCAACAAAGTCATCAGGAAAGGCCAGTGGTCGTCAGATCACGCGAAACCGCGCCAGTTACAGCTGCCACACCTGTCGGAGGCGGAAGGTCAAATGTGACAAGGTAAGATCATGGGCTTGAGATTCTCTACAGAGTCTTCGATACTGATGCGGCCTAGGTCCACCCTACGTGCGGAAACTGCCTGAAAACCGGAAACGAGTGCATTTACGATGCGATGCCCAAGGATGAGTCGCGCAGCCATACAAAGGAGGGACACGGGGTTAAGCGGAGGCGAGAACTGTCGGGACCGTTGGAGGACGATATCGACGATTTGCAATCGGTCTATAGCCATTTGAGGCAGGCGGGTTCGTCGGAGCAGAAGTCCGGGTCAAATGGGATCGAAGCACGACTGGACAAGCTCACGTCGATGATCGAACGGTTGAGCAAAACCAATCAACCGTTGGATCCGGCAGAGAGACAGCTGCTGGCGCAGAATGTCGGCTTGGAGGCTGCGAGGAGGGACGCGCGACCGACTCATGGCCTGCCGTTGAAATCGGCCGGAAACTCTCGTCCGGACAGTCCGCGGCGGGCGGCTGATTCTGGCGATGAATTTCCTATTCCTTCGGGACATGCGACCGATCTGGTTGATCCGGTAGGGAGCTTGAATTTGGGTCATCTGAGTTTGGAGGATGGAGGGAGGTCAAGGTATGTTGTTAGTATTGGTGGAGATGCGATTCGGATCTAATTGAGAGTAGATATGTGGGAACAACATACTGGGCGTATATATCGAATGAGGTAATATTGGTATATCATTCGAACCCAGAAGAAAGGCTGATTGACTGCACAGATAAACGAGCTCAACCAACTACTACGTGACCAGAATCGCTCGCACAATGACTCAACCACCAATGAAGGCTCGGCCGAGGAACCGATGCCAGACTCGATGGTGCGCACACCAACTAGTCAATGGAAAATGGATGAAAGCCCTGGAGGAACTGTCGCCGAAAGCAGGCCAACTACTGGCGAAGCGTTCCAACGATCGGTGTTGTTTCCTTCAAGTGAATCGCCATCGGTGATAGACAAGATCGTGGAACCGGAGATGCTGGACCATGTCCCGACAAAACGCCAAAGCCATATCTTGTACCAAGGTTTTATGTCCGGAATTCATGCGATCAGTCCGGTGATTCACCCCCCGACAATACTCAAACTATACAACGCCTTTTGGAATTGGTATGACTACAGTAGCTACTCGGGCGAGCCTTGCCCGGATCCCTCGTTTATACCGCTACTCTACGCTATCTGGTACGGCGGATCTATCACGGTATCTATCCGGATAATCAAAGCCGAGTTTAATGTTGCATCACGCTCCGCCTTGTCGAAAACATTCCATGAAGAGGTCACGCGTTGGCTGACCAAGATCTCATTCCCTCGAAGCCCGTCATTGCAAGGACTGGCCGCATATCTCTTGGTTCAGACGATTCTTTCCAAGGAAGAAGAGCCACTTACCAGCAGCTTGTTTGTGAGTCTGGCTATGAGAGTGGCGCAGACGATGGGACTGCACCGGGACCCGGCCAAGTTTGGGATCCAACCCTACGAAGCAGAGTATCGCCGACGAATCTGGTGGCACATTGTGCATATGGATGGCGTTGTGGCCATGTCGAGTGGACTTCCACCGCTGGTCAGCGACGAGAACTTCTGGGATGTTCGTGAAGCTAGTGAAGTAAAGGATACGCTGCTCGGCACTCACCAGGCCGAAACCTATGAACGTATGGTTGCTGCAGGTATGCGGCCTCCCGACAATCCCGATGACCCGACTGTGTGTGGCGGACCCTCCACGGTGAACGTGTATTATCTGTCGGCCCGAGGGAAATATGTCATGGCCTGTGAGTTTTACCAATGGGATGAGGTATCCACGGATACTAATTGTTAATCGCAGCTGCTGTCCGACGGATCTTGAGGATCCAGTTGGGCATCAAACCAATCACTCGAAGAGACATGGAGGAACTTAGATCCATCCTTCTTGATCTTCAGCTTCAACTTAATTCGATAATCAATCGCATCCCCGAACCAAGCATCTCTTACAGTTCTCCCGATAGATCATATTCCTCCCAGTCCCCAGTGGAAATCCGTTCCAGCGACACGGAACTCCCAGGTAAAGGACCTTCCGGTTGCCTTGAACAGTACCACACGCCGGTCCTTGTATCTTTCCATAAGTGGGCAAGGATACTGCTGTCGTTATTTATCGACAAGGTGGGCTTGAACACCTTGTGTTACATTTGTGGACAGACCATGTTGACCCAAACTAGGCATTTTGTGTTGCATATCAACCTTTTCTTAAGAATGCGAAGAGTCGGATATGGCCCGCTGCCAGGCAAAGGTATGACTGAACCACTCTTCCCTCTTTCCGTATGGATTATTCTGACGAATGCATGCAGTGCTCTCCGTCATTGCCACGGCTTCATGGAGAAATTCATCTCTCTTGCCACTGACCCTGAATTCCAACCCTTTCACTGGAGTTGGCCCGGGAACCACCAACCAATGCATGCCGCCATGATCATGCTCATTGACCTTCACGAGCGACCCTCTAGCCCCGAAGCCCCCAAGTCTCGTGCATTCATCGATAAGATATTCTCGCTCACCGGCCCCGACGGGGGTGTGGTCGGCGGAGAGGACGGCATCTCTACACAACGACCCTTGAAGGACGGCGGCCGCGAAGCCTGGGATATGATTCGCAGACTACGCCAAAACGCATGGCAAAAGGCTGGTCTCGACCCACAGAAGCTCTGGACGGAGCAAGCGCAGGTGCAAGCTGGTGTCGCGGCGCCTGATGAGCCTCCTCCTTGTGCCAGTGACCCCTATTACGCCAACAACGCCGGCTCACCCCCAGTCGCGCCGATGTCCTCTCGGCGACAGCTTTCCGACTTCTCCAAGATGTTCTACAACATGACCCGGTCCCATGTACTCCCCAACCCGGCCTCTACGCTACGTCCCAGCCCTCTTCGAAACCAAATCCCTCAGTCTACGAACCCGGCCCCCGTCCCCGCAACTCCACGCATGGCATCTACTCCACCGTTCCCCCAAACCCCTGCCACAAACTCTCGCTCCATCGACTCTGCTCTGACAGCATCTCCCCTATCTTCTCAAACCCTTCCGCCACTAAACAACGCCCCCGCCCCAGCTCAAGCCCAATACAACCAACCCGCCAACGTCCCGTCCCCATCCCCGTCTACCCTTCTGCCCTTCATGGACACAGCTTCCCCATCCCATCAGCCCATGGCCGTCCCGACCCCTCCCTCCATGGTCGATCCGAACCTGAACTTCGACTGGGACCAGTGGGATGCTGTTTTCGGGCAGCATCTCCCCGTGGCGGACGAGCTAATGGAACTGGATCCCGTGTCGGGATTCGAGTTCGGGGATCTCGGCAGCGTGCGAGGTTCGCGGAGCAGTCAGGCTGGTAGTCTGGCGGGAGGCAGCGAGACGGGGATGGATGATGTTCGGCCACCCGATTGGTACGGGTATTGTTGATTGTTTGGCCTCGTCCTTTTGTCTGAATTTTTTTCTCCCCTCATGAGTTTCTTTTTCCTGGGGCCTAGATATGCCTGGGTTTGTTTCGCTTTGATTGATGTTGATGTTATGGAATTGTTTGCTTGTATTCTAGCGTATATATCCTGTCTACTACTGGGACTTTTTAGACTTTGCGATGAATGGGATGATTAGACATTTGTATATTGTTTCTGTCTCTTCCCTGATTGAACTGCAGATTGTTGGAAGACTGATTTTACGGAGTGTACAGAGTATTCGATATAAAGTAAATCCGGACGTGATACGTGGCGTTGATTTTCAGCATTCCAGATTCCCTCAGGAAAACGAACACAAAGTAGATAGATGAGCTTAGAAAGCTAGGCTAGGTAGAATATCCTAACGAGACAAGGACGAGATAAGACGTAACAGCTATGGGATTTCATGAGGCGTGACTCGGACCAAGCAGGATACAGAAAGATGCGAGACGATAGGAGACAGAAGATGGATAGTAGGGGAGGGGGGAAATGGATCCAGAGAGATTGGATTGGAAGATTTTTTAGAATGAGACAAAGAAATCTTCATCATCTGGGTATTTGAAAGGGGGGTTCTAAATTGTCCTTCCCGCCTGGCTCGTGCTCTGGAATGAATTAAGACGTTCGCAAAGTCTGATCCGTCATGTTGTTTTTGTTTTCAGATTCATGAGACGGTTCACAACGGCTGTATGGGAAGGCGTTTAGACCTTGACCTCATCGAGACCGTGCTTCCAGAGGGTGGCGTAGGGGGTGACACCGTCCTCGCGGAAGTCAATGAGGATGTGCCTGTGGGAGTTGGTTAGCGGGTGCGATCCTTCGGGGTATGCTCGGTATTATTGGGAATGCAGAAGGCAAACGTACATAGCATCACCATCCATGGACTGGCCCATGAGGACATCGTAGTTGTCGTAGTTGGAGAGGATCTTCTTGACACCGGCGGGGGCGTTGGCCTTGAACTCATCGATGGTCTCCTTGGAGGCACCCTTCTCGGTGAGCTTGGAGAGGACCTTCTTCATGTAGTCTAAGCGGAAAATGATGTTAGTAAAGGGATTCTGATGATATCGCATTGGACTCGGTGATAGGTAATAGGTAAACGTACTCTTCAGGTGGGACTTGAAGGCGTCCTTGGAGGGCTTGAGACCCTCCTCGGTCTTGAGCCAGACGAGACGGAACTGGTCCTCAATGTCGTGGACCATGACGGCCTCACCCTCACCACCCTCATCGGCACCATCCTCAGCGGAGGGGTTGGCACCCTCGAGCTGGAAGTCCTCGTTCTGCTTCTTGAGGTACTTGCGGCAATCGCACTGGTAGAAGATCTTGTCGACCTCCTGGAGCTTGAAGGTGTCGGAGAGAACCTCGTCTCCAGAAACGATATCCTACAGAACGGAGAGAGTTAGTTGACTGCGATGATCAAGAGAAATTTGTGCAGAGACGTGTCTTTTGCATCTGGGGATGTATTTTTTTTTCTTTTTCTTTTTTTCTGCCCAGCATTCCAAGAGGCGGGGTAAAAGGGTAGAGTCGGAAAGACAGGAAGAGGCAGTACATACCGTGAAAATAATCATTTTGATAGAGTGGAAAGGAAGGATCCCAGAAGAAGACAAGAATGAGGAAAAGACAGAGGAATGGCACGGGGGCTGGAGAAGGGAAAGAAAGAAAGGAAGAAGAAGGGAAGAGATCCGCCGGAGAGGGGAAATTTGAAGATTATTATTTAGTGGCGCCGTCTGTTTTCCCACGCTTTGGTGGGGGAAGTTTTTTTAGTTTTTTTAGTTTTTTTTTTTTCTTTTTTTTCTTTTTTTTTTCCTCCGTTTTTTTCTCTCGGATTTTCGAGGGGCAAACAGCGGCGCTAAACCCGATCGGGACTGGACGACTCGTCTGGCCCTTGTGGTTTGAGTCTGGCAACCAAGGGAAGTCAGCTAACAAACCGGCTGATGGGTATTGGTGGCAAATTTGGGGGGAAAGTATGAGAAATGGAATGCGCCGTGGTGCTCGGATACTAGAGCGGAGTTGAACGGGATTGTAATGCGAATGGGAGTACGTACGCAGTATACTCAATAATACTACGGAGGAGAGGGAGACTAAGGTCGCTGACTGAGGCACTCAGGCAGCCCATGGAGAGTAGATGCCTGATGGGTCAGGCAGCATAGAATCCATTTGGAAGGCCGTCAGGGGTTACAGTACCGTACAAGAATACCTCGGGGCCTCGCCCAGACGATGCCCAGAGGTTGCCCCTCGGACGGGCAGCGGTAACCGTACCGTACGCCAAATACACTCCCAGCGATCGATCAGATATCGGCGGGCGTTGCCTTCCCGTGGTGCCACTTCTTTCACCTCAGTTCATCCAACTTCCACCCGGCTGCCATCACGTTGCTTTCCTTTGCTGTCGATTTGGATACTTAATCTCCTTGGTCTGGTGGCGACACTCCTTTTCTCTCCGACCGGATTCCTTTTCTTTCCCTCTCCTTTGTCTCAATCGTCGCAAATATCGCCCACGCTCTCCTTTCCGACCTCCCCTTCCCTGATTAATCATCGTCCTGTCGGTTCCGGCCATCGCGTCCCCTGATTGTGGACCGCCTTGGGAAAGGTTCCGATTGTTCCAGGGACAAACTTCTTTTCTTCTATATACTTGGAAAATTTCCCTCCGTCAAGTCGAGATCCTTACCTTCCGATCCACCCGACCTTCCGATTGGGACCGTCCGGCTACAATCCAAGCAGTCCGATGTGTTGATTCTCCGGAAATCCCTTTTACATCTTTTGCTTGAACCACCTCCGTCAGACTCCGGTCGTTTGCCATTTTCACCATGGCAGCTAACGCCTCCGCTGTATATGATCTCCCTCCTCTTCCGACGTACACGCTGAGCCCACGCCCCCCGCTATGGGCTCCGATTCCCGATAACATCGTATCGCTGATCCTCCCGATCGTGGCGTACTGGGGCTTATCTATGGTTTACCACTACATCGATGTCAATGACCTATTTCCGCAATACCGACTACACACCCCGGCAGAAGTTTTGAAGCGCAACCATGTGTCTCGCTGGGACGTGGTCAGGGACGTTATCCTCCAGCAGGTCATTCAAACTATCGCGGGTTTCGGTATGAGCTACTTTGATCCCCCGGAATACATCGGCAAGGAGGAATATGATGTTGCGGTTTGGGCGCGTCGCCTCCGGCTTTTGCAGCGAGGCCTGCCCCGTTTGTTGGCCTTGTTTGGAATCGACGCTTTGGGGTTGTCGAAAAATCTGGCTCTGAACGGCCATACCGTCTTGGGAGGAATTCTGGCCGGTGGTCGCTATCCCGGACTCACTCAGTCCATGGTTCTGGACAACGGCGCTGAAAGCGTGGTTCCTGCCTTTGCCGCTTGGGAGCTGGCAGCTGGCAGCTTCATCTACTGGTACTTCATTCCGGCGCTGCAGTTCGTCTGGGGTGTCTGTGTCGTCGACACCTGGCAGTATTTCCTTCATCGCGCAATGCATTTGAACCGCTGGCTGTATGGTAAGTGTTCGGTATCTCTCTCCCCTTTATCTTGACCTTTGCGTTCTGACGGTCTTGGCAGTCACATTCCACTCGCGTCACCACCGCCTTTATGTCCCGTATGCGTTTGGTGCTCTCTACAACCACCCTGTCGAGGGCTTCCTGCTCGACACCGCCGGTACCGGCGTGGCATTCCTGACGGCTCAAATGACAAACCGCCAAGCCATGTGGTTCTTTACTTTCTCCACCATCAAGACCGTCGATGATCACTGCGGATACGCATTCCCCTGGGATCCCTTGCAACACCTCACGTCCAACAATGCCGCCTACCATGACATCCACCATCAGAGCTGGGGTATCAAGACTAACTTCTCCCAACCGTTTTTCATTTTCTGGGACCGTCTCTTGAACACCCAGTGGAAAGGTGACGTCACGCTCCGTTACGAACGGTCCCGGGAGTCCGCCCAGAGAAAGGTTGAGGATGAGGCCGCTCTCGCCGCCGAAACTCAGCCCGAGACCGCAACTTCTACTCCGTCAATCGTTTCTACCGACGAGTCTACGGACTCGAGTACCCGCACTCGCCTGCGCAGAAAGACGGTTACCCTTTCGCCACGCGTCGAGGGCTTGAAGGGCTCTAACCATGGCGTCGCCAGCAGTGTCTTGTAAAAAGACCTGAATGATACAGTACCATACGCTCTTTTGTCCATCGGAATCTCTTCTACTGATATTTAATTTCTCTTCTTCTCTTTCAACAAACCATTAACGGCATCACGGTGGTTTTTATTAGGAGCTGCAGGTCGTCTCCTCGCCACTGCAGGGTTATTTCTATTGCATTTTCGCTACTCTGTGTTAATAATTGTCGGTCATGATTATCGGGTATGACAAACTTTATAACTTTCTTTCTTACACTGTTTAATATCCATACTTCATATGAGAATGAAATTCAGCAAATTCATAATACTGTTCTTGAATACTGTTCTTGCATTTTGGAAGGCCCTTTTCCCCGGACCCTGAGCATGAAATTGATTACTATATGCACCCCGGACATGACTAAACCGGCTCAGGAAATATTGCGATAGCGTTTTGTTTGAAAATGGCTGCCTTTTGATATATCCAAGACAAATTATACAAAGATATACACCCCGTCCAGCTTGGAGGAAGATCACTTTCGGAACTTCCTCAACAATCCCCCCTTTTTTGGTTTTTTGAGTTGGGGATTTGGGTACTGGATGTCCAGGTCTTTGCACACAATTTCCCAGGTGGTAGCTCGACGGGGGTCTTCATCTGGTGAGCGCGAATACACTGACTCAGAGTGTGCCGTTGGACTCACCAGTTCACGATATTCAAGAGCAATACGCTCCGCATCATCCTGTATGCTATGGTACGCTGTCTCAGCATTTGCACGGAGAATGCTCAGGGGACTAGGCTTGTGTATGACTTGCCTCCAATCGACGTTGTCTCGCGGATTCGAATACTCCCAATTTCCGCTTCCTCTTTTGCTGCTACCAGCGACTGATAAAGAGGGCTTGCGCCTTTCAGTCGCACCATAGGGCGTGGTGGGAGAAACATCAACGGGGGTACCGGCGACGTATGAAGGATACGTGCGCCTTCCAGTCGCACCATAGGGTGTGGTGGGAGAAACATCAACGGGGCTACTCGTGGCCGATTTTGTGACAGACGTTGGCTTTGCGACAGACAAGGGACTGGGTGTGACCACGTCAGGCTGCATGGCAAGCAGGCTAAGCCTCGCATCCTCGATGTTTTCAGTTCCTGTCAGCCCGGCATATTCTGCGATTATCTCCTCGAGTAGAGCCTCGCTGGGCGTCGGCTTCCTGGACGCCCGTCTCCCGTCTAGCGTCTCGAATCCGTCTGTATCTTCCACGGCGGTCTCGGAGCTCGACGACTCGACAGCGGTTGGGCCGCTGATTGCCTCGGATTCCCATCCTGCGTCTCTGTCGGATTCCCGTCCTGCGTCTCTGTTGGAATCCCGCTCTGCGTCTCTGTCCCAGTAGACAAAGATCGTCTCCCGATTTCTATAGTTGTCGTCAGGATCGCCTTCATCTTCACTCTGGCCATATCTAGGTTTACCTCTATATTCCTTGACCGCCAGTTTTCTCACGGCTTTAAAGGCATATGCCATCTGGCCACTCCGATAGAATAATTCGGTATAAAGACTCTCGTGAGTGTCGATACATCTCTCGATGAACGGCAGCAATTGCGGTGGCCGATGAGGCCTACGGTGTTTGGCTCGCGTCCTCGTCCGGCTTAAGAGTGTTGTGCGAAGGTTTTGTAGCCAGATTGGTGTATCTATGATCTGCGCCAGTATACATGTCTCGCAGCCGTTATGCTGATAACAGGCATTCATGCGTTCCATGTACCCTCGGTACCGCCGATCAGAACACCATAAGCCACGAATCCCTTGAAGCTCCGTCAGAAGTTCCCTGCATTCCGAATCCATCTCGCCGGTGTATCGCTCAAGCTTGCTCAAGTGCTCAGTCACTTCACGCTTAACCAGTCTAAGGATGTGGCCGATCAAGTAGGGGTTCAAGCCGTTATGGGGCGGACACAAGATGGCTGGTTGCAGCAGGGAGTTGGGTACAATCCGGATGAAGGCATGGCGGCGGAGGTCCCAGGGAAGCTTTTTAATTGCCTGTTTGATCCCGGCTTCATCCTGAGGAACCTTCGTGCGTTCCTCTAGGGGTACATTGTCCATTTTCAGCACCTCAATGAGCAACCTCAGATGCTCTTTCGTCAAATCGCCGATTGTCAGCGGGTAAGTCTGCTGGATTGAAGCCTTGATTGCCCTCCGGATAAAACACATTTCCGATCTCCTGCGCATGATGAAAGCTGAATTGATGGAAATTGTCTTGTTGACAGGAGGTTGAGGTTCGTGAGCTCGGTAGAACTGCGATGAGTTGATACAGTGCCTTGTGCTATGGCACTGGCTTCGGCTTCAAATTTTCGATGTCTTCTCTTCGTTTTCTGAAAGTTGATACGCGCAGACGTATGATCATGGTATCTGGAGAATGAATATATTTGAGGAAATTGAAGTTGACAGGGGAAGAAGAGAGCTCAAAGAGCGCGAACAAACAAGCCCTTTATATTCATTCATGGGCTTTCATATCGACCGCATTTTACCGGAGGTGTCCTCTGCTATAATGCAATTATTAGGACCAATAGTTTGTGCGTGAACAAAGAAAAAGGAAAGACGCCGTTACAAAGGAAAGATTGGAGATCGCGCTTCCGGGATGCTTTACGAGTGAGCACCGCTGAACAGGCGGATTGCCTTGTATCCTTTGTTTCCGCCTCATTCTGCCCTGTGATGCGAAGGAAGCAAATAGCCAAACTGCCAGATATCGAGGAAGACACTTGCACTTCTCCTGGAAAGAGAGAAGAAAGGAAAGCAAAACACGGTATTATCCACCAGGCCAATCGTGAAAATCTAGTATTCAGATCGTTGACATTCAATGGCTTTCGACATTCAGGTGCTCCAGGACATGGAAGATTACGTATTGTGTCATTTAAATCTGCTTGGAAATTCCACTAAAGCCCTGAATGTTGCTTTGTTATTGAGGAACAAAGGCACAAAGACTCATTCATAAAAGGCAGATCGGTGATTCTTTCCGCGGAAAGTCGCAACGATGGCCGTGAGAAGTGGGAAGGAACCGGCAAAGCCACTCTTTCAACATCCCTCCAAGATTGAATGCTCAATTATCCATGCTCCATTCAAACACTACAACTCCATACGCTCTTTTATCTATTTCAACCATATTGATACTTTCAGCCACTATGGATCCCATCCCCATCTTCACTGCCTCCAGACCTACCGACACACAGGACCCGCCGTTGCCCTACACGGCCTCTCCATGGAGGCTACTTCTCAGTGACCTTAGACTGGCTAAGCAATTCTACCGGCATATACCCCAGATGTTTCGTCCGCTCAGGGATTCGGACGGACCAATAGCCGAATTGAATCTTACGTGGGAGAACCTTTGGGTTATCCTGGTGCATATCATTCTTATATTTTATCAAGTCGGTTTCTTAATATCACTACCCGTTCTCAGTTTCTTTTGCCTGATGCCAGCACCATTTCTTCTGCCTTACATCTGGTTGGCTTTCAAAGTGAATAAGGTTATTTGCAGGTGGACTTTGAACAGGGGGGACCGGATTTTGCATTCAACGTACATGCTCCCGGAGAACCCCCCCTGGCCCCGGGAACATGAACGTTGGATTTTCCTGAATGGAATTGCAGTCGGGCAAGTTGGAACCTTTCATCCCTTTCTTCAGTGGTGGATTGTGGGCAGCTAACATGGAGACTTTCTTTGCATCACTGGCAGAACCCACTGGATGCAGAACAGCCTCAATCGGCTTTCTCAGATATTTTTCCGGCCCGTCAGAGGAATCCATACTCCTACGTAGGTCTTTGGCTCACAGTACCGCAGAGTCTAGTATCACGGCTGCTAATGCCCCGTACAGGGCGGGAATCGTTTTCGATTTAATCAAGTGCCTAATTCAAAGGAATTTCTGCTATGCGACGCAAGATGTCCGGGATGCGTACGAGATCATCAAAGAAACACTTTGGGACGACGGTTGCCACAAGTTGATTCTCATTGCTCACAGCCAGGGAGGCATAGCGACAAGTCTTATCGTGGACTGGCTTGTGGGTGAGATCTCGCAGGGGCATCTGCAGAAACTGGAAATCTACACCTTTGGCAATGCGGCCAATCATTTCAATGATCCACGCCGACTGTTTCCAGGAGAAGACGGCCGTGTCGGGGAGCCTCGGCCCAAAGACCGCGGACCTGCAGCCGGTCAGTACCAGAACGTTAGTCGTGTACTGCACGAACAGGGAGAGCAGCAAATGGCAAACGTGGGAAGGGGCCGAGGATTTTCGGTCCCGGAAAGGGGACAACAAACGGCTTCACCACGGCCACCCGCTCTCGAAGTAATCGAAGTCGGCGCACCCATGTGGCAACGCGCCCCATTTATTGAGCATTACGCAAACTCAGACGACTTCGTGTGCCTGTGGGGAGTTATACATTTCATCCGCATGAGAAATCGGTACCTTGGTCATTTGTTTCTGAGGCAGAGTCCCGGCCACCTGTTTGTCCAGCACTACCTTGATCCTATGTTCCCCCTTGATAATGGGGAGGTGACAATAGGAGTAAATGATTTCTTTCACTTGGTAGCAATGGCACCCATCAGTGCCTTGGAAAGTGAACGCTGTGGCTGGACTGATCCGGGCTGGCATCTCAGTCGCTTATGGAGATATCGAAACGGCCGTTCGCCGTTGGATCATTATGGACTCTGAGCAGGTCATTGGCTATTATTAGTAAACTCAAGTTACTATAGTTCTTCTCACAAATAATGGCATTCTCGCTTGTCTCTTGATTGCGTGTCTTGTCTCGCGATAAGTAAGTATAGATAACGCCGATAGATAGGGAATTCGGACGGGGTATCGTGCAATCACACGCGAAGCCCCGACACTAGACAGCACTAGTTGAACTCCAATCTCTCCAGCTCCCAGCTGATTGAACGAAGGAGCCGAAATTGATTAATGGCGCGTGTTTTGCTATACGCCGGTGCAATTGCATCATGGCCGGGGATGACTAAGCCAGCTGCCGCTCGTCGAAATTTGACTCCGACGATTCCGCCCTTTGGATGTGTCTGCCCCTTGTCGGTCCTGCCTGTGCTCGATAGCAATCCATACGCCACTGAATCTTCCTCTGATGCAGGAGCACTGACATTTAAGAAGTTCCGGCTTGGCTGCAAGCTTATGAGGGCCGATCCCGCCCGTCACTCGCGCTCCGTGGAGGCATTGGCCATTGAGACTTCCCGCTATGGAGTCCATCTATGGAGCTCCCCAGCAGGCCATCTTCCTTTCAACATGGCAAGCCGCGGGAAACGAGCCCATTTCTACCCTCAATGGTGGGCATATGCAGAGGTTAGATTAACTCAATGTTCTCTCTCTTCTCATCTGCAATTGCTAATTCCGCATCGCAGGCAACTATGGCGCTATAGAACTCAGCAGCTCTCGGCTCTGATAGCCGGGGGCAATCTGCATGTAGTCGTGCTCTTGGCGTCGTTGATCATGGGCGTCATGTCTGTCGTACTCCGTTATGTTGCAGATTTCCGCAGATCGAAGCATCGGCTGCATCCGGAACCTGCGAATGGCGGTGGCGGGTCTGAGATTCTGCTCCCGCTGCCCTATGCGGTGGCGCATCTGGTCGCGTGTATCGTGGCTTGTGTTTTGGGCTGCGTTGAGCTGCAGTATGGGAGTGGCTGGCAACGAGCGCTTCTGCTGAGTTATTTGGTCGTGCTGGGGTTGGTTCGACTGGGGTGGAAGAATAGGGACAGCCGGGTCCAGCTGTATGTCCATATGAATGCGATCGCACTCGGAGCCTTGATTCTGGGGTTTCTGCAGGATGTGGTCCCCATGGTTATTGTGGGCGCGACGTATCGTCCAAGAGCGACCGCGGCGGCCTTGTTGGGTTGTTTGGCCGCTGTGGTGGTGATTGCACTGGCTACTCCTCGACCGCGTCGGTCTTCTTTCATACCCGACTCGGAGACTGGAGAGCAGCTGTGGATTGACGATGAGACGTCTCCAGAGGAAACGTGCTCTCTCTTCTCGTACTACTGCTCTTACGAGTGGATCACCTATGTGATCCTGCGTGGATGTCGGAAGGATCTGACGATGGATGATTTACCGCCATTGCCGTCGTACGACGAGCCATCGAAATGGCTGAAGAAGATCAAGAGGCAACGTCTCAAAGGCGGGAAGACGTTCCGAACGCTGTGCAGGTTGCTCAGGACCGAAATCAAGACGATGATGTGCTGGTCGGCGACGACGGCGGTGGTGGAGTTCGTCGCCCCGTATGCCATGTTGCGATTGCTGGCTTATTTTGAGGAAGAAGAATCGGCCGTCGTGCATCCTGCGTTTTGGATCTGCCTTTTGTTCGTCGGACCCATGTTGCGATCGCTCTGCTACCAGCAGTATATCTTTACAGCTACTCGGCTGCTTGTCCGTGTCAATGTCTCGTTGGTCCAGGAGATATATCAAACTGCTATGAGATCGTATATTTACGACGACTCTGTGGATGTTTCGAATGCCGACAAGAATGCGAAGTCATCGCGGAAGCCGGGAGATACGTCGAAGGGGGCGTCGAAGTCGAGCCAGGCTAACTTGACTACCTTGATGTCGTACGACGTCGACGCTATTTACAACTCTCGGGATATCTTCCACGTCTCTGCAGCTGCTCCGATCTCCATCACGATTGCGCTTGTTTTTCTTTATCGGATTATCGGGTGGCCGTCATTGCTTGGAGTGCTGACGCTGCTGCTATTGACTCCCCTGCCTGCATTGGCATCTCGCCAAGTGTCGAAGATCCAACGCTCGGTCATGCAGGCTACTGATGTTCGTCTGTTTAAAATATCCGAGTATCTCAATTCCATACGGACATTGAAGTATTTTGGATGGGAGCATGCGGCTATGGACTCAATTAACGGTGTCCGAGGCGTCGAGCAGCGTCGCCTTTGGAGGCGGAGTGTTTTCGCTGCGACCATCTCAATGGCTGGAGATCTCTTGCCGATGATGAGTTTGCTGGTGATGTTTTCAACCGTCGTCCTGTTCACCGACCTTCCTCTGCGAGCTCCGGTTGCGTTCACGTCGCTGTCAATTATGGAGACTTTGCGTTCTCAGTTCGTCTGGTTGTCAAATGTCAGCCGATACACTGCACAGGGAGCAGAGTCTTTACGACGCGTGGACCGATTCTTCGACACCGCAGGCGAGATTAAGCGGCACCGCGATGGGCCACTCGAACTCAACCAGGCGACCTTCAAGCGAACGCCTATTGCTGCGTTCAGGCTAAAGGATATATCGATTCACTTCAGGCCCCGGGCACTAAATGTCGTGACGGGGCCTACCGGAAGTGGCAAGACCTCGCTGCTTCTCTCGTTGCTGGGCGAAACTGTTTTGGAGTCCGGCACTGCATCCTGTCCACGCGATGTTGCTTATGTGCCTCAAGCCCCCTGGCTGCAGAATGATACAGTTCGTCAGAATATTCTATTCTACAGCCCATTTGACGAGTACCGTTATAATCTTGTTGTCGAGGCGAGTGGTCTGATCCAGGATCTTCGTCAACTCCCAGATGGGGATCTAACCGTGGTCGGTGAGCGAGGAACGTCGCTTTCAGGAGGCCAGAAACAGCGCGTGTCTCTTGCGCGAGCTTTGTACTCCCACTCAAGCACGCTTCTCCTGGACGACATATTCTCTGCCCTTGATACGCATACGACTACGCTTGTATATGACAAGTGTTTCCGCTCCGGCTTGCTCTCAGACCGGACCGTGGTGCTTGTCACACGCTATCCAGCTGCTCTTCAAGACGCTCAATTGACCGTGCGCTTGGAGCATGGGAAGGTGGTTTCTGTCAAGTCCGCTACGAGTGTCCTGCCGTCTGCGCTGCCGACGCCATGCAGCACTCCTGGGCCGGGTACAGGCACATCGACGCCGCTCAATGAGCCACAGAGGGTGGAAACCGAAGATATTCCGTCAGAGCCTATGTCCAACATTGCACCAGTAGTTATTCAAGATCCTCAACCCGTAACGAAGGGTAGGCGCTTGACCAAGGAAACGGCTGCGACTGGGCGGGTTCCCCGCACGATGTGTAAGTTCTCGTTGCTGCGATACTTGTATATGATGCTGATTGCTGGCGAAAAGTCTTCCAGTACATGAGGTTATTCGGTGTGCCACTCTACGCGCCACTCGCGATCCTCGTCACTATCACGGTGCAGCTGGCGTATTTTGGCATCACATATTGGCTTTCTATTTGGACCGGCACTTATGAAGAAGACGAACACCCGAACTCCATGTTCTACCTGGCGGTATACGCCATCGCGATCATTGTGTTTCTCCTGTTGCAGCTAACTAATAATCTGGTATATCAGTATGGCAGCTGGGTTGCTGCTAAGAAAATGCATCAGAGACTAGTGACAGCAGTCCTGTCTGCGCCGATCTCCTGGTTCGATGAGAATCCGATCGGACGTGCAATAAACCGCTTTGGAAACGACACGAGATCAATGGACACGGTACTTATCGACTGGCTGCGGATGTCCATAGAAAACGGGCTACGCTTTCTGCTGCGAATCGCGAGCGTTGCATCCATCATGCCTATCTTCGCTCTGCCGGCCGCCGTGATCTGTACTGCTGGCTTCGTGATCGGGGAGATGTACACCCGTGCTCAAGTCTCCATCAAGCGTCTCGTTTCGATCAACTATTCTCCTGTGTTCTCCCACTTCACCGACTCTCTTGCCGGCTTGAGTGTGATCCGCGCTAGACATGGTATGGACGAGGTCTTTCAGCGATTGTTGGCCGAAAGATTGGCCGTTCATGCTCGCTCCGCCGAAACGCAGTACAATTGCAATCGCTGGGTCTCGGTTCGCTCCGACTTCTGCGCCGCCTCTGTGGCCGCTGCAGCCGGATGTGTGGCCTACTTCTGGTCGGGATCTGCAGGGCTGGTGGGATTCTCGTTAACCAATGCCATTGGTCTCAGCCAAACCATCTTGACTCTAGTACGATCCATGAACGAGCTAGAGGTCGAACTCAACTCGTTCCAGCGCATGGGCGAGTACGCCAAAATCGAACCCGAAGAGCCTCTCACAGACAAGCAAGCCCTCGCTCATGCCGTCCCCGCCAGTTGGCCGGTCTCTGGACGGGTGGAATTCCACAACGTCTCAGCTCGCTATCACCGCGACGGACCGGACGTCCTCCACAGCGTCTCCTTCGTCGCGAATCCCGGCCAACGAATCGGCATCGTCGGCCGCACTGGCAGCGGAAAAAGCACCCTCGGTCTCTCCCTCCTCCGCTTCGTCGATCTCGCCAGCGGCCGAGTCACCATCGACGGCGTCGACATCAGCACCATCCTCCTCAACCGCCTCCGCACCAGCGTCACCCTCATCCCGCAAGAACCCGTCTTATTCTCTGGCGACGTCCACTCCAACCTCGACCCCTTCGGCGAATCCAGCGAAACCGAACTCCAGTCCGCCCTGGCCGCATGCACCTCCTCCATCCACATTCCCGAGGGCCCAGCTCCCAGTTCCGATGCCCACGCGGCCGCAAAACCCACCACCCGGCCACTAACGCTCGATACGCCGGTGGCCGCGAACGGCGAAAACTTTAGCCAGGGCCAGCGCCAGGTTCTCAGCCTCGCGCGGGCCATGTGTCGTCGGTCCAAGGTTGTTTTGCTCGACGAGGCCACTGCCTCCGTGGACCATGAGACCGACATGCATATGCAGCGGGTCCTGAGGGGGATGTTTTCGGACTGCACGATCATCGCGATTGCGCATCGGTTGCGCACGATTATGGACTATGATCGTGTGCTTGTTATGGCGGATGGGGAGATTGTTGAGTATGTTCCTCCCCCCTTTTCTTTCTTCCCCTTTGTTTGTTCCGAGTGAGGTGTGAATGCTGATCTGGAAAACCTAGGAACGACTCGCCTGCCAACCTGGTCAAGAGACAAGGCGTGTTCTGGGATATGCTACGTAATACCGGCGAATATGAAGAGTTGATTCAGATGATTGAGGGAGGCGAGGGTTCGTCCTCGGGATGAGAATAGACATGAACATCGTGAAAATATTTCTGGGACATAATGATATATATAGGGGGATATACAATGCGATCACGATATGAAGATTTAGTAAGTTATTAGTTTTGGATTCCCAAGCGATGTTATTATATATAGCCTAGTTATCAGCTTTAGCTTTGATAGTATTTACGTTTTATAGAAAAAGCCACCCATCCCCATCAAAATGCAAACTAATCACTCCCCCAAATAACCGCCTCCTTCGTTCCCAACCTCCCACACCCCCTCCACTTCCCATGAAACAACAAAACATCAATCCTCTGACTATTATACGCCGTAAACTTCGGCCTCCCGCCACCATCATCAACCGGCAAACTAATCGCAAACGCATCGAACCCGTTCTCCCTCTGGCGATTCACAGCCCTCGCGACCCCTAGCGTCTGATACACAGGGAACGCACCTTCCTCTGTCGGATGCAGATCGCGGAGTCTCTGTAGCCAGTCCTGGATCTGGTACCCTAGAACAGGGTTCTGGCACCGCAGGAGAGCCGCGAGCAAGAGGCCCGAGAAGCCGATGGTGTAATTGTTTCGGGTCAGGGAGGTGCGGAGATCTGTGCCTTGGAGGACGCGGAGGAGGAGAGAGATGAATGGTTCGGAGGGGAGGCATTCGGTGCCGTGGTGGTGCGTGCTGGATGGGAGGGTGGATAGGAAGGAGGGAGAGGTCATGATGCGGGCGATGAGGGCGTAGGAGAAGTTGAGGGCGGAGTCGTGGGTGAGGAAGGTTATGGGGTCGGTGTTGGGATTGGTGTTATGGTAGATGGGTTGCTCGGAGGGGGGAAGGTGGAGGAACCATTGGTCGAGGCGGTGGGATTGCTCTGCTAGGAGTTGGATGGCTGGGTCCTCGGGCGTGGAGTCTTGGGATATTGTGCTACGAGTCCAGTGCTGAAGCGCGGCTTGGAAGTTTAAGCGATGAGATTCGCACATGATGCTGAGGATGGTGACACGACGGTCGTGGAGCGAGGCGCTAGTTTCGTTCAGTGCTTGATGTAAGACGATGGATGGGAGCTGTTGATGCACCTCGATGGAGCTGAAATAGGCACGGGCCCACCAAACCACGAAGCGAACTTGCATCCAGGCAGAGAGTAGTGGTTTGAACTCGGGGGTTGTGACTGTGTCGTGAAGGTCGCTGAAAATGTTCGACAGGCCCTGGACATGGCACGAAAAGCCGTGTAAGTTTCCCATCGAGGACTCGATGTATGCGAACAGAACGAGAACTGCCAGCGCGAGTGTAGCATTGGCCTGGCACTCGACTTGATCTAGAGTAGTGAATCGTTTGATCGCCGAGGAATAGTACAGCTGGCTTCTTGTCTGGTGGATAAGGCTGGGACTAAACGGGCCCATGGACGTAGGTGACTGTGCTCTCTGCTCCGCATGGAGGCGACTCAAATTACAGGACGACAGCGCCAATATGGCGTCTTTCAACATCCCGCTGTCGACAATGAGCCGGGACACGGAATGGAAGATTGGATGCAGTGCCGGGAGACATTGATCTTCCCAGTATGTGGAGTAGAAGATATCCCTCTCTGTGTGCTGCAGAGACCTTATCAGGTCCAGATTTGAGATCTGAGTGTCCTCTGCGCTTCTAGGCTTGGGTGATATATCCGCCGACGACTGTTCGGCCTCCGGCGACACACGCCCTGTAGGCCCAGTCACCACGCGGAATCTGAACTCTGGCCCTCGATCCTGGCAGACCTTCCCTAGCCTAGCGCATGTACCGCATGTTGGCTTTCGCTCATCGCACTAACTGGTGTTAGCTTTTGCTGGACAAGGATTTGACATCAGTGGCGAGGGACCTTGGTTTTTCGTTGGCGACAGGGTTGACAGCCTGTGCGCGATCGGACAATGTCTGTTTTCCTGGGCCTCGGTGGCACAGGCCTGTACATCTGGGCATGACCTAATTTCCTGCTTGTTTGTTTCTCGTGCGTAGTATTTCACATCCTCTGGAGGGGGCGCAGTTGGGAGTCAAGAAGAAGAAAGCCGAAAGAAGCAGAAGTCAAGTATAGACAGCCACTAATCCTGTTCAGGCTAGCGTCGCTCCCGCGCACCGGATGGGGTCTAGCGTCACGTGGATCCACTTTCTCTATAAAAATAAAACCATCTTCTAAGCGACAACTTCTACTACTAATAGCATCCAATGGAGACTCCAATCAATTTGATGACGGCGGTATTTCTACATACTTACTATGCCTCCTTCCTCTCAGTCAGTCTCACAGTCAGATCATCGCCATTCTTCGTCGGCATCATCCCTGGAAACGGGTCTCCCTCAGCCCACCGCGGAAACTTCTGCCCAGGCAACATCTCGATGTCAAAACGATTCAGCAGCAGGGCAACAAACAGGAACGTCTGCTGCTGGGCCACAAAACGGCCGGGACACTGATTCTTGCCACCGCCGAATGGCTTCCAATTCCGACCCATGGTCAGCTTGTTGCCGGTCAAAAATCGGTCCGGGTTGAAGGCCTGGACGTCGTCGCCAAAGGCGTCCGGGTCATAGTGCAGTTGACGACTGGGTACAAGCACTCGGTTTCCTTTTCGGAGCATTTTACTGCCGACCATGGTGTCTTCGGTCAGGAAGCGGAACGAGGCGGCGGACGTGGCCATGCGGAGAGTCTCCATCCAGATGGCGTTGAGCTTGGGACAGTTGTTCTTCAGGTATTCGAGGTCGACGGGACCGTTGCCGAATGCCGGTCGAGTTTCTTCACGCACGATGTCGATGAGCTGGGGGTTGAAGAGGAGGAAAGCGAGAAGCCAGAAACAGGCTTTCCGGGTGCTAGTGTTGCTTCTGCATGAAGTGAGCATCTTGTCTCTGATCAAAATGGGCGGCAGAATCAGAGGTCACCATACCCGATATAAATTGGAACCACCGTCGTGGCCATCTCGCGGGTGTTGAATCCTAACGCCTTCATCTCCGTCTCCATCGTGGTCATCCACCACGATCCGTCTGGCCGATTCTCCCGAGGTGTCTCGAACCATTTCTGAATCGCATCGATAATCCCATCTCGTGCCGCATGCGCCTTGCGCGCAAACGGTGCCGGAATCTCATACAGAATCTGCCAGCTCCGATCCTCCAGCTCGAGGAACGTCCAGACCAGATCGGGGTCGATCTCGCCCAGGCGCTTACCAAAGTACGTCCGCTGGCCCGCGTCCACGAAATAGTCTGAGACAAGTTTTAGAAGCTTCACGTTCACCCAGCCGTCTCCAGAGGCTGTGATGTACCGCTTTCCTGGAAGCCGATCCATCCGCACAGCATCTTCCAGAAAGTCCTTGAAGATGGCAGTGAATTCCGGCAGATGACCGCCCGGGAAAAGCTGCATGCCGTGGAAGTCATGAGTCTTATCGCCGAGCGACCTGCTTTCGATATCGCCGCTGGAAGGAGGAGCGCCGTACAATCTGTCCAGCAGTTCGTCACTGGCGCCACAGCTTCGGATGAACTTGCGCACAAAGATCTCAAAAGACATTGTGGTCGTGTTCTTGTAGATCTCGGCGCTGTCGCGGGCGGACGTCACCACGTAGATTGTTTGACCCATGACTTCCACGGCGTAAGACTCTTTGGAGCCGCGGAAGTATTTGCTGCGCTGGTTAGTATCGAGTTGGATCGTTTGTTGACACAATGCATGATAGACTTACTCTCCATTTCTCAGCAGCACATATGAGTTATTGAAAAATGCCGCGGCATGTCCTGTGCAAAAACCTTTAACATCTACCCCCAGAAATATATAAGGGCCGGAATCTTACCAACGATTGGAATCCAATAAGGAAGCTCCTTAGGATCGTGCGGATAAAGTCTGGGACGAATCACGAACCTCCAGAAGCGCCATACCAGCAGGGTCAGACAAAGACCGACAATTGGGAAAAGGTAGCTATTGCTGGGCACTAAGGCGACAGTAAGAGATGAAGCCATGATTCACAATGCCGCTTCAAAGCAATAGATATACCTACATGTCGGGGTATCTACAGCCGCAGGTACCGTCCTTTTATTTCTGTCATCTGTGGCTCCTGGAGTTCTCGACCGTCAGCAAGCTGAGAGGCGATGAGAGGGTGAACGTCATGCCACGCAGAAGGATCTAGGTGATTAGTAACCCCGTGTTCAGATCTTGTCTGAGATTCCTTGGTCTTTGGGAGTCATAGACTAACCTACAACGGACCAGTAGATTGGCCAGGAAGAGAACAAGAGGCACAGTAGAGTCATGCTGCGTACGAAAACCAACCGATGAGTGGTTTCTGATAACAAGATCTAATCCAGTGAGCAGGCTGAGTTGAATCCTGGGAGTATCAAATTGCTTACAGGGAGAGCCAAGTCAGGATTGCTAGGTGTCAGCAACCAAAATAGAAGTTAATATTCAGCCTGAAATCATGCCTCGACTTGGCCATACAGTTTTCTCGATTTTATAGACTGGGAAGTTTCTAATAGAAGCCCAATCAATCGACACATGCACCGAGGCAAACGTATCCGAGCCGCGATTTGTCGATCGATTTTGACTGATTAGTTGTCAGCCTGATCTCCTTGGTCTGGTAGCTTTGTTTACGAGGATCCTGACCTTCGTTCCCCAACACCTTAAATAATGCCCTGCGGCTTTCAATTCTTGTCCATTCGCAAAATGATTTCAGAACGAGACGCCTCTCGAGCCGATCAGTTTGAATGTTTCAGATCACCCGTTCTAACCTTCTGGTATCCCCATCGGCTACGACTCCAAAACACTGGAATTTCCTGTGCCTCTGGGCAGCCTCGCCGTCACCAGCCTTGCCATAATTAACTTCGCCTCGAAGGTAGTCAGAAACTAAACGCCGAAGTTATCGCGCCAGGACACGATGCTCGTTGAATGGCTTGTCTCAAGCCTGTAAGCACTACTGTAAGGTCGTGCTATCTCTGACTCGAATCATCTACCATAGCCGAGCTGGAGTGAACCGGGTTCGCTATAGGCGGTATATACACTTTTGCTGGAGGGTATTTCGTCACCCACCATCAGACCATTTCCCGCATGCAGGACCTTGGTTAGACGTGGAAGGATCACGCTAAAGCTGACTTTTGGTACCTGACCCTGGAGCCTTTCGTGCTTTCCATGGAGGCAACCACAGCCGTACGTATCCCTGCCCGGGATTGGTCTTGTCCCAGAGTCTCCTCGTCAGCGGCTGATTAGTACTCGGCTTAATGGGAAACTGTGCCATCTCACGGCGTGGATCATTCTCGTATAGTCCCCTACTACTGTTGCATGCAGATGTTGGTCTCGATGAGCCATCTCTACGGCGTCTGCTGAATACGCCAGGAGAACCATGGGAGATTACTACCGTAAAGTCTTATTTTCGGTCCGAGGCGCACTGCTGGGGTATATTGCTTTGTGAACACGTTGGAATTTTGATTCAGGCTGACAAGAGCTTCTCCATGCGACACGCCGTTATTGGTCATTTCGCAGTGGTCGTAGCTGCGGCAATAACCCTGGCAGTCTGAAAAGAAACTGTGGATGAACTTGACATTTTCTGAGTCATTCGAAAGGATCGACGTTAGTTCGCCTTGGTCAGAATAACAGAGTCCAGTATAAACACTAACGAACGGGCTAGAAGGCCTGAAGGCGAGCAGGGATCAGCGAAGAGAGGAAGCGATCCGTCGTAAGCGCTGGAGGAATGCTGACAGCCTAAGGAGCGAATTGTCAGAAAGGATGGAAGAACACAGCATCTTATAAAATATCCATTGGGCTAATGTGCTCTGTGTGTCACCAGAAAGCAGCTTCGACCCTCCACATTACCATGATTCAACTACCAATCTACATATCCGGAGTTCTCGTTCATCTCTACATCCTCACAAAGCTCTGCCTCCACGCCGCAACCTACCTCTTCCCATCATCAATCCATGAGTATCTCTCCACCACTGAAGACCACGAATCCTGGGCCCTGATCACCGGTTCCACAGCCGGCATCGGATTCGGGTTTGCACAAGAGCTTTGCGCGCACGGATTCAACGTCATCATCCACGGAAAAGACGACCAGGAACTCCAGGATGCAGCGGCCCAACTCCGCAGCGCCTTTCCCCTGCGGTCTATCCGCACCTTTCTCTTCGATGCCTCGACCCCCACAGCCTCGCTCGCTACATCCCTGACCCCCGTCCTGCAGGACATCTCACTCCGCGTGCTCGTCAACAACGTCGGTGGCCAAGGCGGCCAGACTAGATCGACGTACCAGCGTCTAAGGGACTTTTCCAGTGAAGAAGTGACGCGTGTCATGAACGTCAACGCACACTTTACTACGCAGCTTACCCGCATTCTTCTTCCAGTGTTATCGCGTGCGCCGTCCCTCGTGCTGAATATCTCGTCTCTCTCCGCTACAGGTCTACCGTACCTTTCTGTCTACGCTGCTTCCAAAGCATACATTGACTCTTTCACGCGCGCATTGCACGCCGAGATGCGCGCCGAGAACATGCCCGTGTCCGTCCAAGGCATCATCTGTGGGAACGTTCAGAGCGACGGCCATCCGCTCGCGGAGGGGTGGTTTGTGCCGACGTCGAGGGGCATGGCGCGCGCGGCGCTGCAGCGTCTGGGACCAGGATCAAGACACAGCCCCGGTTTCAGACTAGGTTATCGGCCGGTTCTGGTGGCGGCCTATTGGCCGCATGTGCTGCAGGCGTGGGGATATGATATTCTGCCGGAGGCGGCTCGGGAGTGGATTTCCATTCGGGTCTTGAGGGGGTTGAAGGATGAATGGGAGAGCGTGGACAGGAGGGTGAGATGATGAGGGATCAGGGATTGGCGTCAGCTGCCGTAAGCCCTAAGGAGTGGGATACGGGGAGTAGTTTCCATGATTATCAATTCTGACTCCATGGTTGACGAGGATTAGATAAAAAAAAAAAAAAGAGATCAGATTTATGCTGCACCCTGATGAAGGAGTGTTTCAGTGACCCGGGATTCTCAGGTCGGACCAGAGAGCAAACGGGCTGAAAGCAATTCCTCAGAACTGTCCACATACGCATGATATCTTCTCTTCAACATACCCAGGTAAGATCATCAGTACGCCTTGTCCCATCTGATATCAGCAAAATGCCATGGATCCATGCATCGGAATATGCCTTATTGACCTGCCGATTCCAGAACCCAAGCGACCCGCTGAGCCCCAGACTCGGAGCTTAAAACACATCAATATTACTCCTAGTGGGACGCGAACGTGGGATAAGATTTTAGTGTTCAACTCCTGCCGATCCACGTCGCGATGACGCCAAGATAGCGACCATCAGTCCATGCATATGCCACATGTCATATCACCCCGAATGGAGTAAGAATGCGGGGGATCTCATCCTCTGGGGGAGAATAGTCCGGTCTCTGTCAGACAGCCATGCAGCGAGTTGTTATCCATAGGATAAGCCTGGACATTGTCCCTGTCCCTGCCATGGTTGATGTTATTAAGGCTTATTAGTTTCGGTCCAGTCATACAGCTCTATTACTGACAAGGTCGGGTCGCCGCCGTGACCGCGAGGACTTCCTTGATTGATCGTCAGGATATCAAAGATCAGGTAGGCTTGCGCTTTGTTGTTCGAGGCTGACCTATCGGAAGCAAGATCTTTCCCACGAGATAAGGGAATCACATCGATTGATTGCTTGCAACTCGACCGTTTGATATGCGTTTTGAATTGCGGAGGATAGGTCTATTCTTATCGCATGCGGGGCAGTGGCCTGGTGAGAAATAAGACTGACATTAGGGACGTGAAGACGTACCTTTGGATGCTCTAATTGTCGCTTCACACTACTACATACCTTGCGTGGTGTGACTCTTGACTATGTGAAAGGAAGAACCCAGGGCTGTCTATCAGACCGTTAGGCCTTGCGGGAGTCTGAAGGACTACACTCGAATTTAAGGTCTTAACCAAGTTTTATACCACGAAGATGGAGTTCGAAGTTTTCAACAAGAATATGTTCAGGGATTAGGTTGCCCTTTGGCATTCAGATACTTGAGTCTGGCATGTCTGCAAAAGAGCAGCTATAAGATCCAACGCAGCGTGCGATCCCGGGATAAACGAATCTCTTTTTCATTCTTATATGGACTTTGATATGGCACATTGCAAAACAATATTCCTTGCAGATTATGGTTCCGACGAGTTCTCACGCACATGTTGAGTACACAGCGTCGTAAGCAATGAGACGAAGGGCGCAAATCTTAAAGATTTGACCGTTGCCACATATCTGCTTCGGGGCATAGAATGGCGTAGTAATTACTTATTGCCGTGTCGACTACTCCGTATGACCGAGAGGAGCCCTTGACGAGACCAGCAGAATATCGGCACGTCACCAACAGCCCGTCACAATACATCCAGTCAGATGTAAACTCTGATTAAACGTCAGTTGACCCCTCGGTATACTTCCATCGGTGAAATAGTACCGTGCCGCCGTCTCGCCACATGCCGGATCGGCGGAGTGGTTGCTTCACCGATCCGTCGGGATAGCAGAGAGTTCCCGATATACCAGCAACACCTTATAATCTATAGATATGTATATGTAGCTAGAGGCAGGGCACCTTCGCAACGATTCATCGACCCTGATAATTTTCTTTGGTTGCAAGAAAAATAATACCAACCACAACCCCCACAATGGATTCAACCACCCTAGACCGACTCTCCGCCCTCGACACCAACACCGTCTCCGACGCCCTAGACTTCCTCCAACTCAAAGGAGCCACCTACGGCCTCCGCCCCCTCTGGGACTGTCCCAAGATCGTCGGGCGCGCCAGCACCATCACCGTCGGGCCCAAGACAGATGCCAAACCGACGACGCACCTGCTCACGCCGGTCATCGACGCCGTGACCACAGACGACCGCATCCTGGTCATCTCCGGCGGCGCCGAGGGTGTGTCCTGTTGGGGCGATATCGTTGCGAATGCCTCGCGCGTGAAGCAGATCCGCGGCACGATCATCGACGGCATGAGTCGCGATATCGACGGGAGCCGCGACGTCGGGTATCCCGTCTACGGCCGCGGCGTGACGATGATCAGTGCAAGGAATCGGCTCGTGCAGGTGGACTCCGGGTCACCGGTGCAGATGCGAGGTGTTACCGTGAATCAGGACGACTACGTGATTGCGGATCGGTGCGGGAGTGTATTTGTTCCTGCTGGGCGCATTGATGAGGTCCTGGATTTGGCGGAACGGATTGATCGGCGACAGGCGCTGATGGTTCAGGACGTGCGTGCTGGCAAGCCAGTGTCGGAGGTGATGCATGATTCGAAGTTCGAAGCCATTCGCCAGGGCGGTACTACTGCCCCTACACAGGCAGCTGCGCCGTCACCTCGGAATCCCAAAGACGCGAGCCCCGAAGACCAGGAGCTCTCAGCTCTCTTCGCCGACTCCGACACCCCTGCCGTCTCTGACGCGCTGGATAAACTCGGCATCAACGGACAAGTATTCAACATCATGCCTCTGGCCAACTACCAGAAAGTGACCGTCGGACCGGCATTCACAGTCCGCTACGTACCCGCCAGCAACCCGCCCGGCAGCGTAGGCGATTTCATCGACGACGTTGCTATCGGCGACGTGGTGGTTATCGACAACGGCGGTCGCACGGACTGCACCGTCTGGGGCGATATCATGACGCAGTACGCTGGGATTCGCGGCATTGCTGGGACGGTGATCGACGGCGTATGTCGGGACGTCAACCGGGCGATTAGCGACGATTACCCGCTTTTCACTGCTGGACGGTGGATGCGGACGGGCAAAGATCGCGTTCAGGTCGGGGGCGTCAATGAGCCGGTCGGTGTTGGCAAGGTGCGCGTGCAGCCCCGCGATATTGTCGTGGCTGATGCAAATGGTGTGGTTGTTGTTCCGAGAGATCGAGCCAGGGAGGTGGCAGAGGTTGCAAGAAAGGTCGAGAAGAGCGAAGAAGGGATCCGCGAGTTGATTGCTGGCGGTGCTTCGATTGCGGAGGCGAGAGAGAAGCTCGGTTATCACACGCTGCAGCGAAAGGGTTAAGATGGAATTGTTGTTATGAACATAAATTGATGGTTTTGGATCAACTCTTTATATGGTAGCCAATCTTTCTCTAAACTGGTATATGAATGCAAACAAATCATGGAAGTTTGAGTATTTATACACACCGCGTTCGCTAATATTACAGAAAATGCTCAATGGGGATTCGCTTGTGCAAACGTACCTTGGATACTATAAAAAGTGCTTCGGCATACATCTTGGATTGAAACAAGTTTGTCAATATCAATCAAGCACAGCTTGACCATTTCTATTTACATCCCTATGACCTCGCCACCTTCAACTCCGAAACATACCAATTCTGAAGCCCCCGAATATCATAACTCATAGCCACCGTATCAAACACCTTCAGATGCTCCTTGCTCGCTTCCCCATCATTCGACAACCGGCCCACCCATTTCCCATGCTTCCTCGCGGCCGCCACGATCCTATCTATGGCGTCGACGAACTCCGGCTCATCGCCCTTCGCAGGGACATATCCAAGAACCGACAGGGCCAAGTCATTTGGCCCGATGAATAGCATATCTAGACTGCGTTAGCGAAACACCCTTGACAGGCCGGCCACTTCGTAGCTAGAAGAAGAAAGAAAGGAATAACTAACCAACCCCATCCACCGCACAGATCTCATCAACCTTCTGAACCCCCTCTTTCGACTCAATCTGCAAACAAGTGATAAGCGTCTGATTCGCCGTTTTCAAATAAGTCGGGATATCGATGCCATGCGTGATGGCCGGGAAAGCAGAGCCCTGGCCCCTGCTGCCCTGTGGCGGAAACTTAGAGCATTGAACCACGGCCTTTGCTTCTTCTGCGGTGTTGATTTGAGGAACGACGATGCCACTGGATTCCGTTAGCTCAGTTACACTACTGAACTGACACACCTAGACAGGAAGTGCAGGGCTAAACTCACTGAGCACCGGCGTCTAACGCCCGTTTGACCAGGTCCGAGTGCGTCATTCGGAGGCGAACGAGTGGGGAGATGCCAAGAGAGGCAATAGCTGCTGTAGAGCTGTGCATGGAGTCATCGCTGATGTGGCCGTGTTCGCAGTCGATGATGATGCCCTGGCTAACATGTCAGTGGGGATTCAGAGTAAGGGTAATCGGGAGGGGGCTAACGTCGACGCCGGTCTGTGCCACTATTTGAGCAGTTCGGAAAGACGGAAGACCCAGGAATGTCATGATTGGCTTTGCGTTGGATCGGAGGGCATTGAGGAGGCGGAGATGGGGGTTGTGAAGTAGGCTGGTCATAGCTGATGGGTATGCCATTTTGTTGATCGTGGTGGGTATATGGTTTGGGTTGTGCAATTGGGTTCCTAAGAGGACTAGAAAGGATGGTGATGGAATGTACAGTAAGAGGTATTGGACTGTAGTGATATAGACTTGCAATCCTTATATCAGAGAGATTCGGCTGTTCGTTGACGATTCTCGGGATGATGCATTTATGCCGAGCGGTGCTTAACTGCAGCACTTTGACCTTTTACCGGCAGTTATGATCGGATTCAATCATTGATTACCGATCGGAACGTTCGATTTATGCTCATGATTTACTTTAATGCAACCTATCTTAGAAATAGATAGCTTTTTGCAAGTCTACATGGCCAAAGTTCAGCCAACCATCAAGCTTTCCAACTGACATGCTAGCCATGCGGTGGTGCGTAACTCTACAACTGATTGGTCATCGTATTCTTGGTTCTAACGCAAGTATAGATGTTTCATTGTCAAGTCCGATTGGTGAGTTCTGAGTAGATTGACTATAAAAAACCACAGTCTTCCGAAGTATACTAAGCGACATGTTCCTGAGTATAAACCAGAGATCTCCAGATAGAATCGCACAGTTAGCCAGTATAGTCTTCCCTCCTTTTCTATTAACAATGAAGAAAAGTTCATTGTTGTTGCACACGAGAAAGCTGAACAATGTAAGATGTCACGCGACACTCAAACCCTAGATTTTACCTATTCTAGCCACCAGCCTCTTTCTTCTACCTTTTCATATACAATCTAGTCTCCATTACCAGTCTATTCCATTCTATTCTATTCTATCCCCTCCAATCCACCCAAAAGTCTAACCCACCCTTTCCAAAAACCCCTCAATCCGCCTCCACATCTCCACCGGATTCGAATACATCGGAAAATGGCCACTCTTCGGGATCAACGCCAACTCGACGCCCTCCCCCTCTAATCTCGGCAAATACGACAATCCCCGATTCTCCTCTCCAAACATGAACATCTTCGGACACTGCAATCCCAAAAACATCCCCAGCAGATCCTCCCCATCTGACAGCCCCACCATGGACTCAAAGATCGGCCGCACCGCGCCCGCCTGCACCCGCGCGCGCAGGGTACTCGCGTACAACGGGCTCCCGAAGGATGGCGTCTCGCGGGTGCGCGCGATGAACGCGTCCAGGAACGCCTCCGGGTCGTCGAAGGGGAAGTTGAAGATTTGGCGGCTGAGGAAGCAGTCTTCGGGGGCGAGGTTGCCTTTTATGTCGACGAAGCTGAGGACGGCGGAGGGGGATTGGGCGGCGAGGAGGAGCGCGGTCAACCCGCCCATGGAGTGGCCCATGAGGTGGAATTTGGGGATTTGGAAGTGAGAGAGGACAGCGGTGGCGGTGGCGACGAGGAAGGGGATGTCGGTGGCGGAGAGGTTGTCGCTTTGCGTGTGGCCGCAGCCGGGGGCGTCGAAGGCGATGTAGCCGTGGTGTTGCAGGGCCGGGTGCAGGATGACGTCGGCGAGGTCTTCTTTGCAGGAGCCGAAGCCGTGGAGGAACAGGATGGGCGGGTTGGAGGTGAGGTGGTGGATGGTGGAGAGGCGGAGGTTCACGCCTTGTACTTGAAGCGGGATTGTGGTGTATGTGAGCGCCATTGTGAGCGAATGAAGGAATTACAGATGATTGAAGGTACGAGTATGAATTCCGGAGATGGTCTGGAATTAATAAGTTAAAGATCATGATTTAACTTTAAGGTTCGGTCCACGCGCTCGGCGAAATTTCCTCACGCCGTTACGGGGAACCGGGGAAGGCGGTTCTCGGCCACGGATCATGCCCGAAATTTAGAAGTCTATTCTCAACTATCTATGGTATCAGCTTGCGAACCGGGCGAAAAATGAATAACCTCGGTGCAATGCATTGTCCCCGGTCAATCCATCCCACTATGCACCGGAGATCTGCTGATGCTCCGACGGCCACGTCGAAATAACGGTTGCCTCGCCTGTCAGGGTAAATGGAAGCACCACCGACCGCTCATTGTTGAGGGCCAGTTCGTACCGACCCGGGTAAAGAACCCGATTGCCCTGTTCGTCGGTGCGCGCCACGCTATCGATGGTCACCGGGACTGCAAAAGTCTGAGAGGACTTGGGCTCCAAAGTTGGGAGGCGGTCGAATCCAACAAGCCATTTGTTGGGGTACGGCGCAGGCCCGGCGGTAGTGTTGGCGAATAACATCCCCGTATAATCCGAGGCCGTGTTGCCGGTATTGGTGATACGGGCAGTGAAATTGAGGAATGGCTTCTGCTCGACCGTGGCGTAACCAGGATGGGGTTGAGTGAGAAGATCGTCAATATTGAAGGACGACCGGTTTCTGGCGCCGCTCCCTGATTCACGGAAGGTCGTGTAGAAGAGGCCATGGCCAAACTCGTAGACAGGGGTTCCCGTATACCAGATGTAAGTCTGTCCCGGATTGCTTCCGTTTGGTCGGAGACCCATGTCTATGGCAGGGAATTCTTCCGCATACTTGGCGTGATATTGGGTGGTGACCAGACGACCGGCCGGGGCGCGTTTGCCAGTAATGATATCCAGCAAGGCTTGGCCACCAGACTGGCCTGGATATCCTCCCCAAAGCAAAGCGCCCACATTCTTGTTGGACTTAAGTGATGAGGAATCGACTTGCCCGGCACCCATCTGAAGCACAATCAGCGGCTTTCCCAGCTGGCTTAGTTGATCAATTAGGTCCAGCTGCTTGCCGGGCCAAGTAATGTTAAGTCGGTCTAAGGTCTCCGATTCTAGGGTATTGTCAATGCCGCCAGCGAAGATAATAACATCCGATTTCCGTGCAGCCGCAAGTGCTTCGGAGAAGTCCTCATCGGAGTCGGAGGTGATGTTGGTGCCGAAAGCGTAGTTCACGTCCAAGTTCGAGGCCTCGAGTGCATCCAAAGTGCTTGTTAGGTAAGGGGCAGGTCCGAAATAGTTACCCTGCATCTGCGTCGTTGCGTTGGCCCACGGACCGATAAGTGCAACACTACTAGTCGAGTTCGTAAGTGGGAGAGTCCCATCATTCTTCAGCAACACAGTTCCTTCAACTGCAGCTTCGTAGGAAATATTCCAAGCGTCCGTCTTCACGACATCGGACCAGGTCAAGTCACGGTACTTGCTGCTATTGCCATCGAAATAGCCCAGTCGCACGAGATTTGTGTACAGGCGGATGACCCCCTTTTCGATGTCTTGCCGTGACAGCAGGTTCTCATCGAAAGACTCGCTGAAGTAGTATTGATAGGAGGTTCCGCAGTCAATATCGGTACCCGCCCGGATGGAATCGGCAGCTGCGGCAGACTCGTTTGCCGCATACTGGTGAGGATTGAACACGTTGTACACAGCTCCACAGTCGCCCGACACATAGCCATCTTCGACGAAACCGAACGTCTCCCGGAGGAGAGTCTGCAGGAAGAAGGAATTCGAACAACTGGGTACGCCATTTACCGCATTGTAGGAGCACATCACGCTGCGGACCTTGGCATCACGGGCTGCGACGAGGAACTGCGGTGTGTAGTACTCCGAAAGGTCTTGCTGGGTGATTTGCATGTCATTGCCCAAGCGTGAATGATCATTCCAGTTTTCAATATCGTAGCCCGCATAGTGCTTGGCCGTTGCGACCAGCTTCAGATGATCCGGATCCACGCCGCCTTGGATCCCAGTAATGTACTCGTATGCATATACAGAGCTTAAGCAATAGGCATCTTCCCCAGGTGTCTCTTGACCACGACCCCAGACAGGGTGGCGGAAACTGTTGATGTTGGGGGAGTACGTATCGAGAGGGAACCGACCGACGTTGCTGAAGGCGCGGCCTTGGGTAGAGATGATATCTCCAATCTGGTGGATCAGGGATCGGTTCAGCGCCGCCATGGTCAATATAGGCTGAGGGAAAGACGTTGCCCAGCTCCAATCGCCCTCGGGGGTGTTATTGGCGTGAAAGATTCCATGAAGAGATTCTCCCCAGACCTGATAAGGTGGAAGGCCCAGTCGCGGAACCCCCGGGCTTGTATTACCGGTGTTGTTGACGAGCTCTTCGAAAGTGAACAACGAAATAAGAGCGGCCGCGCGATCATGGGCCCGAGCCGATGTATCACACACGAGGGTTTTGCTGAGGGGACCATTTTCACAATCGGGGAATCCCAAATCAATCGTAGCGACGCATTGAGGAAAAAGGTCTGGATTCGATTCAACGTTGTAATCGACGTAGCTCTTGTTTGCCTGAGCTAACGCGGTGGGCAGTAACGCCACCAGCGCGGCAGCGATCGAAGTAAGAGAAGGCATAGCAAAACTGCCCGGGACGATGCTTGAGCTCCTGCCTGAATACGGGCAGCCCAAAGGGCAATTTATAGCTTTCGGTTGTCATATTGGCGAGGCAGCAAGAGACACTGCTCCCGTGCATGGAAATCCGGCCAGGGAAAATGTACAATTTCCCCGACTCCGCACTCCACAGCTCAGGCCAAATCCAGCAAGTCCCGCAGTCGATCCGACATTCAGGCGCGGGGATTGTCCGACTTCAAGCAAAACAAAACCGAGTTCTCGTCGATATTCTGTATGCAAGCTTGATTTAGCCTGAATGTTGCGTTGGTCCTATTGACGTCAGAGCTCGCCCTGTGCGGGAGGAGAGATCTAAGGATTGTTGCTACTCCGTATGTATGCCGAAAATTACTCCGGGTACCCTCGTCGATTTGTCGAAGAAGTGACAAGACTCAGATTAGCGGAATTCTTTCCGACCGCCCTGTCCTAGGGCATTATTTCTGTTCTTCTGGGGGGAAGCCTTGCACGATGGCGCAACGGTGAAAGCCCCTTGCCTTCCAGACTTCCAGCAACCGAGCACGGCATTTGAGACACCAGTTTAGCCAGAAAGAAGGCGGTTGATTGATTGTTGCATGATCCAGTTTCACGGGATGAAAGGATTCGATCATGAATACATTCAAGTGGCAGTATCTCCACTCCCCATTGCAGTATTTAGCCGATGGAGCGAACCTAATGCGCGCCGAGTTCAAGACGCGTCCATCATTGCTTTTCAAGGAAGAAAACAAGGTTCTGGATGATTTCGGGGTAATTCATCGCTCCCACATCGAGGCAGCCATTCTATTTGATGGCAGAAGTTCGGCGAAACCTCCTGGGGGATGCCAAAGGATTGTGCTTGCGAGTGTGGCTGATGCTTGTTCAGTCCGCGGGAGATCCGATCACTCCAGGGGCTTATGTAAGGGGCTTTACATTCTTGGCTTGGATCAGCAAAACTGCAACTTGGACCTTCATAAGGAGAGAAGATGAATATTTGAGAAATCAAAACTGTCTGGGTTATTCTGAGCTCCAAAAGCTCCTGCGAACTGTGCCATGAGCCAGGCACAATACGAAGATGGCCATCGAGAACTCAACACAGAAAAGGAGGCTTGGCGCTGACTTCTGCTCTCCCGCGGATCCGTCTCTCTTCATGTCCCACAACGCTCTCGCTTTGAATCCACACTTCTCTTGCTTCGTATTAGTATAGCCCTAGATGTGACACAGGGTTTCTCTTTCCGTTCGTCGATCTATATCGTCTTTCATAATGCTCCGAAGACGAGCCCACAAGAAATCCAGGCGAGGCTGTTCGGAATGCAAGAAAAGACACATAAAGGTAGCTCTCTGTTCCTCTGCCACACCCAAAGCCTCCATAGACCAAGTAGAATCGCAGGCTAAATCTGACCACAGTGCGACGAATCAGTACCACAGTGTGGATTCTGTCTTGGTCGGAAGCTGGACTGCATGTACGGCGATTCCGTCGCACCCGCCACGCCCAGTCCCAAGGCCCAATCGCCAGATTCTTCATCCAACCGCTTGCTAGAAGCAAAACTGCTCCATCACTACTACACTAATACAAGTAATACTGTCTCCAGTCCTAGTGACTATCACCAGTGGCACAACCTTTTCCCCGAGGCGGCCACCTCCCATGCCTATGTCTTGGACAGCGTTCTAGCATTTACAGCCTTGCATTTTGCATATCTAGAGCCCAACAGCCGGCAGACCTGGCTAGAAATTGGCTCACACTACAATAACAGAGCATGTTCGGAGCTGAGGAGGGTCGTGGGTCAAGTTTCCGCCTCGACCCTGCGGCCAGCCTTGGTATGCTCAATTTACATTGCTTTGTTCGCGAACGCTCGCATTGCGCTATTGGGCGATAAAATCCAATCAAGCCATCTGGCTGATATTCTCCAGACAAGGACGCTTCTGAAAGGCTGTCTCTTCTTTCACCAAACCATGGAGAACATGAACATTCGTTCGGGTCTGAGGATGGAACAATATCTATGGCGAGACAACCCTTCCGAGAACCCCTCCTCCCCTAGGTTAGTATCCAAACCACACCCGCTCTTTATCATGCTGAAGTGATTTGCAGCCCTGTAGTACCAGGTCCAACCGTCCGTCGGATGGGTACTTTGGTGCTGGAAAAGTTCAAAACGGAACCCGGTCAAGGCAACCAGTCTCGATTCGAGATCTGCGCGATCGCATGCCAAGGGTTGATTGATAGCATGGATAGTCAATATACCGTCGAGACCCAGGGCCGAAACTTATTCCTCTGGCCTTTGTCGCTGGACGATTCGTTCATGGAATTGCTTCAGACGAACGAGTTTCCGGCTCGGCTGGTGTTTTCGCTGTATGCATTGGGAATACACTTTTTCAAAGGATTCTGGTATATAGGAGAAGCGGGCTACCGGCTCGGGAGGGAGCTTCTGCCGTTATCAGAGCCGGTGTCGGAGTATTGGGTCGACGTCACGACGTCTCTAAGGGCGGAATTTGAGATCGACCGAGCGGTTCAGTTTTAGGCCTTGATTTACTATGTAAATGTAGGATTGCTGAGCATGATGTACAAATTATTTGTTTTATTTCAATTGAACCCATGAGTCAAGGGGCCACAACTACAGAGCGCTAAACTAGGACAGGGCTAACATTGCCAGGCTAGTCAGAAAACTAGTATGCAGCCAAATCATTCTCATTATTCCATTGTACGACAACATTCTAGATTGCCTGATCCACCATCAATTTCAACCGCGGGATCTCACCGTGCAATCCGAGCTTGGCATTAAAGATTTTCATAGCCGTGTCGATCCTTCTGAGTCAATCACGACCTTTACCATGAACACTCTTGGCTTGGATATATATCGTTTCGACTATCATTAGACCAGTCACCCAACAGCATGGATGAGATTCTAGGTCCAGGTATGTCTACATCCTACCAATAAATCGAAAATATCAAATTAATTCAAAATTAAGAACCCCCGGAGCATCTCAACGAACCATCCGAGCCCGAACATGTCACCTTTGATCTAAAGCGTGAGCTCGCTGAAATGATAGACGCCGACAATCTACATGGCGAGATATCCTCATTCCACTATCTCATGCGTCCTATTTTCGAAGGTAAATACCTCCTCTATACACCCAACAACCCTAGCCCTGTAACCCAACCCCTAACTAATCCCAGGCCACCACGTTCTCGCCATGGGCCCCTTCCACTCACGTCATACCTTCTTGTTCATCTGTATCCTTAACCTTATCAACACATCCACTAACCGTAGCCCTACCACATCATCATCGTTGTCACCATTATGTCAATCTATCGTCCTCACCTCCAGCCCTTCCTTCAGCTACGTACTTCACAAAATCGCCAACAGAGTCGGCTCTCACTTCCACCCTCCCATACACACCCACTGCTGCTTTCACAATCGAACGACAGGTGCCCAAACCGAAGCCACGGAGTTATCAACCTCTCCCCTCCCAGAAATTGCAGTAGACACCCCGGGGCGAATGCTTTACTACCTTCAGCGCGGGGCTCTTGAGTCACGGAATCTAGGCATTATTGTGCTGGATGGGGTAGATGAGCCGTTTGATAGGGGGTTTGGGGAACAGGTAGTGGATATTTTGAGATTGTGTTCATGTTCATGCTCGTTAGGTGGGGAGAGGAGGGCCAAGAAGATGCAGGTTGTGGTGCATGTGGGTGATATGTGTCGGTGGAGGGAGATTTGGGGTTTGATAGGGGAATTTGTAGGGGGAGGGAAAGAGGTGGTTAGGGTTTGGGATGAGAGTGTATTGCGTCAGACGGTGGTGCTTTGGCCGTGGAGAGTTGCGGATTGGGTGAGGTTGGGGGCTAATACTTGAGGGTTTGTTCTTGGGGGTTTACATATGATCAATGGGTGGGATGTTCTGGAGAGAAGCAGCTTTGTCTGGCGATACTTTCGTCGAAGTCCCTGGAACTGGTCTCGCTAATCAATCGGACTTGTACGACTTGAAAAGATGCGCTGGTCTGTCATGACCATTCTGTAATGGCTACCTGCATATTGAAAAAGCCTCGCTTCCTCGAATGTGACATCGCAATATCTGCATATGGGCTGTCGCCCGGGGTCATTGCCTTGTGGATGTGATCGTTATTCCCCTCTAACTCCCCGTAGGATCGGACTCATGCTGTTGGTGCCATCTTCTAGGGCAATTCTCTAAAGCAATATAGATCTACACTGATAGCCAAAGATCTTGAAATGTTCTTTAAAGAACAGATCAAAATTACTCTCATCAATGATGATATAGAAATTCAAATGTTAGCTCCATGCGGAAGTCTTATACTTATTTAATTATCTTGAATCAAGGAGAAACTGAAAGTAGAGACAACGAGAGGAGGGGTTACGACTGACTAAGTATAAGGGGGTTGGAGAGGAGTGTATGCTATATCTGTTATGTTATTCCAATATGCGCGATAGCATGTCAAGGCTGGATTGTTGGCATGGATAGTCAGTATACAGTCGAGACCCAGGGTCGACACTTATTTCTCTGGTCTTTGTTGTCTGACGCGGAATTGCTCTAGGCGAGGTAGATAAATGGAATGCTAATCAACTAGACTTTTCATATGGCACTAGTAAGTACTAGCTACCATTCCCAGGGGCCCAAGCTTCGTATGAGAGAAAACGATGTTCATCTAACGCAATGTGTTGTGTCTTTATTGGTGACAAACAGAACACCTAGGATAGATAGCGTCCTGCGATAGCTCAATCCTTGCCCAATAGTGTTCTACTAGCAACCAATCTCTACATCGACCAATAACCCATGATATCATGACCTCTTTATGGTTCTTTAGGAGAAACAAGGTGTGGCGCTAAACCACGGCCCACAAGGCAAGAGTGGGCCGCAACCGCAACTTAAACAAGGCCTAAATATGGATTTTTAAAGCCTTGTCAAAAGTTATGAAAATTAGAGAGAACATTCGAAAAGCCAAACAACATGAATATAATAAAGTAAAATAGAGAGCTTAGAGTGACGAGATACTTTCATATTTGGTATATTCAAGACAAGCCGGGCATGTAGCGCTGCGATGCATGTATTCGCTGTTCAGCATATTCAGCAGTGCTTACCCCGCCCAGATGTGCATAACCCCCGGTTGGTTTATATCCATCTTGGAAAAAGTACTGATGCAACTTGCATATGGTAGAAAGGTTGCAGCCACCCCGCTTTACTGATTTGCTTCTAAGCGTACGAGCCTACCCGGTGTTCTACTGCGTCGACACCGCTTGAGCTATAGTGCAGAGGGCTCGAAACAGTTTTGTAAGTCTAGGATACCTTAGACCTAGGATAGCATGACATTAGGTACTAGTTACTACTACCAGTTGCCGAGAATGCTCCCATACGTGATCAGGGTTTATTTGGTCTCTTAGACATGCCATGGACTCCCATGTTGCTTTTCCGGATGAAGGGCAGGTCAAAGAGGCACCAACTAATTAGACTGCAGCAAAGCTCAGGCCGCCACATCTGGAAGCATAATCCCCACACACACAGTATAGGCCGATAGGCATAGTCGCAATCCACCTTTTAGTGGACCCCGAGGTAAATGCAACGCCTAGGCAGCTGAAAGATGCATGACTCCGAAAGCATGCCCTAATCATACATCCTTGTGACCATTCATAAACTATAGACGGCAAACGTATAAGTAGAGCGTGTCAAATAACGACGGTGGCTGGCGGGCTGAAGAGTCGATGCAAATAATCCCATGAGCTATTCATCCTATCTTGTATCCATGACCAGAGAACCTGGTGATTCAGTTTGTATACAATGAGTAGAGCTGAGAGTCCTTGCGTGAGCTCCCAATAATATGCTATGCATTGCAGCACCGCATGCCAGTGGCTGAAATTGCCTTTATTATTTCCGACTGGCGCGGCCCTGTGCATTTCCCCTCCTTTAGATGATTCTCCACTCCAGAAACAGCCCTCCATTCACCAAGGTAGTCCAGAGCTGTGAGATGATCAGCCCCTCGTCACTTTTATGATATATCATACTATAGACATCTAGAACCTCCGCACCGACGATCCCTACCCTACAGGCATCAGGTGGTACTGTGCGCCTTATATATGATTGGATGTGCTGCAAGCTCCTCGCGAAGTAGGTAGACGCAACATGCGGAATCACTGCCTTGTCATCTCTCTTGCTGTATGCAAAAAGGTTGCAACCTTCCCAACGTACTTATGAACAGCGAGTCATAGTGAAAACTTGAATTCCAGGAGAATCCCCGGGCTGGGTCTACACGCTGGGGCCCTGTATACGTGTACACCTCTTTTGATCTGCAGCCGGGCTATCGTCCGATTATATGAAAAAGGAATCTCGAGAACTATCAAAGACCAATTAATTCGCTAATGGGAAATGATGTCAACAACGATATCGTTCAGGTATAAGAGGGACACATTCCCATTCCTCATGCCCAGTCAGTGTAGTACGAAGGATATATCTCTTTCATTCTTTCTTAAACTACTCTTTGCCTCAAGCAAGATCATCCATCTGCCTTGACCATCATGTCTAACGCACGTCGCTCTCTCGCGGACCTCCAGGATGACTACAACAAAGGAAGCCGCGAACCACTCGACAAGTTGGTTAAGGCTTTTGTCCACATCCAGAGCCTAAAGCCCGATGACCCCAACTCTTTCCAAGTCATCGCCGGTTACCATGGCGAGCCCTTCCGTGACAATACACCACCCAGTTCTCATGAGGATGGATGGTGGGGAGGATACTGTTTTCATGGCTGTGTCCTCTTCCCAACCTGGCATCGTGCCTATCTCCTTCGCCTAGAGCGTGCTCTTCAAACCGCTCCTGGATGCGAAGATGTCATGCTTCCTTTCTGGGATGAGTGTTCCATAACGGGAGATTCCACGGGTGCCAATATCATCCCAGAGGTTCTCACCTGGGTGAAGTACCCGTTGGATGGCAAGCAAATTCCAAATCCACTGTACTCTTTCAAACTGCAAGCCAAGCTTGATGATGATGCTAGTGATAAGAACAGATATACCAAGCCAGAGGGGTACGAAACAGTTCGCTACCCCCTTTCGGGCCTGGTTGGGACTGCAGAGGATCAGGAGGAAACGACTGCGCATAATGCGCTGTACCCGGATCCGGATGAATGCACGAAATATCTCAACGAGAATGTCTCGAACTGGCTGCTCAAAGGCCCGAATAAGGACACGCTGGCTGTCCTCACTCAATACAAGCGTTGTCTCCAGGTGCCAGACTATACTACTTTCTCGAATACGGAGTCCGCCAAGCACAAAATGACGACCCGGGAAAAGCAAAAGAACCCGCAATATGTTGTACCATTGGAGAGTCCACATAACGCCATTCATCTCGCCGTCGGGGGGTTTTACGACCCGGGTGATGGGAATATAAACGATGGTGAAATTCCCGGTGCGAACGGCGATATGGGCGAAAACAACACCGCATCCTTCGATCCGATTTTCTATCTTCACCACTGCTTTGTCGACTATGTCTTCTGGCAATGGCAAAAGAGACACGAGGCCACCAAGGGTTTTGAAATTAATGAGAAGGATCCCGGTGCCAAGGTCCCTCCTGGAGGCATGGTTAATTTGCCAGCGGGTACTGTGCTGACTATGGATTCTCCCTTGGAGCCCTTCGTCAACCCCAAGTCCAGCGCGGGAAATCTATATACTTCCAAGGACCTTGTCGACATTGAAGCCCTGGGATATACATATGGCCCCGGGTCCCTAGACGAGGTGGATGTGCCCTCTGGGCCAGATGTTCCCAACCGCCTGTTCGCTGTTTCGAACATCAACCGAGCCGATTACGAAGGATCCTTTGTGATTCGCACCTATGCCACGACTGACCATCTGGAGAGTCAAGACATAACTGTGTCGGTCGAAGTCGGTCGAGAGCCCATCCTAAGTCGCTGGAACATCGAAAACTGCGCAAACTGCCAAAACCACCTTGATGCTGTTTCTTTCATCCCAATTAGCCAGGAAATGCTTGACCTCCTACTCGGAGATGACCAGCAGGGTGATCTCACCCAGAAAATCAGGTTCCATGTGGCTATACAGAACCATAAAAGGGTTTTCAAGGTTCCGCATAGTGAGCTTGGGGCTCCTGGTAAACCAGCTCTGGAGCATTTGACTTAGCCGGTCACTACCTACGACTCAACCATGCTGTCGCCGATGTACCCGAAGATGTGGAGCGTTGGCGCCTGGTTGCTAGAGTGCTGAGCGAGATGAGCCGTCAAACCCGAGTTTTACGGGTTTAACCTACATCTCCCTGATTCTTTCTTTCTCCTAGCTAGTCATCGAAGCTGTTACCGAGTGATTTCATCGATTCCACGTAGACTTGAGTCTAGGAATTAACAGTTTAGTAGGTCGACTTAGGCAGACCTTGGCAGAAACCACGGAGTTGCCTAGAGAATGAACCATCACAATGTAACGTAGCTCTGACCATACCATGCACAGACTAATTGAAACTTTGGAATTATAAGGCTTGGAAATACCTTAAAGCTAGTGTTGAACTGGTTAGCGGTATACGGCCAAGGAAGTATATTTGGCAAATTGTAGTGGGTCATCTGATATGACTGTGCTTGTAATGTCAAGGATCCTGCCCAATCGTTTGAAGGGAGCGTCTCCCAGTTCCTACCTATATCTTGAGACAGTAACCTGCATAAGCCTGAGAGTGCGCTCATTCTCCTCATTCCCCCGTTTATAGCCTTATCAAAGCAAGAGCCTTAGCGGCATGCTCGTCGCCATCATCTCCACCTTTCTATCGACTCTCTGCCAACAAACCATTGGCCGCTTCCTTCCCATCAACGTGGACCATTTCCCCATCTTTCACCAACAGCCGGTTATGGACGACCGACAGGACGTCTCATGTCCTCCTCTGTCGACGACTGAACGGACCACTTTCAGCACTGGGGGATGCGTTGTCTACGGCTACCCCTCGACTGGCGGGATTCTTAGAAAAAACGCCGACCTTGTTCATATGCTCTTCCTATCACTCCCCCGCTCTCATACAACGCAGCGCTCGCCCAGCGCCGACGAAGAAGACAGATTCTGCGATCTCCTGCGACGGACCGGTGCGAAGTGGTGGCCGAGTAGGCAAGATTTCGCCGAGGCGCAGATCGGACTGAGGGAGATGACGGAGGAAGAAGAAAAGGTGGTGGTATTTGGGTGGCCGGCGGATGGAGTGGGCGTGTGGGTATTGAGGTTTGCGAGTGCCGATCACCTGCCCAGGGGTTATGGGAGGATGTATTTCGCGATGGATATGGAGGAGAGGATACAGATCATGAGAGAGTATGGAGCTACGTTTGTGGGGGATGTCACGCAGGTGGAGGAGCTTTATCCATAGCATCATGAGACTACAATCCAGGCCATCCACTATCGACGAATTCATTCATTTCGATCATTGATTTGTTCATCCATTCATACCAAATAATAAATAAATGATTAGATATCTCATGTCTTTCTTTATTAAGAATTAAATAAACCATTTTTTATATTAGAAAATATATTTTATAATAATATAAAGTAGAGAATACAAAGAAAAAAAAGTATAATGCTATATTTATAGACGATATCACACAGGTAGGGAGCTTTATCGATATCCTCATGAGACCTGTTGCTCTGTTGGCCCTCAAGGAACTGAGATACGCTATTGTCAAATGAACTATACCCATTATGCTCTTGACCCCCTGATTCCTTCTGTATTCTAACTAGTCCTCAATCAATTAATTCATGAAGCTGTTCCCGAATTCTTTCATAGATCCCGTGTAAAGTAATGCGCATACAATCCCTACCTCTCTAAATATTCATTTCTGACATTTTACTAAAGGTAGCTCCCCTCTCAGGAAATAAGGTACCGGAGGGGTTGCTTGTATAAAAGGATCAGTATTCCATTTGATAGTAATTACTATGAAGTTACTACGAATATACTTGTTATTTAAGGCTTATTGGGTATTTTAAAATAAATATTATACCTATTAATATTATTTCCGAGACTATCTAAAGGAATTATCATTCCAACTTCTTCACTTATTACCTATTTCACCAACTAAACTTGGTAAACATTCGAGCTATATTCTAAAGATCGACAATATTCGTAATGCTATGAGAGGCAGGCTTGAAGTATACCTAGCTGGACTTTTCTCGGCTTGTTTGGCGGGGGTCGAGAAAAGCGTGGATATAATATCCGACAGGAAGTAAATTAGAGTCCTATGTGACGCTGTATAAGTTAGTAGGTTAGTTTAAGTGAATGTACCACTGAGTAAGGCATGATTTCGAGATCTCATAGTAGAGACTTGTTTGGAGTACCACCCCAGAGCAAAGACCACAATGGTCAACATGGAGCAAAAGAAAGTCAACAATGGACCCTGAACTAATATTTCAACTAATATAACCAGCAGCTATCCAGCCTATTCTTGGCACATTTTCATACTGCCGTTTGTGACCGCAGGAATTTGGACAAGGAAGTCATGCACCAGCCACTTGCTGAGGCATAATAGCGAGTCACCTGATCGGTGCTGGTGCCAACAAACGTGCTGGAGCCCAAAGTCCTTGCACTGCCACTGACTCTCAAGAGGGGATTGCTCCGCGTTGGCTACCCAGAATCGCCAGCTTCATCTGCCTACCATCGCATTACTCACCTGTCAGTCTCGACTCCGAGTCGCAAATATACGTATGTGTTTGTGTTTATATAACAAAACAACAACACGCTGGATTGCCGGCTAGCTTACCCCGGACTCCGACGGTCAATCCCCAGCAAGGCAGGATTCCCAAGTGAGCGCAATGCCAAATAAGCCAATGTACCCTCCTGCTGGGCCGATGGGAGCAACGTCCAGACCTAGGCAGTATCACCCGTCTAGAGAGCCAAAGCCGTCGCTGTTAGTAAAGAGAACGATATCCGAAGACTGCACAAAAGTCTCAGACTCTGACCAACCGCGCAAATACCACTGTCTGCTGAAAGAAATCGAGCGGCGAGAGAAACCACATCTTGATGTTCTGAGGCCACTTTCCGTCCATATGGCCCACGTTGGTGGTAATGGTTACTCTCAGCCTTATATGTCACCACCAGTTGCAAATCACCACCCCCCTGTGCTTGTTGAGGCACCAGAATCTGGTTCGAAGAAGAAGCGAGAATACGTATGTACGCTGCCGGAGTGTGGGAAAAGCTTCGCTCAGAAGACCCATTTGGACATCCATACGAGAGCCCACACCGGGGACAAGCCCTTCGTGAGTGTAAAGATGCTTATCTGGAGACACCATGCATCTAACCAGGCGTAGATTTGCAAAGAGCCCGGATGCGGACAGCGATTCTCACAGCTAGGAAACCTCAAGGTAAGCATGCAACCTCTAACTCAAGGAGAGCCTTGACTGACCGGCCCTGTGTCAGTTTCATCAGAGACGCCACACAGGAGAGAAACCCTTCTCGTGCGACATCTGTCAGAAACGTTTCGCCCAGCGAGAGAGCGTCCGCGCTCATAAGATCACCCATCAATCAAGAAAGCCCGTTCCCCGACCGCTTCAGAGAAGCCCAAGACTACACCAGAGGCCGGATTACCCCGCAAAGATCGTCAGGCAGCGGAATCTAAGAAACTCATATGACTCTACCAACGTTGATGGAAACGGGACAAATCGGTGATGGCATGGGCTTTACGCCACAGCGGCAGCAGGAGTTTCTCGGGCAAAGAGAGATATTACTCGCCCAGCAAGGGCGCTTAAGTGACGGCCAGCTCACCCCCGAGGAGTTTGCTCAAGCACGAGCGTTGCTCTTGCTGCTGCCGAGCAAGAACAGCCGCAGAACACGGAAGACATGAATATGCACCTAGGAGCGAACATGCGACAGCCGTACCCGCAACTCTATCAACGACGCTTATTCAAAATGAACCAGGATATGGGCTGTTGGTCTAATGTTCCGATATGAACCGCCTACCCAGTGCCCGCCTCAGGCTTGGCAGGAGTACAGCGTTGCGTTTTAACACGCTTCTAAGGGCTTTGCAATAGAGGTTATGCAGCATGACCGTGCGGAGATGGGCGAGGGTGCTTTTCAGCAGGGACAAGCTGAGCCCGCTGCTCATGCCCAGGCGGCAAAGCAACAGCAACATAATACGAGGATGGTGCTGAAGCCTTTTATACCGGATCATGAGCTTGAAAGCCTCGGATTATCCGGGGATTGGTGGTTTTTACTGAACATGTTCAGTGACATAACTTCAATCCGCAGATCGATATGGGGGTCTCCCTGAGGTCTCTCAGCAGATGCAACGGGCGCCAATTTGTATTCTTCTTCACGTTAGGAATTCGGTGTTCTTCTTATTGGGTTAGCCATGGTTTAACAGAAGTCATCAATAGTTCAAGCGAATTCTCGCAGGAGGAGGCTGAAAAATGTCCCGAGTACCATCAGTCAGCGTACGGAGCCTCAGACACAACAGTGTCAGACCAGTCAGCAGCAGCCAGCACAGAATGATCAATCAAAGCTAAAGAAACGCTACGGCTCTCGCTTTCCCTCGCAGAAGGCAAGCAATTATTAAGCCCTGTTGTTTGCTATGGGTGTAGCTACAGAAAGAATCGATTGTTGACGGATATACGGTCCGATACTAGCGAGAAAGCTTTCATTGGAGAGCAAATTTTCCGTGGGCCTAATTGTCCCGTGAAGACTTGGCGTGTCAATAATGACTGACTTCGTACCTTGTAGCTCTAGTCTTTTCGAATCCTTTGGAATCTAGCAGACTCGGACGCGCTGTGTCCATGTGTGTCGCACAAGTATTGCTCAAACTCGTTGGACACGTCGATGACGTCCTGTAAGTGGCTATACTGAAGGGATTCCCCCCGGAACTCGGCCAGGAGCATTGCAGTCCTAATACTGTTCCGAATCTCGCGACCGTTCAACTTGAAGGTGCTGAGCTCATCGAGCCTTTCCAAGATCTGGTCGGCCTTTGCCTCTGGATTTGTACGGTGTAGCCTGGTGATGAAATTGGACCAAATTCGCCGACGGCTAACTTCGTCGAGTGTTGGATAGTGAAGGGTTAATTGTACTCGAGACTTGAAAGCCTCGTCAAATGTCCCGATTCGGTTCGACGTAAGGACTAAAATACCGGAGTAGTATTCCAACACCCGGAGAAATACGGAGACCAGCGCGTTTCGCTTCAAGTCCTGCTGTGTGCGCTCCTCGAGAAAGACGTCGGCTTCGTCCAAGAGAACGACACATTGCCACACTGTACCAAGATAAAGAACAGACTCGAGGTATCGCTCAACCTCCTCCGCATTCGTACCAATATCTCCGCAGGTGACGCGATATAGTGGTCGTTCCGTGAGCTCCGCCACCGACTCAGCGGTGAGGGTCTTCCCTGTGCCTGGCCCACCATGGAGGAGCAGTATCAAGCCATTCCCTTTGCCTTCTATCACATCATTTGTGTCACCAGCAGCCGTGTGCTTAGCCACGAGGGCTTTTATCAATTCCTTCTTCGTGTGTTTAAGAACGAGATGATTAAAAGCCTCGGCGTTCCACTTTATATCGCGAATCCCCTCGACGGAAACAGAGATCCACTTCTTGTCATGGAACCCAAACGCGGGAATAGTCGCGGGGAGGAGAATTTGAAACTCTTCATCTGGGGGAAACTCTTGGTCATGCTCATGTTTTGAGAGGTAAGATCGGCCTGCTGCAGGAGTCGACTCGCTATGCACATGATGATAGGTTTTGGCATCTACCATATAGCGGGGGTTCGACTATGCGAGACTTAGCAAGGTAACGATATTCCATTAGTCGAATAGGTGACATACCGTTGGAAGCTCGACGGCTGAAGGCGATGGCATGTAGGATACGAATTGCCTGCTTCGGCACCGCCAGAATGCCCTCCCTCGCCTTATTAAACGTGATTTCACATCATCGGCGACACGAAGAGGATACACAGGCAAGTCGGTTATAGGGACTTCTTCCTCTGCGTGAAATTGGTATTCGAGAGTGACCAATTCCTCCCCCCGAAAGAATTGTCCATCAAATGACCAGGTGACGGATGGGAAGACAAAGTCGTCCCCCTCCCAGTAAGGCCAGCCCTTACATAAATATGCCCGTGGCTGGCCTCCACGGCTTGCGACAATGACCTCGTCCTTCCAGAACAGCTTCGCAAGATGCCTCCGCGTCACGTAGCCTCGCGCGAACAAGTCGTCCGCCTCCTGGTACTCCTTTTCGAATGCCATTTCCATGTATTTCAGAAGATCGTCCAAGGCCTTTTCTGGCTCGTCGTCTTGGACATTAGGATGCCTCAAATGGATGTATAAGCGGCTCACCGCAGCTGAGGTTTCTTGTGTCCTTACTGCGGTAGAGATTCGATCGCATTTGATATCAATGACCTCCTCGACAGCGTCCTTGATCTTATCATCGACAATGGAAATCTCCTCGTGTTCCGGGATTGCCTCGTTGGCGTCGGCGTAGAGAATGGAGAAGTGGCGCATGAGCATCGGGTTCATCGGATGCAAAGGCGCCCGAAGAATTTCGAACTGATCTCGGGCGGATTCGTGGTAATCATCGCAATAGTAAAACTTTATCCAAACCAAACTGATGTCCTCGTGGTTCTCCACATATTCGTCAAGATCGTCAATCTGCTCCTCTCCTCGTAAATGGCTTGCCCTGCTGTCGCCGTAAAACAGACGGGGTGCGTCGAAATAGTCTGCTCGCCTGGGGTGATCTGTATGGTCCTTCTGGGCGCTGCATAAGGCTCGGTGGATGGTGAAGGGCACAAAGCTGTTCGTCTGTGTCGGCGAGGGCCTGCGTGCTTTGTGGGGACGGTCAACAGGCTCGCGATCAGCTCGTCGTTTTGCAACAAGTGACATTGTGGATTCATTTGTATTTCTGCAATATCTGGTGACAGGAGCTGAGGTGACTTTTGCCCAGCACATGTTTGCTGTGTTTGGCCGTGCTGGAAAAAGCAAGCAAGCGGGGTCGATGGTCAGCTCGCCGAGCGCCTTGCCCATGCCCAACTGCTTCATCACTTCCCGATCGTATCAAAGGAAAGACAACAGATGACAGCATAGATAGACAGCAAGACTGTTGAGGGCTCAACCGTCATTGAGGTTTATTACTGCTCATGTTAAGTACACGCGCCTTTGCCTGCTGGGAGTTCCCCTGGCCTTCACTCTCCTCGCAGTAACCCTTCGATCTCGTCCTCTGATTCAACAGAAATGGTCAACCATCGAGAGTTCACAGTATACGACTACACCGTCGGTGTAATATGCGCATTAGACAAGGAGCTATTAGCAGTCCGCTACCTGCTAGACTCGACGCACCCCGAAGTGAAAGTCCACCCGCGAGACACGAACACCTACACGCTCGGCACACTGAGCAGACACGGCATCGTAGCGACATGTCTCCCTGTAGCCGAATATGGTACAAACTCTGCAGCTAGCGTTGCCTCCCAGATGTATATGAGCTTTCCCGCGATGCAGTTCTGCTTGTTGGTGGGCATCGCGGGAGGAGCGCCCAGCAAAGAGGATATAGGGCTTGGAGATGTGGTGGTCGGCGTCCCCACCGGGACACGGTCTGGGGTTATACAATACGATATGGGAAAGGCTACTCCAGAAGATTGCTTCTTGGAGACAGGATCACTCCAAAGGCCGCCGCGGGTTCTGCTGAGCGCGATCAATGGCTTGAGGTCGAACCCGACCCTTACAATTAACCCGCTGCAGGCGTTCTTGGAAACCATTGCGCAGCAGGACCCGAAGTATGCGTTCCTGGGAAGAGAGTACGATATTTTGTTTCCCCGTGGTTGCGTGCACGCCCCATCGGAAGCAAACTGCGAGGGTCATCTTGGCCTCAAGGTCCAACGTCCAGCAAGGAGCTTCGAATACCCATGTATCCACTACGGACTTATTGCCTCCGGAAACAAAGTGATCAGAGACGCGGTCCTCCGAGACCGCTTAGCGGATCAATACGGCTTTCTTTGTTTCGAGATGGAAGCGGCTGGGATACTTAATGTTTTACCTTCACTCGTGATCCGAGGGATATGCGACTACTCGGACTCCCACAAATCCAAGATATGGCAGGATTATGCCGCTGCAGCTGCTGCGGCTTATGCAAAGCTTCTTCTCAGTCAGGTGCGAGTTTATGATGCACCATATCCTGGCGAGACGAAAATGATTGATATCCGGTGTGTTTTAACCCCGGGTACCTTTTGGCACGATTCACTGATGAACAAGAATCAGTGAGGTCCGCTCTCCCTCTTCGGTGATAGAGCATACAGAATTTGATGCATCCTTGTGCCCGGGTGCATACGACCCTTCCAATACCACACCCGATCCACCACCTTTATCACACACTTATCAAGTAACACAGCATCGAAGCCTACAAGGCATTTGGAGCAAAGCCCAGTCGTTTGCCGAGAGAAGCCGTTTGTGGAAGCCCATTCCGACAGACACCGTCCCGCTGATGACTGCACTCAAGGAATGGGCGGAATCCAACTCTTCGGCCACTCTTGTTATCGAAGCTCACAGTCCAAGCGCAGCCCAGAGGGCAGAGACCTTCGCTTTCGAGGTGGTTGCATTTCTTCAAAAGAGAGGTCAGACAGTCGTCTGGATCCTCACGCCCGAGTACGACGAGCCACTGACAACGGAGGAAGTCATATGTTGCCTCGGTCAACAAGTGCAACGGATCTCACCAAGGAATCCCACAGTTATACAAGATAACAGCATAAGGCCATCCGCCAGCCTAGCCAGAGTATTCAACGAGCTCGAGAATTCATTTCTTGTCGTGCAGGCCAGAGAAGTTACACTCGTACAGTCACTGCTTGACGCGCTCGAATCTGCATTCCATAAGCCAGGGCGGATTCTCAAGCTCCTGCTCATCAGCTACCATGTCGATATTAGCAGTCGAGCACTTGCGTTTCCCCGCGCGACTGTTCAGGTGCTTGGTTCTACATTGCCAAAGTCCAAACGCCGCGAATCCAGAGTCAGTTGGTGGGAGTGCATGGACCCTTCTCTCTAGGCTTGTCCTACAGTTGGTCGTGTCGTCGCCGCCTTGCCGCCTATCTATTCAAAACATGGCGGTCACTACCGGTGAGTAATTGATGAGCCAAGCATTACTTCACGGCTGCTTCTCATACCACGTGTCTAACGACAGCATTAATGTATGCTTCCCGTTTACGTTGTGCAGATAGACGTCCTTCTGGCATGTAAGAAGTGAGTTATAACTAACCCCTCAGGCGGCCTTCATGAACCTTGGTATTTGCGTCCAGTTACTCAACCGCATGGGCGGGCTTCGACGTCAAGGAATATAACTCCGGGGAAGGGCTCGAGCCAGAAAGGCGGCCAAGAACACAAGCTACATGAGTAGATCGATCAAACCCCTGAATGAGCTACTTATATGTTTGGTCCCCCGCTGTCATCCGTGTCATTCACCCAGTAGAACGGTCCGAGTCCTGGAAAAAGGAATGGACTACACTGTAAATATAGACTGCATAGGACCCGACTTTAGGTCCTACCTTTGACCCATGGATTTTTCTTCCGCCTTCATGCCGCCGGTGGCATTCGCTGAGACCTTCCGCCGTCAGGGTCAGGTATCAGAACCACAGTCGCGCTCTCCGACGATCTCTGCTGGTAGGGTTATTCTGCTGATACAATCCCTCTCGGTACTGAATCGGGTGCAGCAAATCTCCTCACCGTCGGCGACGCAGCGCGTGAAGAGCTAAGGCGCCATTTTTGAGCGCATTGGGCCCGTAAACTCTGGAAGTTTGTACATAGGAGGTGCCACTCTTCTCGGGCCCTTCTCGCGCGACGGCCGCTTCGCGACTCCGTTGCCCATGGAGGGATTTGAAAGCCGGAACCCGGGGATTCTGGACTGGGGGGAAAGGATTTGCCGAGGCGCAGGGTGGCCTCTAAGCATCCTCGCGGGGAGGCATGGTTTTTCGAGCAGATAACGATGCGGTCTTTCCTGTCGCTCGGCGTCTTTCCGTAGACAGTGGTACTTGCGAGTCCGGTCTGACGGGCCGCTTTGGGTGCAGTCTTCGGATATCGTTCTTTTGACGGGAATCGGGGACTGGCCCGGGGGAAAGAGCTGAGGGCGAGGGCTGGATATCTCCCGTGTCGGATCCGTGGACGTATCTGCACTGGGGTGTAGAGGTGACTCGGTTGGTTGGGCCTTCGATACGAGCGCCGGCGGGGGGTTGGGAGCGTTCAAGTGGTAGCCGGACAGTCCCTCGTAGCCAGTTGTTTTCGAGGATTCCGAGGATGGAGATGTCAGGACGCTAATGCCGAGGGCGGCCATCGTAGGAGGGGGCGGGGGATTTCTGGGGAGGTTGTGCCCGAGTCGCTAGTAGGATAGTAGCGAGTGTTTGCAGTCGCTATTCCCGTTGCCAGCATAGAAAGAGGTGCGGTCGGGCATTGGGGTTGTGGCCGTTGGCCTGTTGGGCGGCAACTCACGTTGGCGCCATGCATTAGTATGTTTGATTCGGGCACACTTCGGCCATCTCCACGCCATAGCCAAGCCCATACTAGTCATAGACAGCGTCAACATGCGTATCATATCTAATTCTAATCCTCGCCGTCATCTCTATCATACACAAATGACCGCAATATCGCCTTCGCAACCTCCACCCCGTCATGCTCCAGATGCGCCGTCTCCGCCGCGCGATCCGCGTGCTCCAAATCCTTAATCCCGCCGGCGTCCACCCGGATCTGAATCTGCCGCTTCACCATATCCTCGTCGAAGGCCAGATGCGCCTGCGTCGTGAACAGCCGATTCGGGATATACAGGCCCTGGATGGGCGTGTGGTCACTGCGGCCCCAGCACGCGATCTCCGTGTCGTCAGGGAGGTGGGCGAGGCCCGCGGACGCAGCGGTCGGGGCCGTCACGACCTGGTCTTGGTGCATCTGGTGCAGATGGACGTGGTCGTTGCGCGTGTGGAAGATGTGCTGGCCGACGGGGGTCAGGTCGATGCGGCAGTGGCCGAGTTCCCAGTCCTGCGAGGGCGCGGGACCGACGGAGCCGCCGAGTAGACGGGCTAGGAGCTGGTGGCCGAAGCAGACGCCGAGGAAGTGGAAGTCCGGGCGCTGGATCCAGAGCGTGCGCAGGAGGGAGAGCAGCTGCAGGATCCAGTCGTTGTTGGCGTGGGCGTCGTACACGCTGCCGGTGATGAGGAGGCCGTCGAACCGGTCGAACTCGGCGGCGGAGGGCATGCGCCCGCCTTGCTCGGTCACGACGAAGACTTGGTCCGTCTCGACGCCGAGAGGGGGGCGGTGCTCGCGCCCGGCTCGGCTGAAGTGCTCGTAGATGATCCGTCCGAAGGAGCCGCGCTGGGAGTATGTGTCGGGGTGAGGCTTGTCGGTCTCGAGGACCATGAGGCGGATGACGGGCGCCGATGGCGTGGGTTGGAATGTTTGATCCATGTCTGTGTGTATTGTGTACTGGGATGCGTTTGCGAGTGAGGAAAAGTCCAATTTCAATGGCAGCGATCAGACGTGGGCTTTAAAGAATGCTCGGAAGGTACGTCATTGCATCCCTTGCATTTTGTGGGCCGCCGAGAACGACGCGCGTGGAGAGGAACCAGAAGACCCTCCAAATCAGAGCCCTATGGGTACCGCCAAGGGACTTGGCTCTTGCTCTGAACAGCCGGAACGAAGCGACATCGGATTCTCAGGAACTGGCCCACTCTTGGCCGGGGGTTTGACGTCAGTCGGACTGAAATCTGCTCTTTGTCCAAGGCAATCGCCAATGGAGTGGTTTGTAGAAACCCACTCGCCTATCGATCAACACTGCTGTGGACAAGAACCCACCTGTACCTTAGTTGACCCTATATCTGATATGATGTCAGAGTAAATCGGTGAAAGTGTGCCTGTATAGCTTTATTGATACCTGCACCTGGCAGCCAGGCCGAATCGAAAGGGGTATTTCTGCATTAGAGGCTCTAGACCATTCGGCTCTGAGATAGAGGGTGGACTTACCTTAAAACCTTTCTCTACCTTAACAATCATCAAATTCAAACTCATTAACATCGGTAAACTGGACTAGCTCCAGGATAAAGCTATCGCGGGACGAATCCTGCCGAGAGAGCGAACACTCTATCTTGTACTATCTAGGGGACAAGGAGTACGACTTTGACCCACTACTACACTAATTCGTTGTATCTATGGTTAAACACCCTTAACACTCCTATCATCTCTCACCACCTGAATCCTCTCCTCATCCACACTCCCATCCAACCGACTATCCCCATCACACTCTCTCCTCCCAACCCCTTTCCTATCTAAATACACAATCAACCCAATAAACGGCAACGTCATGGCCCCCGTCACCAAACTGGCAATATACCCCTTCTCGAAATGCGGCGCATCCGTAATCGGATAAAACACCAGCGGCCACCAGGTCACAAACGCAAAGTCAAACGAATTCATGAACCCCGTCGAGATGGCCCGCAGCTGGAGATCATGGCTCGTGACGTCCGCCATCCACGAGTACCACAGGGCCTGAGGCGCGTAGGTCGTGCCCAGCAGGTAGAAGGCAAAGAAGTGGCCGGTGTCTTTGGCCGGGTTGGAGACGAGGATGGCGCTTCCGACGATGAACGTCACCCCGATGGCCACGGAGCATTCCCAGCGCGAGCGCAGCCGGTCGGATATCGCGGCGTACAGCACCGTTCCGACGATGGCGGTCGCGTAGATCCCCGTGGGGTAGTTGTTTTGCTGGATCACGGTGTAGCCGCGAGAGGCCATCCAGAGGGCCATTACGTTGTTGCTGAGGGATTGGACGCATACGGAGTAGACTGCTCAGGTTAGTTGCGATTGGAATGGAGTTTGGGGGGCGACTTACGCATGAAGATGAGGGGAAGAAGATAGAATTGCCAGCTGAGAAAGACTCGTCGAAGGACCGTCCAGTCCCATGATTGTTCGGGGACCTTGCCTAGCCGCTCTGCTGCGTGTTCCTTTTCTTCGCGGTTGAGATACCAGGCTGCTCGGTGGGCAGGGAGATCGGGGATGAAGAACCAGCCTGCACTGAGTTAGCATATCTGACCCCCTTTCAAGATCGGCTAGACTCACCGAACAACGCAACCGGGATGGTCATCACCGAAACAATGATAAAGATCCATCGCCAGGCAGGCAACCCTCCCTTGCCAGCCAAAGCCTGCAGCAAACCCGCCTGGATCCAACCCCCAGCCATACTCCCGACATGACCGAAGCAGCAGAACACAGCAGCTCGTTTCCCCAGCTCGGACTTGCGATACCACGAGCCGAGTATAAAATGCCCTCCGACACTTCAGACAGTCAGATATCTCGCCACCAGCCCCTTCAACAAAGCGACTTACTATGCAATAGCCGAAAAGCCCCCCTCGATCGCATTCAGCAGAATGACCTGCCACGCCGCCGTCAACTTATACGTGACCAGCGTCAAGACACTCCAGATAACATTGGCCGTGACGAAGACATATTTCGGCCTCAGGATCGTCAACAAACTGGTCCCTGGGATCTGACACACCGCATAAACCACCATATATGCGGTGCTCATGTAATTATAATCCTTGCCCTCGAAATGCAGCGCCTCCTTCATCCCACTGATATACGCGGACGAGTAACTGGCTCTCGTGATACCGAACAGAAACCAAATGAGCGAGAAGTAAGGCAACAACGTGAAGTCTAATTTCGAGAGAAGCGCCCGATCTTTAGTGTCATGGCCCCAGAGGACGATGGCGATTCGGTCCCGATTGAACCAGCCCATTTTGATCATGAGAAATGCCGTGGATGTCAGACGGGATGTGAAGTGGCGGTTGACAGGGAGGGCGCCGGTATAAATGCTTGGCCGGCGATGACACAACAGCGACCGGGGATGAGATGCGTCGGTTGAAATGCAGGATTCGTCGCCCTTGATGGCTTCCCCTCCTGTAGCTCGACGGCTGTCTTCCACGCGGTTGGTGATGGCGCCATGGAGCTGCTTGATTCCACCATTGATAACTCATTTGCAGGATTATCGGAGCGCTTTGGGTATGCTTTGTATATGCAAACCCTGATTTGTCAAGACTCTGTTAAAATAACCCACTATTATTGCGTAGGCATCGTTAAATCGTCAAGTGTCAGCTCATAGTCGGTACACTTAAACTCTCGATGCCAATTTCGATAAACTCCGAGGTATGTGAAGTATCATACTTTAGGATGACCGGTGCGGTGTATCTTTGACCTTTAGACCTATTCCTGCTACTGCGACTAATTTATTTCGTCACAGGAATGAAACCGGTCAAATTGCCCATTTTATGAATAGTTAGTCGTTGGTTCTAACAATCGCTACACAACTGTACACTCCAACCCAAGATCCCATCCTCAAGCGAACATCAAAACCTTACTCTTTTGTTCAATAATCCCACATTCATCTGCTCCAAACCAAAATACCTACAACTCGGTCTGCCGAATCCTAACCGGCCAGTTCTTCTGCGCAATGGTGAAATGGCTGCGATGCTCCCACTCCGTATCCGGCTTGTCGAACTCGAAGTCGAAATCTCGCAGCAAAGTGGCCGTGACTTTGCCAATCTCCGCATAGGCGAACTGTTTCCCCGGACACCCGTTGTATCCGGTCCCGAAGGTGATGAGGTACTTCTCGTAACTTGCGGCTTCGGGTCGCATCCATCGATCGGGATTGAACACCTCGGCGTCATCGCCGAAGTATCTGCGATCGCGCTGGATGACGAATGGATTGACGGAGAGGATTGTCTGTCTTTTCTTTAGCGATCGCACTGCGTTAATCAGGGAGATGGGTTCTGGCTTACCCCCGACTCAAAGAAGTGGTCACCAAGCTTGATTCCCTCTGCAGGCGCAATGCGAGGGAGGCCAAACGGCACGGGGGCGAAATATCGAAGAGATTCTTTGATCTGCAGTATGTCAGCACCTTAGACTCTCGAGCTTCAAACCAAATATAAAACCCACGCAAGCCTGCAGATAAGGCAACTGCTTCGCCTCTTCATGCTGAACAACCGGCGAGAGCTGACCAGCCCTATGCGCACTCCTCAACTCCCCCTTCAACCTCTCCATACACTCCGGATTCTTCAAGAGAAAATAAAAGAAACTCGCCAGCGCCCCCGTCATAGTCTCAGAGCCCGCAATCGTCGTCATGCCCGCAACTGCCAGAATCTCCCTCTCCTCCATCCTCTCCGGCCACTTCTGATGATTACTGATCCACTGCGACACCATATCATTCTTCAGCCCAGCCTTTCCCTTTCTCTTCTCCACCGCCGCGCTGACCGTCTCGAAGATATGCGCATGCGGCTTCAACCCAAAGTACCCCGCGAACGGACTGTGCAAGACCAGCGGATGCAGCCAGTACATGTATCCCATGACGGCCTGGTAGAGCATGAGGAACCGCATGCTGCCGATGGAGTTATCGATGTCTTTGCCGGTGCGCACGAAGCCGAGACGCTGCGAGAAAGTGAGCTCGCCGATGACGTCGAAGGCGACGAAGTTGAGCCAGTCGTCGAAGGCGAAGGGCTGATTGGAGCGAGCGAGAGTCTGCATCTGCGTGCGGAGCTCTTCGATGCAGGTGTCAACGCGCGACTCGGATTTGATCAGGTACGACAGACTGTAGCTGCTGGCTGTGATGGAGGATCGCTCGCGGTGGCGCTTCGGGTCGCACTCGGACATGGGTGTTTGGTGGTATTTGTCGGGGACGGCGAGCGCTTGGTACCATTCCCCCTGTGGGTGTGGGTTAGTTGCTGGATAGTCTCTCTGGAGGTTGTTTGGAGCTTACCTTGCGGTATGGTGGTGCTAGAATCGCGGCGATGCTGTCGGGATGGCTGCATGATACTTCGTTATGGCTGATTCGGACGAAGTCGCCTGCGTTGGGAGTTAGCCATTCCTTCGTCTCTCGTCAACTGGACGCAGCGTAGGTAGAGGAAATACCATGTTTTTGATGCTCTCGGCGCACAGCGTACTCGATGTCTCCTTTCGCGGTGTGCCAGATCTGCCAGATGGTCGACACCGACGCCAGCCACGGTCCTTTGATGTGCGCTATCGACGGTGCATATTTTCGTTTCAACAGGAACCCTATCACAACAACCAAGAGGTAAGGCAATGCCGCCTGGGCCTTTTCCAGCAATATCGCAGTCATAATCAATCGATCAACCCAACACAAATCCAAGAGACTTTTGAACACTCGAAGACAAAATGCGAGGCAGAAATGGGACGCAAATAAGCCCTACCCCGCGAATAAATATATTCAAGAACCCAATTAAGATCAGCGAGGTGCCGCAGTAGCTGTTTCGAGGCATGTCGTTGGAGGATAATCCCAGTAGCCATTGGCCTATCGCCAGGTCCGCAAATAACCAACGCAACTTCTCCTCTTTTCTGCTCTCGTCAGATCTCCTCTTTCTATTCCTTCCGCGTTGCTAGCCAGAGTGGATGCATGTTTAGGCTAGTTTGATCTCTTGGCTTGCATGATAATCCACGCTAAGCAATTAAATTCGTCACTCTTCGGATGTTGTTCGGCCGATTATGGGTGTTCTCGATTTTTCAACCAGACACTGGACGCCTGCAGTGTCGATTCACGGCATCAGGGACAAATACCACTGGCTATGGTGAGAGCACAATGTTCCATCCAGACTGGTGGCAATGTCGCGATAGGTTGGTCCGGATCCGTAAAGCAAATGAAGAAAAGACTCATTCCATCACTCGCTAGCAAACATCCTTCTCTTCCTCATATGGCGCGGTGGCGCGTGTACTGTCCACCAAATAGCATCCAAATCATCATCATCATCATCATCATCATCATCATCACCTTGTCTCTCCTCTGTCACTGACGCCTCCTGGACAAATCTTGTCATCCTCCCTAGTGTGTTGATCTGCTCCACAACAACCCACCACAGCTCCTCTACCAGCACTTCCACAGCGACTCGAAATACAGGCTTGAACCAATCCTTCTCCCGCCTGCAACCAATCGACTCATCCACTTCCTCATCCACTAGACCCTGCTCCAATTCCGTCGCGACAGCTAGCAGAAACGGCGCCCAGGGTCGCCAGCGCGAGCTCGTAGTCCCGGGCATTTCCCCAGACGACATCGCCGGCACCGAGGCCACAGCCAACGGAGACGCGCAGAGAAATACCGGCGAAGCGAGGCCCGGTGGTAGGGTCCCGGACTCTCGCATCGTGCGATATCGGGCCCGCATTCTCTCAACTGGATCCAGCTTCTCCTTCCCCTCCTCCTCTTCTTGTTCTTCCACGTCAAACCACCGAATCTCGAACGTTCTGCGAGCCTCAGCAATTTCGTCAGCCGGCAGCCCTTGCTCCAGGGCCTCGTCTAGCGGGATCTCCGCGGTCTCTCGGGCTCGGGTCGGGAACTCTTCCACTGCAGGGGTAGTTCGGAAGCCCACGAACCCCCAGGGCTGGCCTTGATACCGTTTTCTCCACGTCACGAGCCAGTCGGGCGGTTCGGGCGGTCTTTCAGTGTTGGACGGCAATCCTGAAGGGGCGGACATAGTGTTTGAATTGAATGTGGAGATGTGATGAGGGATGGAGGTTGGTGGATGGGGATGGGGTGAAACTTGGTGGGGGGTAAGACTGTAAGCCTATAGTCCACTAATTCTATAGGCTTTCTACCACCTCACTACCACTCACTCGTCGGATCAGTACAGAATTCTAGTACGCTGTTCTCGCCTCTTCTTATTGATGGCAGTTGATTGTATTGTGTTCGATACTCATTGGCTGATATCTCTTAAATTCCAGCCCTAACCGTGCCCTTGTTGGCTTCAAGGTCACTCAACGCAGCAGGAATGCCCAGCCCCAGCTAATCCTCAGTATGCAATCTTAAACACCCATGCATACCGATCCGCATCAGCAACCTTCTTGTCCACCTCCAAGACCAAGCTCCCATTACCCAACCTCCAACTAGGCACCACACTCCCATGCATGTCTCCCCCAACAACCACCACCCGATCCCCCTCAACCCACGGAACCGGATACCTCAACACCAACCTTCCCCTCGGCCTCACCAACGAAACCACATAAAACGCATCCCCCGTCGTCGTAAACCTCACCTCCCCCTCCTCGGGACTAACAAACCAATACCTCGTCTCAAACACCGCCTCCTTATGCTCTCGAATCCACCTCCCCGCCTCCCTCAAATGCCTCTGCTCAACCTCCGGAATCCTCCCATCCGCCATCGGCCCAATATCCAGCAAAAAGTTCCCATTCTTACTCACCACATCCACCAGACTCCTCACGATCTCGCTCGCATTCATGTACCGAGCTAGCGGCGTCGCCCGGTTATACCCGTAGCTATACGGGTCCATGCCCAGACTCGTCTCCCACTTGCGGACCTGCACGGCCTCGTAGCGCGCGTATTCCGGCGTGTCAAAGTCCCCCGGTAGCCCGCAGCGGGCGTTCATGGCCACTTGTCTGTTCTGTCGCGCGGCGGCGTTGAACCAGGTAGCGGCGAACTCGGTGGTCAGGTTGGGGCCGCCGATGTCGCACCACATGATTTCGGTGCCGAGGGTGGCGAGGGTTTGCATCTCGGGGAGGATTTTGTCGGTGAGGTAGTCTGTAACCGGGACGTAGTTTATGTAGGGGAGCGTGGTGTTGGTGAAGGGGTTTGTAGCGTTTCCTCCGGGCCACGAGCCGAAGCCGTATTGAGAGTAGTCGGGGTGGAACCATTCGGGGAGGGAGTAGTATACGGCGCGGTGAAGGTGCGGCTGGTATGTTGATGCGGCGGAGAAGAGTTCCTGGGTTGTTAGTGTTTGGCTGGGTTTCTGGATACATGGTAGTAGGATGGAGGTACTTTGATGAGATCTCGGTATGGAGGCATATGTAAGGACGTCCGCTTCGTGACATTGGCTGGTAGATCGAAGAGAGCGTACCCATCGTGGTGCTTGCTCACTTGGACGAAGTAGTTTGCGCCTGCGTCTGCAAATAGATCCACCCATTCCTTAGGGTCCCATGCGTCGGCGGTGAAGTTCTGGATGAAGTCGTCGTAGACGAGGTTGGGACCGTATGTGTCTAGGTGGTGTTCATAGGTTGCAACTGACGTGTTCGGGCCTTGGTTAAGATCCCACCAGTACCTTGGATGAAGTTATAACGTGTGTCCAATAAGCAACTCGAACCAAAAGAAACGACCTACCATTCAGCATAGTTCTCATTCTCTCCCGAGTTCCCCCAACCCGGAACGGAGTACGGTCCCCAGTGGATAAAGATGCCGTATTTCGCATTATCATACCAGCTCGGCGACTCGTGCGCGTAGATCGACTCGTACGTTGCCTCGTAGTCCGGGATGCCGTAAGTTGCGTCGAACGTATAGTTCGTACCATGTACACCATGCCCTAAAGCCACAACGCTAGCCACCCCTTGAACTCCCGGCTCAACCCCCGGCTTATTCCTGACGCCAATCTCCACAACAGCTTGATCTCCAGGCGCAAGACGCTTAATCTGCGCTGGCAATAACGTCTCCAGACCAGGAGCATCAACACGCAGACTCACCGAGTGAGTCCGGAGCACAAACTCCCCTCCCACATTACTCACCCTCACCTCCACAATCTGCACCTTCTCCGACCCATCAACCCACTTCCTCGTCGACCTCGCATACTGCACCTCCAATACTGGCCGCTCCCCTCCCCCACCTTCAACCTCCCAAACCGACATCGCAAAAACATGCAATCTCGTCCCGATACTCTCCCCACCCGGCTCCGTCGCCTTCCCCCCCGTCACATTCGGCAACGTCAACGAAACCAACTCCCTCGAGGAATCCAACCAATTGACCGTGTGAAAGATATTCGACCTATTATAATCCACCGAGTCATTACCCAGAAAATACGGGAACACAAGATCCCCTCCGGTAGGGTACGGCCAGCTCCACCAGGCCGGGACGAGCACGGGGCCTGAGCCAGTGCTTCCGTCGGCGTAGGTCGCGTTGATGGTTTCCGCGGCCATGCCGGACTCGGAAGCGGCGAGCATGTGCACGCTCAGGTATTTGGATCGAGGGAGGGGGATTTCCTGGCCCTGCGCGAGGACATTGTCGGGGCCGGTGGGGTTATAGGTGGGGAAGTGGTAAGTGATGCCGCTGTAGGTGAAGGTTGGGGGTGGGAGGTGTTGGGCTGGGTAGGCATCTTACTTGAGGTTAGAAGAGTAAGGTTATGTGATGCTGGAGGACTTACTTCCGTAGCCGTCGAAATTTGATTCGTTGGGCTTTAATCCGAAGGCGCGGTTATTTAGCAGAGGCTTTAGGTTAATGGGGATGGATTTATTGTGGTTGTCTATGGACTTGAAATCATTCTGCGGCTTGAAGATCACAGCATGAGCTAGAAGTGGACCTAATAGTAAGGCAAGATGTAGAACAAAGCTACCTGTTGAAACCATGATGATGTTTTGGTAAAGTAGCGATTTCCTCTTCAAGTACATCGTGGGGATCAACTCTATTTGAGTAGGTTAGACGGCAACTTACCTCCGTCCTACCTGGTATAGTCTCCTGGGATTTGTGGATAAATTCAGGCGCACCTATCCAAGTCCAGACAAATGGACTGGTACTGTCGATCATGACACAATGCCGTGCGGAGATCAAACCCAGTCGATTGCGGGGAGGCGATTGATGCCACGCTGCTAGTGGGGAAGGGAAAAAAACATACTGTCATATTATTAAGATGGTTTATGCGAATATACAAACTTGAAACCAGTGTTGGCACGTAAGAATCATATTAGATCAAATGCGTTCATGAGATCAGTCGACGTCAAAGGCTAGCCCTAATCAACCTTACATAGTTTCTCTCTCTCTCTCTGTCTCTCTCTTCCTTTTTTTCTTTTTCTTTTTTCTTTTTTCTTTTTTTATTGAAGGAAGAACTGATCAGCATAGAACCGAACAATTGCACGACACTGCTTTTCTTAACTTTCCCTTATCACAAGAAACCTGCTAGAATATACGTGGTATTTCCGGTTCATATTTCCTGTCGAGGGGATTGCCATAAACTTTAATTTCGGTGACTCAGCCTTGATGGCAGTATTTTGTAAAGTTATTCTAACAGAGACTAATATGCTAAACATAGCAAGAGAGTCATGCCATTTCGTCATCTTGTACAGCCTGATTAGTTGATACTAAAACATGATATCTCATGACGTGTGCCAGTAAGGAGCAAAGCCTTGCCTATTCCAAAGTTTCAAATCCCGTACCTTTCTCAAGAAGCTCAGCATGCACATCAAGATGCTTTACACTTCGACAGAGTTTGAGGCACAACTATGGACGAATGACAGAGTCTTGAATTAACTCGACGAGTCAGGTCGCATAAGATTATAGAAAGAAGGTTATGTCAGAAGGCAAACCATGAACTTTTGCATGTATAAACTAACACTTAGGTTTCAGGCGCAAACAGCAAAACCCGTAGCTTTCAGCTTTCAATCTCATGTATTTATTGCGATAAGGACCCATCCTCAATCAAGAAACTACCAAACATCCCCAAGCACATCATGGCATCCCTGTCAGAAAACCAGACCCTCTCACCACTAGAATTCCAACACAATGTCGAAAGACGCTTCCATCAACTCCGTAAAATTGCCGAGTCCCCGGTATGTCTGCCCCATTGAATCCTCCACCAGGTCTCCCGCTAACACTTCACCCATTCAGGGCTGGGACCCCAGCTTCGCACGCTACAGCCTCCGTCTCGAATCCACCTCCATCGACCCCTGTCCTACCGCGACATTCACCTTCACCGTCACAGAACTCATGACCAACTTCGGCGGCGTCCTCCACGGTGGCTGCGCAGCCACTATCATCGACATGTTGACGACCGTCCCGTTGGGTGCCATCTCGCGGCCTGGATTCTACACAAGCCTTGGAGTGAGTCGCAGCTTGAATGTCACTTACTTTCGGGCTCTCAGGAAAGGCGAGGATGCGCGCAGAGGTGTATGATGCAAAATGTGGGAGGAAGTGTCTTGTGGGGGAGAATGATAAGGCGAATACGGACGAGGTGAGATCGAACATGTGATTATGTACGTAAAAGGTTAGTAACGACTAACGATGAAACTGTTTTAATAAAGTATGATTGACACCGGAGGTCCGGAGGCAGGGGCACTGAGCGCTCTAAGGCGCTTAGGGTACCTTGAATACGGAGTTAATGTAGTAGACAGCTTGGCTAGTAAAATCGGCACCTAGATATAATGACATAGGTACTCAATCAATTGATCTTATTTATCTATCCTTGATTAGAATGATTAGAAAATTAGAAGTTGCAAACACGGTCTAGATAGAGACTGTAGCATTCAGCCCCCAACCGTTCCGAGCGATGATTGGCCTTGGTCCCCTGCACACCATCAAAGATCGTCAGGGAATTGAAACCGCCTTTCACAGCCTTGCGTTTCTCATTATAAATTGAACCGCCCCTGGCGGTTGCGAGCAAAACGATACCCCCCACCATGCGTTTTACGTCTATCTTCGGGAAGACTGAGCCTGAGCATCCCGAATGGATCCCACCGATGTTAAGATGGTTTGCCCTGATTTCCCTGGCCGTGTCTGCCTCCGGGATCATCGCCGCTCTGGAGATCCTGCGCCATTTTACCGTCGTGCGTGTCTTGTCGCCGAACAATGAGGGCATCCTGTTCGCTACCAGGTATTTGCCAACTCTGGCTATCATCGCGCTTGGATACCTCGTCAAAGGGGTGGCCTCGGATCTGAAGAAGGTTACCCCATGGGCCAACATGAGCGGGAAGTGGGCCACTAGCAGCCGTTCGGTCCTCCTGGACTATGTCAATGCAATGGAAATCGTCGCCGTGTTTTCGGCCCTGCGCAGAAAGGACTGGGCAGTATTCGTGGGACTCGTGTGTGCTTTCATCTGCGGCGCACTCGTACCTCTCGCCAACGCCGTCGCGTATGTGGACTTATTCGCCCCCCGCAATATAACAGCAACGTCCAACCAAACATCGGCTTTCCAGTTTGACAATTCACCCCTGGTGATGGCAAATGACTCTTTGACAATCCCGTGGAACTCAACTGGGATGGAGCCATACGCTCGGGCAATCTCACAGCGCCTTGGAAGCGCGCCTCGCACTCTGTGGACAACCGAAAATTATGTTTTCGACCAGTTTTCCGTGCCCAGTATAGCCAATGCCACTGCCACTGCCGAAGTGAATGCTATCTCTGCGCTCTTGGACTGCCAACAGCTTCGGTACAGCCCTACCAACCGCAGCAGTACCTTCGCCGCAAACCCAGATGACCTGAAAGCTGCTGGGTGCAACATGCCGCTCGAAATTGCAACTCGCGCCTCTGGAGACCAGTCCTCTGCCTGGCTCAACATCACGCAGTGCTCCGACCACGAAGATCGTGACACGCAAATCTTGGCAATCTACGTTTCTAATTCTCCTCAGCTGAATGGAAGTGCGTCTGCCGGCAATCTTTCAATGGCAGGGCTCATCTGTTCGCCGAAATTTACCAGTCAGCGAGCCAGCCTGTCTGTGAATAGCACAACCTCTGAAATTACGGCGTTTTCGATGTTGTCAGAGCCGCAGCCTCTTGATATCAAGACCAGCACGGAAGCCCTATGGCTTTACCTGCGCAATCCATTGGATTCGGAAACGCAGAAAATCTTTGGCAAAGCGCAGCTGGACGGCGTAAGAGGGACGTATAACCCAGGAACTAGGCCAGTGGCCAATATGCCGAACATAACGTCTGCCATAGTCTGGACTGAAGGACCGCGGGATCCGTTCATGCAGGTGGCGCTGGATGGATATCCCGAGAAGGCTCCTATCGAGCATGACGTCTTTGAAGGCAAAGTCACACAATTTGCAGGCATAGTGTGGGCGGAGCTCCTGAGCTTCCTGGCACGTAGTGAAGCTTCGAATGAAATACCGGTCAGCATCGCCCTTACCGACGAGAGAGTCCTACTAAGGACTCCGGTGGTAAGGACGGTTCAAGCTTTGCTGGGCGTTCTAGGCGTCCTGGCGATCGTCTTCGCACTCCAACTTCGGCCCAAAACCGTACTTGGGGAGGATCCGGGCTCATTGGCTGCTGGAAGTGTTATACTCTCTGCGTCAAGCGCAGCCGTTGAAAAGGAGATGGCAAGGCATGCCCTGTCGTCGACACAGTCCATGACGACCAGTCTGTCTAGTACCCGATTTATGCTTCGGCAACGGAACGCCGGACAGCGTCCCGCAGTCACGATCGACATGACTAAAGCTCCTGTGGGACAGGAACCGGTGGAAATGGTGGATCTGAACGGGCAGAACCTCGGGGAAGCCGCCTATGAGCGCGCGCCAGAAGATCCGGACCAGGACTCGTCACTGGGCAAGGGTGCTGAGTTAGACGGCTGGAGGCCCTTGCCATTGCGCATCGCATCTAAGGTCGCTCTCGGGGTAGCGGTTGTGGTGGTGATGATCGGCTTGGGGATCATGCTATGGCTTTCGGGCACACACGATGGAATCTGTGTGGATACGCAGGTGTCGTCTGCCGCTTTAACGCTGTCCACATCCACGGTTCTCGTGCTTTTTGGGTATTCATTCGCCGGTGTGGATGCTGCAGCGCAAGCGCAGGCACCTTTCAATATCTTGCGGAGAAGGCCCAACGATCAAGCCATCTTCACGGACGATTTAACTCTCCTTGGACGGCTCTCCGGTCTAGGGTCTACATGGATGAACACCACGCTATACGCCTCCGCGGCTGCCTATATCTTGATCATTCCGGCCATGAAACTCGTCGCAGCAGGGCTTTTCTCTCCATTAAACACGGGGGTGGTCGACCTCATAAGCGTGCAAATTGATACCAGCATAACTACACACCTGGGAAATATGCTGAAAAACAGTTCCGATACCCCGATCACGATAGCACCTGTTGTCAAGCGGGCTTGTGATTTTGCTGAGTGGGAAACTAATCCCGTCTTCGGCCTGCGTCCCCGGCCAGGCATCGTTGGCAATCTTGTCTTGGATAATCTGACAGCCGTCGTCGATGTCAAGAACAACATCCCTGGCAGTGTGATTGAAGCCCGCGTTCCCGCCATCGCAGTTGATATACAATGCGAACCTATCCCCTCTTCAGATTTCAATATGTCACTACGCCGTGCCGGCCGTCCCGGCGATGGGGAAAGCATGACATTTACCTGGACATGCACAACCGAGCGCTGCTCTGGCCGACACTTCTCCGCTGACCCCCTTGGGACCGAAATTCCATCTTATTCCGGACAGGTCAGTTTGGACTGGCCGAGTGAATGGGCTCGTCACGGATCTGAATCGCAGGGTCTACCAGCGTCCGGAACGGATTATTCAGTGTTCATAGCTGATCTCACATCTCTGGGAGGCTCCATCCACTCTTTCAGAAACATGACGCCAATACCCATCGCGGGTGATGGAATTTTGGCCACGCCGAATACCCTAAACGTTACGCTGCCTCCTGTGGTAGCGACTACTTGCAGGAGGAACCTTACCATCGTTAATGTGAACGCTACATTCACTAGGCCGACCCCAGTCGCCCTTGAAACCGGAGCGCCCTTATCCCCATGGAGGCCTGTCTCGGTTGATCTCGAGTCCATCCAATACGCTCGGCCTTATCCCGATGTCCAGCCGGAGTATTTCCAGCCTCCGAAGGTGGAGATGGACATGTTTGGACAAACCTATGACGATAGTTTGGTCGATGGGATACTATGGAGCAACTCACTTTGGCCGGCTCGAGGAAGCAGCCGAAACTTCTTCGAGTTGCTGGCCGCAGACGCGCAGCACAGAGTTGGAAACCTGTCTCGGCTTCTCACTCCCGATGGACTGACAGACTCAGCAAAACACATGTACACGGCGTACTGCACTCAGATTCTCTCAGAGCTCCGCACCGTCGCAAGTAATACCTCATTGTCCCCGTCCGCCAACCAGACCATCCCCGCGAGGCTATTCCACTCCCAACTCCGCGTCCATCAGGATCCCCGAACCACGTATATCCTCCTCGCGCTTCTAGGAACCGTAGCCTGCTTTGCGCTGTTGGTCTTTTGTCACTTCCCCGATGACGCCATCCTCCCCAAAGAGCCTGGCTCCATCGCGTCCAGACTCTCCCTACTTGCCGACAGCATACTAGTGAGACAGCTGCGGCAGGAGCAAGTGTCCGACGTGAACGAGTTACGCAAGTGGCGCGAGCCCGCGGCGCTTGGATGGTGGCGCGATGGGCCCATTGCAGCTTCGGATACGCCGAACAATTCCTCGACACCGGCGTGGAGGTGGGGAGTCGATATCGGGCGAGATGTTACACTGCAGAGCTGGAAAGATCCCCCACTCTCTCCTTCTCCTTCTCCTCCTCCCCCTGCTATTTCTTCTACTTCCCCCTCCCGAAGCTCTGTGAGGTCTGAGCCAATACTTCCTGGGCTTCCTTTCCAGCCCGGAGAGGATGAGGGGCCCTCCACGTCAACGCACAGTCCGCGGAGCTCTGTCAGCAGAATTGACGGTGGGCGCCGAGGGCATCCCAGCGCATTCGCCGTTTGGATGGGGCATGATTCTCGTTCAACTCTGTTAAACAGCGAGCAAGAACTTGGTGATAGGAGATGATAACTGAACTAAGACTACTAAAAAATAATTTATAGTTGAATAAAAAAAGTTTTGCTTAACGTATATTATTAGACGCGAGATTATTAACCCTAATTCAACCTAAAAGTGTAAAACTATAATATACTTAAGTGATTATAATTATAGAGTAAAATAATAGAACTATCCGAAGACAGTTAACAATAACAATTGAGAAGAATATATGGGGTTTACAGCTTTAACCGACTTAGACAAGATATATATGTCACAAACTCATACTTCAAATCAGCAGCCCCGATGCCTCACCACCAAAATAAAACGAAAAGAAAAGAAAAGAAAAGAAAAATAAATAATAAACAATTAAGCCGATAGAAGCTCATACCAAAATCCACTCAATAGTATCAGAAAGAACATATGTAACCCACCCTCTAACCTCCAAGAAGAGAAACCCACGGGTGGGGATAAACTTCAACCCTCACGTCATAGCTTCCGCTCTCCTGAAAACCCCATCGAACATCTAGCACCATATCAATTCCCCAAGCCCTTCTCAACAAACACCCCAAAATGTCCTTCTGGCAAGAGCTCGCCTCCTGGAAAACACCCCCAATCTCGATCATCTCCGATCCTCCACGGGTAGGCGTCAAAGCACCGAGTCGTCCACCCCTCGAGCTCCCTGCCGATAGTAAAGTGATCGTGAGATTTCTCCGCCATTGCGGATGTCCGTGTATGTATATCATTCCCTAGTTACATCTCATACCCAATCAATTGAGACATTTGTAGAGAAAAGAGACTAATTTGTACTATAGTCGCCGAAAAAGCCTACCGCGACCTGGCCAACCACCCCGCCATCCAAAGCGGCGAGGTGACCGGGATCGTGGTATCTCATTCCTCAGAAGAGGCTACGAACAAGTGGATCGAGGCGCTACAGAACGACCCGAAGCAGCCGGGGAGCGATGCGCAGAACCCCGCGCCGGTGCGGGTGGTCGTGGACGAGGACCGACGCAGCTACGCGGCCTGGGGCCTGGGGGTGTCGTCGCTCTGGCATGTGCTGAGCCCGGCGACGATCGCGTCGGTGGTGAACTTGGGTCGCGGCGAGGGGATCTGGAATCGGCCGACGGAGAGTGGGAGTCGGTGGCAGACGGCGGGGGATTTTGCGGTGGATAGCGATGGGGTGGTTAAGTGGGTGCATGTGTATGAGGGGGCGGGGATGTGGGAGATGTCGATGAGGGGGTGAGGAGGGTGTTGGGTTTGGGGAGGGGGCAATAGGTTGAGATGATAAGGTCTAGGAGGTGGAATGGAAGTGTAAATTGAACGTTCTATTGATTGACATTGGTTTTGAGGGTATTCACGATTATTATGCCTCCGGTTTGGCGGATTTGACTACCGAGCCGGCCTTCACTTCGTTTTCAAGCTCCTCCAGCGCTCGTCCGTATCTTGACTTGGCATCCTCCATGTCTTCCAGCTTCACGTTGACTCGGTCCACCTTGACGAGTCGGGTGATTTTACCGTCGGAGCCCTTGGCGATCTCCTTCTCGAACCAGCGGCCCTCGCGGTGGGCCACAAGCGTCCAGGCACTTCCTTCCTTGCCGGCTCTGGCCGTTCGGCCGACACGGTGCACGTATGTCGTGATGCTGGACGGCACGTCGTAGTTGACTACGTGAGACAAAGAGGGCAGATCGAGACCACGCGAGGCACGGTCCGTGGCGATGATAATGGAGATCTTGCCTTGGCGGTAAGCGGTGAGTGTTTTGCGGGAGGCCGATGATTTGTTGGACTTGATGATGGTGCCAATTGTCGTGGCCAGTGAAGGGTCAAGTAGGGAGAGTAGGCGGGAGAGTCGGGATGCCGATTCCGACGATTTCGTGAAGATCAATACGGTGGTCCGTACTGGGCCGCGTTTCTTCTTCTCAGGTACCTCGTCTTCCGACTCAGACGAGCTATCGCTATCAGACGAGCTCTCAGACGAGTCCGAGTCACTGCCCGAGGATGAAGTGTCGTCATCAGATTCGGAGTCCGAATCAGAGCTAGACCCATCGGAGCTTGTATCATCAGAATCAGAATCATCGGAGCTAGAGTCCTCCGAGCTGGAGTCTCCCGAGCTGGAGGTGTCGTCCGAAAGCACGGGCTTTGTGTTTTTGTTGGCATCGACCTTGACGTGCGAGCGCAGAAGCTTGAGAAGATGAAGAGGCTTCTTCGCTCCATCACCAACAGGAATCGAGAATTCTTTGAGGGTCGGGGGGAGGGTGAATTGCTCATCCGAGTTGTCATAGAGCATTTCTTCCCCATCCTCGCCTGCCGCGCCCTGCTCGGCTGAGCCGACAATGACAAGTTGAGGGTTCGACAGCCGGAGAGTATTCAATTTCGATATGTCTCGTGTCATAGTGGCACTGAGAATTACCTTCTTGGGCTCCTTGCTCTGGATAGGAAGCCCAAGTTCCGACAGAAACGTTCCGCTGAAGCCGAACGAGTCGGCAGCCTTCCGGGCATCCAACGAGTTCATCACGACGTCAACCCATTCCTGGAAACTTTCGTTCAGAAGTCGATCGGCCTCATCGATAACCAGCCACTCGAGATGTTTCAAGGTAAATCCTTTGGTATAGCGCAGATGGTCAACAAGACGACCAGGAGTGCAGATCAGGATATCAACATTCGGTTCGGTTTTGTGAATATAACCCGGCAAAGATTCGCTTTCATCGTCAACTTCAGCGATACAGTCCTGCAGACTGAAATTAGTCCAGTCTTCGTCGACCAGCTTGAAGCTCTGTCTTTTCTTGAAAGCCTCCGGGCCGTACGCTTGGTCAATGCGCATCAGTGACCGCTGCTCATCCTTAATCGCCACATTGCCGACCGCCGAGGCAACCCGCAAGCCAGACCCAGCAGCGCATAGCTCACACGCTTCTCTAGCCTGCTTGACCAGCTCTCTCGTCGGGACTACAATGACTCCTCTTAGCCGGGGAGCTGGCATTGGTTTCAAATCCGTAACCATGGGCAGAACGTAGGACAGTGTTTTTCCTGATCCAGTCGCAGCGGAAATACAAAGATCGCCGGAATGGGTCTTCGGTCCGGGAAGAAGCAGAGGAATCACCGTCGATTGAACGGCAAACGCGTCTTTGTAGCCGTTGTCTTCGAGAATTCGTAGAAGGTTGGACTCGATTCCTAGGTCGGAAAACTTGGTTCGCTCATCCGCGGATGTCCGTAAGGGATTTGCCAGCCACGGAGGCAGTGATGAGTATGTTGGCTTCTCAATCTCCTCGGGAGCCACCTCTGGCTGTGGTAGAGGCTCCAGTCCCTGCGCAATAACTGGCTCTGCAGTCATACCTCCGGCCTCCGTTTCGTCTTTATCGTCTTCGGTTGTCTTTTTCGCCTTCTTCACCTTGGCCGACCGTTCAAATTTGGACAGGATTCCCGAGAATTTGTTCTTTGCGGGCTTTGACGGGGATTCCACGTCCGACTTTTCGTGCGCTTCCTCCTCTTTATCGTCCACATCTTCCATCTCCACTAAATTCGCATCCTTCGTAGGCGGGTCACCATTATCTCCTGCGCTCTTCCGTTTGCTCTTCTTTGATTTCTTCTTTCCTTCAGCGTTGTCGCCATCTTTACTTGAAGAACTTGTTTTGCCGCTCCGCGACGGGACAGCACTCTCCTTCGAGGCCGATTCTTCCTGATCACTACCGGTCGCAGAGGCCTCTGACTTTCTCTTTCTTTTCGGCTTCTCCTTAGTGGCGGTAGGAGTGGACGATGGACTTTCGGCTTTCTTCGACTTCTTGCTCGGAGTGGGCGTCGAGGAAACGGCGGCGGCGCCATCTTGGTCTCTCTTTCTCTTGTGTGATTTCTTCTCGCTCAAAGGTGTTGATGAGCCCTTCTTGGAAGAGCCATGGTTATCCAGCTTATCGCGGGCCATTGTAAAGGGCTGGAGCGCAGCGCAAGCGCAGGACGAGGGCAGTGAGTTCAACTGGTGATTTCGGGACGTTGCGAAGAGCTTCTCCGAATATTTTCTTCTAGCGGGGAATATTCCCCCGGCAGAATGTCTTCACCGCCATCACCGCCGCCCAGTCTGGACCCTTTCGGGGTGTTGATGGAGAACTCATGTCCTTCCTAGTTCGCGCTTCGTGATCGACCTCCCTGTTTACGGTCATTCTGCTCGGGACATCCTGTCTGGCCATGGGGACGGAGGGTTTGACTTTCTCCTCGACACTTTCAGGCGGATCTCCTGAGAACAACCGCCAAGATGCCTTACAACATTGCGTGAGTTGCATTCCTGCTCGTGGAGAACTGATCTAATCAATTGGCGCAGTATGGTCAGTGATTTTTTCTTCCCTCAGCCAGGTTAGCATTGTGCTCTTACCCATTATTTATTCTCTGTCTAATATTCGCAGGTGGGGTTGAAAGTCACATCTACCAGTTGTCGACCGTAAGGATACGAACGCCTCCTCAATCCCAGCCAATGCTTATCAGCTCTAGAAACTCATCGACCGCGGTCACAAAGTCATAATCATTACGCATGCATACAAAGGACGCACTGGGGTCCGGTATCTCACAAATGGCCTCAAGGTTTACCATGTCCCCTTCCTCGTCATATACCGAGAAACGACAATGCCGACGGTCTTCTCTTTCTTCCCCATATTCCGCAACATTGTCATCCGGGAGCAAATCCAAATCGTCCATGGTCATGCAAGTCTGAGCTCTTTCTGCCATGAAGCTATACTTCACGCGCGCACCATGGGACTGCGAACAGTATTCACCGACCACTCTTTGTTTGGATTTGCCGATGCCGGATCTATCCTAACCAACAAGCTACTCAAATTCGCTCTGAGCGATGTTGATCATGTTATCTGTGTCAGTCATACATGGTATGGATTGCTCTCTGCCAATCCCTTTCGTTCCCACTGACTTTGACTAGCAAGGAAAACACCGTGCTCCGGGCATCTTTAGACCCCTTGATGGTCTCTGTAATCCCAAATGCGGTGGTCGCGGAAAACTTCCGGCCACTTTCATCCCCGTCTCGTATAAATGAGCGTCCATCAGGGCAGTTGCAGGAGCTACAACCTACGCCGGCGCCGATGGGACCCGATGACATTATCACTATTGTTGTCATCTCGCGGCTTTTCTACAATAAGGGTACAGACCTTCTGATCGCCGCGATACCTCGAATTTTAGCCTCACATCCCAATGTGCGATTTATCATTGCCGGCTCAGGGCCCAAGGCCATTGATTTGGAGCAGATGCTGGAGCGCAATGTTTTACAAGACAAAGTGGAAATGCTCGGCCCTGTTCGACATGAGGACGTTCGTGACGTTATGGTTCGAGGTCACATATATCTCCATCCTAGCTTGACGGAAGCTTTTGGCACGGTAATTGTCGAGGCGGCCAGTTGTGGTCTCTACGTCGTTTGCACCCGTGTTGGTGGCATCCCTGAAGTGCTCCCGCAGCATATGACAACTTACGCAAAACCGGAAGAAGATGATATTGTCATGGCTACTGGCAAGGCTATCGCTGCTTTGCGCTCTAACAAGGTGCGGACTGATCGATTTCACGACCAAGTGAAGATGATGTACTCCTGGACGGATGTGGCCCAGCGCACAGAGCGGGTTTATAAAGGTATCTCTGGCGGGATCACCCCGGAGGAATTCTATGGATACTATCCCGGACAAGGCTGGGAAGCTAGTGGTGACCGAGTGCGAAGTTTCGCTCTAATTGACCGTCTCAAGCGGTATTACGGTTGCGGAGTCTGGGCCGGTAAACTGTTTTGCCTATGCGTTGTGATCGACTTTCTACTCTACGTCTTTTTGGAAATGTGGTTTCCTCGATCGAATATCGACATTGCACGCAGCTGGCCTAAAAAGCTACAACAGAGTGATCAACAACACACGATCAAGCGCAATGACCGAGGTCGCATAGAATCTGCGTCTTGAACAGACGGACTACTCAGTTTACATCCTACTAGTCTGTTAGGAGATTCGAGAAGTAAGTTGAAAAAATGTTTTGAGTATCATGCATGCTAATGGAAATTAATCGTATAGTACATCGTTACCCGTAACACATTATGCCTGGAATCGTTGTCTCTGGGTCTGGGGCTCGTAGTTCCACTCTCTGTCCAGAGTCGCCGCGCTCTCTGGCTCTCGATCCTCAGCAGCGAGAGCACCCTTGTCGCCACGCTGGTTGGGCTTGGCTTGATCCCGATCAATTCCACGCTGGCTAGGGATAGTTCGCTCATAGTTGCCCTGCATGGATGCTCCAACACCCTCGAGACCGCTACCGGGGTTCTTGCGACCGTGCTGGCCGTCGTGATGAAGCTCGGTGCTGGTCTGTCCAGACCCGGGGTGTCCGAAGCCGGTGTGGACGTCCTGAGAAGTGGCGCCCATCAAGGTGTCTCCAGGGTTGGTCTTCACCGATTCCTTGCCATGGCCACGCTCGACGTTGGGGTTCAAGGCCTGACCTGCGACCTCGTTGGTAGGGTGAGGCGTGTAGGAGTTGCTAGCAGGTGCCGTTCCTGGAGGGAAGACCTGGGGCTCATTTTCAGGGGCGAAGTCCTGGGGGGCGACCTTGCGGCCGGGCTGGTGCTATACGTTTTCGTTAGCACATGCTCTCCATCGAAAAGTGCCATTTTCAAAACTTACACCCTTGTCGGTCACAGGGGCCGAACTGCCAACGGAGGGATGGAAACCCTGCTTATTGTTGTTCTCGGGGTGAGCCTTGTGGATGGTGCTGCTCATTGTGAAGGTGTTGAGAATTGATATACGAGTTGAACTGGTTGAAATGGATGACAGAATTCTTGGAAACGTTAATTAATCGTCCGGCAATTAATTGAATATGATGAGCATCAATGCAACGTTCGACAAGCACTCTTTATAACCCTCCTTTGCTCATATCATCCCTCGTTGACCAGGGTTTCCAACATCTATGCCCATGACGTCAAGGTGAGGTGACAGTGAAGTTGACTTCATCGAACTCCATCTCAACTACGCTTTCCATGGTAGTCGTCTCGATCACACACCATTGAGCGTCATGACCTGCCAGGTATCCCTGTTCTTCCAAGCCGTGTACAACGCTGAATGCATTGCGGGTGACGTTGGTATTGACGATCCGATGGCAAAATGCTTCGGTGGCGCGAACAATAACCCCAATCTCACCCGATATTCCAAGACCTGATTAAAGTGATCTAATTTGCTTCGAGAGGGGCAGATCTCGCCCGGTCCATGGCCAGACTACTTCTACCTTGATCCACCGAGTTTCGCGGACGACGTGGTATTAGGAGAGTTTATATCACATGTGAACATCCATAGGTGCCAGTGTCAAAATTATCTATAGAATCAGAAATATGAACAGGTAAAACGCAGAGCAAAGCATAGGTATCATCGCATCCATTAAGCAAAAGCAAAATAACCCCCCAGCGCCCAAAATGAGATACTCCCTCAGGAACACGGATCAACAAGGACTACTCCCGCCATCGTGTCTGAGGCCCGCAATGAAACGGGGCCCATCACCTCATCAGTGGAGGTCTAGCCTCTTTATTCCACCGGACTCGAGTCTGCACCCATTCGACAGCCTCCTGGACTCCAGACCCGAGCAGTGCACTAACCGGCAACACGCGGCTATCACGCAGCGCAGTCCCCGTATCCCCTTCGAAGACCTTGCGCACAAACCCTTCCTTGATGCGAACCACCTCCACCGAATCCTCGCGGTCTTGCTTATTCGCCAGCACCAGGATAGGCACCCCTGCCACGTCGGTGTGCTGTAAGACGGACTCCAGCACTTGACGGCACTCGTCCAGCCGACCGAAATCGCTCCCCGGCGCATCAATGCCCACCATCTCCTCCGTGAAGGCGTCGGCGCCGCTTCCCGACTGTCCTGATACCGAGCTGGGTCGTCGATTCGAAGACGCAGGCAGACGGGTGACGTCGGGGTCTTGACCGACGTCGGTGCTGTCGACAACGAACACGATCGCGTGACAGCTGGAGTAGTAGCTTTGCCACAGGTTCCGCATCGTTATTTGCCCACCCACGTCCCACACCTTCAGGTACATGTCGGGCAGAGAGATTGTCGTCACGTTCTGGCCAACCGTGGGCACGGTCTTACCGGGGTTCGGAGCAGGAGCGCCATCGGGACGGGGTTGGAAGAGAGCTTTGATCTGCGAGAGGAGCGTTGTCTTGCCAGCGTTGTCGAGACCGAGCAGAAGAACAGAGTATTCTAACAAGATGATTAGCCGCCACTGCGCTGCAAGCGTCGTAGTCTCGTACCTTCTTTGCTGGTGGCCTGCATATATAGAGACTTGGCCAGATGGTACATAGTTGCGGAGGACCCTGCGGAGACCAGGAGCAGCTCCGACGGACGTAGCCTCTAGGGAGATCAGGACCGGCGACTTGAGGAACTAAACGAGGCGATCATGGCAGCGCCGATAAGACTGATGCGCTTAAACCCAATCGTTTTTCTTGCGTAGTTAATCCACCGGAGATGCTCTGCTTCCGACTGTCTTCCTCCGGACAGACCACGCGTCAGCCGTGTCTCTTTTGGGAAAGTAGGGTCTGGGGCTGTTCTCCTCCCAAGCCCTGTGCCCTAACCTCCCGAAACGGACGTACCCCGCATGGCCGCTGAGTAATCCGGGATTGGCTTTGTCCCCGCCGAACTTTCGATGGATCCGTGGCTTCCTTTGCCGATGATTGTCCCTCGTCCATGGGCTTCCGATTCACGGCGATTCGCCAACGGAAAAGAAAAATATCAAACGATTTGGGTTCACGCAAATGGCGTGACAAGACAATGAAGCATGTCTGGGAAGCCATCATGAACTAACGAGTCCAGGCTCGGATGGATTCGAAGTCACGCAAGTCTCCGAAGACCACCGGCCTTCCCGATCCAACCAAGTTTCTATCGAATTCCCCGCCGGGGCGGGCTCGATTTCTTGCTAAGCCAGAGCTCGGTTTTGTCAGCGAGCGACCGTTTGCGGACTTTTCCACTCCTCCCCTCGCCTCCCCAGAAGATTTCGTCGTCACTACGTCGTCCCTCGATGATTCAGGCTCTCGATGGCCGTCCACATGCCTTTCCGTTGTCGGGAGGTCATTGACTCGCTGTTTTCCACTGATTGAAAGAAACTTTAATTGAGGGCTACCTTTCTATCGCATGTCTCGTACAGAATGCTCCGCGCTGACTGGGCGGCCGGAGGCACAGAAATTGCCTTCAATGGAAACTGACACCATTATTATCGGTATGTCGCCATTTCCATGGGAATCCGGGGCTTCTATCTGCCAATAGGCATGCCGTGATAGACTCTAATCTCGATCCTGACAGGGAACGGGCCATCTGCCATGATCCTATCGTTCATCCTGCATGGCCATCTACCTTATTACTCCTCCAATCCTCCCCATCCCGACCCCCTCCTGCATGCCAAGTTAAAGGCGGCCCCGGAACTGCTGGATGCGGATGTAGACGCACTGACCGAACACTTTGCTGCGTCTCGGCTGTCTTATTCCACCCAGGCCCTCCCTGTAAATGTACTACTCGACACCCTAGTTCGACCTAGCGTCGACGTGGAGGAGCTCGGAAGCACCACGAACATTGAATGGCGGCATGCGCCTGAAAAAGCCGTCCCGCACTTGGTCTTCGGCAATACGCCGCAACCCGGCGGCCAATGGAATGATAATCTGATGCCGGCTAGCTGGGAAATCCAGACCCTGAGTTATGCGTCAATGTTGTCATTGCCCGGTTATTCTTTCGCGGAGCACTACCGCAAAGTCACCGGCAATGACCTCCCGGCATTCACGCGTCCCAGCCGGCAAGAGACCGCTGATTATTTCCGCGCCTACCCCGAGGCCGTGCAGATCGACGATGCCTTCCGGTGTCGCGAAAGCCTGGATGGGATCTCGAGAACTGCGAACGGGTTTTATATCCGCTCTCACAATATCCACTGTAAACACCTTGTTTTGGCCAGTGGGATCTTTACCCATGTTATACAACCCCGTCCGATGCTAGAGCCGCTAGCGTCGCTGGAACCGACGCCTCAACTCCCGCTCCTGGTCATCGGATCGGGCTTCTCCGCGGCCGATGTTATCATCTCGGCACCCAAAGATCAACAAATTCTCCACATCTTCAAATGGGACCCCGAAAATCGACCATCTCCTTTGCGTGGCTGTCATCAGCAAGCCTATCCCGAGTACGCCGGTGTGTACCGCCTTATGAAACGCGCCGCCGTTGCTCATAGCTCGGGCGCGGCGAAACGTCCTGCCAGGACGAAGCGAAGCGTCTCAAGTCCTTTCCTCGAGAATCGCGCCTGGGACCAGGTGTACGACGGCCATCCCAACACCGAAATCATTTCTGTTGACGCCCAGAAAGAGTCGGCAACGGTAACATTCCGCCAGGCCGACGGGGCGACATTCACCCGTGTTGTCCGCGGTATGGTCTACGCGACTGGCCGGCGCGGAAGCCTTGGCTACCTCGATCACGCTCTTCTCTCAGAGGTCATTGGCGTTGATGAAAGGGGTGAAACAAGTCCTATCATCTCGAGCCAGACCCTCCGAGGCAAAGCACTTGAGAACATGGAGGTTGCAAAGGACGTCTTTGTGATCGGCAGCTTGACGGGGGATTCACTGATCCGATTTTCATACGGCAGCTGCGCCCAAACCGCGGGCAAGCTGATCGGTACGTATACAGGAGAGGCGAAGGCCAGAAACCGAACGGTCCCCACCACTCGGCCGCAGGATTCATCTCTGAGCGTGATGCATGGTCTGGATGGCCATGATATTTATCCTGCGGCTATGAATGATATCTGCTTGGAAAAGCACGACACGCACGACACGATACCTTCGATCCGAAAGTCTGGCTTCCTTGGGAGTATTTGGAGATCTTTCATTGGTATATGGAAGGGATAGAACTAGTTTTGAAGGGTGTATGAGCATATGCTATATTTGATAGACACATTGTATTTATTGGTGTTTTGTTATGTATATACGGAATGCATTTACGCAGCGAGTGGCCAACTGGTAACTCAAGCTGGTATCACTGCCTCATCTTAGACAATCCATGTTATTATGATCCAGATTTGCCCAGTATTTCTAGTTTCAGCCAGTAGCATGGCAGCACTGGTTGACATAGGATCGGCAATTTATCAACGCATGCCATATATACGATTTCGAGCAAATTGAAGGGTATAAATCTCATCATCGTTACTATACAGCCTATTTCTATCTGACCAAATCAAATCGAGTCTGCAATTAGCCCATGATCTGCAGCTGATCATCAGGAGGCCAGCGAGTTTGCGCAAAGCTCAAGCACCGCTTGATGCTCTGCAGGTACTTTCGAGTGCTCTCGTCGCTCAGAATATGCGCCTGCTGATCACTCTGATGCAGTTTCTCCCGAGCCGAACGTTCGTGGATACCAACCATGGTTACACCAATGGGCCAGGCACTGCGAGGTGTTAGCTATGCTTCATAAATCGAAGGGGTGGGGGTAGACATACGCTTTTCCAATACTCAGTCGCAGATAGGCGTCGTTCGCATCGACATACCGCCGCTGCTGAGCCTTGTGGGCGATCTCCACAATGTGCTCAAGCACACCATCATCCAGATCAACCTTCTCGAACTTCCGGAACAGCGGTTTCAAATTATCCCGGGACTGCACCATCGCGTTGTAGGCCTGTCGTCCCTGGAGGCTTTGCTTCACCGTCGCATCCCGCTTCGCCAACGCAAGCTCCCACTCCTTCAGCACCATGTTGAAATACGACGCCAGCTGCCGAAACAGGTACTTCCGCCCCTCGACATCCTTCGGCAGGGTCGTCGAGATCTTCATCTCCACCTCCGGCACCAACTCCAACGTCGTGGGGATCGGCCCGTCCGACAATTTCGGCTGCGGCGCCAGCGCCCGCTGCATGACGCGGCGATACCGACGTAGTCGACCGCGATGCGTCTCGCCAAACAAAGTCACCGGCTCCCCGAGCTCGCGCAACTTCCCCACCAGCTCCTCGTCAGGGATATCCTCTTCCTGGTCGCCCAGGGCATCGCTGTCCTTGTCCCCGGCGGCCGGCAACTCCGGCAGACCCAGTCGCTTCCGACGCTGTCGTTCCTGCTCGGCCTCTTCTTCTTCTCGTCTCTTGCGGGACTCCTCTGCGAGTCGGCGCTTTTTCTCCTCCCGCTCGTGGCGCCGCTCCGCTTCTTCGTCTTCGAGTTTGCGCTTCTGCGTCTGTCGCTCCTCGCGCTCGCGCTGCAGTCGCTCTTGTTCTTCGTTGTAGGCGGCGATCCGCGCGGCTTCGACGTCTGCGCGACGCATGTATTTCTTCTCTGGGGCGTTGGTGGCGGCGGAGGACTCTTTCTTCTCCGAGGGGGGTTTGGCCTTGGAGATTTCCTTGGCCATTAAGGCGGCGAAGTCCATGGTGGTGATCGCACGTGGAGGTCTCTATTAAATTTGAGTATTTAATATCACCGGGAATAAATGGGATCGATGTAGGAGAGTAGAAGGTGGTAAATAGACAGGTTGGCGGAGTGGATGGAGCGGAGAGAAGGATAGAAGAAAGAAGTGGAAACGGCGAAGATCTTCGGCGGAGCTCAGCTTCTCGTGACCTCCGACCAGCTTCACCTCTCTTCTTCTGCTCCTCACCTCCATTGCGCTTCTCTCTTCACCACTCGCAATGCTCTCACCTTGAAATACTCTAACCCAACACTCACATAATCTTCACAATCAACACCGCCTCAACCCGCTAATTCAAATAACCCAAAAAAAATCTTCCAATCACCTCCAACCCAAACCAAAACCACCATCACCATGGCCGCTCGCGATGCGCCCAAGCCCCAAATCGACCGACAATCGACGACGCCCTTCCACCTAAAGCTCTTCTACCGGGTATCGAACTTCCACCCGCTCTCGGACTTCGCGCCGCCCTCGTCCTCGCACTCCTACGGCGGTCCTCTCAGCGGACCCAACTCGATCCGCTCGCGCTCTCCCCCTCCACCACAAGCCTCAAACCTCCCCGCCCACCTGCAGATCTACACCTGGCAGTCGTGCACGCTGCGCGAGCTCTCGCAGCTCCTCACCTCCGCGCTGCCGTCGCTTCTGCCCGACCCGGCCGTCGGGACGCGCCTGTGCTTCCGCCTCATTTACCCGGACACCAAGGCGGCGGCGACGATGGGGCCGGACGCGCGTGGCCGCTATCTCAGCAAGGACATGGGGAGCGTGGTCGTGGGGCCGCGGGAGAGTCCGTACCGAGACGGCGAGGGCGAGGAGGAAGGGGGGGAGAAGAAGGCTGCACCGCGGGCGCTGCGTCTCCAGGGCCATGATGCCGATAAGACGCTGCAGGAGATGCGGTTCGTGATCGGTGACTATGTGGACTGTGCGGTGTTGCCGCCGCTGGAGGACGGGTCTGTTGCGCCGCCGTTGACGGTCGGGCGGGGGGCGATGAGCTCGACGGTCGGAGGGGGGATGAGGGCGTTCCGGGAGCCTGGGTTTGGGAGGGGTGGAGGGCGAGGAGGACGGGGTGGTGGTGATCGAGGGATGATGCCCATGGGGGATTGGAAGCGAGGAGAGAGATTACCGGAGGGTGGAGGACGAGGGGGGAGGAGAGGGTGGGCGCCGTATTGAGATGGGTGTTTGCCTTTCGATATCTGCTTTCTGTATTTCTCTTTTTCGTGATTGTGTTGTTAAGGGCTTGACTAGTTGCATGGAGTTGTGATCCGGAATGGGATACCCGGTTCGTATACGAAAACCAATGGACTTGATATATGACCTCAATCCATGATTGATAGGCCTACTACGATCTAGCCCTCCTCCTGGCATCCAATCGAGACTACTCCGTAGACGCAAACAGCTTGAAGAACAGAACCAACCCATGCGGTATATTCAATAATAGGTACACATCCAGCGACAAATTGCAAGTGCAGCCCACTCCGGGCACACAGCTCAATAGACCACATCACTCCTCCATTTTCTCAAATCAATCTACCACTCGGAGATGGTGTCGCCCCTCCTCTTTCCACGGAGTTCCCATTTGCCCTGTTAAAGTCAGCCCGGCCGTCATCTAAACCAACCAATATGTCCAACCCCTTCCAAGTAAAGACTGATAGCACCAGTGACATACCTCCGTCTTGTAGGTAATGTAGCCCAGAGTGCCGGGGATCAGAGCCATGTAGAGGAACGAGAACCAGGCATGGCGCGGCGTCCAGCGGAAGTACTTGTAGCGGTTTGCGGTGAGTTCTGTCGGATGTCAGTACAGGTCACCTTGCATCGATGGTTCGATTCCGCCTGTCGGGACCAATTGATTCCGTGATATCAATTCCCGGCGATAATCGAGCAAGCAGGTCGACCTCAATCACGGTCCCGGCGAGAAACGGAGGGGGTCCGTACCGTAGTATTTCTGGAGGGCCGGGTCAAGGATCAAAGCTGTGCAGGGGATGGTTAGCTCAGGAACGTCGTCTCGATACACCGGGGAGTCTGAGAACACTTACACTTGCTAGGGCCGGCCATGGTTGCGGTCAATGGAGTCACCTGTGCTGAACATCGACTGGCTTCGTTTGCCGCGATTCGATGAAGTTGACCGGTCACGTGGGAGATGTTGCTGAGTCAGCGGGTCAGTGGAATGGCGGCGCTGTGATTGGCTGCAGTCGGAGCATTCATCGTTCCGCCTGCCAAAGACTCCCCGACGGTCGAATACAAACCCCTTCGCTACGATTTCAGGCCGATATGTTCGGGATAAATACGAGAACACGAACTGGCTTCCTCCAACAGGCCTGTGATGGCGTCCCCTGATATCAAAGACCCGACAGACATCGAATGATGATCGCTGATCGCAAAAATGAGTTAGCGTTGCGAACTGCTCGGTAGACCCACTGCCGGTTCGATGACGCAGTCGGCTTTCACAGGCTTCGCGACCTCCGAGGCTGTGGTTGATCTTCCTACTCAACACTCGTGCCAGGGCAATTATTCAGATCCGTTGAGCTCGAGTCTAGAATATAAGCACGTCGATCTCCTGCATCTGTCCTTGGGCTTGCATTGCTACCTACAACTTCTAAGTGTCCGAAATCGGTACATACTCGCTAGTGGCAAGACTTTGCGACTCGCATCACAACCTCAACCCCCGGAAATCACAACCTGAGCTATATCAAATCACCCATCAAAATGGCCGACGCAAACAAAGGCGCAAAGATCACCCTCTACTGGTTCGTCTCCCTGCACACACCACCAACAACCCACCCGCTAACCTCCCCAGGCTTGAGAAGTCGCGCTCGCAGCGCATCCTCTGGCTCCTCGAGGAACTCGGCGTCTCGTACGAGCTGAAGACATTCAAGCGCGGCGCAGACATGCTCGCGCCGCCCGAGCTCAAGAAGATCCACCCGCTCGGCAAATCGCCCGTCATCACGATCGAGACCGAACACTCCGACAAGCCGCTGTTGCTGGCCGAGTCCGGCGCCATCTCCGAGTACCTGTGTGACCACTTCGGCAACGGCAACCTGGTGCCGCAGCGCTACCAGGACGGCAAGGAGGGCCAGGTCGGCGCCGAGAGCGAGGAGTGGATGCGGTATCGGTATTTCATGCACTATGCGGAGGGCTCGCTGATGCCGTTTTTGGTGTTTAAGTTGGTTATGGATAGTAGGTTCTCGCCTTGTTTCTGGTCGAACTTGTTTGGTTGATCGACGCGTTGTTCAATTGATGGGTTACTTACCGTTGGTACAGCTGTCAAAAACGCCCCCGGCATGCCCTTCTTCATCAAGCCGATTCCGCGCCTCGTCGCGTCCAAGGTCGAAGAGCTCTTCGTGTACCCCAACGTCTTCGCCAACTTCAATTTCCTAGAAGAGCGGCTGAAGACGGCTCCCGACGGCGGTCCCTTCCTCTGCGGAAAACAGCTCACCGCCGCCGACATCATGATGAGTTTCCCCGTCATCGCGGCCTCCGGCAGGGTGCCGCTCAAAGACCAGTACCCGAAGTTGCAGGAGTATGTGGACCGGCTGCAGCAGGAGGAGGGATATAAGAAGGCGGTCGAGAAGGTGATCGAGGTGGAGGGGAAGTTTGATGCTTCGCTGTGATGGGTGATGTCTTAATGCCGTGTTATAATGTTTTTATGCCTGGTTCGATTAATCAATATTACTATGTTAGGTACTATTGAATAACAATAGCATTCCTGCGGAAATCAAGTCGCGCGAGCTGTGTACACCTGCTCGAGAACCAACTATTCATGGCATCTGCTGACTATTCACATACCTAAATCTATTTAGACTAATCCTAAACCACCTCAAGTACCTACTCACCAATCCACAGGATATTCATCCACCATCAAGAATCCACAGGCCTCGGCTGACTCCCATACGAAATAATCCTCACCATATGCCTCCTCTCTCCATCATTAAAGTCCGGCACCGCCGAATGCGCCGCAGTTCTCTATCACCCACATTAGCCCTCCATCCCCAACATCAGCCAGATTGATTGAACAGTGAATACACACCTGATCCCAAACCACCACCGTCCCCCTCTCCCACTGCACCCGACACATAAAATCCAACGACCTGATATGCTCATGCAGAAAACCCAACAACATCTCCGACTCCCCGGGCTTATACCCCACCACCTGCCTTGCCATCGTCGGATTCACAAACAGCGCCGGCTCCCCCGTCACAGGATGCTGAATGACAAGCGGATGCTCGCTCTTCACGGCTTCTTTCAGGGCGCGTTCCGTTCCGATGCGCGCGACCTCGCCGATACTAGCGCTGGTGTGTAGCAGCTTTAGGTTGTGGAGGCCTTCGCGGAAAGTTGGCGACAGGGCGCGATACGCCCACGGCAGGGACGTGAATGCTGTGTCGCCGCCGCCGGAGGCTGGTGTCTCGAGATTCCAGAAGAATGTCGTGCCGGGCGTGTTGGGCGTGAATGTTTGGTCGATGTGCCAGAGGTCGTAGGTGTTGCGGGGGCCGAGGAGGTCGCGCAGGGTTCCTCTGTTGGTTTGGTTTAGTTTCTGTGGGTTGAAGATTGGGGAGGGATGGGATAGGACGTACACTTTCTCATCGGCGTATACGACTTGGAATTCGGGGCCTGTGCCTTCGGGATAACCCATTGTTGGATGCTGCAGGTGGAGGTGAGTTGCATGAACGGCGATGTATGGGTAAAACTATATCTCACTCTATGCAGCGGGCCAAAATGCGTCGCGATCTCTTTCTGTCGCTGCGTTCCTATATCGGCGAAGTCTTGATCGCGCTGGAACTGTCAATTGAACCTTTTTCTTTTCCTATCAAGGGCGAACGTATATTCTGAACTCACGAATACAAGCACGCCTCGCTGGGCCGCCAACAGCGCGACCTGATCGAGCCCATCCTTCGACAACCGACTCAACTGGAGATCGCGAATCTCGGTCCCAATACGAGGCGTGATGTTCTTCAACTTCCCCTTCACCTTAATCTCAGGCAGTTCCGGATCCGCGCGCAATCCAGGCTCCTCGACCTTAAAGGGAGGCAGGTCTTGCGTCGGGGTGAAGCCCTCGGGCCTGACGGGCAGATAGGCAGGGTAGAGCGGCTGCGAGGACATGACGTGCTACAATGCCACGTCGTAAAATCTAAGCTTTGATCGATCCCTTCGTATAACCATAACCATATCCATATCTAATCCCCACATGGCATGCGGGCGACTTTATACTCCGCAGCATCATTCCATCTGCGCGCGGGCGGGTCACCGACGACGGCTCATCGCAGCCAAGAAAGGCGTCAGCGCCTACCAGTGACGACAAGCATCGCGCGCCCTCCAGCTGCACCCCCGATCGAAGGGGCAATTTTGATCGGGCGGATTCCGTGGATCGCACGTCTTGCTGGCTGCAGTGCGTCGCATCTAGTGCGGGACTGGGCTGTGATGCTTCGACTGGAGGGTCGAGAATGCGGCAAAAGATCACCGACCAAAGCACGTCATAGAGGCGATGGATTTCCAAACACTACTTCGTATGTTTTCGCTCGATCGTATATATTATGATCGGATCGCCTCGGTGGAGAGTTGATGGGCATTGTTTTGTTTTTCTGAGTGAAAATGGACTCGGATCGAGATTCGCGGCCAGTCTCCGCTGCGAAATATAATGTCTTTTCGAGGTTCTTCCAGGATCCGCAGAGGGTGTTTGTGCTGAAGCTGGATTGTCTGTTGCTCGTGTGGATGTTTGTTGCTGGTTTGACCAAGGTAAGTAACTGATTGCGTATTGATTGATACGAGCAGGCTGACGATGGGAGGATATGGATCAATCCGCGACAACGCAAGCCTATGTGTCTGGGATGCAGGAGTCGTTGAGTCTGTACGGCAACGAGCTCGTCGAATTCACCACATATTTCTCAATCGGATACGCCCTGGCCATTGTTCCGTCGCAGATGATCCAGACGTTGATTCGCCCTTCGCTCGTCTTGCCGGTGTGCGAGATCATCTGGGGATGTCTGACTCTTGCGTATGTTTCTGGACCTGGAGATATTGTATGGAGTGACTTACAGATGCAGAACCTATGCGGCGAAAAATGCTCAAACGGTCTATGCCATTCGGTTCTTCCTAGGCATCTTCGAATCGGTAAGTGTCTTTCGTTGATATCATGGCTGCGCTGACTTCCCAGACCTCATGGCCCGGAATCGTCAGTCTTATATTCAACTGGTGTGAGTACTGTCAGCGCCTGTATGCAATCCGTACTAATTGTCAAAGATACACCGCCGGAGCTGGGAGTGAGACTGGCTATCTTCGGAGTCAGCGCGCAGGCCGGCAGTATGTTCCTTGGTATTCTGCAAGCTGCGCTTTATAAGAACCTGAATGGCGTTTCGGGGTTGCAGGTGAGATTTCTGAAGCTGCGACTTGGAGAAAGGCTAATGAATTAGGGATGGCAATGGCTCTTCATTGTCAGGTGAGTTCCTCGGCGTGCGTCTGTCAAATACTTCTAACCAGCATTGCAGTGGTTGTATCACCATATTCTGGGGCGTCCTCGGTCTCCTTATCATTCCCGATTCGCCGTCAATTACGCGAGCCGTGTGGTTGACGCATGCAGAGCGCCGTCTCTCGGTCAAACGCATGGAGGAGTACAAGACGGAAACGTCCAAACTGATTGACTACCGGAGGCTGTTTAGGAAGGCCAAGCAGATATCACTGAGTCCTGTGGCGTGGATGTACATTGCCGCCTATCTGCAGTTCGCCTGGAGTCAACGTTCTAATTCCTACTTCCTTCTATATCTGAAAGTGAGTCGACGTTCATGATTTTAAAAACGTAACTGACAATTTAGGGACTCACTGGCGCAGATGGCCAGCCACTCTATAGCACTTACACCGTCAATTTGATCCCACTCGGTGGCTATGCCATCTCCATTGTCAGTACGGTGGCACTGAATGCTCTGAGTGACTGGAAGAATTGGCGCGTCCAGATTTCGATTGCACCAGCGGTATGGTTTACATTCTGCTAGTTGGGCCATTAATAACTTGATAGATTCTTCAAATTATTGCCTGTTCCGTGCTGTCGGCATGGCCCGATTCGACGCCTACTATTATGACCTTTTACTTCTTAACCTTTGCGACTGCAGCATGGGGGTATGTCACCTTTCATCAGACAAGAACCCACTAACATAGACAGATATGCTCTTCTCGCCTGGATTGGCGAAATCTTGCGAAAAGAACCCGAGGCGCGGTCTCTTCTTGTCGGTGCATCGGTCACCTTAGTCTGTATGTCTCATCAATCAACATGCTGTTGTACAAGTAGTAAGATACCTATCGACTGACCTTCCAGATATCGGACACGCCACCATTCCTCTGCGAGCATGGCGAACGTCCGACAGTCCGCGCTACCCTATTGGATTCCCACTCGCGACGGCATTCGCTGCAGGCAGCATTATATCAATCCTGGGCATCTACTTTTATGTCAAGAAGTGTGTATCTGCCTTGCCTAGTCCATATTCTCTAGCTAACCATCCCAGAAACCCGGATATACTCGAGCATGGACTCGAAAAGCCTGCACGGTCCGAATCCTCTAGTCTGCATGGAAACGAACGTCGGGAGAGTGTCGGGAAGCCCAGCCCGTCGAGCAATATTTCGGAATTGTAATGGGCTTTTGACTTGGGTGAAAGTTGTTATTAGTTTGGATTATGGATAGCCAAAATGAACGGGTTGATCCTGCAGGATGGGATCTGGATCCTTTACTTGGCCGCATTTAGGAGTTAGCAGGGGTTTCTTTGTTGACATCGACGCTGCCTAGAATATCTTCTGTCATCTTGGCTGCGAGAATTCACTGGCAGCTTACGGCAGTTTCCGTGGCATTCATCTTTCAAGCTTCTCCGGTAGATCCCAGGCAGTTGAGCTTAAATACCAGGTACAATCCACAATCTCATCCACTCCACGGCTCTCCAGCCATCCTACCAACCAAACCATATCATCGAATCCACCAAAAGTAACCCCAAATCATGCCATCCTCCATCCTCCCCTCCGTCGAAAGAGGCTACCTCCCATACTTCCTCCTCTTCGTAAGCTCTTCCCCTCCATCCCAACTCTCACTCCCAACCCAAACTAATAAAGCCAAAGGCCTCCCTATCCGCCCTCCTCCACAGCATAAGCACCTACATATCGCCGATCCCCGCGCTCCAACAATTCTCTGGCCCCCTCGCACCGCCCAAAACACCCCTTCTGGCGCACGTCTACGGCATGAAGAACGTCTACAGCGGGCTGATCCGTCTTTATGCCGCGTACAACATCTCGAACCCGCAGCTGTATGATCTTGCGACGGTGACGTTTGTGGGCGTCTTAGTGCTCTATGTTGGTGAGCTTTGGGTCTGGAGGACAGTCAGGGTGCAGGAAGGTTGGTTTCCCCTTGTTACGGCCGGGTTGGGGCTTTTTTGGATGGTGTGGGGGAGGGGAGGTTATGTTTGAGGTCTTGAGGTTTATCCTCTTTCTGTTCTGTCTCGATCAAGATGACGAATGATCTGATTTGAAATGGTGTATTCTTTACCTAGGGATGTAGGTATTTGATTCAATTGAATGAATGCGAATTAAATTCTGGGGCTGGTTGGTTGAGTCCGTGGTGTGGATTGTACAGTAATATAGTAGTGACGATATACTCCACAGATAAGACGATGACATCAGGATATATATCCCGACAGGACGGAAATACTACTCCAGAGGTTGCCCAACATGCAGTGCCATGTCAATTGCTTTAAATTCCTTAATCCTCGAATAATATCCATCAATGAATTGAATACAAGAACCCCTCAACAGCCAAGCCGAATGGGCTGATGCCGTCCGATCCCCTACGTCATACAACCGTGGCACAGAATACAAGCAGTCAGTCAGCCCCAGACCTCCATCAATCATCTAAACTACGAAAAGACCTACGCAAACACCTACCCAATACCTACCTAATACCTAAACAATCCACCATGACCGACCTGAAACCCAATCTCGCCGTCTTCAGCGCCAAATCCTACGACAAGCAATACCTCACCAGCACGCTCCAAACCCACCACCCCTCCCTCGTCTCCTCCCTCACCTTCCACTCCTTCGCGCTCTCCTCCGAAACCGTCTCCCTGGCCCACGGCGCCACCGCCATCTGCGTCTTCGTCAACGACATCCTCGACGCCCCGGTCCTCCGCACCCTCCACGCGCACGGCACCCGCGCCATCCTCCTCCGCTGCGCCGGCTACAACAACATCGACCTGGCCGTCGCCGAAGAACTCGGCCTCTTCGTCGCAAACGTCCCCTCCTACTCCCCCGAAGCGGTCGCCGAGTTCGCCGTCGCCCTGATCCAGACCCTGAACCGGAAGACGCACCGCGCCTACAACCGCGTCCGCGAGGGGAACTTCAACCTCGAGGGTTTCCTGGGCCATACACTGCGCGGACAGACGGTGGGGGTCGTGGGCGTCGGTCGCATTGGGATGGCCCTCGCGCGCATCTTCAACGGGTTCGGGTGTAAAATGATCGCGTACGATCCGTTCGGCGGCGAGGAGTTCAAGCAGTACGGCGAGTTCGTGGACCTCGAGACCCTGCTGTCGAGTAGCGATATCGTCAGTCTTCATTGTCCGCTAACGGACGCGACGCGGCACATTCTCGGCGAGGAGAACCTGGGGCGCATGAAGCGGGGGGCGTTGCTGGTGAATACGTCGCGGGGCGGGCTGATCGATACGAAGGCGGCGATTGCGGCGCTGAAGAAAGGGCAGCTAGGTGGGTTGGCGTTGGATGTGTATGAGGAGGAGAAGGACTTGTTTTATAACGACCACTCCGGGGAGATTATTCATGATGATACGCTGATGCGGCTGATGACGTTTCCGAATGTGCTGGTGTGTGGGCATCAGGCTTTTTTTACGGAGGAGGCGCTGGGTGAAATTGCGGGGGTGACGTTGGCGAATTTGCAGGATTTCGTGGAGAAGAGGACGTGTAGGAATTCGTTGGTGAGGGAGGGGCATTTGTTGGTGTCGAGGGAGACGGAGCCGGTGAGGTTGTAATTTTTATTTATATTATTGGACATGGTTGGTTGGTTGGAATTGTGTGGATTGGGATAATGTAGATGTGGATGATGTCTATTTCTATGCTATATAATAAGCTTAGGGCTTAGTGTTAGTCTAACAAGAGGACCTGGGTGGTCTGCATTGACTTAACCCACATACTACGGAGTATACAGTAGCACATTAAATATACACATAGAAAAGAAGAGAAATACATTGAAGAAGTTGAAGAAAGAGAAAAGAAACGAAATACAATATCCCCTCGACCTACACTCCAAAAATAAACACCAATCCAAACAACAACGAAACACCAACCACAAACACAAACACAAACAAACACACCAGAAAAAGAAAAGAACCCTACCCCCCAGCAACCAAAAGCCCCATCGTTCCTCCTACCTCCTCCAAACCAGCCCCCGGCCGTCGCATGACTTACCTGCATCAAACCCGCATCAAGACCCTGTTCCCCTGCTTAAGAACCAGCATCAACCCAAACTGACCTATCACCGTCACCATTACATCAATCACATTGCCATTCATGCACAGCTACATCAACATGACACTTCGACCTGCAAGCTGCGGTGGCAACGAATCGGGAGAAAGCCCGCCTCGGCTGCAGGTGATCTAGCAAACGGCGGCTAGGAGTTGGAGGTGTTGGGTTTGAGGATCTGCGATGGTCAGAAGTACGATATGAGCTGTGCATGTATGCAGGATGAGAGTATGCAGGTGCTCAGGGGTTGGGTTGTTTTTAGAAGAGCTGCTCGATGTGTAGAGTAGGACAGATTGCTTGCTGTGTTGGGATCCTGGTGTTGGGTTTAGGGCTGAGCTGAAGAAGTGGTGATGCAGGATGGATGTAGATCATTGGATGTATGATTAGGTTACTATTGTATGTACAATGTACCATGTACAGAGCTCATTGTTAGGTAGTTGCTATACTGTAAGCGCCGATGCATACTTGCGAAGGCCTACGAAACAGTCGAAGTTTTGATGGAACAGCATCCGATGATCCAACAGGCGGAAGATGAAACATCCCGAATGTTCGATTCCCCGAGGAGAAGGCGAACAATTCAGAGTTCAGACCCCCCTGGAGTCCTCCATACTCCGTACTCGCAAAGTAATCCATCGTGTGCACCACCCAAACAAACAACGATCAACGGCAACCGCCCAACCCACACCGACCAGCCACGGAGCCGAGCTGCTGATGAAGCGAAGTACATCAGTGGAGCCATCAGCAGAGCAACCTACTCCGTCAAGCAAACGCAAACCAAACCCAAGCAGCCAAACAAACAAAAACAACCCTCCACAAACAATCTCCCACGATAAGAATAACAACGACCGGTCCAGTTTTTCTCCCCCGGCCCAACCACTCACCGTGCCGAGGAGGGCAGACAGAACCACCGCCACCTGACAAGCATCAAGTGGGTGGCTGCAGCTCCGAGCCATGGTTCGAAACGGTGCCCCGTCAAATAGTCTACTGTCTAAATTACCGCGTCGGCTAGGACGGAGGCGACTCGAGTCTCTTCTCTCTCAGTCTGTCTTGGAGAAACCCCAATCTCATGGACGCTGACCGACAGACACGGCAGAGATAGAAACTAAGACCCTGCTCTAACTCCATCCGGAGTTACTCTGCAAAAGTAGTCGTTCGAAACTCGGTCCGAACTAACTAGCCCTCCCGCCTCTCCAGGTCAACTTCCGACGTTCCCAATAATTTGCCTTTCGGGCAGGCTTCGTGGCCTCTTCTGCGGGATTTCTCGTTTGGGATGGATCTACGATGGGAGCCCCGTCTGTGAGTGCTGAACCGTGGTTGAGGATGTGATTATTGATTATTGTTTGCGTTGTTACTGGTGGGTTGGGATTATTGTTTGGGTGGGAGGTTGGGAGGTCTCCGTTTATTTTGTTTTTGTTTTATTTTTGGTTGGGTGTTTTACGCCGAGCCTTACGGGGGCTCCGAGTCTACCAGACACCAACCAGTACCAGTCGAGGTCCTAGGTCAGGCACGGGAGCGATGCCGACTTGCAGCTATCGTGATATCTTCCTGTTATCGTTATCGATATGATATCGATAGGGAGTTGGGGCCGATACTACCTACCTTACCTACATAGCACCTACATACATATTATATACTCCATCCGTATCGATGTGATATACCTTATCATATCATATCATATCGACCGACACGGACATTGACAGAGTAGATAGATAGATCAGGATAGATCTGACCGCGACCAAGGAAATACAACTTCTAGATCTTGTCGTGCAGTACTCCGTATGTATGTACGAAGTATGTACCTCATCGTAGCCGTGAAACCCAAACCCTCGTATCGCAGAATCCCAACCCGACTGATGAGCTCAAGACTACGCACGCCTCGCCTACACTCCAAGTCGCGAACTCAATCTGTCCGAGTCCAAGAAAGTCAAGTAAGCGAAACCAGCCAAATCCTAATCTAATCCTAATCCTTTGCAGGTCCGGATACCCGGCGCTCCTGAGACGAGACGCACGCAGAGTTATTCATCCGTCCGCCCGACCCACTTGTCGCTCGGTGGCTGTACACTGGACACACTACCGGAGAGAGTAGGCCATCTGCAGAACAGTGGCGAGCCGAGGGAGAAAATCACCAGGCTTCGTCAACCTTCTCCAACTGTCAATCATGCGAATCGCAGTCTTCATCCCCCAACGAATTCCGTACACCTAATCCCAGGTGTTGACACGTAGATCTCTAACTTTTGCGAAGGTTTCGGATCCCGAGCGAGCGAGCTGCGACTGGATTCAGAATTGCCGATCGCGTTTGACGACGGTAGGAAGATTCTCGGTCGGAAGTGAACTCAATTCGATCGCATCTGATACCGTCGCAAAGTTAGGCAGCTGAGGAACTAGACACTGGAAACGCAGGGGCCAGACTGCAGTCTGCTAGATTAAAATTTAAACGCCTGCATCGGGGTTTGCTATTCGTACTACGGAGTAGTAACCACCTTAGTCGGGAGTACTCTAGTGGAGGAGTAGGACGGACCAACACCGAGATCGAGCACCGTCGTGTTAGACAATTAGGCGCAATAATGGATTCAATGCTGGACATAGTTTAAATTGCCTCGCGCGCTAACAGACAGATCAGTGTAACCCTGCGACCTTCAGTTGAGACCACTGCTTATCAAGATTCGCCCTGTCGCGCGGGTCTGGACTCTGCCGCCCGGAGACTCTACCAAATCCAACCGGGTTAATGTAGGTACTCCTGGTAACTACCTTATGCAGTGACAGAAAGGCCCGCGGATATGTCTTACATGGCGACCAACCGCGGCTCAGGGATGCGATTTAGACTATGTTCAGGATTGTTTGTCGGCGGAGTACCACGAAGTAGATTAGGAACAGGATTGTAAAAGCGGTGGTTGGTGGCTTTTTTTGTCTTGACCGGCCTGCCGAAGTGAAATTAAATGAACGACGGGATCCATCGTCGGTTAGTAATAGCAGAGCATCCCGGCGGATAGGGCTCCGTGGTGTTGAGAGTCCGTATACTGCGTACTCCGTATAGTGTTGACTCGGTGGTTAATCAAAGACAGACGGGCGCGGAGACGGAGTGGAGGGGGCAATTTCCTGCGCCCTCAGTCAGGTACACCGCAGAGGACTCCATCCTCCAAGGCAAATGTCAATTAACGGCCGGACGGGCTAACCGGATGGAGGTAATCGTTACATAACGCCCATGTAACCCTCGCGGGCGTTTGGCCGAACTTCCAGCGGCTGGAGAAGGCCAGGCGAAACCTCGGGGACTGTCCGTGCAGCAACGAGGCAGGGGCCAATGGGAGCCGGAGCACGTCCCAGCGGCCAATCACCGTGCGACGATAAAGAGATGCCGCACCCGCCAATCCGGAGGCCGCTCGAGGGACCCGCCGCGTTGGCCGCCAGACTGATTGGTTCCCACCGCCTGACTGAGGCGAACAGTTGATCTCCTGGTCCATGTTGGGCCGTTTTTCCAGTCGGTCAAGTCGCAAGGGATGAGATACCTACGGAGTACCTACTGCGTAGATGGGAGGATGTCTGATGTCGTAGACTAGTAGTCCGCGGGTCGCTACCGGAGAATGCCCAGATCCAATGCATGTCAGAATTCCTCATGCACCGATTCCTCCGTACAGATTTATTGATTGAATAAATGTACGCTGCTGGACACAGCGTCCTGCAAGCGCATGTCGAGATGAAGCCAAATACCGAGGATCTCGTGAACTCTTCCTGACGGAGTAAGCAGCCATCGGTCAGGCTGGGACCCCGTGGGTCCCATGTGGACCTCCCCGACTGCAACCCCGTTGCCAATCAGCGTGCCGCCATTTCGGATTTTAAGGAGGTGTCGGTCGCGGTCCGTCTGCTCGCGTCGCAGCAGCCCTCCGGTAACTACGAACTAGTCGCGCTGGAGTTGGGACTGGAGCGCGGTGGAGTGTTGGAGATGGCGATGGGACTTCATCCGCAGTGCACACACCACACGGTGGAGAGATAGTCAGGAGGTGGGGAGCCGACTCGCCTGAAGAGGAAACGAGTCATGCTCCGGATATTCAAAGAACGAGGAGGGACAGATCCCTGGCCAGGATGCCGGACGGGACGCGACGAATGAATCAGGATGAAATCAGAAGGAGTCAGAATCAATGAATCACGAAAGGAACCTTCCAAGGGATGGATGTGCGACCGTCGGGAAGAAGGATGGTGAGTGGACGGCGACGCAGGAAACAGCAGGGGCAGAACAAGAAGCGGTCAAGGACGGCAGGGATGGCGGTGGTTGTGTTGTCATCATGACTGACGGATTGGAGAAAGGGGGATCGATGGTTGCATCGCCAATAATACTTTGCTGACCTCGAGGAGTCGTACGAAGTATACGTTACTACTACGGAATACTAAAAGTATCCTATTCAGGATGCTGAATATTCAATCAGAATATTGAATCTGAATATTAATGACGAAGATGCACTCACCCCCGTCATATTGTTGTCTGGCGTATTGTCATGAGGGGAGAGTCGAATCTAAGACAAGCCCGGCGACAGAACAAAGAACGAGGGAGAAGGAAGACGGGCAAATCCCTGGGTGGAACCGCCATTCCTATTCCTTTCCACCTCGGCAACATGCCGCCCCCAATCGAGGCAAGCGTCTGTCTGGAATTCACCCGAGACTTCCTTTCGTCCTTTTTCTTTTTTGGCCGATACGACGGGAGCATCCTTTATTGGAGTTAGGAGTATTACTATTACCTGTTAACTCGCTAACAAAAAGTCGAGTCTGGAGTATAGTATACGGCAGAGACGGCATGCGGCGACAGTCAGATGTAGATGAACGGGATCATCCCTACAATCATAGTCAGCGCAGTAAATAATAATATTCAGAATCATACTCCGTACCGACAGGAGTCCTCCGTAATACGAATCTCCAGTATCGTCCCAAGCCAATCCGGCGCCTCCGATCTGCTCTCCAACGGCCCCGCTGGCAGTGTTTCTTCGGGACTTTCTAGCCTCAACCTACTCCGTGCTCGACCTGCAAATGAATTCACGCGAATAATAATAATAATTAATCCTCGCCTTCCTCCGGCTCCACCGGCGCATGGCAAAATCCCAAATCGCCCATTCCATCCCGCCGTTTCGCCGTCCGATTCGAGTCTTGACTACTTAACTTAGTCCGCCTCTCCCCGCCATTCTTCCTTTCTCCTCCCTTCTCCTGCCACTGGTTCACTCGACGGGGCGAATCGATCGGACGTACTTTACTTATCGATTTTCTCATCTCGTCGTCACCACCCCCTTCCGTTGCCACTGATGCTTAATGCGTTACCGCCTTTCCCTTCTCCTCGCCCCGGCTACCGTTATTGATCTGGCATATTAAACTATTGCTACCCCGACCTACTACTCCCGACTACGACATATTCTCTGTTTTCGGAATATCTACACTATCTCTCCCACCTCTTATCTCCTCTCTCCTCTACATCCTCCCTCTATCCTCCTCCTTTTATATCTCCTCTCTACTCTTATTTCTTTCCTCCGACTCAACACAACTGTGATTCCAAAATGGCTACCCACGTTGTCACTGCAACCACTACCTCCCCGGCGACTTCCGCCCATCAGATCTCCATCTACGGCCACCCTTCTCCCGTCAACTCGGCCACCACCACCGCCAACAATTCTCCCACCTCCCCTCGTCAGCAATATCTCCCGCTTCACACGCGCCAGTTGCGCCCGCCTAAGGCTCCCCTCTACGTGCCGGCTGCGTTGCGCCCGACTGAGCGTCCCCAGAAGCCCTCTCCTCCCACGCCCCCTCGCAGCGTCCACGGCTCCCTGGACAGCCTGAGCGAGACCGAGGTGCACGATCCTCTCAGCCGTCGTTCCACCATTGAGAGCGTGGGCAGCGGAAGCATCAGCAAGATGGCCGAGGATGAATGGATGAAGAAGGAACACCTCGGCGAAGTTACCGGCATGCCGACTCGTGACCACTGGAAAGTAAGTTCGATTCCCTCCGTTCCTGTTGGCGTGAGATAAGAGAATCGATTCCATGCGGGGGATGCCGATGCATTTATATCACCCAATGGCGTGAGAGCGGATGGTCGCTCGCGAATTATTGCGTGATCTCCACAGCGCGTCATCGGCATCGCTTCGCATTGGATCGCTTCCTGCTCACTGCTTGACCTCATCTTACCGCATCTGATGCTAACGATCCTCCCCCATAGGCGGACTCTGCGTCTCCCAACTGCGACTCTCCTACCTGCCGCTCTTCGTTCGGTCTCTTCTTGCGCCGTCATCACTGCCGCCACTGTGGTCACGTCTTCTGCTCTTCGCACACCCCCTACAGCGTCCCTCTTGATCAGGATGCGCGCTTCCATCCCGAGGGTGTCCAGTCGCGTGCCTGTGACCTCTGCTGGGTCGCCTACCAGCGCTGGGAGGAGTCGCGCGAGGAGCGCTTGAGCAAGATCCAGACCCAGATCAACACTCAGAATGAGCCCATCCAGACCACCACTCAGGAGGCCCCGGCCGAGCCGGCCGACCCTCTGCAGGATGAGGACTCCAAGAAGGCCCTGGCCGCCGCGCTGAGCCAAGCCGGCGACATTGCCGCCAGCATTCCTCGCGGCTGGAACTGGAGCACCTTCTAAATGAACCGATGGCCTCCACATGATGACTTTACGACCACGTCTTTATTTGCTGTCGGCTTTGCTTGACATCGCCTGCGTCCGCGGGCTTTCGCGACATAATGCTCTAGACCATGTCTTTACTGTCCTTGATCTGTACTATTTGGGCGCTTCTTAACCAGTTTCGGTCATTTGCTGGGAGTTTCGGTCTACTTATTCAGCCTTACGGTTTACGGTTTACACTTCTTACATCGGGGACTTCCCGCTTAATGCCGCGATTCGAGCTTTTACGACGCGGGGGTTTTTTGCTGTTAATTTTCTTCTTTTCCTTGATACTCAGGATACCCCGTCAATTGTTGTTTCTTTCGAGCGGCGGTCGCGTGTTTTGTTTTCAATTCTTTCGACTTTGTGGCGCAATCAGGATGGTTTACTCGATTACTGGGATAGACGGTGTTATCAGACTTCAGACTTGAATTAATGATTTCTCTTCAATCGATCCAATCGTAGACATGTAGACATGTAGACATCTGAGTAGCTACACCTGTCTTCAACGTAAGTATCCCTCCCCAACACTACCTACCCAACCACTTGTCCCCCTAGCGCCCCCCCTGCCTACGGATTCCTTCCGCAACTCAGACTCCCTCCTTACATGCACCCGATCAATGTCTCACCAATCCAGCACCGCATCCGCATAAATCATCCCCAGCCGCCCGAACCCAAGTCCAACCCCTATTCTCCGACTCCGACCACAGCTCCCCGACGGAGGGAGAGCATGCGGTTCGTGCGTCACATAACAGCTACGCTGCTGTGAGACGGCCAACCTAGCCCTGCGGCAGGATCGCGTAAGGCGCGTGAGGCGGCGGCACGAGCCGTGTGACGAGAACCCAAGTACTGGACGCTGTACTGCTGAGGTGCTACGGAGTTGGCCTTGTTGAGTTGGTCGGGGGTGCGTGCGTGCGTCTGTCTGCAAGAGCATGGGCATGGGCATGGACATGAGCCTCTGTGTTGTGTCGCGCATGTGTCTGTCTGTGTCTTTGCTGAAAACGGCTTCTTCGTGTCGTGTCTACGTCAGTGGACCTACCTAGATTTGCGTGCATCTGGGTATCGGAGGGTTCTGGTTGGAGTAGGTAGGTAGGTAGGTAGGTGGTAGTGGTGGTCTGCAGCCCAGCCCAGCCAGACGCAGAGATAATCATCTGCGTCTAGGAAATCACTTCCTAGCCTACGGGATCAGTGGGCTCGGTGGTCTGGGCTGGGCTTGACAGGTCGGGGTCAGACCAAACCTTCGATTCGTGGAGTTGTGCTAAGGAGACATCCCCCGTAGGATTCCGTCGATGAGGGGCAATCGAGGGGAAACTCAGGCTGTGTGTTGTTGACCTTGTTGTGGTGCTGATCATGTGCCCTGTCTGCTCTTAGCGCCTCGGTGTATCCTCCTCCGTCTGTCGGGACTGGACCGGAGAGCGTCGGAATAAATGAATGAGTTGTCCAGATAGATGCAGACTGTTGAGTGTTGACCGACCGGTTTCTCTGGGGTGCACGTGGTGGTTTATTTCCTGGCAACGGCGCTTAAATGGAGATGCGGAGGACGGATTCCCTGGTCGACAGATGACGTGGGTGGTCTCGTATCTGCAGATGGAGTGCAGAGCGGAGAGAATGACGGGGGATTCATGTGAATCTTGGATCTAGGCTGGTCTGGAACTGCATCTTAACTTTACTTTCATTTGTACATTTTGTACATACCTGGTGGTTACTGGTAAAGGCAATCGAAGATAAGAAATCTTATCGATAAGACAAACAGGCAAACACTGCAAACATCAATTTTTCGCGAAAATGTCAACTCGTCCCTTGTCAATGCTTCTCTTGCTCGACACTCGATCATGTCGCTCTACTACGACGCCGTGTCAGTCTTGACGGCCCCCGCTTCCACTGGCGGTTCGTTCAAATCCCGCATCTACAATTCACGGTCGCTCAAGGCCTCGCCGGCCCAGCTGTACGCCTTGATCATCGAGGCGTCGAAATGGGATATTCTGCTGAAGGAGGTCATCGAGGCTGCGGGGATAATCAAGCTTGAACCAAAGGTGTGGATGACTGCGCTAGCGCTGACTGACATTCTTCTGTTTTTAACTTCAATGTCCCTCTCTCTCCGAAAATAATCAACCTGCTGACTGACAAAGTAAATCATCAGCTTACTCCGCATCTCGCACTCCTACTTGTACATGATCACCTGCTCGCAAAGAACGGCATTGCAGCCCCGGCCGCACACCCTCTTCGCCAGGCCGTCGAGCGCCACAAGACCCGACTAAGGGGTGAATTCACCAAGGCGCGCGTGCGCCGCGGATGCGCCACCGTCGCCGATCTGAGGGATGCCATCCGTCGCGAGAAGGACGCCGCGAATGGCGACACGGCCATCTACCCGCGCTGGGTGCGCATCAACAACGTCCGGACCGACCTCGCCGCCCAGCTGCAGTCCACCTTCGCCTCGTATCGCCAGGTCGAGTCTCTGCCCGAGCTGGCCCGCCCCGATGAACCCCGTCTGCGCATCGACCCGCACATCCCGGACCTCGTCGCCGTGCCCCCCGGCCTCGACTTCTCGACCTCCCCCGCCTACCGCTCCGGCGAGATCATCCTGCAAGACAAGGCCTCCTGCTTCCCCGCCTACCTCCTCCTCGGCGACCAGGAGGAGCCATGGCGCGGTGACCTGATGGACGGCTGCGCCGCCCCCGGCAACAAGACCACCCACATGGCATCCCTGCTGTCGAAGACCGCCAAAGCCTCCAAGCAGGGCCGCACCATCCCGCGCTCGCACATCTTCTCCATGGACGCATCGGCCGTCCGCGCAAAGACCCTGCAGAAAATGGTCTCCGCCGCAGGCGCCGACTCCTTCGTCTCCGTCCTCCAGGGCCAGGACTTCCTCGCCCTCGACCCGCACGATCCGCGCTTCGAGAACGTCTCCGGTCTCCTTCTCGACCCGTCCTGCTCCGGCAGCGGCATCATCGGCCGCGACGACGTGCCCACCCTTGCTCTCCCCGCCAGCACCACCGCCAACACCCCACAAACCAAGGCCCCGGCAAGAAACGCAAACGCCGCCAAGACGAACCCGAGCCTTCGCAGCAGACGAAACACCAAAAAGGCCAACGCAATCCTGAACCCGACACCCCCTCCGCAACAGACGAAAACGACCTCCCCTCCGCGCCCCTCTCCGCCGACCGTCTCACCAAGCTCTCGAACCTGCAGACCCGCATCGTCGAACACGCCCTCGCCTTCCCTGCCGCCACCCGCATCACGTATAGTACCTGCTCGATCCACCTGCTTGAGAACGAAGCCGTCGTGTCGCGCGTCCTGGCGTCGGATGTGGCGCGCACCAAGGGGTGGAGGGTTATGCGACGGGATGAGCAGCCTGAGGGGCTGAGGAGGTGGAAGTATCGTGGTGTGAGGGAGGAGAGGGTCCAACGTACCTCTACCTCTATTGGAGGGGGTGAGGGTGAGAATGGTGGTTGTGAGGTTCCTGCAGTGGAGGCGGAGGAGGGGAATGTGGATGTGAACCTGACGGATGAGGATCTCGAGGGTTGTTTGAGGTGCTGGCCTGGGGATGATGAAGGGCTGGGTGGGTTCTTTGTGGCTGGGTTTGTGAGGGACGAGAATGCTGTCAAACAGGTGGATGTGGATGAAGAAAAGGATGAGGAGGAGGGTGGTGAGGAAGAGGAAGACGATGAGTGGGAGGGATTCTCCGATTGAGATTAAAACCAATATCATATCTACCGGTGGTATGGTCATGTATTCTATGCTCAACATGTACTTCTCTTGCTCGCCCCGGTATAAAAATAGAAGATTACAATGTAATATTCCACCGCATCTAATACAAACTACATCTTCAACCTCAACCTCAACTCTAACTCCAACCATCCTACACCCCCACCTAACCAGAACGGGATAATTAAGATCCCAAAAACCCCCTCCCCCGACTCCGCATTCTCGGCTCACTATACGCATCCAACTTCACCGCCACCATCACAACATCCACATCCCCCGCGCCGCTCGCAGCCGGCACCGCACGCAACCGCCACTGCCCCGTCCTTACGATCCATTTCCCAGAAAGCCCAGACGATCCGTCCCCTCTCCGCCGCTTCGCAGGCGGCTGCAGCTGCTCCGCAGAGTCAGGGCTCGGGTCCGGAGACCCGAAGATATCGGCGTGCGACACGGGCTGGCCGTCGAGAATGAGGTCGGCGTCGCGGTCGATTCGGAGGGGGGAGGTTTCCGCCGTGGGAGGGTTTGTCGCGGGTGGGGTAGAGGTGGTTGAGTTCGAGGACGGGGCTTGGGAAGAGGTGATTTTGTTGGAAATGACTTGGACGAGGGAGGCGAAGCGGGTTTTGGTGAGGTGTAGGAATTGGGCGCGCATGCGGGAGAGATCGACGAGGGTGCATTCGTCGCCGATTTCGACGATCAGGTCGATGGGTTGGTCGTCGATGAAGGGGCGGGAGTAGGTGATCCAGCCCGGGGGGGAGGGGTTGTTAGTGGTGGTGTTGGGGTTAGGGTTCGGGGTGGGATCAGGCGCGAAGTTGATGCCGGAGCGGCGCACGTCTTCGAGCCGGATGGTGATCTCGGAGCGCTGGCGCACGGGGTTGAAGCTGATGTCGTGGGGGATGAGTTTCTGCTCGAGGCCGCGCAGGTGGAAGTAGCGGCAGTCGCGGAGGAGTTCGGCGCGGTGGGTTTCGTTGCGGATGTGTAGGGGGTAGCCGCGCAGGAGGTGGAGGATGTCTGCGAAGACGTCGCCGGATCGGTTGGGGATGCTGGGGGGCACGATGGCCGGGGGACGCAGGAGGCCGATGCGCTCGAGGCCGGGGAAGGTCTGCGACGGGGAGGCGAAGAAGGCACCGAAGCCGAGGGTGAAGAAGTTCGGGGAGTCGCCTGGGCTGGAGAAGATGTCGCGGGGGATTTGGAAATTGCGGTCGCCGATCTGGATGCTGATTTCGGATTCGAAGAGTTGGGAGTTGAGGCGGGGGACTGTCAGGTTCATGAGTTCATGCATCGATATAGTGGCTGGAGAAATGCGAACGTACGACTGTAGAACTGGGCATCCGCAAATAGCTTCACAAACTGCGAACTGTCTCTAGGCCGCACATAGTATCCTAATATCAACCTCCCGATTAGCTACCTCTCACCTGGTCCTCTGGGAACATACCCTGTAAATGTCGCACGATATCCTTAAACGTCACCGGGTCTCGATCGATATACAGCGTTCGAATATTCGCGCCATCCCCGTTGTGTCGCAGCTGCTCTTCGAAGAATTGGGAGAAATATGACGGGGCTCCAAAACATTTAGCGCGGGCTCAATTCGCACGTCGGGCCAACTGACCATCGGAGGCAATCGACGCTCCCGAGAGACGGAAGAGCTCGGTGCCGATCTGAATGGAAAAAACCCTTTCCGGAGGTAACGTGCACTTGTAGCCTTTTTGCGACGAGGGACTCGATATGCTGTTGGGGGACCCGGAGCCCGACGTGGCCATGGTGCTGTTCATCCAGTGGTATCAAATGCGGTCGACGGGATGGGTTCAGGACATGAAGATCAATTTGACTGAGGCGCAGAGTTCGAGGCAGTGAGCGAAGGACACGGACTAAACAGTATCATTAGTTTCTCGAATGAAATGGGATTGGAGTTGCGGTTGCGACCGCGCATTGCGATCGACAATGGAGTACTGACATGATGTTGTTCGCAGCAGCGATATCACTGCGCGCGAGACAATTGGACGAGAAAGACAATCGGAGCTAGTATATCAATGCGAAACTTCTCAAGGTGTTGCACTTAATAGCAACTAGACTGTAGGTAGATTTGATGCAGGAAACGTCGCAATTGGATTGTCGCGTGGAAGCGCCGGGTCACGGGATCGGCCTAACTCACGCAGACCGATGATGACATCATGCTGATAGCGCTGCAGGCGGAACCAAAACATAAGGCTTGTTGTTACCTCCATGCAAACCGCTTTTTCGTATCTATCCTCCCTGATCAAGTTCTCTGGACAAGGCCTCTGGCAACGCGTGTCTGCGTGCTATGGCAGAGTCAGGTGATGCCAGCCCTCAGCCCAAGCCCTACTTGCCCCTTTGGGCGACAGGAGGCCAGCCAATCAGACCGTATCTCTTTGGGAGGCACGTGATCGCCACCGTGTACTCACGTGACATTGTCCTGAATGCTGCGTTCGATGCTGCAGCTCGAAGATGCCCTGAAAATGACATGAATTGAAGCCAACTTGGGGAGAGAACCCGGCGTTGGGTTGGCCCCTTCTATAACTCTACGCTATCCCTCTTGATAAAGATGAACGAAGATCCATAGGTTCTCCACTGCCCCTGTCGACATCTTCACATGGACATTATTAGCTCGGCTCACTCCCCGCATTGACCACAATCCGTGTCTTCCCGACGATCTTTTAGCTTGCCATCCCATCGTTGCAGAGTGCAGACTGCAGGCACCGAAGATGGGCTGATTCTAATATTGAGACCCCCGGCGGCTGACCCACCCGCCTCGTGTTATCGTTGGTCGCTGCCTCGGTTATGGCATTTTCCCCTCCTGAGTCCCAGAAATTGGGAGGGTCTAAGGCCTGGCATTCGCCAGTCACGATAAATGGAACAGGGAGCATCTCGTTGCTGGAGATCGAGCGTGGAGATGATCCTCCACTAACAGCCGTAGTCGCTGGCCTTCCCCGCAGCTCCCTTCGCAAGGCCTTCTCTTCTGGGACTAAGTGCGTGACGCTGCGGAAGGCGCATTGGACAATTGACAGGTCGCTCTGGCAGAGTATATCACCCATGGCCTCTCTCTTCCCATCATTCTTCCCCCTTTCCTCCCCCTTAACTCTGCATCCACCATTGCAATTGCGACCGTCCCAGTGTATCGTCAAGGCCGTTTGCGATGACTGACCAGGCCATTCCGTACACCCCGCTGGATGTGCAGCTTCCCCCAGTTTCCTCCAAGGAGATATTCTCCGAAATTCAATGGACAACGCTTTTGTCGATTGCGGACACGGTGATTCCCTCCATCCGAGGGCCCTCCGCGCCGTCGTCCGCATCCTCCAAAGTGATTCCCCAGTCCCAGCTTAACACGACGATCGCACAGCTGGCGGCCCACATCCGCGACCCCGATGCCTCGACTCTGGCAATGCGGTATCTGGAAGAGAATGCATCCTCCAATCTTCATTTCCGGGATACGATTCAGCGGCTTTTTGCGGATTACGTCAACGAGGAGGGGAGAAACGGGCTGGGCTTTATCTTAAATGCATTAAAGTACGTATTGACGCCGTAGAAACTGTTATGTGTACTAATATCAGATCAGTTCCAAAGCGGGCTCGCTCATTTTGACCGGCTCGGTGACCCCATTCCAAGAGCAGCCATTTGAAATCCGGGACAAGATATTTAGCGGCTGGGAAACGTCCAGATTGAAACCGCTGCGCGCAGTCTACCGAGCTCTGACAGGCATCGTGAAGAGAACATGGATCACATCCAGCCCGACCCTTTGCCCGGTTCTTGGCTTCCCTCGGGTCCCGGTGCATGGAAAACCGGCCGATGGCTTCAAATACGACTTTTTACAAATCCCGCCCGGGGACGAGCCGGAGACCATCGAGACGGACGTTGTCATCGTCGGAAGCGGCTGCGGTGGCAGCGTTGCCGCCAAAAACTTGGCCGAAGCCGGTTACAACGTCATAGTGGTAGAGAAGTCTTATCATTACTCGACAAAGCACTATCCCATGAATTTCAACGAGGGCTTTGTGAGTATGTTTGAGGCGGCAGGCGTTACCGGGACGGACGATGGCTCCATGGGTGTCTTTGCGGGCTCGACTTGGGGAGGTGGCGGTACCATCAATTGGTCTGCAGCCTTACAGACCCAGGGCTACGTTCGCGAGGAATGGGCGAACTACGGCCTACCATTTTTCACCTCATTGGAATTTCAAAACTCCCTGGATCGAGTGTGCGACAGGATGGGTGTGAGTGCGGAACACACCACTCAGAATATTTCCAACAATGTTCTACTAGAGGGCGCTAGAAAGCTGGGATATGCTGCACAGCCCGTGCCCCAGAATACCGGCGGTCAAAAACATTACTGTGGACATTGCACGATGGGATGTCATTCGGCGGAAAAGAAGGGTCCGACAGAGACTTTCCTTGCTGACGCAGCGTGCGCCGGTGCGGTGTTTATGGAAGGATTTAATGCCGACAAAGTGCTTTTCAGCAACACAAAGGGTGGACGAGTGGCTTCGGGAGTGCAAGGGACCTGGACATCTCGGGATGCACACCTCGGTCGCTCGGGCGACGGTTCGGTCAAGCGAAAGGTTATCATCAAAGCCAAGAAGGTCGTGGTCTCGTGTGGAACACTTCAAAGCCCTCTTCTGCTAATGCGCAGCGGAATCAAAAATTCCCAAGTCGGACGGAACCTTCATTTGCATCCAGGTAGGTTTTTCAAAACGCGCATCTGGGTTGAAACGGTTCGGCTAACAAGATTCAGTGATCGTCGGTGGTGCTGTGTTTGACGAGGAAACTCGTCCGTGGGAAGGGGGTGCCCTAACCGCTGTTGTCAATGAATTCGAGGATCAGGATGGCCACGGACATGGCGTCAAGATCGAATGTCTCACTATGCTGCCGGCAGCGTTCCTTCCGGCATTCCCCTGGCGTGACGGACTGGATTATAAGCTGTGGGCGGCGAAGCTGTCACGCATGACCGGATTCATCACCCTGACCAAGGACCGGGGCAGTGGCCGAGTTTACCCAGATCCCACCGACGGAAGATGCCGCATCGATTATACAGTTTCGGCCTTTGATCGCAAGCACATGGTCGAGTCTCTGGTCGCAACCGCGAAGATTGCCTATATCTCGGGCGCGAAGGAATTCCATACCTCGTGCCGCGAGATGCCCCCGTTTATCCGACAGGAAGATCCGGCGGGTGTGGACGAGTCCGAGGGCGTCAACAACGCCGCTCTTCAATCGTGGATCGCGGAACTGCGTCGGAAGACTCTCGATCCGGAACGAACACTTTTTGCCTGTGCACATCAGATGGGCAGCTGTCGCATGGGCGCCTCGCCGCGGACGAGCGTTGTGGACCCCGATTGTCAAGTCTGGGGAACCCACGGTCTGTACGTTGTGGATGCGTCTGTGTTCCCCAGCGCCAGCGGCGTGAATCCCATGGTGACCAACATGGCGATCGCAGACTGGGCTAGTACGAGAATTGCTAAATCGATCGAAAAGGAGGGTTTGATGGCTCGTCTTTGAGCAATGGTTTCGGTTGACGAAGACGATACGATGCTAACGATGTGACTTTGTTTTATAACCATCGGCGTGTAGTTGCAACCATTAGGCGTTTATTCATCCTGTACTTGTATAGCCAGGCGTCTCAGTAGCTTTACAGTTGAAGAATCAATCAAGTTCCCAACACGAGAAAGCATTGCTTATCCTGCAAGTTGCATTCGAACCAACCAACGCTTCAGCTCCAATGCCAATGTACTATGCCTCGCATTCATCGTGCATCGATGCATCTGATAGTGGAGACCGAGGAACCACTCGACCAACCCCGACAATGAACAACGGCTCTTGCGCCATCGACCCCTGTAATGAGCAACCTCCCGCTAGCCACAGTCCTCTATCAACCTTAAATCTTATTTAATCTTATTCAATGCCATTGCAGAATTGCAGGATTATGTGAAACCAACCACCATCTTCAGCGTCACACTGGACGATGGCTTCCAGTTCATCCATGATCCGACACCTTCGACTCTCTTCCACCCCACAGTGGAGCGTCCGTCGCATTTGTCATCACCGTCTTTTCCTTAATAAACAGTCTCGGATCGGAGTTAATTCCGCTGATCACCGTGTCCTCTGTTGTTGTCGGTATTTAAACAGCACATCCAGGCCTCAGCCGTATCCTTTCACTTCATCCAACTAATCAATCAACCAATCCATCACAATGGCTCCCTTCGGCACCATCTACAGCTACCCCAGCAACCCCCGGGTCATCAAGGTTCGTTCTACTATCTATCCAATGCCCCGCCCCCGCCTTCATTTCTCTACTACGGAAGAGGGAATCCTGTGGAATAGTAAATAAGTAGATTCAATTCTAACACCAACCAGACCCAAGCTGCCGCCAACATCAATGGCCTCGAGATCGCCAACGGCGAGTTCACCATGGGCCAAACCAACCTGACCCCGGAGTTCCGCGCCAAGTTCCCCTTCGGCAAAGTCCCCGCCTTCGAGTCCGCCGACGGTGTCAAGATCGTCGAGTCGAACGCCATCACGCAGTTCGTCGCCGAGAGCGGCCCCGCCGCCTCGCAGCTCCTGGGCTCCACCCCCGTCGAGCGCGCCCTGGTCCGCCAGTGGGTTGAGTTCGCCGACGGCGAGGTCCTGAGCCCCATTCTGCAGCTGGGCCTGTGGCGTTTCCTTCCCAGCAAGTACAAGTACGACGAGGCCAACGAGACCAACTCCCTGAACCGCGTCGAGCGCTCCATGGGCCACCTGGACCAGGAGCTTGCCGGCAAGACGTGGCTCGCTGGCACCGAGAAGCTGAGCTTGGCGGATATCTCCGTCGCCGCCGCTTTCATCTGGGGCTTTGCGCTCTCCGTCGATGCCGAGATGCGTGCGAAGTACCCGAACGTGATGGCTTGGTATGAGCGCGTCACTGAGTCCGAGGGTGTTAAGCAGGCTTTTGGAGAGAAGAACTTCGTTGAGAAGCGCTCGGCTCCTCCGTCTTAGAGGATATGGCGTGGCATGCGAGGGTAATGAGAAATGAGAATTAAAGATTTAAAGTAATCATCAAACGCATATCTGACCATGATTTTCGTCACTTTCAAAAAGCTATAGATGCGTATGAATTTCCCGTGGGACAATGGCCAGTGGATATTAGAAACGACCTTGGCTTGGGTCTATGTCTTTTCACATAGGAGCTATGTAGTATATCATCGGGATACTTACTGATAATAAATGACACCATCTTAGAGACTGTCATATCCTTCGGTTTCTGAGAAATTTGACAAACTCTCTGGGCCAAACCCCCGATCCTGAAAGCTGACTTCCATTGTTGACCTCTTGAACATGGCTGACAGATTCACTAAAGCCAATTGACTGAATATCAAAAGCGCCATTGACCACATGACAGCCTCCCAAAACATCCTTCGTCCGCATCTCATGCGCTCCTTCCATCTTCCTCTCATTCTCATGGCAGCTCCCTCCCTTTTTCAATTTTGTCGAAGCCTGAAGTCAATCTGCCAAGCATTTCGCCGTTTGCTTCCACATTTATCTAGCACCTACCAAGGCCTCTTCTCTTCCCCCAAACATCTCCTTGATCAACTCACCTAGTCTTAGTTGAATTCAGTCATTCCATCATCTTTGGCAGTCTCCCTCCATCAATTCGTCACGTATCACTGGCTCCTGTCTATACTAGTTATGTTGCTAACTTAGCCAGGAACAATGCAGGGGACCAAACGACGCGAGCGGGAGAACCGACCTTGTGACCAGTGCAGGGAGAACAGATGTCGCTGCGACCGCGACGCAGCCAAAAAAAGATGTCTTTCATGCGAGGAGCAGAATCGAGAATGCACGTTTCTCCGCGGACCCATGCCACGGAAGATAAAAAATGACCAGACCTCGCCGATAGGGTATGTGCTCTACTCCGTTAGCCCCGAAATCACGATGAGGGACTAGAAGCAAGACTAACGCGTCACAGAGCCCAGCCCTCGACCTCGAAATTGGCGTCACCTGTACGGCCAAAGGGTAGAGCTGGTTCTTCTCTAGACAAATCCCTAGGTCTGAGATTACATTTACACTCGGAATACATTGGCCCCTCCAGCTATCATGAGCCCTCGTTGCTGGAGCTGAAACCGTCTGCGTCGCACCCTCCGGCAAAGCATGACTGTCGCCTACGACAGTTTGGTGGTTCTACGGCTTTTATGATTCACACCAACGAGGACTCGGCGTTTGAGGTCCAGCGCATCGCTGAGCTAGATAGGATCGAGGCGACGGTTCAACCTCTGGGACCAACCTTGGTGAAGTTGTATTTTCACATCGTGCATCCGACATTTCCTGTCCTGCAGAAGGACGCTTTCCTTGCGAAGTATGCGCGATCTTACCGTGAAATTTCTCCTCCCCTTCTGGCTGCAGTGTATCTCCTAGCCTTGGATTGGCAGCTGTTTGATCGGGCGCTCAGTGCGTCTAAAATTCCCGATGTGGCCGTGCTTGAGAATCTGGCAATGCGAGCGATGGATGATGATCTGACGAGACCGAAACTATCGACTCTGCAGGCAGGTTTGCTGTTGTTGCAGCGGGTTGGGCGTACAAAAAACACCCTTCTCGCACAGTTGGTTGCTTTGGGCCACGCTCTAGGCATCCATGTCGACTGCAGTGACTGGGCTATCTCGAAGTCCGAGAAAGGCCTGCGGCGGCGTCTGGCATGGACCCTGTACATGCAGGATAAGTGGGGGGTTCTTGTCCATGGTCGACCATCTCTCATTCCCGATCGAATCGCTCTGAATGGCGACAAAAGTGATGATACCGACTGGGACGTTCGCCCTTGCACGATGGATGATTTCCCCGAAACATCGACCAATGCAGATGATGGATCATACGGCAGCGTCGATGTAGAAATTGGCCGGTCCTCATTCCTGCACTCCATCGAGCTGACTAAGATTTTCAGCCAGATCCAATATACATTTTGCTCTGTCGGCGCAACAAGAAAGGGAGGCCGGTTGGACCGCCTAGGTGCGATAGGAATCACAGGGCTAGCGAATCCTTTTGCACAGCAACTCAGAGAATGGTACATTGGCTTGCCAGATGGCCTGAAGTTGAACACATCTAGCCACGTTCGACGGCTGTCTGCTAGTGGTGCTTTGCATCTCTCTCACATGGCAGCCGAGCTCACCCTGCATCGTGCGTTACTTCGCGCCTTGGGACCGGATACACCACCGAGCCTCCGTTTCACCATACGAGCTGCGTCTCGCGCACGCCTTCTTTCTGCACTGAGTCTCGTCGAAACCCTCCAACCTGAGCACACCCAGTCTTTCTGGGGGTTTGCTGCCTCTGCACAGATGGCTATGATTGGTTCCTTTGCTGGTCTTCTCTGGGCTACAAGTGTGGCGGGGGATGAGGCGATCGAATATGCCAACGTATTAGAACGACTACGGTGGGCATTGCAAGTCCGCGGATCGGCGGTTCCGTTTGTGCGCGAAGCCTTGCGTATGATCCACGAGGAAATTGGCGACCTAGGTGTTTTCAAGGATGCGACATACACGGATTTGCCTTGATTTCAGTTAGCTACGCGCCAGCAGAGGGTGCCAGGACATAATACACGGTTTTCATAGTGGGAAGGTATTGCGAATATAATGGATTCGGGTAGTCAAGGATGGAATACGAGTGGCGTGTTCGGCAAATGTACTTAAGACATATGACACCTTCTACTGAATTCTGAGAACGTCCATCCTTGACGTGGACAAAAGCATTACCACCTCTATTTTCTTCCACCACTTTCTTATGTCGTCACTTCAGCGAGCAGTCAGTAGTCACGTTCCCCGACACACAAGGTACGGCCGCCGTCGCCGAGAACCTGCTTCTTGAGATGCTGAGCACGCTCGATGAAGTGTCGACGAGCATGCCGGCACCGCCGAAACTGGCTTGTTTAAGCCGACGCACACCATCTTGGAGTGCATCTGAGCCGTCACATCTACGAAGGACCAATCCTCTTTCACAATCTTGCTCTTGACCACCGCTCCGACCGGTCCGAGCCGTTGCAGACTCGAGACCAGATCGTCACCACCAAGCGACTGCCATTTCGGCGGCTATAGCGATCTCGGCCACGGTGCTTGAGCCTGAGCCTGAGTCTTGAGCCCTAATGCACGCATATGCTTGCGGATCGGCCCAATGCACCAGCTCGGCGGCCTCCACCGCCGTCGTCAGTCGGCATTCTCGGCCAGGAGAGGGCTGGATCTCGGGATCAAAGTCTGCAGGTTGACTTGGCAGGCTAATTGAAGTCTCTTCATCGGTCAAATACCGAGGGGTATGATGATCTGGGATTGGTGCTGGTTTTGGGAAGTTTGCCCTGAGTTGCCACCATGATCTTATACTACCGGGGTTGTATGGATATCATTAGGGCACGTGTCTATGGGCGAACTGACAAATAGTAAGCATCTTGTATTAGAGGGCCTATTCCATAGAACCGTCGATCCGTAATAGTAAAGACACGAAAACTTGAATCTTGGCATTATACATACATACCACGACAAGCCTACATGTGTCATACGTCTAGACCTCGGCGGATGGAATAGACATCGGCAGAAATTAAGCATGCGGAATCACCCGATGACGGTGTTGGCGCGGTTTGCCGTGGACCCAATTGTCGGTTCGCCGAGAGAGTCGTTGGGATGCCGAGAGCTGGTGCGGCCGTCGGCGGTTCGGAGGAGGCCGAAGTATATGGCCAAGAGCAAGAAAAAGGTCTGGCGCTGTATGGTGATGAGGGTCGGTATCAGGTTTCTGCCCGATGCCATGGGTTTGGAGATCCACCAGATGGGCTATAAAGCGTCCCAGTCTCCTGGTGTTGCTGATGATGGATAAGCACGACACTTGAATACCGTTCTCATCATGTCAAAAGAAGTGATCGAAACAGAATCCAACAACAAGACCTATCCCGAAGGAGGCCTCAACGCCAACCTGGTCGTCCTCGGCAGCTTCAGCGCCATCACCGGCGGCCTGGGCCTGATGAACAGCATCGGCATCTACCAGGCGTGGATCTCCACGCACCAACTCGAGTCGCTCAGCGAGGGCCAAATCGGCTGGATCTTCGGCCTCTACAACTTCATGGTATTCTTCTGCGGCATCCAGATCGGCCCCGTCTTCGACGCCAAAGGGCCCCGCGTGCTGATGTGGACAGGATCCGCCCTCCTCATCCTCACCCTCATCCTGATCGGCTTCTGCACCCAATACTGGCACTTCATCGTCGTCATGGGCCTGCTCGGCGGCATGGGCACCTCCTTCATCTTCATCGTCCCCGTCGCCAGCATCGGCCACTTCTTCTTCCGTCGACGAGGCGCCGCCACCGGCCTCGCCATGTGCGGCGGCAGCATCGGCGGCGTCATCTTCCCGCTCGTCCTGGAGAACCTCTCCCCCCGTCTCGGCTTCGCATGGGCCACTCGCATCGTCGCCCTCATCACCCTCATCCTGCTGATCCCCGGCTGCATCCTCATCAAAGCCCGCCTGCCACCCAAGCCCACCACCTCTGCGAAAGTCCTCCTCCCGGACCTCACCATCCTCAAAGACCCCCTCCTCGCCCTGACCACCGCCGGCGTCTTCTTCATCGAATGGGGCTTCTTCGTCCCCCTCGAGTACATCGCCTCGTACTCCCTCGTCAACGGCATCCCGCACAGCCTCGCCTACCTAATGGTCGTGTTCCTCAACGCGGGCTCCTTCCCCGGGCGCTGGCTCCCGGGCATCGTGGCGGATAAACTAGGCCGGTTCAACACGCTGATCGCGACGAATGTGCTCTGTCTCGTGGCGATCCTGGGGATCTGGATGCCTGCGGACGGGAACGTCGTGGCGGTGGTGGTCTTCGCGGTGGTGTTTGGGTTCGCGAGTGGGAGTAATCTGAGCTTGGTGCCGGTTTGTGTGGGTGAGTTGTGTCCGACGGAGGAGTATGGAAGGTTTTATACGACTGTCTATACGGTTGTTAGTTTGGGGTAAGTCATTTTCTCTGGTATAGCCCTATGCGATATTGCAGGGAAGGAGGCTAATAATGATGCAGGGCCTTGACTGGCGTTCCGATCGCAGGAGAGATTATACATAAAAGTAAGGGTGAGTACTGGGGGTTGATTGCGTTCGCGGGAGGGACGTATGCGGCGGGGTTGGTGTGTTTTATTGCGGTGAAGGTGTTGCAGGGGAGACGGGGGAAGAAAATTGATACTTAGATTAATGATGTCTGGTATGCCGTGATGATATAGAGAAGATGAATAGAATAGAGAAAAATGGATTCCGTTGGTACATGATCTCGCTCATGTGACTGCTCTACCATTTCTGTATCCCTGACTCGCCTTAGCCAGCCACTTCATTTCTTCCAATTATTGTCTTCTGAGTGAATCAGCTCCATACTGTCAGCGCGTCAAAGCTGTCGTCAGCTTAATCTACGATGGAACTTGTCCCCGATCGAACTTGACATCTCACATCAACCCTAAAGCAACTGACGGGGAAATGCGCGTTCCTGCAGCTACCCACACCTGAAAATAAATCGGTGAGCTTACGAAGCAAATTTGATGATCGCAAACCAAGACTTCGGAACCAGATGACCAGTTTCCGCGGGAATGAAGACAAGCAGGATGCCAAATGCAAGGGATGCAGTGGTGGAGCGATGGAATTCTCCGACCACATATAACCAGGCAAGATCGTCAATAGCTGACGTAGGGATGCTGGATGTTCATCGGGTATCGGCTGGCGACTTCAGTTCCGTGCTATTAATTCTTTCTTGCTCATACTAATAAACGCTAGGGCGAGGAACTGCGGCAGATTACTGAGTAAGAACCGTCGATATTGGATGACCAGTTTCCAGCATGTTTGCCGTGTATCCACAATGCCTTGTGCAACCGATTATCGACCGGGCATATTCAAGCTAAATGTTGCTGGGACCTGTCATCTCAGGGAATTTTACGCCGTTGTTGATCCGGAGAGTTTCTCCTGACAGGAAAGCCCCGAATCAAATCAGTCCGGTTGATCAACGTCAATCAAGCTCATTCACTGAATGTCTAGACGACTTGATCCAGACGAGGTGATATGTAACTGGAGCGGTTGATCAAGGGGCTTTCAGGTATGCATTCCATACGGAGCATGACGACGATCCCTCTAGGCGATAGAACAACCCCTTTCTCGTCTATTAGCTCGAGAGCTATTGGGTAATGTTGTCAGGCGTCTGTTATAACTAGGAAAAGAGATGAACCTTCTTGCTGTCGACGAAGAACCGCGGAAGACTTTTCACAGCAATAAGCCTATCTATAACGGATAGAAGTGCTATATTCAGGCCGAAATGGACGAAGAGAAGCAGAGCAGTCTGACCACCGAAACCACCCGCTCTGACGACGGAAAGACCGTCGTGGACTGGAAAGGGGACGCTGATCCGGGCCATCCTCATAACTGGTCAAAGTCTCGCAAATGGTTCATCATTGGTCTCACATCGCTGACATGTTTCAATGGGTATGAAACAGCCGTCGCAAACTATAATCGCGTACTAACATGCTGCAGCGCGATTGTGTCCACCATCTTTGCTCCCGGGGTTCCCGATGTCCTCGAGGAGTTTCGTATCTCTAGCGGCTCCTTAGAGTCGTTCATGGTGACGGTCTACCTGATCGGATCTGTAATAGGACCCCTGGTTTTGCCTCCTATTAGTGAATGCTATGGGCGATTGCTCATAACGCACATCTCTAATGTCGGCTTTTTGTTCTCGTCTATCCTGTGTGCGGCGGCAGTCAACATGCCGATGATTATCCTCGCGCGGTTCCTTATGGGAATTGCTGCGTCAGTTCCCAGCACCGTTGGCGGTGGTATCATCGCTGATTTGATGGTTGTTGAGGAGCGCGGCACTGCCTTAACGGCTTGGACGATTGGAAATTCGTTGGTATGTATTTGTGGCCTCAGGCATAACCGTGTGCTGACCAAGTAATAGAGCCAGGTTTTGGGTAGGGTTAAGGACTTTCCACTCGTGGTTGATCGACAGCTAACTTAGTAAACCTTAGGACCTATATTTGGAGGGTACATCGTGTATGGAGCCGGTTGGCGATGGACTGTCTGGGTGGTTGTCATAATCGTAAGTAATCGCTCGATACTCGCAGATTCCAAAGCTAAAATGTGTCAGGGTGGACTGGTGATGATCCTAGCCTTTCTATTTCAGAAAGAGTCCCACGCACCGACTCTCCTGCGACAAGAAGCAGCACGACTCCAGAAGATCACCGGCATCATGCATCGCGCCAGCAGCGATGACGGCCAACCTGCAAGCGTAAGGATTAAGCGCGCCATCACCCGGCCACTCCGGATGATGGTGCAGGCTCCGATCGTGACGATCGCCTCATGCTACAACTCCGTATCCTACACCTACATGTACATCTGCATCACGAGTTTCACGCGGGTATTCGAGACCACGTACGGGTTCGACGCCAGCAACGCGGGACTCGCGTACGTCGGACTCGGGATCGGATCTTGTCTCGCGCAGTTGACCATCGCGTCCCTCTCGGACCGATACATCCAGCTGCGCAAGAGCCTCAGCAAGACCGTGAAGCCCGAGCACCGCCTCTTCACGCTCGTGGCGGGCGTGATCGTTCTTCCGATCGGGCTGTTCTGGTACGGCTGGACGGCCCAGTATAAGGTGCACTGGATCGCGCCCATCATCGGCACCAGCTTCGTGGGATTCGGCATCATGTGTGTTCAACTGAGTGTGCAGCTGTATCTGGTCGACGGGTTCAGCTACTATGCGGCTAGTGCTGTGGCGGCTAACCTCGCCATCAAAAGTACCTTTGGGACGGTGATCCCGTTGGCTGGAGCTCCGCTGTATGATAGTCTGGGTTTGGGCTGGGGGAACAGCCTTCTTGGGTTCATTGCGGTCGGGCTGATACCGGCCTCGTTGGTCCTTATGCGGTATGGCGATGGGATTCGAGTGCGTGGCAAGTTCTGTGGAGATTCTGGCGAGGATACTTAATGTTTCGATGCCTTTACAACCTTCACAAAGAGGTCTTATGGGCTGGTTTACCTCGGTGAGTCAGCACCAGAACTGTCTATTGAGTCTAGCCCTATCTGGCTGGCAGACGCGGGTGAACCAACAGCGACTCGCAGCCAAACAATCATCTTCTCGTTCATTGGACGGTCCTTCGTATACTCCGCCACGTAGATCTGGATGACAGTAGCGCCATTTGTTCTCTTCTCTTCTATCCTGACATCCCAACGTTCCTAGCGTAATAACCCTCAATCTCCACCTCCAAAACAACAAAATAATAAGAAAAGACCAAGGAAATGTCACACTTCTACCCCCGCTCCCCCTACGCCGAAGACCAGCGCCTCTCCCACACAATCCTAACCACCCACGTCCTCAGCCGCGGCTTCCAAGCTGGCACGGGGATCGGCCTCCTCGTGCATCTCGGCCTTACCCTCGGCCAACGCAACCGCCTCACCGCGCCCGCCGTCCTCCGCTCCGCCGGCGTCGGCGGCGTCCTCGGCACCGGCGCCCTCGGCGTCGCGCTGTTCCTGCGCATGCGTGGCCGCGAGCTGATCGAGTGGAAGGATCGCAGCTGGGCGTTGCGGAATAATGCGCGCCAGGTCAGAGTGGATGATTTCAGTGAGCCGGGGATGGTGGTGGGGGGTGTTTTGGCTGCGGTGGTGATGCCGAGGTTTGGGGGGTGGCTGGGTGGAGGGGGGTTGTTGGGGGTGCGGGCGTGGGATCGTTGGTTGGGGTGGTGGGGAGTGTGGTTTGGGGGGGTTTTTTGTGATTGAGGTGGGCTTTGCTTGGGGGTTTGTGGTTGATGAGTTGGTGGGTTGTGTGTATGATTATATGATGTTGTTGTGTGTATTAATGGTGGTGGACTCTACTCTTTGGCTAGGGCGTTCTGGTTGGCTTGAATATTTGTGAATATGGCGTTGGATATATTAAATCTCGTCTTATTTGGAGGGAAATGGCTGATTTACTTTCATTTCTTTGTTCTGATCAATATCTAATAGTGCACAGTCATCTATGCCAACATGTTTACCATGTAGGGGGATATTCCATTCGATCAAGGACACTGCAGGATCTTGCGAGAGTGCTACAGATAGAAACCATATCCTTTGCTCAGTATCGGTACCTGGCTGGTTTTCTCTTTCAAAATGAGAGGCATGAAACCTGAAGCCATTGATTCTCGCTGCAACAAAGGAAGATCGATTGTCTATATCATGCCTCCAACAAAGCCTTTGTCTCCTTCAGAAACAGAGATATATAACCTGCCAGAGCCATCTAGTGTACCAGAATAACTCACTGTCTAACCATTCTAGATCAACTCACCATGTCCTGGCGCAAATGGCTCAAAGAACCGCGATCTCGAGCCATCGAGCCGAGCAGAGACATCCCGTACGAAATGCCCTCGCAGCGTCTCGGACCCCAGCTGGCTTCAGAAATCGCCCATCTCTTTGATGATGCCCAGATCCCGAGCTTTCTCTGGGATTGGATCGAGAGTTCCCCCCGGACAGAAGCGCGGTACCACGTTGTAAGCAACTCCCATCCACTCCACATCCTCACTACCTAAACTAACAAACCACAGGAATTCGAATTCATCGTCCCAGACTACCTACTAACCGAAGCCCACAAACAGCTCGTCACCGTCGGCTTCAGAACATGCGCAGCAGGCCCTGCATGCCACGTCTACTCCGACTTCCCATTCAAACCCCTCGCCACCACGCACTTCCACCACCTCAGCCGCGTCGACGAGATGATCTCCCTGCGCACCCAGTCCGCCCTCGCCGCAAAGCTCCATCTCACGCTCGCTCCCCCAGCGGATCATAACAGTAACCCCGACTTCATGCTGAGCAACGACCTCAGACTCGCCGGGAGCCCGGCGGCCTTCGCGCCCCTCCCGGACGACATGTATCCGTTTCGGCTCCTCACGCCGGTGCGGTTCGCGGAGGCGATCATGCTGCAGTTTGCGCACGATGTGGATACCGAGCGGGATACGGTCGTTCGGGGATATGTGTCGCGGTTGATGTTTTTGAAGAGGGACGGGCAGGGGCCGAGTGGGTTGCTTGTGGAGGGGGATTTTCATGAGTATCTGAGGCCGCTGTGGGGTGCGTTGGAGGAGGCGACGTTTGAGTTGTTGGTGGCGCATGCGCGCAGGGTGAAGTTTCAGTTGGATAAGACGGGGTTTCGGTTGCCGACGGAGGAGGAGATTGAGAAGAAGAAGAGGAAGAGGGAGAAGCAGAGGAGGAAGGAGATGGAGAAGGGCAGGTGATAGAATGTTTTTGGAGTTGTTTATGTTTTTGTTTTATGTTGTTGTCGATTATGTACTTGAGAGGTGATAGGTGAATTATATTGTGAGGTTGTCTGCGTAAGTGTCAATGTTTTCCTTTTCCAGTCTCATAAATTGTACTGAAATGGAGTTTAAAATGACTTTGCGTTGCTAGAGTTCTTAAGTGAGTCGAAAAACTAATGTCTGTGCCTAAATATATCACGGCAACCGACAGGCTACATCCATCAAGGTATATCGCCAGCCCTCCTAACTCAAACTTGAATCACTCCCCAGTATCTCAACCAGCTGACTACATTCCTTACAAGTACTTCTTGAAAGTCTTTCTTTCATTGATTAGAACAACCCAAACAGGCCACGCGGCAAGCTACCAAACCACTCCCGTCGTGTTCGTGAATGATCTCATTGTCCTTCTCCACATCCTCAACTTACTCAAGAACTTCAACTTCAACGCCAACATCAACCTCATCAAAGACCCAACCCTCAAAATGAATCATCAAGACCCAAGTTCATCGCCATCCCGTCTCATCTCCCTCCCCACCGAGCTGCATCTCATGATCATCAAATTTCTCATCTTCCCCGACATCATCCATCTGAAACTCACTTGCACCTATTTCAACGCCATCATCCCGCGTCTGAACCACGCCGCGCTCATGGAAGCCGAAGAAACCGACTTCGCCGCCTGCAACTACATCTTCGCGTGTCGCTACTGTCTGCGCCTGCGCCCGAGATCAGAATTCGCCGATCGCATGATTCATCGACGTCGGGGACGGTACGGTCGCGAGGCAGGAAAACGCTTCTGTATCGAGTGCGGTCTGCAACCGAGGGCCGGATGGCCTAGGTATGGCCCTGGGGCGCAGATCATCATCAAGGGTGCGCCGTACGTGATCTGTCTTTCCTGTCGTGAGTTTGCGATCGGGATGAGAGACGGGGATGGGCGGGTGATGGGCGAGTGTTGGGATTGCTTGAAGAAGCGAGACAAGAAGACGGAGAAGGAAAAGGAGGAAAGCGTCGTGGTGATGACGAGGAGGATGGGGCGGTTCTGGTGAGATGCTGTGGATGGGCCGCGTTTGCTTTGTGTTACCTGCGGTCGTGGTTCTTGGTATGGCGATTCAGGGGAAAGGGAAGGGGAAGGGTTTATGCTGACGGTCTACAGATAGATCGCTTGGCTATGCGATGCTACGGTTGTTGATGGAGAAGACAGAAGAGCATTGGGAGAACGTTGGGAATGAAGTGTTGGGAGCTTCTACTTGGTATATTCTCGATTATCTTCCTCCGCTATCTTTGATCAACATACTAATCTTGCCGGGCAGGATCCTGAGCTGGCTTGTTTTGCAGGAAAGTGTCGATCTCTGCCATGATTTCTGGTGTGAGTTTGGGCAGCAGTTTTAGACTCTCCACGTTATCGACAACTTGTTCCGGTCGCGAGGCGCCCGTGATCACCGAAGAGACGTTTTCGTTTTTCAAACACCAGGCCAGCGCGAGCTGAGACAATTTGACTCCGAATTTGTCCGCCAATTCCTGTGCATTCCAGTAAATTTGCTAGTTCTCCATCGGATAGTTGGTCTTTCACATACCTTCAAGCCAACGATCTTCTTAATGGTACCTGCCCATTGCTCATTCTCCCAGTCGTTTCGAACAGAGCTGGCAAATTTATCCTTGCTTTCAGCAAATCTCGAACCCGCGGGAGGCTCTGCCGTCGCATCGTTGTATTTACCGCTCAAAAGCCCCATCTTCAGGGGGGAGAAGGTAGTCAGTCCGATTCCATACCGAGAGTACAATCGCTGAAACTGTCCCTCGACCCTTCCGCGATCCAACATGTTGTACAGCGGCTGTTCCACAATGGGCGCAATCAGTCCCAACGACTTCACAATCCCGCAAGCTTCGGCGATCTCATCGGCCGACCATTCCGATGTTCCCCAGTAGAAGGCCCAGCCTTTTTCGATCACATAATTGAAAGCGCGCACGGTTTCCTCCATCGGCGTGAGCCGATCCGGACGATGCGCATAGATGATATCGACATATTCCAGCTGGAGACGACCGAGAGATGCCCTTGTACCTTCGACGATGTGTTTCCTCGACAGGCCGTGGTTATTGATCAGGATTTCACCGTTTCCAAGGCCCCAGTTGATCTAAAACCGTTGCGCATTAGCTCTGAGTGACTTCGGACAGCGAAGAGACAGGACACACCTTGGTGCTGATGACCAGGTCGCTTCGGCTCCAGCCAAATTTCTTTATGGCTTGTCCCATGATTATCTCCGATTGACCACCAGCATAGCTAGACCGTCAGCTTAAGTACTTGCGAGATGTTGGTCGCCTGTACCTTTCTGCTGTGTCGAAAAAGTTCACTCCGCAGTCATAGGCCTGTTTCATGCAGTTGAATGTCATTTCTAAGATGGACCGGGTTAGCACGATCAACAACTCCGAGTTGAGTGCAGCTTGTACCGTTCTCGACGTGACCACCGAACCTATGGGAAGGAAAATATCAATAACATTGCCTCTTTTCCGCATACGCGCAGCTAAGACACTCACGTCAACCATCCTCCCAGACCTATCGCTGAAACGTGCAGGCCCGAGTTGCCGACCCGTCGGTAGAGCATGTCTTGATTTTTGTTTGGCCACGCCATACTGTCTGTGCAACAATCCAACGGGATGAAAAATTTGGTAACAAGATGAAGGCCTTGCGTGGAATGAATTCAATGCTTTTCGAACGACAGTGAGGGGTTCCGCCTCATTTTAAACCTTTTACCTGCGAGAGCTCCTACGCTTGACAATTGCAGCTCAATCCTCATGAAACATCATTGGCCCAACGAATTTGGTGCCGCATTCTGGCGAATGATACAGGTTCATCGGATGCCTGGATCCGCCGTTCTCATAGCACCAATCATTATGGAACAATCGATTGAACGTGCAAACGCGGGGCTTCGTGGGTTGGGTCTCGGAGGAATGCTCGGAGGGTCTTTCTTTAGTCCCAAATTGTTCCAGTCTTGTCAGGGATGATGCACGCTTACCCAATTGGTCATAGCGGATCAGAATTGTTGTTGCTCCGTTGGATACATGGTGTCATCGCCATAGGGTATATGAGCCTGGATAGGAAGCAGAAGGTGGTTGAACGTTCTGAAGAATCGACAATGTCAGATGATGTGTCTTGGACACCTTGACTGTCAGGCAGACTCCACGTGCAAACCGCTGTCTTTCTGGCTGCCGACGTTAATCGCCGTCTCCTCTTCTTCGACTTCATCAATTTCTCCACGATCCATCGGAAAGCACTTCATCCATTCATCGCTCCGAGTGTCGCCTAAACAATGCCATGCACTGATTCCATCAATGAATTTATCTCCTGTTCAGAACATCATGTGTTGACTTTCTCTGTTGACTCATGAAGATGGGCTTATCGTCTCCAGGCACGTTGTGGGTCTAGACTATGGCGTGCCTCGTGGAGATAGTAGCGCAATCATCCACTTGATGGAGAACCGCGGAATTAGCCAGAATTATCATGGGATGCCTGATCAAATTTCCTCGCCGTGTGTTTATCGAATTCCCGAGCACTTTTGACGAAACTGGCATTCACTTTTTTCTTCAGTCATTGTGAGATCACTTCGCGATACCCCTCGTGCCGAGTCTCCTTAGCCAAGGCTTCGAGCATTGCCCCGCACAGAATGGGATGATCGCTCTGAACAGATAATATCGCTACCCCGGACTTTCGCACGGCGCATCGGATCCCTCAAGGCAAACAACCATCGCCACGGCTTAAACCGGTCGGTCATGCTGTAAACGGATAATACTCAGAATGTGCTTGATACCTAAACACAATCACAATCATGTCTTCCAGTCGAACAACTATAACGAAGCGGGCCTGTGACGGATGCAAGATCCGAAAGATCAAGTGTGGTGGCGGCAATCCATGCCAGGCTTGCAAAAATGCGCGCATCAAGTGCACCTACATTCGGATTCAGCATCCTCGGGGTCCGCAGCGACTGCGTTCAACTACTAAATATTTGATTGAGCAAACACAGCGCGGAATCGAGGCGCAATCCGCAGAACAGCCCGAGGAAGTGGCTGAAACGAGCGACTCATATCCAACTCTGGAACATAGCCAGGCTATCAGCGCACAGGGGTAGGTCTTTCTTTCTTGATAATAAAACCGCGGAATTTTTGCTTGCGAAACGTGTAAAGAGTTCTTTTGATAACCAAGTGCAAAACAGGTCTCGAATCCCAACGAATATCCTTGCCTCCCCACTTTACATTTACCACGTTCGAATGTACCCCGTCTGGCCGATTGTCGATGTCGAAAATGTCATGTCCATTTTACAGAACACCCACGATCAAAACCCAGAGGCCTATGCTTTAGCCACGTCTGTTGCAGCCGCGACCATTGCCCAGCTCAGGCTTGAGCAAAACGTTCAGTCTAATAAGTCCGTCAGCTCCGAGGTGTTTGCGTCGGAGTGCTTGAAAGCTCGAAGTTCAAGCAACTATCGGTCCAAAGCGAATCTGGATAATGTGCGAACTGCGTTTTTCCTCCATGTGTACTACGAAAATCAACACCCAGGTGGCAGTGAATCGTTACTTTACCTGCGGGAGGCCATTTCGCTGGCTCAGATGATGTCTCTTCATCGCGAAGCCTCCTATTCTGGATTGCCTCTTGAGGAACAACAGATTCGGCGTCGCGTACTCTGGTTACTGTTCGTGACAGAAAGGTAATATCCTGATTTCAGTTGCCACGTTAAGCTTTGACTCTAACATCTATTAGAGGGGTCTGCATCCTACACAAGCTTCCTGTGGTGCTCAAAACGAACATCTCGACGCCGGAAATGGATTTCAATGACGAGCCCCAGGTCTTACCTGCTTTCTTGAAGCTCCTCAATCTCTTCCGGCTTTTTGAACAATCAAAGATGTTCGATATCATCGAAGATGAAAACCCCGACCTACAGTCTATTTCTGAAGGCGATAAGAGCTTGGATACTAGGTTCTTCGAATTTCTCGAGGGAAAATTGCAAGACGGTTCTATCCTTTTAGATCAAATCTCCGATGTACAAAAAGCAGACTTGTGCGTTACTCGACACTGGATGCGAATGATCCTGTGGAAGGTGTCGTCAAAGAAGCCTACGTCTTCATCCTCCGACAAGTCTACAAGTTCATCATTTCCAGTAATGGTCGCCAAGGAGCTCCTGAACATCGTTTCTCAACTACCGAGAACAGCAATAGAGGCCCATGGCCTTGGTATGGTGAGTATTCCGAATGACATATCCACAGATGAGACCTAACAATTTTCAGGAGTTGAAGCTGTATGAGATTGCAAACTCCCTTGCAGATGCTGTAATGAACATGGCAATGCTCCCCAGAGCGCCCATCTGGGACGGCGAAAGTCGCCCCAGCAGCATTCTAGCGCGATTACACTCCATTCTCTCCACCTTCCGCGGCGGCGGAAATAAAGAGCTAGCTGAAATACTGTACAAGAAAATGGCCGAGGCACAAGTTAGAAGCGGGCCTACTCTATCGCCATCTCTCAAAGCACCTCACGGCCCCGCCCTAAGTAGACCCTTGAGCGGACCCAGTAAGGATGGTCTCAGGGAAGAGGGGTCGGCAGATAAAGACCCTTCCAGCTCACGCTCCACTCCCCCTGGGCTCCATAACAGCGGCATCTCGACGACCAACTGGGGCGATGACCTGCAGACCATTGGCTATGAAGACCTGCTTCAAAACAGCGCTAGTATCGCCACCGATGCACAGCCAGACGGGTACAGCCATGTCACAAACCCGTTCTCGTACAAGGATATGATCTCCCCAAGCTTGGCCGGAATGGGTCTCACTCCACCTTCTTTCTTCCCTGCATACTCCTACGACCCTAGCTATGCTATTCTTTCGACGCAGGCTCCACCCGTCCTGGATGACACCCGGAACATCTTCTCCGGCATCTCGTCGTTATCTCCGTCGTTCGCGTCAGGGTCCATGGAGATGCTCATTGGCGATTTCATATCGCAGATCCCAGACCAATATCAACCTGGCAGCTTCATGCCCATGAGTGACGACGTGATGGACCAGAATATATCAAACCAGAGCTTTATGATATGAACAGTCGAGCCATTGAAATAATGACCTCACGAATCGAGTGAAGAATGTTTCTCATATCCTAGAAATGAATTATACCCATACATTATCCCCCGCTCATAATATCCAATATTAGCATATACAACCAGTAAAAAAGCATAACATAACAAACAAACAAACAAGTCTTATCCTCTAACATAGTATCGAATCAATACTTAAAGCGGAAATCCAACCTCTTGTTCCCGTCCTTCTCTCGCTCCGTCTGATCCGACTGATAGATGATACGCTCCTCAGCGGACATGGCCTTCCACTTCCTATCTTTCTGCCTGTTCAAGTAGCGCAGAAACTCGCGCTGAGTGACAAACACAGCTAGCGACAGACAGCAGATCGAAATAAGAACCTTGTTACCCGTATAGTAATACGGCTTGTCATAGTCTCTGTAGATTTCTGCATATCAAACCCAAATTAGCACGGAATCCCAACACACACCACCACCAAATCTCCACAGACGGCAGGAGTAGGGGGAAGGGGAGGTGCAAACTCACGAGACGAAATAATCGACCCAACCTGGACAATCACGTTATACGTCGCCGCTGTAATCGCCCTCTTCTTCACATCGAACGTATTCTCGGAGATCCACGCCGACACAATCGGATGAAAATACGGATACCCGGAGATCAGCGTCGTGATGGCGAACCGGGGCCAGTTGTATCCGTGAGCCGGAAGGCCCAGGAGCGCTGCGAGGAGCGGTAACGTCCACAGCTCGCCGACGAAGCAGTGGAAGGTGCGTTCGCCGAAAAACTCGCTGCTCTTGGACAGGATCAGCATGAGGATTATCTGCAGCACGGCGGACGGGATCGAGAGCATGTTTGAGTCGAAGGTCGAGAAGCCGAGGCGTTTCAGCGTCAGCGAGAGGTAGGATTGTACGGGGCCTTGGGGGATGTAGGCGACTAGGCCGACGAGGTAGAGACCCCACATGGATTTGTCGCTCCAGGCGTTGAGCACGTCTTTGAGGGTGGCGGCTTCGTTGATGTGCGTGAGGCCTTTGGAGGGGTCGTCGCGGAGGAGGCGCTTTGGTTTGTTAGTTGGTTGGGGTGAGGGTTCAGGTGGGTGGTGCTTACGTTGATCATGATGGTTTCTTCGCGCTCGGTGTACCATGGTTTAGGGTATATTGCGCTCTTTGTGTTTGTTGGGGAGCTGGGGAGGTAGAACATGCTCTGCGGGTGGAGTTAGTATGGTGAGTCGATTTGGGGATGGAAATATTGTTGGATATTGTGCATACCACAAGGCCAATGACAAAAGTGAGGAGGCCGTCGATGAGGAAGAGCCAGAACCAGCCTGTCTTTCCCTGGGCGCCTCGCATCTCGAGAATACCTGCGGCTAGAAGAGAGGAGATGATTCGCGCAACCTAGAGGGAAGACATCGTTAGCTTCCGAAGACTCGAGCCAATTGAGGTGTTAAGGACGCACATTCAGCGTGGACCAGAAGAATGCAAGTCGAACAGACAGTTCCTTTGTCTTGTAGAAATATGTCGCGAATAAGATTGTACCGGGGATAAATCCTCCCTCGAACGCTCCGATCAAGGCTCGAGTCACGTAGAACGATGCCCTGCTTTCCATCCAGGCCTGGGTCCACGACACCAGACTCCAGCCGATCATCATGAGCGGTAGGACGCGCTTGAACCCGTACCGCTTGATCAACAGTTGAACGGGAAACTCGGCTGCCAGAAAACAGACAAGCTGGATGGTTGTGCCCTGGAATATCCATGTCAGCAGGCATATAATTCCTATCTGGATAGTAGACAAACATTGTTGTAGTCATCGCTCGTCAGGTTCAGATCGTTGAGAAGGTTGTCGGTCAGCGCATTGGAAAGGTTTCCACGATCCAGTTGCAGCCCAAAGAACTAGATACCGTAAACAACTCATCTCGTGCCAGGTCTGGGGTGTTGGGTTTACCATGAGACAAAGGCAGGTCAAGAGTAACATGTCGGTTTTGAATATCACCTTACGCTCCTCCTTAACCGACCAAGAAGCGGTCGGATCAAATCTATGGTATCCCTCGTACGACTCATGAGGAGGAGTCACACCGGCAAGGTGTTCCTGGCCGACGTTGGCCGATCCCTTTGAAGATTGGGTATCTTCATCGCCAGACGATGTCGTAGGACCTTTATAGCCACGTTCGATGTCGGCCATAGCTGCTTCCACAAACTTAAGACGTTTCGGAACCAAAGTCAGACAGACGTAGAAAAGCCAAACGACAAGAGTCGAAGAGATTGAGAGAGGAAGCGATCGCCATGGTGCAGCACTTATATACCCGGTGTTAAAGCGATGGCGACAGAGAAATTTGCTGTTCCTTGTCCTCTGTAGCAGTAAACAATTGGAACAAGTGAATTGTGTGCTTGGCCAATTAAACCCATTGTTTTGACAGCCATCATAGTCGTGAAGACCTTAAATGCTGAACGGCACTAAAGGCATTGCACAAGGCCGCGCTACAAGCACATCATCGCCTAGATGGCACTTGATGCGCGACCTAGCCGGAAATAAACAGGAATCAGACCCTGACAAACCAATGGCATTGCCGCGCTCCGAAAGGCTTCCTAGCGTCTCGTCTTGACAGATCGGGGCTTTTTCCAGAAACTATCATTGATTGGCAGGGTTATAGAGATCGATGCATTTCCTAGGTCATTCAACCCTCTCGATTTTATTCATCCCGTAGTGCCTTTGCAGCGGTAAAAAAACATCAGCTAATGCAATTTCCCCGGATTTCTAAAGTTTAGAGCACCTTTTCCGCGCAACGGGGGTTCCTGTGTAGGAGAATCGAGTTTAACGGATTGGCTAGGGTGGTGGAAACCGTTCATTCGTCGGCGGGTCAGGGAAATGGCGTTATCACATCATCGTCGAGCTAGGCACAGGCCCAGATAGCCCCCGAGAATTTCGCCGACGCCCCGCCGACGATAGCACCGGCTTGGGCCAGCTAATGGATGATGCAAGCCGCCTGCTAGCCAATTGGTAATGCGGGGTGAAGGATCATCGGACGATGCTGAACGTTTACCCACTTCTTTTGCCGAGGGCTTTGGGCGGATTGTACATTCATGGGCAAACACATCGATCATAAGACACTGTGAGCGTGATTCGTTGTCCAGCAAAACATATCATTTCAGCGGGTAATCCACTTTCTGTTTCAAGTCAGCGACGTCGTGGATAGCGTTCCAGAAGCGTCTCAAACATATATACTATCAAACTCCCACCGAGAATATCATCGTTCTTTTTTTATGGAAATTCGAGCATTTCACTAAAATTGTGTTCAAATCAACTTCAATAACATAACAGTATACTGGGCCTCACAAAAACAAACCTTCATAATGCCAGTCCCCGTTGAGACAGCTACTCCCTCGACAATTCGAGGAGGCCACGAGCAATCCCGTCCACGCATTCCCAAGCCTCTAGAATATTCCGGCAGCTTGGACTCGTACCCTCATAGCGATCTGACCCCAGTCATCGGCACGGAATATAGTGAGATTCAAGTCGCGGAGATCCTGAAATCAGAACAACGCGATCGGTTGATCACAGACCTTGCTGTAACGAGTGCGTCCAAGCCCTATCTTGAAAAACTTTGTTTTCCGCATCGAGGAAAGTAAAATATCCCAAACACTAACGGTAACCAGTTTCGAAACGAGGTGTTTTGTTCCTGCGCAACCAAGATGTAACACCCCAGCAAATGAAGGAATTCGGAGAGCGATTGACCGTTCTCGCAGGATGCGTAAGTAATCGAAGCCGCCAATCGAGACATCTAACTGACAATGGCCAACAGCCCGAGTCATCCGGACTGCACGTCCACCCTCTCACAGAAGAAGGAAGCGAACTAGGTGACCAAATCAGCGTCATCAGCAGCGAGAAGCAGAAGAAGGGAGGCGGTCTCACCCACCAGCTTAGCGACACCAGCCGATTCGCATCTGTCGGATGGCACACAGACATCAGTTTTGAACACGTCCCCTCGGACTATGCGATGCTGAAGATTCACACCCTCCCTGCGACAGGGGGAGACACGCTCTGGGCATCGGGGTACGAGATCTATGATCGTCTTTCGCCAGATATGGCGGCTTTTCTGGAGACGTTGACGGCGACGCACGATGCCACGTTCTTTCACGATGAGGCTAGACGACTGGGGAATCCGCTTCGGAAGGGAATTCGAGGGTCGCCGCTCAATTCGGGCGAGGACTTGACCGCGGTGCATCCCGTGATCAGGACCAATCGTATGTCTTTACTTCCCCCTCTCATCTCTCTTCAACCGGAAGAGATCTTTGCATACTGATATATGGGATAGCGGTCTCCGGGTGGAAGTCAGTATACGTGAACAAGGGCTTCACCAAGAGAATCAACGGAGTCACGAAAGATGAGTCGGATATGTTGCTGAATTACTTGTTCAATGTAAGTCAACTGGTGTTCAATTCCCTACAGACAGGACCCTAATGTCGTTAGCTTGTGACTCAAAACCATGACGCTCAAGTCCGGTTCAGATGGAGCAAGAATGATATGGCGATCTGGGATAACCGGTCGACCTGGCACTGCGCGACGTATGACTATGCCGAAGCTCGAGCCGGAGACCGGGTCTGTAGTCTGGGCGAAGCACCATATCTAGACCTGCAGTCGAAATCGAGGAAGCAGGCACTTGGGGAAGCTTAGATAATGTTTAGTGATGCTTGATAAATATTAATTTATTTCAACCGAGGTTTATCTTTTTCGGCGTGTTGTTTGAATAGGACAATGGAGCCTGTAGACGCATCTTAGCTGTATGACTTCTGTCTATAAACTCTTTCGAATTTCGGTTAATGAGAAATAGAATGTAAATTCAAAATCAGGCGTGCTAAAATTAGACACTACCACCCAAGCTCAAAAGAATGCTCAACGCCAATAACCAGATAAATAAGCCCTAATCCAAAAATAAAATATGCTGGTATGCAAAATCTGCTTCAAACAAATGCTTTAGTTGAGCATCATATCCCGAAGCATATGAGTTTCTTCAAAGGAAACCCAAACAAAGAAAAAGAAAGGAAGGCCGCGTCCAGCGGCATATGCCTTCGGCGTCAAAACAACAGTATCAAATATGCGACGCTGGTATCATTTAACATTGGCATGGCTCGGACAATTTCATGTAGTTCCAGCAAACTAGGAAGAGTTAGTTTAGTTCGTTCCGGTAGTTATCATATCAACTCACTAGTATGGCCCATGTCTTCGCCAAACATGGAGGCCATCAGGTCCTCACCATGCCGCGTTCCCTCAACCGGGGTATATGTGACGGCAGTGTGGCCAAGCGCAAGACCAATAACAGGTGGCGTCTGCTGCAGAGTCATGAACTCAGGCTTGACACCCGAACGCTGGGCCATCATGAGCTGGTGGATGTTGGTGGCCGCATAGTGACCCATGTGCATGGCACCGCCGCAGCGCTTAATACCAGCCCACAGGGCAATGTCGCCGATGGCAAAGTGGCTCTCGGCGTTAGGGGCGCGTTCCGGGAATTGCAGCCTATTCCAATCGTTAGATTCCGCTAGATTCAGATACAATAGGAAGGGGATGACGTACGTCGGCTGGATATCCACGTAACCATCTTGCGTCAGAGCGTCTTTCGGCAGATAGGACGAGGTAGGGATGCATTTCGACACAGCGTTCATGACGTGACCAGTCTTGAGTTGCGTGCCGTTCGACAGCGTAAGTTGCCACGTGCGCTTCTCACCCTCCGTTTCGACGGCAGTGGTCTCAATCACTCGTCGGCCTAGGATAACCTCCACACCGGTTTCGCGGAGAACGGAAGCCACGCGCTCCTTGAAATCATCGGGCAGGGGCTCTGCGGAGAGCAAGCGCTCGCGCGAATGAACCAGAGTCACCTTCTGCTTGGGGTCCAGCACCTTGAGCTCTGCGGCCATCTCAACGCCAACGGCACCTATGATCATGTTAGCTGATATACATAGCATGGCTGCGTTAATGGGTGTACGTACCTCCTCCGATGATCACCACTCCATCCTGGGCCTTCTGAATGTCCTCCTTGTGGCGCTTTGCCTCCTCCAGGAACTGGTGTCGGAGCAGTGATTGCGGGACAGTAGGGAACACGCGACGGAGACCAGAGCTAGCAATCAAGAAGTCATAGCTCTCTTCGCAAGACTGCTTGGTGTCCAGGTCGAGGATCTGCGCGGACTTCTCCTCGCAGTTCACAGAGTTAACGGTGCCTCGGAGGAAGCGAACGTTCGGCGACTGCAAGGCGGGGATATCTTGGAATCGGATCCAGGTCTGCGAGGCAAACTGGTCACACGCCAGGGCCTTGGGAGATCCAATCAAGTGGTCTGGAGGGAAGAAACTGTGTTAGTGTCTGGAAAAGCATCGGTGTCTTAAGAACAGAGGTAGGATGCTCACAAAAGCCATCTCTTTCGTCCACGACGGTAATCTGAACGGGGATCTGGCTCTCAGGGGGCTGAGAGTCGGCATTAAAGTTGAAGCGAGCCAGACGACCACCGCAGAGGTCAAGAAGGGACAGGGCGGAACTCAATCCCCCATACGAACCGCCGACGATGAGGACGCGGACGGTGCGGGGGGTGGCGGTGAAGGCTTCGTTGGAGGGCATGAGGGGCGATTTACAGATCAGATTAGATAAAGAAAGATGTACAGTCTAAACGCGGCCGGGAAAAGTAAGAAAAAAAAAAGGCACGGCAGAGGAGAGGAGATGGAATTATATGGGAGAAAAATGCGAGGGATCGAGAACGGGCGTTGTTTTTAAAGGCGAAAGGATCCCACGAGCATTCCGGATGTTAAGGAGGCGCAGAACCGAAGCCAAGGGATCAGATTCATCAAGAGTGGAGCCGACGGATGTTTTTACTCTGAACAGGTGCGAACACCCTCATTCTGGCACCGGAGAACATGGAAGACTGCTGATATGCTGCGGACGGTCTTGTTCCCATAAAATCCCGAGTGCTGGTACCACTTCTCGAATAGGCATGTTCCATCACCGTGGGTTGAATGTTTGGGTCGGGATGGAGCAGGTTATCGGTTTCATATTATTATTATTATTTTGAATTATTGCGAGAATTGGCCAGCGAACAGGAAGTCGTGCGAGTCCGGAAGGTGGCAGAAGCCGATGTCACCCCCCACTCTGACCCCATCTTATCAGATGGCGAGGCGAGTTCGGATCCTCTCGGCTGGACAAACAACCCACCGTCGATTGCATAATGGAAACCCCGATGGTGAAAGGGTGGGGTCGGCCTCGAACACTGGATAAGAATTTTCCGCCCGGTGAGCCTGAGAGTCGAAAATTGTTTGATTCTTTTTCCCAGCGAATTTGCGTGAAAAAGGGGTGAATACGAGAGTGATCTTGGCAGGAATCCAAGGCCGACCGATCGACAATTTTGCGCCCGTGTCCAAGGTTACTTTTATCTGATCCGAAATTAAGAGGCCAACGCCTTTGGCCACTGTAATAAAGTTATCTGATGCTGGGGGTTCATCTACGATTTGGCTTTTTATGGCTTTTTCTTTGTCATTGCCCTAGCATATTAATGTCGCAAAATGAAATATTCTTGGTGATTTATAAGAGTATTCTATTATGGAACTGCCTTAACGAGCTCGATATATATTTTCCAACAAGGGTAGACTTAGGTCAGGCATTATATAAATAAACCATAACAAAAGGAGAAATTAAATCTTCCATCCATTGGAATGCTGAAGACTCGGACCATATTGAATGCATATAATTTAAAGCAAAGTTTAAACTTCGCCTGACAAGTGATGTCCCTTTATCAGACGGTTCTTAATGCCAGATCTAAAAGCGCGGGTAGAGGCCTGCATGAGATCTCGATACACCCAACGTAGTTTGTATTTAAACGATTGCCTTGCTGCAAGGCACTGGCTGGCTACGAAAACTTCCAACCCCTATTGACAAGGGACATACATGGACAGACCTGGAAGGAATGACCTACTCCTGCCGGAGTGTCCACATGCCCTTCACGCGAGATGGCTTGTGACCTATTCGTAGCAAAAGAAACTTGCGACGCAGTGTAACCTGGGAATTAAGAAATTGATCATCAGGGTCAAGCTAACTCTGAGACATCACAAGTCCTCGACCCTCGAGCTGAGACCCTGCCGATGCCAACCCGATCTATACCCATACCAGAAATCTCCTTCCGACGGAGCAAGTTCGGAATGCGGTGCGTTATTTTATTTAGTCACAGAACGGATTTAGGCCGTTACCCATGGTCGGAGAAAAAAAAGACAAAAGAAAATTGCTGAAGAAAATCCCTGCCATTGTGGGAATAGCACAAAACTCGGCTAGCCCGACACAATAGTATTGTTAACGAAATACCAGCGATAACTTTCCAATCTTACTGTCCGTATCATACGTTAAATACATTCCATACCGGCATGGTGAACTCGGAGTTTGAGAATTACACCAAGCCGTAACTTGCAGGAATCAGCACCGCCACCACGCCGGACTTAGGGTTACGGATCGAGCCTCGGAGATGTTACCATGCTCCAGCTTGAATTCTCCATAGGGAAGCCGAGGTTGGCTAACACTGTTAGTCCAACAGTACCTGTCCGTGGCTCCCGAAGATTGTCCAGAATGCGTCGGTTGCCAATGATGTAGGTTGAAGAGATGGAGGTGCCTGCAAGGGTCTTGGTGTGACTTGGGGTCCATTATGAAATCCCCTGCATTGTGAGGAAAGAATTGAACGATTGAAATAAGCGATACTTTCTGAACTTGCAGCTTTTCACTTCCACTCCCTCCATTCCTATCCCATAGTCCCATTTTTGTTGGCATATCTTTCTTGCTTCTCAAAATATGGCGTTCCCTTTTGAGACCAAGCTCCCTTGGATTCGATTGCCCGAACCCTACAAGACCACCTATGACCTCCAAGTCATCTCAGTCCAACATGGCATCCGGCAGTTCCAGCTTCGTCGGTCCCCTCGATCGGACGAGGGCATGCCACCCCCCGAGCCCCTGCACCATGACTCCCTCAAGTTCACCGACCTCAGCCGTCCGGATGCGACTAACACGCCGCCCGAGGGCAACAACTCCGCGTGGGCGCGAGCACAGAGAAGCCCTGTGACGCATTGGACATGGGATGGACAATATACTCCAACGGTCGGGCAGATCTGGAATGTCATCTATGCGCTGTTGACATTGCAGTCCGACTTCGAGATCTTCCGCGTGGTGCTGGCCGGCGAGGGGAAGGATATCCTGGCACGCGAATTGCAGGCTGTCGGGCTTGCCATCCAGCATCCCAGCCCGTCGGCGCCTCCAGGCCAACCGACACCACACTCCCCCGACCTGTCGAGCCAATTGGTCGTGTATCGCAGCACATTCTGGCAGGGAGCCGGTTCTCCCTTCGGGCCTCGGCCGGTGTGGGTGGCAGACAGTGACGCCTACAGTTCGCTGCGTCGCCCTCTGACGGCGTACCCGTTGCACCCTGTCCAGCATGTCCTGACCAGCAAGTTCCCTGAAGTTCGCGTGCATGCCATCCACCCGGTTCGACCGTGCAAGCCTACCCCGGGATCGAGGATTTACAGCCGCTACATCCCCCACCTCGACGAGTTCTTCTCCATCTGGGCCCTGGACTACACCAACGACGAGCACCTGAAGCTGTTCAATAAGTGGCAGAACGACCCCCGCGTCGCGAAGGCATGGAAGGAGACTGGCACTCTCGAACAGCACCGCGAATACCTGCGCAAAGTCCACGAAGACCCGCACCAGGTTGCCGTGCTCGCCAAATTCAACGACACCTTCTTCTCCTACCACGAGATTTACTGGGCCAAGGTAAGCAAGCCCGCCCGCGCGCATCTCTCCGGTTAATCTTCGCGTCCTTTTTTTTTTTTTTTCTCTCCCAAACCTACCTGCCCCTTTCGGTAGCCCCGGACTAACACCGCGCCTTTTCTCCAGGAGGACCACCTCGGCGCACACTATAACGCCGACGACTGGGACCGCGGTCGCCATTCGCTCGTCGGAGATACCCGCTTCCGTGGCCAACACCGCGTCATGGTGTGGTGGTGCAGTCTGATGCATTATATGTTCCTCGACGATCCGCGCACCAAGAGCATTGTCGGCGAGCCCCAATTCAGCAACCTGACGCCGCTCGCCTATGACCACGCGACCGGCTTCAATCTCGAGAAGATCGTCGACCTGCCGCACAAACGCTCCGGGCTGGTCAAGTGCCGTCGCGAGAAGTTCTTCCACATCTCCCCCTTCCGCTTCAATGGCTCCGATCAGCTTGAGCGCGACCCGTTCCGTGCGCTGAAGTTGTAGATTTTTCTCCCATTGCAATCATGAGGATGGGGTGTGGTTCTCTCGGTCGGGGTCGGGGCCGGGTGTGGGACTGGGTGTAAAAGATTTCCCTAGTTGGGATTGGGTTTCCATGTCGATAATACCTAGACGGAGGGGGGGGGTCCTTTTTTTCTTTGCGATTATTATTAGCGAAATGAATTTTTCTTTTTCCTGTTTTCCTTTTTTCATGCAGTAAATCGACCGAGTTAACCCGAGCGCAAAATGTCTCCAATCTGGAATTTATGAAAAGCGGGGCGTGTGCATTCCGGCCTGCCTCTCTTTTTTATTGCGCCTCTCCATAACGGAGTCGTTTCCTCGCACTAAGAAGAGGGGTTGGTTGCGTTCGGGGACTTGGACTGCTCTGGGCCAAGACCAAGAGAAGGAGAAAAAAAAAAAAAAAAAAAAAAAAAAAAAAAGCCTCAAGCCACACAGGGCTCGGGAATCCAAATCCAAAGGATGAAGGAGGGGAGGCACTTAGCGCAGTGCCAATGCTCGGCTCGACTTATCTGATTTTGACTTTCCGGCGCTGCTGAAGGTCTCCGACAGTCTCGAACGTATCGTACAGTCTTCGCTGTATGTACGCAGTATGTAAACCCGTAAATATGTAAGGCACCAAGAGCCAAGGGACCCATAAAAGTACTGCGAGGTGAGTTAGTGAGTTAGTGTAAGATATTCGCGTGCCGAAACCGGACGGCCGATTTCGCGTTGACAATTTTTTTAATCAATTCTTTTCTCTCGTCTGGGTCTTCCGTGTTTCTTCACACGGGTTGTTTTCTTGACGGGTTGCTAAGGCCCGCACTGTCGTCAGGGGAGTCTTGGCTGGTGGGGAAGACCGTCGAATCTTGCCGTGGCATCCGTGCAATCAGAGGATTCCATCTGATAAGATGATTATCTAATCTGATTGATAGTCGTCATCGGCCAAGGCTTTTTTTTTTTTTTCTTGTCTCTTGACATGAGGGTGTATGCTGCGCTCGCGAGGAAAGTGGGAGCGTAGAATGGGTTTGCCATGGCCAATGGCTTGAGCCTGGAAATGATGTGAAATTGATATCTGTGGCAGTGGTTTTGCGCAGAAAATTGACGATCCAAACGTAGTAGGAAGAGCATGTAAAATGAACAGACAGTCGTATTCGTGCGTGTGCGGTCAAATCCAACGAACAAATAAACAGTCGCACAGGGTATTGATCTAGGTATGTACAGGTCTTCTATATGGGAATTCAAAGGCGCGGGCCTAAAAAAGCCGCAATCGGATATAGCCTTTTCAGCTTGCGTCGACACTTGCGTTGACGCGCCGCTCAAGAACCTTTGCAGCAATCTTGCGCAAATCCACTTTCCGAACCTTCCCGCTCCCCGTAACAGGGACGGTCTTATCCACGCCTTCCTCACCGAAGACAAACACATGCTGCGGCGCCTTATGGCGGCCCAGCGTCTCGCGTGTCCAATTCCGCAATTCATCGACAGACGGCCTCGAGCCCTCGTGGCCCGGCGCCACGGCGATAAACGCTCCAACGACCTCGCCGTATTTCTGGTCAGGAATGCCGATCACGGAGGCCACTTCGATGGCTGGATGCGAGGCCAGCCGCTCTTCAATCTCTAACGGGTAGATGTTTTCCCCACCTGTGGTAACGACGGTTACAGTGTCAGTCAATACGGTTCCAGACCACGTTTCTCAGGTATCGTGAGGAGTTATGCAAAAGGTTGGGGTTCTTGGCTGCTTACCGCGTATGATTATGTCTTTGAATCGCCCGGTAATGCTGCAACGGCCCTGTGGATCGAATAGGGCCTCGTCACCGGTCTTGAGCCACGTGGTACCCGCCTCGTCGGTGGTGAACGTCTCGGCCGTCTTTTCTGGATTGTTCCAGTATCCTTTCGTCAATTGGTAGCCGGCGATGCAGAGCTCCCCACGCTCCCCGACGGGAACAATGTGGCCTTGTGTGTCGATGATTTTGGCCCGCGCGTGGGGCATGACCTTGCCAACGGTTCGGAGTCGGGTTTCGATGCTGTCCGTGGTGACTGCGTTAAAGCATGTTGGCGATGCTTCGGTAAGACCTGTTTTAAGAGTGCCCATGGTCAGTCAGGTTTTGTGGTGGTTTGAGCTTATGTGCGACATACCGTAGCTGCTTGTGTATTGGGTCATGTTAAGTTCTTCAAAGAGTCGCTTCATCAATGGACGAGGGACAGGTGCTCCGGCGATAATTCCCGTGCGCAGGTTACGGGTATCGAAGTTCGGGGGCTTGGGGAGGCTCAGGATCGCTTCGAACATGGTCGGCACGCCGTGGAGAGCTGTACACTTCTCATCCGAGATCGCGTGGAGAACGGCCTGGGGATCGAAGGTTTCACCGGGGAAGACGATCTTCGACCCATGAGTAACAACAGCCAACATGCCCAGCACCAGTCCAAAGCAATGGAACAAGGGCGGAGGGCAGCATAGAATATCGAAAGACGTAAGACTCATACGGTCACCGATGAAGCGTGAGTTGTTCACCAGGTTGCTATAAAGCGAGAAGCCGTTAGCGTTTTGAAAATTACCAGGCCGCGTGGCCCTGGTCGAAGAGCGCTGTTCCATATGAAGGGCTTGCGTACTGGTGCGTCAACATGGCGGCCTTGGGGTTTCCCGTCGAGCCGCTGGTAAACTGCAGGTTGCAGACATCGTCGGGAGTCAACTCAGCCTGTCGATCCAACAATGCATTCGTAGAGAGAGGCAAGCCACGCTGAACAAGGCCATCGTAGGTTCCAAAGTTCTGGTATGCTCCCCGCAGAATGACGATCTCCTCCAGTGCAGTCGATGATCCTTTCCGCTTGGGTTGAGGGCCCAATTTTGCCAGAACATCTTCCAGCGAATGTCGACCAATGCGGGGTGTCAGGAATAATAATCGACAGTCTGAATGTAGATAACGTTAGGTTAAGCTTCTTGGGGATCATCAGGCATGCACCTACCGGTATGGTCCAAGGCGTAGTATAACTCCGAGGGGGTGTATGTGTTGTTGAGCACCACCAGGATGGCCCCAACGCGGGCAGCAGCAAAGAAGACCGAAATATATTGTTCGCAGTTACCGGCCATAATGCCTATCCGATCGCCTTTCTGAATTCCCATCGCCAGCAGACCGCGGGCCACCCTGTCCGCCTCGTCACTCAAATCCGCGTAAGTCCATCGAGCACCTGTCCAGGGGAACACCAAGCACTCGTAGTCACCATATCGGATACTTTGGAGGGTTAGAAGCTCTCCGAGCGTAATATCTAGAAGCGCTGGTTGTGTAGGACCATAAACAATCGAAAGTTGTTCCTTTGGCTGTGCTGGTTGAACATGGGAGATAGTCTGCTGCAAACGCCGTACAGCCGCCATTGTGTAGGTTGTCGCTCACAGTATATAGGAGGGAAAAATAAAATATGACTGAAGGATTGCACCGGCCAAGGCTGGAATCAGCTAGTAGATAAAGAAACGATCAGTCTTTAATCTAAGACATACCTCGGAACTAAGCCATGCTTCCGAGCCTCCAGCCCTAGGATCAGTCCATGACTCCTTCTGTTCGGCATTCGGTACCCAAACGAGCAACGGGGCCTATGATGGAGACATTCCGCTGCCTTCAACCACCCTCCTCCCCACTCACCGCTGACCCGGTAATTTGCCAGTCTTCAGACCAAACTGAGTTCTTGAACTGTTACATCACTGGAATCCATTCGACTTCGGTTAGAATTCAGGTCGAGAGGGGGTGAAAGAATCAGATAACGACCCATGTCGGAGCCAGACCATGGTTCGCCCCCCGATGCCTCTTGGCGGCTTAGACTTCCCCACCGAAGCGCCAATGGTATTCAGGATTTCGACATGCACGCACGCCTCGGATACTAAAGGAAGACTGGCGATGTCCTGTGGCGTTGCATTAGAGCTCGCGGATCCCATCAGATAACCAATTGTGGGCTCAGGACCTCGGGACCGGAAATTATTCAAGCACACCACTGGCGGTGCCTCCCAGGCTTGTCCGGCCTGAACCTGGCAGTCCAGAACGGGCTAGTGGAACGCAATTCTATATTACCTGCACTACATTATTCATAATCTGCTCATGCAGAATGTTGAATTCGGCATGGGGCCGTCAAGTGGTTGCCACTTAACAAGTGCTCACGATGCAAACGGTAAAACGGACGGAGGCACGCGGAAAGGGGCTATGGAGCCGGTTACATCCTAGGAGCTAGGATACCTCCACGGGAAAAGACCATGGTCTAACTGAAAAATGTATTGCCTGCCCTGTCTATGGGGTTGGGTTTTAGAAAATGAAGGATAAAATTTCCGCAAGGGATTTTTCAAAATATACATGAACCACTGCTTAGGCCATACTTTACGATGCATAATGTGAAGGAAGGGGTTTCCCTGCATAACGCTTTGGCCTAAGTTCTGCTTCAATTCTTAGACCCTCGCCGTGTTCCTTCTCCGTGCTCATTGCTCCTCGACCCGAAGTACATGCGGGAGCCGAGAAGCCAAGGCAGCAACCAATTCCAACGGAATGCACGATACAACTCCGTAGTACACATGGTGGACCATCGACGGTGCAGTCCGACATTACTGCTACGGGCGATTTTCCAGGTAAAAGTGGGTGCTCTATCTGTCACTCGGGGTCGGTGCGGATTACTGCAAGCTACAAGGATCGGCTTAGATATATGGCTTGGCAAACCAAGGGATTGGGATCCCGGCGTGTCGGCGACTTATGGCATCGATCTTATAGACTTGTAGGCATGGGCTCTGGTAAACGGGTCGCGGAGGGGTACCAATTTCAGGATTCAACTCCATGGTGAAAGGAATGTCTCAGCGCTCCACTACGGATCAGATAATTTTGTGGTGATCTGAAAGCGGGATTCCCTTCAAAAAACTTGTTATCAATCTGTTCCGGGATTTAGTTGCTCATCGATACTACGGGTTTGCACCCGAAGCCCTGACAATTCTCCAAGAACTCCAACCGGTGGCGAAGTGAGACATGCTCCGTAGTATGGAGTTTGTGGAGTCTTGCAAGTCGCCAGCTGGTTCAGGATTCAGCGGACGAAACCCGACAAAGACGGAGGCTATTGTAGGCAAAAGGCTCACCCGAAGACGCTTGCATAGCCAAGAATGGCGCCGTCCACGAATTTAATCTATGGCTGGCTTAGTATTCTGGGCATTTATCGTAGGTGTTGCCGAAAAGAATTCGTGCCTCGGGTAATCTGGTTATGGATGGGGATTATGGTTGGTAGTAGATTTATGTGAAGGAAGGGCTTGGGACAGTGAAAAAAAAATGAAGGCAAGAAAAAGAAAAGAAAAAAAAAATGAAATAAAATCAAAGAATAAAAGGACCCTCACGAATGATTCATGGAAAGGGACTCCCGATGTGTCGGTTACAACCGCAAGCAACGCGATCGATATTCCGCCGTTCTGTCATTTGAAAATAACCAGCCCCGAGAGTATTTTTGCCGGTCAGGATTCGGAGCGCGAAACGGACCGAAATACGATACCGTCAGGAGGGCGTACGGTAGCCGCGGTACACGTTATGACGGTATCAATCTAATCAGATGATCTAATCAGATAAAACGTGGCCGAAGACCGGAGAAATGAGAGGCCGGAGCGCCCCACTTCGTACCCGACGGTCCTGGAAGTCGTCTGACTCCTGATTCGCGGCTCCCGCGCGCGCTACAGAGACACTGTGAAAACCTGCCAACCGCACATCACAATCACTAGCATTTTCTTACTACCGCGGTAGCTCAGGTGTTCTGCTCCACCGTGCCACCCTGTGTCCAATGACTCTGCTATGGGACCTTCGGGGTCCACCTCGAATGACGATGACTGGATCGTCTCGGCACGCCCATCGTTGAAGAAAAAGGCGTGGGTTTGCGCGCCCCTGCAGAAAGATCTTTAATCTTCAGCATTTCTCTCCTCCTCCGTCGACAGCGACGTCCATTCCTTTTTGACTACGTTCAGGCGCAGAACGCTGCTGTTGAGCACGACGACTTCGCTGTCTCCGGTACGTGACCCCGCAGTAATCCATGACTAAACCGATGGCAGGCACAATTCCGAGCAATGAGGGGCACCGAAGCTCCGCGGCCTTGGTGAGCCCGAATTCGCAGCCACAAGCCAACGGCGCCCAGCATGCAGACATTCTCCCTGTGACTAAATTCCCGGCCCTGGATACTATCGATCCCTATGCCGTGGACAGATCGCTGGGTGATGTGGTGGCGAATAGTCCCTTGGCGGAGCTTCTCTGCAGCGCAGACGGCCAGGATGTCGCCAACGACCTCATCCAGGGATACGCCCGCTTTATTTCGAATTTCACCGGGCTCGAGGACGTCGCGTACCTTCTCTCCCGTTATCCGACCCTGGAAGCGGTGTCGGAGCCCGTGCGCGACGTGGTTTGTGCCTCTGTGTTTTGGTCAGAGTCGGCCCAGCGACCGGGCGACCTGAGTACCTGCACAATTCGCCACGTCGATGAGAGACTTTACAACAAGGATGAAATCCAGTTCTCTTTGGACTTGGGAGCCAATTCCGAACCTGAGAATGGCGAGAAGAACCTCTCTAGTGTCCAAGAAAATGTTGGTATCTCCTGCGCCGCACCTGGCACAACCTCACTGACCCGTAATAGCATTTCAAACTGCGCATTAAACCCACTACCAACAACAGCGCGCTCGCTATCAGTTTCACCTACCCGAAGCGACTTATCCCCGACCAAGCAGTACAGCAGGTGTTGAACGCACTGGCAGCTTGCCTGGCGAGCTCTTCAACATTCCTCTCACTCGAGACGCCCCAACCCGAGCTATCGATAATTAATTTCCCATCTCTTACGATACCCCCATCAATAGATTCTGAACAGAATGGGGATGCTGGGCCCAGCAGCTCCCAGCGATCCCTTCTTCATGCCGCTTTCGAGGGCTGGGCCCGTAGAAAGCCTAATGCCATCGCACTCGACTTTGTGCACTCCTTACCCTCGTCGACATCCGATGCGGAACACAGTATTCTTACATACGCTGCTTTGGATAACGCTGCTTCCAAACTGGCTACCCATATCAGAGCCTGTCTGGCCAGTAGCAACTCCGCAGACTATGGACGCATTATTCCTGTTTATATGACAACATCCCCCGAGCTCTATATCTCGTATCTTGGTATCCTCAAGGCGGGTTGCGCATTCTCCCCGATCCCCCAGGATGCGCCTGCTCAGAGAGTGCTGGAAATTCTCGAAGACATTAACTCTCCAATCATCCTTGGAAACAGCCCTGAGCCCTCCTCTTGCCCTTGGCAAGCCGACGCAAATCAGGAGGTGCAATACTCCTGGGTTGATGTGGCGGAGGTGACCGGGTGGAAGCAGTTGCGTGGTGATCAGGTTCTGACGCCCGCTTCAGATGACCAGCTACGCGAATTGGATATTCAGAGCGATCAGACTGCTTATCTTCTGTTTACCAGTGGCTCGACCGGAAAGCCCAAAGGTGTCCAAGTCAGCCACTTGGCCGGGGCCTGCTCTATTCACTCCCACGCCACAACTATTCCTCTCCCTGGAAACGCCATCGGAGACTTCAGATGGTTCCAATTCGCGTCTCCGACCTTCGACCCGTCGCTCATGGAGATCTTTGTGACCTTGAGCTGCGGTGCAACTCTTTGCTCTGCAGACCGCAGCCTGACGTTGACAGACCTGGAAACAACGATCAGCGAGGCAAGAGCTACGGTCATGATGGCAACACCCAGTTTGGCTGCACTTCTTAGGCCATCCCGCCTGACGACCCTTGAATCACTCTGGACGATGGGTGAGAAACTCAACCGAACGGTGATTGAGAATTTCGCAGCTCAGCCCAATCCCGATGGTGCTTCGAGAATGCTGGTCAACGCCTACGGGCCTACCGAGGGAGCCATCAATTGCACCTTCCTTGCTCCGTTCGGCTACTCCATCCGTGGCTCTATCATCGGCAAGGAGCTGCCCACCTGCGCTATGTTTGTTTTGGATCCCAACAGCCACGAACCCAAGGCTGTTCCGGCGGGTCTCACCGGTGAACTAGCGATAGGAGGGCCTCAAGTTAGCAAGGGCTACTTGAATCGGCCAAAGGAGACCGCTAAGTCCTTTGTTCACAGCTCCGAGTTTGGCTACCTCTATCGCACCGGTGACATGGCTCGTATTGTCTGGGATGAAACCGGCTCGCAGGTCATTGAATTCCTGGGCCGTATCACCTCTGACCAGGTGAAAATCAGCGGTCGGCGCCTCGAACTCAGTGAAGTGGAATCGGTTGTTGCGACGGTTGCAGATGTTACAGAAATTGTCACGGTGGTGTCCAAGCGGGACAACAACGTACAAGGCAGCGAGCAGATCGTTGCATGCCTGGTCGCACCTGGCGCTAGCGAGGCGAAAAAACAAGACATCTTGCGCGAAGCGCAAGAAACAGCGCAGCGGCATCTGTCCTCCTATATGTGCCCGTCCGCCTACACCTTTTTCGATTCACTTCCCAGATCTAGCTCCGGCAAGGTCGATCGCAAGGCAATCGCCGCCAAGCTGCAGCAAGGTGAACAGAGCGGCCTCCAAATTTACGGTTCCCCGAAATCTGCACTGTCGAACGGCACGTCAGACGACTGGGAAGCAACAGATAACCAAGACGTCACGTCGACACAGGATCTTGTGATTCAGCTTATTTCGGAGACGACCGAAGAAGACAGCTCCAATGTCAAGGCTGGAGCTGACCTCTACTCTCTTGGGATCGATAGTCTTGGAGCCATGAGACTGCTGCAGAAGCTTAGAGATCATTCCATCGAGGGCTTAGCAGTTGCCGATGTCCTGCAATCGGGGACTCCAAAGGGACTGGTGTCGATTATCCTTGAGCGCCGTCAACTAAACGGAAATGCTTCGGCCAATGGTATTCAATCCGCCGATCAGACCCTTCGTGAGAACTTGCAATCCTTCTCGGACCGGAATATCCAGACATGTGCAGAGCGTCTTGGTTTGACACCAGAGAATATCCAAAGTGTCTTACCCACCACGGCAACACAGTCTGGTATGCTGGCAAGCTTTTTGCGTAGCTCCGCTGATAAGTCCTTCGCAACTCGATCTTATATTTACCACTCCGTTCTCCCCCTTGAGCCAGAGATTGACATTGAGCGCATTAAGACCGCATGGCAAACTACAGTTGCTAATTATGACTCTTTCCGAACCGTCTTCTGCTGGCTTGATGACGACATGGCTCCATTCGCTCAGTGCCTCCTTGATAACCAGGCGGTACCTGAATCGGATTGGAGTGTTTATGATGCCCCTGCCGTTGCAAGTTCAGGTGAAGAAGAAATATTGAACAAGGCGTTGCGAAATGCAGAGGACACCATCAATTTAAGCACGCCACCTTGGAAGCTGTCTTTGGTTAAGTCAGCAGACCGAACACTCATTATACTGAGTATGTTCCACGGAATCTTTGACGGAGGCTCACTGGAGCTTCTCCTTGAGGACGTTTCTTCCGTTTATGCCGGCAAGCAGGTGGCCAAGCGGACGTCACTTGAGCACATTGTCAAGCACCACTTTAGCGCCGACCATGACGCGACCTCTCAGTTTTGGTCGAACCATCTTGACCAGTACTCGCCCGTCGTATTTCCGTCAGTCACTCCCTATCGAGCTCTGTCAACCAAGACAACAGATCGGGTGGAAATCGTTGCCTCCACAAGTTGCGACGACCTGAAGAAACAATCCAAGAGCATCGGCTCGACTCCTCTGGCCGTACTTCAAGCTGCTTGGGGCTCGGTCTTGCTTGCTTACACAGGTACTCCTGACCAGGATGTCGTCATGGGTAGCGTTGTGTCTGGGCGACTTGATCCAGAGTCGGAAATCTGCATCGGCCCTACCTTCACAACTGTTCCTATTCGCTTGGCCGTCAACCAAGTCAAGCAGGAGTCTCAAGGAGTCTGGACAAATAAATCGGTCACTCGCCACCTAACGGCGTTGAATGCGCAAACACTATCGCACCTCCAACCTCGTTTGGGCTCACTAGTGACAGCCGATGGCCGCCTTCCATACGACACACTCTTGGCCTACCAAGATTTCAACGCTGGATCCAGTTCAAGTGGGATCTGGAGTTCTATCGACCACCCACCGATGGCCAACGACTTTGCGGTAATGATCGAGGTTTGGCCCGGTGCCGACTCCTCTTTGACCTTCCGTGCTAGCTTCAACGATGCCCATCTTGATTCGAAGGCAGCCGAAGCCATGTTGAAGTCGATGGCCGATATTGTGGCATACATTCTTGGAAGTCCAGATGGGAACTACCAGGATGCATCGTCGCACACTCAGCCTGAACTCAAGTCCTCGTTCAACCCCGGTGCCAAGGTTGTTGATGAAGTATTAGAAGGTGCCTTGATCCATACTAGATTCGAAGATCATGCGGAATCTCACCCCGATGATCTGGCCTTGATTTTCAAGGGTGATTTGGATGATGAACACAGCCCTCTTAACATAACGTGGACTTATGCTCAGCTTAACGCGATTGCCGACGACCTCGCAGAGCATCTTCTTCAAGCTTATGGCCCTCTGACGAACACACCGGTGCCTATCTGCATCGAGAAAAGCCCTGCGTTGTACGTGGCCATTCTGGGAATTTTGAAAGCGGGAGGAGCTTGGTGCCCCATTGACACCCTTTCCCCTGCGCAACGTCGCCATGACCTTATAGCACGAACTGACTCTAAGGTCCTTCTGGTCTCCTCCAACGATGGTGCACAGCCCGAAGGCTGCATTCCCGCCGGTGTTGACGTGGTGGATGTTCACCAATTTAGCCAAAAGAGCCCTTCTGAAGCCAATGGACTGAAGCGAAACAACACGAAGCAAAGAAGCAACCCAGATAGTATGGCATATCTGATCTGGACCAGCGGTACAACAGGAGCACCAAAGGGCGTGCCGATCAAGCATTCCGCTGCCGTTTCAAGTATGAAATCTCTATTCAAAGACATTCCGCAAAACGCCGATGGTAGCACCGTTCGATGTATGCAGTTCTCGCAGTACACCTTTGATGTGTCCATCCAGGACTTCTTCTACACCTGGGGCTTGGGAGGTGTTCTGATCTCTGCCTCGAGAGAAATCATGCTGGGATCATTCCCCAAGCTTGCGAACTTAACGAAAGCGACACATGCTCATCTCACCCCCGCGTTCTCAGCTGGTATACCTAGGAAGAGCTGCGAGACACTCAAGGTCATCACAATGATTGGTGAAAAATTGACCCAACCTGTTGCCGACGACTGGGGTACCGATATGCGAGCTTTCAACACGTACGGTCCAGCCGAAGTCACTATTGTCTCCACTGTCAGAGAATTTGGAAACGAGCACAAGAATGTTAAGAGTGCAAACATCGGATGGCCGATGGACACAGTTTCTGTATTTGTGACCAAGAACCAGCGGATGGTGATGAAGAATGCGGTGGGAGAGCTGGCCTTGGGCGGGCCGCAGCTTTCCCCTGGTTATCTCAACCAAGACGATGTCACCAAAGCCAAGTACGTCTGGAACGAGGAAGCCGGACAAATTTTGTATTACACCGGTGATTTGGTTCGCATGCTTGCGGATGGTTCCCTTGAGTATATCAACCGTGTCGATGATCTGGTCAAACTTGGTGGTATTCGAGTTGAGCTGAGTGAGATCAGCTTCTCTCTCGGCGACTGCCACCCTCTTATCGAGAATATCGAGACACTCATTCTCAGCCGTCCCGATAGGCCTTCCAAGGTGGTTGTTTCTTTCCTCTCTGCGCCAGGTGCTGCAGGCCCTGAAGACGAAGGGCAGCTTCTTATTCTGAACGACAAATCCCTCGAGGTTGCTCGCTCTGCTAGTGACCAGGCACAGGCTACCTTGCCAGACCACATGATTCCTTCCGTTTATCTAGTGGTAAAGAACATCCCGAGAACTCCATCCGCTAAGACCGATCGTCGGGCACTCCAAACAGCATATGCCGAAGTTGACATTGACAAATGGGACGGCGACCTGAATCCCGAAAACGGTGCTATTGATCAGTCATCTGAAGATCCGGCCGACGCGGCAGCAGCAGCAAACATTGTTAACATGATAGCATTGCTCGCTGATATCTCACCATCCATTATTACGAAGGCTAGTCGGTTGGGCAGCTTGGGTATTGATTCTATCCGTGCCATTCGTCTCGCTTCCAGATTGAAGGAAGCCGGCCACCAGATCTCGGTTGTGGAGGTTCTTAACTGTGTCACTGTTCAAGATCTTATCAAATTGGCCTCTACTGCCGATGCATCTAAGGCTACCCAAGAGACATTTGATCTGAATGCCTTCAATAGTGCCTGGCACGACGTGGTTTCTGCCAAGGTGCAGGACGAATTTTCCACTGTGCGAGCAACCACTATCCAAGAGAGTCTGCTCAGTGAGACTATGGGAACATACAACATGTACTGGAGCAACCATTTCTTCTCTCTCGATCAGTCCCTGGATATCAACAGACTTAAGCAAGCCTGGTTTTCTGTTTGCCAAAAGACCGAGGCATTGAGAACTGGATTTATTCCTGTGGCTGAAGTTGATATTGGCGCTAAACAACAGAATTCCGACTTCTCCATGTTGCAATTGATGTACAAGCTCCCCGATGTTGACTGGCAACATCTCGAATGCAACGAGCAAAATTGGGTCGAGCTGCGGGACACCCGTATTGAACAACTTATGCAAAAGCACCAGAGCAACTACTTCAAGAGTCCCCCATGGGCTGTGACTGTACTCGACAAAGGAGATGAAAGAACCATGTTCCTGACGATACACCATTCCATTCATGACGGGCCTTCGCTTGGTCTGATCATGGATGACGTACGTTCAGCCTACGCCTATAAGCCACCTTCGAGACACCAGCTCAGTGACGCTCTTTCCATCACTCTTCCCACAGAGCAGAAAAGCAAAGACACTCGCAGCTTCTGGGCATCCGAATTAGAAAAGTTCTCTGGGTTGGAAGTGCCAGTGTGGCCTGATCTTACTGGAATCAGACTACAGCCAGGCGAGGTCCAGGAACACAGATTCATTGCAGAAGAATGTGTGCTTTCAGAGCCCGTCTCAAAGCTACAAGCTGCCGCTGCTCAACTGGGCGTGTCGTCCATTGCTTCCATCATCAGAGCAGCATGGGGATTTGTCTCTGTCGGCTACCTGAGCATCCCGGCTACTGTCTTTGCAGAGACCCTCTCCGACCGTGTTCTCCATGCCGATCTCGAAGACAATGTTGGTCCATTGATATCTGTTGTGCCGATCCCCTTCCACCCTCAAGGAACTGTACGAGAGCTCCTGGCCGAACAGCACCGACTTTCCGTTCAATCATGGAAGCACCGCCACATCCACGCTCGCGACGTTCGCAAAATGCTCAACCGTCCCCGAGGAGAGCCTTTGTACCCAGCAGTCTTCAATTTCCACGTGGCAGGCGACGAAACCAAGAGCTCGCAGCCCCAGACCTGGCAAGAGCTTGAGGATCAAATTGGCTTGCATGTCGAGCACCCCATGGCCATGAATGTTTTCCAGCGTGCAGATGGTTCTCTTGTCTTAGAAGCATCTTCAGACATTGCTCTGATGAACAAGCATCAGTTGTCACTCTTCGTCCGTCAAATCGATGCTCTGGTTAGCGCGATGCTTCAGTTCCCTGATGAGCAGGTGTCAAACCTTGGCAACCATGTTACGGCAAACCTGCGCTCTGTGTCTAATCGGCCGGTCACTGACCTGGTGGCAAACTCGATCTATACCAGCCCGACGTATTGGTTGGAGCTCAATGCCAGAGAACACCCAGAGTGGACCGCCGTTGAGGTGGCCACTAACATAGCTCCGAGCGGTATCGAGAAGGAGATCATGACATACGGCACGCTGAACGCTGAGGCTAACCGCGTTGCCGCTTTCATTGCCTCGTTCGGTCACAAGAACAGAATGATTGCGGTCTGCTGTGGACGCAACATTCCCTCATACCCCGTCATCATCGGTATCTTCAAATCCGGAAATACCTATCTGCCCATTGATGAAGGTCTTCCGGCTGATCGAAAGGCCTTTTTGATCGAGGATGGTGATTGCCCTCTTGTTTTCACCGAATCAACGTTCTCGGCGTCGTTTTCCCGCATCCCTGAAACTTGTCAGATCTACCGTACGGACGATCCGGAATACCAAAAGTTGGTAGCGCCAATGCCCGCTGAGGATCGCGACTACCAATCCCATCCGGATGATCTGTCGTACCTTTTGTTTACCTCTGGGTCTACGGGCAAGCCTAAAGGCGTCATGGTCACCAGGGCCAATCTTTCTTCATTCATCGAGTCATTCACAGACTTCATTGTTAAGGCTGCACCCAGAACGCTTACACTGGGTGGCACTGGCAGACATCTTGCACAAGCTAGCCGGGCCTTCGATCCTCACCTGGTGGAGATGTTCTTCCCCTGGCGCCAGGGAATGGCCACTGTGACAGCTCCCCGAACCATGATCCTCGACGATCTGCAGGTGACTCTTGGAAAATGGGAAATCACCCACGCAAGTTTTGTTCCTTCCCTGGTTGATCAGGCAAACATCCTCCCAGAGCATTGTCCTAAGTTGGTGTACATGAGTGTTGGAGGTGAAAAGATCTCTCAAAAGGTATTGGATGCGTGGGCCACTTCACATATCGCCCTGGCCAACGCGTACGGCCCAACTGAGGTGACTATCGGCTGCACATTCGCCCACGTGGGCCGTGACACCAACTTGCGAAACATCGGACCTCCGTTGACGGCCTGTGTTTGCCATGTTTTTGTCCCTGGTACTCAGACGTATGCGCTCAAGGGTCAAACTGGTGAGCTTTGCTTTACTGGTGATCTCGTCGCCAAGGGATACCTCAACAGACCAGATGCAACAGGCTTCACCACCGGTCCGAACGGCGAAAGAATGTATCGAACCGGTGATATTGGACGATTGATGTTTGATGATTCGGTGGAATACCTCGGTCGTGGTGATGACCAGACCAAGATTCGTGGACAAAGATTGGAACTTGGCGAAGTTTCCGAAGTACTTCGATCATCCTCCACTGTTGGAGTCGATGTCGTTACAAGTGTGGCTAAGCATCCTGGTCTAAGCAGAGTACAGCTCATCTCCTTCATTGCACGATCGGACGCTCGTCAACGTCAAAAGGGCGGCGAAGTCGCGTTCGTTCAATCTGATTTCGCAACACTGGGCAAGGAATTGCAGGAAATCTGCAAGAAGAAGTTGCCGGGATACATGGTCCCCGAACTGATCTTGCCCATAACATATATTCCACTGGCACCAATGTCTGGAAAGGCCAACTTGAAGGACCTGCATGCATTGTTCTTCGGTCTCCCCCTTGCTGCTGTGCTTCAAGGAAACAACGCAGGAAGCATCGACGGCACAGCCAACACTCGACCCCTCACTGCCGACGAAGAGGCCGTGGTCAAGGAAATATGCTCCGTTATTTCCATTGACTCCTCGGCCATTGGACCTCTGACAAACATCTTCGAAGTTGGCCTCGACAGTCTAAGCGCCATAGGCCTATCTATCAAGCTGCGGAAAATCGGATACGCCGCCACTGTTGCCCTCGTAATGAGTAACCCCGTCATCGAGCAACTCGCCCATTTACCCAGAACCTCCTCTTCGTCTAACTCAGAGGCTGTTGTGTCCAAGCTGCGTCAAAACCTCGCAGATATGGAATCATCGTACCGCCAGAACGCTCCGACGGGTGTAGAACTGTCAACTGTGGCATCTATCAGACCTTGTCTGCCACTTCAGGAGGGACTTGTGGCACGCTCGATCAACAACGAAGGCGATCAGCTCTACATCAACCACATTGTTCTTCGGCTTGAAGATAATGTTGACACTGCCCAGCTGAGGTCCGCATGGCAAACTGTCGCCAGGGACAATGAGATCATGAGAACTTCATTCTCTCCTCTGGAGAAAGAGGTTGTTCAGGTGGTGTTCTCAGCCGACTCTCATGAAGTCCGTTGGGAAGAAGACACGTATGAGAGCTTGGATGAATCCACCGAGAAGCTCAGAGTACAGCAAGCACAGATTTCCCGTGACATTATCACGAATATCTCTACGGTTCCCCCAGTGCGATTCCATCTGGCCAAGTCTTCAAGTACTAACCAGCCATTGGCCCTCTTCATTTCCATTCACCACGCTCTTTACGATGGTGAATCCTTCTCGATGTTGCTAGAGGACGTCGCAGCACAATACGTCAAGGCCCCCGTTCCGCAGAGAGGTGCACCAGCGGCGTTCATCGAGCACGTCTACACTCAGGATACAGAAAAGGCAAAGAAGCACTGGACAGAGTATCTGGGTGGTTGCCGACCAACCCTTTTCCGCACCGATTTCAACTTCCTAGAGCATCCGCAGTTCGTTTCAAGAACGCTCGGCAATAAGCTTTCTGACCTAGAACGCCGGTCAGCCAGCCTCCAGACGACTGTTCCATCCTTGGTGCAAGCCATTTTCGGCCTTCTGCTGGCCGATGCCGTTGGGGTTTCCGATGTGACTTACGGTCTTGTTCTCTCTGGCCGAGCGGTCGCTGTTCCTGGGGCTGATTCTGTTATTCTTCCCTGCATTACGACCATCCCTGGCCGCCTTAATACTAACGACCTGACCACCGTTACTGAAGTCGTTGAACGGGTTCAGAAATCGACAGTGAGATCGCTCGAGTTCCAGCACACCTCTCTGAGACACATGCAGCGCTGGCTTAAGTCCGAAACGCCTTTGTTCGATTGTCTTTTCTCATACATTCGAGCGACAACGCCTTCTCAGCACAACATCTGGCGAGAGTTGGACAGTCAAATGCCCGCGGAATATCCTCTGGCTGTTGAAGTCGAGGCCAACAGCTCCACGGACAGTGTCAACCTGAACTGTGCATTCTCATCCATTTTCAGCGCTGCCTACAATGGCGAGGAATTCCTTGAGAAGATGGATGCTGTTCTATCTAGCGTCGTATCTGGTGAAATCCTCTCGTTGGACAACTTCAACCTTCCCCAGTCCGAAGGAACTGGATCTCGATCCCCGGCTACCCAGTGGGACGAGACGACATGGTCTGCTACGGAAACTAAAATCCGCGAAATGACCAAGGACTTCTGCGGTCTGTCTTTGACGGATGTCACTAAAGGAGCTTCCTTCATCAGCCTCGGTATTGATTCCGTCACTGCTATCCAATTTTCACGAAGGTTGCGGGAGGCTGGACTCAACGCGTCTTCTTCTGATGTTATGCGCTTTTCTTGTGTCGGTGCCTTGGCTCAACACGTCGACGTAACCTCTGGTGATGGGCAAACTCTGACAAATGGCGCAAATGGAACCAAGAGAGCCGCAATCCCAGCCGACGTCTACCAGAAGCATGTTCGGCTCCTTGGAGAGAATGATTCGGTTTCGGCAGTTTTCGAGTGTACCCCTTTGCAATCAGGAATGATCACTCAGACTCTTGGCTCTGCCGGTCAAGTCTATGTCCATCCCCATCCGGTCAGACTCGCTGACTCTGTGGACATTGCCAAATTGAAGAACGCCGTCTCTAATGTCATTCTGAGTAACGATATCCTGCGCACTTCCTTCCATCTGATTGCGGAGCTCGGACACTCATGGATCGGAGCTGTCCATACACAGCCTCCTTTCGAGTGGAAGGAGATCAGTCTTCCTTCTGACGCTGATGCTCTTTCGGAGGTCAGTGCGCTCTTTTCGTTCGCAGAGGAATCTTCGTTTGAAATCCCGCCGATCCGAACAGTTTTGGTCGATCAGCCGGAAGGAAAGCTTTTGGTGGTCGTTATGCATCACGCCCTTTATGACGGTGCATCGCTGCCTTTCTTCTTCGAAGATCTCGCAATGGGATACAGCGGTGACACTCAGCGCGAGAGGCCGCAATTCTCAGAAACAGTGGAACACATTTTGAATGGACAAGAAGACTCATGCAAGTTCTGGACTGAGAAGCTGCTAGGATACGAGGCCGTTGAAGTTCCTCAGCTGCCTTCCGATCAGGCTTCCGATCGCATGTTCCTCTCGGAACACCGCGTCGACCTTGACCTGCCTACAATCATTGAATCTTGCAAGAGTATGGAAGTCACTGTTCAGAGCATTGCTCTCTTGGCATACGCCAAGGTTCTCGCCCGTGTTCTCGGAAAGCGTGATGTTGCATTTGGACAGGTTCTGGCCGGTCGCTCTCTACCGACACCAGGAGCCGAGCGAACCCTTGGTCCCTTGTTCAACACGGTCGCACAAAGAGTCACTTTCGAGCCCAAATTTTTGAGTAACAAGGCAATGGCGTCTCGATTGCAGCAGCTGACCGCAGATGCTCAAGTCTATCAGCATGCGCCACTACGAGTCGTCCAGAACTCATTGAGACAAGCTAACGAACTGACATCAACTTCTCTCTTCGATACACTTTTCGTTTTCCAGAAGAGTGCAGACTTTGCTGGTGGTATCTTGGAGACCCAAGAGATTTGGAAGCCCTATGAGACAGAGGAATATGCTGCGCAGGCTGAGTACAAATTGAATGTCGAGGTCGATCACAGCAAAGATGGAATTGTCGCCAGAGCGTCATGCAACGGACAGCACTTGTCGCAACAAAACCTCGATGACTTCATGGCTGAATTCGGTTCCGTCTTCCGAGATATCATTGAGCATCCTACAAGATGTGCAACCGTCCTGCCTGAACGGCTGGGCGAATTGCCGTTGAGACTGTCTGTGTCCAAGCCCCAAGAAGAGTCTGTCGAGGATTCCGAAGCACCTCCGCACGAAGCCATTGTGCAATCTGTACTTGCAGAGGTTGCTGGACTTTCCGTGGACAACATCAAACCAAACACTAGCATCTTCAGCATTGGCCTGGATTCGCTGTCGGCTATTCGCATTGCCTCTATTTGTCGATCGAAGGGAGTTAGGACCGGCGTGGCTGACATTCTTCAAGGAAATACCCTGCGTGGTATAAGTCAGCGCGTGCGGCCCATGGAGGAGCAGACCGTGAAGCCCCAAGGGCCCCTTATCGCGAATTACGAGCGTACAGAAGAGGTGGTTGTTGAGAAGCTTGGACTTCAGAAAGAGGCTATCGAAACGATTTTGCCTTGTCTCGGCGGTCAATTCTATCATCTTGTCAGCTGGTTGAGGTCTGGAAGGAAGCTGTTTGAGCCTGCATGGCCCTACTTCAGCTCGGAACGTATCGACACGACAAAGCTCGAGGACGCCTGGTATCAGCTCCGTCAAAGACACCCAGTCCTTCGAACTTGCTTCGCAGCCATCTCATCTTCCGAGGCTGTCCAAGTCATCATGAAAGAGGCCGTCCGAGATGCCAAAACCTTCAAGGTGATCAATTCATCGGCAACCATCACCGAGGCAGCCCAGGCTCAGGCAAAGGAGGAAGCATTGAACCCATCTTCTCTATTTGTCCCGCCTGTGCGTCTTCGTCTCTTGAAGGCCAGCGATCGGGACGGAATTCTTGTCCTTGTGAACCATGCCGCCTACGACGCGTGGACCATGCCCATGTTCGTGTCTGAACTTGAGAGCATCTATCGCGGTCAGCCATTGGAGACTAACTCCGATTTCGCGTCCTTTGTCGACTTCTCGGTCCGCTCCCTTCGTGATCTTGACGAAAAGACATACTGGACTTCCGCCATCGGTTCTGGTGAGCGCACTGTCATCAAGAATGCTGCAGAGCGAAATGGAAGTCAGCTTCCCGATCAAGTGTTCGTTGGGGCCTGGGAGAAGGTCAAGAATGTATCCCAGCTCGAGACTTTGTGCCGTTCGGCAGGAATCAGTCTACAGACCGTGGTCTTGCTTGCCGTCGCTCGCTGCCTCGCGCGCATGACGGGCGTCAACAGCCCGACTATGGGTCTGTATCAAACCGGCCGATCCGCCTCGTTCACCGATATCGAGAAACTCACCGGACCTTGTCTCAATGTCAACCCATTCACTGTCTCCGACGCAGTCTCTGATTCAAGCCTCTTGGACAAGGCACAGGCCGTCCAAGCCTCTCTCGCGGAGCGTGTTTCCTTTGAGCAGAGCTCTCTTTGGGACGTTCTCCGATGGGCTGGTGCTGAGCAGACCGGAACTCCTCTCTTCAACGCCTGGGTCAATCTACTCTGGATGCAGAACGCAATGCCGTCAGTCGACGATGCCACTCCCGAAAAGGAGCTGACCGATAACGGCGATCTCTTCCTGCCGCTTCGCATCGGCGTTCCTACGGACTTTATCCCCGTCGAGCCTTTGGCTGGATTGGAGACTACTTCGGTGTCGGAATTGGACACCTCTCTCCTTCCCAGTGACAATGTCTACATTGATATTGGACCCGATCCCAAGACTGATACGATCGGCTTTGGTGTTCGTGTCGAGGGAGGACTTCTTGCGGAAGAAGAGGTTCACCAGCTGGTGAATGATGTTGCCAGCGAGATTGAGGCGATTGTCTCTTCGCTGCAGTGATGGTCGCTTATGAAGGCCAGATGGAGGATATATATTGATTGAAAATGAAGCGAAAAGGGGGAAAAAAAAAGAGAGAAAAAAAACGAAGGGCAAATATAAGACAGAATATGTGTTGGACGTGTATATACTTTCGGGGTATTTTGTTTATTTTTGTAATTAGAGCATGTGTTTGTATTTAGAAGCAATAGACGGATCCTTTAGACATGATGAAGCTCCTCGGGGTAAAGACCCGGAGTTAACGGCGGCAATCGTCATGCGGGTCTTGGCAGAAGCTGCTCCGTCACTCGCTTCTTCTTCCCGCATCCCCGCTGCAATAACATGTCCCTTCCTGGCTTGCAGCGAACGTGAATCGATGTCCCGAATCTCCCTCCGTTTTCCATCGGCCCATAATTTTCAATCTCGCAGGGTCCTAATCCCGGTTGCAGTCTCTACTGCACACAGCTCTCCACTCGACTGAGCTCCACGGTTAGACCCGTGTTCCATTCTCCAAAATGGCCTACGTCGTGCCAATTCACCGGGCGAGTAGCATCCGCCACGCCTTGAAGCTGAACTTCCTCGACCCCGAGGAGGAATCGCTCGTTGTCGCGAAAGCGAATCGACTCGAATTCTACACCCTCACCCCCGATGGCTTAAGCCTCGCCGCGTCATGCGCCGTCAATGCCCGAGTAACGATGTTGACCGGCCTCTCCAAGCCCGCCGACTCACCTACGGACCACCTCTTCGTCGGTACCGATCGCTACTCATATTTCACATTATCATGGGACGCCTCGAAGCAGCAGGTTCGGACGGAACGGAACTACGTCGACATTTCGGACCCGTCGTCGCGGGAATCGCAAACGGGGAACCGATGCTTGGTGGACCCGAGCGGCCGGTTCATGACACTGGAAATCTATGAGGGATTAGTGGCCGTGGTTCCGATTGTGCAGCTGCCGCCTAGACGGAGGGGCCGGGCGCCGGCGATGCCCTCCGGCCCGAACGCTCCCAAGGTGGGAGAATTGGGCGAGATGACCACGGCTCGAATCGACGAGCTTTTCGTGCGCTCGTCGGCATTCTTGCATGTGCAGTCCGGCCCGCCGCGTTTGGCGCTGCTGTACGAGGATAATGAAAAGAAGGTGAAGATGAAGGTCCGCGAGTTGGAATATACTCCTGCTACGACGAGCACGAGCGCAGATGCGACCCTGGCTCATGTGGAGGATTTCGTGCAGGAGCTGGACTTGGGAGCTTCTCATCTTATCCCGGTCCCTGCGCCGTTAGGTGGGTTGTTTCCTTCTACTTGTGCTTTGGGCCTTTTGTGAATGTGTTGAGCACTGACAGGTAACAGGCGGTCTTCTCATTCTTGGGGAAATGTCTATCAAATACATCGATGACGACAATAACGAGATCATATCGCGGTTGTTAGATGAAGCCACAATGTTCGTGGCTTGGGAGCAAGTCGATAGCCAGCGCTGGTTGTTGGCTGATGACTACGGAAGATTGTTCTTCCTGATGCTCGTCTTGGACTCGAACAATGAAGTGCAGGATTGGAAACTCGATCTCTTGGGGAAGACATCCAGGGCGTCGGCGCTGGTTTATCTCGGTGGCGGTGTGATATTTGTGGCATCGCATCAGGGAGACTCCCAAGTTCTTCGTATAGGCAATGGCTCGTTCGAAGTCATCCAGACCTTATCGAATATTGCCCCCATCCTGGACTTTACGATAATGGACCTTGGGAACCGCACCAGCGACAGCCATACTCATGAGTTCTCATCTGGTCAGGCTCGAATAGTGACTGGCTCGGGCGCTTTCGATGATGGAACCCTTCGAAGTGTGCGCAGCGGAGTCGGGATGGAGGAATTGGGTGTCTTGGGTGACATGGAGCATATCACCGACCTGTGGGGCTTGCAGGTTGGCACAAGCGGAGAGTTTCTGGATACGCTTCTTGTCACGTTTGTGGATGAAACGCGAGTGTTCCGATTTAGTGCCGATGGTGAAGTCGAGGAACTGGAACAGTTTCTGGGGCTCAGCTTGGCGGAAAATACCCTTCTTGCTGCCAACCTCCCTGGAGGCCGTATATTGCAGGTCACGGAGCAGAGGGTTCTCATTGCCGATGTGGAGGGTGGCATGGTCGTACACGAGTGGACTCCACCGAATAACGCAGTGATCACTGCTGCCTCGGCGAATGAGGACACAATGGTCTTGGTTATTGGTGGAATTTTCGTCACCGCGCTGGATATTCGGAACGAGGTCCAAGTCATCACGCAGAAGGATTTCGGCGCCGATAATCAGATTTCGGGCGTCACGGTTCCTTCATCTCCGACGGAGGTCTGCATTGTCGCATTCCCTCAACAAGCGCAGGTCTCGGTTCTGAAGCTACAAGGTTTGACGCAACTACATACCACGTCTCTTGGGCCCGAGGGTGAAGCTTTTCCACGATCAGTACTCATCACAAATGTGCTTGTCGATAGCCCGCCAACGCTCTTCATTTCCATGGCTGATGGCAGCGTTATCACCTACTCCTTTAACACCACAGACTACTCTCTAACGGGTGTGAACAAACTAATTCTTGGATCAGAACAGCCGACATTCAAGAGGCTGCCCAGAGGCGATGGGCTGTACAATGTGTTTGCGACATGCGAGAACCCAAGCCTGATCTATGGCTCTGAAGGCCGCATCATATACTCTGCAGTTAACTCCGAGGGGGCCTCTCGTATATGCCATTTCAACTCCGAGGCATACCCCGGATCGATCGCCGTTGCTACGTCCCAGGACCTGAAAATTGCGTTGGTCGACAAGGAGAGGACGACGCAAATTCAGACCCTTCCAATTGGTGCAACTGCGCGCCGAGTTGCGTACTCTCCACCGGAGAAGGCCTTCGGTATTGGGACCATCGAGCGCAAGCTAGAAGACGGAGTGGAGATGGTTAAAAGCCAGTTTGTCCTCGCCGATGAGATTCTTTTCCGGCCTCTGGATCGGTACGATCTCAGGCCAGAGGAACTAGTCGAAAGTGTCATTCGCGCTGAGTTCCCTGCTGGCAAAGACGAACATGGCCGGGATACATTTAAGGATCGATTCATTGTGGGAACGACATACATGGATGGCGAAGAGGAGGACACTATCCGAGGACGGATTCTCATCTTTGAAGTCGACAATGGTCGTAAGCTAACTACGGTGGCCGAACTTCCTGTCAAGGGAGCGTGTCGCGCGTTGGCTATGCTCGGCACAAAGATTGTGGCTGCGCTTGTGAAAACGGTAAGTCTTTCAGTGCGTTTGAAAAAGAATCATCTCAGGTACTAACACTCAAAAGGTTGTTATCTATGACGTTGTCAGCAACAACTTCGGAGCGGCCAAGCTTGAAAAACTAGCTAGTTATCGGACGTCGACTGCCCCGGTCGATGTTACTGTAACGGACAATCTGATTGTTGTCTCGGATCTTATGAAGAGTGTTTGTCTGGTCGAATATAAAGAAGGCGAAAACGGTCTACCTGATACGTTGACGGAGGTTGCTCGCCACTTCCAGACAGTGTGGGCCACGTGTGTTGCCTGCATCGGTCAGGACACGTTCCTGGAAAGCGATGCAGAAGGAAACCTTATCGTTCTTCGTCGCAACCTTAGCGGCGTCGAAGAGGACGACAAACGTCGCCTAGAAGTGACTGGTGAAATATCCTTGGGGGAGATGGTCAATCGTATCAGGCCCGTCAACATTCAACAATTGGCGAGCGTAACTGTTACCCCACGAGCCTTTTTGGGAACCGTAAGTGATCTTTCATTCACATGTACTGTTGAGGCCAACGTCTAACGTATATAAAATAGGTCGAGGGTTCTATTTATCTCTTCGCTATTATCAACCCTGAGCATCAAGACTTCCTCATGCGCCTACAAGCCACCATGGCCAGCAAGCTTGAGTCGTTTGGAGACCTGCCGTTCAATGAATTCCGAGGATTCCGCAACATGGTCCGGGAGTCTAAGGAGCCATATCGCTTTGTGGACGGGGAATTGATTGAGCGGTTCCTGACCTGCGAGCCAAGCTTGCAGGAGGAGATCGTGGATGCCGTTGGTGTGATGAACGTACCTGACGTAAAGATTATGATTGAAGCCCTTAGGAGGCTGCATTAAAGACGACACTATTAATTTTGTCCCGAGAATCTCCAGAAGGTGGATTTTGTGTTGAAACATTCGAGTTGGGGGTATGATACTTTGACGAGGCATAGACATGAGCTACACAAAATACATGCTGTGGAGATATTCCAGTGATACCTTTACTCTATCCTTTACTACTTATTTCGTTGAGCTTCGGTTTTCTCGTTGGAAGATATTAATTTTGAGCCCGCAACTGATACAAGCTTTGAAACGACAGATTTCAACATCACCATCGTTAAATGCATGGGAGGGAACACAGAGAAGACCACCACCGGAGTGACTAATACAAGCATTAAAGATACAATGATTAAAAGAAATATGTATTGCCCCAAACCCATCCTCGCAAGGCACAACTGGTCGTAGCAGGACCAGAACAAGACCCCATGAAAACAAAAACCTCATTCAATCATTCCCTTCATTCCGCCTTCTTTTCCTCGCCCTTCGTCTTCTCCTCACCCTCCGAGTCACTCCAATCCAACAACTCCATCAGCTGATCCTCCGACAAGTTGTGCGTGCGCTGCTCCGCCTCCTTCTCCAAGTTCTTCATGTGCTTCTTCTGCCTCTTGCGCGCATTCTTCCCCCACTCGGGCACCCCACTCGCCGTCGCAAAGTCCTCCTCTCCGTCCTCAATCTCGTCGTCCGTGTTCTCGACCTCGCCCAGGACCTTCCCGCCGGTGTCGCCGCCGCCGCCCCCTCGGAGGGCATTCGCAGACACCTTGGCCGACTTGCCCTCGCGGGCCTCCCTCGCCGCGCGCTCCTTCTCCTGCTGCTTCTTGCGGTCTTTCTCGTGCATGCGGGCGAACAGTTTCTCGATGTACGGACGCACGATGATGTAGCCGACCACGGAGAGGATGACCTTCGTCCAGCGGTTCACGGACACGTCGGCGAACGAGGTGTACAGGTTCTTGAAGAATCGGCCGAACAGGGTCTCGCAGAAGGAGTAGAGTTGGCCGAAGAAGTCGTTGATCGCGTCGGCGACCACGTCGCTGGGGTCGGTGGTGGGTGTGGTGGACATCTTGTGGAGGGGTGGGAGGAGTTTTGATTGATGAGGGAGAAGGAAGTGAGAGGGAGGAGAGTGAAGGAGGTTACTCCGTCGTTTTCTCTGCGAGAAAAAAAACACTCCGAGCCCTGTAGCGTAGGTTGAGGGAATAATTCGGTGGAGAGTGGAGTAGAAGAATAACGTCTAGTCCGGAGAAGGAACGGGACGAGCGGATGAGGTCGGCTGGAGGGTTTTTGGTGCTATACGAGGAGAAAAGTCGGACGGTAGTAGGGAATCTGATCGGAGACTTATCTAGCTTGACTTTTCAGTCAAGAGCTCCTTGCTGGGGAGTTTTCAGGTTGTTCTTTTCTGTCGTCGAAAGTTGATCGTACCTGGAAAGGCCGTTTACGGGTTAGCGTCGCGGCCCCGGATAAACCATCCTTCCGGAAGCTGCCGCGGCGGATAGTCACGTGCATGCGCGCGTCTCCGTCGACGCGATGTGCTGAGGACACGCCCAGCTATCGCTCAGTTCATGTCGCTTCATTCGCATTAAACGTCTGGATCCTCATCCATTATCTATTTCCTGTCATCAAAAATGGATCAGAACGTAGAAGAAGTAGGACTTGAAGAGGTAAGTGCGATATCTATGTATAATAGCATCCTCAATTCCGTACTCAATCGCTAACCACATCCACTGGCCCCAGCGCTTGAAATCGGCACTGTGGTTCTCTATCGGGAAGATTGTCGATGAGGAAACCATCAAGCTGGGCGTCAACGCGACGCCTCAATTCATTGGTGCTCTCACCGAGATGGTCTGGGCTCAAATAGGTATGAGCATCGCTCCCTACGTAGAATGTTGAATCTACGCGACTGCACCTTTATGCACTGCGCAGACTGCATCATCGGAGGGCCCTTGTGGTTCTTATGCTGACCGCGTGTTTTCAATAGAAACTGTGAGCCAGGATCTGGAATCGTTCGCCAAGTAAGTGCATCTTCCGTGCTGTAACGGCTCCACCATCAAGGAAGAGAACATCTGAATATGGGATTCTGAATTCGAATCCCATGTATTCTTGGCGTGATGGGCCGCTGTTTCTTCAATTCTTGTATCACGTTGGCTGACATCCTCGGTTTTACCCGATTTAGACATGCCGGCCGCTCCACCATCAACGTTTCCGATGTGATGCTGCTTGCCCGCCGCAACGAGGGCCTGGAATCAATTATGCGCGCCTTCGTAGACCAGCTGCGCGAAGAAGAAGAAGAACAAGATGAAGATTCGTCATGAAATATCTAATGACTTGTTTCGACCATTATGCCTCCATACAGGGCCCTCTATCTCATTGGCGGCTCCTTTCACTTTCATTGAAGGGGTCTAAGTCCTAGGAGAGGATTGAGGATGCCCCGCTTTTTCACATACCCCCGATCTATCGACACAGCATCGCGTCTGGACCAGATGTCTTTTGTCGCTCCACATATCCCAGGAAGGTAGTTGAGACCAGCCAAGCTTCCACGGACTCTTCACCCGTCCGGCTATTTGACGCCAGTTTCACACCCCACTCCACCGGAGTAGAAACCTAGGCCGTGAGGTCTGACATGCCCCCGGGAACTATGACACTATCAACACCTCTTCATCCAACTTGGATGTTTCCATTGCCCTATCTATGGACCTAACGAATCATGTTTGCAATTGCCTAATCCAATGTACTCCATAAATGGGACATAAATTACGTTGTTACTACCAATGCAATCAAATCGCACGGAATCCATGTTACGAAACCTGATACACTTAACTATTGTCTACTAGCACAGTTTGGTAAGTATTTGATATCATACTCGATCATAATACGTGTTTAGCATCACTACTCTATCACTCCATTTCCAGCGATCCGGCACACGGAGCTCCTGATCATTATCGCTCTATCGACAAGTGTAGCCGCCATCCACCACAATATCAGCACCCGTTGTATAAGTACTGGCATCACTGGCCAGGTAGAGATAGACACCCTTCAACTCGCGTGGATCAGCGTCCCGGCGCAGAGGAGTCAAACTATACCACTCTTCTTTCATCTCGAAAGAGCAGTCTCCACTAATCGGCGTGTCAATGTATCCCGGACTAACGCAGTTGACCCGGGCAAACGCTGCCCATTCGACGGCCAGCGACTTTGCCAGGTGAATGACACCAGCTTTGCAGGCATTGTAACAGGCCTGTATCTGATTAGTATGAGATAGTACACGGTTTCGGTGTGTCGTACCTGTTGTTGGGGAATATTAACCGCATGGCCTGACATCGATGCTGTGAAGATCATATTGCCCGAGCCTTGCTTCCTGAATATTTCGCCAGCCACTCGCGCACAGTAGTACGCCCCGGAGAAGTCGATGTCTACCACGCGATTCCAGTCTTCGAGACGGTCGTCAAGCCCGCCTGCTTTCGATGGAACCCCGGCATTTGCAATCATGACATTGAGTCCGCCAAAGTCTCGTACCACGTCGTTGGTTGCTGCTTGGACCTATGATGCGATATCGCAGTTAGTCTAGCAATGGGTACACATGCCAGAGGGTGGAAAACTACCTCGTCAAAGTTCTGCACCGAGCACTTGTACGCCTTTGCGCGGACCCCGAAGTCCTTGGCAATGGTGGCTGCCAGCTTGATAGCCTCGGGAGATTTGTGGTACCAGAGGGCAACGTCGGCGCCTGCTTCGGCCAGGGAACGGGCGATCTGGTAGCCAATGCCCCCCGAACCGCCGGTTATGACGACGACTTTGCCGTGCATGTCAAACATCTTGAAGACGCTGTCCGGGAGGGTTGGGTTCGCCCATCGGATACTGTTTTGGTGAGAGCCCATTTTCACCTAGGGTTGTGAGGGGGGTGACAACTAGGAAAAGAGTTCTTGTGAAATATTTTGATAATTAAATCATCAGTATCTAGGAGATTTCTAGTGCTCAGATCAGGATAATATGGTCGACTTTAAAGAGCCACGGTGACTATCCTCTTCCTAGCGCCAGGTGTCCAACCCCTCCTAGTTCATCTGGACGGAAACCTCTGCCTTAGGATCTGTGGAGTAACGGAACTCCAAGTGCGTCACTTTTCTTGCTCTCTTGTTGAGACCGGAATACGGCCTACTATAAGAGCGGCCCCACCAGTCCGAACCAACGGACGAAGTCGTCCGCTTTCGAAGGATCTTCCAATGGACAGGACGCGTTGGATTTCTTCCCCGTGGGGTAACTTCCTTCCGCTAATTCTTGGTACAGAATGATTGGTGCCCCCTTGCGTACCCACTGACAGGGGTCATTGATGCCTATAGCATGTAAACTGGTTTTGTGGCGTGACGTACTAGTGTTTTGTAGACCATGGGCAGGCCATGGTTGTGTCCGATGTCTTTACTATACTAGCTTCTGTCTAAAACCGTCTACGACGCTCATATATAGGGTGCTGATGTCTCCACCCCTGACTTCAGGCCTTCGCACCCATATCATAACCAACATCTCTCCGGCACCATGAAAGATCAAGACATCGTTGGGGCTGCTCTGGCCTCGGTACTTCCTCAGTACAACAAGATCTGGATTCGGATACCTCATCTCCTTCAACTCAACTTGATTCTTCTGATTCCGTTGCTTTCTTCTGCAGTTGCGGGCTATGACGGCACGTATCACCTGTGATATACTTGGCTTCAGGCCAGAGCTGACACTATCTACACGTAGGCTCTTTGATGAACGGCCTCCAGTCCATCTCGCAGTGGCAGAACTACTTTGGAAACCCTACAGGATCAACCTTAGGGGTGGTGAACGCTGCTCAGTCGATTGGCAGTGTTCTTGCTCTCCCTGTGACCGGTACTCTATCGGACCGCATTGGCCGGCGCTTAACATTGCTCAGTGGCTCGATTATAATCGTGATTGCCTCAGCTATTCAGGCAGCGTCGGTTCAATATGGCATGTTCGTGTTCAGTCGAGTATTAGTAGGCGTTGGGTCGATGTTCGTCGTTCATCCCTCGCCTATGCTCATCAGCGAGCTGGCGTACCCTACCCACCGCGGCAAATATACCTGGTGAGTACTAAATCTAAATGCTCAGGGTCTTTTACAGAGGTTTCGAGGAACTGATATATTACGTCTAGTGCTTTCTGGACAATGTACTATTTAGGCGCCATTCTTGCTTCATGGACGTCGTATGGGACGCAAAAGCACTTGCAATCGGATTGGTCATGGAGGGTCCCTTCCATAATCCAGGCTGGGTTCCCCATCGTTCAGATAGCTTTCTGGTGGTGTGTTCCAGAGTCTCCCAGGTGAGTGCTATCGTAATTGTTGCGAAATGATGTTTTGCCTAACATGGAGCATAGATGGCTTATCGCGCAGGGTCGGAAAGACGAGGCGGAGCGGTTGCTGGCACGCTTCCACACGGCAGGGGACAGCTCCCATCCACTCATACGATTTGAGATGGAGGAAATTGTGCAAACTATAGAGCTGGAAAGCCAGGCTGCCGAGATGCACTGGTCCGCTCTTGTCAAGTCTCCTGGAAATCGCAAACGAACCTTTATCGCTGCGTGCATAGGCACCTTTGCGCAATGGAATGTAAGTTGCTCCCACTCCAACCATTTACTGATTTGAGGATATGGACTAATTAAACTTTCATCGTTCTTCAGGGCGTTGCTGTTGTATCCTACTACCTGACTCTTGTCCTCAACACCGTGGGGATTCGCGACTCGGACACTCAAACCCTTATCAACGGCCTTCTTCAGGTATTCAACTTCATCGCGGCCCTGGGAGCAGCGCTATTTGTCGATTATCTCGGCCGGCGAACTCTCTTCCTCTGGTCTGCAGTGGGCATGTTGCTTTCCTTCATCATCTGGACAATATGTTCGGCGCTTTTCGATCAAACGCAAAACCCGGCCCTAGGCCACACGGTGATCGGTTTTGTTTTCATATTCTACTTCCATTATGACATTGCCTATACACCACTGCTGCTTGGCTATCCAACGGAGATCTTCCCATACTCCACTCGTAGCAAGGGCATCGCCGTGGATTTAATGTGCGTTTACGGGTCTCTGATTGTGCTGGCCTTCGTGAATCCGATCGCCCTGGAACGGATTGGGTGGCACTACTACATTTTCTTCTGCTGTTTCGATGCAGTGGTCGTCGCCATCACCTGGTTCTTCTTCCCCGAGACCAAAGGGCATTCGCTCGAGGAAATTGCGGCGGTGTTTGATGGGCCGTCTGCGCGATCGGGGGGTGTTTTCGATAAAGGCGATGGAGTGGTAGCCACGGCGGAGCACTCCGAGAATGCTGATTGATTGGACTTGCCTATGCTCATTTTCCATATTGCAGCATTTATGTATTTTCTGCCAGATTAGGTGTATGTAGTTTGAAAGTGTCCGTGGGGTGCACGGAGTATAGTTCGGCGGGGCCCCGCGGGGGTCTTGATTTCTGCCTTTTTTCCTCCCCGGACCACTTCGCCCGCATGTACTTCTACTCATCCATCCATCCTCCGTTGCTCTAGTCTTATGCCATCCTGCCATTGGCCACATCCTGATTCTGACATCACCACCGTCGCTTATCCCGCGTTAGTTGGTCTTAACCTGATACTATACCAAATGAGCCCGCACTCCGACCGGGCTGGATCCCCGCAAGACCCTCGGCAGACTCCCGAGCCAGACCAATTGACCGGCGAAGTCGCCGGCCAGGCATGTCGGGAATGCCGTCGGAGGAAGTCCAAGTGTGACCGTATCCTCCCTGTTTGCCATCTTTGTGGTCGGTTCAACCGTCGCTGCATGTATGAGAAGCAGACCCGGACTCCCCTGACGCGTACCTACCTATCTAAGGTGGAAACCGAGCTAGCCCAGACAAAGGCTTTGCTGCGGCGCTTCATAGCAAGAGAATCTCCCGATGGCTTTCAGCGAGACGAGTCAGTCGATCCCGGAACAGCCAGGGCCGAGGGAAGTTCCAATGAGTTCTTCAACCCACAGCCACAAGTGGGGGTATCGGACAACGCTCCCCGGACTGAACACGGCATCGACCACTATCCAATCATGAACCCAGCAGTCCCCGGTCAGGAAGTACATTCCGCTCCCACGCTCGACGGACAAGCCCTTCCGCTGAGCGCGGGAGCGTCTGCTCTAGCCGAGGCCGCCCAGACGGGGCATTCGTCTCGCAGAGCTATGCCTGGTGCTTCGGCATCTAGATCGGCTGGGACCTCGGCATTGTCATTGGAAACACCTCCAGCGTCCAATAATTTTGAATGGGATGAACGGATGGGCGCAGGAGGTGGAGATAGGTTTGTTGACGGTATGGCCAGTCTGACGAGTAGTTCCAATGAAGGAGGATATCTCGGTAGGTTATGATCCATCGATCGTGGTATTCCAGTTTGTTTATGCTCATCACTTCGTTTAGGGTCTGCCTCGGGCGCTGCTCTTTTGCGACTTACAGATACCGGGTCAACCGAGCGGATCGACGGCTATGAGGCAGGCGCACAAGAGAGGTATCATCGTCACTCGGATATACCATTCGCATTATCATCGATGTCCCAGCTGGAGCCTTTCATTGACGCCTACTTCGGTCTTTACCATTGCTCTTATCCCATTGTTCACGAGGCCACCTTCCGTGCTCAGTTTATGGAAATCATTCCTCGGCCATCCGGTAATGCATGGCACGTCTTACTTTTCGTAATATCTGCTATCGGCGTTTTCTCTAGTTCAACCCAACCCACTGATCTGGATCTGGCACTGTTTAACGCGGCTAAAGCGAGACTATCGATTGATGTACTGGAGTCCGGAAATCTCGCACTAGTGCAGGCTTTGACTCTTATCTCGAACTATCTGCAAAAGCGGAACAAGCCGAATTCGGGATACAATTACATGGGCCTTGCAAGGCGGGTTGCGATGGGAATTGGTCTACATAAAGAGTTTCCGAACTGGGATGCAAGCTTACTGACTCTCGAAATCAGACGCCGAGTGTGGTATTGCTTGTATATTTTCGATATTGGTGCTATCATAACATTTTCTCGACCGCTAGATTCACCGGAGGACGGGGTGGACGTTCAACTACCACTCAACACACACGACAGCGTGAGGTCTGACCCCGCACATCCCGAGAGATCATACTGACCGAAGCAGGACATAACTGCTGGGACGAGCTCCGTTCCCGGCCCTGCCAAAGAAACTACCGTATACACCCATCTCCGGGCACAGGCCGAGTTTCATCTGGCCACTAGACATATTTACTCGAAAGTGATATCCTTGCCCTTCCCTACCGCCGCCGAGATGATTGAGCTAGATGACCATTGCATTGGCAAATGGCTTGCCGACCTGCCACCGTTTTTCAAAGAGGATGCAATCCAGAGCCCGAGGTTCCGTCTCTGCCATGCAATTCTACGGTGGCGATGTCGCAACTTTCGAATCTTGATGTACCGGCCGTTCCTTGTCGGCCGACTCATGGCCCGCATTGAACGGGGACTTGAACCGCGTGGACGGGGTGATGCTCAGGTGGACGTCGCTATCGAGCGCTGTTTGAATGAAGCGCGCGAGGAAGTAGATTTGATCTCCATGTTTTGGAGACATGAAAAAAGAACAATGATGGCGTGCTGGTATGGCTTATACTTCCTGTTCCAGGCCATTCTCATCCCGGTGATCTGCCTACGCAATGATCCGCAATCACCGCTAGCGGACAGCTGGCGTGGTCAGATCTTGCAGGCGATTGAGGTTTTCGAGCTGATGGAGCCACTGAACCCTACTGCGACACGCTGTTTAGGGGTCGTTCGGTCCTTATGTGGGGGTTATCTTCACCCCAACGTGCATGACTGGGGTCCGACAGAAGAGTCGCCGCAGACTCAGCTGGCCAATCTGTATCCGTTGATGTGGCCGACATTGGAAATCGGTCAGCTGGATGGTACGGATCCAATTGTGTATATCCCCCCGCTTCCGTTCTTCATTTGTTGAACCTGCCTTCTGACTTTGACCTAGGCAAGAATCTACGATTATGGAATTCATGAACCGACTTCCAGGGATGGAGTAATCGAGCTTCGGTATTTATGAATATCGCAAATAGTCATCATTATCAAATCTTACGAAAAAATGTCCATTATAACCTGTATCCAACCCTAGGGGAGGGTATAACCGCCGTCAATAACTATGTTAGCGCCAGTCATATAGCTCGAAGCATCCGATGCACAAAACACATATGCCTATATTCAAGATCAGCGGGACCCAGCTTCCTGGTACATCGGGAACATACGCCTTTTAGTTCATAGGTCTGCGCCATTCGCTTGGCGGGGATCATATCCATCCATTTATCTCTCCATTCCGCAGGATGAATGTCTAGAATCTCAGTGGCGATAAAGCCCGGCGAGATGCAGTTCACTCGGCAAAAGTCCACCCACTCTACCGACAAGCATTTCGCCAGCTGCACGACTCCTGCTTTGGAAGCGTTGTACTTCTCTTAGTTAGCCTAGAAAGCCCCGCAAGCTTGCCGGGGGATCTTACCGCAGCTTGTTTCTGCGGCACATTGACCAATGTCGCGCTGACCGAGGCTGTAAATATGATATTTCCGTGTCCCCGCTCTTTGAAGATCTTTGCTGCTGCCTGGGCCGTGTAGAACGCCCCGTCCAGGTTCACGTCCATGATCTGCTTCCATTGCTGCGGGGTGTACTCTTCGGCTGCTACGCATGACGCGACCCCGGAGTTGACCACGGCGATGTCCAGCTTGCCAAAATCTGTGACGATCTTGCGCGTTGCGGCGTCGATGGAGTCTTGGTTTGCCACGTTTGCCTGGTAAGCGCGCACTGTCACGTTGTTGGCCGAGGCGATCTGGGTCGCGACGGCTTCTGCGTCTGTCGATGAATTATAGATGATTGCGACCTATCGGTGGCATTATTAGTACTACATCAGTAGATAGACGGTGAAGAGAAAGGACAGGGGTATAACACACATGAGCCCCAGCTTCGGCTAATCCTCTGGACACATCCAGACCGATTCCACGAGCGCCGCCTAGCGATGTTACCATGATTCATCAACGTCAACATCCTCAAACTTACCCGTCACTACTGCGACCTTCCCCGTGAGGTCGAAAGCTTTCGATACATGTTGGTTTGCTGGCTGCGCAAGGACCATTTTGGCGATGGTTTACTGATGGGTATTCAAAATGTGTTCGGGGGTGTTTACATTTGGGGAGTATTGGTTAGCCATATTTATCAGTTGACTTTGAGTTCATCGGGCGGACAGGACATCAGGTTGACTGGCAGCCACCCACCCCGCGGATGGTTTGCCCTGACGGAGGTTGTGTCCGTTGTGGATCCATCAACGGACGAGAGCGTCCGGTTGTCGACGGCCAACATCGGACTGGGTGTTCCGTTTACTCTCCACTGATGTCGATTTCTTTTTTTCTTTCTTTTGCCTTTTGCTTTCGTCTCTTTCTCCGTTCTATTTTCTTGGTCTTTTATTTTTCTCTTCCCATACTCCATCGGTTCAGCCGTAGCATTCCATTCGCGCTTTACCGAGTGGCATTTATCAAGACACAATGCTACTATATACATCCGAGTTAAGCCTCAGCAATCAACGAAATCATAATAACCACTTTAGGAAAAAAGTACAATAACAGGGAGAAAAGCCTAACCTTCCACTACGAAATAAAGTGTAATAAGAAATAAGTAAAGAAAAAGTTAAACCAAAATATAGAAACCAGAAGACCTAAACACTCCAAACCACCAAATCCGCCGCCACCATCTTCTCCCTGACCACCAACGCATTCAAATAATCATTCGCATCGACGCGCCGAAACCCATCCTCCACGCAGCTCTCAATACCCGCAAAAACATGCCTTTTTGCCAACCGCTCCCTCGCCACCATCGCATCCGTATCTATAAACACCTTGTAATCCACCAGCGCCGGCACGTCCCTCCACACCGGCTCGTCCAGAAGAAGATAGTTCCCCTCCACGACGATAATAGATATAGAGCTGGTAACGTAGGTTCCATTTTCAATGGGGTCTTTTGTTTCGTGAGAGAATGTGGGGGCGTAAAGTGTGTCGTCATCTTCGCTGGCTCTTGACGAACTTGGGGATGAGGATGAAGAGGAAGACGAAGAGGCAGATTGATCCGCCCAGCGACGCAGAGACCTCATGAACTCGAGAAAACGCACAGCGTCAAACGTCCACGGTGCTCCGCGACGAATGTACGCTTCCTCGCGATTGGGCAGCTGGTCGAGCGTTGCGCGGGGGAGATGGAATCCGTCCATGGAGAGCAGAGCGGCGCGGGGAGTGGAAGGGCATGGTGTGACTGACGAAGAGGGGGTAGAGAATTCAGTGTTTAAGAGTTCGACGACTCGTGAGGCGGTGGTCGTCTTGCCGGAGCCTGGGATGCCGGCGATGGCGACGATGAAGCGCCCCTTGGGGTGGGAGGCGGCTTGGGTGTGGATTGTTTTGGCGAGGTTGTGGTAGGCTTCGTCCATTGTTGATGATATTATGTGATTTACAGGACAAAGTATATTTACTAGGAAGTAGGTGGGAGATTGAACATGTAACACCATTTAATAATTGATCTAGTAAAACTGATATCAAATCGCATACTACAGTTCCGGACGGAGACTGTCGTCCGCCGCGGGTGCGGGGGTCCGTCCACCATCGAATGAATGCATGACGCACCTGGCATGGATCTACTGAATTTCTCTCTCCTAGCTCGCCAGCGGACAAGACAATGATAAATTATCCAACGAACAAGTCTGCCTTCGCAAACACACGACCGTATTTATTCCGAAAGCTGTCCGAGAAGCCCTACCTCCAACCGTCCGATATCGCCATCCCAGCACATCGACGCTCATACCCATCAAATGGCCCAAGACAGCAACCCTTCTTTTGTCCTGCGGGCCGTTAAAGATGTCGCCCTCGAAGACCGCCCCGTTCCAGCTCTGAAAGACCCGTGGGACGTTCGCGTGCGTATCTCCGAGACGGGCATCTGCGGCAGCGACGTCCACTACTGGCAGCGAGGCCGGATTGGCGGTACGTACCTTTATCATCTACTGGACATTGTATTATTGACTGATGAGGGCAGATTTCGTTCTCGAGTCCCCGATTGTCCTTGGCCATGAGAGCTCCGGCGTCATCGAGGAGGTCGGCTCCGCCGTCCGAAACCTGAAAGTAGGGCAGAGAGTCGCCGTCGAGCCCGGTGTACCGTGTAGACAGTATGTCTCCCCCCATCATTTGACGAATGCATGGCATCAAAAAGCACAGACAGAATTTAATCATTGCCATACAGCTGCAACTATTGCCGAAGCGGCAGCTACAACCTCTGCCCGGACACCGTTTTCGCAGCAACGCCGCCCCACGACGGGACCCTGTCGAAATACTACATCACGCAGTCCGACTACTGCTACCCGATCGCCTCGCACATGGATCTCGAAGAAGGCGCCATGGTCGAGCCCGTCGCCGTCGCCGTGCAGATTACCAAAGTCGGCCGCGTCAGACCCAACCAGTCCATTGTCGTCTTTGGCTGCGGACCCATCGGGCTCCTTTGCCAGGCCGTGAGCAAGGCGTATGCGGCGCGCACGGTCATCGGGGTGGATATTAGCCAGTCGCGATTGGATTTCGCGAGGGTGTTTGGCGCGGATGGGGTGTTTTTGCCGCCGGCGAGGCCCGAGGGGGTCGATGAGTGTGAGTGGAGTGCGCGTGTTGCGGGGATGATTAAGGAGCAGTTTGGGCTGGGTGAGGGCCCCGATGTGGTGATTGAGGCAACGGGTGCGCAGGCTTGTATCCAGGCGGGGGTGCATCTGACGAGGAAAGGGGGAGTGTATGTTCAGGCTGGGATGGGGAAGGAGGTAAGTCATTCCTGACAGTGAGGGTGATCGTGGTTGAGCTAATGGGATGCAGAATGTGGTGTTTCCCATCACGACGGCTTGTATTCGTGATCTTACGATTCGGGGGTCGATTCGATATACGACGGGCTGTTATCCGACGGCGGTGGATTTGATTGCTAGTGGCAAGGTCGACGTGAAGAGACTTGTTACTGATCGGTATGATTTCGAAAATGCGGAGGAGGCGTTCGAGCTGGTGAGGCAGGGGAGGGAGAATGTGATCAAGGTCATTATCCATGGGTACCGGGACTAGAGGATGCAAAAGCTGGGCTTGGCGATCAGGGATGTCTGTGCCTCCATGGTAAAGATCTCATGCGAGAGCCTGCGAGGCTACGTGATGCTGGAATGAGCAAACGATTGGTTTGGGCCACTTTGACTTCTCTGGGGGCGGATTGGCTGCTGTGGTTGACGACCAGAACCTTGACTATTGTCCTGCATCCACGCCTCGTTAATTCATCATATAATCTCAAGAAGATCGCCACCCAGGAGCCTTCCTCCTGTAGTGCCTCCTTGTCTGAATCCACAACCATGCTTCTCTCAATCACGATGTATAACCGATCAAGGGTCGATATAACCTTCGCTAAGAGATCGAGCCATTGTGTCGGTCGCTCGGCAGCTCGAACCTGGGCGTACCATGCCGATGCATCGCTCTCGGTCTTTAAGTTCTTGCCCATCCCGAAAATCTGGCAGATGAGACTCCTTGTTACATCCGTGGTAGTTGCGCCTTTGATTCCATCGTCTCCCTCGGTTCTTTGTTGCAATGCCCAAATGATTGGCCCCTTCTTCTTACTGAGACAGGAAATGAAATTCACCACGAAAGACCGAACTGGAAGGCGCAACTTATAGTCCCCGTTCAGAAGGATAATATCGCGTTGATTAGTATGCTGCCAAAGTCTGAATCGCGGATGTACCCAGAATTCGGCCAGAGGCATCAAGGGGCCCCTATTTCGGCTCGATCGAGCCTTGCAGGAAGTCGCAGCCATACTTAGTGATCTGGAGTGGTCTAAGCTTTGTGGCCGACAGAGAAGCTCAATTATAGTCTCTCGCTGAGAAACGGAAAGAGACTGATTGGTATCGATCGCCATGCCATAGCTGGTCGCCTGATCCCCTGGAAAAGCCAGATAGTTTTAGTGCGCCATTCTGCAAAGCTGGGATGGTCGGTTCCAGACTCACTGGAGGCCAGAAGACCCATACCATGTTGATTTGTTTCACTGAGCTCAACATCGTGATGTATAGGATGCCTATGGTCACACACACACTGAAGGACTGCGGTGCAGGCCACTGGAGTGACTAGAAGGAGCTCTTTCGTATAGGCCGCCGCAACTCCCGCCGCAAACCTCTGCCAATCTTTATTCTTATGCGAATCTGCGTAGTCGCAGATCCCACGAATCACCATGCAGGGGAAATTGTTCATCAGCCCTGCAGCCTCCATCTCTACACATAGAGCCCCGAACTTCTGCCTTAATTGGTCTCTGAGCCAACTGTCTTTAACGACCTGATTCCCAGAAGCAATCAACCCATAGTGAATCACGGGGTCTCTATGAATACGAGCAGGTCGTTTGACTGTTCTTGCTAGATCGCATTGATCACAGGATTGTGCCGATGCATCATGGATGTAGTCGATCGAAAACAAGTGGTCCGAAGGCCCCGGACGAGCAAATCGGCCTTCCATAAAGGGGTTTCTCTGGCTCATATCGGCCAGGAGACAGCTAATCTTGCTTCGCTGCATCTCGTGGCTGGCCTCCAGCTTAGCCAGGGCAGTCAGAAGGACCTGAGGCGGTCGGTTCATCGTCCCTGTGTGCTCGAAATGGCCACTATAGGCCTTCCCATAATCGTACTGGATCACACCCCCATATATCCCCGTGGGCTTGCTGACCACAACATCGCCCAGGCGCACGTCGTAAGACTCACTGGGGATCCCACCGCCGATGCCCACCAGCAAGCCAAACCGGATGGCATGGAAACTATACCGCATCTGCATAGCTACCGTCGCCGCGGATGCTATGCCATACTCCCCTTTGGGTAAACATGCAATCACCACATTGTGAGGACCGATCTGCCCGAAGGCGTATGCATTATGGTCGTTCGGTTTCGCGGGGAGCTCTTCGTGGACCACATCCATCATGGCTCTGGAAGCCGCCATCTCTAGTGGCAGGGCACAGATCCATCCGACCGTGTAGTCAGTGTAAGATAACGGCCTCTTCATTGCCATTATTGTATTCACCTTTTCAAGGCTGATGATTCCAAGGATCGGAATATGCGGACCTTCTCCAAGGAAAGGTGAAGAAAAGCAAGCCAACGTGCTGGCACACAAGATCGGGCTTGGATCTGGAGTGGGTTAACTAAAAGCAAACAATTATTTCTCCAATACTTGCAAGGGGCTTTGCTGGGAGGCTTGAGCTGACTAGCGCTGATTTGCTGAGGCTGTGCTCGACAAGGCTGATACCTAGGATGCGGGGAGAGTTCGATCTGGCGCCCAACATCTCCCTTATCTCACACCTACACCTGACACTTACAGTTTCTTCGCAAGCTGACCGTCTGATGTAGGTATACTTTCCTAATACTTGGAAAGGGGCAAACCTTCTTCGGGAAATGGAAAGAAAACAAAAAGGACGGGGTCGTCCCCCGTTCCCTGCACTGGAGGAATTTCAGAACGAATTTGGAGGAATGCCGGCACCGAGCGTGGGGGACAGAGCCAATAAACTGGAGCTGCTGTCAAATCGACGAGGGTTTTCGAGAGATGACACGTCGCAGAACTTTGAGGAGCCAGACACTGCGATGGTTCTAATGCATCCTATGGAACCTGGCGGGCCGACTTCGACTTCCGGCGGCCCCAACATACCTACGGGCCTAGACGCCTCTCGTCTTTTCCACGACTCACCGATAAGGAGCCGCCAAAAGAGATCGGGAAGTATTCCGCGCGCAAGAAAGTATCAGTCCTCAAGAGATGGATCGGATTCGGAAGAACTAAATACATTTCGGCCCCGGAGTGAGCAAGCGAAGCCCGATTCTGGGTCGAGTATTTCGGTAACATGGAGTGATGATGGGCATAACGAGCAATCGTCCGACTACCGATCAGAGATGAGGCGCAGTGCGGGACCGAAACATCTTCCGGATGCAATCCCACATCATTCCTCGAAGGAGGAGTCCGTTTGGCAAGAATTGGAGGCACTTCGATTTGAGAATGAGAGATTAAAGGCAGAGCTGCATCCATATGGTCCAGATGTTCCTGCTCCACTGTCATACAGACCTCATGTGTTCTACTGCATTGATAGAACGAAATTCTTCCTTGACGAGCCGCGCTGGGTGACGGGGGGCATTGGATTGAGCCTACTCTCCCACAATCCTATTCGCAGCATTGACTATTACCTAGACCAGCACCCGGAGATCGCCTTTTACTTTTGCAAGTTCTACTCTTCCAGGGCCCCCGTGAATATGTCCACATTGGAGACTAATGACGGGGTTTTTAAGCCGCCTCTGCCGGTGCACCAGACATTGAGGCTGGTGGCGGAAACGATGATCGATGCCGTCGAGTGCTTTGTGCGCCATGTGCCTCGCTTTAATTTCTTCTTTCCGGACTTTATACCGTGGAAAGATATACGCGAGCCGTACCTGTTCATGTTCTACTCGCTACCCTACTTGTCCAAGGCACGGTCCAGCTTGGAACCTCCAGCCCAAAGGCTCTTTGACCTCCTGCACGAGGCCATCGATGACGGCCACGGATTCGAGTACGCGAGTGTGGCCAAGCATGCTTCCAACGGCCATACTTCTAGTCGCTTGGTCCAGTACCTGATTGGGCCAGGCGAAGTGCTAGTGGAACGAGATGGCCCCAGAACCCAGGCTTACTTGTGCGTTGGGTGGGCCGATTCCAACTCCCAAATGCGGCGGAGCTACGGTGAAGAAGTGTTGGAATATGAAGAAATGCATCGGTCGACCAAAAGAAGGACAAAGCAGCAGATCAAGGATCTGAAATTTCATTACACGGTTCCAGTGGTCTATTGGAGATACGATGGCTCTTTCGAGCAAACACACACGACGCTTTCCTTTACTTTGACCGTGGGTCACGAGAGCGAAACGTTCCCCATCGAGACTATTCCCTACGTTCCGTTATCCTTTCTGTCGCCAGCCATTCGAAAGACGTTGGAACGTCGAGGCAAGACATTCTGGTCTATTCGGTTGAGGAAGTTCATCACATACAGAATGCCGTCTGGGGAAAATCTTAATAGCGTAGGGAGCCAGTTGGCCAAAATGTGGATAGGATTGAAGCCGAATTAACAAAGCTCACAGACAGAGGATCGCTATTTCGTCGACATATCAACCTACAAAAAGCTACATCCGAACTCAGATCTATCTACTACGCATCTTCGATCTGACATGCGCAGAAGGGATATGGCTCGTGACGAGCCCCCAGAAGGATCCTACTTGTTACTTTTCCCGCCCACCGTCGTGGGATATAACATGCTACACAAGACCTGGTGTATGCCATTTCTCCTGTTTCTCAATGCTGTCGGCCTGGCAACCGTAACATTAAGCTGACTGTCATTGCCCCCAGCTGACCTATACGTTGACTACATATACGACATCGACTGGAACAAGCAGGCATTCAAAGACCTTGTGGTTCATGATGAGATTAAAGAATTGGTGCAAGCATTAGTCACTAGGCAAATCGAGTCGCGAAGGGCCACAGACTACATTAGTGACAAGGGAAACGGCCTAATCCTACTTCTCCATGGTGCGCCAGGCACAGGGAAGACATTCACAGCAGAGGGCGTGGCCGAGTTCGCGGAGAAACCACTGTTTCGTATTACATGCGGCGATGTGGGCATTGAAGCCACAAACGTGGAGAAATACCTCCAAGCTGCATTCCACCTTGCCAAGCTCTGGGACTGCGGTGAGTGCATATCCACTGAAAGATTACGCCTGCCCACCCACTAACCCCTTTGTCGGTGCCACAGTTGTTCTTTTAGATGAGGCGGACGTGTTTCTCGAGGAACGGGACGTCCGAGACCTCAATCGCAACGCGGTGGTCTCGGTATTCCTACGCGCGCTCGAATACCACAACGGGATTTTGATCCTGACCTCGAACCGAGTGGGAACCTTCGACGAAGCGTTCAAATCCCGCATCCAGCTATCCCTCCATTACGAGAATCTGACGCTGAGCCAGCGTCGCAAGATCTGGCGCAACTTCATGAATCGACTGCGCAAGGTGGACCCGGAGAACGTGGACGTCGACGACGTGCTGGACAACCTGGACGAGCTCGGCGCCGAGGATGTCAATGGGCGGGAGATCCGCAATGCGATCACCATCGCGCGCCAGCTGGCGCAGTTCAAGAATGAGAAGTTCGCCTACGCCCACCTGATTCGCGTACTGCGCGTGGGCGGGAAGTTTGGCAAGTATCTGCGAGACCTGCGGGACGGGCTCACTGACGACAATATCAAGCATGATACGGGAGTCCGACATTCGTACAGCGTCAAGAGGGCCAATAGCATATCGTGAGCGTCTTAGTACGTACCTAACGTTCTCCTTCTTTCGGTTCACCAATTACTATTTTCGGTCTCGGTTTCTCGAGAAAGATAAACAGGCCGTAGTGCTTATTCGAAATTCCCCAATCCCTTTTAGTTTAATCCTCCATTTACCATGGAGACAAGTCTTATTGTAAAATAATTCTAGCATGAACCATATCCTCCTCTATATTCTATTTCTATACCCCATCGCTCCAAAGCCAGCAGACATCCAACCTACTCATCGAAATAATGATTCACGAGCGGATCATGCGTAGCGTTTCCATAGGCATCTCCCCCATACGACAGGTACCCCTTCACCAGATCGGGCGATGTCCCACGGGTAATCTCCGATGCATTCCCCATCACCATGACGGCTTGCATGCCGTCCACCATATGCTGCAGGGTATGGCAGTGGATCATCCAGACTCTATACTCAGTCAGTTAGCCACCGTGCGTCTCCCAATTGACCAGGCCATCTGAAGTAGGAAGTAGATACGTACCCCGGATTCTCCACCCTCAACCGCCACGCCCGCCAGCCCTGAGGCGTATATGCATTCCCCATCCCAACGTCCTCGCCGGTAGTATTATACCGAAACAAAAACGAAGTATCCCTAAGAACAGGCCGATAGCCTTGCAGCCTTTGTTCATTCTCCGTCGCATTATAATCTCCCGACCCACCGCCTAAATCATACACATGATCCCCGTGAATATGCCACGGATGAGAATCAAGCCCACCGTTCTGACCATTCGGCTCGTTGATCAAGATGATATCCACGATCTCGCCGACCCGAGCAGGGTAGACGTTGAAGACGGGGTCCCAGCCTTTATGGTTCTGCACCGCGTTGGCGTAATCCGGGATCGCGCGTTCGCCTTCCTTATAGATTTGCACGAGGTAGGGCGAGTCGGCTGCTCGGCCGCGGTTGAAGGTCGTGGGGCTCCCCTGGTTCTTTCCGCTGTCGGTCCAGGTGTGGTTGTTGATGGTCCAGACGGATCCGCTGGCGGAGGCGAATTGAGCGGAGGTTAGGAAGATTTGGCGGGAGACTTGGTCTGCGGTTGGGAAGTTGTTGTCCTCGAGAGGTTGCAGGGTGTATTCCATCCAGTGTTGGGTGGAGATGGGGAGGTGCACTGGCTTCTGGGTGGGAGGGTGGGTGGGAATAGTCTGGTTGTGGGATGTGGGCGTTTCATATGAGAGAAGAGCGTAGAAGGTGTTGTTTTGCTGGCGATAGCGTGTTTCGATCTGGATCCAGAACTGTGACTTTCCGGCTTTCTCGAGCTCTTCTTCGGTCTTGGTGCGGAGGAGGAAGTCGTAGCGTTGTCCTGAGCCGATTTGAATCATGTCGGTCTCGGCAGGCTGGGTGTAGTGGCTGTCGGCCGCGATGATAGTTAGGTTGTCGTGGTCTTCGAAGCCAAAGACCAGAGGGCTCAGAGCCACTCCGCCGATGGTGCGCATGCGGTAGGTCTGGTCGGGCTTGACCTTGATGACTTCCGGGCCGCATGGCCGCTCAATGGAATGGTTTGCCTTTATGAATGGGGGCACGGTGTTGGTTTCGTTGGGAAGAAGGCCGGGATAGTTCTTTCCGTTGACCAGAACAGACGCTGCCTCGCCGGGCCTAAGGATGGTTAGACTGGCATCCATAGTGGTGGATGACTATTCATCTTACCAGTGAAAGTCGGAAATTGGGGCTGTGATGCCTTGGACGACCCTGCTGTCGGTGTAGTTGAATAGCTCGGTGAGGAAAATAGTTCTCTCCTCGTCATACTCATAAGGCGGCTTATCCTGTTCCTCGACGATCAATGGGCCTGTCACCGAGACTGCCTGGAAGCCAACATGAGAGTGGTAGAAATAGGTTCCTGCCTCGCCAACCGCAGGACGGAGCTCGTAATCAAAGTAATGTTGAGCCTTGGTACGTTAGTACGTGAGGTTTTATGACAGCGAATAATGCTTCACCTTAATTGGCCATTGACTGGCTTGGGGAGTTCCATCACTATAGGGTGCCACGGATTGACTTAATCCATGCCAATGCTTCCTAGAATTAGCCATTGAAGGGTTCCAGTTTCAGCAATCATACTTACCATAGTCAAGTTATCTGAAGTGAAATCATTGTAAACTCGTACCCAGGAAGTCTGGTTCTCACGCAAATGGATACTGGGTCCGGGAGTCGTGCCTGATGACAGAGAGTAAGTAAACCACCAAACAGCGTATAATAGGATGATCCAAACCATTGACAAGGGCAGTCAGCCTGCTTCTGCACGCAATTGAGACTTCCTTCTCGCTCACTCGCAAGATATAATGCGGTTGGAATGTATCATCGTGTCGGACTTGCTGCACACCCGTATAGCAGGATGCGAGCGTCAACAGCAGTAGCTGAAATGCAAGGATGAATTTCATCTTCGGAAAGATTAACGCTGCTGAAGATACCAATCGAATACCTGCTTGAATGGGCCATTTTGATTGAGGGATAGAGCTCCCTTAAATACACGTGCGGATGGGTACCAGCAACAGATCCGCATCTACAACCATCCTCCTGCAGATAGTAAAAGACAAGTCCGATGAAGATCGGAGGGTCAGCTCGGACTTGCTGCGAACTTCCTGCGGGATCATTGCGGATAGTGCGGACTTGGTGCGGACTTAGCCTCTCCATTTAACTAGCGTCCTGGATCTGCGCTAGTGTGTTAGGTGAGGCTTGTGTTGGATTGGGGCTCGGAGGTAATTAACAAGAGAGGATAAGATGCTCGGAGAAAGATACTCGGAGATAGATGTCCGAGCAGGGAGAACATCCTACGAATATAATCCCGGGTGAGATTGGAGGAAATACTAGAAGTACCAGTAGGCTCATTTTCCTAGTGCTGCCGATGGACGACTGATAAAGGAATTCTATATTATCTTTTCGGGGATCAAGAGAACGAGCCCACGACCCTGAGTGTTGTTTCGGCTAATTTTCTTCGTACTTTCTTACAGCTCAACGAAAAAGAACCCGATATTAAATGATATAGAAATGTTCTTCAGGATTTGTGATTATATTACTTGATCAGAAAAATAAGTCTCCAGGGCCCTTAAGGCGAGTGAAGCAAGGAAATATCTCCGTAACACACCACTAGAAAGCGCAATAGGGCAAAAAGCATCGACAAAATTCTGGACAGGACCCTTTGTGATAAATCCGAGTACAAGGCATTTTGCGTGTGCCGTTATAATGGCAGCATCCACACACTGAAGGCTGCCGCCCTCCTATGGTTCTATCGCGCTCAACCCCCTGACCCATGGCTCCTTTTCGAACGAGCTCAAACTCTCCTTGACATTCCTACCAATCGATATTTTTACTTGGTGCAATGACGCCATTATATCATACTGACGCGTTGATATATTGATTCTTCTTCCTGCCGTGTGAAATCACAAAATCTGTTCCATCACGTCTCTGCTCTGCCTCACCTCTCAAAAGATGACCAAAAAACAACTATTTCCCACAATGGGTTCTCCTCCAGCCACAAAGAATGTCGCGTCTCCTGAAAAAGGCAAGGAGCGTGCTGACGAGAAAGTCCATCTCGAGCCTGAGGGCCCCGCGCGTAGCCTCAAGGAAGCCGGAAAGCATATTTTGGTAGTCGGTCCAAAAGGGTCCGGCAAGACTGCTGGCATCCAACTCGCAACAAACATGGAAATCCAGCCAGAAAACACAGGAAACACAGGTATGATAAATAATAGTACCACTGAGTCAATGTGCTTAATCTGATACGAGTTCGCTTCCAAGATACAAACAACGTTCGAACTTATTCCACCGTCATCGATGGCCAGGCACTTACCTTCATCGATACACCTGGATTCAGTGAACTTGACACCAATAACAACGATACAGCGATCCAGATTTGCCAGTGGCTGTGTGACAATATCTTTGCGCACGAGAAAGACATTCACGGAATCCTGTGTCTTCAAGACATTGGCATGCTAAAGTCAATACGGGCAATGGATTGCACTGCGGAATTCCTGCACGCCATAATAGGTGGGAACAACGCGAGAAACACTGCATTTGTGACTACCAAATGGGATGCTCTTAACCAGAGTAAGCTGTCCCAATTTGACGCTAAGCATGATGACTGGGGCAGAACGGCTCTTTGGCGTCAGATGCTCAACAGCGGTGCAATTCTCTTCCGGCATTACGGCATCAGTAACACAGCTGATGACAGCGAGGATGATATCCGAAGGGCACAGCAAAGCATACGCGACCTCCTATCCCACTTTAACACTTCCCATCCCGTAAGCCTCCAGCTGCGCGAGGAATTTGGAGGTCAACGCGACAGAGAATCGACAGCGAAGTGGCTTGTCAATGCTATGCCATCTCTTCATCAATTCAACCAACGCGAAGCCAATATCAGAAACAATAACACGCAAGGGGATTTGTCTCAAGACCAAGCCCCAGAGGGATACTCTAAGAAAACAAAAGTTGCAGCGGGGGTTGGTGCCGCGGTAGCGGGTGCCGTTGGATATTACTACAGAGATGACATCAAACGGGGTGCAAAAACGGTAGCGAAGGAGGTCAGCAGAAAACATAGAAACGTGGAACGCAATACGGGCATGGATTGGGTTTTCTACCCTTGGATAACGCCAGATGGAATTGGAATAGGGGGGAGAGGCGCATTGAGATGAAATCCTTGGAGATCAATATCCAGTCTGGCTGAACCTAGGTCGTTACATTCGATTCGAATATCCTACCGAGAATGACTACCACTGCTTTAGTTGCCCTAAATGATCAGAACTTTGTGCCGGTGGTGACTCATTGCACTTTCCTCCATGTCTCATGTTTCGCCAGTGTCACGTTCAAGCAATTTATCAGATTGTCGATGTCCTGTGATCATTTTCCTAAAGCTGCTGGCCTGGTCGCTAGCGGTAGTCGAAAAGTAGGCTCCTTTTGCCTGGGTCGACCGTGTGGGTCCTGGATATAGTCAGTTAAAGACTCCGAGAAAGACGCTCGGAGATAGAAGTCCTACTCTGCCACAGTTAACAGTGCTACTACCATGATCTCCCGGTATTTCTCTTTTCTAACCGGCATCCCCTTTCCTTCTTTTCCCCATTCTTCGAACCTGCCTAAATTTGTTTCAACTAGACCAGCTAGTGAGAAGGCCTGACTCATGAATCACAAACCAATTTGAAAGATTAATTTGCACGAGACTGATCGACTACATGATATGATACCATCCTTAACGGGAGGAGTGTCTCGGTCAAGCTGCCAGAGCAACTCTACTTTAGTTATCCAGACAGGCAATGCAATAGAAACAATATATATTAATGGTTTCATGTGTCCGAATCCCAATTACTTTCCGTAGAATCTCCTCATTCCCAATGCGCAAGGGATTTCCCTCGCATGTACAATTCAAACCCGACACGCCATTCTAATTACAAAGGTTTATAGTATAAGACAAGCCTCTTCCGGTGCTGTACATCTTTCGAAGAATCATTCAAACCGAATCCAACCAAGACTATGTTTCAGCCAGTGGTCGTTTCGAACCAGAGTACAAGAAAACAACGTCTAAGACGACTTCTTCGCGGCGCCATTAGCCCGGGCCTTCAACCTCTTGAGCTCCGCGAAGCTCCCCGCGCAAGCTCTGATGCTGTTGAAAATAAGCACTGCACACTTGTTAGCCAACACTCTTAAAACAAATCACAAGAAAGAAAGAAAGAAAAACCTACCAATCGGAATAACAATCCAAAACGCATTCAAAAACACAAAGTACCCATAAAAGTAATACTCCTCGGGCCTTGAATACTCGACCCCATGCACGAGAAAGTCAAACGCACACGTCCCGTAGTACAAAATATTGCCGTACAGCTGACCCGTGGAGATGATGATCTGCAGCGGATGACGGAAGGGGTTCTCAGTGACGATGAAGATAGCGAGCAGGAAAGAGAGCGGGCCCCAGAGCCAGGCGGTGACGTTTTCCATGACCATGTTGAAGGCGTGGGAGGTGAGGTAGCGCGAGTCGGAGAGGGAGTATTCCTTCCAGAGCTGGGCGAGGAGGTGTTGGGACCCGGCGAGGGTGGCCCAGTTGAGGGCGTAGTAGCCTTCGAGGATGAGGTGGATGGGGCAGCCTATTTTTTATTTGTTAGTGTTGGTCTGTCTGGGTGTAATAGTGAGGTGGGAGGATCAAGCGGAAGACGGGACGGACATAGTGTGAACCAGAGAACGGTGGAGAGTTCCGAGATGCTAATGCGAGGGTTTGCGTTCGTCGCGAGGGTTTTGGCGACGGAGAGCACGACCACGCAGGCGACGGCGAAGGTCGAGACCAGCGATAGGGTGGTCCATTCGTTCGGGACGTAGTTGGGGATGGCGGCGTCCACCGGGTAGTAGGAGTGGGGATGGGCCATGGTGGGTTTGCGGCGTGGGGAGATGAAGATGAGATGCCGGAGGATTTTGGCTTCAGGGACGTCGGATGTGAATTATATTAACAATCCATTTAGGGGCATGGCGTCGCTGGTGCCTGAGGCATGGGGAAAGCTGACAGGTCTGGATGAGGGTGATACGATCCGGATCGAGACACGCTCGGGTTCCGGGGCTGCCAAGTGGGCCGGAAATGAGACGTCGCCTCCCCCAAATCCCGTCGAGTTTTAATCTCACGTCTTTGTTGCATCTGGCCGTGATGATTGGTGCATACGACACCCCATATCCCGGCATGCAGGGGCTGTGTTTGGGGCTCTGCCGGACCAGCCTAGACCCGGGCCTAGTTTTTGTTTGCAGCCAATCAGCAGAGGGGTTTTACAATATAAACAGACAGCATCTGCCGGTGAGATTAGCAGTTGGACAGGCATATCCGTCGCCAAGGTTCCTCAAGATCAATGAAATGCTACGGGATATTTCTTCGGTTTATACGCAGTATGAAGGCAGTCACTTATCCAATAGACCCATGAACAGATCGTAGCTGCATAATCTGGCATAAACAAATCACTCTCGGTGTAGTTCCAATTACAAGAAGGCCTAAGTATAGATCCTTTGCATCAAAACTTTCCAATCCATCACAATATCAAACCGACGCATCCATCTAAATAGTCCAAGGAAATTACTTTGAAATGTCACCCAACCAATCATTGATATCAGCCGGGACCTCAATATGCTTCCCCAACACAGCAAGCGTCTGCCTCATAAGGTCCTCGCGAAACGCCTTATACTTCTCCGCCGTAACGCAGTCCGTAGGCCTAAACAGCGTCAGCAATGCCCTGCGTATCAAACTCCCTCCCAAAAGGAATCCAAGAAAAGGAAAGGAAAAGCATACTGGCAAGCCGTCTCCCTAAAAAAATACCTCCCATGAAACTCCCGCGCCCCTAACGCTCTCACATAACCCCATGACCCCTCCTCCGCCGACTGACAAAACGCTCCCATGGCCACCCGCACGATCGGTCCCGTCCCTAAGTCGCGACAGATCTGCGTCTGGCTTGCTCCCGGCGTGAAGGATGCGATTTCCACGTTGTGGGCGACGTTATCGATAGAGGAAGCCAGTTCGTGCGTCCAGATCATACTCAGCAGTTTGGAGAGCCGGTAGCGCGTGTAGCAGGTTAATTTATCGGGGTCGTTGAAGCTCTCGAGGACTTCGTTGGCGGATTTGTGCGCGGGGATGTCCTCGAGAGCGTGGCCTTCCGATGTCACGTTGAGGAGTCGGCCCGGGGGAGATGCGGGGGAACGGTTTCGTCCGAGGGCTGTGAGGAGAGAGAGCGAGAGGCCGCAGGAAGAGAGGTAGTTGACTTGCAGATGGGTTTCGAAAGAGTCTGTGGATCGGGCGAAATGGAGGTGCCAGATGCCGGCGTTGAGGACTGCGATGTCTAGGGAGGGGAGGAGGTTCACGCGCTCGGTGAAGTCCCGGACGGACTGGAATGAGGCCATTTCGAGCGGCCAGACTTCGATCTGGGACTTAATGCTGGTGTCACTAGATAGGCTGTTGCGGATCTCTTCTACGGCTTGTTGGCCGCGCTGGGGATCTCGAGCGGTGATGATCAGTCGGGTGCAGTGGGCTGCGAGGATCTTGGCCAGTTGGAGACCACAGCCGGAGGTGGCACCTGCGATGAGAGCCGTACGACCTGTGAGGGCATCGAGCTCGGATGGTTGAAGGGCCTTGGATCGAGTGGTGAGATTGTTCCACATCAGTGGCAGCGGTCCGTCCCTGGCGAAGGTGAATAGCTTCGGATGCAGCACTTCCAGGCGCAGCATATGGTAAAGGGCCTGGACATCCATGACGAACTGGTGAATAGACTGCTCTGAGTCTGGACGAGCGAGAACAGAGGGGCTGAGCGATTAAAGCGTGTTCAAAAGCTAAGGCTTCGGACTGAGAGAGGCCTAGAGAAAAGCAGAGAGAAATCCAACGTCAGCCAGCGCAACGCGGGGTAACCTTCCTAAATAAATGATGACTTGGTTTTCCGCGGTGTTTGTTGCGTGATTGGGTGTGGTGGTTCCTTTAGCCAATCTACTGTGAGGGTGGATTCTGATATTGCCTCACATTCTCTACCATCCTGCACTACCACCTCTGCCATGCTAGATCTTGAAATTGATATAACATTACGCACACACCACTCAAATAGATCTAAAGATCCGGCTTCCTCCCCACCATCAAAAACATCGGCGTCACAATCCCCTTCTTCCCCGCCATATAAAGCGCCTCCATCGCCTGCATAACCTGCACCGCCTCGCTCCTCGTCCCAGCCGGCAAGATCCTCAACCGCTCCAGCGCCCCCGTCATATAATACAGCACCCCCCTGGACTTGAACGAATTCAACAGAAACGAGTAATAATTCTTCGCAAACGTATCACCCACCGACGCCATCATGCCGTACGTCCCATCAATCGGCGAATACCAGGGTATCCCGCCCGGCCTCTCCGCCAGATCCTCCGCGACCTCGACCTCGAAGCCTGCCCCCTTCAGGGCCTCCACGGCCTCCGATGCCTTCCGCAGCGGCGGGGCGTCAAAGACACCCTCGTACGTGCGTCTTGTCAGCTGATGATCAGGGTCGTCGTCGCGATACCGACTCGCCAGGACGGGCTCGTAGACCGCGAATCTAGCGCCAGGTTTCAGCACGCGGAAGATCTCCGCGTAGACGGCTTTCAGGTCCGGCGCGTAGGCCGTGGCCTCGATAGCGTAGGCGCCATCAAACGAGGCGTCGTCGAGTCCCATGTTCATGAAGTCTGCGGCGATGAAGGACACGCGGTCGGAGAGCTTGGCTGCCGCGGTGAACGCCTTCGCGTGTTGGATGTGGTGTTCTTCCAGATCGACGCCCACGACGTTTATATCGAGAAATCGCGCGATTTCTCGTGTCGGGCCCCCGTTGCCACAGCCGACGTCGAGCACTTTTTGGTCCCGGTGCACTTTCATCCATAATGCTAGGTAGTGCTCGTGGCGGGTGACTGCGTTGGAGAGCGTTTCGCCGGGGGTCAGGCGGAAGACGTGGATGAAGCTGCCGAAGACGTGCTCGATGAGGCTGGTGCCGTGCTCGTAGAATCTGTGAGGTTAGCTGATTGACTTGAGGAATGGGACTGAGAGGGTGAGGTACTGTTGTTTTGGTTCGTCATTTTGCTTGTCTGTCTGTGGAGGGAAGGGTCAATTGGTATTCATGGTTGCCTTTCTGAAGATAAGAAGTCTACCTTTTCCTTGACGTCTCCCATGTTTGCAGCTAATCCCTGGAAAAATGGCAGTCGAATATCTGAACCCGTTCGGTGGAGAGAATTCGTTCTTGGACAGGAGAACGACAATGCTTCATGAACTTGGGATTATCTCGGGCACTGGAGGGGAACGGTCAGCCAAATCAAAATACGCACTCATATTCCTTTCTAGCATTTACAGCAGAAACTCCGATTCGCGACGCATTCGAGGAAGTTACCCCGATAATCCCGAGCGACCTATAACCGGTAACAGGCTATTACTACTCGATTGGCACTAAAGGTCTCGACTGGGATGGAACGCAATCTCACCTCATCGTCGGTCGCATACATGATGCATGCCGCGACCCATATCACACTGCATGGTCTGACATGCGCGAGATGATGGTGTCAGCGTGTCAGAGTGAGACGGCGATTGGCAGCAACGGGATCCTGCCGAAGCAGCGCAGACGAAGGATGAATCAATATCAGACCATGCTTATCAGCGAGTACCGAATCCCCAGACGATCCCCGCAGATTACATCAAGGAAATAAGCAGCAGAGGCTGACACATACGATGGGAACCACGGATTGGCTGTCATCTTCGTCATCTTACTCAGATTGCCCCAGCGCCAAGGGCAGTGATTCTCATTCTCCACAAATCAACGGTCTAGGCTCAGAAGTACATGTGTCATGTCACCTTAAGACTGGCCAAGCTTCTCCAACGTGTCACAGCATCTCTTGATCGCTTTGGAAACCCCAGGGATGTGCTGAAACGAGAACATCTCGAAGTGGTTGCCCTTGACGTCGACCGTCTCCGTAAACAGCCCGGGATCATACTTGTCCCATCCAAGGGTCCGATCCTGACGGTAAATGTCTAAGATGTGTCGTCGCTTGGTCCTGGTCGGCAGCGGATCGACGGCTCGCAACAGCGAAAATCGAGGTCGTTGCGCAGCCTGACTGCCCGCCCAGACAGGGGGATCCCAGTCCCGAATCACCCGTAGTGCCTCCTGCATGGCTCTGATAGACAGAGCTAAGTTCCGGTCCGTCCTGTCGAGGTCGAAGTGGTCGAGAGTGTCCAGATAGCCTCCACCAGTGGGCAGATGGGCCGGGCACATACTTTCGATCATCAGGACGCCAATGACCCGCACGTCCCGATCCCCCGTCAGCACCTTTGCGATTTCGAGACTCAGCAGCCCGCCCATGCTCCATCCTCCCAGGAGGATGTCCACACTTCCGTCGGGGTTGCGCTTGCCCGGAAAGTCAGCCTGCAAGCAGGTCTGCTTGATCATCACGGCGTATAGGCGTCCCATTCCCCGCACTCCACCCTCGAAGCTACCGCCGCTGTGATAGCGCGGGTTGAAAAGTCCATAGGTCGGGCGCCGAAGGGGGTCTAGACAGTGGTAGGAAAAGGTCGTACCACCGCCGTCGTGGATCAGAAAGAGAGGAACTCGGGGCTTGGTGCCGTCGCGGTGCCACTCGAGATCCTGGATCAATTCGGGATTCTCCATGATCGGAACAGGCGAGACGCCGACGCGAAAGAAACACGTAAAGCGAGAATGTCGTCCTGCCAATGTCAAGTCCACAACAAGGAACAAAATAAGGGAAGCTCCGGCGGAGTCGGAGAGGGGAAGAGGATGGTGGCGTGGAGATGAAAGCTCCACGGCACTCGAGGCGAGCGAGAGGATAATAGGACAGTAATCACGCAGATTCGCCGCAGACCGCGCGAAAGATGATAATCATTCCTACCATTCCTGCTGATGAATAGGATCCGTATAGTAGACTATCTTCAAATTGGATAGGCCGCTCGGTACCAGTGGACCGGATAATGGTCTGTCTGACAACCCTCAAGCCACTAAGTGATCCTGGTGCTAACGAGCCAAGACGAGTCCGTTCCAGCTAACTCCCACATCAGCTCGTATAGAGGATTGTCTTACTTACGCGTGTACGCTGATCCGGAACTCCTGCATCCTTCGATGGAGGGGAGAATGGCATGTCGATTGGCTCGTCAGCAGCTGCCAATTGAACTCCCGCTGGCTGACAGGAAAAGTCAACCCGTCCGCTAGGATGAGCCTCTGCCGATACGTTCACGATATCTGAATGAGGCTGCTTCAGAAACAGCGCTGTTTCTTAGTGGATATTCCCCTCACCCCGACTTACGCAGTAAGCCGGGTGTTTGTGGTTTGAAGCTACCGCGGTGGGACTCAGCCCGTAAGCAGAGACAAAGACGGTGGTGTGTTCGGTGTTTGGAACGGTCTCGGATTATCGTATGGTAAATGTGATGCAGCGATTGGAATGGTCTTGGAGTCCAAGGTCGACCAGAAGATACACTCTGGATTATAAGAAGTCGACAAATTTGCCGGAATCCTGCCAAGAGTGCTATTCCTCGATTCTACAAGCATTCACTACGAATACTTGGATACATCAACCATCCAACTTATCAATCATTTCCCCAATATGTACGAGCCGATAGCCATTGTGGGCACGGCGTGCCGATTACCTGGTGCGTCAAGCTCTCCTTCCAAACTATGGGATCTCCTCAAGGCGCCGAGGGACGTCCTCAAGGAGTTTCCGCCGGAGAGGATGAACACGAAAGGCTTCTACAACGAAAACGGCGACATGCGCGGTCGTTCACTGGTCCGTCACAAGTCATACTTGCTGGAAGAAGATGTTCGTCATTTCGATAACGCCTTCTTCGATATGAACCCAAAGGACGCAGCCGATATGGACCCCCAACAACGGATCCTGTTGGAAACCGTCTACGAAGCCTTTGAATCAGCTGGCTGGTCCCTGAGCGATGTCGATGGCTCTCAGACCTCCGTTCACGTCGGTGTGATGACCGACGATTATCTGTTGATTCAAGGGCGGGATCCTGATACATTGGGAGGCCATGCTGCGACTGGTGTATCCCGCTCTATTCTCGCCAATCGCCTATCTTACGCCTTCAATCTTCAAGGGGCTTCCCTAGCTCTTGATACAGCCTGTTCCAGCTCGCTGGTCGCCCTACACTTGGCTGTGCAAGGTCTCCATCGAGGGGAGGCCACTCAAGCAGTTGTGGCGGGTATTAATCTGCTTCTGGATTCGACGTGGTACATCATGGGATCGTCGATGCATATGATTTCGCCGGAGTCACGTTGTCGTATGTGGGATAAAGATGCCAGTGGATACGCCCGCGGTGAAGGCTGCGGTGCGGTGGTGCTGAAAACACTCAGCCAGGCAATTCGCGACAACGACCATATTGAGTGCATTATCCGAGGAACCGGCGTGAATTCGGATGGACAGGGCAACAGCAGCGGGATCACAATACCTTCGCCTGCAGCACAAACCGCCCTGATCCAACAGACATATCGTGATGCAGGCTTAGACCCCGTGAAGGATCGATGCCAATATTTCGAATGTCACGGTACCGGTACTCAGGCTGGTGATCCTGCTGAGGCGGAAGCAATCCAAGATGCGTTCTGCGATGAGAACGGAGAGATGAGCGAAAACACTCTTTTCTGTGGTTCCATAAAAACGGTCATTGGCCATCTAGAAGGGTGTGCTGGAATCGCCGGTGTGATCAAAGCCTCGTTGGCGATTCAGAACAAAGCCATCCCTCCCAACATGCACTTCAGCACTCTCAATCCTAAAATCGAGCCTTTTTACGGCGGCTTGCAAATTCCTACCTCTCTTTTGCCTTGGCCAGAGACAGGCGGTGCGCCTCGCAGGGCAAGTGTCAACAGCTTTGGATTTGGTGGCACCAACGCTCATGCTATCCTCGAGAGCTATGAGCCGCCCAGTACCACCGTGTCCTTGGCAACCCCAACCGCTGGATTGGCAGATGACAGTACATGCTGGTCCGATTCAGTCGAGGGAAGGCTCGCGGGACCATTCTTGTTCTCTGCCAGAAGCCAGGGCTCATTGGTGGACTGGCTCAAGCACTTGCTCAACTACCTGCGCGTGAACGGGTCCATGGACCTTGATTCTTTGAGCAACACACTGAATTCAAAGAGATCTGTATTTCGGTATCGAGCTGCAATTCCAGCCGCCGTTGATCGCGAAGACCTCATTGAGAAGCTGGAGGATCAAGTCAACATTCTCAGCACATCATCCGACGGACCTCTTCGTCCCTCTCCTGGATCCGCCACTGCGGAGGGAGTGTCAATACTGGGTGTGTTTACTGGCCAGGTATGTCCGTCTCTACCTTCCTACAATTATTAGTCTTATGGACGCTGATGGCTGTTCACCAACCTAGGGCGCACAAGCAGCACGAATGGGCTTTGCATTGTTAGAGCATTGCAAATCCTTCAGAGAGTCTATCATGGACTGTGAAGCCGCCCTAGCATCGATTCCAAACCCACCGACATGGTCGCTGAGCGAGGAATTGGCCGCTGATACTACAGAATCCCACGTAGCAGAAGCCAAGTTCTCGCAGCCCCTCTGCACGGCAATTCAGATAGCACTTGTTGATTTTCTACGCGCCTGTGGGATTCGATTCCACACGGTTGTTGGTCATTCCTCTGGTGAGATTGGCGCAGCATACGCAGCCGGCCTGTTGACTAAACGGGATGCCATGGGGATTTCTTACTATCGAGGGTATGTGTCGAACCTTGCACGAGGCGACGCCGGTCAACAAGGAGCCATGTTGGCCGCCTCAATGTCCTTCGACGAGGCCACTGCAATCTGCTCCGAGCCGCACTTCAAGGGTCGGATCACGGTCGCAGCGAGTAATGCCCCCTCCAGCGTGACGCTATCCGGCGACAAGGACGCCACTTCGGAGATGAAAGAGTATCTTGATGAAAAGCAGATTCAGGCTCGAGCGCTTCAAGTCGATACCGCCTATCATTCGCACCACATGCGTGCCTGTGCTGAACCCTACTTGCTTCATCTCAAGGAGCTTCGCGTGACTGTACAAACACCATCGGTCGATCAAGAGTGTCGATGGTATTCCAGTGTTAGACAGAATACCGATATACTCGACGAACCGCTGGATTCGGAGTTAGAGGCCCAATATTGGGTTGATAACTTAACGCATCCCGTGCTGTTCTCCCAAGCCGTGACGCTTGCTGTGCATGAAAATAAGGCTGGGTTTTCAGCCGCCATCGAAGTTGGACCCCATGGCACTCTAAGAGGACCGGTGAATCAGACTCTAAAGCAGTTGTCCTCGGCAAGCACCTCAATGCTCTATACCGCCTGCTTGAGCCGGGGAACTAATGCCATCAAAACGTTCTCAGAGGCTCTGGCCACCATCTGGAGCCTTGCCCCATCTTTTGTGCAACTCTCTGGATGGCGCACAGCATTTGGCCTTGATGTCCACAAGCCCCTGATCAAGGATCTACCTCCCTACGCATGGGATCACACGCAGACTCATTGGCGGGAGTCCCGAGTGGCTCGCAACTACCGCCTTGATACACACCCTCCACATGATCTGCTTGGTCGTCTCTGGAATGATTCTGGGTCCGAGCAAAAGTGGCGGAACACCTTGCGACTGAACGAGATGCCCTGGCTCAGAGAGCATGTCTTCCAAAACCAGATTCTGTTTCCCGCAACGGGGTATATCAGTCTGGCCGTGGATGCGGCGAAGGTGTTTGCCAAGGATCAGTCGATCAAGTTCGTTGAGCTCCGAGACATGACTATCCCGAGAGCACTGCCCATCGGCGAGGGAGACGAGGTTGAAATTTTATTCACAATCCGTCGCCGGGTCTTGCCTGACCAAGTTGACACTGAGTCGGTCATCGAAGCAGAGTTCACCTGCTACAGCTATCCTGACAATCAGCTGGAAGCGGACAAGAACTGTGAGGGTCTGTTAACCATTCATCTCGGGGAACCTGAGCCGACAGACTTGGCACCTACGTACATTTCCGACGTGGAACTGACTCCATCCAACGTGGAGCGGTTCTATCACGCGGCGTCGGAGATCGGGTTCCAATACGAAGGCGCTTTCCGTGCATTGGACTCGCTCAATAAGGTCTGGGGCCACGCAAGGTCAATTGCATCGTGGTCTTGGGATGACCCCGACATGAATATCGCCTGCACCTTGCACCCGGCCATCATGGATGTCGCTTTCCAGACAGGACTTTCAACTATCCTCTCTACCGCGGAGAGATCGATGCATAGTCCCTATCTTCCAGTGGGTGTCAAACGGGCGGTAATCGATCCAAACCAGAATTTCAACACCGATGTGGCGATCGAGGCGTACATGACCAGTCCCACGGTCGGCCTGGGACCGCGGATTGAAACCGATATCAACATTAAACGCTCAAGTAATGGAACCGATGTCTGTGAAATCCAGCTGGAAGGCGTGGCATTCAAGGCCATTTCAGAGCCGCAGCCATCGGAAGATCGAAACATCCTAGCCAAGACAGTTTGGGCCCATGACGCAGCATATGGCCTGCTTCCGGCGGAGCTGATCGATAACGTCCAAGCGGACTCGTCGGCCTATACACCTGAAGAGTATGAACGTGTTGCCTTATTCTACCTCCGACGTCTAAGCGATTCAATCAGTGCACAGGAGATGGACACTTTACAGCCTCATCATCAGAAGCTAATCCGGTCGATCAACGCGCTGGGGGCGGGGATTCGCGAAGATAATGATCGAGCCTTCTTACAGGCTGAGTGGCTCAATGACACTTCTGAATTGATCTTAGATCTATTGAATCGTCACCCAGGTGACGCTGACATGGCGTTACTGACGTCAAGCACGGAGAGGACCCAATCTCTCTTGAAAGGGAGATCTGGTGTCGATGGCTTGTCAAGCTCTCTGTACCAACAGACCAGTTCGGGTGCTTCTTGCAGCCAAGCCATCGCGCAGTTGATGGTTCAGATCAGTCACACATTCCCCAGGACCAATATTCTTCATATGTGTGGTGATTCTGCCAAGACGGTCACCGACATCCTAGATGCTATTAACGATGCGTACGCATCGTATACCTGTGCCGACCCCTCAGATGACGTTGTTGATGTTTTGAGAAACAAGATCGGCCTGGATGTTGCAAGAGAAAAGAGGATCTCGTTCGAGGTGCTTAATACCGAGCCCACAGCCAGTAGAGAGCCTTACGATGTTGTCATCGTAACTGACATCTGTCGCGCGAGGCCAGACCTCTCAGAGAGCGTCCAGAGACTGCGAAGCCTGCTGCGCCCCGGCGGCTTTTTGATCTCGATGGAGCTGACAGGTGTCTCTCTTCGGCCAATGGCCATCCTGGGCGGCTCGGAGGAATGGTGGGAGAATGCCGGACTCTTGGTAGAAGGACCACGTATCAAGACCGGGGAATGGGATAACCTGCTGTCCGACAACGGGTTCTCCGGCATTGACTCCATATTCCACGATCAGCCCAAGCTGGGCATGCACGGATATTCCGTGTTCTCTACGCAAGCCACGGACGATCGAGTTGAATTCCTGCGCAATCCACTGACTTCGCTGCATATGATCACACCAACTCCAGTGATCTTTATCGGTGGTGAAACAAGTCGCGTTTCCAAGCTTATTCGGCAGGGAAAGAATCTCCTGCGTGGCTGCACGCCCGAGATCCAAGTATGGAGTCGTTTCGACCAGATTGACTGCTCTCGAATCCCGCCCGAATGTTCGGTCATCACCTTGCAAGATCTTGACAAGCCACTTTTCTCATCTCCTCCGTCGGTGAATGAACTGAAGAATCTCAAGGAAGTACTAGGCAATGCTCAAAATCTGCTTTGGGTCACGTCCGGCCGCTTGTTGGATGACCCTTATGCCAATATCATGATCGGAATTGGGCGGTCACTGAGACATGAACACATCCATCTCAATCTCCAATTTCTCGATTTCGATCAAGGAGAGCCATGGGATGTTCAGACCCTCATGACTCAGTTTCTTCGTCTGATATTCTCAACTTCTTCTCCGGGCGTAACGGAGGGAATGCTTTGGGTGCAAGAGCCAGAGATTGTGATCAGGGATTCCCAGATGATCACACCAAGGGTACTTCTAGATCATACATCCAACGAGGTTTATAATGCCGGCCGCCGTCGCGTGGTCAAGTCTGTTGAACCTACAGAGCCAATTGAGGTTATTCACGAGACAGCTGGGGCCCCATCGGAATCGATGCTTGCGTGCAGCCGTTCGATCGACACCCCAGAAGGCTATTTGCAAATGGAAGTCAAGTTGTCGGTCCCGCTACATGCCAATGATGAAGCACCTTGCTACCTATCATATGGCAGGGTCAAGGACGGTGGTGATGAGCCAGCAGCATTGGCCCTGTCAGCAATTGATTCCTCAGTTGTCACCATCCACAAGGACTTCGATTTCAAATCCCGAGCTGTTCAAGAGTACGACCCGGCGACTCTCGTGAATGTCGCAAGCTTCTTGATTGCATCCAATCTAGTCTCGGATATGCCGATCTCTGGAACAACTCTTGTATGCGGTGCATCTGACGAGCTGGCCAAGGTGATATCTGCGTTGGCCGCGGAAGCAAGCCGAAAGACCACGTTCGTTACAATCACCAAGACCCCCAGAGAGGGCAGAAATCCCGGGTGGATTTATCTTCACCCACAAACTCCCACTCGTGCTGTGAGAAAGTTAATGCCTCATGATGCCACTGCTCTGTTCGACTTGTCCCGCGACGGTGCAGCTTGTGTTTTACCGTGTCTGCCCCCAGGCTGCACAGCACAAATATTGGATGCCAGTTCTCTCTCCCAGCAGTCAGTGGAAGACGCCGTGAAGAATTATGAGACGCATAATGACGTTTTGGATTGCAAACCTCTGCCCACTGTCTTCTCCCTCTCGGATCTGTCTCGGAAACGTGTCGACAAGTCTGAACGCCTCTCTGTTGTCACAGACTGGAACCGAGAAAGACCGGTCAACGCGATTATCCGTGGTCTGGAGCCACAAACCCTCATATCTCCGAATAAAACTTACTTCCTCGTCGGTATGGCAAGTGAGCTTGGCCAGTCTCTATCCAACTTCCTTGTCCGCGGCGGAGCTCGCTATATTGTCTTGTCCAGCCGAAACCCCAAGAACAATCAGAACTGGCTTCGTGATCTCCGGTCAGTTGGTGTTGATATTCGCGTGGTGAAGATGGACGTCACAGACCGTGCTCAAGTCCACGAGACTGTCAAGAAGCTTCGTCAAACCATGCCGGAGATCGGTGGCGTGACCAATGCAGCCCTAGTGCTCGAACCGGCTGTATTCGCCAATCTCTCGGCGGCAAGTATCGCAAAGCAGATGATGCCCAAGATCCACGGCACAGCACACCTCGATGAGGTGTTCAAGAACGACCCTCTGGACTTTTTCATGTGTTTTGGCTCTCTGGGCACTGTGTTCGGGAACCCCGGGCACGCAATATACCACGCTGGTAATGCCTATATGATGAGCTTAGTGGCAAACCGCAAGCGACGAGGTCTGGTGGGATCCATTTTGAACTTTGGAATGCTGGTCGACGTTGGGTATGTGGCTCGTGCAGACCGCTCGGCTGGGTCCAACGTTGAAGAATGGCTCCGCACCGATGGATTAATCGCGTTGTCCGAAGCGGACTTTCACCATGTCATTCTTCAGGGAATTTCCGCGGGCCGGCTGGACTCTCCTACCTGCGAGGTCATCATGGGTGTTGATACATTTTATGACAAAGGTCAAATTCCCAGGCCGCGGTGGATAAACACGCCATTCCTCTCACATATGGTGCGCCGCGTTTCCGAAGCTGTCGAGGACGATGCTCCTTCATCTGGTAGTCACCAGTCAAGGCTAGACAGTGCAGCTACCGTCGAGGAAGCCATTCCGCCGATCACTGAGTTGCTATCCCAGAAGATCAAGTCCATGATCCATGTTTCTCTAGATTCCATTCATCCAGATGAGCCCTTGTCACGTCTAGGAATTGATTCCATTAACGCCATTGAGATTCGGAAATGGCTTTGGGAAAGGCTCAGGGTTGAGATCTCCATGGTGAAGATTCTTGGGCGAGACGCTTCGGCTTCCATCATTCGGACAGTAGCCGAGCAGTATCTTGCCAAAAAGCCTGAAGTCCCAGACAGCACACCGAATGGGAACACCGCTGTCGGAGCGGACGAGTCACAGCCACCGAAGACACAAGCGAACGGTCAGCTCGCAAAAGTTACACCCGAGGTGACACTCGATGATCAAGTCCGGTCGACTACGATCGGTCGTACCCACAGCACTGCAGACAGTAAAGAGTCGCCTACTTCTTCCGAGATGACACCTGGTTCATCACCAATCTCCACCCCAACCCCAGAGCCTGAGCTGGAGTTCATCCGGTCAGAACGCTTGTCCATTGCCCAAGCAGGGCTGTTCTACATATACAAGTTCTCTGATACCAGAACAGCACTCAACCTTACCACAAGGTGGAGGATTGATGGTCCCTTGGATGTTGAGAAACTTAGTCGGGCTTTCCAGAGGACTATCAATCGTCATGATTCATTGCGAACATGTTTCTTCGCAACCTCAGATCACTCCGAAGTCCAACAGCACGTCACCAGCACCAAACCCTTTCATCTTACTCGGCTGCAATCGACGGCTGAAACGGCGGATGCTGACGTGCGGAAGGCCTTCGAGAGAATCAAGGAGCATGAATATTCCCTCGAGACAGGGGACACTCTTCAGGTCACGCTGGTCCGTCATGATGCGCAGTCGCATACTTTGGTATTGGGACTTCACCAGCTCGTCATTGATGTAGTCAGCGTTTCACTTATTTTGAGTGACATTTCCCGCGAGTATCAGTCTCAACCATGGTCTCAGTACCCTGCCCCTACCTCATACCTTGACTATACCCGCGAACAATTCGACGATAGCCAGAGCGGGCGTTTCAAGGACAGTATTCACTACTGGATCAATCATCTGGACCCAATTCCTGAAGCTCTCCCGTTATTGCCGGTTGCAAAAGTCCGAACCCGACAGAGCAATCGGGCATACGGCCACCACACCAGTGAGAGAGAGCTGAGCAGCAAATTCGTGCAAAGCGTTACAAGGATCGGTCAGGCCCATGGTGTGACTCCAATGCAAATCTACCTGGCCGCCATGCAAGTCTTCCTCTGTCGCCTTCTGAACATTGATGATCTGGTCATTGGCGTTCTCCACACCGGTCGTGACCCAATCAGCAAGTTTAGGGAGACCGTCGGACATCTCGCCTCTATCCTGCCTGTTCGATTCAAGGGAACTCTGGATAGAACCTTCCCCGAGGTCGTGAAGAATACACGCTCAACTTTGCTAAACAGCCTCGACCACGCAAACCCTCCATTTGCTCTCATTGTGGACAAGGTCCGCCCTGGAGTAAGCGAGGGCAATATGCCGCTTATCCAAGTAGCCTATAACTACACAGTCGATGATAGTCTTCCAAGCACTCTAGGAGGGTGTACCATTGCTGTGGAGCAAGCGCATCACACCACTGTGTACGACTTTGTCCTTGATGTACGCCGATCGGCTTCAGGCGGCCATGTCCTCGGAATCACCTGCACCGATGACTTTTACTCGCTTTCTGCCACGCAATTTATCACCGAGGCCTGTGTCGGTGTTCTTGAAGGTCTCGTTAGAGAGCCTCTGACTGCAGTTAAGGACTGCAGACTGTTCAGCGACACCCAGCTAGAACAAGCGAGAACTGTGGCACGCACCCCTGCCATCCCGCATTCATGGCCCGACTCGTTGTCTGAGAGATTTATTCAAGTTGCTGCGGAATTCCCGAGCTCAGTTGCGATTAAGGACGGTAGTGAGGCAATTACTTACAGCCAACTGAAGTCAAAGCTAGAGCATTATGCCGGGATATTGCTCGATGCCAACGCCACAAGTGGAACTCGCATTGCGGTGTTCTGCAAGCCGAGTATTGATCTTTACGCGACAATGCTGGCCGTCTTTCGGATCGGGGCTATCTTTGTTCCCCTGGATGTAAGTATTCCTGCCGCGCGACGAAATGACATATTGAAGGCATGCAAGCCCCATGCCTTGGTCTTTCACGCGGCAACTGCCGACCAGGTGGCGGAGAGCCATACCGATTTGGGCAGCGCATTCAGGCTACTCAACATAACTGAGCTGGCTCGATCTCACCGACAGGATTACCGTACTATTCCCGAGCAAGCTCCTTCGAAGCGCGGATCGGATAGCCACATTCTCTTCACGAGTGGCTCCACTGGCGTACCGAAAGGTATCAGGCTTCATCAGAGAGGTATCATGAACTACGCAGTTGTTTCCAGCAAACGATACGACTTTGGACAAATCCGAGTCTTGCAGCAAACTTCCATTGGATTCGACGTGTCCTTTTCGCAAATCTACAGCGCCTTCACCAATGGAGGAACTCTTGTGGTCGCCCCATTCGAGAGCCGAGGCGATCCAGACATGCTTTCCCGACTCATCCTGGATGAGAAAGTCCAGTTTACCATGTGTACTCCATCTGAATACAGCTTGCTTCTTGCCTATGCGCCAGATCGTTTGCGGCAATGCACCGAGTGGCGCTTCGCCGGGGCAGGCGGCGAAGTCCTCCCTCAAAGGCTCGTTGATGGCTTGCGCGAGTTGAAACTACCCCATCTGATGCTGACCAACTGGTATGGACCCACTGAAATTACCGTTGGGACGAGCCGAGATATCCCCATCCACGATGGTGCCAATCCGATCCATGATCCAAGAAATGATAAGATCGGCTCCGTTATCGGCCATGTCGTTCCAAACAATGCGGTTTACATCACCAGCGAGGATGACGGGAGTCTGTTGGCCCCAGGTATGCCGGGAGAGATATGCGTCGCGGGCACCATGGTAGCCAACGGCTATCTTGATCCGCGACTCGATGACGGTGTATTTGTCGCAAATCCATTCACGACAGCCCAGGATGTGGAGCACGAATTCACAACCATGTATAAAACAGGAGACCGAGGTCTAATTCAAGAAGACGGGTCAATAGTCTTCCTTGGTCGAACTAAACGTGGCAGCACGGTCATCAAACTTCGAGGTCTCCGTATCGATCTGAACGAAGTGACTGGTGCAATCTTGGAAGCCGCACCTGACGACTTGGCTGACGCAGCTGTGACTGTTCGCGGCGAGCCACAGTTCCTGGTTTGCCATGTGGCCTTTAAACCGGGAAGGCACCTCGAGCATCGGCAACTCATGGATCTTCTCCAAACACTTCCCCTCCCACGATACATGATCCCAGCCACCATTGTTGCGTTAGATCGTCTGCCGCTTGTGCCAAACGGCAAGCTGGATCTTGAGCTACTGCAGAGCCTGCCACTTCCTGCGCTTGCGGCTTCTTCGGGGCAAACACCAATCCAGCCCCTGACACAGAACGGAGAAAAGCTCACGCCAATTGAAGAAAGGCTTCGCAGGCTTTGGATTGATATCATCGGAGTAGTCGCAGGTACGGCGGACATCGGTCTACACTCTTCCTTCCTTGCCGTTGGCGGCAATTCTTTCCTTTTGGTTCACCTGCAGCATGCTATCAACCGCGAGATTGGGGTAAAAGTTCCCCTTCCACAACTGGGGCAGGCGGAGGATCTGAGGGATATGGCTGCGTTGATTGAGAGGGAGCGCAATTGATTCGGGGCATGACGATGCCTATAACCAGCTGGACACGCTGATTGGCACTATCAACCCTTATTCTTGTATTGCTATTTTAATGCGATAATATGACATGCTCGGGTTGTCAATAGTTCTCGTAAAATCAGAATTCCAGGTACATATGGGGAAAGACTGTTCCCTTGGTACATCTGAAGTTGGATGAAGTCTCTTCGGCGCGATCTCTAGCTCTGGGCCTTGAGACCGGACTTCGAATCAGTGTCAATCCAATGGAAGTTTGTTGTGTCAACACAAGGAGAAATGGGAGTTCGATGCAAGCCGCCAACTTACCGCACGATCTGTGGCAACCTTGTTTCATCGACAAAGATACTGAGCGATATCAATCCGTCTTCGAGATAGGACTTCCCCTCTGGATTTCCCGCGATGACAAGCCGACTGAATCCATGGAATGGCTTGGCATACCAGAGAGGAGATCCATCTCTATCTGTTCCTTGGCGAGTTAAAGATCCGAAGGTCAGCCCGCCACCGCCATTAACCTGAGAGTACTGCAAACCATTGAAACCATTGCAGAGAGCGTTAGGAATATGCAGAACATTTTTGAGCACCAGAGTCCTAGTAGTAGAAGTGCTCTCGGGACCTGTGTGCACAAGGAGTTCCACGGTGCCCATCCCGGCGATGTCTAGATCCTCCTCTCCAAACGGGGAAGCGGGAGACCTGATTCCGACTGGAACGTAGTCCTTGAAGAACAAGCGATCTCTGGCATAGTGGTGGGTACTCGTAAGTACTATCATCCAGTCCCAGCAGGGGTGGCTTTCGGTCATATTGATTTTCGCAGGTGAGGAATGGGTTCTGTTGAGAGGTCACAACATCAGATGGCTTGCGAAGAGGGAAACAGAGGGAGAGATTCATTCCTCCATCAGGCAGGAGCGACCAGCCATTCCCTGCCTCAGGCTGCAGCATGTTGAACACTTCTGGGCAGAAAGCAATTCACAGTTCAATTGAGCCTAACTATATCACAGTACATGTTTGCACTTGTCGATTCAACACCACTCGTGGTCGTCAGTGGACAGTACAATTGTGGAGCTCGAGTCAATTGGTGGATTGAGAAAGAACTCTGTTGAAAATATATTCCGAAAGAGTCAATCATCGTTAGGATTGTGCCAAACGCATCATTGCCACGATATCTACCAAAGCACACGAGTTACTAGGTAGTAGTGATGACCGTTTGACTCGAATCGATTAACCGTTTGAGAATACTGGATTACGATTGCATGGGATACCTAAGGCCGCGGAGAACAGATCCATCTGCAAACCATGTGGCTCACCGAGGTCATCTCTGCATGGCTTCGTTTGCGGATCAACCGCGCGGGTTGTCATTGGCCGATTCAAAGTTCGAACTGGTCAGTGTTGTTGACCGAAAACGAACCCAGCATGACGGCGTTGGGATCCAGAATCAGTTCGGACATGCCGACATCCACGGAATGGAGACGAGAAACGGTTCCAACCGTTGGGAAGCATCGCAATCAATTTCCAGGCCTCCAAATGATGAATCATGACCGTGTTTACATCCATGATCTATTTTTGGTTTCTTTGTGCGAGACCATTGGTGCAGGGCTTCGGATGAGGACAATAGACTTCATCGTGACGACAATCCGGTCGGTCTGGAGTTGCGACAAGAGCAGGCACGAGTGGCGGTGCCGGGGCTGGTGCTGTGGCGCGGGTCCGGATGAGGTAATCACCAGGGCGGGTTGCCTGAAGCGGCCTGAGGTTGGCCTGGGACATGTGACGTGACACGTCCGGTGGGCCCGACAGGGGTGGGGCTTAGTCATTTAGCCTCCAGGCGCCAATCAGCGGGGAGGCCGCATCAATGCTGACATCACAGGGTCTCGTCAGGGCTGCGCTTCATGTGGTCGCGATGGGGAATTCGTCTTTTTCCCGTCCTCCGTTGCGGGTGGTTTGCCAATCAGACCGGTCCACTCTTGTCGTCACCCGTGGATCGTCATGAGGATGGTCTGCGATGGTCTGCGATGGTCTGCGATGGCCTCCTTGAAGGGCCTGTGAGATTTATTGATTCCCCCTGGGTTCCACCTCGCGCCCAGGCATTCAGGGAAAATACCTCCACCGATCTGCCCTCCTTCGACACTTGGTGTGCGTCCCCTGGAACCTCGTCGACAATGCAATTTTGCTGCCTTCAAAGTTTGAACCTTTTTCCTCCTGAAAACTCTATATCTTCCTGGGAAAGAAGAAAAACCTTGAACTAAGCCCTGCTGCCCACTGTTGGCCAACCTCTTCCCCCCGCCATTTTCCAATATATAATTCCTCCGCCATCGGATTTCCAACGCCCTCCCCTCGCCATTCCGCCATAAACGACGGACAGCTTAGAAGACATACGAAATTAAACCCCCTAATCCAGCCTCCAGACCAAGAGTCCACGACCGGTCAGGATGGGTTTTGGTGGCGTGGTTCTCCGGTTTTTCAACCTCGCCATTCGCGTGCTCCAGTTCTTGGATGCAGCCGTTATCCTCGGTATTTTCTCATACTTCCTGGCGGTCCAAACTCGCCATGACCAGACCATCCCGCAATGGATGAAAGCGACCGAGGGTCTCTCGGGCGCAGCCACTCTCTACGGACTATTAGGCATCCTCTTCACCTGCTGCCTGGGCGGAATCGCTTTCTTTGCCGCTCTGGCCGTCATCCTCGATGTCTGCTTCGTCGGAGCCATGGTTGCCATCGCCGTGATGACCCGCGACGGCACCCAGAAGTGTACCGGTAACGTGAAGACACCGCTCGGGAACGGCAACAGCGACGACGAATCTGCTTCCAACGTGACCTACGGGTTCGTCTGCGAATTACAAAAAGTGGCATTTGCTGTCTCGATCATTGGAATGTAAGTTTGAAACGATCATGCCACCCGCATCAAAGTCTCAAACATGACTGTTTGTTTTGGAGTTGAATTCCCCACTAACATTATACCCCTTTTTTTAGCTTTTTCTTCCTGGTCTCGATCCTCTTTCAAGTCTTGTATGCACGCCACCACAAGCGCGAGAAGCGCTTCGGTCCCTCGCCGGCAAACGGATACACCTACGGCACTCAAGGCAAGAGCCTCTTCCGTCGGAATAAGAAGAACAACCCCGAAACCGCCAGCGGTGATGACATTCTTCCCGGCCACCCTACGCCGCATGATGTGGAATTAGGCACCCCTGAGGAAAAGCCAGGGCTGCTGGGCCGGATGTTCTCGCGGAAGAAGTCGAACGCCAACGCTCCTGGATACGGCAATTCCGCTTACACCGGCAACTACTAGGATGAGTCGAAGTCACTTGTCCTGTCATATTGAGACATGAGAAATTGTGAGAGCTGGTTTCGACAATATGTGTACCATGAGAATTGCGAACCCCGGGTTCTGAAATACATGTTCTCTGCTACATACGAACATCGCATGGTAGATGTTTCGCTCGGGGGTACGAGACCCCGATTTATTTTCTTTTTATCTATTTACTTCCCTTCGTTTTGGCTTTGGGTAAGGTCTATGATTTAATGAACTGGGATAAGATACCACTGGGACTGCATTTGGATGGATTTGGATTGCTATGTAAAATAGCGGATAGGAATAGGCCTTATCCTTTTCAATATAATGATTTTGACTCAAGATGACCTCTACTGGAAATTCATTGGATAACACGACTGACAGGCGTCTACGCGCAGGTCTTTGGCAGCTACTGCCTGGAAGAAACACTAGTGCTTCAAACCATTGACATTGAAAACGATAAAAACATCATATCTAATAAACATTGACATATTATACGAGTGACAACGACAGTCCAACCACAAAACAAAAAGCCACCATCACAAACAGAGTGAGAAAGGAAGATATTACACGGGTCATTGAGAGTCAGCGAGTGGACGTGGTCTGTCCCCGCGCCAGGCGAGGCTCCCACCGAGAAAGCGAACGTGCGGTGCCATGAGGCACTTCAGGAAATGCGCTGCATGGCGCCGTGACGACACTGCGTGCCGGGGGCAACGGTTCCCATGTGGATGACTTGACCGTTGTCGCACAGCGACCACGAGTTTGCGTCAGCACCGCAGACGATGGAGCCGTTGGTGCAGGTCTCCTCAGCGGCAGTGTGTTCGGTCGTTGGCTCCAGCTCGCGTGCGGGCTCGGGTTCCGGGTCGGCCTTAGATTCGGGCTTCACTATCTGCTCGACAGCTTCGGTGGGAAGTGCGTGCGCCGCAGAGGGAGTTCCGAAGGTAGAGGCGACCATGTTGCCGGCAGGACTGGCGACAGCTGACGAGCCGACGGCGACACTGGACGGAATCATGGCGCTCTGAACGACAGCGCTTGAGGAGCTGGTCTGAGGGGCCTTGCTGCTGGACTGAACGCTCGAGCTAGAATCAGAGCTCGTGTTGTTGTTGGAGGTGAAACCAGAGCTAATGCCATTAGCAGCATTGGTACCGTGTCCACCGCCGAGGAAGGGAGCCGAGCCAGAGCACTCGTAACCCTTTCCACTGAGAGACCCTTCGACTGATGGCCCAGGCAGTGGGAAGTTGACCTCCTCTCCTTCAATGGTCTTGCACCCAGCGGGCCCACCGGTGTTGGCACGGAAGAGTTCAGGGAGACTGCTGAAGGAGTCACGACGGACAAGGTCAGTGGTCATCTCACGGTTCGCACCGCCTCCAATGGTGACCTGGGCGCAGTTCATGTACATTTCACGGTTTCCGACCTTGTTGAACCAGCTCCAGGCCAACAGAGCTTCGCCATTCTGAGCGTCGCTGGGGATTGTGAACTGGTAGGACTTGGTAATTGGGCACCCTCCCAGCATGGAGTGAATGACCTTCCACGTCGAGCCAGTGTCGTAGGACAGAGCGATTTGGCACGACCCTCCGCCGTGTACCGCGCTACCTTCCAACTCTAAATTGTATGACGAACCAGGGCTATAGGTTGCCACAGACGTGAACGGGTCATTGGCGTACCCCTTGCAAGGATAATCTGAGCCATCCGTGGACAGAGGATTTGTGTACGAGTAGTCCTTTTGTCCACTTCCATCCTTGTTCAACGGGCTGCGGATTGGATAGGGGTTGGACATCTGGATGTGGCCGGCGACAGAGGAGGCCAGAAGCCCTCCAGCCAACAGCAAGCTCTTCATCATTTTTGAAGTTGCTTTCTAGGAGTGTTTGTAATATGAAAATCTGCAGTTACATGAGTGTTCCGGCCCTCCATTTTTCCCAGATCGGTCTTGTTACTCACTTTTCTCCCAGGCTTTAACGATTCGATCTTTCGTTTCAGACTTGCAAGGATGAGCGAGGGATGTCTTGCCCTTCACTGGATTGGGGTCTGTTCGAGGAATTTGAATATTGAAGGAAGCACGCACAAGCAACCTGTTGGATTTTTGAAAATGTAAACAGAGAACAGCCTGGAAGGAGTAATTCCCCGAGGTAGGGTAGGACCTGTCTTATATATTGGCACCATCAGGTATGCCTGTTTGTCCTTTCCATTGAACAAACCGGTTGTGACAGGAATGGTGAATGCCAATTCGTGTCATTGCAGTCAGGAGCAACGGGCCATCTTACGGCGAGGAATGTTGCGGCGGGAAGTCTTCCAAACATCGCTCGCTACACGGCCAGCCCCTGAGCATTCCAGGTGAAGCCCAGAGCACAAACCCACCAACGACAAGGTATCGGTCTTGCGCCGTGATGCCCATTGCGCTCAGAATAGTACACTCACGCAGTTCCTGCAGTACGTGGCTTGCAAGTCCCTTGAACCTACCGGTGGGGGTTACTGTAAATAGTACTGGATTCCAGGACGCGATGATATCACATCTATTACTGGACCTGCAGATTTGGCGCCCCGAAGCTTGAAAAGAACGCCAGTGGCCGACATGACTTGTGCTTGATCGTAGTGAATGCTTTGCCATCTTGTTTTCTTTAGGGCAAAGCGGGTCATTATTCAGCGCAGCCTGAGGCAGACAACCACGGGAGCTCGCGACGGCTCTGACCTCATCTTTGCTCCGACACGCGCCTCTCCACGATCATGTTCTTTCCGACGCCAGTCTTTCTCATTATCTAGGCTTTCATCTCCTTCTCATTTCTTCCGATTGTAATCCCCGTGACTGAATGCCTCTGCGTTTTGTCATCGACAAGAAGCTTGCTGGTCGTGTTCTTCCCTTCCACCATGCCGCGCGTTACCAGGGCGGCCAGGAATTTGGCTCCCACTTCCGCAGCATTCGCCACACCTCGTCGAACTGGCGGATAATTTGCCCGGTTACCGTGGCGAACCGGTCGCCTTCTTCGGCGCGAGCTCATGCCTTTAGTGCTTCTTCAGCCTCTCCTCTCCCTGTCCGTGTTTCGAGTGGTACAGTTACTAGACTGCATTCCTTTTGCAGTCGATCACTGAAGCTGGCGACGACTGCAATCCCTTCGCCACCCCACTTGAGATCATTTTCCTCCTCTCAGGCCCAGAGCTCAAGCTCGCAAGCTATGCCGGCCAATAAAGTATCTCTGGAAGAGGGTGTCTCGCCCGTCGAAAACCTCGAAGGAGGCGTCGATCAACGAGACGCGCGTTCAATTGGCCCGTCACAGGATGTCTCCATAGACCCGGAGTCGGATGACAACGTACCCGTTGAAGCAGAAGAGCTCCAAGAGGCCTTGACGCGACCTCCACCGGTGAACAGCAGCTATCTGCCCCTCCCTTGGAAGGGCCGATTAGGCTATGTGAGTCATAACCCGCGATCTTTCCCGGACGTTTCGTAGCTTATCGTTGATAGGCCTGTTTGAATACCTACTTGCGGTATTCAACCCCACCGGTTTTCTGCTCTCGTACGTGTCGCATCGCCTCTATTCTAGAAAACCGGCACCCACTATTGGATCCATCCCAGCCTCCTCATCCAACAAAGAATCGGCCGGATCGCTCCGAGCCCGCGGATGTCGCGCGTGGTCAGGCTTTTGTCGAGTCCTTGGGGCTTGCTAACGCCCATGATGTTGCCAAGATTCTGCGTTGGAATGACCGCTATGGTATCAAGTTCATGCGATTAAGTAGCGAGATGTTTCCTTTTGCCAGTCATAAGGAGTATGGATACAAGCTAGCTCCTTTTGCTGCCGATGTCCTCGGCGACACCGGGCGGGTTATCGCAGAGCTAGGCCATCGCGTGAGTGTACACCCTGGTCAGTTCACGCAATTGGGCACCCCGAAAGAGGAAGTTGTCGAGAGCTCCATCCGAGACCTAGAGTATCACTCGGAGATGTTGCAGCTTCTCCGTCTACCGCCCCAGCAGGACCGTGACGCTGTCATGATTCTCCATATGGGTGGCGTTTTTGGTGACAAGGAAGCCACCCTCGATCGATTCCGACAGAACTATAAGAATCTGTCGCAAGACATCAAGAACAGACTTGTCTTGGAGAATGACGACGTGAGCTGGTCAGTGCATGACCTGTTACCCATTTGCGAGGAGCTTAACATCCCGCTTGTTCTGGATTTCCATCACCACAACATCATCTTCGATTCAAGTCAGCTTCGCGGAGGGACGTTGGACATCATGCAGCTCTTCGACAGGATCAAGGCTACCTGGACTCGAAAGAACATCACGCAAAAAATGCATTACTCCGAACCAACCCCGGCCGCCATCACGAATCGCGAACGTCGGAAACATCGAGATCGTGTTACCGCCCTTCCGCCCTGCGATCCTACTATGGATTTGATGATCGAGGCCAAAGACAAAGAACAGGCCGTCCTGGAACTGATGCGGATATATAAACTTCCTGGTCATGAGCTTTCGAATGATATTACACCCCACGTCCGAACTGACGAGAATAAGCTTTATAAGCCCCCGCGCAAGACCAAAAAAGACGGTGGCTTTGTTGATCTCGATGGCCTGGTTCCACCCCTACAGAATATTCCTGAGGAAGAGATTGGCATGGGAGGCCCTGAAGGCAGGGTTTATTGGCCACCCGGAATGGAGGAATGGCTCCGACCCAAAAAGGTCATTCGGACTAAGACGACCAAGAGTCCTGCCAAACCGCGAGCATCCAGAAAGAATGATGGGAACGTTGGGCCTACACAAGAGAATGGAGACGCCGACAATAATAGCACCCCCGCGACGCCCGAGCCCAAGAAGACCACGCGGGCCCCGCGTACTTCCAGCGCAAAGAAGTCGACCACAAGAAAGCGCAAAGCTTCTGTGGAGTTGACCCCTTCTGCTTCAGATGAAGAGGTACCACCTGAGACGCCCAAAGCTTCTACATCACGGAGTTCTGGCACTCGACGAAGTACTCGAGTAAAGCAGGTCAACTATGCCGAAGAAAGTGGATCAGCATAGGCCACTTTACCTATAAATATGCTGTTTCATGTATTATATGCGGTTCAACCCTGTAAATGGGTATTATGGAAGACTCGGAGCCAGACTTGGGGTTTGAGACTTAACGCAGCGTGCCGCTCTAGCCATTGAAACGTGGTTGACATATGCGCGAGGCTTCATGCATGAGTAAGATCATGCAGTTCAATCGGCTCCTAGGGGTTCCAAGGATTCGTCATGTATCGATAATAGCAATTATATAGAAATAGACCAACAATCCCTAGAGGAACATTGACCCAGCATCACTTCCTGTTATTCCTGTAACCCCCGTGATTAGTGCTGCCTCAGGCGCCCCCACCTGGGCCAGCGACCGCCCGAGACTCGCGCTCCCTCAGGATAACGTCACTCTCGCAATCGTTCGCTGCAGTCATGAAACAGCCTGTTGCCTTTTCATCTGGCACTAATTGAAATCCGGCTCACTGACCACCACTAGAGTGCCATCATGGCCTTTTGACCCCCTAATGACAACCCACTCTCGTTTGACAGCCCCCTTGGACTCTGAGCGCACAGCAAGCAAGTGAGACCCGGCATCTATTTAACGCCAGGACTATTTTAGACTACCTTCTTGTCCTACACTAACTAGAATCGAACCTGCATCGCCTGTAAGGCTGAACCATCGATCCTGGCTCCCAAACCGCCTCTTCGCAACCGCTTGCGCCTTCCTCCGCCGACTTCCTCCATCAGACGCTCTCCCCTCGGTCGGCCTTTCCCTCTTCCCTCCAATTTCCTTGATCAGCCTCGACGCAGTCGCCAGGGGAAATTCGACCTTTTCCTCCGCGTGCTTTTCGGGCCACAAGCCAGCCGCCGCGCCCAGTTGCGCCTCTGGGGGTTTCGCTACGAGACCATCCCAGCCCTCCGCCACCGTGCCCAGGCAAGGGTCTACCGAGCGATCGTCCAGCGACAGGCCAAACTCGCCCAGCGACGTGCATCCGGTAGACGGGGGATCGTCGGATTCTTCACGGCAACACGGAGACGACTCCGGGGGACGGAATCGCGGTCGGGTCGGGTCAATAGCGGCGGGGTGTCGTCGGACGATCGACGCAGGCACATTTTGAAGAGAGGCGGGAACGCGGCGAACGCACCACCAGCACCGGTCCCTATGTCGCAGTACTTGCCGTCGTCGTCTTCTGCCCCCGGTGGACGTCGCAAGAAGGTCTTCGAGTATTTGAAAGCGGCCAATGAATTGCGCCAGTCGTACGCCGCACAATGGACACAGCAACGAAACGGCCTACGCGATTACGATGAGGATTACTTCAATACGCCGGGGGCTTTCCCGGACGTCGAGATCGCGAGGTCCGGCGATGAAGAGATGGTGATATTTCCGAGTTACGCGCGTCGGCTGATCAAGGGCCAGCATCCCTCGCGAGAACAAGCGAGGCGACGTCGGGATTCGACTTCCACGATTGATGAATACCGGGGTGGCTCGGAGGAGATCGAACGGCCCTTGGCAGATTGGGAGGTGATCGAGGATGAAAACGCAATTGTCGCTGTCGACGTGCGCGGCTGGGTTTACGCACCTCATCGCGGGCCGATGACTCGAAAGCATCGCTTGATGATTGCGCTCGCTCGAAAGCTGAGTGGCGTTCCGGCTCCGAATAATCCTTCGAACGAGGCCGAGGATCCAAATGCTGCTGGGTCTATGGGAACCACGCGTGGAGGGAGGGAGGATGAGCTTGTGGACACGGAAGCACAATCGATCATCAGAAAGGCCGAAGGGAGGACAGACACGGGTCTTGAGGATGGGACACTACCAGGTCGACCTTTGCAAAAGACATCGACATCGACGTCACTGGAGACAATACCCATGAGCAAGGATGAGCTTTCTGTTGCTAATGCCCATCTCATGGAGAGACTGCGTCCATTCCTGACAAATCCTATGACGGAGATGCCTGTGACCGTCTTCTTTTTCAATGATGGGAAGAGTCAGTCTAGGAGCATCATGACTGACGAATCCGGTCACTTTATGCTTCGTGCTGCGCTCCCTTTTGTGCCGACCCATGTTCGCGTGCTGGCTTCGGAGGAGCTGTCCGCCGTGAAGGGGGTCCAGATTGTCGAACCGACGGGTGTCAGCTTGATCAGTGATGTCGATGACACGATAAAGCATTCCGCCATCGCTAGTGGCGCCAAAGAGATCTTCCGCAATACCTTCGTCCGCGAGCTGGCCGAACTAACCATCCGCGGAGTCCCAGAGTGGTACAACAAGCTGGCTCAGATGGGCGTCGAAGTCCACTACGTGTCCAATGCACCTTGGCAACTATATCCATTGCTTGAACGATACTTCAAACTGGTCGGACTGCCTCCTGGCTCTGTCCACTTGAAGCAGTACAGTGGTATGTTACAGGGCATTTTCGAGCCCACTGCCGAACGCAAAAGAGGGCCCCTTGAGCAAATTCTGCGAGACTTCCCTGAGCGCAAGTTCGTTCTAGTTGGTGATAGTGGCGAGGCCGATCTTGAAGTTTATACCGACATTGCCTTGGCCAACCCTGGACGGATCCTGGGGGTCTTCATCCGCGACATCACAACGCCAGATCGTAAGAGGTTCTTTGAGAAGTCGGTCGAACATTTAGATAATGCTTCGTCACGAAGCCGCAGCACCTCTCACCTTCACGATGACTCGGACATGATTGCTAAACGACCTACACTACCACCCCGCCGAACACAACAATCTCCCAGTCCCCCTTCAGAGATCAAAGAGCTGGATAATGCCGACTTGATTGATCTCCGGGATGAGGTTGAGTCAAGTCCGTCGGAGGATGCGTTGAAGCCCCTTAATGCACGAGCACCTCCCGCAAAGCCGTCCAAGCCGTCTTCTCTGCGCACTGTCTCGACCACCTCCGAACTAGATAATGGCAGCTCTTCTTCCTTGCCACAGGACGCAATCAAACGGAAACCTGTGCCGCCTCTACCGGCTCGGCGTAACCCCCAAGCAGGGCAGGGATTATCGGAGACGAGCTCCACCAGCTCTCTACCCACTCGCCCTAAGCCAAGCAGCGACAACAGCTCATTCGTATCTCAAGACCCGAACGACAGAAGGCCTTCACGTACGAAGCAAGCGCCACCTCCGCCTCCACCTCGTCGAAGCAATACTGCTGCCTCCACATCCGCGGCAAGCGTCAGTTCCACACAAACCAGCTCTCCCCGACCTCCTCCCCAGAAACCACCGCAATCATACCCAGCGGCTGCAGCCACCGCCGCCTCCGCGGCAATACAGTACGCGTCTGACCGTCTCCCCTGGGCCCCTTCACCGTCCAACCTCCTCCGAACCACCACATCCAATTCCAACCTCCGCAACAGCAGCGATAGCCAGGACTCTGACTCGCAGTCTGGCCTCGCCTATCCCAGCTCCGCAGTCGGTCCGTTGCCCAATCGCCGCGAGGAATTGTGGCGCCGACGCTGGGAACGAGCTCATGATCTTCTGGCTGACCATGGCGTCGTCCTTGGAAGTTGGCGCGAGGGCAAAGATGTGCAAGATGTCAGTATTTGGTTGGTAGAGGAGGCGTTGAAGGAAGCGAAGCGAAATGCAGGTGGTGGAGGGTTTAAGGCGTAGGACTACTGTTACGGCAGTGGGTTTGTTGCAGTCAGGTTCTTGTACATAGACGGTCCCTCTACTCTTTTTATTTCCTTATTTATACATATTCAATAAAGAAATGGACAGTCTGTCCGCACGTTCATCTTGTTCTCTTCCCTTCTTTCCTTTTTTGTGTCTTTGGACCCTGGTGTGCATGGATTTAGGGATTTATATTTTTGCCAATACTATATCCAACCACTTTCACATGTGCACTACTAGCTCCTGAGGTCAAGAAATAAATAGAAAACAAAGAAATGTCATCAAAGAACACCCTACATACTAGGGTGAGTATGATACATGCAAGAGGATTCGAATTTGCTTTTGCAACGACTACTTTGGCATTTATACAATTTCACCTCAACCGTCTCCCTCTCCCCCTGACCTACCTATTACTCTCTCAACGCTGGCTGCGTGCTATGTGCAGTAACACAAAGCCTGACGTCATAGTCCGATGGAGCCAATGGGAGGACTTTCTGAAAGACGACGTAACCAGATCTGGTTAGTTCGACCTGGTACCTAGGTGCTACTATTGAGGGCAGAAACATAGTGCAGTGTTCAAAGAAGCCCAAGTATCTAGATCAAACAGAATGTCAGCTGAAACCATTGCTCACTGAAGGCCGGCCGAGAGAGATTTGAGATGAGAGGCTTAGAGTGTGGAACAAGATGTGGTGGTCGTTGGACTTTACTAGGTAGGTAGTGGTAGTGCCGTGCACGTGGACGGCCCAGTCAAAATCCTGCCACTGACAACTGAAGAAGTTGCAAGAAGATGAATACCCTCGAAACAACCTATTAAGCTTAGCGCTGCATAGGATGGGTACAGTGCTAAATAGTCTATCGATAATAAGATCTAAGAATAAAAAGGTATACAGCTAAGCTATAGAACTTAACATTATGGGTTATGTGACTGAGTTATGTGATCCAGCAACCTCAGGTCAATGATAGTATGTATGTATAAACCAACATGAAAAGAAAACAAAGAAAAAAGCACAGGGTCTTGAAACTCCTCTTTATCCATGTCCTTTACCGTATCCATATCCTTATCCATGTCCATGGTCATGTTAATATCAAGATCAATGTAAATGTAAACATCATGCCGGGCGTTCATTGGGGGCTATAATGCAGTCGGTTGTGAAGATAGAAGGGGGGTGATGAAAGTAAATGAAAAGGGAAACGAGAGAGTGAGTCGAAGAGAAGGAGAAAACGAAAGGAGGTTGATGTAGAGAAGGATTGAGGAGGTGAGAAAAGGAGAAGAGATGTAAAAAGAAGGACAAGTATATAGATACAGATAGCGGTTTCAGGTTTCAGGTCACTCACTGCCCAGGTGATGCAGGGTTACTGGTTGGTCCTGAAAGATATTCCGGTGGTACTTTGGGCACGCGTGGAGAGCTCGCCGTCTGAGCAACCGCACGTTGTTGGGCTCGAACCAGGTCCCGTTGTCGCTCCTTCTCTCGAGTCGTGGTTGCGCCACCAGTGAGTCGTCTCATGCCGCTGCGGATCATGGACTCAATAGATGAGGATCCATCAGTTGCACTGCGTGTTTGCGACATCTGGTGGGGCACCGGGGATTTATGATTTAACAAACGTTCGTCAATCTCATAGATACCGTCGTCGACTTCGTCGTCAGATAGAAAGGCCGACTCACTGAACCCGATTGGCGGGGTGGAGAACTGGACATTGGAAGAGGTCGGAGAGAACAGATGGTTGACGGGTGAGGTGACGGAACGTGTGTGGGATACTGGCCGAGGAAGCGGGTTGTGTGATTGGGGTGTGGAGGTGGCCGACGACTGGGTAGGTGCACTATCGAACCGCGTGTTTGGAGGTCGGGACTCGGCGAGGCCGTTGTGGAACGACGAATTTGACCTGGTGCGCGCGAGGGATTTCCGCAGGATGGGCGCTGTTTGCTGGTCGTAGAGGTTGGCGGTGGTGTCGGCGTAGTTGCCAGTGAAGCCCCGCAATGTCGAGTCAGGCAAATGATCAAGTGGTGGCATAATTGTTTCGGTTTCTTCAAAGAAATCATCCAAGCTGTCTAGTTTCTGGACGATATCTCCGATGTTGCCATCCGCCTGCGTATCGATTGATTTCATGGTGTCAGCCCGCATAGGGAAGAACGAGTCGTTGTACTCGTCTGCGTGGAACTCCACTTCGGAATTGACCGTCTCTTGTACTTCCATGCGGTCCACTTCAGCACAGGTGTAAAACACGGCGTGCACGTTGTGCCTTGTCATTGTGGACTGAGTAGCTGGCATTGGAATGGACCAACCAGTCGGCTCTGGTATCCCGTAGAGACTTTGGATCCGCTCGTACTCTTTGCGGATGGCCCGCGATGATGATGACGAGGCCATGCTCATTCGGATGTGATGGCGTTCCATTGGATTTCCCGACACCGTCATAATATGATCCATGACTTGCAGGGCCTGAGGACAGAGTTCGGTCTGCAGAAGTCGCAGCAGAGGAGATATCAAGTCAGGCCCGTGGCAAGTCACTTCGCTGCGCCGCATGTCGATCTCGGGGATGAGCATACAGAGAATCTTCATCACCTTGACCCGGAACCAGTCGGTGGTATTGGTGAGGAACCCCATAAGGAAGATAAGACTTTGGACGTCTTTATCGGGGAAATAATATGAACGAATCTCAGTCACGATGTGGCCCAGGAAATCATTCTCTGCTTTGTACTGTCCATTGGCAAATCCAAGTAGCGAAGCCGCAAGCCGGGGGCATCCTTCGCCTTCAGCTATACGTGCCAGCAGGGTCGCCCGCGCTAGGGTCTTTGGATCATCGATAGGCCCATCGGCAGTGACCGGATCGAATTGATGGAGGAAGTGAGAAAGGTTTGCCAACACTGTAAATAACAGTCGATTACCATCGCCGATAAGTTCGTTGTTAGGCAGACCACTCAAACGATGCAAAACATCGAGTGTTTTGTTGAGCGATTCCGACGATTTCAATCCTTTATAGACCAAGTTTTGGAGGCCATCAAATCCTCCCTCCCATTTAGGGGGCTGGCCCTTGATGAGCTCAGATACGACCATTGGGTCACTCAAATCGACACGATCCATGAACTTCTCCAGCATACCAATGCTTTCAATGAACTCGGTTTCGTGGATGGTATTAAGGCAAGCACACGTGGTCCAAAAGAGCTGAGGGTACCGCAGCAGATCAGCAGGGGCCAAGGAGCTGATGATGATCTTAAGCGTTGTAAGAATCTCCATAGAGAAAGTGCGGTAATCAGCCTCTTCGTCGGCAATGGTATTCGAAAGTCTGGCCAACATGTCTGCAAGCATCCTAGAATCCAAAGATAGAGATATGCAGCGGAATACCTGGAACGAACGGCAGGCCAGGTGTCGCACAGGACATGAGGTGGCCCAGTTCAGAGCCTCCTTGGCCCATAGGTCGTTGATGCCTTCGTACGCTAGACTGAAGAACTTGACAACTGTGCGGGTAACACTGGACATTGAAACGGGAACGCGGCTCCCGTCGTCACCCTCATTATCGCTGTTGTCTTCGTATTCCCAGACAACCTTCGGATCGCTCTTGCGGATGGACTCGACAAAGTCCTCGAGTGACTGCCGTGTTCCGGAAGGCGCGTCGTCTTCAATTTTGGCAGCGATCAGCTCGTGAATGAGGTGCACCAGCATTTCTCGCGCCTGTTCCTGAACGGTGAGCGTATAGTGGTCCCAGAGAATGAGAACAATGTGTAGCAACTTGACAACATCGTCCAGTGGAAGAGTGACGGGAGCAACCATCAAATCTACGAGGAAGATCAGTGCAACTTGACCGAGGGAAAGCCCTGCCTGCTTGTTGCCCACCGGGAGTACGGTCGCTAGATCTGCGACGTAAGGAAGGCTCTTGATATCCGGGGGAGCCGGCGTGATTTCCTTTCTTTCCTGTACCATGTTCTTGGGGACGACCTGCATCAAAAAGAACTCGATGACCTTAGACCCAGCGGGAGTTCCCGAGAGGAACACAACCACTTGCTTTGCGTATTCCACAAAGTTCTGCTCCTTGCGCTCCAAGCAGAGGCTAATAATGAAATCAAGCACCAACTGCACATTTCCACCGTGAGGACCCGTCGCTAACGCCTGCCAGAGAGCTTGGACTTCGTTGGGGAGAATGGTGCTACACCGGATGGTGATCTCGAAAAGGTTGGCCAAAAGCATATAAGATTTGACTGTTGGGCCACCATTGGGGTCCACTTGTAATTCCATAGTTTGGACCCAAGGAAGAATGGCGGCGACCATGTTTCGCTGACTATCGGGACGTAGGTTCTTGAAGTGCAAGGAGAATTCAGAAAAGAGGGTAAAAGCCAGGTCAGAATGCTGTTTTGCCAGTCGCTTGGACGTCTCAAACTGCGCCAGTTTGTAAACAGCCGTGGTTTTGTCAGAGATACTGATATCAAAGTCCTGGAGTCTGGAGTTCTTTTGCTGCCGCTCTTCTAAGATGCGTAGTAGCTTGGCGGATTTCATCCTGATCTCCCGTTTCTGACTGCCGAGCGTGACGAGGACTGCTCCCAAGATTCGCCAAAAGCCAAGTGGGTAGTCAGTATGCTCGATAAGCACCTGCGTGACTACCTCGAAGTAGCTCTCCAATGCCTTGGGTCGCTCGGTGACATAGCACATTTCGATTGATCGTTCCAACAGATATGAATGCTCCTTGTTGTGGATTATCAAGTTTTTGAGCGCTCGCCTGCCAATGGCGTGCCACTTGTCACTGATTGTGTTGAAAATGATGTCTACCCACGAGAGCATACGTCCCACGTCGAACTGAAGAACGGCACCACTCTCCGTAGTGATACTAATGGGGCCCGCCTGTGGTAACATTAGCCAGGTACAAGGGTGCGGTTGGGGAGAGAAACGAAGAACAAGAAATATGTGCTACTTACACACAAGGATGCCATGGCACTGAGAGCTGCCGCACGAAGGTTTTTCTTCTCTATTTCCATGGCAGCTGCGGTATTCCGTATTTCGCCAGTCTCATGCTGATGTGAAATGGCGAATTTCCGCATGGTCTCTTCCCTCTGGGAGATTTGAGATTGATTGGGCGAGTAACCGCACCAATCCTCCATCAAGGAGAATGCGGACTTCCTAGACTCGAATGGTATCCAACGCGATGGATCACTCGTACGGTTGACGCCTTCGAATAGTTCCTCCATCAATCCACAGTAGTGAAACCGCAGTCGTTGAAATTCCCAATCGTTTTGCACTTCGGCATCACTCAAGAAAATCCGCAGGTCTTTTGCATATGTAACAAGGTTATTGACAATCCAGTCGTCCGTGAATACCTCTGGTTCCTGTAGAAAATGAGACGTAAGTTTATACACATGCGTCACCTCGGTTCGCAGCCGATCCGTCTTGCGGTTGCGTCTTGGGCTGCTTGGAGATCTGTAATGAGTGCTCATCCGCAATTTGGCCTCCTCGTTGCAGGTTGTTACGGCGTATTGAAGCGACTCGAGCAGTGTACGGTAAAGGTTCTTGTTGATGGATCCTAAAGCCACCACAATGGCATTGCGAATTGAAGCCCGCTCAGCCGATAATAATGGTATCACGAAAGCGAACAAGCTTCTCGCGGAGCTGATCTTGTCATGGGACTGTTGGGCGGAGCCCTTAGAAGACTTCCGTGTATGTTGAGCATTTGCTAGCTGACTCTGGGATTGTGCGCCGACGCTGTTGAGAGTCGTACACGCCATGACCAGATACAGTTTCCACTGTTCGATCAGAATTTCTGCCGTCATGTTGTTCCTCCCCAGCGGACGAGTTTGCGTCACATCCATGGGAGCATAGTAGGGAGGATGCGAGCTCTCTGCAAGTGACGTTATCGTCTTGTGCATTTGAACAAGTCTTGCGCAGACAATCTCCCGACCTAGTGTGACCGCAAAGGGGCAGGTCTCAAAGCTGATACGAATGATATTTGGGAATACTTTCGACCACAAAGTTGAATCATAGGAAACTTCACTGCTGCAAAGCTCGATGAGCGTATTGTGCGATGCACTCCTGCGCTTTCCTTTTTGTATGCGACTTCTTTCGGCTACCGTAAGCTGTTCATCGTTCACATCCAGGATTTGCTGAGAGTCGGCTTCGAGGATTCTGATCATTCTCGTATTTTCCTTGCCAAGAGCGCTATCGAACTCCGTGATCAGGCGCAGCACAGTAATAGCAAAAGCCCGTACCCTTCTTGATTGGGAGCACAAGAAGAAAAGACCATGAGACTCGATCTCCTCAACATGGGCAAGAACCGTTGAGAGATCCAGCTGGAGAGCACGACTTCCGGTAGCAGTCTTATCTCCAGAGTCGGAGGCTGCACACCTCGTCTTCTGCTTGATTTCCTCAATCCAGATCCTCAGCAGTTCAACGTAAAGTCTCAATGTGGACTCGATATGGCCCGGTCCAAGCATCCCTTCGTCCGACATGGTGGAATACCTAGCATCAAAATTGAAAATAAATCTAGCAAAGCCAATAGTCACTTGTTGGGCATGAGATTGCCGCGCAATGACCTTCAAGGATTCGGCAGACGAGGAAGCAATATTGGACTGAATGTGTGCTGTTCCCGTGCAAAGCAAGTTGATTAGGGAGTTGAACGGAATATGATCAGACAGACACCGCGGAAGAGCCTGAACAGCAACGTGGAGGAGATCGTAAAACCCCTGCTTTTGGTCAAGGGTGCTGAGATGGTCATCACGTCTCCCAAAGCTGAAAGCCTCTGAAATCGGGGTTTTGGGGGTTGCACCGCCAAACTTCTCATCCAAGGCCGCCTGGCCACCAAAGGTGTTGTCGCACAGGAGCGTAATTTTCCCTAGAGTTTCACAAAAGCGAATGTAGTAGGCCTTTACGTTGTCGCTTAGTCTTGAGGTATTTACCGGACGGGCATCGTCATCCCGGCTGTCCGATGAGTTTGGCAAGCGGGGATCTGTGAGAAACTGGGGCCACTGCGAGTTCGTTGCTGCAGATATGTCTGTAAAGGGGTTTGGAATCGAACCGGTTGGGAACGGCGGACACAGCTGGTCACATGTCTCCAGGTCGGTCACTATCGCGAGAAAAGCCCTGATTCCGATTACCATCTTCTCCGGTTCCATTTGTTCGATTTTCAGCTCCTTTCCGGAGAGAAACAGATCCGAGTTGATCATGGGGAAAATAATATTGCGGAAGCAGACGTCCGGATGTTTGAACCCAATCATGCGTACCAACTGTATCAAAGGATCCGCAACCGCCGGCTCCGTGCTCAGGTACGTCCTTTTTCCCTGAGGTAATGCTATTCTCGCGACCTCGTCGATTTTTCGAAGTGTGATATTCGGCGAATCGGAATAACGGAAAAAGTACGTCCATAATAAACGACACATGGCCTGGAGAGCAGGGCCCCGGGTTGGACGATCTTTCAAGCGCGGCGGGAGACTGGCGATGACCGATAACCATTGTGACGAAAAGATTTCCTTCGACGAAACACAGAGGAGTAGAACGTGTAGAGGGAAGGCAGCAGCCCAATGTCGAGGCTTGGTGAGCATCTGAGTCAATCGCGACTGGACCAGATCTAGAAACTCCTTCCACTTGGGCAAAGAGAGATCACAGCTTGGGTTTGCGGCTACCGTAAGGAGAAGCTTCTCAAAAATGTAACAATATGCCTGTTTTAATCGCTGCCCGTGAGCGTTGACAAACAACCGAGCCAACGATCGCATGAAATCACACGACTTCGGCCAGGAATCCGGCTGCGTTCTGATGCGAAGGTGCCTCATGCCCGAAACCAAAAGCTCAGCTTTCGCATCGCCCTCCTTGGACGGGCCTCGCAGCGTTTCGTCCTTTTGGTATTTGTCCAGCTCCGCAATAAAGCGAGTAGTTACACTTGTAAAGTTCGTCTCACTCATGATACCCAGTAACTGGGAGTAGATTCTCCAATTAGCCATACGAAGTGGGGACGCGGTAATTTGGTCGCGGTCAACGGTCTTGAGTTGACTAAACACAATGTCTTCTAGCCGATCGGCCATCTCGAGAGTGATCAAGGCAAGGCTGCTCTGATTAAAAACCTCGATCAACACTCTGCATACAAGGTATACCGATACGGTTGCACGCCGCTCCGCCAAAACGACATCGTCGGATCGCGGGAGAAGGCTGTTATTGGAAGCTGCGGGATCGCTCTGGGATTCAGCTATTACATGCGGTGGCTCAGTGTTGCGGCGGATCAGCAACCCATTCTCCAAAGGGTTGTTCTTGGACTGACACGAGTGAATGCCGTTAGTGTCACGGGGGTCTTGCAGACAGGAGACATGGCACTTACTTGACTGGCCACCTGTTTGGCCGTGATCGCGGCATCTCCTTTGGCTTTTCGCCAAAACATGATGGTATCAATCAAAGGCTTTGGCTTCTGTCGCGCAATATGTCCCAGGGCAGAGATCAATTGGTCAAAGTTTGTATCAGCGCCTGGCCCACAAACCTGCTCTACCGGTGCATCCGACTCTCCCAGTTTCATGATCGCCTGGTTTATCTTATTATCCGCCTGACCGACAAACTGAATTCGTTATTAGCCGACATACTGAGCATCTCGATCCGGTAATCGCCTTACAGAGTTGAACAGATGATGCAAGGCATATTCCCCCACGGTTTTTGACTCGAAGTGGTGTTTAGAGTGCGAGCGACTATGCGAGCGTTCCCTCCACGGCTTGCCACTCGAGTTCATTCTTCGATGGACTGTATTCGCGGGGCTATGACTGCCGACCTCGTCGGTGTCCTGATCCTCGATCGTGCTCAGTGTCCCCGTTAGGGAATGGTTCGAGGCGTTGCCTCCGGGGCTTTGGTAACTCGCGTGCATATCTGTCTGGTCGTGCCGCGCAGCGGCAGCACTATCCGGTTCGACACCACCGCCACGGCCGAGGGATGCGATGAGTTCAGGACTTAGAGGACTTGTGGAGGTCGAGGAAGCGGCGAAACTGGGGTTGCGAGAGTGTTGGATTCCATGAACGATGGAGGTCTGGCGATGATGACCGTACGAATTAGAGGGCCGCCGTTCCAAGGGGGCATCGTATGCGGCGGCGCTGGGACGACCGCTCGACGTTTCGGGGCTTTTTGAATGCGAATGACCGCGACGTTTGTTCTGAGGCTGTAGGGACGAGGGGGCTAGCGCGGAGGGATCGGCCGGTCTTCCTCTGACGGCGGAGGTTTCCCGGCTATGGACAGTGGAAGAAGGGGTGCTCCTCGTTACCAAGCCTCCCAAACTTCCTGGTGGGGATGTGAAGACATGGTGCGACGCAGGACTGGATTCGTCAGGGATGAGGGGCATTGTCGTTGGCTGGACAGGGCCAGCTTTGATGGACGGATGTGAAGCCACTACATGTGCACCATATTAGAGTTGGGCTATCCTTGCTTAAGGTTCAGGAGTCACAGCAGCAATTAAAATGGCGATGCACGCCGTGAGAAGTGGTGAAAAAGGATCGGACGGGAGACGACGTACTATTGTACCGGCGTGATTCTTCCTTTTTTACCCGGTCAATGCCAACTCATTGCTCACTGGGGGGTGCAATAAACGAAGTGCAAAAGTCCAAGGGCAGTGGTGAGCAACTCATTGTTGCCCAGCAGCCTCCAAAGCCGCAAAAATGGCAGGAAAGTGGAAGTCGTGAAGGCGTGTTTGTATCAGACTTGAGCTTTGTCAGGCGCAGTCGTTTCGTTCGCGACCGGCGAGCACGGGGCATCTGACGGCAGAATGTCGATGGTTGGGCCCGGTCTTATTCAGCGCGCATTTTTCGTCTGTTTTTTTGCTTTCTTTCTTTTTTCCTTGTGTATTTTCTTTCAATTTCTATTTCATATTTAATGCTACGAAATACAACCCATCCTGCGTAACTGTCCACGAAGTCACGCCCAAAGAACCACCGGGCCGCCAGTCCCGTCGGTGCCGGCAGCCTCCAGGGCCCCCAGGCTGACGATAACATCATAGTCGAACACCAAGTGGGTTCGTGGTTCATTCCATTTTGGGCATCTTCTCCAGAACGCCAACGAAGTCAGCCCGAAGGCCTACCCACGGTTACGGAAGCCTTCGGGAGACATCGAATTCGCGCGTGTCGGTGAAATCGACGGACGCAAGGCTGCTCTGTCTGGAACATTCCCACCGTCATACCATGCAAGGGTCCTTGGTTGTTGAGAAAATGCCAAGCAGCGATCTTGCCTGCGAGAGTGCTTAAACTGATGCCTTATGGAGGATTGTCGACCGAGGAAGGTTGCGCCTCATGACCGTTTGACCATCTCGTCAGGGATAGACTTTCAGGTCAATCCGGGAGGAATGGCGCCTGCAACCACGGAATCAATCGGCAATTTTCACATGTAGGAACTGGCCGATCTCACCTCAGCCCCTAGGGTTGGGGGAAGGGGTTCAAGTCTCACGAGATACGAGACGTTCGCGATGACATGACAACTCCGACTGCGGAGTCATTACAGACGACCTGGCCTTGTCCAACGCAGAAGGATTCGAGCATCCACCGTGCTTTCATTCTAGGGTCATCGCACAGGTAGACGGTAGAGGGTAGTATTCTTAAGGAATTGGACTAGTCATCGTCAGGGAAGAGAATACGCAGTACTGCGTAGCACGGAGGACTAGGGCTGAAATATATGTCAAATTCCAGAACGGCATCAGTCCGCGAACACAATACGTATCCCAGTACTTTGTAAATTGCTAGACTCTGTCAAACACGTTGTGCGGAATCAAATCCGTGGTCCGCTCATTCAGTGGGATCTCCGGCCAGGATGGATGTGTAGACTCCCACCAGCATTGGCGGAACCTCTTCGGAAACAAGGCCCCATCGAGGCAAATACTAGAGTCAGGGTGCACTGCAACCATGGCATAACCCATGGGCATAACCAACCGCCATAGCCAGGCGGAACTCGGCTAGAAACGCAGTTCGGCAGGGCCCTCGGGAGATCCGCCATCTGAAGGCCGTCTGCAATGCCCCAGAATCTCGCTCATTTGCCTTCATCCTCCGCCGCCACCTCCAGTTTCTCGTCGATTTAGCGTCCAACGAGGGCCGAACTCTCTTTCCGACGCAACCATTTCTCTCGGGCACAGGGTCCGAGTCTTCTGGATTCTGATATACCCCACGGTGCCAGATTTCCTCCTATAAAAGGACGGAGGGGCCGATTTGAATGCAGGCCGAGAGATTGACATTTGGACTGTGATTCACAATAATCACTTACACTTGCACTTCATCCCGAGCAGCCTCGCTCCACACCGTTGCTGCCACGCCCTCCGCATTTACGGCCACGCCCCAAGCCGACGACGAGCGCCCAAAAGGCCACGCCGCCTCAATCAGACTCCGTATTCCCACTCACTTCGCTCCTTCTGGCTCTCCGGTTTCCGGCCCCCCAAATTATGCGGTCTGCTTAAGCACGTCCGTCTGTCTTCGGCTTCTGTCTCTTGTGATCACACCACGACTTCTTATTTCTCTTCGTCCTGTTTTTTTTTTTTTTTTTATTTCCTTTTTCTCTTCTTCTTTTTATTCTACTTCCACTCTCTTCGGCCTGGGAAGAACACCGACGTCGGTGTCCTTCCGTTACTTCGTATTCTTCCTCCTCTTCTTAGTCCCTTTTTGTTATCGATCGCCCATCTCGCGAGATTTGGACGTTCTTATCTTTTCCTCGCATCCCCTCCCGTCCCGACTCTCCTCTCTCTCCCATTCAACGCCTGTTCCGCCATTGACCCTGCAATTCGGTCGCTCGTGTTCCTCTTTCGCTGAGCGTCTCCATCATGGCGCAACTCGATACTCTCGATTTGGTCGTCCTGGTGGCGCTCTTGGTGGGTAGCGTGGCCTACTTCACCAAGGGCACCTACTGGGCCGTCGCCAAAGATCCCTACGCCTCGACCGGTCCGGCGATGAACGGAGGTGCCAAGGCTGGCAAGACTCGTGACATTATCGAAAAGATGGACGAAACTGGCAAGAACTGTGTGATTTTCTACGGCTCGCAGACCGGTACTGCCGAGGACTACGCGTCGAGACTGGCAAAGGAAGGCTCGCAGCGATTCGGTCTGAAAACCATGGTGGCCGATCTGGAGGACTACGACTACGAGAACCTGGAGAAATTCCCCGAGGACAAGGTCGTCTTCTTCGTTCTGGCCACTTACGGCGAGGGTGAACCCACGGATAACGCGGTCGAGTTCTACCAATTCGCCACGGGCGAGGATGCCGCTTTTGAGAGCGGCGCCACCGCCGACGATAAGCCTCTGTCTTCTCTCAAGTATGTCACGTTCGGTCTGGGTAACAACACGTATGAGCACTACAATGCCATGGTTCGTAATGTGGACAGCGCTCTCCAGAAATTCGGTGCGCAGCGCATTGGTTCGGCCGGTGAAGGTGATGACGGAGCTGGTACAATGGAAGAAGATTTCCTGGCCTGGAAGGAACCCATGTGGACTGCTCTCTCCGAAGCCATGAACCTGCAGGAGCGCGATGCGGTCTACGAGCCGGTCTTCAATGTCGCCGAGGATGAGTCTCTGAGTCCCGAAGATGAGAACGTGTACCTCGGTGAGCCCACCCAAGGTCATCTCCAAGGCGAGCCCAAGGGCCCTTACTCTGCGCACAACCCGTTTATTGCTCCCATCTCCGAATCTCGTGAACTGTTCAACGTCAAGGACCGCAACTGCCTGCACATGGAAATCAGCATCGCCGGTAGCAATCTCACTTACCAGACTGGTGACCACATCGCTGTTTGGCCCACCAACGCCGGTGCCGAGGTCGATCGGTTCCTGCAAGCTTTTGGTCTCGAAGGAAAGCGTCACACCGTCATCAACGTCAAGGGTATCGATGTCACCGCCAAGGTTCCCATTCCGACCCCGACGACCTACGATGCTGCGGTTCGCTACTATCTGGAAGTCTGTGCCCCCGTTTCCCGTCAATTTGTCTCGACTCTCGCTGCTTTCGCCCCGGATGAGGCTACCAAGGCCGAAATCGTGCGCCTGGGTGGCGACAAGGACTATTTCCACGAGAAGATCACCAACCGTTGCTTCAACATCGCCCAGGCTCTCCAGAGCATCACGTCCAAGCCTTTCACTGCCGTTCCGTTCTCTCTGCTCATCGAAGGCCTTACCAAGCTTCAGCCCCGTTACTACTCGATCTCCTCGTCTTCCCTGGTTCAGAAGGACAAGATCAGTATCACCGCTGTTGTGGAATCGGTTCGCTTGCCTGGTGAGGAGCATATTGTTAAGGGTGTGACCACGAACTATCTTCTCGCGCTCAAGGAAAAGCAAAACGGCGAACCTGCCCCCGACCCTCATGGCTTGACTTACTCTATCACTGGTCCCCGCAACAAGTACGATGGAATTCACGTCCCCGTCCATGTCCGTCACTCGAACTTCAAATTGCCCTCGGACCCCTCAAGACCTGTCATCATGGTTGGACCCGGTACCGGTGTTGCTCCTTTCCGTGGCTTTGTCCAGGAACGTGCTGCCTTGGCTGCTAAGGGCGAGAAGGTCGGACCCACCGTACTGTTCTTTGGCTGCCGTAAATCCGACGAAGATTTCTTGTACAAGGATGAATGGAAGGTATGATTCAATTCCTTTCCCTCTTTGCCCCACATCGTCGCTAACGATCTCTCTTTACAGACTTTCCAGGAACAACTTGGCGACTCCCTCAAGATCATCACTGCATTCTCTCGTGAATCGGCTCAGAAAGTCTACGTCCAGCACAGGCTGAGTGAGCACGCCGAACTGGTTAGTGACCTTCTGAAGCAGAAAGCCACTTTCTACGTCTGCGGTGACGCTGCCAACATGGCCCGCGAAGTCAATCTCGTGCTTGGACAAATCATTGCCAAGCAGCGCGGTCTCCCCGCCGAGAAGGGCGAGGAGATGGTGAAGCACATGCGCAGCAGCGGCAGCTACCAGGAGGATGTCTGGTCATGATCGCTGGCAGCTTGTTCCAAACGCTATGACTTAATCTCTTTACCCTTCTCTCTTCCCTTCCTCATTCCTATCATGCCTAGATGATATTTGCATATATACTTCGCCTTTTGCTTAATTATTTCCCCCTTTGGCGTGGCTTGTGTATGCCTATTTTATTTTATTTTATTTCCTTTTTGGGGACCTTTGCATGGTTGAATTCACCGAGATGTGATAAGGACAGGATAGATTATGACAGATGTCAAAAATGTTAAGAACTGCGATTTGAAAATAGGCGTCTCCTTTGAGTGCGGCCCAATCAAGGGCTGTGATGGATTTCCTGTATTTGAAACGACACCATAGAGGACATTTATCTCGGATCTTTTTATTTCCGTCACTGTTACACTTCTGTTTTCTTTTTCTCCCTTCCAGCGCTCCATTTGTACTCGATAAATATACGCCCGTATTGCCAGTGGCTCTCGGTAGATAGGTACGCACTGGCAGCTTTGTGCTTGAAAATTGAGCCCAATCCGACACAAAACTCCCAATCAAAGGATCCTGCATAGCCCATAGTGGAATGTTGTGTAACCTTGAGCAGCAATGGTCACTAGTTAGTCCCTATGTCACAAATAGGAAGAACTCGCAGCTTATCCGCGGGTGCATATTACATCTCATTTATGTTGCTCGGCGCGGGTTGATGGGCTGTTCGGCAATGTAATTATTGGCTGGTGTGGAAATATTGCATTGGATGTGTATTAGTTAAGTGTAGGGTAGTTTTCAAGCTGGCTGGTGCGTTTGGGAATGTTTGAGTTGGTTTTAGGGGAGGGTTTGATTGATGATGTCCGAGGGGCTTTCCTTTCCTATCCTTTTTTTTTTTTTTTTTTTCTGTTTTCCTTTTTATTCGTAATAAGAGTTCCAGCTAAGATATTACAAACGTTGGCTCAAGAACTAGTAGGGACTGATATATATACCTTTCGATTTACTCCTCTGTTGCGACCGATCTATATATTCTCACCTAGAACACGCGAACGCTGCGCCAAGACCAGACAGCATCGTTGATCAGGGCCCCCTGGATACAATTCCATTGGAGAAGCAGTCTGTCAGAACCAACGAGGCCAATGATTCGACGACATCTCCCACAATTGTCGGCCTAGACTCATTAATATCGAGCCAAGGGCGTTGCCAGAGACATTAGATAATCAGCACCGGTTCTCCGCGCTCCGCAGCCATCCCGAAACGGGACTTCCCCGCATGGAGACGAAGCGGAGAGGATCGCCCAGTCGTCCGTCAGGCCGCTGCGTCTGCTCTGGAAACCCTCGGATAACAGCGGTTAACTGGCTTCCTCGGGTCCAGTCATATGCTGTTACTTAACTACCTCATGAGCATGTCGACCCAAGACACCTGTCTGCCTACTACTACGGCTACACTTCCAACTACTTCATAGTCCCTTCCTGGTCGCATTCGCCACTGCCTTTTTTCTGCCTTCTTAGTCTATGGTGATCATCACCCAGCGTATATAGACCAAAAACCCTCGCTTGCGACCGTTTGACGACACAAAAACCCGTCATGAGTCTGACGCGTGCTGTAGCCCTCCCTCTGCGGAGGGCGACTGTTTCGAAACCATACACTGCGCACCCGCTGCGCTCGGCCTCGAGGGCCTTCTCGGTGTCGGTACGACGCGATGCTACCTGGGGATTTATTGGCCTGGGGCGAATGGGTACGTCAATTCGTCGCACCGACGGATCGCTGTCTTCAGGGTATTAACGCGATCGATCCTGTAGGTTACGCCATGGCAAAGAACCTACGTGCTAAGATCCCTGCAACGGATACCCTGATTATACGAGACGTGAACGAAAAAGCCACCGAGCGGTTTGTCCAGGAAACCCGAGAGGCTGCCCGGAGCAGCGGAGCAGGGGACGATACCTCCAAGGTGTTGGTGGCCCAAAACGCGAGGGAGGTTGCGGAGCAATCGGTAAGTCGGGTAGAAGTCTGCCACCGCTCAAGGACAGGATCTGCATGAACCTTGATCAACGGCGCTCGTCATCGGATGGAGATCTTCCCAGAATTGCTTTGCCCCTTTCGGCTACCAGCTGTGGTGGGAGAGGAGGAATTGGTTTGGGACTGTGTGTTCTAATAGAATACTGATTGTCTCTTCTACAGACAGTGATGATAACCAGTTTACCGGAGCCGGAACACGTGAAGAATGTCTTCTATTGCGTTCTCCGGCATGGAGAGCTCCCAGCCTTAGAGCAAGAGCGACTGTTCATTGATACGTCCACGATAGATCCGGCCTCGTCCAAGGAGCTGGCAAACGCTATTCATACGACGCGCCAAGGACGCTTTGTCGATGCTCCCATGTCAGGCGGAGTAGTTGGAGCCCGCGCAGGCGCACTCTCGTTCATGTTCGGCGCCTCGTCACAATCGGGCGAACTGGTGGAACGAGTGAAGTCCATCCTACTTCTCATGGGGAAGAAAGCGTGGCACATGGGCCCGCCGGGGACCGGTGTCTCCGCGAAGCTTGCCAACAATTACATCCTGGCTATCAACAACATTGCCACGGCCGAAGCAATGAATCTCGGCATGCGATGGGGTCTTGAACCCAAGGCCCTTGCGGAGTTGGTCAACACCTCCACTGGTCGCTGCTGGCCAATGGAGGTAAATAACCCTGTTCCGGGCGTCGTGGAAACCGCCCCGGCCTCGCGCGACTACGAGGGTGGGTTTGGCGTCAGCTTGATGAACAAAGATCTGCGATTGGCCCTTGCTGCTGCCGAAGAGTCCGGCTCTCCGCTCGCTCTCGGAGACCAGGCTCGCAGTGTGTACAATGCTGTGGAGGAGCAGCACCGAGGAAAAGATTTCTCCGTTGTATACCAGTGGTTGAAGGGACAGTCCGAGCAATGAGACGATGGGTAGGCTGGCACAAATATCGGTTCCAGCGTTCTTGCCTCTCACAAACTTCTTTCGCCATTCTTCAGGGCTTGTGGCAATGTTTGCTGTCCTCTGTGAGCTACGGTTCTATTTCACCTGTTTGTGGCTGGGGTTCATGGCATTAGCTAAAAGAGGCACGGAAATTGTCGATGGATGTTCCCGGCGTTCATGACTACCAGAATGCACCCTTAACAGGGTGCAAATATCCCCTGCATATATACAAATTATTGTATTCCTATGGCAGCTCGGCTGGGTCATGATTCATGCTACCTAGTATCTGAGATTATTTCAATTTTAAAAAGATACTTCCACAACCTGAAATCATTGAACCACTGCTCCTCCTGGTAGCCTTCAGCATACTGGCGATGCGATACGATGCGATATGGTGCAAAACGATGCGATGCCGAGCCAACATCGTGACCACTGGCCTCAGGCCCTAAACCCTCCATTCCTTCCCTTCTGGATCGCTGAGTCGACAATGTTGTCCTTCCCTTTCCCACAGTGAAGCGGGCTCCTTCCAATTTCTTTGTTGTTTTGGCCAATTCCCTTTCCTTCCTAGGCCCCTGTTTCCTCTTTCCTTCTGTGTTCATTCTTTTTCTTCTCTTCTCTCCTCTCCTCTATCCCCACCTTCCTTTACCCCCGTCATCCACTCCATCCACTTCATCCCATCTCCGTTAGCTATCCTCTCATCCTCATTACTTCTCTTAGTTTCACTCGTTTCTGTTCATCGCATTTCGATCGTATTCAACTCTCCTAGATAGTCTGGGATCAAGTAAGTTACTTGGTGTTGATGGTGTCGCAGCCTTGGACTGAACACTGCGTGTCAGCTCTTCCGTGCGACATCGAGCCCTTCTTTGATCGTTGGTAAGTCATTTCATCATGTCAATGGCCTTTCCTAGCCACACAGTACCGTGTAAACATCGAGTTCTTTTATATGGTTTCGTTCAGGATGCTGGTGTTGACCACGGGTCGGCGACATTTTCTCGGAGCACTGCTGACACTCGGAACAGCGATTCCATTTACTGTCACACCCGGTGGCCATCATCATGAATCCTCAGGCTCAGCAGACCACTGCATCCGATTCTAGCCAGGCCCCGTCGGGTCAGTCGGGACAGTACTCCCATGAGAGTGGCCATACCCCGTTCGTGAACGGCTTTTCCCAGATGTCCTCCGGCAGCAGCCGTGAGAGTGTTGGCCCAACCCTAACTCCCCTTTATGGTCCGCTGAGCTTCCCGGGCCAGCGTCCTGGAGGAAAGTTCAATCCCACCAAGAATCATTTGCAGGTCGCCATGCCTCCAGGAATGGACATGCCTGGAGCTCAACGCCCTGGATACAACAGTCCGCTGGTCCTCATGCCCAATGCACCAATCTTCAACGGCATGGGTCCTGTTCCTCCGTACACCTCGTCTCCTGTTGCTTCCCCTGAGCAACTTGGACACCTTCCGTACCTTCCCACCACCATGTACCCGAATATGAACCCGTCGTACCCGATGATGCCGACGGTGCAGGGATACCCTTTCCCCTACCTCATGAATTGTGACATTCCGGATGTTGCGGGCCCCAAGCGAGCTCACTGGGCTAGTTCTGAAGAGCAAAAGGTGACTGCTAGCTCGTCGGCCGACAATGGAAACCAGTCCGACTACTATACCAGCAGCAGCAACCCTAACTCGGAGAACCCGGTTGTTCAAGGCTTCCCTTTCAGCCAGGCGCCCCAGATGGCTCCCGCCTGTGTTCCGTATCAGATGATGAAGTCATCGACTGGATACATCCTGCAGGATCTTGAGTCTCTGACTCAACAGGAACCAGCTATTCCACGAGCCGTGCCCGCAATGTGGACCAACGCTTCCGAGTTGACTCTCGCAAAATGCCTCGAGAATCGTGAAGGTATCACCAATGTTTACATCCGTGGCTTTCTTCCAGAAACCACGGACGAGGTTCTGCACGCATTCGCTTCACGATTTGGGAAGATTGATCGCTGCAAGGCAATTGTAGACCTGGACACGGGCCTGTGCAAAGGGTAAGTCGCCGCTCTGCAACATCTTCTGTGAACTTGACTGACTCGTCCAGATTTGGCTTTGTGCAGTTTTACAACTTTGAGTCCTGTGAGAATTGTATCCGGGGGTTCTTTTACCTTGGCTACCAGGCCAGCTTTGCCCAGGTAAGTTCTCTGGATTCCGTTGACTTGTGTCGGACTGACTCGGTGCAGAAATCCCGCAACTCGCGCCTCAAGGATCTTGAAGACAAGACCTCGACTAACATCTACTGCACCAATCTTCCCATCGAATGGACGGAGGCTGTAAGTTTCTTTTTCCTCTGCTGTTCCTTTCCATGACTCATTTGTGTTTCCCCAACAGGATCTTCGTCATCATTTTGAGCCCTACCGTGTTGTCTCGGAGAAAATCAGCCGCGATGAAAAAACCGGAGTCAGCAAAGAAGTCGGCTTTGCTCGGTCGGTGCTTTGGATGTCACTTGTGCCCATGGGTTCTTTCCTACTAACGCTCTTCCTGCTCCTCCTTAGGTTTGAAACTCGTGAAATCGCCGAGAAGGTCCTCTCTGAATATCACAACGTTGTTGCGCCTGATGGCGTCAAGCTGCTTCTTCGCTTTGCTGACACCAAGGCTCAGAAGCTGCTCAAGCAGCAGAGCAACGAGCGTCGCGCTTATCGTGCCGGTGAGTATAACTACTCTGTTGAAGTTGTCCAGGGATCCACTCCGTCGCCGTCCGTGAATCGTCTGCAGCAAGCGATATCGCACCTGAGTCCAACCTCTCAGAACAGCTACGTTTCTCCCGTCGGCGTAGGTGCCACCTGGACTCCTGCAACATCCATCTCCCCGTCGTATGTACAACGGACATCCGGCTCGTCTTCCCTGGGAGACGGAACTGACAACTGTAACAGATATCCTTTAGTGAAGAACCCCGTGAACAATATGCGCTTCAACTCCATGTCTTCTAGGAACAGCCCGGGCAATTTGGAAAACACGCCCCTTCATCGCGGAAGAATGTCAGTTGGCCGCAACAGTTGGATGAATACTAATGCCACGGCTGGTGCTTCCAAGCCCAGTCTGCCCTTCACTCCTCGCGTTGGTCGTCGTGCAGGATCGAGCAGTTCCCAGAAGGAAAACATCAAGGCCGAATCCCTGTCGCCGATTTCCTCTCGCCGAGAGATCGTCGTCCACTCCCCCCGTTCCGTCGTTTAGTGCATGGTTACCGATTTCTGTTTGTTTCTGGCTTTCATTGGAGCATTTGCATAGCATATTCCCGATCGATTCGACATTGCTATTTTATCTCATTGCGATCCGGTTCTGCTTTTGACAGGCAGTTTCCTTCTGAAATATTCAGTTACGGCATCTGTTACATCAGATTGGTCAAGAAGGGATTTCACTGCATTTTGATACTTTTTTTTCGGTCATTTTTCGAACCATTATTTTGTTGTCCGGCGCAAGTACACTCTCGCACACACTATCCTTCTGGTTGGCCGATCTGTTCGGTCAGACTCAATATCGACTACGGCGTGTTATCATCGACGATGGAAATTCACTCGAATTTCAGTGCCTCAGAAGAAAATCCAAAAAAAGGGAGAAAATGGGAACCTACAAAAAAGAAGAAGAGGAAGAAAAGGGATGGAAGGAAAAGGACCGGCAGGGCTTCAAAGAAGAGATGGCAATTTTCTGTATCTGTCTAAAGTGCATGTTCATATCGCGTTCATGTTCACCCTCCACAAGAGGCAGACTGTATGGGTTTCTAATAACAACATCGTAGCGAGAATGTCACAGATGTTAAAACTCGTGAATCTAAATCCATTCCAGCAGAGTTCGAGCCTACACACAATTCTATAATCAAATGACCTGCGCTGCGCCAAGGTTGCGCAGAGGCTATTGGCGTCCGAGCCGTTCCTCCAGGTCCTCCGTCAGTTCGTACGCCGGTCGGTACTGATCACCCTGCGGGTCATCTTCCGAAGGCAATTCAACGCGAAGCATAGGATTCGGGTGGGTATCGCCCGTCCCACCCAGACTCGTGTAACCCTGATCATACAGTGGACAGTACTTCAGATCCAAGTGGCGAATGAAGGCCCAGATCTCCGCATAATGCCAATCAATGACGGGATGCACGCGGACGAAATCCGGCCATCCACTATCCGTGCGATCGAAATGCGTCAGCTTCGCGCCATGCGGATCCGTACGGCGCGTGCCCACAAAGATCGCCTTGATACTCGGGTTCCGGTCGAGGTAATCCTGAAAACTCGACCGCAGCGTCGCATGCGGCGGGTGCGTCGTATACTTCACAATGTCGAGGTGATAGGCGCGGGACGACCAGCGCACGAAGTCCTCGACGGCGGGGAACGGGTCCGGCGGGAGGGCGTAGATCGAGGGGATGGAGACGAGGCCGCCATCCTCCGGGGAAGGGTGGGGGTGGAGGCCCGCGAGGAAGAGAATCAGGAGCACGAGACAGTCCTTGCCGCCGTTGTAGGAGAGGGAGAGTTCGGAGAGGCAGTTGTAGCGGGTCAGGGCGGAGGCGACGACGGACAGGGAGGCGCGGGTTTGGCGTTGCACGGCGGCCAGCAGGGAGTTCTCGGGATGCGATTCTTCGAGGAAGGAGTGCACGCGGTGGTGGCATTGGGCGATGACGGTGGAGAGGTTCGGTGTGGACGGGGACGCGGATGCTGACGCTGATGTCGAGGATGTGGAGGTCGAGGCGGAGGCCGAGGTTGAGGTGGTGGGGGTGTTGCTGCTGTTGTTGAAGGGTGATAATGAGTCTATCGGGGCTGGTGCTGACGCTGGTGCTGGTTGGGACGTGGGAGTCATGGTCTTTGCAGGGGCAGCGCCATTTGCATGTGAGAGGCCAGTGTCGGTCATAGTAGGATCTGTGTCCTTATCTCTGGGTGGGAGAGGGTGGATGTGTTGTGTTGTGTTGTATTGTCTATGGATGGTGGGTAGACGGACGGGACAGGGGATGATTGTCGTCGGAGAGGACGTGCAGGACAGATCAACACCGAGGAGAACACCAGACGACGCTAATGGCAGAGGCGACGAAGAAGAACGTTCTGGGCGACGAGCCGAAATGAAGCCGAATCGAATGGAATCGCCCCGCGCCCCGCATCGCCTGACCGCCTTCTTATCTGTGCCTGATGGATTCCTGGGGACTGCAGGCATCAACAACGCTCCAGTGGAACTTCGTTTGTATTTGTGCATGGAAATTAAGTACGTGAGTTGGTTCTGGTGAGAGATTCAAGCAAGAAAATCACCCCAGCACCTTCAGCTTCTTCTTCTTCTTCTTCTCCCCGTCCCCCTTCTTCTGCCCCTTCTGCCAATCCCGCCAGCTGCCGATTCGCTCGTCGCGACTGTCCTCCCATGCCTTATCCTGGTCCCGTTTCCGTTTCCGCTCCTCAATCTCCTCATCTTCCCTGCGCCTCTCCCGTCCCTCCTCCTGCAGCCGCGCCTTGTTCTGTCGTCGCCTCCGCGCCTCCTCCTCCAGGAGCACCTGCACCGTCTTCTGCCGCCACTCCTTCTTGAACCCTTCGGTCTTCAGCTCCGGCGAGTCTAGCGTGTACTTGTGCTCGCGGATCAAGAGCCGCCGCGCATCGGCGATGCATTCATCCAGGTACGTGCGGGCCTTCTCGTCGAGCAGCTGCGTGTGGGCTTTCTTCAAGCGGTCGAAGGCATCCGGGGCGGCGGGGTTCTTCGTCTTGTCCGGATGGATCAGGAGGGACTTTTTGCGATACTGGATTTTGATATCGGAGTCGGGGACTCCCGGTTGGAGGTCGAGCACGGCGTAGCTGTTTATCGTAGAGCGGAGCAGAGTCAGTTCGATTCCATCGAGTCAGGGAAGAAATTTCATCGGGGTTTCTCACGCGTCTAATGAGAAGGCTTTGCGAATGCGATCGATCTCCGCGTCCTGTACGTAGGCGTTAGCTGGTCGTGTGCTCTCTCCGAGGATCGAATGGTAAGTCCATAGTAGCTAGGAGGATTCACATGCCTTGGTAAAGTCCGAAGCTTCTCTTTCTAGCGCGTCCAGGGCATCTTGCTCGTCGGAAGACATGGCGTTCAGGCTGCAGAGGTCAACGGCCGGCGAAAGGAAGCTGAGCTGAAGGGAGGATTGTCACTTGATAAGAATTGCGATCTTATCGGGCGCTGACTCAGCAGGCACCGAAAAAAGTTGCTTCACCGCCCGGCGACTTTGGCCTCCGCAGAAAAAAAAAAACCAAAGAAAAAAAAGACCCTCGGGTTGTTGCCGCATAAACACTATTATCGAGTTCTGGTCATCGGGGTTTTTTCAATTTTCTCTCCGAATTACTTCCAGGTGTCAGGCTCATCATGCCTTCGAATAATGGTCCCCGTCATGGAAAGGGGAAACCATCTAACAAGTCTCACAATCTGAAGCGGAAGCGCGCAGACGAGGATTTATCGTCGCTGGTCCAGCGAGTCGAAGATCTCGACCTCAAGGAATCCTACAAATCGTTCTCCGATCTCCCTCTGTCCGAACCGACCACCTCCGGACTCTCGTCGTCCCACTACAAGACCCTCACCGATATCCAATCCCGCGCGATCAGCCATGCGCTGAAGGGTCGGGATATTCTGGGCGCCGCGAAGACAGGAAGCGGCAAGACGCTGGCCTTCCTGGTGCCGGTCCTCGAGAACCTGTACCGCAAGCAATGGGCCGAATACGACGGACTGGGGGCGCTGATCCTCTCGCCGACCCGCGAACTGGCGATCCAGATCTTCGAAGTCCTGCGCAAGGTCGGCCGCTATCACAATTTTTCTGCCGGCCTGGTGATCGGTGGGAAGAGTCTGCGCGAGGAGCAGGAGAGACTGGGGAGGATGAACATTCTGGTCTGTACGCCGGGCCGAATGCTACAGCATCTGGATCAGACCGCTCTCTTCGACACCAATAACCTGCAGATGCTGGTGATGGACGAGGCGGACCGGATCATGGATATGGGATTCCAGAAGACGGTGGATGCGATCGTCGGTCATTTGCCCCAGGAGCGCCAGACGCTGCTGTTCAGTGCGACGCAAACGAAGAAGGTGTCGGATCTGGCGCGCTTGAGTTTGCAGGACCCCGAGTATGTGGCCGTGCATCAAGCGGCGTCCTCCGCGACCCCGGCGACGCTCCAACAACACTACGTGGTGATTCCGCTACCGCAGAAGCTAGATGTGCTGTGGAGTTTCATCCGAAGCAATTTGAAATCCAAGACGATCGTGTTCCTGTCGTCCGGGAAACAGGTCCGATTTGTCTACGAGTCGTTCCGACACATGCAGCCTGGTATTCCCTTGATGCATCTCCACGGCCGACAGAAGCAGGGCGGACGTCTCGACATCACGACCAAGTTTTCGCAAGCCAAGAACGCCGTTCTTTTCTCGACGGATATTGCCGCGCGTGGTTTGGATTTCCCGGCCGTCGACTGGGTCATTCAGCTGGATTGCCCCGAAGATGCTGACACGTATATTCACCGAGTTGGGCGAACGGCGCGTTACGAGCGTGATGGCCGTGCGGTTCTATTCTTGGATCCTAGCGAGGAGAAGGGCATGCTGCAGCGCCTGGAGCAGAAGAAGGTGCAGGTCGAGCGGATCAACATCAAAGCGAACAAGCAGCAGAGTGTCAAGAACCAGCTGCAGAACATGTGTTTCAAGGACCCCGAGCTGAAGTATCTGGGCCAGAAGGCGTTCATCTCCTACGTGAAGTCGGTCTACGTGCAAAAGGACAAGGAGATTTTCGACGTCAAGGCGCTGAAACTAGAGGATCTGGCCCACAGCATGGGTCTTCCCGGTGCGCCTCGCATCAAGTTCATCAAGGGAGAGGATACGAAGGAACGCAAGAACGCCCCTCGCGCGTCGGCGTACATGTCCAGCGACGACGAGTCCGGCGAAGAGGGCGAAGAGAAGGCGGCGAAGAAGAAGGAGGAGCCTAAGGTGCGGACTAAATACGACCGGATGTTCGAGCGACAGAACCAGGACGTTCTGGCCGACCACTACTCGAAGATCATCAACGATGAAGGCACCATGGTCGATACGAAGAAGAGCAAGGGTGGCGACAGCGATGACGAGGACGATTTCCTGTCCGTCAAACGGCGCTTCACTGCCGGAGACGAGGATCTGGATATGGGAAGTAGCGATGAAGACGAGGAGGAGAAGGAGGAGGCCGACAAGAAAGACCTCAAGACCGTGCAGATCGACGGCCGGGACCCGCTGGTCGTGGACTCGAAACGACGCGAGAAACTACTCAAATCGAAGAAGAAGCTGCTCAAGTTCAAGGGCAAGGGCACGAAGCTTGTCTACGACGACGAGGGCAACGCGCACGAGCTGTACGAGATGGAAGACGAAGACCAGTTCAAGGCGCGCGGCGACGCCAAGGACCAGCAGGCACAGTTCCTGGCCGAGGAGACGCAGCGCACGCGGCAGGCCGACATGGAGGACAAGGCGGTCGACAAGCAGAAGCGGCGGGAGAAGAAGGAGAAGCGCAAGCAGCGCGAGCGCGAGTTGCTGGCCGAGGAAGAGGCCGACGAGCGCGAGGCGCAACTGGCGCCCTTCGAGGGCGGCGACGACTACGACGGAGGCGATTATTCGCAATCCGAGACGGAAGAGCCCGCGCCGCGTCCCAGCAAGAAACAGAAGGTTCGCGTGCAAGAGCCCGACGACAAGAGCGAGGAAGACGAGCCTTGGTACAAGAAGAGCAAGCGCCCTGCTGCAAAGGAACCTGCGCAGATCCAGACCTTGGAGGATCTGGAGTCGCTGGCTACTGGACTGCTGGGGTAGATTGGTTTCTTTCTTGTGTCGTGCGGTGGATGTCTTTTTTCTCTTTTACGTGGATATGTTCTGGGTTGTCTGTGCGTTTCTTACTAGCGGAGAGGATGCAAAGCATGTATGTTTTGGACTCTGGGTTCTTTTGTCTGCATGATGTATATAGTGTTGTGAATTAAAAGTAGTATTTCATCTATACTGATCAGCTGGAGTATACTTCATTTCCCCAAACAGGCATCGGTCGAGCCGAGCTGACGATGCAACAGTCTAAATTAACAGCGCTACCGTTACCTCCACAGCTCGGCTAACGCCAGCCCACTCGCCAAGAAGAACAAGCGGCGGCCGGGGATTTGGCATATCGAAGCTTCCGACGGGATGTGGGACTCGACGTGATGAAGGGATCGCATGGCGCGAACTTTGATCGGTTCACTGGCATTGGTTGTACGTAACGGCTTTCAATCACGTCATGGCGCTAGCATGCAGGGATTTTCGATTTGCCTTCACACGGGGGATGGTGGTGTTCTTAAGGGGGGTTCTGTCCTGTATTCTGGTTCTGTGGGAACTTCTGGAATCGCGACTGCAATCGATCGGAGGCTCCATTTTTTTTTTTTTTTTTTTAAATTTCGCCGGTCAGGTGTCAATCACGTGTGGGGATCCCACGGGGTGTTCCCAATCCGGTAGTCCTACGTCCATCTTCCTGTCGTCGTCGTTCGTGGCTGACACCATGTCCCAGGGTCCTGTGCGACGTGCTCATCTCGAGCCACTTCTCGAACCGGTGGCTCGTTGCGTCCTATATATTCGATCTCCGGACTTCCATTGATTCACTCCAGAGTCTAGATAGCCATTGAGTCGAATTGCGTCCAAAATGGCCACTCCCGACATCGAGAAACACCCCGCCACTGCAGCCCGGGGCCATGGAGACCCTAAATACCCCGATCTCTCGACGGGGCCCTACGACAGCCAGGTCCCACCCGTCAACGCCGACAAGCTTGCGCGTAACCTGTCTGCGCGCCAGGTCCAGATGATCGCCATCGGCGGCACAATCGGCACCGGTCTGTTCCTGGGCACGGGGAAGGCGCTGGCTACCGGTGGTCCGGCATCCATGCTGATTGCGTATGCGATCTGCGGTGGGATCGTGTTCGTGACGATGCTGAGTCTTGGGGAGATGGCGGCTTTTATTCCGGTTGCTGGGTCGTTTTGTACGTTTGCGGGGTGAGTTTAAACCCGGGGATTGATGTGGATGGTCTGAGATTATCTACCTAGTGTCTGAGGTGCTGACGGGTGTTTTGGTTTAGTCGGTTCGTCGACGACGCGTTGGGGTTCGCTTTGACGTGGAACTACTGGTTCAATGATGCGGTCTCGACGGCGTCGGATGTGATTGCCCTGCAGCTGTTGCTGGAGTTCTGGACGGATAATTTCCCCGGGTGGGCGATCAGTTTGATTTTTCTGGTTGTGGTCATTGCGCTGAATGTGATGTCGGTGAAGGTTTATGGAGAGGTAGGTCTTTAGCTGGGTTTGTTGAGTGGTTTGCTAACCTCACGGTGGGCAGATCGAGTATTGGCTCAGTCTCTTGAAGGTCATCACTATCATTGTAAGTTTTTGATACCTTGTGGAGCTCGGCAAGATAGCTAACCAGCTTAGATATTCATTATACTCGGCATTGCAGTCAATTGTGGCGGGAATACGGAGCACCGATATCTTGGTGATAAGTATTTCTACATCGGAGATGCGCCATTCGTCGGTGGAATCGGAGGATTCGCATCGGTCTTTGTGACTGCTTCCTTCGCTTTGTACGGTTTCCTCTCACTCTTCGACTCCTGAATCGTAACTAACAGCCTGTAGTGGCGGCACTGAATCGATCGCTGTGACCGCAGGTGAAACCAAGGACCCCGATAAGAACATGCCCAAGGTGGTTCGCAACGTCTTCTGGCGTATCATTTTGTTCTACATCGTGTCCATCATCATCATCGGTCTCAACGTGCCCTACACTTACCCGAATTTGTCCGAGGGTGACACCGCCACCAGCCCCTTCACCATCGTGTTCACCCAGGCCGGCAGTGCTGTAGCTGGTAGCTTCATTAATGCCGTGCTCATGACCAGCGTCATCTCCGCCGCCAACCATGCACTGTTCGCCGGATCCCGACTACTCTACACCCTCGCGGTTGATGGCTACGCGCCTCGGTTCTTCGGCAACCTGAACCGCTTCCAGGTACCCTGGATTGCTGTCCTAGCAACCTCAGTTATCAGCGGTCTCTGCTTCGGCGCCAGCTATATCGGCGCCGGTCAGCTCTGGTCATGGCTTCAAAAGTAACCCCCCTCCCTTTCTTTACCCGTTCATCAAGAAAGCCCTAACTAAACCTCCCAAGCATCGTCGGCGTCTCCAACCAACTCTCCTGGACCTGCATCGGCGTCGCCTCGTTACGCTTCCGCGCCGCAATCCGCCACCAGGGTCTTGAGCACCTTCTCCCCTACAAGAACTGGACCTACCCCGTCGGACCCATCATCGCCGTCGGGCTTAACATCGTCCTCATCCTTGTTCAAGGCTGGTCCTGCTTCAGCCCGAGCTTCAAGCCCATCGACTTCGTGTCCTTCTACATCGAAATCCCCATCATGATCGTCATGTTCCTCGTCTGGAAACTGGTGAAGCGCACCAAATTCGTCCATCTCGGCGAGATGGATCTCCTGACGGATCGGTACAACGTGGTCCAGCAGGAGGGAGTTGATCCGAATGCAGAATATGAATCTCATGAGCCGACTTCGCGGCGGGAGAAGATCTTTGCGTCATTGAAGGGCGAGGAGAAGGGCGTTTGGGCGAAGCTGAAGAGGGTCGGGATGTGGCTTTTCTTGTAGTTCTTTTCTTTTCTTTCTTGTGGATATCAAAAATGGGGAGGGATGTCCGGATTATGGGACTTTTTATGCTTACGAATTATGAGTCGTAGTACATACATATACATTTACATTAGTTATTATATATATTATTTCTATTCTAATGAATACTCTTACACTTCGGTCAGCCTCCTTATTCGAGAGATACTGAAATCTACTAGTAAGTGTGGATATCCTGAGCCTCGTCTTTCTTCAGAATGTTAATTCCTAGTAATGAGCAGCATATTACAGGCATGTGCATCTAAGCATCCAAAAGGGGTAATCGTGACGAGGAGTTACAGGCGGAAAGGGGCGAGAGTCAGCGTCGCAGGGATTCAAGCTCCCAACCTTGGAACTTCTCCCTTCCACCCCAAGGCGCTTGTGGCTGAGAGCACAAGCACTCGGGTCCATCCGGTTCTTCCGGGCAGCTTCAGCCTTCAGAACTCCGGAGGGACCGATAAACGGAGAATTATGTCCAGTCTTATTCCAAATGTGCACGCAGGAATGAGGCTCCATCCAATCTCGTTGGTCGGACAAATGGATGTTTGGCAGTTTGCCCGGGTGAGAGTTCAGCATCACCCAACATTCTCCACATCACCAATTGCTCGATCGAGGGCTGAGCTGAATAGTCTAGCCTTGTGCCTGACTCGTGTCCGACAAATCCTGGTGTTTGTGCATCAATACGAGATGGAGACGATCTAGTCCCTTGGCGTCCGGAGCTGACTGGCTCGTTGCCGCATGAACTCGCCAAACCGACCCCGATGGAAATTAGAGGCATCTAAGTATAATCCCCGTGGCTTCGAAGCGTGGCATTTCAGCCCGATGGCACGGGGGGCGCCGAGAGATAATAAGGTGAGGGATGTCCCATGGTTGGCAGTTCCTCATCTGGCATCGCATCTACTTCGCGCTCGGCATGGATGTCAACACCACCAACGACGAATACATCTACACCGGCGTGTGGACCGACTGGTCGCATGGACGGCTTCATGGAACGACACTCACTCTCTCGGCGCAGTCGGCCGGTTTCCTCACAGCCTTTCTCTCGCTCTTCGTGACCGTCTCGGCGGCGCACATCTGGCGCATCATCACCTACATCGTGCATCAGCTGCACTCGTCCCCTGAGCCCAAAGATGCTTTCCATCACCAGCAGCAAGTCATGTTCAAGAACACGTCCTCGCCGGCGTCCCTGGCATGGGAGTCAATCCTGCTAGCCTGGAGCTGGCGACGCAGTACTCGTCGTTCTGTCGCGCGCAGCATTGGCTTCATCCTCCTGGCCCTGGTCTGGATGGTAGCTGCTGGTGGTGCCGCCGTGCTCTCGGCGAGAATGACCAAGCCAGCAGGCGATGACTGTCTCATCATGAGCAACAACTGCGGCACCTGGTCGGAGTCAAATAGCTCCAACGTCAACGACCCGAACAGCATAGAGCTCTTCAGCGCAATCCAGCTCCAAGCCCTCAACTCCGCCACGGCCTACTCGCGCACCTGCTACGCTCCTGAAAGCGAGAACCTCGCCCAATGCCAGCTCTACACGCAGTCCCGACTGCCCTTCCAGGCCCGAAAGAACGTCTCCTGTCCGTTCGCCGACGGCATATGTTTCGAGGGCGACAACGCCGCGTTCTCCCTCGACACCGGCCTCCTCGACAGCAATCACCATCTCGGCATCAACACCATCGAAGAGGAGCGCATCCTCTTCCGCAAAGCCGTCACCTGCTCGCCCTTGATCCGCGAGCCCTTTGTCACCGTCCACAACGACTCCAACCCCCTCCCCGACTACCCCTTCGCCAACACCACCGTCGCCGCCTACCACTACGGCCCCAAACTCACCGACCACATCCAGAACGAGACCTTCCGATACGACGTCATGAGCGCGCGCGCCCCCATCGCCTACACCGTCAGCCCGGAATGGTCCTCCACCGGCACCGCCTCCATCAACAAGACCTGGATCCCCATCCCCGCGCTCAACCGCACCGACGCCGACGTCAACATCATCTTCATCAACGCCAACAACCTCCGCTACGACTACCCCGTCGACGACCCCATCTTCGGCGCGCACCGCTCCGCCCTCGAAGAACTCCAACAGCTCCCCGACGTCAACGCCTCCATCGCCGAGCTCAACAACTGGTGGCTCCCAGACTCCTACACCACCGTCCTCGGCTGCACCGACCAATACCAGGTCTGCAGCGTCGGCACAGGCTCCTGCACCCCTCTCAACGGCATGGGCGATCTCACCTACAATATGATCCAAACCTCCGTCGACCTGGGCCTGAACCCGCGCCAAGCCCACGTCTTCGCCCTCGTCACCTCCTACCTCGTCATCAACAACATGTTCTACAGCGTCTACGGCCGCAGCGGCGCGTCGCTCCGCGCCCAGGAAACCGTCGCCGACCTCAGCCAAAAGGCCCCCCTGCCACCTACCCAATGGCAAATCGAGATCCAATCCTGGTTCGAAGCCAGCCTGGCCAAGCTGCAAGAACGCAGCGTCGAATTCGCCACCGGACCCCGCCACTACCGCGCCCAACGCTTCCGGCTCCCCGCAACTGCGTCCTCGTTTCTCTGCGAGGCCCAAAAGGTCCGCTGCCCGGCGGGGAACATCTCGTTCTCCGTCCTCGGCGTAGCAGCCATCATCGGCGTCGGGTGCGTGATCATCCTCCTGGGTTGGTCGCTGGATACAGTGATGGGGTGGCTCGGGCCGAGATGGTTCCCGCGCAGCCAGTATAAGCGGGTGAATTGGACGCTGGACGATAAGTTCCAGCTGCAGCGGATGGCGTTCGAGGGGTGCGGGTTTGGGGATTGGGAAGGGCAGACGGCGGCGGTGCCGGTTACGGCGAAAGGGCAGGTGTTTGGGGGGTGGAGGGATGTGGATGAGAAGCATCCGTTTTTAGGGGGGAGGGATCGCGTGCTGGTTACAGAGGAGAGGGTGGATGCGCGGACTGAGGTGGTGAAATAGGGGGTTTACACTATTTGGAGTAGGGACGCTGTCTGGATGGACCATGCTAATTGTACAGTGCATGTTCTCGCATATATGATTTAATAGAAGCCTAATGATAACCGATATGTCTTGTTTATGGTGTTGGCAGAATGGTACTACTATATATCCCGAATCAGGATTCGAGATGGCGGAATATAGTCTCTTCTGCAAGCCAAGGCTTTTGGGTAGTTTCATCTATAATAAGTCTCTGCAAGATGAATCCAGCCTTAACGTCTATGGACTATACAGTGGACTAAAGTTCAAACTGTAGAAAGCCGGGTACATACATAGCCAATACACATACGTACTTGATTTTCTAGCCACCGCTCGAGTTACCTAAGCTAATGTAAATGACTTCTGTTTCCCTCCCCAGACAGCTGCCAACTCTCTCCCAATCTCTTTCCACAAACATGGCTCTCGACTATCTCCCCTCATGGGGCCAACTCCCCGCAGAGCAATATCTGATCGTGAGACTCTCCTTCTAGAATCTAATCCTGTTATTTATATACAAACAGGAATCCTGGAACCCCGCTTCTACCGAACCACCATCCACGCAGCGCGCGCGTCTAGTTAAGCAATTTTTAAATATTGACTACTTCAACGCAGACTGGGACCCAACACGCGGTGGTACCAACCCAGACGCTCAACCCGTCCGTGTTCCGACCGAAGGGGAAATATCGATAATCCTACGCCCCTGGCGGTCTGATGATATACGTCGACGAGCCTGGCGCGTTTGGGAGGCTTATACTAATACCGGTGGTAACAATCCAGTTCTGCTAAGAACGTGGTATGATCCTAAAGATGACGAGCGCGTGAAGAGCTGGGCAACACTCTCGGAGTTCTTCGAAGATGACGCGGCTTGGGCGATTCTGGATGATCCTGCGGTGTTTAATTTTGGCACCGGTCCCTGGCAACAGGTGCTCGAGATCCTGCCGGAAATTGCTGCCCGTCTGTTTCACGATGATCGGTGGGTACGCCGGAAAGACTGGCGCGTGGACAATCGACTCTATTCTCGTTTTAAAGGCCGGTTGAACGCGGTGAAGCGGTCGAACCCGTCGTGGAGAAGTGACTTGAATGTTCTTGTTAAAGGGAATACTGCCGCGCAGAGTTTCTTGCATCTTGTGTCAAGAAGTTACATCTTGATTGCGGATAAGGAGACCTTTGAGACTGACCATTTCTTGCTCGCTTATCTTGATGCAAGAGGGAGGGTTACAATGCAGGGCCGGATTCTTGTTGATGAGGATAGGTTAACTCAAGTTTCATTAGAGCGGTTCCAGGCAATTCCTCCAATGGATGTTTTCGAGGAGGGTGAGCTTGGTACAGATTACATTGTGGCTGCTGGGAATGCAGGGGATCGTGAGGTGTATTATTGGATGAGGGAGGATTTGGAGGATGATCCGCCGCCTGGTGATGAGGATGAGGACTAGAATACCTTGAGCAGGGCATCTCGAGATCGCGATCAGGGGCGAATGGTATAGATTCCCGGAAGAAATGCGGGTTGCTAATTTGAATTGCTGTTTTCGATACCACGGCCTTCCTTCGGCGCAGGCCTTTGGCGCAGGGTGGCCTAACACCGATCTAGCCCCAGATCTATGTATCCTGGCTTTCGCCACATTTTCCCATACTCTCGCGGATGATTGGACTTGGGGCCATGAACAAGCCTGGATCGGACTGATTGGGAGCGTTGAAGGTCGCGATCGGCGCAGTGCTGGGGGTGGAAAAGATGCCCCCCACCCCCATAGTGGGTTCAGCAAAGCTGCCGGGATAGAGCCGTGATGTGAATTAGTCCGTGAGCAAAGCCCCTGAGCGCCCTCAGTAAAGCGGCGATGTCTACAACAGGAAATTTACGATAATGTAGAAAAACAGGTATGTATGGTGACAGATACAATCCAACCAATCTATCGTAACTCTATAGTCAATAGACAGTAGAAAATAGTATAGAAGTAATATATTAAATATAAAACCTAGACTCCATCCATCCCCAATCCACCGACGCCATCTATGAGGAAGACAACAAAACAAAACAAAACCAACTATCCTAATGCTTGAATGCAATGCAATGCAATGAGATCAGCTGAAGTAAAATGAAAGACACATAGCAAATCGGTCCCCGTGAATAGATAGGTAGGTAGGGATCTCAAAGATCCCCCTGAGCCTCCCTTACCTGACCAATCCTTGACCCTGACAAAATCAACCGCAACACATAACACAAGACAATAACAGACACGCCATGCATCGTAGGAAGTATTGAAATGAAGCCTTTGCCACGACCCATTTCCCACAATAAAAAAACGACAAAGAAAGAAAAGTGGAAGTCCAAACCACCGAGGCTCATGCAAAATTATTTAGTATGGTGATATAAAATATGTAATGGATCAACAAAAGAAATATCTCCAAGGATAACGAGGAAATGACAAAGAAAAAAAGAAGTGTACACCCAGTGCAGCACGATAGAAGGAAACGTAACATGACCTAATATGGCAGAATCTGTACACAGGGAGGTATTATTAAACCACAAATGAAAGAAAGAGAAAGTGGATAAACCACAGATAATATGGGACAGGCATTAAATGTTAAGGATCGGATGATGATCGCACAAACGTTGTCAATATCACTGTCACAGAAACAAAGGAGAATATACATTATGGTCATTAACCGTTGTAGAGCCGGCTACAAGCACCAAGGACTGAGTGGATTCGACTGGTCGACCCGATCGCTCCGTAGATAGAAGTGAGAGAGAGAGAGGGGTAGAGGGAAGAAAGTGAGTGGATATGCAAGTTGCGGTAGTCGTCGTCTTTATATGATTTGAGAGTTGTGTTTGTTTTGTTTTCGTTTTTTTGTCATTTTCTGGGTCGATTCTTTTAGCCGTTCACCATATCGTCTAAGGCCATTTTTCGCCTCTTTGTCGGCCGTGATTCACCACTGTCAGCTTCAGTTGTCGGCTCCTCGTCACGGACTCGTGTGGAGGACAGCTGCAAGGAATGGCGCTGGAGGGTGGGATCGACGGCACTCAGGACTCGTGGGACGGTTTCTCCATAACTCACTTCGGACATTGCCTGGCGCATCTGACTGGTAGGCGATATAGGATCCAGATAGCCATGAGCTGGCATCGGCTGCCGCGGCTCAAAGCCCTCATCACGAGCTCGGGGAGACCACGTCGTCGAATAGGGATCACTCAATCGATGAGACTGCGGCCCGGAGCTCGGGCTCGCCATCGTCGGGGGATAAATAGGGGGCAGTCGAACGGGGGATTCGAGATAGCTTTCTCTGGGCGGTTCGCCCATTGCCATCCGATTCACCATTCTCGTGCTGTCGGTATACGGCGACATCGGAGGAGCAAAGGCTTGGTGATATTGCGGAGGCGATGCTGCTGGATGAAACGCCTGATTCCCGTAGGATGAGAGCGGTCTTCCGACTCCCATGGGCATGCGACCTGCTCCGAGGGAAGGGTTGTACGTGCCAGGCATAGGCACGAAACCAGGGGGCGAGGCCGACGTGATCGATTGCACTGAGCCGGACGAAGAGAAACGCCTGTGGCCGATGTTTCTTTGCATTGTTAGGGCTGGGTCGAGATTCGAAGGATACACCGACGGAGGCCACCTGTGCGGGGGCATCGCGGCCGCTCGAAGTCCCATTGCACCGGGAGGGCCGCTAGGGATTTGCAGATCTGTCACCGGTCGAATCTCGCGGGAAGATGTCGCTCGATGCATCGCGCGTCTCGAATGGTGTGCGTGTGGCCCCCCTGGCCCGGCTCCGCTGTCCACCTGGGCCGGATATGATCTCAGAGAAGCTTCTTCGGCTTTCAAGGGGGGTCTCCCTCGCTTCTTGTGCGTCACGTCGACGCAAGTTGCCTGCATCAGGGAAATTATTAGCACCGATTTGCCTTATGATTGTCCTTGGAGTATCCGCATAAAAGAAATAAACAAAAGGACACGCTCCAAAGCATCGAACGCAAAACTCAAACGACTTCATAAGAACTTACCTCTTTTCCCGACAAGACACATCTTCGGCAAGGTCGAGCTGGATCGCACCCTAAATGCTTCTTCTTGCAATTCACGCAGGCCGACGCAACGTGAGCCTTGGTCCGTCGCGTAGACTTCTGGGCGATTCCACGAGCGCCCGTTCCTGGGGACGAGGCGACCCCGAAGGTTGTCTGCGAGTAGGTCGATGCAGAAGGCTGCGGCGGCGGCGGGACCTGCCCTCCTAACGTAGGTGGTAAGCGCGACGCTGAAAAGCTATCTGCGATAGGAAAGCCCTGTCGCGATAGATCGTCCCCCGGACCAGAGAGCACTCGGTGCAAGGGCGACTCGTGAACGGTGGTGGTGGTGGCGGGCGACCCCGAGGCCAGAAGGGAGCCCGGCGCTCCTCCGGCCGATATCGTGGCGGCGGTCGACGAGGCCGACGAGGTGGCCACCGTCGTCACTGGCTGAGGCAGCTCCGGATGTCCGAGACGTCGGACGGTTGCAGAAGTCTCCAGCGGGTCTTCTGCCGGGACCGAGTCGGACATAGAGCGAGGGAGAGGAAGGTCCCGCGGAGTGCAACGTCGAGCATTTGTTGATCGGGACAGATTCAAGGGAAGCCGGTCCGGTCCCGGGTCGAATCTGGGATGTCCAAATTCCGTGGCGATGAAGGATGAAGGGGGAAGCACTAATGATTGCATCTGGTAATAGTAGGGTCCCTGGGTCTACGGGGACGACGAACAGACACGAGTTCACAGGAAGGGAAGACGAAATGGGTGAGATATTGGAAGCGGAAGCATATCTGGCAGGGCAAAGAATTAAAAACCCCGTTTTCCGTTCTAAATCCCCTCGAAGTCGGTGTGCGAGAAGGAGGGTGAGTGCGTAGGTGTAGGTGTGTCCGACTCAATTGCCCGTCATCCTCGGCCAGTCCACGCTTTGGCAGGTTGTTTTTAGGGACTGCCAGGAGCTTATAATCGAGTCAGTACTCGGTCACTATTGGAGGAGTCATAAACTAGGATGTGATGATCAGCAACGACTTCCCAGATCGTGACGGCAGTTTTTTCCATGGCTTCGATGGTCTCCATCCTGGGATGATTTATTGCAGCATGGTGGGCGATCAATGGAGCCAGAAGAACAAGCGCAGAAGGAAGGGGAGACAGAAATGAATTAATTAATTTAAAAAAGAAAAAAAAAGAAATCAGGGAAAAAAAATCAACAGAAAAAAGAAAAAGAAAAAGAAAAATACACGCAGGGACCGATTTGCACCTTACCTGGTCACAACTGGTAATGGCAGTTTTCTGGCGTCTGGCGCTGCTCCCAGGAATGTCTGTTTTGGTTGGCTCGTATCGGATATAAGATGCCAGAAGAAACGGTGAAGTATAGAAGAAGCAGAAAGTGAGGCGTAAAACTCCGACGCGATCACACTGGGCCCTTCCCAACGGAGAGATAAAACGTCAGAAGGGGAGAGGAAAAAGAAACCAAAAATAATATCAAGCCAATTATTTTTTCCCATGCACGAGAAAAAATAAAATAATAAAAAAAATATAATAATCAATATTATTATCCCAGATCTAGCGTCGTCGTTCTTTCCGAAGCAGAAGCTGGTTCTCTACGTAACGGTCAGGGATATTTTCACGTCCAGAGAAGGAATTCTCCTCGATCAAAAGAGATGCCACTAAAAGGTCGAGGGATCGAGTTTCTGCGAACATCACCCTTGAACGAGGGGAGAGGGAGATAGGGATCCTGGTCCTTTTTTTACCTGCAGGCCCCATGAACAAGGCTTACAGGCTTCAGCAGGTCGGCAAAACGAATGGAAACCCAAGGTGGATAAATGGTGGCCAGTGCCAGCGAGACTAGCAGCCGATAGACTTGGATCTCCATCATGGTAGATCTCATTTTCTTTTCCTTTTTTTTTTTTTTTTTTTTTTTTTTTTTTTTTTTTTTTTTTTTTTCTTGACTCCTCCCGGAGAGGTGTCGAGCATGTCTGGCTTTTTTAGGGGAGTTAATTCCATCGGAAAGAGCGAATAGTTCCAATCCTCCGGGGGATCCAGTCCAATGAGCTCAATCTTCAGACCAGACCTCTTGGACTGTGTTTGACTTGGGGAGAATTTTCTTGCTTTCTTTTTTGTTAAAAAAAATCCCTTTTTTTTTTTTCCTGGATGCTGCGCACGAACGTCTCCCATTTGTCTCTCCCTGGCCATGCTGGAGACAGAGCAGCGGTGGCTTGCATTAGAATGGGGGAAAAAGGAATGGCCATCGCTGTCAGTGACACTGGCCAAAAGGGGTTAAGAGAGGGGTAAGACTAAGAAAAGAAAAGAAAAGAAAAAAGGGCCAGACAGGCATATACCAAGACGAGCAGGAAAATAAAATCAGGAAACAAAAATAAAGATGGTGGTCTAAGCTGAGCAAGCAAGGCGAAGGGAGCGACGGATCGACGTCGGCGCCCGCCCGCTGCATCCCATTGCCAATAGTCCGCCGGCACTACCGAATGGTGTCGATGTTGGGGGCATTTGCGAGCCAGGATTTTAAGCTTGTCAATCCAATGGATTGGGCGGAGCTTCCCAAATCCAGTCAACCCTGGATCGTCTCCCCGTCCAGGGATTTGCTCTGGTTTGGGTTCCTCAGGGACTTCGTTTTGCGAAAACTCGGTCGGCGTCAGATATCAGGAGTAGTTCGAACGATAGAAAATATGAAAAATTATATCAGGGATACGGGAAAAAAATTAAAAAAAAAAGGGAAAGGAGAGACGTGAAAAAAAAAAGAAAAAGAAAAAAAAAAAGCCCCATTACTCATGAGACGGCGAATCCTCTGCTTCATGCTATTCATTTCTCCGCCATTGTCATTTTGCTGCCCCATAATTGGGCACAATAGGGTCCAATGGATTGACGGGTTCCTTTCTTTTTCTCTTGTCTCGTCGTTTCTTTTCTTCTCCTTTTCGTCTTGTTTCCTTTTTCTTGTCTCCTGTTTTATTGTTGAATTTTATCGTCGACTTGGTCACGCCGAACTGGTATGTATACCGATTACTGAAAATAGCTTCGGAAGGCAACCTCGTTTACGATGTCCTCGAAGCCGCGACTGCTCGGGGTTTAGAAAAAAAAATAAAGAAAGTCGGCTCATCTGATAGGATATTTCCTGCTACTGGATCCCGACGGTGGCTTCGATCATCCGAGGCAGATCCGAATCCCTTCGAAGCCACAATTCCTGTGAACGGCGACGAACCGGTCCCGTAGACGCACGAGACACCTATGATGTTATGATCTGCCCGTCGCAAACATTATTTGTCAATTGGACTAGTCGGACAGTATCGTCGTGAGAGGAGGGGGGGTTACGGGAAACTGTGCTTGACAGATGACGCCAGCCCCAATAGCCCCGAGCATTGGAATGAGAGACAACAATTCTCCGCAGTGGCTCTGGAGTCGATGGCCGGACCCACCCGGCTGGGCAGTGTAAAAATGTACTTTGTTGTCGCCTGCCAATCCATTCATTGGCGTGTCCGATTATGTCCCGCCTGCATCGCATGCCGTCTAGACTGGGGGGATGACTTGGGAAGACGTCGGTACTTCGAAATAGGCGATGCATGGCCTTTGGGGGGATGATCCCCTATCATCCTGTTCCGTCAGGGGGGAATTTTCATTTCATTTTATTTTTTTGTCTTTCGTTTTGACGTCGTACTGTTTTTTTTTTTTTTGGCTTCCCTTCCCTTACACGGAAGAGGAAATGGGCGCGATAATCCATGTAGACCGCACTTGCAGCCCACCTGGCTCGCGTGATCGTATGTTTAACTTTAAAATCAAGAGACAGAAAAGAGATCTAGCGAGCTGACCGTTAGAGACGATCGGTGTCAATCATCATGGCCTCATTTTCATATGGTCGCCGTCATGAACGACGATGTCCATGCCGCGCACTACGCAGATTAGGCCGGCAAGTCGTGGCCGGGCCATACGACTTGTGTCATGGAATCCGTGAGATCCCGACCGACTCTGCGTGGTAAGACAGTCAAAGTCAAGCCTTTGGGATACCTCGACACATGTCCTTAATGTCCGGTCCAAGTGAGGGAGAGATTATTACTTTGCGATCAAGATGTGGCTGCAGCAAGCAGCCCTGGCCAGTGGAACAAACATCAGTCTAGGCCGGTCACCTGAGCCCCGGACAATTTGCGGTCATTCTCCATGGACCATTCATCCATGCGCTGGGAATGGCCCGTCTGATAAGGGAGGCAGATCCACCGGCTCTGTTCAGCATGGGAAAGTGGAGGGACCAATTGACGGCGGATTACCAACGGTTTTTTTAGTGATGGAAATGCACGACCTGGAACGGCGGTAGTTGAAGATCTTTTTCCCCAGTAATTATTTTTCCTGTTCATTTCGGGTGCCAATTTCCCATTTGAAGATCCCACATGAATTGTTTTCATCCGGTCGGTACAAACCGGCCCAGTCGTGATCCTGGACTGAAAGGGGAAGATCCAAACTTGAGTCACCTCGGGGAATTCTCTGAGCTGTCCACCTTCTTGGCTTCTTGTTCTGTCAGTTCTGATTGTCTCTGAGGTGTTGCCCACCCGGACGGATTCAATTTTACGAGATCAAAGACATGATGCGGGGATTCAAGTGAAAGGAAAATGGGTATACTCCGTAAAACACTCGTACTAAATGATAAGGGGAGAGACGGGGGAAAAGGAAAAAAAAAAAAAAAAGGAGAGTCAAGACAAGACAACAACTAACAATTGAACCAACCAACCGTGACAAGCCCGTAGTGTCGTGTCGTAGTCAGTTTCTCAGCCTTGAACGTGGGAAAGCACAGGAAAAGGGAAATTGGGGAGCCCCGAGGAATTGTGGAACGCGGGGGCAGCAGCAGCAAGGGGTCCAGACGATTGACTTTGTCGGGCCCTAAGGACGGACGAGCAGCGCAAGAGGGTGGTTGTTCTTCCTTCTTGCTCAGAGTCCTAGCCAAAGTAAGCGGTTCATGCAGGCCGGAGCGGAAGACATCAGCACGATCTGCCTCTTAGGGGCCGACGAGGGCCAATAGTTCGAGCCACTGGGTCCAGAAACCGATTACGGCGTAGCTGCGTCTCCAGGCTCCTTTTCCCCCAAGACCAAGACAAGACCAGAACTGATGATGTCTGTTGCAGATCGCGATGAAGATAAAGCAACAAAAGGCGTGCAGGTGATACCCTACCACAGTCAGTCAACATAACCTGGCTGCGGTGTCACCTCGACACACGGGGTTTTGGAGACGAAAGACGAAGCGACGCGACGGACGACGCGAACGGCGGCCCCGTGACCCGGGCTGATCCGCCCTAGTCTCTTCCGGGGTTAGTGCCGGTCCACTCACGACCGCCTGATTGGGCAGCAGTATTTGTCACCTCCCGTCGAGGCTCAAGCCGACTATCAGTTTCATCCTCACTATTGATTTCCTTGTCGACCGGTTCAAATCCCCTCGATCATGCCATTTGCTGCCGACATGGATCCCTCCGGACAATCCCTCTGTCTCCTGTCTTGTTCTTCACGTCGCCCCCCCGGTCCTGGCCAGTGTGTTGTCTGTGCTTTTTTCCCCGTCAATTCCCCTGATTGTCAATATTCTCCTCGACGGATGAGGCCGGAGATAAAATAAAACATTGCAATAAAAAATAATAAAAAAGGGACTAGACTTCAGGAGACACGAGAAATTCGCCGGACATGACGGAATGAGTGAAGTATCTCCTCCATTTCCGTAACACATCCGTTTTTCCGTGGTACTTGACGCGGTACATCCCAATGCGTGGGCGACACGAGATAATCTTCCGAAAAGGGTCCTCCCGACTACGACCCGGAAGGACCCTGTGGTGTATACGGCAGCGCAGATAGGAGAGCTGAGATGTTACCCGAAGCATGTGGATTGGGGCCTGTTAATCCATCACGAGTCAGGACGGTGTCTCGCGGTATCTCTTTCCGCGCTCTTTTTCTCTCCCCCTTTTTCCCCTATTCTACGGAGTACCTTCCCTCTCCTTTGGGCATCTCTGTCAGGTGACCCTTCTTCTCCGATCATTGAATGCTCGGAATACCTGTCTCCGGTGGGAAAGGGACAACGACGACATGACACCTCCAGTGCTTGATTTTTATTACTATCATTCCTGTATAGCCAAGTCAAATGACCCGAAGCTTGGAAATTGATAATTACCTCCGTATGCTCTGTTGTCCAAGCTGTTTTGCAAATTTACTATGCGTCTTTCAGATCGAGCGAGAAAGAAAGTCTCGACAAAGTCGTCACGAGGAACATTGCTAAATCGGCACCGATATCATACGTCCTAATTCTCCAGATGTGCATCCTCCAACGCATCGGTCTTGCGTCGCAACTGCCTAAACCCAACATGCACCGATCCAGGTGGCATTCCACGTAAGCCGGGACAGACGATGATGGCCCTCGGCGCGAGAGACCAGCAAGAAAAGGCCATTTGCTGCCCGTTCATCTCGCATGACGACCAATTCGGAAGAAAACGACCAATGGCCAAACCAGGTCGTCGCCAGCGGACGATGAAATCGCACGATCCTCGAATCCGCTGACATGGATATCCGATGATCCTGACCCGGAGGTCATTTCTCCTCGGACGGGATGATACCTGTCGGATGGGAGGAAGACGAGCGAAAAAGAAAAAAAAAAGAGAGTGGACGGCGCAGGGTCAACCGAACTAATCACCACCATTCAATTATTTTTCCCTTACTTTGGCCGTCTTCCCCATCCTGATCTAGACTCTGGATACTCCACCCGTCGCCTATTTGCGGTGCATATTGACCGTACATGCTCGGTCTTCGGATCTTCCTCGTGACGGCCCAGAAGGTTGGGAGATGCCGGTTCTTGCAGTTGCAGCAACCATGGGCCAAGACCCTCTACCAATAGTTTCCCATGGAATCGGAAAGCCAGAGCAAGGACCGACTGACTTGTCGTCCTGCCTGCTTACCGCGACTGCTTACGCGAGGGTGGCGCGTCGAAAAGGAAAATGGAAAATGAAAAATTAAAATAATTCCATATAGTAACGACATGGGTTCATTGGGCTCGGCCGGCTCGGCCTCGAGAGCGAACCAGATCGACGGATGTTTGGTCTGTACCTGTAGCTAGGCAGTTGATGACTCTTGGCCAAATGACCGAATAATCGACGAAAAGCAAAGACGGGAACCGTTGAACTCAGCCCGTCAACAAGGGATGAACGAATGATCCGTCACCTGCGTGGGAACGCTTCAGTTCGTCGGGATGAGGTTGAGGCGAGCGAGTGTCGGTGAGGATGTGACCAGTATCAAGGTTTCTGCAAGCCGGCAATAAAGTCATTATTGCGAGAACACCATAGTCCCCATTATGAAGGATCTTCTTCCCCTTCTTCTTTACTCCATACTAGTTAACCCATTTCTTTCTATCTCCCAACTGAGACGCCGGGCGGAAAAGGTATCCACAGCCGTGACAATAAAGATATAAATAAAACCAATATTTCCCTCGGATCGGACCGCAGTGGAAAAATAATGAAAAAACCCCCTTTCGCCGCGGAACTATACCCGGACCTTCGGATGGAAGGGGTTACTCAATAATTGACGAGACATGCCCATATTCCCCCGAGGGTCGTAACGAGAAAAAGGGACTTAGGCATTGTCCAGGCATTGTCCCGGGGGGAGATTAAACCCTCCGTCACGGCGTTCACAGTGAATACTGGATATAGCGACCTGCTTCCAGGCCAGTCATGTACGGTGTATACGTCCATATCCATGTCCTGATCCAAATTAATATCAATACCCATGTCCATAATCGCACCTAGTCCCAGCACCCTACAGCAAGACTATTCGTACTAACCTGACTAGTACCCGGTGTCTGTCGTATATGTAAGTCGCTGCTCACGTATGTAGCGACCATGTAGCGAGGGGAATAGGTCTCAAGCGCCAAGTTCGTAGTGACTGCGAATCAATAAACCTCGTAGGGAAATGTTTGTTGTATTCCCAGCTGTGGAGCCCTGCTGTCCTACCGTACTTGGTGCGACCTGCCTCGCACCTACAGTTGCGGGCTGACTTCAAGTCTACGGCGATATTACCGCTCTTTGAGTGCGTTTACTGGCGGACTATTTAGCAGGACAGGATGGAGCAGAATTGGGGGTTTGGCATTAGCCTTAGCATTTTAATTTATGCATGTAGCTATTACTAACTACTAGTAAGTCACTGGGAGTAACGAAACCCACACGCTTGCAGTATGCTAAGTCGAAACCCATGTCGTAGATCCCGATCCCTTCGACTTATGCAACTTAATCCTAAGGCTGTCTTGGGGAGTTGATCTCTCTGCTTGAACTAGTGTAGTGTAGGATATCTCATTGATTTAGGGCAGACCGATGGCTCCATTGTCCATTGACGATCGACAATTTACTTCCCAACCTTCAAACTCCCCCCATGAAGTAAATCCACCTCAATTTAGTTTCCCCAGACGCTCATCCAATGCACGCATGCAGTATTCATCATCATCTTCATCATCACTTCCACCTCGCAAAAATCTAAAAGAAAACCTAACTAAAGCATGTGTGTAAACTCACCGCACAGCACAGCACAGCGTGATTCAACCAGTAATCAACCCGGTAAATCAGTCAGTATGCATATAAATAAGTATGTATGTACATCATACATGCTGTACGTGATTAGACTACTTCTTAGTCCCCTCCAACTACGGAGTACGCAGCAGGCAGGTTATCCACCCACCAAACAACCTAAGCCAGAATCCACATCACATCACATTTACGGTGCGCACATCCAATAGTCTCGGGCTGTGTCGGAGCCAAGAATCTGCAGGTGAGGTTACTCTTCCGAGGGGTATGCTGTTCTGTTTTGATCTGGGATTTTCGTGGATGAGTGCGATTAACCCGCTACTTGGCTAGCTAGGTAGCAAGAAGATGGAAAATCCAATCGACAGGAATTAAGTAACGCATAAATCCTAGTAACTAATTATCATACAGAGCTCTAAAATCCAACCCCAAATCCCAATCCCATCCAATCCTCCTACTAACCCAAAAAGGATGTGATATGATGTGATGCGGCAATGTGACATGTCTTTTATTGAATCCGATGCGTTCCATGTTTTACTGGCGGTGGATCGCTGGGCCACCTCCCTAGCCATGGACCATGGATCCGTATCCATGTAAGGTGATCTCCGTTGTGGCGGAGAATAGGATTGGGTATCGATGTCAGATGCATGTGCATGGCCTTATTGTTTTTGGGATTTATTTTGGTGTCGGAGAGGAGGCTGTTTATTCGGGTGGAGGGTGGAGGGTTTTTTTTACTTTTTTTATTTTTGTTTTTGTTTTTGATGAGCGATTATGGCGGTCTGGAAACGTACCGGTTGGTTCGTTCTTGGCTGGCTGGTTGGTTGGCTTTTGGGTTGTTTATTTGCGTGTTTATGTTGTTGTTTGGTTGATCTGGACAGGTGTATGGATGTGGAGGTTCTAGGACTAGAGAATATGGCTGATGGGGAAGATTCAACTCTCCGACAGGATTGAACTTTTGAAATATTTTCACCGAGCATTGTCTTGCTCGTGTCTCGTAAAACAGAATGGTATCAATATATACATTAAACCTAGAGTATCCCCCAACACCACTCACACATATGGATACAAGCCATGGCCTATGTCTTATCTCTTCTTCGACGGCCGAGCATTCTTCTCCCTGCGCTTCTGCTTCTGCTTGCGCGCTAGGCGAATGTCGTCGGTGTTCTTGATCTCGCTCTTACCGCCGGACGCCGCACCGCCAGCCTTCGAGAGATGGCGCTCGCGCGCGGCGTCGCCCTTCTTCTTCATCCGGCCGTAATCCTTACGCAGAGGATCCGCCCGCTTCGGAGCCTGCTCCTTCTTGTGCTTGAAGTGTCGGCCGTGCATCTGGTTGTGCAGGTCGGCGCCCATGCCGGGGGTCTCTGCATCACCCACCCGCGGCATGCGGCCGAGTCTCTTGCCCTTCTTCCAGGCGTCGAATCGGCCGCTGCGGAAACTGGCCGCGATTTTGGCGCCACTCTCGCCGCGAACCAGGTGCGTGCCCTTGGATCCGTCCTCGTCGTTTTGCCGTGACACGTACTTCTTGTGTCGCTTGTCCCAGCGCACCTGCGTGCGAGGTTCGGCGAATCCGCGCCCGCCCTCGTCGCCGAGCAGGTCCATGGTCGCACCGCGGGAGGCCTGCGTGAAGTTGACGTTGGTGCCCGTGTGTACACCGTAGGCACGATCTTCGGCCAAGTTGGTGCTGTTGGGCGTGTAGGACATGAAATACTCCGGGTTTTGGAAGGACGCCGCGTTGTCCTTCTTCGCCTTGCCGTTGTTGGGTTGCGAATACGACGAGAAAGTCACTTCGAGATCGGACTCGTCCGCCAGCGACATGTTGTCAGCCGGGCCCTGAGCGTCGTCCTCGTCGTCCTCGGCGAGAACGGCGCCACCGCTCAGTTCATCATCATCATTTCCAGCGTCGTTGGCACCAGTCGTGGCCGCCTCCTCCACAAACTCCGACTGTCCTTCGGCGTCGGATCGCTTCTTCTTCTTCGAGTCGAGCGTGTTGCGCACCCGCTTAATCGTGTCGATGGCTTCCTCGCTCTCGTGCTTGCCGTTGCGTCGGCTATTCACCTCGAAGATCGTTTCCTGCGGCCGGAAACCTCCGATAACCGCCAGCATCTTTTCGCGCTCCGCTTCCATGTCGTTTTCCGGTTCGTTGAACAGAGGGTGGAGATGGGACCAGGCCTCGGAGGATACAACCTGCTTCGACCGCTTGGCACTCTCGAGAGACGCGGCGTTACGAGTCCGCATGTACAGTTTTTCTCCCTTTGTGGCGACAACACGCTGCGCCGCAACGTCTGCATCGTCATCCAAAACCCGGGTGACCCACTCGCAGCGCGAAGACAGTCCGTCTCGGGGAATGCTGCCGACAACCACGTCTTCGGCAAAGTTGACCTGGTCGCCCTGCTCACGGCCAACCACCAGCCGTCTTCCGAGGAAGAGCTGCAGGTCCAGAAGATACGGCGCATCGGCGTCGCGGACGAGACTGTAACTCCAACCTTTCTGCCCAGCACGAGCCGTTCGACCAACACGATGGACGAAGATCTTGGGCTGGGAGGGGAAATCGTAGTTGATGACGTTGGCAAGAATGGGGATATCGATACCTCGGGCAGCGACATCTGTCACGACCAGAATGTTGGAGACACCCGTGCGGAAGTTCTGCACCTGGATCTTTCGGGCAGTCTGGTCGAGGGAACCGTAGGCGTAAGAGGTGGCGAATCCGGACTCGCGTAGAAGGCCATACAGGAAATCCACGTGATGTTTCGTTGCCGCGAAGATAATCGTCGAGTGCTTTGTCGGGGATTCCTTGTAGATGGACTTTCCAAGGTCCGGTCTCTTCCGCTTCTTGAAGTTCTTGTTCTTGGGGTCGTGCTTTTCTTCGTAGATCTTCTCAGCCACCCCGGTCGGGCCCACTGGCATCTTGATAACATCGTGAAGGATGTAAAGCAAAGCTCCTTCCTTGTCCGCAGATTTCACCGAAAAGAACACGTTCTGAAGGTCGGGGGAAATCTTGCTCTCGGTGTCCAGACGAATCAAAGTAGGCTCTTGTAAACCGGCGCGGGCAAACTCCACCAGCGACTTGGGTAGGGTAGCGGAGAACAGCAGAGTCTGGCGATTGTGAGGCAGACCGTGCAAAATTTCGGTCAACTGCGCAGCGAAACCCATCTCGAACAGTCGATCGGCTTCATCAAACACCACGTAGCGAATACTCGAGAGGTCGAGATTCATTTCCACCTTCAAATGCAGGAAACGTCCGGGCGTCGCAATCACAATGTCGGGATTGCCGGCCATCATTCCAAACTGTTCCTCCAAACTATCACCACCGACCAACAGAACACACTTCAGATCCGTTCCCTTGCTCAGCTCCCTGACGACCTTTAGCGTCTGCAGCGCCAATTCACGCGACGGCGACATGATCAGTCCTCGCGATCCGATCTTGGTACTGTGCGCCTTCAACTTCTCAATCATCGGGATCACGAACGCCGCGGTCTTTCCGGAACCCGTCCGGGCCATACCGACGACGTCCTGGTCGTCCATGATCACGGGGATCGTCTTTCGCTGGATAGGCGTCGGCACCGAGAAACCCTTCCGAGTGATGGCCTTCAGCAGATTCGCGTTCAATCCCATGGCCTGGAAACCACCACCCTTCTTCACCGTGCGGCCCTTGAGATTCGATCCCTTCCGGTTCGCAGACGCCTGCTTCTCCGCGATAAACGCCTCGTCGCTGTCCTCGTCATCGTCGCCGGCTCCTGCTCCTCCGAGAAAATCTAGGTCCTGCGCCGGAGCCGCCTTGGGCCGCTTGGGGGCTTTTGCGGGCTGCTCGTTGTCGGAATCGCTATCGTTTTGAAACAGGGCATTCGTGATGTCGAACTCATTCTCCGACATCGCCGGAGACGCCGCTCGAGCAGGCATATTGACTGGGTGGATAATCAGTCGAAAAATCGAACTGATATGAAGTTTTTGTTATCCTCTATTCTCAGTCTTGGCCTCGACTTTTTTTACGGAAGAAAAAAAAAGTCCCAAGGCGGTGAGGGATAACGGATCAACTCTGCCCCGAATCCCGAGCGGGAATGCAAACCAAACAAACAGAAGCTCCCCGCGACGCGTCCAACACGTCCCGAAGCGGTAAAATAGAATATTAGTGAACGATCCGGATCTTCTTCTTTTCACGGTTCTGGTTCACTGTACCGCATTTGCTCGCACACCCAGCAAATCCTTATAATCATTCACAATGGGTAATTCTCCCCTCTTCTATCTGTCACTCTCAAACAACATTTCCAAATATCCAACTTCTTGCGCACATCGCTCACATCCACACCCTACATCCAGATAACTACAACAGCTACGGCGGCTCGCAATACGGCTCCGGCGGAGGCGGCGGCGGCTTCATGCCTGGCGAAATGAACAGCCCAGCTGGTGGAAAGGTAATCCGTCTCCCTTCTCTCCACCCTCCACAGAAAAACCCCTACTCACCTCCCTCCCACAGGGCGACTTCAACAACACCACCCTACGCCCCGTAACCGTCAAACAAGCGCTCGACGCCTCGCAACCATACCCCGAAGCGAACTACCAGATCGACGGCGCCGACGTCTCCAGCCTGTGCTTCATCGGGCAGGTCCGCAACATCAGCTCGCAGAGCACCAACGTCACGTACAAGATCGACGACGGCACCGGCGAGATCGAAGCGAAGCAGTGGATCGACTCCACGACAGCCGACAGCATGGACACCGACGACGGCGCCAAGGGCCCCGGCAAGCCCGGCAAGGACCAGGTCGAGCTGAACGGCTACGCCAAGATCTTCGGCAAGCTCAAGGCCTTCGGGAATAAGCGGTTCGTCGGCGCCCATTCCGTCCGCCCCGTTACGGATATCAACGAGTTGCATCTCCATCTCCTTGAGGCGGCCGCTGTGCATCTGTTCTTCACGAGAGGACCCCCCGGTGGTGCTGCTGGTGGTGCGGGTGCGGGTGCGGGTGCTGGCGCGGGCGCTGGTGCCGGAGATGCCTCGATGGGTGGAATGGATGATGGTCGGGCTTTGCCGGCGATGACCCCTGCGGCGCGCAGGGTGTACAACCTGTTGAAGACGGAGCCGCAGAATAACGAGGGTTTGCATGTCCAGATGATCGCGGCCAAGTTGGGACTTCCCATGCCGGATGTGGCGCGCGCCGGGGATGAGCTGTTGACGGCGGGATTGATCTTTCCGACGGTGGATGAGCAGACTTGGGCGCTCTTGGAGTTCTAGGTTGGCTCTTTTTCTATCTCGGTGTGACTTTGGTTGATTGCACTCTTTCATTTGGTTGCGAGTGTTTTTAATCTGCATGTGGTTGGGGACAAAAGATATCACGGTTGCTTTTATGTATTTGTTAGCACTTTTTACGTCTATGATATGGGACTTGTAAAGTTATGATGCTCTGCTCATTCTGAGTTATAACTCCGGTGGCCTATAAACATGTATGAGTAGATTGTCACGCATGTAGTTTTTTTCACGTTAACAGCTATACCCATTCTCCGTTGGCTAGTCACTCTTTTAAGGATCGATGTACCAGTCTGTTCAGGAACTAGAGCCAATCTAGCAAGGCAAACTGCGGACAAGATCTAAACAAAGGTAGCCACTGGACGACCCTTTGATGATTTTATATACCTTAGATTTTCCATATATATTTCATACCTCCACCGCCACATATCCCCACTAGACCTATGTTTCTATCCCAAATGTGCAGCCCAGCATCAACCAAACCCAATGAATCAAACCAGAGACGGATGCCCATACTTCTCCGCCAACAACTGAGTCGATGCCGCAACCGCAGCATTACAACCACTGGAAATCGCCCCTGCAACAACCTTGTACTGCGTGACGCAGTCACCCGCCGCAAAGACACCCCTCACGCTCGTCTGATACGCTGGGAAACAAGCCACCACATCACCCATCTCCGCTCCAGGGAGTGGACTGGGAGTTGTCTCGACACCCAGTTGCTCAGCGAAGGGCCCCTTGGTCTTCGTGAACGGGCTATGCACGAGGAAAGTTTCGAGGGCGGTGGTACCGTCCGCGAAGACGAGTTCGATACCAGTGGGTACCGGCTGTCTCGACGACGGTGAGACGCGAGATGGGGCGGGAGTCCACTTTGAAAATTTTGTGCGTGTTGTTCTGGGAGCCCAGAGATGTCTGGATCTGGGTGCTGAGCTCCTCGGAGCCATGTGTGTAGATTGTCACGCTGGCGCTCAGGTGGGCAGCGTTCTCGGCGAGGTGGATGGCCATGGGCGCGATCGAGGCTGTTTGAATGGCTAGTACGCCGGAGCTGGTGGCCCCGCGGTCTTCGTAACCTTCGCAGTAGAGACAGTGGTAACTAAAGCGATAGACAGGGTGTTAGCCGTCATAACTGAAGCCATCAGTCTGGGATAGGCGGATGACTAGATAGACTCAACAAGACATACATGCGTTTGACCCAAGCATCTTTATAACCCGGAATATCAGGGAGGATGTCCTCCGAGCCAGTAGCTAGAATAATCTTCCTCCCCTGCCAGGTCTTGCCAGCGGCATCGGCGACTTCAAATAGGGAGTCGTTGATTTTGCGGGCGCTGGTGAGGTAAACGCCCTCGATTGAGACGTTTTCAGGGTGATTCAGGATCTCTGATCTTGCTTTTGCTCGAAATTCAGCCGGGCCGCGATGGTCCCAGGTTGGAATCATGTGCATGTATTTAGCACGGCCGTTGCGGTAGCTGCCTGAGTCGAAGAGAATGGCTGAGTGGTTCTGGCGGACGAGAGTTAGGGCCGCTGTGAGGCCGGCGGGACCACCTCCGATAATTAGGACGTCGACAGGAGACGCCATGCTAGTGGACAAAGAAAGAATGGGGAAGGCCGCTTGTAATATGGGAGAGGAGGGAAGATGTGTGGAGGGTAAGGTGAGATTGGGGCTTGAAAGAGGGAAGCTCAGCTATGTATACCTAGATCAGACTCAAAGCCTCAAGAATTCTCGACAATGAGCAAGGCTCGTGCATGCGCGATAAGCGTGAAATACGTGTTCTATATAGAAATAAACATTTATGATGCGCCTCGGCATTCCTGGCACCATAGGCCTCGACAGTCGGTCTGTGTTTTCCTCGAATGAGATCGTTTCATTACTGTTGGATGTAGCCATGGTACAATTGAAACATTATCGTTGGCTCGAGCAGATGCTCTAAATATTTGAGAATGCGGTCAAGCCAAATTTCTTTGTTTGTATCCCTACTCGCCCCGCAGCTGACTTGTAGGACAGCATTGACACGTATCCCCAAAGTGTGGTATACAACAACAACGTGGTACTATTACCCACGACGAACGAGAAGCTGAAAGGCAACAGCAACAACAGCCTGCATCCCAAAACCAGTCAGTCTTGTTAGAAGTCACGTCTTGCCAACCATACCAAATGCTAGCTGGTTAAAGACCAGTCCTTGTAATAACCCTTTATGTTCAAGGAGTTTTCCCCATCGCCAAAGCTACTAATGCCTGTCGTGCACAGCCCTCTGAAATCCGAGAATGCATTTCAGACAGCGTGTGAGGGCTCTTCAGTCTGGACATGCTAAAGGGATATCTCCAATGAAGTCGATATCTACATTGAAGTCCGATTCTTGAGGCGTATTTATGAATCATGGGAATGGAGGCCCTAATTTGATGGGCGACGGATTGGTCGAACCAGATGCTATAAGTGTTGTATGTATTAACGTCTGATTCTTGAAATGCGTTTATGAATCATTTGAATGGAGGCCCGGATTTGCTGAGCGAAGGATTGGTCGAATAAGATGCCACAAGAGTTGCATGCATCTTGGTAAAGACACAAGGGACGTGACAAATGTCTATAAGGCATTATTAGCTAATGGAACTTCTGTCAGAATGTAGTAGAAAGCAGTATCCCACAGCTCGATTTGAAAGCACGGCGAGGGAAGCCATAGAGAGAGATAAAGACGTCTTCATCCTTCTGCTTGTGAGATATGTTGGCGGTCTTCGGGCGTTACTGATCCCAGTATATCCCGCTTGTATGTGGACAGAAAACAGTGCCGGAAATACAAGGATAACTTGCGACCGCTAATGTAACTGAGCTTGGAAGTTGGCTTGGAGCTCAGACACTTCAGCTTCGACTGCCGAAGTATGGCGTGTGAGGCCAGAATTTCGTTCTACAAGTGACAAGCCGAGGCGATTCCCGACTGTGACTTGATCGTTAACAGTTTGAGCCGTGAGCTGACTGCTAGAAAGCTTGATCCTTTTTCGGCTGGCTTTTATCATGGCGTTGTTATCTGCCAGTCTGACAAACGTAGAGACTAATGGACAGTCCTTTGCAGGAAACAGTATAAACACCGAAGATTACGTGGAAGGTGTTTATGAGATAGCTGAGAATTCAGTAAGGAGTCTGGGTATTGAATGTGGATGCTTTGAACAGAGCTGAGACGGGTTGGAAAGAGGGAAGGGGATGAGGAAAGATGAATATAGAAGGAGTGTTGGTGTGAATGCAATGGGGTTGGAGTGAATAAGGAAGGAAGTAGAAGAAGTTTACCCTTTAGTCAGTCATCCTGATGAAAGGAGGATTTTCTTTTTGGTAGAAGAAGAATTCCGACCTTCCTCATAATTTACACGACGTTTCGTGATTGTTCTTGTTGGGAGGCTATCTGTAGTGATCGGATAAGAACGTGGTCGTGCTGAATATAGTGGGTTGTAACTTGAACGTCAACTTTGACCTCAATACCTGAGTAGCTCCATAGCATGATGTAGGGTATGTTGAAGGACATTGCATACTGCTGGTATTTCCTTCAACAAATTATTTCGTAAAATGACTTTATGGAACCAGGGACAAGGTCAAGCTTGAGAAAAGAAGAGTTTCTGGATCAAATGAAACTGTCATTGGTATTACAAACCCGGCACTCATTGCATCGAAGAAGGCCACCATTATGTTTGCAAGGTCAACGCCATGACTCATGCAGCTAAACCCTTGGGCTTAAGCCGCGAATATTTACACCGCCCCTTTCTGGTGATGGCCCGATTAATGCGTTGTTCAAGGCCAAACACCCTCGCTTGGATCTCATCAACGACCTCTTCCTCTGTATCCACGACCTCTTCTTCCATCTCCGCGACCTCCTCTTCCGTATCCATGACCTCTTCTTCCATCTCCGCGACCTCTTCCGTATTCACGACCTCTTCCTTCGTTCAGGTAATCACGTCCATCAGCTTTCTCAGCCGCATATCCCATTTGGACCAAATGTCCGCAGATCATGGTTCCGTCACACTCATCGAGGCAGCGAGTGGCCCGAGGGATAGTCTGAAAGTGCACAAAGGCCGTACTGCATGTCATTAGCGAGGGGCAGTCTCGATTTTGAAGGGGGAGGGGCACTTACCAGGTTGGTGGATCGGATGTCTTAGCCCGAGGGCTGACGGTTGCCTGTACGGGCTGATAAGCCGCCAGGTCTGCCATGATGCGTTTCGCGCTGACCGCTGGCACCGCCCATCTAAGAATGAGCTTTCTGGTAGGAGGATGCATGGAGTTGATGCTGCTGCGCTCCGGCGATGTACGATTGTCAAGCACAGACTTGTCGAACTTGGAAAATTTCGCTATGTCCTGTTCAATCTGATTCAGCCTGGCCTGATCTTCTGGGTCTCTTGGGTTGTGGATCATTGCCATTTCGCCATGGCAGGAATCAGGGCGTTTTCTGCCGGCGATGTAGGTGCTCCAGTCACGGGGGAGCTCAAAAAATACCACAAGTGGATCAATGTCAATGAAGATCCCGGCGAGGATCAGGCGACAGGTAATAACGATGTCGGCCGTTTGGGTGTAGAATGCATTCATGGTGCTCTCTCGGGAGTCCGTGCCTTCCTTCTGGTTCATCTTCAAGATGGACCGACCCCGAAGTCGCAAACTAAGAAATGCATTGATGTTGTCTGCTAGAAGAAAGGTCTTAGCAACAATCACAATTTTCTTGCCCGAAGGAACAGTGCCTATGTAGCGGAAAAGAGCATCAAGGCGAGTTTCGTTGACGTTCATGACAACCTTGATGATGGAGACGTCCTTGTTCTCGAGCGCCCAGACATGAATGTTTTTGTCTGGATCTCGACTTCGAAGAGTCATGCGCTGCATCAACCGGGTCAACGCACACGTGGAAGTCACAATCCGGGCAGGCAGGGATCGTGGTAGGGACTGGAGGATTCGGAAGGTGTGATGGCTCGCTCCTGTATAGTTGGCGATGTTATGGGCTTCGTCAAGGAGAAAGTATTGGATGTTGGCGAGGGGAAGCTGCCCCCTTTGGACCCCACCAAGAACCCTTCCTGGCGTACCCACGACGACATTGAAATCGGTCGACGGGCGCTCTGTTTCCGGGTAAGGGGACTGGGCTATGAGAGGTTGTGCATTAAGGCCAGTGTCCGTTGCGAGAGAGTGGATAAATGCGTAACACTGAATCGCAAGTTCTCTCGTGGAGACCAAGACCACTGCGTTTGGCTTGTCCTGATTGCTGATGTGAACAAGGACAGCGTTCAATATTCCGAGGATACAGCCACTCGTAACCCCTTGGCCTGGGGGGGCTATGACCACGACATCTTTCCTAGTCTCAATTTGAGCGACCAAGGTCCGCTGCAGCTCCCTGGGTTCCACTGCTTGAGCAAGTTTGGGATGGTATCCAGACTCGTCCCGGGAGTGCGGACCGATCAAAGTCACCGAGTGGTACCTACAAGAGGTGATCAGTCAGTCTTTGTCATAGTTCCAGAGGTCAGATACTCACGACGACATGATGATCAAATGAGTTGCTTGGGCTGATCGGCCACTCCAGGGGCGTATGAGCCGATGGAGATCAGCTTCTCAGCTTAGTTCGAGCGAAGGTGTTGTGAGGAACGATGCAACATAAGAGAGCCGCGCAGAGAGGATGGAGGACAAAGGATGATGGAGGAGATGGGAGGTGGGAGATGGAGAGGACGAGGAGGTGAGAGAGGAAGAGGGCGTGGAAGATAAAGAGCAAAGGGGGGGGCAGTGGCAGAGTTTCAGTGAAGGAGGATTGAGCAGCAGCCTGTCGAGGTTTCCTAAATTTACTACGTTGAAAAGCTAGAGACTCCTGTTCAGGCATCTGTTTGTTGCCTGGAACTGGCCATGGAAACTCTTGGAAAAAGGAAAAATACGCAGTTCACCAAGGTCCTAGATACATTGTAGAGGACTGAAGGTATATACGGGATACGAAGCGCTGGAAGAAGCATGCCATGAGCCAAACTTTCCCTATATCTACGTACATCTATGGTCTATAGCAAACAGGGGTCTGATTTCCATATTCGCAGTGGTAGCGACATCTCCTCATTGGTAGGTGGTTGAGTATGCGTTTTCTGCCTGCCTTTGTTTTGTTTACCTTGTTTTATTTTATTTGCAGGATGGCAGGTTGAAAGACAGGCAGTTCACCTTCTATTCTGATCTTCCAGTGAAGTGGTCATTCTCTCTAGACAATTTCCGCCCGCATGCCCTTCACTATTGAGCAGAGTGATGTGGGCAAGTAAACCATTTTCATCAAGATTCACTTCGACAGGTCGACCTTCTGTCACTTGACTGGTTGAGTTTGTTCACTTCAATCGCCCACTTCCATTGCCTATTTAAATCGCCCACTTCCATCTCCCACTTCATCTCCTACTTTCTCTTCCTCCTCCACAGGTGGCTCCAACTCCTTTCCTCCCACCCCTTTCCATATCTACTCTTGCAGTCATTCTGACTACACAAATGATGCAGACCACGATAAAATAGCATCGGAGGTGACTGCTCACGTCGCAATCGTCCCTCAGCCGACCATCAATCAGGTGGCTCCAACTCCTTTCTTCCCACCCATGATGCAGACCACGATAATGTAGCATCTGAGGTGACTGTTCACATCGCAATCGTCCCTCAAGCGACCATCAACCAGGTGGATGAAGAAGCTTCCTTGCCTTCCAACAACACAGATGATACAGACCACGATGATGTAGCATTCGAGGTGACTGCTCACATCGCAATCGTCCCTCAGACAGCTGGTAGTTCTTCTGTCGCGTAATTTTACGCAAGCTCACCAATCGCAACAGAGATCACGTTAGTCTGTTACTGTCACCAAGTCCCCCGAGCAATGTATAAGCTGACACGACTTTCGATAGGCCGATCCTTTTATACGAGAACGCCCAAGCTTCCCGGAGCTGTTCTTCCGAGTCATCTTTGAAATTGACCGATTTCGGGAGACATTCCTTCCATCGCTCTCACCACGGGAAAGGGCAACATTCAGTCTCATATGCAGAAACATCCGCGAGTGGGTTGAAGACCACACAATCGTTTACCGCTCAAAAGACCAACCCCTTTACCGACAAAAACATTTCATGGATGGTAACACATTGAAAGGACGGTTGAAACCACATAAACCAACAAAGGATGACCCATCCCCCGTGGCTTTCACGTGGGAAGGTGGTGGCTTTGATCCCAAAAACGTTCAAAATCAGATCAAATGCTTTATTTCCGACCTCAAGGCTATGCTTATTCCATCGCTCGCACCACGGGAAAGGGCAAGATTTAGTCTGTCATGCAGAAAGACCCGAGAGTGTGTTGAAGACAACACAATTGTTTACCCCTCAAAAGACCAATCCTTATACCGTCAAACACACTTCATAGATGGTAATACTCTGAAAGGACGGTTGAAACCCAACAAACCAACAAAGAATGACCCATCCCCCGGGGTTTTCACGTGGGAATGTGGTAGCTTTGATCCTAGAAACGTTCAAGATCAGATCAAATGTTTCATTTCCGGCGCCAAGGCTATGCTTCAATCTTGGAACTCAATCAGAGCGATTGAGCTTTACAAGGCCCATTTCCTACGTCCCAATTGGATCCGTGTGTCGAGGCTCAAGGATTCCCACCATCCCAGGGATCTCAGGTTCATCTATTGTATGCCATTTACGATGGATGAGTTTGAAATAACCACAAAATATGGGCACAGCATCTTGGACCTATCGGTCGGGGACGACACCCATTTCGACAGAGATTTCTATCCGGTTGATGCAAGGTTTCATGCGGACTGGAATGGCAACAGTCCAAGCTCCTCTAAGCGCACATCCGAAAGGCTTTCCCCACTTGTCCAGCGAGGCCATCCCAATTTGCTGCGCAAAGGGACACTTCTCAACAAAGCACTCACCGACATGAGCCTCCCCAGCACATCCCACTCCTTCGACTGCTGGAACATAGATACATCATCCATAATCACTTGTATCTGAAGTTATAGAGGAAGGCGTGAGGAAGATGGAGGCTCTGCATGATACCAATCTCGCTGCTGGAGCCCAGACTGTTCCGTAGACGGGTAATAACGCTCTGATACCGTTTGTTGGTTCTTTCGAAATTCGCTCCGAAAGTGACACAGACTCAGAAACATCTGATGAGCGTAATGCTGAGGCGACGGCAGAAATTTCCACCAAGGAATATCGTGAGCACTGCTATTCCAAGGTTATCTCAATCCCCGAAGGTCAACCACAGAATGTGAATAGCCCAGGACACAAGTACCTTTTCTTCAGATGTGACTACTACTCCGGAAGATTCACGGGCTACTGCTTTCCAAACACACATATACACAGCCAAAAGCAGTACAGAAGATGCGGGGGTTGTTCAAGAGAAGATGTTATGAGAACTCATCTGAGGCAGTTTGAGGAGACCTACAACGGCGAAGCAATGACAATGGTATCCGAAGCCCTCCACAATGCCATTCAGAAGTGGCTCTCCAGTCAAACGTTCAATTGGAAAGCCAAATACACCGAGAAAGTCTTCGGTATTGCCGCGTCTCCAGTGGCCAACAGCAAGACTCAACGAACCACATACACCTACGAGCAATCCCCATCATTGCGATTCATCATCGGGAAAATGAGCGGACAGGACCCCCAAGTGGAGCTAGCGAAAATATTGCAGGTAAAAACACGAGAGCAGCCTGTCATCGTAGGGGAAGCGACCATTGAGCTATCCGCCCAAGAGGAGTTGGCGAATCCAAGGCAGGTCAAAACGCGAAAGCAGCCTGCAATCGTAGGGGGAGCGATTATTGAGCTATCCGGCCCCCCAAACAAGGAGAAACTTCATCGGGCCGCGGTAACTTTTGATACGGTCAGTCAACTCCAGTCGGAAGTGGCTTCCCGAGTGCGTCGCCTGATGCCATTGCTCTCGACTTTTCCGGCGTCGTCATCTATGCCTGCAGCATCTTCCAGCTCGGCGAACCTGTCTGCAGCAATGATTTCCCCGGCGGTGGGGTTTATGACTGTCGGTGGCTCGACCACGCATGCTCCGGGCCATTATGACGAAAACACACTTAAAACCGTCTCTTAAAACCGTCTGCCCTGCAAACTTTCTAGGAAGAATATGCGGCCTTGGCGAGGATTGCCAAATGATCGGCATTTGCAATGTAAATGATTACACATCGAACTACTCTGTTCTCTTGGATGAAGAACCACGCTTATCGGTCTTATACAGTTCGCATCCAGTAGTTGCAGCGGCGATGGATGTCGCTACCTTCACGGTGTGGAAAGGCCTTGCTGGGAGGTCATAATCGGAAATACATGCAATTGTGGGGTTGAGCACGACTACATGGAAGCATGCCTGGCAAACGCGAAGTCTGAACAATTTACGGCTCATTTGGCACAAATCTGGATGCCTAGGTAGTAGCTATCAGGTACCACGCTTCAATACTGATTTACCTATTAACGCGATCTTATTTCATTGCGAGTTTGAGAGCACGTTGCGGTATGCAGCTCAGACCATCAAGCACAAAGTCACTTATGCTATATATTCAAACAGAGAAGCGGGACAGAGTAACGATTCTGATCCTCCACCAGACAACCGTGAAATCAATGTTGACAAGCCACCAAAAAACCAACAACCAGACCGCTCGACAAGCCGGACCAACAATGCTGCCCAGTGAGCTACCACGACGAGAGCAGCCGAGTCACCACGCAAGACCAAGTCGTTGAAGTGATCTGGCACCTTGTTCAACCAGTCAGTCGTCGCGTCCCAGGCCGAAGCCGTAGAAGCCAGCACCATATCACAGCAGTCCACGAGCGCAGCGATAGCCGACAGCGTAGCCAGAACGTCACGAACATCGTCCGGCTTTCCGAAAAAGTCTGCCATGCGAGAGGGGAGCGTCTGTAGGCAATCAGCCGTGATTCCGGGGCTTTTGTCGACACACAGCGTAAGATCAGAATCCGCGAAGCCGCGAACGGTGGTCAGGATTGATTGCAGTTGCGGCAGGTCTGTTGTCTCAGACACATTTGACGCGTCCCGTATGGACTCTGACCATCCCCAGTGTACACAACGCAAGACACCGATTATCTGCCTAGCGGCTGATCCGATCTCTCCGGGGAGGTCGGCTGTTTCGCTCGTCGCATCCCATTCCGCAGAGAACGCTGCGAAGAAATGAACTGACCGATCGCGGTGGACGCGAGCAATGGCTGCATCCTCTATTTCAGAGGCCATGTGGCTGGCAGAAAGAGCCAGCAAACCACACATCAGCCATTGGTCCTGAAGAGCACGGCGAACGAAGTCTGTTTGCCAGTATCCCTGAACGGACCCCCGACCTTTGGGACGCGGAAGCATAAGACTGGTCGCGGTGACAAAATGGTGAAAGTACGTCAGCGTGTCGAGATCAAAATCGAGAGGAAAGGACAAGGGAGGACTGCGCGGTGGCATGACTATGCTTTGATCGGGCTCGCTTTTGTCGGATATATGAATGGTGGGATCGGGATCGCCAGTGACCTGACCGTTCACTTCAAAATACCGAAGTTTTGTCCCACGGAAGAATGTCTGAAGGTTGGCTGGATGAGCATTGGAGAGAAAATGGTTGGTATCGTCACGGCCATGGGTCACATTCTGATGGCGTTTCATGCGTTTGGAACTGGCATACAGACATCCACATCCCGCCGATGTGCAGCGATATCCCGAGATGACGGGGAGCGCCTCAATTGGCGAGGCCGTTGCAGCAGGCAGAGGGACCTGGTGGGGCTCCAACAGCTGCAGGGGGGCAATCTGGCACAGCAAGTCATGTCGTTCGGAGCGGTAGATTTTATGTCGCAGCAGGTGGCTTTCCACGGCGCTTTTCTGGATTGCGTATCGGCATTCGCGACAGATCAACACTCCATAGCGCGCGTCGTATTCGAGCAGGTCGCGAGGGCCGAATCTGATAGTGGACATCGTGAGATGGATGAGAAAGACAGCCTTGCGGCTAGGGCATTTTCGGTCCAAGCACTATGAGGCACTAGCTGGGATCCATAATCATACAGTAAGATGTCGACGACTCAGCCCCATTCGCTGAGAAACGCCACTAGTGCGGCAGGGCGACAAGGAAAATATTAGAAATATCGCAGAACCCCATATGTGGTTCCCATACTCTTTTGACTAATGGCAGAACTGCTGGTGATATTCCATGTCGCGTTCTCCCATCAACAAATCAGCCCTTTGGCTTTTGGAGTAAATCTTGCTCTGCTTTGAAATCCTTCATGTTCACAACAGTCGATTAAAAATGGTCATCTCTGTTGGTTTGGTCTTCTAGGGACATATAAGAGACCGACTGTCCGTTGAAGAAACTCCTCTTCTCAGATTCACAACTCCCACTCAGCCCACTTGTTCTCTACATTACCCTGTCTCAACCACAACACCTCCAACATGGCAGCACCAGCAAACCAAGCCGCATGGATCGTCAAAGCCGGAGCCCCTCTAGAAGTAGGAGACGCTCCATTGCCCACAGCTGGCCCTGGCGAGATCGTCGTCAAGAATGCTGCTGCTGCCATCAACCCGCTGGACTGTCATATGCAGGACTCCGGGGTGTTTGTGCAGCAGTTTCCCGCCATCTTAGGCTGCGACGTGGCCGGCGAAGTGTATGAAGTTGGCGCGGACGTGCAGCGATTCAAGAAAGGAGATCGCGTCATTGGGTATGTTTAACAATATCTCCAGTTGGCATCCTCTCTCAGTCCACACGATCTTACTGATGCAACCAGACACACCATCAACCTTGTGACTGGTCGTCCTCAAGATGGGGCTTTCGCGCACTACTCAGTCGTTTCCGTCGACAAGGCCGCTATCCTCCCAGATAATATCCCATTCACCGACGGTGTCGTCGTCCCTTTTGCCCTGGAGGCCGCCGTGTGTGCATTATGCCTGCAAGAGCCGGGGGTCGCCATGCCAGGCGTCTCGACTCCCGCTCTGGGTCTGCCGTATCCCTCCCTGAAAGACACTGACACGGCGCTTCCTCCGGGCAAGAAAACGCTCATCATCTACGGCGGCTCATCTTCCGTCGGCTCCATGGCCACACAGTTCGCGACAGCGATGGGAATCCACGTCATCGCCATCAGCGGGGCGCACAACTTCGTGTTCAGCCAGCGCTGCGGCGCGATCGAAGTACTAGACCACAAGGACACAGCGGTAGTCGAGAAAGCCGTGCAAGCGGTGCGTCGGCTGGGTGAGTCTGAATTCATCGGCATCTTCGACGCTATCGCCACGCCTGAGACGTACGCGCATGATCGTGTGATCCTGGAGCGTCTGGGCGGCGGACACCTGGCTTGTGTGCATCCTCCGCCTGCGATGGCGGATCTGCCGGTGAATGTGAAGGCGGGGATGATTTTCGCGGTCAATGATGTCGCTGCGCCGGTTTGGAGGGACTTTGTGACTCCTGCGTTGAGGACGGGCAGGCTTCAGTGTCTCCCGCCACCGGTGGTTGTTGGAAAGGGGCTGGGATGTGTTCAAGATGGACTGTACCTGTCCAAGGCTGGGGTTAGTGCGAGGAAGTTGGTGGTGGAATTCTAGGTGGAGTCTTAGAAGAGAGCTTTCTAGCTTGACGGGCTGGTTTGGGATTTATTCTTTTTTCATCCGAATATGTCATGGCTATCGCTTAGGGCTATTGGTTTGAAGTTCGGCCAGCTGGTCAAAACAACAGAAATTGTTTAGTTTGACTATATAGCTATTTATTTCCTTCTGCTTCTCTGTTTCGACTCCACGATAGTATCACACTACACCCAATCAACCCCTCACGTCTAATCTAAACCCTCTCAAACCGCATCGTATACCCATACACATCATTCCCAGTCGTCGGGGAATTATATATAAGACTCTTTTCGCAATACACCCTCTTCCACCCATTCGGGACTCCAAAGTCCTCCACTGCCCGGACATGATTCGCATTGAACGTGAGCTCCCCATGCTTCTCCTTAATGCCTTGGATATACGCCTCGCTGATATCATCCACTTCGAAAGTCACCGATTTGCGCGCAAGCATGAACATCCTCGCCAGGACAGCGTTCAAGAACACCGTGTCGAGGAAATGCAGGGCCCCGAAACAGGTGATGTGGTCGTGTTCTCCTGCGCCCTGGTGCTTGTCAACATCTACTCGAGCAGTGCGAGAAGAGAAAGAAGAAGAACTCACCATAATCAACTCCTCCATCGGCCCCAACCTCACCTCCTTATAGCACCTCCCCACCTCCTCATCCTCCAACATCTTCGGCGACAGCTCAATGCCAACAACATCCGCCTTCACCCCCCCAGCACTCAGAACCTTCCCAAACGACCCATTCCCACACGCCACATCCAACACGCTGCCCGAGTAATCAAACTCCGCGACCAGAAACTTCTGAATGGTACTCAACCCTGCAGCCTCCCAGACCGCCGTATAAGACGGCGCAAACCGATCATACACCTGCGCGAGGTGCGCCGTCTGCGCCGTATGCCGACCCAGCTGCATCAGCTTCGTGGCCAGCATCATATCGAAAAAGGCCCTCTGGGCACCGGGGAACCGTTCTCCGACGACGAGGTCGTCGCCCAGTGTATTGCCCTTTGGGTAGAAGACCACGGGAATACAGTTTACTTCGATTACGTACACGGTTCCTGTGCTTTCTTCTAACCGCATGTCGACGCGAGCCCACGCCCCGCCGCCGGTGACGCCGAGGGCCTTGAAGGCTTCGATGGCTGCGGATTGCAGATTGCGTCGGTGGGGCTGCTCATCGACAAAGGCGTATTTGATTATGCCGTTTTCGACGGCTTCGAACTTGTTGGTCCAGGTGAGGAAGGCTTCGTTGGCAGGTGTATGGTCTGGGAAGACGTATTGGAGGGGGTCGAGGGCGACGACTTCGGATCCCATTTCGACGACTATGGCGGAGCATTCTCGGCCGATGATGTAGTCTTGAACGAGGGTGCCGAAGGTGGTGTTGCTTTGTTGAAGGAGGGCGACGCGAGTAGATACTTCTTCTGCGGAGGAGCAGATGGAGCCTTCGTCGAGGTTCAGCGAGCCGTAGCCGTCGCTGTATTTGACGATTTTGGGGTATTTGTCGGGGGTGTTGCCGGGGATGCGTAGGCTCGTTCCCGGGGCTTTCTTGGCGGCTCTCTGGAGGTCAAGTTTGGTCTTGGAGAGGAAGGTCGAGGGGTTGGTGAGGATGGGGACGCCTTTGGATTCGAGGTAGCGGGTTGCTTCGACGCCGGCAACGTCGTCGGATTCGATGCCCCACTGTTGATTCTGTTAGTTTTGAGATTTAGAAAGGCATGGGTAACGTACCATGTAGTTCATGAACATGTCGAAATCCTCCTTGCAGATTTCGTCGATCTCGGCTTTGGCGTTGGCTTTGGTCACGTAGCGCGTGATGAACTCGTGGTGTTCTTTGGAGATGTAGCGATTGGGGTCGGGGAATTCATCGTACTATTTGTGTGAGCGAGTATTTCTCTAACAGAGACATAGGAAGTGGATCACCTTCTCGAAGGGCGAGTCGACGCCCTCGTAGGAGGAATTGATCAGGCAAATCTTCATCTTGTCTTGACTTTATCCAAACAGGCTATAACTTTAAGGGGTAAATACTTACTTCCAACGAGCTCTCTCCTGTCAACTTTATATAGATGGAGATTATACTGATCAAGACAGGCCATCTGATCAAGCCCATGACAGCCAATGCACCTTGCTGACTGTCAATCCCCGCCATCGCTGTGATGAGACAGTTGGCTGCATATGCGTTGTCTCGTTCAGCTGATGACGACGCTCAGTAGAGCTGAAGGCAGCTCTCAGCCTATAGCAGGTAATGGAATACTGGGTTTATTTGTTCCGATGATATCAGCCCACATGCTGTTTGCGTGGAGACGTGTTTGTCTGACAGTGTTGTCCGTCGTGTTTGAAACTCATCGAAGTCAAACCCGGAGGTCTCGGGGTGAAAGGAGAAGAAGACTGGAAAATGAAAGACATGTTTGCCTTCTCTCCTCACTGCGCTCGAGTTGCGGGATTAGCTTGGTTCCTTTTGCAACTTTTATCAATGGCGGTTGTACGACGCAGCATGTCTCATGCAAGGGTATCCGAGGATGCCCGATCCAACCGCCGTAAACCATCTGCAGTATGACAACGCTTGATGAACTCAAGGGAATTATCTGTCACGCCGGTTCCTTTGAGAGCCGAGCCAATCTTGGTGCTGCATGGAAACCGAGACAGCATTGGTCATCGTTGGTATATATTGCGGCCCTGACATATTTGATGAATCTCCACTCCATTCCAGAACTGCCATTACTTCATTTCTCCCTCTCTCCGTCTATCAAAAGAATCAGAACTATTCAAACACAAAATGTCGTCAACCCCCATCCCCAGCAACTTCTACGACACCAAATACCTCGCCGAATACTACGACCTCTGGACCGCATCGCATCTCCCCCCCGTCGACCTACACAGCGACGCCCCAACCTACCTCACAGCCCTGAGAGAAGCCCTCCAAGACCGACCCTCCTCGCCATTCACCATCCTCGACATCGGCACCGGCACCGGCCGCGTACTCATCAACCTCGCCAACGACGCCGTATCCCACCGCCTCGATGTCTCGCACATCACACTCCTCGGCGTCGACAAGGAGTCTGCGATGATCGACCGCGCAAAAGCCGTCCAGACCCAAACACCTGCTTTCAGGAACTTCCGCTCCGTCGCTTGGTCCACTGGCGAAGCTGCCTCGATATCCACTCTGCCCATGCTAGCTCCTCATCTTGGACAAATCGATCTCCTCCTCTTCGCGGTGGGAAGTATCAGCCACCTGACGGGGCCTGACGAGCCCGCGGAGTTCTTCACACAGGTCGCGCAGCTCCTGAGGCCTGGCTCTGGGCGCGCGTACATCCCCATCCAGGCGGACTTGATTGTCTCGGAGAGCGCAGACACGCAGGACGGGTTCACGCTGAGGGGGGATACATGGGCGGAGGTTCGGGAGGCCGAGACGTTCAGCAGTCAGTTGTATGAGGGGGTGGTGTATAAGCAGTTTCCAGTGCACAGCTCGAGGGTCGAAGGGGCGGTGAAGTACGATAAGTATGAGTTTGAAGTTGTGAAGAGCGCGGAGGGCGAGGAGAGGGTGATCGAGCGGAATCAGATCGAGATCTCGTTGAGGATTTGGCAGCGGGGGAAGCTGCTGGAGTGGGCGAGGCAGGCAGGGTTGGAGTGTGTGAGGACGTTTGAGAGTTCGCATGAGGAGTATTTTGTCTTTAAGAGGTTGGAGGATTAGTGGGTTGAGGTTGGTGGTGAAGTGATTATTGGAAGGGGTTGGCTTACATCTCTTTCCTTTCAACGTGTGCATTCAAATATATTGCAATACAACTACAGACTCGAAGGTATAAAGTACTAGTTTACAGTGAACCATATATCCCCTTATCACGAGGCCTTATCATTAGTATCGCAGCCGCCATGCGACCAAGAGTCAGGGACACACTCGGTGGTGGCATCGCAGTCGTCGTCCTCATCGCAGCTGGCAAAAAACCTATCATTCTTCAGCCAGCACCACGCCATTCCCTCCTCCCACTCATCGTTCGTACGCTTCCCGGTCTTCTCATTGCAGCTGCTCCAGCAAGTCTTCCCCAGCTGCGTTTTGCCGCCCTGAGGCGCACACCCACGGGCCAGCGGAACGACGCAGCCCCATGACTCCGCGCACTCAAAGTCAGTCGGACAGTCGGATTGCTTGAAGCAATTGGCGTACTCGTCGCTGCCGGATTCTGAGATGTAGCACCAGGGATCGTTCTGCGCCCAGTCGCCGCCGATGGGCGAGCCCGTGCCCGGGTCGCATTTGTTCCAGCAGCGTCGGGTGCTGCTGCTGGAGCCGCCGACTTTGCTGCAGCCGTCGGCAGCGGTGGCGGACGGTGGGGAGGCAGATGTCGTCGAGGTCTTGGTCGTGGTGGTTTTGGAAGAGGTGGAGGGCTCTTTGTTTGTAGTGGTGGTTGCTGTGGCTGAGACTGTTGGCACGGTCGTGGAGCCTCCGCTGGTGGGTCGGCCGTTGGCGTCTCCCTGGTCCTCGTCGGGGTTGAAGCTGCTGCAGACGCCCTCGCCGGTTGTGGTCGTTGTGGCTGTGACGTCGCAGCCGATGGCGAGCATGCTGCTTGTTGTGGTGCACGAGGTTGAGGTCGAGGCTAGGCTCTCGCACGACACCCAGTAGTTCGTCTCGGTGGATGTCTTCGTGCAGCTACGGTCTGGGTCGTCTGGATTGTTGTTGTTGTTATTTACTGGATCTCCGGGGGGTCGTGGGGGTGGGTTGGGGTCGTTGGGATCTGAGAAGCCACCGTCGCCAGCACCACCGCCGTTGGGGCAGATGAAGCAAGAGCAGAAGCTGAGAGGGCCGGAGCAGACATGGCCGCAGTTTTCGTCGGCGCCACAGCGAGGTGAGCCGGGTCCGTCCTTGACGACGATGATCGGGATGGCAGGAAGGTCGATACCGTCATCCTCATCGTTGCCATTGTCATCATCATCATCGTCGTTGTCGTCGTCATCATCATTATTGTCATCTCTGCCGTCATCAACGTAGTCCTTTGGATAATAGATGACAGTTCCCTGAGGCCAGGGCGGCAAGGTGACACTGCGAGTGACAGGCGGATGCGAGACGCCCGTGATGCTCAGCGGGTTAGGGTCATTGGTAATGGTAACGGCCTGCGCTGGGAATCGTGGTCTGGGGGTGATGGTGATGGTGCTGTTGCCGTCGATGGGCACCGTGATGTTAAGATTTGCCATGGGCAGGGAGCTCACAGTAACTGCGTTGTACCATGGTTAGCGAGTGTCACACAGAAGAGCTACAGGAGTAGGGCCAGGCTTACCTGCGGGTGCCTTGATGGTTGTTTCCTGTAGAATGTGAGTCACGGTGGTGGTCGTCACTGTAGATCCCCCGGTTGTCAAGGTCGCAGCCGTTGGCCAGGCCACGTCCAGGGTCGTAACATACGGAGGACGAGAGATGACGGACGTCGAGCTGAGAGGGAAATCTGGGAGCACGAGAACGCAGGGCGCAGGACATTGCACCGTTGCAGGATCCTCCCCGTCCGTCCAGATACTGGGAGAGATGTAGACGATGGATTGATTCAGGGTGCCGCCACCGTCGCCGGAGCCGCCGCCGCCTCCTCCAGAAAAGCCGACTGCCTGCAGGTCAACAGCCCAGTCTGTCGTCCCGCCCATATTGAGACCCTCATAGTAATCTGTCCGACTGCTTCTCGTATCCGCGTCCATGAACGCAACCCATTCCGTGGATCCGTAGACAAGAATGTTGCTATCGCTGCTCTTGTCGTAGAAGGTCTCTGCCGTGTCATCTTCGTCAAGAATCCGGTAGATCTCTGCATCGGAGATATACCCTGCGGTATCGGTGCACTCCCCTTTTGCCGCGCCAGAGTCAGGCCCAACGAACCTGCACATGGGTCCGGTGCAGCCTTCCTTGGTCATTTTGAAGGAACGTCCGTAGCTGGCCAGTCCGACAATGATTTTGTCAGAAGAAACCCCGGCCTTGGTGATCATTGACAAAGCGCTTGTTGTCTCCGTAAGGTTCACATGGGAGCGTAGGCAGTCACCCTTAGTACATCCGGAAGTGGCATATTGATTGCCGTAGTCCCATTGACCATGCAGGTCGTAGGCCATGTAGACAATATAGTCAACGACTTCAGAGATCTCCGCAATCGGGAAGCCCTTCAAATACCAAAAGGAAGCAGGTGCGGCAATTGCTAGGGTCTTGCTCTTGGGAAGCTTCTCCCGCACCAGCTTCAAGAACTGCAGGTATCGTTCTCCATCGCCCTCATCCCCGGCAGGTATGCCGGGGATATCTGGGGCTCCGGGGTATTCCCAGTCAAAATCGACACCTTCGAGGTCATTGTCCACAATGAAATTGACCACGTTGGTGGCGAACAACTCTCGATTCGCGTCGGTCACGCCCTCGCGAAAGATAGGAAAGGAGTCCACCTCGGTGGAGAAGGACCATCCACCGAACGATAACACACGGTGCACTTCGCCCATGCTCAGCAGACTATCGAATTGGGACTGGACGGCAGAAACGTCGACCTTGTAGTCCTTGGTGATCTCAGCAAAAGCAAAATGAAGATGGCTGTAGGCGGATGTATCGAAGTAGGCTATGTCCATATTCAGACATTTGCGCTCAAAGTTCCAGGCCTCGAAATACCCAATCGTAATAAAAGAGTCCGGAGGACTGTCATTATTGACGATATCAGTGCCGCAGTTGGATATACAGCCATACGTGCCGTTGGCCGCCGTACCGGGGGCTCCGGTCTCTGACTCGGTGATGGTGCAAAAGTCATCGGTGATACCGCACTGACCCCAGATGTTGCAGCATGACTTGAGCGGACATTGATTGAGATCCGCAAGATCCGTGCCGTTCGTTGGCTGTTTTGTCCCTGGGACTTGCGGACCGCAAACAGCATTATCAAGACTCTCTGGCATCGCAGGGTCACCCTTGCTGAGGCAGATCCGTTGCTTTGGTTGGAGGAGGTCACATCCCGCCCATCCCCAGGTCTTCTTATTGAAATCCTCCAGGTCCTCAACAGAGATACCGTTGGCAGAGGCTATTTTGGAACAGTAATCCCCATCTTCCACAATGGTAGAAGCGCATGTACCGTCAGGCTCAGGCTTAGGAGTAAGGTCGGGGAGGTCACCGGCAGTGCAGCATACATACTGACCGACTGACAAGGTGGAGCAGAGATTTTTGTCAGGGTTGTACTCCTCAAACTTCGCGCCAGTGATGCCACATTCTTTAGCGAGGGATCCGCAGGAGTCACCGGACGCGACTTGGATGGTCTCGCAGGTCGCTCGCCGGTGGATGGAATGATCGTGATGGGCGCCGTGGTGGTGTGAGTGGCGGCGGGTCAGGTCATCGGTGGTCGAGTTTGCCTGGGTGAAGGGTCGCTCAAGACGCAACGCAGTGGTGGACAGCTTCTTGCTACCGTCAAAGTCGGTCTGGCATTTGGCCTCATTCCAGTCCCGCATAATGCGCTGCACTGCCGAAAAGTCACCAGTCGTGTCGACCACGATACCAAGCGCTTTGTTTGAGTTGATGCCGCAGTACTGAAGGAGCACTCGACCGATAGTCTCCTGCGACTCGAGATATTGAGTGAAGTGCTGGAGCGCTGTAGTGGCAGCATCCGAGTGGAGCACTCCGTGTCCAGCATACAGACCAACAAGGGACTTGCCCGAGTAGCTAAATGTCGTGGTGGATTTGTTGTTGCTCGAGGTCATAAGGGCTTTTCGGGCCTCCTCCACAGCAGCTTTGACACCCGCAGGACTCGAGGAGGTCGGAGTGTCCCACCAGCCAAGCTCAAGGCTTACCTCCTGGGATTGGAATTTCTCGGAGAAGGCAGGTGCCAGTGCAGCTTGTACAGAGTGGGGGTTGGAGGATGCCGAACAGGCTCGTATGGAACTTGAAGGATTGTACAAAGAGAATTGAAGACGCATTGTCTGGTTGCAAGCAGCGAGACGGCTTAGCCCGTTGCAAGCAGCGAGACGGCTTAGCCCGTTGTATGCAGCCCATTCGGCCGGTGAAGAGTCACTGCAGTCCGTTGGACATGGGCTCCAAAGGCGAGACCAGGCATCATGGGTAGGGCCTGCACTGGCTTGTGACAAGAACGTGAAGAGTGAAAACACAAGAGATAAAAGAAAGAGTGATAGGGGCATGGTGACCTCTAAGACCAAGGACAAAGCAGAAAGAATGACAATGGTCGCAATGTGAATCAGAGACGGGGCGAAGGCGTATCATTTTATTGTTGAATCTCGGGCCTCTTTCATGCTTGTTAACCGAGAAGGCGAAGGAAGAAAAACGACATTATCAGCAGGTAGCATCCGACGCTGGCCTAGCAGGTGCTAGACTGACACACCCTGATCTCGGGCTCTGGTCTGTCAACCGTCTCCGGAGGCGAGTCGCAGTCCTTCCTGTATTGTTTGCCTACGGAGTATCTACGAAGTAACCCTATCAATGCATACCTCAGGAGGCAACATGTCCGAGTGGGTACGGATCAACTCGGGAGAAAATCAAGGAGCCGGACCGGGGGATCGAGCAGATCACAATCTCTTTTCAGAGATCCGACTAGCGGCGGAAGAGTCAGGTTCAGGGCTTGCTGTTCCTCTAAGCATTAGATCGAGGCACCGTTGGTCTTGGCTAACTAGGGTTCGTGCTCCCGGCACAGCTTCCCTCGTGAGGCGAACTAAACACCGACCAGCATTATCACAAGCCCGTTTCCATGCCAAGAATGCCCTTAATATCCTACCTTGACCATACAAAGTCTCTTACTGGGGTTCGGTCTAGTGCCTGGACAAAAAGTACTGGATATCTACCGGGGGATACTGCGTAGCCGAGGCAAAAGTCTCCTGTGACTCTGTGCGCAATGCGACGCTGGCCCACATCAAATCTCGTACCTGCAGGGTTCAATCGTAAGATTGCCACGGCGAGGAGAAAGTTTACTGTGCCGCATTTCCCTAGTTGTATTACAATACTCGGTAAGGTCGGAGGTGTTGCATTTATGGACAAGTCTGGGGACATTGCTAGCCATCGTTTACTCCCCCATATATGAGGGCTGCCATTTTGCTTCCAAGGGGCTCCTGGGTAGTCTCTTTCTCTTTCATATTGAAGAGCTCTTCAGAACTTCACAATGGCGTCTAACATTCTGGCCACCCGTCTACTCTCAGGCATTCTTTTTGCACTTGCACTCTTATACTTCTGCCAGGGAAGTCGTGCGGCTCCAGCACCACATGAATATTCGGCTGATGAACACTTCCTCCTGGAAAATGCGACCCTTCCGCTACATCCCCGAGAAGTTCACCATGCGGAAAACACACTTCATTTTCTATCGAAACGTGTTCCTCCCAAGACTGTGGAACAGGGTGCTCGAATGGCGGAGTCCGAGCTACTATGTCATTTTGGATCCGATAATGCTCCCCCCCAAATGCAATTCACAGAGGAACATTTGAGAAGATGGTATTCGACAGGAAATTACTACGGTGAACTTGATGCGCCACCAGATGGAATCTCCTATACTGGCCATACCCTTGCGAAGGAGATGGATGCCTTAAAACTCCCGACGAAACTCGGAGACCGCGGGCTACAAAAGTTTCACTGGGTGCAGGATCAGGAATTTGAGTTCAAGGGCAAATTATATGAAGTGAGTCATCCATAAAAGCCACCCAGAATATATTAAACCTCTGACATCGTCTCTCACTCAGGATGGAACAGACGGATTCTATAAGGGTGTAATGAGTGTCGAGAGAGGCTTCATCTCAGCAGAGGACAACGACAATCCTCGACAGGACGTTGATGACCCTTATCCACCCCTTTACAGAATGTCGGACGTCTACTTCCTTGAATGGCAGAGACAGGCCGGTCAGAGCAACAAAGTCAAGAAACTCAGGTATTTTCTTCGGTACCACATCGTAAACCCGGATACTCTGGCTATCATCAAGGAGATTACGGATAACTATGCAACTCTTAAGGAATGGCCAGGAACCGAGTTCGCGATTTATAAAAGGGTGAAAGGCCAGGTTGAAGGTACCGATGAAGGCAAGGCACTTTTGAGGACTCCCAATGGGGTGGCGATCGCTCATTTCCTTCTCACCAACAAGAGAGTGATGGGTAAGAGGATTCCGGATTCAGTGAGACTCTGGAAGACTCAGGACGGGCAGAACATGTGGGCTCATATGATATTTCATATTGTCGAGTACAAGGGTATCTAAGTAGTCTGTCTATATACTAGGCATACCAGTAGGGGATGTGCTTTGTCGTCAAGAAATGCCTCGGGTTTTCAAGTGTTGGTCGACTGAAAATAACAGCAATCAGTCAGTACATGTAACTCAAAGGAACTAACTACCTAGGTTGACTAAAAAGAAACTACAATATCCTAATCAGTAGATCGCTTTGGTTGTTAGGGATAGCGTCAAAAAGGGCATAGATTTAGAGGTTTGGCGGATCCCCCGTGGCTGCCCGATTACTAGTGAATTACGTTGATTAATCTGTATTATTACACCACCACCGAGGAATAAATGGCCTTGTCTCCTCTTGTCTCCTCTTGCCTTCTTCAAATCTCCCTCTTATCCTGGCTTCTTTTCCAACCATGGACCCCTTCATAAAACTACCCCCTGAGCTCATTGCAAAAGTTCTTGTTTATACTGCAGATTTCTCTGCGGTAGGGAGCATTATTTCCGCGTCGCCTCGAGTCAATACAGTCTTTCGGGCTCAGCCTACTATAATACGCAACCTGCTATTATGTGACCCCATTGCAATCCTCCCGGAGATCCAAAACATGTGCCACAATATCAGCCTAATCCAGACACGTTCAGCTGAATTTCCAAGCGTCGTCGACTATCAACAGAGATGCGAGAATCCGCCACCTATCGAGTATACAGAAGAGCTCTCAATCTTCATACTTCACCTAGCCGCACGAACCCAGCGGCTAGCTTGCGCCTGCCTCACCCTGATTCAGCAAAACTTTGTCTCGGCTCTAACTGGGATCCCCGCCGGTGACATCTCAGCCTCTGACCGGGTGAAGATCGCCTGCGAGCCCTTTTCGTTCGCAGAGGAATACCGCGTATACTCCTCCCTTTGGCACCTCCAGCACTATGCCTCCCTCCGCGAAGCAGCAACAGAGCGTTGGCACTGGGACGAAATATCCATGCATGGCTTACATGCTTACAACAAATGGAACGACACGGATTTCCGGAGAGCCGAAAAGATGTGGACCACTGCCGCCTTGCTTTCTGATCTCGGCCTGAGCCCAATATACGGGCACCACCCCTTCCAAGACCAGGAGAGATTCCTAGCCCAGGACCCAGAAGGGGAGGAGTCCTCGCGCGCAGCCTGGACTTTCCCAGAGGAGACGCCGCTCCCGTTCTTCCGGTCCTTCGACCTGCCTCCAGGACGGGATATGACCAGATCCTACTCGCTGATCTGGACTCCGCCCTCGCCTCCGCCAGACACCGAAGTAAACAAAGCCTGGGCCCTGAGGGCCGAGTCCCGCCCATGGCTACCGAGACATGTGGGGGAGTTTCGGCGCGCAAGCACACTTGCTAGTCTTGAGCGCGTACCATGCTCTTATCACTTTGTGGCGTTTAAGCGATGGCGACGGCTGGGGCTGGTCATCTGGGATGCGTGGCGCGTATATCGCCTTGGGCTGTTTGAAGGAGTCCCTCGGAGACCTGGCGAAGTAATACCAACTCCCGAGGGGGGACACCTGACTGTGATACCTGACGATCCCGGGGAAAGGGAACAGCAGCTCCTACGAGTTAATTATGTGTCACGGTGGTTGGCACTTATCGGAGAATCTAAGTGACATGTTGATTTAACTGCTGAAGAGCGAAACCTTTCGAATTGAATATTCACCATAATCACAGACAACATGGTTAATAATAATACTTCCAATCTGCTCTAAGCTTTTGGGGCGCGCTAAGGTCTACATAAGTAAAAAGCGACAAGGGGCTGGTACTAAATCGGACAGAAAAATGTTCATGAAGCTATAGACAACCAAATATATATTTACGCAAACCGGAAAATTTCTATGTCAAAGCATTCCGCTGCATGGCGTCCTCAACAGACCGATCCCAGTTTGTATGGCGCAGGAAAACCGCTTCAATCACGGACACCAAGAACAGGGCAATCGCAACACCCGACCAGAGACCGAAAAGATCCCAGCCCAGGGCGAACGTGGTGCCGAAACTAATCGGCATGGCGATGGCATAGTAGCAGAAGAGCTGGACGTAGCCGCCGATTTCCTGGCGGCCGATGCCACGCAGGATGCCGTTGCAGTTGGCGGCGAGGGCGTCGAAGAGCTGGAAGGCGGCGCAGAGAGGGAGGACTTGGGCGACGAGCTCGACGACTTCGTCGTCGGAGGTGAAGAGTCGAGGGATGTAGTCGCGGAGGGAGGACAGGAGGAGCATGTTGAGCAGGCCGACGATCACGGCTCCGACCATGGTCACCTTGGCGGAGGTTTTGGCGGCGCCGACCAGCGTCGCTCCGATCAGGTTGGCGACTCGCGTGCTGCCGGAGATCGAGAGGGGGAATGGGATCTGGAAGGTAATGCTGGAGATCGTGGACAGGATCGATTGCGCGGCCAGAGGAGTTGTGCCGAGGTATGACGATGCCAGGGTCAGGATCTCAAAGGCAAGGCATTCGGCTTCGACCATGATCAGACCGGGCAGAGCGAGTCGGATCATCGGGCCCCAGTTGCGCAAGGCTCTGGAAGTAAACCCATTCCAGCACTCGCCACCGGCAACAAAATATACGTAGAAAAAGAGGAAGATGGGCATGAGATTGTCCGTGATGGCCACTGCGATCGGAGCACCAACAAACCCCCAGTTAAATTTCTAGTCCTCGTTAGCCTATCAGATTGAGAGAAGGAATTATCAAAACCAGCAACACATACCCAAACGAACAACCAGTTCATGAACGCATTAAGAGGGGCGCAGACCAGCAAGACATACAAGGACGCAGAGAACAGCCCCTGCGCCTGCACGTAACGCTTGCCACTCTCAAAGCAGGCATATCCCGGAGCACCCAGTACGACCACCTTCAAGTAGAGCCCCGCCAACTCTGCGACCTCTCTTTCAGGCACAATCCGAATTAGGACTTTGTCTGCAAAGAACCACAGGACGGCAATCGGCACGGAGATGACCCAGAGGAAAAAGACCATTTTCTGCATCTGCAGCCCCACGAGCTTCTTCCGCCCGGAGCCGTAAGCTTGAGCGCACAGCGTGTCCAAGCTGGTCGCGAGACCCTGGTAGACCGCATACCCGGTGATATTCGCCGTCATACTGGCCAAACTGACCGCGCCCAGCTCTTTCTTGCCGAGATGACCCAGCGTGAAGATACTAGCCACCGTCAAAGAGTACTGCAAGAGGAACGTAACCACCAAAGGCGCGGCATTCTTCCCAATGACCTGCGCCTCCCGTTTCCATGTCGTGTGAATCAGCCCCGCCATGACCGCCTCCTCCCACTTGCGATCGATCTCGTCAGGGTCCTCAACATTCGAATGCGAGCTCGCCCGGCGAGCGCCGAGTAAAGACGTCGTTTCCGCCGGTCTCCCGGAGTCCTGGCTCCGCCGCTCTTTCCGCCGACCAGCAGCGCTCATGACATTATTGTCGCTGAGGAGGTCCCGCTCGTCCTCGATGGCTTGTTCGCGCTCCCTCCGCGTCAGTCCCTCATGATCTGCACGGTGAGGGACCACCGTCGCATGGGAGACAGTGGTAAAGTAGCTCGGGCGCTGGTACGAGCCGGCCAGGGAATGAGGGTTCGTGCCGGGCTGGCTGTTCATCGCGCGGATCGTCGACGTCTCAGACGCATCGTCGTCGGTAGCGAGCACGGAACTTTCGTCGTCGGCGTAACTCTCCAAGTCCCGAGCAATTGCCGTTTCCGCGAGAGGGGAGCTCGACCGAAACTGGCCCTGCATTGCTTGGTGCTCTGTTGCGCTGAGCGAACGCGCATTCTTGGCCCCGACCATGACGGCAATGGATTGTGTCGGGGAAATGGGTCAATGAATCAATCAATGAGAAAGTAAGTGAAATTAGTAGAGATGTTTCAACCGGCCACTAAACCCCCGCATGACTCTCATATGAGTCGAACACGAGGCAGCGGGACAGACTCGGAGATTCTTTCCTCGCAAGAGAGAAAGAGAGAGAAAGAAAAGAGGCTGGAAGGAAAAAGTAAGCAGACAAGGAAACGCGAAGCGGGGACGAACTAACGGGCTTTTAGAATTAGCTTGGTCCAGTCCACTCGGACTTCGGCGACTCAGTGGCCATGCGCACTCCGAGGGAGGCAGAATTTTGCCTCCCAGCGATTAAAATAAAGTTGTTTGGTCCATCCCAAGGACGAGATCCACCGCGTATTGGTCGGTGACTCATATCAGCACGCCTTCGTGAACTTTGCCGCATCCTTGCTGCTGCTTGGATCATTGGTTTGAGAAGCAAGGGTAGCTTGTCCGAGAACCGGTGTAAACAATCCTTCCCAACCAGGATGGCTCTGATGGAGATCAAATCGCACGAGAGGCACAGCTGCAAACCGACGCCCCGCAATCCGCGTCTCCACCGTCAAAGATGCGGTGTCGATCAAGATCTGTCAGTACACTTGGGATGGCCATTTGACCATTGAGACAAGACCAAGAAACAGACAACTCGTGGGGATTCTTCCACTGGAACTGGAAGGACTCGCGGACTCTCCGTAGCAAAGCGCCGACACGCGAAGGAGGGAGCATGACATCATTCCCGAACGAGAATAGCCCGTCACGTGGCCTGTCATGGGGTCGTCCATCGACGGACTTCAATATTTAATTATCGATTCTGCGCTGACCAGCTCGAGGCAGCCGGGCTGCTGGTCGCGTTGAAGCAGAATGCCTAGATAGCACACGCTATCTCTATCATTCTCTCTATCGACATCATCTCCGTGACCATTACAGTCACCATGGCTGACCCTCAACCCCAGGCGTCACAGCGCCCATCCTACAATCCCCTCATCAACATGGCGAACTCCAAGCCCGTCATGGTCGACGAGTGAGTTCCAACACTCAGTCCGACTCAGACCCAACTAACTCAAAAAGCCACCTCGAAGACAGCCAACACATCTTCCTAACCCGCCCCATCTTCGGCGCCCTGCTGTTCGAAAACTCCACCTCCGACGCCCGCGACCACTGCGCCAACGAACGAACCTTTCTCTCCTGGCTCCGCCTCTCCATGTACCTGGGCGTGGTGTCCCTGGCCATCATCATCTCGTTCCACTTCCACGGCGAGCCCACGGGCCTCGAGCGCCGCATGGCCCTGCCGCTGGGCATCATCTTCTGGGTGCTGAGCATCGCGTCGCTGGTGAACGGGTTCGCGAACTACGTGCGCACAGTGCGGAAGTATAGTCGGCGGGCGGCGCTGGTGCAGAGCGGCTGGAAGACGCAGATGACGTTTACAGTGGTCGGCACGGCCATCTTGGGCAGCTGTATATTGTTTCTGGCGACGGATGCGAAGTCGTCGAATTAGTCGTCTACATACTCTACTGGACATACGGGTGAGGTGCAATGTAAATACTGGTTCATTCACTTCGGCTTCAAATTGTGATAAAATATTCAACTGGCTGGTCATGGTATATCCCGAAAATAGAACAAGAAGCAAAAAGTCAATCTGCAGGGACGGGGGGTCCCAAGATATTCAAGTGGAGAGATCCCGACGCATCTCACATGCGGCGAATCTCCGTCTCGCCCTTGTATTTGTCCAAGGCGGCGGTGCCCAGATGGCTCCACCACTCGAACAGCATCGAGTTGCAGATGAGCTTGAACCACGGCGTGAACTTCAGGCCGGGCTGCTCGAACATGACCTTCAGCTCGTCGGCCGACACGTACCGCGTGTCGCGGACCTCGTTGGGGTTCTCGTTCAGGTCGACGTCGGCCTGGATGAAGAGGATATAATCGACTATGAAGCCATTAGCCAGCGTCTCGATATCCAACACATCCGGAACCGGGGAACATACTCTCATGCTCGCCCCACTTCCCATCGCTCGGGGCCTTGTAATGGATCCTCGTGAAATACTCAAACTTGTCCAGCGGCACCTGCTCGGGCTTGATGCCCAGCTCCTGCTCCAGCTTGCGCTGCGCCGCCCGCTTCACGCCCAGCACGGCGGCGTCCAGCTGGGCGCCCGTCTCGCCGGGGACGCCCAGGGGGTGGGAGCAGCAGGTATTCGTCCACATGTCGGGGAAGGTGATCTTCTCGGAGGCGCGCTGCTGGAGCAGCAGGCGGTTTTTGGAGTCGAACAGGAAGACGGAGAAGGCGCGGTGCAGGAGTCCCTTGTCGATGTTGGTCATCAGGTGGCCTGGATGGGTCGTGGGTAGTTAGCGGATGAGCCGACCGTAAACAAATCCCGACAAGAACCCCAGGGGCAAACATACACGTCTTCTTGCTGGCACTCCCAATCGGCTTGTCATCGTCGTCCAGAACTATACACACCTCCTCCATCAGACGGACCTGCTCCTCGTCGTAGCCGGCCAGCTCGCCGCCCTCCTGCACGGAGGGGTTCCCCCCGGCGGCGGGGAAGACCTCGCGAGCCAGCGAGGTGTCGACGTCCGGGAAAAGGGAGGCGACGTTGTCGGCCGTGATGCGGGGCGGGGCAGTGATCGTGGTGGTAGCGCTCATGATGGGTATGTGGCGAGGGGTGAAATGAACAGGAAAGTCGATCGTCTTCATCGATCGCAAGCGATGCTTATTTTCGTTTTATTTTGGCCGTCGGGCAGGGCGGCGGCGGGCGGCAGAACGGGACTCAGGCATGCGGGGGCCGCATTCCAGTGCGCATTCCTCTCCCTTCATCTCCCTCGACTCGGTTCTTCCTGCTTGTCAGGGTGCACGGGACTGTTGGGGAGCACAGAATGCAGCTATCCTCAGATATTGACAGACATGCATACCACCTCTACTGCCACGATGTCCTCCGAAATGCCACCCCCCGATGTAATTCCCTTACCCCGCATTCCCGGTGTTCGCCCGGCGGGTTTCCAATTGGCGATCCTCACGCTCTCATCGTTATTCTCCGAGGTTGCACGCCTGTTCGTGCAGGTACAGCCTCTTTCAGCCTTCATGAATATTCAAATCCGGTCGAGGCAGCGCTGGCATGCCTCTTACTCGGTAGTTCTATATATAAACCGCATGTAAAACATCTTCGAACAAGATGAAGCACACGGAGGATCTCCCGCTATCCTGATCCAGGCAATGCGCCTCCCAATCAAACGAACGGGTTGATGTTTTGTCCGGAAATAACAGCCACGTCGGTCGTTTCGGATGTTCAGTTCCTCTTCGAGGCCCTTGCTTCTGCTTATCCCTGTCCTGGGCTATACGCATCATATGATATAGCCAGCCACTGTCCACTATTAGTACCTGCTCAGGTAAGGCACATGAGTATGCCTCACCTGGTGCCGCTGCTTTAGTCAGGTATTCAGTTGTTGACCAGTTTCATCTAAGCTAAAACAACATAGCCACAAGATTCCGGATCAGTAGAACTTCGTATTCTTCGGCAGGCCTTCCTGCTGATCCTCCTGCCAAACATAAGCTCGTAAACAACAAACAAACAAATAGCAAAACTTACCAGCAGTCTTCCAAAGCCCTCCACAAGACTATCCTCAAACGCAGTCTCTTTGCCCTCATCATACTGCAAGCTCCCGCCAACATTTGCGCAATATCAAAATCAACCCACACAACCCGCTCATCACCTCCTTTACCCTCCACCCCCGGAACAATCAACACATTCTTCCGGTACGGGTCATTATGCACAACCCGCACGTGGTGTACGGCTTTGATACCCAGGATGGCCTTTTGGATCCTATCCCGTGTGTAATTCTCACAGTTCAACGGCTCCGCACGGGGAAGATACTGGAGTAAAACCCGCGCAGGGACGGTGGACATCGTCGAGGAAAGCGTTCAAATGCGGTACCAGTGTCGGTGTGAGCGGATCGATATCTTCAAACACCGCGTGGAGCTTAGGTACGAAGCCCTGCTCGCATGCCCCTGCTGCTGAGAGCAGCTTGTAGGCCTCGATCTCACAGCGCCAGCGGCAGAGATCGCGGCCTTTGGAGGTAAAACCGGGGTCCTTGTTGACGTGGAACTGGAGATCTAGCTGTAAATTATGGCCCAGACCAGGACGCGGGATTCGGTGACGTACTACTTTCAGGCAGTATTTGGCACTTTCATGGTTGATGGGGAAGATCTTTGAGCTGTCTGATGAGTGCAGGAGTTGGGTTATGGAGAGCTCGGAGAGGAATTGTTGGGTGTTTAGAGAAGTAGTCATTCCGAGAAGGATACAATATAGCGCTTCAGTTGGGTCCGGCAAGTCAAGTTCTCGCAATTATTAGAATAAAGACCTTCGAATGGGGTAGTGGAATACTAGACTAGGCAGTCGAAGCAGCATTTCACTATAGAAAGTCTAGAATCTGAATTGTATTCATTCCTAAAAGCAGCAACCCAACTATCCACCCACTACCCAGTATCCTCTACACAACACCACAAATCATTCGCATGTGCCAAGCTGCACTACACAACCAATACCATCCACCCTGTGGAGAATCCTCACCCCTACCTCAGAACCTAGAACAGATAGGCAGATAGGTAAACACTCTACACCTTCGAACCCGGTCAACAGAGTTACAGGCTGACCTGTTCCGACCATCGAGGGAACGATCCGACCCAATAAAATCCCTGCGTAAGCGAAGAAAGCCCCAGGGAATGGCCTTGCATTGTCACACCAGACTGGGCTGCACGTAGCCTCGAATGCCAGGATCAAGTGAGGGGGAGTCTTAGTCTTGGTCTTGGTGAAGGTGTATTGGACCTCCGACCTCCTGCTTATTGCGGGATAGTCGGGCATTGGGTGTAGTAATCATACGCAGTAAGCACAGATGAAAGGCTGGGTAGATGAATGGATAGCTGCAGAAGATGTCTTTCTTTCTGTTACTCAGACGACAATGCCTGGATTGTTCGGGGCGAAGGACCCGGTTTTCTGCACCTGGCAAGTTACAGCAACCTGTCCTTCTCCAGCACATGATTGAAACAGTCCAAAGAGGGGTACAGATTACATCATGCCCACCTGGTTGTGTGTCTATATTCGTGCGTTATATAGGCGATTAATCTATCCAGTGTATTTCCCATTGGATGACTGGATGATTTGGAATAACCACGTAGCCAATTACCGTGGTGATATTCCCTGATTATTCCCATTGCCTTGCGTTGCTTGCTGTCTCAGAGTCTGTACCTGGAGACTTGTGTGAATTCGATGGGACTTGTTTCCTGGGGAGGGGAGGAATGCATTCTTTTAATGGTTTAATTTGATTGCCTACCTTGTTCTGTTAGCACCTGCTCAACAGTGGAGCCAGACAACGTCGAGGAGAGTAGTTAGAAGACGGTTAAAACGAGCGGATAAGATATTTGGCATTGGTTCTGCAGGGCTTGAGACGAAGGAATTAAATTCCTTCACGTCTCGGTGAAGAACTTTATGCCAGGGTATGCTTTATCTTTTGGTTTAGATAAGTACCTACCTACCTACTGCACACATGTAGGCACCACTAGGGAGTAATTTCTACAGGTACGCAGCATCTTATCCACAATTATTAGTACTGCGTAGGTAGTTGGAAATCCCCAGCCATTGCTGTTCCAACCCACATCATACGTTTCAGACCCTGCCAGAGATTCCGGTTTACAACCCTGATTCAGTCCCTAACTCCACAATAAACAAAATGATACAGATTCAATGAATACCTGGTTCCTACAGAGTAGAGTACACGAACACTCCACGCGCCTATCTTTCCAAGCAGTATACGAACTGCGTACTGCGTATACACACCACCTTCGGCCGTAGCTATGCAGATACATAGACTAGCCTTCGCCATTAAAAAGCCCCCAAACGTCAGCGTCTCAAGTACAATGTCTGACCATGGGACAGTTAATGACCGACAATCAAGATGATCGGATTTCATCATGGCGCAAGTTAGTTAAGATGATCTTGACGTTTGTGTGGGAAGAAGAAGAGGAGGAGGAGGAGCTCCAGTGCCCACTGGCCAGGCCCACGCCGACAAAAAGGCCACGGCCCGCGCACCTTAAACAAGTTACAACAACAAGCATGGAAGAGACCTGGTCCCTGCTAGCTAGCTAGCTAGATAACTAGGTAGTACCTAGGGTAGTCTCTAGGGAAGGTAAAGAAAGCAATAAGACCACCCGCCGTTACATCCAAACCCCCGACCACGGCCTGGAGACTATCACCACGGCATCTTTCCCAAAACAGACCACATGAGCCGGGCCCCGTCAATATTAATCCCACCGGGACCAACCGACTGACTCGTGGGCTTAATTCCAACACGAATCGAAACCTCAAGTCAGGCAACTTAGTCATTAGTATATAGGTTAGGGTCGGCCGCCTAGGGTCGGCCGCCCGTCGCAATAGATTAAACGAACTAGAGCGGAAAAGGGGGGCCCCGTTCCGTAGGGTGCTCCATAATGCGACGCACCGGCCAGGTACGGAGAAGGGCCACTCCGTACGACTACGCACATTTAGCTTATGGGTCTCGCTCTAGTCTCTAGTCTCTGCCTTACTTTAGGACCGCGTACTTCCTTACTCCATACTCTGGATGGAGACGGGCCCTTTCTGTGTGATTTTCACGGAACTCACCCGGTTGGTCTAGCTTGCCTGACGCGAATCGGATTTCCGTTCGGAAAGTACCCTCCTCCATACCTTAGGTACGGCCCTACTCCGGAGCTGTTACGGAGAAACTAGACCCTACTACCTACGCTACTGCGCAGGTCTTCTATCCTGCTCTGAATGATTACGGGGTCGGTTAGAATCATACCTTGTCGATTGACGCACAATCAGCCCCGAGGCTGAAATCCAGGGTGCTTACTCCGACATCTCATCTCGTGTCATCTGATCTCATCTCATCGCATTATCATGTCAGCCTGAGTGTGACGGATTGACCAGAGTACCCCGTCCTACTCCGACGTACTCCGACAGCCAACATAGCAACAAGGCCAGTCCTGAAAAGCCAATCAGTACTCCGTAAGCGAAAGATGAAAACCCCCCGGCCCGGCTGAGTCTAAATCCGCTTGATGTTTCCGGCCGGAGAGGGCCAAAGGGAAGGAAGGAAGGCCCAGAGCCAAGTCCAGGGGTAGCTCTCCTTCGGGGGTCGGGTGGGAATAGTACTTTTTAGTCCGCACCCGGGGAGGGATTCGTTCCATAGCTTCGTGGATGGGTCCTGGTGGCATTTGGTATTTTTGTTCGCGGTCCAGATTGGCGCTGGTATCGACTTCAACAACCGCAACCACAACCATGACCCCGGGCGGGTTCGGCCGCTGGGGGAGGCCATTTGGGGAAGTTGAAAAGAGAGACCGAACAAGGTCGAATAATAGGAACAAAAAAGAGAAAAAGCAAAAACAAATAAAACCAAGGAGTAGGGACAAAGAAAAAGAATCGACATACGAGAAGTCGACTATCGCCAAAACGGAAAATGGAGGAGCAGAAGAAAGAAGAAAAAAAGACCGTAAAAAAATGGAGATAAACAGACACCATCCCACTCGTGTGCCGACTGAAGAGAAACAAAGCCAGGACGTCAAGACTCGGCAAGACCACCTGGGCAGACCGACCTGGATAATTCCACCTATGAGATGCTCCGTTCAGAGGATCAGCGGTGCATGCAATCCTCCATCGCACAACGATCGACGAACCCTGATACGAAGCGAATACTCTCAGGAATCTGGATCCGCAATCGCACTCCGTAAAAGATTCGTGTCCCTCGTCGTGATCCTGTCGGTCTTCGCCGATCGAAGCAGAGAGGGGGATTGGAATCCAGGCCCCAATTAACGCACGGCGGGCGAGAGGAAGACCGGGAAACAACTCATTGTTTGGGTGGCTCCATGGGAAGGAATTGACTGTCGACGGGGATGCGGGTTCTCGAGCTACAGGCGGGAGAACTCCATCGACTGGGCGGGTAAACATACTCTGTAAGGCTTGGTTGGGGGGTGGATTCTTGGCCGGTGGGATTTGGCTCGAGCTTCTTGCACTCTGGTGTCGTCTCCACTCTGTTTCGAGTGCATAACACCTGTCGGTCACAGAGTTTGTGCTTGGGTGTATAAATTCACCACATCTTGGGCAGACGATCATCTCGCAGTCCTATCCGGTCATCAGTGGCAGTGAACAAAAATAAATGGCAGGATTGTGATTTCGAACGTCGAGGGCGAAGCGGCCTCCACAATTGACACTATCCAGCGGCTAGTACTTTGGGCGTATCAGTCTCTCCTCGGCGTCTAGACATTGGACGGGATTCCCCCATTTCCTCAACGAGGATCCAGGCTGGAGACTTTGCGTTGATTGAGAGGTCTCATCCGGTAGCAGCACTAGGTCTGTTAGCCTGTGCGGATATCCACCCAGATATATATGTCTGAAGGGCTAAGAAAGTCAATGGCGGATCAACACTGGAAGATCCCGCAATAGCCGTTCCGCCATAACCGGGTGGGCCGTCCGATAGCGCAGAGTGGCATATTAAACATCACGCCTGCTGAGTGTGGAGTCGCAGAGAGAGTACCAAATAAACATACAAAAAATACCAAATCCAAAAGCAGTGGGTGGTAAACGAGCAGAAGAGATGTCGAGAGGCGTGAAGCCCATCCCCAGCTCAGAACGATCCGTTGAGCATGGACCAGCCATGCATTAAGCCTAATTTCTATAAGCGCCCAAGCGCTACAATGCGGGATCTAACGACATGCCCAAAATGTGCAAAACCAAAACACAACCGCAAAACAGTGCAAAGAAAATGACAAGAGCCGCCCCCAGGGTCCATCCAAGTATACATCACTGGCCGTTACTGATGACTGTCCAAACCAAACAATAAAAAAACAAAAAACAAAAAACAAAAAACAAAAAACAAAAAAAAGCACATTCGTTAACCCTCGAGCATCATCTCTGCGATCAACGCAGACTTAAATTGCTCGTAGCCCGTACCGAGTATCCATTACATGTCCGGGAAATTGGGTTCCATCTTGATTTCAGGACTGGCGGCCGCCGACGGGGATTGTGGGGCGTCGCCAATCTCCTTGTCACGCTTGGCCTTTGCCGCTCGGCGCTTTCGTCGCTCGCAATCCGATCGGTGTCTGTTGAGGTGTCATTAGTATGGAAACCAATGTAAATATGCTTCAAAATCATCTAACGTACCTGGTTAATGTGTCCTGTCGGCTGAATTTCTGATCACACACGTCGCAGCTGAATTTCCGGATGCCACGATGGATCTGTCACTTCGTCAGTGCTTGCGCTGTCTGGATCAGGGACCAGCTACTTACGCTATCCACATGCCGTCGAAGGTCCGTCCTCCTCCCAAAGCGTCTTTCGCAGGTCTCGCAGTGGTACATCTTCCTGCGGGATGGGTCGTGTTTCTTCATGTGTTCACGGCAGTTCGAGCGTCGAGTGAAGCGAGTACCACAGGTGGTACACTCAAGACCGCTGGCAGACGGGATCTTGGATCGGTCATCGTTAGATGCTTCGCCATTATTCTTGGTCCACTTCAAGATTACCTCGTAGGGATGGCTTTGCGCCACCGATCGTTCCGAGAGACGGTCGACGTTTGGGTCGAGCTCAACGAGCGTACCGTTGATACTTCCAGCCTGCTGGGGATGAGGGAACCGATTGTTGTTGGCCACGAGTTGCGGCATCGGTGCCATCACGGGAGTCGTAGGGGCGTTGGTGATGGGGAAAAGACTCGGGTTCCAGAAATCGTTGGGCTCCTCCTTGATCTTGCACGCCTCGTCAGAGCAATTCGCGTTCGGCCACATGTCTGAGCTCTGACTCGGCATCATATCGTGATGTCCGGCGATGTCCATGGGGACGCCGTATTCTGGCGATGCACTCAAAGTCTGAGAGCTGTAGTAACTGAGGGGTGAGGCTGAAACATCCGGGTAGCCGCCAAATGGCTCGTACTGGGTCGCTGGAGAAAACGGGCCAACGTCCATCGCGGCATCGAGAACGGACTCGGGAGGCATTATCTGGTCAGACCAGTCGGTGGTCGGTGATGGGTACTGTTCGGAAGTATAGACCCTCGACTGTTCGGCGGAAGGACCCATATCACAGTGAGAGATCCCCAGCCCCGCGGGAGGCTGAGAGTGAGGCACATAGTTTGGGACGGAGCGCATTGGCGACGAATAAGTCGGAGAGGAATCCATCATCATTGGGTCGTCCGATAGCGATCGAACGAGAGAGGGCGGCGAAGGAAATGACATGGAAGGGCAATGCATCCTTTTGAATGTCACAAGCGGCGAAAACGAGAGGACGGAAGCGAGCCTCGCGAGGCAACGAAACAAGCAGAAGTATCAACCGGAAGAGAAAAAAAATAGAGAAATGAAGGAAGAAAAAAAAGGAAGTGGGGTTATGAGATAAATAAGAGATGTTTTCAAGAAAAAAAAGAAAAGAAAAGAAATAAAACAAATGCAAGTGAAGAAAAGACTGGTGTTCTTATTGTCACAAGCTAAGAGAACTTTTCTCTCTCTCAATCTCACCACGGGGAAGCCAAATGCAAACAGGTAGCGAACTACATCCACGAGATCAGGAAACCACGAGGGTTTATAAGAGAAGAACGACGATAATGACACAACAGCAGCGCCGCTGGAAGGGATTAATAGTGGCGAACATGGACCGTGGCTGAAAAGGGTACCGATAGAATACGCCATATAACAATTGGAGGGGACGGTGCCGCCGTGCTGGCACAGTGAGCAAGAAGAGCAGCAACCTTGACGCCTGGGTCAGGCAAGGCAGAATTGCTGGAAAGCAGACGCATGAATGCGGTGGACAAGAGGGAAACACAGAATGAGTAAGTGAAGGGGGGTGTGGCAGGTCTAGCTGGGGAGAGGGCCGGACCGGGTTGACTGCAGGCCATCTCTGCAGCATTCAGATAGGCGCGACAAGAAGGAAGTCGACATGCACAATGACTTAGCGCCGGAAGAGTGTGATCAGGTCAAATTATCAGTCCATCAGCCCGTCAAGTCAGAAGTCTTCGTGCCTGCCGGGGTCGAACAGGGGTGGAGGAAGAGGGGGGGAGAAGAGGGAATGAGCATCGTCATTGTCGCCTAATGGGAGTTGCCCGGGTCGATAGAAAAAGAAAAATCGAATTAAAAAATTAGAACTGAAAAATAAATAAAAGTATTACAAAAATAAATAGAGAAAGAAAAAAAAAAATTAAAATAAAAGAGAGAATTATTAATAAGGATAATCAAGAATATTCCAACGGCAATCTTAGAGGACGACCGAAGAAAACCCAGAGGGCAACCCCAGTGACAGGGGAGTAAAAAATAACAGAAACAGGGAAAAGAAAAAGATAATCACCGGCAGGGTGGGTGGACGACGGTGGCAGGAGCAAGCCGTACCTAGGACTTGGTCGATGGGAAATCCAGTCAGTCCATCAATCACCGGGGGGGTGGTCCATCAGGGAGGGATTGGGAATGGATGGATGCAGCTGGAGACTGGCAGGACTGGAGTGACTGGACCCAGTGTCTCTCTGACTTCCCCGATCACCGACGGCCGGACGAGCACCCGCGCACTTTCGTTGCGACTCTCCCTCGTCTGGAAGAGGGAAAGTCTCGACCCGACAGTCTGGTACCTTGCTTGGCAAATGAGCAGTGCGTGTCGCCCGGTCTGATTGGCAAACACAGCCGCATGATCCGGGTCGAAAAAGGGGAGAGGGGTAACCCATCGGTCGTCTGGTTCTGGTGCTGGTCGAAGAAAGAGGGGACTGTCGAAGGGACGCTCCGTCACTATTCATGGCCCAACAAACAATGCTTTTGATGCCTCGGGATGTCCTGGGGGGAGCCAGACTGGGCGGCAGGAACACCGATCTCGATCACGGAATCGACCTGGACACCATGGCAGAGCCCTCTGCCCCGTCACGAACCCCTGGTAGTTAATTTGTGTACGTGTCTATTAATAATCGTCACCTTATATCAATCCGTCCCACCGATGAAGCACCGCATTCCAGAAAAAGGAAAGGGCCCCCATGATGCAGACGAGAAAAAAAAAATAAAATAAAAAAGTAATGAAATAATGATGATCCAAAATAAATCAGTCGTAATCAAAATAAAAAGAAAAGAAAAAAGAAAAACAGCAATCACGCCCGAGTCGTCTGTCGAACAGGGCTCATTTCGAACGATTCCCCATTTGGGGGCTGGTCAGGGACCGGTCCTCACACTAAATCTTTAGCTATGGCACCGGCTTATGCAGCAGGTGCGTGTGCGTAGCCTGTTAGGCAGTGGTCCGTCCGCCTTGCCCGAGGCTCCCCAAAAATGATCATTTCTCCCCGAATGATTATCATCATTTACTGGCGCCGGTGGTGGACGGCCACCGTAGCTGCCACTCGCTCCACTTGGGTCCGCAACCGTTCCACCTCGTCGATCATATCCGCGATGTCAACACGCCCGGCCTGCCCCGGGCCTAGCCCGCGCGCTTCGGGATGCTGGCCCGGACTAGTGCGCCCTCTAGGCTTCGCAGAGCCCAGAGAACGCTCCGTTGCGGAGGCATAGAGCGGGGCGCGGTGCGTGGAGAGAGCGAAACCGCTCTGGATCGAGGATGTAGGTCGGCTACTACCTCGTGCCGTCGCGGTCGGGGGGAAGTGATTACTTCTCCTGGCAACGTAGCGGCGGCTAGATTCATAGGTCCAGATCAACGCGACAAAGGGGAGGTGGGTGGCCCGGAGTAGAATGATACGCACTCGACGAATGCGCTCGGCCGACAGGAAGAGCCGCAGAGGACGGATACAGAGAAGGGGGATGAGATTCTGGTGGTCGTCAGTAGTCAGTAATCAATAGTCATTAGGTAGTCGGTCCATCCAAATCAGTGCAAATCCCACAAATATCGGAATCAACTGACCAAGGGAGGCATGAAATAGGTTAGTCGACGGGAGTTGCTGCTTTCAAGCACGTAGATGGAGAGCCTATTTCCACCCGTTAGACGACGACCCCCAAAGAAACGGGCATGAACTGGTTGGTCACTCACTGGAAAAGATACTCTTCTCGGGCATGAGCCATGACCTAGGCGAGGAACTAATCAGCGCAATGGACCGTCAACCGCAATGACGGAACGTACCCCTTCTAGACTCATACTCATCAAACTGACCAACGACGAGATCAACAGAAGATTTGTCATGGAAACGAAAATTAGCCTGCGAATCAGAGCCGTCAGTGTCCAGTTTTCTCTGTGATGTAATTCGAAGCTCCATGCCAAGGTGCCGTGGGGTTGGATGCCCTATGGAGTATGGCAGCGTCCAAGCGGCATGGCGCCTACAGGGGCTCAACCCATCACCCTCGTCGGCAACCCACTGCGCATAATCGGGTCATTCCACGCGGATGGCCCCAAAAAAAGAACAAAAAATCAAAAATCAAAAATCGAAACTCAAAAGATCGTTGGGCATGGCATCTCCAACGCCACTGGCGCCGTCGAACGTGACCGGAGGAGTATGCGACCGACTTTTCCAAAGTTCCTGTGGCGCAGTATGGAAAAGACTCACATTAAACCGTAGCCGAAGATCGGGGAAATCTAAGAATTAGCGTGTTAGTTAACTTAACGCGACAGCCAACCGATTTCGCAAAACCCCTGGAAATTTCAATTCAGGCCGCATGACAGCCGCTTAGTGCGTCGGACTTACTTCCTGAGCGATGTCCTAATATCCAATCAATTCAGCCACCATCAGTTTGAAGAACGCTTTCCACCAGTTTTAGGAACAACGCACGAAGCCCAATACGTTCGATCTGCCTCGCACCGTTAGTTGAAAGAGCGGTCGACGCCGGGGGGTTTTCACCGCCATACCCGAAGAACACCTTCACCAAAATCCACGACATTTGCCTGAGAGAAAGGCGGTCGCGCGCGAGCATGGTGAATGTCGTCAAGAACCCTGCCCACCTTAGCACTGCGGCTTTCCCCCGGGGTCTGGCCCAATCAGGGCCCCAGACCTACCGATATACAGCACTACCACCACCGGGATGAAGCGGAAAAACGCTTTGGTCTAGTCATACTGTTGATCAGCCTCACCGTCCCACGCCAGATTCACCGAGTCTAGTGCCATGATGCGCTCATACCATCTCCTTCAAAACCGGAATCTACACACGGAACCAGTCAGCCGGGCGTTCTAGAGATCGGTGTGCCCATGCGCGCGATCGGCGGGTCTGACTTACCAGGCTCCCAAAGTAAGAGTTTAAGCTCACCAGCGAGCATAGTCTTTTTCGGCGCAGTTAGATCCTGAAACCAAGACCTGACAATGATTCAGAAGATGTGGATCTCACCGTGGAACCAGAAACAGCGCCTCCAGGGACAGAATATCGAATGATAGGTCCGTGATGTAATAACTCTCCTCGGCCAGACCGATAATCCCTGGATATTCCTCCTATCAGTTCATTGATGCGGACCGTTTTCAGCTGGGGCAACATCACTGTGCCAGTTCCAGACCGACAGGACAGAGCTGAAACGTTGACAAGGCAGATTCGCTTGTTACAGAATGACTCACTTGCAATGACAAAGGCGAGTCCGGTGCCTATGATACCCATGTTCCACATCTTCCAGAAGTCCATCTGGTAGAAGAGCATTCCCGCGTCTGCCATGCCACTCACCTCATCATAGGCAAACGCGGCAATCCAGAAATACATCAGTGTTTCGAAGAGCCCGATGCCCGTCGACTTCCTCTCGACGAGAACCGCGTAGTACAGGACAAGAAAAGATACGAAGAAAGCCGCTTCAAACGCTTTCCGGTATACCGGTACTCTGAGACGTGAGTACGGATCTGCCGTCCTGTTCGCGTACACAGGTTAGTGGGCTACTAACAGCATGAACGGATGCTTTCTGCCTCACCGTTTGTCAAGGAAATGCGGCCTTTTGGTCGAATGTACGCTCAAGGTGTCCCAGAATACAATCTCTCCTTTCCATATGTTGTCTATGACTCTCTGAACAACCTTCTGACCGAGGAACTTCTTTGCATGCGCGATGGTGGCAATCTCTAGTGCATTCAGACCAAAGAACAGGGAGAACTTCTCCAGCTCTTGTGCGTCATGAGAGGAGCTGCAAGAGCCTCGATTGTCCAAAGCAAAAGAGCTTCCTACGCGACTCCTGCCTCCGAATAAGTTATACACAGACGATGAAGAGCCCTCTAGTAGAGGCATTCTTTCACTATTTCGTCTGCTCTGGTCTTCAGCGGAATCCGCAAATCCCGCGGCGCCTCGCTCTGCTTGGGCCAGGGAGGCATTACTGTGCTGGGGTAGCCTAAGCTCCTCCAGCAAAAACTCAATGGTCTCCCGTTGATCGAGGTGGCATAGAAACTGCCAGGCAACATACTCGCAGGCATATCCGCGACTTTCATTAAGTCCCCAGTCGGCATCAGTGGTATTATCAAACTCCCATTTCAGGATCCTGTGTTAATTCGTTCAGAGCCCATGTTATGGAGGTAGACCACGGGAGAGAACATACATCAGCGCAGCAATGATGCAAGGATTATGTGAGTTCTCCGCCAGGGAGTAGATAAGAAGTCTAAGATGCTGACCATGGGAAGAAGATCTCAGCTGCTCAAAAGTATATGACACATCCGCAACGGCCAGGGTTATGAAGCTAGACGACACATCAGATATCTTTTCAATCTGGTGGCCAGGGTGCATGAGGAAATTTACTTGTACAGCTTTCGGACCACATCGGGCAGTGGTTCGGTGTCGTCGATAATCGGGGGCTCAAGTTGTGCATTGTCGGCGGGCGCTATCGATGATGTCGAAGAATTGGGCCTGGTGGAGGAAGACATGTAGGAACAGCACCGTTGGACGGCACGGCCAAGACAACTGGATGTATGAAAAATCAAGGTAGCGCGCCCATGGATTTCGCTGCGGAGAAAAAAATTTTGGCGCTGACCAGCCCCTGACGCCGACTCTAGAAGCAGGTTCGCAGCTTTAAATTGCTCAGTCGGTGAACAAGCTTTTCGCAAGAATGGCTGACATTCGAGAGCTTATCAGGCGGGTCTTGGCAGCGATCGCGCCACGTGAATTGCGATGATATGCTGCTTAGTGGTCGATATGACCAACGCTATGAACTTGGGCAGTCAGCAGAAACTATCGGTGAAGCATCAAGCAGGACTGTCAGGCATGGGGCAGGATCCATAATCTTCGGATGACTGCCGATGTCTGGATAGCCGGTGCGTTGATTGGTTCCAGCACGTCACCCCAAACCTGATAGCTACTAGTGACATCAGTAGCTGTAACAGGGGGTCCTGGCGGATCCGAGCCGCTCAACACGCCGAAATCGAGTCCGAGAAGGCTCATTGGGCAGAATGAGTTACTGTAGTTCGTTTGGAGGGCGATTGAACGTAGATTCCATCGGATGTCTGTTTTCCTCTCGGTTTCTCTCAGCTCGCAGTCTCCAGGCGATGGCGATGTTTGCGCAGTGATTCCCGCTAACCGAACGGAGTAACCCGCGTCCATGTCACGGGGAGCCTCACCGCCTTCCTGGTCGGACACCGCATCATGTGACCAGCGGCCGTTCCCCCAAACGCGTCGGACGGACTTCACTTTAAAATGACCTGCAATACTCCATCCATTCCTGTTGCTCGCCTGAGCGCTCCGGCAGAATTTCCTCTGGTCTGTTCCTAGTTTCGCGGGATATCTCTTTGCATTTCCCCAATCCCTGTGAGATGAAGACGTCTCGGCATCATGGGCCAAGGTTACTCCCTTACAACCCTCTCAGCGGGTTCCGCTGGGATCGATGTTCCAGAGTTGTCCGATCTGATGTATGAGAAGTCCATGGGCGGTGGCAGATTCATGAAGAGCATCCGGGCCAGGCGACAAAATGGTCTGGTCTTTGTAAAGGTAATCATGAAACCTTATCCTAGCATGAAGCTGGAGCCTTATGTCAAAGCCATACTTAGTGAGTTTGTCTGTTCATCGCAAGTCTGGGTCTGGAGGCTTGTGGGGCCGATGTATACTAATCTGCGGCGATAGGGGAGCGCAGGTTGCTTGCTGATGTCCCCAACGCTTTAAGCCATCAGAGGGTATTGGAAACCAGCACGGGCGGCTATCTCGTTCGCCAATACATCCACAGTTCTCTTTACGACCGCATGAGGTAGGTGTCGCGCTCCTTAAGTCGAAGTCTTGTTAAGGTGCTAACATAAGCAGCACTCGCCCTTTTCCGGAGGATATTGAAAAGAAATGGATTGCTTTCCAGCTACTGTGTGCTCTGCGCGATTGTCACTCTCTAGACGTGTTCCATGGGGACATCAAGACGGAAAATGTCTTGGTCACCTCGTGGAACTGGCTGTACCTTTCGGATTTCTCTTCATCTTTCAAACCGACCTTTCTTCCGGAAGACAATCCGGCTGACTTCTACTTCTATTTCGATACATCCGGGCGACGGACCTGTTATCTAGCTCCGGAACGATTCCTGGAAGCCGGTGAAGAGCCGGGGAACCGGAATGTCAACTGGGCCATGGACATTTTCAGCGCGGGCTGTGTGATTGCGGAGCTGTTTTTGGAATCACCTATCTTCACCTTGAGTCAGATCTACAAATATCGCAAGGGCGAATACAGCCCGGAGCACAGCCAGTTGATGAAGGTAGAAGACCCTGAAATACGAGCCATGATTCTCCACATGATTCAACTCGAGCCGGAGTCGAGATACTCGGCGGAAGAGTACCTGAACTTTTGGAAGGCGAAGGCGTTTCCGGAGTATTTTTACAGCTTCCTTCACCAATACATGTCCCTGATGACTGACCCTTCGTCGGGGAGAGCCCAAGTCGACGGCGAGTCGGCCAGCAGGGGAGAGGCCGACGATAGGATCGAGCGGGTCTTTTTTGATTTTGACAAGATATCCTATTTCCTCGGTACTTCACCCACGCCCGTGAGCCGCCGCTTGGGCCAATCCACCGCCACCCTCACCGGCAGCACCCTTCCTGTCCATCTCGACCTCCCCAACGATGAGAATCTGACGTCAACATCTCAGACACAAGCAGATGATGGTGTACTGATCTTTCTGACGCTTGTCGTATCTAATCTGCGCAACACTTCTAAGGCGTCGGCTCGAATCAAAGCCTGTGATATTCTTCTGGCCTTTGCTGAAAGATTATCAGACGAGGCTAAGCTGGATCGTATCCTTCCTTATATAATGATTCTTCTCAATGATCGCACGGATGCGGTGAAGGTCGCCGCCATTCGCACATTGGCACAGCTCCTGGAAATGGTCCAAGTAGTCTCTCCGGTTAACGCTTACCTCTTCTCGGAATACATTTTTCCCAGAATCCAACCATTTGTCCCAAGTGCAAATTCGAACCCTAGCTCTCTGGTCCGCGCCGCCTACGCATCCTGCATTGCATCTCTTGCGCAGTCGTCACTTCGGTTTTTGGATATGATCCAAGCATTGCGCTCTGATACCCGCCTGCCTGCTCTGATTCCAGCAGGCTCCGAACCCAGATGGACGGAAGATGCTACATATCACAATCTTTACGACGTAGCGCGAGTCGACCTTCTGGACTATTTCGAGGCCCACACCAAAGCTCTCTTGACTGACAGTGATGCATCTGTTCGCAGAGCCTTTCTTGGATCGGTCTCCAGCTTATGCGTGTTCTTCGGCAACGCCAAGACCAATGAAGTGATTTTGAGCCACCTGAATACCTACTTGAATGACCGCGATTGGATCCTGAAATGCGCTTTCTTCGAGGCGGTGGTTGGTGTGGCGGCGTACGTGGGGAGTACAAGCCTGGAGCAGTACATCTTACCTTTGATGCTTCAATCCATGGCCGACCCTGAGGAATTCGTTGTGGAAAGAGTACTTCGATCCCTGGCTGCGATGGCTGACCTCGGTCTTTTCCAACGGTCCACGACTTGGGATTTGCTTCACACCGCAGTCAGATTTATGGTACATCCCAACCTTTGGGTTCGGGAGGCAGCGGTGCTACTGGTCACCAATTCTACCAAATACCTATCTACCGCCGACAGGCTCTGTATCCTTGCGCCACTCGTGAGGCCTTTCATCAAACTGAACTTGGTGGATTTTTCGGAGACCGAGCTGCTCGACGCACTCAAGAAACCGCTTCCACGAAACTTGTATGAATTGGCCTTAGTCTGGGCAACAAAGGTCGACAGGGGTGTCTTCTGGAAGTCCGCGGCTTCCGATGGTCTGTTCAATCTAGGTGCATCCGATGGCTTGCCCTCGCGTAGTGGACAGAAACTCTCAGGCTTTTTATTGAGTGCGCAACCGCGAAATGAAGAGGATGAACAGTGGATTTCTCGACTGCGGAATATTGGGTTGGGCTCCGAAGACGAACAGAAGTTTGTCGCTCTCAGAGAATACATCTTGAGAGTATCACGACATCACACCAAAAACTCTGATACGGGAATATCTCCTTTGAACAATGTCGTTGCCTTGACGCAGTACGGGGTCACTCCGCAGACCGTCTTCTTTGACAAGAACCAAAATGTTAAACCACGCAGAGATGACCACGCCTTGAGCAGAAACGGCCCTACTGAGCCGAGTAGGCCCGACGAGCGGAGACCGCATACTATCACAGATGCCCTCCTCGACGCTTCAACTACTATAGACAATGCACCAAACGGCCGTCGGAAACATTTACGGTCCAGAAGCCAACTACAACGCGAGTCGGGGGCTCCGCGACAACATGCCTTGGATATCGTCAGGGCCACGGAACACTCTGCTGCGTCGTCGCCGCTAGCATCATCGCCAAGCGGTGCGCCTGGTTCTCGGCCTATGTCGCCGCTTGGCTCAGACGCCGGGCGGAGAGCCTCTGGGGGCCGGGACAGTCCCGGGCAAACCAGTTCTTCTACGCCGACCGATGCAGAGAATCCAACGATCAAGAACCTGGCCACCGGCGTGCAGAGAAAGTCCAGTGCCATGAGTCTGCTCAACCGCAGGGACTACTCCGCCAAGGCATATGCGGAGACGGGTACGAGCTCAGCAAATGCGTTCGGCAAGGTTGACGTTCCGTCGCAAAGAGAAACCTCCGAGCCACCTACACCTTCTGGTACGCATGACCAAGAGGCAAACACCCACAAACCCCACCAATATCATGCAAATCATTCTTACAACGGCGACGATCCTGCGATTCTTAAAATGCTGGATTCGGTGTTCGCCGAGAACTATCCCACGGACCTGTTTGATCTCGGGCCCTACGTGAAAGAGATAGACTCCCGGCGACCGATCAAGAAAGCCAATGGCAATGATATCAACAAGGTCTGGAAGCCCACAGGGGGTCTCGTCGCGATTTTCGGGGAACACAGCGGCTGTGTGAACCGAGTGATTGTCGCCCCAGATCACGCATTTTTCGTGACTGGTTCAGACGATGGCACGGTCAAGATCTGGGACACAAACCGTCTGGAGAAGAATCTGACGCCACGGTCTCGCCAAACGTATCGTCATTCCACCGAAGCCAAGGTCAAGACACTGGCGTTCGTAGAAAATACGCACACCTTTGTCAGCGGTGCGACGGACGGAAGCATCCACGCCGTCCGGGTCGACTACCATAACGTCAATGACACCATTCGGTATGGGAAGCTCCAGCTCGTGCGAGAGTACCAACTGCCTATCGCCGATGATGGAACCCTTGAATATGCGCTATGGATGGAGCACTACCGGGTTGATGCGCAGTCAATCCTCCTCGTCGCCACCAACACCTGTCGAGTGCTTGCTTTAGACATGAAAACCATGCTTCCGATCTACTCGCTTCAAAACCCCATCCACCACGGAACGCCGACCACGTTCTGCTGCGATCGAAAGCACAATTGGCTCCTCATCGGCACCACCCATGGCATCCTCGATCTCTGGGACCTGCGCTTTCGGGTTCAGTTGAAGGCGTGGGGTCTCCCCGGATCGACCACCATCCATCGACTCCAGGTCCACCCAACCAAAGGACGCGGGCGCTGGGTTTGCGTATCAAGCAGTGGCAGCCATGGCAACGAGATCACTGTGTGGGATATCGAGAAGATCCGCTGCCGCGAGGTATACCGCGCAGATTCACCCGGTGTCAGCACCGCGAACGGAAGCCCTCAAGCTGGCAACACCTCACCAAAGCTCGGATGGTTGACCCTCAAAGAATACGAAGCCTGGCAAGTCGAAGGCGACCGACCAGAGGGCATGCTGAGCCGGTTTGCCATCGACGGGCCCGGTTCCGCAGCCGTCGAGCAAGCCTCCAAGCCCACTCCGCCCGGTACACCCGCCGGCATCTGCACCTTCGCCGTGGGATTCGACTCCCCAGAGGACGGCAAGGACAACGGCACCCGGTGCGGCTTCATCCTCTCCGGCGGAAGCGATCGCAAAATCCGCTTCTGGGACCTCGCCCGACCGGAACTCTCATCCATCGTCAGCGGCCTCGACGCCGTCACCGACGGCGTAGCGACCGGCCGACCCCGATACGACGTCGAGCAGCCCGGCCCGTCCTTCGTCGTCACCACCGAGCATCTCCCCAGCTCTGCCACCGCTGCCGCCACGACACCCACCCCCGGCGCCGGCGGCAAGGGGGGAGCCGCCAGTCGCAAGGCCGGCAGTGGCCGGTTACCGCGCAGCACGGTGATCAGCCTGCAGCAACAGCAGTTGCTGAAGAGCCACCTCGACTTCATCCAGGACATTGCGGTGCTGCGAGCGCCGTACGGCATGGTCGTCAGTGTCGACCGTGCGGGCATGGTTTATGTTTTTCAATGATTTGATTTAGCCGTAGTTCACGATAGATGCATGTGTTAATTTAATCATGACCAATTAATCTGATGGTTTCGATTCCAGCTATACTCATACCCCCTTTTGCATAGAGGTTCCTCTTCCAAATACCTACCTTCAGAGAGCACCCAGAAGCAGCACCCAGCCCTATCTGAAATCAACCCCGTATACCCAATCCAAATTAAGCGACTAACCTGCATACTGATCCCGAAGAGAGGTGGTATGTCGTACATGTGCATGGGCCCTTGACTCCGTTCGGTCTGTGTAATCCATTAGGTAATTGGAGTTAATGTCACTTGACGGTCGAGGATCCGAGCCCTGGGTCCTTTCGTATGCAAACAGACTATTTGCGATGGTGGTCGAGGATTTAATTATCTGGTTGCTTGAGATTATGGGTGGTAGGTATGATGAGAGATTTTGATGCTTGTTGGGGATATATATAGTAGGTGAGGTAGTTTTACACTGTAGTGTTAAATTTGGGTGTCTTGGAGGATTTCAGTATTACAAGTCATGTATGTATCTAGGCGAATAATGTAACTACATACGCAGCACAGGGTACTGTGTTCTGAATCATGCTCATACAAGGACTATCCCACATTGACATATCCATCTACTACTCAATAAATAACACAAATGAAGAACGACGGGATAAATCTACGTAAAATATCCGCCGCCCAAGTGGAGCCCGACCGGCCGGGATTCGCAAGATTGCGGCCGTCCTGTACCACCTTCCCTTACCACTGTCTATCGGCAAACAACAAGTATTTATTGTGTGAGGACACAAATCGGTTTCTAGTAGTACTACTCTTGACAATATCTGTACGGAGTAGTTAATCTTAATGACAGACGTGACAGACGTGGCGATCCAAAGGAACTGCACGTCTACCTAACCACCTAACCACCTAACCCGCCCAGGAACCATGGAACGCAGCACACCATCGGTTTGCAGTAGATTAATTACTTTAACTAGGGTCCAGGAGTCATGCAGCATGCCTGTCAGAGTTTTCTTCCTCATTCTCGGGGGTTATTGTATTAGTTTACTCAGGACACTGTACACTGTACAGAATACGGTGTAGGGCGTAGGGACGGTATTGTCGTTAACTCGCCACCGTTTCCGATTCCCTTTGTCCTTGTGCGCCTTCTGAAGCACGCTCGGACGTCGCAGGAGGGGGAGGGGAGGGGGGAAATTGACAGATCAAGTTTCGATCACGATCGATCTCGAGGACGAGCCAGCGAAGCAAACATCAAACAGACGGGTGAAACGGGCGCGAGCGTCGCCGCCAGGATGCAGCAGACCCCGACCAGCATCGATCGTCGATCTCGGTACCTCGCCATGGCCACAGCCGGTAATGACCGACCAATAAATCTGGCAGACCTAACTAAGCCGAGATGCATGAATCTCCATCTCATCTCTTCTCCATCTGCCCCTGCCATCTGGTAGGCTGTGGCGGGCGGTGATGTGGCTCCCGACCGGGACGCAAGGAAGGGATTGACGGGCGCAGAGAGTCATGGCGATTGTGCTCATTGGAGTCCGGAATTATTGTGTATAGCAGGACGCGGGCTGACTGGCTGGCAGACGAGCTTTCCAGGACCCCCAGTGGACCCCGGTAGACGGCAAACGCAAACGCGTCGTGGGACGGCTGCAGGTTGGTTGGTTCGTGGAATGAACATCCACGGAGTATCCAGAATCACTCTGGAGAACATGCGAAGGGCAGGTTCTAGATGGTGGGTTTACAGTATGAAATTCGAGTACAAGTTGTTACCTGGTAGGTAAGGATGGGTAATGTAAGGATTGAAGGGTTTTATCTGGGTTTGTTCTGGAGTAGGGTATGGAGGATAGCCTTGCAGTCTCTGCAGGTCAATAACTAATGGACTCACTAGGAAACTTTCTGTTCGTCAGGATAAAAACAGCAATCGAGATCAAATGACGGTGGGACGATCGAGGGTACCTGCAGGAGAATAATATCCTTTGGGTTTGTCTGCTGTCCGGAGAAAGAAGCAAGCTTTGGGGGTTGGTGACAAGAAACCAACATTCCAACTACGGAGTAAAATCAAATCAAATCCAGTCAAATCCAGTACATCAAATGACCGAGGTGCAGTTGAGCATCTGCAGACGCAGCACTGACTGGTTTGACGGTCGGCAATCTGGCGTGCGACTGACAGATTCTTCCGCACTGGAGTCTGGATTCTGTCCGAGTCGACAAAAAGTGACAGTGACAGATGGGCCGTGACCGGAAATGCCGCCATCCCTGTCACGGCGATAAGCAGGGGAAACCTTATTGATTATTACTGGGTGATTCCCCCTGAGGTTCTTTGAGGCGTTGAAGAATGTCAGTTTCACCTGCGGAGACTCTCCTGACTCGACTCCGTAAGGAGCGAGCGAGAGGAAATTGACCGGTCGATCAGTTGCCAGTTCGGTGCGGCTGGCAGTGGACGAGGCAATCAACATAAGGCGAACCGTCTCTGAATCCTCCCAACGAGCGGTTCGCATAAATGGTGGACCGTTTTTTAGGAGAGCAATCGCCGACTGGGATTTGGTATTGGCCATTTGGTACCTTCTTTTTTTTTTTTTTTTTTTCTCGTTATCTGTGAAGACGGATCGGATTTAAGGTCAGCAGGAGAAAAAAAAGTCAAATAAATCGGGGAACAATAATAAGACATAATAATATTAAAAAATCGGACGAAAAAAGGAAAGACAAAGAAACAAACGCCCAGGCTCGTGGCGGATCCATTCACGCGTGGGCCAAAGACGAGCTCCGAGCCGTCCCTTGCGGTTTGTCCAGTCGTGCTTGATATTGGATCATTGGTCGGTGGGATTATTTTTGGGACCTGGTTCTAGTCGATTTAGCTCATTTAGCCCTGGTACTTTGGAGGGAGGACTCCGCAGGATGATATGATTCTGAACGTCCAGGGGGTGCTGAGGCCAGTCCATTTGCATCCTCGCGCGGGAGCCGTTTCTTTGATTTGCGCAAGGAATATTCGAGGCCAAGCTGATGCATCTCAGGACTGGAGAGAGAGTTGGCAAGTCGAAGTTGATCCGGTCGAGTTCAGAGTTCAGAGTCAAGGTATAGTTGAGGTATTATGCAAGTCCGGTACTGTCGCCGTATGGTACAGCCTGGTAAATACTAGGGCGTACCGAGACCTCCGTCCCGTCCCTGACTAAAGTCCTACTAAAGTCATTCTAAAAGGTGTTCAGGAACCGACGACTCCGCCCGTTAGCGCACGTACGGTACGGTACCAACAGCGGCGGAGACAGACCCCCTTTAACTCTGGACGAAGCTTGCGCTCTTCAGGGTCAGGATCAACTCCCTTTTTCCCCTTCCTTTTCTCCTCTTCGATCCGTCTTCTCTCCCGTCTTCCCCTCTCGCTTTCTCTCCTTCATTCCTCCCGTCCTTCCCTTCCCTTCCCTTCCCCTCCCTCCTCCCCCCTCTCTCCTCAGTCTCGGCCAAGAACCAGCGAGAGAACACACCCTCTCTCGCTTCATCACGTCCGGTGGATTCATTCATCGTTCAATAGACGTGTGGTTTCTGGGAGATGCTCCGCGTGGCAATTGGCAGGCAGTAGCTGTATTCGACTGACTCCATGTCCGCATAACTCCGGGACCGAGAGCTGCCTTCGACACTCCCTTCGACTCCCTCCGAATCTCGTCTATCCTTTCTAAATATCCTCCCTTTCATCCGACAGTAGCACGCGAGAAGTGCTACGCTGGCGGTGGAATCGACTCGCCCTCCCTTTCGTTCGTTCCTGGAACGGGTAAAAAACTATACTCCTAATCTACCGGATTTTCGGACCCAACGGGTGGCGGTAAACAATCCCCGCCGCATCTATATATATCAGTTTACTTCGGATCTCGAAATTTCGCCCATTTTTCACCCGCCTTTCCCTATTCTACAATCACCATGGGTCCGTCATTGAGAGATCACTCGTCGTTCGCCCGTCCGTCAACGCGCGACCGGCCGGTGACCCGCGATCAAGGAGAAAATTCGCTGGTCGTTCCTAGTCGCACCTCCTCGCTTCACTCCCGCATTACGCAACCGATCCCTTCGCAGTCCAGCGCCAAACCCGCCCAAAAGACGCCCAAGACCCTGACCCATGCCTACATGGTTTGCGGTGTGGGCCGTGAGCCCTCCCAATGGGTCAGGGCTCCTGCGCCTGCCCAGGGAAAGATCGGTCATATGAAGGGTGCCGTGGGCCAGTTCTGGCTGCCGGAAATCCTGGGTAGCAGTCCCCGTCTGGAACAGGACAATGAGATTGCCAAATCCTTGCATTCGGCTATGAGGGTAGGTTCTTGATTCGCCCCGTTCGATGACGTAAAATAAATGAAAGAAAAAAAAAAAAAAAAAAAAAAACAAAAAGAACAAGCGACAAATGAGCGAAAAGAGCAGCCGCTAACTAAACCCTCAGGCCTGTTTCCCTCATGATGTTGAAATCTGTACCGGCAAGACCCAGCCTCACTGTGCCCACCATGCCTTCGTTTTGCAGCAGGATTCATCCCACACTCTCTACGGTATCGCCTTGCGCGTCTGGTCCCGAGCCGACGAGAAGCGTGCCGAAACGATCCGTGAACTCCGCAAGAAGACCGAGCCCGATTTCTACGATAACCCCGAGGAGATCTACTGGATCCCGTACTGCTTGAGTTTCCTCTCGAGATATCCCCTCTACGACTTGCTCGGCGACTACCTCCGGGGTATGTGGATTCACTGGAACAAGGCCACCAACCTGTTCCACGCGGAGGAAGTGTCGCGGATTCTGAGCTTCCCCGCGCCGCGCTTGAACGACCTGGTCCGCATCGATATGAAGGATTACGCGCTGTGCTACCAATTCCCGTCGTCGCCCACAGGCTTCCAGAACTTCGCCATGTGGCCGCTATTTACCTGTTTGTCCATCCCCAACATCGTGGGCGTCATCGAGGCCGCGGTGTCGCCGACCCGCCGCATCATCTTCGTCAGTCACTACTCCGCCATGCTCACCATCGCCGCCGAAACGATCCGATACTGCGTTCGGGTCTACGAGTGGAGCGGGCTGTACGTGCCGGTGGTCCATGCTCGTCACGTCAAGGACCTGGTCCAAGAACCCGGCCCGTACATTCTGGGTGTCACGGCGGAATGCCGCACCCTCTTCAACGCCCCGTCCGATGCCTTGGTTGTGGACTTGGACCGCAACTTCGTGCTGACGTCGAGCCCGCCTAACGTCCTCAACCCCGGACAGCGAACGAAGTTTGTCAACCGCTTGACGCAGGCGTTGAACGGCGATGTCTCGCCATCCGGCGTTCCCAACCATCTCCGGTCGGCCTACGCCGGCGGTAAGCTGATCCCCGCCGGTCAGATCATCGTGATGCGCGGCGAGGTCGAAAGCATCCAGGAGCCGTCGTGGTGGAACCAGGATTCCGTCATGGGCGTCATGGATCGCGTCTGCGAGAAGCTGGGACGCAACACAGGTATGAAGGCCATCTTCGGCGGCTCCGTGAAGAAGCCCCTTATGACGAAGGTGTCGATGCGCCACCTGAACGAGATCGTGCGCGAGCGCAACCAGTACTCGCGGGATGCCATGGAGGCCTGGCAGGACTTTATCAACCTCAAGGGCCGCATGGACACCGAGTTGAGCAAGGTCACCAAGCGCAACAACTTCTTGGTTGAGGAGTTGGAGACCTGGAAGCAGCAGTTCCTCAAGTTCCAGACCTTCGCCGAGCAGCTCACCAAGGAGACCTCCGAGCTCAAGGTCAAGATCGAGAACCACAAGCGCGAGAACCGCCGCCTCAGCGGTCTCATCGACCAGCAGAAGGACGACGCTGCCCGTCTCACTCTGCGCCTGTCCGGAACGGAGAAGCAGCGGGATGACGCCCTGGAGGCGCTGGTTCTTCAGCAGGAGATTGCCGAGGAGCTGGAGCGCGAGCGCAAGCGCAACCAGAAGGAGCTCTCCAGCCTGCAGCACAACAACACCAACCTTGTCCGCCAACGCGACGACGCTCAGCGCGTGGTGCTGCACCTTCGCAGCCTGATCAACGGCCAATCGCACCACATGGAACACATCGTTCGCTCCATCGGCAGCTCGGCCGAGCTGTCCGAGTTGGCCCAGCAGGAGGTCGTCGAGGAGCAGACCGCCGCTCCCGTGGCCTCCAAGCCCGAAGAGCCGACCACTCCCGAGCCCCGCAAGGAGGCCTCGAGCAGCAGCTCGCGATCGGAGACCAGCGCCGCCCCTGTGAAGGGCGCCGTGAAGGACATGAACCCGGAGATGGAGCAGCACCTCATGAGCCTTGGTAAAGGTCACAACCGTCTTGCCCGCCTCAGCATTACTGACGTGGCAGACCGCTACCTCCGGGACAAGACCGATGCGATCTCGGACATCATCCGCAGCATCAGCGACCAGTGTGCCGCCGCCGTGGAGGGTCTTCACCTGGCCCAAGATGCCGAGGAGGACGACTCCTTCGAGCCGGGCAAGGATGCAGACCGCCTGGCCCCTCATGGCGATGACCACCGCGAGGGCAGCGAGATGGGGGACTCCCTGCATCCTGACCACCGACGCTCGAGCGTACCCCCGACGCCGGACCTCGTCCACAACCGGTCGAGCACCTCGATGTCGATGGTCAGCAACTCGACCTTCCCGGAACGGTCGAGCCAGCAGTACGGTCCCGGCGAGGTCCCGACGCGGATCGTCGAGGACGATGACGAGCACGCCAATGACACCGATGGTCTTGATGACCACACCGAGACTGGCACCCTGTCGAAGCAGGGCAGCGAGGATCTCATGCGCACCAGCAACCCCCGCCTGGTCGCGTAAATTCTTTTGCGCCATCGATGAAAAGATGAGATGCAACGACGACTCTGACACGACATCTTGCTCCTCTCTGACTTTGAGCGAGTTGTGCAACGGCAGTTGTTAGTTTTTTGGCATGTGATTTTCTTTCTACCATTCTTGATTCTTTGCCGTTGGATATTCCCACTATTGCCTTCATGGGGTTTTTGGAGACCATTTACCATCTATTTATTTACCTTTCTTCTTGGGGGATCTTGATTCTCATTTTAGTGTTGTTTATTTCTGGTGGTCCGATTGATTGCCCTTTTGTCCTCTTCTTCTTTACCTTTTTCTTTTCTTTTCTTGACATTTCACTTCTTACAAGGCCTTTGTCTTGTTGTGTCGTCCACCCCACCCCTCACTCCTTGAAGTTTCCTTGTCTTTTTTACCTGTCGTCCACACTTTTCCTTTTGTCTATAGTTCCCGGAACTGGGCGGCTTTGAAAGCTGCCATCAAGCCTGAGATATTCTGAATTGAACACCACATCTCCGCGGACTCCGCCGGAGATTGAATTGAATTTAATAAACTCCATCCCGTACGCATATATACACAAGAACACCACCAGCTCACGCCAACTTCCCCGGCACGAACGGATGTCCCGCACTCAACCCCCCACAAACCGCCCACGCCTGCCCATTCACGTAGCTACTCTCATCACTCCCAAGGAACAGCGCCACCCGGGCCACCTCATCCGCCACCGCCCCCCTCTGCAACGGATTCAACTGCCCGATCTTCCGCTGCGTGCCCCTCTCCCTCGCCGTATCGAACAACGCCTGCGTCATCCCCGTCTCAATCAACCCGGGACAGATCGCATTCACCCTTACCCCGGACCCGGTCAACTGATACGCGCACGTCTGCGCAATCGATACCACCGCTGCCTTCGACGCCGAGTAATCCGTCGACCCCGCGTTCGAGCGCAGCCCCGCCACCGACGCCGTGCAGATTATCGAGCCCCCCGGATACTGTTTCTGCGGCGAGGTGATCCGCATCCCCGCGGCCGCGTGCTTCACGGCCAAAAACACACCCAGTGTGTTCGTGCGCAGCGTGCTCATGAACTCGTCGCTGGTTATGTCGGTGAAGAGCTTCGGTTGGCCCACGATGCCCGCGTTCGCGAAGTAGATGTCTAACCGGCCGTAGCGCGTGATTGCGTCGGTGATGACGGCTGACACGGCGGTGGAGTCGGCGGCGTCGAATTGGTGCACGTGGATTGAGACGGAGGGGTAGAGGGTGTTGAGTTCGCGCGCGTGCGCGTCGAGGTTGCTTGTGCTGAAGTCGCAGATGTAGACGGCTTTGGCGCCGTTGGCGGCGTAGAGGTGCGCTGCTGCGCGGCCGATGCCGGCGATGGAGTTTGCGCCTGGTTTTGTGGGTTAGTTTGGGTTGGGTTGAGTGTGGTGGGTGGGGAGGAGGGTGATGTATCATATCATGTAGATGGTGGGGAATCAATGCTTACCGGTCACAATGGCGACTTTATCTTTGACGCGACTGCATGGGTGGAGTTAGTACTGGGATTTATAGTTCCGTGCGTATATCCGACCTGAGCAATAGAGCCTCTATCGAGACATCATATACTCTCTAGACAAACGTAGAAAATAAACATGGAAGACCTACGGTCCGACTGAATCCCCCGCGACTTGACGGATCTTCGGCATCCCCTCGAAGGACCCGGCGTCGGGGATGCCCTCGACGAGCTGTTGGCTGAGGGCTTGGAGACGCTGTTTCGCTGCGCCAGACATGATGGTTTGTGTAGGGTGTGAGTGCTGAAGGTACAGGAGATGAAAGGTGAAAGGTGTAAGAGCAAGAGAAGTAAGAATAAGGATTGGGGTCGAGTAAATGGATTCGGCTGTTTTGCGGAGAGCCGAGGTTGTTTCGGGTCAGGTGATTGGCCCCGTCCGGGGGGCTTGGCATTCTTCTAGTATCCATGGATCCTCTCTGGGGACTGTCCCGATAAGATCTCGCAGGCTTTTGTCTGGAGATTATGTGCTGTATCCAGGGAATGATGAGTGTTCTCTTGACCTGGTTCATTATGATGGTCTACTGGTTTGGCAACTGTTGGAAAGCATCATAAAAGACCTGTCCAGTCGTTCATTGGGTTATAAAAGTCCCACTGGGTCACATCTATCAATTCATTTTGAACATCAATTGCACCACTCCCGGTTGTTTGCATTGGCCAATATTCCCAGGGTAATGGTCTCTTAGAGACTACCGTCGGCTCTAGAGCGTGTTCCTGGAAAGTAGGCGGCCACTGGATCTCGTCTATCGATGTATTCTGAACCTCATGTGTCCTCGGAAGCAAATAACCGGTGCCCCCCTGCATTGGCCATTCCTCCTGAAGCGGCAGTTCTTCTACGTCTGCCGTCGCATTCGTGTATGCCACCGACTCCTGACTCTGGCAGGTAGGATCGGAGTCAAGCACCGGCCACTGCGGCTCGGGGACCGAGAAATCGAAATCAAAGCCAGAGGGTGTTGATGGAGTCAAGGCATCGTCACTACCAGGGAGATCGGCAAGTAAATTCGGGCAGGACAAACACGGTTCCGGTGTTTCAATCGTCGTCCCAGTAGCAGCCGTTTGGCCGGTGAGCTCAGAATCTTTCGGCTCCGACAACACTTGTAGCCGACTCAGGATCTCGTGGACGGGAGGGCGTTGTTGATCACCGAGATAAGGTGCTAACGGCTCCCCCGGGCATTCTTCGACTGTGTGGTGATAGAGCTTCCGGAGGCCGTCGATCAAGTGCTGGCGGTCTCTCTCGAGCATTTCGACGTACCTATCTCTCTCAGCTAAGATCTTTGTGGGTCTCGGCTGCAGTGCAGCAGGGAGGGTCGGTTCATTGCTCACCCCTGGGGTTTGGGTCTCTCGTTTGCCTTGAAAGTATGGTGAAACGTGCATTTCAGTCCAGAAGCCTTGCAGCGGCAGCAGGGATTCTCGCCATCACACTGCCAGCTTTAGCAAGTCGATGCATCCATCCTGGTCCTTCAGGTTTACCTTTGCTTTCTTCCGTCGACATAGATCACAGGCCTTCAGGACCCTTTTGGCAATCCTGCCCTCTGAATGACGATGCTGTAGGTCTTTCATCTTTTGTGTCTCTAGTGCAACGTGGATCTGGAATTACGAAACATACTATTCAGGGGCCCATCGTTCTTATAACGGGTCTGTCTGCAACGGATTCTGGAAAGTTGCCGAAGCGTTGGTCATTTTGCCGAAGATCAGTCATCCCCGAAAAATCAGAAACTCAGCTGATACGGGTTCTGGTGTTAAAATTCTGCAAAGTATCCTCAGATCGTGAGTCTCGAATCTAGAGAGACTGGTGGGTCTCACGCGGTCCAACATCGGACCGTTTGTCGTTTCCGGTCCCAGGGATTGAGAATGGCGATGTTTCCATTATTAATCGCCGAAGTGTCGAGGTTTTTACTCCTCCGGAGTAGAGGACGGCAGGACCTGACTGCTCCGTGTGGAGACAACCTACGGAATACTTCGTAGATCGTGGGATCTGGGAGCCGGGAATCCGGAGTAGTTTCTGTATAAGCTTAGATCAACCGATGATAAGCGTTTCTGCAGAAGATCCCGAATCTTTTCTGATTAATCATATCATCCCTGTACTGAAAAGGCAGAACGAAATAACGTTTCACTGGCTTCAAAAGGGAATGAAAAAGACTCACTTCCCCGGGCTGGTGCGATCAAAGGCTAGTTTCAACTCCTTCTAATCTCTTTACGTGCATGCATACCCACCTGTGTTTCATGCACGCCAGCCGGCAAAACAGGGCCTTGTCCATATCGAAGTAGACGGCTGGGAATGAGATCATAGTACCTCGACACCCCCGTGCTCAACTCAACGAGTAAGGAGACCTGCAAAATCACGCAGTATTCCTCTGTCTCTTATAGCGGTGGACACACGTGGATGTATATCCACAGGATGAGTTGGCATGTCGTGGGGGGAAAGAGCCGTGCTATTTACCTGTACCACCTTACTCCTGGTACGGAGTGTGTTCCAGAAACAATGGAAGCGGCTGCTGGATGAGATCAAAGGGTACATATTCTCCACTTGGGTTGGAGCTTGGCTTCTTTGTAATGCTTATTGCGATCCAGGGTCTGGTGGTTCTGGACCGTCGCGGTGAGATTGTGTCAGCGTGGCAAGGATGAACCCCTTACACTGCGCTATGGGGCTGAAACTGTAGCAGTGAATAGCCAGGAGGTATTCGAAAGGTATTCGAAAGTGCTAGATATTCTCTCATTATCATTATTAATGGTCAACTGTGTTCAGTTGACATCACATCACGTGACACCGTGCCACACGTCATGGCCACACGCCGCAACAGAACATTCCTCATTCTCGTTTTATTTTCCTCGGCCGCGTGTCTCGACTCGGCGCTTTCTTCTTTCTCTGCCTCCGGGGAGATCCCTGAGATAAAACACCAGGCTCTGTCTTTGAGTCATTGTTTGTCTGGAGTGGAGCAGCTATCGGTCCTTGTTATCTATCGCCAAAACAACGATTACGCCATCCAACCGCACAAAAAAGTCCCTTCATCCATCCCATCCTCCGCCTCCCCACGCTGCGTGAACCATCTTCGGTGGTGTTTTTTCTTCTTTTCCGTAAGGACCTGAATACTGATCGCCTCGGATGAGAGTCGACGCCCAAACCCGCACGCATTCATGAAGTCCGCACTCGTCCAACCCTCTGTCTGGTCTGTTCACCGCCCCACGAGCCATGGCGGAGCACGATGCCCGACAGCTGCAGCGTCGCTCGTCCTCGCGAACCTCCTCGTCCTCGCGACATAGCCAGAAGGCGAAGACCGTCCGCGCCATCTCGCAGAAACGTCTGTCGGCCTCGTCCAACACCACCACCGACCTGACCTCGTTCCCCTCGCTCTCGCCCGACCGCTCGCCCGACGGCTTCCTCGGCCAGCCCGCCTTGAACAGCGCCTTGTCGAACGCGTTGTTGGATAGCGATAACGGTGGCGGTGGTGGAGATGCGGCCAGCGACACGAGTCGAGACCGCAGGGCTACCCTGGCAAAGCTGACCGGTGGGTTCCCGCCGTCCTCGGGTCGGGCTGCTCTGTTTGGGGACTCGGTGCCCATCCGGGACGTCCCCGGCGCGCTGCATTTGGCGGACGACGCGCACATCGAGCGGTTGATTTCTACCACGGGAGCTGTCAAATTGGTCCGACAGTTCGCTCGCGACTTGGCGCAGCGTGATGCCGAGATCTCGGCGCTGCGGCAGCGGGCCGATGCGCGCGAGAGGGAGCTGAAGAGGATGCTTCGGGAGGTCTCGGTCTCGAATCAAGACATCGAGCGCCGGCTGTATGCGCTGGAGAATGCTCCGATCAAATCGGACCAGGATCAGGCAGACGACGGTAATCACATGGAACAGGCGGCCAATTCTTCTTCTGGCGTCCATGGGCTAATGCAGCAAGCCTTGACCGACGGTGTAGGCACGCACACGCACGAGGAAGTCTCGAATCCCGCGCCGCAGGCCCAGGCCACCATCCGTCCGCAGCAACGCCTAGAGAGCGACTCCCGATCGGGTACCTCGAGCGTGGAATCGGGAACCACTCGCAAGAGACAGAGTTCTCTGCGCAGCTGGCAGGATTACATCTTTGGAAGCACGGTTGGCAGCCGCAAGACCAGTCGTGCAAGCAGCATCATGAGTGAGGTTGGGGAGATCGAAGAAGAGAGCCAGCCTCCACGCAATACTAGCAACCCCGCGTTGGCTCGACGCAAGGCTCTCGACGACCAGCTCTTCCAGCCGCCACCCGATGGGCAGGTGGCTTCTGTGGCGGGGGATGGAAAACGGCTGGGCGTGGCTTCGAATGGCGATGATAACAGCGTCCACTCCCGCAAGTCTTCTAAATCCCTGTCGTCTTGGACACTCAAGCTCTTTGCAGGGAACTCCCAACCGGGCAAGGAGGAGAATGATACGGATAGCGCGCGCACCACCGCCTCGTCAAACACCAGGGAGAGAGGTAAGGCTGATTCTTCAGCTGGTTCAGTGAACCCCAAAGGAGCGATGTCGGCGGTGGCGGCCTTGAAACGAATCAATAGTAATACTAGCATACATGGTGCGCCGCCGGGACGATTGGCAAACGGCCCGGGCAGTCTATCCAGGTCGAATCAAGTTGCTCGGAGGAGCGCAGCCACCAGCGCCTCGCATGGATCCGGCTCGGAGAGTGCCGACAAAAACGCAACCAACCTTGGGCCTGTGGAGATGGATGCCATCCTCCCAATGGAGTCGCGGCCTCCAACCCTGTCTCACGTGTACAACTACCAGCCTGGCGAGCTTCTGACCGACAGATTCGGATTCATCTACGACCAGCGTCGAAAGAAGAGGCAGAGAGAAGCCGGTTCCATCAAGAATGCCAGCAACCGGTTAAGCATCGCGGAAACTCTCAGCAGTTTTCGAAGCGAAAGCTCGGACGGTGACGACGAGCGCGACTCCGCGAGTAAACCGCCCTCTACCTCGGGATCTCAACGCTCTCCGGTTTCAGCGTCTCCGGATGACCCAGAGGCCGGCGGAGTTGCGATTCGGAGGTGGCAGGATTACCTGAAGATCGCCACTGGGCCGGCCGAGTTACTGTCTCACACCCCATCCGCTGGCCCTATCGTGTCGTTGACCACCGGTGAACCTTCGCGTAATTCAGCGGTGAGCGTGGACAAGCGTGGCTCCCTTGCGCTCAATCAGAATTTCGAACCGTCGGCATCTACGTCCACGGTCACGGCGGATCGTCCCGAATTCTCCGGCGCGTCGAGTGAGGAGCCTGTCGTGACAGCTTCACCTTCCACGAGGGAGAACGAGCCTGTCAAGCTGCTCCTTGAGCAGCTCACTGATCTCCATGACTCCCTACAGCGGGACAGAACAGTTAGATGGAACGAATTCCTCCGCAAAGTGCGCGCAGAGCGTCGGAAAGAAGGAGAAGCCGCGGCGGCCGCAGCGGCCGCAGCAGACCGACCACTGCAATCGGTCCACATGCCGGAAGCGTCTCTCGCCGATGGCGAAGTTGTGGGCATCTCTGGTCTCGGGAACAAGGGCAAGGTTGGCCGTGCAAAGTGGCGGGAGTTCCGGACTCTTGTCCTCGGTGGAATCCCTGTCGCTCTCCGGGCCAAGATCTGGTCCGAATGTAGCGGCGCGTCGTCCATGCGGATACCTGGCTACTACGATGAGCTTGTGAAGGGGACAGACGGCTGCGATCCTGATGCGTCGGTTATCTCGCAAATCGACATGGATATCAACCGCACTCTGACTGGTAACGTGTTCTTCCGCAAAGGCCCGGGCGTCACGAAACTCAAGGAGGTTCTCCTGGCGTACTCTCGTCGCAACCCGGAAGTCGGATACTGCCAGGGCATGAATCTCATCGCCGCGTCTTTGCTGCTGATTACTCCTACTGCTGAGGATGCGTTTTGGATCCTGGCATCGATGATTGAGGTCATTCTACCGCAGCATTACTACGATCATGGCCTTCTTGCATCTCGAGCTGATCAAGTGGTGCTGCGGCAGTACATCTCCCAGGTTCTTCCCAAACTTGCGGCTCATCTCGAGACACTGGGTGTCGAACTGGAGGCGTTGACATTCCAATGGTTCCTATCCGTCTTCACCGACTGTCTCTCCGCAGAGGCACTCTATCGTGTCTGGGACGTTGTGCTGTGTCTCAACGTCACTAGTGTCGTGAACAGCAGCACCAATCCCTCAACCAATCAATCCATCACCGCTCCTCGAGACGCGAACGAGGCCAACGCATCCGCCGCCAATGACGTCGCGTCCGGCAGTGGCGGCGGCAGTACATTCCTCTTCCAAGTCGCGCTGGCCCTCTTGAAGTTAAACGAACAACAGCTCCTCACGACCTGCTCCACCCCGGCGGAATTATACACCTACATCAACCACCAAATGACCAACCACGCCATCAGCATCGACGGCCTGATCCAAGCCAGCGAGGCACTGCGGAACGTAGTCCGTCGCGAAGACGTGGTGGCACGCAGAACAGACGCGTTACGAGAAATGCGCGAATTCGGCGGTGGTCAGGCCAATGCGGATTCTGACGACTGATGACTGTTACTCCGTATATGTCTTCTTTCCTTTCCATTCCTTTCCTTTTTTGTCCCATTGCCCATTCAAAATTTGACTTAAGCCTGCCTTTCAAAGACATTCGCATTATACACTCTTTTGTTATCCTTCGATGTTCAGCCCACTTTTATTGTCCTTTTTCAACATTGTCCTTCATGTCTATGATACCATCTCTTTGTCTTTCATTATATCTATTCCTTCATGTTGATGTTCATCTTCATTCAGTTTGTTCATCTATAGACTGGGCTTGGCGGGTTTTCTAGGGGTGGAATAAATGGATGGCGTTTTTATGTTTTTAGTTTTTAGAATAGTTTGTTTTTGTTTTTACCTCATATTTTCCCTCTGTCATTCCTTTATGAATTCTGAGGAACACTACCGCTGTCCTATTTCAACTGGCATCCGTCCATCATCCATCCATCTTTAGCCTCTTCCTTCTTAGCATAGCATGCCCTAGTAGCGCTACTAGGGAACTTATCTAGTTTAGGTATACTATATATAAACGAATACCTACGCACTGGAATTCCGAGCACATTTAACCTTCTTGTCTTTTTAATAGCTCTCACAACCGGCAAGGTTCGAGATGTATAAAACATAAGATTGAGGATCCCAGTTTATGCCTGCGTTTCTAGTTAAGTGTTAGGTCTAATATAGATTTAATATTTTAGTTTTTTTATGAAATATTTATAAATATTTTTAATTTATATTAGCCTTCTCCTCTGAAGGTTCTTGTTTAAATCAAATAGCTTTATATTGTAGGTATTATTATTGAATAGATATATCTGGCCCATTTACATTTGACTCAACATTCAAAGGAGCTAACAATGGAAAAAATGTAAAATGAAACAACGGGATGGGGAACAATGGGCAGAGGGAGAAGCACGAAGTAATCAAACCAAACCCATCATCGAGATACATGACCCACGTCCTTCGACGTAAACGTACGACATCTCCGTCCGGTATCAGGACTCACCAGTTCACCCCACATGACCGGTTTTAAAGCGGAATCGCAGTCATCGCGTGGAGGATGACATGCTGCGCTAATCGAAGCACTTCTTCGAACAGCCAGCGGCATCGGGGACTTGAATGAACGGAAACTTAGCACTAACAGCGCTATGGCCCCGAGAACCGAGACCAGGAGAATAACCATCATCGGAAGAGGCGCGAAGCCGCAACCTTTGATGGACTCCCCAGCAACGGGCTTCTCGTGCACGTCGTAGGCGGCCACGTTGACGAAGAAGATACTCTGCGAGAGAAGCCAGTGCAGTGCTGCGGATGTTACCAGCAGCGGGAGACTATAGCGGTAGGGGAGACTGAGGTAGTAGGTTGATCGCTGGTGGCCTTTCGGCCAGGAGACTCGGAGGGGTTTTCGTTGGAGAGCGTAGTTGTTGTATTCTGCGGCGGCTGCCATGGTGGTTAAGAGACTGTTGTATAGGAAGTAAAGGATGGACAGGACGACCTGGGGTGTGTTGGCGAGTAGGAGGAGTGATATAGTGTTCTGGGAGATCCCGGGACTTGCAATGAGATTTCGGCCGTCGAATTTTCCAAAACCTATCTTCCAGGCGGCCGAGAAACTGCCGTCTATACTGCGAAACTTGTATGCTAGACGGACCATCCATATCGAGAATGCTTCGCAGAATATGAAGCTGAGAGTAACACGGGCGGATTAGCGTAGGGGGTTATAATCCAAGAGAGATGGCTCACAAGATAATGATGCCTGTCCATCGTTTACCGCTGACAGCCTGATACCACCGTTTTTTCCTGCCCTGAGACAACTCCACAGCGCTCAATGAATCTTCTTCTGCCGAGGAAAAGCCGTTTATTTCATCGTCTTCCGAAGACCGGTCATTTGTTGGCAAACCAGGGGCATTCTCAGAACCAGACGAGGAGTAGCCATCGTGTTGACCAGGGCTTGAGAGAATAGAAGCTGCTCGCCATTCATCATGTAGATCAGATCGGTGTCTCCCATCCTGAGTTGTCGTGTCCGGATTCGCTAGAAAGGAAGAAATAGCATCGCCGACAGTTAATAGGATGTCTTTCCGTTTGGTGCGAGCAGTTAAAAACATACAGACTACTTTGATCAGAATGGATATAATCACAACAGTAGCAATCAGAGGACTGAATGTCAATTGGCAAAGTGATTCCCTTTTCTTGATCATACACCGCATTACGGGTACATATCCAAACGAGTCATCCATATCGATATTTTGGCTCATTTGAACACCAGATATTGAATCGTTGCCTAGTTGGAGCGTGGTGTTTGTGGCCCACGTATCATTTTTCCAGTTTTCAGGAGTACTCAGATATTCATTGAGTGCCTCTTTGTCCGGATTGTAGGTGATCAAGAAGCCATAGAGCGTGGAGACGTCGGAGATCCAGTCTTGTGAAGCTAATGGGAAGAATATTTTGTCATAATTCCACTCGTGCTCTAACTCAAACGACGTCTCCTGCTCCGGCACTGCAGGATTTGGCACAGTCACCTTCCACGGTTGGTACTCAAAATGTAACCCTTTTATGCTGAACCGGCCTGCGTCGATGTATTCCTGGGGATCGTCTGTATACTGAATTATCCCGTACAACGATGAGGCCACGAACGGCCTTCCCTTCGTCGCGTGTTTGACACGATTATAGATCTTGCCTAAAAGAACTGTTGTATTATGGAAGTTCCGGTGGTCACTGACGGCAAGGAGGGTGCCTAGATTTGTATTGAACTCGATGTTGTATGTTTCCAAGCATTCCTGTCCGCTCACTTCTTTATAAGTGCCGTTGAGGATCTCAGCGTGGATATCAATGGCGCTGGTACCGACAGCATCAAAGAAGCGGGTCGCGAAATTGGGTTTATTCGTCGTTAGAGGTTCATCGGACAAGTTGTCTGGAATTAGGACCGTGGCGTAATCCAACGCCGCGACCGTGGAGAAGACTACCGAGTTATATCTGAGAAGTTAGACCGCAAGCAACCGGTGGTAGAAGTACCTATTCATGTGTGTACTTGGACTCACTCACATCATATGAATTGGCGTCGAGCTGAGCAGTAGCAACCCCCATAGCACCCTTTGCCTTTTGCTCATCACCGACAAGTTTCGTATGTTGAAGACACCAATATCCAACCACCGGCGTCTCTGATGAGCGCTATCGATATCCGCTCGCGAAGGGGCTGCTAGACACTGCATCGTGTAGTTGCTACCAGCGAGTAATAGCGTGCTAAGGATATTGATAAACGCGTGGATTCCCGTAGTCCAATGACTCGATACCGAGCAACTTCCGCGATAGATACTCGTAGCCATAAACCCGCTCTCGGATGGTTCGCCGATGGTGCTCGCGATCACCGTCACGATAATATTGAGAACCAGAATTGCGCCCACGCCATAAGTCCAAAGCAATGTGCCCCTGGTCCACTCTCGACCTGCTTCATAGTTTTCGTGGCGTAGTTTCTTGGGCACCAGGAGCGAAACTCGTGATAAGGCTGATCGACCGACACTCGATCGATTCTCTTCCTTGCTGGTTTCGTTCGATGGGTCTTTGGCCACTTGGAAATACTTCACCTGTGATGGCCATGCAGAAGAGATAAACTTCCAGGGATCTGTCCTTGTATTCTTGCGACCTTTTGCCATGGTCTGAGGTGAAAATCATAAGGATTATCGCATGAAGTTGAATAGTAGCGGACACAGAAACTGGTGAGGCTGAGGCCCAAAGAGAGTTGCTTGTTGTATGAATCTTCTCAGCCTTGTTTGTTCTCAACGTGCATGGCACTATTCTATAAAAGGAGAAGCCAAGTCCAGGGTGGAATAAGGAATGAATGAGGTTGCATCACTAGAATTGTTTGCGTTACACCGGGAATAAATGAACCAATGTGCTACTCCGTAGTTCCCGGAGAGACCAAAGGTTATCATTCTCCTAATATTGGGCGTCAGTAGCATAGTGATATTAAGACTATGTGCCTTTTCGTTTAAGCCCCATACGGTGTCATTTTTGCCCAGAAAGGTGCTTCTATTAGCGCCGGTTGTCCTCTACCGGATGACTGCGGTGTCGCCGGCCATGTGGGGTGAACTTTTGATTCCGAGCACCAGACGGAGGTACCGTACATTTACATCTAAAGGCTTGCTTGCCGTGGCGTACTGGTAGAACGTCACGAAGAAGGTCTCTATTTATGAGAGAGGTTGGGGGTCCTCTTCCGAGCAACCAGAGGCTACGGGTTTGATTCTTATAGCGGGTGTTTATTTTTTTCAGAGGTGCCTACCTGCATAGCTACTGGTTGCGATAAAGTGGCTACATCAGGGATATAAGGATCAATGAATTGAAGGGTATACTAGATCATGTGTCTCGTTGATTCGATTACTTCGTGTTTGATCTATCATTCAATCCATCAAGGTCGTTCTAGATAAACAAGCATTAGCCCTTCGTCGCTATCTTACATGGGCAACGACGGGACCTCTTTGAGTCTACGCAATAATCCTCGTTCAATAAGGTATCTTAGAATAGAAATGAAATGAAATTAAAGAAGAGAAAGAAGAGAGAAAAAAGAAAAAGGAACAAGAGAAAAAAAAAAAAAATGAAAAAGAAAAGAAAAAAAGAAGATAGGAAAAAAGAAAGACAGAAGAAAAAGAAGAGAAAGAAGAAAGCAAAGGAATGAGAAAGAGTGGTAAGGAACGCGAAGAACGGCATATATACTCCGTGCCGATATCATTTTGTACTTAAATTGTCTCTTGGTTGCAGCTTTGCAGTTCACTATCATATCAATATAGTCCGAGGAAGTAGAGAACTACATCGCTAGAATGTTTCAAAGTGTAACGGCCGAGATCGAAAAACTCTACCATCTTCCAGTATCAACTCCCCTCATTATCTCTCAGACCAAAAGACCCACTTTCTGCGTCATTCTCACAATTGCCAGGTTTTCTATTGCTCTGTAAATATGATAGATTCATCGTTTTGAGCCACGACGACCTTCACGTCCTTGGCAAAGCGCCTCGTCTCGTCAACGTCTCGAAAGCAATTCGCGTCCCGTTCTGGATTCGTGTGCAGCTGGCCCATGACTAGAGGCAGGATGGAGCTTTTCCACAGCACAAGATCTTGTTTTCTGCTGGCCAAGGCTGTGATGGCAAGTAACAGGCCTGATCCTGCTGTCGTGATCAAGGGGAGAATCACCCATTGCCATCGCACGTGGATGTAAGTCTCCACATGGTATGTCGTTCCGTTGACATGATCCACCTTCTTATTCGAAAAGCGGATGTTATCTGAGAGGCTGGTTGCTATCGAGGCGAAGGTTTTGTTGATGTTCTCGCGTCCCTCGTTCATGAGGTTGAGTTGAATGCTATTGTTGAGTGGGTTCGGAGGAGCTAGCATAAACGCTAGCATAACTGAAATGTGAAGTATTCTTGGATCGGAAATATAAGTAGGGTCACGAGAAAGAGTATGTTCCCCTTCGACCGAAGTAAAGAGATATCCGGTACTACCATTCCTCCATACCAGCTGTTGATGTTTCGAGACATTGTAAGAGTATTGGTTCCGGGTGACTCTGTTCTGGGTATATTTTTTCTCACAAACATAAAGCACACACAATGTCATTTCAGGGGGGACTTCGGGTAAAGTGTCATTTTCTGATGTGTAAATTGTTGGAAAGGTATAATTTGCGGCAAAAAATTGTAGAAGCGGCGTTTCGATTCCTAATGCGGGCTTAAGTGAAATTCGTCTCTCTAAAGGGTCGACATTCGTCATAGGAATCCAGGTTGGGCGACGATTAAACGCATTAAAACCTCCTAAGGACGAGGTCATCTGTCCAGAATAGAATTTAAAGCCATATGGTGCTTCGTATGAGCACTCACGCCACGTACCTAAACCTAATTCATTCTCGCTCCCCTTGTATGTTGGACATGACTGATTAGCTTGATTCGAAACATCTTCACATTTGCTGCAAAAGCCCATCGTGAAGAAGTTGGGGAATGTGCAGTTTCCAGTAGGGCACGACGGCTGGACACCGCCGCCTTCCTGAAAAGCACCCTTCAGGATAGCCAACTGTGTAGAAAGGGAGAGTGAGAAAGCTATCTTCTGCTTCTTATCTCCCAGATACATCGGCGACGCATGTTCCATCTTGTACTCTTGTGTTCTTGGGATGTAGGAAATGATCGACAGGTCGGGAACTTCCCGCAGTGGAAAGCTCAGAATCTGCTGCGCAAAGGGGTCGATTGCAAGGGCTAGAACCATGAGAATAGACCCTACGGATGCTAAGCTCGGTTTAGTCGTCACGAGCAAGCCCAACGACCCCCAAGGACCTCGACTTGCTTCATCGAGCGTTTGCAGCCGATAAAGCTCCCTTGAAGTGCTGCTGTGAACCCACTTGAGCTGACCAATGCAAGCGGAGACCGGAACGAGTAAAGCGGCCCTGGCGATGGTGGCCATTATGGAGACGATGGAGTTGGGAGATATATGATATTGCCATTTAGTGTATGAAGATCCGTCCACCCACACAAGGAAAACGATCAGAAGCGCAAGGCAAACAATGCTGACTGTTTCGCTTGCAATCTCCCATACCCAAGATCCTCCCGAGTCGAAGGGGTTCTTTCGTTTCACGGACAGTGGCTTGTGGCCATCCTTGAGCCTTGTAGACTCTGCAGTGGAAGTGTTTGAGGCATCTGGATGTTGTGGAATCTCAGCGGGGCCATCACCGTACGCGGGCTGGATCGCTGGAGTAGTGGTCCCGGGGTCTTCTGAATCGTCGACTCCCGAGATTCGAGCTCTCTGCCAAGATTCAATTGCTTGTTCTAGTTCATATTGTTCGTGATGCTCGTCAGATTCCGGCGGATTGTTCACGCTGGAATATTGGCACCCGGATGCCATGACCGTGTCAATTCGGAGAACGGAGTCTCTTCTCGTAAAGGCAATGGATGAAATAAATGAACTGAGATGTCTGAGATCTCTGAGCAACTATCTGCAGCAAAGATGACCTTGGTTATATAGGCAAGGTCACATGACAAGCGTAGCGGAACGAGCCATGAGACATCCGAAATCTACTAGGAATATGGTAGGAGGTTCTAACACGCCTCCTTCAGGGCGAATAAAGCAAGCAGGGATTATTATCTCTCCAAAAAATACCTAAAAAAATCCTTCGAAACCTGCTCATATCACTACTCCTCGAGCAAATTGCCTCTCGCGGCAGGGACAATCATATCACAGCTTCTAAAATAAGTTATAATGATATAGACATCAGCCGAAATAGGTGAAGGTAATAATGTTAATAAGGAAAGAATGCATCGCCTGTTTGAATGAGTAGAGGACTCATTGCCTATTGTGAAAGGCAATGGAAGGAAAGAAAGAATGAATGGTTACATTAATAATCAAAATAAGTAAAATAAACAAATCAAGGTCTCTGAGATCCCTGAGCAGCTATTTACAATGAAGATGTCCTTAAATATATAGGCAAGGTCACATAACATGCGTAACAAAACAAGCTATGAAATAATCGGAATCTACCAGCAACATAGTAGGAGGTTCCAACATTTCTCATCATAAAAGGTATCAGGAAACATTGGCAACGGATGGTGGAAAGCTGGGGTCGTACACTCATCCTTTTGGAAACTTTATACGGGAGGATTCTGGTGGAGAAGAAGGCTGTGCTAACCAGGCGCTAAGACATTACAATTTGAAGGCAGCCAGCTGAAACCTGCAATCCAGAGTCCGTTGACAAATAATCAAGAGCTAGCCATTTTCAGAAGGCGAGAATGGGTTACAGGGATTCATAAAAAGTTCCCTGGAACACGAAACAGCGGCGCATCAAGTATTACTTGTGTCCTACGAAGCCGTAAATTCCGGCAGTCTAATATAAAATGCCCTAGTAATTAGTGTATAAATCATCAAAATTATCAAATCATAATGACACCCACATCCTTCCATAAAGCCACACTAAAAGAGCTATAACCCGTCTCTATTGCCAATCCTTTTGTGGCTATTAACACTACACTATATATTTAGACATTACACTAAGATTGTATTCACTTCAATAGTATGTGCGCGGGGACTATCTCTACCATTAATATAAACATTTCCAACTCCAAGGAAGACATTTTTTAAATACAATTATGCGTATCCTATAGGGCATCCTCGATTTCTAGAATCGAAGTCGGCCTATACAACACCTAGGGTACACTAAGCACGTGCTACAGTTGAGCCCCACTTTAGCCTCTATCAAAGACGCATCTGGTTATCTGGCTGCCTTCCCTCTTCATATTTCTCTTCTCTCTACTAATTGTAATTGGTTTCTTCTTTTTTGCGTCCCCCCTTTCATTTTTTAGATTCTCTTCATCTCAGCACGCCATGTCATCTGGCTCTCCAGTAACAATCCACGCCACGCACAAAGTGCACTGCGCAGACAAAAGCCGCCTTGAACAGGTGCCATGTCCCTTTCTTCTCGGCCCTTTCGACCACCTGCTACCGGCCTTTGCCACAATCGCGGTCGTCTTTGTATGGAGACAGCCTCCTCAGAGCGATATTAGCATCCCTAATAATACCACCCACCCTCTCATTTCATTCGACCTTCTACACACTGCCCTTTCCCGACTCCTCGACTTCTACCCCCACCTGACAGGTCGAGTACACATTAACCCCGAGAATGGGAGTCCTGAAATCCACCGCTTAGGCGAAGGTACCCAGTTAAATAGCGCTACATGCGATGCCTCGTTCCCTCAGCATGTCGCGCAACTCGCCCCAGAACATATGCCCGGACAAGGAAATGCGCTGCTGCCGGAATTCAATAGCACACCGGACGGTTTTCCACACGAGCCTGTCCTGAGTATCCAGCACACTCGATTTGCGTGTGGTTCTGTTGCATTGGGCGTGCGTGTGAATCACACTCTATGTGACGCGCGTGGCTTTCTTCAGCTCGTCGAGGATCTGGCGGATGTTTATCGTGGATTGCGAACTGGAACGGCTACATCTGCGCAGCCGGAGCATCTGCCATGCATCACACCCTACTTGTCAGATCGAGCGTTGAGCCCGCAGGAATCAAAAGAAGCGCTGAGGTTCAACCCGTTGGATTACCATGTTGATCGACAAGAACAAGAACCAACAGCGGACTCGTTCAAATCAGACAAGCCCGTCACCGGCAAACTGCTACATTTCAGCAGCGGCGAGCTCCGAGCCTTGAAGAACGCCGCAACCAACTCCCAAGCCCAGGGGCAGTGGGTTTCCACCTTCTCAGCCCTCTCCGCACACCTCTGGCTGAGTGTCCAGCGCGCACGAGCCTATCTCCGGAATAAAACCACCCCGGCCTCAGACACAACTAACGATGCTTCTACCACCTCGACCTCGACTGAAACCGCCGACCTCCTCACCTCCCTCGACTGGCGATCCTCCACCCGCCTAGCCCTTCCCCACCGATACTTCCCCAACGCCGTGTCAGAGCCCTACATCACCTTACCGCTGAACGATCTCTCCCACTCCGCGCTCCCCCAAGCAGCACAACAAATCCAAACCACCCTTCTCTCACGAACCCCCACCGACCAACAGAACACTCTGAACTGGGTTCTAGCGCAGCCCGACAAGCGCCAAATCCAGCTCCGAGCGCGCATGTTCTCCCCGAACAGCTTCATCGTCAGCCAGTGGAATAAGCTGGATTTCTATGGTGTTTGTTTCGACACGGATACGCAGGGCAAAGGCATTGGGCCGGATAGAGCTTGGCCGCCTTTCACCGGGGATTCGTCGGTTGATGGGCTGGCTTATTTTTTGCCGGCGAAGAGGAAGGAAGGGGCCGATGGGGATGGTGGGATTGAGGTTGTTTTGTCGTTGCATGAGCCTCTTTGGGAGGTTCTTCGGGAGGATAGGCATTTTAGGGAGTTTTCTGGATTATAGGTGCTTGATTCGCTGGCATAGTTGCAAATTCCGACTACAGGTATATTGGTGCTGTTGCAGGTCCAGAATACTTCCCAAACAAGTCGATCTCAATGAATCAGTTCTATATGTGGGATGGCGGTTATATCATAGGTAAAGACATGACGAATTTTATATAGGGAGGTTTTATTTCCTTTGAGAACAGGGATATTTGATAGGAGCTGACATGTCCTGTCTTAACTGGACCGGAAAATCGACCAGTCACCACGTGCCCCTGGCCGCGTCTTTCGGGAAAGGTTTATAAGTTAACCTTATACATGGATGTGTTGTGATAGAACGAGCTATGTTCTTTTGGCTTTCTTGTTTTTCTTTTCTTTTTTGGGCAGCAGATGTGTCGGTCTAAGCCTTCAATTACCATTCGATTATTTACTTGACTTTCTAGACGAGGACGCGGATTAACCAATCGAACCTTTCAAATGCATGTATAAAATAGAAAAAAGTAACTAAGAGCTAACTAGCGTCTTTCTTTTCATATGCAAGACTTCACCCACTCAAGTAGCACATCTCAACAGTAGCATGCGGGTGAATAAGGGTATCATTATAGTGTTAGATAGTTAGTATCAAGATCAAGTCAAGATCAATGAGAGTCGGATATCATGTCATAACATAACATATCAACACTTAAGGCATGTAAATGCAGTAGATAGATCGAAAAGAAAATGAGAAAAGCAATATAAAAAACCGAAATAAAGTGGAATTAGCCCATCCCAGTCCATATGATGAAATGCAATTTTTGAATTTGTTTTTGTTCTTGTTTCTGTCTGTCTGGTGGGTTATTTTCGCTTCTAAGGCATCCAGAATCGACCGTTGTTGTCAAGGACAGTTGTCAGGTCGATCTGGTCGATGGTCGGACGCAATCCGAGATCCATGACGTCGCGAGCCACGGCCTTGATCTGTCGCATGATGGCCTGCGAGATGGCCCAGGTGCGGCCGAGCGTCTTGAAGACGCCGATCGTCAGGGTGAGTCGGTCCCGACTGGGGTCGGGCATCTGTCCGGCCTTGACGGAGCAGGCAGCCAGCTGCACGATGGAGCTCATGACGAGGGCACAGATGAAGAACGGGGTGTGCTTGAGGACGGGCATGCGGATCGACGCCAGCGAAGAGATCTCGCTGGAGGCCTTGACGGCCTTCATGGCGTGGGCGTGGTGCGAGAAGGCCGGGATACTACACGGTCCGGTGTGGCCGCAGATGACCTCGGCGGCGACGGCGGGCGACGAGAGCAGGTCGGAGCGCGGGAAGTGCAGGTAGATGGCGGCGCCATTGACGATCATCGTCGCCTGGAACATCATCTCGTCCACCGTGCCGTCCGGCCGCAGCAGCTCGGCCTTGGTTTCGGGCAGATGGTGGAACCAACTGGTGATGCGCGCGTCGATGGCCTCGACGTGGTCCTGCTGGCCCTCGACCATGTCTTGAATGGCCACCACTCGTCCGAGAATACGGACGGCCTCCAGACGGTATGTGAAGGACGAGAAGTCCCGCTCCTCGTCGGCAAATACCCGATCATCGAACTGCGCGATTGTCGGGGGTGGAGGCGGGACCAAGCCATCTTGGTAGATTCGCTCCTCGCAAGGGAGCGGCACCTCCGGGGGCACTAAGCTCGTGCGGAAAGTCTGCTGCACGCCGAGGGCAGTCAACATGCCCTCGATGATGAACAACTCCCACCAAGTTCGTCTCAAGCTCTCCTCCCGCACGGGATCCCCTTCACCCATTCTAGCCGCATAACTTTCGGTGTGCAGCCCCAGCTCGAAGGCGAGGTCAACCGCCATGGCGAGACATTCTCCGGCCTCACCCCGCTCATTGCGCGAATGAAGCACAATAGCCAGAATCACTAGCGCCTGTAACTTTTCGACGGTGCCGTCTTGTTCCATGACGGTCGTCTTCACGGTAGGTCGATACGGCTCACTAGAGGTGGCCTGGGTGAAATGAGAACCAACGAACTTGATCACATGCTGGAGGAAGGGCGGGATGTAGGATTTCTGGAATAGACGCAGGGGCGGAAGGATCGGGTGCGAAGGATGGAAGAAGGTGTAATATATATCGATGAGGTAGCCATCATTGCCAATGGGAGTTGACGAGTCGGGCGTGAGAGGGTCTAATCGGACCGGCTGCGACGATTCGGAGGAGTTCGTGGTTAAGATGTCGCTTCCCGACGAGGTTGAGGGCAGAGTGGTGGGAGGCGGCGGCGGCAAATACTGTAGACTGGCCTGGAGACTCCAGTCGGTAGGGACATTGATCAAGCCAACGTTTTGGGGATCGAAGGCGAGGTCTGCGGCCAGCTGGTCGGGGGACGAGGGATTGGCCCGGCGTTTCTTCGACGGGCCCTTATAACCACGACGGGAAGGGGTGTATTGGCATTCCGAGCCGGTGGCCAGGCATCGGCCACAGATGGGAGTTTTTCCATCACATTTGAGATGTTTGTGTCGGCAAAGGAGGCAGGCCAAGAGCGAAGGTCCAGCGCCTTTAGGGACGGCGGTTGCGGTTGCGGAAGCGTTCTGAGGGGGGTTAAATGGCTCGTTCATCTTGACGGACTATCAGAGACGGTGAGTTGTTCGGATTCAGACCAGGCCACCCATATATCTCGAGGAATAGACTGAAACTCGGGAAGAGAGCGGAAAACAAGGAGGAGGGGAAGCGATTTTAAAAAAGGACAGTCGGAAACTGTGCAGGGAGTGGGTAGATTGATCAAGATTGGCGTGGGCGAGGCGGGGATACCGGTGGAGCACGACGGGCCAGCAGGGAAAGGGAAAAAAGAAAACGATCGGGGGCACAGACAACGCCCGGTCGAAGGAGAAATGACAGCAGACAGACGAATAGCGAAGGATCCTCAATGACGAGGAAGAAGTCGATGCGCCGCAGAGCAGAGAAAAGAAAGGCAGCGCATGCAAATCAAGCAAAGGGACTCCCGCGGGCTGCCTGGTTTCTGAGGTGTCGGTGGATTAAGGATTAACTAAGCACGTCCCATTGGCCACTTATGCAGCCTTTTGGCTTCATAAAAACATAATTGGATCAATTGGCTGAATTGCCTTCGACCGACCGTTGGGATGAGGATTCGTCCCTCGTCCAGACTCAAGTCCCTCGAGTCATCACCAATCATGGTGCGGATCCACCGGACGGTCCGTTAGCCTGTCAAAGTGGAGCCAAGAAGGGCGATTCATCGCGATTCGTAAAGCTATCGATCTCGAAGCCGTTGTGAGACCAACGCTCTGACAGCGCATTCTGCATGAGCGAACAGAGGTAACCACCAGCTTTCCAGGGTCTGGGGTATAAAGCATCGTACTATAATGAGACTGGAGTGAGACATTTTTCCCTTTTGAACAAGCCTTGATGAATTGTTAATCAATGGTACCTTACAAATTCTCATCGTCCTGTTCCTACACCACAGACAACTTGAAGTCTCTGCAAAATAGCAAGATCTCCCAGTCCATCACTCGTCCAGAAACGGAAGAAACTATCGATCCCATCTACAAGGGTAATCCCTACAATTGATGCCCGATGCATACGGCCTCTGATCCGGTCGGTCCCCCAGACTGCCTGCCCGGATTGGATTCCACCAGCCCAAGAACACCTCCCAATAGGAAAACACAAAGGACCAACGGATATCCCAGCACCCTGAGCATATCCAAAGCACCAAATCAACGCTCCCCCGAATTCCCTCGACGTTACGCGTAGAATTAAAGTTTCGCCCGTTGCGCCGCCCGCGTCGGATTGGGTGCCTTCAGGCTCAGGTGTCGACGCTTTCCGCCTTAGGTGTCTCTTTGGCCGCCGCGGGATCTCCGTCGCCGCGCTGCCTTAACCCCGTTCCTCTTCCTTCTCTGTCTGTCTATCTATCCTGTACTATCCTACCCTCCTGGTCCTGAGGTGCTGGGATTTAATTGTCGAGCGTCAATCCTTTCAGTAATAACAGGTGAGTGAATTCGGGCTTCTTTGGTGGTTCGTTCCAGCTGCCGGCTGTGACGAGCGAGCTAACGTGGCTTCTCAGTTATCATCGTTCTATCTATCCACCTATCTACCTGCGCCCTCTCATCCGGGAAACCTCATCGCAGGAAAGAGTCCGATTTGAATTCACGAATAACACCATTTCCCTCTCTCCCTCCCACATCATCCAAAATGATCTCCGACGACGATCTCCACCGTCTCGCCGTCTTCCTCGGCTCCTGCGCCATGATGATGATCGTCCTGTACCATTTCCTCGAAGTCAACTCCAAAGACGACAGCCTCCCTGCGGGCTCTGGCAAAAGCAAGAAGACTGCGACTGCGACTGCCTCGTCGACAGACGGCGGCGTGTCGAGCGGGAAGGAGAAATAAATCAAAGCACATACATACTTCATACTTGTGATGGGGTTGCGGGCGTGATGAAGAACAAGATACCTGGCATTGATGTGGATGGATACCCCCTGCTTTTATAATTCGGATTGTTGGAGGGGTTGCGAGTGATTACCGACTGGTTGGTTGGTTGGTGTATGTATGATATTGGGATGAGAAATTCCATTATTTTTCATTAACCACGGGCTAGTGAGTGGCCAAGAAAGCTGTGTGTGGCTTGAAAAGTGTAGTAAAGTACATGATGGGAACGAAAATGCAAAGATGGAAAGAAAATGCACAACAAATGTTCGCTTGATGTCGATGCCCGAACGCCAATTCCTTGGAGCACTCCGATCTAATGCGAGAGACGAGGCTGATAGAACGCAATGGCCCACAGCTCACAAATGCAGATGTTCACACACATGCCTCATCCACCAGGTATCACTTCGTAGTATTCTTCTTCCGCGCTCACTCTTTCATTGCGGGCGGGTGTCGCCAGCTGACATCCACCAGGGTCCATGCCAACGCCAATCTGGTCCTTGAGTCTCTGCACGGCCTTCATAATCTCCCGCGCCTTGTCATACTGCGACGTATTTCCATGGACTCGATTGAACGCGCGGATCGAGGGGTAGCTGGCTGGGAATATAAGGGAATCTTCGCCTTGAGGTTGGTTAGGCGCTGGGATGCCAAAAGGACCGGGACTAGCGGTGGGACTAGTATCTCCTGTGTCATAGACAATGCAAAATCAATGATTAACAATTCATCTCATATCAAGGAAAATAAACAAAATCATGCAATCGAACAGCAGATCATCTAGATGATTTCTCACCCGTTCCTGGTACTGACGGTCCATCGCCTAATTCCCAAGCAATGGGGTCAATGTGGCTTTTCTTGATATGCTTGTAGAGTTCTGCAGCCGGCTGGGGCTGCTTCGATGTGCAGCCATCCCACGAGCAAGTGATGCTGTAGGTGACATGACTCTTGTAGACGTGCTTTTTCAGCATGTCCAGGTTGTGCAGCTGAGACTTGCAGTGCTCCCAACCGCACGCATACACCTGGTAATTGACTTTGGGGGGAGGGACGGCCACCTGGAGCTTTTGGACCTTCTGGACCTTGTTGGTGCTGCCAGGGGGTCTTCCCGGGGGCCTCTTGCCTGGCATTTTCACCGACGGTATTTGCACGGTTGGGGTCACTGATTTTGCCGGCGATTGCGACGGAGCCTTTGGTTGCGCCTGAGGCGTGACCTGAGGCGTGGCCTGCGGTTTGGGCGGAGGAGGCTGTGGGGTCTTCTGCGGTGTACGGCGTTGTTGGGGTGGGGGTGGGGGCGGCGAAGGTATAACTTGAATCTGAGCGGAAAGCTGGCGGATTTTTTCCCGTTGCTGGGCGTCGCTTTGGCCGGAAGACGCAGGCACCGCAGCTGGTTTCGGAGGCGGCAGAGGCTGGGCGGTGGGTTTGTTGACAGGCACCACCGGCTGCCGAGCGGCGGGCGGGATCACGCTGGGCTTCGCGGGGGGCGCGCTCGTCTGGACCGGGTCACGTGCACTCGTGGCGCGTTCGGCGGCCTCGTCGACCAGGTCCCAACGGAAGGTCTCCAGATCCGATGAAATGTCCAGCCGAGGGAAAATATCGCGAAGGCGGAGGAGATGATGGTTGAGCGCTTTCTCGGTCGGGTGACGTCCAGCCGCGATCAACACGTCTCTGGCAATGGTAGACGGATCGTACGTCAATTTCTTAGCAGCTTCGGCCGGGTTCAAAGGCTTGACAATGTCCCCGCGATATTTTATTCCCGCCTTATTCCCAGGATCTCGGGGCGTGTAGTTGTACGTCGAAAACTTCTGGTAGCTTGGCATACCACCCGGAGTTGTTGCCTTATAATTAGGCGGTATGTAGAGGCCCGGGGGAACAGAAACGGGTGCTGAGGTGCTTGGTTCGGTTATGCGACGCCGCTTTGCATCGTGGCCATCATGACCCGGGGTCTTGCTCGGAAGTGCAGGTTCTGGGGTGTTGGAATCCAGGAGAATAGGATTCTGGGAATTGCCTGCTGCTGTTTGTGCTGGTCTAGGAGGCATCGCGGAGGAACTTGGCGTTGGATGCGCTGGAGGAGCAGTTGAACTGCTGGAGATTTGGCGCATCATAATGTTGCTCGGTCTGACATAACTCTCAGGTTGAACTGGGGGCGGATCTCGGGGTTGAGAGTAGGGGTGAGAATGAGGAAGAGGAGATTGAAATGGGGTTTGAGCTGAAGGCTGAGAATATGGCTGAGAATGAGGTTGGGGGTAAGATTCAAGTGACGATTGAGCAGGAGGCGCAGGTTGGAATTGAGATTGAGAATATGGAGACTCATATTGCTGAGATGGTACTGGAGCCCGTGGAGGTTGGTATTGGGACGCGGGGTATCCCTGAACGGATGGCATCGCCGAATCTCCATATCTCAAGGCATTCTGGATGGGATCTGATTGCAAGTAGCTTTGAAGCCAGTAATAATCGTCGTTCGACATTTTGCGCGGTGGGGGTGGTCCTCGATTATTATTCCTTCAACATATTTGACATGAGTATGACAAGTAGAGCACTTCACAGACAGATAAGCTCATGTATCCAAGAGTGAGGTCACGTTAATTCACTTGTTCCTGAAAGCACCGCGTGGATGTGGATATGGTGACTCGCGATGCGCCTCGCGATGGGACGATCTTTGATGTACCGAATTCCTACCGCCTTCCTGCTCTCACCAATGAGAGCCCCTGTCAAGAGGCAGAACTCGAGACTTGGCAGCCATTCTGCCAGGCGGTCAGATGCGCCTTTATGGGTCCATGACAAGCTACGTGTTGGCCAATCATCGGGAGATAAGCCCTAGTGAGGTCATGTGACGCACAATGTCTGGTACGCTTCTCTTGTGCCTGTGATCTCTCTTCCGCATTCTCCCCGTGCAGTCGGTCAAAAAGCTGCATTCGAAATGGAAACTTCCATGGGTGAATGTCTGTTCAAGGCTTTGGCTTGCAGCTAATAATGAAGTCTCAACAGGACATCAAGTCTCCTGTTTGCAAAGACTTCAATGGCCAAATCTCATTGGAACTCCACCAAAAGTTTTCACCAAGCTCAAGCTTCACCGACTGGCTTACATCCGAATGAATGTCTCTACTTTGGAGAGCTCATCCTAGCCTTCGCTTCATGTTGCGAACCAGGATTATGGCTTCAGTCCTGAAGGATACCTGATAAAGATGAAATCACCCTGCTAGCAACTCCAGCAACACCACAGCATCTACCCTACCTTACAACTAACAATCCTACCCTACAACCCCTTTCCTCATTTCAATCCCGCCAAATTATCTCCTCGTCAATCTCACTCAGTGGTTGAAGAGGTAAACGACTGGCGCATAAGGAACCCGCAGAGATCTGGTAAAACCAGATCATTCTGCCTCGCTTGCAGACTCGCACTGATGCTAACGCAAGGAAGCTGCGAGTTTGAGAGTGAGATACATTCTGCTTGTTTAGATTTAGGGTCAATTAGTTAGCTTCTTGAATATAATTTATTATCAGGATTTTCTTCTATGTCTTGGGTTTAAGTAAAACTCTCAAGCTGATCTGCGTAGTGGGTCATTGGGGTTTAATGTCGATTATGTACTGCATGTTGGATCCATGTCTGTAATGCCGTCTATGTGCTATCAGTATCAGCATTGAAGCTACAGGTAATATGTAATCGGCCATTATACATTCGTCAACTAACTTGAATTGCGACTTCAAATAAATCGTTTGAGTGATATCATAATAAACGAGTGGTGCTCAACTTCAAAAATACAAACGAAAGCCCACCATTAATCTCAAGGAGAAGATAATAAAGACAGATCAGATCATCAAGCGACCATGCTAATAAAACATCAAATAAGATCGGAAAAGCCAGACCAATGCCTCTGCTCAGCCAGTCAGACACCACGCTCCAAGCCCCCTAGACATAGACACTTGGACAGTAATGGACACGGCAAGGCCGCAGATTTCACTCCATTCACTCGCTCTGACCGACACACTTCCCCCAAGCCGGCAATCCACACCCCATCCCGATAAACAGGTAGAGCAGGAAGATAACCACCACAACCAGGAGGACCATCAACTTGATATTCTTCCACCACATGCGCCGTCGCAGCCCACGGCTCCGCATCCGGAAATCATGCGCATTGCCACCCAACCGGTCCGTCTTATCGACGAGCAGATCGATGCGCTCCCCGCGCTCCAGCACCCGCTCAATATTCTCCGTCATGATGTCGCGCACGCTGTCGATTTCCTTGCGCGCCGACGCCAGCGAGTCCGCCGGCGGGGCGGTATTATAGGTATGGATGAGGGCGCGCAGTTCGGTGTTGAACGCGGCGCAGCCGTAGGCGGGGAGGGAGGCGAAATCGGTATTCGAGGGCGAGTAGGCGGCGAGGAACTTGCGCTTCATTTCGAGGAGGTAGGCGAAGGGGATCCGGCGGCCTTGTTCGGCCGTCGCGACGACGATGTAGCTGAGGGGCGCGTAGGAGGTGGGCTCGGTGCTGGTGGAGGCCGACTCGTCGGGTGAGGAGCCCGTGGGCGAGTCGGCGATGTAGTGCACGAAGAGGCGCTCATGGGTGAAGGTGAGCTTTTGGGGCCGGTCGTGGCTGATCTTGGGGAGGATGATGGAGGCGAGGGACGAGGCGGACGTGCTGGAGGATCCTGGGGCGGAGTGTTCGGCCAGGATGGTGGTGCGGTGGGCTATACATGAGCTGTTGAGAAGGTGTTGGTCTTTTTTCGTGCTGTTGGAAATCTAGGGATTGGAGGAGGTAACTTACTAGAGCAGGAAGCTCGGGGGTTTGGAGGAAGAGGCCATCTTGGTGATGATGGGAGGACTGGTAGTCGGTCCCTGTGGATGAGATTTGTTCGTTGGATCGTAGCGTTGGTCTGGCCGAGGGTTCGGAGGTGATGATCGGATTCCGTGACGTCGACACGCCAAGAAGGTCAGATTGGTGCACGTGACTTGTTGTTGTCGATGGACAGTTACTATGTAGCTAGGCTGAAAGGAATCGTTTCATTCATCGATAGAAGGGAGGGAAGAATTCCGAAATCGATGAAGACTTCTCGAAGAACTACGGAGGAGGGCCACGTAGGCCTGTTCACATGACAAGCAATAAGCTATACAATAATGGGAAATCCCCGACAATTATTGAGACTAATGCTTCATTATGGAAATAAATATGTACTAATTAATTGACCAAGAAATCTAGACTCTGGCGAAAACAACCTGCTTAAACAAACATCAAGGGTATCAATAGCGAACTGTATCGATGAAACAGCCACCCAAATGTTTTATGTGCAAACAACATAGAAAAATCGCCATGAAAACAATTAGAAGACAAAATCAGTATACATAATCAGACAGCTGCACCATACACGCAAAATTAGGGAAATTCGATACCTACTCCTCCAGGCCAAACTGTGTATCACGCTGCTGTGAGTCTCCAGATGGCACCTCTGACTTTTCATCGTTGCTGACATTGCTGCCCCGAGAACCATTGGTCTTCTTCTTTGCGTCCTTCTTATCCCCTCGCCTCTTTTTCTCTCGTTGGTTTACCCGCAGCTCATCAGGACGACTTTGACTTCGGCTGGTCCCTTCACGTCGCATGTCCTTGACTTCCTTGATGACTTCTCGGAATCCCTCTTCGATGTTGTTCATGCGAGCGAGCACGAGCTTGCTGAGCAAGTCCTGACTGCTGTTGGAACTCTCTGCGCGGCGGATGCCACCGGTTGCGTAGACCATCTGGGTCGTCAAGCTGGAAGGCACCCCTCCAACGAAACCATTCGCAATCGCCTTGTTGTCTCCCAAATCCGATCCCAACCCATCCAAGATAGACGGGCGATGACGCTGTCTCCGCTCGGCGTTGGGAACCAAGACACTGCCAAAGTCTGGAACAGACATGGGGTTAGACCGGGCCATGGTGGCGATTCGACTCCGACCAGTGTCCATGCTGTGCCGTCTGGGGGTCCATCGGTCAACGGAATTTGAAACGGCTGCGACTTCGCCCTCCGGGGTCTTAGCCCTGGGTCTGATGGGGATAGACGAGACACTGGCCTCTCCGTCGTTGCTCACGGGGTTGTACAGGATAGTGGCGACCGAGTAATTCCGGGTATGATGTCTGGCGCGTCGATTTGGGCTCGTTTTCCATGACTTCATGCGGGCCGTGGACGGTCGAGAGCTGTAGAACTTCGGCGTTGTTTTTCCGGGGCTTACACCCTCGGTTTGAGAATCATTGTCCTGAGATATTGTACGATCATCATTGGATTGCTGCTCATCAACCCAGCCGTTGTCGTCGCTGGTGAGTTCGTCATCACCTTCCATGCCAGTATGCCGCGAGAGTTGCCTCTTCCTGTTGGGGGTCAAAAATTCCCGAGTATGGCGAGGTGTAGCAGGAGAAGACACCACGCGTCCGGCCTGCTCTTCGGGGTTTGATATAGCCGATCGGTTGGACTCCGTAAAGTTGCGCAAACTCCGGGTGAGTCTCCTCTTGAATGGATGCTGAAATCTCCGAGGCATTCTTTCCAGTCTGCTCACTTCGTCGGAATCTTGCTCGTCGGGCGGATTGACCGGCTCAGAACCCATGTCTTGCATCCAGGTATTGACAAGATTGGTGCTTGTCCTCTGGTTGTATCTCCTGGCAGGGTTTCGAGCTGTCCCCTCGTGCGATACCCGTCGGAAGACCTCGTCCAAAGCACGGTCTTTCTGATAAGTTGCAACGGATGGCTCTCGCACAAGTCGAGCAGCCTGGGAGCTGAAAGCCCTGAAGCGACCTTGACGGGAAGGTCGAGAGCGCTCACGGCCTTCGGAGGCGTGCGGATCAATAAGATCTGTCGAGTCAAAGACTTTGGAGCTAAGAATGACCTTCTCGTAGAAACAGATGGTAAAGAGAATGGGCAGATGGGTGACCTTGATGATGGTGCGGTTTATCCGCACAAACTCCCGGAAAGGCATCAAGTAACGTAGAGGCGCGATCAGCCAGGCGAAAATATTGGCCGGTGCCACGTAGGAGAAAAGAGCATCCGATTTGACCATGGAGATCGTATTGACGGCAAACAAGAACTGGTGTTCCTGGTTGGCATTTTGCACGATCCCCATGAACGAATTGGTAAGAACGGTAATGAGAATGGTGACAACGACAAAATGACAGATGAAAAGGAAGATTGTTAGTATAGTCTTTCCCAAAACGTTGTATTCCTCCCAGAGACTCCAAGCCGTTGGGGTGAAACCCATGAGCATCTGGAACAACGCATATGCGACAGACCCGGGCGAATGGACCTCCCCGCTGCCGAAAGACAAGGTGAAAGCAACGAAAAAGCCACTGCATGCAACGATGACCAGGAAGAATACAGCCACCAAGTCGGAGGCCATTATTCTGAAGGCGATGAGCAGTTGGGAGAAGTAACGGTAGTGATCTAAAATCGAAAAAAGTCGAGGGAATAAAAGCACAGCATTTGCCGCCAGGATGTCGTAGGCCTGGTTTGCGACTGCAGGTGCGCGGGTATATGGGAGGAAAACTCCATAGAGACGTAAGCAGTAGTAGCAAAATAAGAGAAACAGAATCCCCAGATCGAACAGATTCCAAAAGCTCATCAAATACAGGCTGAATCCTTGTTCGTTGAAGCCCACGACTTCATCCAGCAAGAAGCCTGCACTCCAGAACCAGAACAGAACTTCCAGAGCTGTGATGTCCACGCGTCGTTCTTGCAAAACGGCAAGGAACAAAACCAGCAACACGGCGAAGGACAAGGTTGACAGGAACTGTCTGTACCGAGGTACCCGCAATCTGGACAGCTTGAACAAAGAAGCATCCCTTGGGTCATAGAGCGTCACCGAGCGCCGTAACTCCGACCCCTTGGGGCTCGATTGGGTCGCAAAGGTATTGTTATTTACGGTTCCATTAGGGCGAGCTTGAGCCGCGGATCGATGAAGATGGTCGGCTGCAGAGTGGAAGACCACTGTTCCTGCCCATATCGCTTCCAGCTGCTGTACAACAAGCGGGTGGGATAGTAGTCGCTTGGCTTGGGCACGGATGGCTATCTCGAGACAAGAGATTCGGGCAGCTCCAGCGAGCCGCTTACTGGCCTGAGAGGCCTGCCAGCCTTGGGCCCGATGGGAGCTCTCCGTCCCGGTGGAAGAAAGACCCTGGAGCGGGTAGAACTCATACGATAAAGCATCGATCAACTCTCGCGTGTCATACTCCCTGAGAAGCTTGATGGCTAGAAGTTCGCTCACAATAGCTCTGGTCTGGCTGGCGCCACTGTTTCCGGGATTGAGTTGGATTTCTTTGGTGAACTGCAGGCAGTTCGTCATCAGGGCGTACAACGTAGCCCGGGAGAAGTGGTAGGCTTGAATCTTTTGTTGGATCGGCTTGACGAGGAATTGGGAGATCTGAGGCGAGCGCAATTGATCCCAGGACAACGTGGTTTCGCAGCGAGCGATAATCAGCGATCGAATGGCATGTGTGACATCATAAACGGGCAGCGTATCTAGGTATGGGCAATCAGCTTATCTCGTTCCCATCGTCCCGCGTTCAAGAATGTGCAACGATACCTAGGTGCGAGGCCGAAAAGATCGGCAGGAGAGGGGTGGTTTCGATAGGACCATCTTCCTCTTCCTCAGTTTCTTCGTCCTCGTCGCGAGGTCCAGCATCTTCCGATTCGTCATATATCCTTCCGCCATCGCCATTGTATCTTCCTTCGTCGTCAGGATTCCGCTGGAGAAAAGGCCAGGGCGACTCTCGGGGGGTGTACGGGGAGGAGAAGGGCGAGCGTTCGGCGTAGACTCGACGTTTTTTGGGACGAAGCAGAGAGGCCAGCATGATGGGAAATCAACGATATCGACGATCCTTTTGCGATTCCCAATCGAATGGATCTAAAATGTCAAGGCATTATCTCCGGGGAGGCAGCGAAACGCGTCGTGTAACTGGCTAGATAAGGAAGCGATAGAGCTCCATTGAGGGAGGATCAAAGAAAATTCGCGTGACCGAGGGAAAAATCTGACCAAAGGAAGCACAGGAATGAAAGCCCGTAGAAGACGCAGGACTTGCTGGGATAAAACACGCAGCTCACATGCGCCAGTAGTAATGGAGGGGGACGCGACCCGGACGAGATTTGCTGCAGGGCGATCAGTTGAGGGTTATTGGTTTATTGGCCCATTGTTATTCGGTCCAGCTGCTGCGAGCGCCCAGGAGGGGCTCCACTGCGTCCATATACTTGATTTCGATCCAGACGCGGCCCAGAAAGCGCCCCGAATGGCCTGTTCGGTCGCCACTCCAGTCATCGCGGGCCTTTGACTTTACTCCCAATACTAAAATCCCTCGCACTGGGTTCGATTGTATTTCTCGGTCATTATCAAATGGACTCGATCTCTCCCGGAAGTCAACAATGCGAGAAGGAAAAATAATAATGAATGAAAATTTAGTCGTGTTTACTATTAGCCGAAAGGGGTTCCGCCGTTTACTCGAAACTTACTTCAAAGCAGTTGAAACCGCCAGCCCAGGAATCCCTTGACAGACAATAAAAGAAAAGAAAAAATGTGAAAACATCCTGACGCCACCTCGTCTGCGGAGGCACTGTTATCTTACGCACCGACCGGGTGCTTCCCGACTTTAATCAAAGCGGAGGATCGACCTAAAAATACTCCGATATGAGATCCTCATATGATTCCGCAGGGATGCCGTTGCAGTTGCAGCCGGCTATATTAGCGCCGCGTGACAATTCGCTCCTTACTTCCGCCGGCTCTCTGATGATAAGGACAGGAGTGTATGCGCTCATTTACTGACGGCCTTGCATCTTATTGTGTCATCGCTGAGCAGCATTCTCCGTAGGGCAGGTTTTGACCCGTAGCAGAAGCACATCAGGTCTGCCATTGACGTGAGCTTGTTAAAGCACGGACAGTGTTAATTCTGATCAATTTATATCTTAGCGACCATACTACAATAGGGAAAAAATTCCCTATAAAAGCCAAGAATACTAGAGCGCGATGGTGCGATCAAAAATGTTTATTTGTTTCTCTTAATATGACAGGCGGATGTATATATATCCTCGACTCTAGATGATCTACATTTCATTGACACCACAACCAGGTCTTTGAGCTTGCAGGGGATGCTCACGCATTCCCAATTCTCTTTATACTTCCAATATGTGCTTTATTCCGTACGTTGGTTTTCTCGGACGCATAAAATAATGGCTTGGATGACGTACCATAGATGCAGATAGCCGCTGTACACCCAGGACGATCGGAACCGGTAGGAGCTCTACTCAAGGAACACCTCTACTCCGAAAATCTTGTTCTTTCATGCCGGGATCTTTGTTAGCCCCAACCCTTTGCAGATATCCCAACCTGCTGAATTGAGTAAAATCCAGCAAGAATTTGTCAGTCATCTGCCAACTGCCCTGAGAATGAGAGTTGCATAAGGATTAGTCCGGTGCCTCTCAGGTATCCTGACAGGTCTGCTGTTCTCCATTGAGGCAAATCGAAGATATCCACATCTTCACAGGTGCTTTACTACGGAGTGGTATCTGCCGAGGCACGTTTATTGCTGGCTGGGAGATTAGGATAGCATTCCTCTCCGGAAGCGGAACAGGAAATGCAGTACAAGAGGGAGACCCATAGCAGATTTACCAACAGCCCGCACACGTTCATTATCAGATATATATATTTCTACAGATATAGATATAGATAGATACTATACAGTAGAAAATATTAATGTTTATTAAATTAATCAACTGTCATCGAAGGAACCCGACCCAGACCAAGCCCTAAACACCGACCGCCCGCGACGAACCTGCTGCAAGCGGAGTGGATCCGGTGGCAAACCCGAGGAATCAGGCATCGACGGCGGATGTGTTTGGTCGGCAGTTGGTTGGCGAGCCCACTTTGCCCCTCCAGACGAGCGCGGAAGAGAAAAGCCAGCGTCGTCTGCTCCTCCGAACCAGGCGGTATTTGCGCCGGTGATGTCAAGGTTACTAACGACGTCTTCCTCCCGCTCAATTGACGATGCCCACGTAATGGCGGATGGAGTCACTCAATTGAACGTGTTCAGCACTTCAGAGCCCGAGGAGATGGCATTGCTCCGGAGTAGGGGTCCAATTCCCGTAAACTGGATTTTTTCTGGTCATTCTGGCCTCGCCGGGTGATTATTGATCGTAATGCGAATGACCACCGGATATAAAGAAGGCCGCTAAGAAAAGTTAAAAAAAGAAAAAATTTTCCAAACGAGGCGGTCGGTGCAGGCAGAATGACCAACGATCCCCGGATCGGTGAACGCCACGGCCCAATCAGCGAGCTCAACCAGCCCCCGTACACAAAATTTTATTTCTGCCAAATCCGAACGAGATTTCTTTTCTTCCTTTCTTCTATATTCTTCCTCCTGTGCTGCTGCAGCAAAATTCTGATACCCCCCCCTCCCCCCGCTCCTCTCTCCATTCTCCTCTATCCTATACTGAGTCTTGGAGGCGGCTGATGCTACGGTAGAGTGAATACCATACCGAACTGTCCCCGAGAGGACCTTCCCCTCCCCCCACTATTACCGCAATGCCTCAGTCCGTCGGTCACGAGGAGGCCGCGCTTCCTACGAGCCCTTCCACCGGAGGCGCCGTGGCCTATAGCCAGGCCAGCAAGGATTTGCAGCCTCTGCCCTCCATGAATCTGAGCAATGGCGCTGTGATCCCCCCGGCCTCCTCCCGAGTCCGAGGCAGCAGCGACAAGCTGTTTGCCCTCGAACTCGAGGATGGCACCGTCTACCAGGGTTACAGCTTCGGTGCCGAGAAGAGCGTGGCTGGAGAATTGGTCTTCCAGACCGGCATGGTTGGATACCCGGAGTCCATCACCGATCCTTCCTACCGGGGTCAGATTCTGGTCGTCACATTCCCCCTCGTGGGTAACTATGGTGTGCCCTCGCGGGAGACCATGGATGAGCTGTTGAAGACGCTGCCCAAGTACTTCGAGTCGACTCAGATCCACATTGCCGCTCTGGTGGTTTCCACCTACGCGGGTGAGGACTACTCCCACTTCCTTGCCGAGTCGTCTTTGGGCTCGTGGCTGAAGGAGCAGGGTGTCCCTGCCGTGCACGGAGTTGACACTCGTGCCCTCACCAAGCGCATCCGCCAGAAGGGTAGCATGCTGGGTCGCATGCTGCTGCAGAAGACCGGATCTACTGACGGCGCCGTGGACTCGCTTCCCACCGAAAAGGATACCTGGAGGTCATACTTCGAGGAGACCGAATGGGTTGACCCCAACACGACGAACCTCGTGGATGAAGGTTAGTAGGACACAATCTTCCGATTCAAGAGAAAGAGAGTTCCAATTCTGACTGATGTTGCTATAGTCTCCATCCGGGAACCCCGTCTCTTCTCCCCTCCCGAGAACGTTGCCCTGAAACACCCCTCGGGCCGCCCTGTCCGCGTTCTTTGCTTGGATGTCGGCCTGAAGTTCAACCAGCTGCGTTGCCTGCTGGCGCGCGGCGTTGAAGTCCTGGTTGTGCCCTGGAACTACGATTTCCCTACTCTTGCGGGCAAGGACTACGACGGTCTGTTTGTCTCCAACGGTCCCGGTGACCCCGCTACCCTCTCTACCACCGTCCAGAACCTGTCCAAGACCATTGGCGAGGGCCGCACCCCCGTTTTCGGAATTTGCTTGGGTCACCAGCTCATCTCGCGTGCCGTCGGTGCCCAGACCATGAAGATGAAGTTCGGTAACCGTGGGCACAACATTCCCTGCACCAGCATGGTGTCTGGAAAGTGTCACATCACCTCTCAGAACCACGGTTACGCCGTCGATGCTTCGTCCCTGCCCGAGGGCTGGGAGGAGCTGTTCGTCAACGCCAACGACGGCAGTAACGAGGGTATCAGACACACCAGCCGACCCTTCTTCAGTGTTCAGTTCCATCCCGAGAGCACGCCCGGTCCCCGGGATACCGAGTACCTCTTTGATGTCTTCATCAACACCATCCAGGAGACTATTGCCTCTCCTGCGGCCCTTAGCAAGCCCGTGTCTTTCCCCGGCGGCACCAAGGAAGAGAACATCAAGATCTCTCCCCGCGTCTCGGTGAAGAAGGTCCTGATCCTGGGAAGTGGTGGTCTGAGTATCGGTCAGGCCGGAGAGTTCGATTACTCCGGTAGTCAAGCCATCAAGGCGTTGAAGGAAGAAGGAATCTACACGATCCTGATCAACCCCAACATTGCTACCATCCAGACCTCCAAGGGTCTTGCCGACAAGGTGTACTTCCTCCCGGTGAACGCAGACTTCGTGCGCAAGGTCATCAAGCACGAGCGTCCCGACGCCATCTACGTCACCTTCGGTGGTCAGACTGCGCTCCAGGTCGGTATCCAGCTCAAGGATGAGTTCGAGGGTCTCGGAGTCAAGGTTCTCGGTACGCCGATTGACACGATCATCACCACCGAGGACCGTGAGTTCTTCGCGCGCAGCATGGAATCCATCAACGAGAAGTGCGCTCAGTCTGCGTCGGCCTCGAACCTGGAGGAGGCCCTGCAGGTGGTGGAGGCGATCAAATTCCCCGTCATCGTCCGTGCTGCCTACGCCCTGGGTGGTCTTGGCAGTGGTTTCGCCGAGAACATGGACCAGCTGAAGGACCTCTGCATCAAGGCCTTCGCTGCTAGTCCCCAGGTCCTCATTGAAAAGAGTATGAAGGGCTGGAAGGAGATTGAGTACGAAGTCGTCCGTGATGCCCGAGATAACTGTATCACTGTTTGTAACATGGAGAACTTCGATCCTCTCGGTATCCACACCGGTGATTCCATTGTTGTTGCGCCTTCGCAGACCCTCTCGGATGAGGACTACAACATGCTGCGTACCACCGCTGTCAACGTTATTCGCCACCTCGGCGTTGTCGGAGAGTGCAACATCCAGTATGCTCTGAACCCCTTCTCGAAGGAGTACTGCATCATTGAGGTCAACGCTCGTCTGTCGAGATCCTCGGCCCTTGCCTCGAAGGCCACCGGTTACCCTCTTGCCTTCATTGCCGCTAAGCTTGGTCTGGGAATCCCTCTCAACGAAATCAAGAACTCGGTCACCAAGGTCACTTGCGCCTGCTTCGAACCTTCTCTCGACTACTGCGTTGTCAAGATCCCCCGCTGGGATCTCAAGAAGTTCACTCGTGTGTCGACCCAGCTTGGTTCTTCCATGAAGAGTGTTGGTGAGGTCATGAGCATTGGACGAACCTTTGAAGAAGCGATCCAGAAGGCCATCCGCTCCGTTGACTTCAACAACCTTGGTTTCAACGAGACGAACGCGCTCATGTCCATCAAGGGCGAGCTGCAGACACCCTCTGACCAGCGTCTGTTCGCCATCGCCAACGCCATGGCCGCCGGCTACACTGTCGATGACATCTGGCAGCTCACCCAGATCGACAAGTGGTTCCTCAGCCGATTGAAGGGTCTCAGCGACTTCAGCAAGCTCATGACGAACTACAACGCCACCTCGGTGCCTAGGCCTCTGATCCGCCAGGCCAAGCAGCTCGGTTTCTCCGATCGCCAGCTTGCCGCCTTCCTCAGCTCCAACGAGCTCGCGGTTCGACGTCTGCGTGTTGAGTCCGGTATCATCCCCATCGTCAAGCAGATTGATACAGTTGCCGCCGAGTTCCCCTCGGTCACCAACTATCTGTACCTGACCTACAACGCTTCCGAGCACGACGTGAACTTCGATGATAAGGGTATCATGGTCCTGGGATCTGGTGTTTACCGCATTGGTTCCTCCGTCGAGTTCGATTGGTGTTCCGTCCGGACTATCCGTACTCTTCGCGAGCAGGGCCACAAGACCGTCATGGTCAACTACAACCCCGAAACTGTCAGTACGGATTACGACGAGGCCGATCGGTTGTACTTCGAAAACATCAACCTGGAAACCGTGCTGGATATCTACCAGCTGGAGACCTCGAGCGGTGTCATCATTTCCATGGGTGGCCAGACCCCTAACAACATCGCCCTGCCGCTCCACCGCCTCAATGTCAACATCCTGGGTACCTCGCCTGAGATGATCGATGGCGCCGAGAACCGCTACAAGTTCTCTCGCATGCTTGACCGCATTGACGTTGACCAGCCCTCCTGGAAGGAACTCACCAGTATCGAGGAGGCTACCGAGTTCTGCGACAAGGTTGGCTACCCCGTGCTGGTCCGACCTTCCTATGTGCTCTCGGGTGCTGCCATGAACACGGTTTACTCCCAGCACGACCTGGCTTCCTACCTGAACCAGGCCGCCGATGTGTCGCGTGACCACCCCGTTGTGATCACCAAGTACATCGAGAACGCGAAGGAAATTGAGATGGACGCCGTGGCCCGCAACGGTGTTATGGTCGGACATTTCATCTCCGAGCACGTCGAGAATGCTGGTGTCCACTCTGGTGATGCCACCTTGATCCTGCCGCCCCAGGATCTGGACCCCGAGACCGTCCGCCGCATCGTGGAGGCTACCCGCAAGATCGGAAATGCTCTGAACGTCACCGGTCCTTACAACATCCAGTTCATTGCCAAGGACAACGACATCAAGGTCATCGAGTGCAACGTCCGTGCCTCTCGATCCTTCCCCTTCGTGTCCAAGGTCATGGGTGTGGACCTGATCGAGATGGCTACCAAGGCTATGATTGGCGCCCCCTTCGCCGAATATCCTCCTGTCAGCATCCCCAAGGACTACGTCGGTGTGAAGGTGCCCCAGTTCTCCTTCTCTCGTCTTTCCGGAGCCGATCCCGTCCTGGGTGTTGAGATGGCTTCCACCGGAGAAGTCGCTTCGTTCGGTCGTGACAAGTACGAGGCCTACCTCAAGGCGCTCCTGTCCACTGGTTTCCGCCTTCCCAAGCGCAACATCCTGTTCTCCATCGGTTCGTACAAGGAGAAGCTTGAGATGCTGCCCTCGATCGACAAGCTGCACCGGATTGGGTTCAACCTCTTTGCTACCGCCGGTACTGCCGACTTCCTGAAAGAGAACGGCGTCCCGGTCAAGTACCTGGAGGTTCTCCCGGGCCAGGAGGACGACATCAAGTCCGAGTACTCTCTCACTCAGCACTTGGCCAACAACCTCATCGATCTGTACATCAACCTGCCGTCGAACAACCGATTCAGACGTCCTGCCAACTACATGAGTAAGGGTTACCAGACGCGTCGTATGGCCGTTGACTACCAGACCCCCTTGGTTACCAACGTCAAGAACGCGAAGATCCTCATTGAGGCTATTGCTCGCCACTATGACCTGAACATCCGCACCATCGACTACCAGACGAGCCACCGCACCATCATCCTCCCTGGATTGATCAACATTGCCGCGTTCGTGCCCGATCTGATGAAGCCCGGTTCCAAGGACTTCGAGGCCATGACCAAGGCCTCGATCGCTGCCGGTTTCAGCATGGTGCGCGTCATGCCCGCGGGTGTTGATGCCTCCGTGACCGATGCTCGTGCCCTGCGAGTTGTTCAGCAGAATGCCAACAACGCGGCCTGCGACTTCAACTTCTCCGTCGTGGCCACCTCCAACAACTCGGAGCAGATTGGCCAGGTGACGGGCGATGTGGGATCCCTCTTCATCCCCTTCAACCACCTTTCTGGCAACATCAGCAAGGTCGCCGCGGTCACCAGCCACTTCGCCGCCTGGCCCTCCAGCAAGCCCATCATCACTGATGCCAAGTCCACCGATCTGGCCTCGGTTCTGCTGTTGGCCAGCCTCCACAGCCGCAACATCCACGTCATGAGTGTGACCTCCAAGGAGGACATTGGTCTGATTGCGCTCAGCAAGGAGAAGGGTCTCAAGGTCACTTGCGATGTCTCCGTCTTCTGCCTCTTCCTTTCCAATGAGGACTTCCCGGAGTGCAGCTTCCTGCCTTCCGCCGAAGACCAGAAGGCTCTGTGGGAGCATCTGAGCACCATCGACGTCTTCTCCATCGGCAGCATCCCCTTCCAGCTGGCCGGTGACAAGGCTTCTCCCGTCGTTGGTATTGCCGAGACCTTGCCCCTGCTGTTCACCGCCGTGGCTGAGGGTCGCCTGACCGTTGAGGACATCATTGCCCGCCTTTACGAGAACCCCAAGAAGATCTTCGAGCTTCACGACCAAGCCGACAGCTCCGTTGAGATCGAGATCGACCGCCCTTACCTGTACCAGAGCCCCCAGGCCTGGTCTCCTTTCAACGGAAAGCACGTGAGGGGATCTGTCCAGCGCGTGACCTTCCAGGGCAAGACCTCTTGCCTCGATGGCACTGTCACCTCCGATGCCGCCAAGGGTGCCGATATGTCCGGACACCGCATTGTGCCCGCGTCTCCTTCCGTCAAGGCCATGTCGCCTCTGGTGCAGCAGGCTGACCGACGCCCCTCGATCTCCACCCCCAGCCGCCCTGTCCGCAAGGGTCTGGAGCAGATCGGCGCGCCGACCGAGCTTGGCCCTCCTCTGTACCCGACGGTGCCCCAGGCGTCGTCTCCCCTGCTCGAGATGCTCTCGCGGTCCTCGTTCAAGCAGAAGCACGTCCTCTCCGTCAACCAGTTCACTCGCGCTGATCTGCATCTGCTGTTCACCGTGGCCCAGGAGATGCGTCTTGGCGTCCAGCGTCAAGGTGTCCTCGACCTCTTGAAGGGCCGTGTCCTGTGCACCCTCTTCTACGAGCCCTCCACCCGGACTTCCGCTTCCTTCGATGCCGCCATGCAGCGTCTTGGAGGTCGCACTGTGATCATCTCGACCGAGCACTCGTCTACCAAGAAGGGTGAGACCCTGCAGGACACTCTGCGCACCCTGGGCTGCTACGGAGATGCCGTCGTTCTGCGCCACCCCGAGCCGACCAGCACCGAGACTGCCGCCAAGTTCTCCCAGGTCCCCGTCATCAACGGTGGCAACGGCAGCATTGAGCACCCCACCCAGGCCTTCCTTGACCTCTTCACCATCCGTGAGGAGCTTGGAACCGTGACTGGCTTGACCATCACCTTCACTGGTGATCTTCGCTACGGCCGCACTGTCCACTCGCTCATCAAGCTGCTCCAGTTCTACGATGTCCGCATCCAGCTTGTTGCTCCTAAGGACCTCTCCCTGCCTGAGGAGGTCCGCAACCAGATCCGTGCCTCCGGCCAGCTGGTTGTCGAGTCCGAGCAGTTGACTCCCGAGATCGTTGCCCGGTCCGACGTCCTTTACTCGACCCGTGTGCAGAAGGAGCGATTCGCCGATCTTGAGCAGTACGAGCGTCTCAAGAACAGCTTCGTCATTGACAACGCTCTCCTCAAGCACGCCAAGAGCCACATGGTCGTGATGCATCCTCTGCCTAGAAACGCAGAGATTGCCGAGGAGGTTGACTTTGACCAGCGGGCCGCTTACTTCCGCCAGGTTAGTCTTCCCCTTTCCCCATCATTTGCTGGTTTCCCACTAACTGTTTTCTAGATGAGATATGGCCTCTACTGTCGCATGGCTCTGCTTGCATTGATTATGGCGCCTTAGGTCATTTCAGGACCATTGTATATGAAGGAGAACTCCTTTAACAGTCCTTGATATCCGTGTCATGGCAGATGACCCCGTTTTCTGCGTTGTTTGACTTGCGTTGCTGAATTTTCCGGCATGATGTTTTCAAAAGTTATGCAGTGTCTCTACATATACCGCGTAGTCTCGCGAGGGACTTAGAAATGTCCCGCATGATAGATTAGATGAATTTCCTTATATCCTTATGTACTCGACGAACTCGTTATGTGTTATGTATGTGTGCCGTGCGTATTCCACGTTATGTGGTTATGCGTGTGGTGTGTGTTATGTGTGTTGTGTGTGTGATGTTCGTTGCGTTCGTTTGGTTTTTTCGTGTTTTGTTTGTTTTCTGTTTCTGTCTGGCGTTTGTCTTTGGTTTGTTCTTTTTTCTTTCTTTCTTTCTTTTCTTTGGGATTTGGATTTGGATTTGGATATGATTTGGATATGATTTGGGATTGGGATGGGAATATACCACATGGCGTTACAAAGGGGTTTGGGAAGGCGATTGGATACGGATGCCTGGAAGGCCTTCACTTGATACCCCCACATTATGGTGAACAATGACACTGCTTTACATATTATTTTGATTCCATTCTTGATGCTTTCGAGTTCTGCCTAAGTACTTAAGTACATTGTCTTTAGTATGGGCTCGGAGTGTGTTCCCTTGATTTGGCCACCTTATTGACCATGCTCCCATCTGACATCAACGCTAATGGAATAAAATTTGTCTGTTATTTACGTCTTCATTTTTTTATGCTTTAAATCTAATTAGCTATTGCTATTCAGACTTATTGAATAGATTGCAGAGAGAAGGACCTCCAGTCTTACCGATCCATTGGCTAGGGCATGGCCGGGCACGTGCCTTGCAGTCCTCCAGTCGAGATGATCTCAGGAGCAACCACCATCTCCAACAGGAATCTCCGCGGACCACCAGGTCAATGATTCCTCAGCGTCATAATCCACCCTACACTGGACCCCGACCCTAAGGTACCAGCAGAACAAGTGAAGAAGCGAAGAATGGCGATCACTGCATGCACGTGCCGATGGCGTGATCTCTGCTTCACGAACAGCATCATTGGATTATCTGCAGCTGCAGCACAAGTCTGGCAACCATTCGAATACAATGCGCTTGTATATTTAAATCTATACTCTCATTCAGCTCTGAATAAACCCCACCATCTCCGTCGCGACTACTTTCCTACAATATTAGCCGCCTTTCCAACTCCGACATGATTCATGATCTTCACTTGCCCGCTCCACTCCTCGAATTCGTCATCGCGGCACCCCGATTGCTCATCAGCAGCCTATCTGGATCTCATCTTACCTCCGGCATCTAGCCATGCCGTTTATTTCATTGCTTGGCCCGCTGATTAACGCCGCGGTGGCTTCAGTGCCATGCATGATCAACACCAGTCGGAGCACTGTCATTTGCAGGTTCCATCGCGCGAGGGGTGGGAAAGATGAGGTGCTGCTGCGACCTGCCATGTGTGAAAGTTAAATAATTAGGGTTCCCCTGAGCGGTTGACATCGACCCTTCAGACACGCCTTACCACCTATCTATACCCGACAAATTGGGAGACACCATGGCGGAGTTGGCTGAGAAGAAGGAACTGGACGTTCCCGCGCAGGGGGATTTGAAGTCTGCGTCTCGGACGGCCAGTGCTGAGGCGAATGAGCACCAGGGCATTAATGAGAAGGCGTTGCTAAGAAAGCTGGATCTGAGGTTATTGCCGCCGTTGACGATATTGTATCTTTTGTCGTTCTTGGATCGTAGTAATGGTATGTTTTTGTGCGATGCATTGTATACTATGTACTAATTCGTGTCTAGTTGGAAATGCCCGTCTGGAGGGTCTAACGACTGATATCAATATGAGTACGTTATGCTTCTGTCTGAACGGCAACCGTCGCTGACCGACCGCATAGCTGGAAATCAGTACCTGACAGGCCTGACGCTGTATTTCGTTGGCTACGTTCTGTTTGAGATACCCTGCAACATCGTGCTCAAAAAGACCACGCCCCGCATCTGGCTACCAACTCTTACTTTGGTCTGGGGTATTGTGGCGACGCTCCTCGGAGTCGTGCAGAACCTGGCCGGGTATCTCACCTCGCGAACAGGTACGTTAGCCCCAGTCATTCATTAAGGGGTATTTGCTTATCGCGACGGGTCTTCTCGGCTCATGGACCTGGCGATCCATGACCGAAGACTTGGTACTTTAGCTCTTGGAATTGCGGAAAGTGGTCTTTTTCCTGGTGTGGTCTTCTACCTGTCCATGTGGTACAAACGCAATGAGCAACACTACCGAGTGGCTCTTTTCTTCAGCGCTGCGTCGCTGGCGGGTGCTTTTGGCGGGATTCTTGCCTGGGTATGACCTCGATTGCATGGTGGATTTGCATACTGAGACTGTACAGGGCATTGCTCATATGAGAGGCGTCGGCGGATACAATGGATGGCGATGGATCTTTATCCTGGTAGGTCCAGTCAATCCCCATGCAGACTCAGCTGACAAGGCCACAGGAAGGACTACTTACCGTGGTGATGTCTATCATCGCCTATTTCTGGGTCTACAACTACCCTGCCACCGCCGAATTCCTCAGCGACAAAGAGCGCGCCTTTATCCAGTTCCGCCTGAAAAACGACAACGACTCCACCCGCGATGAGAAGTTCAGCTGGTCGGCCGTGGGAGACGCATTCAAAGACCCTAAGGTGTGGTTATATGGTCTCGGATTCCACACCATGTCTCTGCCTTTATACACGCTGTCTCTCTTCCTGGTACCTCCCCTCCCCCCGATCCAAGGAACCATATCTAACGAACCCAGCCAACCATCATCAAAGAACTCGGCTACACCGCAGCCGAAGCCCAGCTACTCTCCGTACCCCCCTACGCCGTAGCATTCGTGCTCACCGTCGCCGTGGCCATCTTCTCCGAACGCACCCGCATCCGAGCCCCCTTCATCATGGGCTCCTCGGCACTCGCCTGCATCGGCTACATCCTGCTACTGACCGACCACCGCCCGGGGGTCTCCTACCTGGGCACGATCTTTGCGGCAGCAGGCATTTACCCCGCCGTGGCGATCGTGTTGTCCTGGCCGGCCAACAACGTCTCAGGCCAGACGAAGCGCGCGATCGCCAACGCCATGCAGATCTCGATCGGCAACCTGGGCGCCGTGCTGGGAACGCAGCTCTACCGCACCGAGACCAGCCCGCGGTATTATCTCGGCCACGGGTTCGCGTTGGGATACCTGGTCGCGAACATCGCGGTGGTGGGGATCCTGTGGGAGGTGTTGAAGCGGGAGAACGTGCGCAAGGCGGAGGTGCGTGAACGAGAGGGCCTGCAGGCGCTGATGGGCGATATCGGGGACGCAGAGGGCGATTTCCAGGGCGATAAGGACTCGCGGTGGATATTCCAGGTTTGAGAAGGGGAGTAGTTAGTTCGATTAGCATGCGTACTCCGGAGTATACTACAGCGAGCGAGGGAGGATACCTCGGTTGCGTGATCTCGCCTATGCTAGTCTTCAGCATTAATATCTAAATCTAACTCAACTCGTCCATTTTGACGGTAACAACCAGTCCAGACTGCTCTCATCTCTCCGATAAATTGGCCCAATCAACGCCGCCCAGCACGTGGTCGATCTCTTGCATGTCATTTCCTCCGCGAAATCCGCCGCCGTCGAGCTAACGATTTAGTTCCCAAACCCCGCCGAACCGAAGTAGGCCATTCGTGGCACCATGTCGTTTAATTTCCCGGGCTATATAAACAGGCTACGACCGGGATTGAGCTGGAATAATTGCCATAATTGATTCCATAGTCTGCGAAAGCACGAAGCACGAAGAAATGGCCATCACAGCGCTCAACGCCTTCCTGCTCAGTGTGACTCTGGGCGCATCGGCCGTGCAGGCCTCGCACTTCGAGACTCTGCACCATCTAGGCGCCAATTCACCTTGGTTTGCTGGTATTTCTCCCTGGTTTATTGGGTGTGTTCGGATGAGGCTAATTGATGCCAGGTCCGAATGTCAATTCTATCTCGAACGCCGTCCCGGACGAATGCTCCGTCGACCAGGCCGTCTACGTCGTTCGTCATGGAAGCAGGTATCCTGACCCGGGGGCGTATGCCGAATGGCAGGCTCTTCATGACGCAGTAAGTCTATTTGTACCTATGTGAATACCAAGGGAGATAGCTAATAAACTGGACAGTTCCAATCCGCCGACTTCACTGCCTCTGGCGCACTGAGCTTCATCTCCAAATGGAGTCCGGTCTTGAAGCATCCCGACCAACAGATCGCTCAGCTGTCTGTGACGGGGTATAAGGAACTGTAGGATTCATCCTTCTTCCCGGCCCGGTATAATAATGGCGAGATTAACATCTGTAGGTATAATCTCGGCGCCGACCTGCGCTTCCGATACCCTGATTTCTACACCGACAACACCCCCTTCATGCTCTGGGCGAACGAGTATCAGCGAACGATCGATTCCGCCAGGTAACACTCCCTCTCCCCCATCTCCATCCTCTCCCCGCCAACTAAAAGAAACAGACTCTTCGCCCGCGGCTACCTCGGCCCCAACGCCTCCTACGGCAACGTCCTCGCCATCAACGCCTCTGCGCCCCTAGCCGTCGGAAACTCCCTCGCGCCGTCCGGCCAATGCCCGACCTTCAAGGACGCCAGTGGCGGCGAGCAGGCCTCCACCTGGGATAGTATCTACCTGCCGCCGATCACGGAGCGTCTGAACAAGCTAATCGCAGGGAATCTGACGCTCACGGACAGCCAGGTGTCGACCTTTCCGTACCTGTGTGGCTTCGAGACGCAGATTACGGGACGCAGAAGTCCCTGGTGTGAGGTGTTCACGAGGCATGAGATTCTGCAGTATGAGTATCGGCAGGATTTGAGGTATTATTATGGGACTGGTTAGTTTTCTTGTCCTTTTACTTTGGGTAGGGGATGATGGGGCTGGATTTGGTGTGCTAATGATTAATGACACAGGTCCCGGCGTAAACGCCAACATGACCGTCATGCTTCCCGTGCTGCAAGGAATCGTCGATCTGCTTAAATCAGGACCCAATGTCACCGCGAAGACAGGCAGCGACAACGGAACCGTGCCGCTCCCTCCGCTGGTCGTGGCGTTTACGCACGACAACGAGATCAACGAGCTGACGTCTCTGCTGGGCGTGTTTGAGGACCAGAAGCCGCTTTCTGCGAGCAGGATGGATCCGCATAGGGTATGTCCCCTTCCCTTTCTTCCTTTCCTTTTGTTGTTGAATCCCGTCTGATTGATGTTGGTTAGATCTACACCAGCAGCAGAGTCAACCCCATGCGCGGAACCATCGCATTCGAGCGTCTGAACTGCGGCGGCGAAGTCAACGTGCGCATCTTGTTGAATGATGCGGTTTATCGTGAGTCCTCCCCCCTTCCACTCCCTCCATCTTTCATTGTATACCTGCGTGCTGGTGATAGATGCTAATAGGATGAAAGCTCTCCCCTCGTGCCACTCCGGCCGCGGAAAAAGCTGCCCCGTAGACCAGTACGCCTCGTACGTGTCTTCTCAGAGAGAGAAGTTCGGGTCCTTCGCTGAGATCTGCGGCCTGAAGGACGAGGACGTCTCGACGGGAAGAGACGGCGCAGTGACTTTCTTTCGGGATCTGGGGGTGGGTTATTTGAGGGTTGTGAAGCCGTAGATTTGCTTTCTTGTATGTACAATATGTGCAGTACTATGTATATCAATAAATATCAAGCGCATTATCAATCCCACCTCCTCCCCTTTAGAAAGGAACAAAAAGAGTATAAAATCAATCCATCAACATACAAATCCCCCATCTCCCCACCCCTTCTGCATCCTCCCGTCCGTACCTCTTCATATCCAAGACGATATCGTCCTGAACGTCGCGGAACCCGCACTTCGTGTACACGCCGTATCCCTCCTCCGAGGCTTCCAGCCAGGCGGGGATCTTTAGGGCTTTTGCTTCCTGCAGCCCATGGCGGAGGAGCTGCGTGCCGATGCCCCGGTTTTGGTAGCTTGGTGCTACGACGAGGACTTGGAGGACTTTTAGGTAGATGTGTTAGTATGTGTGGATGTGTGGATGTATGGATGTGTGGTGGGAGATGGGTATACTCTGTCTTCTTCATCCTTTCCCGACGTGAAGACAGAAAAGAACAGATGCCAAAAGAAGATGAGAAAGGAAAAGAAAGAAGGAATCATACTCGCTACACCCCCCTCCCCCTCCCCATGTCTTTCAATCCACCTCTCCCTCCTCCTCCCAACCTCCACCTTCCAGTCGACATACGCAGCCGGACAAAGCGCCGTCTTGGGCGGCTGCCTCGCCCTCTCCTCGTCCTTCGCTTTCGCAGCCAGATAGGACGTTCGGTCGGGGTAGACGTTCCACCAGGACCAGCCGACTACTGTCTCTTTCTCTGACCCAGCGGCGACGACGGCCTGCGTGAACCGCGCCGTCGGATCGTCGCGCATGATCGCTTGGATGTCGGCCGCGAAGGAATCAACCTCCTCGGAGAGCGGGCCGTACATGAGTTCGAGGAAGGGGTCGTGAGCGAAGGCTTCGTTGTGGAGGGTGACGAGGGTGAGGGCGGCGGTGGGGGTTGGGGGGACGGGGTGGAGGGAGATGGAGAGTTTGTTATTGGGATTTGTGGAGGACATGGTGAGTATAGAGAATTGAAGATATAGAATAGTGGGGGGATGGCTATGGTGGAAAGAGAGAAAGTAAGGAGAATAATATTGATAGATTATATACAGTGGAGCTTACCAGATCGGGACGCCGATGAGGTTATTCTATACCGGATTGGGATCCCGACGATACCCTCCGAGATCTACTCCGTGGGACATGGTCTAGCTTGAAATCCAACAGATCGTACATAATATACACCTCTATATCGACCACCATTCATATACCTGATCATCCTCAAGTTCGTCGTCCTCGTTTTTAGACCGGCGGCGCCACGTGCGTCGAGCTTTCTCTGTGAACTCGGACGGCGGCAACCACGCGACGTCCCAGACTTCCCGATCCCGCATGTTGCCTTCCTGGTAGAGCATTCCGAAGCGGAAATCCAGCGGTTCCTCGCCGCCGTCGGACTCGGACGGCAGACGCATGAAGTGGCGCACGCTGTCGGGGACGTCGTCGCGCGTGTGGCTGATCATGACGAGCGCCTGCTCGTGGGTGATCCCCTTGTAGCGAATCGACCGGTCGGCGGCCTTGTACCCTTGCAGCCAGGTGTCCGTGATGTGGGTACGGCGTGTCATGGTCGAGCTGCGACCGCGGCCGCTCTCGCCGACCTCGAGGAAGTGGGTGCATTTGTCGCGCAGCGAGGCCGGCATGCCGGAGAAGGCCTCGTCGAGGATGATGATGTCCGGTCGGTGCACGATGGCGCGCAGGAAGAGGACCAGTCGCTGCTGGGCCGTGTTCAGCTGCCCGAACGTCAACGAGTCGGCGTAGTCGACCTCGTAGTCGTCCGGGGTCCATGAAGACCCGTAGCGCTTCTTGTAGTCCAGCTTGGGGAACTGGTCCCGTATGTCGGGCGATACCGTCGGCGGTTCCTGGGCGGTCGCCGTGGCGGAGGAGTTGGGGTCCAGCTCGGCTTTGAAGTAGCGCAGCACGGCGCTGACGTCGAGGTCCCGTTCATGGCTCAGCTTGGGTTTGCCGAGGAAGGTCTCGGCGAAGGCGGACTCGATGGACTGGCGCACCGTCAGCTGGCGCGGGAAGAAGGCGTGGATCTCCGGCGACGAATGCCCGAGTCGCGACTGCAGCTCGAAGAGGGAGATGGCCGGCTTGCCCGGCTCGGGCAGACGCGAGCGTCCGAAGAGCTTGACGGGCTGCGCGTACGCCTGAGGATGGTCCGAGGTGATGAGCGACAGCAGGGTGGTCTTGCCGGACCCGTTGGCGCCCAGCACGACCCAGCGCTGACCGCGACGAACGGTCCAGTGCAGGCCGTCTTTTTCTGCGCCATGGACCTGTTGCTTCCAATCGCCGAGGACCACCTTATCGCCGTACTGCACGCGAACCCCATCCATCTCGATGAGCGCCTCCCCGAACCGCCTCTCATCCTTCCACAGGGCGGTCGATCTCCCCAGGACCGGGGGCTGCATGTCCCACAGAAGGGATTTATCGAGATAGCCCGCCGCGATGTCTCGCTTGGCCTTCTCGTAGATCGCTTTTGTGCCCGATGCCGTCTTGATGGGCTTGGCCGGGTTGCCGGCGTTTTGCCAGATGCCGAAGACCTTCTGTGCTTCCGATCGGGAGCCTTGGAAGAGGACTTGATTCTTGTGTCCGACAAACACCAAGTGCGTGATCCACTCCGGCATAGGGTCTTGCAGTCGCAGGGCGAGGACCAGTCGGGGGTTGGACTTGGCAGCGAGGCGTTGCAGCAAGCCGGAGATGCTTCGGACGGTGGCGGGGTCGAGGCCCACTGAAGAGGTTATCACCAGTTTCTAAAAGAAAAAGCCAGGTTAAGAGGATCAATGACTTACTGAACGGGTCATCTAGCAACAGGAGTTCTGGCTTGCCGAGAAGAGCCTTTGCAATGCGGGCACGCCTCGTTTGGCCGTTGCTCAAATTTGACACGGGCATATCCAGCAGGGGGTTCAGGCGCAGATCCGCCACGACCTGGTCAAATAGACCTGGATCCCGCCGCGTGCCATCCTCCTCGCCTTCCATCGGGTTCAGCGACGTCTGTCCCTTGAGGTACTGGCGAACCGTCCAGTCGGTCTCTTCCCGATGACTCTCGTAGCGCGCACTCAGATATGCGCCGCGGGTGCCCCCGATGGCGCCGGACCCCTCCCCGCTGAAGCCAACGTACTGGATGGCATTGCCGACAAAGCGCAGTCGCGGGTCCTTCTGGGCAATCTTGTCCGTGAGGAGGTAAGGGTAGGATCGGGCGGCAGGTGGCAGGCAGACGTGCTGGCCGCGGAAAATGTCGAGGAGGTTGGTTCGGCCGGACGCGCCAATGATGGCCCATTGCTGCGGGGCCTCGTTGCCATTGACATCTAGGGAGGTGACCGGTTGAGAAGGGAGCTCGAAACTGAAGTCGGGGAACAGTGGGGGATTCTGGTCTGTGGCGGCGTCCTCGGGGGTGGGATAGCTTTGATAGAAGGTGCCGTTTTGAATGCGAATCAACGGGGGAGCGGGAGAAGCGGAGGAAAGGGGGCGAGAACGCAGGAGACCGGCGGGTCTGACGAAGCGAGAGCGTAATAGCGACGGGCGCAACATGATGGACTGGATGGGCATGACGCCTTGACTGCCCGACCGGCGGGAGAGTTGAAGATGAAAGATCGAGGGCCTTCGGAGTCTCGCCGCGGGGAGAGCAGGACCAACTCCGGGTCACGTGTATTAGTCATCCTGGCCTTTTTTTTCTTTTCCCATTCTGTTTCTTTTATTTATTTTTATTTTTATTTTTATTTTCATTTAGTATCTCTATAGATTTAGTGTGGCAATTGCATCTTCCCTGCATTTGAGACTGTTGAAGCCGCGTCTTGGCAGCGTCATTCCCTGCCTTACGGCCTGAATTGTATAGATCTAGCGATAAATGATTCAATTAATAGTTACTGTCTTAATATCAATTCAAAACAATTGATCCATATAACTCCATAGTATCTCCTGGAATTCCTCCCCCAGACTCAGCCCGGTGGGTTCTCGGAATTAGTCGCTGAATCCACCCGAACCCTTTTCTCCTTATCGATCGCCGATCTGACATCGTCTCTCTTCATCCCTCTTCATCCCCCTTTTACTTCCTCCCATTCCACCATCATGGCTGTGGTATCCCCGTCCAATCGCCAGTATGTCACCTGGATGTCCGCTCTGAGTCTCGCCGCTCTCGTCACCGTCCCGCTAATCACCTCCAACCTGCGCAATCGCAAATCCAGATCTGACGAGTCCTCCCTGCCGCTGACCGCGATTCCCTCCTCCCTGCCCTTGTTCGCGGAGGCCCGCCGCATCGCCCAGAATGACCCCGAGAAAGTCGCCATCGTCGATGCCACCAAGGGCCAGAGCTTCACCTTCGGCCAGCTGCTGGCCGACGCCTCCGCCCTGAAGAAGCACATCCTCGAGGAATTGAAGCTGACCGAGACCGGCGACCTGGAGGAGCGCCGCATCGCCTTCCTGGCGCCCAACGGCTACGACTACGTGGTGACGCAGTGGGCCGTCTGGGCCGCCGGTGGCGTGTGTGTGCCGCTCTGTATGACCTCCCGCGCATTCGAGATGACGATGACCGCAAGCTGACGCGACACCGCGAATGAAGGCACCTCCCACCCCGTTCCGGAACTGCTGTACACGATCGGCGACTCCGACCCCTCGCTCATCATCCTGCACCCGTCGTTCGAACACTTCGCCCAGCCGCTGCGCGATGGAATCACCAAGGCCATCCCCTTCATGGCCCTGACACCCTTCACGCAGGCCGAGTCGCCCAAGACCATCGTCCTGCCCGCCTTCAGCCCCGTCTGCTTCCTGGACCGCCGCGCCCTGATGATCTACACCTCCGGCACCACCTCCAATCCCAAGGGCTGCGTCACCACCCACAAGAACATCACCTTCCAGGCCAAATGCCTCGTCAAGGCCTGGCAGTATAGCCCCTCGGACCGCCTCATTCACGTGCTGCCGCTGCACCACGTGCACGGCATCATCAACGGCCTGGCCGCCAGCCTGATCAGCGGCGTCACCGTCGAAATGCACCCCAAGTTCGACCCCAAGACCATCTGGGCGCGCTGGCAGGACCGCGGCTCGTCGACCATGTTCATGGCCGTGCCGACCATCTACGCGCGCCTGGTCGACTACTTCGACACGCACATCCGCGGCACCGAGAACGAGGAGGCCGCGCGCAGCGGTGCCAACGCCCTGCGTCTCGTGGTCAGCGGCTCCGCGGCCCTGCCGACGCCCATCAAGGCCAAGTTCGCCGACATCACGGGCCAGACGCTGCTGGAGCGCTACGGCATGACCGAGATCGGCATGGGGATCAGCTGCGGGCTGGAGGTCGAGAAGCGCGTCGACGGCAGCGTGGGCTGGCCGCTGCCGGGCGTGCAGGTGCGGTTGACGGAGAAGGAGACGGGTCGTGTGATTGAGGGCACGGACGAGGACGGCATGATCGAGGTCAAGGGCGACAATGTCTTCCGCGAGTACTGGCGCCGCCCCGAGGCGACGGCCAAGGAGTTCACGTCCGATGGCTGGTTCCAGACGGGCGACGTGGCGCGGCGCGACGAGTCCGGCGCCTACTTCATCCAGGGCCGGGCGTCCGTGGACCTGATCAAGTCGGGCGGGTATAAGATCTCGGCGCTGGAGGTGGAGCGCAAGATGCTGGGGCTGGATGCCATCCAGGAGGTGGCGGTGGTGGGCCTGGCGGACGAGGAATGGGGACAGCGCGTGGCTGCGGTGGTGAAGCAGCGTGAGGGCGTAAGTCGATTCCCCTGATCCAATGAGAGACTGGATGATACTAACAATCCAGACCGACCCTCTTGACCTGCAGACTCTGCGCGCGCAGCTGAAGCAGGAGATGGCGCCGTACAAGATCCCCACGGTGCTGAAGCTGGTGGACGGCATCGAGCGGAATGCCATGGGCAAGGTGAACAAGAAGACGATCATCCAGAAGTACTGGCCTGAGAATTAGGATAGAGTTGGATCATAGACTGTACAGTTAGGGTTAGGTATAGGTATAGGTATAGGTATACAGAGGCGCTGCTAATGAATGCTATGAAAGTGTCACCAGAATTGGACTCTAAAGGAGAAACAGAAGAACCCAAAAGATTAAGTCAACATCTCCACCGCCATCGCATACGCCCTCTCCTTCATCTCCCACTGCACCGTCCCGTCTTTGGCAAACTTATCCCACGCATGTCCACAGCCCTGCATTCTCTGCACCACCACTCTGCTCTCTCCCTCTCCCTCCTTCCACGCCTTCACCCTCTCTCCCAACCCCTCCGCCTCCCCCGCCAAACTACACTGCCCCGCCGTCACAAACAGACACCGGTTGGGAAACCGACTCAAATCCCTCATCAGCGCCGGCGACACCCTCGTATCATGCACCACCCCATCCTCACCCTCCCCCTCCCCTACACCCTCAACTTTATCCTTCCCTGCAAACCCCGATAAATAACACCCCTGAAACACCCACAACAACCACCCCGGCAGAGGCCTGCCCTCTTCCTCCGGCGCTTTCTTCCTAAACGGGGACACACTCGCATCACACGCCGGATAGAATGCCACCAGCGCAGAAAACGTATCTTTGGGCATATGCCCCGCCAAGGAGACAGCCAGCGCCCCGCCGGCACTGAACCCGCCGATGCTGATGCGTGCGGCGTCATAAGTCTCAGGCTGGGACTGGACCCAGCGGAGGACGTCTTCTGCGTCGTGCAGAGCAGCGGGGAAGGGGTTTTCGGGTGAGAGGCGGTACTCGATGTCGATTATGGTCAACCCCGAGGGAACGGAGGTGGTGAGGCGCCGGCAGAAGGCGTCGTCGAGGCCGTGGCCCGGCATGACGAAGCCGGAGCCGCAGAGGTTGAGGTGGACGGGGCTTAGGTGGGAGGGGGGTGCTTTGTGATCCTGATCCTGATCCTGGCTGTCGAGGGGGTTGCTGGCTTCGAGATCACAGGGAGGAAGGGATGGAGGAAGGGACGGAGGAGGAGGTCGATAGATGTGGATCTTGATGGATCGGCCGGCATCGCGAGACGGGATGGATTTGACTTCGTCTGGGAAGCTGCGGATGGCGGGGAGGAGCTTGCGCAGAAGACGCAGCATGAAGGCGATGGGCTTGAGGATGAAGTAGGGAGGCATTTTGGTCAATTGATCGGGTTGAGATGTGTAGAACCTAGTGTAGAATAAGTGCTTAGCCTGTACTCTACCTCATGTAGCTCATATAGAAGAGAGATAGGAGAGACATAGAAGCGAAGCGAACAGAAAAAGACATTAAAAAGGACAACCAAAGAGCGAATACGAAACCTCCCACTACCGAACCAAACATTCACTTTCTTTGTCCCTCTCCTCTCCTCTCCTCTCCTCCCCAAGCCGAGGTCAACCAAACCAAGCGGAGTGAATAACGACTCACCCTCGCCTGTCTCGCACGGACAAAATGCTCCGACGAAGCAGTATGCCCAGACAAAGAGCCGGGCTTCCAATCAGCAGTCGACAGGGACGGCATGCGGCAGATGGCGTTACACGGTGGCGCAGGGACTATGGATTATAGAATCTCGTTCGAGAAGAGGATTCGGTAGTCATGATGGCTGATCTTCGGATGTGAATCCCTGGCGGAGGTACTGCTTATGCCCGCGATATCTCCGGTTGCTGATGTCATTGGCTTCATGGTTCCCGATTGGGTAAGTAGACACACATAGGTACCTAGAGCGAGTAAAAGGGTGTATTGTACCTGCATATACTAGTACTATACAATCAAGAATGGAAGCTATCCTAAGTCAAAGCAGACACTCATACGACACCCTTCGCAGAAGAGATGTCGTTGGAACCGCAAACATCAACAACCACCCACAATCCCTAGCACAATCGTTCCCACTTCCCACCTACTGCTCCTCAATATCCCCCACACACTCAAACTTCCCTTGTAGACCCTCACTGTTCCTCAAGTTGTCAAAATTGGAGCAGTAAATCCCCTGTTCCGACGCGATCATAAAGTCCCCACGGATGTTCATCAGCGAGGGAAACGAGGGGCTGCATACGATTTAGCACGTCCTTCTAGGTAGCCCCACCCACCTCACAGGTATACATACTCATAAAAGGTCCCGGTCAATTCAAAATCACCCCCGATGGTGGTCAGCGCCGGAATAAAGACCGACATGAGCGAGAGGTTTCTCGCAATCAAGCTCCCCGTGATGACGGTGATCTTGTGGCTGTCGGCGTAATCGTCAGAGAAGCTGGAGGCGATCTCGAGGTCTCCGTTGACGATAGTGCAGTCGGCTGCTTGAGCGTCAAAGTCGGCCTGCGAGGTGACGTTCAGGCTGCCGCAAACTGCGGAGGTCAGTATGCGGTTATGGGGTGGATTTGGGGTGAGAGGCGTACCGGATGCCATGGACATGCCGGCCAGAGAGAGGATCAGAGCGATGGACTTCATGGTGGAGTTTGTTGAACTATTGGAATGAGTTGAGCGATTGTTGTCTGGAGTCTGGATAAAAAGGTACTGACTACTGGCTGTCAGTTGGACGAAGGCACGTCTTTAAATGCCATCTCAACACTGGACTGCCCTGGAAGAGCTCTCAAAGTAACAATCAAGAAATATAGCTTACCTACTTACCTACAGACCCTACCAACAGCCAAGCGTTTCAGCCTTGTTGAAGACCGAGCAATCTGGGGCCGTCGAGTACGCATTGGGGCCGACCATCTCAAACCTCATCCCCATCCACGCCACGATCCGGTTGGCACGCTCGCTTAATAGTCACGCTAATCTGCAGATGCCCGCGATCATCCGTAGTTTGTCGATCCTTAATCTGTTTCATTTGAGACATGTCATTTCTAACGCCAACCGCCAAGACAAACCAGTCTGAGACGAACGACGCTGACGGGCGATTTTCGACCACAGGCGCAGAATGTAACCGTATGTCGGGTATCTTGCATGAGACTAGAATGTACCAGCGTGTCAAGGAGTTCTGGGTAGATTTATTTCAAATCAGACTTGAGATTGAGGGCTTCTGTATCCCTGCTGGATGTGCGATGAGCCACTCCTAGCTTGATTAACTTATATTGATTGCAAGGATTGATGGCAGTAGCCCAAGAAAGAATGTAACCTGCCTGGTCCCTGAAAGCAGGGGATGGACCGGTATGGGTACCATCTTGGTACGATGGACTCGGTTGGAAGCAGCTATAGATCCGGATGGATCGAAAGCAGAGAGTTAGAAGAAACCCCGCAGCATTCGTATACAGGATACAGATAGCAAAGGAAAGAAAGACTACATTGCATCTGTACATGACGCAATGCCAACATATCACGCTTGTCGTTTGGCCAATCGATGTTGTATCGTTCTCAAGGACATACCAGCCCTCCTTGATCTATTGCTCGACTTTCAGCCCTGATATGGCCAGAGTTTCGTATACAACTCCCTCTCATTTTCATCCTTCGCCAACCCAACGAATATGTCTTTGAACCTACGGCTGCTTTCGCGCGCAATCTCATAGTCCTTGGGATCAACCATGCCGTCCACTGGAAGCACGCCTTGGTCCCGGAACAAAGTAAGCATGTGCCCAACCCCGTCCATGTTATCTTCCTCCTTAGAGTGGAGCTCCAGTTCCTGGTCCGTGAACTCAATCGGACAAGGCAACTGGCCCCTCGCAGTCACTTCCTCCCAGTTCTTGGACAAGGATAAAAGCGACTGCCGGAGAAAGAAGAGATCCTGATTTTCCCACACGCCAGTTACCAGCCAAACGGGCTTTCGCACCGTCGGGACACTTGTCTGCTGAAGGACCGACCAGTGGCGAGGCGCGCGTTTCAAAACCAGAGCTTCATAGTACTTGTGTAATGTCTCGCTCTCCAGGTCATTGTCAATCATCTTTTGTTCGTCTTCGACAAGGCAGTCATAATTTTCCGGCCGCTCTGGTACTACCCAGCCCTCTCGAACGGGTCGATGGTGCCGGAACATTCTGGGAACACTGGATTGGTAGAATAGAGGTGCTGCACATGCTGACTGCCAGTCTACGATACAGGTGATCTCGTGAGTATCGGGGTCAACAAATACGTTGTCCAGGTGCAGGTCAGGGTGCCAAAGGACGATGGACCTTGCCGGTTCGTCGCTCGGTGGAGGAACCAGGTACGGGGCGACGTTCATATACTGGGAGAGAAGAGCGAGGCCATCGACAGGGCGCTCGGGGTCTCGAAGGGACCGGTGGTGATTCATTTGGGGGTGCGCGTGTGCTTTGATCCATGCGATCTCATTCCGGCCTAACGCCTGTGTGTATTCATGCGGTTCCAGCCCTTGGGAATGTCAGCGCGACACGCGACCCAGGCAGGATGTACTCACAAGGACCACGATCTAATCTCATGTCGCCTCTACCGTTGCTCCAAAGCTCCGTGAATGTAAGAGGTCTTCTGGAAAATGGTAGAAGCTTCCATGGAAGACAAGAGCTATCCCAGCATGCAGGAAAACGGAGCCTTTATAGCCCTATGGGTAAAAAATGCACAAGGCTTATATGGCTTTGCTCTAACTAAAGGCTGCATCAAGTGCTGGGCTCATGCTGTCTTATGTTGAACTTAATGAGGAAAGGAAATATCAACTCGTGCTGTAGAAGGCCATAATTTTAAAATGGGCCGATGGAAATTGCTGGGTTCAGATTGACTGACCTACAAAGTCAAAACAGCATTCACCTCCAGGAGGCTTACTGAGCCTAAACAGTCAACTAATAAACGAATGACAACAAATGGAATTTGACGTGAGATAGGCTTTGGCGCTTGACATGGGCTTAACCAATAGCTCCTCGACTAGGAGCGTTTTGTACAAAAATAAAGACCTTTGGATGATTGGGGATGCTTGAACGGTGCACAGAAGTAGAGTTGGGATAAAAGCGCTTTGTTGAAACGGTTCTTCTAACTTCTTCTAACTAAATAAAGAAATGCATTGTCTTTGTCATACTAACTGGGTCAAGTGAATGGTCACTTCACCGGAGTCCTTTCTTTACCGATCGAGTCGGCGCGCATAAAGGCAGCCATTTCAAGTAGAACAGAGCCGCCCAACCTTGTGGCTTTTAGCGCTGTCATTTGGTTGGCTGAAGACTGGCTTTCCACAAATAGCAGGCGAACAGGCTTGGATCCATTGGAACCTAGGCGAGGCTGAAAGTTCTATTAACGCAGCGGCTAGAAATAAAGATCAATTGGAAGCCGTAGACAGCAAGCGGCAGGCAGACAAACATGCAGGAAAAGTACGAACCGGAAATATGTTATAAGACAGACATCTTCCAGCCTAATCAATGACGAAGGTGGTGGTCTAGGATGGAAGCGAGACTATTCACTGCCGGCCACATGCAGCACTAAACTACATTGGGCAAGCGAATGCTATAGAAACGAAGACTAGAGGTGGAAGAAACACACTGTCAACTTTCATCTCTTCTTATTTTTCACGACAACATTATCTCCTCCTTCACAGAGACTTTTGCCAATACACGTTATCCAAGATTCCGGCTATTTATATCACTTGACCCCCTTGCTCAACGCACACCGTATGCGCCATGACGAGAAGCCACCAGCAGCATGGCGACGCGCCAAATGACACGGATTCAGAGTATGTCGCGCTCCTGAACGAGCTCGTAAAGCTCAAGGGCAAGGACATCGATCTGCCTCAACTGGTCGTGGTCGGCGATCAAAGCAGTGGCAAGAGCTCAGTCGTCAAAGCTTTATCGAACATTCCCGTTCCCATCGCAGAAGGCCTTTCCACAAGATTTCCTATCGAAATCATTCTCCGGCGAGCGGACACCCCACACACAAGTATGGGCATCGAGGGCCACACTTTTTATAAACGCGACTTTGAGATGAAAAAAATTCCAGAACTCATCAACGAAGCCACTGAGGCCATGGGGATCACCCCTGCCGAAACGACTCCAACCGCGAGACATTTCAGTGACAAAGTCTTAACGCTCAAGATCTCGGGCCCGAGCCAAGTCAATCTGAATTTCCTTGACCTGCCTGGAATATTTACGGCCGAAACATCAACTCAAAATAAGCAGGGCATGGAGCTGGTGAATAAGCTAGTCAAGACCCACGTCAGAAACGACAAGAATATTGTCCTGCTAGTTGTTTCCGCAAGAAAGTCTCTAAATGACCAGAATACCCTTGGGCTGGTCAAAGACATTGAAGGTGCTGAGAGTCGAACGGTGGGGGTTGTCACGCATCCGGATGACTCACAAATCGATAGTGACCCATTCAAGTTGATTGAGAACAGGGAGTTTAGCCTTGATCTTGGATGGTGTTGCATTCGAAACCTGTCAACATATGAATCCAGCAATCAAAGGGAGAGAGACCAGGTCGAGAGTGACTTTTTCAGGAGTCAAAAGTGGAGTCATGTTTCGGAAGAAAAGAAAGGCATACGTGCGCTACGTGAGAAATTGATGACTGAGATGTTTCAGCATACCAAAAGGCAGTTGCCGACTATTGTGGACGAGCTGCATGAGAAGAAAACCAGCATCGAAAATCAATTGAAGTCGTTACCCCCGAACGATGGAACAAAGCAGAATCAGATAGAGCATCTCAATTCTATCGCCAGAAGATTTGAGAAGCTTCTGGCAAATGCAGTGAATGGCACGTATTCGGATGACACAGACTTCTTGGATTTCTTTGGGATTTACGATGAACATAAGGGTCAAAGCCAGATCAGAAGACTCCGAGCCAATATCAGAGAATTGTCAAAGGTGTTTATATACACCATGCGGAAATGTGGACAGGAACACAAAATGCTTCCCAATGATTCAGAAGGCTCAATCCGGGACAGCGCAGAATCTAAAACCAGCGAGAACAGCAAATCATCATCAGAGGAAGAAGGATCTACTAATTCAGGACTTGCAGAAGAGGGTAGCCCAATAACGCTATCTCACCATCCAGGGTTCCATCAGATGCGGCAGGATTCTTTCCTCACAGACGACCTTTTCAGGCACTATGAGGGGTATCATGTATCTCAGGATATTACCAGAGCAGAATTCGAAGATCTGGTAAAAGAAACGGTGCAGCGTTTTCGGGGCAAGGAGGCTCCAAGCGAGTTCGGAGAGTCCTCAATGTCGGTGGTCTTTATTCAAGAATCCAGGAAGTGGAAAAACATTTCTGTCTCACACCTGAAGACAATCAAGGAAGCAGTGCATAAAGTTGTACTTGATGCCCTGGAATTCTGTGCCCAGAAGCCACTGTCAGACGATCTAATCCTTCATGTCATTGACCCAAACATCGATCGTCTTTGGGAATCATTGGACAGAAAACTTGAAGACCTGCTCAAATGCCATCACAGCGGCAATACTGGGCTCCTAGACACTTTCACAGGCGTTTTTCCACCCGAAAGGGAATCATCGGCAGGTCCTGGACTGTCTGTGAGCTTTCCGGAAGAAACACCTGACTTCATGTACATTCTTGCGAAAGGATTGCAAAGCTCTTTTGAGGAAGCTGTTGGGAATGCAGTGCTCACCAGCGTAAGCAATAAGCTTTCGGGTGGCATTGGCAAGTTTTTTCTGGATAATCTTACCAGCGTCTGGGAAAAGAGATATCAGTCCACTGGTTCGGAGCATCTGTCCTGGGTCAAGACAGAGGCTGTTACCCGTATGGTGGGCCAATTTGAAAAATATTATGCGGTATGTTCTGGTTCTTATTGGCGCGAAAAGGAATGACTAACATGCGCAGATGAATTTGATTACCTTTGTCGGGTATGTCAATGCAATGGTGATTGAGGATACACTACTAAAGAAACTTCCAAAATCTATATTCTATGAGCAAATTGTCAGTGAATTGACTGATGACAAGATTGAGAAAATCTTCAAGAAAAGTGAGAATATGGCAGCCAAACGGAAGGAGTATGAAGATGTCACCGAAGAGCTTGACTTGGCGATACGGAATTTATATCCTTTTCTCCGGGGATGAAGCACCATGCCCACTTGCTTCTTCTATCCTCATTCCTTTCTTGGTTTTCAAGGTACATATCTGGGGAGGATGACATGGGACAGACACCTGGCTGGCAAGCAACATGGATGTTGATAGTACTATTCTAATAGCGTCAGTCAATACAGTTTCTGGAGAGAAAAATATTCATACTTTAGATTTCCAGAGAGGCTAGAAAGTGACTTTATGAATAGCTATAGGCAGACGGAGCACGAACATGACTTTCAATTTTAGAATTGGTACAGATTCTCTTCTCTTCGTTTCTTCACTAAGACTTATTATACTTTAAATCAAGCACATTTCAAGGAACATAGAAATTCAAAATGTTCTTAGTGGTTCTTTCAAATGTGATCATAGAATGCATCCATTAGAGCTCTGATCTATCATGGAATCGAACAAATGATATGCAACCCACCAACGCCTGGAAATAACAAATAGGTTAATCCAATTAAACCAGTCCAGTCCAGGGCCATTAATTATCAATTCCATATCTAAATTACATCCGTAATCTTGACTTAACCCTTCAGTCGCTGCCATTACTGCTAACACCATCGCTACCACTACTCGAACTAGAGCTGGAGCTAGAACCCGAACTCTTATGCGCTGTATTCTGCGCCTCCAACACCGCCAAGTTCATCTTGATATCGCTCTGGTTCTGTCCTGCTCCACGGGTGATTATCAATCATTCTTTTCTCATTTTTGACAATCACTCAAACAAAACTCTATTAACCTAACAAAGCATATCCATTAGACTTATAAGCCCTACGGGCGCTTTACAGTCAAAGCAGAATCTTATATTGCGGGAATTCCGAGGTAGAAGTATCCCTACACCTGCATAACGATATTGTTTGATATAAAAGATACATCAACTGACATAGCGATACCTTCTTTGCACTCCGTTGAAATTCTTGGAAAGCTGACACACTCTCAATAGAAAGCACACCGCATAAATTAGTTGAACTTGCAAATGGGTACCTGGATAGAAAAATCGCCATTCCGCATTCAACGAGACACAACTACCAACCTATCTACCCCGTCGGTATCCGAAGTAAGAATTGTCGAATCCGTCAGAGCAACGTATGGCGTCTGGTACTGCGTTGCCTTGTTTTCGTCGTTGGCAAAGTACATCTCCTGTGGGCTTTGGTTCATCTGTACCACGGCGTCCGCAACCGCTTCCTGGAGATAGAAGAGTGTTTCGGACGGGGCTTTGTTCGCGGGAGCCTTGATCTTGACCGTCTGTAATTGCCCGTCGAGAAAGTTGTAGGTCACTTCATAGCCTGGGTTGCTCGGGTTGTCCTTTCTCTCGTCCAAGACCTTTTTGATGAACTTGTACCCTGTCCGCGCCACCTTCACTGCTTTCCACGCGATCTGGAACGTGACTAGCCACACATCTACCGCCAGCGGTTCTATATCCTGTATGAACCTGAACTCTTCCATCTCCTGCGCATGCAGGCTGATGGCATCAGGTCGAGCCTTGAATTTCACGTGGATCGCCCCGTGCCAGGCGGTGTCAGTGCCGGTCCTGCCCATCGGGATCGTGTAGTAGGAGTGGGCCACGAAGACCTGCCACGATTTATCGTCATGCCGGAGGGCCACGCCATACGTCGGGAGATGGTGGTCATTGTTGGCGTCAAAGTTGGTTATCTGAGAAGGCGGCTGAGGATTGGAGGCGAATATGCCCTGGGCGACCACCTCCGCCACGTCGCGGTCTCGGCCGTGTTGTTTCATCAGCGTCGGGACGCCCAGCTCGGCGAGGAGCTTCACAAGGTCCCGGTACATCTCAGGCACCTCCTTGCTCGTGTTGCTGAAGAGAGTCGGGCTCGTCCATATGCCGGATATATCCCCCGTTGTGATAATGGGCTCTTGCGGATCGTCTTTGGGCATTCTCGGATCGCCCCAGTCTTTGTCCTCTTCTATATCTTTCACCTTCTTAATGGCCCGGGCTTCAAGAACTTTGCCCGCGTCTCGGAACGCTTTGAAGTAGTCCTTGGATGTGATAGGCGACTGCCCTTCTGCCCTGCCTTCAGGGGCGTGTAGAGCAGAGACCTTCCCCACGGAAGCGAGGAGGCCCGCGATATCACCAGCGTTTGACATGGCCCAGTTCACGGCGCTGCCGACGCCCTGGACGATAGAGGTAAACCAGCCCATAGTGGCTGGCTGTAGAAAATACGATCGTTCGCAAGTTAATCAATATTATGACTTGGGGTATCTGAAAAGTATTGAAAAGAGGTCAACACGGACTCACCCGCCAGGTGGGTTACAGGCATTTATGTAGCTTCTACAACCGGCTGTGTTAATACTTTCTAGTGTTGACGTAAGAAGAAACACTGATCCAATAGCCTCTGTTCTTTGATTCCGGTGGGATCTTTCTGCATGCGGATGGGTGTCCCTTACATCACCATGTCAATTCTTTATCCTCTACGCAATGGTTCCTACGAAAAAGGAATACAGCTGACGTACAACACCGAGGACGTACAACACCACGAAAAGAAGAAGTCCTGAGTGTCGACATCATCAAGCGCCAATAACAATCATATCCACAGATCGCAGGCTTCTAGGTATTTGGTCTTTGAGTCCGATTATGAACCAGTGGCTTAAAATCGGCCGGGACAGCCGTTCGTGGGGGTTTGGATGACATGATGAAGATCCTGGGTTTATTGTATTATACAAATCCCAGTGTCACGTAGACTTGCAGTCCATGTTCGCAAAAGGCTTCGACCAACGCCTATTTTATACCCGAGATAAATAAAAGTTCTAGATGCCGGAGCCACGACATTGCCCTACGCCGTACACGACGGATGGCATAGCATCATCATTAAAGCATTACACATGCAGCAGTATAACGACTCCTATTATATACGTAACGTTCCATTCTGCTGTGGATCCCCCCCTCCCTTGCGGGTCCGACATCCGCTGTCTGGAATCCGGATGCAACCCAACGGAGCCGAATCACGGCTCATGACATCGTGACAGCAGTCTCGACCGTGTCAAGGCCTGTGGGGAAAGTGCAAGTTGCTGGTTTCGTAAGTTATGATGCCAAGGACTCCTGCAGGCAGGTATACAACCCGGCTAGTCATTAATTACCTGTCAGGGCCATTTCATTCTTCTCATTCGATGTATAACCCTTTCTCGGTGCTCTAAACACCTGTCTCTATTCGATAAGGCTGTCGACCAACCATTCAATTAATTAAAATTGTGTTAAGTTAATAAGGTCTGTCTATTAGAGTAATAAGCTGTACAGCCGCTTTTATAAGGGGCAGCCAACGGGGCTCTAACCCTAGCACTTGGTTCCCTTTAACAGAGGTACTGTCGCCGGCGCGCTGGACCAGAGAGGCTCCATAATTTTCTATCTATATATGGAAATAGCTATGTCCATATGAGTCTATATGAAATCTTCTGGTGTATGGTATCAAAATAACCTTTTCTCATTAAAGTGACGGGAGATAGCAGGACCTTCCCACAGAATCTTTTTACCGTAGGCTTCTAATTTGTTATAGTAGCCTTACTACTTGGATCTTTCAAAGTGATAATGAAACCATCAATTAAAGCTCTAATCTATCATGAAAACAAACTGATATGCAAACCACCAACGCCTGGAAATAACAATTAGACTAATCCAATCAAACCAGTCCAGTCCAGGGCCATCGATTATCAATTCCACATCCAAATCACATCCGTAGTCTCGACTCAACCATTCAGTCGCTGCCACTCCCGCTACCGCTATCACTATCACTGCCCGAACTGGAGCTCGAACTCGAACTATCATGCGCTGCATTCTGCGCCTCCAACACCGCAAGAATCATCTTGATATCGTTGGGGTTCTTCTCGATGCGCTGCTGTGCCTGCGCGTCTCTCAGCGCTTGCGCGTTCGCATCGTTCATCTGGTTCTGCTGCGCCATCATCTGCACTTCTGCTTTTTCGCGCGCCTTGCGCTCTTTCTTTCCTTGGCGTTTGCCACACCTGTTTGGTGGGTTGGTCAGTCGTTGGACTTTGCGAGACGCTTGGTGGCCATCTTGCCGCCACCAAGCTTGTTCGTCATGAGTCCGCCGGCGAGGATCATGGTTCCCAGGCCCTTTTCGCTGGCCTAGGTGCCGGGTGCCGGGGCTTGCTGGGCGGGTAGGGGCCTTGGGTGGGGTGGGGGCGTAGTATGAGGTGTTCGAACCTCCAAAGTAATCGCGGTGTGGAGGGTATTCAGGATCGGCGCCAGGAGGCGGGTAATGGGGAGGTGGGGGAGCGTAGGAAGAGGCGCTGACTGGAGGAGGCTAGTTCATAATTGCGGGAGGCTGATTTATCGATGGGAGAGGGCCAGTGGGATAGCCGCCGTTGAACAAGGGCGCAGGGGCGTCTTGCGGGTACATGAGAGCGGGAGCGGCTGTTTGCGGAGGTGTTTGTTGAGGTTGAGGAGGGAATTGCTGAGGTTGCGGCTGAGGAGCGACATAGGGTGCATATCCACGGAAGGAAGAGGAAGGAGAACGCTCGCGAGAGGCCGGAGGTCCGTGGTCGACGCCTTGAGGATGGAGAGAAAGTTGCTGAGTAGCCTGGAGCGCAGGAGGAAGCGAGCCCTGAGACGAAGACGGAGGGGAGGGTTGACGGGACGAGGAATGGGAAATGTCACCAAAGTGAAGCTCGTCGCCACCGGTGAAGGAGAGAGACGGTGAGTGAGGGCGCGAGGAGGGCCTGCTTCCAGGCTGCAATTGCATGGGATGTGGCGAATAGCTGCTGCTGCGTTCTCGAGTCTGTGGCGCCTGGCCATTGGGAGCACCGGGATATGCGCTGCTGAAAGGTGGGGAGTGAGGACGCGATGAAGGCCCGCTTCCGGGCTGCAATGCCATGGGGAGCGGCGAGAAGCTGCCGCTGCGTGATCGAGTCTGGGGTGTCTGGCCGTTGGGAGCGCCGAGATGGGCACCGCTAGACGGAGAGAGACGTGGTGAGGAGGGAGCGCTGGTCCTCCCTGGGTAGTATGGCGTGGGAGCCAGCGAGTGGCTGCTGCTTCGCTCGCGCATGTTCACGGGAGGATGTCCGTAACCGGGACCGCCGGCATAAGTTGTGCTGAAAGAATGCGAATGACGGTACGAGGTGGGTGGAGTAGGCTGCAGAGAATCGGACTGCGGGGGAGTAGAGATCTGCATTCCGATGATGTTAGTGGGTGCTTCGAAGTAGTCATCGGCAGTCAACAGCGTCTGAACCGACATACCTTAGGAGGAGCAGGAGGGGCATAGAATCGCGGAGCCGGAGGCTGGTAGCTCAAAGGCCGACCTCCTTTATTTCCTCCATTCTCCACGGGGCTGTATGGGAAGAATTGGGCAGACATGCTGTGTTCCAATCAAGCGAACAGTTGAAATGTTGTGATCAAGAGAAGCCAAGGCTTATGAGAGTTGGGAGTGTTGAGAAGAATGCAAGCCAAGCAGTGGAAGAAGCAGGAGCTTAAATCATTTCACCATTGACTCAAGTCTCGAAGGATCGCAATGTTTACTCCAGTTCACACTTAGGGGGAGGCGGTGTTGGAGGTGGACACCCAACAATTCAGCCCCCACTGCCATTCAACATGGCAATAGAGTGTATCCACCGGCATGAGCAGAACGGCTGTTTGCAGGTCACTATTGAGAATTGACACGGACCGATCCATTATCGGGGCTTTGACAAGGGTGCACAGACCTGGTCTGTCGATTCTTCCAACCCCAACATTTCCACAGTAACTGGTGGTGCCATTTCAGCTGTGGTGATGCGAGGCTGAGCTCGACGAAGTGCGGGTGAGGCTCTCCGGCGCCGAGTGGAGCCTCAGGCTTAATTCTGAATTCGCCGGCTTCCATCGTCTTTCTGGCCCCCACCGCTTCTACCCAAATTCGCGACTCTAGACAGGGTACCTCGCCAATCACATCGTCTCGCAACGGGGATTGCATGGCATAGGAATTAGTCTCGAGAAGTCGCGACAGGGCGTCAGATGTGGTGATCAAAGGCCAACCTGCGAAGCCACCGTGGCTTTTCAGGCGTGCTTGTTCTTCCTCTTTGTCTTCCCCATCATGGGTCATCGATATACATCCTTGTAGGGCATATCAGGCAGTCTGACCCTTGACCACATCCCTGACATCATCTGCGGCTGCAGTGGTTAAGGTTTTAGAGTTGAGCATAAACGAGGCAGACACAACGTGGTTCGGGCAAACAACTGCAGGCGATGCAGGCGACTACTTCTGGACATCCCGCTAGTCCTGATTTGGCCAAGTCTTCAAAGGCACGGCAAGGCTGTGGGCGGAATTAATTAAGGAGTCATTAGCCCTACCGGTCAATTTTAGATTCTGGATACCCCTACGGAGCACAGTGGAATGGCAAGCCACAATGGAGCTGGCCTTTTCTATACATATATCAGACCCATACCTGAATACATCATCTGGGAATAAGCTTGTGGAGATTTCAATCTTTGATGATATAGAAAAGGTACTGTACACGAAGGTAGTTTTAACCTGCATACTAGCATTCCGCTCAGCTCTCGTATATGATGAGTCAGACGCCGCTACTGACGCTCATTATGGACGAAAGAACCCTCTATTTTGGGATAAGGCGGGTATATACGAACTAAGCCCCAGGCAACCCGCCGTATTGTGGAGGAAGGCCAAAGCTCGCAGTCCAAGTTGACGCTCAGTTTACAGACTCGCCAGGTCTAACTCCGCTACGGAGTACGGGGTTTTCTCTTATTTTCGCATGTTCTACTCCGTCCGGCTGGCAGTCAAGCTCAAATTGCCTGAGCATAGTGGGTCTGAGCTTGCGCCTTTCTTGCTCTCTCTCTCCCTTCGGCTACGTGACAAGTTTCGCTGTCAGCCTAATTAAATAATAATGAAATGGTTTGGGCTTTTTCGTTTTAATGAATGCATTTACTCTAGGATTGTTGTGTTCTTGGAACACCTTTTTCTTTTTTCTTTTTGTCATCCCCATAGTAACAGCCGGAAATATATATCCACCATACGAAATCCTGGCCGAACCAATTGTTTTTAGCATATCTAGATGACACAAATCGATACAAATGCCAAAGACGACAGTTATTTTTTTGGTTCTTTAAAAAAAAGAAAAAGAATCCAGTACCTATGTTACAAGAAAAACCATGACAAAAGATAGAAATAGTCAAGGGTCTATCGGAGCTGACCGACCGAGGCTGCAGGGCTCAAGGATTAGAGTGTTACAGCTTATGCAGGTATGACTAGTGCTTATCTCTCTATAATTGCAATGTTTATGGTGAAATTAAATGAGCACAAGTCGAGGTCCTTGAAAACAAGTCAAAATCAGATAATAGCACTGGCAAACATGCACCATCGCTCTATCAAAGGCAATATACACGCAGTCATGCAACTAAAATATCAAACTAGACAAGCAGATACTGTATCATACAGCCGGGGTATATGTAAGTTGACCCAAACCACCTAAACCCGAGCGGCTTCGGCCAAACCGGCAATCAACGTCTCCGAGCGTGTCATCTTGGGCCGATCGGCCGGCTCGTCGCCATTCACGTCTAGGCCCTTTGCTACCAGATCGGTGAAATCCACTCCAACCTCGGCAAGAAGGCCGGCTTGCTCGCGCACGATGTCGATGCATTTTTGCCAGACGGTGGTGCCGCGCTGGACGCTGCTGAGCTGGCGGGTGAGAAGAGCGTTGAAGCCGTCCAGGTGGAACTTGGCCCATTTGATACAGGCGCTGGTCATGACGGGCGGGAAACACTGTTGGTAGATAGCGATGGTGTTCTTGATAAGGGTGAAGTAGACGAACGAAATCTGGAATATGTAGAGGGGAAGGTCGCCTTCGAAGACACACGCCCTGAGCCTAGTTAGTATCTAATCACGCTAGCTTGGAAGGTATCACATACCGGATTCGCTTCGAAACAACGTCCGTTCGAGCTTTGAGGTAGGCTTCCCGCGCCTGATCCTCGAACCCTAGGCGCGTAAGCCATCCAACGTTGGTCTTGGTGGCATTCATGAATGAATGCCTGTCAACCAAAACTCGAGACAGGACCCCGGCCAACTTGGCAGCACGCTCGTCGACCTTGACATTGATCACGTCCTGCGCGACCGAATTGCCCTTCAGGCCCCGGGCGAGCTTGCGGAGTCGCTCGATGTTGGCAACTGCCTCTTCAAATCGCTGGAGCGCAATGTCGATGTCGAGCTCGTCCACTTGACCCTCCACCCAACGTAAATTCTGCTGCTTTCCGTCCACATCGATGCGCACCTCCGGCGGGTCGCCCGAGAAATCCATCTTCTCAAGAGCATCCGGCTTGATGGCGTAGATCGACTGCCTGGCCCCCAAGTAGTTGTACGACTCGTTCGACTTGCTGGCAGCTTCGGTTTCCGATCGGAGTGTCCGCCGTAGATCCTCCACGGTTTTCCGGAAGGTTGCGAGGAGTTCGCTCTTGGCGGAGCTATCCCGTTTATCATGGCGATACGTAAATGGCTTCGAACCCACGCGGACGTTGACGGCGTTGGTAATACCCCGGTCCTCCGCCTCTTCGCGCGATACTCCGGGCCCAAGATTGGCACCCAGATCGATCATGTCGACGTCCTGCAGCGGCCAGCACTCCTCGGCGACAAGCTTGGTGGGGATCGGACCGCGATGGTTCGGATTGCTCTGGTCGACGCGCTTCCGCTTCTTGGCAGCCACCAGCAAGTGATCGTTTAGAAGCACAATATGAACGGGTCGCCTCGGCTTCCAGGTTGCCGAGTCCAGCTCGACCCAATGGCCCGTTTCCATCACAATGTGCCGACCAGGAACCACCGGAAGAAATTTCTGGGACCCCTCGACGGTCTTCCACAAGGTCTGCAGCTGTACATTCCACATACTCTCGAGGTTGGCGACGGAGCTTCGATTGGTGTTGCGTTTCGGGAGGCGTTCGTCGACTGTCGGCGACATCGGGTTCGGGGCGTTGCCGATAGACGTCTGTCCCAGGGCTGTGGTGAGTTCGGACATCAGGGTCCGCAGAGTGCGCATCTCCCCTTTGAGCTTGTCGGCCTCCTGACTGATTTTGATGAATTGCGTGCGGTTCTGATAGACATTTTGTTGGAGATCGGTGGAGGTCCTATTTTTCACCTTCCGCAGGCTTCTCTGGTACTCCTCAATGTCTTCCTCGGTGGCATTGCTGAGCAGGTTGGCCACGTCTAAAAAACAGGAACATAGCTCAGTTAGCGGCACAGAACGCGTGGACGGTTAACTACCCCGCATTAACCATTGTTGGAGAGCTTACATCTATCGACAGGCAAACTCGGATCACGCAGCGCATTCAAGTCTACCTGGGGAGGCCCCGAAGACTCTCCCGACGGTCTTCGACTCTGCTGCTGGGGTGGGCTCAGGCCACCAAACTGGGGCGGGATCTTGGGGAGACCGGGGACCGGAGGAGCATTGACATCAAAATCCGGGGTTTGGTTGAAACGGGTGGAATAGCGCCGCTTCACCAGATCTGAGGTCGCGTCATTCTGGGGAGTTCGTTCTCGGGAACGCGAGGAGCTCGCGGTCGCCGGTGGCTGGCCGGGATCGGCTGGTTTATGGGAAGGCGGCAGCGGACCGGAGATGGGTTTCGGAGCACTGATCTGAGGGCGAGGGCGACGCGACTTGCTGCGGAGAGTCAAGCCGCGAGATTCCATGGTGGGAGGACAACGGAGGAGACAGCCGGTCGGAGGAGGAAGAAGGAGCTCAAGTCCCAGGAGAGAGTGGAGAGTGGAGGAGAGGAGATGATGATGATATGTTCAGTGCCCGAGCGGGACAGAAACACCGAGGCGGCCCAACGATGATCCGGCGCTCAAAATTATGCGGCCAAAGAGGCTTCCGTGATGAGCTTCACCTTCCGCCCGGCACGTCCATCCTCACTTTCTCTCGTCCTGGTCTTTTTCTCTTTCCGCTTTGTATTCTAGTATCCCCGGTTTTAATTATATTCCCCTCACATTCCCCCACAAAACCATAATGCAGACGTCCACTTTGGTCATCGCCTCCGCCGGCACGGTCTTGACCGGCCTGTTGGGTAAGAATCAACCAACCATCCCAGTGGCTCTGTGCCAGCATCCAACCGTTGCTAATGATCGTGTCTTTCCTCTACGTAGCCTATGCCGTGTACTTTGATCACAAGAGACAGACCGACCCCGAGTTCCGCAAATCGTTGAAGAAGAACAACCGACGAATGGCGAGAGCCGTGAAGGAAGAGGCGGAGGCCCAGGGCGCGATGGAACGCGAAACCATCAAGCAGGTCGTTCAGCAGGCCAAGGACGAGGGCTTCCCGGCCGATCTGGAAGAGAAGGAGGCTTACTTCATGACCCAAGTCGCCAAGGGAGAGTCTCTCTGCGCCGAAGGTATGTTTCCTGCGATGACGCGACACTCCCAATCCCTCCATCCGCCCATCATCAAACCAACGTGGTGGCCATTTGCTGACCAATCCCGGGATGCAGACAAGATTGAGGCCGCCCTGTCCTTCTACAAGGCCTTGAAGGTGTACCCCCAGCCCAAGGACCTCATCTCGATATATGACAAGACCGTCCCCAAGGAGGTGTTGGAGATCCTGGCCGAGATGGTCGCCATGGACGCCGGCCTGAAGCTCGGCTCGTTCACTGCTGAGGGTGGCAGTGCTGAAAGCCACGGAGTCGAGTAAGAAGTTGCCTGAAACCCGCCATCGATCATTCGTCCGGCGCTTCTGCACAAGACCCTTGGCCGATCCACGTGTTTCTTGTGGTCTTGGGCTTCTTCTCAGACGGGCCTATCTCATGTCATCGATCGACTTTTTGAATCTTGGATTGCCGCCATGTCACACTCTCACCATCTCCACTATTGCTGTGCTCTTTGCTATCTTGGCTGATTTCTTTTTTTCTTTTTCTTTTCCCCTGTATATTTGCATTTGCTGTGCCTTGGCCACCGGCGCGGCGGGCCATCTTGGTATTTCTCGGCGCCATGAAATTTTCTGCCTTTTTTCCTGTTTCCTTTTGTCCCCTTTGGCTTTGACTTGCTCATCGCCCCCCTTTTCTTTTTTTAGCCGGTTGTGGTTGTGTTTTGGTTCTTGGGAGCTCCGACAGGAATTCTTGCCAATTTCTGGGCTCCCAACCCCGGTGATTTTCCGTTTTCTCCCCAAGGCTTGGGCTGTATTCTAAAGATGCTCCATGGTATTCGGTATTAGGTAGGATAGGATTATTGTTTAGTGAGTGCAGGAAGGAAAAAGTCCCGACGTGGATCGCGATGAATTGAGTATGAAAATATGGCATGAACCTCCGAAACCCCACCGGCCCCATCGTGAAGAAACCCCCAAATCCAAACCCAAGAATCCCCTGAGAACGGACGGACTACGGCGTAAGCGATTGGCCCAGCGCTAATTAGAGACCATGACGATGGAGACCCTTTCGCCAAGGGTCCCTGGCCCAGACAGCTGAGACACTGGTGCGGTGGATGCTGCTAGTTGCCAAATGCCCAGCGCTCTAGTCGGCTTGGGATGGTTTAATTAATTCTGGGCAGCTGGAGGGGGCAATTTTGGACTCGCTTTCTTCACTTCTTATTTCTGACCGCGGCGCTGGCACCTCCTTTCTTTCTCTCCTTCTTCTTTCTTCTGCTCCCGGGCTCCCTTGTTTCTTATTTCTTCCTTCTCACGCTCGCTGCTTCCGCCGTTGACTTTTCGGTTTGATCTGGATTTTTGCGCCTGTCGCTGTCACTCTTTTAGACCCGATCCACATATCTTGTTATTTGGCTCTTCCTGTGGAAGATACCGTCCAATCGCTTACCATCACTACTATTGATCTATTATTCCCCTATCTATACGTGATCTATTCTCTTCAAAATGGTCTCCGTGAGTCCTGCACAACCGGGATATCTACATCTACCGCATACTGATCGACATAACAGATTCACGCTCGCCTTTTGGCGGCCGCTTGCGCTCTTGCGACGACCGCCCACGCCGTCACGCCCATCGAGGTGGAGGGCAAGGACTTCGTCAACAGTGACACCGGAGATCGGTTCCAGATTATTGGTGTCGAGTAAGCAGTTCATCTTGAAAACGGCGGATATGCGATCGTTACCCTGTCCGGAAAGCGGTAGTACTGATCGTCGTTGATCGTCAACAGTTACCAGCCCGGTGGTTCTGGAGGCCAGACGAAGGACTCGGATCCCCTCAGCGACCCTAAAGCATGCTTGCGTGATGCCGCTCTCATGCAGCGCCTGGGTGTAAGCATGCAATATGACCCATTTCTTAGGAAGGTGCTCATGCGTTTAGGTCAACACCATCCGTATCTACAACCTCTACCCCGGCCTCGACCACGACGAGTGCGCCTCCATCTTCAACGCTGCCGGTATCTACATGATCCTCGACGTCAACTCCCCGCTGTACGGCGGATACATTGACCGGACCTCGCCCAAGTCGAGCTACAACGACGTCTACTATGAGCAGGTCTTCGGTATCATCGAGGGCTTCAAGAACTACCCCAACACTCTCGCCTTCTTTGCCGGTAACGAGGTGATCAACGAGCAGAGTGTTAAGAGCGTTCCCGCTTACATGCGTGTATGTGTTGCAGCTTTTCTGGGCTCATTCTTCCGATCATGCTGATGAATGCTTTTAGGCCGTCCAACGTGATATGAAGGACTACATTAAGAAGAACGTTAAGCGCAGCATCCCCGTCGGCTACTCCGCTGCCGACATCCGTCCCATCCTGCTGGACACCCTGAACTACTTCATGTGCGAGGACTCGGACGAGCCCAGCTCGCACTCCGACTTCTTCGGTCTGAACTCGTACTCGTGGTGCGGCAAGTCCAGCTACAAGAAGTCTGGCTACGACATCCTGACTGAGGATTTCCGCAACGCTTCGCTGCCCGTCTTCTTCTCCGAGTATGGCTGCAACGAGGTCCAGCCCCGTATCTTCACCGAGGTGGAGGCCCTCTACAGCAAGGAGATGTCGCAGTCCTTCTCCGGCGGTCTGATCTACGAGTACAGCCAGGAGGACAACGACTACGGCCTCGTCAAGATCAACAAGAACGGCACCGCCTCCCTGCTCGTCGACTACGACAACCTGATGGAGCAGTACGGCAAGCTCGACATGAAGGCCATCGAGGCTTCCAACAAGACCCAGACCTCTTACAAGGCCCCCAAGTGCTCCTCCAACCTCATCCAGAACAGCACCTTCCTCGACAGCTTCAAGCTGCCCTCCCGCCCCTCCAAGGTCCAGGACATGATCGACGACGGCCTCAAGGACGCCAACACCGGCAAGCTCGTCGACGTTTCCTCCAAGGAGATCCCCCAGACCATCTACAACCACAAGGGTAACGAGGTCAAGGGCATCAAGCTCGAGGTTCTCAAGGACGGCCAATCCAACGCCCCTGGCGAGCACACCTCCGGCAGCGCCACCTCCGGCGGCTCCAGCAACTCCGACGAAGACGAGGACCAGACTGCCACCGGCGCTGCTGGCCAGACCTCCGTGTCTTTGGGCCTGTTGACCGGTGCTGCTTTGCTGGCTGGTTTCTTGCTGTAAATACTTCTATTCATTAATTGACTGATTGATTGGTTTGTCAGTTTGATTATACATTAGTCTGGTTATCTTACATTTATATATTTCTGTTGGACTTCTTTGGTTCATGATTGGCTGTGAAACACGATTCAGCTTTTATTTTTAACTTGTATAGAATGTCTTGGTGTTGCGATCCTGAACATAAGCACAGTATCTCTAGGATTAGCGTATAACTATACTATCGGTTTACTCTTGACTTTGATTTCACGAATTTGGATAAAGCATAACAAAATGCCACGATGGTTGGCGGAGCGGAGCGGCCTGCCTGTCTGGGTGTGGTGCAATTCTCCACTTCTCCCTCCAACGACCCACAGGAATCCCTTAATATCTCTAGTTCTCTACGTGTTATACTCATAGTCCTTGGTATTCTTTCATGGTGAGTCTTGTGCAGTGTCCATAACCAACTAAACACCAATAAATACACATCCAAAGTACATAAACAAGGCTGATACAAAAGATCCCACTGCCATCCCCATGAGCCACACATACAACCTCAAAACACAAAACCCCAGAACCAAATCACTCAGTCCCATCTCCCTCCCCCAACCGATCCAACCTCTCATCAACCGCATCATACCCTCTAAACACCCACCAAAACGGCCCCGCAATAGCAGCCGTCGCCCCCGCCAACACCGCATAAAAACAACCATATTGGGATTCCTCGCCGCCGGCGAAATCCCCATCCCCAGTGCCGACGCCACACACGCCGTGAACCGCGTCAGCGCCTGCACCGACGCCTTCATATTCCTCGGCGCCTTGAAATACGCATACTCCGTCACTGGCACGAACCCGAAGATCTCGGAAACCGCCAGAACCAAATAGATTGGGGTTTGGACCCAGACGCTGACGGAGTTGGGAGTCTGGCCGTGGTTTGAGGCAGGGCAGGTCAGCGGGGATGTGTAGCACGGGCTGCGCGAGTATATGAGCCTTTAGATACCGGCGGCGTAGGCTATTGAGGCGCCCATGAGAATGAATGCGGCGGTGATGCGGGCGATGGGGTTTAGGACTTGGATGGCGTCGTTAGAAAAGTAGAAGGTGTGTGCATGGTGCCGGCTTGGGAGACCAGGTTTGTAGAGATTTGGTTGTAGCAGAGGTAGAAGAGGATCACGGAGAAGCTTTTATTGTGTGTTAGTGGGGATGGGGTTTGTTTGGGTCAAGGGAGGGAGGGGGCACTGACATCACTCGGCAGGCAATGATTCCGCGCTCCATCTCGTCCACGAATGTATCGGTCTAGGACACTTGGCGGTTGAAGTACTCGAGTTGGTATGCTGGTCGGACTGAGTCTAGATGACAGCCGTTGTGGGCTCCGTGGGCGAGGCATTTGCCTACTTGGGGGAGGATGTTGCCTTGGGGTGGGACTTTAACTAGAGATAAAGCTGTTAGTGTAGATATAAGACTGGACAAATACTGAAGAGATCTTACCTAGTTCTTTCCCCCAAAGCACGAGGATAACAAGTGCCAGGAGAAGAGCACACAAGGAAAGCAGATAGGCAGCCCAGAAGCTGACCTTTCTCTCGAGGAAGGTTGAAGCAAAGATTGATAAACCGGCAATGTTGGTTGCCCTAGGTTTGTAGTATGGTTTGTCAATCATATGAACAAGTTGGGAACGGCTGAACAGAGGAATATCATACCAGTAAAAGACGTTGCAGGTGTACTGTATAGTTACTGTCCTCTGTCCGATGGAGTAGCTGCCATTTCTAGTCCGGAGAAGACGGGGTTTGACGTTCGTATATTGATCAACTGTTCGATATAAGCCACACAGTTCCCATGATCTAAAAAGACCACCTCCTCAAGAATGGAGAAATCGTGGCCTTCACGCCTCCCACGCCGAGACCGATCTAGACAATCGAGATGGCTAATCCAGGAACACCGGCACCGTTATGCGGACTGGTCGGAAGAGATGTTGCCATGAGCACAGTGGCGCCACATCTATACGACCTATGCTTCGTTAATTAGTAAATTGTCGGATATTGTAATTGGAATAGAGGATAATACCCTGAACTGATACACAAGGTCTTATATTTGCCCAACCACAGATCCGATACGATCGCTAAAGGAAGAGTCTGCTATACATCAGTTTGGGGTTCGGGGTGTATAAGTTGCTGTCGAACTCACGCCAGGGAGCAGTAACGGCGTAGAAAGTGAACCTTTCTGGCAGCACAAAGCCTCCGGGTAGCTCAAGTGGTCCGAAAACGCCTTGGTGAGCTGCTCGATTGTCAGGAGACCCTTTCGATACGGTTGTACCCCTTGCTCCAGACGTTGGCGTCGGAATCAACTACCCCCGCCCGGATATCGATCCGCGACGTCGTCACGAGAGAGGAATGCGTTGTCCATGAAGTGGTTTGTATGGATCAGGTACCCATCGTCAAGGTTGCCGTACACCTTGTACACCCTGCTCGGGGTGATCTCCAGACACAAGCCATATCCCTCCGCCGTGGCTAGCGTGAGGTTGTTTGAGGCATGTCGCGGAAACTGATAGATGGAAGTCAGCGCTTCGGAGAGGCGACTGCATTCCAGCACCATACGGCGGAGCATGGTTAGCCAGTCCAACTGCTGGATGTGGATACTCTCACCTGGAATAGTGATACTTCATGAGCATCCCAAGCCCGTCCCAACCACCCATCCATCAGGCAAGGTTTTCAATTTTTCAATTTTTTTTTTGTTTTTTTGTTTTTATAGCAAAAACAAGATATATCGCGAAGTGCTGGACAGTGAAACACCATGGTCTCCATATGGACGTGATCCACCGGACTACAGGCCCCTATGGCTCCTGCAACCGCCTTCACACGTGAGAGCCGATGTCCACCGGAATACAGGCCCCTATGGCTCCTGTAACCGCCTTAATCGAAAGCACGTCTTGGATGTCCAGCCGCAACGAACTCATCCAACGCACAGAAGCATCAACTGCTCTGGCGTCAGATCACTCAGCGACGATCTATTGACCACCCGAGGTGCTTGCACCTCGGGTGTTTGAGGCCGGCCGCGTGCAGCTCGCTCCCTCATTTTAGACCACGCTGCCGCTCCGGAGATGGCCAACCCGAGCCAGTCACGGTGGGCTGGATGATAGTAAAGGTGCCTCAGCACTGGAAAACGACGAAAGAACTTAAACGACATTTTAAATTGCGATTCAGATCCTGGGAGAAAAAGAAGAGAAGTTTCTTGGGACATACGATCTTCATTTTATCACTCCCAAAATCTCTATGTGGAAGGCGCGGCGTTGAGTTTCAAGACGGCAGGTGGCAGGCAAAGGGTAGGAAGGGTGGGAAGGGTCGAGTTGTCAAGCAACTTGAGGAAGTCACAAGTGAATTGGCCTTTGTAGAGATAGAAAGAATGGTATCCCACAGCTATCGATTGTAATCCTTACCTCCGTCTGTTGAAGACAGTTTCATCATGTAGCAGGAAACGACTTAGGATGTAGAAGATTGGACATCCGAGCGAGTCCAGGTGGCGTGAGGCCAGAAATGACCAAGTGGTATTGCTTGGTGCTCGCTTTGACTGTATTGCCTTGTCTAAGAAGTGGAGGAGATGCGGAAGCGTAATAATAACAGGCTACTAGGGTTCTACGTCATAATAATATAGACCTTGTCCATATTCAATAATCCTAAACGTACAGTCAATTATGAATAACAAACCTACCCCTGTAGACGCTGACACTATGGGGACAAGAGGAGCATAATTTCCGTTTGAATGAGTTCCATCTCCATCGGCCGACCACTTCGGCTGGTAAGACGAGGGGTGGAAGACCCTACGCGACAATATCATATTATGTGTGCTATTTTCGAATTGAAAAATACTTTATAAAATGTAGTTACTTAAAGGGGAAGTTCCATACATATCTCTATTTAATATCTTGTAGTAAGACAGAACTACAGTTTAAATGATTTATATAGTTAAAACTAATAAGAGATAATAAGCAATAAAAAGCGAAGTTCCTTTCTTAGATACAGGTAAAAAAAACTAATAAATTAAAAAGACTTTGGGAGTCTTTTTATCTCAGCAAGCCGATTAATCCAGTGTCGAAGATCGTAGCTCTGATTAAGATAGAGGAGGTGGTAGTAATGGTATTGATAGTGGTTGAGGACGAGAGATGCGTAATCTTGGAGAAGAATAAGAAAGCAGAGTTTATTCCTTCTTACGCTGTTCTTTATCCTTAGTGATTTTTAACCGCGCTAATTGTTCTTCGAGAAGGCGTATTCTTTTAAAGCTCTCAGTGATATCTCGCGAAAGAAGTATCTGGTGAACCGTAACCATACAGAAGAAAACCAACCCTGGTGGTCGTGGTAAACGCATTCTAGAAGTAGAGAAGTAGAGAAGTAGTAAAGTAATGGGTGAGTGATAAGAAAGATGTAGCAGCCTCCTTATATAGAGCTTGAGGAGATAAAAGTGAGAATGGGTATGTGAGAAAGGATGTGTAAAGACTAGTGTGGGATGGTAATAGGAGAATTATTTTATAGTTTGAGTCAGTCATACTCGCGTAATAGTGATGCTGGAACCCAGGCCAGGCAACCGAGGGCACTATGAGCATTCTACGTCAGGGATTTTTAACAGGCATGTTTCATTGCGAAGCCCGTTTGCAATATTCGACCCACGAATTCCGAGCAGACGATGACGGAGTAGAGGACTTGCATCCCCGGAGCGATACCGCATAGCATGACAGAAGTGTGCGCGTGTATCTCCTTAAAATTAACGCCCGCCTATTAGGGTATCTGGAGACTGTTGGCGTTGATCTAGTGTACGGGGTGGATTATTTTGCGCTGCAAATGCTCTTCGCACTTAATGAACTTTGATTTCGGGCTTTATGTCACCTATTCTGTCGCGGACCGCGATATAACCTCTTAGTGCTGGTACTTCAAGAAGACGTTGCCAGTATCATGAAGACTAAAGATGCTGTAGCAGAGCTACTTTGTTGGTACCCTGAATTACAGCTACATGTTCCGCTTTACTCGACCATAAAGAAGAAGGGGGACAAATTGGTGGGCGCGAAGTCAAGTGAGGCTCATTTTATCGCGTGGATGTTAGTTACAGTTAAAGAGAGGCGCGGTTGTCTGCAGTTGGCCGATTGGATCCGACGCAATTTTAAGTATGAGGTGGAATAGCTGCTCTCTGCTAGATAGTCATCGCATCTCTTTTTAGCAAATCATCTTTTATCAATTAATACTTACTCCCCTGCTTCGGAGTATATGTGCTTTGATTCCGAAACCCTAGTCGGAAAGCAGAACTAACAGCAACAGGCATCTTGTAGTTCAACATGTTAGCGAGGACGTGGTAATGCGCTACTCCTTTCTGCCTTGACATTTTACATACTCCTCCATATAGTTAAACAACTATAACTACCATTCTGACCGACTACCATAGAACATGCTCTTAATGTCAATTGTGAAAAGAGCGTAATCCTGATTGAATCGAGATGGGAACGAGTATGCAAGGATACTAGACTAAGGCTGTGGAGCAAGTCCGACTACGGAGTGGATCTGTACTAAAGATCCCTGTCAGTTCTTATCTCGACCGGTCACCAATGGCAGATTTCCTGATCTTCCGGAGTACCATGCACCATCGGACTATCACTAGTACAACTCGGAGTAAGTCGGAGTGCATCCAATTCAACGCTTGGGGACAGTCAATTATCATGTTGGTGAGCTATATAAACTCTTACTTTTCCTTTGATCCCTATAGATCAGAGAGATATCGATGAGATCCTTCTGTGACCTATATATTCGAAACCATTCAGGATACCTTCCTTGCTCTCACGGTGAGCTCGCGGTATGAAGACTCAATCGCATGAGACCACCCAGTCCGTGGCGACACATGAGGATAGAACACAAACACCCTTTCAACCACGAAATGCCCCCGAAGACGAGATCCAATCACTCCCGCATTCAGTCGATCAAATTCCCCGCTCCGGCCGTTCAATGCTTCTCCCCTTGCTCTTTGGCTGAAACCCAAAGTCTTGAAAAGACCCTGACAGGGCGGACCCTTGCAGGTGGTGATCGTGCGCTGGGACATATTGTAAGCGATACAAGCGACCGTGGCATTGACTCCTCGATACGGATACCCCGGAAGATCTGCAATCACCCTGTCCAGCGGATTGTCAACTGGGCCATGATGAAGCAGCCCAGGTGTTGACAGTAGGATTCATATGTATGCAAAGTGAAGACTTCCCTCATTTGTTAGTGGTATATATTGTGTCGGCACTCGCGTTTCGTTTCATAGCTTGCTCCATCACATTCTTCCCCTTGATAACATGGGCTCCCCAATGCTCCAGCTCTTTCATATAACCCAGAGTCCAGTCCTAGTAGATCTCATCGGTGACTGCAATCCCCGCGAAGTAAACCGGAAGGGGCCATATGATTGAGCAAGGGGAAGCAAGACATTTGAATTTTCGCATCAATCGCGCAAGTCTGATCAGTTCCTGTGCCGCTGACTGCGCCTGTTGATCTGTTTTCGCAGTGTGATGGACGGCTTGGTGCAGCATGATCGTAGCACAGAGACAGAGTGATTTGACAGTCATGATGGCAAAGGTAGCGGATCCGCTGTCCACGCCCTGCTGATCTGTATTTAGCAGACTCTGGGACGCGAATACCACCTCGCATTCCTAATACCTGTAAGTGCTGTGCTTCCAGCAGAGCTACTTGATGATCACACGTGAACTGAAAGCACTCACAGCATGAATCCTTCCCAGATCTGCTCGCAGCGCATCGATCTGCGCTTCCCGCAACTCCTCGATTAATGGCTCCTCAGTGATCCGCGATTTGGCGCTCTGATCCCAGGCTTTGAACGCGCGCACTTTGCTGAGGTAGAAGAATAGTGCATCGTACTTCTCCCGGCAGCGCTCTTTCCGTAGATCCTCGTCGTTTTCCTCTCTTGGAATAACGTTTCCGAAGAATTCAGTGAGATACGGCTGCTGCCTCCGAGCCCCACGCAAAGTCGGAACGGCATCGAGCTCGATGAGCACGGTCATCAAGTCTTTCTCATATTGCCCGGCATCGGCATCTTCCCCTCCCACGAGCAGGTATCGTAACTCCATAAATGCCAACCAGATAAAGATGCAGCATTCTATGGCCCCAGGCAAAAGCTGTCTTCTCCAATGGTACACAAAGGTCTGTTTGACTTCGTTTATCCGTGTCTCAAAGGATGGAAAGTCATCCACGATAAGATCACGATGACAGAGAAAGAACGTGGTGGATAAATACTGAGACAGCTGATCCGACGCACTACTGACCAGATCGCTGATTTGGTTCGAGAGAAGTTGAATCGAGTCCGAGGCAGTCGTGTTCGTGTAATGGATGAGCCTGGAGGGCTCGGACGCTATGAGCCCCAGCCGGAAGAGATACGCATATGTCCATCACAGAATTCTGTGGAAAAGGGGGGAGTCGGGAAACGCCTGTGCCATGTTAATGAGGTAGTGATAGCAGCTCCAGATGGACTTTTTAGTCGAAAGTCAGTCGGGGACGCGGTTCATGTCCTGGGCCCAGGTGACTACGTCCCAGTTTTGACCTGGTAGTGTATTTACAAGCCCTGACAGGCTATCGTCGATCTCGAGGGGGTTTGAGCTGGGCGAGGGGAGTGGCAGGAGCGCGTCGCATGCTATCCAGGGGTCAATGAGGGACTCGGACGTCGGCTGCTCATGCACATCGACGGGTAGATCAGGATTGCTCTCTTGATCGTGGTCAGAAGTAGGAGAGGTGCTCTGGACAGCAGAAACTTCCCTTTGGGTGGTATGATATGAATTGTCGGGATTGAGAGAAATTCCCAGCCACTCGGTAGATTCATCGATAGAGCTTTCTAGAGGGGAATTCCCAACCGGTCCTGGAGACGCTGCTTGACCAGCTTGAGCCTCCTCTTCCAACAGCCCGAGAACAGAGGTTGTATGGATTTTCCGCTTTGTTCCTCTTGTTCTAGATGTATTCTTTGGTTTTAAGTTCCCCGATACCGACCACACTCGGATGTTTTGCTGGAAAGAGGCAACACACGAGAGGCCGAGGCGGCTGCATTTCTCGCATGGAGAAGACCGGGAAGTGCACTTGACCTCACGCCGGCGACAGATCAGACATCCTGAAACTGATCGAGAGCGCCGTAGGGTTGTTGATGGTCGCATGATTGCTGGAACGATCCGATCGCACTGATCGCACTGTGATGTATGTGATACAGGGAGAAAGTCGGGGTCTCCGCATTTCTTTGTTACTCCGGAGAAGCTAAGTAACTTAATAACTGACTAGTTCCTTCTATCAGCCTCGGCAAAAGTGGGACTTTTTCTTTGCATGTGTTGGTAACACATTCAGCTCTGGCGGCTCCAAGACTTGTGCAATGGCCTCGTGTGGAGTCATACTGGATGTAGCAGTGTCGTTGTATAAGCGTTTACATGGACGCCTATTACTGGTTTTATGACGTAGAGCATCAGTCGATGTTGAATTGAGATGAATCCCTGCTAGACACATTCTAATCTAGACGCATATAAGTGGGTAAAGACAGACATGTTCTCCGGTTAACCTGATTCCATACCGTTGTTCCACCTCTTCAGCAATGGCCGGAGATATCACAGGCAATCTTCTCGGCAAGTGCATCTAATCCAGCGTTAGCGATCTAATCTTTTTTCGTATCAGAGTGTACAACTTACAGACGGTAGACATAGGATGACCTGGTGGCAACAGAGCGAACGACGATGAATCCACCACGCGCAACTTCTGCACGCCGATCACTCGAGCCTGCGCGTCGACCACAGCCATTGGGTCAGTCACTTTGCCCATTGCGCAGGTACAAGATGCATGCCAGATAGTATGGATATTTTTCCGAATAAAATCTGCGATTTGCGCGTCAGTCGACACGTTCTTGCCGGGAAAGCGTTCTTCGCCGATGACAATAGTTCGCAACGCCTCGGTGTCGAAGAATTGACGGGCGCGCTTGAAGCCAGCAACCAAAATATCCATGTCTGAGGGTTCATCAAAATAATTTGGATCGATTATCGGGGCCACATTGGTGTCGGCCGAAGATATTGTCAATGTTCCTCGAGACTCGGGGGCAACGAGGACAATGCCTAATGAGCCGTAATCGATGCCAGGCTCAGCGATTGAATTGGCTGGGTTCAAGGGAACGGTGATATATTCCACCTCAGGCCAGTCAGCTGGGTAGGCATTCAGCTGGTCGCGTGTTTTATTGCTCCATGTCGCTCGCAGAGACTCCGGGATTTTCTCCATCGCCAGGGCCTCCGTATTGGATCCGGTCAACATGCCTGCAGCGTGCTCGTTAAACAACTGGATATGTTTCGCGCCGAAAGCAGGGTTCATTAACGAGGACATGGTCGGAACGTTGACTTGGTATCCGATATCGTAAACGACGTGGTCCTGCATCCCTTGCCCTACCCCCGGCCGGTCAGCGATTATTGGAATATCAAAAGATTTCAAGACTTCCGCTGGTCCAACACCAGAAACCATCAACAATTGCGGTGATCCAAACGCTCCCGCGCAGACGAGGACTTCTTTTCGAGCCGACAGGACATACTCAAGACCCTGCACTTCAACGACCACGCCAGACGCTGCCTTTTCTTCGGTGAAAAGTATGCGCTTGGCCATTGCCATAGGATAAACAATGAGGTTCGGGTTTTTCAGGCCCTCGCGAAGGAATGAGGTTTCGGAAGAATCCCGAGTCATCGTGGTGCCATTTATAGTTAACGTCGAATATGAATGTCCAATTATCTCTCCGCTCAAAAATCCCGGAATTTCAGGAATCCCAATTTGTGCGAAGCCTGGAATACTCCAGGTGGTGAATGCCTGGGCATAGTTTGGGTATGAGATTGAGAGTGGCCCATTCCCATCACTCGCCGCCAGGGCATCATAAACAGGCGTGGAGTTTTGGAACCGCAGGTGCATGTTGGGTCTTGTGAGATTGACGCTCTTCTTGAAGTAGGGATGGAAATTCTCCCATCGATAGCTATCATCCCCCACTTTATCGGCCCATCGCTCGTGCGTTCCCACGGTTCCACGTTGGTAGACCATTGAATTTCGAGCTGAACTGCCGCCCAACGTCTTGCCTCGTGCATAATGAATGGAAAGGTTGTACGCCCCCTAGTTCCAGTTACATGTTGTCAGCAATTTTCTTTTTTGTCTTGTTTCATTGACTTACAGCCTGTGGTGTGGTCGCATATCCCCAATCAATCAAAGGATGCCAATCGCTTAGCTCTCTGCCCGACGATGCCCCGGTAAATGCTGGCACTTGACTGAAGTTTCCATTGCTAATCTCGTAGAACGATCCGGCCTCAATCACGGCGACTGTGCCCGCAGACTGCTGGACTAGTCTGGTAGCAAGAGTCAAGCCTGCATTTCCACCACCCACGACAACATAGTCATAAGTTGCGTTTGTTCCGGGAACACCGAAAGAAGAACCAAAGGGTGGGCTGGCCTGGGCAAAGGCAGCCAAGAGCGCCAGTAATGCAGCTTTGGCGGTCATATCGAGAATTCTCACCATGTTGGCACGGACAACAACGGACGGCTTGCACGAAGGACCGGTAGATATAGAATCCCGCTTTATTAGTTTCCAACATTTTAATGGCTTCCCATGCCACCGGACAAAATCATATCAGCGGCTCTGTCGATGCTGTCATGAATTCCGGACGCCCGGAGTCATTTCGGTCCTTTGAAGGCAGGAGCGAATCGGTGGTGACTTCCATATCGTCGACGTGTATGTCTCGGGAATCGAAAGCATCAGCCAAAGCCATATCATACCGAACCACCGGTGGACTATTTAATCCCTCACTTTAGAATCGCACTCCGGGGTGCTTCGGATGCCTTTGTATAGGTGAGATACAAACTCGACTGATGGGGAATATGTAGAAATAATCCGCCGTGTAACCTTGAATATAGTAGCAGGGAACATCCTTGTTAAACGTTTGAGATCTGAGCGCTTCGATGGGTCCACGGGCTCCATGCTACCGCCCTTTAGATCCTGTCTGGCCGCATGCAGGATTGTCAATCCTTTGCTTCCGAGACTGAGACGGTACAGACTGAGTCACTGAACCCATTGCTTTTGTTGTCACTTTGACTGCAGTGACTTCAACCTCCGAAAATAATGTAACCCTATGCATTCATCAGTGGATTATGTTAGTTGCATAATATTTATGCCCAAAATGATTTGTTGATCAGTCATCAATTCGCATATCAGAAAGTCTCACCACAGCTCGTGCGTTCTACAGTCAGCTTTGATTCTGAATGTCGGATATTTCTGCTCGGAGCCCCGAATATCATCCGAATGATGGGGTTGATCTTATAAACCCGTCCAACGAATGATTAGTAGCCACTGTTGCTCCAATTGCGTCATGGCAGATCGTGAAATGGCTTCTGATGTCTATAGCCAGACCATACCTCATGTCCGCCTTGGTTTCCACATGGTACAATGGTTGCACACAGCTCGGAGTTCTGGTCTTCCATTTCCGGGACTCCGATTGCCGTTGCACCGATTACTTCAGAGCAGTGGCATAAACAATACCACACGTATAAATCCCACTGAGAATCCGCGAGGCTGTGCAGTCATTCTGCTTTTGGTGAATACCACAACCAGGATTCTTAGTGGAAGACTCCGATATTTTGTCTCATAGCAGGTCCCGTGATCATCAACATAAAAGGTTTCGGTAGAGAGACTGAATTGATCAGACAACTCTCCCATCTTTCGATTAACCTCATCTTCTCCCATATATCTAACACTATCTCAAGTCTTCATCATGCCTTCCTTCACTGTCTTCAAAGGCCAGAGCAGTAGTGTGGCTGTGAAGAGCACCACCACGAAGCCAGACCAGCTTATCGGTGACAATGTCTTGGTGAGAGTGACTGCATCTGGGGTGTGTGGAACAGGTGTGCTTCTGCCATCACATTTCCAAGAAGGATATTTTGCTAATGCTCCTCCCTAGATCTGCATTATGTCAGTCTTGACATTCTCTTAGCAAGAAAACAGGCTCTCTATCAGAAGACTAACCACTAGCATAGCGATGCGCCAACATGGTCCTAGGCCACGAGGGAGTCGGCATCGTTGAGGCCGTCGGACCCGACGCTCAGACCCTGAAAACAGGCGATCGCGTCGGCTGGGGCTACGAAGTCGACAGCTGCGGCCACTGCATCCAATGTCTCCAGGGCGCCGAGCCCTTCTGTCCCCAGCGCACTCTCTACGGCCTCGCCAACCACGATCAGGGAAGCTTTGCCTCGCACGCCATCTGGCGCGAGGCCTTCCTGCACAAGATCCCGGACGGACTCACCGATGCCGAAGCCGCTCCTCTCCAATGCGCAGGCGCGACTACCTTCGCTGCGCTCGATAACATCCACCCCGGAGACACCGTTGGTGTGCTTGGCGTCGGCGGCCTCGGCCACTTAGCCATCCAGTTCGCGTCGAAGATGGGCTGTCGTGTGGTCGTTCTGTCAAGCTCGGACAAGAAACGCGAGGAAGCGATGAAACTCGGTGCGCATGAGTTTGTCGTCATGAAAGATGCTGCTCCTCTACAGGTCTCTTCGCCCTTGAATAGACTTCTCGTTACTGCCTCCACGCCGCCGAGATGGGATCTTATCCTCCCGATCATGGCCCCTAGATCAATTGTCTACCCGCTGTCGGTTTCGAAGGGCAACTTTGAAGTCCCGTACATGGCCCTGATCCTCAAAGGGATTGCCGTCAAGGGATCTCTTGTTGCCTCGCGAAACCAGCACCGCAAGATGCTTGAATTCGCGGCATTGCATCAGGTAAAGCCAATTTTGGAAGAGTTTCCTATGAGCGAGGAGGGAATTAACCAGGCGATGGATAAGTTGGCTAAAGGCGAAGTGTATTATCGGGCTGTTTTGGTCCCGGCTGATGCCTGAACCCTCAGATTTCTCTGTAGTCAGTAGTTGGGAATTGACGAATGAAATCAAATTGCCTCTGATCCCTGTAAATAAATAAGATCCATATTACCAACCAATCAAATCTCATTTCTAGTTCCAGCAATTACAAAGCTCTTTGTCCATTCGCCTAGCAGATCTAGTGGGACTGGAGAGAAAAAACAAAGCAGAAAAGGAAATCCAACACCCATCAAAACCACCATTTACAGGAGTTTCCAGAGCTATCTAAGAAAGCCTGATTCTTAGCCCACTCCAATACATCAAATCTATCCCATCCGTACCATGCTGAACGGCAAACTACATCGTGCTTTCAACATACTACCCAGGACAAGGAGGACGGAACGGAATAGAAGGCAATCTGTCTTGAACTATTCTACATCCCTTGATCAGCTACCGAGGTACATATCTTAGTCAAGCTTATCGCCGTGGAGAAATACCATCATGGGTGACCCTGGAGTTATCGACCTACATGCGTTATCATGGATATAACTTGTTCCGAAGCAAATACCGAAGCATAAGCCAAACGGACGTGCTATTCAACTAAGCGTATCTACTGCGTACTTTCCCAAATTTCCCAAAGAGTCATAAGATGAGACCGTCATGGACACAAGTTGCAAGCAAACAAGTCCTTTCTTTAGCCTGAGCCGATGATCTGATTGCTGTGAGTATATTCCATGCTTCTTGCATGTTTTCAGCCCTCTGTTCCTTTGCTTGAATAAGCAGAATGCCAGACGCATCGTACTCGATAGGTCAATCAAGCATTCTTTCTACTAGCACAGCAAGGGGGCTTGGCTTCTTGTGGAGAAGAGAGAAGTCGGCAAACTGAATAGTCGATGAATAGACGGGCGTCAAGGAGGGGCCGGCTTGAAGTTACCGCGGGAGGAATTGTCGAGGGCAGGAAGAGGTCCATCCAACAAAGTCGGCCAGCTGAGCTGAAAGAAGAGCTGAAAGAGGGGCACGGCATCATGCGATTCCCGCCTGAAGCGATGGATGTCTCTGACGTGGTTTCAGGACGCGCGATCCTCTCGATTCTCTTCGCGCTTTAATCTCAGTCTTCTCCCTCTTTCCAATTCTGCCAACTCAATGGCTCAAGCAATTTCGGTACGATTTCGACATCTTTCAATTAGCTTCCTGGATGTGTTGCAGAGGGCCAATATTTGCAGCCTGACTTGTTGCCAAGCTGGCGCAGCTAGGATATCCTTGTCTGAATCAGCCATTCACGACCTACTAGACGAGGAGGTGTTGCTAAAACCCCCAAATGCCTAAAAAGGTAGTTGATGAGTGAGTCATCGATAGCCAAGTTGTGATTTATGGTCTGGACGGGCCATCCACCACCCGGATCCGAGCCGTAGGGTCTAGCACGGCAGGAGATACCCCTGGCTACCTGGTCGTTGCTCGTATGCCTTCGTAACACGCGGTTTCCTAGCTCCGTTCCGCTGGCTGACCCCTACGTGAGAAATCTCCCCTCGTTCTCAGCTCCCTAGCCGAATATAACTGGACCAAACCGGGTGTCATAACTGGGTGCTTTCTTTACAATGTAGAACTCGAAGTTGGAACCAAACCATGAGTCCGGCTCTACAGACGGGGGGCATCTTTCGTGTTTCCATTGAGCATTGATGAAGTTATGCAAGGAAGCTTGATTGGTTGGCAGGATAGAACCGAGCGCATGCTGTCGCTTAGCTCCCTGCATAACCAATCCCATGAATAGTGTGGGAGAAGATGTACATTCACCATGGCAGTGTCGTTCCATCGTAGGCAAAGAATTGATCCGCATGAGCTCTGTCGGTGCCGTTAATCTATTATTTTTCAGTCTATCTCGCCGTTCCTGGCGTCGGTAATGGCGTCGAACTCTCTTCGTTCTCCTCAAGCAGGGCTCGAAGCCACTCAAACATGTCCTTCGCATTTCGTGCATCCCATCAGTCGCCCATGCAGCAAGTCCTACTAGTATGGTCAACCAAGGCCACAAAGGATCATCAGCATTTATCCGTACTCCACCGATTGACATAATTGTCAAAAGAGCCCTGTTTATGAGCCCTTAGGATAAGACGGCCTGCTATTCATTGCCTCATAGCACCATAGTTCAGCTTAGTAGGGTTACATTTACTCAAAAGTGGAACCGATGGTAAGACATGTGGGGATTTCTAACCTCGAAGATATCATGTTTTTCTAACTTAAGCATACACACATACTCCTAATTCAAGATAATGTACTTTATATCTGCTACCTTGCTTTCAGCCTGGATATTATGTTAGATAATTTTAATAGGCTACCTTAAATTTTATGTCCTAATAATACTATTAAGAGGAGGGTCCGGACAGGAAGCTAATAGTTTTGTAGTTCATGCAAAGTGGAACCTATACACTAAACCACTGAACCATACACAATATTACAAGTTTATAACCCTAATGCAACTACTTAGGCTGATGCCTAAGACTAGCGTCGGACGACAGATTACCTGGCCTTGTAAAGTAAATTTCACGGTGTGGCTGTGAAGCAAGCGCTGGGTTAGCATACTCCGAACGTACTTCTAAGTGGATACAGCTAAAGCTAAGGGGAAGCTAAGAAGCTCTCAGAGGCCAAGGGGATAGACAGGGACAATAATATCTCCTGGACTATTCTGCCTCTCGCTCTGTTCTCTTGCTTGCTATGTTGTGTGAATGATAATAGTAGCCCCGTATAATTATAAGCCATAGTGTTCAACGAATCCCAAGTTGCCCCGGTATCTTACCGATGGACTTTCTAGGTAGATCACCGATGTTTCTCCCCGGGCCCGATCTAATGAAGGCGTAATACGCCTAGCTGACGTTTCGACGAAGTCAACCCTTTGTTACGACAAAATCGCGCAAGTGGGGACTATCTAGGTAGCAACCGTCTGTTAAATACCCTTGTAGGCCCACCACGACCTACTCCGTAGTGATTTAAATGCTAGTACTATCTTATACAGGGTACGGACAAGCTAACAAAGAAGCGAGAAGTCTCCATCGTTTATGCTCTCAAGTCCATTATAAAAAGGAGCTTTGTCGTATAATCTCGACATTCATCCTCCCCAATGGTTACCCTTCTAGAGTTTTGTTATTTTATTCTCCGAGTGACACCCCTAATCACTATATTCTTCTTGATTATTATTAACGGCCTCCACTATTATGTTATTCGTGAAGAATGCGCTGATCGCGACTACGTGCTGTCTGGCAATATCAGCTCAGGCATTATCCTTGCCCTCCTCTATCGATGGCCAGACCCTCTCTATCGAAGGCCAGCCCCTGCCAGATAAATGATTCCGATTGATTCTCGACGAGCCTGGCACCGAGCAGAATCTTACAACAAGAGACACCAACGTTGAGCTTGTGGAGCGCACCCCCGTCGAGACATGCGCATATATTTCGGCAGCCGCGGCCTGTTTCGCTATATCCAAAGACTTATATCATCTTGCCAAGACGCTTGGGGGTTCAATCAAAGCTCTCTCTGATCAGCATAACTGTGGTCACAGTAGCGGCACCATTGACAACATTCGATACGACTATTACGCCTCAGGCCGCAATTGTGACACTACTGCCCAAATCAATACCATCGCTGGAGCCATCCATAAGTACATCGACAAGATTGAACACGGAAAGATCTGTGGCACTCAATGCGTGCGCTTAGACCACCATGGCACCTGGAAAGGATGGCTGAGAATGGGTCATGCCAGTTCCTACAATGATAAGGCTTATTGTGGTCCCGGACTGAATTTCGATAGCTGCGTTTCCGGAGGTAACAATGATATCTAAGCACCACGCGGATTGATTCTGTGGCTTTGACTCGTGCTGGTGTGATGACTGGAACAGCTCTGTTTTGGGATGTCGGTCTGCGTTACTTGTTGTTTATTCCATGTGCTATGTTTGGTCGTGGGGGAACGATGGAGCGTAATAGTATATGAGAATATCTATCCCGTTGGTTACCTAGATCCTCAATAACCGTAGTAGGAAGGAATCGCTATATTCTAGATATATTGAATCAAACTACCTCAACCTATAGACACAGAGACAGCCCAGTTTCGGATTGCCAGCTGAATGAGTATCTCAGTGTTTAAAGATATGACATTTTTCAGAACGGCCCCTTCATGATTTGAGCCTGGCTGCCCCGTTGTTGCTGCTTGGAGGACTCCAGCTATCTACCTGTATTATGAAGTGAGCTACAGATGTTAAACACTACCCAAGCTACTGATCTGATCAAGGTGTTTTAAGCCGATTACCATAGACTCGCAAGAAAAAGGAAGAATCGCCCTCGAGGGTATGAAGGGGTGCTAGACCAGAGCCTTCAAAACAGATTTCAAGACGGCTCAGGGCATCACTGTACACCTTAAGGGGCCTGGATAACAAACTGAGGTGGCTTGCTAGCACCCAGTCTCAAGCGACTGAAATGAAATTGGGGGGACAATGTTGCTACATGATGCACGGACATGCCAGGACACTACTCGGAGTAAGGCAGAAGTCTTGTTTATTAATCTATGTATCGCGATATGCTTCTTTCAGCTAGTAAGCCATCGACACTTTACCCGGTTGGGAATTAGTTAGGGCTAGTGGAGACTAGTGGTCGGAATAAATCCCGGAGTACCTAATACCTATAGTCTATACTAGCACCTATACTACGGAGTAGTATCTACTCATAACTAGTGCTCTACTCTGAGATTAAGCTCTCTCTGTAAACAAAGCAGTGTCTGCCTAGCTGGCTTAAGGCAGCAGGTGTGGATGTTTTGCGCCCAGGCATTTTTGTAATGTATCCCGGCGGGTGGATTAAGCGCGGTGAGTTCTATTTGACTCTATTCCCCTAGTATGTTACATCTTCTAATCAAGCCTTGATAAATGCAGTTCGGAAAGCTTATTATCAAAGGTATGGGCTACTCGCCGCGCCAGGCAGTTATCTTGTCCATGCCTCCTCATGCGATTCATCTCATGTTTAATATCGTAGCAGGGACTATCTCGCAGCTGGTGCCGAACTCGAGATGTGCGATGATGATACTGACGAATGTAATTATATTGATTAGGAGTGCTTTAGTTGAGAGTATGTATCTTTATCCGATATGAGAATTGAACCCAGGGTGGGAGTGTTGCTAATTCTGACGATTCACAGCGCTGCCGAGGGGGAAGAATCTCGGGGCTTTGTATAGTAAGTTCTTCATTTTTGGTGTTTTTTGCTTCAAACACCCCTCAAATGATATTAATCAATATACTTCAGTCATATATGTCAACATACATCATGTGCATGAGTCTCATCTCCTCGAATATTGGCGGCTTCACCAAAAAGGCCACGACTGGGGTAAGTCTTTTCCAAATTTTATTCAACAACGGTAGAATATACCGAAGTAAACTAATCTCCACAGGTAATGATGTTCATGTCCTACAGCATCGGCCACATCGTGGCTCCCCAGTCTTTAGACACAAGGAAGCACCACGGTATCGAACGGGGTTCCGTGCCTTCTATATTAGTGTGGCGCTGATGATTGTGATTGAGGTGTCGATGGTGTAAGTTCCCTAGTTCGAGTTGCAGTGGGAGGGACGCTAACAAATTTGCTTCTGATAGAGTCTATCTTTGGAGAAGGAATGTGAAGAAGGAAAAAGAAGCCGCTAATACCAGCAGCATGGACAATGATGAGGGTGTCTCTATGACGTACTTTCAGGACTTTACTGATAAGGAGCATCCGAAGTTTCGATATGTTGTTTAAATGAGAGTGGATGGGGCACGAGGGACGGGGGTTAATTCTTGGATGACGCAATTTGTGAAATGTGAATGCCATGTATGTATGTAGCTACACAGGGAAGACTAAGATGAAAATGTGAATAATGACTATCCTTTTCACGGGCCTTGCCTTGCCAGAATGAAGAGTTCCTATACCACTGGAGCCACCAGCGCATCTTCGAGACCAACGAAATCCGAGAGATTCGGAACCGCGCAGTATCCCACGTCAGGCATATCCTCATTTACCACTTCGGCATTATCCCCCGCCTTCTGACTTCCATCTATATCCAGATTAATTAGCTATGCTCAACCCTAGCACTTGATCAAACAAAAGTCCCACCACCACCATCAGAAGATCCACTACCACTACCATATCCCACCCACGTCCCACCGACAATCCCAGCCCCCAACCCCGAAGCCGTTGTAAATATCCCCGCAGCAGGGCCTCCCATCGCAGCTCCTTGGAATGTAGCGAAAGGACTTCCAGCTGCAACAGGCCCTGTGGCGCTGAAACCGAGAGTTCCGAGGACAGCAGGACCGGCGAGTGGTGCTGTAGCGAAGATAAGACCCGCACTGCCTACAGCGAGGGCGGTTGGGTGCTCGCGAGCGAAAGTCTGGCCAAAGGTGAATGCGGCGGGTGTTGCGTTTCTTAGAACATCCATTGCAGACCTCCTCGCGTTGATGCGGTGATATCTTAAATTGGTCCGTTAATATTAAGCCTCCATACATCCCATTCTTCCTTCGAGACTGGTACATACCACCACAGGGTGAGGAGAACAGGGCTTCCCGTCCGCTCAGCCGTACTTAAGCCATGCTTGTGAACGCGGTCAAATAATACCTGAGCCCTTCAGCCCTTGCCGCTTTATGGGTGATTGACGCTAAACTAGAGGGTGAGTGCGGGTGAGATGGGTGATGCTTTCAAAGCCAAGGTGAGTGGGGTGAGTGAGCGGGTGAGGTGAGCTGGAGAGGGCTTTTTTCGTAGATATAGATACGTTAGGGCTCTTTCATTTCTTGATTATCATTATCTACTTTTATCCAATTTATCTTGAACCTCCAGTCATTGAGTTTGTTAGTTATCTTTATTTTAATAGGCTTTTATGGCCGTTATTAGATAACCTATTTTTCCCCCTTTTATAAAGACCGTGGGCCGCCTGTTAAGAGTCCATGGGCTATAAACTTAGCCCGTAGCCCATGACAGGCCGCCCGCGGGCTTACAGAGGTCTAAGAATATCTTAGCCGGTGTAAGGTATACACCGGCACATTAAATTCATACACCGGCTGAGCTGCGACCCCGGCTTGCTAGCGACCTTATATTAAATTATTAGTATTAGAAGTTAAAAGGCCGTCTTTGTTAGAGGGTTCCAATTCCGTAACAACTAAGACAATCCAAGCTAGTTCTTTGTCTCGAGTTCATCACGACGGGGCTGATACCGACACATTACACTTTTAGGATCCCACTTATCACATATCTCCATCAAGTATCGGGCATGGTTGCTGTCCCAGTAGCGCTCCATCTTCTGGAGATCTGAATCTCCGAGATATGTGCCTACTGAGTGATTCTCAATGGTTTTCATGACCTTATGCACCCAGGACTGGTGTTGCACGTCATCCCTTATATCCTCAGATAATGCGTAAATCGCGAAGTAGTGATCTGACCGCATACTCAAGGCCATATCAGGCAGCTGACGTCTACTCCAGGGGTTCATAGCCGACCAGAATGCGAACGATTTGCCCCGAGGCAGACCTAGGAACGCGTCTTCTAACACTGTGACCACGTCGGCATCATTATGGATATAGGCGCTATCGGTGTGGTACCGATGACCCTTCGGATTTGCCTTGGCCTGTTTGTCGTATAGGTTCTCCAGGCTGTCTTCTCGACAATACCACTCGGTCAGCGTGTCTGACGGCCGGCTTTGCTGCGTGTGAATATAGTGCAGAGCTGCCTCGGCTTCCTCAGGCGTAGTCTTCATGCAAACGAAATATACACACACGCAAACGTCTGCTTGACCTTCCATATACCGCGTTACTACCGTGATTTCAGTATCGGTGTCAACCGTTGGGGTAATTTCAAGCACCCAGGAGAATGCTTCACGGTACCGATTCCGCGGGTAGATATAGCCTGATGACCGGAATCCGTTTTTCGGGTAAGGAATTAATCGCAGGTGGAATTCCGTTACAACTGCAGGAAAGGCTTGAATCATATTCTTTAGCCCAGGAACCGGTCCCAGCACAGAAAGTGCATGAGGTGAGGATAACATACCTGGCCCCGCGCCCCGAGCTGCCCAGTATAGGTCGGCATTCTGTTGTGAGTTGCAAAAGACCGATTCCCCTTGCATGGTGACGACCTTTATCGCTTCCACGCTTTCGCATGCCCAGCCCCAATTCTGAGATTGAAAAAGGATTAGGTATTTTATTAATATCATAGAAATGCGACATACCCGGCAATTCCACCCCATCCCACCCTGCAATAGAAACCCCCCAAGGCCGACATCTGGGCAATGACCCCCAGGAAACATGAGCCCATGCTTCTCGATCAGCACATCGTTGAGCTCTTTACTTGTGATACTAGGGGACACCTTTGCGCTGCGAGCTGCTTCGTCCACTTCCAAGACCTTAAAGTTGCCTAGGTCCAGCAGGATAGAGTGATCCTGTACGCTCCAAACAGGAAATGAATGCCCCCCTGCTCGAACGGCAATACGGCAATTGCATTGCAATGCGAGTTTAATCGCTGCGATAATATCGCTCTCATTGGTGGGTTTTGCTATTCCCAGTGGAAACCGGGCTGGGGAACGCTGGTTGAAGACCCGGCTGAGACGTGCAGCTTCGTAGGCGGCCTCGTCCGCCGACTCATGCCACAGAATATGCATTATATTTCGTATCAAGGGGTTTTCGGCCATTGCTGCATGAAATCTCAAACCCCTTTGAGAGCTAAAAAGCAATCGGATTTCTAACGTTCACAGTCTAGGATTGACAAGGCCCGGGCCACTGTTCCCGAAGCGGCAATGGGTTACCAATTCCGGGCCCTGCTTGTAGAACCACCTCCGCGAGGCTTTTGTGGGGAATTTACTGGGTAGGATTCCGCACGCGGCCAAATGAAACCGTATCGTCCTGATAAGGAATTTGGTGGCTGCAGCTGCCAGAATGTCTGCTGAAGCCGTCAGCTAAGACCGGGTCATGATGGTCGCTCCAACGCCGGCCAGGGAATTGGGCTCCAGTCAGCCAGGTCACGACAAAGCTTCCTCTTATCACAGGGCCCAACAAATCAGTCCTGGATAACACTGCACACTCTTTTGCGTCTGAGAAGATCCAGCAACGTTTGTCTTAATTAATCAGTTCGTGAATATCGCCGACATGCCAGCTTTTGCCATCACGCTGTCTCTCCTCCTCCTGGTCACTTTTCTTAGCCGCGTAAGACATCTCAGCGCCGTCCTTGTGTCTATCGCATGTCTACTTTACCAGCCACTTACAGGATATCCAATAGATCATAATCCAGCGATGGGGCGATCCGCTATCGTCGCTCCCCGGGCCGATGATGTCGAAATATACAGACGTGATCCTGACGTACCATTGGCTTATTGGCAACAAAGCGAAATACGTGCATTCGCTACATAAAAGATACGGTTAGTAGTCTGTCTAGAAGCGTTTCCTAGTCGTCGAGCTGACTCCGGGATCCAGGCCCAGTAGTCCGTGTCAGCCCAAATCAAGTCGATATTAGCAGCTATGCCGTGGCAAAGGAGATTCACAGCATCGGAAGCCCATTCGTCAAATCGCAGTTTTACCGCCACTTGACTCGATACGACGTCAAGAACCTGTTCAACACCAGTGATCCCAAGTTCCACGGCCAGCGAAGACGACTGCTCGCATCGCCCATGTCCAACTCGTCCATGAAGGTCCTGGAGCCTGCAATCACTGCCCGCGTTCGCCTGGCAATTTGCAGGATAGAACAGGAGATGGAAGTGCGAGGTGCAGCGGATGTGTATAAATGGTGGATGTTTATGGCGACGGACGTGGTCGGAGAGCTGTGCTTTGGGGATTCGTTCAGGATGCTGGAGCATGGACAGGTGAGTGCTTTCATCCCCCATGCTAGATGATGTAATGACCATGGTTGACGGCGGATAGAAAACCCAATATTCCAGAGACCTTGAGTCTGTGTCCGCCATGGAAGCCGTGCGGGTGGCCTTCCCAGGGATGGTCAGCCTGGCGAGTGTAATTCCTTTCTTCGCCGTCTTCCGCCAATCCGCGGAAGCGGGCTCCCGTATGGAGAATTACGCGACGCAGTCTGTGCGGCGGTATAAAAAGTTGCTTGCTGCGGATCCGTACCTAAAGCCAACTCTCTTTACGAGGCTATTCGGGGCCGGGAAAGGCGGCCTCCCGGATTGCGAGATCATCAACGAGGCAATTAGTTTTATCATCGCGGGCAGCGATACTACGGCAACGACCATGACCTATCTGGTATGGGAGGTCAGTCAGAATCCTAGCATCAAAAAGGCGCTGTTGGCGGAGCTGCAAAGTCTGCCAGACCATTTTCAGGACGATGATCTCCGCTCGCTGCCGCATCTGAACCAGGTCATTACCGAGATATTGCGTTTATACACTGGTGTCCCCTCAGGCCTGCCTCGGGTATCGCCACAGGGGATTAATCTTGGGGGATACTGGATCCCAGCCGGTGTAACGGTCACTACTCAGGCGTATAGCCTACATCGGGATCCTGTCGTCTTCCCGGACCCAGAGAGGTAAGAGAAACTACCATGAACAGGCTGATATATATGTATGTATGTATCAAGGGGCTAACGATACTAGATTTGATCCTCGCCGCTGGGAACGACCTACTAAGGAGATGGAAGATGCATTTATGCCGTTTGGTGGCGGTGCTCGCACCTGTATCGGGATGCATTTGGCTAAGACTGAGCTTCGACTGGCAACGGCGCACTTCTTCCGAAAGTTCCCCAAGGCAGTCGTCTCGACAAAAGAGGGAATGGGTGTAGACGATATGGACCAGATTGCCTATTTCTTGATGTCACCGAAGGGCAAACGGTGCCTGGTGGAGGCTTGGTAGCCTAGATCTCAGGTGCCTGGAGAGAACCATGAATAATTCGGAGGGTTTTCATCACTACACCATTGAATACGCTTTGCAGCGGAGTGAAGATAGACCACAGTATACGAGCTAATCTATCTAGTGGCAATGACACAGAGTAGCATATTTCGAAGCTGCAAACGAGCTGTGATGTTGCCTATTTAATGGTCTTAATTTTCCACTCTGTGGATGTAACGGTTTCCTGCTGATTCTCCACCCTCATCGAGGGGTACCCCATTTCTAGTCAATCAACAGGAAAATTAAAGGTTTTTCCCCGCATCCGTCGGTAGAGGATTTAAAGGCCTATAGATCGGCAAGGACCCACTATGCAGCCAAGCACCTTTCCCCCATCATAGACCTACTAGGAAAAGACCTGATCAATTTCCGGAAGCGTTGCTTCTCAAGTGGTCCTGTTGGAGCTAGTAAAGTATCATATGCTTTATAATATACTCTCTGTCTGTACCCACAGTTTCGGTGACTGACTATAAGTAAGCCCGAAAGTACTGTACATTGCCATCTCCGACACTGTACCTATCTCACAAAAGATTAAGCAAACACAGCGATGACTATCCCAGAATCTAACCTTATCCTTGAGTCCTCGGAGTCAGTAGACCGTCGACCTCTAAACGACAAGAATGGAACGCATGGTATGCCCCCGATGCCTCCCCTGTGAAGGAACATATGCCAACCATGAACACGAGATAGGTCTTACGCTCTCCGCCGAGCCCATCGACGGGAAGGAGCCAACCAGCGAGGTGAAAATGGCAGCCAGCATGAGAAAGATCCTGGCCGACATGGGGGAAGACCCGAATCGGGATGGGCTCCTCAAATCGCCCGAACGATACGCCCGCGCGATGCTCTTCCTGACGAAAGGCTACCATGAAAATGTGTGGGACATCGCCAAGAACGCCATCTTCGATGTTGACCACAACGAGATCGTCGTTGTTCGGGACATTGAAGTCTTCAGCATGTGCGAGCACCATCTAATCCCATTTATGGGCAAGGTAGGAAGCTTACTGCACATGATATCACTGCAATACGGCTGACCGACTGGTGTCGCAGGTCCATATTGGGTATATCCCCAACGGTCAGGTACTGGGATTGTCCAAGTTGGCTCGCATCGCGGAAGTCTACGCGCGACGACTGCAGATTCAAGAGCGTCTGACGGAGCAGATTGCGCAGGCTGTCGATCAAATCCTGAAGCCACAGGGGGTGGTCGTTGTCATCGAATCCGCCCACATGTGTATGGTGATGAGAGGGATCCAGAAAACTAGCGCGGTAACTACGACAAGCTGTCGGACGGGAATTTTCCGGAAGGATAAGGCCGCTGAAGAGCAGTTTCAGTTTCTCCTCAAGCTACGGCACTAAGGTTACATAGAGCCTTGTTCGTTCATTTAGGTAGTAATGGAATGTTGTATCGAATGATTCGCACTGTACACCCAAACCAGAGAAATCGAAACGGCCTATTTTACCTGGGACGTTTTAATCCGTAGCCATTGGGTTTATTCTAAGACATATCGTAATTTCTCTTTTAGTCATTGCATCAGTAGGACTAGAACTGCATTAGAAGTTCGATCTGTGCGATTCCCGATGAGTGGTATACGGTTGCACGAAAGGCACGGGGAATTGGCAGAAGCTGCCGTATTTAGAAGGCCTCTCATATACTACTCTACTTTTCTGTTTATATGCTGAAAGCAGTCAGAAATAATGGATAGGATTAGTAATATTCTAATCAAAAATAGAATTAGTATAATCTCTATAATATGCAACCATCTCAAGGTCACATTCTACTAGTACTTGCTTATTTACTGACCTGAAACAACATTTTTTGTGTCTTAAATAGTATAATACAGTTGCATAAAAGGCACAGGGAATTGGCAGAAGCTGCCGCATTCGGAAGGCCTTTTGTATACTACTTTACTTTTCTATTTGTGGGCCGAAAGCAGTCAGAAATAATAGATAAGATTAGTAATAGCCTTATTAGAAATAGAATTAGCATGATCCCTAACATGCAACCATCTTAAGGTCACATTCCAGTGGTACTTGCTTGTTTACCAATCTGAAACAACAGTTTCCGTGCCTCCAATGGTGTAAGACTAACGTCTGGTTGTTCATTTCATGAGATAACATACTTGTTGGATATTTCAACTTTGCCTATTTCCTTGCATATTCTAGAGCAGCCACTATGGGTGAATGCAAATCCACATTTCAAATCCCTCTGGCGCCGCCGCTTGTCGACCACATCTGTCTTCGCAATGTTCAACTCCCTTTACCCTGCGCCCCAGAGGCATGGCATCGGCCATGTCTGCCGCAACCATGCACCATGTCTCTCAGGCTATCATGTTGCTCTATCATGGCATCGGCAGCAGATGATGATGTATCCCAGTCTCTAGACTATGGGAAGCTCTATCGCCGCATCGAAGAGCTTGTTCGCCACTGGCCCATTGTACATGCTGGCTATCCGAGTCCCATCCTACAATGGTGCAGGGCGCTTCCATCGGTCGATCCTGGACAGGATATAGCCTCCCTGGCTGGGAGAATTGCTAGCTTAGCGTTAGGGTACCTCAAGGAAACAGCCAGGGAGATACACGCCAACAGGCCGGGCGCTATTCAGCAAGAGTTCGGACAATGTGAGGTGGACCTGCATCTTCCGAAGGCTCTACTCCGAGCTGAACAAGGTCTATGGTACCGCTGCCATGCCTCGTTGGGGCGAAGTCCGGAAGGAGCTGAGGCTGCCGTCGTGACTGGAGAGGAGTTTCGGATTCGGAATATTCGCTGCCACTGTCTCATTGGCATCAACCCGCACGAACGACTTGAGAAGCAGGTGGTTGTGGTATCATTGAAGTTTCAAAGTCCTGGGGCGCATTTTCTAGACATGTATCAGGAGATGACGAGAGTCGTGGCCGAGGTATGAGGGATCTATCACCCAGGAAAACACAAACTAATCAATATGGCGCTCCCAGGAAGTCGATCAAACAGCCTTTCAGTCGGTGGAAGCTTTAGTCACGTTCGTTGCTCGCATTGTGACGGTGCGCTTTGGAAACGATGTGGTCACGGTGCGGGTCGAGAAACCCAATGCTTTAGCATTCGCAGAGGGAACCGGCGTGGAGGTGACTCGCTCTCGAAGTTTCTTTACAGAGGAAGTCTAGAATAGCTTGACATAGACATAGCAGTCAATACTTAGGGATGGAGACCTTTTACAACATGCCGGAAATTAAGTGATGAAAAAATGCTTTGCTTTCTATGCTAGTTGTATCCCTTAACACTGTATGCCGCGCATCACAACCGCCAGTTTGCCCCGAACTGGTACATTGAGATCCCACGTGTTGATATCTCCACCATGCTAATGGCAAGAGCTGGACCGACTTGCCCAGAGTCAAGGACGGTTCAGCTGTCGTGGATCGTCTCCGGAAACGGAGAACGACAGCCGTAATGGGCGTTACTTAACGCAGGGACTGTGGAACTGTAGGTTGCCAGCTACTGTTTAGGCACATTCCAACGGAAATTCCTGCCAGGTCACGTAGCCTGTTCCACTAAAATACAGGCACGATTGCCATCGATTGCCCGATCTAACTCCGTGGTCGATGGCTCTGGAGAACGACATAAAATAATCCGGGCCGAATGCGACAACCCCATGATCGAAGTTTCTGCTCCTCCTGCTCGTCCATTCAATCCGACCTACCGATAGTATAATTAACGGTCGAAATTCGGGTGCAGGTAGTGAGTTTACTCGTCACACCCCCGGCCGCCACCTCGATCATTTTTCACCATGGGCGGTTGGAACTATGGATGGCGTTCCGCGAAGCCTCTCATCATCACCACCATCAGCATTGCATTGTTCGCTGGTGCGCCTGCCTTGTTTCCCCTCTCATCACTGGCTAAGTCCCTCGCTATCAAGTACTGAACTAATCGAGACTCCGTAGAAACCTTTCTGTATAGCTTCATTATCCCTATGCTAAGCTACATGCTGGAAGTTCGTCTAAATGTTGACCCGTCCGAAACGCAGTGGTATACCAACGCCCTGCTTACTCTCCACGGTCTGGTCGCTCTCATGGCGGCACCGCCAATTGCCCATTTTACCGACAAGACCCCCAATCGCAAGGGGCCCTTCCTGATTGCCCTCGCAGCATCTCTAGCCGGGACATATTTGATTGCAATCGCGTCATCCGGTGAGGTCCTTTCCTGCCGGACTTCCCAGGAAGAGTTGTATTGCTTACCCGTACACAGTTTGGGTGCTCTATCTCGGTCGCGTGATCCAGGGGGTCGGTGGATCAGCCTCCTGGATTGTGGGCTATGCCACTTTAGCAGATAACATCGGACCAGAAGACATGGGGAAGGCGATGGGGCTAGTCATGTCCTTTTCGCTTTTGGGCATCGTTGCCGGACCGACGGTCGGCGGAACCCTCCTCCAGCTCCTTGGATACTGGACCGCCTGGACTGCTCCCCTAGCAGTTCTTGTCCTCAATATTATCGTCCGCCTTGTCATGCTGGAGAGGCGAGATAGCCTCCCCTCTGTTCCTGATCCCCGCACGGTAGCCTCATACTCGTCAGATGTTTCTCAAGGAGCCGTGGAGCGACAAAGCCAAAGCCAGGATGAGGCATCTACATTGCTTTTATCATCATCATCACAAGGCTATTCGTCTTTCAACGCAACACCTCCCAAGGCTAATCCATCAGATGCCCCCGAGCAGCGCCCAGGGTTTTATGGCCTCATGTTCAGAGAACCGAGGTTCCTTACAGGAGCAGCCAACCTCCTTCTATATAATATTATCACAGCTGGTTTTAACACGACATTGCCTCTCCACCTGCGTGGTATCTTCCATTGGAGAAGCATGACGACGGGACTGATCTTTCTTGGGCTACAGCTCCCTCAAGTAATCCTCGGTCCACTCATCGGATGTCTCCGCGACCTTCTAGGGTATCGGTATCTAACTACAGTCGGCTGGGTCCTCTTGGCTCCATTACTCTGGCTGCTCGGGGTCCCTGGCTCTGATACTTTCTCCTGGAGCCGCCCCGAAACCCATGGCAAAGCCTCCTTTTTTACATGTATAACTGGCATCGGTGTTATGCTTAGCCTGGTCCGCGGCGGGGGAGCTTTGCAGATGACTAGTGCGTTGCGACTCTTCTCTCTGGTTTTACTGCGGGCCGACTATTCTAATCAAGCCACTGACGGCAACAGGGGTTATGTACGAACTACAGTCTAAGGATCCGACGGTCTTCGGTGATTATGGCGCGAGCTCCCGTCTGTTCTCTTTGATAGAGATATTCTTCAACCTAGGATTGGCACTAGGCCCTCTGCTATCTGGACTTTTAGTCGAGGCGTTCAGCTTCTACTACACGTGGGGCTTGTTTGGTTAGTATATTCCTTGGTTTCTGTTCTGCTTTTATCGCTATCTCCAGCCCAGAGATATCTTACATTGTTGCAGGTGGGGTTTCCCTTCTTGTTGGGGTTTTAACCTTCTTCTTCTTCGACAATGGGCTCCCGGTTCAGCGGGCTGAACCTACAGCCTGACGCGATAGCATCGACCGTCCTGATCCACCTTGCGTGGGACATCGGGCTCATGGTTTACGTTGTTAATTTCTTACATACTGTCTGTTACTAGAGTTGCCTTTTCGATCCAAATAAATCTAGCTCTATTATTTAAGCCAAAGCGTGTCTGCATCATCAATGAACAGAGCTACCAATTATGGCTCCGGGTAGAAGCGCAAAATCACGACAGCCTCCCTGTGTTGTCCCGTTTCAGTTAGAAGGGTATGTCTTGGACAGGAGAGTTTGCGCCCCAATATATCCTGCTGGATGGATGTACGAGACACGAAATCTTTGTTTTTCTCAGTTGAGTGCATGGTCCATTATAGGCTATCTTGGACCGAACTAGCCTAGAGAAAATGAAAACTTCTAACATTCAAGTTTGAATAGGCGCTTTCGCGAATACTAATTTCGGATCGTTGTATTTCGATAGTAGCGCTCTAATATGTAGGAGTAGTAAATCTATAGATATTGTTATTAGCATCCAATGGGGCTAATTAGATTACTAAGCTATAATTATTTATTTAATATATAAAGTGCGAATTTGCCAGCTCCAGTTATATTCCACAGAAATTAGGGTACTCTTATTTACTGTATTATTTTTAAAAGAAGTTACGATCTTTTATCTATTTATAACAAATTAATAAAGCTTTTACGAGCTAGATATACTGTACTTTATGCCTGCGTATATGTTTAAATAGCACCGGTAAAGCCAATTAACATGTCTGGATTGGTATTCTAAAGGAGTGGAGATAAAGTTCCATATATTAATGCGAAGGCGCAAGGCACCGCAGACAAAGAATCACTATATCTTTTCAGCAATAATATAATAATATGGTAAAGCATCCGAGTCAATTCGGTCAGGTGGTCCAAACACATCCATCTTTTGATTCACAATAGCGAAGCCATTCTTTTGCAGGAGTTGTTTCCACCCTGCTCGAGTGAATAGTGCACTTGTCACTTGATTGCCCATAAACCGTTTTCTGACCTCTCTTGCACACAATCCGTCAGGGTCATATCCAGAGAGTATATTATCGGGGCTGAAATCATCGGCCGCCATTGTTGCAATGCATATCAGTCCGCCACCATGGAGCTGGCTTCCATACTTCCGCACAGTCTCTTCGATCTCCTCCCTGCCCAGGCGAAAGAGAGAGCGTACCATTAACACTGCATCGAGCTGCTTCCCCGTGGGATGGACATATTGACGCATGTCAGAAAGTTGGAAGACACCATTGGGAATCCGCTGTTGGCTCAGCTCGACCATGGCGTGCACGTTGTCAATCCCCGTTATGAAATGGCCTGCAGCGGCCAATGTTTCAGCCACTGGTTTGCCAGTCCCGCATCCAACATCGAGAACTTGGGATTGTGGAGGTAAATGGCTTAGCACCGTGCTGAGAAAGTGCAGAACGCCTGGGTCGCAAGCATAGGCGTCGTCATACTGGTCTGGTTTATAAAGCACACTTTCTGCCATTTTGGACTGAAGGCCAGTTGGAATAAGATTGGGATAAGATGAGGATTGGTTTCTTTGCGTGATCCAACCTAGTGGACTTTATAGCAGGAGTAGCAGGGTGATGGGGGCAGAGATAGATAAATTTCTCTCGGATGATTATTTATATTATTTACCTAGGGTCACTGTGGGTTCTGTTTCATTCCCATCATTCCAGCAGCTTTTCTCCACGTACACGAATCCGGCCCCCATGGGTAGTATATAGAATGTAACCTTATATCATGCCCAGGCGAAGGTGGAATGTAAAGTAACCCTGAAATGCAACGACTTGATTATGCTATACCGTGCCCCCAAATGGTAAAATAAATATAAACCATTCAAAGGGGCCGATCGATACCACCCATAACAGGCCAAGAAAAGTCTTACCTTCATCATCCAGGATTCCCGGCTCTATGACCAGAACAGACACTATCGCCGCTTCCCAGCCTCCGGTTGAGTCCATTCCTCGCGGCACGGCTCAGGTAGAAATCAAATTCTACAAAGCACCAGTGGATGGCTCCCAACCATTCCTATACAAAGGGACGCCACCAGAGGGGTTGCCCGCGATGAATTACACCGAGCCTGAGCTGCCCGTCACGCTCAACGACATCCGCGGCCGCGAGGACGAGTTTTCCCTGGACAAAGATGCGTTCCAGCCACTCCAGGGTGTTCTCCGTGTACCATACGAGGCCATTCAGTCCGAGGAAACAATCCAGAGCACCTGGTACCCAGCGGTGGAGGAATTCCTGCTAGACTCGATCAAGGGCGCCCACCGAGTCATCATTTTTGACTACGTTATCCGGATGGAAAGCGTCGATACGCACCGCAAACCACTGCATACGGCGCATGCGGACCAGACGGCGCAGGCGGCGGCCGCCCGCGTCCGGCTTTGCATTCCAGACCCTCGCGAGGCTGAGCAGGCCCTCCGCGGTCGCTACCGTATCATCAACGTGTGGAAGCCATTGAAGGGTCCTGTGCAGTCGTGCCCACTAGCGTTTGCGAGGGCGGGCTCCGTTCAATCGACGGAATTGGTTCCTATCAAGTTTCATCAGCCGCACCGCACCGGAGAGATTATTGGCGTGGCATTTAACAAGGCTCAGGAATGGCTGTATTGGTCTGGTATGCAGCCGGATGAATGTTTGCTGCTCAAGTGCAGTGACTCCGACGAATCCGTGGCCGGTCGTGTGCCTCATTCCGCTTTCTACGACCCCAGGACCCCACCGAATGCCCCCGGTCGCGAAAGTATCGAGTTCCGGACGTTAGTGCTGGGATAGCAGCCCGCAGGACTATTGCTAGTGCTTGAATGAATTTCGTTTGGTCTATTCCTCTCGCTGTGCGCAGCCTAGGGCTGCCTGTAGTAGCCCCGCTGAGTTTCCAATGACGGAGTATTCCAAGCCCACAGTTATGACAGTCTAAGCAGCATAATTGCCTACGCCACGTAGCATTTCTTGCAACCGCACGCGTCACCCAGTGGTTTCTACATGCGGGTGGTTAGAAAATGTTGATCGGTGCGGAAGTCCAATCCGAATCCGCATGCGGGAACCGTCCCTGCCCGGATTCGCCTGACAAGCAACTGTAAGTAGTATTTCTTTTTCTCGCCCTTCCATAATAATAACCCATACCTTCTGTGCGTCTAGTCAAATATTCAAACCTGCAGCTTCAAAGGCGCAGATCTCCTTATTTCCCCCCTCTCTTCTTCCTGTCTAGCCAACAGCACGTTTTACTCGGCCTCCGATGTCGAACTACAGTTATAGCGACGTTCTGGACATCTGGTTCGGTCCTAGGTCATCTCCCACCTACCTGCAAAAAAAGCCCTTCTGGTACGGCACCAGTGCTTCCGACGATGCCTACGTCCGCGACAATCTTGGCGCCCCATACCAAGCAGCGAAAGAGGGTAAACTCGACACGTGGATCCAGACCGGCCAAGGAGAAGGAGCGTTGGCGTTGATCCTTCTATTGGACCAAGTGCCTCGGAATATGTTCCGTGGCACGCCCCAGGCGTATGCGACGGATTCCAAGGCCATCGCAGTGGCTCGGCAAGCCGTCGATAGTGGCTGGGATAAGACGATGCCCACGATTCAGAGACGCTATATCTATTCGCCGCTCAATCATTCCGAAAGTCTGGAGGACCAAACGTTCTCGTTGAAGTTATTCACTGAGTTGGGCGACAGCCACCACCTACGCTGGGCGCAGGACTTCTATAACCAGATTAAACGAGATGGGAGGTTTATTCACCGGGATCAAATTCTTGGGCGATGAAACAAAAGGACTTTGGATCCGCCTTGTCTGTCTAGTTACTATGGTGGTCGGATTCTAAATCAAGTATGGGAAATCTAATATTACTTTTCTAATCAGCACAAAATTGCAGATAGACATCTTTAGAGTCTATACCAGCCCAGGCCTAATGTAATCTAATCCACGAATGGTGTAGGAATTACGAGATAAGATGCTGTATCCAAAGGCAGAGTCATGGTCTAGGAACAACCTGCAGCGCACCAAAGAGCGACGCACCTGGGTGTTCTCTGGGCCGGAGTTGTGCCATCCTCCACAACCCTGTATTAAATCGACCGTTATAACACAACCTCGGGCTGGACAAAGAACCACCTCCCATTGGCACACGGTGACTTTTCTTTTTGGCTTTCTGTCTCAGGTGGATTCGTTGCGTTGCAGGGTTGGAATGAGGATTTACTGGCTGATTGTTGCAATGATGTGTCTTGCGATAGTGTTTGTTGAGGAATTCTAAGAAGGAGTCGAGGAAAGTCGGCCATTATATAGACCCAAAGAGAGAGGGTGTGCATCGTGGGAGTCGCTATCAATCAACGTCGATGTTTCATCTTAGACTTACTGATTGGATAAGGTTTGCTTGCTCTCTCTACCTACAGTCTAGACGGTTATCCTATGTACTACCCCTACCTACATGCAAACGGATGCTAACCATACATTTGACGGGTACCTCCTCAAGCACCCAGAGACTTCCGTAGTCTCTATTGGCAGTGTGGCAGTGCCCTTGATTGGATCTCAAGCCCTGCTGGATGTCAATACCTTAAATAAAGTACTATTCCCTGAATACCTAGCCATAGAGTGTTTGCACCTGGAGAGCACTGATTCGCACAGCAAGGCGCCTAGTGAGGGGCCAATCGCAGTGAATTTCGTTGGCGATTGGGTTGCGTAAACGCGGAACTAGATAATTATAGCCGCCGACCGCCAGGTAACTCATCATCCGTGCAATCACATTCTCCCCCTTCGTTGCATGTTTCCCATGCACCACTTTCTTTCCCAAGCACTTCACCCGCAGTCAGTTTTGTACCAGCCACTCTCCAACCTTGTACTGTTTCTGACATGCCAAACTTGGAGATCGAAGTTTCTGCCCAGACCGAAGCGGCACTGAAGACAAATCTCACACTACGATGCGTCGTCCGCACCAAATATCGCAGCGAAAAGTCCCCACGCTCTGCCGTTGTTATCCCCTGGGCCCAGGCCCGCGTTGAGAACCTCACTGGTTATGCTGTTCGCAAAGCTGGACAACAAACGGCTGGCGTCAGTGCGGAGCTGATCATGATCCATATGCTCGGTCTTCGGAACATTATAGACATTTGCTACGACGTCTCCCTCGACGAGTGCGATCCAGGACTTCGGAATGAAATTTCCGGGAAGTTTCACGCGAAGCAACCGAGCCATCTCATTACTCGAAAGAATAACGGTTTTTGGATGCGCAGGGATGAGAGGATGGACACAGAGGTGTTTGAGCGGTACTTGCAGATGAGCAGCAAAGATAAAGGACCGTGGCCCTTGTTTATGGATTCTAAACACCCGCCTGTCTATGCAGATGGGAAGCGCCTGATAGAATATGAGGAGTTGACCAGTAGGTTCCTCCCCATCTGGGAAACACCACAACCTAGGAAGGTAAATGAGGGGGGAGCATTTGAAAAAGACAAGCCGGCAGAGCACGATGAAGTTGGTCAGGCAGAGAATCCACACTAAGCCTATCATGTAACCAATACCCGAGTTGATGAAAATAGTATGACGAGCATCCAAGTTAGTGAACATAGGACTGACTTATGTTAATAGTCACGGTCTCCTGGAGGAGATATTAGTTTGACGCAATGAATTTTGAATAGAAGAGAAAATGTGCAAAAAAGGGTAGTTACTGGATCTTCTGGTTGGACTTTAAGATACCATATAGTCTCTTTCTATCCTCCAACGCTGGCCGACGGTGCTCAAACAAGAGGCTGGCACTCATCGTTTCTGCTAGTCACAGGCAATATCCGTAACCACCCAAGGAAAGCAGGAGTCTGAAGCACGCAGAACAGAATAGTATTTCTTCGTGTTCCGCATGCCTTGCTGCCTTAGGTGTCTGGACGCGAGTGTCTTAACTTTGCACTACGGAGTAAACATATTCAGTCGGGTCTCTCATTGACCCACCAGTCGAAATTGGCCCCAAATTTGGGGGCAAATTTCTGAACAGTCGGCTCGCCATGGCTGTCAAAGGGGATACAAATCATACGGGCGAGGTAGCTCTGGTTTTGCGGCTCACTTGACACTAGAATACGCCAACATCATGCATGTTATATCCCTCCCCAATAAAGTGTTATATCGGATTGACTACCATGCCAACCACGAGTTATTACTAAATTTGTAACTAGTCTGTCGGTCACTATGTTACAACCACGCCCAGGCACGTGGTCATCCCGCTGAGCCAAAAGACCACTATCTCAGCACCTCTTGTACTGAGATGTCTGGGACCGCCTTATGTAGTAGCATAACAAGAATGGGTATGTCTTTACCCACGAGCTCTGTGATCTAACAATTCTGTCCTTCGGCCACTATCTAAGATGATTGTTTAGTGTTCAAGCCACCCGTTCGCGCTAAGATTAACCAATCATATGAGCATAGGGCTCTGTTTGCTAGTGCTAGACTTACTGTGTACTTTCGCATTATTGCCTTTAATTCTAGTCCTCAGCTCTCCTTCATAATTAGGAGGGTTTTTTTCTCGTTGATTGTAGAGGGAGAGAGGGTAGGTTAAACCCTTTGAAGGGAATAGAAGGTTCTGCCCATGTCGCTTTGTATAATGTTTATGCACTGTGAGTATAAGTTTTGTCATGCTAGGATTTCCACACTATGCAGGTAGATAGTGGGTTTACATCAGTAATATGAAGCCCGGTTTAGGCTGTAGTATTTTATAAGCTGATTGGAAATCAGTTGCGTAACCTTGCTCCATTGCGGTACTAGAATCGTTGGCTCTGAAAATACAAAATATACACGAGGGATTGCTGGTGTTGGTTATGTATGGAAGGCGCCATTTTCTTGTCCTTTCCTCTGCAAATGAATCACATCGAGCGTGGCTCACATATCACGCTTCGCGGGCAATAGTATCAGTGCAGTATACCCTCATCCACCTGAAGCGCAAGATCCGGAGGCATAGCTTGAAGAAGATCCCGAGCATACTGAGCCGCAGCCGCGGCTGCGTACTCCATCCATATCTCGTTCTTGTGCGAATCAGCGTAGTCAGTGATCCCGCGAATGACAAGACATGGGAACCTTGTATTCATCAAGCCCGCGGCTTCCATCTCACAGCACAGAACGCCATGTTTCTGGATGAGTATCCCCCTCATCTTCGAGTTCTTGACTACTGAGTTTCCGGAGGCAATTGTCCCGTAAAAGACGCGAGGAGATGTGGTCGTCCGTGTCATTGGTCGTGGAATGACCTGCTGAGCGTCACAGGAGATGCAAGTATCGCCGCCCCCGGTGTGAGCATAGGATGATTCGAATAGCAGATCTAGTTCGACCCCCGGGTATTCGATATCAGGGGGTCCAGCGATCGGGGAGCCGTGGCGAGGCATAAAGTTAAGCACCTGCAATAACTTCTTTGGAGGAGCTTTGAGTGAACCAGTTGTGATAAAACCGTCACTGGTAAACTTGCCCATATCGTACTGCACAACACCTCCGTACTGAAGGTGTGGAATGCTGACAACCACATCTCCAAGCCGAATGTCATTTTTCGCGCTCGGTAATCCTCCTCCAATGCCGACCATCAACCCTATAGCGATCCTAGGGAATCGATTCATCATGTGCGTGGCTACCACAGCCGCGATATTATTCCCATATTGGCCCATCGGGAGGCAGGTTAGCACGACGTTGAGCTGGCCGATTTGCCCTAAGATATAAAGGTTGTGGTCCATTCCTTGTCCGAAGCCCTTAGTGTGAATCCGGTCTAACATTTTTTGCGCCGCATCCAGCTCTATTTGCAGTGCACAAATCCAGCCAACTTTGTATTCAGCCGGGTCCAGTTCAATATTTTTCGCAATTTCCATCTCCATGATGCGATTAGGGATGTTGGTTTCAAACCGAGACTCCCAGAGGCTGTCCGATGATGAACCCTGGGATGACGACCCGGACGTCAGGAAAGACTCATTGCGGGACGGGCGGCGGAATTCTGACACTCTTTCTGTGTGATATATATCGCTGCTCGAGTTTGAGGACTCTCGGCGCATCCGTTTCCGGGGATTTGGTACGGTACTCCTGCCGTTCACCGGTCGCTTTCCTTCAGCCTTGGAGGAACCACTCTCCTGATTGCCTGATCCAGGGCTGTATCCAACACTGATCGCACTGTCATTAGCAGGGCTCTTGAATCCGCTCAAGGTCGACGAAAACGATATCTCTGGTGTCGGGAGGAGACTGTTTACAGGGAAGCCATCGAAGATAATAGCACCGTCGGGTTCTAATCTAACTGGACTGACAATTCCAGAAGCCTGTGTGGTAATCTCAGGGCCGATTAGTAGTGCTTGAGCGTGACTGCAGCGTTCCCTCGAACAGTCCTCAATGCATTGACAATTCTCGAATAGTTTGTCAGGTATATGCCAATAGACGTCGTCTATAACACGCCATGGAGAGCCCAAGATGTTTCCCTTCTTTCTCATAATTGTCAGAATGTCTTCAACCCTCGCAGCGAGGTAATCCTTTCCGGATGGGACAGTGGTCCATGAGGAGCAGACAGGCACCATCTCTTTTGGTTTCAGAAGATTACCGAAGCCTCTGCCAAATAGAGTAATGGCATTTATTGCTCCTGTGAGTCTGTGCCATCTCGGGGGACCGTCAAATGCGCTCATTGTACGAGCATTAAAGTGGTCCTCGTCTGCTGCCAGGTCCATAAAATCAAAACCTTCGAGCAGTGTTCGGGCCTGGCAACCAGGAGCTATTCCAGCGCTCTTTTGGAGTTTGGCCCGGGTTTGATATGCATAGGCTTGTTCCAATAAGTGATATATCGCTTCAACCCTATCTTGAAATGTCTCCGGCATGTTGCGGTGTAGCCGCTGGTTTAGGTTCTTCTCACTTTTTAGAACGGATATGGCAGAGACGCGCCCGCCCTTGGGACTAGGATGTTGTTCGAGCAACTCGGGTCTAAAGACAAACTCTTGCATGGGGTCCTCGGAGGAACTCAACAAAAGAGATGCCCGGACTAAGTGCAGCAGAGCACTCGCTCCATCGACAAGCCAAGCTTGTCTGGTAGACACATCGTAGAAGACCGCATATTTCTTGGTGACTGACAGGATTCTGTGGAGGTACTCACCGAACTCAGAATGAGAAGGCCTATCTTTATTTCCTATCGCCGGCGTTTCATAATTTTGGATTATGGTACCGCGGGAAATTATGACATCTCGAAGATCGCATCCGGTGTCCGCTCTATTCAGTCCAGACCAGTCGATGCCATATTCTGCCCCTGGCGAAGCTGCACGTTCCGCAGTGGTTAGTATATATTAGCACAAAAGAATACAGTTTTATTCACCGCATACCTGTGAGGACTTGCGCTTCCGGGCACCAACCTACAATGTGCCGAAAGCCCATGAGGTTGGTGTCAATGCCTGCAGGGTATAACCCGGGGATGGCGTCGATACGAGAGTCGGTATAATCCATGTAGGATCCATGATCATTGCATATCAGATGCCATATCACGGCATCACCTACGATCTTCGTTGGCACGAGGATCGTGCAATGGCCCTTGATACAGACCTTTCCCCCGAAGTGCGCAATGCGACGCGATGGCACGAGTCGGCCCAAAATGTTGAGTGGGGTATCTAAGCCAGTATTTTGCAGCTGCCGTTGTCGAATGGGAAAGCCGGATACTACAACGGGGTTGTTGAATAGACTATGCCAGCACCGCCCGTTGCACCGTGGCAGTCCACTTTGTGCATGCTGAAAAGTGAATTTGAGCTCATATCGCAGGTTTGTCATGAAGGTATAGGTATTTGTCAACACTGGTCGACAGTATGCAATTCTATTGTCGGGCGCTGACTGTAACGCCGCGCCTAGCCAGGCCAATTGCTGTCCTATTTCGACGATGGCGTGCTGGAGTCCCTGAAGATGAACCACGACTTTGCAGCCATCGAACGCCCCTGTAAGGACAGTACCATCTTGGAGCGAACCTTTTAGTAGCATCAGTCAAGGGCGTCTTTGTTCGAGGAAGAATCACAGAGGCACACGAACCTGAGCTAGAACAGCTTTCTCTAGCTTCTAACAACTTGTGCAAGAGGCTGATTACACAGTCTGAGCTCTCTGGCCATGTTTGACGCATGTACTGGACACATGTCAATGCCTGTGCATTATCCAGGGATCCAGTCAAAGTGATGACATGGTCGACGATATTGACCGGGTCACCCGCATATTCCTGCACACGCAGGAATGACCGCGGATTCCAATCAAGTACGAAATCGGCGTCGTACAAAGTTGGTGGGAGGGCCCAATCAACTTTGCTAGATGGAAACTGAAGGGAAATCGCCCGAGCGACATCTTGCATCACATTCTCACCTACGGTGCCCAAGGTAAGAATCTTCCGAACACAGCCAACCAACCACCTATATGCAGGGAACTGTTCTAGAAGCTCCGAATAATGTAATTTTCGCTGCCCGCTCGTCGCTGGGCTGTTGAGATCGGCTGATGTTGTTAAGTAAAGAGACCATCCTGGATTAGCGGGGCGGTCGGTGATTCCGTTAGTGTAATAATTGCATACGGCCTTGGCGATATCGCTGGCAAGTGTGTTGTCAGTATCTGATCTAACAGGCTTTGGTTCTGGATACATACCCTGCATGGTTACAAACCATCAGACTAAACCTTTGGTAGGGTTTGGATCCCTTGAAGCTCAGTTTCTCCGCGAAATACCGAAGAAAATCAGGTAGGTCCGACAACAGAACGGCCACTCGTTTCGCATCATGGCGAGGGGGGTGCGCTTTCTTGTAGATATCCAGCGAAAATGTGAAAACGAAATCTGAGCGGTCGAGATAGTTGTTGAGGAGTTCATCACAGGCCAGGTCGCCATCCGTTTTCACCATCAGTTCATTCGTTGGCATCCTTAACATCTCCAGGTGTACAGCTGAAGGTAGAGGTGTATTTGACCCATCTGCACGCTCTGCCTGTTCTTTGGGGGGGCATTGTGTCGTGGCGCCCATCGTCTCTTCCATCTCGCAATGCCTCAACAAGCACTTGTAAAACTCGTCCCAACTTCGTACAATCCTTCCGCAGAGAGCACACGATACGGGAACTTCATATGGTCGGAAGTTGGCCTCCAAGTCTCCCCGTCTAGGCAACGATTTGTCTGAATGTGCAGTTCTGAAATGCTGGCGCAATTTCGCTCTACTCGTGCCTACCCAATCCCCATATGGACAGCTCATCTCAGATTGTGGATAATGTTGCTCTGATATGTGTCGCTTAAGGCTGTTACGAGCCCCATAAGTCTTCCTAGCTTTGTCCGAACATACCCGACAGGTAAACCTTGGCTTATTGGCTCGCTGTTGCAACTCAGACTCAACTGCCGGGGCAGCGTTATCATCATCGTAGGAGAATGATGGGCGACGAAGACGAGGGTTGAAATGGAAATTCAGAATTCCTATCCCACTGTCGTAACTGAGGTAGCTTTGTATACTGTTACTGTTGCTTGGCCTCGACGGGATAATTGATTTATCGTCCTGGGCCGTATTTACTGAAGGGAAATGACTCGAGTCGTCCATCCCAAAGCACTCCCATCCTGGTATTTGGTCTTCCATGATCTGTGGATTCAGATGTGTTAGCCTGTCGCAAGAGCGATGTATCATAGATGGATGATGATGTCCTGACTCCTAAGCACGAAGTGAGGATAATGGCCAAAATGAAGACTCGGAGGGCCTGGCGTTTAAGTGTTGATGAGGCGAGGGAGGCGGAGCTGATTTTATTGCGCAAGCCTATATGTCCTCTCCCCTGCCCTATAATTGTACACAAATAACCCGATCCCTGTAACATACACGCATTCGCGCCACTACGCGAGTCTTGTTGCCCTCCGGCGGTGCAGCAGCTCTAGTTCAGGTACCGACGACCTAAGGAGCACCAAGCGGGGCAACTATCGCCGGGTGTTGCCGGGCGACTCCGGCGCTTTCTAAAGCGCACCCGGCTGTTGTATGTTTTTCTCTTTGTTATCTTAAAGAGAGGAAATGCAGGTTGCTCGGTGGAGGGGTCGACTGGGGTCATGAAAAGGGATGGATTGCCTCGTCACGCCAAAGTATTATCTCCTCCCACCGGCCGATCTACACACCACCAAACGTGGATCTCGATCGCTGTGGAGAGGAACAGGAACACTACTTCCGAATGAACGAAATGGGCGAAATGCAATGATCAATTTGAATGAACTTGACTGCTAACTAGAGAACAGGATGATACCCGTAGGTGGAGTCCCCAGGATGACCAAGGCAGGTGCGGGAGGGGTCGTCGGTCAGGTGGTCGGTCAGGTGATCCACCCACCGCCTTGGCAGTATCTGCAGCATGGGAATGCTGATGACCGCATGACATACCTGGGCGGAATGCAATTCCGATATCACCCAGTCGGATGTTGATACTGCGTTGGAGTAGTAGGTTTATGGTGTAGTAGTCAATGGTATAGCCAGCTAAGTTGGGCCACAGGGAAAACAGGCCATTTCAATGGAAAACATATACGAATGCATTATGAGAAATGTCAAACCGAGATATAAGAGACATGAACTACACAGAATCACAATGGTAAAGTTCAACGACAAATCAAATAAAAGATTACAAAGCGCGACCCTTGCCCTTGCCCTTGCTCTTATCTGGAGAACTAGACATGGGAAGGGACGGAAATTCCTCCTGCTCCTGGGGCTGTGTCTCCGCCAGACTCAACTGAATGGCAAATTCAAGATCAGTCAGTTCTTGCTCACGGCTGCTTTCGCCCACCCCCGACTCCGGCGACGGGGAAGAATAGTCGTCATGATGACCCTGCCAGTCACTAGACGAGTTGGAGATGAAAGGATCGGACTCGAAAGATTTCGGTGCTTCGTCAAGTAAACTCAACCGGATAGCTTCGGCGATATCGGGAGCCAGGTCGTCACCTACGGGATCCTCATACGGAGATGAAGAAGATGAAAGTTCATCAGGAGCGAAGGAGCTGTCGCGCCGACCAACGGTATCACTGGACGAAGGTGAACTAACGATAGAGCTAGCGCCCATGTTGCCGCGCTTGAGGGCCTCGCTGGCAAAAGCCTCCTCGCTCAGGAGTCGGGCGTATGCGATAACTTGGTCCTCGTCAACATCTGGACCCAAGAGATCAACACCAAACCGGTTGCTTAGGTGTGCTTTCTCCTTCCGATCTGCAACTTCTTGTCGTTTCATCTCCACCTTCTCGTCCTCGATGTGGTCGTATATAGCCCCGCGGCCACTGTTGTTGAACCGCTGACCCTCCGCGGTGGAGTTCATACCCTTGGGACCACGACGCAAGCGACGCTTACTGGTTTTATACTGGTCGGCAGTAGAAGAGCTGTACGACCAGTAACGCAGGTGCGTCCCGAGAGCGACCATTCCCCGAAGGACGGTCGGATCTGGGTCCAGGGAAATGGCCCCTGTAGCGTAGAAATTATTCCCGACGCCATGAAGAGTTGCCTCGGCCTGGATCAGGCGACGACGAGCGCGGGAAGAAAATCGAGAATTGATGGTCCGAATGGGGCGTGCAGACGACGCGAGGGGGTCCCAGGCCTGCACGAGTCCATCGTTTCCACCATGCACAAGGTAAAGAGACGACATTGCAACACATGAAACTTGAGGCGACTCGGTCTGGATAATCCGTACTGGATTGATGGAGTTGATGACTTCGGAGTTCTTGGCGGTGGGAGATCGAATGTCCCAAACCATGACAAGGCCAGAGTTGGTGCCAACAGCCATGTACCGACCCCGTTGTCCAGGGATCTCCAGATGCGAAGACGGTTGCTTCATGTGCGGAAGCGGTGAAGATACAGTCGACGAGTCTGCCGAGCTGCCAGACATCCCAAGAAGGGGATCTTCCTCGGCTGTCACTGATGCATACGTTGACAAATCCAAAGCACTGGCGGTGATCTGAACAGATTTGCGATCACCGAAGACAAAGTCAGAGATGCGCCACTCGGTATTCGAGGCGCAAAACACTGGATCGTTCAAGCGGCCGGACGCTCTGGATGGCGGAAGGCTTTCAGATTTCTCTGAAATACTGGGGGTGGTAGAGCCACCGAAAAGAGTCGACGGAGCAATTCCAACAGCAACATGATTGCTCGAATGGTGCGAAGGCAAAGCCGACGTTGATGCTTTGCGCATGTACCGCCGTATCGATGCTTTCTCTTGCTCCCCGATGCCGCGAGCAATGACAGCGATGGACTCGCCAGCGCCGTGAGTGTCATCGCCGGCAAAATCGACTAACAAATCGCGTCTCATGTCCCACCCTTCGCAGACTTTGCGGAAATGCTTCGGTTTGAATGACAGAAATTGCTCTATTTCTTTGGTCTCTGCCGCAATCTGGTCCTGACTTAACTTCATCGCATCGCAGGATGATCGGGGGCTGTAGCTGCCATCAACGGGCTCCCGGCTATAGGGGTCCGGCCTGGCAGTTCGCCTACTCAGCTCAACTAGCTCCCAATTCACACTTCTTCCGGTCTTCCACGCCAGCATGTTCATCTCTTCAGGGCTCATCTTGGCCGAACCAACTTCAGGCTGCTGCGGCAAGTCCGAGAGGAAGAACACCTCGCCCAATGCATTGAGGACAGTCGCCCAAATGCGCCGGCGAGCATGGCGTCTAGGAGAGTAGTTATCATCGACCGCAATAGCAATGATGGGGACCCCGGGACAAAGAACCCATTTCGCAGTAACCTGGCCTCTCTCGAATCGCTTTTCATACGTGGGATGGGGACCCAGTGAAAAGGCCGAAAGAACACCGGAGGATGTACCAGACAGCATTCCCACCAACCCGCCGGTCACTTTGAGAACATGGGAAGACTTGGCAATCCAGACAGCAGTGACGCCCGTGGTAATCATATTTAAGGCCGGGATGCCCAGCGGTGGCTGCGAACTGGTCTCAGTGAGATCCAAAAACCGCCCACGGAGCTCAGTGGTCGAGATAAAATAGCTGCGACCCTGCGGGCATCCCTCGCCGTAAATCATACCGTACGGCTGGCTGACGTCCATCTGATTCGGCAAACCAACCATGTTCCCAGCACCCAGTCCATATTCCGCGTCACCTGGATACAAATCCGCAAAGTGTCGGAAGAGCTGATGATCGGAGAGACCCCACGTTCCAACCTTGACACTCGATGGGTCACTGGCCGACGCGATGCCCTGCTCCGAAGCTCCATGGATGAAATGAGGTTCCTTTTTGGCAACTTCCGTCCCGTATGCCCCATGCAAGTGGCTCACGGGGTACAACAGCTGCGAGGTGTAGGTTGCGACTGCACTACCGTTGCGCACGTTTGCCGCGCGAACAGTTCCATTCTTCTTTGAAGGTTCGAACGAAGCAGGCTTGCCCCTGGAAAGAGACCTGATGAGACGCGTTCGGAGAATATATTCGGATCGCCACGATGCCAAGGCAGTCAATCTGGAGAAGAAGCGTTTGTCGGACGCCAGATTGTCCGGGTGATCATATCCAATGAGTCGAGTTCCATTTTCGGTGGTATACGGGCCGGGGAAGAAACGGGAGAATGCGATCCGCCAGGCATGAGGGGTAGTAACCAAGCTGTGGAATCGACGTGACACCAATGCGATTGATGACAACGATGGCGGGGGCAGGTGGGAAAGGATGTGAGTCAAGACCTCTGATCCCATGCCGTTAGATGATTGGCCATATCTAGGGGCTGATAAGACCGAGTTCACGTACCATTCGGGAAAATGTCCAGGGACAGGTCCGAGTGCGCCGACGAAGGCACCATTTGGAATTCAAAATCGCCTTGCTTCTTGGATGATTGACCCATCGCGTTCTCATACTGACTAACTCTATCACCGGGTGGCGTCGACAAACCGGGAATTACCGGATTCAGGGGCGATTGATCCCCGCCCTGCGGTGAGGCATGGACGGTTTCAGGGCCTCCGGTCTCACGGAGAAGACCGGAACCTGGGGAGTCGACGTAGAGATCATGTCCATGCTGGGTATTTGAGTGCGACTCGTTGGAGGAGGGGTCTGGTTGTGTCCGGTCAAATACTGCAGAGGGCTCTGGTTGCATAAAAAGGTTTCGCGGGGTAATGGGGATCAATGTAGGCGACTGAACCAGGAAAGGCGTCTGGGTCAGTCGATGTAGAGAGGACGAGGGCGAGAAGGACGGAGGAACGTAGTAAAGGTGGCGCTGGAGGAGACAGGAGGAGAGGATGAGAAGAAAGCGATAGGAGGGGTTGCAGAGAGAGAAGAGAAGAACTGCCGTGAGTCAAAGACGGACGAGAGGCGACGGGAAGGCAACGCTGCCGCCAATCACGTCTCGCCGGCCAGGCGCGTGTTGGGCACGTGACCCCGCGCCGCAGAAAGCCCGATTGGGAAGAGAGTGGCTTCATCCATCATCGTCGGTTGGTGTTTTATCTAGACAGATAGCGCACTCTATCTTCACTGTGATGCCCCGCCGATAACCCTGATTACCTAGGATTATTCTGTCGACCTCCAGGCTCTGCCTGTTTCAGGCAGCACTCGCGCGACATCCGCGCGGCTTGAATTAACCTCTTTAAATTCGGCATTCATTCCAATATTTGTCGATCATCATATTCGACAAGATCAAAATGCCCGATCTAGGCGGTATGCTATAACCCTGACTTTCCCTAGTCAAGATACGTCTGTACTAACCAGGTAAGACGCGGAAACAATCCGCATCCTCGTCTCAACCGACAACCATGTCGGCTACAACGAACGGGACCCCATCCGGGGCGATGACAGCTGGAAGAGCTTCCACGAGGTGATGTGTCTGGCCAAAGAGAAGGATGTGGATATGGTCCTCTTGGCTGGCGATCTCTTCCATGAGAACAAGCCCTCGCGGAAGTCCATGTATCAGGTCATGCGGTCCATCCGCATGAACTGTCTCGGCGACAAACCGTGTGAGATGGAGATGCTCAGCGACGCGAGTGAAAACTTCCAAGGCGCCTTCAACCACGTCAATTACGAGGATCTCGACATCAATGTGGCGATTCCCATCTTCTCTATCCACGGCAACCACGACGACCCGTCCGGCGAAGGCCACCTGGCGGCCTTGGATTTACTACAGGTGTCGGGACTGCTGAACTACTATGGGCGAACGCCCGAGTCAGATAACATCCACATCAAGCCTGTTTTGCTTCAAAAAGGACGGACTAAACTAGCGCTCTACGGTATGAGTAATGTTCGGGACGAGCGATTATTCCGCACATTTCGCGACGGCAAGGTCAAATTCTACCAGCCTTCGATTCAAAAGGATGACTGGTTCAACTTGATATCCGTCCATCAGAACCACCACGCATACACAGAAACCAACTACCTGCCTGAAAACTTCCTCCCCGAGTTCCTGGATCTTGTAATCTGGGGACACGAACACGAGTGCTTGATCAACCCCCGACTTAACCCCGAAACCAAATTCCACGTAATGCAGCCTGGTTCATCAGTCGCAACATCCTTGGTGCCTGGTGAAGCTGTGGCTAAACATGTGGCTATCCTCAGTGTGACGGGCCGGGAATTCAAATGCGAGCCTATCCGCCTGAAATCTGTGCGCCCGTTCGCCATGAGGGAGATCATCCTCTCACAAGAAAAGGGAGCACAGAAACTAGCCCGCAAGGAAAATAACCGCACCGAAGTGACGCGCTTTCTGATGACGATCGTCGAGGAACTCATCGAAGAAGCAAAGGCAGAATGGTTAGAAACGCAAGAAGGCAACGACGCAGACGAGGAAGAAGAGGTCCCGCTACCACTCGTGCGACTACGTGTCGAAACATCCACACCGGAGGGCGGTAGCTTTGACTGCGAAAACCCGCAGCGATTCTCCAACCGGTTCGTGGGCAAGGTCGCCAACGTCAACGACGTGGTGCAGTTCTACCGGAAAAAGAAAAACACCACAACCCGCACGAAAGAAGATGAGATCGACGAAGCCGCCGTGTCCCACCTCGCGACGCTGGACACCGTGAAAGTGGAGCAGTTAGTACGCGACTTCCTCTCCTCTCAGTCTCTCAGCATCCTCCCACAGAACTCCTTCGGCGACGCCGTGGCCCAGTTCATCGACAAAGACGACAAACACGCGATGGAGATGTTCGTCAACGATTCGCTCGATAGCCAGATGAAACATCTCATGTCCTTGGACCGCGACTACGAGGACATGGACGAAGCGACCGTCGAGAGCTCGCTCCAGAAGGCGATGGAGAAGTACCGCACCCAAATGGAAGACATGTTCTCGCGGGGCGTCAAGAAGCGCACTCGCGGCAAGAAGCGCTTCAAGTCTAAGCCCGATGAGTGGGACAGCGAATTCGACGGTTCCTGGGAAGACCAGCCGGGAGCTCTCATCCGCTCCGACAATGAGGGCGGAGACCCCAACGCGGAGGAAGCCGGCGCAGACGGCACCGAACAACCTCCCGGCCGGGCTTCGACACGAGGCCGTGGACGAGGTCGCGGAGGCAGAGCCGCCGCAGCAACCACCAGCACTCGCAAAGCAGCCACAAGCACCAAGGCAGCATCGACCGCGAAAAAGGCTGCACCCGCCAAAACCACGAAAGCGCGAGGCCGTCGTGCCGTTTCCGACGAAGACGAGGATGAGGACGACAACGATGTCATTATGTTGGATGATGACGATGACGACGAGCCGGACGCAGCACAAGCAATCTCTGAAGAAGACGAGGATGACTCCCAGTCCTTATTCGTGAAGCAACCTGCCACAAAATCTCGATCAAAGGCACCCGCCGCCCCAGCGAAAACAACAACCAGCCAACGGCGTACTCGGGCGGCGCCCTCCCCCGCCCCGTCTTCGAACACGGTAGGAGGCACTGCGTCCCGCCGGGGTAATACAGGCGCAAGAGGCCGACAGACTCAGACCACGCTGAGCTTCACCGGCTCTCAAGCCAGTGCGGGTGCTAGTCAGTCGAAACGGCCCACCCGCACAACTCGACAGAGAGATGTCAGTGTGGTGAGCGAGGATATCGATGACAGTGACGATGCCTTTGAGCCTATGCCTAGCTCTAATAGGCGTAGGTAGGCATCGAAGTCACAGTGGCATCAGATCGAGGTGGAAATTTAAGCATTGAATTATGATGTCGGATCAGATTGCTCATTTACTTTGCATTTTCGGCGTTCCATGTAAGCAAAGGAATTATCTCAGAAGGTTTTAGCGTGAAATAAAAAGTCTCCCAATTCAGTACCGTTGGCTGGGCCCTTGTTCATAGAGATTATATACTTATTGTCGGGGTCAAATATACTTGACAACTCACCAAAACTAACCTTCATGTCTACAGCTTTCCCCGATTCAAAAACCTGACCGGCAAATCCACCCACCTAGCTCTCAAATACTCCGCGACGTTCTTTCCCAAGAAGTCCACCGTCGTCGTGATACCCACTCCTCGATCCAGCAAATTCCGGAACAAGAAATGTACGCCCTGCAACTGCGGCAGCTCGAACCTATCCACTTCCAACTGTGGATTAGCCGTGTATTCCGGTCCCAGAAGCTCCTTAATTTTCGGTGTCGATAACAATGACCGAAGCCAGAGGTATTCGTCGCTGTGACGGACCCAGAACCCGCAATTAGCGTCGGGGCCCTTGTCGCCTGACCGGGCGTGGACAATCCATCCCAACGGGCCTCGCGTGGTAGGGCCGAAGTCGAGTTGTGGATTTGCTGGGGCTGAGGTTGTATGCTGTGACGGTTGGCGGGGTGGGTATTCTTTTGTCAATGGGGGTGGAGGGACATCGAGGACTTGATTGCTCCATGGGAGGTGGACTCGGTGCTTGATGTCCGCCTGTGGTAGGAGACTGACGTAGTACTCGTACACGGGCTTGGGGAACCCTTGACGCATATCGAGGTGGAACGTAGCTCCAGGGTACCCTTGCATGATATTGTCGGCGATATGCCGCAGGAAGTTGTGAGGCGCAATGTCATCAGCATTGCGGGCCTGGACGACAACGCGGAAAGTGACCGTGGCGCTGTTCTGGTCTTTTGGGTCATCTGGAACCGACCCCAGCGTGGAGAATTTGAGTTCCGTGAATTTGGACGATTGTGGAGCGAGAAGCCGACGGATTTGATCCTCCAGCATGCGGGCCTTCGCGTCGATGTCCAATCCAACAAGGTACCATGAGACCTCGGCCTGGAATCCACCACGCGCAGTGATGCCGACTTTTGTTGTTGGAGGTGGTGGTGCAGAGCGGACTCCACGCAATGCGACGCGGTTGGTGCTTATCTGTTCGAAATGTAGGTCGGTTAGAATGGCCGTGACGTCCGAGTTGTAGTACCATGGTCCCTGGATCTCGTAAAGGAGCTGTGAAGAGCAGGTGTCCGCCGTAACGGCACCTCCGGTGGCGTAGGACTGCATGGTAATAATCACTTTTCCATCGGCGGAGATCTCAGCAATAGGGTACCCGATATTGGACCATCCATCTTTGCCCAGCTTCTCAAGAGCTTTGAAGCCGGTGAAGTTGCCGCCGCAGACATAGTTACTGCATTCGATAAGATGACCGGCCACAAACGCATTGGCTAACTGGTCTAGATCGCTGCGTTTCCAGCCGTGAAACCAAGCTGCAGCTCCGATCACGGGCGATGCATCCGACACTCGCCCACAGAGCACAATGTCAGCACCCTGGGAGAAGGCCGCGGCAACACCAAGGCCCCCTAGATAGCATTGTGCAAATATGGGTTCAAAATTCCAGTCTGAAAGTGCTTCCCCGGTATACACGTTCTTGTATGTCGAGTTGCCAGAAGACAAGGCGTCCTTGACTGTGGCAAGAACCTGATCACCGGATACCCAAGCCACCTACCACATGTTAGCATGGATAAAGCACCCCTGGATCTTAATTGGACTCCGCACCTTTAAGCTTAGCCCTTTAGATTTCACCATCTGTGTCACCGCCTTGTATAGACCCTCGGTGTCAGTATTTCCCGCATTGACCGCTACTTTGATACCATGCTTGGCCAGGTCCTCGAGGGCTGGCTGTAAGGCCAGGAGAAACGAAGGCTCGTACCCCGGTAGTCCCGGTGGTCCTGAGCTCTGTTGGCTTGAGTTCTGTTTGTCCTGGTCTACACGTCGTGCTGCTCCAGTGACCATGTTGGCCTCGCTCATGAAATCGGCAATGATAACATCGATCGGGTCTTGAGGGTGATTCCGAGCAAATTCGGCGATGGCATGGCGGCGGTCGGAGGCCGAGCCGGAAGCACCTGCAACGAAGGAATATATGAATCAATTAACTTAGATGATGCTATTCGGGGTAGAACTCACCTGCAATACGAATGGGGCGAGAGCTCATTGCCACTGGGAGATCATCAGTTGGGGGCAAAGATCGAAGTGAATAAGCTCATATGTTGGGTGATAGGGAATGGGACAGAAGAAAAGACCGAAATGAAAAGCGGAAATAGGGGGATAACCCAAACATTGGAAAGTGAGTTGCGGACCCATTCGGACCAAATATTGGAACGCTACTGCAGCCCGAGGAGCTGTCGGTTCTCGGTCTGGGGATGCGGGGTTGGTCAGTGCTACAGGCGTGTGTCACTAGAAAGAGGCTGTTGGGAATTGGCGGGGGGAACAGCAGAAGCCTTGAAAGGGCAATCCTTCCATTCAAATCATCAAATCATAAACCGAGGATGTTTCGCAAACATTGACATGCGTCCCCTGGTATGGGTATGACGTCACATGTCTATGTCTCTAGATTCCCCTGCCGGCAACCAAGTCCATGTTGATTGAGCTTTTCGTGTTTTGCTTTCCATCCCGTCTCCATTGATCTATTGAACGTTGTCTGTGGTACCTGATAGTCGCAAACAAGGAAGTATGGACAGGTGTTGGGGTATTAATAACCCTATGTCGCGGCTTATTCAAGGCGATATGATATGCCCTGGTGTAGTCGAGGTCCCACTTCATAGATATAGTTGTAGTCTTTTCCACACGCTCGAGCATCTCTTATTAATTGAAAGTTAGTTTAGAGGACTACCAGATGGCTTCTTTCTCCAGGATTGTGCAGTATCTTCCAACAACATTGCAGAGGCCAGACTGAGCGAAACCCAGGACTAGGGTTATCACAGAACTTACCTAGATACACGTCGACAGAAAGAAGTTCTCTTATAAGACAGCCGAAGTAATGCTATCCTTTTCCTACATGGTTTGGTCAGGATTGCAGCCCTGGAGGTCTACAACAGCCTTCTGTTACAGTAGTCCCCCCACCAGGAAGCTCTGCACAGCTCCGGTCCTCATTCACTATCTTCCAATTCACTCAGACAACATAAAGCGTGTAACCAGACACGTCTCCCATTGGCCCAACCCTCAAAGTGGATTTTCGCGATTCCTTCGACATCCAGGAAGCCCTGGGCTCCTGATTGGTCCACAGCGTTGGTATAGGGAATGTGCCCAAATGACCTTGAAACCTGGGGAACACCACTCTAGAATGGCTCTAGCAGCAGGTGGACCATGGTTTCTACTACCTTGATCCCTGCACGCGTCTCCTAACACGTCATCTATTGGATGGGACGTGCAAGTGGACTTTCGCGATTCTTTCGACTTTCGAGGTCAGGGTGTAGCAGTAGGATCTAAGCCAGCCGGTCCATCCAGGGGAGTGAATATTTCGACATCTGTAGTTGTTCATATTAATAACTTCGACAATTCAGAAAGCACTACAATGGGAGCCCGGACTATTTGAATAGTGGTATCCTGTCAAGATTGATATAGACCGTCTTTGTGCTTTCTTCTCTTTTCCTATGTTGCCGATAGTCCGACAGGACATTGACTCAGGGCTCTTGAAACATTTACTTCATATAAGTTTAATATATCAATGACTCAAGAGTGTATATAAAATGCTGCGAAAAATGACAGGTCAACGTTATAAATGAAAATATAAGACATTCTTGTTGCGGAATAAAACAATTCTGTCTGGCCTGCGATACGTCTACTCTCCCGATTTGTCTGGTGGTCTATTGATGCAATGCAACCAATTCTGTAGCTAAGCAGTCATACCGAGCCACCGTGCAGCGCCCATCGCAACGAGAAGGATCAAAACCGACGTCTTGACCAGATCGATCTCCGCCCGATTCCTATACGTCCAATTCCGCACCTCGGACCACAGCACCGACCGACCGCTATCTTTAACAGCCGTTTTCAGACCGGGCAGACCATCAAGACTGCGATTGTTGTTGTCGCGCTGGTATGTATGGACATCACCTGCCGCAACCCGCTTACTAGCCCAGTGGCCTAGGGTTTCGCGGTCTTTGAGATACGGCTTTGGAGAATTCGTGTCGGGGTCTGTTGTCAGGGAGAGCTGCGGGACGCCGTAGCCGCAGGATGTTTGGACCTAGAAGACGATGTAAGCAACTATCAGCGGAGGGGGACATAAGGCAGGAGTGACTCATCCGCGAGCACACGAATCCTCGGTCAATACGAGCGATCAAGTCCAACATACCTTGAATACGTCCAATCGAATAATCGCTCTCGCTCCAGGAACATTTTTCCCGCCCATGCGGGCCAGATATGGTTCGAACTCGGGCTGGTTCCATTCGATCACGGAACCGTTGCAAAAGAACCGCATGATACGAGGGGACGAGTCGAACGAGCAGAACATCACGGTGATGCGGCCGTTCTCGTGCAGGTGCGAGATGGTCTCGCTGCCTGAGCCGGTGGCGTCGACGTATGCGGCCTCTTTAGGGCCGAGGATGGCGAAGGAGGCATCGGGGAGGCCTTTGGGAGATAGATTCACATGGCGACCTTGGAGAGGGGCGGAGGCGACGAAGAAGACGCTTTGGCGGAGAGCCCAGTCACGCAGGTCGTTGGATATTGAGTCGTAGAATTTCGGCATCGTAGAAGGTTAGGATGGAAATGAACAGAATGAATGAAAAAAAAGATGAGAACGAAGAGGGATGGATGGATGGAGGAAGCAATGTAAAAGTGGAGGTGAGCGACACGCGGAGTTGGAGAACAACTCCGACGGAGGAGTCATCGCAGCCGGCAAGGATGCTGTGGGATTGAGCGATTGGTGCTGCAGATGGCGATGTTATTGTACGATTTAAATGAGATAAGAAACTTTAGAAATTAATTACAACTGCCCCAAGTACGCTTCATGCATGCATCTTCTTCTCCCAGAATATCCACTCGCGATGTATAAAAACGACCGAAGCCAAGCTTTTTGTATGCCCCGCACAGACCCGACCGACTACGCCAGCCTGCGTCCCTCCACCTTCACCACCGGCCCGTCGTACATCTTTCGAGCATGCACCCAGTACACAACCCCCGAAATACTCATCAGCCCCACAAACAGCACGCAAGCCCAGTTGAAGTTCTGCGCATCGATCTGGTACTCGTTGGGCCAGAAGCTCCAGAAGAATGACCATGTCGCATAGATCATGGCCATGCTGTTGACCGGGAACCCGAATTTGCCCAGCGACCAACGAGACGGAGGCAAAGGAGGATCATTGTTGATACGACGCAGGATAATGCACCCGATGCAGATCAGATAGGTGGCCATGAGAGCCACCGTGGAAAGCGATAGCAGCGCGTTGAAGGCTACTGTGGACCCAATGTTGATGAGAGACATGACCATGGAGAAAGCGCAGGTAAACAGAATCGAGTTCACCGGGATGTGAAGCTTAGGATGAACCTGGTGGACTCATGAGAAAACCTCCAAATCTAACCGTCGGTGGAACTTACAGAGCTCAGCCACGTGGAGAAAGGCAGTCCGTTATCTCGAGCAAAGGCAAAGGTTTGACGCGACGCAGAGGCTAGCGAGCTGATGGTGATCATGATCAGAAGCACTAGGATAACAACCACCAGCACTGTCGAGCCGGCCGTATCCTTCAACGCTTGGTGAAAAACATAAATGAACGGAAATCCGGTGGGAGAGTCGATCGAGGCCTGGACATCCGGCATGCTGAAGAGATAGGACAGAAGCAGTCCAAAGGCAAACGGAATGTTCAATATGAATGCCCAGATCATGGACTTCGGAACCACTACGCTAGCATTTTCGATTTCCTCCGCTGAACACCGTCAGTATCCGCTCCTTTGCGGCGTCAAAGTGGAGTACATACACATATGAGCTACCGAGTCAGAACCTGCAGGTGAAGTTGTTAGTATTGATGACAGCAAAGATAGTACTAATTTGCACTCACCCAGAACAACAAACATGCTCGAAACTTGCCCAACCATCACAGTGAGCGAGATCGATGGCCACCCAGCTCCGTTGTCCGTGAATCCGGTGAAAACATCTTCAGCCTTGACCTTGGGCGCCAGGACAAGCAGTGTGACAATGACAGGAATAAATGCAAAGAAATGACAGGTCACAAAAATACCCTCGGCTAGAGGGAGGCGCTTAGCTCCAAAGATGTTGAAAAGAGACATGCCAATTGCAGCTGCAAACACCAACAGAGTTCCTTGCCAGCGAGTTGGGACATACGACTCGTTATTTAAGGAAATTAGGCCTTGAACAACGGTACCCACCAGATAGGCATCGAGTGCAACAATGCTCTGCCAGGAGATTGTCGAAAGCCATCCTAAGCTGCGTTAAACTTGATTCAGACGGACAGAGATCTTCGAAATACCTGATGCATAACTGAGGAACTTTTGATATTTTCGTGGTGCAAACTCAGAAACCCACTTGGGATTGTTAGCCTTTGTTTGTTACTATTTGGGAACACGACTCACATGATACTGGCCACCGGCCGTTGGTGCCCTGGATGATAATGATTAGCAAGGAAGAAGAAAAAGCACACCAGGAACACACACATAGAGGCCATCTCGGCCAGTGAAAGAACGATGAAAAACTGGCCACAATAAGCCCACACCAGAGACCAGAATAGTGCCGGTCGCCCACCTGCGATCAATCCAGGAGTGTTGGATCTATTGTGTATCAGCAGGATCCAGCAGGAAACAATCAATCGGTCTCACGTTAATAGAATCTCCCAAGTTCCCATCACACAGGTGGTAAACCCAATTGTACTAACTATTCGGAAATTCCTCTGTTTTCCATTAGCGTTCATACAATTATTCGGAAGAGGGTGATGCCAACTCTGAGTTCTTGTTTCTTTCCCATGCGCTGCATATCACGCTGATCGGAGGCAGTGAATCCAACTTTGACCTCGTTGGAAATGTCACTTGAAGCCTCTCCATCTGTCTCGGCAAGGACATGATGAGGTGCATGGCCTGCGCCAACCTCCTTCATCTCTGTCTGATCTGCTATTAGAGTGGACATTTTACAGGTTTTTTCGACTGTGGTACGGGGGAAGAGAAGGCCTCAGAAGTCCGAAAGAAGAGCAAAGATCTGCCTGGATTTATTTCACTATAAAAGCGGCGCAAATGGGCAGTTGCGGTTAATAGGAAAACCTGCTTAGGGTTCTCACCAGGGGTGGTGGCACCGCATTCAAGCGGGACGGGACATTGATTAACGTCGTCCAGGGTGTTCGAAATCCCGTCCAATCAGTTGCCTCCAGCAAATATGCTAGCCAGGGGTTGCTGGCATAACGTTACACTTGACATTTGTACGTCGGGTGCGGCGCAGGATGAATGCGCCATTAGCCTATGCAGCCAAGGCTTTGGCGCCTGGGACGTGTTTAATTCCCTTGTTTTCCTCCTCATGGAAAGTCCACATCGAATTTATTCCTGGATATATGGCGGGGGCTAGACTGTTGGCCGTCTCAGAAGTTCTTGGAGACACTTGCCCTTCTACGGCATTTTCGTACTTTGGCTTCACTGAGACGGGAAACTGGACCGGGCGCGGAAACATCATCGCACACCGAATGCATGTAACCGGAAGAATGGCCCCAGGGACATGCTTGATTTTCCGTGTCTATGCTGCATAGAATTATTCTTTCGATGTCAAAAAAAAAGAAACGAAAAACGTTGGGGTTCAGCGTTTGAGACCCAATGAGTCTCCTGAACCACTCTCCTGGGACTCGACCATGATCCGATCGCGACTTCATCTCCTCCTAGATGGGACGGTACACAAACCCCTGTGTTGGGCTCGCAATCCCTGCCTGTTCCAAGCGGAATGAAAATTTGATAAAAAGACGCATCGCAGATCTTTTAGAGTCTCCATTATCCATGGATGGCCCTCCTCGATCTCTTTTATTCTTTTTTTCGGGTATCGTCAACTGATTCTTTCGACCCATGTCCAATCCTTGATATGTCTTCTTCGACCACTTATGAATCCACTTATATTGAAGTCACACCAGATAAGCACGGTGCCTTTGTGATCATTGCCAGCTTAGTTGGGCTGATCTGGAGCGTGTTTATCATTGGAATTCGAGTTTATTTACGAATGCGTCTGACTCCCCCTTTCGGTTGGGATGATCTAGCTGCTATCTTTGGTACAGTGAGTAGTCTGTTGGCCTCTTCTTTGATCAACGTGCAGTCCAATTAGGTAGCTCAAATTTCTTTTCTTAGATTGTTGGTGTGATTCAAACTTCGGTCACACTCGATGCGGTCAATCATGGTATTGGCACGCGTGAGACCTTATTGACATCCAGTGAGGCGGACATCGCCTTGAAGGTAGTTGAGGCTCTCTTTTCATTCGGGATTTTGGCTAATCTGAATCAATTACAGAGGCTATATGTGTCTTGGCTTCTCTATCCGGTCGCCGTGTGTTCTTCGAAAGTCTCCATCGCGCTCCTCATTGCGCGTCTCACGAGAACCAAATATCATCTCTGGGCAAGCTATGCACTTACAACACTGAGCTTGCTCTGGGGCATAATCTCAATATTTCTTATTGCCTTTCAATGCAGCACGCCTCAACCGTGGAATATTGCAGCTACTACTCAGTGTAGCACCATGGTACTGATCGTCCCCACCTATCATCACTTGGTCTTTTGCTAATCCTTGGCTAACAACGTGAAGTTTGCTCAATGGGCGGTGGTAGAATCTGTGAACATGGCAATTGAGTTGCTCATCCCGTGCCTGATAATTGCTATGATCTGGTCGCTTCACATGCCTCTCGGGACCAAGATTACAGTGGTCCTAGCCTTTTCTCTACAGCTGCTGTACGTTATCCTCCTCATCCACTACGTGACCTTAAAAACTCACCATATCCGATCCCCTAGAGTCGTCTTTCCTACAATCATCCGAATCCTCTTCCTTCAACAAACCACAACAACCCCAGCCTCTCGAACAGACCACACCTTCACCCTCACCAACTCCACCCTGATCACCGAAGTCGTCATGCACTTTTCCCTCATAGCAGCCACCTTCCCCTGTCTTCGCAAATTCCTGCAAGCCTTCGATATGCACATGGGCGCCACCACCAATCTAACCAGTGAAGGAGATACTGGATCGAGCAGCATTGCGTTGAAGTCGTTGGAAAGATCGCCCAACCCGGAGATCTATCGAGCGATGCCCCCGGCCCCTGGAATGGGCACCGTGACTGTCGTGTCTACCGTCTCCCAAAAGAGCCAGGACTCTCGTGGCGATGTGACGCCCGCTGAGCGGAGGAGCGAGGAAAGCGATGGCAGTCAACGAGTGATGATCCGGAAAACGCAGCGATGGGAGGTTGTGTCGTCTACACACTAAGACTTTTGCTTATAAAAAGAGGAATAAAATGGTGCATTATATCAGGTCATATCCCATTATCACATTTTCATTTAATCGTCCCCGCATCTATATACATCTGCACTGTCGGACACTCATGAATCCAGCGCAAAACACCTCTCCACCGAAACCCCATTATTCCCCCACCAATTCGGCATCGAAATCTGCTTGCCCGATCCAAAGAACAAGAAAATCAACAACATATTCAGATTAAACCCCGCGTCGAACGCCGCCGCAATCATGTAACTATACCTCTTCCACACCTCGAACCGCTTCCGATACGCCCAGTACATCACCACATATCCGCCGATAAACGCAGACGTGTACCCGGTACTCACATTTCCGTAGAACACCGCCATGCCAGAGAAGAAAATACTCACGTTCCAGAGATCAATGCGCCATTTCGGCAGGAAGCGATGCGCCACGTACAGCATCGGCGGGAGCACTGCACCCACTAGGAACGCATAGGGCAGAACCGCAAGCTGGCCCTGCGCGAACATGCGCTTCGGCCCGATCACAGCGTACTGCACGCCCATGGTCTTATAGCTCTGCAGGGTCTGCCCAGTCCACTGGTTCAGCGGGTCGGGCTTCACGCCGGTCAGGTAGTCGGATTTGGTGTTGAGGACCCAGCGCATGACGCCGTAGTTGACCGGCACGCCGAGGATGGTGCCGAAGACCTGCGAGAAGAAGACGGTGCGCGGCGGCACGTGCATGTAGTGGCCGATTTTCTGGTCCTGGAGCATCGTCTGCGCGCGGTACCATGCGTCGCCGGCGATGGCGCCGTAGGTGGATGGCCCGCACGGGTGGCGGTGGGATTCGCCGGCGCGTGTGTGTACCATGTAGCCGTACATCATCTCGTTGAAGGTGCCGATGGAGAGCTGGTAGTTGGAGATGGCGTACAGGTAGCCGAAGGGGATGACAAAGATGGCGGAGGTGATGAGCCCGACGAAGAGCGTCCAGATAGGGATCCAGAGGAAGCCGCGGGCAAGGGCGATGATGATGATGAGGAAGGCAGCGAGGAAGAGCACGACGTACCACCATATTGGGACCTCTTTGTATGCGCGCTGGAGGACGTTGAGCCGGTCGTGGTATTGGTGGTTGATGGATTGGGGCTTGGAGCCGTCGGGGGAGCGGCGGAAGGAGGCGATGAGTTTGCTGAAGTTCGAGGAGATCTGGAGGAAGCCGAAGGTGGCGATCCAGGTGATTGCGGCGGTGATTTTGCCGTAGTCAAAGAAAGTGGACCATGCGTATTGGAGGCCCATGTACATGGGGCCGTACTCTTCGAAGGCGGTTTGGTTAAGGCGGAAGTCTGGGGTTAGAACGTCGAGGACGGGGTAGGTGGTGCCGTTGGCCATGAGGAGGCTGTTGGACATCAGACCGTGCTTGTATGAGCCTAGGTTGCCCCATTTGGCGGCGGGGAGGAGCACCCAGCAGTTGAAGGCGAAGGCAGCGAAGAGCACGACCTGCGTCCACCAGGGGGTGAGGAGGATGGATGAGCCATTCCAGTTGATGTTGGACCAGTCCAAGGAGAGGTTTAGGAAGCCCATGCCGCCGAGTCCGGAGCCGATGAAGTTGGCGACGGGGTTGTGAGGTGCCACCCAGCACAGGAAGGCGAGGGACGACGTGAAAGGAAAAACGTATTCGGGAAGGAATTGCCATAGTGTCATACCGAGGAAGGAAAGAAAGAAGAGCTTCAGCTGGCGTCGTGCAAGGGGCGACGAGGTGTCTTGTTTTCGGAATGTCTCGAACAGCGTCGTCTGCATCAGAGCCTGCGGCCAGATATACGAGGGATCGTACAGAAGGACCTGGCGCGCGATGGCGGCAAACGCATATCCCACCCAAACAATCGCAAGCATGAAGAAGATAGCCACTGCTGGGTTCAACCTCTCGCCGTAGAAGAGCTCCGCTAGCGCAATTGGCGTGTATCCCTGGTTGTAAATGGCGCCCGAGGCGGCGGTAACGGTGACAAGAACATGCTCTTTAGGGCTCCACGGGCCGGGGTTCATATTAAACGACCAGGGCGTGAAAGGCACGCGAATGATCCAGGGCGGCAGCACCCGAGCCAGGAAGTGTCCCGCATAGTGACAGGCAATCTGCACAAAGAAGTTGGAATAGGGGGCTTGTGTGGTACGGAACTGGCTCATTTGGGAGAGAAAAGCGCCCGGCACGACGAAGACCACCGCCAGGATAAAGTATCGGAAAGTAATCGTCGGCAAGGAGGGATCATCATTTAGATTGACCAATTGGCGCACCTCACGAGGGAGTGCAGCTATTTCTGGATCTTCTTCAGTCTCCTGTTCGATTGCCGCGGTTTCGCTGACTTTCCTGATATTTTCCGTGTCGTCGATGTCTGGCACATCAAAGCCGGACGTTTCCGTCACAGTTGCCGTCTTGGACGTCTGATTGGATTCATCATGAGTGGCCGCAGTTGAGGCGCTGGATGCACTGCCAGAAGCTCGTGCCAGCCTCCTTAATCTGGCTGGAAACCCCATCTTTCTGGTATAGAGAACCGTTGAGATGGCTCGAGCAAAACCCAAAGACGTTTCAACTGAACTGCACAGGAAATCCAACAAAGACGAGAACAGACCCTCTATAAGAGCAAACCCCATCTCTTTCTCATACCCACGACCAAATGACGTGCTTCAATTTCCATTAAAAACGGAAACCCCCATAGTGACCTAAACCACGCCCAATGCAACCTCGCTCGACCCATCATGGCTGCCGAACTACAGACTCGGGTCAATCGGCGGCATCGAGCGCCACGAAAGAGCAGGCTAATGCTTGAACAGAACCAAGCGAGATGCTTGTGATTAGGAACAGGCCATCCGGAATGCCCAATGGACCAGTGAGATTGAGGCATGCAAATTGAAGAGTTTGTTAGCGGATGGCGTTATCGGCGGTCGTTATTGATGATCGTCGGGCTTGATTGGCCGGAGGTCCGCAACCCTAAATTACGGGAATCCGCGATGTTCGTTGGGATAGTGAGTATTCAATGATAATCTATTGTTGTCAGTATTTTCAAGTGTGTGGATTGATGAAGATCAGCCTACTTAACAGAACTTCAGTGGAAGCCCAACACTTCGAATTATCATTCCTCTGCTCTGGTTTGGTCTGAGCCCTTTCCTCGTTTGAGCTGGTGATATGGAATACCGAATGCTGATCATCAAGGTGACTCAATGGCAATCTGAGCGGTTGGATTGAATTGGCAAATATGTGTAAAGGATAACTTGGCCGAGTGTTTGCATTCTCTCGGCCGCGGAAGTCCGGCAGCATCACGTGGGCAAGCTGCCCCAGAGTGAAAAGAATAGACTGTCTAATAACTCGGATTATTTCATGAAGAATGTATCTTTGAATCTATAGTTAAACAGGACAAGAATGTAAAGAACAATGTCGAGAAAAGCCCTCCATATTCAACGGCCCCCCATCCCTGCTGCATCCAAGAGTGCGCTAATTAGAAATGCGAACTCTAGTTGGTGTAAACAACCATGTAATCTCCTTGGATCTGATCGCCCGAAGTCTCGGGGTTGCACAGCCAAAGTGGATCAGAGTTGGAATCTCCTCCGCAATCCAGGATGGACTCGACACAGTTGTAGGTGGGAGTGAAAGTCAGGAAGGCACGAGTACCCGGTTTCTGGGTCAGCGTGTTGCCGACGGTGAAGGACTTGGATTCGTCCACGCTCATACCCTGTTCCTCGGCGATGGACTCGGCAAAGTTGTATCCAAAGTGGGTGGTCACGTCAGTCTTGACAATGAAGTCGGTACCGACCGACACGTCAATGCCGACGTCGAATCCGTTGGTAATGGTTTGACTGTAAGAAGAGCTGAGCGTAGTTCCAGATGAAATACTGCCAGAGACGGGGAATGAGCACGCGTCGTTGCTGCCGCAGTACTGGGTCGATCCGACGATGGTCTGGTGGCCAGCTTGAGTGTACGGCCCGTTGCTTTCCACAACCGTGCAGCCCGTGCCATCCCATTCCTCATCATCGCGACGCCCGAAAGCAGCCTTCTTAGCAGCACGCCGCTCGCCCTTTGCATGCTTTCTCCTCGCATCGCGCTTCTCCGTTGGGGGCTGGTCCTCCTCGCGCTTCTTGAGAGAGATGGCGGCATTGCCCATGTTCAGTCCCGTGCAGTCATCTCGTCCGCAACAGAATGTTCCACCGATATCTTTCAGGGACTAAGAGCATCATGGGGTTAGCATGCATTGGCCAAGCGGGCTGACACTTGTGGAGCTAACTCACCGGAATGGAGCTGTAGTAACATCCTGAGGTGCCGACGTTGAGCATTTGATTCCCGGGGACGTTCACTCCAGGGACCATGCCATACTGGGACTGGGTGTAATCGGTGATCAACGAGAAGCGGCAGCCCGGGTCAAGGTCAGTGACAAGCCACCAGATATCATAGGCAGAGCTCCCCTCTCCGGGCTTTGCGTCCGGAAAGTCGGCCTCGAAATACCAGTCGACGTTGGACAACTCCTGGCTGATACCCTTCGGTTGAATCGAATCCACATCCACATCCTTCTTATTGCTACATGTAAAAGAGGTGGCATTCTTGCATTGGGAGTCCAAATAAGGTTTGACAGTTATAGCCTGGGACAGGGCAGCCATCATGGCAACGGCGGCGACCGTTCGCGTAGCCATGGTTGAAAGAAGATTTAAGTTATGAAGAAAAGCGAGAAAGCGAGATAAGGCGTTCAGTGTTCAAACTTTTGTCAAGGAAGCCCAAGGGAGGATCTTTATACCCCTACCTTGTCCAGCTTTAAATCCTCTCGCGCGCCCTTCTGGCTCTAGCTTCAATCACCCTTGCCCAGCTTTCCCGGTTGAAGTTGAAATAGCATATCCGTCGGAGATTCGGGGTTCATGGTGGGTTTTCACATATGGCCCCCAGAGTCTTGGGCGGATTGGTTTCATCGTCGATTCGATCAATAAAAACGGCGAAATTCAAGGGGCTAAGAAGGATTGGATTTGTCTAATTACTCTGGAGATGCCGCCAACAGGGAAATGGGACAACTTACTCATGGCTGTGCGAAGCCCCTGCCCAGACTTTCCCTTGCTCCGCTAAGGCAAAGAAACTCGATCTAGTTGTCTGATCATTCTGTGGGGTCCATAATATAGTCTGGGCATTGGGGGCCATCCGCTAGTTTGGACCCAAATGACTGGACTCAAGATACCGTGTATGTCTTTTGTCGCAATCTTCCAAAATGGTTTATCTTTTATCAAGCGCAATCGCCTCTGTTCTTTAGGTCATCAATTCGCAGGTTTGGCCCATGATACTCTAGCCTGGAAGTTGTTTAAAGCACTAATTTCCCTTGCCTCCGTGTGAAAGCATGGGAGTAACATTGGTCACATGAATTCTTCCTCCATGGAACGGAGAAGCCGAATTCGACCTCTGGATATAATTAGCGATAGTCCCACGTCGTATGCCAAGCAGTGTAGTCGGCTTGAAGACCTCCCAGCTCTCGCGTGAAACTCGGTCTTGCCTTAGGTTTCCGTGCGTTGAGTTTGTGGTTCTAGAATACGGAGTACGGAGTACGGAGCACTCCGCACAAAATGTAACTTGTCGGTGCCATCATGCCGATCCTTACTTTGCACGACGCGCCGTAGAGCATACCATCTCCGGCCGGCGCCCAACACCGGGCGGAAACGTCCTTGGCAAGTTTCCTGGCAAGAGCCAAAACCGCGAGTCTGGGCAGTTGCTGTCAAGTGGTCCCTGGAAGAGTACTTAATCTAGTCCCTCCGCTAATCATGTTTTTGCATTGCTTGTTGGATTCTGCAGCTGCAATTTTGACGCCCTTAAACCCGGTACTAACCCGTTCCATTATTGGGTCATTTCTGGAGGACAACAGCTTCTCGTCTTCCAATTGGCTTTCGCGTGCAGCTTCGGTGATTCATCTTGATTGCGATCTAATTTTCTGACGGGGGCGAGATGGCAAAAGTGGCGGTGGAAGAGTATGTCGGATGATGATCCTACTCCGAACCCTTGATCGACTTTCAATCATCACCGGAATACTCCTTGATTGATGGTGACTTTTTCCGAATTAATCGGGATTTCAGAACAAGAAAAGCGGCGCTATATCCGTATTTCAATCCACAATGGCCACTATGAGTGGAACTCGTGGATAAAGGCGGCCCAGGCCACTCTCGTCGGGGATCTCAAAACAGGCTCATTCGAGGTAGGGTTCTGAGATAATAGGGGCGATAGGAAGTCCGACGGACCAAGAGACCTTTGTGCTGCATACAACGGCAAGCTGGGGTTGAGGAAGCGAATTGTCAGCTCGATGGCAACGAACATCAGGGGCGAAATTGGAAGAAAGATGAGTCTCCAGTCCACTGGCAAATGGACGACAGACCGCACCGCCTCTGATTGGCTGATGGCCACGTGATGGACTTGGCGCTGGTTCTGTGCACGTGACTTCGCTTCGTCCCGAATAGGCATCGCGTCTTTTTCTCTGTCGATGTCCACCTCAGAACTCTTCATGAGATCTGGTACTGCAGATCAAATTCAAAGGCGTGGAAGACTCGCTGCTTACCAGAATAATCCAAAAGCTTTTGGTGACAAATGTCTTGCGTCGGTCGGCAAAATATATTATGACAAATGAATACCACATTGATCTCGTTTCTATATATATCATTACTGCGACCTAAATAAGAATACTATGTGCGATTCTTCGCCTCATACTTGACTATCGTGTCAACAAACTTCGATCTATCCCCAGATAATATTAAACCGAGACCACTTGCTTGTCTTGACTGGCTCGTTTTCAACGTCATTCTCAGCTTCGTACAGCGCTTGGCCGATCGGAATGTCGTGCAACGAAACAAGCTTGGTCTTCTTGATGAACTTGTACCCAAGGTATAACGACAGAACAAGTGGGATGTCCCTGCATACACGTAAGCTTCCTCAAAAGGCAGACTCGAATGACAGGGCACTTACAGATAAGATGAGACGAACCATGATGGATCCCAGTTCCCTCGAGTAAACACGACAAAACCTCCCGTGAGCAAGAAGATCAGGCACATTATCAAGGCAAACCACGAGGTGTACACTAGATCCATTAGCGATCAAGCACCCCTCGCAAGGTAGGGATATTCTTACAAGACCAAGTATTGTGCCACGGCAGCTTGTGCGGAGATACTTTCTGAACCTTGAAGGCGTTCAGCATTCGGATGTGGTTGAATGCAATCGTAATCCACGAGATGAGAACTCCCGCCGAGGTCAACGCCAGGAACCAGTTGAACACCGTATAGGCTCCGTTGGAGCAACTGAGATAGGCCAAGCATGAAACTGCAATCTGCAGTGCTGAGCACACGTACGGAACGCCGCCCTTCGTCGTTCGCAAGAATATCTTCGGGGCATGACCCTTCAAAGCCAATCCATACAATGTTCGAGTCCCCGCCAGCATACTCTGGTTCGAAGCAGACCATGCCGAGCTCAGCACGCCGGCGTTGATGATCGATGGCACCACCTTGATGCCGGCACGCACCGCGGCAATGACGAAGGGACTCTGTGCTGCAGTTCCCGACTCGTCTCCAAGTCGAGGATCATCACTGCGCACCAACATCCCCACGATTAGAACAGCCAGGAAATAGAATAACGTGACCCGTACAAACACTCTCTTGCACGCTCGGGGGATATTCTGTCGAGGGTTGCGCATTTCTGCAGCAGCCATCGCCAGACTCTCCACGCCTGCGAAGGAATATACGGCGTTGGTCATGACAGCCCAGAATCCAACGAAGCGACCCCATGACCCTGTCGCGATGTACTCAACAAACGGCCCGGGGTCCTTCCAATACCGAAACCCCAGACGATCCTGACCCGGCACGCCACCCAGATCGATGACCAGCCCCATCAGAATGATACCAATCACCAACAGGACCTTGATCACTGCAAGACTAAACTCGATCTCGCCGTATACTCGTACCGAAAGAAGAGCGATCGATGCCGATAGCACAATCAGGATTGTGATCCAAATAGCAGCGTTCAGATCCGTCCAGTATTGGATCAGCACAACCGAGGCTGCGATCTCGCTCGGAACCGACATGTAAGCTCCATACACGACGTTCCAACCGATCGCAAATGCTAGCCCAGGATCAATCAGGATCTCCACATGACGGACAAACGAGCCTGTCGCAGGCATGAGCGCCGAGACTTCGCCGAGAGCAATCTGGATGGCGCACACGACCAGCCCTACGAGCGAGTACCCTAGCAATGCACCCAGCGGACCGCCTGTTTGGATTGATCCTCCCAGGCCAAGGAAAAGACCCGTTCCCTGGAAAGAACAGTTCATGGTTAATGCGATCCATAATTACGGATGGGGAATTTGCCGCGAGAACTTACAATCGCACCGGCGATCGCAATCATCTGCGTATGGCGCTGCTGCAGACTCCGCGAGAGATTCTGGCTCTCCTCATTGTGAACAATAGCGGGTTCCTGGTCACTCGGTTTCGGCACAGGACCAGCTTCCACGCGACCAGGCGACAGCTCTCTGTCTGCGCCAACGACCAGTGTTTTGGTACTCATATTGGCGCGTCCAATCGGAATGTGCAAAGTCGAAAACACTAAATGACCCTGGGGAACGAGACCTTCAGCCGTCTATCTGGTACGGAGAAACCTCAACCATCCAATCATTCCATATTGAGCTTTGAAAGCTGGTACCACCGCAACACCAGAAGTGGGCGCGGGCGAGAAGAAAAGAAAAACCAAACAGCAAGGAGGTCATCGAGGTTACACAGCACGCCATCACACTAGATCCAATGCATGCTTAGTGGTGGGGCAGGCGCCAGGAATGCAGACATTCTCATTAGGGCTTTCCCGCCATAATCCCTACCATATTGCGTCTCCTGACGAAGAGGTAACTGTCGCAATTCAAATTGACAATGCCATTCATATCAGACATGCTCATTGGCCTCCGGAGAACTCTCCCGATCATTTTTTCAATTCCCAACCCACAAAGCTTGATCGGTACAAGCGTCGAAGTCTTTTAGATTAAGATTTCGGCGCGTCGGTGGAACTCCGGAGGCTTTTTGCACTTGGCAGGTTGCTTAGCGCCGATGGCGTTATTGCAGTGTATCATAGGGGTCCCGAGTTCTACGGAGTAGTGGTATATTTGTTTAAGGGAACCAAGTGTCAGGTCTCGAACTCCTGGCTGCCCCTTACATCAAGACTTTATGTGCTTAAAATAAGGAGGGAAAAAAACTAAGCAAACATATTTCTCTAAAAAATAAGTAAATATATAATATAAAACTATCTTGATAAATAGCTATTTATTTTATATCTCACATGGTCTAATTTAATAATATTAGTAGTTGAAAAGCTTCAATATACTTATGATTACGGAGAAAATAGTTAACTCGGTTGTTTGATCAGCTTGGTTGGGAGCTTCCATGCAGTGCAAACCATGGAACCATCAAAAGTTGGCTTGCAGACCGTCAACAACTCTTTTGGGGTCTTCGGTGACATAATTTGCCTGGAAGACATGAGCTCTTACCCCTTGAATAGTTTCACTAAGTGAGCGGATGGAAATGAAGTCCCTCATATGGCCTGCCCCCCAACTCCTGGTGACTTCGGCTGCGAGAAAACGCCATCCATATCTTGTCTCTCTCGCCTACTCGTACATCACATATCCATCAACAAACGTTGCCTTAGACAAATACATGGTCTAATACAATCAAGGAATGGACCGAATGTAAGTATGATGGCTGAATAATCATGGTAATCCTGTCCGAGGGTCATTTTGGTTGACAGGTTGACAATATACATAGCTGACCATTCCAGGGCTAGTTTTACTCCTCCTCAGGTGAGATAGTCCGCTGTCTCAGTATTCTAAAGTACTCCTCTTACGAAATAATGTTGAACCTCGCTTTCTGGCTTAAGCGCATGTTAGACCCAAGTACCCTTGGTGCCTTCTCACGGAACAAACCATACACTTCTTCCTTGAACATCATGCCTAAAACACCCAGGATGAATGAAGCAGCAGTAGTAGCCCCTTCTGCGATCTTGTTCCAGTATCTAGGATCGAGAGCATTTGCCACGCCATGTAAGAGCCCAATAGGCGCTTCTGGAAGGTTCATCTCAACCATCTCTTTACCCCCTCCGTTCTTCAGCCCCTCAATCTGCAATGGGTAAAGATCCTCGGGGAAATGAAATGGCTCTCTGAAACCCAGTTTCTGCCATGTCGGAATAAGAAGATGAAAAGTAATGTCTCGTCCGTGCTCTGGGTCTGCCTCATTTAGTTTTGTTCTGGCTTCTCGCATGAACAGACAGATATGATCCAGATGATCTCCTTTATCAACGAACTGCGGCGGAAGAGGGTTATCCCTAGTCAACCGCCCGAATGCGGGATACCACATCGTGTCAGGGTTGTAGATAAAAAAACGATGACTTTCCCGCTTCGCCTCGTGAATATCCAGTATTTTTGTTTTCACGAGATCATATACATGCTGAGCAAAACCGTTGGGACCGCCGGAACCAGACACGGTAATCGCATTACTGTCTCCGAGATGGTCTGCGATGGCATTTAAGGCCTGTACTGCTTGGTATCCTTGGATAGCTTGGATGGATACTAGCGCAGTCTGCACACATTCATTATAATTAATAACCTCGAGTGCTGAGGCTTTTGTGTCGCGAGGACCTCGAACCGGCGCCGTCGCATTACTCGTAGCTTTTTGCACATTCCCATCAACAAGGCTGGCGTCTGCTGTCGCTGTCCCGATGGGACTTGAGAAGCCCAGAGTGCCTGATTTCCACTTCTGGAGTATTTCTGCGGCTGATTGAGCTGCTTTGGTATCTTCTTCAGTGGTGAGACTGCCCGACGCAGTGTGGGCACCGAAAATCTTCTCATAGCTCTCGGCGGATAATTCTGAGATAATGGACCTGAGCATGCTCGCCCCCTCGCCTGCCAGTATGGCAGCTGGATTACTAGTACAAAGACCGTATAGCTTCGTAATCTCAGGTGTGGCTTTCAGAATGGGGCGTAGTCCAAGTGCAACGTCACGGTGAAGTGCGATAAAGGCCTCGGCGGCAGACAGCTCTGGGTAACGCTCATGGGCGATGTCCTGTAAATTTTTCAAGTCTGTATAGGTATCCATTTTTCGGATCTAGTTGAATTATCCACGTTGAAGTGGTGGCAACTCGACCACAGGATCTATTTAGAGGGTTCGAAACGTTAGCAGAGATGAATGATTGAAGACAACGCACGTTAAAGAGACCATCACTGGCCCAAGTATTGGCATGAAGGGTCTCAGACTACATACTGGGACTTTTGACTGAATAACCTGCTGTGTCAAAGCCTCGAAGGGTTAGTTCATAGAATGATAAGATTATCAATGGAAGGTGGAGACTCGTCACTCGGCAGGGGCTGGGAGCGAAAGGTCGCAGGCTTGGCACGCAGAGAATGACGAAGCATGAAGTAATTCTATTTATCTTAAATAAGTGAATAAAGATATTCAAGATCTTAATCATAATGCCTATGGATAACATTTATGCCCTCTAAGTATTGAATTAAGTAACATCTTAATAATGATTCAAACCATACAATTTCACGACTTCTCGGAGGCTTGAATTAAATAAGATATTAATTATTTTAGTATTCAATTAATTGTCACCGGCGCTGACATTAGCGCGGAATACTAATACCGGGCAGTTATTTTCCCAAATCATAAGCCTCTTCAACGGTGCCATGACCGACAAGCCAGAAGGTCTCTTTGAAGGCCGCTTCACTCAGAAATGAAAAGTCGAACCTCATTTCTTCCTCCTCGGTTCCTTGAACCTTGTCTTCATCGAGATCGACAAGGAGTTGGTATCAGGAGGTAGAGAGCTAGATATGAAGGGCCAGGTCCTTGCCGAATGTGCAGGTATGCTCGGTTTCCCATGATGATCCCTAACCGACCTCTTTTTCCTGACTGACAGCCCCCTAGCCTGCGACTTCGCAATAGAGACAGCAATGGCCTTTCGCCGTCTATTCTTGTCATCCTGTACGACGGAGATAACCTCCAATTCTTCGCCTTCAACTCTCCTGAAAAGTTGGTCTATGCATCGGACTGGGTAGAAGGTATCACCACGCATTCCAGCCTGGAGAAGCTCTTCCTCGGCCTGAAAAATAGTAAGCTGACCTTCCTCCCTCCCTCCTTCTCTTCCTCAAACTTCACATTTCAGAGAGGCAAGACCAACTGCTAACCTCATCTTTCCATTCAACAGCCACAGAGATCGTGCTCGATTTCTTCAGAATGGCCTAAATCAACAGAATCCGAACCTTGACCTCCCATTCTATGCAATACGTCCCACCTATCTCGGAAACTGAGCACGAGGCACTCACGAAGCTCTGGAAGAAATGCTTAGAATGTGCAGAACATGCACACTCTCTTCTGCGGACGGCGGATCAGTATGCGGCGGACGGGAAATAGAGTCTCACAGACATCGTGGCGCTTAATGGAGTGAACTGGCTAAAACAAAGGTATGTTGGTCCTTTCCTTGGCGACATCATGGGTCTCGCGTCGCTTGACAATCAAGAATATGGCAATAGTGTTTCAAAAAATACCGCTGATAGCTAGGGGCCAAAGGTTGATGGAGGTGGGTGATGGGTCGTCGAGAAGTTTTGAAGCGGTCTTGACGGGGGAGAGGGATATTAATTACTGGCCTTGAACGGATGTTGATATTCGGAAATGTTGAGATGCTTTGTTTTCTGGTATTTCGTTCTTAACTATCTCTCGGATACATGATTGTCAAGAGTTAATACCAAACTTTTATGTACTACCTTCTCATATGATCTGGTATATAAAACTGCAACAGTTATCATATTTCAACTCAATTCGCCTTCTCCCTCACATGGCTTTCACTGGGAAAGTCAAAATTGAAATCCGTCTCGGTCGTCGGCGGACCGGCATAATTTCTATATCCCCAGATCCAATACCAGAAGGCCGAGATAGCGACGAAGCCGACGAAGACGACAGAGGCGTAGTTCATGCTCTCGAGAGTGACGGGGATTGTCGTGGGCATTGAGAAAAGAGGGATGGCAAGGAGGGTCCATGCTAGAGATTTACAAAGCTTCGTTAGACTTTGTTTCTTTTGATATGCGGGAAGGAGCAAAACGAATGAAAGGGGAAAAGGAAAGGAGGGTAATAGTGCAGCTTGCTGTTACTCACCGATACAGACGATGTTGCAAAAGATGCCCAGTCCACCGAGATTAAAATGTGCCCGCTTAATGTCCTCACGACGGCGAAGAATCAGAGAGACAGCAACCGGGCAGCCGTAGCTCATGGTTAAGAATATGACTCCCACGCCCGAAAAAGCGTTGAATGCAGCTGTGGACCCGAAGTAGATAAGGCCCAAAAGGATCTCGATGACCATGCCGAGCATCATCGCGTTGAGAGGAATATCTAGATTCTTGTTGACCTTTCGGAACAGTTTTGAGCCGGGAATAGCGCCATCGCGCGCGAACGCCCAGGTGCACCGTGATGCAGCAGTCACGCAGCCCACACCGCAGGTGATACCGAGAAGAATGAGTGGGATCAGGAGGCAAAAGGCGCCGGCAGAGTTTCCGGTGGCAGATAAAAAGATCGTCGGAACGGGTTGACCACTAACGAGGTTCGCTAGCAGAGGGATATCTGGGAGGACGAAGCAGATGGGGATGAGGAAACAAATGCCGGCAAAAAAGTTGAGGGCGACTCCGCCGACTATCGCTTTGGGGACCTGGATGGCGGGCTTGTGGACCTCTTCGCACATTCTGTTGCATGGGCATGGATATTAGTATATTAGGTTGCGCTGGGAGGTCTACAAAGACTTATACGGAGACGCACGAAGTAACCATTCCGGATGCTGAAAGACCATAGGCGGCTTGAAGCAGGCCGATGCAAAAGGACCAGCCGTCGGGCCACCCGGACTGAGGCTCAAAACTGGTGAACACCCATTCAGCAGATCGTCTGCCGTGAGCTGCAACGACAAGTATAGTTACTATGATAGCGACTACTCCTCCGAGAGTCCAGAAGATGGCGAGAGTCTAGAAAGTAAACTATAGCGTTAGTGACATGAAGTTGAGATGTGAAGGGTTGGTGTAAAGGATTGCTTGTCTTGTACCTCTAGATGTGTCAGCCATCGGTTACCAAATGCGGAAATAGCATGGCAAAGCAGGGTAATCCCAAGGAATATAAGGTAACTCTGGTAGGTTTCAAAGTTTTCCGTGATCCCAACACCATCGGTCTTGAACACGTTCAGGCTTTCAACAAGAAAAAGCGCCGTTGCGAAATTGACTGCGAGCGTGATGGTGATATTCCCTGCAATGTAGGACCAGCCGCAAACCCATGCCGTGACCCGACGACACCACGTGGGTGACAGGGCAAAGGTCTGGTAGTAGACACCGCCAGCAGTAGGATAGACCGAGGTGATCTCAGCTAAAGATCCAGCCACGCACAACATGATTAGCGACACAGCTACCCAGCCCCATACCATGTTAGCTGAGCCGCCGCCTGCCATAGTGTACATCATGGTAGTGGAGAGGCCATATGGAACCGATGCAAGAATAAAACACATGAATATCACCTGCCATGTTGATCGGTTGCGAGATAGTTCGGGAATGTATCCTAGCGATTCCAAGTTCGAGTCCGCTGCACGCTTTTCTGGCTGGGGTGATTCTGCCATTGTGACTTTCACCAGACCGAGGGTCCTGGGGGGCTGTCGTGACACGCTAGAAAAGAACGGAGCTGGACAAGTTAATGTTTTCGCCCGTGGCCTGCATGGATAAGCTGCAGAGTGCGCTGGCTGGTCACAGGAGAGAGCGGAAATGGCCAAGAGGGTTTGCGAGAGTAAGAAACTTTCAAATGAAATTTGATCGAGAGACCTCTGATGAAAACCAGTGAAAATTTTCCAAATACCTGCTCCGTAGAGGGATCAAATCCACACTCACTACTCCGCAGCGATACAGTCTGTGGGTTGCTTATGGAGTATGTCGGCGTGCGGCACACGCTATCTTCGGATGAACATCGTTGGCTCTCATTTGCAGATAACGGCGGTGATGGGGGATTGACACCTTGGCTGCTATGTTTGGTTTAGCGAGAGCCACAGAGCCATCTCTTTTGGGGTGATCATATCAAGATTCAATTCGATAAGTGAGAAGAAGCGTGCCTCTCTGGATGTCAAGGCAAGTTGCAAGTGGCTGTCCTTCTGGTCGGCAATCCGGGCACGAGGACGCTAGTCCTGATCCGGAAGCCAAGCTGTGCCAATAAGCTTTACGGTGGGGCTGTCTTAGTAAGCACTCATCCCCGCGGCTTCAGCCAATCACAGTCTCTGATTTATGCGACGAGAGGCCTTTTTTTTCCCTCGTTGCCTGAAAATGTCGACACAACCGAGGTATACAATCCTGTTTAGAAGGGTCTGTGGAAATAGAAGATGAAACAGAAATGAAATGAAAAAATCTGGACAATACCAGTCAGAAGCCGTGTCATTTGGTATCTATGCCCCCGTTCAGGGTGAGGGTTAGACGAATACAATTTGGACCATCGGCTTATAGATGTACAGGGTGAGATAGGAAACATGTCAGATAAGATGATTGCATAGATATTCACCTTGGAGCTTCTGCAGGATCTGACCCCTGCATATGGTACCCACGCGCTATGTGCCCTGAGAACTCAGGCTATTACCATTTAAACGGACGCCCGCCCCAGTTGGGTCCCAATTTCCTCTCGTCATTTCCCCTCACGCTATCACCTTGTCATCCACAGCATAAATGGACCTCCGGTATTTTCTCCGTTATTTTTATGGTTGAAAACTCATCCGAGTATGCCAATGGCCATGTTGGTTAACACGCTGGTACCTGGACATTATGACCGGTCGGCTTAATCGACAAACGATGCCATTGAATGAGCTCATATCGACACTCTAGGTTGAAAAGCCCATGGCATGTTGTCGGCATGAAGGGCGTCAATATCTGGTGATCTAGGCAGTTTGGTCACTATCGTCCGCGTAAGGACGAAATCTGGTGCTGCTCGGAACTGACACTGGTAGGGAAAACGGCGAAATATCCACCAAACCAGATTCAAAATATCAAGAAGCGATGGTCAATAGGCTTTGCTCTTGCTAGGTGAATCCACGTAACGCCGGGCTCGAGATCCAAAGCCCAAAATGTCTTGAGAAACGACAAGACCCGATGCCGATCCAATCTCCCACTGAGCTGCATGATATTCAGCATGGCATGCTCGACCGTCTCCTGCATACTTGGAATCCCGCGGCACTCTGATCCTGCGATGAACACTGGCCACACCAGATCATGAGCGAAGTACGCACTGCGCGAAAGATAGGAAAGGTGGGTGAAAATGGCGTCTCGCGATAGCTGGATGAATTCTTCGGAGGGATTGTCTGAGAGAACACGCTGGCTGTAGATCAGGATCGCATGATAATACATGTACACGAGGTACTCGAAGTCACAGCGGGCCTCGCTGGATTTGAACTCCATGGTGTGACCCATGTGGATGATTTTGTCCTTTGCGGCCACGGTTTCGTCAAAGACCTCTTCGAGACGTGGGAGTTCTGATTTCAACGATGGCGCAGATCTCAGGCGTTCGGCTCGAGTGATGGCGTGTATGATTCGAACGAAATCAGAGAAAAAGCTAATACTGCCATGGGTGGGGATATCCTCAGATATATCATCGCTTGGATCAAATCGCGTTAGATTCATAAAGACGGAAGTAAAGTAGTATTCGTAGAGAAGGAAGACGTCAGACAGATCGACAGATCCGGCATGCTGCGTGGCTTGAGACTTCCATTGGACAATCGCCCTCGCGCCTTGGATGTGGATCGGCCATCGATCATCCTCAGCCGTGAGAAGCTCCGTATTATACAGAAGAAGCATGGAAGCCAGAGCACAGCGAGCGGGGTGAGCCCAAGCGGAAGGATTCGTGACTGTCTGGAAAAGGCTCAGCTGTTGCGCCAGCGACGACAGAGCTTTATCACGATTATGGCCGGAAACTCCCCGCAATCTGCTAAACCAAGGATGATCGGCCGGATACTTGCATGCCAGATCCTCCGATGCCATGGCCAGCACGGAGAAGAGAACCGTCGGTGAAGTATGCGACAAGGGCAGGACAAAATTCCGCCACAGATTCCCTGGGCCATCGATCCAAGCAAGCTTCGTCGCGACGCCTTGGTCAAAGTGGCGGATTAATTGAGATGTGAGTTGATTGAAAATTGGACTGGGCTGGATTGTGAGAGGCGAGGGAACCTCAACCTGCTTGGGAAGATCCTTCTCCAAAGGCACACATCGGCCCATTAGCTTTCCTCTGCTTGCAACGCCTTGATCCCATCGTAGATGGACCCCATACCCCGGGCAGTCGAAATTTCGCGAGATGCATTTTCGACACTTGGGCAGGGTCCGATCACACGGGATACGTCGGGACTTGCATTTTTGGCAGTCTGCAGGTCATGTTAGTGACACGCACGAGGCATTTTCCATCAAGATCTCATCTACCTTTATTGGGAGTGGAGACAGACGGTCCCTTAGAGGCCATGTGAAGAGATAAAAAAGCTTAAACAGGTCAAACGAGATGATAAATCCAGGGGAAAGGGTTTAATTGGTGCTTCATTAGGGAGGTTGGTGGGATAGTCAGATTCAGGTTAGGAGTAAAAAGTGGCAAAGTGGTTGGCGTGAGTGGCAAAAGGTGTCTGGTGTGTCGGCATCCCGTCCGACCCGATTGCTCGGTCCGTGGCAATAAGGCCGTTGCCCTATAGAGCTCTCATCCGGTGCACTCCCATAGTCTAACACCCCTAATTAACCAATTCTTCGGTTCCAATCTATCACTTATGATAGACTCGAAAAGTCTAACTAGCATTATCTGCACAGGTTCAATTGACGAGCTTAAGGCCATCGTTGATCGATTTTCAGAGGCATGAAGCCCTAGATTACACTAAGAATCACTACAATGCTTCCAAAGTGAGATTAAAGGGGGCCGACGATAGCACATATAATGCCCAGAATAAATAGAATTCTCACCGGAAGGCAGATCTTCAAGTTTCTCATTCATTGCCAGCCAGAGCATAGCAGGAACTCTACCCAGAAGCATCCAATGATCTTCGCAAACTATAAAGGAAAACAACTGAATTTTACCATCTTTATGCGCAATTCTAAACTATAAGTTTTCGCGATCAAGGATACGCATTTCCTAAGCTACTCCGGACGGATGTTGGCATGTTGCAGAAAAGAACTAACCGAACACCTACTAAACGGGTAAGTCTGTCGATTTATTATTTTCTTTATCTACATAAGATTATTCCCTCTTTAGGCAACCGCTTTAGCTTCATTTAACTACAAGGAACGGTATCAAATCTCCTACTAACTATTAAAAATCCCGAGATTATAAATCATCATTAATTCGATTGCTTGTCGCAGCATCATCGCTTTACAAGGATACGCATGGCCCCTATATTGTAGAGTAAGGAATATCAATTCGATCGATGGTTTCATTCCTTTAGGACTGATTACGCTCATTTTTGTCACTTTCAAACTAGTACGTCTCGATTCTATAGAAGAGCATTTTGAAACCTTATATCTCAAGAGCTGTGGATGCATTTAGTTCTAGGATGAGATCCGCACCGGAAGGGCCTTCCGAAGCACAACCCCGCCGTTGAGACTTGTCGATGCAGCCGGAGATCTTCTATTTAGCAAACGTATAACCTCTCTTCATTCCCCTCGATTTCCATTCCTCCCTATTCTCTTCTCTTCTCCTTTCCAAACCCTTTTCCATCCCCCCCTCCCCGAACAAAAAGAAAAACTGCACCCATCATGGACATCGCCACCTCCCTGCAATCCCACCCCCAAACCCTCAAATGCATCGACATGCACACCACCGGCGAACCAACCCGCATCATCTACTCCGGCTTCCCCCTGCTCCCCGGCATCACGCTCCTCGATCAGCGCTCTCACGCGCTTACCCACAACGACCACATCCGCAGACGCATGATGCTCGAGCCCCGCGGCCACGTCGACATGTACGGCGCCATCATCGTGTCTGACACGGAGCTCGTGCGCAGCGGCGCCGCGCACATCGGCGTCCTGTTTACCACGAACGGCGGGTTCTCGACTATGTGTGGGCATGCGACGATCGCGCTGGGTCGGTTCTTGGTCGATACGCATGATGCGGATGTGTTTCCGAGACGGGGGGAATTGGTCCTTGATGCCGATGCTGATAAGGACGCGGACGGCGCCAGGGTGAGGGTGAATATTCATGCACCTTGTGGATTGGTGAGGGTTAGTGTGCCGACGACGGCGGATGGGTTGAAATCGGACCCCGACAGGCCTGTCACGTTCTTGAGTACGCCGGCGTATGCGATCCCGGGGTCCATTGAGGTGCAGATTCCGGAAGAGGTGAAGTGGCCGGAACTAGGGAGACGGGAGTCAATTGTGCTGGATATCAGCTATGGGGGGACGTTCTATGCGCTGGTGGAGGCGCGGGAGCTGGGGTTTGCAGGGGGGTTGGGGAAGGTGGATGTGGACGCGATGACGAGCGCGGTGAAGAAGCTGAAGGCGTATCTGTCGACGCATGAGGAGGTGGTGAAGGCACTGCAGAACGTCGAGGACGAGAGGTTGGCGTTCTTGTACTCGGTGATGGTGGTGGATCGCGATGTGGGATCGAGGCCGGAGGGTGTCGACGGCGCAGAGACGGGGCTGTGTTTCTTTGCAGACAATCAGGTCGATCGGTCGCCGACGGGGTCGTGCGTCTCGGCGCGAATGGCTTTGGCACATGCGTGGGGCTTGAGGCCCGTTGGAAAGAGATGGGCGTATAACTCGCTGGTGTCGAACCATTTTGATACGGGGGCCTTTACGGCGGAGATTGTGGAGGAAGGCGTGCGTGTGAGGCATTATAATGGGGAAGAGAGGAATGCGGTGGTTGTGCGAGTCGAGGGAAAGGCATATTATACCGGGGCTATGACCTTTGCTGTTGAAGAGGGAGATGTCACCGGTGCGAGTGGGTTTACGATGAAGGGAATGGTCAACTAAGATGATTTGTAGATTGAGTCATAGAATGGACAAATGCGCGTACATTAGCCCCAGATGCTGTTATATTCAAACTCAAAATCAGTTCCCCATACGCTGCCATCGACGGTATCCAACTGCTGGGCTAGACTTAACACCTGCGTATAACTCATGCCGATATCCTCGTCGGCCAGAAGCCACTCCTCGCCATCCAAATCGGCAGTGATCTCTTGACCAAGGTCGCTGTTTACGTTCTCTCCGCCACCATCCTTTTTACTTCCCTCGTTGACAAGAATTTGCTGCGTCATATGTTGAAGAAGATCCAGTTCTTTCTTGCGCATCTGAGCCGCCATGTTTCCCTTGGCTATGAACTCATTCAGCATCCGTGAAATTGCAGTAATATAGCTTGGCAAGTCTGGAATCAAGCAAACGTCGATAAAACCTGCAAGTATGATAATAAATGCGGCAGAAAAGAGGCTGTCGAGGTCGAAAGGAAGAAATGGCTCTGGCATTGGGAATTACATTAATTTCCGTTCAGTCACTAGACTATGGGGCACGTTGGAGAAGACACTTACCGAGAGACGACTGCTCATGAAGCAAGGATAATGTCCGGATCGATATCTTCGCGGACTGTACCGAAGCTTCCAGCAGTGGTCTGAGTTGGGATGGAATGGATGTATCATCGTCTTCTCGTGAATGGGGCGATTTCTTCAACCTGTTTATCAAGAGGTAAAGAAATAACGGACGCGTTGCTAGAATAATACACTTTTGCCATGATTTTAGCTATTGCGGATCTTGAAATACTTTTGAATGCGGAGAGACATACTTGATGATACCTTAGATACAGATGGCTAGACGTGGTTGAGAGGGTACGAAGCGAAGGATGTGCCGTGTCTGCAAAGATGTCCTCAATATCCCGGAGAATATGAGCCATATCTCTAAGAACCGATTGCACTGTGGATATAAAGGATCGTCTCCGTCGATTGTCCGCTGTATACACAGCTTCGAGGCAATCAGTCTGGATCCCTTTATAGTGTACCACATGACATGAATAAATCGTGGAAATAAAAGGGGTTGCTTACAATTTAGAATGTCACCCAAAATCCGTGACAGTTTAGCATGCATCGTTAGAACAAGAGCCATTTCCGAATTGTCATAGGATACAGGCAGGGAGCAAGTGACTTCGGCATCTTGAACAGAGCACGGGGCCCCAATCATGGCCGAAATCTGACGCTCTAATATATACGTCGTCCACCAGATGTTTCGGCATTGGTTTGCGAATTTGATCCCGAAAATATCATTTGGGGGATCTCTATATAGGCCTTCGATCATGCACATCCGCAGGGCTTGTCCTATCTGTAAACTTGCTGTTTCGTAAGCCTTGCTTGTTTATTGCCTTCGGTTAATTCAAGGGTTCACGCACATAAGCATATGCGGCATCTTTCATATCCACTGAGATCAAATAAAAGCCTGCCAGGTACGAGACTTGCATTCCTAAATTAGGGTGTCGGTGTATTTCCACGAAGTCAGGCATAAGTGACATTGCACGCTCGAAGAACGCCGCCCCTGGGGGTGACCTTGGGCCCCTTGACGCTGCTAGAAGAGCTTTTGCAACAGCAATGATCAGCAGATATTGAACGAACCACAAAGGCATTGCTTTGGCTTTTTCAACTCCCTTTTCGTAGAGCTCATGCAAGTGAGGTATGAATTCATCCTCATCGTATAGGAATAGCATATGATAACAGTGGAATTTGACGACATTGAGAAGGTAGAGAGAATCACTTAGAGAAGGAAGCCCTTCCAGCATCGAAATGTTGTCTAGGCTGGCCCGGCTCCACTTCAACTCCCACGTACTTCCATCGATATGAAACGGAAGATCTGGGGCAGGGAAACCAGGGAGTTCGTTTTTCAGTAGTAGGAAGATGCGCTGGGAAAACGACCAAGTTGATGATGGACCACAAAAGCCTTCATGTATTAATACAGGTCGCACTTATTGGACTCGAACCTCGACATACGATAATATCCCGAAGTCTCTCTGAGGTAGAAAGACGTTGTAGACACTAGAGGATTGGTGATTTGCTCTTCCGCGGCTGTGGTCACTAGATTAAAAGCCCGTCAGTTTTCTGCCTTCATGAGATGTCGACTGTGGATCCAATGCTAACCATCTCTTGACGGTATATCAGCTTCTGGAGCCGGTCTCTGTTCTTCATGCGTACTATCATGGTTAGATCCGCTATGCATTGATGCATATATTTGCTGTAATTCTCTCAAATAGCTAATATGTTTGTCAGTAAGCTCCACGAAATTTATTAGGTCGATGAGCATGGATCACCTTTCTGAGACAAGAATCTTCTTCTCAGCCTCTCGAAAGATGCATTCGACCTGGCGAGCGATACAGGGTTCGCATGGGTTCTTCCCAGAACATTTGGTCTTTCTCTTCTTACACGGTTCACATCTGGTATCTCATCAGTGAAGACCAAGAAGAATGAGCTGGGTCGACGTACGCATTAGCCACGCGGTCTAATTGCTGTCTTCGGCGCACTCGATGCGCCATGATGGTTATCACGGTCGAATATAGAGATGTGGCGGAAGGAGGGTCCGGTCGGAATGTGCGGAGGTGGAGGGCTCTTCGGAGGGCCCTTCCGGTCATCTCTTTCCTTGGTCCGTCTTTCGGAACAGTCCTCCGTTCTCGAGCAACGCCATTTTTTTCTTCGCCGAAGGTTCGAATAAGAATTGAGATAAATATTTGGGAGATAATCGGTGCGACATTGGTTGTTTGACTGGCAAGATAATACTATCATGAATGTTCATCTCTAATATAGCCAGATTGAAGCGTTTCAGTGGCACTTCCTACACATCTTCGATCTTGCGAGCTTGGGCTAATCAACTTGATAGACAACCCCCCTTTGATAACTTCCGATTTCCTAAGACAGGCTATGATATTTAGGGGTTGATGAGAGGAGGATGGCCTGGTTGCAATTAATGTGCAAGATTATATTGTACGACCCTTGCGTCTCCTTGCGTGACATTGTGCTGTCTACCTGAGATTCGATTTGGCATACAGTATATCCAAAGGCAGGAGCAGGAGATCCAATCAGAGCAGAATCTGAAAAATAAATAAGATCCTTCCCATGGTCGTCTAATTCCCCTAGTCGCGCTGTCGCAGCGGACTCTATCCCAGGTTCACAGTTAGCACGATCTTATGATCAAAAGATATTAATTTGGAGCATTCACATCTGACCTGCTATTGCTCTTCGTTATTTTTTTGTATTTTCAACAGGACCAACAGAGTGACCTATAACCTTTTAGTCTGTGTGTTCATTTGCACTTGTTATAGAAAGCTTGCGATGAACTACTTTTCCCATCTCCTGTGTTGATAAAGCGGAATGAGATGGTCAACAATACTCAGTCCTAGCTGAGAGATTTGGGGTCTTTCGACGTATCATATAAACCCTGGTTATAGATCAGAAAATCTGCATGGCCAAATTTTAGGCAATTTTTGAAGGAGAAGTTGATACTGCAAGTTACTATATACCAAGCTTGTGATAAATATATCAAAACTTCAATAGGTGGTCATAGATCTAGTAAAAAATCATTGAACAGGACCGTATGCCCTTAGAAGCCATAGATAATATACGAACCATCAAAAAAGGATAAAAAGGATGAGTATACAAACATGAACAAATAATGGAAATGAGAGTGAAAAGGAAAAAGCCGATAAAGACTAACGCCACGACCCCACCCAAACACGACGCACCATCACGAAGTTCACCCACCGCCTTTATAAAGATGGCAGATGCAAAGTAACCACCTCCACAATTCATCCTCCGCCAGATCAGATCGACTCCCTCTCTTCCAATCCATCCCAGACCTGACCAATCCTCCAAAGCCATCATGCCGTACCTCCCCACCCCCCAGGCCTACCTGGAACAGTCCGCCTTATTACTCGAAGCCTACCCAGACACTGTACGTCTTGCCCATTCTCCCAAGACTCAAAGACACGCAGAGACAAGAAGAGACAAAAGACAGATAGACCCAACCTCACCCGCAATATCTAACTAACTCAATTCTCCCCAGACCCGAATCACAACAAAATACAGCTTCCCCTCGCACAAGCCGAAAACCACATCCACGACAGACGCTGCACCCACCGAATCTCAACCGCAGACCTCGACGCCAGTCGCTACGCTGACGTTGAAAACGTTCAACCCCTCCGCCGGACTATGTCTGAAGTATCGCACCAACAAGGCTGCCGAGGTCGGTCGCTTGATTACTAGTCTGGGGAAGCTGGCCGGCGGCGCAGATGTGGCTAGTTTGGGACTGGGCGCTGCGGCGGCGGCTCCGGCCGCTGATGTCGAGATGGCAGATGCTCCTGAGGAGGGGACGGCTACGCCGACGACTGCTGCTGCTAACGCTGCCGCTGCGGGTGCGGCGAAGACGGAGTCGAATAATAAGGGTGGGAAATCGAAGAAGAAGGGTGGGAAAGGAAAGAGGTGAAGAGTGGTTTTGTTGGAATGAGTACGAATATGATATCAATCTTTGCGGTGATGAGATTCGGGAGCAAGCTCTTAGATATGGGCATAGATACCTGGGGCCTGAGGTAGCGCACACCTGGACGGGATATCGGATGACGACTTTGGTGATCGACACTCTCGGGGCGGTTTATTGGGGATGAAAAAGTGCGCCAGCATCTTTGCTTTTTTGCCCTTGGTCTCTGTTAACTGTGCGCGGGGACTGTGCTGGGCTGGCTTCTCCGTCTGATGATCTGGGTCTGAATATCGCCTAGGAGCCAATATTGGTAGACGACACTTGATGATGTATGTCTTGTACATAAAAACAAATGACTTGTCATGTCTATTCATTGCGATCTTGCCTTTCAACGCGCACGATGGCTGAATCTAATGTGCCTTATCACAGTAAACCTAAGCATGGAAGTTCGTGGCGAGGAGATGAACAGGATGAACCAGACAACCAAGCTAATCATAAGAGGCAGATCAACATCGTTGTCCATCAATTTTAGGTTCAAGGTGTGTACGGGTCACTACAAGATAATAGAGTCATTACGCATCACCATCTCTTGAACGCTGCGAAATACTCTGTAGTAAATTCCAGGGAAAAGATCAAAGCCAATCACTTGATTCTAGACTATGTGAACAAAATGAAATATCCAACTCGAATGTACAATGATATCCTATTCATTTAAATACAGTCCGCCATCCATTCCATACCATACAAGCACGTATCGAATGTGGTGAGACATTAATACGTCAATAATTCCTGCCTTCAAACGCCAGTCCCATGCGCATCCCTCAAATAAGCTCATAAATCAATAGCACTGCCGAAAAACAATAATTGCAAAGGGTAGTAAAAATGAAAACAAATTAGCTCGTATCCAATGGCCGCCCACAAGGCCGGGTATAGTCGTGTGGCATCAGTTTAAAAGTCCTCGTCGAACGAGAGACCACCGTTGCCGGTCTTCGTCTCTTCTTGAGCGGCATCCTTCTTGGTGCTTGCCATAACACCGGCCTTCTGGTAGTCACCGACACGCTTCTCGAAGAAGTTGGTCTTGCCGGCCAGGGAGATCGACTCCATGAAGTCGAAGGGGTTGGTGGCGTTGAAGTACTTCGAGTTGCCGAGGGCCACCAGGAGACGGTCGGCCACGAACTCGATGTACTGGCACATCAGCTTGGAGTTCATACCCAGCAGAGCGCAAGGAAGGGCATCGGTCAAGAACTCCTTCTCAATGGCGACAGCCTCGACGATGATGTCCTCCACAACCTGCTTGCTGGGGCGGTTGTTGAGGTGAGAGAACAGCAAGCAGGCGAAATCAGTGTGGAGACCCTCGTCACGAGAGATCAGCTCGTTGGAGAAAGTGAGACCGGGCATCAGACCACGTTTCTTCAGCCAGAAGATGGAGGCGAAGGATCCAGAGAAGAAGATACCCTCGACAGCGGCGAAGGCGACGAGACGAGATCCGAAGGTCGACTCCTTGTCCTGGATCCACCGGATGGCCCATTCAGCCTTCTTGTTGATGCAGGGAACTGTTCAAAAATGTTAGTCTTCGATCACAAGAATTCTCAGACAGGGCTGAGAGAACATACTGGTGTCAATGGCATCGAAGAGGTAGGTGCGCTGCTTGGGCTCCTTGATGTAGGTGTCGATCAGGAGAGAGTAGGTTTCCGAGTGGATGTTCTCGATCATGATCTGGAAGCCGTAGAAACAACGAGCCTCGGGAACCTGCACCTCTCCACTGAAACGCTCCAGCAGGTTTTCGTTGACAATGCCGTCGGAGGCGGCGAAGAAAGCGAGAACACGGGAGATGAAGTAGCGCTCATCGTCGTTCAGACGCTCGTTCCAGTCGTGCAAATCCTTCGAGAGATCAATTTCTTCGGCGGTCCAGAAAGAGGCCTCGGCCTTCTTGTACATTTGCCAGATCTAAAGCGGAGAACACGACGTGTTAGCAGAGAGCACATTGTGGCAGGTCGAGGGCGGTGACGCATGGATATTTTGGAGGGGCCGGGTGAAAAAAAAAAAAATCAATTTACGCGTGACGCGTAATAAGCGTGTCAACTCACCTCATGGTACTTGATGGGGAAGAGGACAAAACGATGGGGGTTTTCCTGGAGCAAAGGCTCGTTGGCCTCCATCTCCTTGATCTGGGCCGCAATCGAAGAAGCTTCGGCAGGCTTTTCCGCCACAGGCTTGGTGGCGGTCACGTCGACGGGAGTGGACGAAGGCGCGTTCTCCTTGCCGACAGATTCGAAGTTGAGCTTCTTGACAGGCGAGTCGTTCATCTTGAGGTTCTCAAGGGAGGAAGCAGCCTATCGAAAGGTACATTGTTAGCTTGCACAGGACCAACGACGCGTCGAGCGCGGGAGGCGAGACGTGACATCACGTACCTGCTTGGAGGGAGTGACCTGCGAGGACATGGTGGACGGTGTCTGAGAGATTGATAAGAAGAAAGATGCAGACGAATTGGTCACACTGACACAGAAGCACGCCAAACTTTGAAGCAGGGAGATTGGGATGAGGAAAGAATGGCAGTTACGAGGGGGAGGAAGGGCGAAGAAATACTTCCATGGGACGAGGAGCGTGACCGCTAGCGCGACGGGCTAAGTCACGGTGCACGTGACTTGGCGCGCCTCTGGGTCGGTGGCTGGCGGAGTCTCTCGCTGCGAGTCGCGTCTTCACGCCCGTCCCTGGCAGCACAAAACATCGTCCAGACTCCAGCTCTGGCCCTGGTTGGGTCAGACCACTGCCCTTTCCTCCCATCCGGTGTTTGCATTCTCCACTGAACGATCAAACTTCCCAAGTATTTTGCCTGATCTCCACATACCGGGATACTGGATTGCCCGAAAGGGTGTTACCGAGCATGTCGCGTCGCCCAGCAGAGGCGATTTAATCTTATCTGATGAGATTTCATCGTTCCCTGCGTCGATCTAACTCTGCTCGCCCATGGGCCATGACTCCCGCGTAAATTGGTAGCTGCCTACAATTCCTCCTTCTCTGTATGTACCCTAAGCGTGGTATATTTATTATTTACCATTCCTAACCGTCAGTGTTGGTTACGCCTTCGCGTGTTACCTGTTTCCTTGCCTATGGCTGACACCACACTCCATCGGCACGCGGATCTGTAGCCTGGCTGGAAACCAGGAAATCCTCAGTAATAGGAGAACCAGTCTGACAAATGAAACCTATCCACTCATCCCCACAGCGGTAGGCCAGAATGGGGGCTTGATAATGCTCGAATAAGCTAGTGTTGGTCCGACGGAATAAAGAGCTTTGCCCTTGCAGCACGCGACGCGACGTGTAGAGTGGCCCTTCCGCCTGAAATAGGCACCCACCTCGGATTTACGGGTCGGAACTGAGAAAGTTTTCTTGGGCTGACGTCTAGCGTCTGGGCCTGGGCTCCCCGGTGGAGTCTATTGTCGTTTCGTTTCTTTTCTTTCGGTCTGGTCGGCGATCGATGATGACATGGTAAACAGAGACGCGTCGGCGAGGGATTGGTCGTGTCTTGAGTGTTGATTCTAACATTATTGTATCTTTTTGCATCTTTCTGTGCCGCAGTCTGCTTCCTCTCATACTTTCATGGGCCTCCCAATTGAGTGTAGACACGTGCTTTCTGCAATTGGCACACGTTAATTGCCAAGCATAATTATCTTATGCCCTCCATATTCTCCCCACGCGACACATCGCGCTTCGAATCGAATACTCGGTCTTGGCACAGATCAGCTAAGTAATATCATGCAGTCTACATGTAGTATTCTTTCATATGTATGTACAAATTCTCTATAATCATGTGACGGGATAACCCAAGATCAAACGCCTCTTATTAACCATCGCCCGGGTATTCGACTAGCCAAAGATCAAATCAAAGACTTCGCCCTCTTTCACGGTTCACTACAGTTCTAACCCCTCTTCATTCAAATGCGCGACTTCAGGTCATCGGAGAGCAGTCGGTCCTCGACCTTCCGCATGAACCGATTGGTTTGTTCGGCCAGGGAAAGGGTCAAAATCTGCAAGATAATCAGCGATCGGTTTTATGTCGGGTGACTATGTGGGACGACTCACGGTATGGGGCAGGATACGGGCCAAGTGAGCGAAATAGCCCTTATATATGGCAAGCAGACCTTCCGTGCGGATAGTCTTGTACAGGCAATCGAAAACGCCCTTGTACAGGTTACCAGTCTGGTTATACATTCGAGACATGATGGTGTCTGGAGCAAAACTAATTAGCGGGACCATTCGCGCCTGACAATAATGCGATGCATACCTGGGGGGTGCATGACACAGCAGACAACAAACCCGGAGGCCGTGCTACTGGCCAGGTGAAGGGCCGGGCCTTCTTCCATGCCCAAATGCTTCGTGAGACGGCGCTTGGCAAAGAAGTAGGTCGGCAACTGAACAGAGCTACCAAATCCAGTCCGGACCATGGCAGCGCCCACACCTCGGTACAGCCCGTTCACACCTTCCGTGGTATAGATCTTGCGCAGACCGTCGAATGAGTTGCGGTAGTTGTGCTGCGTGCCGACAGGAAGGAATGGAGAGTAGGACTGGAGACGAGTCTTGACCAGGAAGAATGGAGAGCCGGCGGCAGCACCAATGATACCGGACGAAGCGCCAGCGAGAACATTGATGCCCAGAGATTGAACCTGCGGGTCTTTATAAAGCGCCGAAGTGAGAGTCGTGCGCACGGGCTCGTAGAACCCTAAACGGCAGCCGTTGAGCAGAATTTGGTATATATACTAGACGCGATCGATTAGCCGGTAGCCCCCCACTCTGCACAATGATGACATACAGCAACACCGATCCCGCGGAATAACCCGCGAGGGCCCTCGTTTTGTAGAATAACCTTGACGGCGTGCGTGACGCCCTTGTACTTCTTCGCCGCATCGGTCTTTGCTTGTAATTCACCCTGCAGTTGCAAGCTGGAAGCGAAGTAATCGTCAGACAAGGGACGTGAATTATGGTATGCGCTCAATGACAGAGTATTCCGCACCGAATCTTAACTGTCTCGAAACTGTGGGTGACTGTGACCGCTCCACATGCTGCAATGCCACCTGCAATAAAGGCTCTATCCATAACATCAATATTAGCCAGGTTTCTCGCCTTGTTCGCGCTCCACCGGTGCCGAAACATACCCTGTGGTTGTGGACATGATTTATGAATGAAAGCCCCGGTCAACGGAGAGCGGAAAATCGTCGACGGCAGAGGAAGGGGAATGAAAGTTCAATTGAAAGCACCAAAAAACAATAGAGTGGAGAGTGTCGCGAAGAATGTCCTGACCCCAACGAGCTGGTCAACGAGGGTGGTCCAACTGGCAAAGAGAGTGAAGTGTCAGATCGGTGTAAGAAGCATTTCCTTCGCAGCCGCGGCGAGCTGAGTGACCAAGCTTCGCCGATTGGATTCCACGGGCGGTGATTGGCCACCGGGCCGGTCTCCATCGTTTGTGCCTCCGACGTCGGGCGGTCAGCCGAGTCTAGCCGAGTCTATCGCCGGAGCGGATCATTCTTCCTCCGGACAAACACCGGCCTTGGCCCGAACAGGCTAGACTCCGTCAAACGCGTCAAATTGGGCAGATCGCGTGCGGTTCCATTCCAGCTTGAAGCTTCCTTCTGTCACCGAGAATCGATTGAGGCCAAAGTGAGGAGTCTTCGAACTTTCCGGCATTGTCATCTCGAAGACCCATAACCTTAACTAGATCTAGGCTTGTTTGGCTTTCGCAACACTTGCTCTTGCTGTATCGTTTAAATTAGTCAATCATGGCGGACAGCCAGCCGTCGCAGACAACGTCGCAACAGCCGCAGTCGTCGCAACCCCAGCTACAGACACAAAAGGTGTCGGACATTATTCGTAGCTTCCGTCCTGGCAGGGTTTGTACAAGCCTCCTCGCTGGCCCAGCCATGTTGCGAGTTGGACTAATGATTCCCAGGCGTTCAATCGGCAAAAAGAAAGCTCCCACTATGTAACCTCTCTTGATTTCGACGACCAGGGTGAGCACCTGGTAGCGTCCGGTGATGATGAAACGATCCAGATCTTCGATATCAAGGAAGGCAAGATGACCAAGTCGGTGCCCAGCAAGAAATACGGTGCCCACCTGGCCAGATTTACACACCATGCCCGCCAGGTTCTTCATGCTAGCACCAAAGTCGACGGTATGTTCCACATGCAGCGTCGTCCCGACTTTGCTCTTACTTGATTTACACTTCATTTACTGACTGTGTGCAAGACTCCTTACGATTGCTTGATCTCCACAATGAGGGATACGTACGTTACTTCTCAGGTCACACAGATAAGGTGACGTCTCTGGCCGTGTCACCTGGCAGCGACTCATTCATCTCCTGCTCGAAAGACGACAGCATTGCGGTCTGGGACCTGGGCTCGAGAAACATGCAAGGAAGACTGAAGCTTGCGACCCCGTATCTCGTGGCATTCGACCCCTCCGCCTCTGTCATTGCGGTCGCAACCCAGTCTACGTCCTCGATCCTCCTCTACGACTTCCGCAATTACGATAAGGCTCCATTCTCGACATTCGACATTGCTCCATACGAGGAGAAATACACCCCATCCACTCGCGGAAGAGCCTGGACGCGCCTTGAATTCTCCAACGACGGGAAACATCTGCTCATTGGAACCGATTACCATGGTCATTTCATCCTCGACGCATTCGAGGGCACCCTCAAAGCTTTTCTCGTCGGCAAAAACGGATCGCCTGGAAGAGCGGCTCCGGTTTCGACCACAGGCAAGCCTCTGGGACAGGGCGACGTGTGCTTCTCTCCTGACGGTCGCTTTGTATTTGGCGGCTCAGGCGATCATCATGACGTTCTCGTTTGGGACACGCAGCAGACTCCCGATGCCAACGGCCTGTTGCAGCCAGCAAACAAACTACCTAGCCGCGGCCGGACCGCTGTGATTGAGTACAACCCTAGATACAACTTCTTTGCCTCTGCCGACAAAGAAATTTGCTTTTGGCTTCCGGATAGCACGTACCAGCCGTCCGAGAAGTAAACCGGGCTAAACGCAAGGCACCAAGAAAGGAACCGTGGGAAACCCAAATCTTGTTTTCGCCCACTATGCGGATCGTTCCATGATGCCCCATCAGCTACACTAGTCATTGGCACTCGTCGACCCATCCATCACCGCCGTCCACAGAATATTTTCTTGATGATTCAACTAAGGGAAACATTTTCTAGTCTTTTCGGCCCCTTTCTTTGCCCACTAAACTCCTGGCTGTGTCACAAACCCATATTTGCGGTCCCTCCAGATCCTCATCACCGTTTCTTTGCTTTTCCACCGTGGCCTCAATTTGCTTAACCACCGTTCGATTGCTGGAGATCGTCGTCGTTCCGGTGGCCCACCCATACATGAAGACACTGTAATTGATATCGGACAGTATCTCGGTTACTTGGTGGGCTACCGGTGGCAGCTGACCCTTGTTTCTCGCTTCATCGATTACAGGGTTGGCATCCACTATTCTTATGGGCAGCTGCCAGTGTGGGGGGATCTCATGATCGGACAGTTGCTGGAGACTTTGAATGAGTGCTTTCGCGTCGCAGTCGTTGAAAGGGGGATCGGCCATCACAATCTCAGCCCTTTTCTTTTCAGTATCGGTGCCGATCACGTCAACAATTTCACGCATTCGTCTTGCTGCCTCGGTGGTACACACCAATTCGTGCGCACCCATCGCAGGCCAAAGCTCCGTGGTAAGTAATGGCCGCTGGCTTTCCACCTCGAGCTGGCGAAGGATTGCTCTATGAAGTGACGGAGACGGGGGTATCTTCTTGAAATAAGACACGTCTGAAACGATTGCAAGCAACAATGTACAGTCCACATTTAGCAGCGGCGTAAATCGTTTGAACGGAGTGGGTAGAAGTCGACGGAGATCCTTCGCAAGGGCATCTTCAGGATTGGCCTCGCCAGACGAGGATCCCAGACCTCCCTCTCCGCATTCGACTACGACTCCATAGCTCCGTATTACCTTGAGCAAATTGTCGATTTCCGCACTCTTCCCTTCCGCAATCTTCGGGATCACCATCCGCAGCCGCGGATGCTTGTAGTTCACCCTCGTAACGTTCGCTGCCTTCCTCATATCCCCAGCCAACTTGACCAGTTCAATCTCGTCGTCATCATCCTCCTCCCCATCACTGCCATGGCCCGCCCCGTCGTTGAAATTCTGCAAGATCGTCCTCCCCCCGTCTCCCTCCCCCTCCGACCCATCTTCCGAATCAGCCTCCCACCCCTTCTTCGCCATCTCAAACAACAGCCTCGTCTCCGAGATCGTCGACACCTTCACCCACTCCTCCCCATCATCCGTCACAATATCCACATACACACTCCTCCGCTTATCCTTCTGCCCATTGCCCTTCCCCTTCCCCTGATCCCCATCCTTCGCCTTATCATTCGCCTTCAGCTTCGCTTTATCCTCCCAATTCCCACCCTCCCAATAAAACCTCTTCCCGAAGGCCACAAGCCCGGAGCACGAATTCCGCGCAATGCCCCACACCGTCTCGTAGAAGGGTAAGTTCGAGGACCGGAGCGCATGCAGGAGCCGTTTCTGCGTGTCGGCGTCGTCGTCCGCGTCCGCGCCCGCCGCATGCACCCGGTCGGTCAGTTTCTCGAGCGTGCGCAGCTCAGACAGCACGCTGGAGCGGAGCGAGCGGGCCTCCACGACTTGGGGGTTTCGTTGCGTTTGTGCGAGCAGGGCGTGCAGGGCGTCGAGCTCGGAGAGGAGGGTCTTGCAGCGGGTTATGAGCGCGGAGGTGAGTTGTGCGGGGGAGGGTGAGGGGTCTGAGTCTGGGTCGGTGGTGGGTGGCATTTTTGGGGTGAGTTGGTGGGTTGGAGGAGGGTTGAGAAAGAATTGTGGAGAAGAGGTAGGAGGTAGGAGGTAGGTAAGGTGAGGAATGAGGAAGAGAATGGGATTGGGGTTGGGGTTGGGAGGGAGGTAGTATGGCAGAAACAACACGGTAGAAACCGAAGGAAACCAACTCCTACAGTCTATCATTCCCCACCAACAGCTTTGAGTCATCATTCCAGGCTGGGTTTAAGCCTAAATGGGTAAGAATGCGCCTGACTAGATTCACTGTAAGAGGCAATCTGTTCCTAGGGAAGCTTTTAAAGTGTACACGGCAGACAAACGAATTGCAAACATTTACATTATGAAAGCGGGCACTTTATCCCTCGTCATCTAAAAGAACCACTGCGTAGCTGGAGAACATGAAAACGAAAGATACAACAAAAAACCAACAGGCCGAACGCCTTTTCAATGCCTGCCAAGGTTGAAAGAGAAACCATTTCAATTCCTCCGATTGAGAATGGGGTTCAGTGACCCCAGGTATCAGTACAAGGTGATGCATGTGTCGCAACCACGATTTGGGATCATCCGCCACGAAAAGAAGCAGTCTAGGGCATAGGAAGAGAGAAGAAAGCTTTTAGTCCCTGTCCTTGCCGGTGAGTCGTTGGCGCTCGCCAGAGTTGCGTGGTGATTCATCCTCGTCGTCCGTCCATTTGTCGCCGTCTTCACCGACAGCGAAAATCGTCTCTCCGTCCAAGGACTCCCGTTGGCGCGGTGCGGAAGGAACGGGCTTAGGAGGAACAGGCGAGAGATCACGTCGCTGCTCCGAGGGGTGTTGTCCCTCATTGTCGGGGAGAATGTCTTCCTCATCCAACGCGCTACCAAAGGACCGGATCTCGAAGCCATCGTCGTCTTGCGCAAGCTACACAAACCGTTAGTAGGAAATTTGGAAATGAAGGATTTGGTACCTACCTCGTCACTCATGGCGAATCGCCGGTTGTTGGCGGTAGGTCGCCACAGGTAAGCAACGAAACCAATATCGAACAAGTAGACAAGGTTGAGCCAGCCGTCCAGCACAAACCATCGGGTCTTCCAGTGGTCCGGCACGAAGCTCGCCTCGCTGCGGCCAGCAAAGACAATCGAGTTGATGAAGAAGAATCCGAAAATCACCATGATGCTACCCAGAATACACCACCACAGCTTCTTGTACATCATGGCCTTCACCTTCTGCTTTCGGTCCACCAGATCCTTCATGGTCGCATTCAACGAGTTCAGCGTCCACACGTAGAAGGCAGTCAGAGTACCGGCGAGCGGGAGCACAATCAGAAGGACGAGTGGTCCAGCGCTGTCTGGAGTGATCGATAAACTTGCGACGGCATATATCACGGCGAAAACAAAGTGGGTTATAGCGAGGATGCGGACATAAACCATAGCGCGACCGAGAGAGGGCTTGACAACACCGTAACCCATACAGACGATCAAGAGAAGGAAAAATGAGAAGGCATTCCGTCCCGCATTGAGGACTGCCACGATGACCATCAGTGCCTTTGCACCGACATTTAGGCCGTTCCTGTTTTGGTAGTCTGAAAGGTGTTAGTGAACGGACACAACAACCCATCTAAGAAATAGCTTACCATAGAAGCCCCAAGTCATCAACTGTTCAACAATCAGGAAAACTAGGATGGCCGTAATGTAATTTTGCACAGGCACTGTCGACGGTTAGAATCTTCCGGGGCGCAACGTCAGGAGAATCAATCCTCACAAATATCGTGTCGGTTTTGCACGTATAGGAAAGCCCAGAATCTGTTCCAGATCAGTACACATGTTCAGTGACGAGTCGATATGCAGAATACGCACATTCCAACCACAGCATAGACGATGGTCAGGCCGCCATAAAACGGTAGTTTGGCGATTTGCGCTGCCGGAAGTTCTCCGTACGCATTCCTAAACTCGACCACCGCTTTATAGTCCTTTCCGGAAAACCCGTACGTGCTCACACAGTAGAAGCCTGTTTTCTTGATGGGGTAGTTGATTGGCTCCGGCTTATTCAGATTGATCGCTTTGGACATGATCGGGAAGAGGGAGGCGTCGGTCGCATTGGCGGCGAGGATGAAGGAGCCGATTTCTTCTTCTTTACACAGCTTCGCACGTACACTAGCTTCGTCGCAGATTGTCTCTTTCTCCTACAGTGCAATTATAAGCGGATCGGAAACCAATCGTAGGTAATTTAGAGCGTACCTCGGCGTCGTCAGACACCGATCTCCCAATCAAAGCTTCATCACTCCATTCGAAGACCACCATACTGACGAGAGGATCGCCCTCGCCGCCCGACTCCGAGACAAACTTGGTCAATATGAACGGGTCGACCTGTCCGCCCCAAGCCTTGCGACTGTACATCCCCGAACACCGTTGCCGATGGGCTTCATCTTGTGTCTAAAAAGCACGAAATAGTTAGACATTGAAAATAGTCGTCTTCAAAGGAGAATCGGCCCACCAGTTCAACTTCATTGGCAAGCGCCCGCCCTGCCAAAAGGGCAGTTAAACCGAGGGCCTGGAGCCAGCCCTTCATCGTGACCGAGAAATAGGAGCTAACCAGGTGCTGCTAGGTAGGCTCCGGAGTTACCGAGCGCGACAAGGATTGTTCACTGGTCCAGGGTCATAAGAAGAATAAGAAGAATACAATAAACGAAGATAACGCAGATACTCAGGGGCCCCGATAGAAGTCGATGCCGTATCCAAGTGCCCGTGTGTGCCGATATGCGTCAGCCTGTCACTTCGGAGGAGCAGTCGTGGCTACAAACCGGGGAAGCCGCGTGTTGACCGTCCCGCCCGTAATTATCTAAGCCCGTCGCACCGCCGAGAGAATTCTGCCTTGGCTTCGTTTCTTTCCTGGTCTTGTCGGTTTCGCGCCACAACTTATTGCGAACAAGAAAGGATTGAGAAATCAGTGAAGATGCCTGGAAAGGAATTACTAGACCCCTGTCTGGATTGTCGCGAGGTCGAGTCCACTTTGACCCTCCGCAAACGTCGAGTATGCATGTGCGTTCCTCCGTCGACTACTCCGGAAGTGGGGTGCAATAACTGACAATAGATATTTTTTCTATTCTTGAACAGAGACTGCTATAAGCGATTTGTCGGCTACAAATTGTTTCGGCGCACGGAGAAATATCGTCTGCGAAGAGATCTGCCAAAAGATGGAGAATACAAAATTCTGGTTCCCCTCTCCTATGGCCTCTCTTCGTCGGTGCTGCTGCATATGCTACACGACCAGCTTCGGGTTCAGCGCTCCAAAACCCACCCTCCACCAGGATTCGATATCCATGTGCTCATTATAGACCCGTCGACTATCTCCCCCTCGCAACCGGCGCATGAGGAGGGATTTGAGCTGGCGAAAAAGCTCTTCCCGCTGTGCACCTTTACCCGGATTCCTTTCCACGAAATATTCGACCATGTCCCTGACATCCAGCAGACGATGGCGGAGTTTGCTGGCCCGAAATTCACTGACAACCCCTCTCTGTCGCATCAGGAGCGCCTGGATGCGTTCCGCCGCTCGATTGAATCCGCCACATCGAAGGCTGACGTGGACGGTGCCCTGATGACCAGACTCATTGTCGCTGTCGCAAAGGAAGTTGGCTCGAAGACGATTCTGTGGGGTGATTCGGATACCACACTTGCTGCGAAGACTCTCGCCAACGTTGCCAAGGGACGTGGCTCCTCGTTGACTTGGCAGGTATCGGACGGCATGTCTCCATTTGGCTTGGAATTCAACTTTGCTTTGCGCGACCTGTTCACGGCCGAACTGCGCAACTACGCCAGTTTCTTCCCAGAGCTGGCCCGCATGATCCTACCGGATGAGCCGCCCTCCGAAACCGCACTTACCAAAAACCTGTCTATTGATCAGCTGATGATGCGCTACGTTCAAACCCAGGGTGAAAAATATCCCGGTGTGATGTTGAATGTGACCAGAACGGCAAACAAACTTCAATCTTCCCAAGGACCCGCACCAACATCTCAGTGCACCTTCTGCGGAAGTTCCAAATGGGAGGCAGGAGACAGACCTACTGTCGAGGGTGAAACCCCCGAGTTTTGTTACGCCTGTGCTCGGTCTCGTCCGGATCTGAGCTGCTAACTGGACAATCCAATGGCTTTCCGTTGAATTCAGAAAAAGAAACAATATTATCATTAAATACACGCATCGGCGTCAACTCCTGGGATATCTCTCAACGTGGGGTATACTCATATCAAAGAACATTATCATCATCTAGTGTCGCGCGTTATCAACGACGCCGGTTTCCAAGTCATCGTCTGGCGGTGCCGACCCGCCAAACCATCTGCGCTCCTGTCGGTTGCTGTGTGCACGCTTCGCCGGTTGGGGTCTGGCCGGACCTTTTGTCCTCTTGCTGCGGGACCGGCTCGCATGCCTCGACGGACCGCTGTCGCCCATGTTTTCGTCGTATCTGTCAAACTCGTCCGGCAAACTGTAATCCACATCGGGATCCTCATTTTGCTTCCGTCTCTTGGCAACCGTCCGGGCCCCCTTGTCTCGGAGATACTTCTCCAGGATGACGGCATTTCTCGTGTTGCATTTGTACATCGCGTCTGCGAGATCGCCGACAAACGGCACGAGACCGATGACAAAGTCAAAGAGTATATTCATGGTCATCTTCATACGGAGCGATGAAGGAAGCCCGCCATCGATGTTTTCGCAGCTCTTCATAACCATCATTGCAAACACGGTATCGAGGACATCTCCGGCACTAGGAGCATCGTCAGCGTCGGAATCAGATAAGAGATAGTCTCAGTCAAAACCTACAAAGGAATCAAAGCTATCACGCTGCCCCAACCAAATCGAATGCCGCACAAACTGAACAGGCACAAATCTAGTCTGTAGGCTCGACGTTTGACTTGGGTCAACACCTGCTCGTCGTTTTTAGACAGGCCGGGCGGCACGGCTTTGCGACGCTTCTGAGTCTTTTTCCCAAAGGCGCGGGACAGGCGCGAGGCAGGAACTTCCTCGAAGTACGGATCCTGTGCAAGCGAGACGCATTAGCCGTGAGATACGGTAAAGACCGTCATGACAATGAAGCCTACCTCTTGTCCAAATTTATTTCGTGCGGATTCTGCCAGAATCCTCTTCCCCACCAACGACATCAACGGGCCTGACATGACCGTCTAGTTGTGTAAACCGGTATTTGGAGAGAAAAACCAAAAGAGAAGGAAGAAAAAGATCTCGAATAGACCAGAATTAAAGAATTCTCAGGACGAGACAAATGTAAAAATAAGACTAAATTCAAGTAAGGTCATCCGACAAGGGACCAGGTATCACGAGTCGAGTCCAGTCTAGACGCTTGGCCTGCGTCTGTCAGTAGAAAACACGCTGCGAAAGAAGGGTTTCCAAGCGGACAATTCGGGGTATTGGCACAGCTTCAGCCGGGCGAAAGCGAAAGGGGGTAAAACCGGGTTTTTTAAACCTTCGGCCATCGCAGCAACAGTGTAACCCCCGATCATCCCTCTCTGCGAGGCACGAAACCTGCCGACCGAGCGACGTCATTCGACCTGCTTATCCTTTCCCGGTTGCGCTGCATGACGTTACATAATCCACTTGCTGCCCGAGTGGCTTGGTCCGTGGGTCACCAGCCACAGTTTGAGCCACAGTAGCCTTGCCACCGGTGTGGCGCACCCCCGGTCATTGGGCCGCTGCGCCACCGGGCATCACCGGTTCGGCGGCTGCCATTATTGCAGGTCGGTCGGCCCGGCTCAGCTCAGCTTCTCGCAATTCCTCCCCCCAGAAAGAGTTGACTCGCTCTCAACTCCTGACCTGCTCTCGTTTGCGACTTCCCAGAGTCTGCTGCGCCGACCGACACCCCGTGGGTTTGCTCTCAGATCACGGTTTCCATTTTTCCTTTCAGCCACGGCTCGCTTCAGGGTTGGCGCTTCTGCCAAGCACCCTTCCTGGAAGCTGCATCATCGCTGCGCTGTCCCCTCCAAACGCGCGCTCGCTCTCGACTCACCTCTCCACGCTCCTGGTCTCGGGGGTGCTGTGCTCAACACCCGGTTACGTTGAAATGCTAGAGTACGCCGGACAGTATGACCGAAACAAATATGAAGTTGGAAGATTGTATGTTTCTGCAGCGTTCCTTTGTTTACTCCTTGCTTTCCCCTCCCTCGGTTGGGCCGGAGTCTTCGTCAACGTCAACGCCTCGACGCCTGGTAACGTGATACTGACCGTGCTTCCTCTCGACCAGGGCTGGATGACTTGTGTGTCCGGTTCATCATTAATCTACCCCGCGAAGAATTGGAATCCGTCGAACGCATCTGTTTCCAGGTGGAAGAAGCGCAATGGTTTTACGAGGATTTCATCCGGCCGTTGGACCCGGCGCTTCCCTCGCTGTCGCTCAAGGCGTTTGCGCTGAGAATTTTTCAACATTGCCCGCTCATGTCGCAATGGTCTCACTATCACCACATCACGGCCTTCTCGGAGTTCTTGGCCTACAAGACCCGTGTGCCCGTCCGCGGAGCCATCCTGCTGAACTCGGACATGGATGAGGTGGTGCTGGTCAAGGGCTGGAAGAAGGGTGCCAATTGGAGTTTCCCACGCGGAAAAATCAACAAGGACGAGAAGGACCTGGACTGCGCTATCCGCGAGGTCTATGAGGAGACGGGCTATGACGTTCACGAAGCCGGGCTAGTCAAGGACGAGAAGGATGTCAAGTTCATCGAGATCACCATGCGAGAACAGCACATGAGGCTGTATGTCTTCCGAGATGTGCCTCGCGATGCGCACTTTGAGCCTCGTACAAGAAAGGAGATCAGCAAGATTGAATGGTATAAGTTGTCGGAACTGCCGACGTTGAAGAGGAGCAAACAACAGGACCAAGGATTTGCGGTCGCGAATGCGAACAAATTCTACATGGTCGCCCCGTTTATGCACCCGCTCAAGAAATGGATCGCCCAGCAGAAAAGACTCGATCCGAAGACTCACGTCAGCACCAAGCAAGCGTTGCAGGTTGAAGCGGAGATGTCGATGGACGAATCTCTCGCTGCTCATAATGTTATGACGCCAGATCAAGCGCCTGTGGAGATGGCTGCTCCGAGCACATTACCCGAAGTTACATCCCCTCAGGATGCGTCGGTTCATTTGAAGCGTCTTCTGAACATCAATGCTGCGGCGGTGTCGCAAGATCCTGCTTCCCTTGTGCAACCACCGCAGGCTTCCGGCCCCGACCCCTCAAAGTCAAATGCTCTGTTGGAGCTCCTCAGGAGTGGTTCTTCTCGTGGACCCGCGCCGCAAGCCTCTTCAAGTTACGAGCAGACATCACCGCCGCACGTTACAGCGGGAGCTGCTCCCTCGCAACGTCAACCCTATCCAGCTGCGCCCTTATTTCCGGGTTTCCCCCAGGACCAATATCACGGACTTGATAAACTGCCACCACACATACCCACTCCGCCGCAGCATGGACCGATTCCTCACCTGCCACCTGGCGCCGCTCCTCAAATGAACCCGCGTGTGCCTCCTGGTGTCATTCCCCAAGGATTCTCCATGAGCCCTCGGGGTCCATTGCCAGGACGCCAGGAGATCCCAGATTTCGCACATCGTCCGCATCCCGCACAACATTATCCCGAAGCCGGTTTACCACCAATCCTTCCAATGGCGCCACCTGTACAAGGTCACGCCTCGGCCCCCTACCAGCGGACTGGAGACCCTCAATTTTCTCAGCAAGCGCAGCCTACTCATGTTCAAGGAGCTACTGTGCCTCATGCCAGTAAGCTGCCGCCGCCCAAACTCACAAGCCATTCTTTGGCGCTTTTGAATGTTTTCAAGGATGAGAAGACAAGAACTCCCAAGACTCCCAAAGCCACTCTGGCATCAACTTCAGAGACGGCACCCCTCGGCGGCCGCAAATCATCACAACATCAAGACCAGTTGTTGAGTCTTCTCAAAGGTTCGCCTGGCGCGCCCGTTGCGCCCGCTCCCGCCGCTCCCGATCCGGTGGAATTGTCAGCTCACTCCGTCTCTCCCTCTCGCAAACAAATTCTTCAGCGCCCTCGTGATAACAACAGGCCCCAGTCGCCCGCAACTCATGCCAGGTCACCTGCTCCGGCGCCCAGCGCGTACGCTCCAAAGCAGACTCCCAAGAAAGCACAAAATGGCTCGAATCGGAAGACGAATAAGGAAAGAAAATCGCAAAATCTTTCTTCGCCGATAACCATATTGCCCAGGCCACAGAGTGCCAAGAAAGACCACACGCCCACATCAGTGGCAGCGACCCAGTCCTCACGGAACTCCTCTCGATCCCGCCCAGACCAGAAGACAAGAACCCCAGAACCGTCTAAGCCATTCCAGCCTCAAATCCTTCGCCGCTCTGACAATCTTGACAACATCCTTCCGGTACGAACGAAGGGTACTCCCGACCCGGAACAAAGCGGTTCAGGCCAAGAATCTAAGCTTCAAGGGGACTACGAGCGTCGCCCAAGTCAGAATCCGTCCCAGAGGGAGACTCTGCTCTCTCTTTTCGGCAAAGCAGGTGCTTCTCCTGGGTCATCCCCAGCAGAGCAACTTAATATTCAGACGGCGGTTCCGAAAACCTCGGGGAGTTCCCCCGTTGTCAGCCCCCTCTCGCCTCTCAACCAGCCTCCCGGAACTACAACACACCCCGGGGCAGCAAACTTGGATATCAACGCCAGCAGAGTTGCGTCACCTGATAACAAGGCATTCTTGTTGGGATTCTTGGAGGGTGTCGCGAAAGGGAACAAATAATGGCACTAGGTAATTTGACGAGAATTTTGCCTATGACACCCGTCCATCGGGTCCGAAGAGGGATAATGTACTTTTTTAGCACACGAGCAAACAATAGCCGAGCTTTCTTGCTCTTTTCCAAATGGCAACGCCTGCTTTCAGCGAGTATCTCTAATCCTCTCTTATGATAATCAGCCCTTAGTCCCGCTTATCTTTGCACATTTGGGGCTTCGAAGACTTTGCACGTAGTCAGTATTCGAACCTGAAGCAATACTTCAGTAATATGTTTCAGAAACAATAGACAATTAATTTTTGGGGATTTATTAGACGTTTTACAGTCACCCCTGTAGCTGTTTTCGGTTAGCCCTAGAGCGAATTTGTAGTAGTCGCGTCGATTTTATATATCGTTGCTACTCGTATTCAACAGCAACGAGTGAATGTACACTATTAGTCTTGATGATAATATTTATTATAAAGAGCCATAGAATTTTCCTGACCATTAAATTATTATTCATGTATTACTCGCAGGCTTCTGAGGCGAAGTGGAACTGGTCATACAAGAGTACTCAGCGGTGAAGCTCCGGACGGTTATGTCATAAGAGCCTGTTCTGCCGAGCCCCACCGCCCTCTTTTGGATGTCATTCATGCTTTTTGATTTGTAAACCGTCCTCCGACAAGCATCCATTTACTGATGACCATCGGGGCGATCATGATGCGGCCAAATGCTCGTTCCAGCACTGTATGTGCCCGCTGTCTAAGCCGCGGTCGGCTGTTCTCGACAACCGCACCGTCTCGTGCCTCGCAGAAGAACGATGCCCTTCCTGCCTCCCCGCCGACAACTGGCTACTCGCGACTCACGAACCGGGGCCTGATCTCGATCTCAGGCGTCGACAGCACAACCTTTCTACAGGGCCTGATCACGCAGAACATGCTTGTCACTAACGACCCGAATCGCGCAACCCGCCACACGGGCTCCTATACCGCCTTTCTCAACTCCCACGGCCGAATCCTCAACGATGCATTCCTCTACCCGCTGCCGGAGACCGGGGCGTCTGCGTCCGAAGACCCCGCGTGGCTCATCGAAGTCGACAAGAACGAAGTCCCCAGCCTCATGAAACACCTCAAGAAGCACAAACTCCGCGCGAAGCTGAAGCTGCGCGCGCTCGACGACGGGGAACGCACCGTCTGGTCGTCCTGGAAGGAGCACACCGAGCCCCGCTGGGCCGCATATAACCTGGAATCGCCCGCCTCGTCGCCCTTCTCCGCCTCCTCCCCCGTCGCAGGCTGCGTCGATACCCGGGCCCCGGGCTTCGGGTCCCGTATCATCACGCCTGGCGCGGAGGACCTCCGGGCCCATCTCCCGGACGAGACGCACGTGGCGGGCGAGGAGGTGGATCTGGGATCGTATACGGTGCGGCGCATGCTTCATGGCGTGGCTGAGGGCCAGGCGGAGATTATTCGGGAGTCGGCGCTCCCCATGGAAAGCAACATGGATATGTCGCGGGCCATCGATTTCCGCAAGGGCTGCTATGTGGGCCAGGAACTCACCATCCGTACCCATCACACTGGTGTGGTGCGGAAGCGCATCTTGCCCGTCCAGCTGTATGCGGCTGACCAGGACGCTGTTGAGACTGGTGAATTCCCTGTCTATGATCCTTCCGTCCAGCTGCCCCTACCCCCGAGTGGGTCCAACATCTCTAAAGTCAGTGCACGGAGAGGTCGCAGCGCAGGGAAGTTCCTCGGTGGCGTCGGAAACATTGGCCTCGCGTTGTGTCGCTTGGAAATGATGACTGATATCGCGCTCACTGGCGAAGGGACTCAATACACTCCCGGGCAAGAGTTCAAGGTGTCGTGGACCGGGGAGCAGGAATCGACCGATGCCCAGGAGTCGGGAGAAGTGAAGCTCAAGGCCATCGTGCCATCTTGGACTAGAGAGTTCATTTTCTCGGGTGGAGTGAGGAGCTCTCATAGTAACCGTGGCGACGAGGGCCATCGGGCTAGAGATTTCGTGGAACAGCTGGGCGAAGAAGAGGAAGCCCGACGCCATGAGTGAAGACTTGATGTATTATCATACCCTCCTGCGTGTATATAATCGATAAAAATGAAATGTATTATAGTTTAGAAGAGATATCAGGTGGTGATTGCGACAGACAATGAATTTCATGGGTATCATATATTCTAATAGTGGTTATCTTATACAAATGTCAGGAAGTAACGCCGGATGGTTAAATCCAAGCTTTGGACTCGAGTCCAACCGTTTTACACGTCAAAGGTGATGGTTTCAATCACCTCTGACCTGCGGCAGCCGCTGCCTCTGCTGCATCGGCCTCTTCATCCTCTTTTCTGAGCTGCTCCTCAAGTGCCTTTCGCTCCTTCTCCCGTTGCGCCGTCTTCAACCGCATCAACGTCACTTCTTCGAAGCTCGGAGTATTTTGCCCGTTAGTTGCAGGATTGGGATCGGAGGCTGGCTTCGCTGAGTTTGCTGCTGCCTTACCAGGGAAGGAGGAAAATGACGGTACGCCGGGCTTCTTTCCGGCGCTATTGGTGTTGAGGCCTGCGAAACTGAAGCTGGGTTTGGGAGGCGCATTTGAAGATGTCGGTTTAGAAGATGGAGGCGCTCCATTTTGGTTTGCGTCAGAGGCAGTGCGACTCTCGCTCGTGCCTAGATCTGGCGCGTTGCCAGAGGCCCAGTTGACCGAGTCAATGAAGCTCCAGACGCTATCAGGCTGGCCGACACCGTGACGTCTCTTCTTCTCGCTGTCCAGCACGGCCGCATGCGCGCTGACAATCGACGCGAAAATCACCACCCCCGTTGCGACAGTCTTCTTCTCCCGCTTCTCCCCCAGACGCTGTCGCTTGTCCTTGAGCATGAGGACATTCTCGATCCTGCCGAACGGAGCGAACAGCGACGTCAAGCCCTCTTGATCCAGCTCTAGACCTCGACCCTCACGCACCCAGCGCACCTTCACCCCTCGCTCCAGCTCCGGCACATTTGCGCCGCCCTCCTTTGACCGATCGACGCGTTCACTGCTCCCCTCATCCTTCCGCTGCGCAGCCTCCTCTTCCTCCTTTATAACCCTCTCCTCATCCTCCGCCTCCCTTTTCAGCTTCTCCTCCATTTCGCGTCTCCTCCGTCTCCCATCCTCCGCAATCCGATCAATCTCGCGCTGCAACTTCTCCTCCGCATCGTCATCCACACTCGACCCCGCCATCCCAAACGACCTCTTCACGCCCCTCTGCCCACCTGGCCCCGCAGCCCCCGCGCGCTCCCTCGCCTCCAAATCCTCCCTCATCTTCCTCTTCGCGGCATCCATCATGTCCCGCTCGCGCTGCTTGCGCTGCCGCGCCTCCCGCGCATTGTCGTAGAGTTGCCGGATCGACGGCTCCGAGAGCACATCGTACGCGATCTGGAGGAGATGGAACTTGTCGATGTCCGCGGGCGTCGGGTTCGCGATCTTGTCCGGGTGGTATTTTAGTGCGGTTCGCCGGTAGGCGCGTCGGATTTCTGTCTCCGCTGCGGCGGGCGAGATGTCGAGGAGGGCGTAGAAATCTTGCGTTGAGGCCGCGTGGGTCTTGAGGTCGTCGGTTGAGGCCATTGTGGTGGTTCTTTTGGGGTTGCGATGCGAGGGTGGAGGTTGAGGTTGAGATCGAGGTTGCGGGCTAGTCGGTGAGGTGAGGTGGGTTGAGGAAGATGTGAGGTGTTTAGACGGTTGAAGAGGGTGAGAAATGAGATTCTTTAATGTGAAAACGAGAGGGGAAAGTTGTTCGCCCTGGCCGTATTGGGCTGCGGTGGTTGTCAGAGGAAAAGAAAAGTAGCTTTGGCTGTGGCGGAAGTCATCGACGGCCGCGGGATCGGCTCCGCTTCCCTTTTTCAACCACGGGTTTGATATCGCATTCTTCATCTCGACGCATTATCCAAGGTCGATTATCTTTAAGTGGATTTTTCGCAATGCGAGGAATTCTTTGAGGTGTCACTTTTTATTCCGATTTTCATTCAATTTTCCCCCTTCTTATTGGAGCAAATATGCCTACCTAGTCCTGGACAACCCTGTCTGCCCATGACCCATCAAAGTCGTCCACATAGAGCTATCTATCATTCCTGTGTGCTCTTGACTGCTCAGAATTGTAGCCTATCTAGATATTCGATATTCATGCCGCTTTTTCGAACAGATCCAGCTTCCTGCAGCTACGCCAACAAGCTACAGACTGGCCTTGCCATTGTTAATCAATCACTCAAGATAGCTACAATTCGATGATGGCTTACTCTTCTTTACACGGTCAGATTTGATAAAATTGAGCTCTATTGTCATATCCTATCTTCGATTAAATAGGTATTTTCTGGCCAAAGATGCTCCCCACCATGGTTTCGAGACCTTTGGGAATAGGATCTGATGTCGCATACTTTGCCTCTCTTGCGTGTCGATGGTCATTACGATAGACCAGACTTTTGAAATCAATAGCTTTGACATGTAGTCAAGTGTTGGCATTCCTTTTCAGCGAGGGGCCCAAGTTTTGACGTATGTCGGCTTGAGATAATAACCTACAGTGACCTCAAGGGTCTTTGCTCGACAGAAAGACATCATGCGCATATAGAACATATAAAGAGCTAGCAACAGCGCCATAAAAGTCTTCGACTCAGCCTATTCATCTCCTTGATAGCTCATTGTACAATGAAAAGCAGACATGTCGTCGAGGAGGCACGTGGTCTTCCCGGATTATCTTTGCAAAAGTCCAGGACGAGTCCTTTGCAACCCAGCATCACCTTGCCCAATATACTATATACCCCCTCTGCCTCGAACCATCCAGAAACCAATAATGGATCATACGCCGCTCCCATCCCCAGCCCAAATCGCTCTAGCAATGGCAATAGTCAAGCATAAACCCGCCGGTCAAGACATCAAAGGTAAGTGGCCCATATCCCAGTCACAATGAAACCATCTGCCAACCTCATCAAAATACAGAATATATCATGCAAATCAGACAAAACATCAAGTCCATCAAAGAAAACGCACACTCCTACCCCCAGGAAAGATTCTTCGACAGCGTCTCGTTCTGGCAGAAAGCGTACGAAAAGTCCGAGGCAGAGCAGAGCAAACTCCTAGATCGCATTTTCGAATTGGAACGTCGCAACGAAGCTCTTGCTGCTAAGGCACAGTGTCAAGAGCCAAATTCTGGAAAGGACGAGGGAGCGTCGAAACGGAAGACACCCGCTGGGAAGAATCCTGTCGGGGCACGCAAACGGGCTAAGACGCAGGTCAATGCTGGGGATGTTAGGGCTTTGGAGTCTAGTTCCGCGATTGGTGGTGTAGGTGGACAGTTTGAGTATGTCGAAGAAGGTTAGTATAATTGTCTTATTGATCTGTGTTGATGACTGACAATTCTAGTCTCCGCGCCATTCATGAGACAGTTCTATGCGCTCCAGAAGACCTTGCAAAAACGACCTAGTAATGTGGAGATCTCTCGATGTGCAGTGGTTCTCTGCAAGACGCTGGCCAAAGAGATGGGCAGCCTCAGTGGCCAGACAAGAATGACTACTGCCGGTGGTCGTTCGAAGAAAGTTCCACCACAGACAAAACAGCCTGACATACCTGCGACCTTACATAGCGTTGACTGCGCTTTCCAGCTTCTCTGCCAGGCCCTGAAAAAGCTGGCGGGGTCAACACCAGAGACTGGTATGACCGTTTACCACATAGTTGTGCTATACGAGTCCACCTTGAACGCTTTGGAAGAAGAATGCAAGGCTAAAACTGACCAAACGCCAAACGACACGACCGCAAGAGGCAAGAAGTCCAAGCCGAAGCAAGGTGCAAAATCGAAACGGTCCGTACCAGGCGGATCTACTGGCACAGAGTCGAGTCTCGACAATGAATTGGCGACACAAATTGCTTTCCTTCTGAACAGCATGGTGGCTTCCCTTGATGCTGCCTGCGCAGGGCATCAAAACCTACTCGAAGGCTTTCTATTTGTTTTACTGAGTCGAGTAGGAAAGTTATTGAGCTTGTTCGCTTTCCAAGATCTACAATTGCGACCTGACCTTTATGCAGATCCTGGGAAGCTCCCGATCCCCGCGGGCTTAGATGGATTTGATTTGAATGATCAGGCACAATGCGCAGCGAAAATGGAAGCCAGGCATGTTATCTGGCTTCTAGAACGGGCTTTAGCTGTGGTGGATTCTTTCAGAAGCTCGAGCTCGACATCAGCTTCTCAGAAAGACGGCGAAAATGGTATATTTACAAAGAAGATCAAGAAGAAACTGCAGAGCACTCTCTTACAGGCAGTTTTTGGAGAAAGCCCTCAATGGAAAAACGCTCTACAGACCCTATCTCAGCCTGACCAGAAGGATCTTGATAGGTTACTGAGCAATTCTCCTGTTTCAGAGAAGGATACTTCCGACTGGTTTATACAAGAGACTTGGAGACTACTCGGCTGGGAAATGCTTGAGAAAAAGGCTGTCTAGGGCAGATGGCCACCTTACTTTCATTGACTACCTCCTGTATACTTCTTGAAACAACTCACACATGACTCTATAACGCAGGTATACCGACTTCCAAAATCTTTGTGTCTAGCTTCTATTGATAGAAGCATCGCTATATGTTATTCATCTATGCATCACTTCAAATTGAGAATGCGAGCCGCATTTCCACCCAAAACCCCTGCCACCTTATCGGTATTCTCGTCGAATGTAGCGTTGATCGCCTTGTAATTGGTCGTCACACTCGGCCATTGCCCCTCCTTGTTATCTAGAGGAGGGAAGAACGGATGATCGGTACCTGATAATCAGTCAGCACAATATTAACCCATAGTTGAAGCGCAGCGTACCGAAAAGCAGCCGATCAGTACCAGACGCCTCCACTGCCGCCTGCAAACCAGCCTCGCCATACACGACAGCATCCAAATAGATGTTCGTCTTCAGGACATCCCAGACACTGCGCTGCGGACCGGGCACATCGCCACCATTCGCAATAAACTTGCGCTCATGATGAATGCAGCTCTCGATGCGACCCGCCAAAAACGGCAGCGTACCTCCCGAATGCGCCAGCAGGATCTGCAGCCCAGGGAAGCGATCGAACACACCCGCCAGGAACATCCGCGTCACCGCGATGGTCGTCTCCAGCGGGAACCCCAATGCCAGCGGCAGAACATGCCCGTAGCGATTCATGGCATCCGTGCCCCCAAATGCCTCATCAGGCAGTCCGTAGTGGGGGTGTAGAAACATCAACGACCTGGTCTCTTCCAACGCCCCCCACACGGGGTCCAGACTCGCATCGTCCAGCCCCTTCCCCAGTCCCGACGTCCCCATGATGACTCCGCGCAGATGCGGCAGTGTTTTCAACCGCTTGATCTCATCCACCACGATATCGGAGCTGGGGGCACTCAGCGGCAAGGCGCCGAACGCAAACAGGGTGTGTTTCTCGTGCAGCGCTAGGGTCTTCTCCGGGTCGGCGGCGTCGTTCACTTTGGCGCAGGTGTCTTCGAGGTTATCGTTGATGCGTTCGGACCAGGTCTTTGCCTCTGCGGGTTCCAGGAAATCGAGCCACGGGTTGGCGAGAGAGATCACGCTGGTGTTGATTCCGTGACGACGCATGAAGTCCAGCTTCACGTTGATGTCCCAGTAGGATGCATCGACGGGGCGACCTCGCTCGTCGAGAGGAATCGAGGGGTCATCGTCCGAAGAGAGAATGATCAAGCGCGGGTCTGCGCTGCCGGCAGGGTCGTGCACGTAGGGGACTGTGTTGCGTCCCCGCAGCATCTCCATGTAGGCTGGGGGGTAGACATGGGTGTGGATATCCACCACGAGAGACATGGTGATTGTTTTGGGGAGTGAATTGAGGGAAGCAAGAACAATGTGAAGGGGGAAGAATGAAATATTGGAGAAATGAAAACAAGGGAACTGAACAGAAGAAACCACGGATGGATGCCAATCAGTCGAATGCGGGGTTTCTGGACCCTAGTTGAGGTTGCATACTGAGGGGTACTCGATGGCATGCAAGGGAGACAACAATCAGTGCTATCACCCCTCCCACTATCGGCAATCAGACAATCTGCCAGATAACCAGACAGACAATCAGGCCATCAGTGTGATTATCTGCTATCGATCTAAATCCAGATAAGCTATCGCCTCGTGGAACCTCAGGCGCCGCCAGATAAGCCCGATTTGGCAGATCCGCCCGATTAGATTTGCCGTCACGAGGAAGACGAAGTCTGTTCGCTCGGATCTTTTCTTTCATCTTGTCACTCCTCGATTTCACTCCTATTTATCTGTCGAGAGTGCCCTTTCATCTGTCTAAGAGCTCTTCTCTCGTATACAGCACTGACACTGCCTTGCATCGCATCTGGACTACACGATGGAAGGCAATTTGCCCCGGCAGCAGTGCCATCCGGCCTCTACTGCTGTCGAGAAAGATGGTCTGGTTATCCCTGTGAGTAGAATCCGTATTCTCATACCATGGCCAAACTATCCTCCGAACTGCACTGGCATGTTTCTTTCACGAAGACGTCCATCCTGCCATCCAGGCCTGACCAAGTCCGGCTGTAGATCATTGACTTCGCTCCCTTTCTGAACGGCACTCCCGCCGATAAGCACGCCGTCGCCGTGTCCGTCGTAGAGGCCTTCAAATCCTCGGGCTTCCTCTACCTCAAGGACCACGGCATCCCGCCCTCCGTGGTATCCGGGGTCTTTGGCTCGTCCGCGCGCTTCTTCGCGCGACCCCAGGAGCAGAAGGACGGTCTGTGCTGGACTACCCCACAGGCGAACCGTGGTTACGTGAAGACGGGACAAGAGAAGCTAACCCTGCCCGACGATCCCGACGCGGACAGTGACAAATTGCGCGCAACCCCGGATCTCAAGGAGACGATGGAGATCGGCCGCGAGGGCGTCGACGGTCTCCCCAACCGCTGGCCCGATCATCTCGACGACGAAGGGAAGAAGTTTAAGGAGGCCATGCTGTCGTTTTGTGGCCTGTGCAAGACTCTCCACACGGAGGTCATGCGCGCCATCGCCCTGGGTATGAATCTGCCCGAGCACTTCTTTGATTCCTATGTGGATCAAGGCGACAATACGCTCCGACTGTTGCATTATCCGTCCGTCTCGAAGGACGTGTTCAAGGCGAATCCGCTGCAGGTCCGCGCCGGAGAGCATAGTGACTACGGCTCCATCACGCTTCTGTTTCAAGATCGTCGTGGCGGTCTGCAGGCGCGCAGTCCCAAGGGGACCTTTGTAGACGTGACGCCCATCGCGGACGCGGTGGTCATCAACGCCGGAGATCTGCTCGCTCGGTGGTCCAATGATACCATCAAGAGCACTCGACATCGGGTGGTCGAGCCTCCCAAGGCAGCGGACGAGGAAGGCCCAGACACGTATCCAGACCGCTACAGCATCGCGTACTTCTGCAACCCGAATATGAACAAGTTCATCGAGGCTATTCCCGGAACGTACGGCGAGGACCTGCAGCAGGCGAAGTACCCTGGTATCACGGCCGGAGATTACCTTGTGCAACGTCTGACAGCCACGATTTAACCGAAGCCTTTTGCTGATTTGAGTTGCCCTCTGTGCAACGATGATGTCTTCTGTTCTTGTTCTTCAGCGAGCAGTGTTATCAAAATTGACCAGGACTGTACATACGAATCCTGTCTTATAGTCTAAGTCCTTTCTATGCGATTGACTATTAGTACATAAAAACGCATCTCGTCATAACTCTGTACTCTACTACCAAAGCCCCATCCCATCTAATAAGTCGCCGGTATCGCACTCAACCGACCCCCATCCGTCACCGTGATATTCCCATTCAAATAACCCCCCGCTGCACCCGCCATATACAAAACCAAGCCGCCAATATCCTCCTCCCCGCCAGCCCTCGACAACGGAATTATATCTCGTCCAAACGACCCATCCGAGATCCCCTTATCCCCATCCCCCTTGAAATTCGGCGCCGACATCTCCGACAAATACAGCCCCGGCGCAATGCCATTCACGCGCACATCGTACGGCGTCAGCAGCGTCGCCAGCACCTTCACGAGATGATTCACCGCCGCCTTGGACGTATTATACGCGATACTGAACGGCACGAGACGATTAAACCCGGCAATGGAGCTCGTGATGATGACCTGCGCCGTGGGGCTGGAGAGGACATTCTTCTGCGGTGCCGCGCGGCGCTTATTCGCGGCCTCCAGGAGCGGCAGGAACGCGAGCACCGTGTAGTACGAGCCCGTGACGTTGACGTCGAACGTCTTGGTGAAGTCCTCCGGGGGGATGGACCACAGGGCGTCGCGGATCTCCGACAGGCTCGGCCTCGTCCCGTCTGGCTTGGATGGGGGTGGGCGCGCAAGAGCGCCCACGATCCCGCTGTTCGCGATCAGGAGGTCTACGTGGGACGTCTGGGCCGCGATCGTCTGGTACGCGGCTTCGAGGGACTCCTTGGACGTGATGTCCGCCTGGACAGGGATGATGGTGTCCTTGGTCTCGGCCTGGGCGGCGGTCTCTTGGAGAGACTCGAGTCGCCGGCCGATGATGAAGATTTTGGAGGCCCCGTTGGCGGAGAGGGTGTGTGCCATGGTGCGGCCGAGGCCTTGGGGGGTGTTAGATTGGTTTTACTGGGGGTGGGTGATGAGGACTTACCGCTTCCTCCGCCGGTGATGACGGCGACTTGGCCCTGGACGGAAAATAGGTTGGAGGCGTGGAGATGAGACATGGTGATTTGCTCGGTAGATGAGGAAATGGAGATCTAGTATATGCAGGAAGATGGCACGATAGAAAGCCAAGTGATGGGTGGGTCGAATAGGAAACTCTGACGCTGTACAGGAGGTGTAGGGATTTGATTCAGAAGATCAGGGATGTCAATGGATTAAATACCTCGCCAGGAACAGGACAGAGAGGGGAGATGGAGGAGTAATCGGAAGCTGGCGATGGCGAGGAAATGCGGGGCTGGTGATGTGATTTGTCTTGATTATTAAGTGACGATCCTGAGGCGATCCTCCTGATGAAACCTTTGTCATCGCTTCCTGTCGCATCTCGAGATTCCGTGCGACATGCTTTTCGTTCTGCCTGTCGCATTTGGCCGAGTCTTTTACGTCACTTCGATTGTCGGTCCAAAATGCCAAGATCTGGTGATTTCCATAGTATCCTTGTCAGATGGCCTTGCGCCGACGGTTGATCGGAATTGGACATCTCCAGGACCCTCTTAGACTGCAGAGATGTCTCTTTTCTTCTCTCGGATATCTGGATGAACTCATCTTAAGTCTCGGGAAAGTGCTGTTCTCAGGGGAACTTGGGATGTCAGTAAACAGATCTGAGAACTAGGAGTACAATGAAGTCAATCAAATACAGTCGACAATCATCCCACAACTACCCTTCCAAGGGACGAAGACAGAATCCATGCGTCTGTTGTCAGATTTTAAGTCCACTAGATTTAATATCCAACCGCAATGGTTCATTGAAGAAGCGAGCTTTGATCAACGTCATCGCTCCCGAGTCAGCCGAAGCTTTGGCCAACTGTTTCCAAGCTCCATATGAAAACAGTGCACGATCTGCGTCTTTGCGAAAGCTATTACTCCGACCTGAATAGACCAGCGTCAAACAACCTTATAGCTGCAGTTCACGCCAAGATGTCCACAAGATCCAATGATCTGATAAGATAGACCACCGCATGCAGCAATATGTGCCGGTGCCAACCATGGTATTCATGCAAGATGGACCGTGGTTTATAGCCATTGACCTCATGCACATCTTTTAATCGAGGTAAGCTGCAGCTGAACCCCATGTTTGGAGCTTCTTATCGCATATCCGATCGTTATGTCATGGGGAGCTGTTCGGTTCAACCGACAGAATGCTTGAAATACCCAGGCTTGTTGCCAACAAGACGGGCTCAACTTCTGTTCGGATTATCAGATGCTTGCGTCAAAGGTAGGATCTATGAGCTCCAATTATGCATTGAGGAGAAATTAGTATAAACCTCCCAAAGGCCCTGTTTGAGATCGTGGTTGGTACTGTCTGTACCGTTGGCAGGAAACCCCAGGAACATTCATCTTAGACATCTGTTTGATGATGCACTGAGATAGTCTGCTGGTGCTCGGTTTGCTGGCTTTGTTGTTTATCAGCCTGACTGTTCCCAATAGGATCTTCATTGAGTCAATCCACCGGTCCCGGTGGTCAACCATCCAATCACTCTACCACATGGACTATATAATGGAACAACCACCGTCATAGAGCCACTTAACACCACCTTTATTGGACCAAGTATTTCCAGTCCAGAGGTCCCTCTGCAGCCACCACCTGCCCCAGTGACGGGAAGCTCCAAAATGCAGATCCAGGTTCATATATCCCTGCCGGAGTTAGACAAAAGGCACGATCGGCTTGACACCGGAACATCTCTATCTGATGAAATCCATGGGGGAGCAGGAGGTTGAACATGTAACTATGTTGACCAACATCCTAGCGCCAAAGCAATGTACCTACAAATATTCCTATACCACCGTGCAGGAGTTCGTGGACTTCTGCCAAAAGCTCACTCGCTTCGGGGAGTTCGGAGTTTATAGCTTTCTGGGTTATCTGAATTCTCGAGAGGCGACAACCCTCCTGGCTCAATCGATCACTACCGAAGATCACCAGCAGATGATCTTCCGCGGATTCGAAGGCTACTTTCCCATGCCTGTCTAATTCGAGGTTCGAGTGCCTCATTCATGGGCCTGGGCACTGCTGGCACCATACATCAGCCCCTGTCCAGCCGGACTCGCAGGCGTATGCTGGTGATCTAGCTATCAATGACCTCATGTTTATTGCCATTATGGACATGAACCCGCACATTGCCGTGTTCAATCTCAGCACGATCAACCCACCTATGGTTGCTGGACCGACTCTTCACCAAGCTGGTTAGCTGATGGTGATTGAGTGCTGTATTCAGATTTGATAAAGGGCAACGGTGTGTTGTCTTATAACAGTCGTAGTCAATTTTACCCGTGAATTACGGAAATTAACATATTTTAATCACACATTGGAAACATTCTCTTTTGTCAAGACCTTGATGTTGTTCATGGACAACAGTAGAAATACCCAGAGCGCTAAACCCCGGCTTAAGTCCGGCGGTGACACGATCGGCTTTTCAATTTCACCTGTCACTCTCCTGACGCCAACAACAACATCATCGACAACGACCACATTTCCTCCATCCTCCCATCTCCGTCCATCTACACGACCCTCAAAATGACCGGTCCCAGAAATCGCAAAGAACGACGAGCCGCCGCGGCGTCTTCCGCGGATGACACCTTCGACCCGGCCTCGATCCCCATGGCCCATCCTCCACGAGAATCTAAGAAGAAACAGAAGAGCAAGACCCTGGTGGATTTGATTGCCGAGCGACAAAAAGATCTCCTCGCCCAGGGGATGATGATGCCCGATGGGACAGGCGAGCAGGGCGCGCAACCTGGCACACGATTTGTGACGATCGATCCGAGGTCAGGCAAGATTGCGAATTTCGATGGGCCCACTGCCAACATTCCCAACCCGGGCTTGGACTCAACACCGCGTGTACAGGAGATTGAATCCGATGAGGAGGTGGAAGATAATGAAGACAAGGAGGAGGAGGAGGAGGAAGATGAAGAAGACACCGACGACGCACCGCCCATCCCACCGTTCATCGATACGCTCCTTCTCGCGATCCCCCTGACTACGCTACACCTGACGTTGGCGTACCTCGCCGCCCATCAGTACGCTGAGAGTATCAACATGGAGCATCTTCTTAAAGATTCCGGCTACGTGGCGTTCCCGATCCTGACGTTCCTGATCCATTTGGCCCATGGACATATCGTGTCGTTCGCTGTTCGCGCGGACCCCCGGGCCAGTCAGCCAGTATCGCTTCTCCCTTTCACTCCGGACAAACGGTCCTTCTCGTTTCTGTGGCGTCTGGTCTTCCCGCCGTCATTGCGCACGTTGATTTTCCTACCGATCGCCGTGGCCCTAGGGGTCAAGCTGGTGACCATCACGAACGAGGAGGCCTACTATGCCGTGATGAAACGGGCGCCGGCTATCGGGACAATCTGGGTCTGGAGTATTCTGGAGATTCCGCTGGGGGCAGCACTCTTGGGTGCGCTGGGTCCGATCGCCTGGGCCATTTGGTGGAAGGGCTACGGCATAATTTGAGTCGAGACTGGATGGAATGCAAGCAGGTCGAGCGGCTTTCTGCGAACGCGGACCTGGGCCCAGGACGGCATCATGAAAGACCCTTGAGCAAAGGGACCTGGCTGGGAAGGAAATCCGCTGGAGCTAGTTCCATTTTCCTGCGATCAATACGCATACGCATACGAATGGGGCGTTCGGTTACTCAACGGGATCCTTTCTAGTGTTTACACGACAGACACGGTCTGCTTTCGAGGGTCATGTGGAAAGACACATGCGTGTTCGCCTGGATGTGCGTGTATGTACATCTGAAGGTGTCTGTGTGACGAGACTCCTGCCAGCGGCATTTGTCTCAGGCCCCGATCAAATCCCATCGTCACTTTGCAGGAAGGTAGGACGAAGGGTGGGTGTTCCTCCCTCCAAACCTATACCGTGTGGTACAGCATCTGTCGCTTAAGCATGGCAGTCGTCAAGCGACAGGCACAGGCACCGATGCACATGCACCGCTCATGGCTTGTGCTCACAAGTCATGGATGGATTGATTGGATTGAGCTATGAGCTCTCCTGACTTGTGATGTCTCAGCTATCACTCGGCAGCTTTCGCCTGAAATGTAAACGGTTTCCATACCAATGAAGGAATAGAATTTCCCTTAGGTCGATCAGCATCACCACCGCAAAAAAGAAAAAAAAAACCACCTATCTCGAGACCTCAACTTGGGGGTATCGAAAACCCCCAAATCCAAATAGATAGACAGATAAACAGACCTAAGCCACCTACATCCTTCCACCTCGAAATCTGCCTCGGCTGAACAGATCCAAGTCATCCGCAATATCCAGAAGACACTATACAACTCAGCCGGAATCACTATATTTTCGCGGGTCTCCAAGAACTCACTAAAGGCACTAATCCACCGACCCTGGCAAGACAAGGCACAATGCACTACACTACACACCACCCTGTCTGTCTGTCGACGTGGCGGCAGTCGGCACGAGTTGGCCAGGGCCGTTACAACGACTAGTCTAGTCGTCCCCTCTCGCCTGCATACTGGATGCATTTGACCCTGGTTCATGCGGCATAGCGCATACACACATACATAATTAGATTACGGAAGGAAACCAAACCGTGCGCGCCCATCGGACCTTTTCCTATTCTATCTTATTCGTTTTCCGGGCACATCCTCTTCCCTTATCAAACCAGATCAAAGACCGAGGGTCTACGACGCATGATAGCATAGCCTTGCGGGACAACGCCTTCACTGGATTGTTGCGACGGTGCATACTTGCGCCTGCAGCTACTATGCTAAGGCTTTTGCCACCCACTTCAAGGACAGGTACAAAACCTCCTAGGGCCTGTCACATGATGCCTGCCTGCCTCGGGTTGCTTGTACCTAACGGTCAGGTTGCGTGCCTTGCTGCTTGCTGCTTGCTTGCTTGCTTCGACTCTTGGTTGCTAACTATCAGAATCCCTTGAGTTGGAGTGCAGATCGCCCTTCCTTCGTTCCTCCGTGTGTCCGCCTGACGGGAAAACAAGCGAGGGAAAGATGGAGGGGGTGACTGACTGATCGACGCCAGTGACGTGAAAGTCTCGGACAAGCATTAAGAGGGGAGAGTAGAAACAGGAACTGGATTGAGTGAGGCTCGACGGCTCGACGGCTGGTTGACGGGCTGGACACTAGGAATTAGGACAAGTCCGCGTCATACCCGGGTCTCTTTTTTGATCTTTTTGATTAGTATTCTTTCATTTATTTTATCGCTTCTTTTTTTCCTCTCTCTGTTTTATTTCTTTTATTTTGGTTTTCTAGGATGAGTCCTCATGATCACGACACACCGAACATGACAGAAAGCGATCGTCGATCGACTCAATTAGCGTCGTCCTTTAGTGCCAGACCTTGGACAAAAGAGTCGGCGACAGCGACAACCACAATGACGGTGAGCTGAACCCAAATTTGAGACCACGAGGGCAAGAAAAAAAAAGATGGCGGGAACGAAAGCCCCAAAGTCCAAGCCGGTCTAAAGTGTAGGGCGAATCCATCCGGAGCGACCAGCGGGACGTCCGATCTGAACACGAACCATCGAGATAATGACAGCTGATGGCGTGTAACCTTCCCGATCAGGCAATGCGATGATCCATCTGACGGGAGATCCTCGCATGGTGTCTCCCTGTTCGAGGAGTGGCAGTGCACGCACTCAGCACGACATACTATAATTACCTGTTACTTGGAGTGGACTACGCCACAGGAAGCCATTCACTTGCATTCAGCTTCACCCTCAGCTCTGGCTTCTATTTTTTGCTTTTTCTCGGTTCTAAGCGATCGAACTATTTCCTTGTGCTGAGAGCAGAGAATCATATGAATGAGATTCGCAAAGGTACTTTGGTCAAATGAATCAATGCGCGCCTTGATTGGGTCCACTAGTTTCTTTAGTCGCGGGTTGGGGTTTTTAGGGCATCGCCATAACTTTATCATGGTTTGGACTCTGGATTCTTTTAGTGTTCTTGTCTTTTGTTGGGGAAATAAAATAATAATAAACGAGAGACCAAGACTAAGACCAAGACCTAGGTACTCTGTAAAAATATATTAATTACTCATTAATAATAGACGTACTATAACTACGTAAAGTACCCTCGATGTAACCTCCTTGCCCAGTAGTGTCTCTCGTTGATTCTAGACTGGGGACTAAAACAGAAAGGAAGGAGGGAAGAAAAAGAAAATTATCAATCAATTAATCTACTCCCGTACATCCCGTCCTCAGTATATTTATTCTCTAGATCATTGGACACTATATCTAGTAACCATGGACATAGATACCAATCACAAGCAAATCTCTAGGTTTTCTTTTCTTTTTCTTATTTTGATTTTTATTCTTATTTTCATATATTCTATTTTGTTTTATTTATCTTCTTTCCTATTAAAAATGGATAAAAAAAAAGAAAGAAAGAAAAAAGAAAAAAGCTAGGACTCCCCGCCCCAAATAGAATTCCCACTCGGCCTGGATGCTGTAGGGATCCTGTCGTGAACCTGGTCCGTTTTGCGTTGCTTCGCTTTGCCAGGCTGTGTTTTCTTTTTCTCTGGGTCTGTGTGTTTTGTCTACTTTTCTGATGTAGGGCTGGTCTCTCTCTCTCCTCCCCTCCTCCCTCTCTCTGCGTATGTATGCACACACAGACCTACCTAGTAATAGAAACATACATACAGAAAACGCAGCAAGGTAGCAAGTGTCCAGGCAAGCAACCTAGCAAGTAGGAAAGAAAGAAGATGAGAAAAAGCAAAGACAAAATTTCCATTCCGACCGTTATGGCTTTCTTCACCCCTCTTTCTATCGCTAGGAACCGGATTATCTCCGTGACGAAGTCGAAAGTAGGGATACCCAATGTATCTCATCCAAGGATCAAAACGGCAACTATCTAATACACAGCCGAATACGAATTCCTGAGCTCTGCTTCACGATATCCTCCGCTCGCTGAAGTAAACCACATCAACCTAAACCTAAACCCAATATCCACCCAAAGCAGAAAGTCAATCAGCCAACCTAAGCTGCCTACCTAACCTAATGATAAGAAACTCAAAAAACAAAAGTATGATTGGCTATCAGTCGGATTTCAATCCCAGCTTGCTGACGGCCCTTACATACTACAGTCGACCTCGCGTCGGATACTTCAACAGCCAAGGGGAGAGAAAGGAAGTGATTCTTCAGGTCAGTTGGGGTGGGTTGATTTGCTACATCGAGGCAGGGCAGGCGTTGAAGGGAAAGACAGACAGAAAGACACGCAAGGAATCCCGGAAACCCGGCACGGGGCTTAGCTCTCCGTCTTTTCCCCGTCTCTCGCCGACAGGGAAAGCATGACATACAGCTGTCTGGCTGGAAGACGGGATGCAGGGTTCTCGATGCATGCATGATGTCATGGATCCCATGTAGGATTTGGGCAGGAGGTGAGAGGAAACAAAAATAAAATAAAATGAAGTCGTATGTATGGAATTCGTGAGAATCAAATGCAGAAATGTACACCTTTCGCGCAACGCCAGAAGTTCAGAAACCCATGCCCCGGAAAAATCATGCTAAACGCCGAATCCGTCCCAAGTCTTGGAAAACCACGAGGGAAAGGGGTCAGAGAGCAAAGAAAAGACGCTAAAATAGACGCCATCGGCTTGGTGCCCCCTCTCCTGGCATGTTAGACCGTAATGCGTTCGGGATGCATGAGCCCAACCGTCTGGAGACTAGCGCCTTTGAACCGCGTTAGCAGGGATGTGACTATCTCTCGGTACGTGTTCATCTGCGACAGCTTGAACCGTTGAATCTTCCCGCTGGCGGTGCGTGGGATCTCCTCCACAAAGATAATCCCTCCGTCTAGCGCCTTGTAGCTGGCCAATTGCTGGCGCGCGTACTGATACACTTCTTCCGCCGTCAACCGACTGGCTGTCGGCCCTTTCGTTCGCACGACAAAGGCTCGCGGCACTTCCGTGCTTCCATCTCGAGAATTGACGCCTGTCACGGCCGCATCTTCGATTCCGGGGTGTTTCAGCAGCACTGCCTCTATTTCTGCCGGGGCCACTTGCCATCTATGACATGCATGTCAGTTTGCTATTTTTTCCTTCTTGTTTGTTTGACCGAAGGGAATCAATGGAGGGGTAAATCGACCAGGGGGAGGGTTGAAAAAAAAAAAAAAAGAAAAGAAAAAGAAAAAAAAAGACCAACGTACCCTCGGACCTTGATCAACTCCTTTGTGCGTCCAACAATAAAATAATTTCCGTTGTTCACGTAAGCCACATCGCCCGTTCGAAACCACCCCTGTGCGTCGGTAGCATCGTTGCGTCCTTTGTAGCCAATGAGCACCCCGGCGCCACGTACATACAGCTCACCGGGGGTGTTTTCGTCCCAGACCGGGTGGCCATCGCGTCCCATGAGAAGCACCTCGTAGCCAGGCACCTGCCGTCCAATCCCTGCGGCACTTCCCGGGTCTCCGTAGCGGTTCTGGAACACCACGCCGACCTCGGTCATTCCCCACAGCTGCGACGCCTGCGCCTCGACATGGAGCATGTCCTGGAAATGCTGCATCGAACCCCCGTCGATGGGGGCGCCGGCCACTCCGACGTATCGCAATGACGACAGGTAGTCGGCGACCGGCAGCGGGGTCCGGTTGAACGTGTGAATCATGGCCGGGACCATGTAGGCCTCCGTAATCTGATACTGGTACACCGCCGCCACAAACTGGGTCAGGTCGAAGCGGGACAGCACGAACAAGGGCTGGCCACACCGGATGGGAAAGATGTGCGTCCAGAGTGCCCCAAAGAGGTGGAACATGGGCAGGGACATGAGTCGCGTTACTTGGTAGGGCACGTCGTAATGGATACTAAGATGATGCGACACAATGGCATGATGCGACAACAGGGCAGCCTTGGGAAGACCCCCGGTTCCGCTGGTGGAGAACATGGCGGCCGGCGTTGACTTCGCAATGGCTTCGTTATCGAAAGAAACCCAATCATTCTCGCCGTAGCCGAGAAGGTGGGCGAAGTTCAGACAACAGCCATCCCCACCCCCCGGCAGATACGCTACACCGGCAGCGGCATAAGCCAATGGCCCGGCCAGAAGGAGCTGGGTTATGTGATCCGGCGCGGTCTCGTCCAGCAGGCAAACCTGGCTGGGGAGCATGCCTCGGCTGGCGGAAACATCAAGGACAGTTGGCAATGCCTCGCGCGAAGTGATGATCAACTTGGGTTCGGCCAACTCCAGTATGTGCTCTAATTCCTTGGGTTGGCTGCGGGCATTCGAGCCCATGAACACGCCTCCGGCACCGATAATGCTGAAAAAGAGGGCGGGGTATATGATCTGCACGAAAAAAAAAAAAAGAGATCGAGTGAGTCAGTGCGAGGGAAATCAAGAAAGTGGGAAAGAGGGGCAGCATAGAAGAAGAGAAGCGGAATAGAAAAAAAAAATTACATTAAAAAAAAAGGAAGAAAGTATAATCCCCGCAAAAAAAAACTGGGGTTGCATATTCGGTGTAGAAAAAAAAAAATACTTACATTGTTTCCCAGGTGGACCAGGACACAATCACCACGCTGGACATGATGGGCCTTGAGACCGGCAATCAGAGTACGCACCAGCACTCTGAACTGGGCGGCATTGAGAGAACGCGAGGGGTCTTCGGCATCGATAAAGATCGGGCGCTGTTGATCGTAGTGGACTGGGCCCCGAAACGCGAAGGACAACAAGTCGGTGTATACGGAAGGACCCGGTTGGGGATCCGCCAAGGACGATTCCCAGAGACCCATCTTTCAGAACTTGGCCAACTTGGTCCAGTTGGTCGGTCAGGGCGGTATGGAGAGGATGGAGAGGCAGGGAAGGCAGTGAAATAGAATTGATGGGAAGGTGCGCGAGAGAGAAAAGGAGAATTGGGTGTGGGGGAGAGAAGTGAATTGTCCTGTACAGGGGAAGTGAATGAAGGGAACAAAATAACTTCAAACAATGGGAAGTTCGCGCGAGATAAATACCCTCCTACCGGAAGGCTCCCAAACGGAACCAAAGGTTTTTGTCATGCTGGAGACATCTCAAAACCGATGTCAAATTAAACAGGGTCGTCCCCGGGGCCTTCGACCTGGGATGAGAGCTCCCAATGATTTGGAATTTGGAATTTGTTAGGGCGTGGCGCCCAAACCCGACACATCGTCACTCAGCAAGTCTCCGCTGAGATCGGGACGCTGATCCTTCGACCGGCTATGGAGACGCTTGCGGCTAGTCGGTCAAGTCACAGCAGCAGTTCAGATCTCAGCCGGTGGGTCGCTCATGGCCAAGTCGAAAAAGCAACTCGCAGGCGAACATGTCCCGTCATGCAGACGAACTAGGTTCATGATCACCTGTCTCCATAACTTAAACCAATATTGGGCAGCCCTCAGCCCGACTGGTCCCTGTCACCCTTCCGTCGCTCATTGGACTGTGCGGTGCCTGTCATTGTCGTCCAGGACCTCGTCTATCGTCCTTCAGGTCGTCCGCTCGACTGTGCCAGGTCCCGTTCGTCCGTGCAGCTGAGCCCTGCCCTTCCCATCCTTGTGATCCCAACCGCACTAACGATCCAAGCCCCAGGGGCTAATGACTTCTTGGAAGGTGTGCAAAGTCCAATCCAAGGTTCGACTGACATCGGTAGGTTATGCTCGATCCGGCGGGAGCCAAGTATCCACCCGAAAGGTCCAAGCCAGGCTGACGTCTTTTTTTATTTTTTTATTGTTCGTTTCGACTCGAATCCCAGAACGCCGTGCAGGCAAAGCCTTCCTTCTCTCGTCCCCTCGTCTCTGGCCCTCTTGGATGGCTTACCCTTGTTAACAAACCCCGCCCGCTAAGACCGACAAGGGGGGAAAGATAGAGGGTGGGTATGTTGGACTATGCCATTGTATCTGACCTCGACTAATCACTAGGATCCTATCATCCGGATAGAGTCCGATGACGGACCAAGTCTCCAGTACCCCTCTTTTCTTCAGCAGCCGAGTAGAATCCGAGGATCGACCCATTGTCAGAAAAATCAAGGAAGAAAAAAAAAAGAAAAAAGTAAAAAGAAAAAAGTCCTGTGTACATCGCATGGACTGGATCGTGCTTTGCCGAGCCTGTCAAGCGAATCTCTCGATCATCCCCACCTCGTGGATCACGATGGGACCGATTATCTCCCCATCAGCGCGCATCGTTCGTTATCACGATCCTGGGACGGTGGAGCATGGGGTGGCGAGCGCCTTGTCTTACTCAAGTCGTTCTTGTGCACACGCCGATCCAGGATCCCTGACCGGGCTGCATTGCCCACTTTGAACGGGAAAGGCATGGGAAGCGTCGCATTCTCTAGACCGTTCGGTTCAGCCCAGCATTACCGCTAGACTCGTAGGCCAGTGGATGGGGCTTGGATCCTTGTCCCCCTCGTGGCACCGTTCATTGGCTCCCTGTCCATTCCGTTTGCGGACGATGGAGAGCTGAGGGTCGAAGTCAGAAAGACATCATGCCATCCGGCGGTGCTCATTGGTAAACTCTTTTTCCCGACTAGTATGGCGGAACAGAATCCCGTACAATAGTCTTGTTTCGGAGGACGATGGAGGGGGAGTAGGATCGAAATTGCGAGAGAGAAAAAGAAAAATTAAAAAGAAAAGTGGAATTGAAGACCGAGATGGAGCGCGGCATTTGGTCAGGCTCAGGTGAGAAGAGAGGAAGATGGAGAAAACACGCGGGCTGTGGACGACGGGGCGATGTAACTGCCCCCATTGGGAAATGCGCGGCCTGAGGAGGGCACAGTGAATGGCGTCATGCAGCCTCAGGCTTCTCTTCCTTCGTCCTCTTTCTTTCCTTTCGCTTGTCTCGATGTGCCTCGTTCCCCTTGCTCCACCGTCGGTCCTGCGTCCACTAGGCGGGCCCTTCCTTGTGGTATATTACTATACGGCCTCGAGAGACGGGGACTTCCTTTGTTTCGCATCAATGGTCTTTCACAAATCTCCATAAATAGTCAGACATACTTGCCTTCATCCTTTCATTGCTTTGTCTCTCCACCTCATTGTTCCGTGTCTCACGGTTCTCATCGTTCATTCGCTGCCTTTTCTCCGATCTCATATCCTTACCCAAGCAACCATGTCGTGGTCAGAGAAAAGCGTCGTCTCAGTTCCTCCTGCAGCCGTGTGTGCGCTGGGCTCGTCTAGGTCCAGCGATGCCACACTGGCAGATGCAGACCACACCATCTTCAAAACTATCCCCGAGAAAGTGGAAGAGCATCCACAAGTCCAAACCTCCTTTGATGTCGAGGCTCAAGTCCACCACAAGCAGAAGAGCTTCGCTTCTATCCGTTATCATTTCCTCAATATCTACCGTCGTCTGTTCACTCTGGTCTTCTTGGCCAACGTCGCGGTCTTCATTGCCATCTTTGTATCAGACCGAAAGCTCCTGGCTTTGGTAAACGCTACGGCTGCCAACCTGCTCGCTTGTGGCCTGGCTCGTCAGCCCCTGGTAGTGAATGCCATCTTCTTCACCGTGTGCTCGATACCCAGGACTGCTCCGCTGGCGATTCGTCGAATTGCGTCGAAGGTATACCACTACGGCGGAGTTCACAGCGGATGCGGGATTGCCTCGTTCATCTGGTATGCGGGCTTCGTGGGGTTGATGTCCAAGGAATACTGGGCTCCGCCGACGGGCACATCTACAATCTCAGCCGCTCCGGTAGCTGTGGCATATGTCATCTTGGTCTTGTTGCTGTTGATCATCATCGTGGCATACCCCGGCTTCCGCTTCAAGAAACACGATTATTTCGAGCTCACACATCGGTTCTCCGGGTGGCTCATCGTCGCACTCTTCCTGGTCCTGCTTCTTCTCTTTGTGAACGAGATCAGTGCAGCTGAAAACGTACCATTCGGTATCTTCCTGGTCAAGCTGCCGGCCTTTTGGTTTCTCGTGGTCACTGTCGTGGCCATTATCCATCCATGGGTTTTCCTGAGGAAGGTCCCCGTGCAGCCAGAGTATCTGTCACCCCATGCCGTCCGACTGCACTTCAACCACACCACAACCACCTTCGGCAAGGGTATTCAATTAGCCAAGCACCCTCTTCGAGACTGGCACGGCTTTGCTACCTTCCCAGACCCCGATGGAAAAAGTTTCTCTTGCCTCGTGTCCAAAGCCGGGGATTGGACTTCGGGATGCATCAAAGAACAACCCACTCACCTCTGGAAGCGAGGAGTGCTCATCTATGGCTTTGCGTACGCCATGCGAGTCTACAAGAGAGTTGTCGTCGTCACCACAGGCTCCGGCATCGGTCCCTGCCTCTCGTTCCTGGGTGATGACAACCGCCCCGACCTTCGTGTCGTGTGGCAAACTCGAGCTCCACTGCGAACGTATGGCAAGGAGGTTCTCAACCTGGTATCCAAAATGGACCCCAACCCCGTCATCATCGAGACCAACCAGTCCGGTCGCGTGGACATGGTGCCCATCATTCGACAGCTGTATCAGGAGTTCGACGCTGAGGCCATCTGCGTTATCAGCAACCCCTTCGTAACCAAGAAGATTGTTTATGAACTAGAATCCAGCGGCGTACCTGCGTTCGGGCCCATCTTCGATTCATGATCTGGTTTATCATGGTTCATTTCACTTTCTTCCTTCACCATTTTTTGACCTTTTTTTCTTATCTTCTCTCCTCTCTCCCACCATGTTCTTGACGGTTGACCCGAAGAGCAAAGGGCGCAGTGCAGGACGAAGGAAATAAGAACTAAATCATTCGCACATGTACATACCCATCTAGTTCATTCAAACAAAGGAAATAGTTCATACCACCCACAGGCGTCAGCCGACCGCACAACAAAGCGGAAAAGTAAATCCATTCTGCACCATACAAACACCGCCGTCTGCTGTCGTGTCCATGGATGCGAGACAGGGACAAAGCGCCACAGCCCTGCTTACTTGCAGCTGACAATGCCAAACCGCTCACTTCTTGTGTCGCAGATCCATCTGACCTGCTACGCCTCCTGGGTTTGTATCCGACCCCATCTACATCTTATTAACGGGAGGAAAAGAGCAAAAAATGAGTCGTAGTTGAAACAGCGATGAAAGGCAACTTTATAGCCCACGCACGCCATTGCCAAGCGGCAAGGAGACACCATCATCCCTGCATAAATTGATATCGGAAGCGGAAAGATGATTACACCGGTCAAAGGAGGAACCTCCGATTATGTGGCCACGTCGGCCAAATATTTGATAGTTAGGCACTCAAGCACCCATGCTATGGGCTACGTTTAGTAGAATATTACAGTTTTCCTAGGTTCTACTACCTGCCTGGGTCTCGTGCAATTAGGCCAATCGACTACCTCTGTCCATTCCCCTGAGCAGACCTTCGAGTACGGGTGGACTCTTCCCCGAGAATCCACTCCAATTAAGTAGGGGCACTCCATTATCTATTATTCAACAAGTCATCATTCGGCTTTCATCTTCGATCCGCTTCTATTGGGGCGATCATGAGTTGGCTAAAACGTCATCCCCTGTCTTCTCTGGACACTACTTCGCAGGCCGGGTCGGATGGTGACGACAAAATTAATGAATCCCGAGACTGCTCAGACACCGAGTCCTCATATAGTAGTGCATGCGCGTCTAATGGTGGATATGGCACGGATGATACTCTTGCTGTTACTCGGGTGTTAGAACAGTATGGTATCCCTTGCTGTCTGGTTGGTATAGCTGCCCTCGTTTTCTACGGCGCTGGCAGAGTTCGTGATGTAAGTCGCTCAGGAGCTCTGTATCTCCTATCTTTTCATGCAGAGACTAATATTATCTGTCTCATGTCGCAGGACTGGGAAATCTGCGTTCCAACAGAGCTCGTGGGTCAGGCAGCAGAGCTACTACAGTCAGAACCACACGCAACGCAGTATCGCCTAGTCAAACTGTGGCCCTATTACAGTCCCTGCTCTCTTATCCACACATACCACCGGTTCAAAAGCAGAGAGATTGATCATTACTTCTTCCTTGTTCCTTCAATCGACATGCATATTGACTGTGACCCTTCCAACTTCATACGCAGTCCCAGAGGGTTGCCATATCCCAAGCTGGATGTCTTTATTCAAAGCTGTTTAGACACCTGTGACATGCTCCAGCTTTGCGATGTGATAGACGGTACCAATGTTTCAGAGGAGTGGGGCGAGATTAACCTTGACCTTGAGGGTACTAACGATGTAGAATGGGCCATAGAAAAGAATAAGAGGGGAGAGGAGTTTGGCGGAAAGTGGGCTCATTCTCTGTTTGCCTGGGGAGGACGGAGGAACAAACGGGAGATGTGGCTGTCATTGGTGCGCACCAAGGAAGACAGGTTGGACTGGACAAAGCCCAAGGATGTCTTGATAACTCAATATCGTGTTATAGGCGCGCCGGATCCCTGGACAGAGCTGTCTGACATGTTTTAATGGTCTCTAGCGGGTATTCAGTCTGGTTTATCAATAGCTCTATTTGAACTTGAGGGGAGTTGAGGGGCTTTCCTCTAGATGGATACACGAGAAAGTCTATATCCTTATACCCGTCGCTCGAAACCGCAGAATAAGTCGTACAACAAGCACATAGACCTAGACAGGCATCCAATTGATGGACTGTGTACGACGCTTCTAAATAACAGCCCCGAAGACATCAATAAGATTGACAGAACAATAGGGTAACTGGTCCATATAGCTGAGGCCACGTCACCCACGGGAAATGGTCGGCTGCGTCTCGCATTGTCGTTTCTTTGTTCTCGATATGCAAGGTATCCGCGCCACCGAGTAATCCTGAGAAAGGGGGATTCCCGAGGATTTGGTGAGCCAATCCAGAAGAATGACATGAGTTGGTCAGATGAGGCGATAGCGATGGCTTGGAGTGTTGGATAGAGCAAGGAATCCATGGGGTGGAGGCGAGCGTTTCATGGGTCTGAGGGGGATGTGTTCGGGGTTGATATAACTCCCGAATCACTAATTGATTGACCCACATTGCCTGGTCAATAACTGTTAAATACATTCTTCAAGGAGTGGTGTTGGGCTTTTTGCTTGACGGTGGTTTTGTCGACGTTTCGTGGCTTTCTTTCAGGTATGAAAACTCAAGATGGCAGCAACGGCTATGGAATATTCGATTGGTTGATTGATTGATTGGTTTTCTCTAGGTTTGGGGCAGTGGCCGGCCATCTTGTGTCGACGCGAGATCCTACTTAGATGTCCGCGAGATCAGCCATGCATTCCTGGCAATTTTCAGCGCGTCAAAATGGAATACACATCCAATGGGAACAGAATCTGAATCATTCTGTTCTTCCGGTCAGAGTATTCTCTCTACCTGGACAGTGAATGGGGAAGACTCCGACTTTGTGCCATATCGACCTGCCTTTCAAACGACAGCGACAATGAAGCAACGTTCAAGACTTGTGGACGTCCTTCAAATCAGAGAACATTCTATCCTGTACAAGGTGAAGAGGATAAGAATGTAATGAAAACTCCGGGATACAAAGGAGATACGGTGGCTGACTATAGCCATTCTTGAGACAAGCCAGCAGGTCGACCATATTGTCTTCTCAAAGATCTTAGTCGCGGTCAGCTGCTAATCTATTCTATTCACAGCAGTGACAGGCCAGTGCACTTCGAGCCAGCCCACGCAGAGACAAAACTTGATCCCAAACCTGGGCGGCCTTGGCGTGAATGACGCTCAGGCTAATTCGGAGAGGATTCGAGGCCGCAGGAAATCGCAAACTCCACCAGAGTCCGAGTCAGAGTCTAGGTCTCCCCATCAACGACAAAAGAGAACGACAGTCATGCCATTCCCCTGCCAAACCGTTTTCACTCTGTTCTCGTGATTTGCAAACCCTTCACAAGACAAGGGGCGATGGAGCAAGCTTTGTCTCTCAACCGCCACAATTTCTTCGATCATCGCAGGTCACCGTTCATTGGCGGAATTTCAGCAGGACTCGCCATCCAAGCGACATCAGTTGATGCCGAGAGCCTGGACTGCCCGATGCCGCACCGAGCGAAGACAGGAAATTCCGAAAACCTGATGAATATTGCCTAAATGCGAGCGCCGACTTCCGCGACGGACCGGCGAGACATGGAGAATTCCAGGCATATTTATCCGGCGCCAGAGGCTACGATTGAGACCGACTCATTTCAGAAAGGCGATGGTCCAATGCCAGGAGCAGGCGAATCGGCCCATTTAGCCTGTCAGGCCTGTGCCAGGATCGACTAGACCGGCGCGGTGGGGACTGGGGATATTAGGTCGTATCCGGGGCTCTCTCCATGGGGTGCAAGACCGTCCTGCGTCTGGTCGTCGCCATCCGTCTTTTCTCTGTTAAAAGGAGGGGATTTCCCCACTGCGCTGGATGCGAGATGGCGTTAGAGAAGCAATCGCGGGTTCAGTGCAAAGATGGGCAAGTTCTACACGATCGGAGTGGCATGCTTTGCTGCCACCGGTAGTTTTCTATTCGGTTATGACTCGGGTGAGTTGCATCTTTGCGACAGAATGAATACTGAACGGCAGTGGTGTTTTCTGGATCGCTTTACTCATGGACTGTATCTAGGTGTCATGACCGATGTCATCGCATCGCCGAACTTCCTCGAATTCTTCGACACGACCAAAACATCCTCGATCATCGGAGCGATCAACAGCACCTTTTCTGGCGGAGGCAAGTTCCACTTTCAATGCAATAGAATGAAAAGTCCACCGCTAATATGGCACGACGCCAACAGCCGCTATCGGAGCCCTGACGGCCGGTCTGACCATCGATCGGTTTGGACGAAAAGCGACCATCCAGCTCGGCGCATTGCTGGCCACCATAGGCGCTATCCTGCAGTGTGCCGCCATGCAATTGGCCATGATCCTGGTGGGTCGCATCGTGGCCGGCTGGGCCGTTGGCACCATGAGCATGTCCGTTCCTGTTTACCAGGCCGAGTGCGCGCATCCTAAAACACGAGGCTTGTGAGTTGAGGCCTTTACAGAGCTGAACCACCATTACAACCAGGTCAACTAATGGCGGGGAAACAGCATTGTTGGACTGGCACAGCAGATGATTGGCGTGGGTTTCATCGTTAGCACGTACGTCCGCTGGTCTGACTGACATCTGGGGTTGCTGCTAATCTCGGGAACCAACAGATGGATCGGCTATGGATCTCTCCACGCCCCGGACGATAATAGCGTCCAGTGGAGATTCCCCTTGGCCTTCCAAGGCCTGCCTTCGATCATGCTCTTTTTTGGCCTGTTTTGGCTGCCCGAATCTCCGCGTCATTTGATAGAGAAGAAAAAGGATGAGGAGGCCCTGCGTGTGCTGAAGCGACTTCATTACGATGGCACCAACGAGGACTGGATCCAATCCGAATATACCGAAATCAAAGCCACCATCGATGCGGAGCGAGAAATCACCGCGCCCGGATGGCTGGTGATGTTCCAGGTGCCTCAATGGAGGACCCGGCTATTGTATGTCCCTGAATTAATTCCCAGTCTATCTCCAGAACTAACACCCTCCTCCAGCCAAGGCACTTTAGTCCAAGTCTTCACCCAAATGACCGGCATCAACGTCATCAACTACTACCAAAACATCATGTACACCTCCCTCCCTTCCACCTCACCCTCCACCAACTAACCCCAAACCCTTAGGTACGAAAACCTCGGAATCACCGGCAACCGCGCGACCCTTGTAACCGGCATCTACAACGTGGTTGGCCCGCTCGCCAACCTGATCTTCATCACCTTCTTCCTCGACCGGGTCGGCCGCAAGAAGCCGCTCATCTTCGGCGCCGCCGCCATCACCATCGCCCTGGTCTGCGAAGCGGCCCTCAACTCGCAGAACCTCGACGGCACGCGCACCAGCTACAGCATCGGCGGCGTCTTCTTCCTCTTCTGCGTCACCTGCCTCTACTCCGTCTCCTTCGGCTCCATCAGCTGGGTCTACATGTCCGAGGTCATGCCCATGCAGATCCGCGGCAAGGGGAACGCCTTCGCCACGGGCATCGGGAACTGGGTCGTTAGTACGATCTGGAGTCAGGTGTCGCCGATTGCGTTGGATAAGCTGGGGTGGAAGTTTTACTTCATTTTTGCGTGTTTTAGTATGTTCCCTTCTTTCCCCATCCCGTTCACCTCCTTGGGTACTGGGACCTTCTGCGGGCTACATTCCTCGAGATAAGTGACCTGGACTACGATACTAACGTAATTAGACGTCGTCGTGACCATCCCCACCATCTTCTTCTGGTTCAAAGAGACCAAGCAGAAGTCGCTGGAGGAGATCGATCTGCTCTTCGGCGGTAGGGCGCTCGGGATGCTCAGTAACGATCTGAACGAGAAGGGTCTGGAGGTGGACCATCACTCGGCCGTGGAGCAGGTCGAGCATGCGACTGAGAAGAAGGAATAGCCAGTCTGTATGGAATACTAGCATATCTATCTGTTCCTTGGGTTGAAGTGGAGGGTGGACATGCGTGTGAGCTTAGACTGCGAGTGGTGCTCCGCGGAGTTACTGTTCCGATGTCTGGCTGGTTGTCTAGATTATAGATGGATATGATAAATATATAGGTTTAAGAAGTGAATGATTTTGCACGGTTATGAAATATACTGCGATGATGATTCTTGAAGGTGTCCGGTCCTAGTTAGAAATAAATATTGGATCTCAGGCTCATTATTCCGAATCATACACAACTACTGCATACCCAAAGGAGGATCTACAAGTTTCAAGAAGTACGACCAGTTTAAACGTTGTAATTAAGGCATAATTTCATTAAATACTGTCCAGATGTGTCTTCAACACTGCCATCACGGGGTATGCGCAAAAGTAACATGAGAGAAAAGAAAATAGAGAAAAGCAATGTGAGAAAGTAAATGCAGCCCCGGACAGATATGATGGGTATCATAGCAAAAAATACAAAAAGCAAATCAACAACTTTTTTTTAATCCCGATTTTTCCGCAGAGGAAAAAAGAACATGATTCGTGTCGTTTGGTGAACAAAGGAAAGGAGCAGAGAAAGACGATTCCATATTAGGTGCTGTAATTGCAAAGAATTGTTGAAGAAAGCGAGCAAGCAATCTTGTTTGGAGTTCGAGTTGAAGTCGTTCCATTCATCAGGTGTATTCGTAAAGTCATAAGGTGAAAAAGAAATGAAAATGAAAATGGTTGAAGCGGTCGGTCGGGGTATTCGAATCCGAATGAGTCAAAGCTATTCGGACGCTTGGGAGTTGGCAGATGGGGCTCGGGTTCGGCTTCCGAGCTCCATAGGCTCCGTGGTCAAATCATCGTTGGTCAGCCGGGATCGTCCCCGAGTAGACGAGTGCGTGGACTCGCTGTCCAAGCGGAGAGAGTCCATGTGCTCTAGATCCTCGTATTCCGGGAGTGCAAGTGGCGACCCGCTGTAGTCTTCCATGATGCTGCTACCGTCGAGCATAGTGTATCCGGGAGGGCTGGCGGGCACGTCCTCGTAAACGGGAGGCATCTCCTCGTCCCAGCTGATGCCAAGTCCGCTCCGTTCGGTGACATGCAAGTGGAATTGCATACGAAGCACTCGCGCGGCCCCCGTGGGCGTAATGAGCCTGGTGTTGCGGTTGGGGCAGAATTCCTCGGCGACAATCAATTCGATGACGAGGTTGTGCTTGGCTTCCAATCCACCGGGCGCTTCGAGATCGCAGACCGGGTTGCAAGTGGGGTTGATGTTGGCCTCGAACTGCATGCTGATTTCGCCGCCAGCGGTGTCGAAATCGGTCTTCCAGCCCTCCTTTTCTTCGTTGTGGCCAATGATGCGGGTCTCTTGGTGGAGGACCCCCTTTCCTTCGCCCCCGATCTTGTGCGCATGCTTGGAGCAGGCCGTGGAAACGATCTTCTGGTGTTCCTCAATCCGCCACATCATCTTGCGCAGGCGCCAGCGAGTCTGGGTCTCGTCGCCCTTGTCAACGACTCCGCTGAGGGTCATCTGAACGGGGAATGTGCCGATGGGGTGCACGACGGAAGGAAGGACAATTCGGCCGGTCAGGTTGGTTGGGGGGAAAATACGGATCGAGGACTTGTCGTTCCCGGGAAGAATCGCACGCTTGATGTGCAGCGGCATCTCGAAGTTGTATTCTTCACCGTTCACATTGTGGGCGTGTGCGGACAAGAAGTATTCGATCTTGCCCAGAGAGCCGTTGCAGGACGCAGGCGAGTTACCGGGGAATAGATAGCTGAAGGGGAACTCATGGTCGCCGCTCTTCAAGCTCAGCGGCTCGGTCAGGAAGTTCCAGTGAGTCAACTCGTCGGTGCGAGAGGAACAGCTAGAGCATTCCCTCGACACCGGCTTCTTCGTCGTGATCTTGGTCATCAGGCGCATGTCAAACTTATCCACAAAGATCGGTTCCGCTCGCTCCGTGACGGTGATTTTCAAGCGTCCCGAGAAGAGCGCTCCTGTGGAGTTGGCAGGGGTTCCGTAGCAGACAAGGGGGGGAGACTCGACGACCACGTCCAATTTCGCAGACGACCCCGATGCATGATCATTGGCATGGCGTTCCTTCGAGCGAGAAGCCCGTCGGTATCCACGCTTCTTGTCCTTGCTGTGCTCCCTGTGAGGGTGGATAAGGTGATCCAGTTGATCCATCGCAAAGGATAGGCGGCGTTCCGGAGAACGTGCCCTCTCGGGATGGGCCGTCACGGTGGGCTTCTTAGAAGCCATGGCCGGGTTCGGGATCTCATTCACAGACGAGGTAGACGACGAGTTGGAGTGGGAGGAGATGGAGGAAGGGTGGTTGTGAGAGTGGGAGTGGTGGCGCACGAAGCTGGGGAGAAGTCGGCCAGGCATGGTGTCTGAATGTAACGACGACGCCGTGCCTAGCAGATAATAGGGTGGTTTATGAAGATTTCGGAGATAGATCGACGTCTATCGGCAGGTGCTTGGGAAGTGGTGTGGTGTGTTCGGTGTTTTAGACCCGTGGTATTCGAACTGTCAAAGCGTGGATAGTTGTGCTTCAGGATTCAGTGCGGTGTTGCAAAAGTTGAGTTTCCAAGGAAACAATCCAAAACATAATCTTCCGGCTTGAGGATTGGGTGATGACGGGCGTTCGATTTGAATTTGGCCTGCGCGTCACAGGCTCTGCAAGAGTACAGGTGGGAGGAAACTATAAAAGCATGGGATGACGACGAGGTTATTGGAGAAGAGAGGAGCGAAGTGAGGATGATATAGATCTTCTCTATAGTCTACCAGGACCCAACACAAATGCCAAAAGAAACAAAGAAAGGCAGAAAGAAGAAAGTGGGCGAGCAGCTGCCTTTGAATGACTCCGAACAAGCTTTTCTTTATTAGCTCCAGAAAAACCAGAATATATACTCCAATACCAGACAGACCCTCCGACTTTTTTTTTTTTTTTCTGAAAAAGAATTTTAATTTTAATTTTTTTTTTCTGGGCCAGTTTCTAGGAGGTTCCCACCATGTAACAGGTACCATTTGTTCCCTGGTCTGGCCACTCTCACGTCTCCGTCACATCGGGCGGGCAACTACAAAAGTGGGGCGCGGCAGAAAAAAGGCCTTACCGTACGCCTTTCCGTACGTGACAATACGGCCACCGCCCCCGGTGTCAAATGGGAATCGGTCGGCCAGTCTTGGCGGGCCAGAATTTTCCCCGAGGAGATTCGCGACGATTCTGACATCGGCCTGTTCTCATCATGAGCCAACGGGCTTGCGTGTTCGCCCGCAATTCTGGCTAACCCTGCCCATTCCACATTACATCACCGCGGCAGGCGGTACTCTTCTCCCGGGAGCTTTATTGTTTAGGTATTTAATATTTATTTAATACGGCGTGTTTCGATCAGAATTAGGGAATGGAGTCGACGGATGGAGTCACTCGTAAGCATGAATCTTCTAGATTCCAGAATTCGGCACGCAGATCACGCAACGACTTGCAACAACAATGACACCAGACTGGCGGACAATGGTTTGATTGGATCTTGAGGCCGGAGTCTTTGCTCATGGAGGGGCTTTTTGTCAAAGATCTGAGGAAGATCCCGACGGAATCGACAACCGACCAAGTCGGTCCAAAATGATGCGATGGCCTGCCATCCAACATGTGAGATCGACAAACAGCTCCCTGGTGATCCGATTGAGGTGGTATTTGGTCAGGTACCGCCTTCGCTGGCCGTGGCTGATCAACAAACACCTCGCCTCCATTCCCGGACCTACGGCGTACACCTCGTCACCTCGGATTATTAGGATTACGGCGTCTACACTTGCATGGATGGTCGACACCCAGAATCCTCTTGCATCATTTGACAACATTCAGCCGAAGGATGATCGCAATATACTCTCCTGGTCTAGCAGAGTTTCCCCAACACATGACGCTCCAATCTGCATCGGCGAAAAGCCCGTGCGCCATGACTCACTGGTGATTTCCCGGGTCCGTCACTACGCAGTAGATGCCATGCGTCCCGAGACCATCTGAGCCCTACCTGGCCCTGGATGGCGCTCCTTTGGACAAATGGACTCACGCCTCGCTTGTGGATCCCCCGTATGCGCAAGTGGTGACTTGGGACCTGGGGCATGGTGGAGGTCGTCACGACGGCGGTCCAGTGTCCATGATTGAATCCTGATTGACGCCCTCTTTTGAGACGCGATCATTTGATCCGCTTGCCCAATTGTAAATGGAATGTTGCGATTGTCCTTTGACCGCCGTCCCAGGGATCCGGGGGCTGAGTCAGGTTCTAGACGGACTGGACTGTGTACAATGTTCCGCACCATCCAGCGTGATTGGCCCGTTCCATACTTAGAAACCAAGGGCTGCCACGACATCGACAACAGCGAAACATCAGAGACCCATCTTCGTTTCAATTGACAGGGTAAGTGACGACGGACGGATTGACAGGGCCTCGTACCCCTACCCCCTTGCCAGCAGGGTCGCGCTACGGGCGACGAGCACCGGGGTTCTTTGCGGGCAGGGAGCCAACTCGGCACCCGTCATCCGGGCCTTGCAGTTTGCTTTGCTGCTTCGAGCAGGTCAGCTGCCGTCATCGAACCATCACGTGGCGTCATTCGTTGCCCTCAAGGTCCGACGTTCCTTAGGCGGTCTGGCGCAAGTCCTGCCGTACCAGCGGTGACCGGCCCCGATACGCGGGTGTATCGTACCATACGGCCGTCGTGGTGGCCGCGCTAGTTGGAGATCCTCTGGATGGCTGATGCCGCCTTTCCTATTCGGCGTTAAGGAGGGGCAGACCGCATTTGGGAGACGACGCTGGACCCGTCCAAACGCTTTGGGAAGGTTTCCTGGGAAAAAAAATTCTTTTACAGAATTTTTATCGTCGGCAGAGTTGTATGGTTGCAATTCGGTCGAGGTCCCACCGAATAGAGGGGTCAACGGGAAAACAAGACACCACAAAAAAATTAAAAAAAAAAAATAAAAATAAAAAAAGCTCTCAATCAACCGCATTTGAAAGCGCAACTGCAATTCTGAACTGTCCAGTATGGACCGACTATGCTATTGTGGTAAATGCATACGGAGTATAGTTACTACGGAGTACCACTCCGAACCTCCCAGCAGGATTATGTGATCCCGTCGCGGTTCTCTCCTTAGAACTACTACTTTCGGACAGGGCCAAGGCGCGCCCTAGAAGGAACATTTCTGGGCAATCTATATTTTTGCCTATGATTCCTGTCCTCAGCTGCACCGGCCCAAGTTCCCCGCACTGCAGGGAATCGAGCATCTGCGGGGCATTGCATCATCCGACCGTCTCGGAGGTGATGCCGTTGGCCACGACGTCCGGGGATGAGAGCGCAATTTATACCAGGACGAACGTTGAACGTTGACGCTGTAGAAAACAGTCACAATATCAGTTGATGGCGATGGCAGAGAAGAGCCCACCCTGCCTTGTTCTAGACACGTTCGCTGTCAGGAGAGGAAAGGGGGGAACTGGTCTCCTGAACGAATCGCCGCCCTCCCGCACCCTCCCCATTACCTAACAGAATGGTCGCCCCGGCTGCCCATTGGAAGCGCCGCTGCCCTGGCGATGCTTGGGCCTGAGTCCCTTCCTGCGCGCCGAAGATCTGTCAAGGAAAACGTTGGCCGTCCCGACTCTGTAGCGTTTCGGCACGAGAAGGCCACTGTGCCCCCCGGATGGCCGACTCGATCATGCCAGAATGATCGGGTGCGATGCGGTCTGGCCGTTCAGAGTTCCGACTGATCGCCCTGTATCACCACCACCTGCATATGTGCACGGTTTCTTCCGCGGAATTTTCCCATTGGATGGGACTTCCTTCCCACTTTATGATGCTCAATCCGGCGGTCCAGTCAGCTACGGCCCTGCTGCCACACCGATCATTCATGTCTGATCCGAACGATGGTACGCGGCCAGGTACTTTGTGAGGTCCAGGACCTAAGCTACCTTAGCTACCTGCGTAGGTTTCAGCCGGTGCTTCAATCCAGCATCAACATGCCGATTTCCTCTTTCGGCATGGCTCCTGGATGGGTTCTACGGAGTACGTCCTGAGCTCTGAGTCGTAACTCGTCACCGGCCCGGTCTGGGGCTCCGATGTTGGGCGGAGAAGGCTATCGAGGATCACGTCAACTTGTTTCGGTATCAAAATAGGGAGTGCAATTGAGGGATTATCACGTTCAGCGTTCACCGAGCATGCCTGTGCTCTCTCCACTTGCAGGGACCTGGGTGACCTCTGCTGTCCGCTGCCAATAAGGTACTCACCTGCCTAATACGGCCCCTGTCGTCTACTAGGTACTACTGCGTAGTTCCCCGTCGATTGCTACAGCTAGCTACCAGATGATGTACACAGCATGAACCGCATCGAGTCCTGGATATGCATGTATGGAGCATGGACCTCTCCCCATCGAATGCAGATTACACGACAGCTTGCTGCGAATGCACCCACAGAAGAATTCTCCGATTGCGCGTGTGGGCTAGCGATTAACTCAATCCCAGTTCGACTCCGTAAGAATATTCATCCCCATCAGTCAGGTCTTTCCGCGGGAAACCAAGTAAATAAAAATCACAAAAATACAGGGAAATCCACACCACAGAAAACGTGGTGGATAATTTCTTGAATTAGTCACTGTGTCGGTGGCACGCCATCGCCCCGACGGAGTATTCCCGGATTTTCCAGTCGACGGTTCGGCCTAGCGCACTCCATCGCCATGACTCCTTTTGCACCTCAATCCATTTTTACCCTGGAACTAGCGCCTCAGAAATTTTTCTGCCCTCCCCCGATCAAGTGCTCAGCCGATTTGAATCAAAAGAAAGAGCCCACTCCGACAATACCCTTCTACTTTGGTTGGCCTGTTAATATAGCCGTCGGCGACTTCCGAACATTTCTTCTACTGCAATCTGCATACTCCGACCTCCGTGAGATTATAGAATCCCCCTAGAATAATACCCATACCACCTCCCTGATTCAGGTATCGCGGTAAGATCCCAATGGTCAGTCAATACTCAATAGTACCTAAAACCCAGACTACACCGTCGTAAAGTGGCTCACGACATCGCGTGGGCGCCGTGTGGCCCAGCGTTGGTCAGTCAGACTTCAGTCATGGAGCTCAACTTCCATGCGGACCGCCCTGGTACTCCGTATTTTATTTTATTTTTTCCTGGGTTGTGATTTGATTTATTTTTTAATCTTTTTTCGGGGGCGTAAATTGGGCCACTGGTTGGTCTTACCTAATAGGGCTACCTTGGCGGTGGAAAATGAGCGATTATTTCACTCGATGGATCGATGGATCTTGGCATGGATGTTGTGAGAAGGGGCACAATGTGCGGTAGAAATCGAGAAAAAAACACAGGGCCATTTCCCATGGGGTTGGACCATTTGGTCCATGGATGGGCAGATTGGTGTCCCAAAGTCTTTAATACAGACAGCCTTGAGTAACTGTAGGCTGCGTAAGCCTACGCTGCATACGTCGCTCTCAATGGCCTGAATTCGGAATATGTTTCCTGATGCGGAGTCCCGGCGTTAATGTGTTTGTGCTCTAAGCGCCCTACGCTCTTGAAATATACTACGTATGTTCGATGAGTGCAGAAATAGGAAGCTCATCGCGGATACTACTCTATCATTGCATTGAATAGATTGAGCTCCAAGGTGACTAGACTCCGGTGCCTCGGCATTGATTGCGAAGTGTCTTGGATGTTTTCCAGACAGGCATTTTGTAATCCTTACGATGGGCGCTACTTCTGCAATTGACTCCTAGACCTTCCTTGTCTAAAACACTGTAGGAGTATAAGATTCTGTCATCTGATCCGAAGGAATGATCATGCTATCCTGCTTTGGTGGGGACTTAGTCTCTAACACATACGACGGGTCTGTAGTTAGTCCAAGGACAGAACTAATGAAGCAATTGCACAGTATTGTCCCATCCTCTTCGATTTCTACGGAAAAGAACGGGCGCTGAGCTGCTCAGCTTATGGCATGGTGCACGCATCGTCATTCCTGCCCCGCGTCTTCTACTCCGGGTATATACCAACCCCACCGGACTTGCCATTTTGAGGAACAAGAATGAGCTTCCAAGGCAGCTTGATGGGCGACAAGGGCCTAGACATATGTGCCCAATCGGAAAAGATGCCAATTTAGAATCAATTCTCTTGTTGCTTTTTTCTGGTATGAGTCTGCTACCACCAAATACTTGCATCCTCGTTCTAAATATAATGCCACTGCCGAGGCTGACGATATGCCGATGCTTATCGGTCACGTGGTGATAGACCGCGACTCTCCGGATCGGCCATGAAGCTTCACGTTCCGTCCTGCCACCGTGTCTTGACGATTGAGCATTGGCGAGGTATTAGCAGGCGAGGTGTCTATGATACGTCGGAATTGTTGAGAACTATATTCCACGATACGCAAGCCATCAAGTGGTTGTTCGGCGGAAGAATGTCGAATGCGCTCCGCTGTCTGATCTGATCTGATACCTACTCCAACAGCTAGCTTACTCCGGTAGTAGTTGACGTCGACGCACCGATCCACAAAGCACAGCTATCTATCTGATACGTCCTTCGCGACCAGCGACTCTAAATTTGAGCTGGAATCGAGACAAGCATTTCGATCCCCTCATCGAGTGAATTGACCGCCATGTCTTCGTCGTTGATCTCATTAGGGGTCGCCATTGCCGCGGTCTTCCTCTTCTGGACCATGTCCTCCACCTCGTCGTCGCCCTTTGCGCGCAACTTCCCGCGTCTCTATAACCAGCGCATCTGTCTGCTCATTGCGCACCCGGATGACGAGGCGATGTTCTTCGCGCCGACGGTCCTGGCTCTCACGAAACCGGAGCTAGGCAATCATTTGAAGATCCTGTGTCTTAGTACCGGTATGTCTGCACCTGATCCACATGTTCGCGCAGCCACGGGATGAGAGACAGAGAAAGACCGAGACTCAAAACAGAACAAATGAAATAGACTAACCACCCCCACACTAACAGGAGACGCCGACGGACTCGGCCACATCCGCAAGAAAGAGCTCCAACAGAGCGCCCTGCAGCTCGGCCTGCGCAACGAATCAGACGTCTATGTCGTCGACGACCCATCCCGCTTCCCCGACAGCATGTCCACCACCTGGTCGGAGGCCGACGTATCGGACCTGCTCGCCTCAGCCTTTGCGCCGGACCTGCTCGCCGGCGGCGGCGGCTCCTCCTCAACCTCCTCGGCGACGGCGGCGTCGTCGTCCGCACGCAAGAGGGACTCCAACTCCAGCTCCAACGCCAAGAACGCATCTCCCACCGCCACCATCGACATGATCCTCACCTTCGACCAGCACGGCATCAGCAACCACCCGAACCACCGCTCGCTGTACCACGGGGCGCTGTACTTCTTGCGTTCCCTGATGAAGGATAAGCCGGGGTACTCGTGTCCGGTGTCGCTGTATACGCTGCACACGACGACGCTGCTGCGGAAGTACATCGGGGTGCTGGATGCGCCGGTCACGATGGCGCGGGGGGCGCTGTCGTCGCTGGTGTCGAGCTTGGCGAGGAATTGGGGCTCCGCTGGGTCCAGGGAGGGGGGCAATCCGTCGCAGTTGTTGTTCGTGAGCTCGGTGGGAGAGTGGATGACGGCGCAGTCGGCGATGGTGAAGGCGCATAAGAGCCAGATGGTGTGGTTTCGGTGGGGGTGGATTACCCTGGGGAGGTATATGGCTGTGAATGATCTGCAGCGGGAGAAGATTTGATGGAGGGGTGGTTGATGGTATTGGGCTGGGCTTGGATGATCGGGTGTCTGTATATTAGTGTTATTTGGGGTCCTTGTATATGGTTGGACTACTGTAAAGAGCCCTCGTTCATTTAGATTCACTTGATTGAAAGACGTAGACTCATTGTGCTACTGCTAGCACGTAGCTTGGAATAATCAGAATAGCGTAAAAACATCAATCGGGCAATCCACTCGGGAAGCCTCAAACAGGGTATTTGATAAGATCATCCCAGCCATCAGAAAAGAAATCCAACAAAAGTAAAAGTAATCAGAAAGCATCGCACTTCGCTTAGGGGAAACAATCAGAGCGCAGAAAAGCAAACAAAGACGGAGAAAACAAAAAGGAAAGAAAAGGCTCAAAATGAAGAATACGTGGATGATCTGAGCATCACTGCCGATTTGCGCATCACGCAGAGAATCGAAGCACATATTCAAACCAGGGAATAGCCGAAGCCATCAAGCGCGGCATCGGAAGGGTCTTCTTCCTCCTCCGCCTCCACCTCCTCATCCTGGATGTCCTCTGGCTGGTAGTGCCGAGCCGCCTTCATATCATACTTACGGTAGAACGCCCTGAAGTCGTCGGGGGTTTTGCAGTCTGCCAAGGGCTCGTAAGTAAACGGATCGTGTGGCTGCGGGTGCGCGACGGTGCTTCGATCAATGACGCCGAAGAAGAGGCGGTTCATGGGATGGAGAGCCCGCGAATTGAGAAAATGTGGATATTTGGCCAGCAGCCGGGCCCAGAAGACGTCGTCTTCGATTTCCTTGGGGTCAAATTCGCGTTTTTTGAGGCCGTTCTCTGCGGTCGAATGGCGGATGGGCATTTGGTCAAACTCGGTATATCTTCGAAAACGCCAGGTGCGGGGCCCTTTTCTGTTGATCACGCCACCCGTGGTGTGGTAGTGGATTTGGTCAGGGAGGAAATCTCGCCATTCATCGAGGATCTGCGGGATAAGGCGTCGCTCCCAGTCGAGTTCGGTCTTTCCGGGGAAGTCCCAATTTTTGCGGATGATGAGGAGCCGGACAAGCCTGCTGATGAGCATAGTTGCCTGGGCGGCGCGCAGCCGTAGTAGGTCATACTCGTACACGGCGTTGGCGAAGGGCCGTGATTTGAATCGCGTGAGCTGGAATTGCCCACGGATCTTGGGCCCCTGCGAGGTCCTGGTATTGATGAGGTAGGCCGCGACTTTTGCGCGCGCCAGTTTTTGCTTGCGTCTCGTTTCCGCCAGGAGGTCGTAGGTTGCGTCTAGGTGGTGCTTGAAGAGGGGCAAGTCGCGTTCGGCCCACGCCAATTTGGCCATAATCGAGTGCATGTGAGCCGTGGGCTCAACGTTGGACGGCTCTGAAGTCATGGTATCATACAGTTCGCATAAGAATGAGGGGAGCACTTGGCCTCGGTCTTTGCCCTCAAAGTCGAGGCCCCAACGTCTTCGCGAGAGCACAAATGCCCGCTCCAACAGTTCTCGCCAGACTTCCGCGGGGACTATAAGGCCGTATGATTCGGAGATGTGTTCGATGGCGCACAGCGCGGCGGGCATGTCACTGCAGTTGCCGAAGGAATGAGCCACAGCAAACAGTAGGTTTTTCGTCGGATATAAAGGAGAAAAGCGCGGAAACGGGGTGACGGGCTCTATCTCGATGTCTGGTGCTTTTTCCAGCAATGCATCCACGTCCACGTTCCAAACGGCCTTGAGGATCCTTTTGATCCCCTGCGAGTTGCCCACGCGGGAAGACGACATCAGCACGTGGATGAAGGTGTTCTCGTCACCTTGGAACCCATTTTCCATCATCTCGTTCAGTATCCTCACCACTTCCTTTCGTACACTTCGCTCCTTGGTGCCAAATCCCGTCCACCCAGGGTTGGGATACATGTACCCTCGTTTGCGGTAGACGTACTTGGTCATTCGCAACCGATACCTCTGCAGACCGCTATGAGCCGAGTCCCAGACCTTCGCCGACATGAGGTGGTTGTAGCAGGCGAGGTCGGGGTGGACACCGTCCTCCTTCATGTTATGCCAGGCCTGGTCGGCCAAGATGGCATCGCCAATAGAGCTCGCACAGTGGAGAATGTGAGTGTATTCGGCCAGCCCGAGTTTGTGGCCCGCCGACTGACGAATCTGAGCCACCGCCGTGACATTGTGAATGAACTCCTCAAAGATCACCTCGAGCCTCTTGTATCCGCTGACATGCACCGTGGTCGAGTGCAGCGGTCGGTGCAGCGTACGGAATGGCTCGATGAAGTAGGCGGGCGAGAGCGAGAGGAAAACCCCCACGAACGTGCTGGACGGCATGGCGCCAACGAGTCCCTCGAAGAGAGGGTCCGTCAGCGCACTCATCACTTGATCGGGTTGGCCATCGCGGATGATGCTCCAGAATTCCTGGATTTGCTTCTTGCTCAGGATTGGTGCTTGTTTTTGTGGTTGTTTGGGTGGCGGCGGCGGCTGCTGCCCGACCTCCAAAATGCCGACTGGGGCATCGTCCAGCCCATCATTCGAGGAGTGAGTATCTAGAAGGATGCTGGGATCAACCCCGTCCCAGCGGGGAGAAGCTTGGGGAGCATAGTCTGGAAGGTTGTAGTGCTCAGCAAAGCGAGGAGCGGACGAGGAGCTGAGCGGCCTCCACCGGGTGGAATCTCGGGCGGACGTTATCAGTGGAGTGGAGCCTGGATAGCAGGAGAATCCACACTGGACCTGAGAGCCAAATCTCTGGCTCGCTCGTGCAAACCTCCGCATCCCGTCGACCTGTCGAAAAAGCAGCAATTGTGACCAGCACCGCGAGAGCAACGACGAGAGAAACAAACGACGACGAGGAGAAGCGTCACCAGTTCATCAGCATTGGCTTGCGGGGGCTTGGCGACCAGAGATCCCTGCTCTTCTCCTCATTTCGCGCATTAACCTCGCTTTGTTCTCCTCTTCCTCCCTTCCCTTGCCGTTCCCCGCTTCTGTCTCTGCTTCGTCATGGCCGACTCCGAAGATACCGGCGCTGCGCCCGTCTCCGAACCTTTAGATCTGGTGCGCCTGTCGCTGGATGAGATTGTCTTTGTGAAGCTGCGTGGTGATCGCGAGCTGAAGGGTCGTCTGCACGTACGCTCTCCCGCCGACAACTCGCCCCCCCCCCCCGAATCCTACGCGCCCGCAGAGCTTGCTGACCTTGATGGGATATTTAATAGGCCTACGACAGCCATTGCAATGTGGTCCTGGGAGAGGTCGAGGAGACGGTCTACGTGGTAGAGGAGGATGAGAACGGAGAAGAGACCATCCGCGTATGATTCCCTACTCGCCCTGTCTACCCCGGACAGCTCATCTGAGAATCCGCCGGCAATGAACTAATTTATAACTCCTCTAGACTACCAAGAAGCAAGAAGAAATGCTTTTCGTGCGAGGTTCGTTGGCTGACGCACCCCACCCTCCGAAATGGATTTGAAGACCTGGCTAGCTAACGTCTATGCTCTCACACAGGAGACTCCGTCGTCCTGATCTCGCCGCAAGCATGATCGTTCCCTCTGAAGAACGCGACAGCCCACGAAACTCCAGTCGATCGGATGATAGAGATTAATGGATTATAACTCACGGGAGGAACGCGAGGACAGGACGGGGGACTATTGACTCTCCTCCACGGTTGGACCATGAAGATGAGACCACGAAATTAGGCAGTAGCCACATTATATCCGGAGAAGAATCTAGTTGTGTCATGGATTGTCTCAGTGCTCTGGGAAGCGACGGGGAAATGGCGATGGATGATGGGATGGCCGCACACGCTGGGATTCCCGGGACTTGTGTCACCAGAAACCAAATCAACCCCGACGACAGCAGTCACGCCGTTGTATTCTGTAGTCTTCCAACAGTTTCGCAGAGAATCTCGAATTAATTGACCACGATGACACCGCCCCATGATTCACTGTCTGGCAGCCTTAGTGGGCTGGCTATGACTCAACCACGGCGCGGTTATCGATAACTAAAGAGCTCCGTTGCCCCATCCGGTGTCTCATCCTCCCCGTTGCCTCTGCTCTGCTCATTCCACCTGTCTTCACTACCATCCACTGCCTGCTTGTTCTGTACGGACTTCTTCCGCCTCAGTGCCCTCCTTCCTATTTCCAGAGTGGAACTATGATCCCTCGAATACGAATCTAAATGCGCCAGCGGCGACTCTTGCTCAACCCCCCGACCGTACTTATTCAATAGCATCACTTACCATTCACTACCACTCATCCCAATAGCATACTTATCTGATTATCTCCCCCCTGTTATCACTATCTATCATTATGCCCCCTGGAGGACCCAAGCTCTCCCTAGAGGAGCGGCGACGAGGCGAGATTGTAAATCCTCCTACTACAACCCCGTCCTCAGTCCCTCATCAACTCCATCTGCTAATGACTTCTCAACCCTGACAGGCGCTCAGTGAGTTTGCAGAATATGCCGACAAACAGCAATCGAACCGCTCTGCCCCCGTACCGCCCAGCGACAGCGGCTACTCCACCGCCAGCGTATCCCGCGCCCCCGAAGAACATGCTGAGTTGGAAATCCTGGACCAGCTGGGATTGTCCGATGCCCCGAAATCGTTCAAATTAAAGGACCTTCTGCTAGGAACAGGAGATCAACCGGAGGATGGTCTGCAGACTCTGGCGAGCCTGGTGCAAGGTCGCATCGATGAAGGCCATGGCGAGACGATATTCGATCTGGGTCTGGAGGACGGTGGAGAATCGATGGCGTTTGACCTGGAGCAATGGAACACGGCTTTGCGGCGCCTACGAGAGGCGGCCGACACTCTCTCCGCGCATTGTCGCATCCTAATGACCTATAATGTCGGAGGCCCTGAGGAGTCGAAGTGGCATAACGAACGGATTAAAGGGGCTTGGGGCAAGATCCTCATCCGACAGCCCGCTGATAGCGTCGAGGAGATGACCGAGATCCGGGTCGCAGTCGTGGGAAATGTGGATGCTGGCAAGAGTACCATGTTGGGAGTCCTCGTGAAGGGGAATCTGGACGATGGTCGCGGCAAGGCCCGGGTCAATCTTTTCCGCCATAAGCATGAAGTCGAAAGCGGCCGGACCAGCTCCGTGGGCTTGGAGATCATGGGATTTGACAGTCGTGGAGAGATTGTTGGTAGCTCGCAGGGCCGCAAGCTCTCGTGGGAAGACATCGGCAAGAAATCCGCAAAGGTGATTTCCTTTACCGACCTGGCTGGCCATGAGCGGTACCTACGGACCACGGTTTTCGGTATGCTGAGCAGCAGCCCCAACTACTGTCTCTTGATGGTTGCGGCCAACAACGGCTTGATCGGCATGAGCAAAGAGCATCTGGGGATCGCATTGGCACTGAATGTGCCGGTCATGGTGATTGTCACCAAGATTGATATCTGTCCTCCGCAGATCCTCCAGGAGACGCTTTCTCAGCTCAACAAGATCCTCAAGTCTCCCGGGGCTCGCAAGATCCCCGTGTTCATTAAAGACATGGAAGAAACCATCAACACGGCCACGCAGTTTGTCAGCCAGCGCATCTGCCCCATTTTCCAGGTTTCCAACGTCACCGGAGAGAATCTGGAGTTGGTACGAACCTTCCTCAATATCCTACCGCATCGCGGCCAGTACAACCCGGACGCTCCTTTCGAGTTTCTCATCAACGACACCTTCTCCGTGCCGCACGTGGGAACCGTCGTGTCGGGCGTGGCCAAGTCCGGTGTGATTCACGCCGGCGATCCGGTGCTTGTGGGACCTGACTCACTGGGCCAGTTCACGACGACTACAATCAAGTCGATTGAGCGCAAACGGATCCAGGTAAATGCTTGTTTTGCAGGCCAGTCGGGCTCGTTTGCCTTGAAGCGAGTTCGCAGGAAAGAGGTGCGAAAGGGCATGGTTGTTCTCAAGAAATTGGACCAACCACCCAAGGTATACCGGGAATTTATTGCCGAAGGTACGATTCATTACGCCATTCCCAACCCCCACTATGCATGCTGACTGTACGATGATAGTTTTGATTCTGTCCCATGCAACCACCATCAAGCCCCGATATCAAGCCATGCTGCATGTCGGAGCGGTGAGCCAGACCTGCTCCGTCATTGACATTGACCGCCCCTTCATTCGAACTGGCGATCGTGCTCTGGTGGCCTTCCGTTTCGTCCAGCGTCCCGAATTCCTGGCTCCTGGTGATCGAGTGCTGTTCCGCGAGGGCAAAACTAAAGGACTAGGAATCGTCAAAAGCGTTGGCTACGACCCGGAGAAGCCCCTAAATCCGGAAGAGAAAAAGGCGCCCGAGAAAGGCAATTGAAGGAGAGGCCATTGATCGTGTTTTTCTTGTTTTTGGGTTCATAGTTTGTGTGCTACGTGTGGTTGCTGTTTGCTGTTCAATCTCATAGGAAGGTTCCCATCCAATGCATCTGCCATCGGCGCTCGCTGTTATAGGCTGGAATATTGCAACACCAACCAATCTCCTGGAATATCTCTCTGATTAAAATAGAAACCATCTAGGTATACCAGGTAGGTATGATATGCATGCTGGGTCTGCCTCGTCCTTGTCGCATCCCAGCACGTGACGTGACGTCAGAGCGACGACGACGATGACATCAAAGCCACCTGATCGGCGACTGCATGGCGAATTTCTCTCGCGCGTTCCATGGAGGCAGAAACCCAATTTCCCGGCGCTGAGCTGCTCATAAATACCCATGGGAATTCATCCCGGCCGTCTCTTCTTCTTCTTCTCGGCACTAAGCTATTCAATTGAACCCATTCCCAGATCGTACTCTCCTCCCTGACTCTTGTATACTTACTCCACTATTAGACCTACTTTTTCTTCATCTCAACCACTGAATTGACTCCCCTCATCCCAATTGAACCCTCAATTCCATCATGGAGACCCTCGACAAAGCCTGGCACACCGCCGCCGACACTCTAAAGAGCGAGGTCCACGCCTACCAGTCGTCCCAGAAGACATGGACCGACTACGGCAAAGAAGAACCTCTCTCCGGCATCCAGGGCAAAGGCACCCCGACGGATCCGTACGACGCCGGCAACCGCGATGGTGAGTGCAATTGAGTTCGGCTGCAGGTCCTCCGCGCATGACGGAGCTCTTGCGTCGTTCCCACCACTCACCCACATCCCTTCTCATAGACTAATCGACCGTTCGTCCGCAGAGCAACCCGGCGCCCCGGATGGCCAACAAAACACCGCCCTGGTCCCTGAAGCCCTGGTTTCCACCGCCGACGACGATACCAAGAAGAGTCGTGCCCAGGCCCCCGTCCCCAACGGTTCTGCGGGTGCGCCTGCGCGCCCGGATTCCTCCCCGACAGGTAACAAGTTCGTCGGCGTCATGAACACCCCCGAGCAGCGCACCCAGCCCCCTCCGCCTAGCCTGACGACTCCCACGACTGGCCGTGCCTCCGTCATGGACGGTCTGTACGGTCGAGACTCCGTGGCGGCCGCTGCCGGTGGCTCCGGCACTAATGGCGAGAAAGCGATAGATGAAAAGAACGAGGAATCCGCGGGTTCGCGCCCGGTGCAGGCGCAGCAGAAGTCTCAGAATCCAATCACCTCCACTGGGCGCTTCGACCAGACTCCCAACGGAATTGAAAAATCCGAGGACGCCCAGAACCAGCCCGCTAAGGCTGCCAGTCTCAACGACCAGTCTACCACCGTGCCGCCTACTACCTTTGGCTCGCAGACTTCCAATATGGACGAGGATACTCGCCGTCTGAGTCTGCAGAAGGACAAGTACACCGGCGCGGAGATGAGTAAACGCCAGTCCTTGATGGGCTCGCAGTCTCAAGGAGGCGCCGCCGCTGCTGGCGAAAATGGTGCCGCCAACGAAGGAAACGACTACATTGATCACAACGCCAGCCAGAGCCACGCTGCTGGCTTGTCCATCTCTGGCACCCCGGGCGTCCCTGGCACCCCGGAACGGCCTGCTGCTCCCATGTCCAAAGTCAGCGAGGAGGCGCTGAAAGGCCCTCAATGCTCGGCCAAGCCGCCGTATGATTTCGAGAAGCAGTTGGATGACCCGAGTGGTAGACGGAAGTCGAAGTCAAGTACGTTCCCATACCTCCCCCCCCAAGCTCAGTTTGTCCCTGTAGACCAGCAGAAACTAACATGATTCTTCTTCATCTAGGCCACAAGAAATCCAACTCCTTCGGTGACGCCAATGCTAAATCCGCCGAAAAGACTCCCTCGTCTGAAGAATCCGCGAAGAGCGGTTCCAAGAACAGCTCCAAGAACGGTCGTCAGAGCACCCTATCTCATATGAAAGAGAAGCTCGAGAAGGTGGTCCATCGAGGCAATCACTCGAACAAATAAGCCAGCCTGCCTGCCTACAGTGTCTGTAGTCAGCGGGGTCTTTGGCTGCTGACTGAATTGATTTGACGATTACGAGTTTCCGAAATCTTTTTTTTTGAATGTGTTTTTAGTAGCTGGTTTGGGTATGTTTTGGGAATGTACTACTGTTGTCCATTTTGTGTATTATATCCTGTTTCGGACGCTTGATTTCCTTATTTCTTTGACTGTTTGGTATGATCTAATTGTGTATGGATAGGGTTGAAATTGAGGATCTCATTATATGAATTTCTATTAGTCTGTACTTCATTATCAGTATACAGGCCATCCATCTATTTATTCTAGCTACATGGCCCTTGTACATATAAATGTACATCCATCCCATGCCTGTTCACTATAGGTGAGTATGTACCCGGAATATATCATCCACCCATCAAGCAGAACAAAAACTGAATTACTCAAACAGCAACTTCAGCTCCTCAATGCGATCCTTCTTCTTATCATCCTCGCCTCCATCACCACCTACCCTGAGACCCAAGGACCCCGCAATATTCATCTTACGCTCCTGGACTCTCAACATGCGTCCCTCGATGGAATCCTTAACGATGAATCTCGTCACATTCACATCGCGCAGCTGGCCCATTCGATGCACGCGATCAATCGCCTGGGCTTCGATGGCAAAGCTCCACCACGGGTCCATCATGAATACGTTGCTAGCGGCCGTGAGATTGAGGCCGACACCGCCGGCGCGAAGACTGATTAGGAGGACTCGCGGGGTGGGAGGGGGTGGCCTTTTCGCGGCGTTGAGGCGGAAGGGGGTGGTGCCGGGTTCGGATTCATCTTCGATGTCTTCCTGGTCGTAGGAGTCGAGTTTGTTGAATTGCGCGAGTACCTGGGCGCGCTGTTTCTGGGGCATGGTGCCATCGAGGCGGAGGTAGGGGATGCCTTCCCGGTCCAGCTGGGGGGCGATGAGGTCGAGGAAGCTGGTGAATTGGGAGAAGACGACGGATTTGGTGGTGGAGGGGATGCGGTGGAGGTGGTTGATGAGAGAGTGGATTTTGGCGCAGGTGTGCGCGGACGGAGAGAGCGGGTTGATTCGACGGAGGGAGATTCGAGGCGCCGACTGGGTGCTTGTCGGGGGTGTGCTGCTGTAGATGTCGGTTTCAGCCGTGGGCGTCGAGTTGGGTGATTGATGGCGGATGACTTCGAAAATGTCGCGGTTGCTGACGGGTGCACGGCATGAGAAGCATCGTGGCGAGTCGCCTTTGTCGGTCTGATGGCGGATATAGTCTTCCAGGCACTTCTTGCACGCACTGTGCCAGCAGGCCGTTACTGCGGGCTCGATCATGGGCTCCTCGGAGCAGATGGGACACTCTCCGCTGGACTCATTCTGGATTTGTTTTAAAGCGTATGTTGTGAAAGTTGTCGAAGAATCCCGGTTATCGTTGGAATCGGCTTCCTCTGTTGCCGTTGTGAATTTATTGATCAGCTCTTGCAGGTCCATATCATCTTTAAGCCCGTTGCCGTCGTCGGCTGCCGCTGCGGCGTCTTCCTCGTCTGCAACGATGGCCTTGTTGCGGGTGAGTACAGGGTGGCAACATGTTTGACGGAGCCGTAGGATCTGGGCAAAGATTGTTGTGAAAGACTTCAGAAGTGTTCCAGCTTCGACGTTGTCATTGAATGTCCGCTTTGCCCGGGTGTAGATTAAATCGTAAATCTCACGCTCCTGATCTGAGAGGTGGACCTCTTCGACCGTGATTGTCCGACGAGGCAGGGGTACCAGAGGCTCTCCTTCAGGTGTTTTCATTGTTTTGGTACGCCGAAGAACCAAAGGCTGGAGGACGCTTTGTACGACGTTGAGCGCACGCACATAGTCTTTAGACTCAAATGGAACGGTAATAAAGGTCTTCCAGAACGAGAAGTTGTTCCAGGGCTCAACCTTGAGGAATCGTACCAAGCTAAACAGATCCTCTAGGCGATTGACGATAGGCGTCCCTGTCAACACCCAGCGATGCGTTGCTTTAAGGTCGTAGCATGCCCTGGCGGACTTTGACAATCGGTTTTTAATAATATGGGCTTCGTCAAGAATAACGCGAAAGAACTCCACAGAAAATAAGCCACCAGGAGTGGCAGCAGCAGACATGTTTGACACGAAGTGTCGATAATCCGAGAGCACAACGCCATAGCTAGTGACAATCACGTTAGGGGCATCGGGATTATTTGCAGAACAAAGTGTCCTCAGATCAACAAGTTTATCGTTGCCGTAATATAGGTGAACCTTCATCGTTCCCTCTTCAGACGCCTTGAGAGCTTCGCTCTCCCACTGTGAGATGAGGGATGTGGGAGCAACGACAAGAGTTGTGTAAGGAGCGGTAACCACGGTATTCGAAGCGACGGGAAGTCTCGTAAGATCACTGACGGAGCTGGGGGCAGCGTCTGCGTGATCTGGATAGACGTTGCGGTGGGCATGGACAAGAGCCATCATTTCGATAGTTTTACCCAGCCCCATTTCGTCTGCGAGTATGCCACCTAAGCAATGCTGCTCTTGCGCCGGGAAATCAAGACTGAGCTCCCCGGAGTATGGGTTGACATAGAAATGATTAATTCCCTCGACGACCGGCTGATCCTTATCATCCACATCTTTCGTCGGCCACACATACTCTTCCCACAACGGATGCATTGATCTTTCCCGGCCAGATTTGTTATCCTTCTCTTTGGCAAGCATCCAGTGTAACGCTTGCATCTGGTACTTTCGAAGATCCATAGTGAATGTCGATGGTGGCTCCGCCGTCGGCATGCTGAAATCGAATGACTGGGCCTTCTTGTAAAGAGTGTCCAATTGATCCTCCTCGAGTTCAGCGGAGTCTTCTTCCTCCGATGAGTTGCCATTCGACTTGCTTTCCTTTTTGTTCTTGTCGTATTGCTCTGCAATTTCTGCCGCACGGAGCAATCCCTCTTTTTTGTGCTTTCTTGTCATGTCATTTATGGATGTCGGATTGAGACCGATTTCGTCAAATAAATGCACCAAGGCAACCTGACGAAGACGCAGGCGCTTCTCTTCCGCGCTCTCTCTTTCCTCGAATATGGTCGTTGATCTGTTATCGTCAAGGCTATCGTCGATGATCCAGGGCTGAAATGCCTCTTTACGAAGATAACACCATAGCTGCAAGTAGATCGTGTCGTTGACACGGATTCGGTCCGGAGCATAGACGCAGACACCCTCGAACTTGCAAGCCTTCTGATCGATCAGAGTGGACACCCATTCAGCCGTTTCACGAGGCAGTCTCCCAATCTCCTGGCCAGCAATGTTCGTGAATCGAGTCAAAACATCTCCTTTCTGATTCGTGATGATCCTACCTCCTCGCCCGCGTTTTGAGATTGGCTGTGATCTCGCCCTCTCGATATTGACCTTGTCTCCATGCTTAAGCAGACCCATCCCGCTCCTCGTTGCCCACGCACCAACGCCAAAAGCACCGATGTATCGTAATAAAGGCTGGCCCGTACGACGCGGCGTCCTTGCTTCCTGCACGGAAGTTCTTTCAACAGGTGTTAGTTGCGAGGAGGTCGTCCGCTCTCGAGATGTCAAGGTGGTTTGGTTCACAGCGCGCGAGGTCGACGTTTTCCAGGACCCGTCGAAGTAGACGTTGACGGCTCTCTCCAGGTCGTTGCCGGCCACATTTTGGATTTTGCGTATGGTATCCGACGGGAGTTGTTCACCAACAATGCTAGTAAAGGCTTCCGTGTCGAATGCATCCGTGTTGCCTTGCTCAAGGGTCTCCTCCACAGTCGATTCCTCAGGGCGCTCCGATTCCGCCGTATCGTTTGATGTAGAGACCGCGGTACCATTTATGTGGCTCGGATTATTTTCGAGATGAAAGGCGTTGGCCTGCCCCGGTCGTTCATTGTCATAAGCGGTTGCGTCTTCGGTCCGTCCATTGGTTGTTATCGGGGTATCTTGGTGGGAGGCTATTTGGAAGTCATCGTTAGAGAAAAAAGGCACCGAGGGCCTCAGTGGCGGATTCCCATTTGATATTTCCTCATGGTGTTGTTCATCTCCAATCGAGATGTCGTTATTGCGCTCGTGTCGACGAGAGTGTTCAATCAACGCGTCAGTGTCTGAACCGGAGTTAATCTGGTTGGTCGAGGGATCCGGGGTTTCTTCGTCGGCGAAAAAGCGACGTTTCTTTAAAGGTCGGTCATTGAGATCTCCGAAATCCATGATAAGTCGTTGAGCCCTGAATGGTTGACCAGAGAGACCGGAGGCTGCAAAGAGAATCGCGGGAGACGCGCCGAGACACGCGAAAAGAAACGGACGTCATTTTTAATGGGATTTTCTTTCCCGCGGAGAAAAAAAAAAAATCTACCAATCCGAGTCCATTCTTAGTCCATTACACAGCACCTCCATTGCCTTATTAAGTCATATCCTGAACACAATGCTTCCCTAATCGGTGAGGATTCTGGCCCTGAGGTCCAAGACTGCGAACTAACGGCGCAGACATTCTGAAATCCCTCCGACCGTCTCTCCTCTCCATCATGACATTGCTCAGCGACCTATGCCTGGCCAACAGGCAAATATGCCGGTCCTACCTGCGCTCTCGCCGACTCCAATCCCATCAAATCCGACAATTCAGCCGATCCCAACCGACATTCAGCCCTCCTGTCGCCGGCGCCTCTGAAGCCGAAGTCGAAGCTGCTCGAAAATACTGCACAAATCTTCTCTCGTACGGACCAGAATGACCTCCTCGTCGCAAAAAAACAAAAAGAACAATCCCACTGACCTCAACCGTCTACCAGAAAATACGACCGACCCTCCTACACCCTCAGCACCTTCATCCCCCGAAACGCGCAAACGCTGTACCTCGCCCTCCGCGCCCTCAATGTCTCCCTCTCCCTCATCCCGGACACCACATCCTCCTACACGATCGGGCTCATGCGGCTGCAATTCTGGCGCGACGCAGTAACAAAGACACTCGCGGGGTCGCCACCGAAGGAGCCTGTCGCGATCCTGCTCGCGTCGGCCATTTCGGAGCTGCTTGAGCGCACGCAGGGCCGCTCACGGATCAGCAAAGGCTGGTTGACGCGGCTGATCAACGCGCGCGAACAAACCCTCACGAACGACCCCTACCCCAACATCGCGGCGCTGGAGTCCTACGCCGAAAACACCTACTCGACGCTCATGTACCTCACGCTGTCGGCGATCCCCATGGCCTCGGTGACGGCGGACCATGTGGCGTCGCATGTGGGCAAGGCGGCGGGCATCGCGGCCGTGCTGAGAGGGTTGCCGCTGGTGGCGTTCCCGGGGCCGCAGAGCCAGCATGCGAATGCGGCGGGGGCGAACATGCTGGGCGGCGGGACGAAGCAGGGGGCGGTCATGCTGCCGCTGGATATCATGGCGCAGACGGGGGTCAAGGAGGAAGAGGTGTTTAGGCAGGGGGCGGAGGCCCCGGGGTTGCGCGATGCGGTGTTTACGGTGGCCACGCGGGCGAGCGACCATTTGATTACGGTGCAGCAGATGCTGAGCAATCTGCGGGCGGGCCAGGATGTTGGCCATGACTTTGAGCACGAGGGCGAAGAAGGGCATCAGTATGATGCTTCTCGGGGTCAGGAAAACGAGACCCCGCTGGATGAAGTGAATCGCGCGTTTGGGGTCTTCATGCCCGCCGTCAGTACGCGGCTCTGGCTGGACCGGCTGGAAGGCTTTGATTTTGATATCTTCAAGCCAGAGCTGCTTGGGTCGGAGTGGAAGCTCCCCTGGAAGGCCTATATGGCCTTTACGCGGAAGACATTGTAAGGCTGGTCTGAACCAGTCGGATAATCCATGTATTATAATAAAGGTACCCCCGGGTCTATGTACGACTGTTCTATGCACAACAATTATCCTCCACTGCCACATAAGAAGGCGAGTTGTCAGGATCTTTTCGTGGCCTTCTCCCTCCGCCGCTGTTTCCGTGAGCTGGTGATTAGACGTCTCTGAGCGAGTAGAACAATGTAACGCTTCAGTTTATCACGCCTAGAACCGAGATTAGTCCTGAATTTTGATGCAAGGGAAAGGGCAAGTTACATTAGAAATACCGTGGTCGCAAATACAAAAGGGACAGCAATCATCCAAAAATATCTGTACATTGAAGGATTAGTATACCTTAATCGCAGCAAGGAAATCAATAAGGGACGTACGCATCGCTGTGCTTGATTGCAAAGAAGCTCTCAAAGTTCATACCGAAGTAGCCCTAGAAAATGTTAGTTTGAACCCTGAGGCTGAGGAGAGATACCAAAACGCACCGTTAGGAAGGTCAAAGGGAGATAGAAGCAAGTCACAAGAGTAAGTTGCTTCATGCTTTCGTTCTGATATGCCCCTAATGGACATAAGTATATTATTCATGAGGACTCACTCTATAGTAGAGACTCACCAATAGTATTAAATATTAGGTCGATCATGTTGTCGGCAGCTCGTCTCATTTGGTCATATCCCTCAACAATTGTAATGCAATGGTCTAGTGCATCCCCCAAATACGTATGACACATAGGACTAATAGAAATACTTGTGCCGCTCAGGTTCTTCAAGTTTGGCGCACCAGCCCCAAAATATGTCCCTGCATCGACTCCGGCAGGCGTCGATGGTCCTAAGTTCTTGAACACACCAAGACCTGGAGTGCTGATAAGGTCCGACCTATGATCTCGGAGAGCATTGATCACCGTCACAATTGGCTGCATCGAGCTCCGCAAAATAGCAATCTCAGATGTCAGAATGTAGAGACTCTTCGATTGGTCGATGTCCGGGTCCGTCAGAACATCCAGCTCCAGGTCACCCATCGCGTCTTGATAAGCCATAGTCACTGGGATCGCGAGATCGATGATCGCATCGAGAATGGCCTGTGCAACCATGCTGGCATCACACGACTGGCGCAGAATCGTCTCTGGAGAACTAAGGCGACGGACTATCGGGACCTCGATATCGTCGGCGCTTGTTTCAAAAAAGGAAGTAACGGTATTGTCTCCATGCAAAAATATCGACACTTGTTCAAGAGTAACCCCCAATCCCTTGGAAGCTAGAACTGCATGGCGTTCCATGAATGCAATTCTATCCTCGTTTGGTCCCCCGCGGAAACGCTGAATACTTCGAAACGGGTTTCCAGTTTGAGGAGCATCATCAGCCCCACCAGGCATGGACTTTCCTGACGAAGGACGGATGCTACCACCAGCGGTGTATTTATCACGCAATATCTCCTTGCGAGACCTGATCCCAAAGATGTCTTTCAATGCCGTTAGTACAAGGCCGTGTCTGGTAGGCTTCTTCGTAGATGAGCTTTTGATACTCGTAGACGAGCCCTTTCGATCAGTTTTCCATTGAGATTGTCTACCTTCAGGTTCGTCGTCTGAGTCGCTGCTCTCCTCGTGTAGCTTGATCAGCTTTTGCAGTGTGAGCACGATGTATGCGTGGTCCGAGTACCAGTCCACTTTAGTACGATTCGTTGTGTTGATCAAATCCTCGATTGCCAGCCTGTGCAGGCCTTTGTGGTTCCCCAAAGCTCTGATCACATCCCAGCTGAGACCGTTGACGTTGATCCATCTGCACTGAACCCATGGCTCTCTCTCCTTGGCAAGGAATGGCCCTAGCGTGTCATTATCAAGCTCGTACTGTCGCATTTCATGTTGCGAAAAATCCACCACTATAATCTCGCATCTTTTATGCAGATCAGAAGGTATGTTACTCATCCAGTCTGCATTATATGCCGGAAGTGGCTTTGTGGGATCAATGCCAGGCTCTGTTCCCGGTTGCCAGTTGGGATCGTGAGCCACCGAGTCCGGATGATACGTGCGCGCGGTGTTCGAGCGTCGTGTGCGATTTTTGATCGTCTCGTTGGAAATCACTCGAGCGGCAGGAGGAAGCATTTCGGGGTATGTCGAGCCATCGTCAGGGGGGATAGACGGGGGGATGCGAGTCGTCGGGGAGATTGCATCTTGCGTAATTGAGCCGGGATGTGCTTCTATGTCAATGACACTGTGAGAGTCTGATGGCGCCTCTGCGGTCCGTAAACGATCAAGGGGATATCCCTCCATTGTGACAAGCGTGCGTTTGTCCCCTCGAAAGAGCCGGATCACCGTAGACCCATCGGCGCCAAAACTCTAGTCATGCGAATTTCGAGTGAAACAATGCTGCGTAAAGCATAAGGAATATATGCGATCACCGTTCCTCCCTGTAAATATAATCTACCCAGGTAGTAGTCGGTGATCCACGGGCGCAGAGGGGGATGATGTACAAGCTTCGGCAGGTGGGACTAACTCCGCATGGCGGGATGACGTTTTCGAACGGCGCAACGACCCTTCCTCCGCAGGTCGAGAGGATAACAAAAAGGATTGGAAATTCGAAGGTGGCAATGCCACAGGTGACGAAAGGTGTCTGCTCCCGCAAGCTGAGCCCGGCGAAATAAGCAGCGGGGAATTTCAAGGGACAGAGGAAGCTTAGGAGTAGATAATCTAAACTTGGCGCATCGCTAGTGTGGTGGCGATGCAATGCCAGCGGGTCTTGGCCGGGCTTTAATTACGTGCCATAACTCGGCGATCCGGATTTGGTCAGGGTCCATGCCAATTGATTGTGAGATGCTAGATACGGAGAACGGGAACGTTCCAGTGTGCGAACTTAATCCACGAGTCAGGGATAGCCTGATCTGGCCGATTTCGTTATGGAAGGAAGGGAGACATCTTCGTGGTAGGACATGTTCAATGCATACGCTAAATTCAGGGATCTCGGAGTCGCGCACTGACGATGTGGGCAGGCGTTCAGTCTCATTGGACAAAAACCGGCCCGAATCGGCCTATTTGTGCAGAACAATTGTTTCAAGGAGCACACTAGCTGTATAGGGTATCTGGGTAATTATTTTGGAAATATCAAGTGTCGTTTCGTCGTAAATCTAGGGTCCATCACGCCTTCCATCGATGTTCAATCTCTTTTTCTGGTCGTAAGTTTGAGCTGCAGTGGTATGAGGTTTCTTCGCGGGCCCGGGACATCGTTTCGTGTGAGAGGCTTTCGACAAACAGGACAAGTTCCTCGTGGAGTTTTCCCAGAAGTATCGGCGCGTTGTTCCTCGCTAAATTTCAACGTGTCAATAATGCATTTATGGCAAAAGAGATGCCCTAGTCGCAGTCAGTCTTGTTCTAATACACCAGCACCTGGAGGACATACCGCATGCGGTACTGGTGGCATCAACAGGCGTATCCATGCACACTGGACATTTATACGCCGTCAACAGAGACCGACCCCCCTCGTTTTTGGCGCCTTGTTGAGCTTTAATTGCGTCTTCACGTTGTTTTGCTAGAGTCTTCGAAAGCGCCGACGGACCTTCCGGTTCAGTCAGGTCTATTGATGTGGCTGGTTCCGTCTCTCCGTGATTCTCATGATCAAACTCTGGGGGGTGGTTTTCTGCGCTCAGGCGACTCAGGCGGCGACGCTTTCTTCTGGGTGGGCTAGATATCGAGGAGTCAACGGGTGAAGAGTTGTTGGGATCTGGCGAGTATTGGTAGGTCTCGTAAGGATCCGAGGACAGCAATGAAACGTGGTCATGACGATCCATGATGTTGGTAGGCGAAAAGAGGGACTGGGGCAAATGAGATAAGTGGCGGAATGCGGGGTGTCGTGCAAAGAAATCGCTGGTCGAACGCTTAGAGAAGCCGGTCAAGGATAAGCTGTAGGAGCATTCTGAGAGGGAAAGGAAAGTAGGAAGCCGTCACTTTTCGACGGATGGGTGAATGAAAGTCGAGCGATGAGAGAGAAAGAGAGAGAGGAACAAAAGATGCCTGAAGAAGCCGAACAACGCAACTTTGCTTATCGCCAGGCATCACCTGATGATAGCGACTGGAGGTCCTCCTTGGGAAGGCGGTGAGGAATACTCGGAAGATCAGTAAGTCCGGATCCGCGGCATGACGGAGATACCGCGATAGGAAGGAAGGCGACGGACATCCTTGCAAAGCCCTCCAAGGAGCTTCGCTAGCTATCATCCTCTCGATTTTCTAGTTGCCGGTCGCCGGTCTGGCCATATTACCATGGGATAATTCAAATTGTTGTTCTTATCCTTGCACAACAAAATGCTGTGGAGTCATTCCTGTGCACCTTATTCTAGGGGTGTAATTCATTACGCGCAGAGATTGCGCTCGCCACTTAGTGCCAGGCCGCGGTCTCTCCCGGTACTGGCAAGGTACTATGCGACCCAGCAAGATGTGCAAAATGCCCAGGGAGAATCGCGATCGAGATCTCTGTCAGGTAATTCTCTCTCGATTCTAAATAGAAAGTGTTCGCCGGTGCTGATTCCGTAGTTCCCGCGACGGCCAGATTCAACGAAATCGGAGTTCAACAACTAAGCGATCACGTCTTCTCTCAAGTCTTTCCGAGTAAAGGAGCTACCCCGAACCCCGACCTTGTTGCGCTCTCAAAGGACCATCTTGCACGACATGATCTTCTCGGGAAATCCCAAGAGGCCGCAGAGCCGGTTGCATTCGACATGCCGAAGCTCCAGGGCCAGACATTGGACGAGCACTTTCACAGGCTGGGGATGGATGCGTCTGAACCTTATCTGACCTATGCAAAAACCTACACTACCGTTAACTCCCCGGAAATGCCCCGCCAATGGGTTAAACGCAGCGGATGGACGAAGTACAATAGTGACGGGTCTTCGGAACCGGTGGATGCGCCAAATGAGTCAATATTGTCTTTCGACACGGAGGTGATGTACAAGGAACATTCTTTTGCCGTCATGGCCTGCGCTGTCAGTCCTACGGCTTGGTATGCCTGGCTGTCGCCTTGGCTTTTGGGCGAATCAGAGAATGAGGTGCAACTGATACCGCTGGGGGACCCGTCGCAGCCACGTATCGTCATTGGGCATAATATTGGGTACGATCGCGCGCGTGTGTTGGAGGAATACGATATGAAACAGACGTGCAACTTCTTCGTCGACACGATGTCCCTTCATGTCGCTGTGAATGGCATGTGTTCCCAGCAGAGGCCCACCTGGATGCGACACAAGAAGAACAAGGATCTCCGAGACAAGATGGCCAACGAAGCCAACTCAGTGGAACTTGCGGCTCTAGTTGAAAGTAAATCTCTCAGCGACGAAGAGGAGGAATTGTGGGTGGGCAGAAGCTCCGTAAACTCCCTCCGCGACGTCGCTAAGTTTCATTGTGATGTTACGATCGACAAGGCGCAGCGCGACTACTTCGGCGAGCTCGGCAGAGAGGAAATCTTGGGAAAGCTCGAGGAGCTTCTCGATTACTGTGCCGCCGATGTAGCCATCACTCATCGGGTGTACAAAAAGGTTTTCCCAAACTTCCTCAAGGTCTGCCCGCATCCCGTTAGCTTTGGTGCTCTTAGACATTTGTCTTCCGTCATCTTGCCCGTCAACCAAACTTGGGAGGAATACCTCAAGAATGCCGAATCGACCTACCATCAGCGTCTGGAAGATGTGCAACGAAGGCTAGTTGAGCTTTGCGACGAAGCCCTAAAAGTCAAGGACCAACCGGAATTATACATGAAAGATCCCTGGCTACGACAACTAGATTGGTCCGGGCAGGAAGTCAAAATGGTCAAGGGCAAAAAGAAGGGTGATCCTCCGCGACCGGCTGCAAGGCAAAAGAAGCCCGGCATGCCAAAATGGTACAAGGATCTTTTTCCCACGAACACGGCGGATATCAATCTAACTGTACGAACACGGATTGCGCCCATCCTTCTGAAATTGTCATACAGCGGGCATCCCCTGAATTGGTCGGACAAACACGGTTGGACATTCAAGGTTCCCCGTGAACAAGTCAAGTCTTTTGAAAACCAGCCAGTCGTGCGCTGTGACATGGCGGAAGAGAAAAATCTTGAATTGAAGAATGACTGGAAACACGCCTACTTTAAGCTTCCACACAAGGATGGGCCGCAAGCTCGCTGCGTTAATCCCCTGGCCAAGGGGTACTCGGGCTATTTTGAGCGCGGAGTACTCACCTCGCAGTACGCCCTTGCTAAGGAGGCCCTGGACATGAATGCTTCGTGCTCCTACTGGATCAGTGCTCGTGATCGGATCATGAGTCAGATTGTTGTCTACGAGGATGAAGTGCAAAAGTCAGCTGCAAAGAATGATGGTGGGAACAGAGTGGGTTTTATATTACCTCAAATTATTCCCATGGGTACCATCACCCGACGAGCCGTCGAAAATACTTGGCTCACAGCAAGCAATGCAAAAGAGAACCGTGTTGGATCTGAGCTCAAGGCTATGATCAAGGCTCCTCCTGGGCATGTGTTTGTGGGAGCAGACGTCGACTCTCAGGAACTGTGGATTGCAAGTCTCATTGGCGACGCACAATTCCAAATCCATGGTGGCAATGCGATTGGTTTCATGACCCTGGAAGGGTCCAAGGCAGCTGGTACAGACATGCATTCACGCACTGCCAAGATCTTGGGCATTTCTCGCAACGATGCGAAGGTCTTTAACTACGGACGTATATATGGTGCCGGTGTCAAGTTCGCCGCCACATTGCTACGTCAATTTAACCCGTCAATGACCGAGAAGGAGACCCAGGAAGTTGCAAGCAATCTATACAAAGCGACTAAGGGGACCCGCACTACTCGCCGCCTCCTGAGTGAAAACCCTTTCTGGCGTGGCGGTACTGAATCATTTGTATTCAACAAACTTGAAGAGTTTGCCGAGCAGGAAAGACCCAAGACGCCAGCTTTGGGCGCCGGTATCACCGAGGCCTTGATGCGCCGTTTCATCAACAAGGGCAGTTTCATGACATCTCGAATTAATTGGGCTATTCAGTCCTCCGGTGTTGACTATCTTCACCTTTTGATCGTGGCTATGGACTATCTAATACGGCTTTACAACATCCAAGCCCGTCTAGCAATCACGGTCCATGATGAAATCCGGTATCTTGTCAAGGAGGAAGACAAATACCGTGCAGCCTTGGCTCTGCAAATCGCCAACGTCTGGACGCGCGCCATGTTTTCCCAGGAAGTCGGCATCAACGACCTTCCCCAGTCCTGCGCCTACTTCTCAGCTGTCGATATCGACCACGTTCTTCGCAAAGAAGTGGACATGGATTGTGTGACTCCATCTCATCAACAGAAAATCCCCCACGGCGAAACCCTGGATATCGTTCAACTTCTGAACAAAAACCAGGACGCCTTCCTCGATCCTTCTACCACTCCACTCTCGCCGCCGTCTCCTCAGAAATATCCTTACACACCGCGACCCTCCGTCATGTCATCCCTGCAAACTTCGGACGATCCCTTATTTATCAAGGCTCAAATCACCAAGGACGACAAGGAGTTCCGAGACATCGTCAAGGAAGTTTCCAAAGCCAAACTCGCTGCTAAACAAGCCAGCGCCACATCCGCTGCGGCCTCCAGGGGCGGTCGCACCAAATCATTCACTACCCCCTCCGCTGAACCACAAAAGGCTGTACTCGTTGACATCGGCTCCGGTCTCTACCATGACTTCCGCGCCGTCCCCGAAGGGAGCAGGTCTCCTCACTCCGTTGGTCTCAATCGCCAACATTGGAAGCCGTCTGCCAGGGCTTGAAATTCTTACTTGATGAGATCGGCTTTCTTCCTGTCCTTTTTTCTTTTCCATTCACAACTTCCTCTTTGTCATCTTGGATTATTTAACTTGTATATATAGGCAGTGACGTGGACTTCCTACATCCAGTCACTCGATACTCTTTTCATCGTCCTGTATTATCTAATAGCGGTTTGTTGCAAGCATTGGGATGGCGTCGTGCGAGCAGTTGCGGGGACTTGATCTGTCTTTTTATCTACTTGCTGTGTATGTTCAAGTACGACTAACTTTGCCTGTACGAGTGGCATGTTTCAGTATGATGTTAAAATAAATATGAGGAAAAAATAAAATTATTTTCTAATGGTTGTCGGTTGCATAGTATGGTGTAGATTCCCGAAACCTGACCAAAAAGTCATGTTCCAATATATATTGCTCCCTTGTTTGAGATCGACAATTCTAACGATTCACAACATAATATAATGTAACCAAAACTCAAAGCCTATATAAATATTATACCGTTTATATAACAGCCAACCAAATATAGATGAATCCCAAAGAAAATAGACAAAAAGATCATTCTCGTCGTTTTCGCCCCGGATCCAATGTGTTCCGCCGACTAAGCCCATTCCCATCACCGCCGCGCAGCATCGCATCGCCCTTCTTCCCTAGAACCACTTCCAAGGCCTGTACAAGCGCCGTTGGATCATACTTCATGCCTATCGGGATCTCTGTGCCGTCGGCATCGGTTGTCACGATCTTCCGACCGTAGAGACGGAGTGTTTCAATACCCATGTCGGCTAGACGGTCGCGGTCGACGCGAGGGGTTCCAGGGCCGTCAAGGTGGAGAATATGGGTCACGTACGAAGAGTAGGGCATGCTGGGATCCAGAGATGAGGATCGGTGCTGATTGTCCGGTAAACGAAGGGTCATTCGGCCGCGGCTTTCTTCGCCAGCACGGGTAATGGCCTCGACGAACTCTACGGCCGTGAAGGGTTCGGAAGGCGGGCCTGTTTCACGATCTAGGGACCCGTTAAGGATGAGGATCTTGTGGCGTGCTGGACTGCTGACGATTGCTTGTCCGACGCCCCGGAGGATCAGGGAGGGGAGGATGGACGTGTACAGCGAGCCGATACTGTAGGTGATCGCCTGGGCATCGCGCAGAGCTTCGAGCACACGCGGATTGGCCGGAGGACGGATCTCTTGGCCGTAAGGGTTGATGTACCAGATGCGGGTGATGCGTGAAGGGAGGTCCTCGTTTTCCGATTTGGAGAACTGAATGTTCTTGTTGCGTAGTGTAGGTAGGGAGCCAGGCAGGTGGTCATCCTCGTAGGAGATTGCGTCTGCGACATCAGGCGGCTCGATATCATCGGCGCCATCGGCGAGCAGTAGACTGGGTCTTCTGGACCCTGGCCGAGGCTGTAAAGCAGTAGCCTCGCTGGGATGCGAAATACTGTTCTGGCCGACAATAACTGTGCCGTCACCCAAAGAGGCCGAGATGTGATGGGAGAAGTTGGAATTGATAGCGGGGATCACTCGAACAACGTCCGATGGAACGCCGCAGATACTGCCTAGGAGATAGATAGCGCTCTCAAAACTGCCGCTAAAAAGGCGAGCGCCAGTCAAGAACAAGTTACCGACGCTGGCGGATGTGAAGTCGAAAGTGGAAGATGGAGGCCTTGCTCGTTTGAGAATCTCCAGGTTCAGAAGATTGAAGAACGAGCGGATTAGCTCCTTTTTTGCGGGAGTGACCGATCTCCATAGACTGGAGGTCCCATCGACGATCGACTGCCATTCGGCAAGGGCCGTCGCAGCATCTGGCGGCAAGCGATGATTGAAGATGGTCTTGATTGCGGCCCGTTCAGAGTTCGGCGGGCAGTCGGGAATCAGTCGAACTAAACGACCTGGATATCTTTGTAAGACGGAGAATCAAAACAGAATGATTCAAGAGTTCGAGAGGAACTGACTTCGGACATCGCCAATCCCAGGACCGCCGAAGATTCGGATCAGCTCCGAGGATGAGCCTCCATTGTCGCTGATGGGAATGATGTAGCTGAGCAGGCAGCTTTTGCTCTCGCGAACGGCGCTGAACACATCGACCAGATTATTAGCAGCACTTCCTCCCGAGAAAACCACCAGGCCTCTATTGGGAGTGGGTGTCGAGGTCATGTTTGATGGAGACCCCGGATGGTGTGGCAAAATGTCGCGAGGATCATCTATTTAGTCTCTGTTCCCCCCTTCCCAGTTCCAAATGACATTCCCCACCGTGGCCCGTGCAATGCAGTAGGCCAACGTATTCCCTGGTAGCCGAGGCAAAATGGGCTCCAGGGTAGAGAAATGAAGCAGATTGCAATGGAAGTGGGAGGAGAAGTGAAAAGAAGAAAGCGAAAGGACAAAACGGCGTTGGCGGAGCAGCCCGAATAGGCAGTTTCTCCCACGGTGGACACCCCAGGCCAACATTAAGTTAATTCTACGACGCAACACCAACACTCCAAATGAAGGATTGCAATAGATATTATTCACTATGCTACTCATATTTCATGTTATATCGACTTACTATACATATGCGGCCCAGCCTAGAGAGGTCAACGTCAGCTTTTTTTTTCTCATGGCCTGGGAATTATTCATTCTCAACTTACCGCAATAGAGAAGCGCGAGGTTCTTCTCATCAGTTGCTTGCTGAATGAGCTCATTGACCGTGGCCGTCACGCTCAAGGTCTTGCCCAGCTTTTTGGCCACCACCGTTAATGCACGGTCAGCTTCGCTTGGCTCGTTGGACGGGCGTTGGTCCGCACGTGGAGGTTCAGGAGCCCCGTTCGTTTCTGGGGCATCCTGGATCTTTCTCATCCGCAACGGAGATACAGTCCAGCTGTATAGAGGGTCGTAACGGAGCACGTCCAGGATAGTCATGATACTATACGACTCCTGACGGAGAGCCTCGAGTGTAAACTCGCAGCAACGTCGGAACACTCCCTCTGTCTTGGTAATGCCCATCCCGTCAACCAGATCCCGAGTTAATCGGAAGGGGACTACTTCGGGGACTGGTAGCACCCGTCCTTGTTCAAAGGCCACTCCCAGATCGATATGCACTACTTCACCCGTTCGTTCGTCGAGGAGAATGTTGTGGCCATGTCGATCTCCTAGGCCAAGGACGTGGCCCAATATCGAGATCGCAGCGGTGCTCCGCGTATACGAGAGTCGCTTGGCGAACCAGTCGTCCGGATTATTGAACTTCTCCATAAAGAAGAATCTCATGACCGGATGAAAGTGGTCGGTCACCTGGCGGAAGGTCTTGACCCGCGTTTCGAATGATCGTGTCTGGACGTCGCCAATGTGCTTCCGACACACGTTCGGTTTCATGTCCTTCGGGAAGTATCTTTGGTGGGCTGGCATCAAGAAGTCGTGCAATGGAACGGTGTGTGGAACAAATTCGATTATTCCCGAGTTTGAAGTCAAAGGAAGAACCTTGTATGTGCGAATCCCCAAGTTCCGCTGTCGAGTCGCTTGGTGGTCCTTGAGAAGGCTACTGACTTGTTCAAATACCTGCTCCATGATGGCATCTTGCCGTAGGTCATCGTTTCCTCCCTTGAACTGTTCCATGTAGTCAGCGGATGATTGCAATGCATAACAACCAGACGGAATGGCGAAAAGGGCATGGATATCTTACTAGCTGTTTATAACGCTGACCATTTGTGGCAAAGGCCGTGAGAATCTTCGGTGCGCTAACGCCGGACGCAACTGTGAACTCAGAATTGAACCGGACAAGTTTAGGGACATTGCTATAATCACAATCGATGCGAATGTCGATGCTCATTGTGGGTGGCGGTAGTTTCTGAGTGACAACATCTTGCTCGAGACGTTGGCCAGTCGATAGTTTCTTCAGAGGAACCTTGGCACCGCTTTTAAGCTTGTCCCCCATCCGATCCACAGCGAATCGTACATAGTTGATGTTTGTGTTGTGGACAGCGATCCAAGTAGGCCCCATGCGCTTGTCTTTCTTCAAATATTCTACCAACTTGCCGGCCGCTCGGTTGCGTGATAGCGCGGTCTCGTCTTTGCCGCCTTTGGATTTGCTGCTCGAAAATATTTGATACATGCCATGGAATGGATGCTCCACGCATATACGGAATATTAGCGAGAAAAGCATCTTCTGAAAGTCGTCGGCGACATCCAGCAAACGAGAACTTAGCTGGTTCATCAAGGGTGCGAGCTTCCTGCTAGGAACTTGATGGAGATATTTCGAGACTGCTGCATTTGCAATATCGCTTTCGGACGTATCAAGCCACAGGGCGCAGAATCTGAGGACATCATTGTTGTACTTCTCACTCTCCTTAAGGCAAAGGAGATAGTTCTCGAGAGACTGTTGAAGGAAGGCCTCGCGGCTTCGTCGCAAACGTTGATATTCACGATCGTCAAGGTCGAACCATTGTTTTGTCTTGATTCGGTGGTATCGAAGACCGTCCTTGTCCTTCGCCTCGGCGCCCTTCATCATGTCCTCGAGGTCTTGTACCTCCTTTTGCTTGCGATTGCGAATTTGTTCAATCCGTTTGAAATCCTCTAAGCTATCAGGATTTTGTAGTTGCTGATCACAGAACATTGCAAACCCATGATAGACTCGGCCAGCTTCTTCGCCGCCTGTTCGGGCTTTCAACTCCTTGACTGCAGGAGCTAGGTACTCTTGGATGATTGCTTCTGGCTTCTCCAGGCGTGCCTCGGCAACGTGATGACCCTTGTGGTATTATTAGCTCGAGCATGGAATTGGGTCTTCATGAAAGATTAGACTGAGACAGAGACCTACCAAAGTCACAAGAAGATCGGCACGGCTTATTGGTACCGCCTGCTTATGCAGATCATTTTGATCATTGAGCTGTTGAAGCATCCGAATTGAGGCAGTCATCTCGCCCTGGTCCCATAAAACGTTGGCGAGATCAAATTTCGCCGCACCTTCAACGTCTATGCCTAAAGAATTACAGTGGTCAGCAAGCTTAGAAAGACAGACCGCTGACTTCAACGAGGCTTGTGCAATGCCATGATCCCTTGTAGTATTGAGTGACTGGCGAATGACGTTCACTTCCAGAAGTTGCGCCTGTCGGTTATTCAACCCGATTGCAGATTTCAGGTAATCCTTCCGCTTGATTGACGAGAACAGAGCCTCATGGCAGTTCAATATCTCTCCCACCTCATGCACGCTATACAGGCCATTAGGGATATTTCGCGTATCAAAACGGCCGCGTTGGGGAGGAGACCATACTTTGTGTTTTTCAGCCAAGAGCTTCTACCTGCAATGTTTTCCCATTCCTGGTCTATCTCTTCAGCTGATGTAGCACATAACACGTCGCTGATTTCGACCAGCGTCCCAAGGACCCTTGTCGCAGTTCGTAATGACATCGCTGATCGGCTAGTACTCGTCAATGATCCAAGTGTTGCCAGAAAGCTTTCGTCGATGGAAATAGAGACATCGGATAAGGCAGCTGAAGTGTTAAGGGTTTGGAAGGCCCTGAATATGGTCGCGGATGGTGAAGGGTTTAAGGGCGAAATTGGGATGTCCCATTGCCTGAGATTCGTTGCAGCTTGCAGCATGCTTTCGAATGAGACTGCCATGTCCTTGGTGCCTCCTCCGGTAGAATTGAACACGCAATTTGCAATTCCCTGAAGGTTCGTTGAATTCAGTGCCTTCAGTACACCAAGGTTATTTGCGCTTCCCGACATCTGCCTCTCACTATCGTACTGAGCGCTCTGAAAGAGAAGATTCTTAAAACCAGAGCTTTCATGCTCAAGTGTCTCCATGACCGACTCTAGAGAAGAGCTTTGTGGGATCCCGTAGAAAAAGTCCGGATCATCTATGTTCTTGAAAATTTCATGCAACTCTTCGGGTGGAGAACTAAATTTAGCCACTGACGAACGAGATGAAGACACTGCACGAGAAGAATGTATCTCAAGGAATAGCAATGCGGTCTTTGGCAAGCGACACCTCGTGGCAGCTGAGGACGCTTCGGCGAAATCTATGGCAAGCCATTCGTCACGTTCCACAATAGTCGACTCGTTAGGCCTCGGTTGGTTTCGAAGATAAAGCATGCAGTTGATTACGAGTCGTGCATGGGGAATGGTCTTGTCATTAACCTCCCGCAAGGCCTGGCTGAAAACTTCGGAAATCTTTTGACGCATCTTTCCATCTCCATCAAGCTCCGTGCATAAGACATCATGAAGGATGTATGGTAGAACATGAGCTGCTAGGTCAGGAATAGCGGAAAGAATATTATTGAGCGGTCCAATTACGGGGTCCTCGGACGCCGCTCTTGACAAGAACATCCCCACATCGCGAGCCCAATGTGAAATCGAAAGGTCTGGATTCCAGCTAATCGCAGCATCATGGACCCCAAGTTCATGTGAAGCAGGGCACTTGTAAGGACTCCAGGTAAGAGCCTTCATCAATGACGGCGGTATGACAATTCCAGACTCTTCATGGGCGGGGGATTGTGTCAAATTACTGACAATGAGCTGTAATGTCCGCTCGAAGAGACCGACATCCATAGGTTTGCTGCTCTGTAGTCTGTTGCAAAGCGTTTGTAGTATACTGGCTTTGGAATAGAAGAACGGATCCAAAGGCAAATTCGAATGATTGGTTTTGAACAAGCTCAAATCTTGCTCTCTCAACAAATCATCGCTGATGGTTCCAGTAGCTGCAAAGTCTCGCCCAATGATCTTGGCAGCCCACAGTTTGTACTGAGAACTGGTTTCAAAATTTTGCAAAGTTTCATAGATAGCCACAGTGTTCGGTGTATAGTGGCTTCTCTCTCCAGTTGTGGGCTGGCGGAAATCGGGAGGCTCATTTGAATCAATACATAGCAACGATATGACATGATCCGATATGGGTTTACTCAGTAAGCTTTTGCCCGAGCTTCGGTCATCGAGAACGTCAAGAAGCAAATCTCGCTTCGACGTGTCATTTTCTCTCGGTTCTGTGGTGAGGGTCCCTTGAGAGGACTTGATCATACGACGGAACAATTCGCGCGTCGCGGTATTCAGGACCGAGGAATCGTAAGCTTCCAGGTATGTCTCAAACCACCGCATGAATGTTTGTATAGCCGACAATACAATTCTTGACAAGCTCTCGTGGATTGCATCTTTCGGAGGGGATACCATAAACTCTCTCAGAGACAAGAAAGTGGAAACGGTGATTCCAGCCATGAGACTTGGATTCTCAATCAAATAGTCCCTGCCTGCCTCCAACAGATACCAGAATATTCCCAGAGCGTCCTCCGAGCAGTAAATGTCCGTGAGAAACGGGCGGAGAGAATGGAGAAGCATTTCAAACGGATAATCTCTCAACATGACAGGCCCAGCTACACAAACTAAAACTCGAATTTTCCGAATGACAGAGCAAGCATGAAGGGATCCAAGAGCGGGGTGTATTAGCTCCAACAGGGCCCGGCAGACGTAAGAAGCCAGTGTAGGCGTCCATATTGTGTCAAGCTCGTATCCACTCCGCTCACAGAAGAACTCGAGCTCGTCAAGAAGATAGCGCGCCCTGAAAGAAGGTTGTTGATTGGCAGGCAGGACAATCTTCGAGACACTTTTTCCCGTTATATTGTTCATGATTTGGAGAGCGCCATGGTAGTTTCCACGCTTCGAGAATGCCCTTTCAATCTGCTCGTACTGGTCCATCGACACAAAGAAAGTTGCAATTGTCTGTGCAAAGTGCTGATCAATTGACTCCAAAAACTTTTGGGTACCTAGCATTTTCTTGACTCGATTTTCCACACCCTTCGGCTGGCTTCCTTGCCCAGGGGGTGTACTGATATCTCGTGAGATTGTGTAAGCCTCTGCTTTGTAAAAAGACTCTGCAAGAATCTCAGTCCAGGCTTTTTTCATGTATTTTGAAAGTTCTGCAGTGTCATCGTCTCTCGCACGCATCATTATTTGACCAACAATCTCATCCTGAACATCATTTAGCATGCTTTCAAGATTCGGATAGCCGAAAATGCTAAAAGGCATGGATGCAATCGATTCCGTTTCAGTCCATGTGTATAGTATCTGGGAAGAGAACAACCGAAAGAGTTCTCGCGTATCCTTAAGTCCAAGGATCCGTGCAACACTTCCCACACATTTTTCGGCGGACCAAAGTGATTCGGGGACTTGAGCTGGAGTCTCAAACATATGGTAGATGCTTCTCCGCAGTAGGGTATGCCACCGTGAGGCTAGCTGGGCTAGGATGTATAAACGAAGGGCGATTCCCTCGCACCAATCCGGATCCCTTGGAAGACTATCCAGGATGTCATCGAAAATAGCGTCATGGTCTTTGAGTGGATACTGGTTAAAGAGTTGACAAATAATATCTGCAGCACCGAACTTCACAGCGATCTCGCCTTCATGTATAATAGTGAGGAGGCTGGTCCTTGCAGACGGACTTGATTTTCCAGTGGTGAATGAAGTATTCGATTTAAGAACACCTCCCAGGAGCTCCGCGAATCCGATCAGAACCGAGGGTGAAGCCCGTCCTTTCGCTAAGAGCACATCGGTAAACCAAGTATAAATGTCTGAAGCGGAGTCACTCAAGTGATCACTTTGGCCTGCTGCCCACGCTTCGACAAAGCTGTGCATCAGATGGATACAAAGAAGATGAGAATTCTCACAGCGCTCCAGCTCATATGACTGTAAACATTTTTCACCAGTGTCCTCTAGTACCCTTACCATTGAGCTGCGTTCCATGTCCGAGCAAGCGCGATAAACGTGTGGCAAAAAGTCTCGCGCAGACAAGATATCAACCTCATCCAAGTCTGCCAAATACTCAATCAAATCATTGTTTGCATGTTGCCCAGTCTCATCTATAGGGGCCTGCAGCCTCTGGAAAACAGAAAGCTGTACTGTCAGGCAACGCTGGAAAGTAGCAAAGTCACGAAACACGGGCACCGCCTCTCGGTTCATGTTTACGATGTCCGCAGTCTCCTTCGGCCGATCATTAGAGCTCAATAATGGATCGTGATCGTCCAAGTCCATATGGTCTTTCCCCTGAGCTGAGAGTTGACCCCTTTGAGTTTGTCGATGACCTTCAAGAACTCGAGATAACGGGTTGATGATTTTGCGAAGAGATTTCATGATCGCTGGCTTGGGCCCCGAGGAGCAGAGCTTAGGGCCAAGAAAAGGCGACAAGAGCATGAGGCAAGCCTGCACAAATTCCATGTCACGGCCATCCAGGAAAGCGCATATCTTTCTCCACAAGCTTTCAGTATTTTTCCGTACGTTCTGGGAGCGTGACTCGGCTTGTTGTGGCATAGACTCTGTATACAAAGTAGAAACGATGCAGAAAGATGTCAGTATTTGCACAACATCCACTGTGATATGAGTAGACCTATCCTCCGACAGAGAAAGCCAGTTTTGGAGGAACATCTCAGATTTCACGTGCAAAAGCTCCATGACCATGAAGTCATTCGGATCCTGCTGAGTGAAAGTGTCCAGATTCAACTCTTCTTGCGGGCACCACAGATCGACAATATCGAGGGACTTTTCCAGATCAAAAACATAACATAATAGTTGTTTGGTCCTATGGAAGAATTTCCAGCCTCGGGCAACTAAGCCTTCCGGTCCTCTGAATTGAATCATAGGCGGGGCATAAGGTCTATTTGTGCAGGCTAAGATCAAATTGAAAAGATCTAAAGGACGCGCAAATGCGGCAACTTGCGCTGTAAGTATTCGATCAGTTATCGTGCCTGTATTCATAATTAGCAACTGCAGCTAACTAATTTCATTCACAGAACAAACCAATCGTCCAAGCCTCTCGGAGCCATGTGCAGATCAATTTGGAAGCATGTGGGACAGATCCTGGATTTATCTGTGCAATTGCCCTAGTTACTGTCGCCCAAAGAGCGAGAGATGAATCTGACATTACAGAGGGGCCGTTCAGGTTCACAGACGAAAGCATGGAATTAATCGCTTCCGCCCTTTCTGAATACTCTAAGAGTTCGAAATGAATAATCGAGTTCATAAGCGTGCAAGCTGCCCTTGACGTCGTGTGGGAAGTAGAAGCACGAGACGTGAGATCCCAAACTCGTTGCCAAGCGTCACGTAAAGAGCTCGAGTCTGCACCTGGACTACCAGCAATACTGTTACGAACATCGATTAGCTTGTTCCACATGGATAACCCTATTGAGAGGGACGGGGGTGGGGGAGGCAAAAGGTATAGGAATGAAAGTCTCCCAATGTTCACCTACCTTGCAATCGCCACCATGGTCCAAGATGATATTGTGCTGTTATCGTCAGGTATGTAAGGAGTTAAACGCCGGAGCAGTGAATCCCTCGATTCCACACTTTCATTGTGCTGGATAAGGAAAGGAATCAACTGTAGGGCGCATACTCTTTTAACACCCGAGGAGGCGATGGAATCCCGAAAAACGTCTTCAATCAGCGAGGTGAGACGCTGCTTTTTGCTCGATCCCTCGCTTGCAACGCGATGCAAAAGTAAACGAGAAGCCACCTCTTCCGACATTTCCATCAACTTTGATATGGCCCATACTATTGTCCAGTTGTGCTCCGATCTAGGGATTTCATGGCGAGGGCCTATCAGAAACCTTTGCCCCTGCGCAGAAGCCTTTTGGTAGAAGATCAACTCATCAATCTGCAGTGTGTCCTTCTCCGGTCGTCGGGTGTATTCAGAGTACAAGGTGTCCACCAGGCTTTCAATCAATTTAGCCAGCAACTCAGAAGGCTCCCTACGGGCCGCGTCGATCATGATGACCATACAAAGTGTGATGGTGACAAGTAGCTCATCCTTTAAGCTCATCAGCTTAGTAGCCCACAGGTGTCGGATGGTGGGGATCAAGTCTAGCAAGGATGTTCGAACAAGGTTCGACTGGTCAAACAGGACTCGCGTTATAACAGAGTTCAAGCTGCTGATCGCGGCCAGATGGCCACTTCCAGCGATTGCCGATGATTTGAGGAACTTGGCCAGCCCATCAAGTATCCTTTCGGCAGAATCTTGAATTGGGGCGCTCGGGCTCGCCGTTAGCAGTTGAATACAATTCAGAGCTTCACTCATTGTGCTTTGATTGCCTCTGGGCTTTTCCCTGACAGCTAATGCGGAGGTTGACCTGGAAGGTGTCGAGCTGCGACTGCCACCGGTCATAAAGTCGTCCAAAGTAGATCTTCGATCATTTGAGGAAGGCCGGTCGCTGTCCTCGTCTTCGTTGAGGCCTATACTTCTAAGACAGAAGCTTATAAGCTTCTCCCATTCGCTAGCACCTAGATGCTCAACGTGTGGGGGGTAACTCAGAAGTGTGGACAGGCATTTTGTGTAATCAACGCAAAGCAGGTCAAACAACTTTTGACCTGGAGTTAGTAGGATGTCAGTTATATGATCAGTAATTGCGCGGACAGATTTGGTCCGCAGACTATGCAAGAAGACATCAACAGCCGTTCGGATCACAGATGCACAAGTAGACAAGCGAGAAGCAGATGGCCCCTTGGAATTGGCTCGGATAAACGCCGACTTTTCAGCGGCAATAAATCGGAAAAGCGATTCAAATATTTTATGGCACGCCTTATCACTTAACGAGCTTCTACATAGCGTGCAGGTGTCAGCTCCTGCAGCGAAGTTTCGACCAGATAGTAAGTCCGACTTACAATTTTGAGTTTTGTTTATTCTGCTGGAAAATATGCTTCAAGTCTAGTGAACATTAGTGAACGAGTTCAGGATAGCTTGGTTCTATTGGCATACCAGCCAGTCCATCCAAGCGCTCCCTCTGCTTCTCGGATGACAGAAGCACGAGTGCTTTGTCAAGAGAAATTTCGCCCATGGCGTTGCTGAGTTCTGGCTAGAATCTACGCAAGGCAGCCAAGACCTATGAAGAATATTGGGCTCATGTCCTTTGTGAGGCGTGAAAAGCTGGCATTTCTCGACTGCAGAGCTGTGCGTTCACCGGGAACAGAGTACACGAAAAGCGATCCAAATAGAAGATGGCAGACGATGGTAGTTGCAGTTGGTAGATGGGAGGGTGTAAATAGATGGATGGGGTGGGTGGTGCGGCTTTAGTCTCGGCGCAGAAGCTCCGCCGCTTTTAGCTCGGAATTTTGGATCGCGTCCTCCGACCTTTTTTGGCCGGTGACAAACACATGGTCCTTCCCATCTTTCTCCTCCACGGCGCCCCCCGCCAAAACACGCACAATCACTGAGCATGGAAGACCAAGATACTCTGGACGGCCTCCGTGGTCTGTACCAGGATCTTTCTGCTCTTTCGGTGTCTTCTTTTGTAAACATCGACCGTCTCCGAATTGAGCTGGAGACTCACATTGAAGATTTTAGGAAACTCCTCGATCGGCCCAGGAAAAACAACCCCAGTCGCCAAATTGTCATCGCTGGTGCGTATCTTCAATCTTGGCCCCCTACTCACGGAATGATCGGTCTCTCTGGAGCTAGGGAGTTTGCTGATTGTGTTTGCGACAATCTAGGGAAAATCACGGTGAACAACGTCGAATATTCGATCAACGATGAATTCAAGGAAGGGGCTCTACAGCTTGCGGATGCTCTGGACATCGATGAGGTGGAAGCGGCGGTGCTCTTTTTAGGGGCTCAGGAGGACGCACAAGCGTTGGATAGATCCCCTGTCATCGCTGCGATCATGCGGTTTCACGAGCGTCGCCATTTCTTGCTCGAATCCTTGCGCCTTATCTTCCAGGAATCCTTCGAAGTCGAGCGGGAAACGGACCAGACTCTGATGCAGGACGCTCTGGCCCTTGTTGTCGAAATAAAGGACGGTCCTTTGCGAAACGCTTCGCTGTTTGCTCGGAAATGCATGACATCAATGGAAGACATCGAGAAATGGCTTGCCTTGCTTGGTGAACAAATCCAGAAAGCCTCGATCGTCGGTCAATCCGAAGACTTTGAAATAATGGAGGCTATTGAGTACCAGCGCAACAGCTTACAGCAACAACACGAATCGCTAGGAGCGATCCTGTGCTACTTGTTCAAAGGTCCTTACACCAGTCCCGAAGATCTCCGAATACTCTTGAACCGCCTCAGAAAGCTGGATCGATTCGATAGCGTACTGGTTCATTACATCCCTTCGATCGTCTCCTCGTTCGTTCAGCATGGGTCACCTGAAAGCTCTGGTTCACACAAGGAGGCGCGGAGTCTTCATACGGCCGTGACATCCACCAAGGACGGTCAAACTTGGCGGCTTCCAACCTTTCATTCAACTGTGATTGCACTCTGGCTTGCGGTATACAGTGGCTGGGACTTTGACGGTCCATCTTCTCCAATTCCCGGTGTTGACCCTGCAAAGGAGGTCGAAGAACGCACCAAAATGTTCATGACCGCGCTGGATGACGGAGGATTAGACTCGATGCTCGCCATCTGCTCCGGAGTTAACAACGAAGAATGGGCAGATCCGGCTCGCAGTGAATTGGTTACTTTGCTGTTGAAAGAAAGTGCATCGTCTACGCTTGAGTCGGATGCCTGCTCCGGGTTTTTCAAGGCCCTGTTGATGGAATATTTTGAGGTTTTTGCAGAGTCATGTATCGCCAATATGCCAGATGCAGTTCGAATGCTCAAGTCGGAAGAGGACTCGCAACGGTTAGATCAAATCACCGCGCTTAGAGATGGTCTAACATCGAGTCTCCATCGTGGCCTTGTCGAGGCTCGGACTCATCTCGAGAGCTTTCTCGTGATCATGGCATTTGCATTTGAGCGCCGTCCTGATGCTGCACAGGAATTTTGGGCTGACCCGGACGGGAACTTGTATGGTTTCCTCCAATGGGCTTCGAAACGACAAACTGTCCCGCGTGTTAGTGCGTTCTGTGAACTTTTGTGTTCTATTTCAGGGGGTGAAGAAAACGCTGCTGCAGCGCACAGATTCCTTTCTGAGGAGGATAAGTTTATGTCTGCTAAATTCAAGAGATCTACCTCTATGAATTGGTCACAGATGTTTGCCGAGCTGCAACTTTATGCGACCAAAGTCACTGAAAAACCTTCCTCCTCGCAGTCCATGCTACGTGCTCGGAAATCTGAGCCCTCCGACATGAGTGAGCCAGAAAGTCCGGTGATGTTGACTTGTTATCTACGGCTGATGGGTCATTTGTGTCGGCAAAGTGTCGCGATCAGGGACTGGATGCTCCTCCACCCGTCCTTTAGCATTGTCACCACGTTGTTGACGTTATCCAGTGGGCCGATCCCTACTCACCTCAGAGCAACGGTCTTCGATACTCTGTCGGCCTTGATGACCGACCGGACATCTTCAAATGGAAATGAGATGTGGCTTTCGATTGACCAATGGATCTCCAGCGGATCAATGAGCGCTTCTGGCCATGGAAAGGTCCCCTTGGTCTCAAACCCTCTTGTGTGGCACGAACAACAAGCTTTCCAGAAAATTGGTGAGAGTTTTGACCAAGCTAACGCTTTTGTGGCCCTTGTATATTCGCTCGTGTCTCCAACCACGGACTCGGCGGATTACCACCTCTCGCTCCCCTTCCCAGAATCTTTAGGCTCTTCATACCGCATGCCGGGCATTGAGCCTTACATCGATTTCGTGCTGGGCCGAGCATTGTCGAGAAGAATCCCGGATCTCAACGAACGTCAAGTCCGTATGCTCACCTACAATTGCTTAGACTTCGTTGTGACTTGCCTGAAATCTTTCAACGAGAACATTGTTACAGTCCTCAGCCAGCCCAGTATATCATCCGATAGTACACTCAAAACCTCATCGCTGGTCAATTACATCCGGCTTCATCCATTTGCACGGGTGGCTGAATGGCTCTTCAATGAGGATGTGATCAAATCTATCTTTGCAGCGGCTCATCAAGATGTTACAGATGTTGCTAAGTCCTCGGCTGATTCAGTCTTGGTTCTTTCTGTCGTCCGAAGCCTCGAGGTCATGGACCTGATGATGGATCTCCAGTCGACTTACTTCAACATTGTTCGCCCATTGGTCAAGTCTCAGGCTGGTGGAAGCCGGACCAATGTAGCAAACTCTGCGCTCTCCGCGTTTGAGGACAGTATCCTTAATTATCTGTCGATCATCCCCGCTTTATGTCTCTACTGCAGCACCGGCCACGAGCAGCTCACTGTCACTTCAATGGCACTGCTGGAGAAACTCTCCAGCTCGAAGAAATTGAATAAGGCCTCGTCTCCTGAATTGTCCAAGTGGCGATCGTCAAACAAAATTGTTGAGGTCTTGAGTTCAGAAGTGGATGTTGACAGCGTATCCCGCCCGCTTGTCTCCCAAATGCAACCTGAATCTAGGGAACTTGAAGTTGGAGCCCAATCGACGGGGTACATTATTCGTGAGAGTCTGCTCGCACTTCTAAATTCCTGCTTGGGGTCAATCACAGATCAACCAACGATAGCGCACATTCTTCTCGGGTTCCGCAGCGTCGGAAATATACTCGATGTCTCCCCGGAGGGTCTTTTCTCTCAGCAAGCCTCATTATTGCATGCCATTATCGAATTTCTGCAGAACTACCCCGATGAAGTGAATGGGAACATCTTACCATGGATGGTGCGCCTCAAGCGTATGGGATTTGAAGTGTTGAAGCACCTGTGGTCATCGAAGCTCTCATCCTACTTCACGCTTTCTGAAATGCGTGTTAACCGCTTTCTTCTCAATACCCTCGCAACCCAGCCCATAATCGGACTGCACACCCCATGGGATGGGCTACCTATCTTGGCCGAAGAATTCTGGGTTTCCAAATCAACCACTGCCCTCGCAGAGTTCTTGCTCTACAGAAGCTACCTGTACAACTACGCTGCAACGGAGATCCGCTCGGCCACCAAGCTTGGTTCACCGACTCTGCAAAGCGACATCCTCGCAACATTGTTTGGAAATGCAGTTTCAGAGAAGGGCGAGGGTATCGTGACACCCACTGTCTTCGATCTCTTCGACTTCGCGGACCTGGACATTAGAAATCCACTGCCCCCGCCTGAGTTGGTGCTTCTTCGAGATATCGGCGTGGAGGCATGTGCCAAGGCACAGGCTGGTGATTCATTCGTTATTTACAACATGGCCGAGCTGGAAGAGCTTATTCAAGTCCGAAAGGAAGAGCTGCATTCAACGGTGCATCTGCGAACTCCAGATGAAGAGCAATTTCTGGCCGAGGCTGAAAATTTGACCCTGTTTGTTTTGTCACTCAATCAGTCCCGGCAGATCAGCCACAACCGCTACCTGGCTCTTCAATCTTGGACGGAGCTCATAACGACAATTCTCACATGCTCTGAGATCGAAGGTGGGCGAAAATCGACTTTTATCTTGCATTCGATCCAATTGATTCTTCCCAAACTTGACGCGGCTGTGGAAGAAGACTCTCCGGAGGCCATTGAATTGGCGCGCCTTGCGGAAACCCTGGTTAGTAACCTGGATTCGTCCGAGACAAGTGGAACTCCTATCCGACGAAGCGGCGATGTCATCGATGAAAAGCTCCATCAGTTGTTCCAGATTTGCGTTCGGGGCGTTATTCTGGCTGCCAGCAACATTCACCTCCGAGAGACCTTCTACAATATCTGCTCGCACTACATCTCCCGCGTGATTTCTCCTGAAACATCATACGGAGACACAAAGCAGCATAGCTATCAGGTCATCCGGACAGCGGGTCCGACTTTGATTGAAGCTGTATGTGACGATGCGTACACTGGCCAAGAAACATGCCGTGTGTCGGCTCTTCTGTTCTTGAATCTCTTGGCAGCCCTGGATAAACGGGAAGAATCTACGTTGGCAGAGTCTATGTCTCAGTCGAACTATTTGAGTCTGTTTTTGGATGCCATCCGAACACTTCCGGTTGAGCTTAAGAATGCGCAAGCTAGTGGTAAGTCTATGCAGCAAGTGAAACCAATTGCAAATCAAGAGCCAACAATGCTAACTGGGATCCAAGATACGCCTTTGCTCTTGTCGTACTATGAGTCTTTGTTGTCTCTCCTTCAACAACTTTGCCAAACTAGGAACGGCGCCATTCAAGTTCTTGGGACTGGTCTTTTCCAGGCAGTTCGCGATTCGCAGCTGTTCGCGGCTGATCCTGATCTTGGTATTGGTCAGTATTTACCTGGTCCAGGGAATGAACTACTCGATCTAATAATCACAGATATCGATAACCCCGATGCCCTCCGGAAATACTATGATCTTCTTTACTCCGTGCTCCGCGTCATTGTTTCCGCCGTGTTCTCCCGAGGCCTTCACAACGAGCAGATGATGGAGCAAACGCGCGCCTTCCTTGCCGAGAACAGGCAAAGTATGGTCGGAATCTTCAAGCGTGTTGCCAAAATCGGAGGTGGGGGCGCTTCAGATCATCACAGCGCTCTCGGTGACCTGGCCAAGTCGTATATGGCTCTCATTACCGCTACGGATTTCTTAGAGGTAAGAATCACCGGAAAAAGTTTGACCATTCAGTGTACTAATACTCTATTTCCAGTTTGAGGATGGCGAGGTAAAGGAGCAAATGGGCTCCAACCTTTTCTCCTAAAAAACACGGAATAAAGCATCTACAAACATTTGGAGGGAGTATTGGAGTGTGTAGTTTAAGGAATGATGCACATGAATTATATCAAAGAGGGTGGCTAGATCTAGCCCATTGCCGCATTAGAGTGGGAATGGTGGAAATAAGTCCAAAATCCAAAAACACCATGCATAATTGTTGACACACTCCGTACAATGGATGGGATAGCACTTTAGTTTGTCGGTACTTCTCGCCTGTAGACTTGTCCGAGGGGGAACCTGCGGGCGGACGTATTATCTTATCTCCGACTCAGCAACGTCAATGCCACTGCGGAGAGCCCTCCTTCGACCGTCAACACGCATTTGCCAACACCCTCTCATCACCCATCCCCTCCCTTTCGTCCGCCCTTTCCCAGCGCAACGTATTCATCGCACTTTGACGAATCCCAAGCCAATCTTGCCATGACCTGTTGATCTTCAGCGCCGTCTGGAGCTTTTCGACGCCGAGCGCTCTCCAACGTCCTCGCCCTAGGCAGAGCCGAGTCCATGCAGCAGCATACGAGACCCGCCACCGAGCAGAGGAGCGGCAAGCGCAAGTCGACCGGTAAAAGGAAGCTATCTGATCAGGAGGAGGCTGCGCGGAATCCTCCAAACCAGCAAGCGACTATCTCGGAGCTCCTGTCGAGGAATCACACCACCTACGATCAAGAGCATCATCATCACAGGCAGTCTTCCCCGACGACCAAGCGTCCGCGGTTATCGTCTCCCCCCTCGACCCTACAATCTGCATCGAATCCTCAAACCCCATCCTCATCCGACAAAATGTACAACTTCGCGAACCAAGATTCCAGAGCTAGCGGGCCGTTCGGGCAGGCTACGTCCGGGTCGCATCCCCTCGGCGGACCGGCCAAATCTCGGCCCTTCAACACAGCATCGCGTCAAAGCAATTTTACACCGCATACGGGCGCAAAGAAGCTGGTTGTAAAGAATCTTCGGACAGGCTCGCGATTCAACCAAGATTCCTACTTTGAGAAGGTCTGGAGTCAACTTGATGCGGCCTTGGCGGCGATTTTCAAAGGTGGAAAGCCTGAGGTCTCGCTGGAGGAGCTTTACAAAGGGGCAGAAAATGTGTGCCGTCAAGGGCGAGCTGCTCAATTAGCCAAGCAGCTGCAAGACCGATGTCGGGGTCATGTGTCCGGAAAGCTCCGCGATACCCTGGTGGCCAGAGCAGAGAGTGGCGACAACATTGATGCATTGCGGGCGGTAGTCGAGTCGTGGGCAACATGGCAATCAAAGCTGGTATGTGGTCATCGCCCATCCATTTGCCTATTTGCTTGAAAGTTGACTCTTTAGGTTACCGTTCGATGGATCTTCTACTACCTCGACCAATCGTTCCTCCTTCATTCCAAAGAATATCCCGTTATCCGTGAGATGGGTCTCGTCCAGTTCCGAAACCACATATATTCCGATCCAGTGCTGAAAGCGAAGATTTCGCAAGGCGCCTGTGATCTAATCAGAGCCGACCGCGATGAGGACCCGAGCATCATGGCAGATTCATCGTTACTTCGCAAGGCGATCGAATTGTTCCACGGTCTCGATGTATACGCGGATGGTTTCGAGCCCCTCCTCATTTCCGAATCGAAGAAATATTTCGCATCATGGGCCCAACGCGAAGCATCGGGATATCTCGCCACATTCGCCGCGAATAGCCATAATCTGATTGAACGAGAAGTCAACCGGTGTGAGCTATTTTCGCTCAACCGAAGCACGAAGCAAAAATTGTCCGAACTTCTGGATCACACGCTAGTGTTGGATCAACAATCAGTTCTCCTTAATCAGGCCGACATCCTCGGCTTGCTACGGACGGGAAATAAGATTGCTTTGGAGAAACTCTATGCCCTTCTTGAACGGAAGAGTCTCGGCTCGAAATTGAGGCCAGCGTTCAGCAGTTTCATCGTTGAAGAGGGCGCTTTGATTGTTTTCGATGAAGAGAAAGATGCCGAGATGGTTGCCCGGCTGCTCGAATTCAAGCAGCAGCTCGATGAGACTTGGATTCACTCATTCCATCGAAACGAGGAACTGGGCCATGCTCTCCGCGAAGCTTTCGAGACATTCATGAACAAGGGAAGAAAGTCGCAGGCAACCGGCGGGACCGACAATCCTAAGACCGGCGAGATGATCGCTAAATACGTAGACAGACTACTGAAGGGCGGGTGGAAACTGGCTCCCGGGAGAAAGGCCGACGACATGCCTCTTGCGGACGAAGACGCCGAGATCGATCGACAGCTGGACCAAGTGCTCAATCTCTTTCGCTTCGTACATGGCAAAGCAGTCTTTGAGGCTTTCTACAAAAATGACCTCGCCCGTCGCCTGCTCATGGGTCGGAGCGCTAGCGACGATGCCGAAAAGAGCATGCTGGCACGACTTAAGACAGGTATGTACCGTGGCGTCCTTAGCTGGCTGCAATATTTACTGGAGGGCTGACACTGGCAACTAGAATGCGGATCCAGCTTCACTCATAATTTGGAGTCCATGTTCAAAGACATGGATGTAGCGCGCGATGAGATGGGGGCGTACAGTTCTATTCAGCGCGAACGTAAAAACCGACTGCCAGTTGACCTCAGCGTCAGCGTGCTATCGGCAGCTGCGTGGCCTACGTACCCGGATGTTCAGGTGCGAATACCGCCTGAGATCGCCACGGCCACCAGCGATTTCGAGAAGTTTTACCATGGCAAATACAACGGGCGCAAGCTTCACTGGAAGCATCAATTGGCACACTGTCAGCTGCGGGCCAGGTTTCCGAAAGGCGACAAGGAATTGGTTGTCAGCTCGTTCCAAGCGATTGTGCTGCTGCTGTTCAATGATCTTCCCGAAGGTGGAACGATCACCTACTCCCAAATCCAAGAAGCAACCAAACTTTGTCGGTTCCCCTTCGCTCTGCATTTATAGACAATTACTGACAACGATTCTTCCCTTCAGCTGACCAAGAACTCAAGCGAACACTCCAATCGCTGGCATGCGCCAAATACCGAGTCCTCAGCAAGAAGCCGAAAGGCCGGGACGTCAACACCACGGACGAATTTTCGTACAATGCCGGGTTTACCGACCCGAAGATGCGGATCAAGATCAATCAGATTCAGCTGAAAGAGACGAAGGAGGAGAACAAGACAACGCACGAGCGCGTGGCTGCCGACCGGCACTACGAGACGCAGGCCGCGATCGTGCGGATCATGAAGAGTCGCAAGACCATCACGCACGCCGAACTGGTGGCCGAGGTGATCAAGGCTACCCGAAGCCGTGGCGTGCTAGAGCCTGCAGACATCAAGAGGAATATCGAGAAGTAGGTGTTTCCATCCATGTTACGACACGACACAACGTTACTAACAGCGGCACCAGACTGATCGAAAAAGACTACATGGAGCGGGAAGAAGGGAATCGGTATCAATATGTGGCATAACGTGTTTATAAGACTGACTTGTCCACGAGTACATTGGGAGGCCGACATGACGATCACAGATGCAGTAGTATATTTACGAAGTAGCTTTAGTTTCTTGTTTGCAACAATGTGGCCACCATATGGCACGATGAACTAATGACGGACCGTTGAGGAGCACTGTCGAGTAGATACTACTGTAAGCGTAAAATCGTAAACTTGTTCGTCGCTCCCCACGTAAGTTAACGTACTTTCTGCCTTACGGAGTAGGAGTTAAATCGTTGGAAGCGGAGGAATGGAGATACTCCGCGTCTCCACCCGAGGCGAATGAGCTTCCATGCGGTTCAACCGGATTTCACTAGTAAGTTAGTAAGTACCTCGTCGCAGGTCGTGTGAGAGTCGTGGATGGGGATAGCTGTTCAAACTAGCGAGAATCACACAAGGTTGGGGTGGAGCAGAAAGTCAATCAATCGACCCATCAACCCATCAATTATTGACCATATGATGAGGAGATTGCGTAGCCCATCGGACTCAGTCAGCATCATGGACTCAGCGGGAGATCGGGGCTGGTAGGTATCAATGCATGCATCATTACTTCCGGCGGGAAAGGAAGACAGGAAAGACAGGACTCGCCCGAGAAATCCGACGGGACTCGGCAGAGAAGATTACCTCCAAGACAGCCCTGGAGCAACGCTGGACGCCGGAACGGGCAAAGAAACAGAAAGCAAACAGAAAATCCCCGGAAGGAAGGGACCGCGGAATGCGGAACAAGTCTGGGCTGGGGCGAATCCGGCTCTCACGTGGACGTCTGAGCTTTTCTTGCGTTTCTTTAATTTAGCAATTAATTCCAGGGGAAGCACAAGGAATCCCGCTAGAGTCGATCAAAATAGGACCACGTACGCCCTTTTTCTTAGCTTCCCTATCGACGGCAGCTCTGGACTCTGGGAAAAGTGGTCCCCGCTAAGATCTGACAGCGGAGAAGCCTTTTTTACTTTTTTTTTTTAAGGTCCCATGATCCTCATATTCTGTTGGGGATAGATGGGTCTTCCTAGCTACTCGGTTCCCCTTCTCGCTTCTATTTGGAACCGACGTACGTACCCCCTTGTTCTTTTTTTTTCCCGTTTATTGTTTAGTAATTCGTTGGCTGCTCTTGTCGGTAAGGATCAATTGCGGACTTAATTCTAGTGCCAATCAGAAGGCGTTGGGGGGACCCTTTTTTATTTTTTGCCAGCGCAGCGGTATGGACGATGTGATAGCGGTTACGCGGCTAAGTTGCCGGCATCGACCGTCGATGGTATAAATCATATGTACGCAGCTGCACGGCGCAGTGCCTGGATTCCCAATGGCAACAACTGCCTCCCCGACAACGGCTGGAGGTGCTCTCGCCCGACATCCCGACATGCCGACCTACAGATTCCATCACCCCCACGGGACCTGGGCCTGACCCATCCGACAGCTCAGTTGCAGCTCTGCACGATGCACGTATTAAACTTCCAATAGATCCCAACGGAAAAGCTGGAATCGTCAGCTGAGCCGGCGGAGCCACCTGTGCAGATTAACTGTCCCGGAGTTTGTTATCCCTTGGGGATCGGCATGTAGAGAGGACTAACCATGTATGTCGTAGCTACGGACAGTAAGAAGTACTATGGAGTCGATAGTAGTACGGAGTAAGTAGCTGGGGTCCCAGGGGGGAGGAAAAAGGGAAAAAAAAAGAAAAGCCACCAATGGATGGATGCGTAGGGTCGTGTCCAGTGGCCCTATGCCGAGGAAAAGCATGACTCCGTCCGCAGGAAGTACTCGATGGAATCAGATTGTCAATGGCCTTGATGACAGTGGACGACGAATCCGGAAGGTTTCCCTTCCAATGGCGCTGGAAACAGTGATTTTCTACCTGTCCGGAAGTTAGGGGTCTATCCGTGGCATGCACTATCGATAAGCCCCCCTTCTGCACCCTGCAATGCTAGATAATAGGATTTTATTTTTGGAATGTATATCTTTCGCCCGAGAAAGAGGGTTTACACAGAACACCGGCGGAGAGCTACGGCCGACACGAGAGAGACAGAGAGGCAAAGGCAAAGGACCAGAAATACGGGGGACCAAAGTACAGCACCCAAAGCAGAGGTTCTACGCGGGATTCCCGCAGATGGCAAGCCGAAGCGCCCAAAAAGAAAAACGGGGACGTTTCCAGAATCCGCAGCCGTTCCAGACCGGCGGCCCATGGGGAGTCAACTGTACTCCCTAGTGGATACTGAGTAAGTAACCCTGTCCTCGGCGACATGCACGTCCTCGTCCTTTACGGTACCTTACTTACTTGCCTGATGCCCACTTGCCTATCCAGGCGATGGGTCGCTCAGGATGTGTCCATGTGAACAGCAAAAAATTGGGAAGCAGGAGAAACCGGATTGCCCAGACTGTCCTCTTACCAAATCGTGAACTCAGCGCCCGCCAGGATCGTGAGTATTTATCCGGCTGCGCTCGCCGTTCTTCTGGTCCGGTTCCTATACTTCCTTTCTCCATCTTTCCTCCCCTCCGTTCCATCCGTCTCTGGACTTCCATCCTCGGGTCGCCTTCCTTTCTCTATCGTCCGTCTGACTTCGGATAACCTGATCGGACTCTTTTCCATCTCTACCGTGCCATTGAACGAGACTCGACGACTCGACGACTCTCCCCCAACTAGCAAACTATCGGATAACCTCGCGGCAGCACTTCCATCCAATCACTCCACCTGTCAGGTTCCCTGTGAGTTCTGTTAGCCAGATGATCATCCCCCCTTTCGCTGCACTCCGGACTGACAGATGCGCGACTCCAGGCAATCAATCACCTGCTCCACTTTTTCCCCGCCTCGGACTGGATAGCGATTCTATACTTGTGAATCGAATCAGCCCGGCTTCCTTACTTTGGCAATTTCTGTCTAGGCGAATTTGCCCGGTCGTCTTGGAATTCCCAGCGACCACTTTCCCTGCGTGTGTCTATAAAAAGCGAGCAATCGCACCGCAAACGAGGACTTTTGTTTGGTTGTCAAACCAACATCCTTCCAATTTCCCCACCTTCGAGACGGCTCGACTGTTCGCGCGTCCAATCCGGATTTGAGCGACTGATCCTGTTTGTTGTTTGTCGTAACCATTGCGCAACCGTTGCTTCATAATGCAGAGTATGTCAGACAATCTTTCCTTGTTGTTTTAACTTTCTTTTCTTTTTTTTTATTTTATTATTCTGCCTGTGGATTGAGGATCTTCTGGGTCGCTGTTGATCATCGTCCGGGGAAGCTGGTTTCCTGTGTTCATTTCCCTCGGGATTATCCACACTTGCGATCAGACCCATATATCCCAGCGAACCCAGATGTTCCCCACCTACCCAAACCCCAGACATCCTGCATTAAGGCGTACACTAATGTCAACTTTTTAGCCAAACACTTTTTCTCGGACCCGAACCACTTGGTTCTTACTGCATTGCACTCCCTCACTCTGACGAACCCGTCTCTGGCTTTTGACCGCGAACACAAGATCATCTTCCGCCGCCCGGATTCCCTCAAGAAATCCAAGGTTGCCATTGTTTCCGGTGGAGGTTCCGGCCATGAACCCGCCTTTGCCGGCTACGTCGGTCAGGGCTTCCTAGATGCCTCTGCTGCCGGCACCATCTTCGCCTCTCCGTCCGCGGAGCAAATCCGGAAGGCGGCGCTGGACTGCGTCGACAACGAGAAGGGCGTCCTGATCATCCCCATGAACTACACCGGCGATGTCTTGAACTTCGGTATGGCCGCCGAGAAGGCCCGAGCTGCGGGCATCAAGACCGAATTCTTCGCCATCAACGACGACGTCGGTGTCGGCAAGAAGAAGGGCGGAAAGGTCGGCCGACGTGGTATCGGCGGTGGAATTCTCATTCTGAAGATCGTCAGTGCTCTGGCTGAGGCTGGGTGAGTAGAATCTTATGTTTCAGAAGATTGAAAAATTCGCGGGGCTGACAAAATCCCAGTGCTTCCCTGGAAGAGGTTTATGCCACCGCTCAGCTGGCCAACGCTCATCTTGCATCCGTGGGCTCTTCGTTGGAGCATGTCCACGTTCCGGGCAGAGGTGTCCCCGAGGATTCGATTCCCGAGGGTGAAATCGAAGTCGGTATGGGTATTCACAATGAGCCCGGATCTCACCGCGTCAAGGCTACTCTTCCGGAGCTTGTGCAGACCATGCTTTATCAAATCCTGGATCACAATGACCCCGACCGCGCTTACCTCACTCATAAGCAGGGGGATGAGTTCGTCCTGCTGATCAACAACCTGGGCTCTGTCAGCACCCTGGAACTGGCCGGTATTACCGATGAGGTCTACCGCCAGCTCGAGCGAGACCACAGCATCAAACCCGTCCGAGTCATCCAGGGAACTTTCTTGACCAGCTTGAACGGGTTGGGCTTCAGCATCTCTCTTCTGAAGCTGGCCGACACCGGACTCGGCGCTGGCAAGACGTTCCTGGAGCTCCTTGATGCTCCTGCCGAGGCAGTTGGCTGGTCTGCCCCCATTGCTTCGTCTACATGGGCCGCTCACCAAAGTGATGCTCCCGTGAAGGTCAGGCCGACGAAGCTTGCTGAGGAGATCCCCAGCAACCTGAAGGGTATGTTTTGACTCTACCTTTCCAGTTTCAAATCATTCTTGCTCACATTTTCGAACAGTGGATGTGGCCGTCCTCAAGAAGGTCTTGGGATCCGGTCTCAAGCGTGTCATTGATGCCGAGCCCTTGGTCACTCGCTACGACACCATCGTCGGAGACGGTGACTGCGGTGTCGGTCTCAAGCGTGGCGCACAGGCTATCCAGGCCCTCCTTGACGACCCTTCATCTAAGATCACCGATGATGTGGTCAACGCCGTGAACCAGATCGTCACCGTTGTTGAGAACACTATGGACGGTACCTCGGGTGCCATCTATGCGATCTTCCTGAACGCTCTTGCACACGGTCTTCGCGAGCAAGACCCCAGCTCGCCTAGTCCCGCCACCGCGGACGTCTGGTCCAAGGCCCTCAGTCACTCTCTCAAGGCCCTTTCAAAATACACCCCCGCCCAGCCCGGCGACCGGACCCTGGTTGACGCTCTGGTCCCTTTCTGCAACACTCTCCTTGAGACCAAGGACGTTCGCGCCGCCGCCAAGGCCTCGCAAGAGGGCACCGAATCCACGAAGAGCATGAAGGCCAGCCTTGGTCGCTCCGTCTACGTGGGTGGCGAGGAAGAATGGGTTGGCAAGGTCCCTGACCCTGGTGCCTACGGACTCAGCGAGTTCTTGTCCGGCATTGCTGATGCTGCCTAAATTACCGGAGTCGCCTGGCTCAGACCTATCTATATTCGGGACATGCTTCATTTCGAAGGTATGTATATATTGCATTTGGTGGTGTTTTTTAATAATTTGATGACGATCATGATATCTTTTGGGTCATTTATGAGGGTGGTCGATATTATCATGTGGTTTGCGGTTTTAGCTTAGTGATTGCTTACTTACTTTAATGGTTCTATTCTATATAGCCTTGCAGCAAAATAATATATTATCAAGGGTTTTATAATTCTTTTCCGTCTTATTTGGCTTGAGTTATGCTTTAAATTTCCTATTCGTTTCCTATTTTTTAATTTGGGTGAAAGATAATATTACATTGAGTACAATTTTCATGCACTCGACCACACATTTTTCTAATTTAAATCTGACCCAAAAGTAAAAAACGCCAGTTTTGCCCCTTTCATAAGATAAAAAAAATAGGTGAAGTATCGAAAATAGATGAAAAGCCAGATGGGAATCGAGATCGGGTGAGATGGAAAAGAAAATCCCCGCTCCAGGTTGCTTGCTAGATGGCGGGAACAAGCGGATAAGGCCTCTCGTCCCCTTCGACTGAAGAACATGCTATTCCTTCCTTTTCTTCTTTGGATGAAATGAAAATAACCTCGGAAATCGCAAAGAGGGTATCGATGTCAATCGTAGATAGATAGATCAAGTCCTTTCGGCCGTCCGGTAGCACACAGCCCAGGCCAAAACCAGACCAATTATCCCCAACAGATTGCGCATGTCACATGAATAAGACCGCGGGACCTCGTTCAGCTGAGCAGGACCAGGATGACCGAATCGCCACGCAAGAACCTGAGGACAGCCATGTTAGATTAGATAATCGCGTCACGATGGGATGGGTTGGATGGGGGGGGGGGGGGGGGGGGGGGAAGATAACTCACATCTTACTGATGAAGCGATCCTTGTTCACACCCTTGCCCTTCCCGCCCTTGGGCTTCTCCGTCCACATCTCCTTCACGTTCTCTAGTACCATGTTGCAGTGGCGGTCGAAGGCCTTGACTCGAGCGAGCAGCTGTGCATCAAAGCGTCAGTACGATGACGGACTCCCGGAACTCGTTGGTGCGTGACTAAGCCGCATTCCCGGGGAGGGGGAGATAGAGATCGCATTTACCTTGCGGTTGTTTCGGCACGAGATCAGCACCTGGGTGTGTGTGCGCGTGGCGGTCTGGAGAAGAGAGAGAGGTCCGGCCGTGAGCTCGTGTTCCTCGACGAGAGAAACCTCATATTCACTAAGATGCGGGGGGTATGGGTTAGCTGATCTGACATATGCGACCAGAAGGGTGCGGCGTGGGCGAAGGCGTCGATATTGATGGGATGGAGGTGGGATGGTGCAATCATGTGATGCTTCCCGAAGGAAAGGAAAGCTTCCAAGATAGATCGAGATAGATAAAGGAGTCAAGAGGGGGGGATGCGAGATGGGAGACAGAACGTACGTGAGCTCGCTCTTAGGCTTGTTGAGCAGGTCTCTGTGGTACAAGGTTAGCAACACCGTCGAAGTTCCATCGGGACTGCGCCTCGACCGACGACCAAGTATCGATGAGTCATAGGCGACAAATCGGACGGAAGTCCCAAGGAGGGGTAACGTACTGGATCTTTGGATCGGTAGACATGGTGGGCGGGTATAAGAAGGCAGGACAGCTTGCTGGGACGTCTTTTTCTCGACGGACGGGATATCATAGTCGCTGAGCTTTGTCGCGGCTCTGGGTTTCTTGGCGCCCGCGGTGGGTCACGTGGCACGCGTGTTTGCCGTGTTTGCGAGCGCACTTTTCCCGAGGTCGCGATTGGCTGCGTCACGTCGCGTGCGACACGCTTCTGGGCCGATCTTCTCGAGCTTCGCTTCACGCCTACTAAATGCAAGGCGTTCCTCCTCCTCTCTTCCTCCCTCCCAACCTCACACCACCCCCGAACTCCTCCTTCAATTCCTGATTGGAGCTGGAGGCAGGATCTTGAACCTTCTCTCTCTGCTCCTTGATTTCTCTCCTTTTTTTTATTATTATTTTTCAGCCCCTCTCCGTCCTTCACCGCATCCCTCCCTTTCCACGTCCCGCCCTGGCATTCCAACTGGCCCATTTCCCCGCGCGGCCTGTGGCATACATACCGGTGCATTCTCCCGGTCGACGCAACGGCTGATTAGATCGATCTGACTGGTCGATAAGCCGGGTTCCTAGACGTGTGAATTTCGTGCCTTGCTTGGAATCGTTCGACTTTCAGGGTCTTCGGCAAATTTCGGTCAACACGTCTCACGATCCAGCTTTAACCACCACTCCGACCGCGTTTCTGGATACCCTTGTCTTTCCTTTTTGGCTTATGGTGAAAATTCGAAATCTGGTGGCATGGAATCTCAGGACGGAATCTCCGTCCGGCCTATGAGGCGTGAGTGTCTCCTCATGGAAATTTTTTCCTCCCCCGTTTTTGAAGGGTTGTGCTGACTATTGGGTCTTACGGTTTACAGTGAAGGTGCTTTATACATTCGACGATGCCAGTAAGACGAATTGCTTGGCTCGCTGGCCCCATCTCCTCGACATCCAGTGTGCCGCCTTGGACGAAAAAACTCATGTTGGAGTGATCGAGTTGAAAACGTGTATTCAAGCCATTGTCTCTGCGAGGTTTGTCCCCGTACCTGTACGCTTGGTTGGTATGGAATTGGATGGGTGCTAACCTGCTTGTTATTCATACAGTCCGGAATTGGTGGCCCAACTGGGGCAGGATTACACGGTCTACGCCTACGACTACTCGGAATATGAGACGCCCCTGGTCGGGCAAGGCATGCTATCATGGCTGCTGGCCTCCGCCTCCCCTACGCCCAATGCCCCCGCACATCAATCCAAGACGATGGTAACCGGTCGAGTCTGCAAAAATGTGCTGGGTCTTTTCTCGAAGGGCGCTCAGGAAACCCTCGAAGTCAAACTGCGGCTGGTACCAGTTCCCTCGGTCATGCAGAACGAGTACCTTGACAACATGCAAAAATACCGGGAAATCAGCAACAACATTCCACGAGATTTCGATACACAATCCTGGAACAGCTTCCACCGTCAGAATTCCAATATGTTGGCTTCGGGCCGGATGTCTTCTCCTATGGATCACTCCGGAATTGAACGATTCCACCAGCTGCTCAGCGAGGGATCCACCCCAAGGGATTTTCAGATGGCCACGAACGGATCCTACCGATCAGTCTCGCCAGCACAGTCCGCCGTGGCGCCTATGAGCAGGGTCTCTACCCCATTCGGTCAACATCAATCGTTTCAACAGGACCAACAGTCGACCCAGCAGACGGATAGAATTCAGGGGGATATGATTCGTCCTTCGTCTAGTGCTTCGATGCGTGATGCGGACTTTGCAGCCCATGCACGTTATGCCAGCCGCCGAGGATCCGTTCAATCCGGCTACGGTAGCTGTGACGAACACGTGGACTCTCAACCTCGCAAGCGGGCTAAGCTGTACCGTGCTGACGGACCTGGCAAACCTGAACTGAACATTGAAAGACAGCCTAGTTCCCTCCGCGTGGCAGCAAGCACGGCCGCCTCCGTTCGAATCCACCGTCCCACCCCAATCAACCCTTCCATTGCGGCCGCCCAGAACTCGAATGAGGAGCCCGTCCGCCCCCCAACTCCTATCTCCGGTGCAAACGACCTTCCCCGTCGATCCCGCCCTCCCCCGAGCCTATTGCGGGAATCATCTGTTCAGAGCATGAACCAGTACACGTCGCCCTATCCGACGAGCGACGATCAAACCCCCGCCGAGCCGCCCAACCACTCGCCAGAGGAATCCCGATACCAGGGCCTTTTTGAGCCTTCGTTCAGCATGCCTTCGTCTCCCCCTGTCCTTGACTGTGGATTCCCGAACCGTTCGAGTCCCGTCCTCCCGCCTATGACCACTGATCCCGACTCTGGTTTCATGAGCGGTGGTATTGAAGAACTTATGGACGAGGATATGGGTACACCATTGGATGACTGTGCACCAACCTCTAAAAACGGAACGAAGCAAAAACGAACCGTTCGTCAGGGTGTACAAGCTGGCTCCCCGGCGAGCGCGCCTGCGAATGTCGAAACCCCTAATGACGGCACCTTGGTCAACGTCGGAAACCCAGAGAATTCTGCGAAGGATGCCACATCTGTGCTCCCTCGTGCTCCTGCGAGTGTTGCAGGCTCAAGGCCGTCTTCGCGAGCGAGCTTTCGGCAAGCACCTAAGCCTCTGGCCCCTGCTCCCATCTCACAGAGTGAGCTGGAGCAGCTTATAAGTGCGATTCCCGCGAGTGATCCAGTCATGCCCTCCAACAATAACAACAACCTCCAAGGGCAAAACTCTCAGCCCTGGAACGGTCCAATGAGTGATATCCCTACCGCCGAGACCCCAGCTGCTCAGCCCATGGCTGCTGAGGACAGGAAGATTCGCAGTGGAGCCGGAGCTAGACGGCTCAAGCAGGTGCAGGCCCGTCTGGACAAATGTATCCGGGATGGACAGGCACCGCCTTTCTGTGAAAACTGCGGTGTGATTGAGACACCTACTTGGCGCCGGGCTTGGTCTAAGGAAATTGAGGGCAGCGAGCAGGAAGCCAACGAGCTTACCAAAGATCCGACCGTGTTCTTCTGGCAGTCGCTGAAAAAAGATGAACAAGACAAAGTCATAAAATTCAAGATTTACAAGAAGAGCTTAGTCGACGCCGACAATGACTTTGTTCAAGTCCTTCTTTGTAACCGTAAGTGCTACTAACTTGTTTTTTGTTTGTCAACTTTGGTTCTTGTGGTACTGACTCGAGACGAAAAAGCCTGCGGTCTGTGGCTTCATAAGTTCAAGTGCATGCGCCCGGAAAACAAATGGAACAAGTCTTCCAACAACAAGAGAAAGCGTCCCCCAAGGAACCGCAAGACTGGCGGCCCGCTCTCAACGAACGATACTGCGACGAGAAACCGCAAACCCGAATCTGCTAAGGTGGACGGATCATCTCCCGGAGCCTCCGATGCCTCGTCGCCGAACGAAGATCCTGCGACCCCCCGCGCAGAGAATGGTGGCAGCAAGAAAAGCGGCGGCAACGACGAAAATGCCCAGGAAAACAACGACGATGCCGACGAACTGCCCTCGAAGCGACGTCGAGCCACCAGCCTAGAGCCTCGGAAATCATCGGACACTTCCGGAAACCGTTGGCAAGAGCAGAACGCGGTGGACGCTCTTCGGCGCGCCATCCAGTCTAGTCCAGCTCGGAATCTCGAACACCGCAGTTCTGCAGCGCTGGGTGAGAAAACTCTTACTCCCAAGCCCGTCAGGAGAGTTCTGTTTCCTAATTCCCAAAATGAGGGAGGGCCTTTGAAAGCTCTAGGCGAGTCAGTTCTGAACAGTCCGCGACGTAGCCCCCGCATTGCGTCTCGTGAATCAGACAAGCGGCCTCAGGACAAAGAGAACGGCGGCAGCAGCAGTAATACTGCTGACCTGGACGGCCTGTTCGAGAGTCCTTCTTTTGATTTCGATCTGCCTACCAGCCCTACTCCCAGAAGACGCAATCCTCGCGCAGGCGTTTTGAGTGAAAAGCGTCTCTCCCTGCCGTACAACTCGCCTTCGTCGTCGAAATCACGCAAGGACGTCGGTTCGGATCTGTCGCCGACCAAGTTGACTGCACAAAGGTTGCAGCGTATCCAGAGCAGCCCGGCGTCGTCTACCCCGCGTCAAGGCAGAACGCCCAAACAGTCTCGCTCGCAGATGCCCGATATGTCTTCTCTATCGGACGATGCGTTCGGGTCCGAAGCATTCGGCGGGATTAACAATATGGTGGTCGATATCTTCTCCGAGGATGCATCGGCAGCACACACCGATTCGCTGTTTGCCTTCGAGGCATCCAAATGTCCATCCAGCAGCAACTGGGTCGACTGGCTTCCGTCCGACTACGTCTCCCCCGCCGGATCCGACGAGGATCAAAACGCGGACTTGATCAGCGCCATCCTCTCCGATCCGGGGATGGGTAAAGAAAACATCGACGGTTCCCAGTTTGACATCTTTGATTATGCCGATTCAAACCTCCTGGATTCTGGCTTTTTCGGATCCGATGCCCTCAACGCCGATCTGATGGCCTTGGGAGTCAAGCCCAAGCCATCGACGGAGGAGTCGGCCGATAAGGAACAAGGCTCCAGTGCGAATAATGCCTAATGAGTTTCCTTGCTCTTTTATTTACCTTACGACAAGTTGTCTTCGTGACAAGTCATTCTTCATTCTTTTGTCTTTCATTTTCCTGTCTTTTAGCGATGGCGTTCGGTGGTTTAGGCATGGTGCCTACAAATCCTCATATTCTTTACCTCTTGATTACCCCTACCCTATTTCCTGGTATCTTGCCTACTTTCCAAGTGGCTTGACTGTTCGTTGTTAATGTCTGATGCTTGCGCATTTACAGTGCCTATGGTGCTGTTTGGTTATCATGTTGATCATTCTTTATTTTTTCTTTCTGATATCAATCCTGTCACGGCAGCTCATCACATTGCTGTTCCTCTGCGAGAAACCTATGAATTGAACGAATCATGCAATCATCACTATCTGGTAAACAATAGACTGAACTTTCGATTGACCAAAATCAAGACCCTCCATAACCTGTTTTAAATCCGCAGTAATAGCTAGATAAATAGATAAATACGACGTGAATTTATTCTGGTATCTGCATATAACTCGAAATGTAAATGTCCTAATCAACTAGTACAGGACTGGGAAACAACTTGAACTCCACTAATTGTAGGTCCCTTCTTCAATTTTAGTCCAATATCTTCGTCATTCATTCCTTATTCGTCGTAATAGATCGATTTCACGCGATGCGTCGCATCGACTAGTTTCTCGTAGATGCCGTAATCTACACAGATATTAGTTCTCATCCAACGGTATAGTACGTAGTCAACGGGGGGAAAGGAGGCATGAAGTCGAAACAACTCAGAAACAAGAGCCAGCACAAAATAAAGCCAGACACAAAAAATGAGAGACACAAAAAATGAGAGACACAAAAAATGAGAGACACAAAAAATGAGAGAGAGAGACATACCACACTTCTCCGGACTCCCCCAATCAAAGCTCCCGAGGACTCTAACGCCCACACCCTAGACACACGAATTAGCCATTATCCATTAATTACCCCTACCCTAAGCCACCAAGAATCCCCGCTCAGTAGAAACCAGCCAAGGGAAAGTGAAGGAAGATATACCCCCTCATAATCCGTAACCTTGCCCACAATCTCAAACAGCTTGCCCATCTGCAGATGCGAGTCGGGCTTCAGGATGAGCGTGACGTCGCCGTTGTTGCCGCACGAGATCGTCGCCGTGTCGCCGCGCAGGGCCGTCACCGTGCCCAGCAGGCGCACTGTGTTTGTGGATCGCGCGCCGGTCGCGCTGGATGGGTGGAAGGCGTGCAGGTGCGCGGGGAGGACGCGGGGGGTTTGGAGGGACATTTTCTTTATTTCTTTTCTTTCTTTCTTTCTTTTTCTGGTGGTGGTTTTTGGCCTGGGGAGAGGAGTCGGTGATGAAGATGTCAGTAGTTTCGTTGGGTTGGTAGGAAAGTGAGGTAGATTGGACGCAGATGAAGCTGAAGCTGAAGTATCTGGGTGAATGTGGAGGTAATTGATAAAGTCGTTCGCGGCGCGCCCGACGCGTCGTCACGTGCGACGTCTAATTATCGGCGGGCGGGAACTGGGCTGGCTCGGGTCGGAGCTCGAGCTACGGATTTTACTTACTATCGCAGGTAGTTAGTTAGTTAACTACCCTCATTATTCATGCTTTCCCTACCTCTTTTCTATCCATGATACCCGCTCCATCTCCCTAGTACGATCCCAAATTGAAAAACAAGGAGGCAAAAAAAAGAAAATGCCACCCCCCCTCCCCTCCCACCACCGCGGCATGACCGCAAACCCAGTCCGCCCTGGCCGCTACCGACCCGGAAAAGCCGTCGCCGAGGAGCCGTCCTCCGAAGAGGAAGAAGACGACGACGAGGCCGAAGCAGAGGCAGAGAAGGCGCGGATAGAGGAGCGGCGCAGACAGGAGCGGTTGCGCAGGGAACAAGCGAAGGCGCCGCCGCCGAAGGCGAGTTCGTTTCCGGCGGGCGCGGTGACGAAGGGGGTGAAGAATGTGAAGATTCAAGAGGAAGATGATGAGGAGGGGTTTGTGACGGAGGAGGAGGAGGAAGAGGAAGAGGAGGAGGGGGGGAAAGTGGCACCTCGTGTTGCGGGCGACAATGTGGGTGATGCTTCTGCTCCTTCTGCTGCTGCTGCTCCTGTGGACAAGGTCCCAGCGAGGAAAGAGGAAAGTTCAGAGGAAGGGTCTGAAGAGGAGGAGGAGGAAAGTTCAGAAGAAGAGAGCAGTTCCGAAGACGAGGCCCCCCGACGGGTTCTCCTACGACCTACATTCATCAAAAAAGACAATCGCAAACCAGCAGCCCCAGCACAAGACGGCCAAGGACCAGCACCGACATCCGAAGCCCCCGTCGATTCCGGCGCCGACAGCGAGGCGCGGAAGGCCCAACGACAAGAAAAAGCAGACATGTTGATTCGCGACCAGCTGGAGAAAGACGCCGTGGCGCGCAGCACGGCCAACCGGGCCTGGGACGACGACGACGAGCTCGAGTTCGCCGAAGAAGGCGCCATCGACGATAAAGACGGGGTGGACCCGGAGGCGGAGTACGCGGCGTGGAAGCTGCGCGAACTGAAGCGCATCAAGCGCGAGCGCGAGGCGATTGAGGCATCGGAGAAGGAACGCGAGGAGATCGAGCGCCGTCGCAACCTGACAGCGGAGGAGCGCGAGCGCGAAGACAACGAATTCATCGCGCGGCAGAAGGAAGACAAGGAGGCGAATCGCGGCCAGACCGGGTTCATGCAGCGCTACTTCCACAAGGGAGCCTTCTTTCGCGACGACCTGGAGCGTGAAGGACTGGACCAGCGAAACGTCATGGGTGCGCGGTTCGTGGACGACGTCTCGCGCGAGACGCTGCCTCAGTACATGCAGATTCGGGACATGACGAAACTCGGCAAGAAGGGCCGCACGCGGTACAGGGATCTGAAGTCCGAGGATACGGGTCGCTTTGGGGAAGGGTTCAACAATCGGCGTCGCTTCGAGGGTGCGCCGGAAGGCATCACGGACGAACGGTTCATGCCTGATCGCCGAGATGACCGTCCCAAAGGCCCTACGGGGGCTAACGCGGGTCCCGTCCGCGAGAGACGCAGGTCGAGGTCTCGATCCCCTCGACGAGATCGCAGAGACCGCTCGGGCGATCGATATCGGCCTGATGATAGCCAGCGGCGGAAACGAAGCCCTTCGCCCTATGATGACCGCGACAAACGAAGACGAGTGGGAAGTGATTCCTAAGGACCGCATGTACCAACAAAAATTCCATTCTATTTCTATTGGCGTTGCTGGGTATCATGAAAGTGGGCGGCTCAGGGTTAATGTCTCATGGCTTTCTTGCCTATTTGGATCCATCTTTCTTCTTCCTCGCTGTATTTAAAGCCTCATGTGGGTGGGTAGATAGATTTACACCCGGACGCCATCTGCTCGATAGATCGAACAGTAAATCCCCAGCCATCTGCTGCATATACATAAACAGCCAGCACAATATAATGAGCCGGAGCCGGCCCGAAGTGGCCTGGGTCTGTTCCCTCCAGACAACTGAAAGCCGTGGCCGATCAAGTTGATTGCCTGGGATTAGAAGTCCCTTTCCGCCGGTGAAAGCAAGCTCCTTAACACCGATCAAGATCTGAATGCAGAACCGCACATAATGCCCCATCTACCCAAACAGCCCATTTCCCAGAATAACAGGGGCAAGAAAAAAGAAGCCCCCGCCGACAAGTATCAACTCCGCTGAAAAAGAACAAACATCAACCAATCCTCCCTCTCGACTGGACTCGAGCCAAATAACTTATGACTTATTTGACCCCCGCCCTCTCCAACACCTTCTCCCTCTCCATCACACTTTCCCCGAACCGCAACAAGAAGATCGTCCGACTCGGCCACATCTCCGTCGGCTGATTATGAGCCGTGACCTTAGCCTCGAAGCCGCACCCATCACAGACACCCTCGATGATGCCGGCCACGAAGGCTGCGCAATTCAGCTGGTTCATCTCCTTCGGGACGCTGATGTACGTGTTCACGAGGGGGTCGTTGTCGGTGATCATGTACTCGTTCGGCGTGTCGGGGGAGACGGAGTGTTCGAGGGCGTCGGCGGGGCGGTTGAAGAGGAGGCGCCACAGCGGGCCGTGGATGAGGTGCAGCAGGGGGAGGACGCGGAGGGGGCGGTTCGGCGGCGACGCGGAGGTCGAGGAGCTGGAGAGCGACGAGGACGTGGAGCTTGACATCGTGCGGTAGAAGAGGAGGTCGAGGAGGCGGAGGCCGAGGGGGTAGCCTTGTTCGTTGAGGCTGGAGAGAGAGAGTTAGTATACGATTATCTATCGTGTTCAACTGTAGCTAGATAGATGGGATGGACGGAAGACGCACCGTTTCTCTAGATCCTGAATCCCCGTAACCCGTCTCTGAGCGTAAGTGACCATCTCCGCGAAGAGGAAGGCGAAGCTGGCGCGGCTGGATTCGGCATTTCGGCTGCGGTTGAGGTGTCTATCGTAGATGGTCTTGCGGTTGGAGGGGACGCGCAGCCCCGGAGATGTTTGCGCGATGGTCTGGATCTGCTGCGTCGGTTGGGGTTTGTCGGTGGTGGCGGGGTTGGAGTTGCTGTTGCTAATGGAGAGCATGGCAGCATGCCGTGGGGGTTGTGCCATGCTGTGTTGTCGTGGTGGGTGGTGATGTGGAAAGGTCGAGATGGGCGGGTATAATGGAGGTCCGGAGGATGGGAGGTGAGATCAGCGCTAGATCAGGGAGACTGGGGCATGGTGGTCTGGGTTGTTAGGTGGTAGGTAGGATGGGTAGGTTCTTGGGTTCGATGTGATCGATTGAAGGGTCTAGGTAAGGACAGGTCGAGTGGAATGACCGACTGATGGACTATGATGGACGGAGGACTGAGGATTGTTGGTGGCATCGAGATGTTACGGCGCCGCACAGCACCACTCGTGCACTTTCGACTTTTCTACAACTTCATTTACGATTACAGGGAGATCAAATGCTTGTCAAATATGTGTATTGTCATGTTTATATCTAAGCTATAGGCATAGGTGTCGCTGCCAATCCTGAAGGCAATGTGTGGTAAACCTGCTGAACAGCACCGTTAGCACTGGCTCGACATCAAAATCCAAATTCAATCAGATCCAGAATCGATCAAAATAGTCAGACATCCAAGGAAGTATTGCGCACAGAGCACGTCTATGATGGGTTCAAGCGACGGCTAGCGTGGAAACTGCGAATGTAGGAAAAAATTTTCATCATAAGAGCCCGGAGGCTTTTTGATCGAGGATCCGGAACTGAGAGAAAAAGTTTGCGACTTACCAAGTTAGTTAATTGGAAAAGCAGGGTTGAGAAAAGAGTAAGAGAGGCAGATTCAGTAAGAATCAATGCATCAGGCTTCGTTGGGAGTTGCATAAAGCTCCCGTTCCAAGCGTGTTGAGCGGATGAGTGAAGGAATGAAGAATGAAAATTTTCGGGAGAAAGCAGCCTTTTATAGTGCAGCGGGTCGGCCTGAGGCTGCCGGGGAAACGCGCCAACAGACGAAGCTTCTAGCGAACGCCGAAAAAATCATTCCCAACCTCCACAGCTCCAGTCCGATGGGCCCTAATGGGTTTCAATTGCTCATGGTAATTTCCAGAACCTTTCAGACGCTCTAGATAAAATCACACATCAATTATGAACGGGCCCATGCATTTTTACCCTTGCATGGATTTTTTCTTTCTATATCAATTCCCCAATAGACCTGCTATGCGCACTATGAAAACATAAATCAATTACACATTTACACTTAGTATAGTAAACCTCAAAACTGCTGATGATAGACCGGTCTACCTGCTACTTTGTACTCTTCTGTTTCTGTCTAGAGTTCCAATTCAGTGTCTTGGAGATACTTTGCACCCAGTCGTTGCCGCGTCGATTCTGAGGAAGAACGTTCGCAAAGGGATATCGTGATGCCGACACGGTCAGGTAATCTCCCGGGCGTAGCTCGATTCTGTCATTGCGATCAGCCTAGCCCAGTCATTTCTTTGCTGAGGCATTGACTTACCTCTCTCGCCCGTCAAAGCTGGCCCACGAACTTGTCCGTGCGTCGTATGGCACTCCCATCCGTAGAACAATGGTATCCGGCAGGATGATCGGCCGGAAAGACAGCGTGTGGGCGCAGATAGCAGTGACGAGGATTACCGGGTTGTCAGGATGGCAAAGAGAGCCCCCGGCAGCCAGGTTATATGCCGTAGATCCTGTCGGAGTCGCTACACAAACCCCGTCTGCCAGAAGCGTGGTGAAGTGTTCATCGTCACCAAACAACTCGATGGATGACATTGCTGTAGGCTGTTAATCGCGCTGTCATAGGCACTCGAAAAGAAGACGGGGACATACTGGCATTCGGTCCCCGGTCGAGAACAACGTCATTCAGGATCTGAACAACCTTATCCGGCTTATGCGTTAACGTGCCGTCGGTTTCTTCACCGATCAACTCTTCCACCATATCTCGCTTGACATTCCCTGACCCCTGCGGAAGCGGGTTGCTTCTCATGATCGTGCATTCAAACCTGAGTCTTAAGCTAACGGCCACGCCGTCCTTGAGGGCCGTTTCGAGTGTCTTCTGATGGTGATTGAAGTCGAACTTGGTCAGGAATCCCAAGGACCCCAGCGAGAAAGAGAGCACTGGCGGTACAACATGCTGGAATAGCCAGCTCGTATATAGAACCGTGCCGTCTCCTCCCAGGGTAATGACAAAATCAAACAAATGGGCATGTTCATGCGCAAAGTCAGTATCCCAGTACCTCAGTCGGCCCTCGGCAGAGGGTTCCTCCTGGAGCAACTTCGACGCCGCAAACTCCGGCTCGGACTCTAATCGCTTCTCCACGTAGACATGGTACTTAGTGTCGCGATCACTCGAGAGAAACCACCGCACAATTTCCCGCGTGTGGCCGATGACGGTCTCGTCTCCCGCCTTGGTCACCAGGAAGACGTTCTTGACGGAGAGCTTGAGCTTGATGCTGTCCAGCTTCTTGGACAGTTTGCGCACATTCCAGGCCATATCCGATAGCTGCTTCTTCGTCAGGTGGCGCGAGTGCACCACCGTTTGGGCGGTCCTTGTGCGCTCGTCTCCCGTATCTGTGACGATCACGTCGTTGTCCTCCACGCCATCGCCGATAATGAATTCCTCATGGCCAAGGTCCGCGCGATCCTGTGCATCTCGAGCGTGGACCGACGGATCTACCCATTCTCCTGCGATCAGCGAATGCACGAAGCAGGCGGTTTTCTCGTCGGGGCGATCCAGATGCGGGATCTTGCCGGACTCATTGGCCATGACTAACGACGACTTGCGACGGTGACTACAATCCGGCGAGATGACGACCTAAACCCGGGGGAAAAGCCCATGGCGATTAAATGTTAGTCAAGGGATCGGGAAGAGTCGGGGTGGGTTCAAGAAAAGCAGAGGATGGAGATCTGCCATACCTCTAGCTTATTGTAGGCGTCCGTATCTGCCCCTCCATCTTCCTTTCGAGTGCGAGTCAGCTCCGGCGGCATCTTGGTGCGATTCATCGACCTACAGTGGGACCCCGGGGCTGTTCATTATTCATGGCTCGAAAGCAACGATGGTTCTCGGTGTCGTTCTGCTGGTCCTGTCGCTCAGGCTCTCATGGCGATGCTCAGTCCGGAGTTGGCCGAGTAAAGGTTGAGAGTCGCGACGGATTGGGATGCGGCTATGACGTCGCTCCACTTCGCCCGAGGCCCAAACCAGCCTTCACGTCGCGCATTCCTCTAGTCTAGACAGTCCGAGAGTTGTTCATGATGGGGTTCGATGGTTTGTCTGTAGGGGATTTTTTCAGTCAAAAGAATGTTCTGTGTGGGAGGATTGTCTCGCGAACCTCTTGGACTGGTGTGGCACTATTATATATTTTCACCTCTGAATTATGTCCAAGGACAGAACACACACCTTTTTGCAACCAACATTTTATCTTAATAAGAATTTGGACCGTAGGATCGAACTGTGACAATTATACTCGTAGTCAAGCATGACAACTACGAATGATATAAAAACAAGAGCACCCTCCTATGCTGCCCCCCCTACGAACAAGAGGCTACTCTGACATCATTCTTAGACACCAAAGGTTCCAAATCAGAAACTATAAAAGCCATATTATGCCGACCACGCCATCTACACATAATCTCCCCGAGTTAAACAGACCAAGACTGAAATCAAACACTACATTTTGTATCTCCTAGGTTGATCTCCTACGGCAATCAAGAACATCCACCCAAGTATACGTTAATCGCCAAGGAAAGAAGAAGACCGACAATGAGCTCATGGTTTCTCTTCTCCCAGTCTTTGGTCCTCCATCGGTGAGCATTATCCCTCACCCCCAGCATATAGCCAGCGTGCAAAGTGCGAGGGATACGGATAACATCTATCCCATTCAACCTCCCCAATGCGTCTGCATGCAGGACAAGGCCAGACAAAGCGGAACAGGTTGAACCCGCATGAAGAGAGATCCGACACCTTACATGCGTGCGTCATCTTCGCACCGTCAGAAAGGTGAAGTCCACGCCGGGCACATGGTGCCTTGCCGTGATAGTGATGCCGATAGCGCCAATAAGGCCATCGTAAGGACGAGCACACAGTCTGCATCTGAGCCACGAGTTGCCTTGCGTCCTCACCTTACACTTTGACCGCGTCGGACTCTGGGCCTTTGAATCGATAGCGGGCGCTATCTATCGACAAATGGGTCACAAGGCGTCTTTATTCTATTTAATTAGTTTATTTTCCTGGTCTGCGCCCGAGCCGAGTGGACGGATGGATGGATGGATGGGCGGCGCCCACGGACTCAATCATCCGAAGCAAAAGCAAGTCTCCATCACGACAAGGAAGACGAGAGCTCAGGTGAGCAAGAGGGAGCCGACCGGGCCATCTTTTCCCTGGCAATGCACGCGAATGCAGTTTTCGGTGGCGGCGGGCAAAAGTCGTGCCCAATGATCCCCGCACAGGGTCCAGACGCCCATTCCGTAGATACTAAGATGCTAGGTGACGACCACCGCGTGAGTTGTTAGTTAGTCTGGAGGGTTGTCTGACTCCTCATCTCGCCTTGGGACGGCATAGTATTCGGTTGGTTTTTACTCCGTAGAGGGGGGCGATATTAAGAGCGACAGTGAGACCGAGAGTAATCCCCGCCTCCAACGATGCGGCCCTGCTTTTGCTGGCAGAGGAACCGGCGCTTGACCCACTTGCTGGGGAGGAAAAAAAGAAGGAATCAGGAGGACTGCGCGAGGGAGGGGGTCCAGCATATTAGTCCGGCAGACACACTGGAGATAGTTAGAAGTTGGTGATACAAGCGAAGCCGGGGGGCGATAACGTTACCAGGATGGGCTCCAGACGCAGACACGGACACAGACGGGCCTCTGTAGGTCCTGCAACTTGCAGATTTGAGCGGCAAATCAGAGCGGGTTCTGGCGAGATCCCCAGATGAGCGAAGCGCCGATGTCAGGCCAAACCTGCAGGCGACATCACGGCGCCCGGCGACTACAGATGCAGCTTACTCTGTTCACTTCGTCTGCCCAACCGCCATGGCTGCAGTCCATCACAAAGTCCCCCATGTGATTGAATGAGACATGATCCAATCATCAACAAAAAATGATAGTAATAAAAATAAAATAAAACCATTCTGGATCATCCCCACCATCATCTGTAGGTATTTCCGACAACACAGGGGCTGCATCACCATCGTAAGCGCCCACATCCCTCTGTCGTAGGTATTATTAGAACATTTCCCCCGTCGACAACGAACAATGTCTTGCTTTAGCATTCTCTCCCCGGTCCCCAGTCTCAGCCCGCAGTTCAAACCAGAATAGCATCATAATCCTGGTGCCTACCCCGTCGGACGTACGTAGGACTAACTGTGGCTGTGGCATGAAGGAGAGACGGCCGCATTCCATCCAACCCTAACCGCAAGCAAGACGAACTAACTACTGCACCCTTGTCCTGCATACGCAGTCCAGTGCTCTACGGCGTACTGCGTATGGAGTAAACTACGCTACCAACTAGTCCCGAGTCTTACTGTATGCAGCATGCACTCGAGATGCTCCATCTTTTGCCACTGGATCCACTCAGTGATCTGTGCATTCTCTCCCCCCTCTCTCTCTCCTTCTTCTCCCTTACTGCGAGAGAGAAACCGCCCCCTGAAAACAGAGAGATAGCATTGTGTCATGTCACATCCGAGTGGGAATTCCTGCAGTGACCCGAGATTTAATTCCAGCCACATCGAGTACGCTACCGCTTTGAGAAGGGAGACGTGGTCAATTTACTTGACTTCTAGAAAAAGTCAATAGCCTCGCTTTATCCGCCGATGATCCAGACTACGACGTAGTATCCAATAGGTTCCTGGACGGAGTCGTCGACCCCACGTCGAGAAAAGAAGGCTTGCGAAGGACGAACCGTAGTCAAGCCAAGGCTACTCCTATAACGAGACTCCGGACGGCGAGTATGGAAGTATGCAGGATCAACCCATTCAAACCTTGCTAGTCAGCTAGTGTAGAATCGATAGCCCCTGCGGTCGGCGTTACATCGACGGCCTGCAATAATAATAATCATCATCCTCCGTAAAGAGCAAACCAGAATAGCAGAGTGACTGATCATCCCGGGCAACGTGCCAGCTTCCCAGCCACCGAATATTCGCGGCTCCACAACGCCCACTTTTTGCCCCTCGTCCAAGACCATCACTGGGCTAGACTCGGAGGAGTTTAGCCGGGATCGCTTGGGTGCAGCACTATTAGCAGTAATTAAGTACTCCGGAGTCGAGATTATCGTACGCTGGGTACACGACGTACGGAGAGAGGATACAGACTGGTAATAATACATCCGTCGCAGCAGTCGCTGGTAAATTACCCCCTAATATTCCTGATATTCTATGGAGCCGACTTGACAGCAAACGAGATACTAAGATAGCCAGGTAAGAAATAGGCATACTTTAACGTATTCGAACGACTACGGCTCTAGTCACTATTGCGTATTCGGTATGTCGTCATCGTCTACGGAGTAACACAGGCGGACAGGACCGGTTCTGCATCCCCAATTGACCAAAACTTCTACGCGGTTGCAGCGACAGGAAAATTGAGCCACAGATGATCATGCTAGTTTCAAAGTACTGGCAGTCGCTGTCTCGTGTCTAAATTGCGCCAGACCTACTGCATGATGGCTGTTCATGCCCTCTTCTCTACAGCAGATGATTCGATGGCTAACCCTACCGGTCAATCCGTCTTCTACTCCAATGAACCCAGGGGATGGGGACCTGTCTCGACGGGCCTTGCTTCTCAGCCTACTGTCTCTCCTTGACCGAGGACAGGCTATTCAAGATATCCCGCATAGTTTGTCACCCCTGCAATCTCGTTGCCTTCCCCAGCGCCTGTATTTGGGCGCCTGTCTCTCGATGCAGCAGTCGTGACGCAACGAGGGATTATCCCGGTCGGCTGGTTGGATGTATCGAGTGTACTTTTTCTTCAGCGCAGTGATGCTATGCATGCGTGGCAGCGGGACGTTTGCTTCGCCAGGAGATCTTGGACAGGGATTTTGAATATCCTGCACGCAGTACGCAGTAAACTTTGGGGTTCGGCGATATGGCTGCCTATAGGTACGTTTCCCATATGATTGGCATGTTGTCTTGCCAGCTCATGCGTCGAGGCTATAGCGGCGGTTGACATTTGGCCTGTAAAAGAGCAAGCTGGGCATTGTTATTTACGCCTGCAGTCTTCAAGGCTCGGTGTATACTATACACCGGGTGAGTGAATCTAGATCCATGTGTTAGTACAGACTCTAGAAAGCGGTCGGCAGTATCACATGCATCACCAGACCTTGGAGCATATCCCTTTGTTCTTCAGCTATGAGCCATCGAATAGGCCAAGCTGCACTGCCATGCTTGTAAGCTGCGTGCCTAGTCTCCTGGTCAGGGGCTCCCAGGGGATGGCGAGAACGAAGTACTGATACATTCCGATGAATGCTGACCTAGGCTACATTTTTCATGTGTGACGTAGGGGTTAGCATAGCATATCGAATGTCTCTCTTTGGTATCTAGAAAGATCTGCCGTTGTGTGACATATTGAGCAAGGGGTTAGGCATTTGCATGCAGTCGGAAAGATACAGACCGAGACCAGTTGGTCGGTTCGATGTCTTTGAAAGATAGACTTTCTTGGAGTCAATGACAGTGTCGTACAGAGTAGAGCTATCAGGGAAGCTGATATTACCGAAATTGTGTACACCGATACCACCGTATACGGGGATGGAACCGCAGTGGGAATAGCGTGTTTCGACTGAGAAACTATAGTTGAGCTCTTATAGAGAGCAATTTCGAATTCCATGCGGTGATGATATCTATTACAGAGTATGGACAGTCAATATAGACACATGTTGCCTGTTCCCATGTAAGGGCCGCAAACAGCCACCATCGTTCTCGTCCTCAGCGGAAATGACACCCCATCCAGTCCTCCGTAATACAGTGGAGCGATCAAATTGGCTGCTGCGCAGATTTTGACTCAGCCATGTGGCTTTACTCCCGGGACGGGACAGACTCCAGGGAGGGACTAAGGCGCCCCAATGCCATGGCTGAAGTCGCCCTAGTCGCCAGTAGTCCGGACCTGCAACCACCCATGGAATGGGCATCGAAGGTGGGAGAATCCGCGGAAATCCAATGGTTGGCTTCTCGGCCGATGGTGCAAAGCCTAAAACCTGATCGTCGCCCCTCGCCAGTCGCCTACGCCATACTCCATCGCCTGGGATTTTCAGCCCGTCTGATACTTTGCCGTCTTGAGGAGTTGTGAATCTTTTGACCGCCCGTCCCGGTTTGAGATGCTTCCCCACCACGAAGACCTTTGGACTTGCTCGATGGCCACTCAGAGCGGAGGATTCCCAGGGATTCTCGTCCCCCTTATTTGACCGTGGCCTGGAACTGACCCACCAACGGTCAGACAATCATTATTGGGCATTGGCGGTCATACGCCGTATTCCATTGTAGGAGTAAATGCTGGATCGAAGGGCGTCGTAGTATATACTCCGTAATCACTGGATGAGATGAGATATGTCGGAGGCCAAACAAACTAAAGAAAATTGCCACTTTGCCTTACCAAATGACCCGACCAAATCATCAGAATGCAGTAAGACAGGAAGATTAATAATTCAAAATTAATATTCAATATTTTCCATGCCCCCCCCCGAGCCCCACTCTGATCTACCGTGACACTGCAGCCAGGATCTTAGTCCCGATAACTTATGGATTTTCTTTTTTCTCTTTTTCAAGTCATGTTTGCCTGTTTCAGTAATACATAAAGTGGAGAACCCCCCCGACCATCACTCGTCAAACATGGGTCATGGTACATCATCGTCGTATTCCATTTCCTCCTGATAGTCCGGTGTACCCTCAGCCGATCTGCTCAATAACCCATTATTGATAACCACTTTCGATGGGGAAATGAGAAGCGGGATCTATCCGAACACGAAGAGCGCACATGTTGCACCAAAGACAAGGAGGATTTGACCGGATCAGATCGCTAGACGTAGGGGGGTGGTTAAGTGAAACGAATCCCGGCGCTGATTTCCCCTCTCCCTTTCTCCTCCTCGAATGCTGGTCAACTGCGGAGTCAGCCTAGGCCGGTGAATGTGATATTAATCGGCGCGAACACGCTACTCTACGGAGTACTAAGTTGCTAAGTTACCAACTAAGGCTCAGACCCGAAGCGACCGGCTACCACCGCAAAGCCCCAAATTACGAGCGATGATGTGCCCTGCTGCGCCATCCATCACCATCCGAGCGATACGCTACTCTCTCTAGGATTACGGAGGAGGTCCCAACTCCCAACCCTCTCCGATATGTCGTAGTATGCGCATGTAAATAAAAACAAGTCTTTCAGACACACGATCAGGTGGCTCCATTTATCGTATCTCGGCAGCGGTATGTGTGCGCACCCTGCATGATTCTTACCCCCTGTTCGCGGTGGCTGCATGCCTGGAGAGTCACACTCGATCAATAATAGCCAACCCGGAACGGAGCCTGTGGACTTACGTAGTCCAACTGCGGTCCGGGATTGGCTTTGTTGGTGCGTTCTTAGGCAGTTGGGTATGGATGGAAGGTCTCCATACTCTGTATGGAGTAGAGTTCCAGACTTGGCTTGCCGGCATCATATCCTGATCCATGACCCTAAATTGTAATACCTACTCGTACTATCCTCCTGCTCAAAGAGTCTTAGATGGTCTGTCCTACTGGACTAAATCCCCCCTAACTACGGAGTCGTTAGCTCAGTGGTTGGCTGACATGGAAGGATTGAACCTAAGCACTGGCCACATTAGCGATACCAGGGCTTTTTTCTTTCTTTCTTTCTTTTTCTATTTTTTACTTGCCAGTGATAGTCCGTCCTGTCAAGTGTTGACTTAGGTAGTAATTTTGCCTCTCTTTTCTCTCTTTCGAGATCCGAGCTGAGTTGTACAACAATCTACGTGCCTAGCTAGTCGTACAGAATTGCCAACCCAAGAAAAAAAAACCAAACCAAACATCGAGCCGACTCCCCCCTTTTTCCTTCGTATGACAAGAACCGCCTTTATCGGTCTTTATGCATGCATGCATGCATGCCATTTGACTCATGGCTACCTGCAGCTGGGCCCCTTCCCCTCTCTCTCTCTTCCTCCCTCAGGCCGAGAGCGCCCTGCCCTGCCTGCCTTGCCTCGTCTTCACTTGGGAATCTGGATCCGATTAAGACCCATTTTCCGTAGATTAAAAACCCATACGGAGTAGTTAAATGACGGAATCGACGGAACCCAAGAAAAAATAGAAGAAAAAGGGAAGAGCCCACAAGATCCATCCGCAGTCGCCCAGACGACTGACGACACGACAGGACAACAAAGGACAAAAAAAAAAAAAAAAAAAAAAAAAAAGGTGCCAATAATAACAGAAATAGAAAAAACAAGGGTTGGGTAAAATTTACGAAGTCGACGACGGCCAGGGCAGGATAATCTTGCAACTTGCAAGCCCTGCGTGACCCACTCGGGTAGTTTTTTTAGGATTCCATCCTCCACGCAACCAGGTCCAGGAGGGTCTCTATCCCATTCTTGCGGTCTGCTTGGTCGGGTTGGAAATGACAAAGGAAAAAAGAAAAAAAAAAAAAAAAAAAAAAAAGCTCAGGCACTGTCACCGATCATGGGTATCCGGCAGGGCTAACCAGCCTACCAGTATCGAGGATCATGACTCGAAGGTTCGAAAAAGGTCGCGCTGAACCCGCAGGTAGACCGGGCGAAGCGGTCGGGAAATCACGAGCGCAAGGCGGCAGGCCAACTCCGTACGCATACAGGCATATGAAGAGGTGACTTACAGCATGTTGTATCACACTCACCCTGTTGCTTGGCTGGGCTTTTGCTTTGAAGGAAAAAAGAAAAGTACTAAAACTGGACCTACTGTAAATGCGACCGCCGCCGGCGTGGGTGGCTTATCTTATTTTTTATGATTATTCCCTCAATTTTATTTGATTATTTATTTTACGTTCTATGGCCCAGTACTACGTAGGGTAGATGATGGTACAGAGTAACATCGAACCTGAAATCAACCCCCATTCAATTCACAATGCGGCTTAAATGCCTAGAATCTAGAGTCAACGTCTCCTGTACCTAGTGCCATAGCCCAACATGTGAGACTCGCCATGGCTCACCAATAGAATACAGTTCACGCCGACGCGAATCCTTTCCCATGAGCCCATATCAGATCCTGGCATCCCTTCCACGGGGCAGGTTCAGAAAATAGTGGCTGATGACATGTCACTAAGGCAAGCCAAATTGATTAGCGCGGTCTAGGTTTTTTTCCCTTTTCTTTTTTCTTTTTCTTTTTTTCCTGTGGCGCCTCCTCTTCCTCCGGTCTCTTTCTCCTTCCCAATTGCCATTGTTTGAGTGAATGTGGGCGGGTCTAGACTATATTTGGATAGGCAATCATCATTGAAGAACAATGAATGACGATAATAGGCTGGACGGCGGACAGATACATGGAACACTCTGTGCTCCGAGAGCACGGACATTTTTGTTTTCTTTTCATTTAATTTAATTTAATCTCATTGATATTTTCTTATTCCCCTTCAAGAACATACGCAGTACGCAGTAAGAAAGACAGAGTGACAAGAACAAACAAACCGCCCCAAACCCATAACCATGGAGTTATGAACATTCCCAGCTAGCCTTGAGTTACAATCAATTTACTCCTAGATCCCTTGTCCAACTCCAACTTCCAACCCGGCCCCGTCCCCGCTCTTGGGAAGATCCCTACTTCCATGGCTGAAAAACTTTGTCCGAGACCAATTCCTCCTGTCTCGGACGGCGACCGCCATTTTGCGTCGCTTGCTCGATTGAGCGTGGTACATTAGTGAGGGTTAGCCTATTACTTGCGCAAGTAGGTTTTCCCCTAGTCGGCGGGCGGATGAGCCGGATAATTTGGTCTGATTATTAATACGACCTTAATGACGGTGTTGTGCTGTCCGGATTGGGAGTTTTATGTCTGGCGTGGTGATTTGTTTAGTCATTCGTCATTACGGAGTACGGAGAGTGTTTCCCCCTCCCGGGCTTCTTTGTTTCCCGGTCGGGATGGATGGATGAGACGAGTCGTTTGTTGATGGGCTGGCTGTGGTCAAAGCACTTTTGTCTACCTTACAGCTTACTATCTACTATCTATGGCGTATGCGTAGTCTGTATGTACTATGAGCCTGGTCAAAGCGGGGGAAGGTGAACTGCGAGGGGGTCGTGGATTTCTTGATTCGTATCCCTAGCGAAGTGATCGTATTCCAGATGTACATCTACCTCAGAGTGACGATGACATCGGCCTGGCATGGTCACTGGCTCACTTCCAATCTGACGGAGTATATGCTACGAAGTACTACGCCGTAGGAAGAGGTGGGGACCATAGGATCATAGGGTCGTAGGCGTAGGCTCCGAGATGATTATTCTTCCTGCGCCGCATCGGAGCAAAGCCACCTACGGAGCGGTAGGAAATTGTGATCGTGAAGTACCGGCTGATTCTGACTGGTCTTCCAATCATCAGTACTCCGTACTCCGTAGCCAGGGAGTGCTGTACGGAGTACTGGATGGTGATTATGATAATAATCCCCAATAAGCGCCAGACCAGTTCTAGCCTGTCGCTCGGGGCTGAAGCAGCGCTTTGGTCGACGTCTCGTCTCGTAAATGCAAACGGAACTGCGGTTCTTTGTTGGGAAGGATCGGCAGATTGGGGGGGCGTGTGTCAGCCAAGGGTTAATTAAGGCGAAGAATTGGGGAACCGACGACGACGTAGTATGATGGGCACGATGGATGGAGAACGTCAAATGGACCTCGACTATCACCAGCGGTGCCCAGAATCCTACCGAGTAGCCTTCGCCAAAGGAGTGGCTGAAAATGGTCCCGTCCGCGAGCAAGGCGAGGGAGCCAGAAGCGGTGCAAGACTGTTATGGAATGGGATGACTCGCCCGCCCACTTTGATAGACTAACTTACGGAGTAGTTATGGAGTGTAGCTTACCTCCTGCTTGGTAGGATCCCTGTCCCTGGGCCTATCTATCTAGCTTGTGCGTAGCTACGAGCTAGTTGGACTAGGGGCGGACAAAAAGTCACGGTAGGGATTAGTTAGGGAGAAATCCAGAGCAAAAGGTGACCCACCATGCTACTCTCTTTCTCTCTCTCTCTGCCTTTCCTTTTGGCCCCCCTGATCCTGACTGGGCCTTCTGGAATTGTTTTCTCTGGAGTTTTCTAAGGCTAAGGTGCCACCTGTCCGACCAGAAGCTCCAGACGGAAGGGAATGGTCGAGTAAGGGAGCCCCTGCGCTGGCTCTGCCCAAGTGGACCTGCACATGCGTTTCCCGGTCGCTCTCCTGTAATCTCCGGCCTCTGATTTGTAGGCCGATTCGACGATGATCTCAATTGTCCGATGGAATCGTCGATGATGTCGATTCCGGGTGTCGCGCGGAATGTTAATTTCCTTCCTTCCTTTTTTTCTTGTCTTTCGTTTTTTGGATTTTTTATAGTTTTTTGGCGCCTTCCTTTGAACCATCATCTACTCCATACAGTAACTCCGGAGTACGTTAGATGGATGACGGCCTCGGTGGAGAATGGATGAACGTACCGTCCTCCGATAGGAGTAGGGCTACCTTGTTAAGTTGTTCCATAATCTTCTCCTCCCCGATGAACCCGGGCTTTGGTTCTGGGGCTGGTCTGGTCGTCACCGGGGAGAGGAGATTTCTGAACTCGGCATGCATCAGCAGTTCCGGGTACACAAAGAGGCGTTTCCAACTCAATGTTGACTGTACTACGTAGGGAGAGAAAGCACGGATCAATCACAGCCACTGATAGCCCGGCATCGTCATCATTCATCAATATTGGGAAATATGCTGTACGCCATGGAAGGCGGGCGTTTTCCGGCATTCTGATTGCAGGGCAGATCATTTCATTCCCAGCCTTTCGCAAAAGAGAGGGGCCGGCCTCAGGTACAGACAGACCGATAGTCGAACAGTGAGCGGGCTCTAGCCGCTACTAATCGGTCTAGCGAGTCGTGAGTGATTAAAAAAGGGCCGCAGACATGGTTCTGGGAATGGGAATGGGAATGGCCGAAGTTTTATTTTTCTTGGTTGTTTTGATTTTTGATTTTTTTTTCCTACTCCGTAATTATTGCATTAATGCATCTGCGGTTGCCCCTCTCCGCCACTCTGACTGACTCCGTAATTCTTCCTTGTCACTTGGTCGGTCCAACTTGAACTTACTTTTCCATACGCACAGGGTGTGATATGATTGTTGCTGTTGTTGTAGCTGGACTTGTCAGAATCAAACAATAACAGCGAGTAGGTTCCCCCATACATCCTCCATACATAAGAGTTACATGGTTTGGTTCTCCGCACGCCGCCAAAAATTACCACCGAGTAAAACAACGTAACGGAGGCCTTCAAGTCTGATACAAATCCCTGTAGGCGTCCAGTGTGGATCACCACTCCAAGGAATCCCGAGTCTTGTCTTGTCTTTTCTCACTCCGGACTACGCCCAGGAGAACTGGACTAGCCAAGAACTAGACTTAACTGTGAACTTCGCCCGTTTCTTCCGTCCCAGGAGATTGATTGTCTTGTCATCTCCTAACGAGCTAGCCGAGGCTCCCGCTCTCTGTCTCTCACTCAGGTTCCTAAACGAGGGGGGCAGACTACCACGACTAGCGAGTAGTAAGTTTGGTGGCAATTTTGTCCAAGCGGTGTCCGGTGATACGGGCAGAGTGTAAAAAAAAAAGATGGACAGGATGATTATGAAACATCTACTCCACAGTGTATATTAAAATAAACGGGCAGACAGCATCGAATTTTGAGGGACGGGGATTGTCGCGGCTGAGACTTGGATTTTTGGACTCGGAGTTCAGGAGACACAACCTACACGTAGTATGAGCAGGCATTATTACTACGTAGATTAAACCCGTCAAGTGATACTGTGAGACACGGAAGAAAACGATGATCCCAGATCTTCACCGCTGGCGAAATGATTATCTTATCCGGGAGCAGACGATCATCATTATGAGTATGGAGAGGTGCTACGTAAAGATTTTAAAATTAGATCCTGCATTCTTCAAGAATAATAGAGTTACCGGTAGGGCCAGATGGAAAGAAACGCTTGGCATCGCTTGGTCCGAGAGAGATTGAAATCGTAATAAAACTAAAATAAATAAAAAGAAAATCAAACCATGGGGGTCGTTACTAAGACCGCCTATTCTGGACCGGCTTATGACGGGCTGGATTCCAGTTACATCGAGTACGCCGAGGGGGACGGACTCACGTCGAACCACCGGTAACTAGTATAGGCCATGGAAGTTGGAAGTCAAGCACGACTAAGACCTAATAATCCAAGGGTGGTGATGGTAATATGAGGGTAATATATTAAGACCTGACCTATGATGGCCCCAACGGGAGCGGTTGGACAAGGGGGCAAAAGTAACACAAACACAAGGATGGCGGGATAAGCGCCGGCGAGCCCGAAAGGAATCGATCGAAGGATAGGCAATCCGGGACCCTAAAAGCGGTCATGTCCCTTGTCGGGGGTCCTGGTAGGTTCTCCCCTTGTCACATATCCCAGTCCAATTGATGGGGAATGGGAGGAGTCAAATCGCGGGCGGCGTAACGCTCGACTACGGACTCGGTAGGTCTGAGAAGTACTCCGTAGTGGTGTGCGGTCTTGCTTCCCCCCTACTAGTCCTCAGCCTGGAAACCTTGCTCCGTCCATCTCCTCCCGTACCTAGATACGAGAAAGCCCACCGTGGGCAGGAAACGGAAGGGAAGGATCAGGGAAGAGTCTTTGGGACTGTCCCATACATTATTGTAACCCTTGCGTAACGGGCGTTGTGACGCGTTGGAAAATGGTGAACTTGTGGGGACAATCAACGGAGGTGACTCGAAGGGGGTGGAGGGAAAGAAAAATGGACATGGGAAGTTTGGCCAGCCAGTCCACAGGGTTTTTGACGATCGGGTCGGATCGTGGGTCAGAACTTTCCGCTTTTGACTCCGTAGCTGTAACCGACTGTACCGCGACATTCCTGCTTCCAGGAGGAACAGGTACCTGGATATGACTAAGCCCTACTGAGGGGAGGAAAAAAAAAAAAAAAAAAAAGGAAAAAAAGGACCAGGTCACACCAACGACGGGTCCAACCCCTACCGCTTGTGCTAGTCTCCTCCGTATACTGCGTCGAAGTAACCCTCCGTGTCTTTATTACTTTACCGGTTTCGACGGCGGACCTCCAGGCGGACGAAACAAGGTTCTGCTTCTGGCCCAACCGGAGACTGATCACGACGCAGGATGTGATGACCAGATCCCTCGCCAGCCTGACAGTAGACACATCGCACGTACATCCGGATACATGGGTGACATGGAGGTACTTCAGGCCGGGAATCACATACCAGACGTACAGTATGGTAATGAATCATGGACGACCGGGAGCAGCAGCAGCAGCAGCAGCAGCAGGAGAGGCCAAGACTCAGGCCGGCCAGGCGCTAAGGTAGGACCTCCTCCGTAACTCCCATGGGGCTCTCACACGGGCCTTACTGAACTTTAGTTGCGTTTTAGTTTCGGCATGTCCCAGTTCCCAGTTCCCTCCATCCCATTCCCATCACCTGTCCTGGCCTGGTCGGCCCTCCTTGGCTCCTTCGCTATGTTCCTCCTGCCTGGAGTGCCAGTTCCTTCCCGGGAGGGCCAATCAGCTGCCCGTCGAGCCCATTTCCTTTCATTACGGTGGATTGCGGTTGGAGTCACCTCAATTTCAAACTAATTGCTGATTGCCAATGGGTCTGATCATCCCCACCATCAACATTATTCACTGGCTCCCCACCTCCAACCGCCAACAACCACCATTCCCATGGGTCCCAGGGAAGTCCAGAGTGTCCGGCCCAGGGATTGTCGCTCGACCGAGTAAGACTTTCAGCATTACGGCGGGGGAAGGAAAAAAAAAAGTAAAAATTCGGAAATGAAACTAATCACCGTCGAACCAGTCAGAACTGGAATCGGGAGAATTGCCATACATGAGGAGGTTCGACAAGGGACAACAAATAAGACAAAGAAGGATAAAAATAAATGGAACAAATGGGATAAATAGAGTGAATATTAATCAATGAATAAATGAATCAATGGATATTGGATATTGGATTGGATACATTGGAAACAAACAAAAATCATATATTTTATTTTCTTACAGGAAAAAAAAATAAAATAAAATAAAGAAAAAAAAAACAAGTGGAGACAGCATCGTGTGGCATGGGCGCATCTGAATCATTTTCCATCCTTCCTTCCTGCCTTCCTGCCTTTCCCCTAGTTACGCCGTGGTTAACTTAACTGTCCGTCGCCTGGGCCCCATTCCCCACCGCCGCTATGCCCCTTTCGTTAGTGTCAACGTCGTCGGGTGTCATCCCAACGTGTGTACAAATGGGATCGTGGAGCTGGGGCGGATGGTAGATCAAGCAATGCGTTCCACTTTCGTGTATCACTCCCCCTAGTTTCCTGTTGCCTTTTTCCTTTTGGTCCTTGGGTCTGGGTGGGCGGAAATTCTAAAATCGAAAAATAAAATAAAATCCTAATCAAATAATCCAAATGCCTGGTTTAGGTAATGGTCCTCCACATCGCTGCCGGTCCGTCAGGGTATGTTACCTACTTAGGAGGAGGCACTTGCTTCCTGTACCTTGCCTCAATGCCTTGTGACCCTCTCACCCCTGTGTCATCTTTGAATGATAAGTCTCGAATCCCGATCTAATTATTGCATCTTGCATGCCTGCAGTTTTCCATGGATCCTATCTGCATTGAATATTCCTTATAAGCTCTGCCTTCACTTGCCCTCACTACTTCTTTCTCTCTCCCCTCTCCACCTCTTTAACCTTCTGCCTTCTACTTCTTCAACTATGTTCATTCACAACGTCCACTGTACTCCCGTCTCTTCTTAAATACGCGCCACATCCTTCAATCGATCCTCCCTCTCACCAACCATCCTACACTTTTCTCATCCATCTCTGTCCCAATGGCCGACTGCTGGCAACCTCAGCCCTCGTGGACTGGCTCCCACTGGTATCAAGGCCAGCCAAGTCTACGCTCGTCAACCTTCCGTAACCTGGTGTCTGCCTTTCCCAGACCTAGACAGACTGGCCGAGTGACGAAACCCCGGAGCGCCGGCAACAGCCCGACCCATACCGGGAGAAGGAGGACGACAGTGTCCAACAGCTCTCCCATGTACCGTCACCTGCCGACTCAAAACTACCAAGCGCCCTATGATCCAGCTCTCCTGGCTGCCGCCTTTCATCGAAACACGGCCACTCGACCAATCAGCTGGCACCCGGCATCGCTAGGGACCGCCACCTACCCGGAGAACTTCCCGACCACGGCTCACAATGATATGGAGGTTATGGGGATGGCGTCGCAGCCACTGGATGTTTCGCCGCCCGTCATGACGAATGCGAACATGTTGCAACCATACGCGCTCCCGAATGTCCCGATGTCGACTGATGCGTGCTTCCCTGGCATGCAATATACAACCTCCATTCAACAACCATCGCTCATGGGAATGAGTGATCCAGTCGCATGGGACACCAATGAAGCTCACACGTCGAGCATCAACCAGCCCATGTCCGACAACTGGGCCTTCGATATGATGTCCATGAACAACAGTATGCCTTCGGCCGACGTGGCGGGATCCGGGTACGCGAGCGCTCCGTCGTCCGGTTGTTTATCTGGACCCTCCACCCCCGACTTCCTCCCGATCCAGCAGCCTGACGATAACTCTCTCCCATTATCTGTCGCCACCGTTCCCAAGCCGAAAGCCGAGGAGGAACTAGTCGGAATGGGTCTTTACAACCACCCCGATTCCCTATTTGAAACTTTTGAAGGTCTTTCGGGCAAAGGCCTCAAGCTAGAGGAGACCTTCACCCCTTCTGCGGAAAACGAGGCGGATGACACCAAGGACGCTGAGAATGAGGACGACGACGAACTGGACATCGGCAAGGAACAAGTTTCGGTTCACATTCCGCCGTCGGACTCTAAATTGTACCACCCTGTCAAATCGGCGGGAAACATGATGCACAAATCATTCTTCTTCGACGATGACGACTTCGATCAGCAAGCTGTTCCCGGATCTCAGCAGATCTTCAACCTGGGTCAGCCTTGCATGAATTACGGATATGGATGGATTTGATCTGTCCGCGCTCAGTCTTTTACCTGCTTCACTTTGTACTTTGATATCTTTCAGCGATGCATAGCGTGGTGTTTTTGAGTTTTATGGCGTTACTTTGTATGAATGGTATACCCAAGGATGGCTGTCTGAACAATTTTAGCTTTTAGACTCGAGCATTAGAAACTTTTGATCAATGTCACAAGAAATAACCGATGACGAATTCCACTTGAAAATAGTTCTCAGATGTTGACGATGCAGACCCCGAAACATTCCATTGTATCATTTGGACGTAAGTGATTGTTAGACGCAGGAAGGTTGGGGTAGGAATAGCGGCCGAGACCCGGAAGGAAAAACTATCCACCGCCCATAAAAATCGCAGCATACAGTACCAGCATGACCCTCCAATGATATTTCCCATTCGGCTGCTTTTAACCATCTCCCAAAGACCAAGAAGAAAATGGCGAAAGTCGTCTTCTCGCCATGGAAGGATCAGTCCCAGTTAGTTGCCGTGCGCAACCAGTTCTATCCCTCCCCATCCCACGATGGGCCGGACATGCGGTCCAAGGCCTGCGCCACGGTAACATCATCTCCCACTCTAGATCTATATCCTAGTGCGGTGACTGACTCGAACGAAGGTTGAGTCGTGGAAGTTGCGCGGGAATCTCCCCCATCCAATCGAAGCCACGGCGCTGCTGACCGACGCCATTCTCCATGATGACTCTTTCAAAAACTCAATCTTCTCTATCCGAGCCACCTACGCTGCTGCTTTCTGTCGGTATGTGCTCAACCCCGTCTTACCGGTTACGTGGACTTGAGAGCCCAGGCTCAGGCTCAGGCTCAGACTCTGCCGCAGACCTGATTCTGACCCGGTTTAGATTCGTGACGGGCCTTGTGGACTCGAAACTGGCCGGCCCGCGGAAAACTATGTTCCAGAGAGCCGTGGATCTCGGATTACCGGCCTCTTTCGTCGAACTGCGACACGAGGCCACCCATCGTGAGCTGCCGTCGCTCATTGTTCTGCGGAATGCCGCCCAGCGGTCCCTCGAGTGGCTCTGGGATTACTACTGGGCCAAGACGGACGTGATCGCCGCGTTTGCGCCGATGGCCGATGTCGCGAACGGCGTTGCGGGCGATGACTTGGACCCTGTCCATGCTGCTGTTCGGTCGAGCTTGGATCCGCTACTGAGGGAGGAGGAGTCGTCCGAGCCGCCGCAGAAGAAGAGGAAGGTCCAGCAGCGTTTGTCTTCGGTTGCGACGCAGCTGGTTGCGACATGCAAGGATTCCGAGCAGGGGGCGGTGGGGCTTTCCAGAGTTCTGCTCGATGAGCCAATCTTGGTTCCTGCTGGGAAAAAGTGCGATATTCCTTTTCTCTACGAGGGATTTGAAATGCTAACTCGCGTTGTAGGGTGGATGACTCCGTACCCGAGAGTTTTACAAAGTGGGATCGCTTCCTGCAGACCATTACCGAGGGATATCCGGCTTTCTTAACGGCACTGACGGAAGAAATGATTAATATTCTTGCTTTTACGGAAACATCGGAGACCAAGAATGATGGTCGTTGCAAAGGGATCTATCTGTGGCTGGACCACATTTTGAGGTCGACAGAATGGGAGTCCCAGAGGCGGCTGCTCTCGCTTGCTTACATATCGGCCGTTTGCCAGGAGCATACGAACCAATGGACGGCAAAACTGAAGAAGCAGATACCAAAGGAGATTAATGCGGTGCCCCAATTACCAAAGAGTCTATCACTCTCTGGCACAGACGAGTCTGTGTCGAACGCAGCAGGAACGAATGATGATCTGAATGAACTAAAGAAGTTTGGATGGGAAACTGCAGATGCATGGAACAGCCGACCATTAGGAGTGGTATAATCAAAAAGTATATAGAATGAAACATCAATATTCATATTTTCCTTAATCTTCTTCTGCAACACCATGGCGATGTTTGTCAAAACTGCAAACATCCAACTTAGCCACAGAATGTTGATTGCCAGATGCGGACTAGTGTATAAGCCACAGTCACCGGCGTGGCTGACCCAAACCATCAGCCTATGAGGTAATGGCTATAACAATCCCACCAGTGCAACGGATTATCAACACCCCGCATCTGCTCAGTCTAATTACCAATCCATCGTCCATGAGCTTCACAAGAGCCATTCAATCCTCCATTGGATCCAGCTTGAAAAACAGATTCCCACTTGCTTCTACGCGTCTACCTAGACAAGCTGTCAGAGCCATGCATGTTCAATCGATTCCCATGTGTAAGCTACCGGATTTTATACATGTCCTGCAAATCTATCTTTTGTACTATTTGAGTTGGTTATTCTTGTGTCTGACAATGGACAGGGACCGGGAAGGGCAACAACTATGCCTACCTGGTGACTGATGAGCCGACGAGGCAGTCTGTGATCATTGATCCGGCGAATCCGCCTGAGTATGTGACGCCACTGCCACTGCCACTGGATAGCTGGCCGCGGAAGTGTCATCTCACGAGACTGACTGGATTGACTGCAGGGTGATCCCGGAGCTGGAGAAGCAGCTCCAGGCCGGAAAGATCGACCTCACGGCCATCGTCAACACTCACCAGTATGTCGAGCCTTCTCTCCATTCTACAGCGAAATTTTCATGAATAATCATACTGACGTCTATAAAAGCCACTGGGACCATGCTGGCGGCAACAATGAACTGGTAATCGTTAATCTGGATATCTCACTCCAAAAACCTCCACATCTAACATAACATCCCTACAGCTAGACAAATTCGGCAAACTGCCCGTCATCGGAGGCAAGAACTGCCAGTCTGTCACGCAGACCCCGGCGCACGAGGAATCATTCAAGATCGGCGAGCGCATCTCCGTGAAGGCACTACACACTCCCTGCCATACGCAAGATAGCATCTGCTATTTCATGCAGGATGGAGAGCAGAAGGTGGTTTTCACCGGAGACACGCTGTTCATTGGAGGTGAGTTATCCGAGTTATTCTCTCCTGCTGCAACCTGATTCCATTCCGTGAAGTTATCTTGGAACGAACACTGCCCTGAACCAAGAGATCTGGAACTTTCAATGCTAACTAATCCGCTTCCCAGGATGCGGCCGTTTCTTCGAAGGCACGGCCCCGGAAATGCACAAGGCGTTGAACGAGACCCTCGCTTCTCTACCCGACGACACGAAGGTCTACGTATGTTGCCCTTCTCATCCTATAGATGCAATGTGAAGAGTGGCTAACCGATCAACTATACAGCCCGGCCACGAGTACACCAAGGGCAATGTGAAATTCTGCATCGCCGTGTCGCAATCCGAACCGATCAAGAAGCTGGAGGCGTTTGCGGAGCAGAATAAGGAAACGCAGGGAAAATTCACGATTGGTGATGAGAAGGTATGTCCTCTCTCCTCAGCACTTTCTGGTTGAGTTGTAGTTATTGACCAGAATTATAGCTTCATAACGTGTTCATGAGGGTAAATGTAAGCTTTTCACCCATATGCTTAGTCTTACAGAGTCATACTGACGTACATTCAGGACCCCGAGATCCAGAAAAAGACTGGAAAGACAGATCCCGTGGAGGTTATGGCTGCGTTGCGGGAAATGAAGAATGCTATGTAAGGTGGGCATGATGTTTTGGGCGTTGTTGGTGGGAAGTGTAGAGTAGGTAGGTAAACTGTAGTGGCACTTGCAGGAGCGTTGGATCATCGTTGTATTAAGCTTAGTAACTATGACTTGGCTTTCCAACGCCGTTTTCTGAATATTCCCGAATAACTCTTCTCTTTCTGATTGGTACAAGAACATACCTACTTGGTTCTGTCAGACAGAGAACAAGCCATGGCTATGTAATGGCCTGCTCTATCATCGTGACGTCAGGCCCTGTCTCCATTCACCTGTACACAACCAGGCACTTTCAGAGACCCAAGTATATAAGCAAACCAATATCCTTCCTATATTCATAAAACAACAATAGTAACCACACCCCTAGATATTGAATACCCCTCCAGCAAAATGTCCAACACCGAATCCAACACCGAATCTAACATCCCCACCGACTCCAACAACGTCCCAGGCTGCCCACTATCCACGAAAAGCCATGTCCTCGAGACAGGAGCCAGCATGGCCCAGGACTTCACCCCCGTCAAGCAGATCTGCGCACACCTGAACGCGTTCCACGTCTACGCAGACGATCCGACGCGGTGCGTCGAGGCGAATCATTACTGCGCGCATGTTACGGAAGGTTAGCACCTACCCAGACCTAGTAGACCCGGTGCATATCCAGACCTAGAATCCACATCCTAACACCGAACCAACCACTACAAAGACGTCCGCCAATGCCTCCTCTACGACACGCCCCACCCCAACGCCAAACTCCTCGGCATCGAATACATGATCACGCCACGCCTCTTCCGGACGCTGCCCCCTGAGGAGCGCGCGCTCTGGCACACGCACGAGTACGAAGTCAAAAGCGGGATGCTGGTCATGCCGCTGCCGAGTACGGCGCCGGTGCCCAGCGCAGCGTGGGACGCGGCCGAGACCGCGGAGATGAGAGACGTTGCGCCGCTGTATGGCAAGACGTATCACTTTTGGCAGGTCGATCGGGGCGATCCGGTGCCGTTGGGGGCGCCGAAGCTGATGGGAAGTTTTGTGTCGGATGAGGCGGTTAAGGGGGCTTGTGGGGAGGGGGGATTGGGGGTGTTGTGTGAGGAGAGGGATCGGAGGTTTGGGGTTGATTTTAGGGAGAAGAGGGAGTTGAGGAAGGGGATTGAGAGGGTGGAGAGGGATCCGGGTGAGTTTTCAGTCGGTGGATTTGGGTGGGGTTGGAAAGGGCTAACTGATTGATAGATGCCGATGCGATGTGGAATCAGAAAGGCAGGTAATGTGATGTTTATTAGGATGAAGATGAAGTGAGGATGCATTGGTAATGTTTATATTGAAAGTATAAGTCTAAGAATGTCTCCCATCGTTACCACTCAGCATCCCATTCCCATAGTTGAATGGGGTCCACGCCGAGCTATCGTTCAGGGATACGACCACCGAAGTGATCGCGGGTGTCAATCTTGCTTCACTGTCCACACTCGCGCGTTCTGGTGTTTAATTTCGGCAACGACGAGCTCTAGCAATTTTAGAAGCGGATAACAAGTGACGAGGAAGGTCATGGCCTTCCGTGTGTACGGGGGTTTCTAGATGAAATGCAGTATGCCATGGTACCATAGCCAGAGCCTAGACACATAAATCTTGAGGCAGAGGCAGGAAGCCGAAGACAGACCCGGATGATCAGGTCGCCTCGAGGCAATCAGACAAATTCATCATGTCGACATTTGATCCTTCAACAAGGACACAGCTGCATGAACATCAAACCCAACCAGCAAAGTGGCTGTGGAAGAGAAAGTCCAAATCGCATGCAGAAAGAGAAGAAGAAGCAGGATAGAATTGCGCACACAAATCCGAGTTTTTAAACGGGCCCGCACGTGACCCTCCCGGAGCTCCGCCGCCAATCAGTCAGCCAATTCCACCTCCGAGATCAAGAACGTCAGGGCAATAGCAATACCTCCCCACACGAAATGATCCAAAGCTAGGACCTGGACCTTCATGGAGCGAATTTTCCGAACCGGCCTGCGAAGGGCCACCCCCGGCGCCGTCTTCCGCCTGACCCTCGACGGCCTGGGTCTCTTCTGCGCCTGTACGCTAGTCTGGGAGCATCTGATCACCGTGCAGCTCAGCGAGGGCCCTTCGATGTACCCGACCTTCAGTCCGAGGGGCGATTACCTGTTGATCTCGCGGGTGCACAAACACGGCAAAGGCATTGAGGTGGGCGATGTGGTGCGATTCTACCATCCTACGTTTCTGGGAGTCAATGGCGCCAAGAGGGTTATTGGGATGCCCGGGGATTTTGTCTGTCGGGACTTGCCGTTCAGCACGGAGGTTGGGAAGGGGCAGGAGATGATCCAGGTATGATTGGAGGTCCTCGGGGTTACGATTTCGGTGGATATGTTTGCTGACGAGTTGCTGGTATAGGTGCCTGAAGGCCATGTGTACGTGGGTGGTGATAACCTTCCCTGGTCGAGGGATTCGAGAAATTACGGCCCTATACCGATGGGACTGATCAATGGGAAAATCATCGGTCGCGTCTGGCCGCCTTCGAAGATGCAATGGGTGCGCAACACGATGCAGCCGGCCCAGCTGTCCGACGACTGATTCGCCCTCATCTTGTATACATACAACGGAGTTTGGAGTTCCGACTGGAAGGTTGGGAAATTGTGGGAAATTTGTGCATATTCATACATATCAATTGTACAGTACATAGCGAGGACCGAATGATAGAAACACCAAGAGACGCAAAAAAGGGAGAAAAATGCGGGTGAGGGTTCACCGGAAGGTCGAGGGGTTTCTCCTCTTGTAAGGAAGAGCCTCGCTCCTCTTCCGGCGAAGCTCCAAGTCTGCGTCGGCATATCCAATCTGCTTCATCACGGCGGCCATGGTCTCATCCCACTGGGTTCGGAACAGGTGCGCGCTAATGGCCTTCAGGTGATAGCGGGCCTGGAGGGTTCGTAGTAGCAGGTTGTCGCGCTCCGTTTCCTTAGCCTTGACGGCAGCGAAGTCCAATGGTTTCGAGTCCTTCTGCTCCATAATGAAGACGGACAGTCGGTGGTAGGGACTGCCCTTCTGAGCCACAGGGGGCACCCACGGCAGAACCACCTGGGAGTCGGTCGAGAGGCTGCCGAGATCGACCTTGTTCGAGGTGACCGAGATGGGGACGTTAACGGCCAAATACTGCATCTTGTAGTCAAAGCCGTCCTTCTCGACGTTGGGGATATCGGAGTCGACGACGGCAACGGTCACAAGCTTCTCGCCCTGCTCGAAGAGCTGCACATCAAGCTTGGGGGCAACCATGCTGAGCTGCGAGTTGACGAAATCTCCCGGCTGCACCGCATTTCTGCCAAAGTACAGCTTGGTGTCCGCCACGGGGTCGCAGTGGGGAAGAACGTCGGGGATGACCTTCATCTGCGTGATGCGCTGGACCAAGATCTTGCGTCGGTATTCCCTCCACTTCCGATCGGCCAAGAAACGATAGATGGGTTTGCTCATGTCACCTGCGAATCGAAGGGTTGGTTAGATCGTACACTTGGGTATGTTATCGCGTCGAAATCCGGAGTTCTCACCCTGTCCATCCTCGAACTTCTTCTTCACTATCGGATCGTTGATGTCGGCGAGAATCTTCAGATGCTCGAGATGGCGTTGCATAGCCCCGAGCTTCGACTTTTTCACCTGCTCCCCGCCGGCTTCCTCCGTGGGGATGGCCTCGAGCCGGGCGATCTTCTCCCTCATTGCCGTCACATCCTTCAGTTTCTCTGCGCGGTCGCCAATCAGAACATTACGGGCCTCCTGGAAACACTGGTACGGCAATTGTTCGAAGGGGATGTTGGCCGAGTTCTGCAGGGCCGCACGACGTCGACGGGAGCCGATAGGAGAGATACCCTGTCGTAGCAATCGCCGTTCCAGTTGAGGGCTCGAGACCAGCTCCGGGTCGGGGGATTTGTGAAATGGCTGGCTCTTAGTTTCCGTCTGAGCTTCCTCGCGAGCAAGGGCCGTTGTTTGGAAGGCCCGGGTCGACTGCAGCTGGAGGCCGGGGAGGCCTCTGCTAGCCTTGTGGAGGCATTGGAGCAAAGGCTTCGAAGCCCGCTCACAATGGGCCATCGTGACGGGGATTGAAAGGCGTAGGGAAAGGAGGAGCGAAGAGGAAAGGTGTCGTGGTGACGGGCGGCCGAAGGTGGATGAGATCGAATTGGCGGAGGGAACTTTTTTCGCGGACGAAAAGCCAAGCCTCAGCGGACTAGCGCCATCTGAACTTTTGCTGCTTCACCTGCCCCAACCCCATATTCTCGCCCACTCTTCCCACGCCGCCACGGGCCCTGCACACCTCACAATGCCTGGAAACGACGCATTGCGAGCCTTGAGATGGCTCTCTCGCAGCTCCGGCGGTCTTCTCTCGGGGTCTGAGGCCACAACGGTACAGCCCCTTCCCTTTCCCTTTTCCAATCACGCCCGTCGTCCATCTCATCAGGAGAGCATCAATTAAACTAACTTCTGACGGTGTTTCTCCCTGCAGCAACGATGCCTATCGAAGACTTTTTCGCGATCGGTATCCTCGGAGACCCAGACCTCCTCCAACAATTCCGCCTCCAGGCCAATCTGGACCCCGGCACCCGCCCAAGCCACCACCTACTCCTTCCCCTCCATGGAGCCCCTGCGTTTTGTCGAATACCCCCAGAACCATCTCCTCGTGCCGCTCCGGAAGGATCTGCTTCACCGCGCGGTCGTGTACGAGGGTGACATGACCCGACAGGGCACCGCCAGCACCAAGTGGAGGGACGAAGTGCACGCCAGTCACCGGAAGGTGCAAGCGCAGAAGGGATCCGGCCGGGCGCGTGTCGGAGACAAGACCTCGCCGATTCGCAAGGGTGGTGGTGTTGCGTTTGGTCCTCACCCCCGCGACTTTTCCACGGGTCTCCCGCAGAAGATCTACGACCAGGCGTGGCGGATAGCCCTGAGTTACCGATACCGTCGTGGCCAGTTGATCATCATCGACAACGAGATCGCCATCCCCGAGGGTGCCACCGCGCATCTGGTCAGCGAGATATTCAAGGTCAACGGCTGGGGTCGGGAGCACGGACGGTCGACGTTAATCACGGATCGCGTGGACGAGGAATTGTTTGAAACGGTGCGCAGCGTGGGCCAGCATGCGAAGATCTTGGACCGAAAGGACCTGGATGTCAAGGACATTTTGGAGACGGGACGGTTGATCATCGAGAAGAAGGCGTTGGATACCATTCTGGCTCAGCATTCGAGAGATTTGACCGCCAAGGTTGCGAAGGCCTTGTATTGATTGCATGCCTGACTGGAGGATGACTCCAGTATTGGCTTTTTTGGGGCGAAGAACGGTTATTTATCTGTACAAATAGATTCGAGTTATGTATGAATTTGTCTACTTTGGACTGCGGTATAGGATTGTATTCATTGCACGCCTAAGGGTATTGATTGCCTCCCGGAACTGGATGGAAGACGATAGCAGGAATTATGAACATGTACACTCGTTCTGCTAAATATTGGAACGATGCTACGGAGTATGATGCTGTCGAAATAAGTATGTCAGGGCCTCTACAGGAAGGGCCATGGCCAGTATGGCGACCACCACAATAAACCCAATATTACAAAAATTTACAAATAAGCATCAAAGCCAGAATACTTGACAATCTCGTTCCCATAAATTCCACATGTTCCAAGGTCCAACAGGCTGGCGGTAACTCGGCAGTTGAGCAGCTCGGAAGTCGAGGAAAATCCCTCCGCGAAAAACTCCGAGGTCAAGCGAAGCGGAGATCTCATACTTTCTGCTGCTCGTCATCAGTTCCTCCCTCTCTCCACACCCCCCCGTTTTTGGTCCTTTCTCTTCCCTTCTTTTCTCCCTTCCTTCCCAGGCCGAGTTCTGCCTGATGTTACTCCGCAATTTCTCCCGGTTACCAACACCGTCGAGCTGGATCTCGCGGGCTTCAACAACCATGCCTTTGCGCGCTAAGGTGACAAACCCAGCTTTCAGGACGGCGGCTCCTGTACGTTTTCCCAATGGTGTCGATGCTTTGAATCTATGGGACCAGACGGAAATGCTAATGGATGGGTACCTAGATGTCGACCTCCGCAACCCTTCCCACAGAGCTCCCCGGCGACGAGCCCGACGATGTCCTCTTCAATTCCCTCTACGGCGTGCGCTTGATTGAGCTCAACCGGCCTCAAAAGCTCAATTCCTTGAATGGTTCGATGGCGCGGAAGATCCTTCCTCGACTGAAGGTTAGCTTATTTTGCCCCTCTCCCCGTGGGAATATTCATATACGACTGGAACGCGATTTGCTGAAGGTTGCTGGGATATCGATAGGAATGGGAAAAATCTCAACTCGCCAATGTGATCATGGTCAGTGGCGCCGGACCCAAGGCCCTTTGCGCTGGTGGAGACGTCGCCGCTCTGGCTCTGCAGAATGAACAGGGCCCCGAGGGTCAGCAGAAGTCGACCGATTTCTTCGGCCTTGAATACGGCCTCGACCATACCATCGCGACATACACGAAGCCCTTCATCTCCGTCATGGACGGTATCACGATGGGCGGCGGCGTTGGACTCAGTGTCCATGCCCCCTTCCGCATTGCCACGGAACGCACCCTCTTCGCCATGCCTGAGACCACCATCGGCTTCTTCCCCGACGTCGGTGGCTCGTTCTTCCTGCCCCGTCTTGACGGCGAGACTGGAACCTACCTCGCCTTGACTTCGGAGCGCCTGAAGGGTGCTCAGGCCCTGTACGCCGGCGTGGCCACGCACTACTTCCACTCCAGCGTGCTGAGCAACCTCACGGGCCGTCTGTCGGAGCTGGTGTTCAACGACACTGCCACGCTCCCGGAGCGTCTGGACCTGGTCAACAAGACCATGGCGGAATACTCTACCGGCCTGCCGTCGCAGCGGGAGGAGCCCATGCTGCTGGCCGGCAGCCTGCGGGAGGCCATTGACCGCTGCTTCGCGTTCAACACGGTGGAGCAGATCTTCGAGGCCCTGGAGAAGGAGACCCAGCTGGAGAACGGTCAAAAGGAGTGGGCGCAGAAGACGCTGGAGACGCTGTCGGTGCGTTCGCCCACCTCGCTGAAGGTGACGCTGCGCCAGATGCGTCTGGGCAAGAGGTGGTCCATCGCCGAGACGTTCCAGCGGGAGCACGCCATCGCCGGCAATTTCATGAGACACCCGGATTTCGTGGAGGGCGTGAAGGCGCGTCTCATGTCCAAGCCTCCCCGCCAGGCTGCCTGGCAACCCGCCACCCTCGCCGAGGTCACGCAGGCGGATGTCGACAGCTTCTTCCAGATCCCCGAGGGCGAGAGCCGACTGCCGCTCTTCAGCGATGAAGACTTCGACCACTACCCGCACGCGCAGTACGGCCTGCCCACGCAGAAAGACATTGAGGAATTTGTGTTCAATGCCAGCGGTGACCGTCGCGAGATCGTCAACAAGTTCCTGACCCAATGGGGCAACAAGGAGGGTGTGCGCCAGAAGGTGTCGGAGGTGCTGGCCAGATGCACCATCACCCTTGGAGATGGCACTGTGGAATGGAAGAAGAAATAGAGTGGATGTGCTTTGTTGTCCGTGTAGTTTTTATCAGTTCCTTGCATATGGATGGATATCAGTATAATAAACAGGTTTTGTTTTCCTTGGTTGTTTGCCGTGTATTGTATCTCAGACTTTTAGTTAGACTTGAGAGTCAAACAAAATTTCATTCAGCTCAGTTCAATCTTGAGTCAATCTGAACAAATACAATTATCTACGTCTTCCGCAATGCTATTCAACCAGGAGTATTGCTCTGCTCATTTACCTATGGAGTGTACATGTTTATATTTAGTCACTAGCCTTGCTGCAACTTCTCAGAAGGCATGATTGAAATAAATGATATTGATCTCATACTAATAGTATTAGCAATATTCTAACCTATCAGATAACAGATCAAAATACCTTTAGCTCTATAGAGGATTGAAATGAAATGATACGAAATCACGCCACGTGCCGAACTGCGGGGAACGCGCCTTCCCTTTCGGGGCCACTCGAAGGAGAAGGTGCGAGGGGCATTTCCTTCCAGTGCCATGATTCTCTCGCCATCATGGAGGTACCGACTCCTCCCTTCTCCCTTCTCCCTTCCCCCTTCATCCCTTCTTACTTTCCCAGCTGACTCAATCCCCTCACAGGCTTCTCCTCCCAAAGCACGGGGTTCGGGCCGATCAGGTCCCCGCAGACGCACTGGCTGCCTAACTTGCCGAGCACGCAAGGTACGCTGCGACGAAGTCAAACCTAACTGTGCCAATTGCGTTCGCCTGCGTCTACAATGCAGCTACAAGAACATCGTCCCGGGTCTAGTCCCTCGGCACAATGCTCGTGTTCAGAAACAAGGTCGGACGGCTGTCTCGCCGGCTCCTGATCGTCCGGACCTGAACTTTTTTGACACAGTGCTGCGGCCAGATGAGCGTTGTCGGCGGTCCTCACATGCCCATCTCACGGAGCATGGTCAACAAGAGCCGCTAGAGGGCCCAATGCGGTCTATCTCCACAGATTTCCATGGAGCTTTTGATATTCTTGGATTCATTGGGGAGATTAATTCCGACTTGGAACAGAAACATCTCGATCTGGAGAATGGGCTGTCTGATTTTCCCCTGGTTGATGATGTGCCATCTCCAGCACAGACTAAGAGTCGACTGGTCGAAGACGTACCTACCGTCGATAGTGGCTATTCAGATGCTGTGCAAAATGACGCCCCTGTTGACATGAGCACATGGCCTGAAACAAAGTCAACGTATGAAGAACAACTCCTAACGGATTTTCTTCAATCAGAGGCACCTCCGGCAATTTTTGGATCGGTAGATCTCGAATGGAGCTATGTCCGTGGGGTAATTGTCGCCCTTTCGACTGAATGCAGCGCCTTGTTGAATAGCATCTACTGCTACTCTGATGTTCGCAAGGCCATGAGAGAAGGGAAACGGTGGCGGATGGCGCCAACCTTTCACCAGCAGGCGAACTCGAAGATTCAATCATATCTCCAAGGGGCAGTGAACTCTTCAAAGTTGAAGCGGATATTCACCGCCGTATTTCTACTTATGATGACCGAGGTTTGACTCATTTGCCCCGTCCCCAATTCGCATCTTACACTAACAGGAACAAGTTGATGTCTACTCCCGAATTATGTCGTCCAGAAACATCCTACCTCCATTCGGCCTACCTCTTACTGCAGCAATTCCACGATCAAACAAAACCATGGACCGGATTCGGCCATCTCATCGTCTCATGGGTATCTCTTCTCGACGTCAAAGCCCTAATTGCCGGACGCGAAGGCGATCCTCTCTTCGACCTCGGTACTCTTTCTAGCACAACCAGCAATAATCGTAAACCAAGTCCTCCCAACGATGACCAGGAAGAAAGTCCCCTTTTTTCCCAGCCTGCCTACCTTGTTCAAAATTCCATCATCGCCCCGGCCTTCCATTTCTTCGCGCAAACCCAACAAGTGATCCGCCGTATCGTCTCCATCGACCTCCACCACCGCAGCCGCGGCACCGTCAGCGATGAATTCGAAGTTCTCCAAATCGCCCATCAGGTCAACGCAGACCTTGAATACCTCTGGAACACTCGTCCCCGCGTTCTAGATATTTACAACCACCCTGAGACCCACCTCTTTGCAACACTCCGGTCCGACGTCGCTAGTCAGATCTGTCGTGTCTTCCGCCAATATGTCGCCAACTTCCTGGCAATCTTCATTTATCTACACCGCGTTGCGTTCGTCATCTACCCACGTACAGATCGCGTGCATCGGGCCGTCGACCAGATCATTCAGCTCGCCACGGTGGAAGCTGCGAGTGCGTCGCACCACACTCTGTCGAGTAGTTTTCTTTGGCCACTGTTTGTAGCGGGGCTGGAAGGTTCGCATGAGCAGCGCGCATGGATTATGGATGCCATGCACCGGATGGCTGGTCTATCAGATATCCAAGAACATGGAAAAGAACAAAATGAAGATAAGGACCAGGACCAGGACCAGGACCGAAGTCGTGGTGATCAGATTGATGCTGCTGTTTGTGCAGACGACACAATCTCATCCCAGCGTCATCCTAATGCATCCAGAGCGCTTCTTCTGCTAGAAGAGATGACCAGACGGCAGGATACGTCTCGCACATGGGCAGATTCACGATGCGTACGACGGGAGATGTTCACTGATTTCTTCGTGATGATATAATCCATTCTTGTAGATATAGCGTAAACGTTCACATGTAAATAAACACACATCTCATCAATCATAACCATAAACATACACATAGCATAGAATAGCATTTCCCTACCATTCACATGGTAGAAAAGACGCAGAGCCTAGAACGGCTTAACCACCCTCTGCATCCGCGGCGGCTTCCGCATAAACTTCTCCGGCTCATCTCTCGCCCCCTTCTTCCAATAGTCATACTCCATCCATGCATTCTCCGGCATCTGCGCCTCTGTGGCCTCCAAGAACTCGCCCAGGTCCGGATTCAACGGGATCACACCTGTCTCGATGACGTACTGATCCCAGAGCTTCAGCAACTGCTGCAGGCGGTCCGGCTGCGACTCCGCCAGATCATGGATCTCCCCGGGGTCGTCGACCAGGTTATAGAGCTGCCAGCGCTCAGGGCCCTTCGGCTTCGGGATGTAGACGATCTTCCAGTCGCCGAAGCGCAGGGCCGCACGACCACAGGTCTCCCAGCCCTGGATGAAATCCTTGTCGTGAATGCGAGAGGCCTGGCCGCGCGCCCAGTCGTAGAAGCTGGCACCGCGCATGGGGACGACCTCGCGGCCTTGGTAGCGGGGTGCCGGGTGCGTGGCGCCGGCCATTTGGAGGATGGACGGGGCGAGGTCCATGACGGTTGCGAACTGGTCCGTGATGGTGCCGTTGCGGGCGTGGTCGGCAACGGGGACGGAGGCAGGGAAGCGAGCGAGGAAGGGCACTCGGACGCCGCCTTCGGTGGTGAAAGCCTTGTAGAGGCGCGAGGGGGCGGTGGCGGCCTGGGCCCAGCGTGGCCCGTACCAGATGAAGGAGTCGCCGTTGCCGAGATTGTCGAGCGAGTTGTTGTAGTATTGTTGGAGGTGGGGCATGACGCCGCTCTGGACCATGGGATAGGCTTCGTAGGCGGCACCCTCGGCGCCGTTGTCGGAGAGGAAGCAGACGAAAGTGTTGTCGAGCTCGCCGATGGAGGAGAGGTAGTCGACGACTTTGCCGACGTTGGCGTCGATGCACTCGACCATGCCGGCGAAGACTTCCATCGCGGTACTGGAGAGTTTCTTCTCTTCGGGCGTGAACTCGTCCCACGGCTTGACTTCATCGGCGTCGACGGGGTGGGCCTCGACGTCGGGACGCACCATGCCGAGTTCCTTCAGGCGCTGGAGACGCTTGAGGCGGAGGGCGTCGGGCCCGTCGTCGTATACGCCGCGGTAGTGGTCGATGTACTCGCGAGGGGCCTGGAGGGGCCAGTGGGGGGCTGTGAAGGGGAGGTAGGCGAAGAAAGGTCGCTCGTCCTCCCGGTTATGCCAGTCACGGAGGTAGTCGACCATCTTGTCGCCGTAGCCGTCGGACGAGTACCAGCCGTCGGGCAGCTTCTTCACGTACTTGTCGTCTTCCATGTGCAGGGCGATGGTGCTGGCTTCGAGGAAGGTGGGCGTCTCGTCTTTGCCCTGCAGCTGGGGCTCGTAGGCGTAGTGGTTGGAACAGGCAGGCAGATGGGCCAAGGACCGGTCAAAGCCGCGATGGAAGGGCGAGCGCTCCGGAGTGAGGCCCAGATGCCATTTTCCAGACATCAGGGTGTGGTAGCCGGCGTCGCGAAGAACCTCGGGCAGGGCAACGACGCGCTCGTTCAGGTACCCCTCGTAACCAGGCATGCCTCGCTGCGGAGCCGTGCTCATCTGCGAACCCTTGGGCCCGTTCTGGCCCGAAATGTTGGTCCATTCGACCAGGTTGCCCAGTCCCGCGATGTGATGGTCGGTGCCGGTCATGATCATGGCCCGAGTGGGACTGTCTATTCGTCAGAGGAAATGCATGATATATTTGGGTTGGAGGATAGCTTACGAGCAGGCTGCAGCGGCATGGAAGTCGGTAAATCGAACACCCTGCTCTGCTATCCGATTTAGATGCGGAGTGCGTATTTCACCACCAAAGCATCCTATGTCGGAGAAACCGAGGTCATCTGCCACGGCGATGAGGAAATTGGGACGTCTAGGAGCCATAATGGGCGATAGATGTCAAGAGAGATGTAGTGGTTTGGTTATTCCAAACCAACTTTGGGAGTGGCCGATTGGGATCATGGAGGGTGAACCAGCATATATAGATGCCGGAACGCAATCACATTCGCGGAGACAGACATGGGGAAAGCGATCGTCTATCGGCTCTCGGCTTTCTGAAACGAGGGCCAGCGGAGGCAGAGAAACGAGAAGACCGATTGATTTGACTGCAAAGCACCAATAACAGGGAGCAGCGAGAGGGATTGCGCGATGAAGAGGGCGAGTTGCGTGTCGGCTGTCGGCTGTTTGCCCCTTTCGGGTGGTCATCTGACGTCATATGACCTCCTTCCCCATTGGGCAACATCGGCATCCCTGGCCCTGTTGACATGTTTCATCTTCTTCGCCTTCTTCAGATGGGCTATCATGAGCCCCTACACCCGCCTCTCCCAGGATGAGGCGTCTTCCTCCGCGCAGGGCGAATCCCCCTCCTCACCCGCTCGATTGGCCAAGCTGCGCATCTACTGGTTGACAGCTGTTATTTGCTGCGGTGGCATTCTTTTTGGATATGACTCCGGAGTAATTGGTGAGTGGCTCCCTCATGGCCCAAAAAGAGCCAAAGCTGACACATACCCCAGGAGGTGTCCTCATCTTCGACTCCTTTCTTCGCGACTTCAAGTACACCGCCGACGAACAAACCCGCGTCAGTTCCATCGCCGTCGGGATCCAGCAGGCTGGAGCTCTGGTGGGCTGCTTGGCAATATGGCCTCTAACCAATCGTCTCGGACGTCGTTGCGCCATGATGATCTGCTCCGCGATATTCTGCGCGGGCGTCGTCTTTGAAGTGCTCAATTCTCACGCTCTTTCCGTCTTCTACTTCGGCCGCGTCATCTGCGGCCTGGGCATTGGGGGCTCTGCCACCGTCATCCCCATCTACCTGTCGGAAATGAGTCCCAAAGACATGCGCGCCCGCCTGGGCAGCTGTTACCAATTCACCTTCACCGTCGGCATCTTGATCTCCTACTGGATCGACTACGGCGTGCAGTTCAGCGCCCCGACGGCAGCCCAATGGCAGGTCCCACTGGCGCTGCAGCTGGTCCCCGGAGCGCTCATGGGTCTAGGCATGTTGACGCTAGATGAAAGTGTGCGCTGGCTCCTCGCGCACGACGACCCCCGCCGTGCCTGGTCTAGCCTCGTCTGGATCCGCGCCTCGAACGGCCCTGACGTCGTCGCCGAATTCGCCGAGATGAAACAAAGCCTCGACGCCGACCGTCACGCCATGGACGGATTCCACCCCCGTGAGCTTCTCCAATGGCGCAACACGCGTCGTCTCGCTCTGGGAATCACCCTGTTCCTCGCGCAGCAGTCCACCGGCGCCACCGCCATGGCCTACTTCGGCCCGCAGTTCTTCGCCCTCCTCGTCGGCCAGAACAACGCCTCGCTCACCCTCCTCCTTACCGGCATCTTTGGCGCCCTCAAAGTCGCCAGCTGCTTCATCTTCATCGTTTGGATCGCCGAGCGCTTCGGCCGTCGCCCCCTCCTCATCCTCGGCGCCCTCGGCATGTCCTTCTGCATGCTCGCCACCGCAGCCGTCGTCAAAAACGACCACACCCAGCCCCTTCCTGCTTCTGCCTCCTCGTCCGCAATCAAACCCACCGGCGTCGCCACCATCGCCCTCATCTACCTCGACATCGTCTTCTACAACTTCTCCTGGGGCCCCCTGATCTGGCCCTGCACGTCGGAACTCTTCAGCTCCCGCATCCGCGAACCCGGCGTCGCCATCGCCGTCGCCGCCCAGTGGCTCTCCAATTTCGCCTGGTCCTTCTCCACTCCGTATATCCTTGCCGGTCTGGGCTGGGCCACCTTCTTGCTCTTCGGCCTGCTCGACCTGCTGTTCTCCGGGTTCGTGGGCGCCTGTCTCCCCGAGACGGCGGGGAAGAGTCTCGAAGAGATCGAGGCCGTGCTGGACTCAGCGGGAAGCTTTGGCAGCAGCGCTGGTCATCAGAGACTGGTGGTGGAAGAAGGGGAAGGAGAGGGAGAAGACGAGAGAGAAGAGGGAGAATCTGCGCCGTTGAATGGGAAAGGGTCGAGTTCGAGCTCGAGGGATCGTGTGTGGGCGTAACCTGTTACTTCTTCCCTCTCTTTCGTTCTCACCTCGTCCTCTTCCCATACCCACTCCCACCCTGGACTCATTCTCAAACAATCACTGTTGTTTATCGTTGAATAGATTCGATACTCATGACGAGAGCTGGTCCTATCAGGAGTATCTACTAATGGCTATAGAATAGAAGATATAGACGCTAGAATACAATACTATAAAGATACATCAGGCATGGATACTCCCAGCAAATTCTTTTACAATTTACAAATTACAACTCTACCACCAACCCATCTACACGGCCTCGTACTTTACAACACTCCATCAAGAAAAGAAAAGAAAAGGAAAAGAGGTGGTATTCGTATTCGAGAACCCCAGAAATACCATGGCAGAAGCCACCAAGCACAAAGCACGCAAAGCAAAGGCCACACCCTATGCTAGCCAAGCTAGTCAAGCGAATAGGGGGTGAGCATGGTCAGTAAACCATCGATTTTCTTGTTTTCGAAACAGGCGCGGAAGCAAAGAAAAGCGTAAAAATAAACAAAAGGTCGGATCCGACAATTCTTTTCCGAACACCAGAACTCCATCGCTAAATCGCATGATAAGAACAATATCAAGCCCAGAGGCCGTCACCGCTGAAACAAAATAGGAGCGCGTCCTTTGGGGATTTCGGGCACTGGACTTTCAAGTACACCGAGACACAACAGGTGTAGGATACAGGGGGTAATGAGTGAAGAGATTGGTAGTTGAGTGTCATCGGCAAAGCGAAATGACCCCGGTAGATGAGAAAGGATCTCTAGGCACATTTGTTCACGTCCAAGAGATTATCAAAGTCAACGTCTGCTTCCACGTTCTCGGTGGGCTCGCCATTCATCAGAGGACAAGTGAACTCGGTATTTATGGAATTGAGCGAGCCTCGTCTCTCCAGTTCGTCCCAGTTCGCTGCCGGGCTTGGAGAAAATCGCATAGGGCCGTCGAAACCAAAAGCAGCCGTGTCCGGCGTGGAAACGGGGATGTATTCCGACGCGGTCGTGCCGGGCGAAGACTCGGTAATGCTGGGCTGCTGGTTTGCAACGCCATTGACCATCTGCTGTAGGTAAGCGTCGATGGCCGGATTCTTACAGTCCAAGTGCTGAAACATAGCATTCTTGAGACTGAGCCGCATGTGGTTCAGTTCCGTTACCTCCTGATTCAACTCCTTATTTCTCTGCGAAAGCACCTGATCTATCGCGAGTAATTGATTGGAGTGGTCCTTCTTTTTTTGACGGCATTTGCTGGCAGCCAGACGATTACGCTCTAGGAACTTGGAGCGTGACGTCTTTTGCTTTTCAGTTTCTGTTTTGGGACTGGCGCTGGATGAGTTCTTTCGGCGCCGTCTAGGAGGAGAAGGGTTTCCCGACGTGCGGTTGACCGAATGACCGTGCTCCGCGGAAGGGGGTTGCTCGACGTTGCCGTTGTAAGTAACCGGCGCAATTGGGAGGGAAGACGGAACCGGAGCAGGCACATTCACAGGCTGGAATCCATCCACTTGATACTGAGCCAGGGTATAAAATGGCAGAGCCGACATTTGCTCGTTTCCGTCGTTGTATGGCGGCGGGGTCGGCTGGCCATTGCGAACATGGGTGTTGCTCATGGGAAGTGGTCCGGGAGTGTCCTGCGCTTCACTCTTGATAGGCCATGGCACCGAAGCCTGCACAGGACAGCAGTTATAATGACCGGTATCCTCCATGGGCATCACTGGGGACAGTCCCAGATCAACCGGACGAGGGGGGCCTTGATAGCCACCGACAAAAGGAAGGTTGTAGGTGTTCTGAAGACCCTCGGGCAGAGCAGTGCCCTGGGGAGGCATCTGACAATAGAAAGGCTGCTCCTCCATTGTGTGGCTTGTTGACAAGCGACTGGAGGAGTTCGGACAGCGTACAAAAAGAACGTAGGTGTGACGTAAGAAAGACGAAGAACGAGAGAACTAGAGAAGATGACGATGAAAGTTGATTTTCATCAATCAAAGATCACCAAGGCACTGGTCGCCCAAGGTGCGGTGGGAGTAGTTGGTGGTTGACGGAGGCAGGTTCGCCCTTTCGTGGGGTGGGTGAAAGAATACCATTTACAGGCGGAGAGGAAGAACCGAGAAGCACAGCAGAGAAATAAATAAGACGGCGGCAGACGATGGAGGGGCAGAGACTCTGTTCCGTGGGAGGAAGGAAAAATCCAAAGTCGAAATGTACCTTGTGGTGGGCAGGTACGCCCAACAGAAGATGGCCAAGCTAACCACGGTTCGATGTGCGGGCGGAAGTGCCAGCAGCTGAGGGGCCGTCGCTGTCCGACAAAGGGAGCACGGACTAAAGTGAAAAAAAAGACGTTCAAGCTGGCAAGGAAAGGCCGGCGGATATGTTGATGAAGGGGAAAGGATCCACCCGGTAACCATGGGAAGGTCTTCAGACCCCGGTGCAGAGCTCCCAGACCAAGAAAGCCGGAGGGCAAGGGGGAAGAAGGAAGCGAGCCAGAGCAATACAGAGAGAGGAACTGGCAACGGACAGCAAGCCAGAAAGAAGAAGAGGGGAGTCAATTGCAATTCCAACCTTGTGGAACGGTCAAACGGTCTCTCAAGTATCAGGCCAGACATAACCCTTCCCCCCTCCACGGCCGAAATTGAAAGGCCTACATCAGAGAAGGGAAAGGTAAAACAGCACACAGACCACCAATGGGAAACCAAACAAGGGACAAGGGAATCTCAGGCCGTCCAGGACCGCCGTTCATTTTGCTAACTGCGACACAAAGAAAGGGTGAAGAAAGAAGAGAGCGCGCTTCCATGACCTCAGATCCCGGAGGCAGGTTGCGCAAGCCTATGAAACCGATGACTGGATGGCTTGGGATCTCCCCGACCGGCGGCATTTGATTGGCTGGGGAAGGCCAGGAAGCGACCAGGAAAGAAACCGGAGTCTGGACGGACTGGACGTGCCATTAAGCCGATCTGGCGTTTGTGCCAGCCACGAGTCGACAGCATTCCGGAGCGATCCCCGCCATCCGAACAAGAATGATGCCATCATCGGACATTCCCCAAACCAGACGAGATGAAGAAGAGCAGGATGGGATGGAAGCTCGACGGAACCAATGGAAGGGCAGAACCTTGTCCGCAGCGAGAGCTCCTGCAGGCAAGCAGCAATCAGACGGGAGGAGATGACATCACGGCCAATGAGATGGGCCGATCTGCGCAGGACAAACAGTGAATCTGGTGACGGGGGAAAGCGACCGGGAATCAGGGTCGATGGCTTGACGGACGAGAGACGGAGGAATCAGAGGAATCAGAGGAATCAGAGGAATCCGAGTGGAAATGAACGCCAAGAGCCACCGACCCAAAGGACGATCTGTCACGGGAAGTGGAGCGGACTACTTTAGTGCCTTTGGGCTCTTTAGTGCCTCGCTTCCCCGGAGAAGGTGTTGACAGATCTCCTGGATGGACTTCCTTTCCATCCCGCAAGAACTTGGATTCCATCGTCTCGAGGAAAACCTTCAGCAGCGTCGGATACCTTTTTCCGCCGGCCAGACCGGCCGAGAGTCTCGCCGAAGACAGAAAATCCCCGGTGATTGAATGGAATTGTTCTCATCTCGTCCGTGGTTACCTCCCTGGCCCCACCGCATAGATTAGAGTCACTCCTAGTGGCACCATTCCTCCATGGAGGCCTTGACCCTACGAGTATGTTGTTGGTATCTCGTTTCGACCTGCGACGATGATTGGCGGAGATGCCACCCCGCGTACATTTTCACTCGGCATGTGACTGGCGCACTTCGTTCCGGGCCAAAAGTCTGAGGAGATGGAAACATCTAATCGAACCGTGTCGACGGTAGAGGCCGCGTGTCTCGAGTGCCTATATAAGCAGGTACTGTGCTTCTCACGAGCCCCCGCAGGGAGAGAGAGCCTGACAGGAGTCCGTAGAACCGGTTTTGGGCCATTGGTTTCCCTCTAGGGCCGGCAGAATCAGCCAACGATTCACCACCGACGGATCGGCAGCTGAGTCAGCGGGGTCCTGCAGCTGGCAGGTCTCCACCGGGAGTCTCTTCCTTGGTTCTTTCTTCCCTCAAAAGGACTCTCTCCCCCTCCTCCACCAAAGTCAAATCTGTCCAGTCCGTGGGCCCCGAGTCATGATCCTTGCCACTGGATCTATGGTCTCGGGTCTATATTACGTACGTCCCAGCCAATGGGCGGAACAAGAAGGGAGGGAGCAAACAAAAAGAAAAAGAAAGAAAAAAACCTCATATCCCCATCGATTTGACATTAATTAATTCGTGGCTGCCGCAACAAAAGTACGACCTGCCACTACCCCAACGGTTATTCCATACGTCCTGATCTCGCGCCAACGCCCCTGCCGTCTTACCCGGTATCGTCGCTGCTGGCGGTCCTTCTAGACTGCAGGCTGCAGCCCCGCCGCTCGCCGGGAAGGCCTCGACTCTGCCATCGTCGTAATCGTCGACTCACCTCCACCCATCCGTCCACCATCATCACGGCCACCCGCTGGCTCTCAATCTCGAGCTCAATGGCCCGGAACATATCTTGCTCGTCTTTGGGCTCGTGCCCCGTGAGTAGTGGCCCGAGAATCCGCCCCAGACTTTCGGGGGTCATCAGGGTCGAAGTATCTCCTCCCCCAACTTCGTGTTTCGCCAACTCTGCCGATCGCCCCATCTCTTGCAGCAGAAGCGCACCAAGCCCGAAAACGGCGCAGATCAGATTATATTGCAAGGGTCGGGTGAGGGCAAGGATGGCCAGACCAATCGCCGTAGACTTCGCCCCCCGCCCAGGTAACAAGCGCTCGTCGCTACAGGTGTCCCTGCCGATAATCCCTCCCGCGTGTTTGTAGTAGATATCCACCAGGACGCAGTGAAGCTCGGTCGACCCCAGAATGCCCCCCGGAAGTCCCGACAACAGAGCCTTGAATGCCCATGCAACCCCCAGAACCTGTGAGACATTTTGCCCCGGTGCTTCTTGGTTGAGCACGTCGACCAGATCAATGGGCATCTCGCTGCCTCTCAACGTCAACTCAATTCGCCCCTGCTCCCTATCGGCCGACAGGACCTGCTGGGCGAAATAGTCGTAGGTCCGAGCTGCCGTCTTCAAATCACCCGGGTCGTGAAATAGATGGCGCACCGCGGGAGCTAGATGCAACACACGTGAGCAGATCGAATCGTGGGTTACGACATGGGGTTCCTACCAAAGACCTTGAGATAGGTTGCCGTGGCCACAAAGCATACCGGTAGTCTCAAGGTAGAAGGGGCAAACTCTGCGGGTAGATTCAAAAAGCTGTGGCCTCCAAGTCGAGTCAGACTGTCCAATGATCTGCCTTTCAGCGAGGTCATACCATGAGAGCGCGAGGGGAAGTGAGCAAATGTCCTCATCCGACGCAATGGCCGTTGCTGGGTGGGAGAAGTTGGCACTTTCAGATGAAGGCTTGATTGCACTCTCTTGAAAATCCCAGTGCGGCGCCGGGTGACCTTTTTCTCGCCAGGGAGACGGGGGTTATTGTCTGTTTACGGTCAGATAGATAAAAGGCGAAGAATGAGATCCACTGACCACGGTTTTCACAAGATGAAGGTCCAGCGTCGTCGGATTTGACGAGTTTCAAGGGCTTGAGTCCCAACCTAGGTCCAAATTCATTGAACGCAGCGACCGCTGCGTGTTGATCGAATTTCACCAGTCCCTTCCCGCTGTTCGACGGTTGGCGTGGGAACAAATCATCTAGCATGGAGCTAGAATACCGCTGGGCAAGCGGGATTTCCTCCGTTTCGCTGCTCCCTGAGATGTTTAGGAACCGAGTACTTGGTCCACTGAACTCCGAGCTTTGCTGCCTTGTAGAGCATCTTGTCGTGGTGGAGGGGTCCGAAAACGGGTTGGAGCTAGGAATTTGATGAATCGGATCACCAGTATCGGTAAATGGATTCTGGGTGATGGTCTCTTCGCGACACACAAGAGCGATTGGAGTGGATGTCGACCTCGATGGATGGCGACAAACCGTTGCGCTTGTTTGTTCGGAATTGTGAGATCGGGTGGTGGTATCGCTCACTTTTCGGGATTCCGCATCGATATCTAAATATTTGTTGCACCGAGGCTCTGTGCTAGCACATAAAAATCGATCGTCCGGGGTTTCGAGTTCTACAGGACAGCTGTGGAGAGCGTGCGTCAATCCTTGACTTACACTAGAGCCACCGTCAACCTGCGCTGGAAGTGCGATTTGTCGATGGCTCTTGCGAGGACGAAGCAACGTCTTGAAACCGGCCAGTCGACGAGAGCCTCTGGCCGAGCGTCTTGGGGACGTCGATGGCAACTCCGGAAGTGTGTCCATCTGGCTGCAGGTTCCTGAACCTGTGCTGATATTGACATTTCCCAATTCACATCCCGTCAAGTCTTGATCATCCATAGCAACTGCTGTTGGTGAGATTCCATTGTTGCTGGTTCTTATAGTTGGACGAGTGACGGGGTCGTTGGTGGCCCTTGTTGGAGACCGAGAAAAGAGACTATCAAACAGCCGCATTGCGTTTTTAGGGGTTAAACAGAATAACAAGGCTCCAGCGCTATCGTAAGTCTAGCAGTAATATTTCATGAGAATTGTGTCATGCTCAGTCCACTGAAAGAAGGACATGATGACAGAAGAATTTGTTGTCCACCTTCTTGTCGTGACCGTGAATGAGGACTGCACCTTCCGCATATGGAATTCTGTGTTGAGACTTTGACTGGGAAAGCGCACTGATCCGTCACTTGTCGCGTCATGAAGAGCCGCCTCCGCTGTATTGCGCAGCAGAGAAAATACCGTATAAATACTGATGGAATAAAGAAAATAGGGAAGTACGACCACAGGGAGGAAACGTTGTGTAAGAAAAAGGAAATCTATTGATTTAAAGCCAAGTAAGCGCCAATGCTAGTAGGTTGGTCGTTGGCAAAATGCGAAGTGGCCAGAAAGCCGACCGACCCAAGAATGAACATCAATCATACATCACCTCCTTTTCTTTCACGTCACGTATTCATGAAGAAGTAGAATGGAAAAAGCCGTCATACCATGGTACGTAAGGCCCGGTTGTGCAAGAAACAAAAAGCAATTGAGCAGCCAAACCCGATGCTTGAACGGAAACCCAGATAAACGCCAGTCCCATGCTATGTTGAGTGTACGAAGGGCGCATCCAACGCGCACATCAGGCTTGATCAAGAGAATTCGTCGTTTTCGCCTTCTAGTAGTATGTACTGTAGGATATCACTCAGGGTGAGCACTCCTTTTAGTCGGAAGTTGTCATCCACCACGACCAACCGGTGCACGCGGGATTTGCGAATGGTGTCGAAGATAGTATCCAGACCATCATTGAGAGAGCAGGTGTAGATTCCAGGGAAGTCCTACGCGAGGGTTTACGTTAGCGCAGTTTCGGATGAGTAAAAGAGGCCGAATCATTCATACCTGAGGCCGCTTCTTCAATGCCTCACCGACGGTCAAACTTAGGTCGCCGTAGACACCCCCTTTAATCAATGTGATCACATCAACTGCTTCGAATACATTGTAGACGACACCTAGTTGAGAACAAACCGCAAGAATTAGTATGAAGCATGGGGCTATGAAGGGATAGACACAAACCTTCTGAGTTAAGGATAGGAACGCTCGATATGCTTCGCTCCACGAGAATATGAATCACATCGATAACAGGGGTATCCATCGACGCGGTAGCCACATTTTGGAAGGAACCAAGTCGCAGCTCTCCCAATGGCTTCTTCAACTTTTGCGTTTCGCTAACATTGACAGCCACAAACTTCAGAATGCGATACTGAGTGACGACGCTAAGAACGTGGGATCGGTCCGTCTGGCTATCATTCGTTACGAGAGGAATTCTTCGGGCTCGAGACTGGAGCATGCGCCGGCAGGCTTCATAAAGGGGTCGCTCAGGGTCGATGGAGATGGTTTCAGGCGGTGCGACGCCCAGTGCCTTTTCCACGTCTGAGACAATTCTTATAATCAGCCCGCAAGAACCGGCAATACCTGTGTCAATGGAAATTACCCACCTCGGAGGCTATCTAGCCGAAACTGATCGATTCTGTCCAGGGCCGCAGGATTTTGGAAGTAGTATTGGATGACATTGATGTAATCGGACGTGGTCAGTAGACCCGCGAAGGTGGAGGATTTGGAATCCCATAACGGAGCGGAAACAATGCCTATTTTCGGAGCACCCATCGGCATCTCGTTAGCAAGATGAACCTTCAATATGATGGGCCCGCTGGCGAGTATCGTGTGGCAGCAGCAATGCTGCGCTCGGTGAGGGGTCGGGCACGCGATTCGAAGGGACGGGTACATGCCATTCTGGATCAAGATATTCAGACTCTCTTTGACGGACAAGGACGTGTCGAATATGATCAGGCGGAAACTAAGCGGAAGGACATCGTAACTGGTACGAACTTTGAGAAAGTTGCGAATGGCAGACTACAGACATAACAAATAGGGCTCTATTAGTCAAGATCTTGACGCTTGTTTAACTGAACAAAATTCACGACAAATGTAAGTGCTTTGGCCATTCAACGGGTTCAAACGGTAGAATTAATTTACCCCGGGTTCGAGGATCCCATCCGACATTGAAGGGTCTCTAGACGCGGAGGATCGTAGCCCGCCAGCACAATCAGGTAAGATGAGGGGCACAGAGGGGGGGGGGGGGGGGGGGGGGGTCAGATGCAAGGATACTCGGGAAAAAGAAAACACAGATGGATAAAAATAGCATTCAGAATAGGAACGCGCGACGAGACGAGGGCCTCAGAGAAGTGGGAAAAAAGCAAAGAAGAAAAGAGAGGGACACTCACTAGACCCTGACGTTCTTCCCGATCGATCGCCCTCTCGGGCTGGACTGGGGCCATTGGAAGCGAAAGACCTCGGGGCCGTAGGTAGGAAGAAGGCTGCACAAAGCCTCCCTCGTGACGGACTGGTTGACAATCTGGGAAGGGGGTGCGGGCTGGATGGTGGTGGAAGGCAGCGGTGATCGGAGTGGTGGAGGAGGACGACGTAGTGGAGGGATGGATGTCGTCGGTCGCCGCGGGCTGGGGCGGTGGTGAGGTTCTGCCCGTGGGGTCTTCACCCGCCGTCATGATTGATGGTCGATCGTGAGTGTGTGGATTGTTACCGCCCCGTGAGAAAGTTACTTTACTGCGCTGGGGGTTAAAAAAAAAGAAAAAAAATACAGAAAAAAGAAAGCACAAGAGAAGACAGTGGGATGGATTGGAGCAAACCAAAGAGCGATGTTTGCAGCGGTTTGTCTTGAACTGCCTTTGAATGGTTCACTGCCGCCGTTGCCGCGTTGGAAATGCATAAGCTCAAGCGGGGAAAGCAGAGGAGCATAAACTGTACACCGACAGCTAATGAAGGCTCTGAAATCATATACATGTACATGGACCTACATGGACCTATACATATATCCCGCCTAGCTAGTTGACATACCGCTACACACGGGATGACGGTAGTATCGCCATACCCCAGTCCATATCTAACTTTCACTTTCGGCCTTGGATCGACAGGCCCCGTTGCTAGATGGAGGATGGGGGATGGGAGAAGACAGGGATGATTATTGACGCTGTCTTGAATTTTTCTGCTTTAGTCAATTTTATTGAATCGAATCTCTCGACCAATGATGCTGCACGCCTTGGCGCCTGAACTTCTACCGCCGCATTCCAACAACCGCAGTATGGGGCCCCATCGCCTGAGGAATAAGGCATCCAAATAGCTGGTACTCCACCAATTGTAGGAATTACGAGGTAAGACGCCGTATTCGTCTTGAATAAAACGTTCAATTTCCGATGATCAAGATGGTGATAAAGGGAAGGTCTAGATACACCAAAGGACCCCATTTTATACCTCACGATCTCGCTGGGGGCCTCATTCAATTCAACGGGAGGTCTCCGGTAAATCGCTGCGGATGACCTCATCTTGGCGGGAACGTTCCGGTATGCCTACCAAGGATACCGGGAATTCCCACACCAATGCCCCGCAATAAACAGCATTAGCTGTGATTTTTATATAATCAGACCTTGCACAGTGCATAGATTGTATTGAGAATGTCCAAATGTATAACACAAGATGTTTGTAGAGAAAAGCGATCTAGTCTATAAACATGATTTCTGCATGCCTCTTCAATGGAACAACAATAAACAGGCTAGAAGCACCAAATAGAAACCAGCAAATAATCAAAGATCTAAAACCCGAAATGTATATATATATATATATCAACAGTAGCGATAATGCATCTTCTAAAGAAGTCACGGCAGGTGTATAACGCAGGCTGAAAATATGACCTCTAGATATTAAACGAATCGAAAGAAATGACCCGGAAATCAAGCGCGGCTCTATAGGGCCGTATCGAAAGCCCGTCAGTTACTGGCTCTGGGCGAGGCTGGGGCTAGTGCCGGTCTTGAGGTAGTGCTCATATTCGCCGACTCGCTTGCCGCCCTGAACCCACCGCTCTTTGTATGCAGCTCTCCGCTGCTCGGTTAATTGAACGAAGGCAGGCCAGTACTGGGCATGATCATATCGGAATTCGACGTCGCCTCCCATGGATTTCATCAGCTGGCCTGGGGGCACATGCTGTCGCAGATCTTCGTTGAACTTGAGCTTGGGTCGGGTGTTGGGGTCGATCAACGGGGTGATAAGCTTGAAGAATCCCATGATCATGAATGGCACTATTGCACGAGGTTAGATTGATGAAGATTAGGCTTCGGCGGGGGAAAATATCGGGCACAACGTACTGTTGATGACCAAGGCCCGACCCAGTCTCTCCGGATAATGGTTCTGCAAGAAGCCAAGGGCCTGTTTGGCCTGCGAGATGCTGGCATTTTGTCCAGATTTCGTGTCGCTGTAATTGATGATCAATGCCAGAGTCTCCTGGTCAGGCGGCATCAAATCAATCAGTCGCTCCAGCATGAACACCAGATGCTGGATTTGGCGATCACTCTTCTCCGTGTTCTGGTTGGACGGCAGAAGATAGAGACACGGCCGCCCGTGGATGTCATACCCAAGGAGGACCTGCTTTCCCGTCTCGTTCTCGATCGAGATGTACTCTGGCGTCAGTCCCTCCACACCGTACTCGCGGCGCCATGTCAGGGTTCGTTGGAGTCGAGCCGCGGCCTCCTGGGCATTCCACTTAGTCGCCCGCAAGTATCGAAGCAGGCACTCCCGAGTCAAGTACATGCGCTCGTTGTCGGTGATCGGCTCGGAGGGAGCATTGTTTGCCGAGGTGGTAGGAACGGTTGTCCACTCCGAGACTGTCTTCAGGACTTCCTCGTATTTGGCTTTCTCCTTCTCATTGAGCTCGGCGGGCGGTTCGGGCTTCGAGGTCTCGAGAGGTCGGGGGAAAGGCTTTTGGATGAGACCGTCGGCGGCGGAGGTCGGCAGATCAAGTTCAACATCTTTACCGTTGGTAGCAGGCTCCGATGAGGCCTGAGCTTGGGTGGTCTGGGCCGGAGTCGGTTCCTGACCCTCAGTCTGAGGTGCAGGTGGGTTGGTTGAATTCTCCGCCGAAGCAGCGGTTTCCGACGGTGTGGACATGGTAAGCGGATGTGTAAGCGTGGCAATTAGTTAGGGTTCGATCTAGAAAGTAGACGTCAACAAATGAGCATAGAAGGGGAAACAGGACCGCCGTGTATCACCTCGAAGCGCACTTTTTTGTGCTGTCTGTCCTTTTTGTCTTTTCTAGGGGATCCCGACAAATGAATGAGCAGGGTCACCAGTCAGCAGTGATCGACAGGCCCACAGGCGATCGTCGACAGAATAATCTACGGAATACGTGGACGGCGGGTCGCCGCCTGGGCAGCCCGATCCGGCAGGCGGTCACCACGCGGGTGCGCGTCTCTCGTCCGGCGCGCGTCGGGACTTTCTCGCGGTCATTGAAGCCTCGACTGGTGAGCGTCAATCGCAATCGCCTCAAGTCGACACCATGGCAGACGACGTCGTCGCAGAGCTCAACGAGCTCTTTGCAGGAGCCGCTCCAGGTGGAATTCCCAAGGATGTTCTGGCAGAGTTGCAGTCCATCCTGCGGGTGCATTCCATCGCCCCGCAAGAGCTGTTCTATAAATGGGAATCATATTGTTTGAAGATGGGCGCGGAGGAGACGAAACTGAACCTGGATACCGTTCGTATGTTCAAGCGAGACGTGCAGGACATTTTGGAGCGCGAGAGTCGAGGCAAGGCTGGACGACATGCGGAAACCAGAAAGGCGACCACGGCAACCCCTCGGGCTAATGCGACCTCCGATGTATTTGGCATGTAAGTAGAGGTGCTGTCAAATGAGGATGGTATCCTACCCATGACAAGAGCTAACTGCGTCTCAGGTTCGACGGCTTGACACCCAATGCCTCTCACAACCGAACGCCCAATAATGCCAATGGCTCAGCGAAGCGGAAGTCCGATTTCGGGTCACCGTCCATCTCGAAGGTTGGGAGAGGAGGCAACAATGAGTCTCCGATGGGCACAAAAGCTGCCCGTAAATTGGCAAACGGCGGACCTGTGGGTGATGGGCCTCAGTAGGTGTCATAAACCTGAATCTCGAGTAACGTTAGTTGACCGCAACTGCAGACCGGTACCCTTCTCGGAACGCCCGAATCCTGGACAGACAGTCGAAACCCTCAACTCGCAGTTATCGGCCCCTGACACCCCGATGGCACCCTACTCGGAAGCTCGGATAAAACCGACGGCGAATACGGATCTGAAGAAATTCGGTTATAAGCCCATGGCAATGCGGCAATCGGAAGCGTCCGAGATCCTGGACGATCGAATCGATGAGTTCATGGCGTTATTCCAGAAACAATACGAGACTGAGGATCTGCCGTTTGGCAGTGCGTCCATCCAAAGTACAAGTGAGGTTGTTGCTGTTGGGCGGATCGCATCAGACAGCCTGGAAGGGAAGCTCAACCCAGCGTCCCTTGTACTAGAGACATCAAGACGAACGGGAGCCGGTCTACGGGTGCCTTTGAAAATCGAGTCACTCCCGTCGGTGAACTTCATCCCCGGGCAGATCGTGGCGCTGAGGGGTATCAATGCTTCGGGCAATTATTTCTCAGTCAAAGAGATACTTCCGACGCCGCTTCTTCCTCCAGCCGCTTCGTCTGTGGCGGCGCTGGATAACATCAACAACCGTTTAGAAGAGTCTGGCTCTTCGCCATTGAACGTATTAATTGCCTCGGGCCCGTATACAGCTGACGACAATTTGGAGTTCGAGCCGCTGCACGAGATCTGCCAAAAGGCCGCGGACAGCCTCGCGGACAGCCTTATCCTGATGGGACCATTCTTGGACATCGAACATCCCCTGCTGGCATCGGGTGACTTCGATCTCCCCGAATTGAACGGATTGGACCCGGACATGGCAACCCTTACCACAGTGTTCCGGCATTGCATCTCAACGCCACTACAGCGGCTGGCTGCCGCCGTGCCCAGCATTACCATCGTCCTGCTGCCGTCCGTCCGCGACGCTGTGAGCAAACACGTTTCCTGGCCGCAGGAACAGCTCCCGAAAAAGGAGCTGGGACTGCCGAAGCAAGTGCGCATGGTGTCCAACCCCGTGACCTTATCCCTGAATGAAACCGTCATCGGCATGGGCTCGCACGATGTCTTATACGAACTCCGCAAGGAGGAGGTTCTTCACGGACGGCCTGCGGAAGGAAACCTGCTCACGCGACTCCCCAACTACCTCATCGAGCAAAGACACTTCCTTCCGATCTTCCCCCCATCCTCACGAGACTCGTTCCCCAAGCCTCCCATCGAGGACAACTTGGCCACGGGAGCCATGCTCGACGTCAGCTACCTCAAGCTCGGAGAGTGGTGGAACGTCCGGCCCGACGTGCTCATCACGCCGAGCATGCTCCCACCATTCGTCAAGGTAAGTCATCTTACGTGGGCCGAACGAACCCGTCCTAAAATCCGCATCTCTAGGTGGTCAACAGCGTCCTAGTCATCAACCCGGGCACACTCTCCAAACGACGCGCAGCCGGAACCTACGCGCAGATGGCCATCCACCGCCGAGACATCGACGAGGAGGAACGCGACCAGAAACAGCTCAGCCACAAGCTTTACGAACGCGCGCGCGTAGACATCATCCGGATTTAGGATCTAATGTATCGATAGGACTAGTGACCATGAATGAACTAATGACCGGGTATAACGCATGCATAATCCAGCAACACCATAACCTGATGCTTTCCAACCCCCAACTCCCCCCGAACACAAAGAAAAAGCGAAAATCACCGTAAACAAATCACCTCCCTCCTCCCCCCCATCCTCCTCCCACTCTCCTTAACCCTCACCCTCACCCCCGCCGCACTCCCACTCCCCACCCCCATATTCGCACCCCCAGCACCAGCACCCACACCACCCACCCCAGCCAACCCTCCCCCTCCTCTCCCTCCAACTCCCCCACTCGCCCCCATCAACTCCTCCATCCCCAGATCCCTCCACACCGCCTCGCGTCTCCTCTCCATCGCCCTTGCAATCCCAAACGCCGCATGCTGATCGGGCACCACATCGTCCTCGTCCTCCGGGTTCGGCGGCTGATACTGCGCCGCGACGTAGATGTCCTCTATGGGCAGGAATGAGGGGACGAGCGTCGGGGACGTCGAGCCGTAGGTCACGGTTGTGGTGCCGCCGGAGGGGCCGGCTGGGTTGGGGTTGTTGGGGCCCGGGGGAGGGGCGTGGGTGGTTGTTGTGATGGCGGTGGGGTTTGAGGATGTGAGGCTTGAGGTGTGTGGGCGCGTGAAGTCTTCGTAGAAGTCGGCGAGGCGAGGGTGATGCATGTGGATGTTTGTGGGGGAGGAGTCTTTGCTCTGGTGGTTTTGTGGGGTTAGTTTTGAGGGGATTGTGGAGAGAGATGGATGGAGGGGAGGGGTGGACGGACCATTTTGATGAGGTTGGTTTCGTTGCTGTGGTTTGAGGTCTAGAGTGGGTGGATAGGTGGATGGATGTAGTTGTTGGATGTTTGTCGAGGACGCGATGTTGATTGACTTTCATGTTGGATGGTAAGACCGGCAGAATGGCATCTCTCACATGACTGAGTGGGGATACTGCCGGGTTTAAAATGTCCGCTTTGATGGAAGTGGTGCACTTGAAAACTCTGCTTCGCAAGACAGAACTAATTAAAGCGTATGCCCGACATTTACACATCTCACATGTAAGCATATAAATTGGAACTGTCAAAGGATATCACTTTGAGAGACCAGGTCCACATCGAAGCTTTGGCGGTCAGGATAGCGTAGGCGGTCAGGTTGAAGATATCAGGGCAAGAACCCTGACCGCCTACTCAGTTCACGGGCGGTATGCCGGATCTATCGACCTAGCTATAGACTGGTTAAGACATGGCGAAGCAAACAAACAACAGAGTTAAGAAGGTATGAAACTTTTACTCTAATGCCTACCTAACTATCCCAGTACACCGTTAGTCAATACTCAGTACATCATGTCGAGTCCTCCGAAAATGCCATTCCATCATATCATCCTCGCCCGAGATTAAAGAAAAAAGAAAAAGAAAAGACCACGGATTCATTCCAGCTACCAAGAAACGGAAAGAAAAGAAAAAGAAATCAAGCCACTTAAAGATTCGTACTCATCCGATGCACAATAGGCACAGCACTAGGCGGCAAGCTGCCCATTTCCGTAACCACCATGTCCACGTACTCGGCCGGGGTGACGTCGTACATGATGTTGAGCAGCTGCAGGTTGGCAGTGTCTCTCCAGTTCGTCAGAGGGGATTCGCCGATCTTGGGGGTGTTGGTGGGTTCGGGACTGGGAGCCGCCGCTTTGCTGCCCTTCTTGGTGGTCTCTGCTTGTGCGGCGGCCTCGGCGGCAGGGTCTGGTAGGTCGGTGAATTGCTGCGCCGGTTGGTTGGAGACCAGCTCATCGGCATCGGCAATCTCGTTGACGACGATGCTGTCCAGCGCAACGCGGTCGGTGAACTTGACGGTCTCGCAGCACACGATCACGGGAACCTCGACGCCGCCGGCGCGCTCCTTGGCCGACATGGCGACCAGCGCTGTGCCGACTCGCGAGTACAATCGTCCGTTGCTGGTCATGGCATGGGCGCCGAGGAACACCCGGGTGGCATCCTTGATCGCGTGGCTGATGCCGTTCACCAGCGAATACTGGACTTCCAGACCGGCGTTGGCGAGAGTGCGCGCCAGGTTCTTGCCCTCGAACAGGGGACGAGAGTCGATGATGGATACGCGGAACTTCTTGCCCTGCTTGTGCGCGGTGAGGAGCGTCTGCTTGACAATCGAGCTGCCCGCAAACGTGACGATCACATCGCCGTCCTGGATCTTCTGCGCAGCGCTTCCCGCAATAACCTGGTCGGCCACCGTGATCTTCTCGCGAATAAAGCTGTCAATGAAATCGCTCAGCGAAGCCTTGGCGCTAGCCTCCGGCATGGACGGGTCGATGGACGAAATGGCCAGCTTGAGGGCGCGAATGGCATTGCCTTGACTGATCGAGAGCGGACGGCATGTCGAAAGGTAGGTGATCTGATGAGACATGTGGGTAGTCAAATGGCGAGGAAGGGAAGTACCCAGAGGGGTGGTGTAAGCCTCGATAACCTAAACCCACATTAGCATTGCATCCCAACCCTCCAACAAAGAACAAGGAACATACCCTCTTGAACGCCAACAGAGTAGCCACACATCGAGCACTACTTCCACAAACCACATAATCCCTCATCTGCAACCCGAGCGCCAACACAGCCGGATGCACCTCCTTTCCAGCGCCCGCGATAGTTGTCCTCCTCGGCTGCCCATACAAGTGCCCGAAAACCGCAACGTTCTTATCCTCCTGCTTCTTCTTCTTCTGCTCCGCCCCAGACCCAGGAGCTCCGGCATGCACGGAGCCTCTCCGATGCCGCTGACCTTTCTGCGACGCGCCGCCCGCCCCAGCAGCATCCTTGGATCCCGCGCCACCAGCACCACCCGCACCCGCACCGCCAGCACCGCCCTTCTTCGAGGGCGTGCCGGGACCGGCAGCGGCGCCAGCACCGCCGGCGCCCTCACGCTCGAGCTTCTCGCGAGCGCGACGCGCCGCCTTCTCGGCCTTCGCTTTCTTTTTCAGCTCGCCGGGCGTGAGCTTCTGGTCGGCTGCTCCGTCCGCGGCACCGGCATCGGGCTTGGCTTGTTGTTTCGGTTGCTTCGCGGGGGTGGGTTTCGAGGCGGGATCGGCGGACGGCGGTTGCGAGGGTTGCGAGGGAGGTTGCTGCTGCTGCGTCTGGGATTCCGGGACGGATTGCGACGGGGCAGGAGGGGCGGGTGTAGAAAGGCCCTGGGACGTGGGATCTGTAGACTCGACGGGGTTCGCCATGGTGGGTTGCATGGGATGAAAGGGGGGAGAGAGTCGAGGGGAATTGGGTCGGTCAAAGAGAATGAAATGAAATGAAAGTCGGAGGGGCACATTCAATGAGTAATAATGGGAAATTACTGCATCGGGCGACTTTTTTCTGCCTCAGGCGGTGAATGGACGGGCGATGCAGATTATGTAATCGTGCATGAACATCGCCCGATCGGGAAGTCAGTTTGCATGCAGGACAAACACGTCGACCAGAAGGATATTGTCTCATAGGCTGGTGGCGGAGGGAGGACCATGCGTCGGGCTTCTACGCTGCTCGCTAGAACATTGCTAAAATGATCATCAATTGCATCGTGATTAATCTGTCATGCCTCATAGAATTATGGCATACATTCATCTCGTCATTTCGTCAGGCCAAAAAAGTCACAAGAAGTAAAGAAGAAGGCAAGGATCAAAAAAAGCAAAACACTCGAGAAAAAGACAAAAGTGCATGCAACAAATGACCTCCCAAGACAATAGACAGCCTCTAGCTGCCAGGAAAAAAAGGTCAGGGTATCATGGCCTCTCCATCCGCTGTTCATCCACCAGAACCAATAAGAACAAAACTCCGATCGCAGTGCGCCGTAAGCCCAAACCAACAAAAGCCACCCAAGCTGCTGCCCAACAAGACCTACCGGGTATTGGTCCAGATGTCGCCCAGAGCTCGTCGGCGTTTGCGACTCGGATGTCCCTGGACCGCTCGGAATCGTTCATGGTCTGACGCCAGCTTGCGTTTGAAAAGGCTGAGGTCCATGAGGAGATCCTCCATGTGCGATTGCATGTCTTGAACTTCCAGCTGATTATCGTTGATACGGATCGTATCCTCGTCATCTTCCCAGACCAGGTCTGGTTCGGTTTCGACGTCTGATGTCGGTGATCCGGGACGGTTCTCCTTACCTCGAGACATGTAGCTGTCGTTTTCGCTTACAGTGCTCAGACTGGTGCTCCGTTTTTCGAGGGTCACCGGAGGAATTGGGTTCTTTAAACTATCGAGTGCGAGCTTGAGATGGTTGCGAAGCGCTTCGTTCTCGGTCTGTAGCTGTTTAATCTTGCACTCGCTGACCATCTTGGTCTCCTCCTGCATTCGTTGGAGTTTCTCCACTTTCTGCTGATAGTCCTCCAGTTTCTCATTTTGCATATCGGTTTCCCTTTTGTTGGCTGTGGCAAGACTGACACTGAGTTGCAGCGTGCGAATCGTCTCCGCCATTTCTGCGATCTGTTTATCCCTTTCTTCAGCGGACAGGTGATCCTGGTTTACTCGGGCCCGCGTGCGAATGTGCTTGGCCTGGTCTGCATATCGCAGTGTCGATAGAGTTTCGTCGTAGTCTGATGGCGAAATACATGCGATCATGGCTGTCTTCGAGTTACCGCCCAAACTGTCTTTCAGCAACCAGGTGAGGATCGAATCCCGATAGGGCACGACATCTTTGCCTTTGCGTTTCCCCTGGCGGCCTTGTTTGGGATCTGCGAGCGCTGCAATGACCCGACCTAGTGTCGTTAGTGACTTATTGATGTTTGATCCCTCACGCAGTCGCTGGCCCGTCGCTTCGGTAGACTTGGCTCGTTCAGAACCCGCCAGATCGACGAGTCGAATACGCGCCGTACGCTCTGTAGTTTCGTCCGTGGAAAGGTCGTGGTGGATCTGCTTTAGGGTAATGGTGAACACTGCATGGGAACGCGAGGAAGTGTCATTCATCTTGGTGCTTGCAACAGTTCGCGACACGTCGCCCTTGCGCATGGACTTCATGAGTTCCGCAAAGTTTCGCACTGACACCTCTGTGAGATCTTTGATATAGGGCCCCTCTGACGGCGATTCGCGAATGCGAAGATAGTGCGGAGGATCCGTCCGGGGAACTAGCAAGTCGCGCACATGCTCATTGTAAACCTCAAAGTAGGACACGCGGACGTTGAAACTCATATCAGCCGTCTGTGCGCCCTCAATGCGCTGGAACAGATCCTCGCAGGTGCGCGGTATCAGTCCCGGTTGATCTGGGGTTCCCATCATCGTGTAACTCTTTCCAGAACCTGTCTGACCGTAGGCAAAGATGCAAGTGTGGTACCCCTCAAAGTTGTGGTCGAGAAACTCCTCTCCGAGACAATTGTACACATCCTCCTGGTAGGCGTAGTGCTCGTCCTCCTGATCATGCGACCAAAACGAGTTATCAAATATAAACGACTTGTCCTCCAGGATCTTCCCTCGGGCCTGTGATTTCGGTTTCCCTTCATCCTGGGGATTGATGCGCGGCGCTCTTAACTTGGTCATTTGCGTGTTCGGGTCCATGGCGATCAGACACTCAGCATTGCGCTCAATTTCTATACATCATCGCCACGTGTGAGTTCAACATTTACCTCCTGCATATTCCCACCCAGTCCATCCTTTCGTGAAGCAAGTACATACCTCTGGGTAAGAAATTCCGCACCCGTACTACCACGCGCACGTTGCCCCCCGGCGACGGACTAGCCACCCCATCCATGCGACTCGGGGACCTGATCACACTTTCCTTGGCGCGCAGGGAAGGGCTGGACGCCGTGGACCGCAGAGCCGCAGAGGAGGCATTGGTGGAGCGAAGAGACGGACTCGTTATCCCGGTGACGGCGGAGGCTGCGGAGGTAATGGAAGACTGCGAACTGGGCCCGGTGCCATGGCCGAGGTGGTTGTAGAAACGGGGATCCAAGGCCATGTCCTCACAGGAATGCCTCAACAACTGTTCAAACTGAGTGACGAGGTCTCGTTGGCGATTGAGAAGGTAATGGTACATACAGGCTCGTACCACCGATGGATGGCGAGTTTGGGGGAGGACAGGCAGGGCAAGGAATAGATAGGAAGGTCGCTCGGTATTCAATGCTGCCGGCTGGCCGAGTCGAAACGCAAGGCGAGGCGCGGGTCTCAGATGGTCGTTCCTGCGAAATTACTTGGTTTTCCGTTTGTTTTTGCCGAAAGCACTGACAGCGACAAGCCAGGGGTTTATGCTTCAGGGCCACCGCGTGCAGGGGAACACATGGGTTTGTGTATGGTCGGTCTTTTCAACAAGGGAGCAAGTCGGGATATGCCACCAAGGGACTTCTGCGATGGAGGATCAAAGAGAGAAACATGCAGTGGACACCACGCAAGGGCCAGAGACAAAGTGGAATCTGGAGAGCGGAAGAGAGGGAAACGGCGTGGAGAGAATACGGAGGAGAATAATTAATGCACTGCATCCAGTTTGCATTCGTTTGGTTTTTGCCCGATTCGGGGGGTTTCGCGGCCTGAGGCAGCTACGGGAGAGTTGGGCGGTTGCCATAGCAATTCGCCCGGGGCATCTGTCGGTCAGCCTGCGACACCTTGGCCCAGGTCTACGCTGTCAATGCGTATATTATTATTTCTTTTCATGCTTTCCGAATGAATTTGACTCTACGGATAAAATGAATTCTACGAGCTGCATAACGTTGGAGGCTAATCTCATGTTGCCGGTAAACTCAGTCCTATTCGGCTGTCGGCATAGTACTCAATGCATCGATACATACAACATCATATCATTCATTTCGGATTTCATTTTCAAATCATCAAAGTCAATGTTCATAGTTTGTCTGAGCCCTTTGGGCGACAATGTCAGCTGCGGTGCAGTATTTAATCAAAGTCCTCAGTAGCAGCTTCATAGGCATCGGCCTCGGGCTGTTGATGAGGGCCTTTCGAGGACATCTTCACGCCATCGGTGTACGCATAGCGATCGGGGACGGGGTTTCCGTTCTTGTCCAGTGTTGTCTCGAGGATCTCCTCAGTGTTCCACTCAGGGTTAAGAGAGGTACCACCTTGTTGTTGTTGGGAACCCTGCTGCCCCTGGGTCATGTTGCGGAAAACGCTTTCAATCTTCGAGGTCGGGATAGTAGGCATGGTGGAGTTGTTACTGCTGATTGGTTAGACCTTGTCGGCTGCCCAGCACGCTAATAACAATAGCTGTCTGAGGTGCGTCCAAGACAACTTTCCGCTTGAAACGTACCAGCAAGCTGTGTATTGATTCAAAATTGTCTGTGATGTAGCAATATTCGATTCATCTCTGACGCAGGAAAGAACAAGAGAATTGTGTGTAGTTGCGGGGTTTACTTATATGGCAGTGGGTGGCGTTGATGATATGATAATGACGACGACATTCATCGCCATCTCTCTGGGGGCGTTTCTCCGCACGGGGCCATTGGACGAGTCGAGGCTCGAGGACAAAGAAGCTGATTCCATGGTCGCCAAAGCGTGAGGTCATGACCGTAGAGGTTGTTCAATGAGGTCGCGAGAGTTCGCAAGGGTCGACGTGTCTTTCCCAACAAAGCTCGGGATCCTCTTCGTTGATTATGTCCCGATTGTGTCATCGCTGACCGGGATCCTTTTGGATGGAGACAATCCGAGTAGAATGGAAAAACCAATCTTCCTGGATGCTTTGGGAATGCCGAGGCTGACAGGTTAGAGTCGCCAGGGCTCACTAGTCGCGGTCGGCCATTTTCTCCTTCCAACCTGCATCCCATCATCAATAATATCGGGCTGCATATTGATTGCATACCACACCCAGTTTCCATCGACTCTCCGTCAATAATATCAGCCCATTATCAAAGATTCCTCAGCCCTATCCGTGCGGGGCGTGGGCCCGATCCACTGGCAAACAACCGAGTCGCAGCGGTGGATTCCGGCCAGCAGTTAGTGGCGCGTCGAGACAAATCAAATGGCGTGTGGCCGATGTCGCAATCAGGCAGCAGCCATTGTCATTGGGAGGGATGTAGACGATCGCTGACGGGATTGATTGAGGAAGGGAAGGGTGAAGGCTCACTAACGCACGCGATCGGAGACGCTCCGGCAAAAGATACGAATGACTCCGACCGCAAATTTTCTGCCCGCCCCGATTAAAAGTCATGCTTTTCTCCCTCTTCCCTCCCCCCTCCCTACCCTGACCTTTTCTCCCATTCGGCCTGGCCGTCCATTCTTTCCCCCTAACCCAGGTCCTCCTCTCCTTCTTCCTCGTACCTGGGACTCTCCGCGCAAGAAGACGCAATGGCGGAAACCAAAACGAACGACGGACCCCGCGACCTGGAAGCGCAGCCGGCGCAATCGTCGTCCCTGACGCAGCGATGGATGCAATCCGTTGATCCCAAGCATGCCGACCTCATCTGTATCCTGTTGTGTCTGGTCACCGGTCTCTGCGACAGCAGTGCCTACAATGCCTGGTCATGTTTCTTGGCCATGCAAACCGGTTAGTCACCTATACCCTCGGTCCCCTCAAGCCGCCGAGAACCCCAAGAGCCACGACCAAAGCTAACCGACACCAAACTCCACCAGGAAACACCATTTTCCTTGGCCTCGGCGCGTCGGGCCAACCCGGTAACAAGCCATGGGGCTGGCTGAAGTCGCTCGTCTCCATCGCCGCCTTCTTCATCGGCGCGTTCGTCTTCTCCAACATCACCCGGCGTGTCGGCGCCCTCCGCCGCGGCACCCTCTTCGTGTCGTTCCTGGCGCAAACCATCTTGATTGTCATCGCTGTCGCCCTGATCGAAGCCGATCTGATCCCTCACACCTCCGATGATATGACCTTGACCGGGGGGCCCTTGTTCCTGGAACTGATCCCCATTGCGCTGCTGGCGTTCCAGTCTGCCGGTTCCATCACCTCCAGTCGCTCTCTCGGGTACAACGAGATCCCCACTGTCGTGTTGACGAGTGTGTACTTTGACGTGGCGTCGGATCCGAAACTGGCGCAGGTGCCGACGACGAACCCCAAGCGGAACCGTCGCATTGGCGGCGTTGTCGCACTGCTGGTTGGAGCTATCGTTGGCGGGTGGTTGAGCAAGAGCAGTGGCGGCATGCAGTCAGCGCTGTGGATGGCGGCTGGATTCAAGTTCGTGATTGGACTGGGATGGTTGGTTTGGAAGGCGAAGAAGACGGAGACCAAGTAGGCGGGTTGACTAAAGGCTTATGTAGATGTTGGTGTTGTTGGAGATAGACGACGTGGTAATATATAGACATAGATCGAAAGGACATTAGTCCTCTAGCGCAGATGATAGATCAATTATTAATTCTGACTGACCGGTCAATTTTCCTGCCGGGGTCTTCATTGCAGAGAAATTGTCAGTACTCCAGCGCTCGTGACGGATCACTTCTGCGTTCGGTTCCTGGAGCAAATTTAATCTTAGATCGGAAAAAGTGTGCTGGTACGTATAGCACTTGATCTAGTGTGAAGACAGGTTCTCAAGCAATCAGCGATAGACCATCCATTTAATCGCTGGCAGAATGTAGAAACCGTTGTTAAATCCATGAAATCATCCAGGTCTTTCTGGTACAGCTAAGAATACATGCGTTGAAATATTTGATGGGGAACACTCCTTTGTCGAAACAGCAATGAAATAGAACAGAACGAGAAGAAGGGGAAATTAGAAGAAAAAGAAAATCCGGATGGGAAAGCAAGGCTATCCATGCAGGCCTGCCCGACGCTGAAAACAACACACAATCAGAACGCAATGCGACCTCGACCCGATATAACATCTTCCACGTGGATCTGCACCTTTTCAAACCTCATAAAAGAACAAACCTCGCTCTCAAGGTGATTAAACAACGCACCAAGAGCCGTAAACTGCCTTCCACACTGACTTGTATAATTGGGACAGTGGTACAAGACCTGTTGATGCGCGGGGGAGTTGAGATGCTGGTTGAGGCTTTTTATAGTTTCAAATTCCCGATGACAGATGTAGCACTCCCAGTAAGAGCCATTGTACGCAAGACCACTGGCAGAGTAAGATTTCTTTTGCTGCGGATACCACCCGATCCCCTTCATGGTGATGATGCCCTTTGGATCTCGCTTGCGTATCATCTCGTGGATAGTTTCTATGTTTAGTGCTGGAGCACTCGGGCAGGCTGCTTTCTCGAGATGATGGGTAAGGCCGCTGGGGGTAGTATACCAAGTCTGGCAAAATGGGCAAACGATGGTTCGGCCGCGGTGGGTGGCTGAGTTCAGGTGCTTCAAAGAGTTTGGTTAGTTGATGGTCTTGAAAGTCTACTTGGAGCGGGTATTCGATTCCCACCATTTTAAGGCTGTTCTCATCCTTGAATGTACGGTCACACTGTCGGCAGTAGACATTGTACTGACCCGTCTGTTTCACATTCTGAGCTGCGGCACTTTGGGTGCAAACTATCTCGGGGAAAGCCTCGCGTGGGATTTCCGGCGCCCAGTGATCGAGGGCATTCATATGCTGGTCGCAGGCACTCGAGGATTTAAAGATTCGATCACACGTCTCACATTCAAAGGTGGGTGCCCAGTGATTGAGATCATTCATATGCTGGTCGCAGGCGCTCGAGGACCTAAATGTTCGATCACACGTCTCACATTCATAAGTAGGCGCCCAATGATCGAGAGCATTCATATGCTGGGCCCGAGCCTGCTCAGAGAAGAACTCCTTGGAGCAAGTCTCACATTCATAGGTTGGAGCCCAGTGGTCTTTGGCATCCATGTGCTGGTCGCAGGCACTCGAGGACCTAAAGGTTCGATCACACGTCTCACATTCATAAGTAGGCGCCCAATGATCGAGAGCATTCATATGCTGATCGCGGGCACCCCAGGAGCTAAAGGTTCGATCGCACGTTTCACATTCAGGCCAATGATCGTACTCGTCCATGTGATCATCACGGTCCTCGATGTCCCAGAAGGAATCAGAGCAGGATAGGCATTCATGGTACATTTCAGCAAGTGTGAATTGACCCTGATATATCAAACGACAAATTGCGGATGAAGTTGGGGATAAGAGAAGAAGCTGAGGTGGTCAAAGGTGAAATGATGAGAAGGTGAGAAGGTGAGGTGGTAGAATGAGAGGGGGGAAGTAGGTAGGTAAGTAATGACCTGCCTACCTCTTTAGGTATCGACAAACAACCGTTTCATAGACTGACTAAGCCTCGTGCAATCAATTTATATAAGATGACTGCTACGAGAGTTCTGTTTTGGTGTCTTTGAAGGTTCCTCGACTGCTGAGGACAAAGCCATTGAAGAAGAAGTATGTCGGCTGAAATTGAAGCGCACCAAGCTCGAGTCCTTAGGACTTTCTCTATTTTAGCACAGTTCTATCATCCAGTTTCAATTTTGCATATACAAAAGATCTTACGATCCCCGTATTTGCTTATAAAAGTCATGATGGTTTGGCATAAAAGTGGGCAGTCTTTGTATAGGACTTATAGAAGATGATCTTGTGTGATACATTATCGAGGAGAATTTGAAATTAGCTTTTATTAAACTATTTTTCTGTGTAGCTTGACTTTACAAGGTATGTTGTACTCTCTCTGACAATCACATACTACATTCCTTGAATCGTACATGTAGGGTAAACAATAAGGTATTTCCGCCAGATCCGCGGTATATCCCGAGAATAAATTTGTTCGAGTTGGATAAAAACATACAAAGCATATATAGACCAATATGGACTGAAGAAACTGGGCAGAAAAAATAACCAAGACTCGTTCTTCTAACGAGACAGCAGCTTCCCCATCCGCGAACGCATTATATCAAACACCAACACAGACATAGTATCCCAGCCACAGAGACGCACAAGACGATCCAACATAAGGATTCCACTTCCCAAACTGCGCCGCAGTGATCGAATACTGCTGCTCAATTGACCAACAACTGTCACCACTAGCTACGAGATGCCACTTTTTGCACGTGCTTATGGTGTTTGGCATGGGAGCCTCGTCCTTTGTCGCGACGCAGTAGTAGTACCCAACCTGCAAGTTGCTACAGCTGGAGCCCACCGCGGGGTTCCATTTGTAAAACTTGGCCGTTGTCAGGTAGGTATACTTCTCATTCACGATTGACCAGCAGCTGTCGCCTTCCTTGGCTTGGTAGTAGGTCGAGCATCCTGCGACAATGCCGGACTGTGTTGGGGATGGCCCGGTGGCTGTGGTTGTCGTGGCCTTTGTGGTTGTCGTCTTTGTAGTTGTAGCCTTTTTGGTGGTTGTTTTAGTAGTTGTGGTGGCTTTGCCTGTAACCTGACATTAGCAGAGACGGAAGTCGGGGCGGTAGAAGAGGGAAACTACTAGAGAACGCCAACGCAGACCCAGTAACCTGCTTGGAGATTACCACAAGTTGATCCGACGGCAGGGTTCCAGGCGTAAAAGTTGCTCAGGGTGATGCCATATTTTGTAGCGATCTTGCCACACTCGTCGCCGGCTTCTACGAAGTAGTAACTGTTACCTAGGAATTTCTGTTAGCCAAAAGTCTCCTTAAGGCCGGGTCTTCATATAGTAAAACAAAGAAGAATACACACAGTTGGAAGCAATACCGCTTTGACGCGGTGAATGGGGATCAGTGGTAGTCTTTGGTGGCGCTGTCGTGGTTGTGGCTTTTTTCGAAGTCGTAGTTGTAGCACCGGATCCGACGACGCCAACGCAGACATAATAGCCAGACTGGAGTCCAGAGCAATCGCTCTTAACAGCTCTTGCTCATGCATTACAGGTCAGATAAATGGTAGTTTTCGATGGATCATAGTCGACTCACGGGTTCCAAGAATAGAATTGATCCAACGTGAAGCTTCCGTAAGAGTTCACAATCGCCCAGCATGAATCACCGTTCTGTACGAAGTAATAGGAGTTGCACGTGGAGATTAGCCCTGTCTGAGTAGGAGATGGACCACCAGCCCTCGTTGTTGTAGCTGCAGTGGTTGTAGTCTTGAGGGTGGAGGAAGTGGTTGTCGTGGCCTTCGTAGTGGTAGTGGTGGTTGTCTTCTTAGTCGTGGTGGGCTTAACGGCAGGAGCTTCAACACAATAGCTCCATCCCTCGTTCAGAGCACAGTTGGTAGCTGATAGGGAAGGATTCTGAAGGCGTTGTCAGTTGCGATTAGTCGATCGTGGTTAAACCGTAGACAAAACCCTCATTGCTTACCCAGGAAACTAGCTGCGCAGTGGTGATACCATAGTAGTTCTCAAGCGCGGCACAGGTGTCCGTTGATTCGATGGAGTTGGCCCAGTAAGTACAACCACTGCTTACATTTGGGTCCGTTTCACCTGTGGCGGAGTCTCCGTTGGTGAACTGAAGCCCAATGGTAGCAGCATTCGCCGAGCCGAGGAGAAGTAGTGTTAAGGCCACAGACAAAAACATTATGTGTATGACAGAAAAGCTCGTTTGCTTATGACAGTGAGATTTTAGGCAGACATTCACATTCGCTGCGGATAGATCTATCAACAGAAGGTCCTTCGACTAAATAGCATGAGCCAGCTCATGGACTCATGTCGGTTGGACTCGGATGTCGTCCCTATTCTATGTTTGCTGGTTATAGTATCGCATCGGCGGACTTTGCTCACTAGAAGCCATCGATAAAACCGAGCAAGTCCAACCGACACTAGAGGCAATTTTCTGCGCCAGACAAGACAGAAACTGTATCCTACGACCCCTCCCCATCTTGCAGTTAAATTAGATTATATTGGACTATTGAAAAGCTAGAGGTGACGGTAACACATAAACAATACTGCAGGATGCATCATACGGTCTCAGTGCACTTTCCTTTCATACATAGCAACTCGGAGGACACCCACAAGGTGCTGACCCCTGTTCGAGATGCGACATGCATTCACCGGCGAATACCGGATATTGTCGTGCTCTCTTAGGAAGAGGTAAAGAGACCATGTCATTAATGTGACAGTATAGTCTCTAATCATGCAGCTTTTGCCTGCCCCAAATGCTGCAGTAAGCACGCGTGACACGCGCATTGACCCTAGCTGCCTTTAGACAAGTCTCCAGACGGTCTCCGGAGCACCGTGTAAATCATGCATCTGGGCCATCGCATTAAGAGATTGTACTAAGGCCGGGAGGAGGCGGTTCGTTCCGAGATTATCGTCTAAGATTGCTTGGTGACATCGCGCCTCGATCCATGGGGATCTTTCTATACCCGATGTGGCGAGTTCTCCGAAATAGATTAAAGACCGACTATTTAATTACTAGCAGGTTGAGGTAAATTACCTTACTGCAGGGGCTTACTGCAGGGCCCCCGCACGTGTATTGATCAAGCGCTACATGCAGCTGGCGGAGACTCTGTAGGTTGTATTTACCATGATGACCAAGTTGCTCAACTGTGACAGTTCAGGTAGTAATTTCAACTAGTGGCGAAATCCTAATATAACCAAAAGAACGGTCTGGAATATTTGCAGCAACTCGCCGAGTACCAATCTACGGCGGGCGTCGGATGACTAGTCAGTAGTTTAGTAGATATGATAGGTAGTAGCTCGCAGCACAAAAACAACCGGCCTATTCTTAGCATCTTCTTGGTCTTTGAAGACTTGATTTACACGGCGGTTACCTCGGCATCGAATGAGATCGTATGATCTGAAAGAACAAGCACTCAGAGAACTACCTGAAATGATTCGTGTAGGGAAAAGAGTTACTCGGGTGCCAATAGCACATATGGATCATGCGATTGAATCCTACTGACCTTTAGGGTCTCACATATGAACAAGCTATTCGGGGCTGCCGTATGAAAAGTTCAAAAGCTAGAATCAAACTAGGTATACCGAGGTTGGAAGATAAATAGAAAAGTAGTCGTACAGCAGAACGACAAACCCGTGCAGCATCCAAGTCATCAATATGTGAAAGGATATTCGACAGCAAAGCATTGCATGAAGTATGTAGAAGCCAATAGTGAGCGAATGCAAAGAAATACAGTCAAGATTCCAAGGCACGATGAACTGCCTCAGGAAAAGGGGGATATGCATCGTCAATGGCGCATACCAGGCCTGGCCAGTTCAATCTAAGATCGTCGTCTTCTTCTCTGATTTGATTCCCAAACCAAGCAAGAGATTCTAGACTTTTCTGTGAGGGTGAATACCTTTTGCGACCTTTCGAGAGAAGACTCAGGATCTCTTCCGAATAATTATCATCCTTGGTCCTTATACCGTATCCAGGGTGAGCCCCCTTCTCTAGTAGAAGCTTCAGGATATCAACGCGCTCAAAGTGCACAGCAAAGTCTATGGCGTCGTACCAGAACACATTGAGGTCGTCTTCCTTGAATATGGTAAACCGACAGTTGTAGTTGGGGCTTGCCCCATTGTCAATGAGTAATTTGGTCATGTCGTATTGACCTTCCATGATCGCGTATAACAATGCCGCGTTGCCGTAAACACTCAGATCAATTCCGTGATCGATCAAAAGTTGGAGCGTGGCAGTGTCACCCCGAGATGCTATATAACAAAGACCACAATCGCAGTTCAATCGGACACCATGCTCGAATAAGAGTGCAATGAGTGATGGCTGATCATCGTATATTGCTTGCTCGATAGGACATGGGCACTCGTGTTTTCCTGCCCGTGCCCCGAGGTCAAGAAAGTGAGGAATAATGGAGTAATAACGAGAGGAAACGGCCACCCCCAAAGCAGAGGGGGCTTCTCTCTCAGTTCCTGCGGGATCTAGGGGAGCTTGGTGCTCAATCATCAGCTCCACCAGCTGCTTGTTATGAGAACGAATGGCCCAGTGAAGAACCGTGCGTAGCTGAGCCCGTGAGCATGCTTGGTCGGGTCTTTTTTCGGAGAGCATGAGGTCGAGGGTTGAATTATGTCCTGCTTGAGCACTCATTAAAAGCGGATTGGCTCTTGAAAGATCCTCGTCCCTGCTCTTGTCGTATGCAACTTCATTGAGACTTTCGAACGAGGAGATTTCCAGTCCAGCATCAAGCAGTTTGGTTGTCAAGCCAGTATAACCATTCTGTGCGGCGAACAACAGAGCCGAGCCCTTCTCATGTTGTACATTATGCAGACAGAGGAAATGATACAAAGAATTGTATAGGTTTCTACTGGTCTGCACCAAAGCGTTGATGCCTCTCTGGTCGGCTAGACACTGGGCGATTAACAGAAGTATCTCGGTCGGTAGTTGGTCCAGGTTCCGAGCCATCATGCCTATTAGTATCGAGACTGCCTGTTGCGTAAGGAGAAATCAAAGCAGGAATGAAGTGTATGATGGAGGGTGAGATGGGAGAGGAGGGGGCGCTGGGAATTGGAGCGAAGAACTGGTGGCAACAATTATTCCGCGGGGCCGACCAGTCGCCTGTACCCAATGCGGAGTAGCTCAACTAATTTCTACAGGGGGTTCTGTCGTTTTGCATAGTGTGTAAGTCTACTTTTATGGACCTCTGCACAGACATAAATGACCAAGACACTTAGGCTGTATTCGATCTTGACGACAAAAGATGCCCATTACTATGTACTGCTGCTCACTGCGCAGAATTGAAAACGTGAGTGCCACCTTTTCACTGCTACGCGTCAAGAAAAATGCCTCGCCCCTATCCTCTTTGCAGTGCCGACGGACCCTGAAGGTTGATTTATATCAGCAGATCAAAATAGTAGTAGTACTTCCTTCCTGCTGGGGTCGTTTGCCAATATTCCTGTGGCTGTTTGGGACCAGCACACTCCAGCTTTGACCAATCGCACATGGAGTAATACATGGCTTTTCCCCAGAATTGTGGTTAGCAGATCCTCCGCAGGAGTCACTTCAGTGGTTCACGTACCTAAAGCAAAGTATGCAACGGTATCTGCCAGATGTTAGGACTTGGAAAGTATGAGAAGCGTTTTGAGGGTAACGAACCGGCATTTCGTAAGCTAAGCTCGGGATGGACAACAGCGAGTGAGCCAATCCTATGCGCTCCGTAGGCATGGAGACTAGTTGATCTGTACGTGTACATCTGGTCCCCTATTGCACATACACTATTAGTTTTAGATTCTCGGAAAGCCCAAATGCGAGGACTGAGGTTACCTGTCCTATCATCCCCAAGAACTCTCACCGAGTGGGTCAACTCATGAAGAAGCGGACCGGCGACAGCCCAAAAATACATGTCATTAAGTGTCTTGTCAATCAATTGGGCTGGATTGTTGGCAAAATGGGCCAGCTCGTTCTTTGTTCCTGCTCTTTGGAATGTGTTCGGACAGATACAGATCTCATCTTTCAATGTGACCCTGTTTTGGAATCTCCATGCATTGACTGCGTTGGATTCGTGGCATAACCTCCCGTTGGCCGCAATCACAATATCTTCATCTGTTCTCTCCGTGGCTGGTCTTGTGTCGTGATATATACCTTCACACCATCTGGTTTTAGTTTGCATTCACGACTCTCAAATTTCGATTCAAGGGGAGGCACCTCACGTCTTTGGTCAGTGCTCATATCATCCTGATAAGCAAAAAAGTCATCACTGCAGTGGATCACAAGATCCAAGGTTGCCTCCGGCAAGGCCTCGTAGATCTTTGTGTAAATCTCTGTCACAAATATGTTAGTTAATAGTCAACGTCACTTCCTCTATCAATTACAAAAGAAAATATGTTTTTTCATGCTTCAGGACATGAGCAACTGATCAAACCACAGACCTTTCAGCTTCTTGACATTTCTAGCTGTATCATCCCACGAAGTTGGCTCTGCTCCACCACTTATCGGCAATGTACCGGAAGAAAATTTGATCTGCGCAATGTAGCTCACCCAGGTATTGTAAAGCCTGGTGAGAACGCCTTCCTGAGACCCCCAAGTTCTTGGCTGTCTTCTAGTTGCAATAAAATCCTGTAAAATGTCGAGTTGTGAAATTGACTTTTCCATCTACAATGATGATTAGTCCTCACTCTTTGTAAAAGCTTGCGGTTAGAGTCTGTTGTTATGGATGATGTACTTACCATCACCTGTATCTCATCTAGCTGGACTTTCACGTATTCCTTTTGCTTATCCGTGCATTTTTGGCCAAATTCTATACCGGGGTATTGCAATGGCCAGTCCCTTTTGACGAGGAGCCCGGAGGCTTGACCAGAACTATTGACTGGGGCGCCATCTTCTATAAGCTCTCGAAGGGGCTCCAAAGGGGATGCAAAAGTATTGAAGAAGAAAAGTGGCCACAGAAGTGCTCGCATGGTTGCCATCCACCTGAAAGTGGACAGAAAACCAGTCTGCCAATTCATTGCTGCAATGGGATAAAAGGGACCAAGAGTCTTTCAGGCTTATTGGAAAAGACACTGCATAAGATACGGAGTCAGATGAAAGTCAGACTGTAGCTACTTAAGGCAGTGCTAGGAGATTGACAGTACCTGTCACTCCTGGTGGGCAGGGGAAATGGGAGCTTTGGTGCCTGGTATTTCATTTCATTTTGTTCTAAGCCCACCTAACTGAATGCCTGCATATACCCGGGTCAGCTCGTTCGACACCTGTTTTCTCCCCATTCTCAAATATCTCATTCAGGCTTTCTTGGCCCCAGGCTAGTAGAACGCCTGTTCATGAGAGACCATTCTATCCACCCTTTGACCTCTCTATTTTGCTCCGATATTGTTGAAATAATCTAGACCTCTGGAGAAATTACTCCTTTCAGGCATGTTCCTAGTTTCTGTATCGTACAGAATTGTACCGCTTGCTTGTTTGCTACTCTGGCCTGGCGCAGCGACTCCACCCATGCAGGTCAATATATCGAGTGCTCATATCATTCTGCCGGGCGAAAGGTCGTAGGACCGGCCACCGGTGTGATAACAACACCGGATGCAACATGGGACGGAGGTTTTGCTAAAAGGAAAATTACAGGGATGGGCAAGAATGACACGGATCAAGAGTGTTAACCACGATAAATGTTTGCCTCCCTTCTTGGTTTTGCGGGCTAGTATATAGACGCCGCAATTGCATGACATCGATGAGTCTAGTGCTAAACTACGACAGGAGGCAACCGGCTACGCCGGAAAAACTGCGCTTAGGTTCCTGCATGGCTATATAGACAAGTGTGCATTAGATCAGACGTCGCGCATACAGGCGTGGATTCTATTTCTAACGATGTTACGCTAATATCTGTCGCCAAGAGCGTAGCGTGCGAACATTTTATCCGGCCAATAAAACACCCTTCATGAACCCCTTTGGGGCTTTACTCGGATCGACGACCCTAGCCAAGTTCATCAAGCAATTTGTTAGTGAGGGGACTGGCCATAGTCTATTTCTTGGCTTCCAATATACTCCCTCAGTCTAGGCCAATACCCCGTATAGCCGATACAGAATTTTGTACCGGGAGTTTCACGCGGTTCGCTTGATGAGATTTGTCAAAGACACCGAGGCCAGGAACAGGAAGAAGTTCCATTTCATTCCGAGAGCCAAATTTGCATCATGTGCGTACATGGGACTGTGTTACCTCCAAGGACGAGTTTGGCGTGGGATTGGATGGCAGGGCAATCATTGACAGACTGTTTGGGTACAAAAGCCCCAACCATACTTTGAAAAATGACCCAGCCTACTCCAAGGCACTGAAATCTTGCACTTGAATCTTTTTGAGGAGCCAGCCTCCATCATGAAGCGTCCGACAATTGCCAGATGGCTGCTGCTCAGCGTTTTGTGCACGGTCCCCTCTGTCCGAGCTGCCATGGGAAGCTGCTCGGAGACTGAAGAGTGTGACACGGGATGCTGCTCCAAGGAAGGCTACTGTGGCTTTGGTCCTGACTTCTGCGGCGATGATGTCTGCATATCAACATGCGACGCAGTTGCTGAGTGTGGTGGTGAGTAGCTGAAGCCGAGGCATCGATGTTGGAAGATCTACTAATGGCTATGTAGAATACGCTGAAAAGCCGGGAGCAAAGTGTCCATTGAATGTTTGTTGTTCTGAATTTGGGTATGGTTCTTGGTACATTTTGCGATGAGTTGCTGAGCATAGACAGATTCTGTGGCACGACTGAGGAGTTTTGTGGAAGTGGGTGCCAGAGTGGGTGTGACCCAGTCAATCAACCGTACGTACCTATTCTTTCCAGATATGCGTCTATTCAAATACCCTGACACTATCTACTACTACGTCAGATCTTGTTCCGGAAGCTCAAGCGAAGCCGTCTATATTGGCTACTACGAAGGATGGAACCCCAACCGACCTTGCGATGTTGTACTGCCGGAGAATATCAATGTCAATCCATGGACTGTACGTTCAACCCGCCTTTCTATTTCTACCAATTCTTCTACTGCAGGGGAAGACCTAACAGTTTATATCAGCACCTATACTACTCCTTTGCCGGAATCGACTCATCTGATTTTACTATCACCACCACCAATGACAACGATATAGAATATTGGCCTAAATTCAATGCCTTGAAGAAGAAGAAGCCTTCGCTCAAGACATACATTTCTGTGGGTGGCTGGGACGTTGGGGGAAAGGTATTTTCTGATATGGTGCGGTTTCCTGGCACACGCAAAGCATTTATAGATTCTTCCATCTCAATGATGACCGAGTATGGTTTCGATGGCATAGACATCGATTGGGAATACCCTGCAGCCGACGACCGTGGTATGTGATTCGTGCATATTTTCCACGCTAACAATACAGTTCTTTTCGTTCTAATTACTAGCAGGTGGTGCCCCAAGAGATACTGCCAATCTCGTGACGTTTCTTTCTGAGCTCAAAAATGCAGTGGGTACAAAGTTTGGCCTGACAATAACCTTACCATCTTCATATTGTAGGTTTTTGATCAATACATCCTCAAGCACTGTCTATCAACTTTGAATACTGATGATATCAAATAGGGTATTTAAAAGGATTTGATCTCCCCGGAATTGCTAAATACGTTGAATCGTTCAACTTCATGGCTTATGACATCCACGGAACTTGGGATGGTACAAGTAAATGGACGAGTTCCGTTGTCAATCCCCATACAAACTTGACAGGTATGTCACTAACCACTTGATTTTGGCTATAACGCCCTGATGCAATGCGGTCTCTCGTACAGAATTTCCTTCGAAGCTCTTGAGCTAATAATCCCGTATAGAAATTTCTGCTGGACTTGACCTTTTGTGGCGCAACAACATTGATCCCAGCAAGGTCTTGCTTGGTCTGGGCTTCTACGGTCGCTCCTTTACATTGGCCGATTCATCTTGCACTGAACCTGGATGTGATTTCTACACAAAGAACAATCACACTGGAGGAGCTGTGGCTGGGACATGTACTGGGACTAGCGGCTTCCTGTCGGACTACGAAATAAATCGTATCATAGACGGCTTTTCGGGCAACATCAACTACGACGAGACTGCTGGTGTGAATTGGATGACTTGGAGTGGAGATCAATGGTACGTACATACGAACTCTTGATACGATGGGCTATGTTGCCTAACCTAGGTGGATTTAGGGTCTCATTCGATGACGGCCGTACACTCAAACAAAAAGCCGACTTCGCCAATAGCAAATGTTTAGGTGGACTGTTCAGCTGGGCTCTTGACCTTGGTGGCCCTGGTTCACTCAAGAACCCCAATGAGTTGACTGCAGACGATACTGGCATGGGTGGAGCCAAGGCTGAGGGAGGCAGTGACGGAACTGGTCTTCTCTATGTAGGCCAGGAGGTATTGGGTGATTCACCTATTTTTACCGCCATTGCTCCTGTCAGTGTCATCTTTCCCAAGTCAGTTCTCAAATCTCCTACGACCATTGATCTGGGAGGTGGTTATCCTACCTCCCTGGAGGTTGCATGGAGTACTACCAAAACTGTCACTGTCAGCGGCGTCACGACCGTCACTTCCACTATCACTCGACATATTATGTCTACTACGATCCCTCTGAAACCAATCACCACGAACACCATCAACTATTATAATTGGAATATCAGCGATGTTGTCACTTCCAGTGTCGGAACTCTCATCCCGAGTATTGAGATTGCGCCAGTTGTGGTTACAGATGATCCGAACCCGCTGAAAGAGTCCGGCGTAACTCATCTGCCTCTTGTGACTCGCACCGTTAGTATTCCCCCGTGGCCTTGGACTACCGATGGCACCAAGTTTCCCACCGTCACGTTCAAAGAAGGAAGTCCCCCGGGACCGACCTGCACCGCCAATTGCGGTCATAAATGCTATAGCTTCTGCGATGGACCTTGCCTCGTCGATTGCGGCAAAGAAAGCTCATCTAGCTTTATTGATCCCCTTGATAAGAACCCTCCCTCGTTTAGCAAATGCTCCGGTCCGGGATGTATCAACGGCAAATGTACCGGAGACGGTCTCTGCATCGAGAAGGGTTGCACTGGCACTGACTGCAAAAGTCGCATTTGTGTGGGTGATGATTGTATCCCCACGGCATGCACGGGCAAAAACTGCGATGACGGGCATTGCTCTGGAAAAGATTGCCAGGATCATGGGTGCATTGGAAAGGATTGCAATGGCGACGACGACAATAACAACGATGACGACGACGACAGCGGTGGTGGTGGCGGCGGTGGGGGAGTCGCCGGCCTGTGTTTCGGACCTCGATGCCTCTCATGGGGATGCATAGGTCCTGCCTGCTCCAAGACTGACTTCACCTGTACCGGTCCGCGGTGTCGCGTTGTAATCTGCTCTGGTCGTGGTTGTTCCAATGGTGTTTGTACTGGCAAAGGCTGTCAATCCGAGGATTCGGACTGCGAGGGAGAAGAGGCAGACTCTTGTACTGCGTATATATCCAGTACTCTAGTCACGCCAGTTTCGACTTATTCAACAAAGACTGTGACCACTCGCTGTCAAACCATCACTGCTTGTGCTGCAACTCCGACCACAACAACCCGTACTGTTGACAAGGATGGGTTGATGGAAGGCACAATATCAAACATTGGCATCAGTGTTCCTTATGAATCAGACCTTGCAAGTCAGCTACTTGATCAGCTGGATAGTTTCTATTCATCGGCATTTAGCACAACAACCAGTACCACCACCAGCAAACCCACGACCACGACGAAAACTTCGGCTCCGCCTGCTCCCACCGAAACCGATTACAACTGCGCTGGCTCTGGCCGATGCAAGACATTTGCTAACCTGCACAAATTCTGTGACATGGCCAAAAGCTTCCTCACGGAGACTACTGTATACGGGTACGTTATTCTTTACTTCTTAGGAACAGATCAGGGCAAGCAGCTCACCCAGACGCAGAACCACGGGCAATGGCATCAACAGCGGGACTTGTTACACGGACGGCAAGAATGCCGGCATTGGCTGTGGGGTTTTCGTCAAAGGTGCCAATTGCGAGATGACTGGCAAGCAGATAGCAGCGTGAGTGTTGCCCTGACTCGATTAACCCTCCCTCGGATTTCCCCGTTTGGCTGGACTGACCTTTTTCAAAACTAGTGCCTACGACCATATCTTCCAGGAGACGGGTGGAGACTGCAAGATATGCGGACGAGCATTCTTTCCAGAGGGTTGCAGGGTGCATGTTGACTACGTGACCGATTGCAAAACGTCGAACAGCCTTTTAGAGTCGTTTGCTGGGAACGGGACCGATATCAGCAGCGATTCCGGGGTGACTGCGGTGGGATCATCAAGGCTTGTATAGTAGTTGGAACCTTTTTTTGTCTCCCTATCTCTCGATTCCGGACAGCTATTTTTCGATTGTTATATATTTTCTTATTCATTGATTATCTGCAAATCATCAACATGACTTGACAGAACCTCGGCATTTTCGGTGCTTCCTCGGTGCTTCCTCGGCTACCTATTTGTTCACAGTAGCCTGATCGAGTCTGGTGCATTCCTTTCCTAGCTATCAATCCTAATATTCAATTGGCATGTATGAAGTTCTCCCCTTTTCTTCTCTTTTGAAACTAAATGGCTCTTGCTTCTTGTCTGTGCTGCCACAGAGAATTTTTGACCAGTCGCATTTAAAATAATACATAGCTGCCCCAGAAAAGAAATTAGCATAAATACCCAACGACAGTTTCGGCGGTTCACAAACCTAGTGCGAAATATGTGAGTGTATCTAAATATGATGTCAGTGCGTGGACAATCCGAGAATATGTAGAGTACGATACCGGCATTTTTCAGACTAAGATCCGGTCTGAAGTAAGAAAGCTCCATAATTCCCGATGCTTGATACGCCTTTAAGCTTTTGCCGTTTTTGACATAGACTTGATCAGCTATTATAGATGTGACGTTAGCTCGAGATATTAGATCTCTATTTTCAAAATGGATATCTACCGGTTCTTTCATTCCCAAGAATGTGTTCACAGTGGGTGAGCTCATGAAAAATGGTATTTGCTGTCGAATTGAAAAATATTTCATCGATCGTTTTCCCTTTCAGGGTGGACATTTCGTTAGCGAACTGGGTTAGCTTGTTGGATGTCTTGGCCTTTTCGAACGTTATCGGGCAGATATAAATCTCCTCCTGTCCTGAGACTGAGTTTGTATATCTGTATCCGCTGATTGAGGTGGACTCGTGGCACAGCCTCAAGGAAGCTGGAAGGGGGATGTTTGCATTTCGGGGACCGTCTGTGGCTTCGTTCCTTTCGTCTTTATATAGGCCTGTGCAATGCATTTAAGGGTTAGCTGTTATGAGTGCTCTCTTAAGTTGGGGTACAGAGAAAATCGTACGAAAACTTTTGTTGCTTTCTTTTTCTTGATACTTTAGAAATGTATCATCGCAATGAAACATGACATTTAAGGCTTGTGCTTTTAAGACCTGGTCCATATTGTAATATTTCTCTATTTAGACGTATTAGTAAAAATACTTTTTCTTCTCTCTCTTCTTTTTCGTTCTCGCGTGAATCTAACCAATAGAAAGATGAAAACGCATACTAACCATACATGGTCTTCATATTGCCCTCCGCCACTTTCCACGGGCTCCGAGGTGCTTGCCCTGGACCTAATGTGGCCCTGCGATTAAGTTGAATCTTCTCAACATAAGCCTGCCAGGTATTCAGGAGTCTGGTGTTTTCGTCAAAGCGAGGTCCCCAATCTTTCGGCTGCTGTCTTTCTCGAATGATCTGCAGCATAGTGGTGATTTGGGTTTGCGCTTCATTCAACTGTTCTGATAATCAGTTCTGGAATCATCGGTCCAGGAGTCAAAGAATAGAACTATTTGCTAACCATTGTCTCTATCTCACTTAACTCGTCAATGATATACTGTCTCTGGACCGGACTGCATGTTGAAGAGAACGTCACCGCGGGATAGTTGGTTTTCCTTTTCGACTTCGGAGGAGGCTCGTCGATAATGTTGGAGTTCTTGGATGGAACATCGTAATGTACAAGGTCGGGAGATGATATGAAAGGGGACGCAGATGTATGGGACGGAAGAATTGCCCACAGAAGCGCTTGTAGGCTTGTCATCCATTCGATGGCATGGGTGTGTAGCTTCATGGTATGGAGGAAGCAGAATCAGTCACGAAGTAACGAGCGTTGATAAATACAAGAGAACTTTCAAAACATTTACTCTAGATAGTTACATCGAAGCTATCTGGAAAGCATAAGGTAAACATTTCAAGGAAACACTTCATAAATTTAAAACTGTACATGGTTATTTATTTGTACTCAATCAAAAAACTACATAGATATTTGTCTTTCTAGGTGCAATCCAAGGGACTCAAGACTTACTTCTTGGGCTAGCTAAGAACCAGCTTGAAACCCATAAGCGATAGATTCTTTGAACATGAGACCTAATGCTCCCTGACTGAATCTGACTGGTTCAAGACATACAAAGAATATCTTCCTCATGTTATTGTTAGCTCCAGTGGTAGATACTATTTAACTCTCTGTCTCGGTTGTACCTTGCCATAAGGCTGAATGATGATTTAATGACTACCAAGGCTACAAGGATGATCCATTCACGCAATGTCTAGTTTCCCCTCTTTTAACCCGATATATTATTCTAGCCGCGTGACTCATTTAAGCCACATCCTTGATCCCTGGAAGAGGTGCGTCATGCATGTCATGCTTTATGAACTAGCATTATCCCATAACTGAATGTCCGAGGGCGGCTCGCCCAGTGCCCCAGATGTTTCGTGCCCCTGTTTTGTGCAACGTACCTATATAGACATCTCATGTTTTGTTAACTATCATTTATCTAAGTAAATGGCATATTGTGTCATTTAAAGAAGTGTCCCCAAAGAGTTTATAACTATGCATAAGACTACTTATGGCCCATGCCAAAAAGAGTGGGATTAATGTGTAGATATGTATGTTAATAATTTTCTTTGACTCGCTGCTAGGAATGATGCAGGAATATAGTATCCGATCAAGACCAAAAAGCCTTTTGTCAACAGGAACAAGCTCTGTTATTATTGATCGACCAGAATCATTCATTTCATTATTCGTTCTAGGCGTGACATGCAATGATATTCCTGAATCAAGCTCCACGACCTTCAAAGTCTCTTTGATGGCATACAAGGAACTATCAAACGAACATGACAAAGAAACTCCCCGATGACTCGATCATTCACTAGCATCCGTTTCATACAGGTTCTACGGCCACTCTTTTACATTCAAATGAGATCATGATTAGAGTCTTCGTGCCGATCATAGGCCGGATGGGAAAGCAATAATGAAGGCCCACGTTTCCCCCCTTTGTTATCTACATTGTGTGCATAATCAAGAGCGGAGCAAAGCCTTTAGAAATTTTGCAAGCCAGTGTAAAAGACCATTTATGCACACTCTATGATTAAAGCACTTCGCCCAAGCCAGGCCTAGAACTAGAAGACGCCGGAAATGGGATGGCTTAGGCAGGTGTGTTTCACTTCCCGGAGGAATCCTGAAACGCCGTCTCCAAAGAACTCCATGTTGAGATCGACCGTGGAGAAATAAGATACTTCTTCATCCAGTTTAGTCTCCGCAAGTCAGTCTGTCAGCGACGCGTGTTGGCGAAGTTCCTGCAGGTCCAGGTTCGGCGGGAGTTACGCATTAGGGTTAGGTGGGTCGGAGTTAACGTGAACATACCATGTTTCTCGACTGTGGAGTATGCAGCTTGCACGCGGACTTCATTGAGCAGTTTATACTATGTTGAAGCGAAATTTCTACTGCTAACTTGTTAAGCAGGCGATATTCATCTGAGCATTGGGATTAAAGTTGGAAACTTCAGCGGTGTTCTAGTAGGTGCTTTTGGGATGATATGTTACACTCAACTTCTCGAGCTCTTGACTTACATATCGAGTCTAGGGTGTTATGTATTTGAGATTCAATGGCCTTGAGAAATATACAGCTCGAAATGTGATCTCCACTCTTAATATGTGCAGTGCCTGGCTCCTGCAGATCCCCGACGGATTCACGGGAGAACCGGGTGGTCTTCGAAGTAGTAGACCTGTTACCACCTCGGAATGATGTCGCAGCACTCGTCATCTATGTCCATCTTAGCCACCAGAACGAGTATTTAAGGCCCTTCATACCCAGTCAAACAGAGCTGTATCATCCCAGCCACAGCACTTCACCATGAAATCTTGGAATCTTATTGCCTCCTCTTTCTTCGCCCTGGGCTCTTATTTCCCAGGAGCCTCAGCAAAGACCTCATCCCTTCCAACCCCTGAGCTGGTGGATGTCGGCAGTGGCGTGGTCGGTGGCATCTATCGGCCATCTACCAACAGCGCCAAATCCCGCATCGCAGTCTACGTGATGCACGCCGAAGAAGACTACCTGAGCTTTTCGGCTTGCACGGAGCTTCCGAAACGTGGCTACACAGCTTTCTGCGCCAACAATGATGCTAGTAAGAGTGGCTACATGACGGATCTAGACTTCGAGGAGATGATGCTCAACGTGGGCGAGGGCATGAGCTACCTGCGCAACCAGACCGAGTTCGACAAAGTCGTCATCCTCGGCCACAGCGGCGGAGGAGCCATGATGGCCGCGTATCAGAACATCGCCGAGAACGGTGTCCAGGCTTGCCAGGGCGCAGAGAAAATCTACCCCTGCTCGAACCAACTGGCTGGGTTGAAGCCCGCTGACGGCCTCATGCTGCTTGACTGCAACTACGGCCTTTCGACCATGTCCCTCCTCAGTTTGAACCCAGCCATCGAAGACGAATCAACGGGTTCGAAGATCAACCAGTCGCTGAACCTCTACTCCCCCGCCAATGGATACACCTCCAATGGCGCAAACTACTCCGCTGCATTCCAGAAAACCTTCCAGACCGGGGTAGTCGCGCGCAATAACCGTATCCTCGATCACGCGCTCTCCCGCCTCGACGCCATCGAGGCCGGAAACGGCACCTTCAGCGACGATGAGCCCCTCTTCATCCCGGACGCTTCCTACATCGGCTTCAACAACAAGTTCTTCTCCCAGGACACTCGGTTCTTAGCACACACCACACACGCCTGGCCGCTCCTGCACAAGAACGGCTCCACAACGACCCAAATCATCCCCTCCGTCCGAACCTCCAACACACTTGGCTCTCTGGCCAATAAGTTCCTAGATGGCGCTATTAAAACAACCGTGAAGCGATACTTGTCTACGCTGGCCATCCGAGTTACATCAGACTTTGCGTACCGAGTGGATGGCTTCGACGGGATCGATTACGCATCCAGCCAGACGGCGCCGTTGGCTTCAATCAGGGGCGTTAGGGTTCCGTTGCTGACGATGGGTATGACGGGGCACTGGGAGTATCTGAATGCGGAGAAGCTTCATTTGAATGCGCCGGGGAATGATACCTCGATTGCGTTTGTTGAAGGTGCACAGCATACGATTGATACTTGTACTGAATGCGAGTCTTATCCCGGGGAGTTTGGGGATACGATGGTGACGGCGTATGATTTTGTCGGTGGGTGGTTGGAGAAAAAGGGGAGGTTTCTGTAGGTCCTTGTGCTTTGGGTAGGGGGTTCTGCTGGATATTCGCTTGGATTTCTCTGTGATTCTGGTTATTCCAGTGGACGATTTAGTGTTGAGAAATGGGATCAAATGACTGGTATATACTACTAACATCTAGATATAATCTTTAGAGCCAACATATCTCTAGATGAGAATTCAAAAACGCCTTCTATCTACCCCCTCTCTCAATAGCCATCCTACATCCGATAAAATCCACCTTCTCCAATTCAACATAAACGGAAAAAGGAATTTCAATCGAAAATAAACTGGAGCCATAAAGACCAATACTCGAAAGGTCCTCAACAGGAACATATCCACACCGACATCCACTCAATGGCATGATACTTCTTTCTCACAAGACCTTCCATGCCTGAAGTCATGTCCAAAAAGCCACCACACGACAGAGGAATTGGCAAAGTCCCACCCAGCAGCATCGAAGGATCCGATCATCAGAGGAAAGAGCCAGATGACCTCACCGACTCACTCCTAGGCCGATGCCCAACATCTCCGTACTGACCCCATAATTAACACAACCCCAAGATGTGGATCCAGACTCACGGTCTAGTGTCTACTTCGTACTAGGAGGACGGAGTTTCCGTAGAACAATGCAATGCCATGCCCGTCAGTGGCTGTCAATCGTCAAGCGCAACGTCCCACTCCCCACTGTGAAATACTGAAAACCTCCGGTGCGTCTTGTTTCCTGAGAAACAAGGCCATGATCCATCGATCGCTCCGAGCAACGCGAGGGGTCAATCTCCTCGTCATCCATACCCACATCTACGGAGTATCCGCCATTCCATCGAGAGTGGAGAGAGAATTCTCCGTGCGATCCCACCAGTGCCACGGACTCCGTCGAAACTAGTATTCAACCCCACAGTCTGTTTCCAAGTAGTCGCCTAGGAGTACGAGAGTCGAATCCACGACCAGCTGGCACTCATCACGCAATTCTTATCATGATCGAAGCATCAAAATCCAGCCAAAGTCCCGTACTTCGCGCTCACCACACATCCATGTAGCACGGAGTATGTACACCTACAACTCCGCACATACATCAGGGCCGGAAATTCCACCCACGAGTCGAACCAGTCCGCGTCAACGACTGGCAGGCTAAGTAGCGCGGGCTTTTGAAAATGCCAGCATGTTCCCTCGTTGGCGCGAGGGACATGCATGGGGCTAGTGTAACGGGGCCATTTAGGCAGTTCAAACGGGCCTGAAGGGCGGGCGAGCGCCAATCACATTCCCGACTACTCGTATACTTTCTATGCCTAGCGCACCTAGTGGATGGTTGATTGATGGATTGATTGATTGCTGATTGCCAGAGTGTCACTGACCACTGTCTGTCTCTGCCAGTGCCAGTGCCAGGGCCGGGGAACAGGACCAACTACGGTACGACTACGGAGTAAGCTGCATGGGTCCTATTGATAAACATGCATATCTGGAAAAAGTCCGACAGTGGGTTTGGTTTGATTCCGTTCGGAGTGGGGATTGGATGAGGGGCAGACGCTGCGTCAGACCGATGGAGGGGTGTGATTGATGATTGATGAGGGCTGAGGGCTGATAAATGTCTTGGGTCAGCACCGCACGGCGCAGTGGTGCGTCCGTCCGCAGATCTTGCCGGCCGGGAGGACGAAGTAAGCGTTGCTCGTTATTGCTCCGATGGAGTCAGAGCAGGGCAGATTCAGGGGGACGTTGCCCATAAGCGTTGCATGCCCTCAGCTGACTGTGTTTTGCAAGGAATGCAAAGAGGGCAAAGAGCGCAGGCTGTACGACAAGATGAGGGGTAGCAGCCTAAGGCAGCCCTTCCAGTCGCGGAAGACGGAAGGCTGCAGGCACTCGCTGGAGTGACAACTTGGAACTGGTTTGCCCGCAGTCTCTCCGGTAGTTACGCAGTAGTGCTGCGGTTTTCTCCGCTCCGTCGTAAGGGCGGCGTAACTCTGTCTTTAGTTTCTTCTATTTTCTTTTATTCTATTTCCGTTTACTCATATTTTATCGCAAATCCTTCGGCAAATCAATGCAACCGCGCAATCCTTTCAGCTGCTGACGCCGCCCTTAATTTTAGGGCTCAGGGCAAGGGCACCAGTCACGCGCACATTCCCCCTTCGCTTCTTCCATTCTTTTTCTTGGGGCATTCGGTCGCGTATCATCAGGGCCAAATATGTGTTCGTTTATTTTCCAGCCATTCCAACCGACGCGATCGGCATGCGGCTGGCGACAGCTCAGGAATCCAAGCCCCTCTGGAAATAGAAAACCAAGGCAAAAATCACCCACGTCGAATCAGACGACTCAGGGCTGAAGTATGCTATGCCGTCAGGTAGGTAGGTAGGTACCTGCTGGTACGGCCTGTGTACGCGTAAAAACCAGGTCAGGGTAAGTACCGTACGGTACCCATCCCCAGCTCGGTATCAAATTGGGATGCTCGCGGATGCAAAACAACAACAATCAGATGCCAGTCTAGATCGTTTCCCCAGCAAGGGATGATGAAAACTCTGCCGGTGGGACCTCCACGGTGGAGCTTCGGTTTGACTTTGATTTAGCTAGCGTCCTTTGGCGCGCACGGCGAAGACGGGCCTGGGAGGTCTGGGGGTCTTAGACCAATCCGCACCAGTACTTTTTGATTTTGGATCATTGCGGTCGTGATTGGCATAATGGGTCCATGGCTCTGGCGCTTGATATCATCACTCGTCCGTCAATTCTCGCTGGAATGACTCCGAACGGTGGAATTATTAATATTGCGACGGCGCTGAACGCCATGTGCGACGTCGCCGAGTTTCTTTGGAAATCGGTTTGAAGGTTTACGTAGTAGGCGGGAAATAAAGATACGGAGTAAAATGAACTGGAAAAAAAGAAATACCAATAATGAAAAAAAAAAAGTCTGCCTATTGACCAGTCAGGGGCTTTTACTGCCTAGATTGTGCCCCGAGTGTGTGATATTGTCACCGAAATCTGAGCCCTCAATCTTGAGGGCTTTGAGGCTGTCCTCTCATTTCCTTTGCGTTCCCAATTTTCCATTTGATCGAGTCGACCGAATCTTTCTACGGTCTGCGAGTGTGCGTTTTCCATTACCGCTTCTGGGAAATAGTGCATCGCGGCGCTGCTCCATCGGCGATATCTCTCATGTATGTCAAGTCCAATCAACCAAACGATCGGAACCGGTTTTTCTGGCCGCATCAATAATGTTCTGTTTGCCCATTTTAATTTCTTCGGTCCCCATTTTCCCAGGATCCGCCGTTAACTCACTAAATTGCGGTCTGTCCAACGAGGGCCCCATCGGCGTTGCCCAGAGGGTGTGGTTGCTGCCCAGCAAGATGCGCGGCGGTAAAGCCCATCCGACCAACTGTTGCCCAACAACCAGGCTTTCTAGTTGATGACATCCGCCAGAAGTGTTATGCCATTTGCCATATGGCTCCACGGGGAGCACGAAAAAAAAAGTGGACGATGAGCTTGTTTACTGGCTTCCGTGTTAGAACCATGGAATTTCTGCGGGTTCATCCGAATCGAGTCCATGGGACCGGCCCTTTCTTTCCCTGGCTGGTTTTTGTATACCCTCACGCGACGCAAGTAGTTCCTGTTTCAGGCTTCGCCACTGCAGACTCAACATTGACTCAACACCACGGGCGGGATTTTTTTTAATTTTATCCCTTACTTAGTCACAAACGTGGCCAAACAAAGGTCTGACTCATCGATCGCCTGTGCCCTGTGCCTTGTCCCTTTTGCCTTTCATATCCCGAATCGGCCGCGCCTGTCCACCTTGTCCGTATGTATGTCCAGCTGGTTGGTGCCTGTTTGAAGACGATACGACACTCCGGAGGGGACGTAGAATCCCCCCGGCGAATCTCCATCTTCGGAAGCGGACACTGCATCCGGTGAAGACCCTGGTGTAGGGGCACCGGGCCAATAGAGCCCAGAGGGAGCCTTATCGCGATCCGTGGAGAGTGGTTGCGCCATGGGATTTTCCCCCGACGGACGGTAGGGACATGTTGAGACCCGTTACTGGATTTGTCGACTGGGAGATGCCATCAGTGTCAGAAGAGGAGTGAGCTGTAGGAGTCAGTTGATACTCTCAGGATGGGAGGATTCCAGCGTCGGCCCAACAGGCGCTTAGCAAGGAGGACTGAGACGAGTTGGTTTTTCTTTTTCTTTTTCTTTTTTTCATCCTAATTTCCTGCTCTGCTGCCTAGGTATATATGGCGTAGACGGTGGCACAGCTGTGTCCGCGTAGAGTAAGGCGGCGTCATCATGACTCTTCGTTTCGTATCTGATCGGGAGTCATCTCGCACTCCATGATCCATAATATCCAGGATCGTATAATATCGTATCATGCGAATAATCAATATTCGCTGATTACTCCGTGCGATGCATCCAGATTGGCTGCGCGTTGGGCTTTCAGGCGAGCGAGACGGCGTAATTACTAGACCGAACGGCGTACCAACCGAGAAAAATACGCCCCCACACACTGGCGTCCCGTGGCCTTCCAATCTTCCAATCTTACAAAACCAACGCCTGCTCGCCTCCTCTTTCCTCCCTTCCACTTTCTCCCATTTTTCCACCTCTTCTCTCTCCCTCCGTTTGGGGTGTTATCCAACCAGTCGCATCCTTTCCTGGTGACATCTGGAAACCCCGGTAGATCGACTTCGATCTGCCCAGGAACCGGTTGGAAGAGATCCCAACCGTCTAGTGGATTCGGGGGATTTCCAAGGTTCCCTTTTCGCTACCTGCGAATCGCCTCCCGCATAGCCGCTTTGCTTACCAACGCGCCCTCGGTCGACCGAACGACGTTCAAATGCACTTCCAGTACATACGCCTCTGTCCCTCCTCTCCCCTAGAAACCGTTCCGCGGTGACGGTCCTCTCTTCCTCTGATTTCTCCTATCACCATCCCGATTTCGTTGTCCTTTGCATCGGCGTCGATCGGCTTGTTCTGAACGATATCCTGTATAATATATCTGGGTTGTTGCCTTTTTCTTTTTTATATCTCTTCCGTTTTTATAGCATTTGTTTTGCGCAGCTTTGGGAGTTTACCCATAAAAAGTTCTCGACTTCGTTACCTTGCGATCTCTTTGCCAGCAGCGTTACTTTCGATTCTTATGCTCGCCTTGCGATAATGTATCATTATACCAGTCCACCTCCCGGGTGGTCTTTCGACTACATGACCTCTCCTCCGACTTCTCCCCATTACGCCTACTACGCCACCCAGTTCGCCAGTCCCTACGGTTCTCCTCGCGGCCCGTCGAAGCGCCACAATCGCAAAGCCAGCTACGCCGGTCCCAAAGATACGGGAGGGTGGCATCCGGGATATGGTCCTACAAGTTTCTACGAGGCGATGCCCGAATATGGCACCCCGCCACGCAAGCACGATCCTGTAAGTGCTTCTTTTGGTGGCTATCATCGTCGTCGTAGCACCATGTCCGGTGCCCCGGCAGATCCCTGGGATAACGCTGGTCCTTTCCCGTCCCCGTCGCCCTCGTCGCGAAGGAAATCCGTCTACGTGGATGTGGTTGACGATGTATTCGAGGATGCGCCGCGATACGTTTTCCGCGAGGATCCAGCCAGCAAACCTCGACGTTATCCGTCTACGACTCAGCGCAAGCCAAAGCCACCCACTGATCAATATTTCTACTATAACCAGGTCCCTCCTTCTTACGATGACGCCGACTCGCCCAAGCGGTCTCGTGCGCGCCGTCAGTCTACGTCTACGCGGACCCCGTCCAAACCCAAGCCTACCCCGCCGTCCAGCAAACCGACCCCCAAGGCAACTGAAGAGGACGCCGTTCGAGCGGGCATCCCTCCGGGTTATTCGATCAAGAACTGGGACCCCACCGAAATGCCGATTGTTCTCCTGGGAAGCGTCTTCGATGCGAGCTCGCTGGGCAAGTGGATCTACGACTGGACGGTTTTCCACCACGGCGCTTCGACTCCGATGGCGGACGTGGCGGGTGATTTGTGGTTGCTGCTGATCAAGCTGGCGGGCAAGGTGAAGCGCGCCGATGAGTGTCTGGATCGCATCCGCAGTCCGGAAGCGCAGGAAGTCGTTGAGGACTTTCTGGAGAGTGGTGAGCGACTGTGGAGCCGCTTTAAGAAGTTGCTTAGAACTTGCGAACAGTTTATGTGGAAAGCCGCGAAACGTGAAGGCGGCAAGTCCGTGTCGATGGGCCGCAATGCCGGATGTGAATTTGTCGAATCGATTTTCGGACGCGACCGCGAATTGGAGAACACGGAGAAGTTGATGAACAGCATCCGGTTATGGAACATGCGCTTTGACGCCAACTGCGAGGATATACTCCGACGACCGACTGCGATATAGATAATTCCGATGTCCTACAGTGGAAGTTTAGAGGGATTTGGAATTCTGACCAAAGATCCAGTTCACATTCTGAGAACTCATTTCATTTGAACGACGGGCCGAGGTCCGACGACCGAGGACCCGTCCGATTTTACACCGTTTCGATTCTTCGATGCATTTTCGACCTTGCATTTGAGCGCGTTTGGTTTGGCTATTCTGGCTGGATTTGCTCGTTTGCGTTTTGATCATCTCGGCGACATGGACCGCTATCAGCGCGGACTTTTGATTTCGCTTGAGCTTTATATTTCCTTTGTTCTTTCTTTTGTCTGCAACCTTTATCCTTCTTGGGACGGGGAATTTCGCTTTCTTGCCAGGCGCTTGCTCTTTTGGGAGTTTGCTTTTCTTACTGCAAGTCTTGAGCCCTTTGTCTATGGCTTTCTGTCTTTCATGATACCATTCTGCGAACGCATTTAATTGTTTGACGTCTCGGGCTCGGTTGGTTTCATTCATTCTTTTAATATTTAATGTTTCGCGCTTTGCGAGGAGACAGCGTATATAGACCACCTACTACCATCGTCCCTAGACAGTTCAATTTAGACTTTATTTCTATCTACACCACACAGTAATGAATATTCTGATCTTCCAGCCTGATCGATCATTTATACCTTCATCGGCTACCACCGGCACGAAACCGTAGTACTGTCCTCCGTAACCTGAATATGTGATCGATCCCTCGAACCTATCAAACCCCACCCATCAGCATACATTGTAAATCCTTACCCCATGCGTCCCTAGCTCTCTGCACCTCGTGCAGTAGACCCGGTTGACTCCTCACTTCGGACGCGCCTTGGCCCATGTAGTTAGTTACTGGTTACTGGTTACACTCCAGCGGCAAGATTCCAGAACCCCGCTCGCTCACTCGCTGCCTTCGGATGCATGATGCAATATATCTGCCGCCGCGTCGTACATATGTATGTATGTACTTGAGAAAATGTACATGTAGGTTCGTGCGTATGCCATGCTGGCGGGGCTGTGTGTCGGTAGCACGTGCAGTGCTGCATGTGTATGCTGTGGTGTGGTTGGGGGTAGTGTTTTGTAGGGGTAGGTATATGTACATAGGTTCTTGGTTTACAATGTAGATACTTGAGGAGGAGAAGAGGGAGAAGAGGGGAGGAGGCGGTGCTAACTAGTTAGGGTCGTTACCTAGTCTTACTCCCCTGCCCTACCTAGCTGAAGACGACTAGCAGAACCAGTATCTGTAGAAAAGTATCCCCCCTCCTCTCCTCAGTAGCAGGTAAGTCACAGTACACTTGGCGCTTGTAGAGTACATACATGTACAACCTGGTCTTCATGGGGTGGCCTTAGATGGAAGGTGGGTGGGTTCTGCGGGGTTACCCTACCCTACCCTGCCTTACCCTGTGTCTGCCGCCGTTCTATGCAGGTATGTGATGTGATGTGATGTGTTTGGTAGGGTAGGGTGTGGTGGGTGGCCACGTGGGTGATTATGTTATGCTGCGTTATGAGGGAGGGATCTACGTTAGGCTGTAGGGTAGAGATACCTATGATATGCAGATTAGGTAGGGTGGTTTGGGTGAGATTCTGGTGGTTGGGTATGGCTATTTGAGTGTTTGGGTTCATGGGTGAGGTGTAGATGTTCAGAAGCAGAGGAGTATGTGTAGTAGAGGTGGATGGATGGAGGTGGTTCTATGTAAGCATGTGTACAAAGTCAAACAGGGCAAGTTCCAGGTTAGGATTTTGAATTAAGTTTATTCTGAGTTTGAAGACACGATTATGTCTACCTAATTTGCGAAGCCTAAATCCCATCTGAATAGACGTTATGGACTTTATTTTAGGGTACATTGGACCGGGCCTACAACTGAAGAATACGTAGGTAGAAGACTTTGGCTGTTTTCTGCCCCTTTTATGCAGTGCATCCAGTACGTTTTGCAAGGTTTTATAGTGTAAAGAATAGGTTATAGCACTTTATAAGGTCTAAGCGGTTGCTGCTGGGCAGTTGACACGAACTATCATGCTACGCTATTAATTTAAAATCAAAGGTATCATTCCGCGAGCATCCTGGCTATCTTACGTTCTCTCTGTACTTTATTTTTCTAGTATCATGATATACAAAATTCAGTTCTAGCCTGATCCGAGCCTCAAAACGGGCACTGGCTCGCAGGGCCAAGACAAAATACGAGGCTCTACATTAACCTCCCCTTGTAGGGCTAGCACTGAATACGAGATGCCTGATTTGTAACTCAGATCAGCGATTCTCTTCTAGAATCGTATTTATAAGATCAATTACATTACTAGCTAACCAGCACACAAAGCTACCGAACTAATTTCCACCTCATCTCATCTCATCCATCTCCATCTCCAATATACGCCACCATCACCACCGAGATGCCCATCCCTTACTTCATCGTCGACGTTTTCACATCCACCCCCTACAAAGGGAACCCCCTAGCCGTAGTCCCAGCTCTCGACACCCCTCTCTCCACCACTGAAATGAAGATCCTCGCTCGCCAATTCAACCTCTCAGAAACAACCTTCATCTGCCCCCCGACAGTCTCCAACGCCACCTATCGTCTGCGATCTTTCCTTCCAAATGGCGAGGAGGTCTTCGGCGCAGGACACAATGCCCTCGGGGCTTGGTGGTATATCGCTCGCTCGGGGCTATTAGGGGGCGATGCGGACGGCCAGACGGGTGTTTATCATCAGCAGTTAGGAGATGACCTTTTCCCAGTTGAGATTGTAGCTTCGGGATCTCAGATTTCCGAGGACCTGGAGATCGATGCCAGTATGAAGAATGCAGGGAAGAAAATCGAAATCTCAATGCGTCAAGCTAAACCGCAATTCTTAGCTCGACATCCTGACCCCGCTGCCCTCAGTGCCGCGCTGGGTCTTGACCCGTCAGAGATCGGATTCCATGCTCCTGGTGCGGAGTCTCCTTCTGGCTCTGGCTCTGGACCTTTCGTCTGCGAAGCCCGCGTCGTAGCGACCTCTCCGGCTCGCCATCTTCTTGTCCCGGTGCGCGACGTTCATGTTCTTCGCCGCGTGCGGTTCTCAAGTGAGGCGGTGGCGACGGAGCTGGAGAAGACGCAGAGTTATAATAGTGGTGTTTATGTATTTGCGCCACTTCTTACTTCTGCCTCTGTGGATAAAGATGAGAAGAACGAGTCGGATGTTGTGCCGCGCTTCCAGGCTCGGTTTTTCAGTCCAGGTATGGGCGTCGAGGATCCGGCGACGGGGTCGGCTGCGGGGCCGTTGGGGGTGTATGTCTGGGAGAATGGAGTGGTTAGTTCAGGGTATAGCAGGGAGCATGGAAAGGAGATACATGTTGAAATTGTGCAAGGACGGCAGAGAGGGAGAGAGAGTGTTATTAGGGTTGGATTGGAGTTGGAGGAGAGGGGGGCGGTTGGGGTGGTCATTCGAGGGACCGGGGCTTTGGTCGCGAAAGGGGAGATGGTTGTTCCTGGCGAGGAGATTGAGTTTTGATATATTTCTTGCTGGTTATGTGTATAGTTATGTGTAGTGGATTGAATTATTAAATTGTCATCTTCGTAATTCACATAAAGAAGAATAAAGCATACAAGGTTTAAAAGGTCATTGAGACGACACTAACAATCTTTATTTTATTTTCTAGTGTCTCGACACTTGTTCAAAGAATAGATATCTGAGCCATAGAGGGGCAAAGGCATACACACAGCCGTTTGGGAAGATCTAGATGCTCATGGCATGTTTTAGTAGGGCGAGCAAAAGTTGAAACATAGAGCTCTACTCTACCGATCTAAAGTTTGCTTCGAAGCAGGAAAGCTATGGGAAAGGGACAGTATCTGTCTGATGTGAAGCTCTAATTCAATGGATGCTGCCTTCATATGAACAAATTAGACAAATGCCCCCTGAGTATGTTAACAGGAAAACTAAAATATCCTAACGTTCGATTCTCAGGGTCCTCCACGTGGGTATCCAAGAAATAATTGGAATCCGCATATGGTTATTAGGCCAGCACCCGTTCTTTTCCTGTTCGTCGGATTTTCCCGATAATGTTTATTCCTGGCGCTATGGTCTAGTGCTTATTTCAGCTGAAAGGTGTTCGACATCAACTCTCGAAGCTCAGAAGCAGTAGAACATAGGCTGAATGAACCCAATATATCTATTATATCGCCATCTCCTTTTCAAATCTTGAAGTAGCACATTTTCTCCCCTCTTTGAATACTATTTGAAAATTCCAAGGATATATTCCAAAAACCCAAGTTTCTCACCATACCTTCAAGACCTTTCCATATTTTAAACGGAGTAAAACAACGCACGGCTAGCGGGGTGACTTTGATAGGGCAGCGATGATGCCATCATGAGGGTCTGATCGTATTCCTTTCGAGAAGCCCGACGGAAATGCAACGCTAATCAAACAGGAAAAAGCAAAGAAAAACCTTAATTTCGCCTTTTGGAGCTAAAATTGCCCCATCGCCGTCCCTCACGATCAAGACTTTTGGCGTGGCTTGCTTCGACTTCAAGCATCCTGGTGGCGCAATCGCCCTGGTGTCTTTACAAACCCCCCTTTTACTACTTGTGGGATGGATGGCCATGTTGGCGTAACGTGATGCCTAGGCACGTTGCATTGACTGAGGCCTTGCTGATGGGCCAACAGCCAAGATACCGCCCAAGAGGTCTAGATTGGAGGGAAGTACCGTTCACTGGTTATTATCCGCAAAGGTGGTCCCTCGTTCTCAAGCGGAACAGCCCGGGCTGTCAAGCGGACGGTGGCAGATTTGACAGTCTGCCAACCTTCGGGTAAAGATTGGGAGGGCAGGAAGAAATTCCCGAACTTCCTGCCATCGCTGCCTAAACCATGTAACCTTGCTTATCTGGCCAAAAATATCTCACTTAGAAAATGGATTCAATATGCGTGGTTCATTGTGGCAACGTTAGGGTACCAAGACGGGCTTGGAATGCTTGATCCCAGCCAAGATAGTTGGCCCCTCGACTTACTCCAGCCAGCCTTCGCACATGCTGTAGTAATTGGGTGATTGTATGGGAGATATCTGGGAGATTAAAGCAATGCTTTATCTGTTCAAATTCTCCGTAAGTAGACCGAAGATCCTAATCAGTAGGCGCAGATGCAATTAAGTCGACGCATGGGGCACCACTTCCACTCAATTTTCCAACCTTTTCCCAGCCCACCGATAGCCAGGCCTTAGTTTCTAGCTCGTTTCTTTGTCTACTCCTTAGTTATCCCACGGAGCGTTGAGATAAAGTGTTGAGACGCATCGGGCAGTCGTTAGGGCTTGGGGCGGGGATTAGTCATTTGTTTGTGTAACTTCTTTTGTCTCTCTTTCTTCTCTTCTTTCCCTTCTCTCCATCAATTTACCGCTTTACCATCGTCATGTCGCGGGCAAATATCCTCGTTCTGGATCGATTGCCTAGTGGGTGGCATTCACCGGGCAAACTCTCCCACGTTCGCTTTGAATCGGTCGCCTTAGCGTCCATTGCCACAGGTTCATCCACCTCAAATAGATTAAATGCGAAAACACCATCCACGAAGGATTCAAGGAATACATCGGAGTGAAGCACCGCGAAGACGCAATCGTGCTAGGCTCAATTTAATATGCTGTTAGGTAAAGCAAATCGCGCAGAGCGAAGGATTGGGGAAAGCCTGGATCGCGTGATAGCAGACTATGATGAGGCCAATCGCTCCGGAGCCACTCTGCCGCGGCACAGATAAGCATGCAAAAGAGATCTTAGTATACCGAGCACGCCAATTGCAAAGAAGCCTCCGACCTTGTACTACCAGCGCTAGTGTTGCATTGCATGACAGGACCAATAATTTCGCCATATTCGCCCCGGACTGTCTTACTTCCACTTTACTCCTCTTTTGCTGTTCTCTATCCCTTACTTCGCTCCCGGTGTCCACTTTTATCGTTGCGGGAAGTCAGAGTCGTTCTGGCCATGGCTCAATGAGAGTGAAATAATATAAAAGACGCTCATCTCATTTCTCACTTCTCGTTGTTTTGCTCTGTGATCGACAGACCTCTTTCCAAAAACAATCTTCCCCCGCGAGTGCTACTCAAGCTTCGCTACAATGTGTATGTTTTCATCTCTCACAGAGGCTTTCCCCAATTACTGACACAGAGGAATGAAAATATTAGCAGCACTTCCTACCGGGGACAAAGCTCATAGCGACTCGGCCATCATCTCGACAGAGGCGGTCGAGTCGACTACCAGAGATCCTGCGACTGCTGACCCAGAGAAGAACACATACGAGATCACGGCTTTGAGCTCAGCTGAAAGTGATGAATATCCCCTTCCCACCGAAGAAGAAGAGAAGACTCTTCGCAAGGTTGCCGGCAATATGCCTCTTGTGTCCTTTTCGCTGTGTCTGGTCGAGTTTGCCGAACGTGCATCGTACTATGGGGCAAAAACAGTCTTCTCCAACTTCATCCAGTTTCCCCTTCCTGAGGGTATGCTCTTTTGCCTAACGTCCAGTAGAACCGACAGTGATGCTGACAGAATGAACCTTAGGTGGTAATGGAGCCGGTGCTCCTCCTCGAGGCACCCAAAAAACGGCCGGCGCTCTGGGAATGGGTCTCCAAGCTAGTTCTGGGCTTACATTACTCTTCTCCTTCTTGGCTTATGTGTTGCCTATCCTTGGTGGCTGGTAAATTCTCCCATGCATTGTTAATTGATCGCGGAGCTAATATATGACAGGTGGGCTGATGTATACGTCGGTCGATACTACGCGATCTGCGTTGGCGTGCTGATCTGTGGTGTTGCTCATCTCATTCAAATCTTCGGCGCTATACCCTCCGTGTTGGCGAGAGGGACTGGGAACTCTGCCCCGCCATTTATCATCGGTCTGCTGTTGCTGGCAGTTGGCGCGGGAATCTTTAAACCTAATATTGCACCCGTCGTTCTCGACCAAAACCGTCACCAGAAATCCTATACCAAGGCCCTCAAGTCAGGCGAAAAAGTGATCGTGGATCCCGAACTAACCAGCCAGCGCACGATGCTCATTTTCTATGGCTTTGTCAACATCGGTGCCTTCTTCATGCTTGCTACGACATATTCGGAGAAATACATCGGTTTCTGGCTCGCCTTCTTGCTTGCGGGCATCATCTACTTCCTTCTCCCTATTCTTCTTTTTGCTGTTTACAGAAAAACCTACCGAGAGCCGCCGAGTGGACATTCCGACCTCGGTAACATCATTAGGATCATTTCCACGGCTCTCCGACGTAACAATTTCAAAGTGTGGAAGAAGAACTTCTTTGACGCGGCCAAGCCCAGCGTTCTCGCGACTCAAGGCGTCCAAGTCGCATGGTCCGATAAATTAGTCGACGACGTGCGCAGAACCCTTGGTTAGTACCCTTCAGATTCACGTCACAAGCTCTTCTTCTTAGACATATGCTAATGAATTCACCAACAGTGGCCACCGAAATATTCTTCTACTTCCCGATCTGGGTCATGAACGACGGCGGTATCGGATCCGTGTCCTCCAACCAAGGTGCCTCAATGGTCACCAACGGCGCTCCCAACGATCTTCTCAGCAACTTCAACGCCCTTACCATCATCGTCTCCGTGCCCTTCCTCAGCTACGTCTTCTACCCCTTCCTCACCCGCCACAACATCAAATTCGGCCGCATCAGCCGCATCACCGTCGGATTCATCCTCGCCGCCATCTCCGGCCTCATCGGCGCCATCGTCCAGTGGCGCGTCTACAAAACCTCCCCCTGCGGCTACCAGGCCTCGACCTGCGACGACGTCAGCCCGCTCAGCATCTGGTGGCAGATCCCCAACACCGTCCTCGGTGCCTTCTCCGAATGTCTCTGCAACGTGACCGCCTACGAGCTCGCCTACGCCCGCTCCCCACCCAGCATGCGCGGCCTCGTCATGGCCATCTTCCTCTTCATGAACGCCCTGTCCAGCGCTTTTGGCGAGATCCTTATCCCTGTCACCCAGGACCCGTATCTGATTTGGATCTGGGGCGCCCCTGCCGTGGCGCTGGCGCTGCAGACCATCGTCTTCTGGTTCCGATTCAAGCACCTGAACGACGACGAGTATATGATCGATGAGAAGGATTATGAGCAGGAGAGCACGACTGGGATTGTTTCTGAGGCGCGCGATGAGAAGCGGACTTGATTGTATTTTCATTTGATACCCTAGTGCTGTTTATGAGGGCTGTTGCTCGCTAGGCGAGGATAGTTACTTACTTGCGGTTGGTAACATAATTATGTATTTACTCTGGGCTTGAGACTCGGAGGTAAAGCTAACGAGGAATGGAATCACTTACATTAATCACTCTACCTTTCCTCTTTCGTTATTCAAAGAAGGGTTTTGCCCAGCTACGATATTGATATCATGATGATAATGATAATCTTGATTGATATTAACATCACCTAATCAAAACAACAAAGACACAAATTCCATCCCATCTTATATACATACATACAAAAAGGCATAAAGACTAAAACAACGCAAATGAGATGGTATATTGTAAATGCAGCCGCCCGTAATCATCGTACATACATGCAATTCAGATACTGTGGGTCTCTGAGAGGTGCAGGGCAGGAGAGATTCTGATCTGAGGTGGGTATAGGTATCGTTTCATATCGTAGGTACTACTCTTCATATACTGAGTGCAAGAACACCCCGGAAAGGCGTCGTGTCATACCACCGCGTATTCCCCCTCGGCGCGCTTGGCCTGCATCACCTTGTGCCATCGGAATCCTTGTTCCCTGGTCGACGAGGCGGCGGGCTGCGGGTAGGTTGAATACACGGCGCCCAGGGGGCCGGTGTAGGCGACGTGGTGGGGGCCAGGGCCTGTGCCTGTCGGGTTGTTGGTGAGTTCGGAAGAGGCGGGGTTCTCGGCCCAGATCTTCTCGAGGAGTTCTAGGCAGGACAAGTTGTTCAGGAATCCGGAGTCCTTGGAGATGTCTTTGCAGCGCTGCTGGATGATGGTGCGGTGGGTTTCGAGCACGCATTCGGAGCCGACGATGAAGAGGGGCCAGAGGAGGTAGACGTCGGATTTGACGGCGAGGATGTGCCGCATCGTGCGGTGGACGATGTGTTGGATGCGCGGGTGGTCAGAGGGGATGTCGGGGTAGGCGAGGCGCTCGGTGTAGAGGATTGCGGCGTGGCGGAAGGCCTCGGAGGTGTGGTACACGTCATCCATGTTCTCGGGCGCCACAGTGGAGTTTGAGGATGGTGATGACGGCGGCGAGATGTACGCTTGTGTGATGACTGCAGGTGCGGGTGCGGATTCGAAGGGACCGTGAGATCCAGCGCGGTGGGAGGGAAGGCTCCATGATTCCAGTTTCTGTCGGTACGAAAACCATTCGGCCCAGAAGGTTGGGGACAGGGCAGGTCGATTGTGGTCATTTGATCGGGGTGGGCCTGGCAAAGGAAATAAATATGGTTCATTTGCACCAGACGCGTTAAGCATCGAAGGGTCTGAGGGATGATAGACCATTGACGGCGGAAGCGTGGTCGACGGGACATACACCTCAGGCATCACAGGGGTGTGGGACTCCTGGTTCTGACTCAGCATATTCAAGCGACCCAGCTGTGCAATCAACTTGAACAAGCTCGAATCGCAACCTGCGAGATTCTCAAGGCCCCATTCTCCGTCAGAGACGCTGGCAATGTCCAAGCAGGTTCCACGGAGTTGCACCTCACGATCGTTGGTCGTAGCCGTCATGGTATCGTACCATGTGAACATTCGAATGAACCACTTCAGTTCTTCCGACACGCGAGGAGAGGCGCGCATCCTAATGGCCAGCAACTTGGTCACTCCGGCGAACTGCGTTTTGAACTGGGCAACTCCCGTGTCGCAGACATGGAACAGGCAAAGTATCAAAAGCGTGGCGAGAACCGAGTCAGAGAGCCGTTGGCGCGGATCAGCCAGTTCCATATTTAATGCCTTTACCGCCATGCATCGATGATATTGTTCCTCCTGCGCGGATCCAACTGGAGAGGTGGCACCATACTGATCCCCTAAACCTTCGTCGGTCAATGCGCGGAGGGCCATTGATGACATCCGAGCCGGCAGAGTTCTCTCGGTGGACATCATCCTTCGCTCACGTCGCTGGCGCAGGTTGCTTGTTGACAACGTAGCGATTGCTTCTTGAAGGGATGTGCTCTCCTGCGCCAATCGCAGGACATAGGTGCGAAAGGGATTTGTGGGGCTATCGAAAGCGACAATCATGGGTGCAATAACCTCAGCGTAGTAACTGATCAGGTATTGAATTCGCGGGGTGCGTCCCACGGAGCGTGCTAACAGCAGTTGGGAGAATGACGGTGAGTGGCAGGCGCTCATCCATGACGGGCTTTCACGGTTCTTCTGCCTTTCCAGCTCTTCCCGGGTCTCTTGCGTTTCGGACGTTTCTAGACCCTGCGATGCCAGGGACCATTGTGACACATCCGGTGCTGTGTGTATCTGTGTAGGCAGCATGCCTATTGTCGAGGGCGGAATATGGGAATTTATTACATCCTGGGTGGCTCCGACTTGCTGGTAGTACGGTTGACTCCACAACTGGTTCTCCGAAACATAAGGGGCGGATGTACCCGGCCAAGGCTGAGTCTCGGGAAACCCCGTCGACCCCGTCGTATCGCTAATAGCATCCGATCGTGGCGATGCTTGTTGGTCTTGCTGGGACGAGGGCGCGGCCGGGGTGGCGATCGAGGAGAATCCTTCGGAAGAGGGGGAGGTTGACGTTGTCGGGAATTCCGAGGGTGTAGACTTCTTCTGCGAGCCACCCGAGCGACGAGACTTGGGCGAGTTGGCGGCCGGCTGGGACCCGGTTACGGGCAGCGACAGTCCCCGGAGTTTCCCTCGACTGGCAACGCCGACTCCCCAGGTCAGCGTGGTTTTGTATCCCGAGCATTCTCGACCCAGAGTGAGGCACTGGGAGCAGTACGGCCGCCGTCGGTCGCATTTGGTCCCTTCCCGAGCACAAGTGAAACAATCATCGGGCGCACCGCTGACCACCGTTCTCTTTCGTCTTTTCCGAGGAGCATTTTCGGAGCCGGATGATTTGCGAGTTTGGGCTGTGGTGGGAGCCATTTTCCGGTCGGCGTTAGGCATGGTCGGAATGTTATCCGAAGGCGTATAAATGGTCATAAGCCAGAAATGCGGAGAGACGACCGGCGCTGCGGGGTCGCATTGATAGCAGAACGATCGACTAAGCAGCTGCAAGAGGGTGGAAATGGGGGCCCGTTATGGTTGGAGGGAGGTAAGAAGATAAGGAAGAAGGGGGTTTGTCAAGAGGGGGGAAGAAAAGGGAAAGGAAAAGGAAGAGGGGAAAGGAAAGGGAGACAATGATGATGAAGTACAGTAACTAAGAAACGGTCGAATCACAGGTGATGATCGATCGCAGTCGGTTTGGTGCTAAGACAACACGCGAGTTGGAGGGAGCGTGATAAGCGACGATCGATGCGGCATCTCCCGCCCGTTTAATATGAATTAGTTTTATTCAGCAGCACAGAGGGAGATGGCAGCCAACCGGTGAGGACAAGGAATCCACCCGAGCGCGAACCAGACTTGGCTTGAAGTCTGGCCGGTGGAGGAGAGCGAGAGATCATGGTCCGAGTGGGTGGGTGGATGCGATGGAGGAAGTTAGCAATTACCATCCACACCGTGTAAACCCGGTGGGCACGTGTTGCCGCCTGCCGCTACTTTAGTCGACATGCGCCGTTGCTGACGCTCCGGAGTATATCATCTTCCTGTCTGCAGCTAGTTATGCCTGCACCTCGTCACGGTGACTGCCTCCCACTGGTGGACCGGTCGTCCTCCTTTTCCTCGGTCCGCCGGAGCTCTTCCCTGCGTCCCATCATTCTGGGCCTCCAGGCAGAATCTTAATCACCACCGCGATGGGTCGGTCTCAAACTTACTAGTCCGTAGTCGAGGTTAATTGTGGAATGCAAAATGCCGCCTCCATCATTGGCCCTGCCGGCGGGAACTAACGCCGCCGCCCCGCCAGTACTTCGGATGCTGCGGCGCGCTGCAGCCACGCTTGGGTACCGCTCTGGGTAATCTGTTGACGGAGATTGGAGAATGCCCGGGGTTTATGGGGAGCTAGCGAAAGTTTCTGGCCGCTCCACCACCTGTCCCTGGACAGCTAAGGCTAAGGTACGGAGTTAATCCTCTTTCCCTTCTCCTGGATGGACCAGAAGGCCGAAGATGTCCGAGTATAACCCTTTCAGGAAAGTGGATGGATGGCTTGCATTCTATGGAACTTTCCACCATAGAAGGGATCGCCTTCGTCAGTGGCGTTTCCCTGTTTACCTCCGAGGAATGATTCAACTGGACAATCTATAGTCATTCAAAATTTGGGTATATCCTTGCCCGTCGCATAAAGCTATAGCCACTTACTTCTCCCGTGCAGATGCTAATCTCAACACCCGCTCTCCTGCTCACCATCCCTTACGATCACTCAATCCCTAGTTGCTAGTTGAATGAGTAATTTCCTTTTTTCATAGCTTTCTTAGGATTTCTTCGTTACATCTGATGGGTTCCTTTTGTTGATCTTGTGGATCGACCCCTACATGCTCAACAGCTTTGGTTGCGAATACAACCCCCTGTTTGTTGGGCTAGGTGCAGATCCTGACCCCATTGATCTGAGGCAAGCATACAGGGGCTAGCACGCAGTCTGAATTACCATATAGCTTTACTAGAGTGCTATAATAACATTGCATGGCTTTCAGTAGACTGCGTATTACGGTGAGTATATAGACTTCGATGCACTACCCTACTTGCTTAATTCCTGGCAGTAGTGATGGGGTCTTTTGGCATCTTAATTAGCTCTGGGTGTGTTGATCAAGGTCAGAACTACATTGCAGAGGAGCAAGCTCCTTTTTCTTTCTAATTGCCAGTTGAACTTGTCCTATAGCCATGTTCTTTGTGAAAAGCTTGATACAGGCTACATACTCCCCATGGGACACCTCCCACATTATGCCTAGGATTATACAATTATGCATTCTATATGCTATTGTATCATTATTCTATTACTATATGCCAATATTCATTCTCCGAGATATTCCGCTGGTAAGGGCTAAAGAGTGAATGTTGATGAGCCTGTGACAACCATGGCCCGACCTCCCATCCTCACCTCTATCCTCTTTTTCAACCACCCTTATTTGGAATTTTCTCTTTCCACTTCCTTTTGGATCCGCCATTTTCTTCCCTGTCAAAAGAATAACCGAAATATTGCTCGGCGAGACGACTCCCTTCCGCGTGCAAACCCGTCTACTACGCGACGCTATTCTGCAGATAGTCACGTAATATGCGCTTCTGTATTTACATCCAGTGTAGATTGCGCGCAGGAGAATATAGGCACCGCAGTAATCGCAGTTGAAGAGGCGGCACGCGTTACAAACCCGGAATTTTGGCCGGTACTGGCCGAGTCTCCGGAAGCTCGAGCAAACTGAGCTTCCCGTGGGAACTCACATCTACCATCTTCTCGTCCTCTACCCGGAGAAAGCTTGCCGAGAGAGGGATGAGACAAGTTGTTTCTCTAGCTGAAAGAGAACAAGATGGTACTTCAGCGGTTATCAGGCTGCCCAGCAGGGACTCATTTTCGAACATCCTAAGGGTACTTGAATATCATGGCCATGTTTAAAATGCCTGGAAAGCCGTGACTGAGTATACTGGTTTAAGCGACACGGAAACTACGCTTATAAAGAAAGTTTCGATATTAAGCGAGGCTTCGGTTCAATGCTGCCGTGAGACATCTGAGGAACTGCTTTTCTATCTCTTTGGAATGTCATTTTACATACTCTTTTTATCAGACATTTCTATCCTGTAGGTATGAGTAGCTATGATCTACAGCTTCTATTTTTCAGGCGTCTAGTTGAGAGGCGTGAACGTTTATCGTTGTCATTGTTGTGGTTTTATTTGGTTCTTCCAAGATGCTTCTTATCACTAGATCGTAATCAACGACAAACAGTCCCCTATCTATGGATGTACCAAATAGATTTTGGTTGAATCAAGAACTGGACATCCGACTCAAGCAGTGTGCAATCGCCGCCATGTTGTCAGGTTCAATATCAGACAATATAGCCGTACTCGACAAACCCACTCTCATCTACATGAGGTGGTTATTGGTGCCTTGGGAAGCAGTGTTGACCACCTGGTAATTCAGTCGGGTGATGGGATACAGGGCTACTGAACATATCTGCTCTGCACTTCTGCAGCAAGCCCAATCCACTGATATGGAACTCCTGTATTCCAAGGGATGTTGAGGAGGGAATCCTTGCAGAAAACTAAAATTAGAAGCGGTCCGATTCTGCCAGGCACCAAGGCAGCGAAGGATGACCGGATGATGATGACGGCGAGACGATGTGTCTGGCCATTTTTCTACGGAGTACTCGGTATTACCTCCTGATAATTCTCAGGAAAGAAAAGCATTCCTATAGTGTATATATTACTCCCCTAAGCAGTCGCAGCGACCACTGCTTATTCTTCCCCCCGTCATTGGACGCTTGGCTTCTCCGATCGCCGCTCTGGGCAGGCCTCGCGCGGAAAGCGTCTCCTGAGTCTTGCTTGCAACATTCCAGGCCTGGCCTGTCATGCTGCTGCGGTATCTCTGATACTAAGTATACTGCGTCTCTCCCTCGGGCTCGATATTCGCATGATTATTTGCATCCAACTTCCATCGAACTTGCATTTTGTCCGACGCGGCGGAGCCAATAAGCTAACCAACACACCAACCTCTCTGCCGGCAAGCTGACGGGCGCATCGCTTTAGCTGTGTAAATTTTCTTCCGGCCCTGAAAAAGATCTCGCGCTTAATCCTGCCATGCCAGTCCTCCGACCGGGCAGGTTGAGGACCATCCTCTCCGTCGCCGGCGCATTGATCCTCATTTGCACCGTTTATTTCAACTGGACCCCCACTCCAGCCTCCGTCGTCCCCAGTACGGCCTTCGAAGTCCCCCTCACAGAACGCCAACATGTCTTTTGGAAGGTCCTCAAGCCGATTCTCGAGACGCACGAACCGAAATGCCCTCCTCCCAACCTGCTGAACCCCTCCGGCGCCATCGGTTACAATGCCACGACCACCGAGCCCCGACCGGACCTTGTCGAACTCGTCGGCGACAATGACCTGACAATCTTGGAGGAGGCCCATGCAAGCTACGTCCAGAATATCACCGAGTCGAAGAAATTACGCCCCGTTCATTCCCCGGGGACCCGTGGCATCGTGTCGACGGCGGGAGGCTCCTATCTTCCGGTCTTTCTGTCGTCGCTGCGCATGCTGCGCCGCACGGGGTCCACTCTGCCCGTCGAGGTATACGTGAAGGATAAGAATGAATATGAGAAGAAGATCTGCGAGGATCTGCTGCCCGAGATGAACGCACGGTGTTTGGTTCTGTCCGACGTCGTTGGCACTGACGCCATCGAACACTACCAGCTCAAGGTCTTTGCGATTCTATTCTCGTCCTTCGAGGAGGTCGTCTGGATGGACGCCGACTGCTTTCCGCTAGACAAGCCCGAGATCTTGCTCAACCACGAGCCTTTCCAATCCACCGGCATGGTCATTTGGCCCGACTTCTGGGCCTCCACGGTCTCGCCGCTCTACTACAACATCTCCCGGCAACCGATGCCGTCTATGGCGGAACGACAGTCCTCGGAGACCGGAGAGATGCTCATCTCGAAAAAGACGCACTATCGGACGCTGTTACTGGCCGCTTATTACAACTACTACGGGCCGTCGCACTACTTCCGGCTTCTGTCGCAGGGGGCCCCCGGCGAGGGTGACAAGGAAACCTTCCTGCAGGCCGCATCGGCGGTCGGCGAGCCGTTCTACGCCGTCAGCGAGCGCGTCCAGGCCATCGGCCACCCCAAGGAGGAGGGCGGGATTGCCGGCTCGGCCATGGCGCAGTCGGACCCCATCGCCGACTTCGCCATGACCAGCCAGGGTAAATGGCGCGTGAAGGACCCCTCGGTGGACCGCGCGCCCCGCGTGTTCTTCATCCACGCCAACTACCCCAAGTTCAACCCGGCGGAGAACGTGTTCGGCAACAAGTGGGAGACGGCGCCGACTCTGCGGCCGGACGGCACGGACGGCCGTGCCTGGATCGTGCCGGAAGACGCGCTGAAGCGGTTTGGATCGGACGCCGAGCGCGCCTACTGGGAGGAGATCAAATGGGTCAGCTGCAACCCCGAGGTCGAGTTCAAGACGTGGACCAACAAGCCGGAGACGTGCGAGAACGTCGTGGGCTACTGGCACAATGTGTTTGCGGAGCCGCATGAAAACGACCCCAAGTTCTTCGAGGAGGGTTGATCAATCAATTCGACTCTTGACGTCATGAACCAGAAGAAATCGCTGTACCAAATTCAACCAACCCTACCACCCGAGACACTACCCACAGACAACACCTGGACGTGAAAAGTAGGAGCACCCCCCTTCCCTGTACAGTGGATGCCACCGACACTGGGCCCTGCCTCCAGTGCATGATCTGCATGCCGATTACGAGACAACGACCTGGAAGAAAGGTTCCCAACATATCTTCGTTCTATTTGATTCTTGATGTATAATACTTCTAATACGGACATAGACCGATCAACTACTTTCTACTTTCTTAACCCTCCATCCATTTATCCTACTCTCAGAAAATAACAATATGAATGAATGCATGGACTCATAGGTTTCATTCCCATAGCTAATAATACAACCGATGCTAAACCCAGAAATGCCAAAACCTCATTTCAAACCCGACACATTACGCAAAGAAATCAATCATATCTCATCGACGCATTTATTTGATGCCCTTCTCGTGCAGGCGCTGCTCGTCCTCGAGCTGCAGCTCGCGGTCGATCTGAGCGCCCTTCGAGGGCTCGTTGCCGTGGTTGACGGCCGGCTGCGTGGGGTTCTTCTTGCTGAGCTCGGCCTCGGGGTCGTAGACGCCGTTCTTGTAGTTGCCGGGTTCGGGCTTGCGCTCTTGCGAGGCGAGCTTGTTGGCGATGGAGCGCTGGTCCTCTGTTTTGCTGTTAGCATTTGGTCTTTCCTTTGATCTTTGGTCTGGTCTCGGGGTGGCGAGACAAGGCAGGAAGAGAGAAGGCTTACTGGAGTCAAGGTTGCTGTGGCTGCCGGGCTCACCCTGCTTGTAGGCGGGACGTCCCTGCTCGGACTGGGGAGCGGTGCGCTGGTCACCGTCGACGTAGAGGTTGCCGCCACCGACGGAAGATTGGGCCTGAGATCCAGTCATGATGGGAGTGTTTTGTGGAGGAAAGGTTGATTTGAGTTGGAGGGTGGATAGGAAGGTGGTCTTGTGATGGTATTAGGAGGATTAGGAAGGAAAAGAATCTGATGAGATGTACTTTCCAGCGCTGGTCAGAGCCATCTTTATACTGGGATCCAGAGGCGGATGTGATGTCATGGCCGAGTCGCTGAGATCATAGTGGGGCGGAGGGAACAAGATCTGGGAATGATGAAAAGAATGCGCTTTCGGTGGGGTGGAGGTTGATGGAATGCGAGGGACTCTGTAGGTTCGTCAGAGTGGATGGGTCTGGACTTTTTGCTGGCTGGTCGATCGTGGGTTCGTCTCGGTGAGGATGAGGTTGAGGTTGAGGTTATACTACGACGGAGCTGAAGTAGTATAAGGTAGTTGGGACTAGCAATGCTTAGTGTGCACGTCCGGCCACCGCAAGCCATACGCCGTAGTCTCTGCGGTCCAGACGCGTTGGGAAACAGCCATGCCTGCTCAATCCCGATATTCGATTTTATTTCCATGACCAGAAGCCCAATTGGCCCGGTCTAACTCCATCGCCAATGCGCCATCTCTACACACCTCTCCGCCCACATCTTCGGGCTGCATGTCGGTCTCACGACGTCCGCAATCGGAGACTAAAACCAGCTGCCCTGCATCGTTTATTTCCCCTCACCAACACCACCGCGCTCCATCGCCATTCCAACTTACGTCAATCCCCAATTTACCTCGCCTTGCAACCCCCCGCCCACCCAACCCGCAGCATGTCCTCCACCACCACAGCGCCCACGACATCACCCACCGTCGAGCCTCGCTTCCAGCAGCTCTTCGAGACCCTGGAAGCCCGCTTCCGGAGCACCACCCCCTCCCTCCCCGCCGACAAATGGCCCATCCTCGCCATCTCCAGCATCGTCGCCGGCCCTGACCCGGAACGCTGCGACCAGCTGTACCTCTACCTCATCAACCAAGAGCCCTACCGCACCCCAGAAGCCCGCCAGGCCCTGATCCGCCGTCTGCGCGAAGCCCTCTTCAAAAGCATCATCATCGTCGGCGTCTGCAAGCCCATCGAGGCCATCCTCGCCATCAGCAAGCTCGAGCGTCCCGAGGATAAAGAGTACAGTTTCACGCGCGGCGAGTGGCAGTGCGATCAGGCGAACCACGACCGCGGCGTCGGGTGGTTGGAAAAGCTGTATGCGCGCAACACGTCCGGCACGTTGGATCTGTTCGCGGCGCATCGGGATTTCGCCTGGTTGTCGACGGAGATTACGTATGGGTTGTTTCTCTCTGATAGGCAGGTTCTGGACGACTTGGATACCCAGATGGTGGTGCTCCCTGCGATCATGAGTCAGAATTTGAAGGTCGAGACGCATTGGCATATTCGCGGGACGAGACGGTTGGGGGTCCCCAAGGAGGATGTGCAGGTTGTTTGGGATGCGGTGCGGTCTGTTGCGGAGTTTTTTGGGTCGAGATTGGATAAGGTCCCGACTGTTGAACAGGTTGAGTATGATGTTTGATTGGTTTGGGGTTGGATGTATGGGGGTTCTTTATGGGTGGTATGATCATAGATGAGGCTGTTGATCAGCTAGTCGCTTTCTTTCTCTTGGACATTATTTTGAGGTATACAGGTTATGGCTGAGATGAAATGTTACGATTGGTTAGGTTTTGTTTCAATGACTAGATTTCTATGGTATTGGGCTCTCGCGGACAAGCCGACTAGTGGAAGTCCATAGTTTAAATCGGAGTACGGTGATTCACCGCATGTCAATTGGAGGGGAAGCAGAAGATGAGAGCATATTCCGAAGAGATGTGTTCATGAATAGCATCTATTGAAGGGTATTCCTTCCACCCATGTTGATGACTGGTGAAGTACATTTAAAAGCCCAGGATTAGGCCATGACATTAGTCAATATATACTTCTTCGAGCGTACCTAGTATTTACCTAAATAAAGGCGCAACGGGACATTTGATCAATTATGCATTCGAATTACCAATGTGTCAATAATAGCGGGATTTTTTATTTCCTAAGAAAAAGAAAGGAAAAAAGGAAAAAGCTATCCCATGTAAATCATCCTCAACTCATAGATCAAGAATAAACTCCGCGGGGACGTTCAAAAGCGGTTAGCGAGCCGAGCAACTTTTCCTGCCCGCCATGAAGAATTCCACCACCAACTCCAACAACCAACCACCTTAACCCCCTCCCTCAAATAACCAACACAATGGTCAAGCGCAAGCAAGTGAAAGACGGCGACGTCGATATGGCCGGCACCGACCCGACCGTGGGCGGTGACGAGTCCGACGAGGTACGTTCTTCACTTTTTTCCCCGCGGCATTGGGTCGACAGACGAAGGTACGATTAATCCAGGATACTAACCGACGACGCAGGACATTGACATGGTCAATGTGGACTTCGAATGGTTCGATCCCCAACCGGCGGTGGACTTCCACGGCCTCAAGAACCTCCTGCGCCAGCTGTTCGACAACGACGCCCAGATCTTCGACATGTCCGCCCTATCAGACCTGATCCTGTCGCAGCCGCTACTGGGCTCGACCGTCAAAGTCGACGGGAACGAGTCGGACCCGTACGCTTTCTTGAGCGTGCTGAACCTCCAGGAACATAAGGTATACATGGCCCATTCTGCATGGCTGGATTTACTAGCTTGCTTGCTACTGTTAGGTGGTGATTGGTGACTAACGGCATGCGCAAAGGACACCCCCGTGATCAAAGACCTAACGACGTACCTGCACCGCAAAGCCTCGACCAACGCATCCCTAGCGCCCCTCGCCTCGCTCCTTTCGCAAACCCCGCCCCCGCCGATCGGCCTGATCCTCACCGACCGACTCATCAACATGCCCTCGGAGGTGGTGCCGCCCATGTACACGATGCTGATGGAGGAGATCGCCTGGGCGCTGGAGGAGAAGGAGCCGTACAACTTCACGCACTACCTGATCGTGTCGAAGACGTACGAGGAGGTCGAGTCGAAGCTGGACATGGAGGACTCGCGACCGAACAAGAAGAAGAAGAAGGCCGGCGAGGCTGAGCGCTTCTTCTTCCACCCCGAGGATGAGGTGCTGGAGCGCCATGCCCTGTGTGCCGGGTCGATTGATTACACGCATAAGCATGACGATGGGCATTCGGATTCGAAGCGCGCGTTCCAGGAACTGGGCATTCGGACGAAGGGCAGCTTGATGCTGATTGAGGCGGGTAAGTTGGAGGGCGCGGTGAAGGATATGACGGATTACTTGAAGCCTCCGGTATAGATGGAGGGGGTACTTGCAATGATACAAAATTATGACATGTTAGGAAGAATTGTGATGTGGTAAACCCAAAATTAACCCGTAATGTCGGGCGCACGGGGTTCCATTCCCCGTGTATGATTCTATTTCCTGTTGTTTCGTGGCTCTATTTGCTTGCTTTACAATCGTGGCATCTAGAAAAATCGCGCATTACCGTCATCAAGCCCCAACCGAATTCACTCCCATTGGGTGCCCTTCAAGCGCTGCATGAGGTAGTCGACCTCGACGACCTTGGTCAAGGGAATGACATATTCCTAGACACGATTAGCATAGATCGTATGTAGTCATGAAGGGAAATTACCTTATACATCGCGACGACCGCATCGATATTAATCTTGGGCGCCTCAGTCTGGAACGCCGGATCGGTACCATAAGTCCTCGCCTTGAGCGCCAACCGCTCCAGCACCTTCTGCTCGACCTTCGCATCGGTGATAGCAGCATCGATACCCGCGCGATCATTCTCCTTGATCATCTTGACAAACCGCTCCGGCTCCTTCTGGAACTTAGACTCGGCGACGAATTTCCCGAAGTGGATGCGCCGCGACAGCGCCTGCAGACAGTTGACGTCGCAGGTGGCCGCGGAGCCGTAGTTCTCCTGGGTCTCTCCGCGGTCTTCACGGCCGAAGCCCGGGCACACGGCGGGGAGGATATCGTGCACGTAGCGCTCCTTGATGACCTCGTTGACGTTGACGTCGTTGTCGTGCAGGATGCGCGGGTACTGCAGCGGCGCCAGGATCGGGGCTTCCAGCACGTCCGGGAAGAACGGATACTCGTCTGGCGATTGGAACCGGCGCACGCGGCTCTGTAGCCGTTCCTGCTCGCGCAGCAGGTAGTCGAGGAGCGTCAGCTCGCTGCCGGGGATCTTCACGCCATCTTGTACGTAGACGGGCTTGTTGAGTGGGAATTGCACCCGCTCGATCAGGTGGAAGGTGATGGTGTCTTCAAGACGGCTGTGGGAGTGGTGACCACCGAAACTGTCCCTCCCCGCTAACTTCACCCCTCGGGTGACCCCGCAGAGGGAAGAAAGGGAAGGGAGAGAGGTGGGATTTGGTTAGTTTGGATGGATTGGTTGATGCAGATCGAATTGGGTGATTGAATGGTGGGGTTTCAAGCCACGGGAAATAAGGATTGGGGTGCTGAGCAAGGATGATGATGAAAATCGGTGGAGAAAACACCAAGGATGGACTTACATCAACTGGAACCGAATATTGGCCAGGTCCAAGGCCTTGGAGGCGTCCGAGAGATCGATGGCGGTGTCCATGGTTGGTTGCACGGACTCCTGTTGAGAAATGGACTGGGGCTGGATGGCTGCAGGGAAACTCCTGTCTCTGAACTGTGTGATAATGGGATTGCGGCGGAAAGGGGGCCCGACGAGCTAGATAAATCGTCGAGACTGGAGCTGCCGAAGAATTGGCCTTTTTCTTCGCTCTCAAAGTTTGGCTCTGTTCTCCGGACGGAGTGGGCTTGTTATGTAAAGAGTGAACCACTGGTCAGGGAAAAGCGCTAGCCCGCCGATCTCTGGAATGAGGGAGGCTTCGTGCAATCGGAGAATATGCTGGCGAGCAGAATGGAGTCAGATCGAGACCGCTGTTTGAGTGCAGGTGATAGCTCCATTGTGGGATTGAGTCAGAGCGGATGTTTGGATTGGAAGTCCTTAGGTTTTTCTGCTGGAGAATCTCACGTTGGCCTTGGGCATCTGTACCTGCTGAGGCGCAGACGTAGAGAGCGTAATGCGATACGCGCAGGTACGGCGGGTAAGTTACTACCGAGGCGCCGTCCAGTCGCAGTGCCGGTATTGGCCATACGCGGAGGAGGCATGAGAGCGTCATTTGACCAGCGAGAGAAGGGAGAAAGGTCAAGTGAGTGACTAAAGAGATGGAATTCGAGAGGGGCATTTGATCGATATCCCATAAATATAGACAGAATCCCCTTGCATGCCTATTGTCATCTCCCTGCCTCACTCCCTCCAGATAAGTATACTCGGTAATGGGCGGTAATGCGAGCGAAACCTTACGTGTGCCTTCTTTCTTCTCCAGTCGAACTACCCGCAGATTAATCTTCTCCCCCAAAAAGTCCAGCGGCCGCATCTGAACGCCTCCCTCGCTACCCCGGACCACGTATGGGCTTGTAGGCCTCATCCTCACCCTGGTGCTCGGTGTCATGGACAGACACCGCCGCGATGAGTCTCCTTCTGGCCTGTCGGACATTGTCGAGCAAGACGGTCTTCTCGGGACCGGCCTGACGGTAAGGCCTTGAATGAGCTTCGTTTTTTCTTTTTCTTCGTTTTGCTGCTCTCGTGCTTGGCTTTTTTGGTTGTGTCTTTTCTCTTTTCTCTTTCCTTTTGCTCTGTGACTTCGTTACATGCAACCGTCCACGGAGTCTTTCGCTGATATGTCCTCTTCCTCCCACAGACCCGGCATATCGAAGCGTTCGGCCGGAAAGTCACCACCACGGCTGGCCACTTGATCGGACCAAATGGCGAGACCTCCGGCGGCGGCTACCATAATGCCATGGCGGATATCCAGCGCGAACTTCGCCGACCGACTGCCCAGCGCAAAGTCTTCTCCCTGACCCAAACAACCCCGACCGACCTCGTCCGCTCCAAGCTGTCGACCTCCGAAATCCAATCGCGGGCCATCTCCTCTCTTCCCGACGACCTCCTCGCAAACATCCCCGACGACGCCAGCTCGTACTCCCTTTTCCAGGGCTTCCAGGCCTCGCAGGACGACCAGGAATATCGCCGATCGCATCGACGGCGCTCTTCGAAGGGAAAGAAGCTGCTGAAGGATGGCGGCGATCGCGCCGCTCTTCCCTCCGCCCCGGGTGACTTGAAGAAGGAGCGCGAGCTGCTGACGCGCCGCATGGATCTGATGGGCGTGCGCAAGAACATGTGCAGCTCGGAGATTCATGAGATCGATAATAAGATCGCGAACCTGCACAATATGCGCAAGATCGTTCTGGATCGATTGGCCGGGTTGGAAATGGAGGAGGCGGAGCTGGAACATGAATGTGGGTGGATTATTGCTCTGGTTGCCGGCCAGTGTAGCGATTTGCAAGATTCTGACATTGGAATAGTGACCGAGATCGAGAATAAGCTCGAAGATACTCAAGAGGAACCGCCAGAAACGCCGGCACAACCGGTAACCCCGGCTTCTGTGGAAGGAAACGAAGACTCCGTTGCTTCGGAAGATCCGGCCATGGATGCGTCGTTTATGTCGGAGTCGATTTATCAGAAGCTGCCTTCGCCCAAGAGTGTGAAGCAGAGATCCATACGTATGTTTTTGCTCGTCGCTACATGACCAAGTAATTCGCTGATTGTTCTGGCCAGGGAAACGATCCATGCCTGTCCTGCACGAGCACTTCGCTCCCGGGTCATTAATCAAGGAAATGCCGGCCCATTCCGACATGGTCACTGCCATCGACTTCGATTATCCTTTTGGCACTATGGTCACTGCAGCATTGGACGATACCGTACGGGTTTGGGACCTTAATGTCGGCCGATGCACTGGATTCCTGGAGGGACATAATGCCTCAGTTCGGTGTCTACAGCTCGAGGATAACATCGTCGCTACGGGTTCTATGGATGCATCTGTCAAGTTGTGGGATTTGAGTCGCGCCCGGTCCGTACCTCGTAACAACCGCTTGAGCCGAGGTGACGATGACGAGGATGACGACGGCGCCTCCCAAGCATCTCACTCCACCACCCTGGAGGATTGTCATGTGTTCTCGCTGGACGCGCACGTCGACGAGGTGACTGCCCTCCACTTCCGGGGAAATACGTTGATCTCGGGTTCTGCGGATAAGACACTGCGGCAATGGGACTTGACCAAGGGCCGGTGTGTACAAACACTCGATGTCCTGTGGGCTGCGGCCCAGGCGGATTCGTTGGGAGGAGATACGCAATGGCGACCAACCGGGCGAGTCCCGGATGCCTCTGCGGATTTCGTGGGCGCCGTTCAATGCTTCGATGCGGCGCTGGCGTGCGGAACGGCCGACGGTATGGTCCGCCTGTGGGATCTGCGGAGTGGACAGGTGCATCGGAGTCTGGTGGGCCACACCGGGCCCGTTACGTGCCTACAGTTTGACGACTTCCACTTGGTGACGGGAAGCGCAGACCGGAGTATCCGGGTATGTTTCTCTTCTTTTATTGCCTGGAGGTTTAGTTTTCTGACGTGATCTAGATATGGGACCTCCGAAGCGGATCGATCTACGACGCCTACGCCTACGACCACCCCATCACCAGCATGATGTTCGACGCCAAACGCATCGTTGCCGCCGCCGGAGAGAACGTGGTCAAGGTGTACGACAAGGCGGACGGGCATCATTGGGATTGCGGAGCCGGAGTGGGCACGGACGACATGGGACCGTCTCACGCGACGGTGGACCACGTGCGCCTCAAGGAGGGATTCCTCGTCGAAGGCCGCAAAGACGGCATCGTTGGTGCTTGGACTTGCTAGAGGAGATGATTTGTATGAGGCGTCGGCCATCTACGAGGCGTCGTTGGACTTTTGTATATTATCTATCATTCATACTCGGAGTTACGATAGAAGCGCAGGGATTGCTGTTGGACAGCTGTAAATGAAACCTGTATGAAATATGAGTTTAACTGAGAGTGAGAATAGAAATAAAAATAGGACACAAGACGGACGAGACAAAGAGTCGAGTACCTTGATCTGAAGGAGACAAAGCCATAAGAAAGAGAGGACGAAACAAACACATTCCCGTTCGGGTTAAATGGAGGCGTGTACGGCGTATTTTTCACCGCCCGCATGCCGGCGTTGTGCGGTACGCGACTAAGCCTATTCGGGACAGCTGCTGCCAATCCCTGCCCAATCAGGACAGCTCCTGTTGCCAGCCTGTACGGTACGGTACGGTATCTCTTGAACTTCGGCCAACCTCGTCCTCGTCCTCTCCGGCGCGTGTGTTTGTCTCCAATTGCAGTTCCTGCCCGCTGGCGGTTTGAGTTGGAGTCGATATCAATCATCTTGCGCCGCTTCTTGATCTTTGCGATTGTGGTGGCCGAGTCCACTTTCTTAGTCGCTATTCACCCGCGTCGTCGACGCGCCGTCCATGTTTGTCGCGCATGAAGAATTGACGACAACTGCCCGAGGCGCACTGGATCTGGTCCCGTCTGAAAACATTCAATTGCGACCAGCTCTATTTCTTTGATTACTCTGAAACGTCAACTCTCAAACAACAGTTTCTTTCATCGCCAACACAAAGGCCCCCTTGACGGTGGCGGTCGCGACTTTAATCTGCCGCGTTCTTTCACTCTGACTTCATTCAGCGGCCCCATAACGAGTCAAGGCAATTACAATTATCTTCAAGGGCGAGCATAATTGTCATATGCTCTACTTGCAAGAATCTAAATAGGCCCTTTGCTCGTGTTGAACTTTCTTGTTCTTCTATCATTCTGTCTTCACCGGGGATTCATGACGATTGTCTCGCCAAGCCAGATCCTGTATCATCCTGCCTGAGGCTCCAACTGGGGATCGCATTCGTCTGAACAATCCTGAAGCGGGCCTTTCTTTGTGCTGAAGCTGCCTTGTTTGCAGTTTGCAGTTTGCGCCGTGCAGACGTAGGTATCCGTGAATTTTCTGCTGCATTTCCAGGTTAACCCGTCATGACAGGACTGAAAAGTTCACACGTTCCGTGTTGCTACTAGTCTTCAAACAAGACATCACTTGCATCTACCGGGATGCCTCCTAAGAAGCGCACTTCCACCCGGCGTACCGGGGCTTCAGTGGCCCGGCCGACTGGCAAACAGCCCTACATTCTAAACGCCCCCGCGGCGAACCCCGTCTTGCCGGACATCCCCGCCAAAAACTCGTTCGCCTACGGTTCGTCTACGACGGCCATTCTTCCTCGCAAGCTGACCGTGCAGCCCAAAAGGGGTCTCGCCGAGATCGCCAAAACGATCGAAGAGGGTGTGAAGGAGGCGGAAGATCGCGCTAACGAGTCCGCGGGGAACACCCGTTCGCAAAACAAACCCAAGTCGCCCAGCCCGTCACCGGTTCGAAGATCAATACGCGAGCCGACGCCGGACCAGCAGCTTTTCGATAACCTGCGCTCAGCAACCCAGTCCCCTCACTTCCCTGATGACGTGCAATCAGGTTCCACGCCTACGCCAACCCCGCCTGTTCCACATACTCTTTCTTCGGCGTCCAGCCCGGCCACTCAGAATTTCGCTCGACCTACAGATACGCTCTATCCCTCGCCGATGATGCGGTTCGGATCCGCGGCCCCGAATACAACCGGCCTCAGCTCACCTCAGTTTCAGAGTTCCCTTGACAACGAATCGGTCATCTCGTTCAGGGTCGAGCGCGACGTTCATGAGGACAACCTGCAAAGAACGCGGGGGAACACCTTTCGAGACGAGCCACATGGACAAAATATCAGCGCGCCACCTCGTCGATTTTCCGGACTCGCTTTTGCTAATGAGGTTATCGAAGAGGTGGACGAGCCGCCAACGCGACTGTCAATTTCAAGATCGCGCTCACCTGAAGTGGTAGCTCAGCTTAAGCCTGAGCCTGAGCCCGAGCCAGAACCAGAACCAGAACCGTACCTAGAACCAGAGCCCGAGCCCGAGTTAGAGCCTGTGCGAGAACCCGAACCGGAGCTTACACCTGTTGTCCAGCCTGAGCCCTTACCGCAGTCTTCCTGGGACGCTGTCAAAGCTGTTGTCCCTGACCGCATCGCACGAAGTCTTTCACGGGATCCGTCATTACGAGGCTCTTCGAAACGCGCACCCTCATTCCGTCAAACCATGTCGCCTCCTCCCTTGCCACCGCAGCCACAGCGCTCTAAACATTATGAAGTTCCTATTCCTTGCTTAGATGGATGGGCGCTCAAAGTTCCCAAATCTGCGGTTCGAAACGCGGTCGTCATATTCTTAACTGCCATGTCCATCCTTACCATAATGAACACCTCGTGCTGCGTCGGCTGGCGCTATCCGTTTGGAGGATCACCCGTTCTTCCCGTCAACGCCACAGGCTCCGAGTCCGTCAAAATTCTGACCAACCACGTCCTGCGTCTCGGGAATGATGTGTCGTCGCTTTCGAAGGAAATGCAGAGGATCAAAACCGAGGCGCCTCCTGAGGCCACTAAAATTATCGAGCGATTACCCAAACCGGAGCTCGGGGGACCAGGGCAACCAAATTTCTTCTCGCATGGTATGGGGGCTATCGTTGACCCCCGCCTAAGCAGTCCAACATATTCCGTGAAGGACAGCTATTGGCAGACCGTAAGCTCCTATTTCATGAACAAGAAGTACCAGAGCCCAGCATCGCACTTGCAGGCTTTGCTGCCGTGGGAGGACATTGGAGATTGCTGGTGCAGCGCACTCCGAGAAGACGGCATGGCCCAGCTCGCCGTGGATCTCGGTCGTCTGGCCGTGCCGGAGGAGGTTGTCATTGAACACATACCGCGCGGAGCCAGCGTGGCCCCCGAAAGGGCTCCCAAGGAGCTGGAGCTCTGGGCGCAGTTCGTGTTCCTGGAAGGCGACGATGCGCCGACCACGTTCCTCTCCCGCGAGGGCGACACTCTCCTCGCAAACGGTCGAACCCTGCACGAGACCCTGATGGAGTCCTTGCGATTCGCCTACCGCAATGACCCGGACAGCGCCTTCTCGGATGATCCCAACCTCGGCCCGACCTTCTACCGCGTCGCCCGTTGGAACTACAACATCGACGCCCCGAATAACGTGCAGGGGTATCAGCTCGATGCGACGATCGACATCCACGGCGTGCGCGCGAACAAGGTCGTGGTTCGAATGAAATCGAACTGGGGATCGCGCGATACGACCTGTCTGTATCGCGTACGATTACACGGCCGTCTCTAAGTTCAGCTTTAGTTTTCTTTTGACCTCTATTTTCTTCCTTCATTTTTTTATTGCAACGGCGCCTGGTTATGGATATGGTCTGGTCGAGTCTGCATTAGAAGCAGACGGTTAGCAGGCAGGCATACACGGCGTTATGTTTCCTTTTCTTTATTCTTTTCTTCCTTCCTGCTATTCTTCATCTAAATTACTTTCATATACCATACCATACCAGAAAGTCGGACCGGCGTTCAGAGCGTCTAGGAATCCTAGTTAGATACATATACATACTACTGCTATTACGCAAGGCTGAGTTGACGTAAATACCCGTAGCCTGCGAAGACCTGGATATATAAATTCTGTTCTTTCCAATAGTCCAGAGTATTCATCCACCTACAGAAGAACAGGTGCATACTATATACTAAGAATCAAACTCCGCATTCCTCCACCCCGGCATCTTCGTCTTCGCACGCATCCACCCCCCAAAGTAATGCAGACACCCGAACACCCCCGTCCCAGCGCCGACTACGATCAGGGCCTGCGCGGTAAACGTCCACGTCCAGCCAGCGGATGCTTGCCAGGGAGAAATTAAGAACTGAGATGGCGTTAGTCTTGCTGCTCGATATAGAGACCGAGACTGACTAGCTATGTATAATGGAAGGAGATGCAGGCACGAACCGGATTCACAAACGCGCTCAGATTCAACACCACCGCGTAGAAAACCACCACGCTGGACGATTGCAGCGGATAGCAGTCGACGATGTATGCGCTTGTGATGGTATTTCCGACTTGGATTCCGGAGGCGACTATTTGTGTTTCTGGTTAGCCATCTCATCTCTCATCCCTCCTCCCCTCTACCTCCTCATCACAAACAGAAGAAAGAAAAGAAAAGGAGACATGTAGACATACCCAAAAACAACCCCACCTGCCCAACCCCCCAATGCCACCCCCTCTGCACACTCACCCCCCAAACAACTAACCCAACCCCCGTGGCCACCATTGCCGGATACACCATCCAAAGACGCATCTCGGGGACTCTGACGCCTGCGTTCCTGCGAGTGAGACGCCGCATCAACGCATCGCTCAGACGTCCGGAGACTAGGATCTCGCTGAGCACGGTCCCCAGTAGCAGGCCGAGGAAGAGCAGGCCTTGGATTAGCGGCGTGTAGGATGCGTAGGCGGCGGGCATCATGGTGATTATGGATAGGATCCACCAGTACCAGGTGAAGCTGTAGCCGGTGACGGCGAGGATGATTACCGGGAGGCGGAAGGTGAGGAGGAAGCGGTGGATGGAGGAGAGGGGGGAGGGGTGGTGGAGGCCTGGGATGGGGTGGATGTTGAGGAGGGGGAGGGTTTGGGTGCGCCGGATTGAGGGGGTGGTGTTGGTTATTGGGGATGGGGAGGAGGATGAGGATGAGGGAGGGTTGGTCTTCGGTTCGAGGGAGAGCGGTGGTTCTGGATTTATATCTGGGTGAGAGTGAGGGGGAGGAAGGGATTGTGTGAGCAGTAGACTCCGTGGGTAGAGTGTCTCGGTCATGAAGAGGATCTCGAGTACGAGGAGTACGCCGAAGAGAATGACTGTGAACCAGTTGATCCAGGCGGCGCTGAGGAGGTTGAGGAATCCGCCGACTGTGTGGATTAGTCTCCTATACTTGTATACTCTCCTGAGAGAGAAAGACAAAGGAGGAACCATACAAGTAGGACCCAACAGCAACCCCGAATCCAGCGCCAGAACCCACAGCCCAAGTTTCTGACCTCGTTCATAATCAAAGAATAAATCATTCACTGTATCCATTAGCATTATGTTTCTTCCTCCAAACCGTATATATAACACACCCACAGCCATTCCAACCGTCGAACCCGGACTAACCCCCAACCCCTGGAAGAACCTCGCCGACATGTACCCAGCATAGTTATGGGCGACTGCAGCGCCAATGCTGGAGACAAGAGAGATGATGGTGCCGACGATGAAGATGATACGTCGGCCGTAGATATCGGCCAGTGAAGACCAGAGGAGCGGGCCCACGGATAGGCCCAGAGCCGGGATGGCGACGGTCCAGTTGACTTGGTCGTAGGAGACGTTGAACTGGGATTGTATGGCGGGGAAGGACGGAACGGTGGTGGTGGTGATGTAGGTGAAGAGGAAGTATCTGCTCTGGTTAGAGGGTTGTAGATCGAAAGGGCCGAAGGCAGGTTTACTTGAGCATCACAATCCCTAGGATGGAGTGTTTTCGCATCCAGGACCAGTTCAGCGGATCTAGGGGGTCTGAGGTGCGTTGGGGGTGGATAATGATGTCTTCATCTTCTGGGTTGGGGAGGGATTCATTGGCCTCTTCAAGAGGTGCAGGCTTCTTCTCGTCGCTGAGGGATATCATGGTTGGACTGTGTATGAAGATACATGCTATCTGTTCTATTCAAATGGATCATTGCATTCTCCATACAATTATATAAATCATCCTTTCTTATCAGTAGGGACTACGATCGAACACAGCAAACCCAGTGAGATGCATGTATAGACTCGCGAATCACACGGCATGGAGATATCACTGCTTATCGCCCGGAGATGACATTTCGAGGGAGTCTATTAGGGTTATTGCATAGTAGAGGATTTTAAATAGCCAATGAAGACACGGCATGGCTCCTGATAAGAGTTGATCTTGTTAATCCTGGTCGATACTTGCGTTCGATTAAGCCGCATTCGAGACCTCAAGTTAGGGCTGCCGCTGTCATCTGCAACACGTGGGGTTGAGACATCGGTCACTCTTGGAATTGTGGATTGATCACTACGATAGAAGGGAAATATATCCTATATCTAATAGACAAAATAAACAGGCATTGTCTCGAAAACAGATTACCAACTGCCGACCAAGGCACAGACACGCAAACAGACCCAACCCCGTCTGATCTTCTTGTTTCATCGCAACACGGATCCTTTCCCGTTTAGGTTACTATTTGGAGAAGCCCAGATGGCTCCATTTCTTGCATCATACTGATAAGAATATTAGATCCGATCGGTTACTTGATCTCTTGCAGACCGGTTTGTCATGGCTTTTTTAATCTGTATCACGTCTGTAGGCATTGTGCCCGTTTAGGCATGCAGATGGAGACTCGCTGATGCGCGGCAGCCATGTAGATTAGACTACAGGCAAGCCAGGGACTCATGCCGGGCTGTCTCCAAGGTGTCCAGGTTGAATTTGTTAAATAGTATATAGATGTAAATGAATCTGGGGTTTAGTCTTGCACAACCATTGTTGCTGTTTACTACTGTTCCTCATTACGATGTACGAACGATTTCATCGCGATGGCTCGGACGAGCCTAATGAGCACACGTCCCTTATCCCTAAGCCGACAGATGATACATACGAGCAAGACTACGACGGTGATGTCTCCCGAAAATTTGTCGCAAGAGAGTATCTCAGGGAGTTCTGGCGTCTGTTGAAAGACTCCATACCCGTCATCCTGGCCTACACTCTTCAAAACAGCCTACAAACCGTATCAGTCCTCATCGTCGGACGCTCGTCCGCCGAGAGCCTCGCCACCGCGGCCTTCTCCCTGATGTTCGCCATGATCACTGCCTGGATGATTGCCCTCGGAGGAACAACCGCTCTCGACACTCTTGCATCCTCGTCATTCACAGGCAGCGCGAACAAGCACGACCTAGGCATTCTGCTGCAGCGGGGTTTCTTTGTGCTCACCCTCTTCTACATACCAATTGCAATTCTCTGGGCCTGTTCCGAACCGGTTTTCCTGTTTCTCGGCCAGGATCCACAGCTCTCCAGAGACAGTGCGCGGTTTTTGACCTGCCTGATCCCCGGTGGGCTGGGGTACATCTACTTCGAGTTAATGAAAAAGTATCTGCAAGCACAGGGTAAGACAATGCATCCATACCTTGATCTAACTCACCGCTGATTCCCCTCCTTTACTCCTGTAGGTATCATGCGTCCCGGCACCTATGTCCTCCTGATTACATCACCGCTCAACGGACTGCTCAACTACCTCTGCTGTTACACCCTCCGGATGGGTCTATTGGGCGCCCCCCTCGCCACAGGCCTCTCCTACTGGCTCTCATTTGCCCTCCTAGTGCTCTACGCCCGGTTCATCCAAGGCGCGGAATGCTGGGGCGGCTGGTCGCGCGAATGCCTCCAGCACGCCGGCCCTTTCGCCCGACTAGCCTTCCTCGGCGTCATCCACGTCGGGACGGAGTGGTGGGCCTTCGAGATCGTAGCACTGGCCGCCGGACGATTAGGAACTATCCCACTCGCCGCGCAGAGCGTTATCATGACCGCCGATCAAGTGCTCAACACGATCCCGTTCGGGGTAGGCGTCGCCACGTCGGCGCGCGTGGGTAACCTTCTCGGAGCACGGAATGCCCGCGGGGCTGCTAGAGCGGCCAATACGGCGGCCTGGCTGAGCATGGCCCTGGGCGGGGTGGTTCTGGCCGTGTTGATGGGGACGCGGGATCGGTTTGCGCGCATCTTCAACGACGACGAGCGCGTGGTGCGTCTCACCGCCGACGTGTTGCCGTATGTCGCGCTGTTCCAGATCGCGGACGGCTTGAACGGCAGCTGCGGTGGGAGTCTGCGTGGGATGGGCCGTCAGCATGTCGGGGCGTTGGTCAATCTGGTCAGTTACTACGGCGGTGCCCTGCCCCTTGGCATCTGGTTGGCGTTTCATGGCTGGGGACTCAAGGGCCTTTGGGTGGGACAATGCATCGCGCTGTATCTGGTGGGGGCGCTGGAGTGGTCGATTGTGGGATGGAGCCACTGGGAGAAGGAGGTTGATCGGGCATTTTTGCGGATGGATGCTTCTGAGCGGGTGGGCGTGTAAGGGGTGCTGGGTCTCCTTGTAGTGACTGAATTAGGAAGCTGAGAGGAGACGGAGTGTAGCTTGGCTGTACCCCAGATGCAGAGTGATAGATATGTTTCTCCGAGGATTGCATGCAGAATGAAAAATCATTGATCGAGTGAATTGTTGGTTGAGAAAGACTACTGGAGAGAGAGAAGATGACATCAAGTGGAGAGAACGACAAAGATAAGAGAAAAGATAAGAGGAGATAAGATAAGCCTCTTTAGTCTCTCCGGCGGCCTTCCTTTTTGGGCGACGCTGCATTTCTCCTCAATCCGTTGCCTCAATGGAGTAAGTATCTCTCGTCTTCACCATCATCCTTTTGATCCGTCATCGGCCTGGACTAGTGTAGCCTTCATCGTCGGTCTGGTTGCACGCCTCCATCCAAATGAAGAAACTCGTTGGAGCGATGATGTCTCAATTACAGGGTGGATGTGGAGGGACGACGCTGGCTGGTCCTACCAAATCATTCTTCTACGATACTTATAAATACGCCTGTCCCATCTATCCCGACTTCATCAACACAATTTCATCGTCTTCATTCTCTATCGGTTCATCAATCCACACCGACCATCATGTTGACTAAAACTACCCTGCTTGCCCTCTCTGCTCTCGCATCTGCCCACAGCAATCTCCAAACCCCGATCTCCGGACCACACCAGTCCCTATGGTATAATACTCTCCCTGGAGACGGAGGCACACAGGTGAGTTTCTCCTCCTATCGCATGACATCAGCGGCTAACGGGAAAGGCCGACTCTGTCTTCTCGGGCATCTCAACATTCGGCCGTCTTCCCTACTTCCCATGCCTGTCTAGCGAAGCCGAGAAATACGACATCGCCTTCATCGGTATGCCACCCAGCCCATTACTCTACACATCCTAACAGAATATGACAGGCGCTCCATTTGACACCGGCACCTCCTACCGTCCCGGTGCTCGCTTCGGACCAAGCGGTATCAGACAAGGTTCTCGCCGTCTCAATCTCTAGTATGTTCCATCTTCTCGAGTCCACGCTCATGCCTTCTTTAATCAAGGCTCACGAAAACTCGCCTTCAGCGGAGGATACAATGTCCCGCTCCAAGCGAACCCGTTCACCAGCGACCTGAGGATCCTCGATTGTGGCGATATCCCAGTCACCTCGTAAGCCTCCTACCTTGTGCTTAGGCACAATCAATCAGTCTAACAGGGTAATAGATACGACAACGCCTGGGCCATCCAGCAGATCGAAGAAGGACACAACAGCGTGCTCATGCGCAAGCCTCTCACCGACGCACACTCCCCCGGGCTCTCTAAGGCCGGCAAGACCCTGCCCCGAATCATCACCCTCGGCGGAGACCACACCATCACGTTGCCCCTGCTGCGGAGCATCAACAAGGCGTATGGCCCTGTGACTGTGATTCACTTCGACTCGCACCTGTAGACCTCCCATTACCTCATTCACCCCATATTTCCGACCCAGAGCACTAATCAATGACAGCGACTCCTGGAAACCCAAAGTCTTCGGCGGCTCGCCCAGCAAAGTCGCCTCCATCAACCACGGCACGTACTTCTACCACGCCGCCATGGAAGGATTGCTGAAGAACGACACGAACATCCACGCGGGAATCCGCACCACGCTCTCCGGCCCCTCGGACTACGAGAACGACGGATACTGCGGGTTCGAGATCGTCGAGGCCCGAGAGATTGATACCATCGGTACTTCCTTCCACCTAACCTGCTCCAGCCCAGCATAGACACACAAAGCTAAGACGCTGAAGGAACCGACGGCATCATCCAGAAGATCCGGGACCGAGTCGGCACGGAGAACCCTGTTTATCTCTCCATTGACATTGACACGCTGGACCCAGCTTGTAAGTTCCTCTTCCAGATGATTACTGAAGAAGGTGAATCTAATCACTGTATGAATAGTTGCGCCCGCAACGGGAACTCCCGAGACAGGGGGCTGGTCGACGCGCGAGCTGCGGACCATTGTGCGTGGCCTGGACGGATTGAACCTCATCGGGGCCGATATCGTGGAGGTCGCGCCTGCTTACGATACCAATGCCGAGCTGTCTACCATGTATGTCTTTTCTTTTCCCCTGGCTTCTGGCGTTGTTGGTCTGCTGGCCAAGTGATGTGGATTCGCTAATGTGTCTGCTGATTAGGGCGGCTGCGGATGTTCTGTATGAGATCTTGACGATCATGGTGAAGAAGGGGCCGTTGACTCTGCCTGAAAAGACTGACTTGTAAATGAGTCTCGAGGAGAATGGATATTCTTGAGGGGAGATGAGAAGTTGTTGGTGAATATTGATTCGCACCAGAAGTCTGAGTGTAGAAAGCTAGTAACTTGCTGGGACTAACTAGATAACTAATGAATACTGCCTAACACAAAGGCCAAACCCTTTGAAATGTACATCAAGAATGATAAAAATCTAGACAAACCTAGACCGGCATATACAAATAGCTACTTGAGCTACCATGGGTAGTCAGCAAGCGTCACGGAAGTAAAGTAATTGAAGGAACCCTGATACCAAAGAGCATTCTGGAGGAATTCGGCGAGTTCTCGTTTAGTGACCGCTAGTTCCATGATCATTTGAGGCGAAGCGTTCCTTTTCCACCCATCGTGCTGTTCAACCGCGAGGATGATTTCCCTCCACATCCGATATAGGTTGGGATTTCTGTGGAGGTTCTTTGTGAACACGGTCCAAAGGCTAGCGAACCGATCGAAGACGATGTTACCGGAGTCAACACCGAAGTCGCCCAGCAACCCACGAAACTCTGCCATCACTTTCCGTAACCGCTGCTCCGTCCGTTCAAAGCGCCGCATTGTCCGATCGTACGCAGCCAACAATCGTTCTCGCGTCTCCACACTCACCTTGTCCAACGCACCGCTGTGACCTGATAGGAACCTTGGACGGCCGCCGTTCACGACCTGCCCTGCCAGCAGAGTGAAGGCCTGGGAGTATAGAAACCGGTTGTGCAACGTCTCTGCTAGGATCATGCTCATCACGGGCGCTTTATGAATCGTACTCAGCACCTGTTGGTTCTCACCGGGAAAATGCTCCTTGTTGTTCATGTAGTCGGAGACCTCGTGCAGCAGGCCAAAGTCGCAACACATGTCACACACATCGCGAACCTCCTCCATGTTATGGAAAAAGATACGTCGATCATAAATGACGCTGAGAAGGCCGAGAAAAGACTGAATAATTCGGTCTGCCGATTGTCCGGGCGGAGGTTTGTTCGGTTGCGGCACCTCGTTAGGACCTCGTTGTCAGTGTTTTAGTTTTAGGTAGGTCCCAGGTCAAGTAAATCCCCACCACCTGGGGACATCAAAGAACATACCTGATACGGAGGGTAGAATTGGAATGAACCATCTGGTCTGAACCCCGCTACATAGTATGGTGGAAAGATTCTTTCGCCGATGAGCGGCAGCGTCGAGAATAGCGCCCTATACTGGACCAAGTCTTGGGCCCGGAGCGTGAAATTGAACTCCAGTAGACGCAACGTGATGTTATTTTCAATGTCAGCGAGAAAGGCAGAGTGCGGGAGTTTGGTAAACGGGGGAGGTGAATTTGTAGTCGAGGTTGAGTAGGCCATGAGATCGGTGGCTATGACGAAACTGCTTTAGAGCTTCTGATAGATAGTATGTAATAGTAATTATAGACGTGGTCAAAGAATGACTGATATAAAGAGAATGAGGGTTGAGTTGGGATTCGTGCGGTCCGCTCTCTGGATCATATTGTCGAGAGTGCATAGAATGAGGAAGCTGCCATGCTAGATGGCCTTTTCTCAACTGAGGACTTGCCGTGGATGTTCATATCCGAGGCTGACATTAGATCTCGTAAGGCGAATCAACACATTTGATGTAATATCCATTCCAGGTAGGCATGCCAAAACCTAGATCCCCGAAAACACCTAGAATGCAGAATACCAGACGCCAGAGAGAGAGCCTCAAACGAAGATGCATATGCATGCATAACCCAACCACCCTGCCTACCTGCCCACCTCCATAGTGGCTAGATAGCAATCTTACATCATAGCCAGAGCCAGGACCTCCCCCCTTACGTCCGGAAGACGCCACCTACGATCCCCGAAAGCCAATTCCAGATTGGCTCTTTTGCACTCCTTCGTCCGAGCAGGGGGGAAACTAGTCGGTAGGTGTAAGTTGACTGGTCAGATTCTTTTTCTTTTTTGGGCACTGGTGGTGGTGCCTGACCTTTGTTGTATCCCGACGCCGTGGGTGCGGGATGGGAAGAGTGATGAATCTACCAGAGAGGTGGTTTGGGTTGGGACTATTTTCGCTCTATTGTCTGGTCCGAGGGTCTGGAATATTTCCCGTTTGGTGGCTGCAAATGCGGTCGCCGGGAGGTCGGGAACTCCCTGATGTCCTCCGGAAGAGAGTTTGCATTATTGGATCTATCGAGGGTTTGGGCTCGTTGTGTAACGGCGGTTGGCGGGTTTCCGCGTCCGCGTCCGCGTCCTTGCGTTTATTAGGTTATGTGTAGGTATCGAGGGTTGGTGTTGGTGGTGGTTGTTGCTTTATTTTCGGGGTCCTTGCTTCGGGAACTCCTTTTTCTGTTTTTCTTTTTACCCGTTTGTTGGTGCTTCTTTATTATTTGGTTAAGGGGAATACTTGGTCGGCCGGTGGTCGGTTACTTGCCGGGGACTATTGATTTATTCGGGGTTTTGTCTGTCTATTGATTTTGGGTTGAGGTGTGAGAACGTGTGGACGCGGATACTGTGCCCAGATGGATATGACGGTTTGACAGTTGTTCTGCTCAGCTGCGTTTACTGTGGCGGTTCTAGATTCGAGACTGTGTCGTCGCCGTGCTTTGGTGTCTTCGGGTCTATCATTGGCCTATTCCGAGGCCGTCCCGTCCGGACAACTGAAGCTGAAGCTGAAGTATGGGTCACGACTCCACCAGTCCACGGAGCACGGAGTACGCAGTACAGCGAAAATGGCCTGTCAATGCCATTAGGCCCTGCCAGTGCAGTGCCCACAACAGTCCACTCGACATGCGATTGTGACACCATGGGGCGATATATAAATGAAGAATGATTGACCTCGATATTAACTGCCCTGAGCTGAGCTGGGAGTGCCATCCAGGATCCACCCACGGGGGAGTGTCTACATGGGGGATAGTTTTGGACGGATCGGCCGGCAATCGAGTCAGTCTGACACGCATCCGAATCTCCAGACCTGCCAGTGTGAGTTTTTGATTCGATCGAGTGTGCGTCGGATGCGATTGTCGCTTAGTTGCCCCTCTATAGGCGAGGGTGTCGGTGTGGTTCAGGCTGGAACCGAGTACTCGGGATGGTTCAGGGGATGGATGACGAGGAAGACAGTGGATGGATTGGAGAAGGTTTGATAGTCGAACAGACGACGGACGGGTCTTAGTGCCCTCGTGTACCCCGAAAGACGGGCGGGACAGGCGGACAGTCCAACGGCTCGTTAATATTACGATCGGAATGTCTGGAGGAACCCCTTTTTTTGGCCGTCTGTTTTTGAGCCACGAGGTGCCGACCGAGCAGATAGCGATCGACAGGTCGACTCATCTTTGGATTTGGTAGAGGAAGAGGTAGTCGATAGGAACCATAGGAATAGGAGAGAATCATGCGATGCCCACCGACACAAAACTGATTGGCCCGATCGGGTGGAGACGCGGCCAGGAACCAGCCAGAGACTCACGTTCTTCCCTCAGTCTCACGTTCCAGCGGTTCGATGCAATTATATTGTCTTCATGTATTTCCTCCGTGCTTGCTGTTTCACCATAATCCATATATTGTCTGTGGCAGGCAGGCCACTTGTAAACCAGCGTCGTACGGGCGGTTCGTCTCCTGTTCGGCTGTCGACCGGTCGTGTCATGTCAGTCCTCGTTCCTCCTGGACCCGCTCGACAATCGAAGCACCGGCGGTATCACCATCCCAGTCAAGCTTCCCCATTCATACTGGCGTCGGAGGGACCTGGGAGGAAGAGGCCACATGTCTGACTGCTGTTTCTCCAGTAGTTTATTTTGGAATCAGTTCCTGCCTCCCTTGCCTCGTTTATTCCAGACAGTAGGGCTTGACGAGAGACCTGCAGGACAAAGATTGGCCGTGGATGTTCTCCGACGCAGACAGCAGTTTCGGTGGCACGGAGACCGGTTCCAATGGGAAGCCTGCATGCAATTCTCCGTCAATGGCTCGGTCCCTGGCTTTCATCCGCCGTGAACCGTGGAACGGCAGGTCAAGGTTCCGGCGGTGCGGGCAGCCGTCGTGCATGGATTGTGTGCTCCCGACGGAGGAGAAACGCTCGATAGTTCCAGTCCGTCGAGCTGGCAGACAAAGAGTACGCAGTAGTAGTGCAAGTAAGTGTCCGGAGTAAGTAAGTATAGGAAGGGATGCCGATCGGGGCCTAGGCCTGGCACCAATTTCCCCTGGCGTCGCCAAACAACCGTGGATGCTGCGTCTCCTGGCCGTCTATTTTTAAGCCGCTCAATATTGGGCTCTCTCAGATCTCGGACATTTGACAGCAACTCTAGTAGTGAGGAAATAAAGTCCAGTACGATCAAGTGCCTGTACGTCCCTGGATTCCCAGCCATGCAGGAAGTATAAGAAGGAAGCGTTCCTGGATCCCAATGGCGCAGCGCCCCTCTTTTTAGTTTCCTCCACTTTCGAACTGCTCCGGTTCGCTTGAACTCTGATGCCACCAATGAACTCTACCGTCGCTTCAGGAGAAGTTCTCTGATTGCGTCCCGACGGCTCGTCCGTAAGTCACTGGCCGGCGCTTCCCCAGACCTGTCACCGTGTTTTCTTTTCCCTCTTGCATCGGCCTTATACGCTAATCGTCCCTCCTTCCTTTCTCTAATCCTTCATTCTAATTATCCTCCCTCATTCTCTAGTCACCTTCCTTTCCTTCCCTCTCGCGATCTTTTCTTCCCTGCAAAATAGGGGATTCCTCCATTCTCGCCGATTGCCGCCGGCCGCCAACTTCGCGCGACTCCCCTAAAAAAACCACTAAAATCGCAGTCAGAAAAGCCAAAAATTCAAACAAAAAGGGAGAGAAAAAAAAAATCGAATTTTTCCCGGCCCAACGATAGCAGAAATTCGGCGATAAAACAATAATTGACCGATTTCACCGCTGATGCCTTGCTCTGCCTCCTCCATTCCTTAGCCAACCATAACCTGTCCATTTCCATACTGGCACGTCGATCACTTCGCCCAAAACTGAGTTTGCGGCCAGATATCATATAAAAGGGTCATGACGGGCTCGCCGCCTGCGTCGCCTACGGGTGCCCCCCAGCGACCCTTCAGTGCCATCATGCGCACTCCGAGAAGCACCAGTCGCTTGAGCATGAGCTCCAAACAAGGCGGAGGAAGTCGCCATTCCGACGAGGACGGCAAGACCGCGGTCAAAGTTGGTATGTGTTTTCTCACTGTCCCCTGCCCCCTCCCGAGCGAACCTTTTCGTCCGCGTTGCGTCCTACACCGCATCGCAGACCACCGTGTTGGACCTCTCAACCCCTTTTCCTGCGATTTTCCACGAGCCTCCAGATCGATCGCGGTGACGGGGTATTTCCGCTGGCACGATCGATGATACGCCCTGATTATCTCGTCCGCCGTCATGTCGTGCTGACGCATCTCTGTAGCCGTCCGTGTCCGACCGCCTCTGAGGCCCAACGACCCGGGCTATGAGCTGATCCCGCAACGTTTCCAAAAATCCATGGTCCACGTCACCACGCCAACCAGCTTGGCAGTCGACGTCCCTCAGGGCCGCAAGTTGTTCGTTTTCGATCGGGTATTCGCCGAGACGATAGATCAGGACGGGGTCTGGGAGTACCTGAGCGACAGCGTCAATTCGTTCCTGCAGGGCTACAATGTCTCCATTCTGGCGTACGGCCAGTCGGGCGCCGGAAAGTCCTACACCATGGGAACTTCGGGGCCCAATGAACAGAGCAAAACGGAGGCGATGGGTAGGTTGACTCCATACCGGGGATTTTCAAGAGTCGGGTTGGCTAATACGACTGGGGTGCACTAGGAATCATCCCGCGTGCGGCGCAGCTGCTTTTCGAAAAATTGGACGGTCCCTCGAAACACAATCGCAATAGCTCGACAGGCCTTCGCACCCCCGCACGGTACTCCATTGGCTCGGCCTCGAGTTTTGGAAGACAAAGCGTTGATAAGAGCTGGCAGTTGAAGGCCACCTACGTGGAGGTATGGAGCTTTCGCGATCGTTCCGAGGCTGCGGTTCTCACTGACCGGCGCGCAGATTTACAACGAACAATTACGAGACCTTCTCCTGCCCGATTCGACCCCCGCGAGTGATCGCAGCACCGTCACGATTCGAGAGGATACAAAGGGTCGCATCATCCTGACCGGACTGCACCAGGTGAACATCAACTCGATTGAGGATCTGTTGGGCGCATTGAACTTTGGTTCGTCGATTCGACAGACCGACTCGACCGCTATCAACGCCAAGTCGTCTCGTTCGCACGCCGTCTTCAGTTTGAACCTCGTCCAGCGGAAATCCTCGAATGGAGTGGCTACGCCCAAAGACAAGCGGATGTCGATGCCGGCCGAGGGCTTCTCGCCGGCCGATGCGTCGGTTACCGTCGACAGTAAACTTCACTTTGTGGATTTGGCTGGTAGCGAGAGATTGAAGAATACCGGGGCGTCGGGAGAGCGTGCCCGCGAGGGTATTTCCATCAACGCCGGTCTTGCAGCGTTGGGCAAGGTCATCTCGCAACTGTCCTCCCGTCAGGCGGGCTCGCACGTTTCTTATCGCGACTCGAAGCTTACCCGTCTTCTCCAAGATTCGCTGGGTGGAAACGCCTACACCTACATGATTGCTTGCGTGACGCCTGCCGAGTTCCACCTGAGCGAAACGTTGAACACCGTGCAGTACGCGCAACGCGCTCGAGCCATCCAAAGTAAACCCCGGATTCAGCAGATGGCGGACGAAAGCGATAAGCACGCGGTGATCGAGCGTTTGAAGGCGGAGGTGGCCTTCTTGCGGCAGCAGTTGCGGAATGTCGAGGACCACGACCGGCGCAACGCCGCCCCTCAGGAGCGCGGGGAGCGCCAGAACGAGAGGGAAATCGATCTTCAGAACCAGCTGCTGGATTCCCAGGAAAGCTACAACGCGTTGAGCCAGCGTCACGCCAAACTGATTGCCGAGCTTGCCAGGGATTCCGAACAGCCGGCCGATGCGGATCCCGACGACGTCGCATCCGTGGTCGGAAAAAGCTCCGTCGAGCGACTGAAACGATCCCATTCGTTCGCCGAGTCGGTCGAGCAGGTGGTTTTGGAGTACGAGAAGACCATCCAGAGTCTGGAATCGTCCCTTTCGAACACTCGATCGTCCTTGTCGGTCAGTGAGAGCACGCTTCTCGAGCGGGAGACGAAGTGCACCTACGTCGAAACGGTCAATGCGCAACTCCAGGCCCGCGTGCAGAAGCTGTTGGACCGGGAGACCAGCACCGAGACATACCTTCACGAGTTGGAATCGAGACTGGACGGCCAGTCATCGGGCGAGGAAAAGCAGGCGGCGGTCGTGTCCGAGCTGCGCAAGGAGCTGAGTCGGGCCCGTGATAGCGAAGCCAACTGCGAAGACTATATTTCCACGCTGGAAGAGCGTCTGGCCGAAGCGGACCAGGACATGGAGTTGATGGGGCGGGAGGTTCAACGCCTGGAAAACGTCATCGAACGCCAACGCAGCCTAGGCAAGTTGGACAACCTGCTTTACGACCTCGACCACGTCCAGCCCAACGGAAACAAGGACGACGCGGAGGATGTAACCGAATCGCCCACCCCAGTTGTCAAACGCGCCTACAACCCGCGCAAGAGGGCGACGTCGCTTGACGTGTTGACCGAGGCTGTCGAGACCGCCATCCCCGAATCGGACGAGGGTTTGGTCGAGCCGATCCCTGAAATCGATGAGGAGGCCGCAGCCGATTCCGAGACCGCTGCCGCAGGAGAGGATCTGAAGGTCCTGGAGACGGCAACGACCAACAAGAGACAAACTCCCAGTCCCACGCAGTCGAACGTGGTTGCCGATAAGCTCGACACCGTTAGCCAGGAACTGTTCGACCTGCGTACGCAGCATGAGAACACCCTGAGTGACTACGAACTCCTCGAAACGAAGTACGAAGAGGCCCTCAGGGCGCTGGCGAAGGCGCAGCAGGACGCTGCCGACGAAACTCGTCATCGCACATCGACCGTGCAGCAGCTCGTCACCCCATCTACCGCATCTCGTCCGGTGTCTTTTTTAGACGAAAGCAGCAAGGCTCCCGAATCGACAGCTGGAACGCAACACTCGTTCTCGCAGTCACTCTCATCGGAATTATCCTTGGTCGGGGAGCCTGCTGCTTCACAGGATACATCTAATGCCAAGGCCCAGCCAGATGCTGAAGAGAACCATCTCGACTCCCCCACTCAGTCTTCGGCGACTAGCCCTCAGGAGGTCGAGCACATGCGGCAGCTGCTCTCTGAGCACCAGGAGGGCGTCACGATCATGACTCAGAAATACGCCGAATTGCAGAGTGAGCATGAAGACACTCTGAATCTCATTGAGTCCCTGAAGGCCCAAATCCAGAGGCCCAAGTCTGCCTCCCCGCCCACCACACCGGGATTCTCCAAATCGCCAGTGATTCGAAGGAAGACTAGCCAGAGTCTCATGTCAACTGTGGATCGAGCCCACCGTTCTCTGGCCGCCCTGCGCAACATTGCGGGCGAGGAATTCGACCAGCGACCGGATAAAATGCAGAACTTCGAAGTCCACCTCGACTCGGCAATGCATGAACTGTACACCCGCATGGAACGCATTCAGTCGCTGGAGGCCGAGAACCAAAGCGTGAAGAAGGAGATGGAGATGAAGTCGACTATCATCTCTGGCCTGACTCGGGAGCGATCCAGCTTGCAAGGGGGAGCTTCCTCGGTGGACATGGGTTTGGTATCCCAGCTGCGCGACCAGGTTGTGCAGCAGGAAGGCATCATCAACGAGCTGAAGGAGGCGCACGAATCTCGACAGAAAGAGCTCATTGCTGAGATCCAGGAATTGAAGGATCTTCTCAAGACCCAAGAGGCTGCCGCCCGCGCTCAGGATGCAGGTGCCGAGGCACAGTACCAGAAGATTAGCCTTCTCGAGGGCGAATTGGGCGAGTGGAAGACCAAGCACCAAACCGCCGTGGAATCTCTGCAGTCCTCTGAGCAGCAACTCAGTGCCACGCTCGCCGAACTCAATAGTGCATTGGCCAACGTCGATGCCATGCGCTCCGAGCGGGCGGCTGCCGACGAGGCGTCCACCGCGGAGAAGGAGACCATCGCTAGAGAGCTGGACAGCGAGAAGGCCCGCCAGGAGGACGTCGTGGAGAACCTCAAACGTGATATTGAAGAGCACAAGGCAACTGCCGGCGTGCACGTGGCGCGAATCGCCTCGCTGGAGGATGCACACAGTGCCGCCGAGAAACAGCTGGAGGAGCTCCTCGCAGCCAAGAACAACGACAACGCCGAGGTTGGAAATCACCAGACCCGCATCTCCGAGCTGGAACGTGAGATCGACTCTCATCGGTCTCTTGTCGAGTCTCACAAGACGAACTTGGATGCCCTGCAGGACTCTCACCGACAAGAGCTAAGCGAACTCGAAGCAAGGGCTAACGCCGCCGCACAAGCGGAGTATGATTTGCAACTGGCGGAGAAGAACAGGGAACACGACGAGGCCATGAAGACTCTCAGAACTGACATTGCCGAATCGCGCGACGAACTCGCCAAGTTGCTCAAAATGGTCTCCGAACTCATCAACTCCGACGTTACGGCTGACAACATTGCCGATCAGATTCAAGACATCTTGACTCAGAAGCAGCACTTCTCCGACAAGTACGCCGAGCTGCTCGGTACGAACGAGGATCTTCGCAAGCAGCTGGAACTTCAGGGTGGCGACTCAAGTCGTTTGGAGGAGCTCACCAAGAGCAACAACGCCAAGGAACAAAAGGTCAACGAGCTTGCTCTGTTGGTTGCCACCCTCGAAGATACCCTTCGGAAGAAAGACGACCAAGTCAAGAAGAAGGACGCGCTCGTTGCCGAGGTCACCGCTGAAAAGGAGAAAAGTGTCCGCCTTGTGGAGGAACTCGAAGAGCAGATCACCAGCAGCTTTGATCAGCACCACAACCGTCTTTCCGTCATCCAGCAAGAGCGCGAGCAAGCTTTGGAGGATGCCAAGGCCAGAATTGTCGTGCTGGAGAAGGATATTGAGACCTATCGTGTGCGGATCGAGCAACTTGAGGTAAGCCATGGAATCATCAACTTTAGAGGCATCAAGACTGACCCATCTCCAGCTTCAAATCAAGAACACTTCAGACAGTTCGCACGATCGCAGCAGCTCTATCACGTCCAACTTGCGAAAAAGCTCCTCAGCTACTTCTCTTCCTTCTCCGCCTCCTGCTATCCCACTACCGCCTCTTCCCACTATTGCTGCTGCTACGAACGGTAGCGTTTCACCCCCGAGCTCGCGGCATACTAGCAAGGAGTTGGTCAGTACTCAGGTTGTTGAGGATCAGGAAGCTCGCATCCGCACGATCGAGAAGCATCTCTATGCCGAAAAGCAGCTTACTGCGACGCTAGAGGAAGCCCTCGGCGACCTCGAAGCGCAGAGCAACAAGGTCAAATCCGACTGCGAGGCCTGGAAGAAGAAGGCATGGCAGTTGGAGGAGGAGCTGGGTACTCTGAAGAAAGAACGCAACTCGCAGCGTCTTTCTCTCCAGGCAGTGGAAGAGGAGAGAAGTGCCCGTCGCGAGGCGGAAGCTGCCCGGGCCCAGCTGGAAGAGCGAATGAACGCCCTTAACAAGAAGAAGAAGAAGAGCACTCTGAACTGCTTCTAGGCTTCTACGTTGCATCTCTTCCCCTTTCTCCCCTTTTCTCACTCTTTCTCTTCCCCCTTCCACTTTACCCCCTTTATCCTTCCCTCAGACACGATGTTCAGCTTCTTCCCCTGTATTATGAATTTGACGTCGATTCCCCCTTTTAGCTTCATTGATACCTTTCTCTGTGTGTATTTGCACCTTTACCTTTTTGATTCTCACCGTGCACATTGCCCCGTCTCATTATGATTTTTGCATTATGACATTTTGTTTTTTTGTTTCGTTGTTTTCCTGCGTGGTGGATTATTAGCCTTGGCTGATGATTTGTGTATGTACATTTTTACCGACTACCCTTTCATTTGCTCTGAACCTGCATTTTTTTTTGTTTCAGCCAAAATTTCTGGTCTCTGGTTTTGTCGTTGAGTATACTGCGGATACCAATTGTTGATGTTAGTTAGTCTTGGTCTGATTCCGTTCTAGAGATCGACGAGTACATATGAACAACATGGTTGATTCTGATTATTCCCTTTTATTTTAAATTTACAATAGTAAAAGCAATCAATCTACCCAGATCCCATTAAAAGTCCATGCCTCCATAGAGCGGATGCGTCATCACATGACGTCGACAGCTCCCAGCTAGCTAGGTACCGCCGTATCGGCCGCGTGTCTCCAAGCTCCACAAATTATCTCCCCAACGCCCGGCAGAGCAAAGAAATGCCCAGCACCACAACCATCCCTCCACCTTCCGCCTACGCCTAAATACCACCTACCCACCAATTGACCGATCCGCCATGCCCGGTCTCCCCGCCAATGTAATCATCATCCACCCGGACCTGGGCATCGGCGGCGCCGAGCGCCTCATCATCGACGTCGCCCTCGCCCTGCAGTCCCGCGGCCACCGCGTCACCGTCTATACCTCGCACCGCGACACCTCGCATTGCTTCGAGGAGGCCCGCGACGGGACCCTCGATGTGCGCGTGCGCGGGAATACCGTCTTCCCTGCTCATTTGGCCGGCCGGTTCCATGTCTTCATGGCGATTATGAGGCAGTTGCATCTTACGGCTTCGGTGCTGGGGGAGATACGTGAGGAGGAGGAGGAGAGGAAAAGGAAAGGAAAGCGGAGTGGGGATAAATCAGATGGGAAGGGCACAACGGAGGAGGAAGAGACGCAGGCTAGAGATACGATCTTCATCGTCGACCAGGTCCCTGCTTGTGTGCCGTTCTTGAAGGTCCTGGGGCCGAGGTATCAGCTTCCCTCGCAAGCGGAAGCGCAAGCGCAGGGGCAGGGGTCAAGTCTGCAGCGCATTCTCTTCTACTGTCATTTTCCGGATCAATTGCTTGCGAGGCGCGATGAGGGCGGTTCGCTTCTCCGCCTCGCCAAAGTGCTCTATCGGTGTCCGTTCGACTGGTTCGAAGGGTGGGCGCTGAGTGCGTCGGATCGCGTCGTTGCGAACTCGAGGTTCACGCGCGGTGTGGTCAGCGATGTGTTCGGGTTGAAGTCGTTGGGCGATGTTAGGGTTGTTTATCCGTGTGTTGATACGGCCGCGGGGGCTGGTGGTGAGGTAGGGGAGAAGGGAGAGGGGGATGAGAAGCTGTGGGGAGGGAAGAAGATTCTCTTGAGTATTAATCGGTTCGAGAGGAAGAAGGATATGGCGTTGGCGGTGCGTGCGTATCATGGGCTTGGGGAGAAGAGGAGGGGGACGAGGTTGGTAATTGCTGGTGAGTTTTACTTTTCTTCCTTCGCCTTCCCGAATGTGGTTGTGGTGTTTTGTGGAGTCCTGGCTGATGGATGAATAGGCGGTTACGACAACCGAGTCCAGGAGAATGTGCAGTATCATAAGGAGCTGGATGAGCTTGCCACGGGTCTGGGGCTGCAGACGGCGACGTCGAAAACGGTCATTTCGGCCCTGTCTATTCCTGACTCCATCGATGTGCTCTTTCTACTCTCCGTGCCGACCGCATTCCGTGATACGCTACTCCTACAGTCGAAGCTGCTCCTTTACACGCCGATCAACGAGCATTTCGGCATTGTCCCCGTGGAGGCGATGCGCGCTGGAATCCCCGTCCTGGCATCGAACACCGGCGGTCCGTTGGAGACGATCGTCGAGGGCGAAACAGGCTGGCTCCGGGACGCGAAGGTGGACGCCGACTGGACGGCAGTGATGGACAAGGTTCTGTACGGGATGGACCAGACGGAACTGGATCGCATGTCGGCGGCGGCGAAGAAGCGAGTGGAAAATGAGTTCTCGCTGACAGCAATGGGCGATAGTCTGGAGGAGGAAATCGGCGAGATGCTGGGCAGCGAGCGACGGCCGTTTGGCGGCTTCCAGCAGATCCTGGTCATTCTGGCGCTGTCGGGCTTTGCGCTCTCGGTGCTTGCGGCGATGGTTTTGAGAATTCTCTGAGTAGATTGTTTATCTTATACCCCATTCTTTAGCAATTGTCACTTGTCAATTCTATCTTGTTCTCTTCACCAATCGATTCTAGAAAGTCGATCCCATATCACCACGTGACCTCGCGCTCATTTCGCGCGGTGACGTCGCGACTCAACACGTGCCGGCCTCGCCTCCATCTCTCACTCCTTCACTATCAATCCTCAACTCCACCCCCGAGAAAAACAACGCCATGCCCGAGGTCATCGACCTTCTCTCCTCCACTCCTCCTCACCCACAAGACCACCCCCCTCAGCCCTCCACCCGAAGACCAGACCCAGCGCCAGCACTATCTCTCCCGCCACCCCCCGCTCCCACTCCCTCCATCAAACCCTCCTCCCACTTCATCCTCTCCTCCGACTTCGACACCTCCCCGATCGCCTTCACCGACGATGTCGACCCCGCCGCCACCGAAAACGCACCTAAACGCAGACGCCTAAGCCATGACGGCGACGACAGCCCGCAACCCAGTTCTCGATCTCCGCGGAAAAGCAGCCCGTTCGCTCCCCCGCCACCGCCTCTTCCTTCGAATCAGGCCCGCAATCGCATGTTTCTGTTTTCGGATGAGGATATTCTGCCCTCGTTGCCGGCGCTGTCGTCTGAGGGGCTTGGGCCGGAGTTTGAGCCTGAGCCGCGCTCAGCGCTGAGAGGGAATCGGCCGATTGTGGATCTTCCGGCTTGGAATGGGGAGTCGGATCCGATTGTTTTTACGTCTTCGGCGCAGGAGCAGACGGGGGGTGGTGTTAGGGGGAGGGAGGTGGGGACGAGGACTGTGGTGGAGAGGGAGACGGTGATGATTGATGATGATGACGATAATGATCACGATAACGATGGTAATGAGACCGGATACTGGGAACGAAAGCGCGTGGAGAGAGAGGAGATCGAGCCATTTAGTGATGACATTGCCATGATGCCGGAGTTGAATGAGTTGTTGGCGAGGGCGTCGAAAGCATCGACGACTGCCAGTGGGGGTAACGAAGACGGTCCGAACCTTTCGAGTAGGACGGCGAATCTACTGGCAAGCTTGGATCGGTCGAATTCAGGATCGAAAACTACGACTGGCTTGGTAGACGCGGAGGAGATCATGGATGAAGTGGCTGAACCGCGGAGACCGGGACGGAAGAAGACCATTACCTCGACGACGAAGCAGACGAGTGAGGAGAAAGAAGCCCGGGCGAGAGGACGAGAGGCGACGAAGGTTCAGCGCGAGCAGGATCGACAGCAGGAGAAAGAGCGGAAGCAGAGACTCAAGGAGGAGAAAGCGCGGGATAAGCAGCTGGCGGCAGACATCGCGCAGGTCAACAAGCTGAAGGTCGATAAGAAGGAGTCCACGCCAGAGATGATCGTTGATCTTGCGTCGAGTCTCGAGGGAACGAGTGTGGGAAATCAGACGGTGGAGTTCATGAGCAAACTTGGAGTGGAAGTCACCTTCTTTACGAGCGTTATGGCCAATGTTGTACGCTGGAGACGGAAGGTGAAGGCGAAATATAACGATCTGGCGGGTCATTGGGAGCCTTGTGCGTTTCATATTCGTCAGGAGGACCAAGTGCTCGTTCTTTTGACGGCGCAAGAGTTCGTCGATATGGTTATCGCATCACCGTCACCTCCAACGGAGTCAACTTCCGCGTCGACCGAGCCAGCAGAAGCAACAGTTACTCTAGAGCAACACGTCCAACAGCTCAAAGCCGCCTATCCCGGTTGCAAACCCATCTACCTAATCGAAGGGCTGACGAGCTGGATGCGCAAGAACCAAAACTCCCGAAATAGAGCCTACGTCGCCGAAGTCCGCCGTCAAATGGAGCAAGAAACCGCCGCTTCCCAGCAGCCGTCTTCTCGCGGCCGCAAGAAAACCGCCAACAAACCTGAAACCACGCCCCCGGTCGACGACGACACCGTCGAAGATGCCCTCCTTCAGCTCCAAGTCACACACTCCTGCCTTATCCACCATGCCGCTGCCCCCGCCGAATCTGCCGAGTGGATCAAGAACTTCACGGAGCATGTGTCTACGGTCCCTTACCGGCATGAGATGATGGAGGGCCGCGACGCCGCGTTCTGCATGGACACGGGGCAGGTGAAACCTGGGGAGACTAAATCTGACACCTTCGTTAAGATGCTGCAGGAGGTTCATCGCGTCACTGCTTCCATGGCTTATGGCATTGAGGTGCAGCATCCGAGTGTTTTGGATCTGGTTCAGGGTATGAGAAGACATGGTCCGGCGTTGTTGGAGGATGTTAAGGTATTCAATCATCCTATCTTTTCTCTTCCTTTCCTCATCGTTTTCGAAACCCTCGCTGTGAACTGTTGACCCCAGCAAAACAACGCTAATGTACCCGATTCTTTCTAGAAATCCGCTAACAAAAACGGCGCTCTCACGGATTCTCGGATCGGTCCGGCCGCTAGCAAACGGCTGTATAAAGTCTTCATGGGGCTTGATTCGACTTCGACGGATATTTGAGCCTTATTCTCTTCATCCTCTATTTTTGTTCTTTGTCTTGTATCTTTTTGGGTCGGTTGATCTTGCATTTTACGGCTTTTGATATCTCCTATGGCACATTGAATATCTCGCATCTTCTAGGATAAATGGGTTAGGTGCAATTGGTCTTTTTATTTGGAGTTATGGGAATATACTTGGCGTAGGACTAGGTTAGCTCAAATATTTTTCTTTTATTACCGAGTATATTGCCCACCGTTTTCTTCTACCGTAGAATATATCCCAATGGCGGTAGCTACGCAGGAAATCATATATTCCAACTACGGGCCACTGATGGTTTTAGATGCCAAGCATGTCGTTTTTAGAGCTCTAGTTAACTATGCGTTATTCGAACCATACTACTGTGTCTTCATTGCACACTGGTCATGTTAGTATCGCTTGTCCTGAACAAGAGACTTGCGATCATAGGTGTAAATATTGTTAAAAAGAAAACGAACCGAAAGAAGAGCAAAGAGAAAGTAAGAGGAAACCACCTTGCGTGAATAGGCGTCGGAGCTCAGTTCTACACGCCAAAGTGGATATAGGGAACCTAGCAGAGAGAATCCTTTCTTCTATTCTTTGTATTCGAAGAACCAAAAGGCTTGATATCTCGATCCTCTTGAACGAACACCTCTGCCGTCTCATCTGTGGCTTCTGCTCTCTCCATCGTCAGCTGCAACAGACTGCAGCCGGAGCGCGTTGTCCCCAACATGCCAAATTCGTAGTCTCTTGCTTTCCGAACAGCGAGATGAAGCCCCAACGACACCGCATCATCTCGAATACCATGGTCGCGAAGAGTCTCGTAGAACGTGCGCGCAACCTCAACGCAGAGCCAATCCGAGACCTTCCAGAGCGTTCCCACGACGTGCGCGAGCTGACAGGCGCTCACTAGGTGAATGACCTCATCGAGAGGTCTCCGGGTCTGGGTGGTGCCAGTGGAGCAGGCAGAAAGGTAGGCAAGAAACGGCGGGAGCTGGTGGAGGTTGAGATCGCGGAAGCTGTCGACGGTGAGTTGATGCTGCATCCAGTCTTGGAGGAGCAGATAGCTTTTGGAGGGGGTTACAGGATCGAAGCGGCCGTGGTCTGCGAAATGGAATACCGTGCAGGTTTGCAGCTGCGCGAGAACGTGCGCTTTGCTGCACTCTGGTGGCGTGATCGGCTTGAGATGCATTGATTTACAGAGGGCGTGGACCGTCTCCACTTCATTGCTCACATGGGCGAGATTGGAATGGCCTGGTGTCTTTGGCATGGGCACAAGGAGCAAGTTGTGGGCTCTTGGTTTGGTAGCATCCGAGACGGCGATCCGACGGCCATGTATGAGTGCCTTGACGGTGGAACTTACCAAAGCGTTGGGTAGAAAGCCGCAGCAGCACCAGTTCATCGTGCCGATCGACTATGGCGAAACATCAAGTAATGACTTTCGAGGGATCCTTGACGTGGAAATCTCTCTCTATGTACATGAGATGTGTTTATCAAGTCAACGAAAGGGAAGAAACACAATAATGTCAGAAAATGGGTATGTTGGACTCCAGTCGGCCCAGAAGGGGTTTCTCTTCGTCAACGACCCTAGCATACCAGTTCATACTCAAGGGAAGTAAGCATCAAAATGAGCAGTCGGGCTCTGGAAGGTCGCCTTTCCACCAACCGTGACCAACTTGCCATCCTGCTGCAGACCACCCTCGGGAATATAGGGTGATCGGAAGTCCGAGATACTGGATTGCTTGAAGGTATTTGGGCATATGGGTTGTAAAAGTGTTAAAGATTCATAGAATTTCTATTAATCAGCTTATGGTAGTAATATATGGGCTGATCCCTGATCCTCAGACCGCAATTTCGTCTCCTTTACGTTTCTTTTTTCCCTGGTCCCTTCGGCACGGAAGAGGAGCTGAAGCAGGGTCTCAGAACCAAAGCAGCATGGGGCTGTGAGAACAGCCCACATCTTTTCATTTACTTGAAAACTATCTTCCTGATGGGCCTCTACAGCGCAGCAAAGCAAATACACAAGTCGCAGTGTGCCGACTAGCCACATGCCCAAATAAGGATAACAACACGACGGCGTGTTAGTGCCAACAGCCCATGAGTCAGGAATTATTCCCTACAATACAACCTGGGGATTGGAGCTATTATTTCGTAGAATCACTACCTGGAATGATTAGTGTTCAACTAGGGAAGAGCCAGAGATACTTCCGTATTCGTGGTCCGTCTAGTAGCCCTTGGGCTGACAGCTAGTAAGTGGATCCTACCATCTGATAAGATTGTTCACCAGCCCTAAGAAGCCAGACCCACTCCTATATACTCTGTTGCAATGACTATGACTATTCCTTGGAAACGGAATATCAACCCCTGCCATTTGAAATTACCTACCACCCTGGATCAGTCGATGACCTGCTCCAAGTTGTCCATTGCCTGAGCGAGCCGCCTGTGCTGTAGGAAAGTATCCAATTTTCCGTGCGCCACGCGTGCAACGCCCCTCTCTGACGATATCAAAACATCCCAGGTTGAGATAATGGGCTGACATCAGAAGACAAACCCCCTTCTCTGCTACAAATACTCCCGACGCAAAAAGCTAGAGAATCCGACTTCCCTCCCTGAATTCTAATCTTCACTCATTCATCTTCCCATCCTACCCAGCTCAAAGTTCCCGTTGATCTCTCACACCTCAAACATCATAAAAAATGAAGGTTTGGATCCTCCACGCTGCCGTTGCAGCTCCCGTCAATGCCGCTGCCGTCAGCGTTGAGTCTGGCTCCGGTTGCCAGCGTTGAAGCCCTTGCTGGGGTGGAGAGACGCTGCACTACCGGTATTTCCCCATTCTTTGGAGATTGATCTTGGGGTTTCAGGGCGGTGGCTAATGACCCTATGTATACAGGTACCCGCGTATGCTCCTCAAACTCTGAATGCTGCAGCAATGCTTGCTCGAAGGGCCAGTGCATGGGTCCTTAAACAGTGTTTCTGTGACTGTCTCTTTTCAGCTTGGTAGGGTCTATTTCGCTGGAAGGACTGTTGGAACTTTGGCTGACTGAACCCCAGAGAGGTTTATTATTGCGGATATAATTGAACAGGCTTAAGATGTCAGATATACCGGAGTCATTATGTTTTATCTAAGTTATTGTTACTCTCGTTAACCAAAAGGTCTGCGGTGGATTATAGTTGTTAGAGACACTATCAAAGAAAGGAATAGCTTCCGACCTTTCCTTTATATCGTGTGAGGTGTTTTCTATTCCACAAGCCTTTTGTGGGTAATGTAAAGAAAGAATACATAGAAGACTGCTAGAAATTAGATAAGCAAATAATAATATAAGAGCTACAACAACCCAAAGTCGTTACACTAGCCAAAAGAAGATTTATAACTCAATTCACTTAATAATATACTCTTATACATACATTCCCTAAACTTATTTTATTGTTTGCCAATCATATTTGCGAGCTGCTAAGGATCGTGGATAACAAAAACCAAAATTATGACATGAAACTGTGGACCGCGTTGCTCTTGTCCAATACATCGAAGTTGGCGACCCAGAATGCTGTGAAGCTGGACAAAGACGAGGATCTACCGATGTACATGAAAGATTTCTTGGAACAGCTTATCAGAAAGCTGAACGACCCGAACAGCAACATCGACCCGAAGATGAAGGAGCAGCTGAAAATGGACATCCAGGAGTTAATGGAGGCGTTCGGAGCCAAAACGGCGGCTGAGCTGCCGGGCGTGATGCTCGGTAAAAACCAAGACTTATTCCGAGCTCTGGCCATGGTAGCGCATGAGTTTAAGCGCTATGTGTCAATCAAGAACCTAGGAGCAGTGTCAAAGCTTTTGCAAAAGGTCGTGGAAACGTCGAAAAACAAGTTCCCGGACCTGTCGCGCATAATCGGGAAATACACCAAACCCTTATTCGGCGTTATCACAGTGCTGTGAGTCGCTGTGTCCTCGTTCGACAGAGACCCAGCTAACCTGTGCTCCAGGGGACAAGGAGTAAACCTTTACTATTGGATCTCTTATTTGATGAACTGGAAAGATCTGACCGACGCAGAGAGAGCCAGAGCTGTGCTAAACATCATAGAATCTGTGCTCTTTGCGCTGGTGGGTCTTAAAGATCTATATTCTACTCTGAAAGAAGCCTTCGGTCGAAACCCAGACAATCCCGATACCCAAGAGGTGAGAGACGCGGTGCAGAATCTCCAAGATGGAATAATGCCCGAAGGAGAGCTACGCCTTGAGGTGCCAGATCCCGCGAATCCAGACACCACGATTGATGTGGTAAATGTCGAGGAGCTCGCCGAAGTAAACACCGAACATTCAGGATCCACAATTGAGCAGGTCGGTGAGAGCGTTTCATCACCAGCCGCGACAGAAAAAGCAATGGCACGGTTCAGTTGGAGCGCGGCGCAGGAAGTCGTCATAGGGGGAATCAATGCTGCAGCCAACATCGCCAGTATGATATGCCTAGGATTCCAGGTCGCCGAAGAGATTCAACAGGGGAACTACCCGACGGCGCTCATTGTCCTCGACATTGCCAACATGTGCGCGCTTGGGGCCCAGGTCATCTTCGGCGTTGCGGAAACGGTCATGGCGATTTTCAGCATTGAGCTTGCGTGTATACCGTTCTTAGGGGCCGTTGCTGCCGCCATTGGTGTCATCATCATGATTATCTCGTAAGAAGCCTTCGAGTTTACCAACTTTCCTCGGTGGGAGCTCTAACGCTGCATGGCTTCAACAGAATGATCTGGCCACGGCCACCTCCGGAGAATCCAATAGTCACCTGGGCGAACAAGAACTTTGGCTTCATTGACAATGACCTGGACGACAAACCTGTTCCAGCGCTAACCTACGACGTCTCGCCAACTCAGATACCTCAGAGTCAACGGCCCATTGTGTCTCTTACTATCAGTAATAACACGGGCTCAGAGCAGTTCGTGAAGCAAATCCAGCTCAGGTTCGAAGCATCTGCGCAGAAAACAGCCCTGTTCAAGAAGCCTACGCCCAAAAATAAGGACAAACCAGCAGTAGATCCGATCACGGGCGATATATTTGGCTCAGACTCGAAGTTTGCAAGCCTTATTCCAGGAGTGCCTGATCCATCGACAAATTTAATGGCATGCCGCATCTCGCCGGATCCAAAGAAAAACCCGAAGGACGAGAAAGTGGGACTGAAACATGGAGAAAGTCTTATATTCACACTTCAAGGGTCAACGAACAGTCAGGCTGGTACGGCCAGTCTTACGGTCACTGAGATCTTACAGGGCACTGCGGATCATATTCCTGATACTGATGTCTGGAAGGTTTATAAGGTTCGAGTTGTCTGAGCCTTGTCAACGGCAATCAAGCAGATGAATCCATGTCAGAGCCAAGGAATATTTGGAGGATTAGCACCGTACAGGTATGAGTGGTTAATAGTCAATCTCCATAGGTTGTGGGGCCTATCTTAATCTTGACTATAGAATCATGGGCAAGAGGTAGGGAACTAGGTTGAAGACTCGATGATTCAAACATCATCAATTTATCCCCAGTGCACGTGTAATTTGACTTTTTCTTTTTGGGCATGTCGGATAATGCAAGAAAATTACTTGTTATACAGACTCTTTTAATCAACCAGAAACAATTGCGGGTAACCTTTTGATCACAGGTCTTTGGTGACTTCGGTGCTTGATGGCGATCTTGTTCCGTTGCCTTAGTTCTTCCCACGCTGGTTTCCCTGTATCTTCATGACAATGCAGAGGCCTCTTCAATCGACGTCCTCCTCAAATGCCTAGTTTATAGTTGAATAGCAGCAGTTCTGAGTGAGCTGCGTGTTGGACAAGGTATATGAATGCCCGAAACCTCTAATAATTGTAGCCTTGCAAGTGCTCACTATCCTGAAGCATCGGTAGATAAATGCTCAACCAGCCTCACTGATGCGTATTCATTCTAGGGGAATGTCGCCACTGCACTTTGAACTATATTCAGAAGGCTTCTTTATTACTAACTACCTGTCACAGTACCCTCGACGCTGAGTGCTTCTCAAAGTTGATCATGAGTCTTTCATTCTAACTTATATCCAAACATCGCCCATTTTTGGGCCTCGATTTCACACTGAGGATTAATGCACTTAAAAGGACGGCTTCTTGTCAATATTGGCTGGCTCCAAGGAATACACAAGCATCTTATCTTTGTACCTCGGCCAGATTCAACAACCGAGCTTTGAATCTGTTGCTCGCATTCTTCTGCTAGGCAATGGGGGGCCAGACACACACTGGCCTCTTCCCTATTGCGCAGGCAATGAACAAACTCTTGCCAGTCCGCCACTTGCCGATGACAAGATAAGCTATCGCGGGCTTTCAGAAGTAGATGATTTTGGATACTCTCCAAAAGCACTGGGACTGTATGGGGAAGCTCAGCCAGCGGAATATCAGCCCTACAGCTTTCCTTCGGGAGGTCTCGTCTGTACACGGCGGCATATTGACCCGATAGCTCCTTCATACCTAGAATAATGCACAAGGGAGCCCCGCGTATCTTCCATTCATGCAACTTCCAACCAGGAGAGCCCCTGTCGTCAAGGTCCAGTTTAACGCGCACATCAAGCCCCGCCAACGCTGACTCAATCGAAGTTATCTCGGCTTGTATGGTTGGATGCTCGTGCTTCTTGCTCGAAAACCAACCAGGTATAATAACGACCTGATGCTCTGCAACTCGCGGCGGGAGAACTAGACCTTCGTTGTCCCCATGGGTTGCTAGCATTATACCCATAGAGCGATTCGAGAAGCACCAAGAGTTTTGCCATACATGTACTAGTGGCTTTGGGTCCTCTTCAGAAGTGATTGAAGGATCGGGGACCGTGATATTGTTTGGCTTGCTAAAGCTTTGACCAAAAGCACGGCATGTCGCAGCTTCGGTGAATTGGTCGAGTGCTGGTATATACGCAAGTGCAATAGCCTCAGTGATGTCAGGACCATCTGGGGATGTTGTGACAAGTCTGCTCCGTTGTCCCTTGATGACCGGAATAGCCAGAAAGTCCTCATACAAAGTGGCATAGATATCAAGAACCTGTTGGATTTCCTCATCTGCGTCCTTCGCAGTCAAATGTGCCGTATGTGCTTCCTGTATGAGAAGCTCACGAGACCTCAAAAACGGCTGAGGCTGCGATTCATGGCAAAATAGAGGTTTCCACTGGTTTATTCGAAGCGGAAGGTCTCGGTGGGTTTTGATCCATTTAGCAAAATGCGAGTAGATAACCAACACGGTAGAGATCTGGTCTGTTGCCAAATTCCGGACATGCATTTTATCCTTTTCATTGCTTTTACCAGCGTTCTGGAAAATCGAAAGTGGAAATGCACAATTCTGAACACCTATGGCGTTCAATCGATGGTCAAGAAACTTCTGGATTCTGTCCCAAATTGCACATGATGCTGGCTATGACAGTCACGGAAGCATTAATAGAAGGTTCACATGGCGACCACGGCAGGACATACCCTGAGGATAAAATAGGAATCATCTTTCAGGCTGTAATCTACCAGCTCGCTCTTTTCTAGAGCCTCTCGGTACCACACCCAAAAGTCGCTGTCCTTCGGCGTACTAACTTGTGGAACAGGCACGGCTATGACTGTCTTTCGGCAAGACATGATCGCAACGCTGCAGCGATATATTGAGGACAAAGATCTCAGATATACCGGGATTATTCCCGTCGGTCTAGGCAGGCTATTCTTTTAGAGCATATGAAACGCGTGCTTGCCCATTCAATATGAATCTCACTTCATTGTAGCCTAGTGACGTAGTGATATGATGTCAGCCTAGCACTATGTCCAGTGTAGTCGTTCTTGGGCTCAGGCCCCTGCATTTGTTCGAGGAATGCTAACTGCGCGTTCGATTGCGCTGTTACATCTGTTCTCCGCCTTTCTTTCAGACCCACAAGAATATGCGGATTTGTTTTATTGCTACAGAAGTTAGCTTGAGGCGCCATGTCCTCCTGGCTTTCTCTGCCAGGGAGGGTTACATCGTTTAGTTAGTAGGGCTAGGTCCTTGGCAAAAGAGCGGAGAGGGTAAGATGGATCAAGTATTTCCGGGTATTCGCCTCTCTATGCTCGGGCTGCGCGGATGCAGGATGTTGTTTTGGATTTGGTTAAAGGGTTGCCTTGGTTTGGCTTCGTACTGATTTCTAGCCTTTGGGTGGGAGTCTTTATTGAAGGATTATGTATTATATAATCTATCAGTAAATACTTTAATTGGCATCATAATTTGTCGTATGATTGATATAAACGATAGTAAATTGAATCGCAAGCCTCGAGTTTCATATAGGCTGTGGTTTCAACATCCTTACCTGTGTACAAAAGTCACCGTATTCTCTTCCTCAGTAACAGGCTTTCAGACTTAGGACTAAAGGAAGAGGCTGGGCTAGTAGAGAATCGGCTTCAGGAGGTTCTCTCAGGCACTGAAACAGGACGCGAGGTGGATTTCTTTCGAGCAAAGAAGCAGGATCTAGAGTACACGCTCGTCGATGGGGACAAAAGGCTCATCGTTACAGATACCAGCGCTAAAAAGGTATTAGATAACTGCGACTTTTCACACGTATCTCCCACGACTATACTGGAGGTTGTCCTACATGAGCATCCATAACGAGTTTTCAATAAATTTGGTTCGTCCATGAGCTTTAAAATCTCCCCGGCAGCGCCGTCCCTACATTGATGCAACCCATAACCATGTTTCCTAATAGCTCGACTGCTGCCTACTTCTCAGGTTGGCCCCATACCGCCAAAGAATACCAGTCGCCGGCAATGCGATGCCAATCGACAAGAACGCCAACAAGCTATTCCCCCAGCCATACCCAAGCGAGTCGTATAGACTATTAGAGAACAGCGGGAACGCAAATGCCAGCAGACTCCTCAGAACCTGCGTCGCGGCCGATGCTGAACTCACATGCTCGAGGTACGCATCCATGACGTACGCGTGCAGCGTCGTGTCGAAGATCTGCATTCCTAGAGACAATAATGCGGCGCCGATGTCGACGACGAGCCAGAAGAGATAATACTGCGCGGCCCAGCCGTAGAGCAGGAAGCCGATGGGCGTGAAGAAAACGCCCGGGAGAAGAAGCGGAATCCGAAGCTCAGGGACCTGGGTCTCGCCGGTGTTACTCGTTAGTCTCCGATAAACGTAGTCCATTAGCGGGCCACAGAGCTGAGAGCCGGAGATAGTGCCGACGCAGATGGCGATGTAATGGAGGCCGGAGATTTCAATAGATTCACGGTACGCCGAGACGTGGAGGGAGGAGAAAGAGCTCAGTGCGAAGTAAAGCAGGCCGTAATCGATACCCTCTAAGATAGCCTGCATTTGAATGATGGGGTGAAATGCTAGCAGACGCAGTGGGCGAGACAGACTGTGGCTTAGCTGCCACAAAGTTGAACGGCCGAATTCATGCGTCTCGACTTCGGCGTGGTAACGGGGGTCGCCTGTGTCTTTGCGGAGCTTCTCTGCTCGACGACGGAGGAGGAGCGGCGCGTAGCTCTCGTGGAATAGAAGGCAGGAGGATACTTCGAGGACGACCTGGAGAATGGCGGTCGACCAGAACATCCAGCGCCAAGTAGAATATTTCACAATAAAACCACTCACGATAGGCCCAACGGCGGAGCCCGTTAAGGGAATAAGTAGATATAAACTCAGCGAGCGCCCTCTCTGCTCCGGCGACCACACGTCCCCAAGCACGCCGTACCCCAGACTGTACACTGCACTGGCGCCGAATCCAGCCAGAAGACGAGCGGAGATGAGCAGACCCTTGGAGTGGACAAATCCGCAAGCCAAATTCCAGGCCAGGAACCAGACGTTCGTGATGTGAAAAATGGGCTTCCTGCCATAGACTTCAGACAGAGGACCGATAATTAGCGGTCCAAATGCCGTCGCTAAAAGATACACGGACAATGCCATGGTCGACTCGGTGATGGACATATTCAGCTCTTTTGCCATGGTGTCGATTGCAGGAGCCATCATCTGCAGATGGTTCATTAGCATAGCACGTCTCATCACTCAATCCCGGCACATCATACCGTCGAAACCATAATACGGACAAATCCAGTGCCAGATACTGCCGCAGTGACTCCCCATTTGAGACTTTTGGACCAGTTAAGGGGATTCTCAGGGTCATCAGGGCGGAAGGTGACGAGGAATGCCTCGTCCCTAGCAGCTTCTGCACTGTCAGGAACATTTTTGTTGGGACAGTGGTGACCTTGCTCCAGATCGCTTCTTCCCATGTCTGTTGCATCCCCAAGCTTCTCCTCGTTGCTGTTGCTGATCTGGCCCTGCTCGACTTCCTGTCTGCTGTCTGTCTCCATGACGATTGTCTAGAGTGAGAAGCGTGAATTGAACAACGAGGAGCAGTGAGCGAAGCTGCAATCCCAGGGAACTTCAGGTCCGCCATATCTATACAAGCCCGATGGCTACACAAGAATATCTCGGAGATAAGATCCCATGGTGGTGCGAGTACGGATGAGGAGTGCTCCGTGGATTGACTTCTTTGTCGGGTTAGCAGGCATTCCTGTCCAATGAGAGATGCAAAACAAGTATTTTCGAATTGCACACACCGGCCAATTATCTGGCTCTCACTCCATGATAAATTATATCATAGTGCTTACTGTTTCAAGGCAACTGCTCACCCGGAAATATCACGCTTATCGTAGGGGCCTAAGCCTAGAAGGTCCCGAAAGTACGATCGTGGAGATTACTGAAATCTCAACCTGGAAGTATGTCTACCTGGCCATCCACATGAATACCTACTTGCATGCATGCATATGTGCCTTATTTATGTACACATAACAGGCATGTGGGGAGGGAATAAGTAATTTGTTTGGTTCATTATAATTACTTCTCTCATTGTCCAACAAGGTACGCTTAAATGAGGATCATGAGCTAGGTTTATTCATTCAAGACCATCTACAATATATCCGCCGTAATATTTTGTGGAGCTAATGATAGTAGATAGGTGTTAACGTTAAGCAAGTAAATTGCAGTATATAACTGTCTATAAAATCGATAAATGCCATACCATGCAATGCCCTGGTATGGCTCACTGAATAATGAGTCGAAAACTCCAAGAACCGCCAATCTGAAAATCAATCACGCCAAGATAGCTAAACCTAAGTTCGAAGTAGTAGTCTATGCTGAACCATGTCAAAACAATCTCGAAGATCATGTACGCTATACCAAACTGTGTTTCAACATGAAGTAGGTGAACAAATCAAACAGCAATCTTCTTTCGTCTCCACAACCGCCAGGCAATGGCCCATGAAATGATAGCCACCCATACGCTCAGGGTACATCCAACAGCCCAGAAGCCGAAGCACCGCCAGCCGTGGCATTGGCCGTCAGGAGAGCCGTTTCCGCCATCCGTCGCATCTTGGTAACCCCGTGAGTAGATGACACCCCAGGCAGCGGCGCCGGCGGCAGGGACCATGGCCACGATGCCCCAATTCGTGCCGAAGTTTTCGACGCCCCAGACGACGGATATGATGATCGGGACAAGTGAGAAGGCGCTGCCGTAGCCGAGGCCGATGAAGGCGGTAGTAATGTGAGAGAGTTGCGGGTGATCGATGACTAGTGGGGACGAGAGAAGGAGGTAGCCGAGAGATAGGAGGAGAGCGGAAGGGAGAAGGAATGAGAGTCGTGAAAGAGTGAAGCGTTTCCCGGAGGAGGACACAGAGCCTTCTTCGACGGTGCCGACAAAGTGGTGATTTGCTGGGGGAGCGAAGAGATCCGATAGAGACCCGGTGAGTAGTCGGGCTAGCGTTGAAGTGAGTGCAATGTTGGTGACATGTGTCGAGGGTAGGCCTGCTGGGGAGGGCACGTTTGGAGGGTTGGATTCAGGCGTTAAAGTCTGAACAATCGTACCCAGCTTGATAACCCAAAGTGTTAGCCAGATTTCAAAGAGGGGTCATGGCGATGTCTTACATTGTTGATATATGCCTCCCCCGGGCCGGTGACCAAGAAAAATCCCAATGCAAGCCACCACATAGTCTGGTCTTTCAGAAATAATTTGGTTTCGTAGTTCAACAACCAGTCCTTCTTTCTGCGCTCCTCTTCTTCACGCTCTTTCTCAAGCCTTGCAGCTTCTCGCTCCTCTTCTGACTGGTTCAATGTTCGCTCGTCGTCTGTCGTTTCGCCATCGTCTTGTGCGAAGGTTCCATACGCCGCTCTCACTTCACTTCGGGGCTGGAAGAAATCGTCCTGTCCCAAGAGACCACTTCGTTCTAATTCGTCGACTGCCTCATCGATGTACTTATCTTCCTCATCCACGATCACCAATCCAAATGCGCCGACAATTCCAATGCCAAATAGCAAGATACCGAGGAAGAGAAAGTAGCGGAATACATTCACATCCCCACGGCTGCCGTCCTCGAGGTATTCGCATAATAGGTACGTCCCTACCTGGCTTTGCCACATACCACTGAGTCCGAATGCTGCGATAGGAACAGCAAGCATAATGCCTTTGTGCTTTCCTCTGCCGAAATTCTTCGCACATGTCGTAACCGCACCCAGGTACATGCAACTCGTGGCCATCCCGATAGCCACGAATGCTAATACCATCACTCCAAACGGCCATCCCTCTCCGCCTCTCTCGGAGGGTGGGCCACTCTTGTAGGTAAATGCAGCAAGGAGATAGCCTGCCCCGAAAACCAATGCTGAAAATAAAGACAAAGGCCGTGGCGAGTACCGATCACAGAGATACCCAAACAACGGAACGGGGAGGTACATGGAGACCTCGGCAGCAATCGAGACCGCATTGACTTGGAGCTGAGTGTAGTGAAGGCGGGTAAGGAACAAAGGTCCGTACAACGAGAAGGCAGTGATGCTCCCGGCTCCCAGGCTAATCCAACCAGATATCGTTAACATGCCAAAAGTAACTTTTGGAAAGTAGGACAAACAGACATGATGACTCACCAACTGATCACCCCCCATGCAAAGCTGCAAATGCGTACCACTTCTTTGGCCATCTTTCGACGGTCTCGTTCCACAATCTCGTCAACCACATTGTTCAGTAAGCCGTCTTCGCCGTCATTGGAGAGACTCGACCCCGGGCGGGAGAAATTATTGTCGTGATCAGTTCCATCTATGCCACCGCCATGTCCATCCAGTAGGGGCCGATTCGTATCGAAATCTCGCTTGTCTATCGATGCTCTGTGTCGGCCATTAAACCCAGTCATAGTGTGTGCTGTTTACCGCCGCTCAAAACACTGGTCAACTCAGGGTGAGATCCAAGGAGATGGCGGATTGGGGCAGCCCCAGGAAACGAGCAGCAGCTATAAAGTCCAAGATATAATATAATTCGCCAGGATGATCGCCTGTAGTGAGCTGTTATGGTCCACAGATTAACCAGCTGGGCCGATCAGTTGACTGGTTGAGCTCCGGTTGTCCGCTCTCCGCTACGTCACTGAAGGGGCAGTGGAGGAGCACCACCTGACGCCGGAACGCTGGGAAGGGGAACGTCAACAAGGAATAACAAGGTGAAAATTAAAATATGCGCAGAATGACCCCCCAGAGCCAAAGACCAGGCGATGACCCCGACAGAAATCAGGGAAAGGTTAGAGGAAGAGAGGGAGAAGGAGAGTTGATGGCCAGCAGCAGGAAACACACCGCTTATCACCGAGGCACGTGACGCTTATCGGTGTCACGTCAAGTGGCTGCCTGGCGGCCTTACGAACCCAGTCCGAGGAAAACTTTATGAGCAATCAGTCGCAACGTTGGATTATTCAGTTCTTCTGTCTAATAGTCTGCCCCCACTTATGTACAGCTCACTCATGGTATTTCTGCCTTGACGAAAATATGAAGAGGTCCAGGAAATCGGACAAGTTCCCCAGGAGGTATAATGTGTAAGACACGTCCGAGAAAGAAAGAAAAGCGAAAGAAACAGAATGGAAGCAGCAAGAAAAAACTCATACACGCCAGCAAGAAGTAAAAAAAATGCTCTCTCGCGCAAACACAAATTCCTGTGGAGAATGCACCAGGCATGCAACAGAAATCAAGGCCGCAAGAAGAGCCGTATGCCGTGATTAATATCGTCAGTATCGTATCATTTGACACCCTCAACAAGATTTCGATCCCAGTCATTATAATACCGTCGACATGATTCGACGTCTGAGGGGCAGAGAATAACAGTTTCAAGAACAGAACGATAACGCCCAATCCGGTGCCATGCAATTTCGACGCCGTATCCCGATCCGCAAATGGGATGTTCAATCAGTGGGAATTGGAGCAAAAGAGAAGAATAATATGGAAATGACGCGGCCGCTAACTCCAAATTCAAGCGATGCGGAAGAGGGGGTAACTGAGAAGGAAATCCCAGAAAGGATAAAAAGCAATTAAAACAAGGGAAGAGAAAAGAAGGAGAAAAAAAAATGGAAGGAAAAATAAGGCGGGAGGCAGAATTGAGAGACGTTGAAGGATGATCCTAGAAGCTGACTTCACCAGGATCACTCTCCACCACTCCTTCATCCCAGTATCGATCCGAAGATTTGTCGTGGCCAGACACCTGGGACCTCAAGGCAATGGTCTCGCCTTCGCCTCTCTCGATGAATTCGTCTTGACTGACCTCTTTCATAATACGTTGGAAGTACATCCGCAATGTCCGAAGTCCACGAAGGTAGCCACGGTCGATATCATCTGGATGCTTAGGCGGGCAAGGTGTATCCGGGGGGATTTCATCCTCGCCCGTGACGCAATTTGCGAAATCAACGATCTTTAATTGCACGTCAATATTGTTATGGCCGTCGTCCGTGGCCCGACGCTGAGGAGAATGTCGTTGACTGTCCGCACGGGCGTCGGCGTCGGGCGTGTTCTGTTCACCATCATAGAGGATCAGAAGACTGCTGGCGTAAAGACGGTATCGCCGAAGGCGTCGGATCATGTTTTCCAGCGTGGCCAACTTCTCCAGGATGACGGGGATTTTCCTTGCCACGCTTGTGTAACTGCTACCGTCGTAGAGAAAACGTGTCAGGGCGTCCTGGAACTCCCGCCCGGATTTCAAATCGCGACCGAAGTATTTATCTTCAAAAGAGTACTCTTGCTTCTTTACATTCCAGGTCTGCATACCGCAAAGCCGGACTCCAAGCTGTTGAGAAGTCGTGGATTGACACTTTCGTCGCTGGGATTTCTTCTTCTTCTCGTTGGCTTCGATACCGTACTGACGAGTGCCCATCTTCAAATCTAGCACGCAGGGCTTGTTCATTCCAGCGGTGAGATCTTCCAACAATAGGAAGAACTGGACTCTTTCGTCCTTTCGTGTCTGTGCCTCTTTGGGGTTGGTGGGAAGCCGGAAGCGATTATCCTCCTTTCTTGGAGAGAGTATAAGCTCTTTTGAAGGCGAGTGGTCTGCCGGCCGCTCTGACAGATGTGTGACACCGTTCGTGTTGTTTTTCGGGGTAGATGATGGCGACACTTTCGCACGATAGCAAGGATCTGCCGATGGCATCGAAGCATCACCCTCCATAGAGAATATACCATCTTCCTTATCGCCGCCATACCCGTCATCTTCGAAAAAGATCAGATCTCCGCCGTTGCGGCCATCTTTGCCGGGACTCATACTGCCTCGTCTCTGCAAGCCACTGCCAGAATGGCGTCGCCTGACCTGGCGAGTCCGCGACACCGAGCTTGAGCGCGGCTGGGATTCTTCCGTCCGGACTTTCTCAAGGCGGTTCTTATTCGAGTCTAAGGCGGTGGACGCCGATGAGGACAATCCGGGGCCATCATTGGATTTCTTTGTAATGTCGATGGCTGCAGACCGCGGTGGCTCTGTCGGTACCGGCGCGATTCGACGACTGCTGGCGGTTTGATCTTCCGAAAGATTGGCCCTTCGTCGGACACCATCCGAAGACGTTCTCGGTAGCGTGAAATGTCCTCGAGCATGGCGCCGGTGGTGGTGGATGGCAGGGGGGCTGAAAACCTCCCGCAGAACCTGCTCCTGCAGCTTCCTATTCACGGTGGTAGCCCCCCAGCTAATTTTGGGCTTCTTGACGGCCTGGATGGAAGATTCGTCGTCCATAGAGCCAACCATCATATATCTGTCACCACCGAGTGTTCCAGCACCGTTCCTAGTAGACATCGTGCCATCAGATGTCTTCGGCCTCTGCGGACGTGAAAAGAGGTCGGCTGGAATAATGTGACGGTTGTTCTCCAAGATCACTTTGGGAATGATCCCAGTAACCTGGCTTTGGCTGACAATGCGAGGCTGCTCCACAACCTCCGACACTCGCAACTCACTAACTGGCGGAGGATCACTTGCGACAACCTCACCCGAGTGGTTCGCAGCGTGTCCATTGGTATTGCCATGCTCAATTTGGGCCTCCTGATCGGTCTTGCTCCGCTTTGGTGTTTTAGAAAAAGTCACATTTAGCACACCGATATACCTAGAGCGACAGGGAACACGTCACGGATCAGCCATGTGCATCGGCGGTGAAGGGAGAGAGATACACACCTTGGTAGAAACATGAGCATTTCGGGATGCCTGCGTTCAATACGCTCATAAAACTCATTTTCTCTGTTGTTCAGCTGTTTGCACACGGCACGCCTAGAGAACCGAAACACCGTTGTATGACCCCCCACTTGATGACGGTAGGGTTTCAATTCCACTGCTCCGAGAGGTGCGTTGGAGTCATGCTTTCGGCGCGGACGCGGAAGCCGTTGGCGCTGGGTTGGAGTAGCTGTCGGTGTCATTTCGGCATCATCCGCCACGCTCGACTCCTCATCTGGAGCCGACAATCCACTATCATCCACAGAGCCAGCATCCGATCCGCCCGTGGAGGATTCCACTTCCGAGATGGCACTAAGAGACTTTTCATTTAGTTCTTCTAGTGGTGGGGCCTGTATGTCTTGTAGGTCGCCGTGCAGGTATTTACTCTCATTTTTAGATCGAAGAGATATATCAACATGATGAGCTTCCTGCTCATCAGATACTTTATGTCTCTTGGGCACTAGAACGTGGCTACTCTTCGTCGGTACATCAAATGTCTCTATGCCGCGTTGACCTTGCGGGAAAGGTTGCACTTGATCAACTTCATCAGAAACTGTGACGCGTTCGTGTGGGAAGTATACGGCGGAGGAGATCTGTTCGTCCTCCTCGTCCTCGAACTGAGCCGAGCCACGCCGTTGTTCTTGATCGGTATCCGACAAAGGGGAGAGCCCGCTCAAATGCGCAGTATCCTTGGAAGAGAGATAGTCCCTGCCGCCCTCCGCGTACTGCGTGGGTATACTCCTTGAGAATGAAGTACCGCGTGCACCACCCGGGGTCAGGTGAAAGTTTCGGATTTCCTCGAGCAAGCTGCGAGGGAGAGCCTTGTATGGGCGCTTGCAAACATCATCGACTGTATGCTGCTGAGAGTCTGGCGCGTTGTCCAGGGGAGGGGTTATGAGCGGAACGTCGGTAAACGAGAGTTGTGACAGACTCTTTGAGCTGCGCAGGCCATGATCCTCAACCAGTTGCGGAAGCTGGGGTTGAATGTCGGATCGCTCTGGAACCGGGCGAGGTTGCGAATGCAGGGCCGCAACCTGCTTATCCTGCGGCTCAGGCTGTTGCTCGTCCTGCTTTCTTCCTCGGTCTTCTCTCCGCTTGCGGTCCGGTGAAGTGGTATTCTCCTTGAACAACCCCAGATAGTGACTTGACTTACGGCTGCGCACGTGGGAAGCCGGCTCCGCGTTGGCGAGATTCGCCTCGATGGACTGGTCTACCCGACCACGCCGACTCCGGCTCGAACTTCGCTCGATTTGCGCGCCGGGTAGATGGTCCCCGGGGCCTTGCTCCGTCCATTGCTGGACAGCCGTATCCGTATCGGTAGGTGTGGGCTGGTTCTCGAAGGGGGGAACCATCGGCGGAGGAGAAAGTATGGAGGCATCACTGAAAGAGGCAGAGATTAGACTGCGACGGGACGGCGACCCCGAGAGAGAGGGCTTGGCACCCGCGCCATCAGACGAAAATTTGCGAAGGGGTGAAAAACTCTCCCACCCAGGAACAACCCGCGATTTCTCGTACGCCGTCTCGGGGCATTTCTCCAAGTTCGGGTTGGAGCCGATCGCAGCTAAAGATGAAGAGTGCGAGGGGATCGCCGACGGGAGCACTGGCGGCGAACGCAAAGAATGGTTTCTGCGGACGTCAACTTCCATGTGGGAGAGGTCGACGTGACTACCATGGGGGAGGACCTTGGAAGGAGAAACGGCAGGAGCAGCAGACACATTTTCAGGTTCCAGGTTCAAATTGTTCGGCGGCTCATTGTTTACGTCCTCCACGGCCGGAAGTTGCGGTGTGGCACTGGACTCGTTATCAGAAGGCAGATAATGGGTTGCGAAGATGCTATCCCGCTCAGACAACTGGGGGCTGTGAGACAGATCCGAGCGAGCGAGCTTTTCGGGCGAGGTGATCGACGACCTTTTTAGAGGGAAGGCAGACGAGGGTTTGGCCCATTGACGAGCCGTGGGGGATTCGGCGCGGGACGGGGAAGGAGCTTGTTGGATATCTTCATGTATGAGCTGGTCCCGGGGGTGATGGCTGTGGTGGTGGATGTGGTTGCGGCCGTGGTGGTGGCGCCGCTGCTTGCCATGGGGACGATCGGGCTCTCCAGAGCAATCATGTTGGGCAGACGCAGCAGGAGGTGTCACCAAGGAATCCGACAGGGTATTCTCTGACGCAGACGGAATTCTTGACATGGGGAGAACATTGGTCGGAGCTGCACGGGTGAGGGAAAGGGTCGACAGAGGCCGAAAAGGGAGAGGCGTCGCAGGGAAGGTTATGGTTGGTGTTTCATGCGAAGGCGGAGGAGCAGGACTAGAAAGGATCTGGCGTCACCGAAGGAGCCAAGAATTGGGAAAATCGAAAGATCCAGGAATCTTGGCCACGTTCCGGGGGAAGGGCAGCTTACAGGCTGGAATTAGGTGCAGGCGGCAGGATGACGGAGAGTCCTCACAGGACAATGGATTGGGTTTAGACAGGTAAAATGATGTATGTTATGCGATGGGGGGGTGGGAGAGGCAAGTCAGATAGACAAGGCAGGGAGACCCGGGACAAGGTAGTTAGTTCTAAATGCAGTTTAAAGCACTAGAGAGTGGACGAGCAGTAACCGGGGGAGTTTAGTGGGAAGAGTGGAAGGAGACTAGGAAGAAAAGCGTTTGGCTGAACCAGGAAGAAATGACGAGGATCGTCGTCACCGCCTTTGTGGGTATTGGAAGATTGGAACCTAGGGGGTTTTTAAAGGGGGGAAGGAAAGAGAAAAAAAAAAAAGAACAGATAAGAGTGATCATCAGGAGAAGGGAAAAAGTCAAGCCAAAAATGGAAAATCCCAGAAAAACCACCACCCCTTCCAGCCGTCCAGGTTGTCTGCCGTCCTTGTAATTTGATCCCAAACGACGTCCCGGACAGAACGCAAAGCGCAACGAAACCAATCGAACGCCCAAGTCGAGGGGATCACAAAAATCAGAAAGAAGTCAAGAGGCCGTTGGTGGCCAATCACCGCCCGCGCAGCCCGGCAGAAAACCGGGGCTGGTCACCTGCCGGCGGGCTAGACCAAGCCGGGCGATGTCCCGTAATGTCCAGTCTTGTATTGTGACGCAGTGGATGTATCCAGTCGGCTGGGAGGCCCCGTCAACTACGCTACGGAGAAATCTAGAAAAAATCGATGGTTTTCCGGGGTATTCAAAACTAGTCCTGTCCTACTCCGTCTCTCGAGACTCCCGTTCACATCCTAAGACGTGATAGTCGTCTCCCTGCTGAAAATTGGTTGATATTATTGCGTGATATTCACCCGGATCAGTGACCCAATCGATAGAGTCCTGCTGCTCGGCTAGGCAGTTTCTATTTGTCTATCGTTTCTCAGAGGCCAAGGCCCAGATCTAAGACACCACCTTACCGAAGTACCTGGATGGCTGTATGCGTACGGACAACGCGGCGGTGCTGGACACCTCCATATGATGGATATCATCCCCCACTCTAATCAATCTCAGCACCAGACTGGCCACCAAGGAACCGGACCTCTCGGAATGCAGGCTGAGGCTGTACGACGCTGGGACTATCCCTATGTACTACTTTGTACGTACTCATAATGCCCTCTATGGTCGGGTACGTATACATCGGGAATGTCTCGATTCTTGGATCGAGGGATGATCCATTTCCACTCCCAGCCGGTGCCCTCGGGACGAACAACGTTGCGCTTAACTTTGGGTGAAAGCATTCGTCGTTTTACAATTTCCTCAGGCGGGGAAGTCAGGACATCCTATCTAGATACTTCGCAAGTCACAAATAGTCGGACTTCCAGCCGTCCTCTTGACAATCTTCTACGTATGGTCAGCACTAGATGTCGAAAGATAAGTGACCTTATCCCGTACACTTTGGGTGGTCAATTGGAGGCAAGCGCCAGATAACAGCATGCCGGTCATCTCCAATGTGAGATACGGAGTAAATTGAAGATACGGAGGAGGGACCATCCCTTCCATCTCCACCTTTCCTCGCTCACCTGACTCGCGCCAACCCCGGCTCTACCAATCAATGGGCAACGTGACCGGCGTGCTGGCCGAGGCCGCCTGATAAGCATCAGAGCCGATTCAGTAGAAGATTGTCAACAATAGGTAACATTCATTCCTTTGCTCACCGTACGGTATCAAAGCATCCCAATTGCTTTTCCCCTTGCTTGATCGGCCTCCGTTTTTCGATTTTCTTGTTTTCCCCTCCTCTCTTTCCGTTCAATCCCGTCGGACTGACTTCACTCCTTCCTTGATTCTTTAGGAAAGAGTTATCCCTTATTAAAGGCCACTATTGACAATGATATCAGCCCAGAAATGGTGTCTTGCAGTTCGTACGGACTATCTGATGTAAGACCCGGGCCTTGGAGTTCAGACGCTCAATCTCCCAAATCAACCTCTGCCACGCCAGATAATATACGCACAGGTTCTATATAAACCTCTCTTCGAGGCAGGATCCCCCAATTTTCCTCCCTGTCTCTTGTGGGGTTGTCCATTTGATTAATTCATTTTTATTTGGATTTATTGATTTTCTCAAAATATTTCATTATCGTCTGGTGGTGAAGCGCAAGACACAATTCTGCAGTCTACCATTAATAATTCAGGATATGTATCTGTTTCACACTGAAGAATCGTGCAACACCTATCCTGCTTCATAAATCGGAGTGATAAATCCAAGCAATGCAGCCATCTGCAGCCACACTGGCAACCATGCCTTGAACCGGGAGCTGCGTTGCGGCTTTAAGTCTTGTCATCCTGGTCCCTGCTAATTGCTTTCTTCTTAAGTCGTGTTTTGTATGTGTACTTGGTTGAAGCGCCATCAAGGTATACTCGTCGTATCCGGGATAGCCAATTCTGGACCACTTCGAAGGATGAACAAATCGCGACAGGTCCAGTTGGGAAGCCTTGAAGCTATAATCAATCCATGGATTTAGCTTACCAAAACCGTGGTCTAAGCTCACACCGGGTGTCATGACAAGGGTCAAATCTGGCACGTAATAGAAAGCGCTCAACCACCCCTCTGCGGGTGCGCGTAGCATCCTTCTCTTTTCCTGCATCATCGATCAATTCGTTTTCCATACCATATTTGACGATCATTGATAATTAGATTTAAATTATTGTCTTTTTCTTTTTCTTTCTTTTTTTTTTTTTTATATATATTCTTCTTCTCTCTTTCTTTTCTTTGCTTCATTATTTATTAGCATTGGTTTCCTTAGTTTGGTTACATCATTCATGTGACATCGGCCCGAAAACAAATATATTTATTGAGGTGAGTGGAGATTTGATTTTCATTTGAAATGTACTCAACTCTTCCTCAAAATCATTCCACTCCCTAAATTGAACCTGCTTCATTAAAGACTCAAGCTGAATCACGATCTAGTGTGAAATTGCATGCAATTGCCCGAGAAGTTGCTGACAGTTCCTATGCTCCAACCTGACTGGCCAAGTTCTTGACGCCGAAGGCAGATCACCCTCCAAGCGCCCGTCCCCATTACGGCGCAGTCAACATGCCTTGCGGGCAACAACCAGCTCGTCCAATGTGATTGCAAGGTGGAAAACTCGGCAATCGTCAAGTGTGACGCGACGGACCGGTGATGTGACGAGAAGCACCTACGAGTCCAACGGGAGGTTCCGAGCTGCCGCCAAACCAACGAGAATCCCTACTGGCGTGGAGTTCTCGCATCATGCAGGCCTAGGAGGTTGGCGCGACGAGTGATTCCAACGACGCTGTTGCAGCAGTTATTTGAGCTCTGGCCATTGGGATCGCGCCCTCCCCGCAGCAAGATGGGTACTTCTCAAGCGCTCGATCTCCACCCTGCACGGGTCTGTCACCTCCAAAGCGAAGGTTCTCAGGTTACACTTAATGCTGCTGCCTCCCTCTTGATGGCCGATTTTTGTTTTTTTGTTTTTCCCCTCCGCTCTCTCCAAGCACTTCCGACTGTATACCTGTGTTGGCTTATGGCATCGAGTTGCGACCATCCTTGCAGTATTGATGCGCTCCTCGGGTAGGTTTACAAACGGCGGAGGGAACTACGCATTATTGGCACTGGTAGCTCTTCATGGGATGACTACATAAGTGCGAAGAAAAGCAAATAATTCACACGTCCTGAATAATTGCAAACGCACCTCGACCACTCTATCCAAGACTGCCTCGTTTTATGCATGCACGACTGCTTAAGGTCGCATAGCAGAGCGTGACGCGTGATTTGAAAGACGAAAGCACCAATCGCAAGGGACCACAGCCATGGCTAGACGACTCCATTTGGATACCTCCAATTTGGGAGCAAACCAACGGTATTCATTTCTCGAGACACCCTTAGAAATGCAAACCGCGGGCTTGCAAATTCCTCCGCAGCCGCCGCAGCCGGCGACCGTACCGGAAGCACAGCACGAACAGGCTACGCCTGAGCAAGTTCAACAGCCACTGAACGAAAAGACACATCCCCTTCCAGCAGGATCAGACCTCTCTCATCATCCACATGGTCCGAATATCGATCATCATCCAGCGATCTATGCGCCTTTCGCCGATGAGGCGCCCCAGCAAAACCAACATCCCGACGCAGTGGTGCCTGACTACTCGTATGTGGTTCCTCCAGGCTCTCCGGGGCCACTTCCAATCAAGACGAATCCGGCAGCCCCGGATCAATATCCAGAACGCCTGCCCGTCGCTGTGGTACCGGATGCAAATCCTCTGCAAACCCCGCAAATGCCTCGTTTCCCCCCGCCTGTTGCCTCCGGAGCCCCCCACACGTCAGCCGTGGATGGTCTCACGGTGTACCATCAACCAGGACAGGTAGCCCATCCGAACCAAGTGGTCAAAGGCGGAACGTGGAGCCACAGCATGTGCGACTGTTCCAATATCTGGACTTGCTGCCTTGGCTTGATCTGTCCTTGTATCCTATACGGGAAAACACAGCATCGGCTTTCCTTGTTGTCGAGAAAAGAGGACCCCACGAACATGCTTGGCTATGAGACATGTAATGGGTCCTGTACTGCGATGGCCTTGCTGTGTGGATGTCAATGTGAGTCAAGTCTGGCTATCGATTTAACTGGAGCAGAAGGGAAACCTAACATGACACTCTAGGGCTACTGGCGACTGTCCAACACACTCGTACACGTAAAGCGTACGGCATCCGAGGTGACATTGCATCGGACTGTGTCCGAGCGACTTGCTGCACATGCTGTACCCTCATCCAGGACGAAACGGAAATCAGGAAACGTGAGGAGGAGCGGGGAAAGGCAGCCATAGCCACGGGGACAACTTTGGCTTCGCCCTATTTACCACCAGTCCAGATGTCCTATGGGCCTCCGCCAAGGTGATCGACCTATGGCTTATGCCCGAGGCTCATGGTGTTGGGTTGCCTAAGTCTTGGAGATCCGATCTTCTATCGTTCATGGCCTCTCCATTCATCCTTCATAATGTGTTTGTCGTTTTCTCGTTTCTCCGCTGATCCCATTCGGCTGTTTGCATACGAGGTTGTGCAAACAATAAGCGTGATGTTTCTTCTCCATTTTCACCGGATATACCATTTGCATTGATCACAGAATCCGGACGGATTCGATCATCCTTTGTTGTATTATCTTTGCTTGACCTCTTTGTCCATCCTCTTCTCTATTTTATGATTTCAGAAACCCCCTTGCATTCTGGCGTTTGGATTTGTCACAATTCCCCCTTCTATCCTTCATTTAGTGTCCTCGGGCCGATCGGTCTAGGGTCTTGTACAGAGATGGCAATGCATGTACAGCTGTTACGATACCAAAAGATATTTTTTGCCTCAAGGCAGTTCTTCAATTCTTCTAAATTAGATGAGTAAATGGTAGTTATTCTCACATTGGAACTTACCCACTGGTGTGCTTATCCCGACAGTAGGTACTTTGTAGATGTCTTCTACAGCTCCATGTTCTTCCCGCCAATAGTCCCCCAAACTAGTGAAAATCAACTCAACATCAAGATGATTGTCTGACTACCTATTTTCTTTTTTTCTGTCCGTCTCCTTACAAAAGCACCCGAAGATACATAACTCCAGTCAGCCGGCCTGACAAAAAGCACCTGTCAATCGGCCATTGGGGGAAACGCAAAAACCAAGCGGCAGGTCAACTGCAGCCACGCCAAGCTGAAACTCTTCGGTTGCAGAATGGACACTTTCCCCCAATCCAATCCCAATCATCCATCATCTCCTTTTCGGAAACTAGACAGTCGATCATCTTAAACTCAGCTGGGCGAATATAGAATTCTGTCTTCATCACCTCGCACCAAAGTCAAACTCGGACTCGTTCCCATATCCAGGTTAGGCATATGATAAGTTGTGTCTCGCTATAGAGTTTCGGATCTTCGCCCCCGTCATTCCCAGGCGGCTATTCTTCTCGCGCCTCGGCAGAAACTCCTGTCAGCTTATTGAATTACGTGTATCTGTGTGACATTCCACGATGACAGTCGGCGTCCAGAATAACGAGGATACTTCAAAGCCTGGGCACAAGCTAGACGAGGAGCAGAAGACTGCACTGGACACATTTGTCCGATTATGCGAGGATAATGAGCTTCTGGGTCGGCTGGATGGTATGGGGGAACGCGATGTTTTGGATGCGATTAATGACGAGACGGCGTTGATGTATGTGAATGTTTCTCGCTTGAATTGTTCTTGATCGGCGCGCTGATGATATGATGATATGGGACAGACGCTTTCTACGTGCACGCAAGTTCGACCCCGAGCCCGCTATCAACCAGTTCTTCGAGGCGATTCTGTTCCGCAAGGAGAAAGGCATCTTTGAGGTCTACGATGGGATACGTGTGGAGGATTTCGAAACTGCCAATGCAGTTGTGAGTATCGCCTTTTTTCCCACTCCGCAACATGCCTCACCTGCTTTATTTCATGTCTATGGTCTCTACAGTCTTTGCCTTCATACCAGTCATTCCTAAATGATGAACCGCTACATAGTATCCCCAATGGACAGGCCGTCTCGACAAACGCGGCCTCCCCATCTTCTTCGTGGCTACTTCCAACATCAAGCCTTCGATGTTAGGATTCAGCGGCTTCAACTATGGCTACGTGCCGAGCTCGGATTCGGACTCCGACCCACCTTCTACAGAACCTAATCAGCAGCATCAACGGATTGACGTGCTGCAGCTGGGCTCCGTGATGTTTGATAGCTACACTCGCTTCGTGTTTCCGCTTTGTTCCGTGGCCGCCCAGAAGCAGGTTACTTCCGCCGTAATTCTCGTCGACGCGGCGACCTTGACGCTGAAGCAGGGGTTCGATTTGAGGAATTTCGCCAAGGAGGCTACTTGGCTTCTCTCGACCTGTTATCCCGAAACGGTGGATAAGATCTTTGTACGTGATCTGTGATTTTCTTCTCCCTCGTCTCAGTGGCTCGTATCGCGGCCAATGGCGACAAGATGCTAATACCGCCGGTGGCAGGTTTGCAACTGTCCGTCCTATTTCGGCGCTATATGGAAGATCTTGAAGGGCTGGGTAGACCCAATCACTGCGGCCAAGCTTGTTTTCTTGGCTCCTGCAGAGGTGTATCCGACTTTGAAGGAGTATATCGATGACGATGACCTTCCGATCAAGGTCGGTGGAAAGTTGGACTTTGAGCACGGCGGGCCGGTGGACTTGAGTGATGCGTTTAAGAAAGCGCTGGGCCGTGATCAGTTGGTAGCTGGGCCACACAAATGGGTCTACGATGAGAAGGGAAGAAGGAGTGTCGTAGCGGTGGGGAGTGTGGATGGGAAGTTGAGATATGAAGTTGTTGCTACTTTGAATGAGTCTCTCGACTCAGGTCCAGAGGAGTGACTTGGAGGGCTAGAATCTAGAAAATATAGAGATTTCGGAGAAATGGCAGCAGTCCGGCGGATTGGGTCCCTCGAGGGTTCGGAGGAATTCGAGAGGACATGCCCAGAGCATGTCAGACGAAGAAGTAGGAAGAAGAAGAATGGACGAGCGGGACTCCACCCGAGGGCGGTGGGATACTGCCGGGGAATCTGGACCGACAGTGGCGGATCCTCGAACCACCTCGAGACTCGTGAATGGCCTCCCGTCATCGTCTTGAGGCTGATCGTCCTGTCTCTTCCCATCGTGTGTCCCTCATTACTCTGGCCCTGGTGCCTGTCGACTGTTTCCATCTAAACCCTACGTCCTATCTCTATCGCTCCACCCCTCCCCCTTGCTACTTATTCTCCGACCCCGACCGTCACCTGTCTTTTATTCCGACTATCGGCAATTGTCAAACGCGCTTTCATCGGGTGGTTTCGCAATAATGGGGATTTGAGGGGTTTCAGTCCGATTGATTCCAATGACTTCGTGCCCTATATGCGTTGCTCGGACCGTGACGTGAGTCGTGCAGAGTGTCTGTTCGATTATGGGGGACCACGCTCGTCTGGTTGCTCGCCAGATATGGGCGCAACCGACGACCACCTCCGGGAAGACGTACGAGCCCGGATGTACTCCGTTTCTTCTCCCAAGTGATGGTATGCTTGCCATAGATGTTTTGTCGCCCCGCTCTGTCTATCCCATGTGGCGAGGTTCAAGCTTGCCGGGAGTCGCATCGCCTTTCCAACCTGTCAGATAATATGGAGGATTAACTAACGTCGCCTGTGTCCATTTGTTCTAGGTGCATTATTCCTGAACCGCTCTTATTCAATATCACTCACTGCAAATGCGATATTCGAACCGGCCTGTACGAGTACGGCTACGGAGACTAGCCATGCGTCACCGATGCTTGACACCCGCGACCCCTTTTATTCATCGGTGACTCCGCAGCTCTACGCAATTGGCTGCGCGACGGTAGTCAGCTACTTACTTGTTATCATCCTTCTCATTACACCACGCACATTCTACGTCGGCGGGCCGGGCGGTGGTGCCAATTTTCTGGGCCGCCATGGTATGATCAGCGGATCGTACAGCGGGAACTCCTCCGTCGTTGGGGTTGGGGGTCGGCCATGGTTGCAAAAGGTCGCCGCAATATTAGTCGCAATATCACTTACCATCGCAACGGCGGACTCATTCCGGGTCGCCGAGCAGCAGTATCTTCACGGTTATTCGGACGCGGAAGCCCTAGCGGAGGAAGTCATTGATGGCATGGAAATTCGCGTCGTGAGAATCATATCCAGCACGTTCCTGTGGCTTGCGCAGGTGCAGACTTTGATTCGACTGTTTCCACGGCATAAAGAAAAGATCATGATTAAATGGGCAGGGTTCGCTTTGATTGTGTTAGACACGATATTCAGCACTCTGGACAAATTTCTCGTTCAAACTAACACGACGCGACCGCGATTATACGACGATGCGATCCCTGCACTCAGTTACCTCTTTGAACTCGCACTCAACTTGCTATATGCTGCATGGGTCATCTTCTATTCAATATCGAAACACCGCTTTGCATTTTTTCACCCTAAGATGAGGAACATTTGCCTGGTGGCCTTGCTGTCTCTCTGCGCGGTTCTCATTCCTGTCGTTTTCTTTGTGATGGATATTGCGAAACCGGAGATCGCAGGCTGGGGTACCTATGTGCGCTGGGTAGGCTCGGCAGCGGCGAGTGTTGTTGTTTGGGAATGGGTCGAGCGCATTGAAGCGCTAGAACGCGACGAAAGAAAGGATGGAATTCTTGGGCGGGAGATATTCGACGGGGACGAAATGCTAGAGGTGACGCCCTCCGAAGAGGTTGATTGGCCTCGCCAGAATAACTCTGGCCATGACCGAGGAGGAGGTACGGGTACGTCATCTGGATGGGGCGGCATGATGGGCTTAGGCCATCGCCCCTTACGCACCAGAGTTGGTCTTCCGAACAGCAACCGCAATTGGCAGTCTCGTCCTGTCGCCCAAAATCATGACACTTCGGCCGACTCTCGCCGGCGGAATGCCGCCCGACCGACACCACCGCCGGCGGCTGTCACGCCTGTCAGCCGGGCTGATACAACCAGTGCTGCCAGCACCGTGTATAATGTTCACTATCACCCTGTTTCGAGCCCAACTCCACCCGTCGCTATGCCGCACATGGAAGAAGAAGAGGAGAATAGCGACGAGACGGCTGCTGCAAAGGAACTGGCAACGTCCATGGAGGGACAGCAAGCAAACATGCCACATGATGGCCTGGAAACGCAGCAAACCAGAGATCAATCCCCCCAGATCATCAGTACTGATCACAGGTGGCGGACGATTCTAAATCCTTTCAAACGCCGACACGCAGCCTTGCCAAGGGAGGTTGCTTCCGCGCAGGCGGAGGAGCAGTTTCCTTATGCCGAAGAGGAAGAGGGCGTGGCACCGGATGACAGCGGAGAGCAGCACACTTCACGGCCAACAAATGACCTTTTGCCATTTCATAGAAGGACTCGACCTGGGTCAGGACGGCAGGGCTCGGACACTCGATTGCCCGTCACCGTCATTCCTGCGCGACGTCGAGGTCAGCATACATGGTCACCGCAGTGGTTCAACGATTCCAGTATCCTGGAACCTTCGCCTCGCCGACACAACACTTCGAATAATCGGACTAATCTCCCGGTGCGGGTGATACAACCACAGCCCCGACCCTCTGCTCCGTGGACGACATCGGATGCAGAGGGCAGTTTGGGTAATGGAAACTATGAGCTCCGCTACGATCCCGAAGCCGCGGCCCTCGTGGGGTTTGACGATCCCTCCTTTGAACCTCCATCGACAGGGGACATCCATCACGAGACGGTGCGAGTGAGCGTCACCGATGAATATGTGGATGATCTTGATCAGCAATCCCTTTCGGATTCACATCAGGAAGCGCCCAACCCGGAGTCTTCCAACCAACTCACGGTGGAACAAACAGGAACTCCAGCATCGTCATCGCGTCCTAATTCTCATCCCCCGCACTCACATAATAGCAGCCCCGGTGCCAGCGACAGCCCGAGGCCTCCGCAATAAAACCAAGGACAAAAAGGCGTTGATTGTGTGTTGATACCATACGGCGTTGCATATGGATAATTACTTTTCGGGTAGGGGTTGTAATGCTTGGATTTAGCCAGGGAGTATTGGATCTTTAGGGATTGATCTTTTTTTTATCTTGTTTTCTTTTTGTTTTCTGTTTCCCTCGTCTTGGTGCAATATACATGGCTTTGGGATGCAATTTGGAGCACGATTGGGCATTGAATTTGGTTGGCAACATCCTACTTGGAAAGAGGATTTTTGGAAAGCAGCAGGAACGGACTGTACAAAAAGATACCCCGAATAATTGGACAGGACATAATTGAGCCGGATGAATGAATACATTATAATTGACGTGAATGGAAGGCTCTAGACTACATCCTTTGATCGGCCGCTGATTAAGACTGCCGAATCCTTCATAAAACTTTCTCGGGAGCAGCAGCTCCGGCCAATTCCTCCTCTTCCGCTTTTCCACGTTCCGCCCGATTGCTCGAGACTGCTGCCTCTCGTCTCCTCCACTCCTTGCGTTTCTAGTCGATGCCGCGAAATCATCGCCTCTGGGCGTCGCACCATGGCGACCGTCAACCGGAATATGTTTGACGCCTGCGTCTCGAATGATCGGCCGGGGGGAAGCTCTTTGATGGTTCTACCGTTGAACCTGATCGCTCGCATCATTGCTCACGTACGTGTCCGCCTTGCAGCCTGCTCACTCACACGTCCTCGGAGCTTATTTGGCGACTAATCCGCTGGTACAGTTAGATGATCCCGGCGACCTCGCCCGTATCTGTCGAACATGTCGCGTTTTAAACTACATGTCCCTGCCCCAACTCTACCGGAACCTGACCTTGACCTCCTACGACAAAATTCGATACCGCGGAGATGAGCCCGAAGGCATGGGCAGCGCAAGCCCCTTCTCGATGGGTCTTAACGCTGTCATCACGCGTCCCTATGCAGGTCTCGTGCGATCGCTCACGCTGCGGGGTAATTGGCGAGAACAGGAGCTCGAGGAGCATGCGCGCGTGGGACGTGTCCCGGACTCGTCGATGATGCTCAATATCGCGGTTCGGGCGGCGGTCGACAGGATGCCGGACTTGGAGAGTTTCAGCTGGGAGCTCAGTACCAAGATGCTGGAGACTGTATACATCGGGCTCACACAGTTACCCAAGCTGACGTCGCTGACCGTGCGCTTTCCATCGAGTCGTCACCCGCGACCCATGATCACCATCCCCGCCCTACCTCATCTGCGCTATCTCAAAATCACCGATATCGATCCCCTCTGCTACCCCGATGATGTGTCGACGCTGCTCTGGAAGTGTCGCAAACTGCGGGTCCTGAAGTTGCATTGGTCGCCCCGGATGAGGACGGCGCAAGAGCCCAGCGTCATGCTTCACGATTACTTCCGCAAATGTATCGCGACGAGACAACCCCTTTCGGTCAAGACCATGGGGCTTCAGAACCTCTATGCTCTGCACACGGAAGACTTCCAGCTTGCTTTTAACCCGAAGACGGTCGACGATATTGTTATCCTCAACAACATCGGAACCGACGACATCAATTATATGAATACATTTGTCGACAGCACGTGGCCGAACAATCCACCCAAGGAACACATGAAAATCAAGTCCATGCGGCAAGACTCGACATCGCGGAAACACATCGATTTCCTGGCTTCTTTTACTGGGCTGGAGAAGCTATATTTTGTCAACGCAACGACCAACACATTAGACGACATCAACTCACCCCGACAATTGGTGCCATCCTGCTCTGCCCTCACCCCTCCGTCCGTGGACCAAGGCAATTCTCACACGAACGGTACCGCTGCGGTCCCGACCCCCGACTCCACACAGTCTACCTCCAATATGCAACCCAGTTTGCGCGATAGCTACCTCAACATCATCGTAACTAACCACTGCGCCTCGTTACGTCATCTCTTATTGCCTGCCCGATGGCCACTCTCAAGCTCCGCCATCGCGCGTCTCGTCCATGCCTCGCCACACCTAGAGCAACTGGGACTGGCCACCGATTTTTCAAGCATGGAAACATTGGGGCTCATCCTTCCGTTCTTGCGAAACTTGACTGCCCTTCGCCTGCTCGTCCCGACCAACACCGGATCTCAATCCACAGGCCAAGCTGCTCCGGCTAACATGCCCCGACCCTTGTCCGGTGTCAACGTGTTCACTTCCGCGCGGAACTTTTCCGACATTGTCGAGGCTGATGACCAGGTACTCTGTGAAAAGCTGAGCGAATCGCTCGCCGACCAGCAGGTCTTCAGCCGGCTGAAGATATTCGGCATGGGCCGCAAGGTCTTCCACCTTGGTGAATACTACACGATACCGTCCAGTGAGGCCCATCCCGAAACTCACGTTTCCCAATGGCAATCCCCGGCCACCGAGTCCAACTGTGACCCAGAGAAGACTCCGTCCAGCGTCCAGGACGACGGCGCCAGTCCCAACGGCATCCTCACATCTACCGTGGCACCCTCTGTCAGCACCAATCGATCACAGCCGCTACCCGGTCAGCAACCCAAACAACCTCCCCCTCCCGTCCTCGGCAAACGCAACCGAGACGACACCCTGATCGCCACGAAGCCGGTGGAAACCGAACTCCCATCTACTGAAATCTCCAACCCCTGTATTCCCCAGCACTTGAACCCGGAAGCCCGTCTCTGGCGCCGACGCGTCCGCCGAGTCGGATGGGAAGTCATCAAGCATTGGGAAATCTGGGAGCTGGACAAACAGGAGTTATGATATAATGACATCTGATTCGATCTCGACTTATTGTATAATCTTAGCGGGTACATAGGCTTTCTTCTCTTGGTTGATACACTCTGGTCTTCTTCACGGCATATATTTTTCCACATTGGTGCGGATGAGTTGATATGGGTTGGATGGGGTTTTGGTTCGATTCCCCCTTGTTTATTTGTCACTTTCAGAGCAAATAAAGTGGATGAGGTGTCGGCGTGACTGGCTTTATTGGGATTGCTTGATCTTATAGCTTTGGATTGCGGGTGCATTGGGTTAGTTCTTTGGGCTTTTTTCCTTCAAACTGACCTGACTTTGCTGGACATTGTTTGTACAGTAGATTCTATAATCTCCTATCATATTATACCATTTCATGACATCTGATTTCCTGAGACAGACGAAATGATGTTTGAGTTATGTGTATACCCTGAATATATGGAATAATTTGCATGCTGTGTGGGCTATATGTAAGACATGTAATTGCACATTTAACCCTTTTCAATACTCAATACTGTAGTTTGGGAGAATCAGCCTTGATAATTGGGCTTTTAGTCCTGCAAACCTACCAATTCAAAGCAGAGAGTTTGTCTTTATAATTTTATTCATTTTATAGATCATGCATTAATCAATATCAACATCAACAAGATAAACCACGCACCCCCAACTAAGCATGTACATCCATATAACATCAACCATCACAAATCATTACCCTTCCAAGCCAAGCAGCACACCAAAAAGCCAAGCACCTAAATAAATTAAGCCTGCTTGGCGAACCCAATCCGGGGCCCCTCAGAATCAAACACCGCATACTGGCTCTTCAAGAACACGTCACCGAGGATCGAGAGCCCCAGACCAGAGTTACTCTGGATGCCGCCGAAGCAGGTCTCGCCGTTCTCGGTGACGGGGGCGTAGTTGATGTGCTTGCCGGGGACGACGGCCTTGTAGTCGCCGATCACAACGGTGAAGGTGGGCAGGTCGGTCGAGCATGGGAACACGTATCCGCCGGCGGAGTAGTCCTCCTTGGCGCCGTCGACTTGCTTGTAGTAGGCGGAGACGATGGAGTCGTCGATTAGGATGAGGGTGGTGCCGGTGTCTTTGGTTTCGGGGAGGGGTTGTTAGTTTGGCGATATGGGGGAAGGAATGGGGGACATTGAAGGGGGGGGGAAGGACGTACCGGCAATAGCGCTGATGGAGTCGGATTTAGTGGCACCGTCACCGACTGCGTATCCGTCGGCCGTGAACTGCCAGAAGCCCTGGGAGGTGTCGACGTCGGCGTAGGTGATCTCGCCAGAGTACTTGCTGTCGTCGATGAAGCCGAAGTCGTAGGATCCGGCGGCGTGGTACTTGAGGGCGACGGCGAAGAGGGGCGAGTCGAGCTGCGACTTGACGGTGTCGAAGAAGGTGGTTTGCGCCTTGGGCTCGACGGTGTTGATCGAGCTGAATGCCAGACCCAGCAGGCCGTCGTTGTTCTTGTCCTGGGTGAACTCGGAACTGATGGTGCTGGCGGCTTCGACGGCCTGGGACTTAGCCGTCACGCCGCCAACCGTCACGGTGTCCTTGTAGACGTCGCCGCTGGCGGAGCTGCCGTCGCCGTAGGAGATGTCCCACGAGGAACCGGACAGCTTGGTGGCGCTGGAGGAGGGCTTGTAGACGCTGTGGCCGGACTGTTCGGAGGAGGACAGCTCGGAAGAGAAGACCCAGCTGTGGTCTGGTTAGTATTGTGCAGTTATAGGGCTGGGGGTTGAGCTTACAGATCGGCAGAGCCGGTATCAAAGTCCAGGTTCAGAGTGGTTCCGCCAATTTCCACGGGCGTCAGGTACTCTGAGTCGTATTCTTCCGGCTTCGTCACGACAGTGCCCTTGGCGGCAGCGTCCTTGACACTCTGGGGAATGGTGGCTCCATACTTGGCCAGAAACTTGGCGTACTGAGCTGGAATGTTGATGCTTTTAGGGTTGGCAGTCTGCCGGGTCAGCTGGTTGACCGTGAAGCCTTTGCGAGGCTGGGCATGAGGCAGGGCCGAAGCCACAGACGAGAGGCCCAGGGCCATCGTGGTGATTTTGCTGAAGACGACCATGATTGCTGGCTTGGTACTTCGAACAAGCGAATGTAGACTATGAACAGAAAAGAATGTCTGAAGGGGATGTGAAGTAGATGACCAGGAAGCCCAGGGCCTCAGACTCGTAGAGGATGTGAGAGAGATTGAGATGGTAGTTTCCAAAGAGGCTGGCATCGTAGCTCCCTTATATAGGTTTTCCCTCTATTCTCTCTCCCCTCTCGGCCAGGCCATCGTGATAGGACTCTATGCCCGAGTTCATCGCCCTCTTCCTCTTCTAGGAATACCAACCTGCCGATCCTCCCCAAACGAAGCAAGTTTGGGACCGGTTTGACAATAGTCACCATTCAGCGAGCGCCAAGATAACAGCAGACAAGGGCCCCGGTGCATGGCGCAAGAGAGAGGCCGACACCAGGCGAGACAAGCCTTGCCAGTCCTGCACCCCTGGGGTGATGAAGGGAGGGCCCTTGCAATTTGCATGCACGAATGCTACAGCCAAGTGAGTAGCATGTAGCTTGTTTCGGACAAGACTTGACAAGACCTCTTGGCCACGGCCGATAGATGGGCGGACATGTCCGGATCAGTCCTGCACGATGAAGGCCTGGGGCAGAGGCCCTCAATCTATCGACGCATTTTGATTCGAGGATGAGTCGACGATCTCCATCGAGACGGATGAGGGAGCCGTGAAGAGGGGGGAAGCCGGACAGGGGGGTGAATCCTGTTGGATTGCACGATCGAAGAGACGGCTGAGAAAATGTGAGGTCAATAACAGCAAAACCAGTCAGAATGGAAATCCATCACATGGTAGCTGAGGCTCCCCCGTCGGAGGCCCTGACGATCGCCGTTTCCGCGCTCCATTGGCGTGCTGTTGGCGTTACTTCGTCTCAAATGTTATGCAGGACCAGTATCCACTCGTCCAGCGGACCAACAGGGCCAATTCATCTATCTTCGGTGTGGAAAAGGCACGATGTGACTGTAAAACTTCGACCGTCGCGCCAGATCCCCACACTCTTATCTCCTAGTTGGTCGATGGTCGCAAGCACCTCATTTCGTCCAGCGGACGACCGTCGCGCATCCCCTTTTCTTTCGTCTGTTCGCTGGTCCGTGTCATCTCCGATATGAGGTATATTTTGATTGGGGTTTCAGAACCCCTCTTTTAAATGAAGGTGGTGATGACGGACAAATGAACGGAGTGGTGGGCCTCTTGTCAGGTCACCGCGTGAAGAGCCCGGGTCCACCCTGATTGAGCTAATGCTTAGCGTTAAGGCTGACGATCGCGGGTCAGGAAGAGCTTAGCCATTAATGCATGGCTTGGAATCACATTCCCACGGAAGTGATTTATCGAGGGTGTCTGGCAGATGCCAGAATGATGATCCTGTCGAGGGCAGAAATGAAGCGCTGCAGCTGGGCAGCACGTGATATCAGGTCACCGGCGGCCTTGTCTGCCTGATTTTCCATCTTCCATCTTCTGCCTTTCAACAAGAGGCTACGCCGATGGACGGTAAGGGCTGGCCGCAAGCTCAAGATCGTGCTTGATTGTACCTGTTCTTGCTTACACAGCCATAACCCAGAGACATGGATTGCCTGGCAAGTATCGGAAAATAGGTAGCCCTAATATTGGATTCCAACCCCCGAGCCAAGTGAATAAAGTAAGCACACAGCGGAAATTATCTTCTAATGGTATCTCACCATCCCCTTACTTCGGAGGTCTATGTCGGAATAATTGAGAACTGGACTGACTGAGGCTGAGGGGTGATAATACGCATACTCTGTCTCCAAGCCCTGCTCGGCTTAGCAAAGAATCCAGGTCTTGTTTAGACCCCAGTCTATCTCAGCAGTGACACAACCATTATAAGAATGCCTTAATATTGGGGTGACTGCAATCGAATCGTCCTAATTATAGGCGTCAAGTATCACCATGCCTTTATGGTCCTCAGCCTTACAAACCAGGCTCTAGCAATGTGTGGGCGTTGTAGATGGAGATAATGGTGATTTTAACTAGACAGATCGTTATATACTGGATTTACAAAGATTGTGACTTGTTGTAAGTGGGCAAAGTTCCTATTGATTTACATTATAAAAACGAATCCCACTAGCCAAAAACAATCACCAATGTCTAGCAAACTTCATCCTACCTAGATAGCTAACGAGATCCAAACAGCCCTTTCACCGCAGTTAACACCTCCACTTGTACCATAACCTAAATATCCCTACCACCATCATACCCAAAACCCAACCAGGCCATTGAGGAAGTCCTCGACCATTTATACTCAACGGGTCCACTACAGCAATTAACCAAGCCATTCGAACTTAATCATCCGAAAGAAATGATAGACTCACCGTCCAACAAGCAACGGGATGGTTCGCCTGACCGCAATGAATCCGATCAATATGCTACAGCAACAGCAACCAGACCCAAACATTAGTTACTCGGCGTCGAAGACAGCAAGCAATGCATGACAAGACTGAGATCGATACTTACGCTAGGACCGCCAGCCATCTGGATGCATTCCGGGCGGGATCGACAGTCCGCGTCGGCGTGGCACTGTTTTGGATTTGATGTTAGGGTACATATAGGGTAAATACTAGAATGGGAAGAGATAGATCAGGGGCAGCATACAGCAGACCCATTACCGCATCCGTGCCATCCGGGGTCCTGGGTGTTGGCTTCAGCAGGTGCAGGCGCAGCTAGGACAATGGCGCTCAGGCCGAGCACGGTCATGAGGGTGGAGAGAAAGTGCATGGTGGATGTAGAAGGTTTGAGTAGCGAGTATGAACGTTAATGGAGGTAGAGGCTGGTAGATGGACATAGATCTCGAGAGAGGAGAAGAAGAGGGCTTTTATATCTCTCAGGTGGTAGTTGGGCGTACGGTCTCAAAAGAAGGGACCGAGGCTGGCGAATGATCTATATGCCTCAGTCGGACAGGGAGGCCTTACATGACTGTGCCTGGACGTCTGTCAGGCTGTATCTGAGGTTCCTTTCTGCTTCGTTTCCGAATTCTGTCCTTCGGTGTATGTTGGTGGCGGGATATCACAGCCCGATTCAACGTTTCCTAGTCCAAACGGCTGACCAGGATTCCGAATGGCTGTCAGGGCTGATCGCTCGTGGAACATAAGATGGCCTAATCCTAGCTGTGTTCAGCTGTGTCTAGTCGTTCTGTTGCTTTCTTTGGTTGTGTTGGACGACCTACACGCTGTGGTTGGTAGCATGGCTGGCGGCATTGGTTCTTGGTAAAATTGCAATGAAGCCATTTTTTAGTATAGCAAGTACTACCAACGGAACCAATGAACACGGTCATTGCACATGATACAAGAGATCTGAGGCCCAAAAGTATAATCATTGATCATCAGGCTATCGGTACAACCACAGTAGCAATTCCATAGTGACTGCGGCCAAAGAAAAGTCCCAATACAGTAAATGCACAAATGATGCTAGAATAGAAAATAACAGAAAAAGAAGGATGGAAGTGATAACCTCCCGTCAGGGTATTCGTTGCTTATTCAACAGAAATCAATCACAATTCGTTATACAGAAAACTTCCCCACATTCCCACCAATATCGCTAAATAGCATAATACGGAGTTCAACATGTTCGGCCGAGCTCAGGACTGTAGAAACTGCGAGGATAGATTCCCACCGCCAGCTGAGTCGAGGTGCTCCCCGTTTCCATCATACTGCTCGTTCAGAAGCACCTCCAGCATGTCGAAGTCGCCGACCATCGGCCCCGTGCCTCCTAAGCCTTGGTCCACGACCGCGGTGGAGCTGTTGAAGAATTGGTCCAGGGGCAGCGCAAACCAATCGGGGAGCCCGCTCGACGCCCCGGCGTTGTCGTGAAGGGGTTGCGAGGGTAGATTCGAGCTATCCAAATCAGCACCACCCGCCGGTGGCGTGGTATTCGGGTCGTAGTAGTTATGATACACCGATGGGGGTGGCGGCATGAAGGAGACATTGATGTTCGACGAATTGATCGGCTGTGCCGGAATCCCCGCCAGCGGGTCATGTACCGAGCCCATAGAGCCTCCCGTCTGTTGACCATTACTATCAACGTACCCGATATTGTGCGTCGCATTTGGTCCGGATGCCCATCCATTATTAGAACCATCTCGTCGGGTTTGCGGGCCCTCTCGCGGACGTGGTGACTGGGGTCGGGATACGGGTGCCGACGCAGTGCGGTCGTGCGCCTCTCCGTCGCCGCCACGGTCCAATGGTGCAAAACGCAAGAAGCGTGTACGAATGCTAGTGGTGAGCAGTTCAAGCAGTCGGGCAATAGCATGGCTTAGGTGCACGTCATCGACAACATTGGTCCGCAGAGCTTCCATGGTTCGATCTTGAAGATCGAGAGAAACACGAACATCGTCCTCTTTTGCGCCCAGCGTGAATGTCTGTATAAGTCAGCCTCAATGAACATTTCTCTTTGTTGACAGTGTAGAATAGGAGACAACCAACCTTGAGGATGAAGATCATTCCAGACAAGATCCGAAAGCAAGTTCGAACAGGGGCGTGTTTGAGATGGTCACCAGGAACAAGGCCGTCCAAGACCGTATGTAGAATCTTGCGTGACGCATCGACAACCTCCTGGATGTATTGCTCATTGACACGGTAGAGCTCCATGAGCACATGGAACCATCCATGACTGGACGAGGGTCCCGAGCCGGATCGAGCCTGGGCCTGAGCCGCCTCGTTCGACATTGTCGTCCAGCGGTCGACTACGGCTTGTAGTGCAAGAGAGTTGACATACAATCCTAGCACGCAAGACCATTAGTTTGAGAAAAGGCTGCATCTCGTGAAAAGAACCTTACGTGTATACTCGTATTCAATCATCAAAATCATTCGCATAGCAGGAGCAACTAGATCATTATCAGTCATTTTTGTCGGACAGCAAAATACGGTAATATCCAACTCACGCTCAATGGTGTCAATATTCTGTCGCCACTCCCGCAAGAATGGCTGGAAACGGTCAATCTGATCTCGATATCGTCCGCTTCGGATCAGCTCTGAAGTCTGCTCATTGGACGCAAACAACAGCTGGTTGCTCTGGTACATGATCTTGGAGATCCCAATCCAGCAATCATGCATCCGGTCAACCGTTGTATCCGCATTCTTAGCACCTGTCACAGTAGTCGGTTGGATATCATTAGCCCACTGCGGCAGCGGCAGCATCGATGGAATTCCCAAGCGCCCGCTGCTCTGTGTAATATACACAAGAATAAGACGGCGCAGCCGGCGTTTCCGAGTCTGCTCGGCTGGGGATTCACCGACGGATTTGGATTCGCTCTTTTGATCAAAAACGCCTAGCTCGAACGCGAGTGCCTGTGCCGTGCTCATCAACATCCAGGACATCCGATCGGACCGCCAGGCAGGCTCCAGCCATTTTTGGAATGCCAGGCGACCTTCTGCCGGATTGTTGGATGATCGGTTGGCGCCGTTCTCACCATCGGTTTCCATGCTATGTGCTTGCGCATCGACGTCGAGAAGTGCGTTCTCGTCGTCTCCGGGCGGGAAATGCAGGTTCCGAGGGTGCCAGTCCGTCAAGATCAGCAAGGCCTCGATGGTCCCCAGAGATCTGAGATTTCCTTTCGCATGGACCATGGCCGAAGTGGGAGCCAGATCAAAAGAGCGAGGCTTGTTGATGCCCATGCCGTTACCACCAAACTTTTCTTGGCCCCAGAATAACCGTTCGATCATACCGCGAAGGTACGACCAAAGCCGGTCGTGGATGTAAAACGCACGGGTATAAGCACCATCACCCTTTGGCTTCATGTGCCGAGAAGCGGTAGTGAGGATCATGACGGCGAGAACCGGCTCGTCAGTGAGCATTGTACGGTGTGTCGAGGGGTGAGAGAAATCCGGGATCACGATTGGACTTAGAGGAGCAAGGTGTTCGTAGTAACTACACCGTGTGGTTAGCGGATGATCATGCCGGATGCGCTGTGAACTTACTATGCCACATAGGCCATCGACTCTTCGACTGAGAGCCATCCCGCACGAACAAAACGTAGTCGTGACCACGCCTTGACCGCGTCCAGATAGCCGGGGTCTTGAGGATTGTCCGAGGGACCAGACTGACCGCGTCCATCGGCAGCTTGGGTATCACCCGATCCCGACGTACCGGTCTGATAATAGTTACCCATCGCAGCGCCCGACCGAGGAGGTCGCGAGAATGACCCCCCGGCGCTACGCGGCGTGCCGGCCTGCGTGAGGGGCGATATGGGGGAATTAAAAGACGAGACGGACTGCCGGGCGGCATATCGATTCTCGAGGCTCTGCCGGTTGAGATCCTCCGTCCTCCCCGCCGCTTCGGAGAGGAGATGCAGCGCGTCGTGGCTATTGCTGATCGCCGGCGACAGCAGCTCGACGGCGGTGCGGTTCATCATGGGTTGTCCTCCTTCAAGGCTGAAACCTGCCATGGAGGATCGGTCCCCAACCGGGTACATAGGAAGCCGAGTGTTCTTGACATCGGGAAAATTCGTGGCCGACGAGGCATTGGCCTGGTATGGCTGCTGTGTGGCAGTCGCAGGGGGGATCTGGCTGGTGGTGGAGGGGGACCCCTCGGACCACTTGCGTTGCGGACGGCCGGCGGCAGCCTGCGTGGTGGCGGCGGAGTTGGTGTTGGTGTTGTTGTCGTACGAGGTGGGATCAGTCGCCGTGTACGAGGAGCCATCACTCGGAGAGCCATTCGAGACGACCTCCCCCACCATCATCCGTTTGTCACGGCGAAGAACGCCCTCGAAGACGGGCTCCTCGACCTCGGAGGGTTTGCGCTTGCGGCGCGTGGCGGAGAACTCGCATCGCTTACTTTCGCGGCGGCATCGCACGCAGGGCGGAGGACGGGGATTGTCGACGCCTAGAGTCCGGGGAAGATCAGCTCTGGAAACCCGGGGTAGTCGAGAAGTAGCTGGAGCAATCGTATGATGGCCCAGCACTATGACTTACTGCCAAGATCGCATTTGACCTTGCGTTTGCGGCACGGGTCGCAGGCCTGGTATCCGCGGCGATGTTGGGGTTGGAGCGACGGCGACTTGGGGCCCTGACTGGACTGCGAATAGCGACCGGAGTCCTGGTCGTCAGGCGACTGTCGGAGGGGTTGCGGAGTCTGCTGTTGCTGGTCGTTCCCTACAGCCATCATGATCGAGTCCAGCCGCCTTCTGCCGGCGCAAGAGTGGGTTTCCAAACAAATTCGGGGTTTGGGGTTTGCCGATGCAAAGCGACAAAAAGCGGTGGGGGGCAGTTGGAAATCGTTTCTCAGCACCGACGCGGCCACTGGGCGCTTTTCCCCGGCCAATTGTGTTCCGGGGGTTAGTGATGGTGCAATGCGAAGAGACGTGATCCACCGACGGTCACGAAGAGATGAAGAACAGAAGAAGAAACGAAGTCTGGGGATTCTCGTGAGCCCTAAAGATACTAACCAGCAAATGCGGGGTAGAAACGAGGCACGAGGATATTAATGCCCTTGCGTCGTGGCGGTTCGATTGCTGTTATCAATCGTAATGCCAATAGACTCGCCGCTAACGGGTGGAATTCGCTGGAATCCAGCAATCGCTGGTCGGTCGAGGAAGATTACAGGTTTGCCTCGAGCAAGAGACGGTCGGGGATTTCGAGGGTCCATCCACGTGGACGGCGGTTATCTCAGCCTTCTTCAGCAGGAATCAAATAATTCTCTCAACAATCGAATATAATTATTTACATGGGGTCGAAATTATATCAATACTAACACAGATCAGAAGTGAAGTGCTAAGAGGCAGATGCACACAAGAAAAAAAAAAAAAAAAAAAAACCAACCCTCCTCAACCATCTCACTGTCCGTCTCACTGTCGGTCAAGATACTTATCTATCGATCCTCCACGCAGCCCAAATGCGTGGAAGCTTCGAAAGAACCCCCAACCAAAACACAGACCGCAAAATCCAAAAAGACCACTCACACCAGAGGGAGGGCCGCAGGGTCAGCGACGAACGCAGACGCCGTCTGCTTGCCCTTGTCTGGCGCAATCTCCCCATTGGATTTCGGCATGGGCCCCAGCACCTTTCGGGCTAGAGCTGACTCGCCATATGTAACGCTATCCTCGCTCCCGCGCCGCGACGAGCTGGGCGTGAGGCGCCCTGGCAGGAGGCCTCGAATCCCTCCGGCCTTTCGTGCGGGAATCTCCGACGTCCCGGCGGTCAGCACGTACAGGAGGTATTTGAGGTTGGGCAGGGTGTGCCGGATGTCGACTACCCGCAGCCCTTGTTTGTTCAGGAGGAACTCGATGTCCTTGTTCAGGAGGAAGACCCCGTACTCGAACCGGTAGTGCACGTTCACCGGATAGAGCGGAAAGGTCCGCTGCGGCAGGGCAGCGGACACGGGGTCCTGGATCAGCGAGTGCGAGAGATTGGGGTTGATCGGATACGGAATGGGCACCGACAGGTAGAAGGACAGCATGTAGACCAGGTGTGCCGTCCATCCCAGCGCTGCGGCCACGGCGCCCCGGTCGATGTCGACAAAATTCGAGTTCGGCAGAGCGACGCCGGCAATGGTGAAAGCAAGCGGTTTGTCAGGAATCGGCTCGATGGGGTAGATCGCGAGAAGGTCCTCCCCGATCCGTCGGATCTGTCCCTTGGCTTCTTCGGTGTTCTGATCCAGCAATTTGGCACTGGAGACCAACTTCTGCTGCGCATCAGGCAAATGACTACGAGCCTTGTCCTGGCTATATCGTCCAGCATCCATGGCCTCTTTTCTCGCTCGAATGCTGCCGATGAGCTCTTCCTTACGTTTTGTGGCTAGTCGGAGACGTTTTCGTTCGGACGAAACGGTGTGCTTGGTCTGAACCAGCTGCTCCCGCGCTCGCGAAGCTTCACTGACCGTGTTGATCGCTCGCTGATTCTCTTCAAGAATGGAGCTAATCTGCGCTTCTAGTCTCTCGCGCGTTAGCAATGCGTCTTGGATACACTCGTCCAAGTTTGCCAGTCGCATCAGCGCATCGTAAGACGACGTGGAGAGCCCGGCTCCTTCCGGTGGCCGAGTGCTTTTCGCGGGCAACGACGCCCACATCGGAGGAAGATCCGTCAAGTTCGTGTAGACGCCATCGGCGAAATGAAAGAGAATCGAATTCGCAGGCAGGGGTTGGTGGAAGTTATCCAGCGATTTCCCCAAAAACTGTAACGACTGCAGATGCAGCTGCAGTTCAACTAGCAAGAAATACTCTATCATGGCGGTCGACTTCGTCCAGAGTTTCAATGTCAACCGGTCCGAGCGAGACACCAATGGACCACAGATGTTCAAATCGAATTCGCGGAAGCTTGGATTCGTGGCGTTTTCCACGACCTCACTCACGTATACGGGACCTTCGTGGCCATCACAGTGAAGGGAAAACCACGTATCGGCCATTCGACTCCTAGTTATATCCTCCAGTTTAATCTGTCTCGTGCGTGGGTTTGGGTCATTCCAGGGTAGTGTGTTTCTTCGGAGCGATCGCAGGGGTTGCTCTTTGCGCGTGGGGTTCTCGCGGCGTGAGGATGTAGATTGAAGATCGGTAAACGATCGTGATTGATGCAAATGACGGTTGGCATCTTGGGCTAATATCTTGGAGGGCGACTGTAGAGAGTTGGGGATATCCTCGTCGTCGATTGTCTTCCCACGAGTTCTACTCGGAGGAGTAACGACGAGATTGCGGACAGATATCCCTTGGAGATGACGAAGCCTGCGATTCTGCAAGTTGCGACCGTCAGCTATCGAGCACATTTATATGTCCGAAGGCATAATATGGCCTGGATTTACCGATGGGAATAGCCAGGGCCTCTCGCGACGACCGCCCGCGTCGTCATTGTTATCCACCTGGGTGGTGGTCACCGTCAGCGACATCGCAGAACAGCTAGGGAGAAGCTTGGCCGGATAATTGGCCAGTCATTATAGCAGAGGCGATCGCAAGCCCCCGACAGCGACAGTTACAAGCTGCACGGCAATTGTGACGATAACAAGCTCGATGAAGCCATCGAGGTCGTTGCTCCGCATGCACGCTAAGGCAAGCGGAGAGCGCGGGCGGAATCACCCGTTCGAACTCGCCGTCGAAAAATTGATCCGCGCCTCAACCCGTCAACCTTTCATCCTCACCTCCTCCGCCGCTCCGCTCCATTTCCCGCCATACGTCCCCGGGCATCGCCATGCGGTAGAGTGGAATTCGCTCTATTCAGTCAATTCGTCCACGTTTCGGAACATCCAGTGAGGTTCTTTGCAACCTCTCCGGCCGCAATGGCCTCCCAACAAGCCGCAAAGCCCTTGCACAAGAAGATCTTGGACCCGACCAAGATTCCGACCTGGAAAGTCGCTCGTCGCCCGCCGATTGAGAACCACAGCATCATCCAGGGCAAGCCTCGTGAACAGAACTCCAATGCCTTCAAGGATCATCAGTCGAAAGAGGGAACTCGGCTACGGAAGGCCCTGAACGCCATCACCCACGGCAAGAACATTTTCGTTTACCACAACATTCGCACCAACCAGGTGGTGTACTCGTTGACGCGGTATCTGGAGGTGAGCTTCATTTTCTAGGATCTCCCCCTGTCTGATCTCTGCGTCGCTAACACCTGCTTGCGTGGCTTTTAGAAAAACAGCGTCCTCCGCCAGCTCGTCTACCATGGCAAGAAAACCATCCCCGCCACTGTCCGAAAAGATATGTGGGTTCCGTACTACTCGGTGCACTTCAACGACTCCAAGATCGGTCTTCGCGCGTACCACCTGCTCCGAGAATTCGCCATGCAGCGGCAATTGTCCCCGCCCAAGGAAATGATCACCGTCAACCAAGAGTACCTCGACCAGAAGCGTCCCCGGGACCCCGAGCAGGCCAAGGAGTTCGACGAGAAGCACAAGGGCAGGATCGGCTGGTTCATGGAGAAGAAAGAGCGCGCTCGTGTCTTGATGGACCAGAAGGCCACCAGCGTTGCCGACATCGCTGCCGTCATCGAGATTCAGGAGAGCGAGTTGAAGGACGGCTTTGCCAATGGCCTCCGTGGTTACCTCACTCCCTCGGCTCGACGACGCCGGAGACAGGCTCGGCAGAAGGAACAGGCCAAGGCTGAGGAGCAGGCTGCGCGCGTGGCCAACTTCGAACAGACCTTGAGCACGAACCAGGTCGAGTACAAGATCCAGGAGATCGAGGACAAGACGGGGGCGTTGGAGAACAACGGCGTGAAGATCCTCTGGACTGATATCCACGATGCCCGACGGGCCGAGTCTTGGTCGGATCGCGTCCAGCACGGTGAGCTGGAGCTGTCCCGCGACCACGTCATGCCTGGACAGAAGCGCAACTACGACCAGGAAGTCCTGGCTGACAGCAGCTTCGAGGAGAAGAAGGCCTAAGCCTAGGCTGAGGAAATAGTGCGAGTGGGTCGTATGGATGTCTATATTTGAAAGATGTGTCTTTATGTATCGCATTATACAAATTTGTACTTTTAGATACTTAGCTTTCCTTGTGTTCTGGAATGATCAATGGCGTTTAGCAGACAGTGGGCTAGTACTGACACTCGTAGGTATATCGAATGCACAGAACCTTCCAACACTACACATCCGCTTTTCCCTTTCCACCTTCTAGGCATTTTCCAAATACATATATTCGATGTTTACTCAGTCTCCCAGATTTCTGCTCCTACGTATTCAACGCCTTAGGTTCTCCAAGTTCAAACCAATATTAAATGTAAACGTACTCCATATATTGACCGTCCGAATAAAGCATAAGTCGAATGATTTCGCTCTCCATACATTCCTAGACTCAAAAACCAACTATGACTAAACAGGGATGATGTGAGTTTCTTCGGGAAGCCGAAAATATAAGAGCTCCCGGTTGGGCCTACCATTGCGTTATTGTCATTTTTATTGGCTTGTTTTTTTCCTTTCTCGTTTTAAATTCTCTTTATATTTACTTGCTACGCAGTGATAACTTTCTCTATGTGGGTGGGTGTGGGCTGGATGATTCTTTAATTCATTATCTCTATCAACATCATTGATTGATCATAGGATCGGGTGGAAATGATATCCGCATAGTCATGCCAGTGCTAACCATCCACCTTTTGGATTAGGGTAGGCTGCAGGGATCAACTAGTCGAATAATCATTTACAGCGGAGTTAACAACTTTTGAGACGTATACGACAGACCGATCGAAAGATTAAGATCAAGTACTAACTGATAATTGAAACTGCAGGCTAGAATATAAATAACGAGGCGCATCCCGCTAGCTGCTTCCCATTCATGAAGAGAATTTGCAATATAGAGGAAGATACAATCTCGGAAAACAAGCATCGCGAGAGAAAAAAAAAAAAAGGAATAGCATAAGATAAGTAAGAAGTACATTTCTGTGTTGTAGTGGACCTTGTGCAGAATGCCATATCAACGCAGGGGAGATTCGAATCCTTTGATACAAAACGAGCTTAGAGACTCGAGTTCTGTGCCCACAAGCCTGAGAAAAAAAAAGAAAGGACAGATTAAGAAGGACGAGGAAAAAAACAGCGTGCGTAATAGAAAAGTCACTTCATTGTCTGAATACAGAAATGAGTCTCGCAAAGTCTCTATCTTCCTCTCAAATAAAGAGATGCCAATATCACATAGAACAGCTTTCGTTTAGAAGAAAAAAAAAAGATTGCTCAAGAACTGTTGCTGGGTTTGGACCCTTGGGAGATGTTCGCCTGGTTTACTATGGGCGTGTCACTGTGCTCGTTGACCGAAAGCTCGGGCCCGGGCTCGTCGTCCGACATTTTCTGTAATATTTCTTCGTTGGCCTTTTCGGCGGTCTCCGGGTCGTCTGATATCCCGGCGTTGGCCATGCTCTTTCTCGCTCCTTCGACGATCTTCTCGGCTTCGCTCACGCCGCGCTCGACGTTCGTGGGCGGGTCGCCGTCGACGCCGATGGGCTCAACGACTCGGTTGGCAACGCTTTTCACGCGCTCGGTGTCGAATCGGATCACCATACATGATAGATTGTCGGTGCTGAAACGCGAAAGAGCATGGTCGACGAGGATTTTCGATGCTTCCTGCGCATCGTGGACGTTCCGAATAAGGTCTACGGCTTCCTGGTCGCTGCAAACATCCCACAACTATTGACATTGTTAGCAATTGCTTCCCTCGTGGTAAGAAGTGTGTATCATAAAACTTACTCCGTCGCATGCCAAAATGATGAACTCATCGGCGTCCGGCTGGATCACCGTTTCTGTTGTGTAGGGATGCCCGGTGACTAGATCTTTGAGATATGCATCACCCAAGGCTCTGGTTACCGCAAGGACACCATTAACCCTGTTGTTGAGTATTAACCCTCCAGCGTGGGCTATCCGCTTGCCCTCATTCTCATCGCTACCTTTATGGTCATAGGACAACCGCAGCGCCTTCCCATTGCGGGACAAAATGGCACGCGCATCTCCAACGTTAGCTGTGTACAATATACGATGGCGTTGGGCTTTCCCTTGCGTCTTAGGGAATGATTTGCCGGTAGTGGTCAGCTGCGTGGGGGTGTCCCCAGCTTCCGAATTGCTATCGTCTTTGTTGGCAGAATTCGTCACCGGATTCGAACCCGACACTCTGTCTTCCCATCTCAGAAGAGCAATAACAGCAGTGCAGCCGCTGTTTTTCACAGGCAGCTTCTCTAATTGTTGATCGGCCGCAGTGAATGTGTGATCGAGAAGTTCCGGGACAGGTGTGTTCGGATTCTTTCGCATGGCTTCTTCCAGGATCAGATGGAGCTTCTTTCCGCACCACTCGGCGGCGAAAGTGCCTGCGTGTCCATCAAAGATAGCGAAATATCCGTTATCAGTCTCGACAACGCTGGTACTATCTTCGGCAGTCGGCGAAACGTCACCCCCATCGTTGGTCCCGGACTTGGCTGGGGTTGAAGATGAAGGCGATCCCAGGAAGTTGTAGAGATACGCATGCGTATCTTCCATAGTCCGACGACATTTTCGATTCCGATCTTCCGTGACGCCAACCCTGAATGATGAATGGAGGGTCGGCAGCGATTCTCCGGCCGAGTTATTCAATGAACCTTGGGGAACGCTCAATGCAGGATCCATATTCCCGGCTGAATGCAGCGTTGATGCGGGCCGAGGGTTGTAGTTGGCCAAAGTGCTTTCACGAGGACTACTGCTCAGGCTTAACGAGTTCTTCGCGTTAGAGAAGAAGGTGGCCGCTTTTGTGACCGTGCTACTCCGGCGCTTCTTGTCGGCGGAAGGGGCTTGGTCTTCGCTCGTTCGTCGTGTAAAGAATCCACCGGGAGGAGAGAATTTCTTCTGCACTACGCCGGCTTCTTCGGTCACCACGCCCTTGGAAGGGGTGTCGATGGCAGTCGAATGTGGGATGGTATCTAGTCTCTCTTTGGGTGGGCTCGAGGAGCCACTGAACATTCTGTTCAGTAACCCACCCTGGCTAGAAAAACTTCTCCGCTTGTTCCCTGCCAGCTTGATTGTCGGCGCCGGGTTTTGGGGGGAAAGATTATAGGCAAGTCAAACGTGTGACGCGGGGGTCGGCGACAACGGCAGCGAATGAGAGTGGCCGCAGATAAACCAAGGGAAGGACTTGCGGCGGAAACGAAGGAATGGAGCTACGTAGATGGAAAGTGTCAGTAAGTGAGCCAAGTAGTACTCTCTCCCAATTTAAATTGGAGTGACGGTGGCCATTATGGACCTCAGATGATTTCTGTCCAGCAATGCTGATCAGATGACGGATGGCGAGGGGGGTGGGTTCTGAGATGCAACGACGCAGGCCGAAGTACCTCGAATCCGGATCTCTCGCGTTGATTGTCAAAGGGAACGAAATCAGAAGACGATATATGTGCTAACAAGAAACGGGCACGAGTTTCGGGAGACGATCGCCAGTCATCGTGCCAGGCTCAGGGTGATCTGTCACGTCGTAGCTGGCACCCCGAGCATTTCGTGACCAACCCCACTGCGCGCCTATGGAAATGACAGGGTGCTAAGCCACCGAATGGCCAGAGGGTTGAATAGGGAGGTCATCAAAGGCACTCACGGAGACACGGGCGGCGGAACAAGTCACAGTTCAGAGATCGTGTAGGAGAAAGGGGAGATGTGGGAAATCCGACAACCCCGAGGCAGAAAAGGGAGGAGAATCGCAAGTGGTTGTAGTTGTAGTAGTTCGATGATGCTGGGGAGAGCAAGTCAGGTGCTCAGTCGGGGCAGCGGCTAACTAAGCACGGCGGGCGGTCGACCCAGCGAGTGCCGGAAACGCGGAATCTGCCCAGAACTGCCGGTGGAGCCGTTCCCATCCTCGTCCAAGAACTCGAAGTCGGACGGTCGGACTGTCCGGAGATTAGCGGCCGGACTTGGCTCGGCTTTACCCCTTGGTCACTGGACTGCTTTCATGCTCATGGGAGTACCATGACAGAGTATAACATATCGGTGGCTTTTATATGAGTATATATATCCTTTCATACGCCTCATGTCCTAGGTCGTCGTAAAGAAAAAGAATCCTCCTAATCCCATGAACTGAAATCACCGAACCCGCCCCTGCCTTTCAGCTTCTTTCGCATCGGTTCGGGTTCAGGCTCGTCCACAAATTCCACGATCTCATCCTCCTCTTGACCGGCCTGGTTGCTCAAAGCTGCCTTCAAGTACTTGCCCACGCCTCCGCCAGAGCTATCTCCCGTGTCGGTCGACCCTGCCCCCCGGACTCGTTTCCCCGTCCAGGTGATGTGGTCGTCTTCCTCACGTCGAGCATTCTCTTCTTGTTCCGCGGGGTCTGGTCCTGCCTTTCCGGCTGCCTCCTCTGCCTGCTTCTGCTTCAAGAACTCCTCGAACGGATCCACAAAGACCGTCACGTCTTTAATCCGAACGTCGGGCGTAGGTCGGTTCGTAGACTGATTGACCGGGTGGGTTTCGAGACTGTTCAGAGTAGGGGATGATGGTGTCGGATCGTCGATGATGTGTCCGAAAACGGTGTGCTTGAGATTCAGATGGGGCAGTGCACGATAGGCGATGAAACTGATGGAATCGGATCAGCGCCAGAACAGCATGAAGGGGGTCATGAGAGAAGAGAATCGGACTCACAATTGACTACTGTTGGTATTCTTACCCTTATTGGCCATGCTGAGGGTCCCGCGGGAGTCGTGTTTGAGAGGGCCCTCGAACTCATCGTTGAAATATTTGCCCCAGATACTCTCACCCCCGCGTCCAGTACCCGAAGGGTCGCCACCCTGGATCATGAAGCCTTTGATATTGCGATGGAAAGTGACGTCTTTGTAGTATCCCTTCTTGGCCAGCTTGATGAAGTTCCACACCGCCTTAGGCGCATACTCAGTATGGAGCTCCAAGTTCAAATCTCCGGATGTCGTTGAAAGTCGAGCGTAGCCCTTTTGCTTTACACGACCTCTCTTGAGCATGTATTCCTCGTCAGATAGCAGGGCGAGTTCACCAGACGTGTGCGGGGTCATCCCAGTGCTGGTAAACGAGGCGGCAGCCAGACCGGTGGTATGTTTAGCCGCATTGTACGGCACAGGTTTCCCTGCCTGCTGCGCAGTCGCCTTTTTGAGGGATGCTGAACCGGGAGTACCGTCCGCCTTGGTCTGAGATAGAGCACCAGAGCCCGTCCGCTGAGCCCTTTCCGAACGCGCCTTAGCGACCGCCTCTTTGGCCTTGAGAATTTTCGCAGAGCTCCCCAGCGCGTTGGTATTGACATTATCCGGCTGATCATCTCGCCCGGGGATATCGGTCTCGCCGTCCTTCAGGTAATTGAACGTACTCATATTCCTCGACTCGATGTTCTGCGGGTCCTGTAGCGTGACGATATCCTTCCGACTGAACTCCTCGTCCGTGACCAAGTCGCGCCACAATTTCCCCTTGATGTTCAAACGCTCCACAGTGTCCCATGCGAATACATTCCCCGTGTTCCGCAAGGCGACGATATGTGTGTTGTCGGTCAGGACTTTGTACGTGACCGGGTCGACGAATTCACCCGACTCGTTGGTTGGGATATGCAACTTGATCAGGTCGGCGCTTTTGAGCGGCGTGCCATCCACGGGATTCGTGCCATGTTTCTTAATCCAGGGGAGAATGTTGGTGAGGTCGAATATGGTACCGGACGGGGTGCAGACAGGATGCGAAAATGGCTGCAGAGAGAGGGAGCAGAACTTGAAGGGGAGACGCTTGAACGCCCCCTCCGCCCCGCCACGTCTAGCCTTTCCGACTCCTGCGCCTGCGTTGGCAGAAAAGGCATCCTCCGATGCCCACTCCGAGTGGGTGATCTATACGGTCGCGGTCAGTTTTGAGGGGCGTTTGAGTGTGATAAATTGCGGAGACATTGCGTACATAGAGTTTATCCGTTCCTAAGAAAGAATTCACGTTAGACCAGAGATCAGAGGGGAAAGAACGGTATCAGATGAAGACAACTAACCCTTTCCCATTGTAGCGGTGACAGCAAGATGCTGGATTTGACTTCGCAACGAGGTGACCGCAGTTGATGCCGCAAAAGCATGATGTATTGCGCCGGGATCTGTAAAGAAGGCTAGCCGCTTCGGGTTAGTGTTTGTGTAATATTACCATGAATACGACATGATTTCCATTTACTTCCAGCTCATGGCATAACCCTACTTTGTATATCCTCATCAAGGGAGAAGCTACAAGTAGAAATAAGTGATGTGAAACTGCACCGTTGCTAAGACAGGCTAAAGTGATAAGCATGAGATATAACTACATATAATACAACACGCTCCTTCGAAAATACCTTTTTCCGGGCAATCATAACCTGATGCCATTCCAGAATTAAACTCCATCCCAGATCAGCAGCGGGAGAGTGCTTCCAGGTTAATCCGACCTCTATTCCATAGGGCATTTTGACAGTGATACATATTTTCCTTTATTCCTTTTATTCAGGTCATTCAATCGTCAGGTGGATATGAGGTGGTCTCAGGCGGCGGACGCTTGGAAGCGCAGAGGGACCACCCAGCGGTTCCCAAAGTCAATCCCATGTCGCCGGCGAGTACCGTATTTTCTCCAAACAATCTGTGGGACACCGATATCTGCCACTGCAAGGTTCCAGGAGAGACCCTCTCCGGCGACCAATGCTTGAACCACCCCGGTTTTGGGTGCTCCGAGGCAAACGACCGATTTAGAATTGACGCACAATCGACCTCCTTCCACAATCGTGACTTCGCCTGTGAAAAGCTATGTTAGCAAAAGATGTTCTAGCATACCGCGATTATTCTTTGGGTACTTACCACTAGAAGCAGACAGTCCCGATGGTACATCAACAGACAGAACGTCAAGATTGCTTCGATTGGTCCAGGAGATCATTTCGAAAGCGGTAGCCTGGTCATCGGTGCGGAGGTCGTCAAACGCAATGTGAATGCCGAACAACGCATCAACTACCAAGTCTGGCCCCGATTCAGAGGTTGAAAGTCGGTTTGACAAGTCTTCCCATCGCAACACGCGTCCACCGATCTTCTTGAATACGTCGAGCTGTTTACGACAACTCTCCAGCAGCTCATTCTCATGCTCAATACCCAGCATGCAGGCGGTTACGCGGTGGCCTCTGTTACGGAGATGGCGAGCGGCGGAGATGGCTCTTGCGCCTGTCCGATGATTGCCTGTAAGCACCAAGATAGTAGGCGCAGCTGCGTCATTCGTAAGGAGGCCGACAGCAGCCTCTGCGATGCCCCTTCCAGCATTTTCGGTGATCATGTCTTCAGTCAAACCGAGTTCCGTGACGGCAATTTGCTCAACCTCAATGGTCTGTAAAGGGCTCACAGTTGGGCAACTTCTGTTGGTGGTAGTGAGACGCAAGGAGACTCCCGACACACCAGGCCCGCCTATCGGGGATGCTGAAACAGGGGTCTTGTTCGGACGAGGGCTCGTGGTGCGAGAAGAACTGAGTTGGCCTCGTCCGATGGTATTGAGTTGTGGGGGAGCGAGCGGCTGGCTCAGCAGAGCACTTCCTTTTCGAGAAGTCTGACCTCGTGCCGATGCTCTTGACAGCTCGCGTGCGGAGTAAGTCCCGCTGCTTAGCTTAGCATCACTGGGCTCGTTCTCACTCTCTTCGTTTTCACTTTCCTGGGGGCTATCAAGAACGTTCTCGGTCCAGTGTAAGTTCTTGCCCCCGTTGGTGCCAGGCTTGGGGACCTTTCTATTGAAGCTGACCAATCGAGCTTCGTCTGCGGTTGTGTCGTCGTTCCTGATTTCCTCAAACACTCGCCGCTTGTCGAACTTCGAAAGATTTGTTTGGAAGTCAAAATCCCCCAACTCTTGAATGTCGGTTGCATCTTCTGTCGCCCATCCACTGGGGTCTTCGGCGTAAGAGCCGCGGTTCTTCTTCTTCTTGCGGCGCTGCCCATTGAGAACCCCCTCTTTCTCTCCATGCGTTTGTGGAGAGTTTGTCAAGTGCGGATCGGATGGTTCAACGAAGGCAGTTTGACGCCAGCCTCGGGTCTTCGGGTTCGTGTTTGAAGCTCCATCATGCTCATTCACGGCGTTCGGATATCCACCCTGTCGAGGTTTCTTCTGCCCGCTTCGTCGATTTCGCTTTGACGCATACTGACTAGGCGCTTGCAATGGTGTCAATTCGTCTCTTGAACCGTAGACAGACTCGCGACGCTCCTCCACCTGTGGTGTGCCTCCCGCCCTGCCGTCTACATTCAGCTCCAGGTTACTGAATGGCTCCGTCAGCACTGCAGCCGGTTGAGTATGGGCGACTTGGGGCGGACGGGTCTGCCGCGGGGTTGGTTCATTTGGGAGGCTAGGCTGAAGCGGTCGGTTCTCCGGTTTCGAACCGTGGCTAGCTGGTTTGGACGGCGGCTTGGAAAAGCTCAAGATAGCGGGGTCAACGAACTGCTGTTGTTTTGCAGGAGCGGTCGGGGTTGTGTTTTGGTCTTGCTTTGCGGCATGCAGATTTTGCGATTGACCCTTGGCCAAAGATCCAAGAGAGAGGTCCGCGATATCGGTCGCATCAATAAAATAGAACGGAAGCACATGGTGAGTCCAAGATGGTTTCACTGTAAGTATCTAAAAGTTAGAGGAGAGGCTTTACACGGGGTGGTGCCAAGCGCGATCTTCATGCTTACCATTGTGAAGCTGTAACTGCTGGCCTTTGACATCGGCCACTTCTCCCTGGACGGTCGCATTGGGCGGTGCCTTGAGGGTCACGAGAACATTGTAGCCAATAAATTGGGACGCCATGATGAACAACGGACCATCGATTTAGTTGGTCAGCATCGGATGCTCATCCTATGGGGGGGAGGGGAAAGCGCAAAAGAGGCGGAGAGAGGGCAGGCTCGTACAGCGTCGCAAAAGTGAACTGTCAGCTTTCAATGGCTGCAGCTGCAGCTTCCGCTCTTCCCGTCACGTGTGATACGTCCTATCGATAAGAAAGTGCGATCCGTCACGGTGGGGCCGTTGCATTCGACTTCTTGCCTTTGGAAAGCTAAAGAGATCATCGTCGGAGAATTACAGTAGTAGGTTAGAACGTCCAGTGTACTTATGGTGCCCTATACTCACTCTCCTCAAACCCCCAGTGAATAAGTGCGCTAATGGATTTCCCTTGGCATGCCACTAATTTTCCCTGCAGTGCCACATCCAATTGGAGTTGTAACCGCCCATAGCCCTCCAGGGTTACAGTTTGGAGGCCTGTGGTTCTACAGCCTACAAAGCCCATATCACTTTCGGTATATGGAGCTGTCTGTTATTTAGGAAGGATGATAGCAAAATTCTGTACTGGTCACTAAGTCATTTCATAATACTACTTTCCAGGAAGATAATCCTTTGTTAGTATTTATAGGTATATATATAGTTAGACATGGGAGTAGGATCTACTTGTTTGATGTGAAGCCCAACTTAACAAACCAAGGACTCTGAAAGCCTTCCACGTATTGAAGTATATATTAATGTATAAGGGTCTATATTAGCGATTATTCTTGGATTGAATGTTGCGCATATTCGTAAACCTATAAAGTGCTGGTCGATCTAGACTTGCCTTTCGTGCTTCTATAGATGCCCTTCGCCAGCCTTGTTCTTTGTTTATTCAGCGCATCAGGCTGAACAAAGAAGAGGCAAAAAGAAGAAGGTCATACAACGTATTAATGGATCCCGCGATGCAGTTTTATATGGATTATAACACTATTTATAAACAAGGCAAGCAGACCAAAACTTACTGCACCCCGGAATCGAACCCGGATAGGCTGGGTCCTCAATAATCCCCGCTGGGTGTAACTCCTCTTGGGCGCGACTTTACCAAGAGCTGGAGGAAGGGAACCTGTCTTCGGTCTGGTAGGCTGCATATGTATAATGTATAATTCTTGGCATAATGTGAATTAGGCTAGCAGTAGTCGACCGGATAGCTGAGCCGACATTATTAATGGCATGAGATTAAAATTTGATTTCAAAGCTTCTTGAAAATCCTTCCACTTGGGCATAATTCCTTCAGCAGGAATTGTGGTTTCATGCTGGTTCGATTGATGGATTGTGGTGCATAACTCCCTTATACCGGCAGCGGCTGCATAAGCGGCGCACGAAGCACTGAATCAGCGGCTCCACTTGGCCAACTTCCCTCCTCCAACCCAAAGGCTTCCCCGGGACAAACCCCAGAACTCCGTCCAAGCCAGATGAATGATTCATTGTCCTCGAGAGCTTCCCAGCTTATCCAGTATCCACACGGCACAGCACAGCATCCATTCCAAGGTTGCACATCGCCTTACCGCGTGCATAAGCCGCAGTCACGCAACGAATCACCCAACAACCGGCTAAGCTCTGGCTTTTGCGCCCCCCGTCTGGGTCCGTCCATGGCGGCTTCCATGGCTCAATCGCTGGTTCTTTCGAGAAACTCGGTGTACTCTCGTGTTTTATGTGCATAATCGTTGCCGTTTCTAATAAACTTCGACCATAATCTAGGAACTAAACTAATATCTCATCACATCCCGTTGTTGATTGGCCCGACCTACTCGTGACACGGTCCTGCATGCGTCGCCACCAAGCAGTTAGGACCCCGTCCTTAGCGCTCTCGTTCCTCTATCACATCGGGCTCACCCCGACGGACCGGCCCTCGCGGAATTTATGCAGGCGGTTTGGGGATAAGGCTTTGTGAACAACCTCTCCTCACCCTTTTGCTCGAGGCATAATATGCATCGCTACCTATCAACCACCCTGGTTATGATGACGGATGACGAAACGCTGCCCACCGTCGGGCATAGACTAGATGGGATGGTCCAAAATTTATCAATCACTCAAGCTGACCGCATTGAGCTGATGGTTGTTTTCTAAACCCATGATCCATGATCCACTCTTAACTCCGTTGCTCATGGTTAGACTTTTATAATAGATCTAGAGGCCCATCAGCCTCGTCCTGCAATTGATCCACTTTCCGACCTTTTAATAATGACTGGTGTTGGGCATACGGAGTGGTCTCTTGTTTCCGTGACTGCTTATCATGCTTGCTTTTCCCTCTTCTAATTTAGCCTAACGTACCCTTTCTTTTCAATACCATTTTTTTCCCATTCAAAATTTACCTGTTGTGGTCCCATCTCCCCCTATAACAGCTTTGCTCACAGACTGCGAGGTAATAAGCAATTCGAAAACTTGCGCAGCAAGTCGGGCGCAATGGAACAACCGCAGACAACAAGAATTCCCTACTGGAAGCTGCTTCTGGACCAGGGAATCGTCACTGATGAGATTGCCAACTACCCTTACCCCGGCAGTGGCACTGAAGATGACCCGTATCTCGTCTCATGGCTTCCTAATGACCCGCGGAACCCAATGACCTTTCCGGAGTACAAAAAATGGATGTATACGCTTGCCGTGTCCATATCAACCTTGGCGGTTGCTCTGGTCTCGTCTGCTTATTCTGGTGGCATAGCTGAGATCATGGCGGACTTCCATATCGGAACTGAGGTTGCGACTCTGGGTATATCGTACGTCAATCTTAGTTAGTCCTTTTCAATGTTGGATGCTGACCCTTTATCCCAATGCGTAGGCTTTTCGTCTTAGGGTTTGCCATCGGACCTCTGCTATGGGCCCCCCTCAGTGAACTCTTTGGTCGCCAATATCTCTTCACCATAAGCTATTGCGGTTTGACCATCTTTAATGCGGCTGCCACAGGCGCGAAAAACCCCGAGTCTTTGATCATTTTTCGATTTTTCGCCGGTTGCTTCGGATCTTCGCCACTGACCAATGCTGGTGGTATTATTGCGGACATGTTTTCCGCACGTCACCGCGGACTGGCAATGAGTCTTTTCGCATCTGCTCCTTTCATGGGTCCTGTTATTGGGCCTATCGTCGGAGGGTTCCTTGGTGAAAGTGCAGGCTGGAAATGGGTCATGGGTCTTCTAGCAGCCTTTTCTGGAACTGTCTGGATCGCCTGCAGTCTCTTCGTCCCGGAAACCTATGGGCCAGTGCTTCTACGAAGAAGAGCCGCTCGGCTGTCATCTCTAAAGGGGAAAGTTTATCTTTCTCAGCTTGATGCAAAGCAGGGGGGAATCCCAACGATTACAGAAGCATTTAAAACCGCCCTCTCCCGTCCCTGGGTTCTTCTCTTCAAGGAACCTATTGTCTTGCTCCTATCCATCTACATGGCAATTATCTACGGCACACTTTACATGCTCTTCGCGGCATTCCCAATCGTCTATCAGCAATACCGTGGCTGGAGCCAAGGTATCTCCGGCCTTGCCTTCCTAGGTATTCTTATTGGCATGCTCTGCGCACTCGCCTTCACCATATACGATAACAAGCGATATATCGACGCCCAGGCCAAACACAACGGTTTCGCTCCTCCCGAGGCCCGTCTCCCCCCCTGCATGATCGCTTCCATCGCCGTCCCAATCGGCCTCTTCTGGTTCGCTTGGACCAACTACCCCAGTATCCACTGGATGGCCAGTATCGCAGCCGGCGCACCCTTCGGGTTCGGAATGGTCCTCCTCTTCCTGAGCGTCATGAACTACCTCATCGACTCCTACACCATCTTCGCCGCCTCCGTCCTCGCCGCCAACTCCGTCCTGCGTTCCATCTTCGGCGCCGTCTTCCCCCTCTTCACCAAATACATGTACGCCGACCTCGGCATCCACTGGGCCTCCAGCATCCCAGCCTTCCTCGCCTTAGCCTGCGTTCCCTTCCCCTTCCTCTTCTACAAATATGGCGCCGCTATCCGCCAGCGCTGCAAATTCGCCGCTCAATCGGACGCCTTCATGCGCCAGATGATGGAGGGCGCCGCTGCCGCGAAAAAGCCAGACGCAGCCGAGCCCCCTGCTCGCGCTGAACCCGAACCCGGACTCCCGGCTTTAGACGAGAAGCCTGAACACAAGCCCTCGTCCTCGGACTTGCATTCAAACACAACTCCCTCTGACTCCGACGTCAATGAACTTCCGTCGGAGTCGGTCCGTCGCAGTCGCACCTTCTCGTTGCATTCTCGCCGCGCGAGCACCGTCGAGTCGAAGCCCGCGTACGAGGAAAACCCGTATGATATCGATCGCGTGCATACGCGGGAATCATTTAAGTAGGTCGATGCCGAAGTCAACGGGAGTATAATCTAGGTTTGTGTAGAAAAAGCTTTTGAGTTCTTGTGTTCATAGACAATAGATGGCATTTGGCATTTGTTTGATATTCATGCTGATTGTTGTCTTGGGGAATTTAAGCCCCCCTTTTTGATTTTTTCTTTTGAATTTTATTTTCTTCTCTTTCTCTTTTCTTGCCTTTTAATTCGACTTTCTATACCTCTTTTTGTTCCTAATACCTCTCCTGTCTCCAGGCTTTTCATCTTCTTGGTTATCTTTTAATATTTGGAATATTTTTGTTCTTCTGCATCGCACGCCTCTCTAGATAGAAACCCAACCTACAAAATTATACACAGTGACTCACATTAAGCATATTCATTTCCATATCTGAGACAAGATAAACCACAGATTGTATTCCAGCCGGGGAGTAGTGAGCCCGTATCGGCTGACGTATGAATGATATCAATATTTGGCAGTTTAGGTAGATTTAAAATAAACAAGTAGTTAAACGCTCCGTAGACCCGGGAAAAGAAAAAAGAAAGAAAATTTCAAACATGAAATGCGAGAGAATCTATCCCTGCAGATTCGACTAACAGCAAGAGCTACCCATCTACAATCCGTATAGTTCCTCTAGATAGTCTTCTTCGTCGGAGTCCCCAAGCTCATTCGTCACTCGACCAGCGGGAGGTTCATTGTTGGTGTTGGCATTGCCCTTCGGCTTGATAACCTCGGTGATGCTCACCAGGTTGGAGTAGAATTCCGTGACCTTGGGATGAACCATGACCTTGCGCGGCTCGAAGCGCATGACCTGGAGACCTTCTTTGCTGGTAGCACGACTAAGCGCAACATAGGCCTGGCCTCGCTCGAAGACTTTGCCGAGGTCAACCTTGACTCGCTGGAGGGTTTGGCCCTGGGCTTTGTGGATGGAGAGAGCCCACGCGAGGATGAGCGGGACTTGTTGGCGCTGGGCCTGGATTTCACCGTTGGGCAGCTCGATCTTCCAGGCTTCGGGCTGGCAGAGCAGATGTCGTTCGCTGCCATCGGGTTGCACGAAACACACGAGAGGCCATTTTTTGGTGACAGCGATGCCGCCGGCGTCCTTGTTGATCATGGCTTTGAGCTTCTTGCGCGCGTGGATCGCCTTCTCGTCGTCGCTGGCGTCGCCGGGATCCCCAGAGAAATCGGTCTCGTTTTCGCGGTAGTGGTCGAAGGTTGCTTCGTCCATGAATGCGACGACGCGGCCGATGGATCCATTGACTAGGGTTTCTTCCATGTTTTTGATGAGCATCACCTGGGCACCTTTCTTGAGGTGGATCACGGGTGGTGCCATGCAGTTCGATAGCAGCTTTTCACGGTATTCGGGTTCTTTGATCGTTCCTGAATCTTGCGCAGTGAAGGTCATCAGTTCGCCTGATAGCCTCTGCATTCGGGCACTATTTGCGTAGTCGACCTCTTGGCGCGTGGGAAACCTAAACAAAGAATCTAGATTAGTACAGTTCGCATAAGTTACCAGAGAAGGCCATCCTACAATTCCGTGGCCTCGAGGGAGTCATGAAAGTCGAGGGGTCGAGCGAGTGACTTGAAGATCGCGATCGACTGAGGACTTAACTTGCCCAATCTCATCTCATTCAGCATTCCAGCAAACTGGGGGTCTGACTGACGGAAGACATTGGTCAAAAGAATCGTGTGCTGAATGGAAGTATTCCAAGTGCCGGCTGCAAATGCAAACTTTGCGTCTCGACTGTTCTTCTCAGGCACTGGGGGCAACTGGAAAAAGTCTCCAGTAACGACAAGCTGGATGCCTCCAAATGGTCGGCCGTTGTTTCTCATTTTACGGGCAATGTCCTCTAGCTTATCAAAAAGATCACCATCAACCATGGACACCTCATCGATAACCAGGACCTTTGTGCGCAGCCAGCGATTCTTGGCTTTGGGGTTTCTCTTAATCTGTAAAGAATGTTAATACGCTCGAATGTCAACGGGGACGAAGTTATGATGACCTTCTTGACAAGCTCAGGAACAGGCTCTTTGCCTAGCCCAATGCCTGCGAAGCTGTGCAAAGTAACTCCCTCAATGTTACAGGCAGCAAGTCCCGTGGAAGCAGTAACGGCCACTCGATCCGGCTCCCTCCTGTATTTGTCCCGCAATTTCTTGATGATCTCCCTCATGAGAACGGATTTACCAGTACCAGCTGAACCAGTGAAGAACATGCTCTTTCCGCCTTGAACCACAGCGTCCAGTACATGGCGCTGCTCATCACTGAGAAACAGCGACGCGAGCTTCGACTTCGGTTTGTGTTTCGTCTCCTTCTGGCTTTTCTTTGCCTGCCGACGTAGCTCTTTTTGTTCCTCTTTAATAGCACTGGCCGTCTTGTTCCACGGGGCTGTATTCTTCGGCTTTGGACGCACGGGAGTTTCTGGTTTTTTGTATTCAGGCTCAGGTGCCGGCTCTTCGTTCTTCAGCCACGGGAGGGTTCGACGGTTGGCAGGGTTCTGGAAATGGGACGGAGGTGAGGAGGACCAAGGGTATTGAATGCTGCTTGACGGTGGGACTTGCTCGTCAGGGACAGGCGGGAGTTCTGGGTATTTCACATCCAACGAATCATCGCTAATTGTGATGACCTCCGACTTCTTTTGTGCGGCACTTGTTTTCGAGGTATCATTCAATCTTGGTATGTCATTTGAACTCGACGTTTTATTCGTCTCCTGCACTTGCGCACTGGGCCGTACGATTTTGGGCGGGGGAATGAAGGGATCTGGTTCCTCGAAATCCAAGTCATCGTCATCATCAAAGTCATTTTCATCAAAATATACCGCACTAGTATGCAACGATCCCAAACCCGTTTGCCCGGCACTCGTCATCTCGATCTTTCGTTTGACACCTAGCGATTGTGGAGGTGGGGCCTTCGATTGACTGTTTGCATTGTTGTTGAACAGAGTAGACTGAAAAGACGGCTTTGCAGGTGGTCCCGTGTGGTCTTGCACAGCCTTTTTGAACATCGCAGCTTCCTGTCACTTGAGAACTGAGATAGCGAATACCGCGGAACAACTTGGGTTATCAATGTGAGCCCATGCAATGAGTATCGGTCGCGCGAGAATAGGGAGCCTGGTATGATCCCACCATGTACAGAGACTGTACAACAGATTCGTAGCTTCAATAGATGATTAAATACCCCCACATGCAAGAGTCCACTGCATCAGGAAGATTTCGCGAAGCTGTCGCGTTCCTCCGAAAGATAAAACGCGCCGCCTATCACACGTGACTCCGATAAGGGCTGGATCCGGGGCGCGCTAATAGTGATCAGCACATCAATGTCAGTGAACCAACATTAGAAGAGAAATTGATCGAGGGATTTAGCTATAGTTGAATATATTCTAGAATGGTATAAATTGTTTGTAGTATAGCAAAGACGTCGTGAGTCTCGCTGAGGGGCAATCTGGTTGCAACTCGTCTCGAGGTATGTAGTCACGTGACCGCGTTCCGCCGACACGCGCCGGCCAATGCCGCATCGGAATTATCCAAGCAAGCAATCCCACGGCGCATGAGCAGAAGGTCTCGACTCTGCCAATCATGAAGTATGGCAGAGAAATCAAATTCAAGTGAGTAATTATCTGGCAATTAATCAACATGACAGCCAGATCGCTGATTACGAATCAGACAAAGAGCATCCTCTTGCGGGGATTGTCCTTTGCTTTACCTCCATTCTACCGGAGCAGAGGGTGAGTTATTGCACCTGTCTTTTTCTTGAATATTTGGAACCATTACTGACGCATCTCGCTTTCCTAGACTGAGCTAGCGACCATCGCAGGTCAGATGGGAGCAACTCACAAGTACGACCTTACCTCCGACGTTACCCATCTGATCGTCGGCGAAACAAACACTGCCAAATATAAGTTTGTTGCGCGAGAGCGAGCGGATGTCACCGTTTTAAGACCGGAATGGATCGAAGCAGTACGGCAGTCGTGGATGGAGGGAGGAGATACAAACATTCGAGCCCTCGAACTTGAGCATCGACTGCCAGCCTTTGCGGGGTTGGCCATTTGCATAACGGGCTTCGAAGACAGTGAGTGAACTTCTCGCATGCTTATCAGTATGATTGTTAGGAAAGCTTACAAGTTTTCTCCTAGTGACCTTCCGAAACCACATCCAGGACACGGCGAATGCGAACGGAGCCGAATTCAAAAAAGATCTCACGAAGAGCGTCACGCACCTTATCGCGCGGAATACCGACGGCCAGAAGTATAAGTTTGCAACGCAATGGAATATCAAAGTCGTCACTGTAAAATGGTTCAACGAAAGTCTCGAGCGGGGAATGGTCCTGGAAGAGACTCTGTACCATCCCCTTCTGCCGGAGGAGCAACAGGGTGCTGGGGCCTGGAATCGCTCTATCCCTACAGTCAAGGCAAAGGCCCCCGAGAACGAAAACCCGCCAAATCATCGTCCTCGGAAACTGCGTCGGGTTGCCAGTGCGAAGCTGGGTGACCAGAACGAAGGGATCTGGGGAGATATTGTCGGCATGGGATTTGAGACCGGTGACTCGGGGCGTTCCAAGGGCAGCCAACAGAAAGAAGGAAGTCAGAAACTCACAAGACGGGAATCCATAGTCCAGGAAGCCCGATCGTTCGCTAGTGAGACCACCTTTGCAGAGGCCCAGGGGTCTCGTCAGCAGTCCCACGAAGCGACGAGTGCCGGTGATGGGTTTCTTCACGATTGCTTCTTCTTGGTTTATGGCTTCTCTTCTAAACAGGTATGTACAGCATAACCACGTCGCTTACAGTAGCTTATTATTCTACAGACAAAGGTACTGCGCCATCATCTTTCGTTTAATGGTGCGCAATTGGTGGAATCTTTGAGCGAGTTTTCTCGTCCGGATATTCCAAAGAGAGGCCAGGGCCTTTATATCATCGTTTCGCACAAGATTCCTCCCAGCCAGATCCCTTCCACAGACGATTTAGCATTCGAATGTGAGATAGTGACAGACATGTGGCTCGAAAGATGTCTTGACGCCAAAGCATTGGTACCTCCCGAATCACACGTCGCAAACACGCCAGTCCGAAGATTTCCCATCCCAGGTAGGTTCTCAGTTGGTTCATATTGGCGCAGTGTCTAATGATAATAGGATTCCACGAGACGCGAGTTTGCTCTACCGGATTTTCTCGCATCGATCTTCTCCACCTATCCAAACTTGTTCACTTGATCGGTAGGTCGTAGCCTTTTATCTCAGTCATATCTAGTCTGACTTCTTAGGTGCATCATACAACGAATACTTGACGCCAAGTGCATCAGTCCTTGTTTGCTATGACCCCAGTACCGTCAATCAGGACAAGCTTCGCCATACAGCTGAATGGGGAGTACCGGCAGTGACCGCCGACTGGCTTTGGAATTCCATTCGCAGAGAACAGAAACAGCCTTTTGAGCCATATATTATTCGACGACCAAACTCTCAACGACCCTCTTCCCAGAACACTAGAAACCTAGAGATGCGCGTTAGCTCGCGTCCTGAAAAGCGGCCACTCGAGAACCCGAATGACAGCAACAAAGTCGCAGATTCTCCCACAAAGGCCCAAAAGATCGGTTCCATCCAGTCACCGGACGGCCGTGGCACTCCATCTGATAGACGTTCAAATTCTGTGCAAGAGAAATCACCACAGAAGTTGAAATCAAACCTCTCACATAAACCCTCATCTGACCCCCAACCCCAACCCAAACGAAAATCCCAATCACCAGAAAAGAACTCCCAAAACACCTCCTCATCCAAACCCAAACCCCCAAGCCAACCAACCACTACCCCCGCCGACCTCGCCACCGTCAGCGACTTCCTCAAACAAGCCCGCGAAGCCAACTCTCGCTCCAACTCCGACCCAACAGAGCACCTCAACCAGCGCCGCAAGCGCAAGCCCCTCCTCGGCCGCGCCCCATCCCACTCCTCCCGCAACGCCGTCGACCATCCCGGGCGTGGCTTCTCGCGCGCCAGCTCCATCGACACCCTCAACGAAGACGGCTGCGGCAGCGCCATCGAAAGCATCAACACGGACGGGATCCCCTCCCTCGCGAACAGCGGCCGCTTCGAGTACGCCGAGGACGAGCAGCATCTGTACCGCGAGGAACTGGAGCCCGAGTCCCCGCCCATGACGCAGCTGCACTACGAGGATCCCGATGCGATTGCCATGCGCGAGAAGTTCCTGTCGCATGCCGGGAAGCTGGCGGATAAAGCGTCCTCTTTGCCGAGCAAGACGCAGGACCCGGCCATTGGGGAGGTCAAGGATCTTGAGAATGCGGGGTGGGGGACTGGACGGCGCACGAGGAATGCGAATAAGGTCCTGAAGGATTTGTAGACTTGATTGATTAGGTTCGGTAGTTTGCTGGTGTGATTTGTGTTTCTTGTGGTGTTTATCATGTCTTTTTCTCTTTCTCTGATTTAATGCATGGCGAGGCGTCGGTCATTGATATCCGTCTCTCTAGATAGCTTGTTTGGTCCGTTGGGTTTTGGTTTATTATCAAAGCGGATGAATGCCATTTCTTTTGATGTACTGAATGGACCCTGTTTCTGGAGACGGTTTAATTACCAAGCGTAGAGTTTATTGGAAAGAATTGCAAATGGACTTTACGCCGTGTAATAACTATAAAGAGGCGGAGAAAAATCCCCAATTCCAGAAAAGATTATAGTAATATTACCAGCGAACACACCAACGCACGCCATGTGGGATATCGAATTATTGAAGAAGCTGAATACATCACGTCTCTGAGAACATAGCCAAAGAAACAAGTGTATGAAAAACAACCCTTGAAAGATAAAGAGAAACAAAAGGAAAAGAAAGGAGAATGTAACAGTGACCCTGACTGGAGAGAAGAAGGGTAGGGAGGGGTGGGTAAGGATGAAAAAAAGAATGGTGATACATGGGGATAGTTTTAAAGAAACAACGCAAACCACCAATCCATCAAAACAGCAAAGGTCTTCGTACAGCATCGTCGTCATCGGTTTTGTGCTATCATAGGCCGTGAGCCGCCATGCCCCCGGGCAATGGGGCATCGAGGTCTATGGAGTCAACAGAGGTTCTGTTTTCGCCACTTTCGCGGAAGAGGTTGACGAAGTATTTGCTGGCAGATTCGCTCTCGTGCTTCGTCTTGCTGACTTCCTGCTTGCGTTTTCCAAGGTCCTCAATGCCTTGTGCGAGGCTGGTTTGGAGGTTGCCGGCGGGTAGGCGAAGAATGCGGCGGACTTCTGATGAGATGCGGTTCGCGTTGGAGTGCACGTAGTCCATTTCAGAAAGTTTGACGGCAAGCTTGCGAGAGAGGCGGGGTGGCAGGGTGCTTGGGATTTGCGAAACCATGTATGCAGCGGTCAAAAGGGCTGTGAAAGTTAGCTGATGCTTCATCTAAAGTAAATAAATCGAACAGCACTTACCAGCAGCGACCACGCCAGGGAAGAACAGACGTCGCACGTTGTTAGGTCCAAGAATCTTGACAGCACTGAACATGCTATCGATCCAGCTGACTCCACCCAGAGCTCTGCCTCCAACAACAGTCAAAGCGGTCATAGCCATGCCCGTTCCGGCCATCTTCTCCTGGCGCTCCCAGAGGCCAGAGATATCGAAGAAATCCAACAGCTCGACTTCCGTGTCGACCTGCCGGGCAAATGTATGACGACGACCGCGACGGAACATCATGTCAGCGCGGAATTGGAGGGGAGCGAACTTGTCTTCCCCGACATGTAGGAGACCGATGTTCTGGATGAAACCGACTCCCTTGACTGTCCTGTCACGCGCATAGTCCTCGCAGTTCGAGACTGAGGATGCAATTTGCTCCAGCATGGCCACCTTCAAATCTTCGGCATATTGGAACGCGGAGAGGAACCCGGGGTATTCGACACCAAGATCGGCATCAGATACACGAGCAATGGTGTCGGAAAGGGTGGTGCGGGTATGGTTATAGACGTCGTCGCAGGAATCATCGATGCATTTATCAACCTGAACATCAAGCTCAACCTTCTTCTTCTTACCGTCCTCGTAGGCCGGCTCAAGCTCCGCGAGTTCTTCTGTGACACGCTTAAGCTCAGCTTGAGCGACATCGCGATTGACCCCGGCCAACGAGTTCAGGTCCGCAAGCAAGTTGAGAAGGTAAGTCCGGGCGGGAGCAAGCTTCGACCGGGAACGCTTCTCCAGAACGAACCGTCGTAGCGAGCTCTCCAGGTTTTCAAAGTCTTGAATCTTCTGCTTCTCTTTTCCTTTGTCCTTTCCTTTTCCCTTTTTATCGTTTGAATCGTCGTCATCGTCATGCGGATCGGAGTCTCCGCCGCCGCCACCACCACCGCCGGAGCTTTCGACGGACATCGGAGGGGCAACTGGAACAGCATTACTGGAAACGAAGTGAACGAGTTCTGCAGCTTCCTTGTATGTACGAGGGCTGAGTTTGTTGATTTGATCCAGGATCATCCGTTCGCATCGTTGCTTGTCCCGGATTTGATCGAAGCCGTTGACTACCATGAACATGTAAGCCTTCTCATGCGCAGCATTGTGAATGAAGTCCTTGGCGGAGAGCGTAAAGTGGTTGGCGGCAGAAACCACAAAGACAACGACGTCGATCTCTTCCTGCCGAGCGAAAACTGCCGTGGTTTTCAAAGAGTCCGAGTTCAGGCCAGGGGCGTCAATCAAAGCAATATCAACCACCCCGTTGTTCAATAGAGATTCATCGATAGTTCGCACATCCTTCACGTAAACCTTGCACTGCATGTAGTGAGAGTTGTCGATCACAATGTTCTCCAGCTCCTTCAAGGGGTACACGTCGTAGGTGCTCTCGTCGTTGCGATTGTACTGCTTTTCCTTGTGCACGGCATGCACCTCCTCAAGCCCGCTGTTCTCTCGAGCATCCAGAACTTCGCAGAAGATACTGGTGCAGGGTTGCTGATCTTCCGGAAGCACCTTGCGCCGCAGCAAAGCATTGCAGAAGGTTGACTTTCCTGCGTTCAGGTCACCGGTGATCAGAACCTTACTCGACGTATCCTCGATTCTGTCGCGCAACGAAAGGAGGTGCTTGACACTTTGACTGATTTTTCCGTCCAGGAGAGAGGCGATAGACGACTTTTCCAAGGAATGCACCAGCTCGGCCTGAGACAAAGCACCAAGCTTTAAATCCAACTTCAAAATCGAGAACTCCTGTGCGATCTGCGGGCTCATCAGCCTCGGCTCGGGGGTGGTTCGACGCTCCGCGGTGGAACTGGATTCCGCCAATTCATCGTTGGTAGGCATCGTCGCCGCACGTCTCATCATGCCGGGCCGGGGATCCTCCACCTCCTCATTATTCAAGCCGAACGACTGGGTGTGTTGCAATGTAGGTCGCGAGGGATCGGGGTTCTGGACGGAGGGATAGTGGGCCGGCCACTGGCGATTCATATCCTGGAGTTCCTTCAGTGTTTCGATGGTGCGCGAGATCGCTCGACCGAGCTTCGTCCTGTTTTGATTGCTGTGAGAGCTTTTAGCATCTCAGTCGCGTCTTCGGGGTTTAGAATCATACTATTGTAATTGATGAACATGACTCGCCACCACCTGTCTCTCGTGTTCGGCTGCGATTTCAGACCGTCAGTAAGCGCCAACAACAACTTCTATCCCGCCAGAACACTGGATCCAAGAGCGACTAACCAGCTTCATTGTAATACCCCGGGTACGATGGGGTATGCATCGGGGTTGGTCGGTCTTCCAACAGCTCCGACCTGATCCTACCGCCACCATTTCCATCCATGACGCTGCCACTCGCGATGCTACCACCGTAACCGGAATCCTCCTCCAACGAAGCCATCAGGCGCGTGGCGCTCTCCGAAGTCGAACCATTGCCGACGGTCATGTACGCGGGCGGGGCGTTCGGAAGGGCAGGGTTCTGTGAAGACTCGTCGGGAGCATGTCTGGACGAACCCTCACCGGCCGAGGAACCGCCCATGCCGGGGAAATACTCCTGACTCATGACGAAAGGGGTGTGGTTTGCATGAGAGTCTAGTAGAAGATAACTAAAAGTTCGAAGGCGATATGGCAAAATGCAATGCTTGAAGGCGGAAACTTGTTTTTTTGGTCCGGAGAAAGTCGCGGAGCTTACGTGATGCCTTCCTGAATGGGACTAGTTGCTGCATGTGACTCGCCCGTCATCGCGTCGAACGGTTCCTTTTCCTCTTTGGTTGTTTTAGTGGGCTGAGCTTGATGTCACCGCGGCTGGCTCGCTGTGGACACCTCGGGCTTGTGTCTCTCTCCGCTTTTACGTGAATGTCTATTTTTCTGTTTACGCCATCATGAATGTAGGTTATCCTGGAGAGCGTTTCGTGTGTTGTCCCACTGACAGCCCTTCTAGATCGTCGAGTGGGCCTTCGGAAAGCGCATGACGCCGGCCGAGCGTCTGCGCAAACATCAACGAGCTCTGGACAGGACGCAGCGTGAGCTCGATCGAGAACGGGTCAAGTTGGAGAACCAAGAAAAGAAGCTGGTCGCGGATATCAAGAAGAGTGCCAAGAATGGTCAGATCGGGGCCTGTAAGATCCAGGCGAAGGACCTGGTTCGGACGAGACGGTACGCTGTGGAATGACGAACCCTCCCTGGTTGATTTGATCTAACGACCTGTTCTTTCAGGTACGTTCAGAAGTTTTACCAGATGCGAACGCAGCTACAGGCTATCTCGCTGCGGATTCAGGTACGAACCTCCAAGCCCTATCGCCACAGCGCATTCACGCTGACCTATTACCTCTGGTAGACCGTTCGAAGCAACGAACAGATGATGCAGTCGATGAAGGGCGCAACCATGCTACTCGGCAGCATGAACCGGCAGATGAACCTTCCCGCGCTCCAGCGAATTGCCATGGAATTTGAACGCGAAAACGATGTTATGGATCAACGACAAGAGATGATGGACGACGCAATCGACGAAGCCACGGGGATGGAAGGAGAGGAGGAAGAAGGCGAAGACATTGTCAAGGAAGTCCTGGACGAAATCGGTGTCGACCTGAACCAAGCGGTAGGTCTCTTGCGACCATCAGTATGGGATGATACTAACTTTTTGCAGCTGGGTGAGACTCCAACAGATATACAGAAGACGGCGGTCGCAGAGAACAGAGTCGCTCAGCCGGTTGGTGCTGGCGGAGGACCTACTACTAGTGATGATGACTTGCAAGCCAGGCTTGACAGCCTCCGTCGATGATTCAGATATGCCTTGTTTGCTTGCAGTTTTCATCTTCGCTCTGTTCCTTGGTATTTCCACGTTTATGTTCACGCGGGGATGATAAGCGTGTTTCCTGCATCAACTGAATCAGACAGTTTGGGCATCCACGGTCCCATGATTTGACCTGCTGTGATCCAACTACGAATTGAACGCTCTCACGTTATGGAGTTCTATCTTATGCCCATTTATAGAGTTTCTAATTAAACTACTGTTGCCATGGTTTTATCTATGCGGACCATATAGTGGATCCTTGAGCAGGAAGACCACAACTTGTAAGGCAAGTTCATCTTTGCTGCTAGAATATCACAATGTAGCGCTGCCAAGAGGGAGGGACCAAAAGCGTGAAATCGAATGAAGAAAGAATAACAACATACATGAAGAGTTCATCCCAAATACAAAATGCGAAGACAGCGTCGGGGTTATTGATAATACCTTATTTAAAAACCTCCACAAGTCCTCAGAAGTCTAGCAGGCAAGAATAAAGGCAGACTGATGGGCATCAATTGTAGTTTGTAATGATCAACTTGTTTACCAAGGTAAATATCGATGCCTAAATAGTATGTACCTATCTGTAGTTACGAGGTATTCTTACCCATCAGTCTGCCAGATTCTTCAGGAGTTAAACCCCAGGCGCCACTCCGAAGGATATCGCCTTAAATAATATTTCCGGTAATAATTAACCACCTTTTTATGACCACCTTAAGGAGACTAATATCACTAAAACCAATCTTAACTATAAATACCTCGGTAAAACGGATATAGGCGGGTGATATGAAGAAGAAATACAATTGCCTCAGGCAGAAAGCTACGGATATATAAGTAGACGCACGGACCCCCACCCGCTCCAAAGCGACTAGCGGCGGCCGACGACCGCCGCCAACGCCGACGATCCTGAGAGGAGATAATCTGACATGTTGGATTACTGCGCACTCCGTACCTCCTACTTGTTATTCTTGCTGCGTCAACATGGTGGCGGCCGACATCTCGAGAGCGCCAAACGTATGCGCCAACTGCAAAGCCCGCAAGAAACGTTGCGACAAGTCGCTGCCGCGCTGTCGCTACTGCGCTGAGTACATACACCGGAGCGAGTTAGAACGCACTCACTGATCCTGCGTCTAGCCGTAATCTCGCATGTTGCTATCAGACCTCCAGCTCTAGCCCACGACGACCCATTGCAGATCCGGTCTTCGTCTCCTCGGCCAGTTCCTCTCCCAGCACCGTCTGGAGAGGCGCTAGCGTCGTCCCCACTAGCATCCCGCGGCTGCCTTTCGACAGTCTGGCCCCGGAGATCGAGCCCGGGCTCTGCGTCCAGGCCCAGCGCCTACTCGAAACAACCGGCTTGTATCTCGATGAAATCAGCGTCCGCTACTTCAGGGGGATCCACACTTTCGTTCCCATCGTCTCGCGGCGCCGATTCCAGGCGCATCTTCTCTCCTTCGGGGTGAACCCGCAGGCCGACTTTGCTCTGCTGCTACTATGCATGGGGCTGCTCACCTACTCGGCGGATTCGCCCCATCCAGCCCCTCCAGGAGGCGGCCGCGTCGAGAATAGGATGCTCTACGTAGCTACCAAGTCCCTCATGGCGCAGGCTCAAGCCTTGTGTCAGCCTTCAACGCAGCTCGTGCAGGCGGGCGTGCTGCTGGCTGTGTATGAGTATGCGAACGGCAATCCTGAAACGGCCTTTATCACGATCGGAAGCGCCGCCCGCATGGCGTATGCTGCCCGGTTACGATCCGTATCCTTGCTGAGCACCGCACCCCCGCGGACCGATTGGACCGCAGAGGAGGAGGAGATCAACATCTGGTGGGGTATCCGTGTCTGCGAGCGGTACGCATCCCCTGAGCACTTCTCACCAAGGCTATCACGGCTGACGACGCTAGAACCTTCCTGTGTGAACTTCCCATCGTAGAACAACCGTTGGGGTCCGTGATGCCAGCCCGCGATGATCGCCTCCCCCTCGAGTCCAGCGTTCTAGATCACGGCAACCCATCCGCGGCCCTTGCATCGAGCGTCGCGATCCAAGACCTGAGCGCTCCCCAGGTCGGCGGCTTCGGCCGCGCCGCCCAAGCCGCCTGGCTCCTAGATGGTGTGCTGCAGGGGTTATCCCTGACGGACGCGGATCGGAAGCGGACGCACCTTGCCGACTGCGATCGGACGCTGCAGTCGTTGCTAGCGATCGTGATGCAGCAGATGCAGCAGCAGGGGGGTAATTATGGGCCTTTTTGCGTGGCCACTGCGCTGACCATCCGGTGGGTTTTCATCCTTATCAGATAACGGGGAATTTTTGATGTCTGACGAGTCTTAGTGCGCTGTTTCTTCTCCACTGGCATCTTCTTGATCAGCCTACGTACGAATCGCCGGGGAGCGATAGCCCGGTTAATAGTTCCCACTCGGCCCTGGATACGGTCACTCAGATGGTTATTGACATCTGCATAACCCACGAGCACATGTCGATTAGTCAAATCGATCAGTTGCCGCCCAGCTGTCTGTATATCATCCGAGCGTCAATGAAGCACATGCAATCGCCGACGCCGGATCCCCGGCTATATGCGTCCCTGAAGCAGTTCGAAGCTCGGTGGGGGGCATCCTCGGCGTTCCAGACATGATATACACTAAGTATGTTTAGCGGGTTTGGCGTTATCCAGGCGTACAGCGGTACATATATTGAGAACATAGACAGACATGAACACACATGAACATAACCAACCCATCCCTTATCTTTCACCATCAGCAAACATGAAAGAAGAATCTAATAATCCCTCTTCGGAAACCTCGTCCACGCCTCCTCCCAGCCCGCCCCCCTCACAAAATCCCAATGCTTCGTCCACTCCATCGGCTTGTCACTCGCCGAATCAATCATCGCAATCCCCGCCGTCAGAAACATCCCCTGCTTGACCCGAAACTCCGGCAGATGGTCATACGGCCGCGAGATCTCCTCGCACAGCCTCGTCGACCGGATCATCTTCGCCATGTGTCCGTCGTCCTCGTGGCGGGTTGCGCGCTCAAACACCGTCGCCCACGTCTGGTCGGGAAGTTTCGATCGGTGCGCGCTCAGATAGTCGAGTCGCAGCTGGGGAACGCCCAGTCCCGCGTAGGTCATCATGAAGCAGCGTCCGCTCCATTCGATGAGACGCGCTTTCTGCGCTTTGCTGAGTGACGGCTCGTTCAGGAATGAGACGTGTCCGATGCTGCCGGTCAGGGTGTGCAGGATCCAGAAGTCGAAGGTACATTGGTAAGGCGGGCGTTGGGCGCCGGCGGTTATGTAGCCTTTTTCGTCATTAGCATCACCTTCACCTCTACCTCACACCGGGAAAGAAAAGAGAAAGGGAAACAAACAGGCAGCATTAACCAGTTCCGCCGTATGTTTCTCTAAATTCTCCGGGTCAACCCTCCACCTCGCCGCCAGGCGCAGCAACTCCTTCCCCGCGTTCGGAAGTACGCCGTCCCGCGCAATCTCCTTATCCATGGACCAGCGGCCCGAGAACTTGCGCGTCTGCGTGTGGAAGTCCAGGCTCGAGCAGGTGCTGATCTTGGGGTCGGCGCGCTCCATGTCCATCAGGTCGGCGAGGGGGAGGGGCGACTCCTGCGCTTCTGACGCTAGTTTCTCCGCGGCGTTCAGGTACTCGGTGTACCACCAGTCGTGGTGTGATGCGGCCTGGGCGAGGCCTTCTGCGAGGAGCAGCGGCTGCTTGAATTCGAGGGCCAGGCCGATGTGGATGAGGCCGTGGACGTAGCCTTCATATCATCATATCATTTTAGGTCAATTAAGTCCGACTAGGGCAGAGAAGGGGGGAGGGGGAATATACCCATATAAATGTGAGAAAGCATCTCATTCGCGAGATCCGACCCCCCGACCAGAAACTTCTGCAGCACCGCCTGATACCCGAGTTTCTTGATCTGGGCGAGGAAGAAGCGCTCGAAGTTCCGGAAGTGCTCTTCCTTGCCGAGACAGCGCTTGAAGACCGCTTCGTCCTCGAGGTCCTGCACGACGGGCGGCACGATGGCGAACGACGGACGCTGGTACAGTGCGTTGCGGTAGTGTTGCGACTTCAGCACGTCCGGGGTGGCGCCCATGGCCCAGATGGTGAGGTCGTGGTGCGCGATGTGGTTGTGCAGGTAGACCTATTCTCTTTTTAGATGTGCATTGGAAGGTGGAGAGGGGGAGGGGAGGAGCAGGAATAGAGGACGGACACCCATGTGGTCTTCCATGGTGAAGAAGATGTGGAAGTACTCATTGTTGTGCTTGAGCAGGTCGGCGGTTGTTTTGGCGCTTTCTTCGGTGAGGTTGTCGGCGTGGACGAGGCCGGGGGTGAGCTCGGGGGAGATCACGTAGGTTTCGATGTCGAGCATTGTGCAATTGTTTTCTTTTGTTTTTATTTTTTGTTCAGTTTGGGTTGAGAGGGTTGTTGATCTGGGGTTTATATAGTATGGAATTAGGACTAAGCTTTAGTAGCTTTCGCTTTAGTCTGCATGCAAGTGACTTCACTGACAGAATCTAGTGGCTGGTTATTTCCCCAAGGGGTATTAAGCACCGTATGATCGAGCGACTAGTGACAAATAGAGCTGCATTCTATTCCGTAAATCCGAGTTCTCCTCGATTCCAGTACATCCTTACTCTATGTAATGCACAACCCTGTCTAATAATGGACTGCATCTACAGATTCGCCTGCTGCTGCGGTTTCTCCTCCCTCAACGCTGCCTCGCTAGCCTCCCACACATCGAATCTAGATCCATCAGCCCTGTTCAGATATAGTCAGGTTATATCCAACTCACCCATAATCATGCATATACCTCTCCGCAAAAGTCGTCGGCACATCTGGAAACCAATCAGCCACCCACCACAATCTCATAGAAGACACAGACATAGACATACCTGACCCCGGCGGATCCGCAAACTTGCGCACTTCACTCTCCACATCGCGCTCCTTGCCCAGTCGCACCTTCGAGAGCGTCTGCACGCGTGAAGCCCGCAGCCGACGCACTTTCTCAAACAGCTCCAGACGGCGCGGGATGTGTGATTTCTGCACACCAGTGCCTAGCAAAGCGCCCAGCGCGCCTGCGTCTTCGATGGCTTGGTTGGCGCCTTGGGCGCCTAGGGGGAGCATCTAGTATCCTGTTAGAGTGGTGTTTGGTTGCGGAAAGTGGTGATGAGACTTACCGGGTGTGCGGCATCGCCGATCAGCACGACGCGGCCTCGATGCCAGGTGGGGAGCGGGTCGTGGATGGAGAGCGGCCAGTCGGCGACTTCGGGGGCTTGTCTATTTTGTGTCTGTTTAGTTTCTGAAGCTGCCGGGTGTGGGGTTTGACACGCACCGGATGAGATGGGTCAGGCTGGGATGATAGTGGCCGAATTCAGAAAGCATGAGGTTTTTCAGATCTGTCCTGCGTTAGCAATTGACATCCCTCGACGCTTGTCTAGGACTCAGGAATAATACGAACCATCCCCCTTCGCCTGCGTATCCTCATGCACCCCGACAAACACCTGCAGCTGGCGTCTTCTCAAATCAGCCCCGTCTCAATCACCACCCCCAGATCCAAAGGAAAGGGAGGAAAACCCACCCCCGACACGTAAACCACACCATATGATGCTCGCTCTCCTTCGACGTATCCGCAAACAAACTACTCCCCTTCCCGCGCACCCTCTGCAGGGCCTGAAACTGCCCATCCCCCTGCACCGTCTCCGTGGGAATCAGGAACCGAAACGCACTCAGCCCCGACTTCACCGGCGCTGCGGCCCTCTCATCCTCCAACACTGCACCCCTCAGCACCGAATGCACCCCGTCCGCAGCCACCACAAGGTCCGCCTCATACTGCGCTCCATCATCCGTACGGATCCACCCCTGCTCCGCGTCCGCAGCTACAACCTTAACCCCCAGTCGCACGTCCATGCCCCGCGCTAGACGCAGTAACTCGCGCTGCAAGTCCGCGCGATGGATCGTGTACAGCGGGGCGCCGAACTGGTCGCGCGGGTCGGCGAGATCATGCGCTTCGAGCGGGTGCAGGGTGATGCCGTCGACGGGCTGGAAGTAGGTCATTTCGTCGGCGCGGGCGGCGGCGAAGTTGAAGCCGAGCCGGGTCAGGACGCGGTGGCCATTCGGGGTGATTAGGATCGCGGATCCGACTTCGCCGGTGAGGCGCGATTTGTCGAAGACCTGGTGTATATATAAGCTTCTGTGGGTGTAAGGGTAAGGGGAGGGGAGGTGGTACCTGGACGGAGTGGCCTGCTTGGTGCAGGGCCACGGCGGCGCAGAGACCGGCTACGCCGGCGCCGATGACGATGATGCGGAGAGGCATGGTGGATGGGATACGCAACGGGTGAGGATTTGAAGTGGTGTATGGTTAGTGTGTTTATAAGTAGAGCACAAGGTCAACGTATGTATGTACATAGTTGTTAGCTATCGGGTGAAACGGCGGGCTATTTCCGCCAACTAGACAGACCATACCATCAAGACGAGAGTGGAGACGCATTGAGAAAACCGCCGACAAGGACCCATCGGAGGGTTAATTGAATGCAGTCTGTTTTAGTTGCAGGAAAAGAGGAGAAGATTACGCAGTCTAAACGGCGCATGCAGCTGCGGAATACCGGTGAATATTGACCTGTGGAGTCAAGACTCGGAATTAGACTGCATTCTATGGTAACACTCGCTGGAAATGATCTACGTAGAAGTCGTGTCTTATGTTCAGTTCAGTTTCAGTACAAGTTCCAACACGTCTAGACGCGCGCTCGCTTGCTCCCCGGTCCTGACTCCTGTAATGTTTGCCTGCCCTTTAGCAGACTATTGCTTGTCTCATCGAGCCCTAGACTGCGACTGGGCGACGCATGACCCGATGAAGGCCGCTCAGCTCGAGAGGTCGTTTCGAGCAGCGACGCCCACAGCGAACTCGATCGAGATTGCAGATACATCAGCGCCGAGAGGACCTGCTCGAGGGCGTTGCGCAGGATCAGATTGACCATCTCAGCCTTGACGGTGCCCGTGACTTCAAAGCTGCCGACCAGCACGTCCGTCTCAGCCTCCAGCACCGAACCCTCAGTCCCGATACTCTGCCCTCCCTCCGGATCCCACATGTTCATCTGCCGGAACGCCGAGAGCAGAATGCGAATGCTAACGGCAAACAGCAGCAGCACCTCCTGCGGAAAATCCGGCCCCCGACATCGCCTGCACTCCTGGAGCCGCGTCCACGGGCTCTGCGCTCTCCGCACCGCCTCCAGCACCGCGGGCGCGCTGACCTTGCCCACCGACGCGGACTGCAGATCCCCTAGCTGGTAGACTAGATATACATGCCGCTGCAGACACGAGCAGGACCCGCCCCGATCCCCGTCCGTCGGGGGATCGTCGTTCGGCACGCTCGCACTGGGAGTGGCATACCCGGGGCTGTCGCAGGGGGAGAGGTTGGAATTCGACCCGTCCCCCATCGTCGAAGAGGGCGGGGCCTGAAACGGCGGCTGCGATTGTATGAAGTCTGCGAAGCTCTGGGGTGGCACTCGCGGGTCAGCTCAGCGCATGGGATCATCGGACTGACCTCACCTGCACGAAGTTGAAGTCGTTCTCATGATCCTCCTCCGGCGCGGGCGGATTCCGCAGCTCCTCCACCAGCGGGTTCTCCAGCACTAGCGGGGCGAGGTTGAAGTCGATGGATTCCTGCCAGAGGGACTGGGGTGGACGCAGACCCAGCGACGGCGTCTCGAATGGATCGCCCTTGTGTTCTTTCACGTCGATCACGCTGCGTTTGTTCTTGCTCCCCTTTGGTCGACCGGGTTGGTTGCAGGGGCTGTAGGTGCAGGGCGTCGCTGACATCTGGCAGCTCAGACAGGGGCTGGTGCCGGAGCATTTCGTCTTCGCTTGGTGGCAGGAGTCGCAGGCGGAGCGTAGACGGGGGGTGGTGGATTTGGCGGTGGATTTGGGGATGGATCTGGGGGGAGTGGGATAGCGTTGGGTATTTAACGACATGATGGTCTATATAGAAGGGAAAGGGGGGAGAGTCTATGATTGAAAAGAAGAAAAGTCTAAAAGAAACAGTCGAACAAAAGAGAAATCCTCGACCGTTAAACCGGGTTCTAATAGCAGACAACCCCGAGATACTCACGTCAGGAATCAATGGATCTGGCCACAGCCCACCAGGACTGGGACCGGCCAAAGGCGGAGAAAGTCGACATCACCGAGCCTCATCCTTCATGACATTTGCGACCCTTTAGGCAATGCTAACGGAAAGAAGGAAATGCGCTGACGGATCTGCGCAGGCTCGTAAATTGCTCGTGTGAAGAGTGTCTATCTCGTACTATCTGCACAAATCAGATCCGCTCGATGCCTCCAACGACCTCGGGCCTGGGCTAAGCAATGCGCCTAGGCCGCCAGCAACACACGCCGTAAGCCGTAAGCCCGTCGGAGGATAGTTCCAGGCGACGGGGGCTAGAGAATAGCGCCCGTCATTGGCAGGATGCGACCAGGCTTTCGGATTTTCCGGCGAATCGTCACCGTGTCGTTGCTGAACAACCTGCCTTGGCGGCGCAGAGATCGGCGTCGACTCAACAGCACCGTCGATAAACCAATCGATGAGCTGAAACACGAGGTTCGGCAGGCCCGTGGTGGCATTGAAGGTCAGCCACAGTGCCAGGATTGAAACCGTCCGGGAAAGTGGCAGCCGATGATACGGCCGGAATCCTCCTGTGGGGTGCTCATTTGTGTAGCTAGATTGCGATATGCCTAGCTATCAATAGCTCTCGTGTGGTCTGATTCCAAGAGTATGCCGAGTATGTATTCCTCACAGCTGCATATCGAGCCATCGAAACCAGCCTGGAGGGCATTCGAGAATTTATTGCAGAGAAACAGTTGAACGGAAAAGTCTGCCGTTGCCAAGCACCCATGGTTCTTCAGGACGACATGCTCCATCGCATTCCACACACTAACCCCTAATACTAATAGCCTGCCCTCGTATCCATTGGAACGCGGAAAATCCCCCGTCGGCCGCCGCTTGTTTAGCGGCGGCGACAACCGTCGGATGCAACGCTAACCGGCCGAAGAACAGGGGATCGACCACGTCATTTCCGCCCCTCAGCACTTCATTCTTCCTGGCGTATCTCTGATGGGTCCTGATCGACACGTCCACCCTACTCCGGAGTGGGTAGCTGATTAGTGATTCCCAAATCCCAACTAATCAGACCTCAAACCCGCCGCGACGAATCCTATTCCAGTGCCAGCCCACACTCTCCCGACGGCTGCACCGCCGACGCCCCCTCGTCCACAAACGCCTCCTGCTCCTCCGCAGACAGAGGCAAGAGGAGTCCGCGCCGACCGCCCTCGACAATCGCCTCGTAGAAGCTCCGCGCCATCAGCGTCGAGCTCACGCCCGCCGGATGGACCCCGTCCGGCAACATGTCCAGCTGCACGCCACGCATGGCCGCCAGGATGACACGGCGGCCGACGCGCGCCCGCGCCGCCACCACAGCCGGTAAAGCGGCATTGTACCGATCGATCAGGGCATTAACGGTGGCGTTATGCTCGGGGATTAACTGTGCGACGACGAGTAGCGCCTGGGGGTTGTTGGCGGTGATGAAGTCGAGCGCGGCGCCGAGTCTGGCCGGCGCTTCTGTGACGTTCTTATTCAGTACGAAGTTCACAGTTCCGGCGTGAAGTAAGATCACGTTGGGTTTCTCGTGGCGGCGCGTGAGCTCAGGAGTTCCTTTTGTTACGATCTCGTCGATCGTGTGGTAGACCCAGGCTTCGTGGTGGTTGTTGGCCCAGTCGCCGTGCTGGACGGATCCGATCATCGAGACGGGGTTGCCGCCGGTCCAGAGCTGGCATTGGAGGTCGCGCCGGTAGGAGTTGCCGGTCGGGTCGTTGTAGCCGAGGGTGATGGAGTCGCCGAGCGAGAGGACGCGCAGGGGCGTGCCTTGGTTGATGGAGGCGGTTACTGTTGAGGGACTGAGACTGAGGCCGGGGGATGCATCTTCACGGAGAAGGTTAGTATGGTTAGGTCGAGAGAGGGGGGGACTCAAACCGAATCCGAAGCTGGGCAGGAACGAGGCCGCGAGGAAAGACAAGGGGAATTGCATCTTGACTTATGGGTAGAGCGTAGAGAGTAGACAGAAAGACGAGAGGTGGAAGAAGAAGTGAATGCACGGGACATCGGCGGATTTATACACTGCAGTGGAAAAGCCTCGAACTAGAGAAGACCGTCGGTGCATATTCACCATGCATCGGTGGTTTTCGATGACACTTGGACCCTCTGTAGATCCTTTAGGTATTGGAGAGCTATAGAATTGAAGATATATGTGGCTAGGAAAAACGGTAAGACACTTGTGGGTTTTACAACAGATCAACGTTCATGGGTGCATTGAAATATATTCCCCCAGCGCAATGCGGAGTCATGACTACTAAGAACTTAAGATACAGGATTCCGACTAGTAAGTACCGGTCATAACAGACAAGCGACCACCGTCCGTAACCAGGATCGATCCGTTCGAATAGCTTCCTGCCCGGCTGGTCAGATACAGAATAGCACCGGCCATTTCCTCGTCTCCTCCGAAGCGACGCGCCGGGATGAAACGCTGGTCCTCGAACGCCTCTTCCTCGGGCTTGCGGGTCGAGATGAGAACCGACGCGAGTTCCGACGGGTAGACTAGAGCAACATGAGTACGCGAATGAAAGACAGTTAGAGGAGAACCTACTGCCAGGAGCAATGGCGTTGACTCGGATGCCAAACTTGGCCAGCTGGGTGCTGGCATGCTTCGTCACCTGCATGATGGCCACCTTGCTGGTCAGGTACGGCGGCGACGAACTCCAGTGCCGACTGAACGCCGAGATACTCGTCGTGAAAATGACCTGGCTCTGGATGGAGGGCACGTCGCTGCCCTCCTTGAGAGGCTTGCCGAAACCGCCGCGGAGAGCGTTCTGCGTGCCCGCGTCCAGGAGCTCCAGGAATGCGGTCATGGTGAAGAAGGCCGCGGTGATGTTGAGGTTCAGAGCGTCGTTCATGCCCTCCATCGAGAAGTCGGTGAATAGGGTCTGGCGCAGCTCGGGCAAGGAGGCCGCCGGGTTGAAGCGGACGGGGGGTCCAATGCTGCCGGAGTTGGCCACGACGAGGTTCACGTAGCCCACCTCGCTCTTGATGCGATCCACGACCGCCTGGAGGTCGGTCTTCGAGGTCACGTCGGCCTGGTGAGGGATGACCACGCCGGGGAATTCGGCGGCAGCGGTCTCAAGGACCTCCAATCGACGGCCCAGAATGTAGACCTTGGAAGCACCGTTGGCGGCCAGGGCGCGGGTCATAGTCAGACCAATGCCTAGAGACGTGAGTAAGACGATTGACGTGGATAGATGCGAGAACCAAGGGACTCACCACTGCCACCGCCGGTAATGACGGCCACAATGCCATCGACGCGGAAGATAGTGCTGGAGTCGACGGAGGCAGACATATCGAAGGTATCAAGGAAGAATGATGAAGAAAGTGAAGACAGGAGTGTTGGAGATGAGAGTGGAAGCCATGATAGCTGCTGGATGTCTTCAATGATATACCTTTGACTCGACCGTGTGGTCTTGTGGAAATCCCTCAGCCTCCAGGACACATCTGTCCCACGACGAGGCAAAAGCTTCAGAATGTCCACAGGATTACCAATACAAGCCTCATCTCCTGATATCGCCAAGTCACAAAGCGAGCGCGAGTCTCCACCGAGCGGCCGCCCAGTGGAGCGTCGGCCGACAGAAGGCCTAAGCGATGGCGCAATCTTATCTGAAACGGTCTGATAGCCATCCCTGTTGACTCTTGCATGTCGTTGCATCCAGCCGGTTTCCCCTCATTCCCTCGCTGTCGTGCTTTGCCTTCACTCTGATCACTGATGATATGATTCAGGGTCTTCCTACCCTGGTCCAAACAAACCGCATGTCGCTTATCGGTCGCTCGTATTCAAGACCTGCGCCGTTGTCTTTTCTCTCCGGTCCAATGATGAATCCACCGGAAACCCTTGCTCTGAAGAAGCCTATCGGTCGGCACAATCTAGGCTGAAGATGGCTCTATACCTGCCGAGCAGGAATCGGGGTCGGCCTGAGGATTTAGACCGGCCCTGACGACCAGCCCGATTGTTTTCACGAAGAAAGAAACCAGAGATACAGAGCAAAAATGTCAGCCACTACAGGACCCGATCCCACAAGGCATTTGCCCCGGATTCTATGCCTTCACGGCGGTGGAACCAACGCGCGCATCTTCCGAGCCCAGTGTCGAGGGCTCGTCGCCCAGCTGAAATCCGAGTTTCGTCTCGTCTTCGCACAAGCGCCATTCCCATCGCACGCCGGATCCGACGTGCTCTCCGTCTACAGTCAATGGGGTCCCTTCCGACGCTGGCTACGCTGGCGACCCGAGCATCCTCTGGTGTCGCCGCTCGACATCATCCACGCGATCGACGATAGCCTCGAGGATGCGATGGCCCGCGACGATGCTGCGGGCGCAACGGGCGAGTGGGTAGCTTTGTTGGGATTCAGTCAAGGCGCCAAGGTTTCAGCCAGTCTTCTCTATAGGCAGCAGCAGAGTCGGGGTAAAGCGCATTCTAAACCCTGGTTCCGCTTCGCCGTCCTGCTAGCCGGTCGCGCGCCGCTCATCGCCTTGGACCCTGAGATGGAAACCAGTGATCTCTTGCCGGACGCAGCGCAGATTACCGACATGCCCGACTATCGAGAGCGAGCCTCCCATGCGCAGACTCCGACCCTGCGTGTTCCCAATCTCCATGTTCATGGACTGCGCGATGCCGGAGTCGAGCTTCATCGACAGTTATACGAGGACTTCTGCGACCCGAAAAGTCGACGAGTGCTCGAATGGGACGGAGATCATCGCGTACCGCTGAAGGCCAACGACGTAGCTCAAGTGGTTGCGCAAATCCGGCAATTGGCCGCAGAAACCGGAGTTTACTAGATACGAAACAAGATGGTTGGCCGGATAGAAGGATAGATAGACCGGGGGATACAATTGGTGCAATAATGAAGTAATGAAAATGCAATCAATATTCAATGCTCCGTCTGCAGATTCCCCCTCTCGTCCTTCAGATCCACATCTTCTCCCGCCGGAATTGCAGTGACGGTGCTATCCGGGCGATATCACGGAGAGTTTATTACCTGCATGACACAAATGGCCGAGGCGCATATATGACGACCATGCAGACGATTGGAGCCTCTCAATTGGTCGTTGATTCTGCACGTCCGACCGGGTTGAGGATCCCACACCAGCAGAGCTGCTATAGAAAGGGAAGCTTCGCGGGACGTTTGGAGAAGCAACACCATCAACACGCATTCAACAAGGCGTGGTCGCAGTTTCAATTGCATGTTACTTTTCATTTTTCACATTCCATAATGGCCCCGACGCATCAACTGCTTTTGTTCGGCTCCCAAGCCCTATCCTTCGACGGTGCCGCTTTCGCCACTCTGCAGAAACAGCTCCATGAGCCTGCTTATCAATGGGCGTTGGACGTGATCTCCTCGCTCCCCGAGTGGTGGTCAGCTCTAGAAACAAATATCCCTACTCTCCAACACCTGGAACAAGGCAAGCAGCTGCTAGAAGAGCTGAAGTCTGGAGTCCACACCGGAGAAATTGCCCCGTCGCGGTTCCCGCTTCCCAACATTCTTCTCTCGCCTTTGGTCGTGCTGGGCCACTTGATCGAGTATACGGCTCTTGTCCGCGCATTGAAGCCCAATCTCTCCGACACAGAACCACTGTCTTTGTCTGTGACAACGGAGACGGAGATCCTCGGTCTTTGCACGGGCGTTCTCAGCGCCTTTGCAGTTGGTTCCTCGTCGACACTTGCCGACTTGACCCGCCACGGTGCTACTGCAATTCGATTGTCGGTGCTCGTGGGCGCTCTCGTCGATGCAGAGCAGTCAATTCCTGATGGCCACGGCCCGTCCACCTCTTTCTCCATTACCGGCAACATTGACAAGGTCCTGGAGAATGTTCCCGACGTAAGTAGCCCCGATCCAGGCCAACCAGTCCCACGCTAATCCGAACACAGGCCTATGTCTCGGTTTTCCTCGATGAGAGGCGCTCAACGGTGACGACGTCCAAGACGGCCGCATCTACTCTCGTTCAGCAGGCTCCATCTGCCGGAGCGCATGCCGTCGAGTTGGCCCTCTCCGGACGGTTCCACTGGCCTGGCCACGAGAACGATACAGCCCAGGCACTCCAGTTCTGCGAGCAACACCCCGAGTTTCAGTTTCCAGACGCCAGCCAGCTGGTGTTTGCCAGTCGATCCGAGACCGCCGGTCGGTATTTGTCCACCGGTAAACTGCACGAAGCCGCGTTGCGCGAGATTCTCACTCGTCCCACGAACTGGATCAAGACCTTTGGCAACATCTATGCCTCCCATCTCAGTACCGCTGATGCCCGCGTTCTTGCTTTTGGCTCGGAGCGCTGCGTGCCCCCGACTATTGCGCGCAAACTGGGCACGCGGCTCATCTACGTCTCTGATCTGGATCTGTCCACATCGCCCCTCCCGGCTGTGCTCGGCGATGTGAATGCAGACAGTCGTCTCAGTGAGCTGCCGGACGACCGGATCGCCGTCATCGGAATGTCGTGCCACGTCCCCGGCGGTGCCGACCTCGCGGAATACTGGGAGATGCTGTGCAGCGGGCTATCTCAGCACATCGAAGTTCCCTCGGAGCGATTCTCGATGGAAACACCCTGGCGCAAGCTCGAGGCCAATCGCAAATGGTACGGAAATTTCATGAAGGACTATGATACTATCGATCACCGATTCTTCAAGAAAAGCGCACGCGAAATGGCATCCACTGATCCCCAGCAGCGCGTGATGCTCCAGCTGGCCTACCAGGCGGTGGAGCAGTCAGGATACTTTGCCGGTTCAACGCAGCCAGATCAGCATATCGGGTGCTTTGTGGGTATTGGCAACGTTGAATACGAGACCAACATTCGCTGCCACCCGGCCAATGCCTACTCGGCGACCGGTAACCTGCGCGCCTTCAATGCGGGAAAGATCAGTCACTATTTTGGCTGGACCGGTCCCAGCGTCACGGTCGACACCGCATGTTCGTCTTCCAGCGTTGCCATCCACCAGGCGTGTCGGGCCATTCTCCACGGCGAGTGCAGCAGTGCACTGGCTGGGGGTGTCAACGTCCTGACGAACCCAGACTGGTTCTATAACCTGGCGGGGGCTTCATTCCTCAGTCCGACTGGGCAGTGCAAGCCTTTCGATGCCAAGGGAGATGGCTACTGCCGCGGTGAGGGAGCAGGAGCGGTGATGCTCAAGCGACTGTCGGATGCCATTCGTGACGGCGACCAGGTCTTTGGCGTCATTGCAGCCAGCCGCGTTTATCAGAACCAGAATTGCACAGCCATTACTGTCCCCAACTCACCCTCTCTATCTGAGCTGTTTGTCGACGTTGTTCGACAGGCTCGTCTGGAGCCCAAGAATGTCTCTGTCGTGGAAGCCCATGGCACTGGAACCCCCGTGGGCGATCCGGCTGAGTACGACGCCATCCGGACTGTGCTCGGGCAGTCTAGCAAGAGATCCGATGCCCTCCACCTGTCGTCCGTTAAAGGCTCCATTGGCCACACCGAGTTCGCGTCGGGAGTGGTCTCGCTCCTTAAAGTGCTGCTGATGATCCACGAGGGCGTGATCCCTCCCCAGGCTAGCTTCACGGTGCCGAACCCGGCGTTGAATGCTCGCGCCGAAGATCGCGTCGAGATCCCAACCCGAGTCAAGCAGTGGCAGAGCGATTTCCGAACGGCGCTGATCAACAACTACGGTGCCTCTGGCTCGAATGCCTCGATGGTGGTGACCCAGTCGCATCAGCCGCTGCCCACGACCACCGCAGCAGCTTCAAAGGGACAGAGCTATCCCTTCTGGCTCTCTGCCCTGGATGAACACCGTCTTCGCGCCTACGTGAGCAAGCTTCGGGCGTTCCTCCGCAACTCATCGAACAGCACTAAGGATCTCAGCGTGGCCAACCTGTCCTTCCAAGTGTCTCGTCAGGCCAACCGATCTCTACCCCAAGCCCTGCAATTCAGCGCCACTTCCCTCGAGGATCTTGATGGACAACTAGCCGCCTTCGAGCGAAATGAAAAGGTTGGCGGAGGAAGTCAGCCTGTTCCTGCCACACGTCCCGTCATACTGTGCTTTGGTGGCCAGATCTCCACTTGGGTCGGTCTCGACGAAGCTATCTACCAGAGTTTCCCACTCCTGCGCACACACCTAGACCAATGCGACGCTGTCGCCGTAGCACTCGGTCTCGATAGTATCTATCCTGATCTATTCCAACGGACTCCCGTTGCCGATCCGATCAAGTTGCAGACGCTGCTATTTGCCCTTCAGTACTCGACAGCCCGGACATGGATCGACTGCGGTCTTCAAGTTGCTGCCGCAGTGGGTCATAGCTTTGGAGAGCTGGTGGCCCTGTGTGTTTGCGGTGTTTACTCTATCAAGGACGCGCTCCAGCTTGTGGCAGGGCGAGCGCGATTGATCCGCGACCACTGGGGCAGCGACCGGGGGTCCATGTTGGCAGTGGAAGCCGACAAGGCGCAAGTTGACAAGCTGATCGAACAGGCAAATGAGAAGAACGCAGCCGATGAGGCCCCGATCTCCATTGCCTGCTTCAACGGTCCAACTACCTTTACCCTGGCTGGAGGAGTGGCGGCTGTGGACAGGGCAGAGGCTCTTGTTAAGTCTGAATCCACCTTCATCGGTCTCAAAGCCAAACGTTTGAACGTGAGCAACGCCTTCCACTCTGCTTTGGTCGACCCCTTGGTCGAAGAGCTCCATCAGCTTGGCCAGACCGTTGCCTTCAATGAACCCGTCATTCCAATCGAACAAGCCACCGCGTCCTCCGCTGCCCGGTCGCTCGATGGCAGCTATCTCGCCCAACACATGCGCCAACCGGTCTTCTTCAACCACGCGGTGCGCAGATTGGCCCAGCAACACCCTACGGCCATCTGGCTCGAGGCCGGGTCGAATTCGACGGTGACCAACCTGGCAAGTCGGGCACTTGAACACCCTCGCGACTCGCACTTCCAGCCTGTCAATGTCACCAGTGATAACTCCCACCGGTTCCTGGTGGATGCTACCCTGGGCCTATGGAAGGCCGGGGTGAATGTTGCCTTTTGGGCCCATCACTCCTCCCTGGTGTCTGACTATCACCCCCTTCTGCTGCCTCCATATCAGTTCGAGAAGGTCCAGCACTGGATGGAGCTGGCTGCACCCCCAACGACGGAAGTGGTGGTGGAAAAAGTGTTGTCGGCGCCAGAGGCCCCCAAGGGTCTTCTTATCTGGCTGGGCTACCAAGACAGGGAGCAGACACAGGGTCGATTTGAGCTGAACACCAAGTTCGACCGACTCCACCAGGTGGTTTCCGCCAATGTGGTCCTGAATACGGTTCCCCTCATGCCGGGCATGTTCCAGGGAGAAGTTGCACTGCATGCGCTGGAGCAATTGCGCCCCGACCTGCGCGGTTTAGGGTTCCAGCCAGAGCTCCGGGACATGCTGTATCAAGCCCCGGTGAAGGTCGACCCAGCAGCGCCGCTCTATGTGGACCTCGTCTCGACGGACAGTTCGGGTCTTGAGTGGCAGTGGAAGCTGCACGGGGCGTCTGCGAGTGGCTCTCTAACCTATACCAGTGGCAAGATCCTCCTGCGAGCCGCCAACGACCCTCAGGGCAAAAACGATTATGAGAGTCTCTCGCGACTTAGTGGCCGACAGCGCGGCATTCGGCTGCTCAGCAACCCCGACGCCGAAGAAGTCCTCCAAGGCCGCAACATCTACCGGGCCTTCGAGAACGTGGTGCACTACCAGGAGCCGTTCCGCCGACTCAGCAAAATTGTGGCCGACAGTCACGAGTCGGCCGGTCGGCTGAAGAAGGCATGGGAGGCAGAAGGCTGGATCGATTCGGTCCTGACCGAATGCTTCTGTCAGGTTGCTGGCATCTATGCCAATCTGATGACGGATGCCGGGCCAGGAGACGTCTTTGTCTGCGATCGCATCGATCGGTGGACACGCAACCCCCGGCTCAAGGGCGCCGAAGGCCCTATTGTCTGGGAGGTCTTCGCGGTGCATCAGCAGCAGTCCACGAACAGCATCACAAGCGATGTCTTTGCCTTCGACACCCGTGACGGATCGCTGGCTGAGGCTATCCTAGGCGTCTCCTTCCAACGAGTCTCCTTGGATGGACTTCGCAAGGTCCTAGGGCATGCGACGCCATTCCCTTCGGTGGGCTCACAGGCAAGCCCGTCCACGTTGACCGAGTCAATTCCTGTTCCTGTTTCTGCTCCGGCACCTGCAGCACCAACGGTCACTGTTCCAGTCCCGTCTGCCCCCTTGTCTGCGCCCTCTATTCCGAACGGCACCAATAACGTGGCTCCCAAGTCCAAGGGTCCCGATGTCACGGCCAAGACACGCGAAATTGTCTGCAACCTTTCGGGTCTAGAGCCGGAGGAGATCCAGGATGACGCGGACCTGGCCATGCTGGGCATTGACTCTCTCATGGCCATGGAGCTGGTGCGCGAGGTCGAGGCGGCCTTCCATGTTACATTGCAGAATGACCAGCTGATGGAATTGACCGACTTTAACAGTCTGGCCGCGTGCATTCGGTCCACCTTGGGCGAGACCGAGGAGCCTTCTGTGAATGGCCATAGCAACGGAGTGAATGGCAGCAACCAAGACTATGTTAGCAATGGAACCAATGGGATTAACGGTAGTAATGGCGTCCATGACATTAACGGTGTGAATGGCACCAACGGCCATCATCAAACCAATGGCTTCCACAAGACATCGTTGCTGGATGCTGCCATCGTGCACGAGGTATTTGGACAAGTCAAATGGGAGACTGACGACTTCATCGTCAAGGGCCAGCTTGACACCTACCACGACAAGGTCGTGCCCCGATCCACCGAGCTCTGCATCGTCTACATTGTCAACGCGTTTGAGGAGTTGGGTTGTCCCATTCGTACCGCCGCTGCGGGTCAGGAGCTGCAGCGCATTACCTATCTTCCCAGGCACGAACGGTTCATCAACCTGATCTACGATCTTCTCGAGACGGATGCACGTCTCATCGACCGCAAGGGATCTGCCATCATCCGGACGGCTGTGGCCGCGCCGACCAAGACCCCCGAGGCTCTTGCCGAGTCCCTTATACGCGACGAGCCCGTACATGCAGCGGAGCATAAGCTGACAGCCATGATCGGACCCAAATTCGCGGACTGTCTGACCGGCAAGGCGGATGCCCTGCAGCTGATGTTCGGTGCTCCCGAGGGCCGCGAGATCGTGACAGACATGTATGCCAACTCCCCGATCACCGGCATCTGGATTCAACAGCTGGCGCATTTTGTCGAGCAGCTGGTCCGTCGTCTTCCCGCCAATGGCGAACCCCTGCGCATTCTGGAACTGGGCGCAGGCACAGGTGGCACCACCAGCAAGATTGTACCGCTGCTGCATCGCCTGGGCATCCCGGTCCATTACACCATGACGGACCTCTCGGGCTCGCTGGTGGCGACTGCTCGCAAGCGATTCAAGCAGTACCCGTTCATGGATTTCAAGGTTGTCGACATCGAATCGGCCCCTGACGCCAAACTGCTGCAGAGCCAGCATATCGTCTTCGCGACGAACTGTGTGCACGCGACTCGGAATCTGTCCATCTCTCTCACCAATATCCACCAGCTCCTTCGCCCCGATGGCTTCCTCATGCTGCTGGAGATGACCGAGATGATTCCCTGGGTGGACTTTATCTTCGGGCTGGTCGAAGGGTGGTGGCTATTCGAGGATGACCGCGACTACGTGCTGCAACCGGCGACTCACTGGGAGCGCAAACTGCAATCGGTGGGCTTTGGACATGTCGACTGGACCGAAGGCCACCGACCCGAAGCCAGTTTCCAGCGACTGATCATCGCCCATGCGTCTGGCCCCAGGTACGCTCGCATTCCTGCTCCTCCGGCGGCGGCCGATGCTGCTGCTGCTTCACCAGCCCCCGAGTCGTCAGCATTGACAAGATTAGCAGAGCGCCAGGCCGTCATTGATTCCGTCGTGGCACGCTATACCGCCGACTTCCCTGATGCCTTCCCAGCGGACGCCGACTCTATCCCCGCTGCTCCAGCATCCAGCAGCCATCGCTGCGTGCTGATCACAGGAGGAACAGGAAGTCTCGGGGCACACATCATGGCTGCACTCGCGCAACGACCAGACATCGACCGCGTAGTGTGCCTCAACCGTCTCAGCACAACCGACGCTGCCGTCCGACAACAGCAGTCCCTCGACCTCCGAGGCATCACCCTCGACGCAGCATCGCAAGCCAAACTGACGGTCCTCGCCACCGACACCAGCAAGCCCTCCCTCGGCCTCAGTCCCTCCAGCTATCTCTCTCTCGTCCACACCGTCACCGACATCGTCCACAGCGCCTGGCCCATGAGTCTCACCCGCCCCGTCAAAGCCTACGAGTCGCAATTCAAAGTCTTCCGCAACCTCCTCGACCTCGCCGCATCCATCGCCCGCCATCGCCCACCCCCCTTCCAGCTCGGCTTCCAATTCATCTCCTCCCTCGCCGTCGTCGGCAACTACGGCCTGCAAACCGGCCACCCGCTCGTCCCCGAGGATCTCACCTCCATCGAATTCGTCCCCGAGACCGGCTACGCCGACGCCAAACTCGCCTGCGAACACATCCTCAACCAGACCCTCCACCGCCACCCGTCTCACTTCCACGCCACCGCCGTCCGCATCGCCCAGATCGCCGGCTCCACCTCTAACGGCTTCTGGAATCCCACCGAGTACATCCCCTTCCTGATCAAGACCTCCCAGGTCCTGCACCTCCTCCCGGACCTCTCCGGCACGCTGTCCTGGTACCCCGTCGACCTGGTAGCCAGCACCCTCGCCGACCTCCTCCTCTCCAAATCCTCCCCCACACAGGAAGACAACCAACTGATCTACCACATCGACAACCCGGCCCGCCAGCCCTGGAAGGAAATGATCTCCTCTCTCGCCTCGACGCTGGATATCCCGCTCGACCGCATCGTGCCCTACGAGCAGTGGCTCGACCGCATGCGACGCTTCCGTGCTTCGCCGGTAGACAACCCCGCGCTGCAGCTGCTCGATCTGTTCACGTATTACTTCATTCCGATGTCGTGTGGGGGACTGGTGCTGGATACTGAGAAGACGAGGGTGCATTCGCCAACGATGCAGAGCATGCAGCCTGTTAGTGGGGATTTGGTAAAGTTGTATGTGGAGGCGTGGAAGAGGTCTGGGTTCTTGAATCAGTAGTTTCACGTGGGTAGAAAGTAATGGTCAAGGGTCATCCCTGTATGCTAGAAGAATCAGTATTAGTCCTTTAATGAAGAGATGGTGGTCACATATCACCAAACCAATGCAAACCAGATAAACAGTATCTCGTGCCCCATCCAGATAGGGAGCATGTCTTCAGAAAAGCTCAGTCATAGAAGAACCTCTGTTGATACTCATCGATAATGCATGACTGAGATTGGACCATGTCCTAATAACTTACTTTATCCTTCTCCTAAACCGAATTTTCTGTCTCTGAATTTGAGTGAAACTGACATGCATCAACACATTCATGGAAAGGGAAAGGGGGTAGGTAATGTCAGGTAGACAAACTGTTGCAGAAGAATGCAGGGGACAAAGAACTTGTGATTTTAGAAACCTGTATATAGTTCTGGCTTTCCATCATTCACTGATATCTCCTAGCCCGGGTGTGAGCGTAGTTGGCCACAGTGACTGGCCTGGCATTCACTCTCAAATCCAACTATCGATCTCATCCAGAACAACAATACGGAAACCTGCAAACCCATCAGCTATTTCATTCACGTTTTGATCCCGATTGACGGATTCACCATGGAAGATTTAAACCAAGCTGCGTTGCTTCGACTTCCACTTCAAGTCCAACTTGACAGCAATTTCTCCATCTACTCTACATATACAAGAAAACCAACCATCCCACATTCCCCAGCCATTCCTCAAAGCAGTCTTCCAAGTAGAAGCAGGAGACAGACCACTGTCCGGCAGACCTTCGCGCTCCCGATCCACGAGGGCGTTGGGCGTATTATCTCCACAACCTGTTCCTCCCGGGTCCCCAAACATGTGTTTGCAGAGACACAAGACTCCGGCTCGGTTTCCAGACTGTGTGGGCGCAGCGCAAAAGAACTGCATTAATTTTGATCCCTCGGAGAGAGAAAGAAAGAAACTGATTTGTTGAGAGGCTTAGAGGCATAGACCGCTGGAAGATGGAGACTTGATATTGGGCGCTAATCCAAATACGGTTAGCCCGTCCCTGGAAGTGTGGAGGACCCGTTGGTTCAGGTTGTATTTATTTCAAGTCCACTCACTCACTACTTAGTTTTGTACTGTCGTTAAGATTGAGCATTCTGCCTATGTGCCATTTCTAATTACTCACCATCAAGAGGATGTCCTCCCCGTTCATGGACCTAGACGGCAGACCTATCCCCGGAGAGCGACTCCTTGGTTACGGCGGATCTGGAGTAGTAATACTTCACGAACAAATGGCCATCAAAATGCCACTTAGATACCGAAGCAGCCCCGACGACGACGTGGAGGCAAATATCGAGGTGATTCAAAGAGAACAAGACATCTATCGGCGCCTAGGACAATGTGGTGGCGTTGTGCCCTGCACAGGGTTCTCGCCCGCTACCATCCACCTTGCACTCATGGCGAATGGAGATCTACGCTCTTACCTGAAAACGCACCGGCCCCCAAGATCCCTCCAGCTCTCGTGGTTCCAAGAGATGGCTCGTGCTTTGTCCCGTATCCACACTCATTCAGTGATTGTCGCTGACATCGCCACTCGCAATTTCCTTCTCCACACAGACCTGTCGGTCAAGTTTTGCGACTTCACCGAATCGACAATCCTGGCCCTCCACACTGACATGGAAACCGTCGATGACAACGGGTATTCCATCCACACGGATATCGGACAACTGGGCGTGGTGATCTACGAGGTCGTGACGGGAGAGCAGTGCGGGTTTGATCTTTTCAAAGACCTCCCACTGGATGCGACTCGAGCCATATGGCCACGGAGGGAGAACCTTCCCAGGACCGCGGACGTTTGGCTGGGGCCTATTATCTAGCAATGTTGGACCAAGCACGCGTATAAAAATGCCAACAGACTAGCAGAGGCACTGGATTCTATCGGTGTGGAAGACTGGCAACCCCAGGGAGACGATCAAAAGGAAGATCCGCCGGCGAAAAAGACCACCGTATCCCTGCGGATGAGCAACATGCCCGTAGAATATCTGGTCAAGTTCACTGTTACACTTGGTGCTGTTGCTTTGTTCGCGAGTTGGGTCTGGAAACGAGGATGAGTTCTTGAGGAGATATTAACCACCCACTGAGATGTTCTTTGTAAGTCAATGAAAGGGGATGTTAATGTATTGAATTAGATTAGTGGTCCTCATTTCGCAATGAAGCGGGTGAATGGGCTAGTAGGTTAAAATACATTACTTTTAATTGATTGTTAGACAAACAAAATTAACGAATATTCGAAAGATCACCCTGTTTAACATCTGAGACCATTCAATCGAGTGCTTCGAGATTTAGTCACGGCCCATACGTCAATAGGGGTGGTCTTGACTCCCAAGAGATGTTGCTTTGCCGGGACAGGTACTTCGTCAGCCTACTAGTTAAATACAACGAGGGTATCTAGGTACTACGAGCCGAAATCATGAATTCATCTGTACGCCTCTGTATTTATTGTATAGAGTACGAGGTCTGATAGGATCTAATTTCGATTGAGATGAATAACGAGTTGACACAGTAAAATCTATAACCAAAAACTGTCTATGAGGTACAAAAGCCATTCAAAAAAAAAAAGAGCGAGGGGCATGAGACTGAGAAAGAGATAAAGAGGGAAAGAGAGAAGGAAATGACGAAATGAAGAAAAAGAATGTCTAAACCAACCCCTCATCTTCTACTCCAACTTCTGCGCCGCATCAATAATCTCCGGCAGCAGCGCCTGGGTATTATTCCACAGCTGGGCGGAGTTCAGCACAAACAGCCCCGAGATGTACCAAGTGTTGCGGTACCCCTGCAGGGCATACATATCCTTCCAGAAGCCGTTTCTGATGGCATCCGCGCTCTGCTCGGGGTGGAAGGGCCCGACGTCCCGGAACTCCAGGTACTTGGGCACCGCGTCGGTGTCGCTGCCCTTGTTGGTCAGCTGGGCGCGCAGGTTCTCAATGGCCTCGGTGACAGCGTCCTGGACCTCGGACTGCGTCAGCTCCTTCAGCGAGCTGTAGGCGTAGGAGAAGACGCCGGGGATGTGAGGCGAGGCGGTGATTGTCACGACGAAGGGGAGGTCCGGCACGTGGTACTGCGTCTTCGCGCCGACGTTCTTGAAGCTGTAGTCGTCGGGCAGGCCGGTGTTGGAGACGATGCCGACGTAGAACGGGTAGCCGGCGATTTCGCTGAGAGTCGACTTCTCGCGGGAGTCGAGGGAGAGAGGGGAGAGGTTGGAAGCGTCCGGAGGCGCGGCGACGAGGAGCTGTTTGGCGCGGATCAGCGAGTCGCCGTCGGGGGTGGAGATGTGGAGTTGGATGCCGGAGTCGGTGCGGTTGGCGGAGGAGATGGTGGCGTTGAGGAGGAGGTTGTCGGACCCGATGATGCTGGTGGCCTTGGTGTAGATGGCGCTGTTGTCGCCGTCGGTCTGGTGGATGGCGTGGCCGTTCAGCTCGTCGACCATGACGCGGTTGAGGCCGTTGAATTCGTGGACGGCCAGACGCTGCAGCGGGTTGCCAGCTGGGTTGGGCTGGCGGAAGCTGCCAATGGCGGAGGTGGTGAGGTTGTGCTTCTCGATGTACTCGACCCACGGCAGGAGGAGGTCCTCTGGGATGTCGTCAGGCAGGTGGTAGCCCGATGCCAGGTAGGGGTATTTCTCGAGCTCGCGGTCGTAGTCGGCGCCGTAGGTGTAGGTGAGGTTGGGCAGGAGGATGCCCTCGGCGAAGTCGGCGAAGACGCTGGTGCCGCTGGCTGAAGTGGCTCCGGTCGAGATGCCCAGGCGCTCGAAGTACTCGGTGACCACGTCAAGGGGGTTGAAGAACTGCACGCCGTAGTCGAACGGCTTCTTGGTGCTGGGGTCGTAGTAGGTGAGCGTGGCTCCTCCCAGTCGGCCCTGCTTCTCGACCACGACGACGGACTGGTTACGGTCCACCAGCTGTACGGCCGCGTAGGTGCCGCTGGATCCGCCTCCAAGCACGACAAAGTCCCGGTCGATCACGGTGACTGCCGTGGCCGCAGTGGCCAGGCTGCTGAGAATCATGTAACGCATTGTGGCAGAGGTAAGGAGTGATTGCAATGCTAGAGAACGAGTGAATTGATGAGATAGATGGGTGATATTGCTCTGGCTGCTCACCCCTTTTATATACTTCAGGAGTCCTCCTCTGACTGATCCCAGCGGTGTATCCTATCAACACCGAGCCACCCCCTAGGCTACATCATCGTATCAGTCCACGAGGTGGGTCACCACGCGACTGAGCTGCAAGATGGTGAATCACACGTGGGAAGTGCAGGTCCCGAGCGATCTGATACACTTCATCCAGCGCCCCCAATTGGGGGCTGAATCGTATATAAAGGCGCCGACAGATACCCGCCGGACCAATGATCAATTCTCCCTGCATTCCTTCGAATCCTTCCGCCAAATCCTATTCACACTTCAACGTCACGAATGCTCTGTGAGATTATAAAGTCGTAATCAGTGTCAGCCGCACAAGACACTGATGCATCCTTCCGGATGGTTTTCTGCTCAATAGCCTCGCGATATAATTTCCGCGGCCCATTGTCGTGCTTGGACTTGGTCAGAGTCTGGTCAGAGTCTTGGAACTGGATTCTGCTGCCTGGAGAATACGATGTAGGAGTATAGAGAAAGTAGAATACGAAGGCGCGGTAGGTGGTTCGGGAGATGTGTAGTGGAGACGGATGATTGGGGTTGCATTGGCCGAAGATATGGTTTAGCTTAACCAATTATATCGCCTGAATCTTACGACCTATTATATGGATCACTAATTTATAAATATATTAATTCTGCCTGGAATCGAATATTCTCGAACCTCGCCGCCTGTAGCAAGAAAAAAAAAAAGACAAAGGAAAACGGAGGCGGTTTCCCTTTAGCAAGGACCAAGGGTCATGCCATATAGGCAAGGCTGGCGAGATGCTCGACATCTATTTTATCTTGTTTATATTAACTTCGATTGCAGTGATTGGATAATTACTTCAGGTGGTCTCGTGGATTACAATGTCTCATACCTCCGAAGCTAGCCGGCCACATAATAAGACAATTACGTGAGAGGCAGAGAACCAAGGCTCAGGTGAGAAAATATAAGCGAATACGTCATTTCTTATGCTTCACATACCATCTCACAGAGGGATAGGGGCAGTTTGGCCGGCATTGGAAAGGAGTATGACTAGAAGGCAGCCAGGCGGACAGGTGTGGGAAAAATGTGGAAATGTATCAAGTCAAATCGTTCTAGCCCATCAAAGCTCTCTACCATGATAAGGGAGACTTCTTTCGTCTGGTCCAGGTACAAATTAAAAGTTGTAGTCGCATTAAAGCCGCCTCCCCTGCAATAACTTACCGGATGGATGGATTCTGGGTAGTACAGTCAAGAACAATAACCTTTTTATTTATAATCATATTCCTTCGGCGGCCGCCAATACGAGCACCAAGCCTAGGCCTAACCAACTCCAGAGCAGCATCCAGCCAACCCAATTTCATGGAAACTTTCCCAAGCCCCCCAATTGAGGGTTCAGTAGCCGAGATCCATGCGCCAAGCTTAGCCATGTGCAATGCAACAGCAGCCCATTCCGTAATCAGCATGGGCGATGTATTGAGATGCCTGCAGATGGATTAATCCTTCCAGAAGGATTCCACATCATTATGATTCATCTTGCTCGTCTCGGAAATAAGATTCATTAACACCGGGTAGGACAGTTGCGTTGGAATGGTGCCCTGGCGCCCTGAGAAATTTAGCCTCGGTGTTGTGTGTTTATCGCTAGTAACATTTATTATAATACCTACACTAATAGAAATACGTTGCTAATATCAGCAACGTATTTGGTCATATTTGAAGTGATTACTACTAATAGTAGAATTCGGTGGTACTGTTGTGCAAACCACATGAGAAGCATATCTGTGAAAGCGTCGACAAACTACTAACTACCTCCTCTATACTGAACATTTTCCGCCGACACAACGCTACATAGACTGTAGAAAGAAGACAAAGACCTATGGGGTATAACGGACGAGACACTCGGACTTAGACATCCTATCACCCTGGGCCAACGGTTTAGGGTTATGAATTGATGAATCGCAAACTACGAATGTCTGTCCAGTCACAGCTCACATTCGAATATATACCTACGCATGAGCTGTAGTCGCTTCTCCTAATAATATCATGATTCGCGATTGAGTGAGCGAAGCATGTATCTCTTACCGTATCTATGAGGATAATTAATAGTCGCTGACTCGGCACAAAAAAATACCCCTACCTAACAGAATTACCGAAGACCACAACGACCACAACCACCTATCCCCCTCTCCCTCGCTCTCTTAGCCACCAAGAGACTTGGTCTCAAAAACAAAAAGAAATGTAAATGTGGTTATTCCGATGCGGGGAATCGAACCCCGAGCTGCCGTGTGAGAGACGGCGATGTTAACCATTACACCACATCGGATGTTGATGTAAATTCTCTCCAGAAACAAAATTATAGAACAGAAAAAAAGAGCGTGTCTCATACACAACCATCGACACTCATCCCGCCATCCGGTAAGCTCGACCGTGCTGCGCTCATGGGCCGCACTTTTTCACCGGGGACGGAAAAATGCCCTGTGCGACAACTGCCATCGCAGATATCGAGCGTTTCTTGGCGTCTATCATTTTTTATCCGAGGACTCTGAATCAGTACGTGTTCGCGTATGGGGAGCACGTCATACAACAGCGGTACTATGTTGTTCTTGCGCATGAAATCACGGGTGAAGATGTTCCCGTCATTCGAGTGACGAAGGAGCAAGTGCTGGATCTGGCGCATCAGCCGGAAATGGAGTCGTTCATGGTCTGGCAGAAGGTTATTGTGCAGTATCTGTACAATAACTGGTGCAAGGGGGATAATGAGGCTTCATATGCGAAGTATTTGGGATACTTGGATGCGCGTGAGCTCTGTCCCGAGCTGGAGGGAAATGCTTTGCGGCTCATGTTGGTGACGGTCTTTTTGGACCGGTCTCGAAAAGCTGTTTGGGAAAGGAGAGACGAATTGAATGATGTGTTAAATGGTAGGCATGGTTTTTGCTCAAATATGATGTACGCTATTAAGAACCTCTTGCTAAACCAAATAAAAAAAGACATAAAATGTTGTCCGATAACGGTGGAAGACCAAGTAAATCAGGCACAGCAGAATTCAGTAATGGATTATTTTCATTATTCCATCAAATGGGTAATGTGATGGATTGATAGCTTTTCGATATCATCATTATCGTGTCTCTACTTGTCGCGGTGCTGATCGCCACGGATGAGGTCGACAAGAACCGGAGGCAAAGTACATTATGCATAAATGCATAAGATCTGGATCGCGCCCAATCGTGCATGATCCTGACTATACTCAAGCGAATCCATTTGGCAAACCATAGCCGGGAGGCGGATTCGAATCGGCAATGCGACGTCGATACTCTGACTCGCACCTCAACAGAGGCAGGAAGTGGGGCGCCATCAATCGTAGTGTTGGAATTTCGATGTCCAAAACCGCGCATCATGGCATGCCAGCTCCTCTTATTTGAGCATGCCATGGAAGAGTATAAATGTGGGAGACGCCACGAACGGCACTTCCCTCTTCTCAACTCTAACTCTACCGTTTTTCACTCGGATCTACGCAAAATGACTAACAAATCAATCTTTATCACCGGAGCTTCTGGCTACATGTAAGTCAACAGATATAGCCCTGATGGTAAAGACTAGCTCGTTAATCAGATTAACAGTGGCGGATCGATACTGTCCAACCTTCTTCGCACCAAGGAGCAATGGGCGACGAGCCTTCACATATCGGCATTAGTTCGAACAGAGGTGCAAGCAGAAATAGTGACGAAGCTTGGAGTTTCTCCTGTCATGTTCAAGAGCTTTGATGAGCTAGAACGACTCGAACAAGTCGGCGAAGAATATGACAGTGCGTTGAGCATACCACTCCAACCGCGGTTCTATGTACTGAAAAGAAACCACAGTTATCATTCATGCAGGAGCCGGCTGGCATACTGCCTCCGCAAAGGCCTTGATTACCGGCCAAGGTCGCCGACGCCAGAAGTCCAGGACGAAAGTTCACTATTTCCAGATTTCAGGAACTTCAAACCTCAGCGATCGTCCCCATACAGCCGGGTATGTGAATACTAATTTGTTCTCCGACGAGGAAGATATCTTCTCGTACGAAAAGTACCGGGAGTCTTGCGAGGTCTATCTTCAGAGGACGACCGATATTGCGGTAGTAGAAACCGGCGAAGCATGGGACGTGACAACCTATATTGTCATGGCGCCCACAATCTTTGGGCTCGGATCCGGCCCTATCAACCGCTATTCTATTCAGCTACCGTCGTTGATCGCGGATGCCCTGAAAGATGGGGGCTGCAGCGTTGTGGAAACTGGCCAGACAGTTTGGAGTCATGTTCATATTGAAGACCTATCGACTCTTTTTGTGGTCTTGGTTCAAAAGATCATAGAGGACACCCCTATTCCATCCGGCCGTCGAGGCATATACTTCTGCGAAACGGGAGAACATACCCACTTCGAGTTCTCTGAACGGCTTGCAAAAGCGGGTTTTGAGCTCGGTCTGTTCAAGTCGGCGGAGGTTAAAACAATCAGTCTTCAACTGGCTGGCGATAAATGGGCGTTTGGAAATCCATCTCGCGCGGAGTTGGCCTTTTCTTCAAAGTATTTTCTGCCTCTTTCCCACCTTGGCAAAGAACTCTTACTTACGTTATATCTCTCTCAGTGCTCGAACGAAGGCAACTATCGGCCGCCAAATTGGTTGGTCACCTTCACACGATGGCGAATGGGAATCCACGTTCCATACAGAGTTGAGGGAATTCTTGAAAAGTCCACCGGCAAAGAGGGATATTCCACAGGTGCTCTTGCACAAAAAGTAAACTTGTGATTTGAAGAAGCAACAACTTTGTTATACATCTGATTTTGCTTCCTTGTTACATAACATAAGTCCTTGGAATTCGGCTGAAATCGGCGGATAATCAAATCTCCTCAATGCCGGGTTCGAAGAAAGACAACAAGTCATCTGCTGTTCCAAGTTGAGGGTCGATAGTTGTTGGATTGGAATTCAAGAGCTGCATAGGCACTCTAAGATTATTAAAATCCCAGCACTCGGGATCATGGTATCTCTTGCTGAACTCGTGCGAGAAGAGGTAGTTTCCAGTTGAAACCTCTTTTAAAAAGACATCTCTAATTTCGAACGGCCACGCGAAGTGGATTCTCGTAATAAATTCGACCGCGCAGCTCTCGGACGCGTAGTCAATACCCTCCAGAATCCAGTAATCGCGAAATTGCGGACTGCCATATGTGAGTTCTTCTAGACTAGAGCTATCTACGGACACATGGTTGCGTTAACTCACAGCGGAAAATAGTCAAGGAATGGGGCATGCGGAATAGTAGTCTGGATATGGCTGGATCATCTATCAGAAGCAGGATTCTCGGGAAGCGTGTCGAGAATGGATGTACCTTGCACGCATGTACTCAGGGACGGCAGACTGCACCCCATAATTGGAGCCTGACTTTTGCTAATGGGTACAAGTTAGCATTTTGAAACCGGTATCAGTGATTCTATCACGCACGAGCAGCAAAGACCTCATTATTCGTAGCATGGCAACTCTCGTGCTCGCATCAGCTCTATAGATAAGGCCCTGGTCAACAGCAAAGAGAAGCCTCCATCCAGGATCAAATGAATGTCTGTCTTTTGCAGCGTCCCAACCATCCACAACGGCACGAATGCAAAGGTCGTCATCTGCTGTTGGAGACGTGCCAGCAAATACATTATAACCAGAGCTCCCTCCAATTAGGTTGAATGCGCTCCCAAGCATCAAAAGATAGTTCCTCTCACGGTCGCTACAGTTGAAGTCCATCCCAAAGAAGTCATCCGGATGAAGGCTTGTCTGTGGGGCAGGGATATAGCCCGTAATACTGCTGCTAGGGGCATCGGACTCCCCTAGATAATTGTACGGAGACAGCTTCCGCTGGACGCTTTGTGACTTGCTACCTTCAGCCGATTCATCGGGGGAGGGAACCGTTTCTTGGTTGGCGGCATTGTCCGCGATGCGGGCTATCTTCTTCAATGTACCTTGCAAGTCACTCAACTGCTTGCGTTGTTTTCTATAATTTTCTTCCACGAGTTGGCTGCCATTCTGACCGACGAAACTTTCGATGGTTCTCTCCAATTGCTCAATATATTCCTTGGTTCGAGCGCGATTGATCCGTTGGGCTTCGCGATCGGCCGCCCGCTTCCTTTCTCTCGTTGATGCTTGCATTCCTGATCTTGTCAAGAATCCGCTGGGATGCACGTGGCGCAGGGCTCAATCCATGAGAAGCTGGTCTCCACAAGTCGCCTTGGTTTCGACTCAACCTTGAGGCCTCCGGTGGCTCCGGAGGTACTGAGTCATCGGAGCAATGAAAAGGCAGTGAAAGTTGGGAATGTGAGATGAAGTTAAAAACCGCTGCCATGAGAGGTAATGATATCGAGCCTCTTACTCAGCAATATGGATCCCTTCTGGCAAATCAGAACGCTCAAGTCTTCCCTGGTGGGTCAGCGACGTCGAAAGCTTGACTCGCCGGGCGTGGCAAATTAGCCCTATCGTGCGGTCTGGATGGCAAAGGAATCGGGTCGCGATACTTCCGAACCCGGGCATCTCAGCAGCTCACTGGGAAGTCGGATATAGCTCATCCGATGCGAGACATTGAACGGATGTCAGGTATATTTCCAGCTTCCGATAGAGGCCCATCACATCAAAATTTCGGGAACATCGAATCTAAGTGATCGCAGATCGCCCATACAGGGATGTACATCGACCCTCATGCTTTACTCATTGGGAACCTCGCGAAAGGTACCCTCAACCAGACACTGACCTTGCCGTGGTCGAGGACGGTCAGGCTTATGGAGTGACCACTTACGCTATAACGGCGCCGACTATTTTTGGTCTTGGAAGTGGGCCATTTAACTGTTCATCTTTCCAGCTTCTGATTTAGACCGCAGGTGCATGCAGTGTCGTTTATGGGTACACTCTAAAACCACGTCCATATCGAGGATCTGGCGGCCTGCATCGCTTTCCTGCGCGATATTTGCGGAAACCCCGTGATCTGGATCTATTCTGTGAGAATGGCGAGCACTCGCATCTCAAATCACGGAACACCCGGCTGAAATCGATCACAAGTTAGGGTCTTTCACATCTAGTGAGGTGATGAGGATCACTGTTCAAGAGACCGGCAACAAGTGGGCTTTGGGCAACACTTCTAGTGTTGGGCTGGATTTTGCGTCAAAATCGTCTCTCTGTATTAGCTTTAACTCTGCTGACAGCCCATTCTCTCCGACTAGTTCCCGTACCAATCTGTCTCGCTGACAAGCTAGGATGGATAGCCTCGTATGCTGGAGAATTGAGGGTAACTTCCGCACTAAGTTGGATGAATGCATCAGGAATCCTTCCTCTGGGCGAGAGATCCCTAATTGTTCGAAGAAATCAAATCTTAGAGAGGAATGATATCCTGATGACGGGCTATAAAGGTATTAATCATTCGATTCAATTGATTATTGGGCCCATATCGTTATCCGACACATTAAGGGTCGGTTAATACCACTGTGATCTGCCCTCAAAACATATCGTACATACCCTGGTCTGCGGTCTCACAGGCTTGTGGTTGCCCTACTAAGTATTAGTTTCTTTTTGGCATATAGAACAGATCTTGTGGGCATATCTGTTGAGGACGTCAAGTATGTCAGTCCAAGTAGAGCTACCCTGCTTGTAGAACTGTAAGCTGGGCGTCATCAGGAATCCAGATCTTTTGAGGCTGGGAAAATTCGGTAAGGCTGCCTCGATGGTCACAAGATTGAGGAGGTAAGGAGCTTCAGATGTGGAAGGAAGTGGCTGAGGCATACGATGCTCAGCCACTGCCTGGACCATCCGTGACCTCACTTTCGATGGGCTCGGTGGTACCCTGCGCCACAGACATTGCCACAGCCTTGGCCTCACAGTCTGACTAGTTCTGTTATGCATGATCACCCTTTTTTTCACTAGCCTGTTGATTTACACCCATTGGCTTATCGAAAAGAGGGACGGGAGAGGATCACAACGGAGCATCATTCAACGATTGGAGGGCCGATGCAAGCAATGCAGGAAACATTAATCTAGGGAAAGACAAGGCAATGTTTATGACTCATGCCCAGCGACACTCCTACAGTCCCCGCCTATCAGCAGGTCAGAAGTCAGGGTCATTATGCGGGGAAATCCCGTTGGAGAGAAGCAGCTTTCGCTGGACAGACGACTGGGGCCGATCTTCCTTATCGAATTGAATGCTGCCGTCTCGTCAGGAGCATGAGCTACTGTCATCGTTCGGGATTTCAACGATATTGGTGGACGCCTCAATATGTCATGCAGTCATGGCCCACTCCGGCTTCACCCAGTCCCAACAGGCTAACGAACCGCTAGATCCAAAGCGATAGGTTCTTTCGGCATTTTTGCATGTACTGAAGGATAACGGGGCACCGTATAGCAGTGAACGGCAAGCGATTCTGTGAAAACCCATCGGACTGCGCTAAGGGCTCCTGTCAGACTCGTAGTAAGCGATGGTGCCTGTCTTGGCTGCGTCTTGGTGCACCGCCGATTGCAACAACAGACCAATAACGGCCGTCAGCCCGTCAATTTCAGCTGTGACTGAAAAATGGCGCATGGTTGGAGTCGATGGTTGACTAGGTACTCCAAAGATACCTGATACCTGCCTGCTAGGCTACAACCTCACTGCATGAACAGAAGAAACTCCATCGGCCACATGCAGCCGGGGTAAAACCGTGGGCGTGCTTGTTTCTCTGCATCGGAAGATGATGCCATTTCCGCCCCAGTACCCTCTTTTTCTTTTCTTTTTCCTGACTGCGTAAACCTGGCCTTTCCCCTTGCCTATCCTCCCCCCCCTCTCCAGTTCGAGTGATGGAGGGTGGCTCTCCCACGCGTCGCATCGCCCCCCCTTAGATCGCGGCTGAAGCCTTTCTATGCATCATTCGAGGGCGCTACAAAGGGCAAATCAAAAAAATTCTAAAATGGAAATCCCACCGCGATAAACCCTTCTGACTGATAGCCTCACTCGCTGTAATGCCCGGGCTCCTTCTGCGCCCTGTTTTCCCTCGTGTTGACGGGCACTGGGGAGGTTTTTTGCCCGTTCACCCCAGACCCGTCGGCTTGAGCTTCATTTTTTTCTGAGCTCGCCCACCCAATCAGCCGTGGCAATAGCTCCAACCCTCCATGGCCCTCGGGCGTCCTGAGTTCTGACCTCCTCTCGGATCCTTGGGCGACTAGTCAACCAAATCGCAAGGCAGAAAGTACAGGGATCTTCACGTCCTGAAACATCTCCCACTGACTGGATGACTCCATGCTGAACAGCCGCCTGCGATGACTCTTGTTCATTCAAAAGCAGCTGGTCCCTCTGCATCTGCCCCCCTTCTGCTCTTCCCTCCCTTTGTTTCCCACGTTTTCCTGCAAACACGGTTATTGTCTGTTTTGTCTCGGTTACCAACATATTTACCCACTTGGGCTGCCTTACCTTTTTGATATCAGACATCCCTAGCATCCGTCCGTACCTTATATCATATATCATCGTCCGTTGTTGCCCTACTGTTTCGCCGCCGAGAGTCATCTCTTGAGGAGAAATGGCGATCATCAATCAAGACATGATGCCGCCAGTCCCTCCCATGCATCATCCACCCGGTCATCCGACCGTTCATCCAAATGAGGCACCTCGGGTCTTTCATCCTCAAACTTCTACTCCCATCGACCCCACACATCTGGCTGACGAGATGGCCCGCCTTCGTATGAACGTCAACGATCTCGCTGCCGGCAATGACCAGAAAACCCGAAGCTTCACCCCTCACAAGGACTTTGAGGTACGGGTGCCGGCGCACTACGTGGGATATACTTTCTTCAAGGCCGACGTGCCTGCCGGCCAAAAGCCCACGTGGAGTCATGTCGAGAGAACCAGAATGCACTTGACTCAACTCGACCTCGCCAAGATAGTCCAGAGACGAGGCAAGAAGCTGCCCAGTGCGCAGCAGTACCAGGCATTGAAGAAGCCGAGGCGGACACATGTGGATCAGTTGATCAACGAGCACCGACAAAGCGACCCTCGGTTCGAATGGACCTGCGTCTATGTCAACGAAGAAGAAAGGCCCTTCAAAGGGAAGAATTCTCGATGGGGTGATTACGAGACCGTCTCGATGGACGTCATCCTCATGAGAAAGCCCATGGACACGGCAAACCTCACCCCTAAGACTCCTAACATGGGAGCTGAGAACTCGGGGTTGCCGTTCACAGCCAAGGACAAGCCCACAACTAATGTGGAAGAGCTGTTGGCTCGTGATGAGCCGAAACAAGTGAACCGAGACTTCATGAAGAGCGCGTCATGGGCAATGCCCGGTATGCAGCAGGGGCAGACACCCGGGATGGTTCACCACGCCGCTCAACAGCAGCTACCGCCACAGTTTCAGCAGCAAATGCCACCACATGCTCAACTCAACCATCCCCAAGCAAACCTTGCAGGTGCACGACCACAGGTGAACCAGGCTCACCAAAATCCGCTGCAACAAGGTATGGCGGCTGGTGTCCACCAGCAGCCACACCACCAGCAGTCACAGTTTCATGACAATGCCAAATCGGTCCCTAGCAAAGGCCCGGAGATCGAGATCTTACAACACGGCATGGGCGGCTTTCCCGCGGGCATGAATATGAACATGAACGCACATCGTCAGGCACAAGGACATAACCCCGCCCAGAATCCGTTTGGCCAGCCTTTAAATCAACAATGCCCAGGGAAGGAGAACTTTGCCCATCGGGTCAACACCGCCCAAGGAGGTATGCCTGCTCAGGTAGAGATCCCTCGTCAAGGTGGCATTCCTCACCAGGGAGGCATCCCCGGTCATGGAACCATTCCAGCTCACGCCGGCATCCAAACTCACAGAGCTGTCCCAACCCACGCAGCCATACCTCGGGCCCCAAACGCGCCAGAAGCGGAGCCAGAATGGGGGCCGGAAACCAGCAGCATCGGCGACGACGAGTCAATAATCTTTGACGACGAGGATGTCAGCTCAATCACCGACGGCTCTGAGGAGGAAGAAGGACATGAAGGCGATGCCGACCTGCACGGAAAGGGGCAACCCTGGCGCGGAAGTCTCTTTCGGCGACACTCGTCCAAGTCTCGACGCCAAGAACCAGTTTACCGAACGCATTATCGAAAGCATTCCAAGAATGGCATGGAGGCCAGGAACGGGCGCACCAAGTACCCGGCCGGATACATCGATGTGGTCCCGGCGGAGAGCAAAAACAGCAGCAATCGGCTGTCGAAGGTTCACGCTCGGGAAGTCGCCCGACCATCCCGGGATCGGCCGAAGATTATCCATAGCGCGTCGGACAACCTCGACATGGTGGCCTTTGACGAAAAGTATCGCGGGCTGCGGGCCCGCAATGACATTCGAACCCGAATTCTGGACGACCGCGAAGCGAGAGTCGAGCGCCGGGAGAAATTGGTCGACTACCGGACGCAAATGCTGGATGACCGGCTTGACGAGGCCCGTTACCTGGATCGACGCATGTCCCTGCGAGAGAGGGGTCCTTACTATCCTCGGGGGTACTATCTACGAGACGATCTGTAACTGTTTCCTATTTTCCCTTTTTCATCTTTTTTCTTTTTTAATTTCCCTCATCTTGGAGCTTTCTTGGTTGGTTTCCGGCGCGGATGGGGTTGGGTTGGTGGGTAAACAGGAATAACGTCATGGGACGACGGACATGTATACTTTCGGCACTCTAATAAAAAATGCGATGCAATGAGATACGAACATTGAAAGGTTCCTCCGCCGTAGAAATAAAGATCTTCAGACTGAAACCCTCCCCCTCTCAGGAAGACAGGTCATCTCGCAAGACGCAGTGACAGCGCATGCGTGACTTATCGATAAGCCCCGCCAGAGTTTCCTTCTCGTTGCGCCCCACCATCGCTGCCTGGAAACGCGGGCTTTCTTTTCGTCATCGCTTGCTCTCTTCTCTTCTCTTCCCTTCTTCCCTCTCCTTCTTAACCGCCGTGTTTCCCTCCTCTCCAACCTTCTTCCCAGTATCCCAATCCAACCTCCCTTCACTCTACCTGTCTCTCCGACTCCATCCCACTCACATCGCCAATATGCCTCGTCAATTCTTCATCGGTGGTAACTTCAAGATGTACGAGCTTTCCAGCACTGCCCCGCAGTTCCTCCCTCCCTTCCTTACCCCCCTGAAAAAGGGAAAAACGCGCTATTCGCGGCTGTGTCTCCCCCTGGCCTTTCGCTAATAGATTCAACACAGGAACGGTACCGTTGAGGGCGTTACCGGCATCATCAAGAACCTCAATGACGCTAAGCTCGACCCCTCGTCCGAGGTCGTCATCTCCCCTCCCTCTCTCTACCTGCTTCTCGCTCGCCAGGTCGCCAACGAGAACATCGGCGTGGCTTCCCAGAACGTCTTCGACAAGCCCAACGGTGCCTTCACCGGTGAGATCTCCGTCGACCAGCTCAAGGACGCCAAGATCAACTGGACCATCATTGGACACTCCGAGCGTCGTGTTATCCTGAAGGAGTCCGACGAAGTATGTTTGATCTACTTACTAGCTTACTGATTTGGATGGGCCAGTGCTAACGACGGCTTAGTTCATTGCCCGCAAGGTCAAGGCTGCCGTTGAGGGCGGCGTTAGCGTTATTTTCTGCATCGGTGAGACTCTTGAGGTAAGTTTCACGTGGGACCGGGAAAAAGAGGGGCAATGGTGCAGGTCGTGCTAACCTGGTCTTTTCCCTACAGGAGCGTGAGTCCGGCAAGACCATCGAGGTCGTGACCAAGCAGCTCAACGCTGCCGCCAAGGAGCTCTCCAAGGAGCAGTGGGCTAAGGTGGTCATCGCCTACGAGCCCGTCTGGTAAGTGGTCGCCTTGCCTTGAGTGCTTTGCCTCACTCGAGACCTTACTACAGACCTCACTCGAGAGGCTTAGACCGGTGTAACGGCTTGAGCTAACTGAAAACCCCAGGGCTATCGGTACCGGCAAGGTCGCTACCACCCAGCAGGCCCAGGAGGTCCACGCCGCTATCCGCAAGTGGCTGAAGGAGACCATCTCCGCCGAGGCTTCCGACAACACCCGTGTCATCTACGGCGGCTCCGTCAGCGAGAAGAACTGCCGCGAGCTCGCCCAGGAGCCCGACGTCGACGGTTTCCTGGTTGGCGGTGCCAGCTTGAAGCCTGCCTGTAAGTTTTCCTGCCTGTTGTCTCTCTCGATCCGAGAAATGCTAACTCAATGACAGTCGTCGACATCATCAACGCCCGTCTGTAAACTTGACAACACAAAAGTCGGACTTCCTTATAACTAAAATGAGCACCACCCTGCCAGCAGATATTCGCCGGCTGATAGTCGGGTCTTGAAATAGAGACCCCGTCTATGCCAGGATCCCCTGGCTTTGCCGTCAGGCAAGCTAACGTTCAGTCATGTATAAATGTCTTAAAATGGTTATACGAGTTCAGAATTTCCATACCATGAATGCAATTAATGAACTTACATTACTTCTCATCCACAACGGTTTAACTGTAGAGATTCATATTCTACTTCTATCCGAACACAGTAGTTAATTATCTATATATACAAAAATACCATCATATACATCATACCCTATCCAAACACCAACCCACCCACCTACCTACTTACCTACCCGAACGAGGACCCTAGTAGGTATTCTCAAGAAGAATACAACACCGACACCCCGACCCCCCTCCAATACGACTTCCCAGGCCCTCCTCCACCACCACTCTGTCCCGAACCACCCGACCACGCCGAAGACGACGAAAACGAACTCGGCCCCAACCCCACCCCCGCACTAACCAACAACTCCTTCACCCTGCCCTCCCACAACAGCCGCACATTCCACGACTGATCGACCCGGATCTTCAGCACTGAGCCGTTCGCCTCTTCTTCCTTCTTGTCCTCGCCTGCGGGCAGGATGTTCGAGATGGTCGGGGATGGTGACGGTGATGGCGAATGGCCCGGGCCCCGGGCGATGGGGTCAAAGTCAGAGACGGGGGGAGATTCCCAGGTGCGCATTTTGCGACGAGCCCATTCCAGTCCGTCATCGGCTGAGTCGCGGGTTGGTCCGCGGCGCCAGAGTTCGCAGCCCGCGACCATTTCGCTTTCCCAGCTGTAGACGTTGAAGCCGAAGCGGGAGCTGAAGGCGAGGTTGGGAGAGGCGCGCAGGGAGTAGGTGGTTGAGAGGGAGCCGGTGAGGGGGGTTAGGGTGAGGGTGAGGGTGTAGGGGAAGGTGGAGATGGGGTGGGTGTTGTTGCTGGTGCTGCTGCTGCTGCTGGGGGTGTGGGAAGAGGAGGTAGAGGGAGTGGGTGGGCTAGAAGTGGATGGGGATGGAGATGTGGATGTCACGGAGGACGGAAGGTCCGTGGCAGCTGGGAGCGTGCTGAAGCGCAGCCCCGTGGACATCCCGATCAGCGAGGAGACGGGGGAGTAGTATGCTTCAGCGCCGGCGGAGAGGAGCGAGAGACGCGGCGAGGCAGCGTCGCGGGTGGAGGAGCGGGGGTCGGGACCGAAGTTCCACAGGCCGCGCCATCCGAAGAGCGCGTTGTCGGTGCTGAAGAGGTACTCGTTGCTGTATTTGCCGGTGTCGTGGGACAGTTGGGTCAGGAGGGAGGCCTGCGGCGCGGATTTGGAGAGCGGCGGGCCTCGCGTCGAGCAGACGGCCAAGGTGAGCTGCATGGTCGGGGAGATGCGGCGGAGGAAGAGCGCATTGAGGGTTGTCGGGGGAGGAAGATGGAGGGTGGCATTGAGCAGGGTGGCCTTTTGAGCGAGGGGGGTGGATGAAGACGCATTGTGGTTGCTGCTGTGCTTGTGGGCGTTCGCGCCGTCGAGGATGGAGTCCCATCCCCAGTTCTCGACGGGAGCAACGGGGGCCTGGACTTGGCGGTATCCCGGGGCGAGTTTACGGAGAGGGATCAGCGCACTCCGGCTGGGAGTGTTGTCGAATGGCACGGTGCTGTATAGATACGAGACGGAGCCATCGATCAAGCCTACCGTGCCGAGGGTATAGCTCGTTGCGAAATGTGGGGTGGACAGGGATGAGAGGTGGACGCGCAGACGTTCGGGGGTTGTGAAGTCAAGGAGCGCTGGATAGCAGACAAGTTAGACATGTATCATAGGAGGATAGGCTCTCGATAGGCCCAACTGATTCAATTGACCTACACTGCGCAGTGGCCGTGAGCGAGGAGTATGAATTGTCGCGATTCCACTCCGTCGCCTCGGCGAAGGCGAGTTGGATGTAATCCATGAAATCCAGCATTGTTGGCGGGGACGACCAAATCTCAGGATAACAGGATAGAAAACAGGCATCCAGCGCCCATGCTGAAGCAGCAAGAAAGAAATGAAGAGAGTCCAACTAGGAAGAAGTCAAGCCAGCTCATTTCCCCATGCGGGAGGGAGTGCGGATCGGATAAGCCCCGCATCAACGTTAATCCGCTGTTATCGGCGAAGAAAAAAATAATTGTATTTCGATCTCTCCGAGCCTCTGCTTTTTTTTCCGCGGCTGTATATACTTCCCCTCCACCAGCATTCCGGGTGGTTGAATATCTCATTTCTTACCCTTTATATTCCCTGACTCTCTTTGCAAACACCTCCTTTCACAATGCCTCGCTCCAAGCGTGCCAAGATCGTCCACGAGTCGAAGACCACCAAGAAGTCGCACAAGGAACAGACGAGACGCTTGTATGCCAATATCCGCGAGGCCGTCGAGAAATATGAGCATCTGTTCGTCTTCGATGTGAACAACATGCGAAACACCTACCTGAAGGATGTGCGCACTGAGTTTGCCGACAGCCGGTGAGTTGGATTTGCATTCCCACGCCCCGCAGTCACATTCTTTAAGATTTTCTCCATTCGTATATCGATCATTTGGTATTGGATGGAGGGGCCTTGAGAATTCGAAAGGATCTTCTCCCTTAATCCCAGCCCTCGAAACTCATCATGAACCAAGGAGGAGAAAAACGAAAAAAGAAAAACCACTAACAATTTACAGCCTCTTCTTCGGCAAAACCAAAGTCATGGCCGTCGCTCTGGGCCAAAACCCCGAATCCGAAGCCGCCACGAACCTGTACAAGCTGGCGCCGTACCTGACCGGCGCCGTCGGTCTGCTCTTCACCTCGCGCGACCCGCAGTCCGTGATCGAATACTTCGAGAACTTCCGGCCGCTGGACTTCGCGCGCGCCGGCACCGTCAGCACCCGCTCCTTCAGCCTGCCCAACGGCCTGGTCTACTCGCGCGGCGGCGACCTCCCCGCCGACCAGGACGAGCCCATCAGCCACACCATCGAGCCCGAGCTGCGGAAACTCGGCATCCCCACGCGTCTGGTCAAGGGGAAGGTCATGCTGGAGCTGACCGAGGGGCAGGACTCGTTCCCCATCTGTCGCGAGGGCGAGGTCCTGGATTCGAGGCAGACGACGTTATTGAAGATGTTTGGCGTCGTGAGCTCCGAGTTCCATGTGGCGTTGAAGGCGCACTGGACTCGGGATTCTGGCGAGGTCGAGATCCTGGAGAAGGGGCAGGGTGGTATGGAGGTTGATGGGAACTGAAGGGGTTGGTGAAGGAAGGTGGTTTAGAGAGAAAAAGTTACGCTTGGTTTCGGTTTTTTCTTTTCCTTATTTTTTTCTTCTTCGAACGAAATCCCCTGGGCATTTCATGGAGTTAGGTATAGGCGCCTTTCTTGTTTGCTTTGAAATTATCTACTTCGATATCGGATTTCAGGTCCTCTTCGTGCCTTTGATCTTGTGTGCTGGGGGTGGTTTAGACTTGGGTTGATGAGCGTGACGGACATAACATATTCACCAGAAAGAAAAAAGAAGTAATCCAGGGACTGCCGAGATGGGGTTTCATCTACGTGATCGCTGCAAGCCGAGAAATATCAAATCAAATCACAATCAAAAAAGAAAGCATCTCAAAAATGATTCATTACCTTGATTTACAGCCCATACGAAGATGTCTGGCATCGGTCATGGTTTCTAGAAAGAAAAACCTTACCTGATCTTCTTACCTCTGAACGTCCTCGGGGTCCCACCATTATTTCCGCCTGAAAAGAAATGCTCAACTACCTAAAGTACATACTTACCCCTCGAGAGTTTCTGGAAACTCCTGGAGATAATGAGAAAACGGAAAATGACAACAAAAAAGAGACAGGAAGAGATAGAAGCAAGAACAAGACAGAAATTCAACAAGGGGGCGTCGCAATAAAGTCCTTGCCTGTATGATATCATGTGTTCACGACATCATGCTTTGTGTTGACCAAATGATGCCTGAAACCCTCGTATGAGAAGAGATAAATCGTATGAAAGACGGTGGCATGGCACTTGGACTATTGTAAGTAGGTGAAATTCGAGCTCGTACCCCTGGTTTGATTGTTGAGTTTTCCGTTGTCTTACCCATTGCCGTCAAGGACGATGAGGGAGATGAAAAAAATAGAAGTCACGATCAATCAAATACCCACCAGCATACCGTTGTTTTTGAGTACTGGAATGGGAAGGGTATCCCTCGTTGGATCAGGGAACTCCTCAGTATCTTCTTTTGGCGCGAGGGTCATCATAGGCATCGTCTTCATGGTATCTCTTCCGTCCGTAATCCTCACGGCCGCCATACCTGTCACCACGATCGCGGTCACGATCGCGGTCCCGGTAGCGGTAGCTATCCCTGTCGCGGTCTCTGTGTCGGTCACCGTCACGGTCGCGGTCATGGTCCCGTCGATCGCGGTCGCCATAGCTGTCCCGGGGTCTGATAGGTTCACGGTTGCTTCCGGTTGCGCCTCGGTCGCGGTCATATCGGCCAAAGCCACCACTTCGTCCACCACCGGGACCAGAAGGTGCGTTGGGAGGAGCTTGTCCGCCAAACCCGCCGCGGCCACCTTGGTATCCAACACCGCCACGGGGGCCACCAAAACCACGATCACGGAAACCTCCTCTGCCTCCCCTGCCACCGAAGCCACCACGGAAACCACCGCCGTATCCGCCAGGTCCCGAGGGGGCTCCAAATCCTGGTCCAATCGGTCGAGAAGGCAAAGCCTTGGTGTAACCACGGCCTCCGAGACCACCGCCAAACCGGCGAGGCTTCCAGCCCTTGACAGTGCGACCCCGTTCCACGTCTACCAGGACGCGGCGGTCTTTGATCCGGATGCCATCTGTCTCTTTGTAGGCAGCTGGAATTAGACGAAGAAGGGATTAGGTTAGCAAACAAAAAACTTTGCGATGGATGAACGCGTCATCTCAGAGAGACGGCGCCGGAGACACAGCGGCAATACCTTTCATATCTTTTTCACGCTCGTAGACAATAAACGCATATCCCTTGTGCGACTTCTTAGAGCCCTTCGGAGTCACGTTGTCTTTCACAATTCGAATCTTGGATGTGTCAGTGGCATTTCTTGGGGGTCAGGGGAGTAAAAGAACATCTGTCTGAGTTCTGGGACAGTACCCTTTCAATGGGACCGAAGCGTCCGAATTCGCGTTCCAGGTCCGACTCTTTCACGTCATAACTAAGCCGGGCAACAAAGAGCGTTTTGAACGGATCGCCTCGAGCTTGTCCGTCGGTAGAAGGATCAACTAGACAGGAGTTAGAAAACCAGTCACAAAGATATCAGCTCTAAAAGAAGCGCAGAGTTCATACAGTGCTCAATGCCTTCCGTCAATTGCTTGTTCAACCTCTCCTTCGCCTCGGCCTTCTGGCGGAACTTGCGCTGCAACCAACTGTCGGTGGCATTGTACGGAGCTTCCTCCTCGAACTTCTTCGCCTCGGGCAGAAACTGTGCAATGCCGCCGATAGTACTTTTCTTCACGTCCTCGGGCGCCCGATCAATGGGAGTGACATAGCGCAGGGGCGGCCGCGGCTGGAAAAGGGCAAGCAACGGAGGGGGGAGTTTGTCCGTCATCCTGGCCCCTCGAGCAACTTGCTGGATAGATGAGTGGTTGCCAAAATCGAGACTAGATCAGTTGACGGTCTCGGCACATGAAAAAAACAATAAAAAAGCCCTTGGTGTGGATCGCTCCCCCTTCTCTTCGTCTTCTGGCAAGAGTTGATGAGTTTCGTTTCGCGTTCTGCCGTCCGCTGACTTAACTTGGCTCCAGTGCCGGGCGGGCGGCCTCAGGCTAACTCGCTCAGGTGCTCTCGAAGCCCACTAGGCGCCGCAGCCGAGCTTGACGCCGGCCAATGAGAACCGGAGTCGTCGGCGTTGAAAAGTCCCCGACTGTTCCTGGGCTTGTTGGAGGCAAGAGAAGAGATCAGAGCGACCAAGAGCACCAACCATGCCTGTGCAAGGGATTCGGACAGTGACTGCTGCCAAGGTACGACTTCGCCTGACTGACAAAATTCTAACTGGACTTTTGAGCGACTAACGGGTCCTGTCTGCAGAACGGCGTCGGCGCCTTCATTCTACAATGCAAGCGTCTGGATTTCCACTACTGCGACTGGGCAGGTAGCTCACGGGGCATGGTGTACGTTGGCAATCCTATCAATCCCCCAACCAAGACTAGTTATGCTAATGTGTGCGACTACAGGAGCTTCCTGAAAAACACGCTTCCCGCCTTCGCCAAACAGAACCCTCAGATCGAGATCCGAGTATCCCCCCGACCGCACAAGCACCCCATCGTCAAGGGCCACTACATCAACGGCCGCGAGAAGGTCATCTGCGTCCGCAACCTCGAGCCCGAGCAAATAGGCAACAAGGCGAACCTGCTGAAGGAGGCCAGCGGCGAGAAGTTGAAGCGCACCACCAAGCCCGTGACGAGTATCAACGAGAGCGTGCGAGGCATCTGGTCCCCGTACCACGGCGACCTCAAGAGAGTGTAAAGCATACTGTTTCTTTGCTTATTATCGGGGTTATCAGCAATGGTGTTATGTTTTCTGGGGTGGGAGACCATCTCCAGCTTGTCATATTATGTCTAATGGGGGCCTTTCTTTGTTTTCATCTATTCTCCGGGGGAACCCGAAGCTGGCTTTTCTTGTGGAAGGGTTGCCGTCAAATGTACAAAATACAGTGTTCTTGAAGTTTTCTTGGAAATGTCCGTGTTATGCAGCAGGTATCGTAGCCCACCGGATTCTTGGACTTGCGACTAAATATCTGGAAATGAATAGCGTACACCAAACTCCTGGTTACCTGAAACCTCCAAACGATATGAACAGTCCTTCGTAACATATGAAACAAGTGATATGAGTCCGGTTTCCACCAGTGAAAATGCAATGAGGGTATCGAGAAGAGTGGCTAAGCGTGACGAATCCGTAAAGAAATAATGCGACCTGAACACCGAAACGCAACCGTTGGAAGAGTAGAGAATGGAGAATAGAGTCTCCTCGTTCTCTAAAGATAAATTTGGAACATGGCACGAGGGGCACTGACTGATTTGGCGCAGTCAGAGACCTGACACTTGGAGAACGGCTTGACTCGTTGAGTGGCGGCCTTCTTCGCGCTCGATTTCGACCGATGGGTTGCACATTCGCCACAGTAGACCTGGAGTAGACGTTAGAACTGACCGACAAGAAAAATTCATGGGAGGTACGAACATGGCCGCATTGCTTCGCCACCCAGATCTGCTGCTTCGTTTCATCGCCGGTGCCCAGCTCCGCATCACAGTTCGGGCAACACACGACCTCGTCTTCCCCGGCCGTTCTCGTGAATCCCTCTGGCGCCGGGCTTGGTGGTTTATATGCGTTGGGAGGTGGCCCTCTGTCGGGTGTCGTGAGACTTTGTAGTACATAGTCCATGTCCAGAGGGAAATTGGTCAGATCGATCGCACCCCCCGACCCTCCCACCCAGACTGTGTCCACGTCAAGCGGAGGGTGTCGGGCCATTCGCCGTGCTCGTCTGGCCACCTCGTCCCGAAAGACATCTCGATTTGGTACTCCGTGTATCATCGGATCATGAAATCGAAGCATATGCAAGAGATTCGTTTCAAAGGTCGGTTCTCGCGAGGGTGGCGGACGAACGGAGGCACTTATAAATTGGACCTCAGGAGAGCTGGGCGCATCGGCCTGGCCACTGCCACTGGGTTCCGGCTCCTCTTCCAGGTCGACTACTTCGGCCATAATATCTCGACCGAAACGAGGGGGCCTTGGTCGCCGTATTTGAGAATGGCGAGCTGGGAGCCGGGAGTGAAAGGTCTGCGGGGGCGAGTCCGGTTCATTTGTGAGGTCGATTATGGAGTCTTGCGAAGCACTCGGCGCTGGTCGCCTGAAATCAAGACCGTCCCCGGCATATCTGGGGCGTGGTGGCGAAGACGATGGACGGGGATGGGCTGAGGATGAAGACGCTTCGGCTTCTGGCCTCCATGGAGGGCGTCCATGCGACTGAGACATCTCGCGGTGGTCTCGCTATCAGTGTTGATTCAATTGTCAGTCAGTTCTGAGGAATCTCTTTATCGCCAGCCAGGCAAGGAATGCCCCGCTTCTTTGACGATAGACAAGGAGACCAACCTTCCGGGGCCGAGCGGCCACAAACTGAACGCCTGGATCGTTATTCATGGCAGACGGTCCAGAAACCCAGGAGTGAATGGGGAGTAAAGGAGGAAGGGTGCGAAAGAAGGGAAGAAAAGCCGTTGCCGGCGGAGTTGGGGAAGCCTCAGTATTGGTGGAGGCCATGATTAGTAGTAATCCTGTAGGGAGTTTGGGTCCGAGTCCCTGCGGTGGAGAGATGACATGCCGCCCCTGTCACAACAGCTGGCCACCGCGGCAAGTATAGGGGAAAGAGAGATTTAATAATGCCCACGTCACGAGGAATGCTGGACGGCGGGTGAAATGGAGGTGAGGGGGATGAAGTGTGTTTTAAAGCGTTGTCCTTGCTGGTGGTCAGACTCCAGCAGGCGAGAGTCCCGTGATGTCTACCATACCAATAGTGAAGGCTTTTATGCCCGTTCCTTTCCTCATTGCTTGTCACTCAGTCTCACTTCACAAGGTTTGGAATTTCTCGGTGGGAAAACATGCGGCTAAAAATACAAATAATAAACAGAAAAACATTTTGATTTTCGAAAGGTATCAAATCAATCATCATTACTACTGCCCGCCCAGCACCGTGATCACTCCCTCGCCGTTCAAGGCCACAATGCTTTGGGCCGCGGCGCCCCAGCCGACTGCAACGGCCGGCACAGCACTCCGCAGAGGCTCCGACCAGGCCTTGGCGGACTTGGAGTACTGCTGGACGGTCAACCCACTGGGTCCTCCGGTCAGCAGGAACTGGCCGGTGTAGTCCCAGCTGAGGGAATCGATCTGGTTGCCGGTATCCAGGACCTTCACTTCCTGGGAGCTACGTAGATCCCAAATAGACACGGCAGTCGACTTATCCGCCACAGCCGCCAGGAAGGTACCGTTCTCGGAGAAGAAGAGACACTTCACGGGGCTGGACATGGCGTAGTTGGCGGCAGCCGCGCCAGTCTTGACATCGAAGATCTTGATCTGTCCATCCACACCTCCGGCAGCAATGAGGTGACCGTCGGGGTGGAACTTGACGGACAGCAGAGCTAAATAGGAAGAAACAGAATGTCAGCCTGAAATCTACAATTCAGGTACCGGGGAATTTGCTTACAGGCGTCACTGAAGATCTGGGTGATCACCGAGTTCGTCGACAAGTCATACAACACATAGCTCTTATCAGCCCCGACAGAAGCAACAATATCGCCGGTAGCATGCACAGCCAGGGCTGTGGCAGCACCCGCATGCAAGCTAAAGTTGGCGACTTCACTACCGTTCTCGAAAACCTTCACAGCACCCGTGGAGGCGGCAACAACAGCCTTGTCGCCTGCCCAAACCGCATCGGTGACCGGGCCATTCGCTTGCAGGCTGTGCACGACCTGTTTCTGAGATAGCGAGTAAACACCGACAACTCCGTCAGTCCCGCCGACAAGAGCCAAGTCTCCCGTTGCGTTGACAGACAGCGCCTTGCCGCCAGTCGAAAGAGGCTCGGAGTTTGCGATAGGCTGGTATGCGGAAAGGGAGTCGCTGGTGGCCCAGTTTTCAGGAACCGGGCGCTTGCGGCGGCCTTTCGAGAGCCTGTTTATAAGGGATCAGCGATAAGTCTACACGTAGGGCCTGTATTAAATCCAACGTACGATGCTTGCGTGCTCTCGATCCGAGCCAACACAGCCTCCGGGAGTCCGGTTGAGTCGACCTGCATGGCTTCGTCGCCGGCACCGGCGGTGCGGCTAGCACCCACAGTGACCTTGGACAGCGCATCACGGGCTTCGTCTCTTTCCTTGGTCAACCGAGCAACCACTCGGACCGCCGCATCGTGCTGGTAGAGTGCCGTGCTGAGTTCCTGCCGGGTTTGTGAAAGGGTCTGTCGTAGAGTGTAGGCTTCCAAAGCCAGAGCGTCCCATTCTTCTTGGAACACGTTGAGCAGAGAAGGGATCGAGGTGAGCGTAGGAGGTCGGGGTCGGACAACGCGCTGGGATTTAACGTCGATCAGGTCTTCCGTCGAGAGCTCTTCTCCGTTCACAGGGTCTTTTCCATTTTCGGCGATGTAGGCCTCGATGAGGCGCTTCTCGAAGACGCTGCCTATATGCGAAGTCAGCGCTGCGACACGGCCGATCGAACAGTTGCTTCTCGAGATTGCAACATACCGCTCTTGGGCGAGACGACTGGCACTTGAGGTGCCTCTCCCGAAACTGTAGCAATTCATTATCAGCGACCAACTCGGATTAAGCAGAGCACTATGAGCACATACTTGCGCACAGCATTATTTTGTGGAATGGATGGGTGGATGTCTGGAGGAGAGGGGAGGTTGGATTAACGCGAAAGCTGCCCTTTGGACTTTTCGACTCCCGATCTGGGTTTAGCCGCGCCGCAGAGCTTTGGCTTTCCTGCGGATTGCGGATCGCTTGGCACCTCCTCGCATTTGTCCCTCCGACTCCGAGGACCTCTCTTACCACCTCAATCTCGCCGATTTGTCTTTTAGACCTTCTGGCTCGCGTGTGTAGCCATGCTGGTCGTGGCTTGAGATTAGTTGCCGATATTTATTGGGGTTCTCTCGATTACGGATGAGTCTTGCAGCGCAAGCTCCCAAACACGCGATCAAGAAGTGAAAGAAGCACAATTATGAGCCACTGATTACTTGTTATCTCTCCTAGCTCTTGATTATATGTGTATCGGTTATACTGTACCTGGTTAAACCCATGCTCAGTTGATACAGAAGACTAACAGACCTTTAACATCCCACCATGTCTTACAATGCGAAGAACCTTGCCTATGGTATGCTCTACGCATCATCCTCGATTCACACCATAGTGACTAACTCCAGAACAGAGGCAAAGGAACCAGCCTTTCTACAGAAACTAAAGGGCCAGTATGGCGATACGTCTGGTCGCCTCCAACAACCGATCTCCCGACCTCGCCGACCGAAAGATGACACCGGTGATGATGACGCGCCTACATATGTCGACGAGGAAAGCAACGAAGTCATCTCCAAAGAGGAATACGAGGCCATGGTTCGCGGGGGCGCTCCGAAGGAAGAGGAGTCTGGCGAGAAGACGGCCGACAGAGAAAACCCCTCCGGGGGTGACGAAGATACCCAATACAAGACCGAGAAGGATGGGCCCTCGTCGAAACAAAACCTAGCTGAAATCGGAGGTCAAAAGAAGCGAAAACAAGCCAAGGTCATTGGTGAAGATGCGCCTGAGGCGGAGACCGAGGAAGCACAGCCCAAAGAGCCTGCGCCTCGAAAATCCAAGCAGAAGAAGAAGAAAATCAAGCTCTCGTTTGATGAGACATGACTCAGGATACTCGAAGCGGCTATATATTGATAAATAATGCATGTAATGATATATACTCCGTACTGCCCATCTATGACTTTGGGCTCTATTGAGTCATAATGACTGAGAATGAAACATCACAGGCGCTGTAGTTCCACCGGAATGGTGTTATTAATAATCGAGAAAACTATTGCGTAGATTTCAACATCTCAAATGTGTTGAAGACTCTTCAGCTGTGTAGGGAGATCCAAGTGGTACTGAAAACATTCCCATCCTCCACGGCCGAACGATTCCCTTCAGGCTGTACGAATCCCGGCTACGATTTTTTTTTTTTTTTTGCCCCTCTGACCATTCATTCATCTCCTTGACTCTCCTTCCGCCGCCCAACCAACCTCTCCTCCTAGGCTTGAATTCTTGAATCTGAGCGCTGTCAGCGCCAGTCGAGTCCCAAAATGCCTGTTGTAAATGTCGACGATTTAGTTCGCCTGCAGCGGAAACCGGAGGATATACGGAATGTACGTTGCCCCTCCATCCCACGTTGATGTCACAGCCCCGGGTCGTTGTCAAACAACCAGCGCTAATCACACCGCAGATATGCATTCTGGCCCACGTTGTAAGTCCATCCAGGGACTCCTTCTCTACAGGGTCTTCCGAGTATTAATTATTGCGTTTGCATGGTTCCAGGATCATGGCAAAACCTCCTTGACTGATAGTCTCATTGCCACTAATGGCATCATTTCGCCCAAGCTGGCGGGCAAGATCCGCTATCTGGATTCGCGGCCGGATGAGCAGCTGCGAGGTATCACGATGGAATCCTCTGCCATCTCGCTCTTCTTTTCCATGATGCGCCGCCCTGCTCCAGACGCGGCCCCCATCCCGAAGGAGTATCTGATCAATCTGATCGACTCCCCGGGACACATCGACTTTAGCAGCGAGGTGTCTACTGCCTCGCGTCTGTGCGATGGAGCCATCGTTCTGGTGGATGCCGTAGAGGGCGTGTGCAGTCAGACGGTCACGGTGCTGCGTCAGACCTGGGTCGAGCAATTGAAGCCGATTCTGGTAATTAATAAGCTCGATAGATTGATCGGTGAATTGAAGATGAGTCCCAGCGAAGCATATAATCATCTGAGCCGGCTATTGGAGCAGGTAAACGCCGTAATTGGCAGTTTCTATCAGGGTGAACGGATGGAGGAAGACCTTCAGTGGCGAGAGCGCATGGAAGAGCGCGCCAATGCATCTGCCGCCCAGAAAGATCGCACCACGAAGCAGACGCAAGACGGTGAGTCGACGCAGGGTAGCACTGCTGATGCAGCCGAATTCGAAGAACGGGACGATGAGGACCTGTACTTTGCGCCTGAGAAGAACAATGTGATCTTCTGCAGTGCCGTTGATGGCTGGGCCTTCACCATACGGCAATTCGCTGCAATCTACGAGAAAAAACTTGGAATCAAGCGTTCTGTTCTGGAGAAGGTCCTCTGGGGCGACTACTACCTAGATCCCAAGACAAAGCGTGTTCTTGGTCAGAAGCATCTGAAAGGACGGGCTCTGAAGCCCATGTTTGTTCAGCTTGTGTTGGACAGTATCTGGGCTGCTTACGAAGCTACTACTGGAGGTGGAAAAGGCAAAGGGTAGGTTTAATCTCTACGTGGACTTTTGCAGCCTGCTGACGATGTACAGTGATCCGGCATTGCTGGAAAAGATCACGAAATCTTTGAACATAAATCTTCCGCCATATATTCTACGCTCGCGCGATCCTAAAAATATTATGACTACGTTGTTTTCCCAGTGGCTCCCACTGTCTACGGCTGTGTTGGTGTCTGTTATTGAATACCTTCCTAGTCCTCCAGTGGCCCAAGAGTCTCGTCTGCCTGCTATGATCGAAGAGTCGCCGGGTGCCAAATTTGTCGACGAGAAGGTGAAAAACGCGATGGTTCAATTCAAGACCGGCTCTGAAGAGCCAGTTGTGGCGTATGTCAGTAAGATGGTTGCGATTCCAGAGAGCGAGCTATCATCAAGCAACAAGCGTTCCGGCAACACCATGTCGGCAGATGAGGCTCGAGAAATCGCTCGGAAGAAGCGCGAAGAAATTGCCAAATTACAGGCGGAAACCAGTGCCCCCGAGGCAGACGAATACGCTCGGATCACGTCGACCTTCGAAAGAGTAGTCTTGGACGACAATGACCAAGGAGACGAACCTGAGGAGAAGGAAGACCCAGAACACTTAATAGGCTTTGCCCGACTTTACTCTGGCACTCTAACGGTGGGCGATTCTATCTATGTCCTTGCACCCAAATTCTCGCCTGAGAACCCCCACGCCAGCCCAGAACTTCGCAAGGTGACTGTCACGGACCTGTATCTCCTCATGGGCCGGAGTCTCGAGCCTCTCCGATCAGTTCCTGCTGGAGTGGTGTTTGGCATCGGTGGTCTTGCCGGGCATGTCCTCAAGACGGGCACGCTATGCTCGCAACTCGAGGGAAGTATCAACTTGGCTGGTGTCTCTTTGCACACTCCGCCTATTGTCAGAGTCGCGCTTGAGCCGGTCAACCCCGCCGACTTGGGCAAAATGGTGACTGGTTTGCGTCTTCTCGAGCAAAGTGATCCTTGTGCGCAATATGAGGTTCTTCCTAACGGAGAGCACGTTATCCTGACAGCCGGTGAGTTGCATCTTGAGCGCTGCTTGAAGGATCTCCGCGAGCGATTCGCCCGATGCGACATCCAAACCGGTCAGACAATCGTCCCATACCGCGAGACCATCATCAACGCGCCAGAAATGGCCCCTCCGAAGAACCCAGAAGTGGGACGTGGAGGCGTTGTCGTGGTTTCGCCCTCGAAGCAATTGACCATGCGTCTACGAGTCGTACCGTTGCCTTCCGCCGTGACCGAATTCTTCACGAAGCAAGTCGGAACTATCAAGCGACTGCAGTCTGAAAAGCGAAACGCAGCCGATGACGCCAACGGAACTCCTGTGAGCAGCCAGCCGGTCGAAACGAGCGATGCCACAGACGAAGCCCGAGAGGGAAGCATTCTCTCTCTACAGGAGTTCAAACAGGAACTCGGCAAGCTTTTCGACGAGAACGCAGCAGACGACAAAGAGCTCTGGAACAACGTCGTCGACAAGATCGTCGCCTTCGGTCCTAGGCGTATCGGACCCAACATCCTAGTCGACGCCACAGCAGTCAACACCTGCGAGAAATTGTCCGTCCAACCCTTCTACCCTTTATAAATAATTCACAACTAACATCTACTCCATAGCCTCCTCGACGACCCGACCAAGCAACCCAGTCTCTCTGCCGAAAGCAGCCGAGACGCCTTCTTCGTTCGCGACTTCTGCGACAAGATCGCATACGCCTTCCAACTCGCCACCGGCCAGGGCCCGCTCTGCCAAGAACCCATCCAAGGCACGGCCGTCTTCCTCGAAGATCTCGCCGTCAACGCCAACGAAGACGAGCTCGACCTCGGCCGACTGACCGGCGAATCCATCCGACTAGTCCGCGACAGCATCTCGCAGGGATTCCTAGACTGGAGCCCGCGAATCATGCTTGCCATGTACAGTTGCGAGATCCAAGCATCGAGTAAGCCTCCCCCATAAGAACAAAAAAGAGAGAAGACAGAGAATCTAACAACCCCCCAGCCGAAGTCCTCGGCCGCGTCTACGCGGTCATCACGCGCCGCCGGGGCCGCATCCTCTCTGAAGCCATGAAAGAAGGCACACCGTTCTTCACGATCCTAGCACTCCTCCCGGTCGCCGAATCGTTCGGATTCGCCGAGGAGATCCGGAAACGGACGTCGGGGGCTGCGCAACCGCAGCTGATCTTCGCGGGCTTCGAGGCCCTCGACGAGGATCCGTTCTGGGTGCCGGCGACGGAGGAAGAGCTCGAGGATCTGGGCGAGTTGGCGGATCGAGAGAACGTCGCGAAGCGGTATATGGATGCCGTGAGGAGTCGGAAGGGGTTGGTCATTCAGGGACGGAAGTTGATTGATGCGGAGAAGCAGAAGACGTTGAAGAAGTAGGGTCACTCACTCTTTACTCTTTAAGGGGGGTGGGGGTTGCAAATAAAAGTATGGGTTTATTCATGGTTTTTGAGGGTAGATTTGGTTTTGTTTTTTGGTTTCTGCACTTTTGTGGTTTGTGGAATGGTTTAGCATGAATAGATTTTTTTTTCTCTCTCTTTCCTATGTATGCAGGTTGCCTGTCTATGTTAGTTTGTATAGAGGTACAGGTACTGCTACCTAGAATAGAAACGGAAGTGCCTGAATCAAACCTGTGTATCAAAAACAAGAAAAAGCCCACACGGCCTCTCTGAAACGAATGAAATTAGACAAAGCTTTCTCAAATCCAAAACAAGAACAGAAACAAAGGGGGTGCGTGGAGGATAACGAGTCGGTCCTCCGCGAACCGGTTGGCCCCCCCGTGAACAGAATCCGGCAGGAAAGGCCAAGATCATGGATTCTAGAGTGGCTATGGGGTTTGATTAAGTATTAAAAGTGGAAAAGATAAAAGCCGCGTCTTTACAATGCTTGTGCACATGGGATATTTTGATGTATTCCATTAGTTATGTCTCCTCGAGGGAAGACAAGAATTGATTTGGTGGTTCGTAAATTCATCAGCTCACCATCACAGGATGTGCGATGAGCATGCCAGAACCTCCTATGGTTCTCTATGTAGAGTGTCAAATATCGCTGCTCCTCCGGAGGACTCGACACCTTGTCAGTTCCTGGCCGAGTGATGCGTCTGTCTATTTCGGACTGCTCGGACGACAGCCCAGATCTCCCAGGTCAAGTCAGTCGGCCCCCATCATCAGCGACAGTCCAGGCAGCAAGCCAGAGCGTCCCGGTGCTCTTAAGACGGTATGAAGGTGCAAATGGCCACAATTCACGGTGCGTGATTGCCGCCACACAAACTCCCCACTCAATCAAAACGGCCGCGCAACCTTTCTCAGCTCCGCCGCCCCAGTCGCCGGATCCCTCATCTCCTTCCAACTAACCGGGAACATCATATTCCCCGCCTCGCTGCGCGCCATGACAACGCCCAGATCATTCCTCGCCGTAGTGATATAGTAGAAGCTCTGATCACCGAGCGACACGACGGTCCCACGCACAATATCCCCAACCCGGAACATCTCGTCCATGACGACGCGGTCCTTCTCGACAGCCCGCACGTCCTCCTTGCGAATGAGCGCCTGGAAACGCAACTCGTCCGAACTGCTGTGGTTCTCGGGGTTGGCGGCCGAGGAGAGGATCGAGGCGATGTTATCGTTGTCGGAGGTGGTCTGCGAAGGGTTCAGCAGCTGCGAGCTGGCGGAGTCGTCGAGCACGACGAGGATGGAGACGGTGGCCTGGCGCTTTTGCACGCGCGTCACGCGCGCCAGGACGACGGATTCGACGGCCGGGAGGGTGTTGTATTTCAGTTTGGGTTTGGCGGTCGTGGAGTCGGAGGCAGGGCCGGGTTGGCGGGTGATGCTCCGCGACACGCTGAGGGTCGACTTGGCTTTCGAGCTGGGTTGCGCCGGGTCGACGACAACGGGGCCGGCGATGGAAGCGTAGATATTGGCATTCTGCACGTGGGTGCCGGGCCCGGCAGAGTAGGAGGTCACTGGGCCCAGGCGTTGGCCGGGTATAGCTAGAGCTGGTAATGTGCTTGTCATGTTGTATGGCCGGTCGTGAGGGACGGGATGGGAGAAATAAGAAAGGGAAAGCCGCTGAGGAGAGCAATAAGAGCTTCGTCTTGTTGGTGGATATCAAGCGAAAGAAAAGCGGAAAGTTCGTTTTTCCCGGCGTGACGGGCTCGGCGGATTGTTCCTCCGCGGCTCCGGCCAGCAAGTAGAACTATTCACTGTTATGTCAATGTTAACATCGCTGGAATCTGCTGGGCTCTGGACAAATGTACACGCAGTACATAGATTGATAGCTTGGACAATGGAACAATTTACACTAATATGAATATCACTACAGGTCAAATATGAAGGCCAATCTGCTGCGGTAATTACAACCGTCACCCCCAGGTATACACCAGCACAGCAGACCTCAAACGTACAAAATGGCAAGAGTGGCGGAAATCAACAGGGGCACATGAATCCTATCACGCCGGATGCTCGCTGACAGAAGAAAATTGACACCAAAGAGAATGCCCGCTTAACACCAATAACAAAGGAAGGTCGATGAGAAACTTGTGTTTGAGGGGGTGAAAAATATGGCATAGGCCTTATCCAGGCAGTGTGATATGTGTCCTAACCCTCGACCAGGGTCTGTCGGGGTCCATTTCCAAGAAATTCGAGGCATCGGCGTGCCAGCGCAATAACCTCGCCCTCTCCGTCTTCGGTTTCATCGTCATCGGACTCGATGTTCTTGTCGGAGATGCTCTTCACCATCTGCACGACGTCTTCCGATTTGGCAATATATCCTATCAATCTCTGATCTTCGGATTCCAGTAGCTGTAGAAGGGTCCAGATGGCAATATGTTGAAACGTGGGGTCGCCGCTTGCAAGGAAACGGTTCAGGTAGCCGTGAATCCCTCCATTAGGGTCTGCCCAGTCCCGAACAAAGATCGAGTAGTCTCCGACTATAATCCTCATTAGTCCAGGTCAAGATGGAATGAAGTTCTGGCATGCTTACCTTTGGAGGACAGATTTCCCAGAGCTGCGGCACTGTTACCCTGCACTTCGATGCTCTCCGACTCGGTCAAGGGAATCAAGACGTCAAATACGCCGAGGTTGAGAAGATGCGGTTTCAACTCGTCGCTGAGGGCCAGCACAGCGATTGCGGCCGTCATCTCAGATTGAACACTGAGGGGCACTCTTAGTACAAGGTCTTTACATTTCTGGACTGCACCGGCCTGAAGAACCAGTTCCTTGTTGCGGTCGGAACTGGCTGCAAGGTTTCGAAGAGTCGAGATTGCATGGCATTGGATCTCTTCGTTGTCGGTGGAGCCAAGGAGGTCCACCAGAGGCTTGAGGAAGCCGGCATCGATGATCGGAGATTCATTAAGAGGATGGATGGAGATATTGCGAATACAGGCGACAGCGGAAAGAATAAGAGGGAGGTAGGAGGACTGCAGGAGACGAAGGAGCGGGGGGAGACCCTTGGCTCGCACGATTTCAAGCTGATATTTCTCGTCTGACGCAAGGTTTCGGAGGGCGAGTGCGGCTTGGCACTGGACCTTGGGTGTTGACGAGTCCATCAAATGTACCAAAGACTGGACTAGGCGTGATTCGGTTTGGGCGAGTCTTTTCCGATTCGTCGAGTCGACTGCGATGTTGCTAAGAGCTGTTGTGCAATAATACTGTACGTCAACGTCGGTGGAGGAGAGGAGCTGGACCAGGACAGGAATGGCGCCGGCGTTCACAAGCTGTTGTCGATTGTCATCTGCGCACCAAGTTAGATCAGAGTACAAACCATGGTGCCCGGATCACCATCTTACCGGAGTGTGTCATGTTGAGCAATGCTCCGGTGGCATTGCGTTGTACGCGCATGTCCTTGGATTTGGCCAGGCGGATCAACGGGCCTAGAGCACCCGAGCGTGCGATTTTCGCCTTGTTATCTTCGTGAGTAGCCAAATTGGTAATGCAACCGACAGCGTTGCATTGGACCTCGACGTTGGGAGACATCATTTGTCGTATTAGAGGGGCCAGCCCTCCCAGAGCAACGATCAACACCTTATTGTCCGCTGTGGCCCGTTAGCCATCTGAGGCCCCGACCGATGGGTATTGGGACTAGTACGAACCATTTACCGCGAGGTTCCCAAGGGCCGCGCTGGCAGCCCGTTGGACTTCAATATCGGAGCTTTGTAGCAGGAAGAGGATTGGTTCGAGGGTGTCTCGATCGACTTCGCGCACGTCTAAAGAATCGTAGGTGTTAGCTGCTGCAGAGAAACCCGTAGACAATCCACACACCTCGCTCTGTTATCTCGGCAAACGTCAAACTGGCACTTCGTTGAAGGTCCACATTATCAGAGTAGACCAGTGTGCTCAGCGCGCGAAGGGGTTCTCCGGAGAAGAAGTCGGTTTCGGCTCTCTGATCAAAGAAACATTGTCAGCAAACAAGAGATTCCCAGTGCTAGCTGGAGCAAAAGACGCCAAAACAGTTGCGACGCGACTTACGTTCTCCAGGTAGCCCAACAAGTCCGAGACAGCTTCCCGCTCATTGTCGGCGAGCGTCGTTTCGTAAATTCCATCCCTCGAGCGACCACCACCGAGACAAGCGGTGATATGACACCAGCGGTCAACCGTCGACAGGCAGGAAAAGCAGGTATTCACAATTCCACCCATGCCTTCAAGATTGGAGGCCCGCAGGACCAAACTGCGGCCCCGCAAGCGTCTAGCTCAATCAAACACAAAGGAGGTGGAACCGATGTGAAATCCGACCGGGGATAGCAGCCGACAAGTTTTTGTCTGGCTGTTTCGATTCTTCTGTCGGCTCAAACGATGGAATGGATAAAAGCGGCGGAAGGATGACGAATTCGGGACCCAAGGGAAGTGCGGGAAGTGAGGGAAAGCGATTGGCGATGAGACGAAGGCGAGGTTGGGAGGCTCTGCATCCGCCTCAAGTTGGAGCTTTCGGGAACACAAGCAACGGCGCGTGATAGGAGGGGAGATTTCGGGGAGGAAACTTATTTTCGCTCGATCCTTTTCTCTCTTTTTTCTTTTTTTAATGTTTTTTGGAATTTTCTCGGATTGATAACCCGCCCAAGGTGGGAATCGAGGATACTGGAGGAGGGGGGAGGTGGTTGGTAGGAAGAAGACGAGAAGATGGGAGGACGGGCAGGTGAGTAGTTAGCATTAAGTTAGTATGCGACTAGCGGTGGTCACTGGGCTAATGATCACACGCAGATGGGGAGCTCACTCTCGTCCTCCTCCGCCTCGGTCAGAGCCGTGTCATTACTTCGCGTCACCGTCGATTTAATTTCCATCGATCTAATTATAAATTCGATATATGCAGCTCATCCCGGAAGGAACGAGATCTCCCGTTTACCGTTTCTTCATGGCCACAGCACATCAAGGGATGGATATTTATCTACTGATCGGTTCCCGTCTCCGTTCCTCCTTGGGCTCGACTGCTATCTCTCGATCCTATCTTCTGCCATCCTGGCACCCGATGGATCTTGGCAGTCCATTCAGCAACCCATCCTTGCCTACCCCTTCGTCCCTTTGACTCCTGTCTGGTGCGGAGTTCCCTGCCAAACAGGAGCATCGCAGGGTTGACCATCCAAACTATGCAACGCCACTGTCAGCCCAAAGCTCTATCTCTGTCCAGTATTCACATCGATGCCTTGGACGTACTTTCACCTTCTATTCCGTAATCCAACGCGCCCACCAAATAGCAACTACGCAATGGTAATCCGACATGGGGTCATCCTGGCCCACCTCGGAAGCTAATCATCGGGAACACCGCACCCCGTGTGATAGTCATGGAATGTATCAACAACCCTTGAAAGGTGAACCACTCCCGTTACAATCCTTGACTAGTTGCACATCATTGGGTTGGAGTCCGAATCGATCGCTTGAAATGGCTGTCGTGTCTTGGCACAGGATGTATAAACATCTCGATATCGTGATGATTCTATTTCGTGCTCTTTGGTTACGTCTAGCTTGTCATAGATATATAAGGCCCTCTGATTGGGATTTATTCCCCACGGAGCTCTTAAGTTAGAATTATCCCAAGGCCCCAATAGTTAGAACCCTGCTGCAAACCATTAATTTAACTCGAACACCTTCCACAAGGCCAAGGACTATCCTGGCATCCGAAATCTCTGTCCATGTTGCTGCCTCGCTGAACTGGTAGCCAATGTGGACATTGAGTAGTAATATAGTATCCGTCGATTATGGGTCGACCTTAAATGGGATCTCTACGCACCTATAAAACACACTCAGTATCTTTTCACATTAGCACAAAGTTATAAATGAACGGCCTTGCGGTGTCTGATATAATAATTAACGAGCGCCGACTCCGAAAAATTAAGACTACCATTATTAAGAAGCCGTGCCTTCTTCAGAACAAATTTTGAACCGAGTCCTTGAACCTAAGGTAGTTACGGGCCTTCCTAGTAACCAAGCCTAGCGTGCAAGACACTGACAGAGCCCTACGGCACCCAGTCCCCCAGTACCTCAATCGAGGGAAATTCCAGTTGTTCTAAGATTGGCTTATCGACTGTACGGCCCGATGTCCCAACCGTGGTTTGTGTTCTCAACGGCGAGTTACCAAAATTTGATGGACACGCGTCAGTGAGCCAGAAACCAAGGGTTCGCAGGAACGGTACTTTGCTCCAGGACTGTGACATTAACAACGGACTGGCCATGATGTAAGGCCTAACTGCCAAAGGATCAGAGCAGAACCCCCCAGTTCCTGACTAACCCGAACCGAACTAGGGCCTTATTCCTGCTTCCTAGAGGCAAACCGCCCCAAGGTATGATGTCATGGTCCATTCAGTGACTGTCCTTGGGAGGTCTTTCTGCCAGCGTCAGAAGGCTGGGTGGTTGGAGAAAATTGGAGAGTGATGGCCATAATCATCTGTGTTTGATTATTAGAAGCATAAGTGATGGATACTTCGCCACCGCGAATAAGGTTGGAGAACGGACAGTTGGTGTAGGTGGAATATTGAGTATCACATCAATTATGGCGGCCGTGTACTACGACAGCCTCCGTTTCTTTCGGTCAGCCTGCTTCGGGCTTTGTCCAGGGTCGTGATGCGCCATGGTCACCGGACTGCTGAGGGAGAGAGACGGATGATCAGCAGAACGAAACAAGTCAACGCCATGGCCGCAAACCCCATCAAAAGATGACATGAAGTGGCAGACAATGATAACGAAGATAATAAGGTCTGCATGAATTTCTCTGATCTTTCTGCACGAACTGTCTGCAACTACCAACTACTCTGTCGATCGGCTAGGTTCTTCGCGGTCCCATAAATCAGAGGATAATCAACCGGTCTATTTGACCTGTCACTTCAGAAGCAAAAGCACGGTCCTCAAGGTCTGACGGTTGATCGGATTGTTGAGACACGAGGCGTACCAGATCATCCTCCGCAGTATCAATTCGAAGAACATGTCACGGCGATCGAAATGGACGTGGACTAGACTTGGGCCAGGTCAACGCCGGGCAATACTGACGGGGGAGAGACCACGTGAGGTGAGTCGATTGTCGCGTCACATGGCGCGCCAAATCAACATCCCGGAATTCAGCACTGGAATGTACGAGGGGTTTGGCCTCATGATGCGATCCTCCTTATTCATTCGGGTTGTTTTGATTTGTGTTCCTCTTACCGGATGGGAATTCGATGGTCGGAGTGGAGCCGAGAAGCGACGGTGGTTGTCCTGTTTCCCCCTCGGCCATGACCTGATCGTGCATGGTTTGGATGGGTCTCTCTGGGCCTAGGGGCTAGCTTGGTTGGTCCCAATTGAAGAATTTAGAGTGGCATCATGCCAGGTCGTCCTGCTGCAGTCACTGCAGGATACATCCTCGGTGCAGTGCAGGGCCCATCTATCGATGTACGGTATCTGCCAACACATAATGGCAGCATGGCAGCTGTGGGAGCCGACCAGAATCTGAAGGGAAAAACCAAATGAAAATAAAAATAAAAACACCCAAACCTAATCGTCGGTTCGACCGCGGTCTGCAGGACTCAGGAGAGACCCACGAGGCGCGTCAATGGGGAATAGACCGGTTCACTGGCAAAATCGACGGGGGTTTGGCTATGATGGTGTGGTTCTTGCGTGCCGTGTTCGAGTATGCATTCTGCTGGCCCCACTCGAGTCGATCTTGCCATACCGCTGACTCGCATATTTGCTTCGTTTCTCTCCAGGGCGCTCTTCATTCCTCACGTCGGGGATCGCAATGATCGTACATTCTGGATTCTGCCATGCTGCACCTCGTAGACCACCTCATGCTCCCCTCCTCCCCTCGTCCGTGTACTTGACCGGCGGCTCGCCTCCCGCGTCGTCTGAATCGACCTCAATTCCATCGTGATCGGATCTCTCCACCGAACCATTGCCGTGCTCCATCGCAGAGTCCACCTAACCAACCGATCTGGAATTATCCTCCCAGAAGAAGATCCCAATTTAGGGCAATCGTGACGATCCCACGAGTTTCAGCGTGTAGTCTGGGTGGCTCCTGGAGATTGGCATGATCATTCCATGATTCCGCCATTAAAAAATTCTTCTGGCCGGTACCAGACGATTAATATTATTTAAACATAATTAGAAATAACTCTTTTTTATTTTTATTTTTATTCTATTTGATTATTTGATTATTTTTTCTTTTTAGAAAAACGAGGGGGACGAAATTTCTTTCTTCTTCCAATCTTCGAATCTTTCCGACACCCTTCAGACTTCAGACTTTGGAGACGAAACATCAGAATATCGGTGGTACAACCTAAACGGAATCCTTGGCTATTGATTCAGAGAAAGGAGGACGGAAAAACGAGAAGGAAGGAGAAAGGAAAAAAAGAAAAAGAAAAAGAAAAAAAAAAAAAAAAAAGAACCGCCAGGGCCAATCAAAGGCACATCGGCAGGGATGTCGACCTCCGTTGCCGCCGCCTCCAACGACGACTCTCGCGCTGGGCCCCTCCGCCGACTGAGCCAGTTGCGTGCCTATACTCACGGCCATCTTTCGCCTCAGCTTTCCTCCGCCTCCCAGCGTCTCACCCGCCAAAACACCCTGGGCAGTCGAGTGAATCGCTTGTGCCCGGCGCCTTTCCTCACCGTCATCGAGGACGACTCTTCCGATTCTGACGACGCTTCGATAGTGGAGACGACTAGCAACAACCCGGCTCCATGCCCCGAACCTGAACAGTCCGCCCGCAATAATAGTTCGACCAGTTTGTCCAGCTTCCGCGGCTTACAAATTGAGTGGCCTTTTGAGACGCGCCATTCCGAATCCTCGAGTTCGACTCCTTCCACCGACCTGGCCGAGAGCTTTTCGCAAGAATCGATGGCGCGGCTGAGAGGTTCCTCCCAGCCTTCCGAGTCTCGAGCAGACGAGGCCGCTCCCACGTCCGCTCCGGCTGAGCTGCAGAGCGCCCTGTTCGATTCTCCTGATCCCGTCGCAACCGAAAATTTTCCCTCGTCCCCCAGGCCCCGGCAGAAGGCGACCATTCGATTTTTCCCCCACCAGGAGTCGCAGTCGAGCGCCCGACCGTCCCTGCCCTTCATCCCTGTCTCGCGAACGCTCCCGTCCGAAAGTTGCATTATTAAGGTCGGCCGTTACTCCGAGCGCGATGGCCTCCCGCAGCCCAACCCGACCGAGCCGTCCGATGCGCCCGTGGGATTCAAGTCCAAGGTGGTGAGTCGCCGACACTGCGAGTTCATGTACGTCAATGGACAGTGGCACATCAAGGATGTGGGCAGCTCCTCCGGCACGTTCCTGAACCACATGCGACTGAGCCAGCCCAACATGGCCTCGAGGCTATACACGGTCAAAGACGGAGATATCGTGCAACTGGGCATCGATTTTCGCGGTGGCGAGGAAATGATTTTCCGCTGTGTCCGCATACGGATCGAATGTAACCGATCGTGGCAACAGCAGCCCAACGAGTTCAAGTATGCGGATTCCCCGACCGTAGATCTTCTCAGTAACGATGGTGCTAACAAGACGCCCAGCAAAAACACCGAGAGTCTGATCAAGAACCTGGGGAAAGGGGAAACTGCGGATTATGCTGGATGTCGAGAATGCTCAATCTGTTTGGGCTCGGTTCTGGTATGTCTCTGGTCCTTGGGCTTCTACTCGCGGGGTTGGTTTTCGGTCGCTAACTTTTGGTCCTAAAAGCGCCCCTACCAGTGTTTGTTCATGGCAGCTTGTGCCCACGTCTGGCACTACAAATGCATCATGCGCCTGATTCACACGCCCGACTACCCCATGTTCCAGTGTCCCAATTGTCGCGCCTATACGGATCTCAGCGCCGAAGTCGATGATTCGAATGATTTCGAGGCAGAGGACACTGAGCAGAAGAGTTCTGCGGCGGAGGAAAAGCCTTCGTCTTCTTCCGAAGAGATTCGAACGGAAACACACTCTACTCCCTCCGGAGGCAACCATGTCACCAACACTTCCCTGAGCTCGGTCGATGAAGCATTGGATGGCTTGCCCTCCGAAGCAGGTCTCGCCGCCAATATTGAAAGCATGCGTCTACAGGACTCGGAGGCTGCAAGAGAGACTGCTCGCGAGTCGGACCATCCTACTTCCTCGAACCTTGAGACCGTTCCCACCCATACTAGTTCTGATATTCCCGGCTGGCAGGCTGTGGGCCAAACCTCTGCCCCTATTCAATGCCGACAAGCCCAGCTTCGCTCGGACACGCCTGTTCGCTCTGAATCGTCTGAGGATAATCCCTTGACGCCACAGAACGACTCCGGACCATTGGCATTCGATGGTCGAGCTAGCATGTCAGAAACATGAATTGCCATCGACCTCGCTCGATTCGATTCCACGTCATAAGCACAATGCGACCAGTGATATTTGCAAGCATATTGGTGCAATACGACTCGCTACAATATTATGCCGACTTGCTCACGATTTACAACATTCCCACCCGTCGGAATGCCTCTATTATTTTCTTTTGTTTAATCCACCTTTCATCACTGGCATTTACGTTCGACCACGTTGCATCGCACAGCCCATTTACAACCTTTACACTATGTTCCCCCCATATTTGAGAATTATACCCCATCATGCTGCAAATAGCCTTTATTTCATTCCATATTACCCTTTCAACCAGGGCCGTTGATCCTATCGTCCGATCTTATACATCTGACTCATAATCCTGAACCTTTTTCCTTACCCTTTTCTGTCCACCGTTGATCTGGACTTTGGCCCGTGCATGGCTTTTGCGTTCTGGATAAGGTTGGCGTTACACTGTGGACGGCGATACGCTGCGAGATGTTTTGTTTTTTCAAGCTCATCGCTTGGACTTTCTCGGACATGGCCTATTATCTTTCCTACACTCCCATTTCACTATCTTTTTGTCTCCTTAGCGTTCATCAAGCATATACATATGTACGCATAGCATTGGATCCTAAACCTAGCAAGTGAAGATTTTGCAATGACTTATTGAGCAGTTCAAGCTAACTCAGAGATGGCCTCCCACTTGTTTCATGTCCTCTTCCAGAGTCTCGGGCATATTGCCACCGTTCTTTACACGATTTTCTTTCCCGTCGGTTGGGTGGCTTATCTATTTTATTATCTTTCGTGCCTGCTAAACTCTCATTCTTTCTGAGCAACTGCTTTAGCTTCGTTTGTCCCTTCCTCTTCCGCGCAGAAATCGCAGGATTTTTAGGAAGGCAGGTAGCTTGATGGAAGTCATCCATGCGGCGACCTTCAATCCTTTCGTAATTCCTCTCCCAGTTATCTTCACTCTTTCCAGACATTCTCTTTTCAAAGCAACATTCGTTAAGCTTCATATTGCATTACTACCCAGCAAACCAAAGAAAACTCTCATCCGCATCACTTTTCCCCCCACAGCTCCAAATGGCGTCGTGGTTCTCGAATGATGCAGGAGGTCTCAGCCAATATCACCGAACGGCTCAATTCATAGAAGGAGACACATATGTCAAAGTGGATTGGCACTTGAAAGAAAAGCTGTGGGAAGTTGTGCGTCCATTGGACGATGATGGCCAGCGTTACGCCGTTGGCTTATTTCGAGGCTGGAGGTCCGAAGACACCTGCTTCCAACGACATCCGGCGATAATCAAGGTCTATATGCAGTAGGCTGAACCACCTTACCTCTACAGGGGTATACAGTTCCTAACGAGCATGGCTACAGAATCCCTGATCAAACGCCGCCTGCCACCGAGCATGTGGAGGGCCGTCCGTACACGCAGCCGTGGAAGGAAAAGGTGCCGGAAATCGAGGCGTTCGTTGAAAACATCGATCATCGAGTTCGGAACCACTGCGGGTATTCAATCCCTTTCTATGATACGCAAGATTATGAGCAAACAAATGACGACCATGTTCCTGGTGGCTTTGCTTTTTATGTCCTTATGGCATGCATGCCAGGGGTGAGAAAGGGCCCTTTGGTCAATGGATATCATCATTCTTCCGCTTCCAATAATGACCTGGACGAACCTGAGCATCACGACAACAATAACTCGAACGAATCCGAGCGTCACGACAATAATGACTCGAACGAACCCGAGCATCATGACAACAATAACTCAAACGAATCTGAGCATCAAAGCAACAGGGACTCGAGCGAATCTGAGCGTCATAACAATGATTCCTGCTTTGCAGCATACATTCGATACCAAGAATTGGACTCTAATTCATAGGACCCTCAACTGTACCTTCCCTGATGGGTTTGATGCAGAAAGAGTTACCCTTTTGCCCTGGTTTATGGCTATACACTACTATGCTAGCTAATATCTATCATTGCAGCTCAAAAATCGCATGAGAACTCGATCAAAAATGAATGCTCGAACTCCGTAGGAATCGATTGACAGCTGAGGCTATCGAGGGACTAGTCCCGAGGCTTTGCTAAGACACTAAATAACTAAGTCATCTCTAGGTCTGATCACATTACAGGGAATGGAGAGCTATGAGCCAATCCAACCCCCGAGTTTTCGGACTGTAGACACAAGAGAGAAAGGAAACGACATCGCCAGTCCTATCTGCATCGTGGTCCCATACATAGTAGAGCATTCCGATCCTTAGGGAGGGTGCACATGCCAGAAGCGACGTCATTTCACATAAGATCGCCAGCCAAAGCACCAACCATCGCTCGAATCTGCAGCGGCAGTCGGCACTCCCTCGACGCGCAGATGCTTGGCTGCTGATGTGATTTGTGGAGTTCTTTGATGTGCCCCTCCCTCAAACCCAGATGATGAAAGCCGGCGTTATGCTAAGGTCTTTATCTGCTGTTGTAGGGGAGTCGCACTAGTTGGTGGTCCAAGCACGCCGCGATTGACTTAGATTGATTAACTAAATGGCGATTGCTGACCGCTAGACTCTTTTCCTCCGCTTTGTTTTGATCGTTGCACAATCTGCATCTGAGCCATTGATAGCAGAAACCCTCGATGAACAGTGGAAAGATGCGATTGAATTTTAGCGAGCCACCGACGCCTACGCTGAGTCGTCAAAACACTGGTCTTCTCAACGGCCATCAACATCCTCATCATCATCGCCAGGGCACGCACCCGCATCTGCTGTCGGCTCGGAGGAAACCTCGAAGGTATCCACTCGCTCGACTTTGCCTTTATTTGTCGTTTGGGGGGTTCTGAAAACGCGTTGACATGATGAATTTGCCCAGATGGCCTTTAGTTCTTCGGTTCGTCAAAGGCGCCATCCACGGCGCCATCCTACTGTCGGTCACTCTACATGCGGTCTTTTCGGCATTTGTTGTCTGTCTGGACCTGTATATCTTTGATACCGTCGGGCTTCCAAATAGCATTGTACGTTTTCCCATCATGCGATAGCTATCCCTCCCGTCCAGTGCTAAGCCAAGCCCAGATCCCCTCTCTCTCCATCGTCGTCGGCCTGATGCTAGTCTTCCGCAACCAAACATCGTACAGTCGATTCTGGGATGGTCGCAACGCCATGAACACCCTCTATACGTGTATCCGAAACCTGGTGCGCACCATCATCACGCACGGATACAGCAGCAAAGGGCCACCCTCTGCCGCTGAAAAAGAGGACATCGAGCGCACCATTCGCATCCTCATGGCGATTCCCTACGCCGTCAAGAACCACCTCCGCGCCGAATGGGGCGCTGCCTGGGCTCTTGGGAACGATGTCGGCGAGGACGGCATCGCCGCGTATAATCACGACTATGCGAGTTTATTGCCTGCGGGACTGGAAGGACATGAAGATGAAGGGTTGGGGTTGCCGTTCCAGTTGAGCTTCTTCGTGGACGGGTTCATCAAGAGAGGTGTTGATCGCGGCTGGTTCAATGCCCCTGGTGCGAGTCAGATGCAGGCGCAGTTGAATACCCTGATGGACGCGTATGGGAAGATGGAGACGATCGGGTTGACGCCGATTCCGGTAGCGCATCTGTGAGTCTATCGCTCTACTTTCCTTGCCTGTTTTCGTTTTCCTTCCCCTATCGGTCAATTGGATATAAAACGGAAGGAAACTCTAACCCCATCCTAGAATCCACCAGAAACAAGTCCTCGCGCTCTTCGGCTGCGTCCTTCCCTTCGGAATGGTCGACGACATGGGCTGGTGGACCGTCCCCATCGTCAGCCTCGTGATCTTCACCCTCTACGGCATCGAGGGCATCGGCTCGCAGCTCGAAGACCCCTTCGGCTACGACCGCAACGACATCAAGATGGACGCCATCGTCGGCGACGCCAAGACCGAGATCGACGTCGTGCTGTCCGAATGGCGTCGAATGATGCGATTCGTCGAGTTGGGGTCTGGCGATCAGGCGGCTGGTGTAGCGAATGAGACTGGGGTTGTCAATGACGCGGCGTTCGTGCCGCCGGATATGTTTTTGAAGGCGAGGCCGAGGACGGCGAGGGGGTATTAGATAGCTGTCTTTGATAGGGTAGACGTGAGTCAGTGTATAGTATGAGGTAGTAGTAGGTATCTGATCTGAAAATGTTATCGATCAGGTTGTAGGACAAAAAAAGATCGTACACTAGGGTATCATCGGAGTTTGGTCCTTCCGACACTATCAATCAGAATGTTACGAGACGCTAATTAACAAAATAAGTTAAATAGATCGAAATGACCACCTGAAGAGTCCAAAGATCTTCAGGGGACCAAGTCAGTGGCGCAGCTAGTTCCGGTAGGACAGTCCTGACAGCCAGCCGCGAAAGTGATATATCGCAAACTCAGCTTGTTTGTCTCCGTTGACTGCACGTACTATAAGTAATATCCCCTTTCTCTTCTCTCGCCTAGTCCATACATACTTTATTCCATGAACCCATAATCGCATACCTTCTGGGAATCCATCCATCTGCACTCCGTCCTCGAACATATTCAATCATACCTCTATCAGCAAAAAATCAATCGCAAACCCAACCAACTAAAACAAAATGAAACACCCACCCATCCTCTCAACCCTCCTATCCACCCTCTTCCTCCTACTTTTATGCTTCGACCTCGCCCACGCTCACGCCCACCGCCATACACATACACATTTACACACGCACACCCTCCCCCCTCGAACCTCAAAACCGAACCTCCCCGACTGCGCGACCCTCGAAAAACTAAACCACACATTAACGCGCATCTCGCCCATCCTAGAGAAAGTATTACATCTGGATGCGGATAGCTACCATGCGCTTGATGGCAACGGGAACGGAACACACGCACAAGCGCAAGCGCAGGCGAAGACAAAGCGAGATGAGCTTGAGGGATCTGGGAAGATAGAAGCCGTGAAAGAGAAGATGCAGCGTTCGAAGAGGAAAGTGGCTAGTGGGATGTTGAGGTGTCAGGGGCTTAGGGGTGGGAATGGTACTGCTGCTGCTGAGTTGGAGGGGGTGAGGAGGAGATGGCTGCGGAAGAGAGGTGGTGGTGGGGAGGTTGATGAGAGTGAGAGTGACAGTGATAGTAGCAGTAGCAGCAGCAGCAGCAGCAGTAGTAGTAGCGATAGTGACAGTGACAGTGACAGTGACAGTGATAGCGACAGCGATGATGAGGATGACAAGAAGGATGAGAAGAGCGAAGGGCAATGCAACCTCATGGATGTGTTGAATAACCTGGTGACTACTCTGGAGTGCTTGTTAGCGTTTACGGGCGGCGTGTTGGATGGGGTGCTGGAATTGGTGCTTAATATGCTGAGTGGTATTATTAACTTGGTTGAGTCTTCTTTGGATTGATAGTTTAAAGGATAGACTTGAGGTTGTTGAATAAGTTGTCTTGATGAGTTTGATATATACACATGCTGGAAAGAAGATAATATTGCATTCGCTAGGCTGGTAGTTTGACGGCATCCTTCAATATCATATGGGAGTCTCGAGAGCAAGAACACTCTCTAGAATAGTGTCTGGTGTGGCATAGGCCAGAACTTGAGATATCGTTTTCAAGTCACTGCCGTACTGGAGACTGCGATCGTCTTCCGGCTTGGCCACAGCAATTCGATGTCGAAAGACCTTCTTTGCGGCTAAGGCCACGATCGACGGGGTGAGGTAGTCTACCCCATGTAGCGTGGCGAGCAGTCTGTTTCATGAGTCAATATAGCACAGGGCTATATAAGGAATATGGACGTACTTTGAAAGCGTTTTGAAATGAATATTAGAGCGGACTGATATACCTCCCGCAACTGCGCGGCTGAGACGCAGAAACACGATAATATCCTGCTGGTACCGGACGATATCGGCTCCGGCTGTGACGGCATTACTGGCTCGTTCCAGTTTGTCCAGAGTCTTGAATGACTTAGATGTGCTGTCTTATATATGGTTAGGATAACATACCTTTCGGTCGATATTCGGGTTGCGCTTGTTTTGCGGTGCCTCGGACTTGCGCACCACGGATGATGCCGACATTTGACTATCCGAAAGCCAGTCGTTGTTTTCTTCTAGATATATGTAGCCATCGCCGGAATCATGAAAATGAGAGATGATAAAATGGTCGTTCTTCAGCTACGTCAGTGTCGAAAAGTCGGACTTTGCAGGGGCCAAACTAACCAAATGAGCATTCAATTTCGGCTGATCCTGTTCTGAGCGACGGACTAGGAGAGGCACGAAGAGAAAATCTGCCGGAGCCTCGAGCATCCCATCTTTGAGGGCAAGTTTTTTCGAGCGCATTAACTAGAGGAAGTGTCAATCGAATGAATCCCAGAGGTGGATCGGCTGCATTCTCACCTCAAGGGCCTGGACCTGAACGTCTTCAGCGACATGGTTGAAATTCTTGGCGATCACCACATCGACTACCCTATGCTCAGCTGCAGACCGAATGGTAGTTGATCTTCTGCGAGCATCTGTCGGGATGATATTTGAGCAGAAATCATCGAAAGACGTGGCATCCGAGCAGTCGAGGACCGCATATGTAAGATTAAAAGTGTTGGCACATATCTAATTAGTCGTTAGTTGCGGAGCGCAATACGGAATCGGATCAAAAGTACCAGGGCGAGCTCTTTGGCAACGTCATGGATGTTCTCGCTCGTGGTATCGATGCGGCAATGCTCGCGCACCGCAAGACACAGCAGGAGAGCGACTTCGAGATCCGACAGTTCCACGGCCAGTCGGGTAATTTCCGCAGTATCATCCATAATACCCAGCGCCTGCATTCCTCCTCATCATGGCATCTCAGTTCAATCCAGGGCAGTCCAGAAGGCAGAAGAGGGACGATGGACGATGGAAGATGAACGGGTCTGGTCAGGGATCGGCATGGACGCGAGGCTCCCAACGCGGTTTAGTGCCGGGAAGAGCTGGAGCTTCCGACCAGCCAAAGCGGTGCCTGGCATCAACGACTCTCTCTCTCCCTCTCTCTCCATGATTCAGTTCCATCCTTCCATGGTCCCATCTTCCTAAATGGCGCCGTCAAACCCCCTGGCGAACTGGGAGAAGCTGGGTGACAGCTTCTACCGCAAGGTACCGGTGTATGATGCCATCTTCGACGATGACGTCCAACTGGAGAACTACATTGTTGTTGGCGCTCCGTACGGAGGGGCTATCGGTATGCGCCGCACCGTCTACTGACTGCATGTCTTGTTGGATATCTTCAACGTGATGCTGACATAGCGACCATAGCTCTGCACCGAGATGAGAGCAAGGTGTTCCGGTTTCGGGATGCCCAGACCGCCAAATCAAGCATCGACATCTACTCATGCTCGGGCAAACATATCAACCGAATTAACGTCAGTAGAGTCCTCATTTCATTCCCTTGTAGGGTTCATGCTAATTCTTCCAGTGGGAGTACGGTACAATCCGGGGGTTGGGTTGGTCTGACCGCGAAGAGCTGCTAGTCATCACGGAAGATGGGACGGTGCGGCGATATTTCGGCCTGCATGGTGATTTCACATCGTTTTCCCTCGGAAATGTAGGTCCCGGTGCTCTTCGATTTTGTCTAAATCCCCAATCAACTGATTTATTCTTCAGGGTGCCGAAGAATACGGGGTCCGGGCTTGTCGGTTCTGGACATCTGGCTTTGTCGCTCTACTCTCGAATAACCAGCTGGTTGCTGTCTCGAACTATGATGAGCCAAGGCCCAAACTTCTTGCTCCATGCCCCGAAGGAGAGGTGTCTTCGTGGTCTTTAATTCCTCCAGCTTATACACTGTCTCGCTCGGTTGAGGTGTTGTTGGCCGTCGACAAGACTGTCTACTTGATAGACCCGACCGAGGCAGAAGACAAAGTTCTTCAAAATGGGCCGTTCAAGCATGCAAGCGTATCTCCGACCGGGAAGTTTGTGGCTCTCATCACGGCTGAAGGAAAGGTTTGGGTTGTTAGCAGCGATTTCCAAAGCAAATACAGTGAATATGACCCTGAATCTCGAGTAACACCGCGGACAGTCGATTGGTGTGGCGATGATGCTGTGGTGATTGCATGGGAGGATGAGGTGCATCTCATTGGCCCTAGTGGTGTTGCTGCTCGGTGAGTTTCTCATTTTCCACCTGCGCGCTTCGTGTTCTAACCGATAAAGATACTACTACGATGACACTGTTCATGTCATCCCCGAATTCGATGGCGTTCGTTTGATCACGAACGACACCTGCGAGTTCTTACATAAAGTTACAGGTGAGTCTGCACACAAGCCTCTTTTGCTTGGAGGCTAATAGTATGATATAAGATGTCACGGAGGCAATTTTCCGTCTTGGGTCTACTTCTCCGGCTTCGGTCTTATTGGACTCGGTAGATCTGTTGGAAAAGAAGTCGCCTAAAGCGGATGAAAACATCCAAAGAATCCGTCCGAGTCTTCCGGAGGCAGTCGACATTTGTGTCAAGGCTGCTGGTCACGAATTCCACGCCTACTGGCAGAAACGTCTCTTAAAAGCCGCATCGTTTGGCAAGTCTGTCCTGGATCTGTACAACAGTGATGAATTTGTAGAGATGACCGAGAAGCTGCGAGTTCTGAAGGCAGTGAGAGACTATCAAATTGGTCTCCCGATTTCTTACGAGCAGTATCTTCGATTGACTCCGGAGAAGCTGGTCGAACGCTTGGTGAATCGACATGAGTATCTCCTAGCTATTCGAGTTTCCGAATACCTTCAACTTCCAGCCGACAAGATATACGTTCACTGGGCTAGCCAGAAGGTCAAAATCTCCACCGTCGACGACGAAGCTGTCTGCAAGCTCATCGTCCAGCGGTTGGATGGAAAGCCAGGAATCTCGTTTGAATTAATAGCACAGACTGCCTTTGATGAGGGTCGATCTCACCTGGCAACTCAGCTATTGAACCACGAGCCACGCGCCGGAAAACAGGTTCCGTTGTTGCTGAACATGGAAGAAGATGAGATAGCCCTTGACAAGGCCATCGAGAGCGGAGACAACGACCTTGTGAACTACGTACTCTTACACTTGAAGAGCAAGCTCCCTTTCGCCAGCTTCTTTAGGGTGATCAACACACGGCCCATGGCATCGGCACTTGTGGAAACGAGTGCCCTGGGAGAGGATCCAGAGCTGTTGAAAGATCTTTACTACCAAGATGATCGCCCAATCGATGGTTCAAACGTTCTCCTCGCCGAGGCATTGAATCAAACGGAGCTACCGCGCAAGACCGAGAAAATCCAGCTTGCATCTCGCCTACTAACGGATTCAAAAGATGCGACCGTGGTTCTGCAGCAGAAGCTACTCTCCGAGGCATCGCAATTGTTGAAGGTCCAAGAAAACCTGGACAAGGATCTCACTGATCGATCGGAATTTCTCGGCCTGAGCTTGAACGAGACTGTCTACAGACTGGTCAGATCAGGTTACGGCAAGAGAGCACAGAAGCTCCAGAGCGAATTTAAGATGCCAGAGAAGACATATTGGTGGTTGAGATTGAGAGCCCTAGTCGCCAAGCGGGATTGGGGTGAATTAGAGGAAATCGGTAAAAACAAGAAATCGCCGATAGGATGGGAGGTGAGCATATCCCCTGGTTATCTTCAAATGCACAAGCTCACTGGAAATGACAGCCTTTCTATAACGAGATTTTGGGCGCCGGAAACACAAAGCTTGCCTCACTGTTCGTCCCCAAATGTACCAATCTGCCCGTCGAGGACAAGGTGGAAATGTGGGTTAAATGCGGAATGATTGTAAAAGCCGGAGAAGAAGCCCTCAAGGCCAAAGATTTCAATACCCTTGAGCTACTCCGCGGGAGAGCTTCCGGACCTGCCGCCTCGGATATCGAGCGAATGATCAACCAGCTTAGGCCAAGGAAATAACCGACACAAATTGGTCTGACATTTCCTCTGCGTTTGTTCCCCGTCGTTACATTCAGGTGATATCCTCATCTTCGTCAATGCCTGCGGGTTCGTCTGCGACAGGGTTCTGGGTCGCATTTGTTTGTTGAGACTTAGGCTTCCTGGTCTTTGCAGGAGGCGCGGAGTCGTCGACCATAGCATCATCATCATCGTTGTCATCGAACTCGTTCTCGAGGGCTTGGAATTTCGACGCTACGGATTTGCGGTTCAAATCCTCCCATTCGCCCTGAAGTGTTGCGATCAGAACATGTCTTTTGACACAGAGTTCCCGAGAGGAGTTGACATCGCACATACCCTGCGTGCTTTCACGGTTTTTGCGCGGCTGACACTCTTGGTCACCTTCTTCTCCATCTGATCTATAACGTTTTCTGCTCTTTCTATACCCTTCTGTTGTTTCTGGCGTTGCGCCCGAGATTTGTTCCGAGGCTTCGCCTGCTTTTTGGACACGCCGGCATTTGCGCGATCGGCGAGAATGGAATCGCGCGGCAGCGAGGTCTCCTCGACGCGGGGGAGGGACATGACAGACTTGTCGACCTCAAGACTCGGCGAAGCTTCCCGCCTCGCGGCGCGGGAATGCTTTGACTGGGCTAGTTAAATCCAGTAGTGTTAGAAAGGGAATTCACAAATAGGACTTTTATTTCCAATCATAGGGACAATGGATCACTCACTTCTCGTCTTAGCCATGGTTCCTTGTTCACGAGTGAGCAAAGAAAAACAAAGTCCCTGCAGTTGATGATGTCGGTAGAATATTTTGTTGTGGAGACTTCGGCCTATCGATAAAAGATCTCTCCGGCGGGTGAGAGCTGCCAGGAACGCAGCTGACTTATCCGATCGATCTTATTAGTGATGCGTCGGCCAATGCTGCCTCCATGCTTGTACACCTTCGTGGTTTCATTCACTCTTCATGAATACCACGGTGCCGTCTCTATGCTGTGGTATTTTCTCTCATTTCATCAGCCATGAACGCTCGCAGAGGGGGGATTGATATCCTCACTCAGAGTCCTTGGAACACTGCATCGAGCAGCCACTATGACACTGTGATGCAGCACCTGCAGAACAGTTCAAGCCTAGCTTACATCTTAGTGACGGTGATATCGGTTTATTTTATACTCAACCACTTCAGATCCGTCCTCGTCCCGTTGGCCCGCGTCCTCTGGGACATCCTTGTCTATTTGACGCCCTCCAGAATTGTCGCCGCTTTGGATCCGCAGGCGACAAAGTCAGACTCCGCTACCGAGGTCCCTTCTTTGAACTTTTCAGCCAAGAGCGAAGCGATGCAACGGATTTTCGGACTGGACAACTCCTCGTCTTTTTCCTCTCTTTTCCCCGGGTCAACTACACTCTCGGGTCTCGGCACTGCGATCTTGGGAAACAAGGATACCTTGCCGCCGGGCTTGGGGAACTGGGACAATTCTTGCTATCAGAATAGTATCATCCAAGGACTGGCGTCGCTCAGATCCTTGGATGAATTCTTGGAGCGCAATATTCAACTTCTGGCGGAGAAGGGGCTGCTGTCGACACACCAGGCCTTGAAGGATATTATCGAACGACTGAACAGCGCGGCCTGTTATGGCCAGCGATTGTGGACGCCAGCGGACCTGAAATCGATGAGTAGCTGGCAGCAGCAAGATGCGCAGGAATACTTTGCGAAAGTGGTGGACCAGGTGGATCTCGAAGTGCATCAGGCCACGAAGCGTCAGACTCGAAACTTGGGTTTAAAGATGGCAGGGCCACAGGAGCATGTAATCGGGTCTGAATCCCTTCCTGAAGAGCATGACGTCGCTCCTGCAGCAGGCCAACCCCATGAGCCGCCCTCTTTCCGAAATCCGCTGGAAGGTCTTCTTGCGCAGAGGGTGGGCTGCATGAAGTGTGGTTGGACCGAGGGTCTTTCTCTCATCCCATTCAACTGCCTGACTGTACCTCTTGGCGCGAGCTACGCATATGATGTTCAGGATTGCCTGCATGACTATATGAACCTTGAGCCGATCGAGGGAGTGGAATGCGCCAAGTGTACGTTGTTGCACGCGCAAGACCAACTTCAGAACCTGCTTCAGCAGATTGAAGATGATGAGGGACTGAGCAACACGCCCGACTCGCCCAAATTGTCAGATGCTCTCCGGAGATCGGCACAGGAGCGATTGAAAGCTGTGCAGGAAGCGCTCGAAGAGGAAGATTTTTCGGAGAAAATCCTGTCCAAGAAATGCCACATACCCGCGAAGAATCGCGTCTGCTCCACCAAGTCAAGGCAGGCTGTCATCGCAAGGCCACCGAAATGCCTTTCAATCCACATCAACCGAAGTTTGTTCGACGAGAACACCGGCATGCTTCGGAAAAACTACGCTGCAGTCCGATTCCCCAAAATGCTCGACTTGAGTGAATGGTGTTTGGGGAAAGATTCTACAGTTGCCGCCGACAAACACACGGAACAATGGGATACCGACCCTCGCGAGTCAATGCTTCCGCCCGCCGACAGAGTTACGGATTCTTTTGGCCGCCAGTATGAACTACGAGCAGTAGTCACACATTACGGTCGCCATGAGAACGGACACTACATTTGTTATAGAAAGTACTCGACAGAGACTTTCCCCGTGGAAGTTCCGGAGTCTGTCCTGGAGGCAGATGGAGATAAGGAGAAGTCGGAGCGTTGGTACAGACTCAGTGACGAAGATGTGCAGATGGTCAGCGAATCCAACGTGATGAACCAGGGCGGCGTCTTTATGCTCTTCTATGAAGCCGTGGGGCCGCACTCTGGGTCGACAGATTTCGAAGAACCCGACACCACCGAAGTCGAAGAATCTACATCCACACCCGAAGACATGTCCACCGGATCTACGCGGTCTACTGCCACAGAGGGGTCTTTCTCCGGCACTTCGCGGGCGACCAGCGTGTCAGCTCCTGAACCGGCCACCGAGAAATTCCCACCATACTCCGAGATCGAATGATGGCCTCTGTTCGCGCAGATTGTTCTCACTTCCGTTGGTTTGGCACCATGCCAGCGGGATTATGTATACCAAGCGTTCTATGATACCCCGGAGGTGCAGTTTTGCAACGTACAAGGCGTTGACAGTTATTCTTTGCTCAATGGCCTTTGTTGGAAGGATTGAGAAGTATTTTATGGAGTGATCCAGTTTACCAGATGTATTTCTAGCAGCGATAATGCATTAAGCTTATTTGAAACACGATGCAAGTGTTCAGACCGTACAATCCTCAGCTGTTCAAGACAGCAGGATATTCACATTAGGAAGCGCAAGGTACATACATTAAGTACAGCTACCACATGCATGGTAATACAGACCAGACCATGCTTAAAGAAGCAGCAAACCCATCGAACACCCGCTAAATTATACAAAACAAGCCCATCCCAGCAATCCCATCCCAACACGCCATCCCATATAGAAACAAGAACAACAACCCAACCCTCAAAAAACCCCCGCCCTCATCATAACATCATGAAACTGCTCCAACGTCACCCCCGCAGCGACGCCCGCGCCGCCATTCGCCTCGAGAATCATATCGCGGAACAGATCGTCGCCGAGCCCCTCCTCTTTCAGTTCGCGCGCGATCCGTCGCAGATGGGATATCGTGATCGGGCCGTCCGATCCCTTCGTGAAGAGCTGGAACGCGGCGTCCACTTCCGCGACCATGGCGTCTTCGCCGCGGGATCGCAGCTTCGCGGCCGCGACGGAGAGGAAGGGCTCGTAGGGCACGAAGCCGGTGTCTGTGGGGTCGAGGGCGGAGAGGATGGAGTTGAGTTCTGAGGATGAGGAGGGGGAGAGGCCGAGGGCTCTGAATGAGATATTGTCGTTAGTGGGTGGGTTTGCGCGGCGACATGTAGATAGGCAGGTAGGTAGGAAGGTAGATTGGAGATCCGGATGTAGGAAGGAACTGGAGCGAGGGGGGATTGAGGGGACATACACCAAGGCCTTGCGGACATCTTCGCAGGGTATCACGCCTTCCTTCTCATTCTTGAATTCATCATTCTTGGTGGAGAAGATGTGGAAGACTTCTTTGATCTCGTTCTCTTCTTCGCCGGTGACGTCGTTTTCTTTGGCGAGTTTGGACTGGCGCGCTCGTTTGGGCGCCGATCCGGCGGATGGCGCACTGCGTTTTTTGGGAGGCTGGGGACGGGGATTGGTTAGTTGGTTGTTTGGATGGAAGGCGGAGGCAATCAAGTGGGTGTATTGCTTACCATTTCGCCGTGGTTTAGGATGCGCGCGGAGCTGTATTTGGATTGGGAGTTGTCGCAATGTCAAAGGAAGAGATGCGCGGGGCGGACGGCCATTGGCAGGGGGTTGATGGGCGTTGGATTGGAGAAAGGAGGGTTCAGAACCGTCGCATCGTACTGCCATTCGTGTCATAGATCGCGGGTGGCCATCTTGGATAACGAGACCCGGTGAGTAGGGAGATCAAAGAGATGGTCGTTGATCGAAGATCACCGAATGCTTGATTTCCCCGTGACTGATACGTTGCTGACGTAACCGGATGATGCCTGTTCCTTTCTTGCGGGTTTGATAAACGCGAGTTGGTCCTGCTTTCTCGATGGTGTCGAAATCAACGATTGAATAGACGGTTTGCATAGAACTTGGGCACTTGATTTAGCTTTCTCTATATTGCACATACAGTGGCAGATCTATCGCATTCTAGTGCTCGTTCATCCGCCACAATGGATGTAGAGCTGTACGTGTACGACTTGTCCAAGGTGATTCACTCTGGGTTGATATGGTGTTACCCTTGCAAAGCAGACTGGCTAATACAACGATAGGGACTTGCACGGATGGTGTGTACAGCGAGTCTAGACCGACTGTTGACAAAGTTAACGCAACCCAGTACTCGCTCCCCTTGACGGGAACGCAGATCGATGCCATCTACCATACTGCTCTGGTGCTGAATGGTGTGGAATATTTCTTTGGTCAGGGTATTCAAACTGCTGTTCCTGGCAGCACTCATCATGGCCATCCCATTGAGAAACTTCATATGGGCCGAACGGAGCTTCCCGTCGATGTAATCGAAGAGTATATCTCGTCGCTTGGGGATATCTATACTCCTGAGGTATGCTCTTGATGCGTTCTATGGTCTGAAGAAAACTAATTTGCAGTCCTATGATCTCTTCCTGCACAACTGCAACAACTTTACTCAGGACCTGGCTATGTTCCTTCTCGGAAAAAGCATCCCGGAGCACATTCGCAACCTGCCCAAGACGTTCCTGGATACCCCCTTCGGCCAGATGATGAAGCCTCAGATTGAGATGGCGCTTCGTGGTACGGTGCAAGGCTCCGGAGAAAACTCTCAGCCGTATCTTAATGGTTCTGCTGCTGCTGCACAGCCTACGCCGTCTGCACCATCCCACGGCACCGTCCGAGTGGCCAGCAATCTTCCGCAGCTCGAGGAACAACTCGCCGCTGCATCGCAGTCGTGCGCAATCGTCTTTTTCACTTCGGCGACATGTCCCCCTTGCAAGATGCTCTATCCTGCATATGACGAGCTTGCGCAGGAGGCTGGCGACCAGGCCGCTCTTATTAAAGTGGACGTCAGCACGGCCCGCGATGTCGGCATGAAATATAGCATCCGCGCCACGCCCACCTTCATGACCTTCCTCAAGGGCTCGAAACTCGACCAATGGAGCGGTGCAAACCCATCCCAGCTCCGAGGCAACGTGCGTCTCCTCATCCAGATGGCGCATCCCGCTCACCCTCATCGCCAACTTCACCTCCCGAGCCTCCAACGGCCCATCACCAAATTCGTCCTCTACCAGAAAGTTCCACCCTTCGCGAAGCTCCTCCAGAAACTCACCCCTTACCATGAAGACCCGCGTCTCGAGTCCATCGTCGGCTTCATAAGCCGCCGCACCGACTCTGCCGCCGACAACCCCCTCCCAGACGACCTGCCCTCCTTCGCCACCTACCTCCAAACCACCGTCCAGGCACTTCCACGCGAGAACGTCTTCGCCGCCGTTGACCTCGCTCGTCTCCTCTTCCTCGACCCCCGAGTCGCCAGCTACTTCGCCGAAGAGCCCGGCCACCAGACCATCCTCACCCTCCTCTCGCCCTCCGAGACCCTCTCCACCTGCCCGTACCCGCTCCGGATCATCATGCTCCAACTCGTCTGCAACCTCTTCACCACGCCCCTCTTCGCCGACCTCCTCGTCACCTCGTCCTCTCCGCCCTCCAAACTCCACGAAACCACCCTCCGCCTCGTCACCGGCTGCCTCCTCGACTCGCACCCCAACCTCCGCGTCGTCGCCGCCTCCCTCGCCTACAACATCGCCGCGCACAACCACAACGCCCGCGAGTCGCAGTCCCCCGACAAACTCTCCGAGGAAGACCAGGTCGAGCTCACCGCGTCGCTCGTCGAAGCCATCACCCAGGAAGAAACGAGCGTCGAGTCCCTGCACGGACTGCTCTTTGCGCTGGGGCTGGTTGTGTACGAGGCGCCTGTAGACGGGGAGGTCGTGGACCTGTGCAAGGCGATGGGGATCGCGGAGACGGTGCAGCAGAAGAAGAAGGTCGAGGCTTTGAAGAAGGAGTCGCTGATTGCGGAGATTGGGGGCGAGTTGTTGGGGAGGGGGTTATAATTGGATTTCTGTCTGGGTTTTGCTTTTTCGTTGCTTGAACGCAATGGTAATAAGTAGGTAGGTAGGTAGGTAGAAAGAAGGTATAGATCGATCTTAACCTATCAATCGCCTATCTTCACTAGTAGTTTAATTACTCTATCTATCTACCACATTAATCCAAAGTCCCAAACGCCATAATCCCTCTGCTCTATTCCTCCCCATCCTCAACCCAGCTCACCCCTCCTTTCCACCAGCTCATCATTGCTTTTCCTCCCCATCGCACAAGAAGGCCCGTGTGTCTGGTCTGTATCTCACGCATCCCCTCCAGCTTACGAAGCTCTTACCACCTTACCACCCACACCCCTACCTCACCTACCTAACCCGTTGAAAAACAACCAGACAAGCAGGACATGCAGATGACAGACAGACAGACAGGTAGGTAGGTAAGTAGTGTAGGTAGGGTACGCAAGCGTCTAGTCTAGTCCTCGGGCAGATAATCTGGCGAACAGACCCCCTCGCGCTCCAGGACGTACATAATTGCAGACGCGACTGACCGACCGGACTAGACCCGACTGACTTCCTTCCCCATTGACATTGGCATTGAGGATGCGGTCCATCGTGGAATGTCTACAATGTATGTAAATGGCTGCGATCTAGCTAGATTTTCTTATTGTCTGGGTCTGGCGAGCTATGGGGATGGGGATCAAACTAGCTAATTGTCTACTATGTCCTTCGATCTAGTTTCTAGAAAAGCTAACTAAACTACCAAGAGCTACAAAGATGTAGATCAATTTAGGTATTCGGGTCATATTATTCATTGATAGTCATATACAATCCCTTGGACTGTTCACTTCAAACTAACTAAACTAGACTAAACTAACTAAGCAGCGTCGCCAGACGTCATCGCTTCAAACCAGAAACAAAAAACAAAAAACAAGAAAAAGAAATTAGCCGCACTTTGACGGGGTCGGGTATGTTCGCTGGGCTATGCAATCAAACAAGGAATCACGTAACGAGGAAACGCGGGAGCTGTTCTGTGCGACACGCTCGGGGTATGTATGATCTGTGTGATCGGAAGAAACAACAAAAGAAAAAACAAAAAATAAATACACGACTGGGTATCTGAGCCAAAACTTGGACCGCTTGAACGAACTGAAACAAAAAAAAAAATTAGGCAAGGCGAAAGATAAGGGAAAGGAGGGGCATCGGAATTAGTGAGGGGGAAGCTAGAAAGCATGGAAAGCAAATCGAACGATGACGCTTGAACGACTTTCCCGAAATGGAACGAACAACAAAATCAAGTCCCGCCAACGCCATCGCGACAACGCATGAGGGTGAAAACGGAAGCATTAATAATAAGAAGAAAATAAAATAAAAAAAGCAGGAGGATTGGAAATGCAGAGCGCGTGCCATGACCCCCTTTGGGCAACATCATCGGCGTGAGTCATGGGCTGGATAAGATGAAGCCCTGACAATGGCGGTGAGATCGATAAGAATGATAGGCGCAATTCTTTTCTTTTCCTTTTCCCGAATGCGCCGACAGCGACGGGGAAATTAGGTAATCCGGCTGGTCTCGTACGGTATCGGTAATTCCGCCCGGCTACAGCGCGTAACGCAGAGCCAACCAAGTCGCCGTCTTCTGTCGTCATGGCCCAGTTTCCGGCTTTCTGCCACATCGCTTCGTTCGTGCTTCGGCGCCTTGTGATGCGTTCTCCCCCCCTTGACCTGGCGTGGTACGGTCACCGAGCCGTGGGGGAGCCATGTCACTGGTTGCTTTGTTTTGGGGACGTGGATGTTTCGGGTGTTTGGCGTTTCCATCAACAAATCCAAATGGAAATGGGAAATGGGAAATGGGAAATAAACAGTGGCGAAATCAACACAACCATTCGGGAAAGGTGAACCGCAATGGAAAAACGAAGCTGTCGGAAACACCGCCGATCACTTGATAGCTCTCCTCTTTTCTTCTGACGGAAGATACACCGGAAGAAAAAGGAAAAGAAAAAGAAAAAGCGAAAAGCGTGGGGTGAAGAAAGTGGGGGGATCGGGTATGCATGATAATGATCGATAACTGTCGTGAGTCACTCTAGCGCCCACTAGATAATCGGTGTGGCTTTTAGATTCCTGTTTTTTGTGTTTTTTTACGCGCGGGAGCTCTTGGAAGAGGAGGTCGCGCGTCGCTTTCGGTCAGGAATGGCCTTGCGTTTCTTGCGTTTCGCATTCTCTCGCTCCACCGCCGCGAGCTGGGCCACTCGTAGGGCCTGCTGAGCTCGTGCATGGGCTTGGACCTGGGCCAGGAATCGAGCACGGTGGGCTTCCTCTTCGGCTGCAGCGCGCATCGCCTGGATCTGCTGCTCTGTCGTCATGTCGGGACCTCCCATGGCGGGGTCGTGGGCGGCGGACTCCTCGTCAATCGCCGACTCGACCGAGGCAATGGGTTCGAAGTAGAGATCCTCGTCCGAGATGTAGGCGCTGGCCGTCGAGCCTTCGGAGTCGGCACTGATGAGAGAAGGGCGGTTGGGCCAGGAGGGGAAAGCACAGGAGTTGTTGCTCATGCCGTATCCGCTGGAGAAGGAGCATTTGCGAGGAGTGATGTCGGTCAGGGTGTTGTCGCTGGGAGAAGGCGGCGGCGGCGGGGGCATCGAGATGGGAGAGCATTCAGAGGCGCTGCCGAAGCTGAAGGCGATATGTTGCATGGTGGGAGATGCCTCACTGGGGGAGGATCTGATGCTGGATCCGTTCTGGCTCCAGGGCTGGAATGGGTATATTCCGCCCGATGAAGGCTTGGTGTACTTCATTGTGAATGGGACTGGTTGTGATGGAGAGAATCTTTGCGGTTGAACTCTGAAGAGAGTTGAGTGATGCTAGAAGAGACGAAGATAGTGGTGAGGTGGACAGTGAGGTGGACAGTGAGGTGGACAGTGAGGTGAGTAGAGTAGGTGAAGAGTCGAGGTGGTGTTGGTGTGTCTCAGAGAAAGATGGACGATGGAGGGAGGGCGAGATAAATAAACAGATGGGATTAAAGTAGTGGAGACGTCCGGTGGTCTTTGTGGAGGATTGTAAGTAGAGGTGAAGAATGATGAAAGCTGGTCGGCAGGTATAGTAGGAAGTATATGTATGGACGTATGGGCCAGATCGATCGGGGAGGCGTCTGGACTCCCTTGCATATCCCAACAGATAAGGCGTCGCGGGGGGTTGGCGTAGGGGGTGTGGAGGGTCCTTTTTTTATTATTCTTTTTTTTATTATTGAATATTATTTTTTTGTCTGTTCTGGAATCAAATGTCAGGCCCCACTGACAAGCCAACCCGTGAACGCTTGAGGGCCAAACAAAAATCCCAGGTAAAAAGGGAATATTCCGCAATGCTGGCGAATCACGCCTCCACCCGGGGAATGACAACCTGCGAGTCAAGCGCAGCGATCAGGCGGAAGGGGCGTCCCGGCAGCTGTACGATGGGGGAATGAAGAATCGAGTGGGCGAGAGTAAGGCGATCAGAGCCCGACTGAATCACTTGGGAAAAATGATCAGTCCAGTTGAGGATGTCAAAGGGAATTCGTCCAAAGTACTGGCGGATCGGATGTATGGGAAATTGGGAATAAATAACACGCAGAAAAAGAAAAGGTGACAGAGACAATCTGACAGCAGACCCCGGTCGGGCGGGCGTGGATCTATCGTTTTCTTATTATACCTGATCTTTATCGCCTCGAAATTAATGGGATTTCTTTATTCTGCTGGAAATTAAAAACGAATATTTCTTTTTCCCTTCCTTTCAAACGTCGGTCCGCGGGCCGGGGAAGATCGGATTGGGGGAAGACGGCGTGGGGAATCAATGTCAAAGGATGAGTCAAGTCTAGACTTTGGATTTAATTTTGGTTTAATTTTCCTTATTCTTTTTTTTTCTTTTTCTTTTTTAAATTTTATTAATTTTTCTTTCTTTTTTTACTATTGAATTTCCCGTACGAAGAAAATCCCCCGTCTCAGGCTGACAATCGTCACTATACGAAGGTACCATCACTAATCACATCCATTCTTTACTCGTCGTATTCGACCTGAAAGATGACTCCCCGACCGATGTTTCAAACAGACAATCTTATCCCCCATGTTCCCTCCAGAATGAGGCTTTGTCAGATAATGCAACCTCGCGTGTGCTGGGATTTTAAATTCTCTGACCACCACCAGGGCCCCTACCGTAGTTTCGAGTGACACTGCCCTGCAAACAATAATCATCCTCCAACCCGACCCCAATTTATTTCCCATCGCCGCCCCAAACGGATAGATAATCAATAATAAGTCGTAGGCAGACAGCGGAGACAGGCATTCAAAGAGGAAAAAAAAGCCTTGGGCGTTCTTGCATCAGCCATCAACGGCTTTTTTTCCCTTTTTTTTTGGTTTCGTTCTTGCGGTCTGTGTTCTGTGCCTATTGATGTGCGCATCCGCCGTTCGCGTCCACCCGCGGGAAGCAGGATAAAGAAAGATTAGGAGACCCGGGGACGACAACTGTTCATTTTTTTTTCCATTCTCATTATTCAGTCAATCTGTATTGATGGATTGTCCAACCTCCCTGCCTGGCCCAACCAACCCCAAACCCCCAGGGTAGCTCAGTCTCCCGATCGAATCACAATGCTGCGAACCTGACCGCTCCTGGTGGTGTTTGACATCCTCGCATACAGAGTACAGCGGGCGGATGTATGTCTACCTTCTCCTGCGTGTCCCAGCTTACCCAGGCGAGCTACCGAGCCGGTGAGCTAGCTGGGTGCACATACTTGCTTTGCTGTATGTATGTCGGTCGAGGGGAGGGATGTACCTGTACTTGAGGGAGGGGAGGGGGGGGAGAAGCACCGTGCCGCCGGATGTCTGTGTGTCTGCATCGCAAATCCCAGGAAGCGATCAAACGCGGTCGGTCGAGAGCCAGAGGGTTCAGATCTCCCGGTGTTACAACACACCGTGCGTCCATCCCGTTTGGCGGTGAGGCAAACACGACTTTATTCGACTGGACGAGAGCAGATGGCGTGTTTGATTTCGGGCCTGATGGACTGGCGATAAATAGATTCCGTACTTTTGGTTCCTGGCGGTCCCTCCCCTCGTGCGGGTAAATAAAAAGCAAAAATAAAATGAGGATTATCTGAATAATTGATTACTTGTTTCGAGGCAGTTCGTAGGATTTCGGGTTCCAACTCCAAACACCCATGCGCGCGCGGTATCCGCGGTGGAGACCCCCCGGCTATTTCATGTCTTGGACTCTTGGTATCTGTTGGCCTACAGGGTACATACGCAGTAGTATAGTAGTAGATAATCTGCCGTATACAAGGGTCCATACGAGAAGCTGACGGAAGACATATCAAACACCGAGTCTCGAAGGACAGAATCAAATAATCAAATCAATCAATCAATTCCCCTCGACACTTGTCAACTGTCAACAAACCGAACCAGACTTCCATCCTTTCCGGGTCGCCGTCGGAAGACCCACCGGTTTCTACCAGAAAATGAGCTTCCCCTTTCTCCATGCGGCCGGGGGCAGCGCCGTCGCACAAAGAAAAAACAAATTAGCCGGGTCCTGAGAGACGCCGACACAAAATAGGTCCCAATAACCAGGCACTAGCGGGTGATTCGCAATTGGAATGGAAGGTTCGAACATTCTCCATCTACCCATCTATTAACTATCTACTATTATCTAACGGCCCCCCCATGGCCGTTCCTTCGGGAGTCGCCCCGTCGCGGACGGACGGACGGACAATGGAGGGATTTCTTCCGTCCTTCCCCGGCAGGATTATTCCCGCCTATACGCGTCCGGGAAAATCGCGTCGGTAGTTCCAGTTCCCCCGTTGAAACACCTACGGAGTAACTTACGCATACGGAGGGCCCAATAAGTGACTGCTCGTCGCACACGGGTCGCCACTAGGGTAAAGTGCTGAGCCGCGGCATTAACTCGGCTGTTTCTGGGATCGACTGTGCCTGCGCTGGAGAATCTTCGGTGCCGATCCATACTACCGAGCTTTGTCCTGCACGGTTAATTATCACAGGTCAAGGTTGCCTAGGTGCGAGGCTCGTGTCCGCCGTATACCGTGCTGGAGCCTGGTAGGCACCGGTGCTCTGGATGAGACAGGGTCTACGTAGTAATAGTATAACCTTCTTTGTCCTCGGTATTGGCTGGGAGTGTTCCTCGATGGCGAGGTGTCTCATTTCAGCTGTGTCTAGCCGTCGAGGTACGGAGTGGTACATCCGAATGGACTCGCATCCATCTCGATGACTTACATTGAGCATCAAAATATATTTCTGGGACATCACATATGGAGTAGTTCAAAGGTACTACTACTAGACAGATAAATCCTCCACCCCACACTCGATTCAAATCAAAGCAATTCATTTCATTTCAAATTATTCCTTCGAGAATCCCCTAGAAAAAGCCCCATGTGATAGATGGTAGAGAGCAACTCCTTTGTGACAAATTCCCAGCCCGCGATGAAGCTCTCCCCAGGGAAATTCACGTTGCACAAAGGTACCTCGGCTAACGCCCTCAGGGCCGGGGGAGCTCTAGACCGCGATCCATCGTCGTTTAAATATATCAATCCAAATCGATAGTTTGCACCAAAACCCAACGCCTCTCGGGCGGATGCAACTTGCGAGGTTCCGCTGTCGCCGATCGATTCGAACAGTGTGGAAAAGGATTCTCCGCTCCTGTCCCGAATTTAAAATTGGCTTTGGCTTTGGCTTTGGAAAATTCTATCTATCGCATTGGGGGACCTTCTCGGAACCCACTCCCTGCTTTCCAGCAGTTTGGATGCTGTTTGAGACCCGTCGATTTCCCTCCTTTCCCGGCTTCCCCCCCTGTGGCCCTTTCAAAGGTCCGGGACCGGACCCAGTTTCCACACCTCCCCGCCGATACAGAGTCCCGGGTAGGCCCGCGGAATGCGGGTGAAAGTACGGAGGGTCTGGGGATGTTTCATTATCCCTTTTTTTTCAGATTTAATTTTTAATCTTTCGAGAGGAGGTGGTGGGTTCTTCGATCCTCATGCTCCTGCGCGGCGTCCCTTATTCGGATTTCGATTCGGATGCTGATTCCTGGGTGCTGGGACGAGTCTGCTCTGATCTTGATTGATCTATTTGCATGATGATGACGACAATCTGTCCATTCTTTTCGGTGCACATGTAGACAGACCCTCGACTCCGTACGTTCGACATGCTGTCCATTCCATTCCCCCGTGCATCTTCGTACATATGTACTGTACAGGCAGGTAAGTATATACCTTAGGTATCCATCCATCTGCATCATCAACCATGCACATGTAAGTATCAGTATCCAGACCTCCAAACCAAAACAAACCCCTAAGGGAAAAAGTAAACCACCCCAAACAGAGCCCTGTACCCCGTACTCTGTAACCTTCCAGACTCCGTCCCTCCATACGAGGAGGAGGAGAAGGAGGGAGCAAGTGACACAATGCGAAACCGATCGCCGGGTCGGGACCCAAAAGTCCACTCGATTGGTCACCTACCCAGCAGTCCTTTTTTTCCCCATCATCCCGGATACCGTCCGGCATTTCCGCCCACCGACATACATACATACATACCTACATACGTGCATTCCACCAGTTTTCTTCATGCAATGCATGTCTTTTGATTGATCGACCCTGGTCCGGGAGCAATTAAACAAGTACATTACATACGTGGGACTTGCTTGCTTCCGGACCACCATCCGGCGGTCAGTCGATGTGTACATACTTACTGTAGGCTGGGTGGGTACGCAGTAGAGTGGGGAGGGGGTGGATTACGTGGTGTCCTGCACTGCGCTGCTGTTTTTGTTTCTTTGCTTTTTTTCTTCGTCAGGGACCGTGTACAGCGTACCTATGTATGTGTGTAAGTAAGTGAGTAAGTACCTGTGGACAGATCGACTCGCCTACGTCTCCGTCTCCTCTACCGCCACGGAAGTACCGTACCTACTTACCGACGGACATACCTAATTCTTCCTATACGAGTTCTGCAGAGCTACCGAGTATTCACCAACTACTGAATCAGGCATATAGAGCGCAACCAACTTACCTGCTCAAAGTACCAGATAGTCGTACGGAGTCGCCGTCCCAACAACCATAACGATAAACGACTGACCGCAGCTCGCCCAGCTCAGCCCAGCTCAGCCCGCCTAAACCGGTAGGTAGATAGGGGAGGGCAAGAGGCGGTGATACACCGCTTGGTGAATTATTGGCTGCTATTCAGCCATGCTAGCAATTATCGAAGAACACGAGGGTTTACATATCGACTGGTCCTCCTCGTACTCTGGAGGAACCGTGGCATGCCATGTCAGGATGTGGAAATTAAGGTCAAGACGGAGTTGTCGATTTAAAAAAGAAAAAGAAAATTAAATAAAAATTAAAAAAAATGAAGACATAGAAATAGATACACACAGTGATTCCGATAAATCATCCCTTGGCTTCTTGCATCTGAGCGACCGTGGGGGGAGGAGAGGAGGGTTGGTGGAGCACACCTCGCTCACACATGATGGTGTCGATGGCTGCTGCTGCTGCTGCTGCTGTCGAACATACGTAGTACCTCGTAGGTGTACTCCGTAGGAGAGCTTCGATCGCTGGAATGACGCAGGGTCTCCGGGTTTACTCGGAATTTATTACCTCCCTTGAATAGTCATGTACATTTCAGTCATACTACAATGACCACAGGACCTAAATGAGTAACCCGAAGCCCCAGATCCATGAGGGAGCAACAATGGCCATACCTCCTGACGGGATGATCCGGGGAAGTGGAATAAGGTGGTACTCCTCGCAGCGGAAACTCAGCCCGTCTGCTTCCGGATAAAGTTACCCAAGGGGGGGAAATGGAATTCCAAGGGGCGGGGAGACTCCACCGGAGGGGGGAGCTAGACGGCTTCCCCGGGCGATCGGTGCATCTCCGCACGAAGATGGAGGGACAGAGAGTCGAAGAGTCTAAGACTCAGCGTCCGAGTTAGAGTCAGGAGAGAAATTAGATCTTCGGTAGGGCAGGTAAGGTAGCTGGGTAAAAAAGTAGGGAAGAAAGGTCTCCATCATCGTGCAGGGCATACATACATGGCATCGCAGATGGATGGATACAGTTCATACTTGGAGCTCTGTACAGCATAGCATGTAGGGAGAAAGAGGAGGATCTGGTGATGCCTGAGGATGAGGTAGGTGGCGAACGCATGGAGCTGATGGCTGCATATGATATTGCAGATTCGCCGTCCCTGAAGGGAACCTCCGCATGTCCAGGCCCGGAACGACCGTCTCCTTGGGCCATCGATACATGTGCTTCTGTGGGTATGTTCCATTTCTGTCCTCAGTCCCCTCTGTCCTCTGTGCAAGAGCACCGATATACTCCGATCGAAACGCACCTCGCTTTCTAAATCGGGTAATTCTGATTCGTGCTCGCCATCTCCAGCTCACCTGCCCCGGCGATCGGCGGTGCCGAAAAGCTGGTGTGGGTAATTAATTTTAGATTGTGGTGGGGACAGGAATTGTCAGTCGGATATATTCTCGGTTTCCATGGTCGCTCGCCGGTGGCTCAGATGACCGTCACACCCCCCCAGGGCGAGAAGGTTCAATACTTGTGCAATCTTCATCCCGAAAATGCGGTAGATAAGCTTACATCATGGCGATTACGACGTCCGGCGGGATTTCAGGGTTTGGGTGCAGGTGAAGCTGCTGCCGCCGCCGATGGTGGTGGGCGCAGCGTTTGGGCTGATGTGACGTTGTATACGACGATGGGACAGCAGGCGCTTACTATATTTAACCCGATCCAATGACCGGCAGGAGGTGACACCCCTCAAAAGAAGTAGGGTATGTAGAATCAAGATAATGGGATTGTGATTCTGATTCTGATTCTGATTGTAAGCCTCATTCATCATCGAGCCTCTGACATGGCAGGTTGGGTTTGTTGTGGCCCAATCATGCACCCCATATTCACTATCAGCCTTATGTACTCGACACCGCCAACTGTAAGGCGAGTATCTAGGTAGCTCCTCGGTGATGAAAAGGTGTCACCTAGTTCGCGCACATGCTGGCATCATTCGGTCGCCGACTGGAGTATTTCTTTTTTCCCCTCCGCACTCTGTGAGTCTGGGGTGTTGCCGTCTGGGGAATGTTGGGGTCGGTTGTGCTCGATGAGGTCACTAGGTATGTTATCCCTCGCTTCGCACAGGAAGTATGAAGCATCTCCGGTGTCTGGGGTTCCAAGGCGGGCTCTACTGTTGCCACGGGTATCTATCTACCCGTGCTTGTCACTTGCGTCTTGAAAGTAAACAACGTGAATTGTAATTACCATGCAATTACCTGCATGTTATAATGTATATCAAGATACCCGGTTCGGCAGCAGCGTCAAAATCAAATCCTCTCATGTATGCTTCATTATCAAGGCTATATATAGATACGCTCGGCCCTCGAATAGAGTGGCTTTTGCTGTTGAAAAATAATACGATATCGGGAACTGGCGACTCATAACCACGGTTAAGCCGGCTTGTTGTCATGCCATTTTCCACATCCGGTACGTGGGCGTTGGGGACATTTTAGACACCGCTATCGAGGGTCATCGCACATGCCGTTTCAGGTTTCAGGTAGACAGTCTATATGTAAGCTTTTAATTCTGGGGTTGTTCGCGAATGACAGCTACCTGAACTTAATGACGAAATAACACTGGCTCAAGGCTGAATAGATGGGATGTCATCGACAGTGAGTTTAGGTAGCTAAGCTATGACAATTCAATCCATGGATCACTGTCTCGATGGCTAATTTTGGAGTTTGAACTGCGGCTGAAATTATTCATCCCCAGAAGAGTCCCTGCCATGGCATCACCACGCTCTATCTTCCTCGACGTGATAAGTTCTACCGTCCTGTCATCGTTATATCTAGTCATCCGCCCATAAGCTTCGTGAAACATCGGGCGATGACTCGAAATAGATACGCTCGCATGATATCGCAGGAAAACGATAATATTCACTCCTACGGTCGGTAATATCGGCACCACCATCATCTTGGCGCAGTTCCTCGCCCTTCTAGAAGGATATCAAGTCCAAATGATTGGATGGGTATTCTATCGTGGCTTTCAGCTGGCCCCATCAACCGAATATGGTAATCAACCGCGAAGGCTTCTCCATACCATCACGACATAAGTGTCTGGCTGAGGGGAAGATACCCGGGCGAAGTACCGATCGGATAAATGAAAAACAACAACGCATGAGAAAAAGGTGGTGTCAGCACGGGCTAAAATATTACACCGCCGTTGAGGCCATGTAACCCAAGCCGATCATCGGGGCATTGATCAGAATGTGGCTGTTCGAGAACGCTTCGGTACAGCGCCGGCCTGTCACCAGTCGGTGGAACAGGTGTGGTGACGCTGCATTCTGGTAGGCCGGCCTTTATCGACAGAGTGGGATACAGTCATCCTCTGACTTCTTCGAATCCGTGACCCCCATGTTACCTTCCTTCCTTTCCTTCCTTCCCTTCCCTTCCCTTCCCGTCCCGTCGACTCCATGGAGAAGTGGAGATGAGTATTCCCTAGGCTGACGGGGGACGATCAGTGGGGGGGTTCGGGGTCCGAATATCCTCTTGCCATCGGTGGGTTTTTGGGATTCGGTGGTGGCGACTTCGAGCTCCTTTGAATCCGCATGGAATATGCTATTCTCTTGGGTTTCTTGGGAGCGGAGGATTTTCGCCGGACTGAATTGCCGGTGGAATTCGTCCGTTCGGTTAAAAGGCTCCCGAGCAGCTGACGAGGCCTTCCGTTGAACCCCTCATCCGCCATTACTAATCCTTGTATAGCTCTGGCTGCGGAGGAGGAGGGAGAGAGAAAAGAAAAGAAAGTGGCGCGGAATCGCTTATCGCTTCCCGAATCGAAGATCTTACGAGAGGGATGCTATTGCGTGCTACTTGAGCCTCTTTTCTCCCGATACGAATCAACTATGCGGTGGAAGCGATGGCTTGCCAATATCAATAATTGGAATTTCGGGATGCAACGTGATGAATCGAGCCATGCAATGGTATGTGGGATATCTTGATTATGGAATTACCTAAACTCAAACGTCGGCCATCTCTCCATTTGGCATTATCCCTCTTCGGCAATTTACCTACAGGCGATACAACGTTGGGCTGTCGAGCATAAACCTACGTCCTCTTTCCTAATACAGGAGTTTTTGCGCCTTTCCCCGAATTCCCCCCAAGCAACACGCGCGTAGGAGCAATATGACGACGGCCATTCCCGAGCTGAAGGCACTCTCCAACCCCTTACTCAATCCGACTATAGACGAGAAGAAAGCAATAGAAAGTCAGTCGCACAAGCTGAAACCTCGCATCGCAACATACAACCTAGCAGCCAGCCATACGAGCTTTGTTCTTTATAACAAATCCCCCTTTCCCCCATCAAGCAACAGCCACACCAAACCCCAGAAACCCATCATTATATCTTGCCCAACCCAAACAAAACCCCGTACAACACGCAACTCCCACAAAAAAAACCATTCCCAAACTGGCGGTGAAATAACCTGCATAGCATTGCATTCCCGTGGCTGACCCGATCCCCTAATATTACCAGCCAACGGGCAAAAAATCTGGGACACAGCGTCGCACAACAGGCACCTCCCTCCCCCACCCACCTTTATCGGATAAATCCCCGAGGTACCCGAATTTAAGGCTATATACGTACGCGTGTATGTACCAGGGGTCCTCATTGATGTGATTATTTTAAATTACTGCGCAGTTGGTGTGACCATCTCGGGTGTCGTTGCATGAAGAAAGATGCGGTGAAATGTAACCCGGGGGAAATTTCCCTGGGGATCTGGCGTGGGCCACGAATTCAATTTTTTTCTCTTCTGGCGGTGAACGGGAAATGGTTCTCGTCCTGCATGGATCTTCGCTGCGTTGGTGGGGAGCTCGTGCGGGGATATTTCGTGGTCCTGGGAAGGTGTATGTGCGATCGGCGTTGGATCGTCGGGTTATGTTTTTGTGAAGGATACAGGAGGTTTTAGTATTATACTGGTATAGTATTTGTTTTGGGATCTATTTGGCAAACCTTAGGGATTGTTATTTGAAATAGTGATTATCATTCGTTCTGGACAACGAGACTGTTGTTCACTCTGATAATCAGCTCCTAGAAGATAATTTACTAGTTGCATTTTAGTTTGAAGATTCTACTATCCATCACTCTCAACGGTTTAAATTTCAGGGAGAATATCTCAAAAGATGAATGATCTTTATGCCCTAATCAACATATACCGGAGCTCTGTCGAGGCACATCATCGATGATGGATAATATTAGCTCCAGAAAAGGTGTTTCTGTTGCTTCTGCCTTCTATCAAGTAAAACAACAAGTAGGACATTTCTTTCCGAGGGAATTACATTCAAACTAGCTAAAGCTTGGTCTAAGATATCATGTCAACATCAACATCATTTTGGTGCCGTGTTCGAGGGAGACTGTCTCTTTTTGTGCTCAGTTCCTGAATGACCTGGCCTTCTCTAGGTGATTTAGTTGCAAGTCAACTCTATAGGACATATGGAAAGAATCTCCCCTTTCCTATGGCGTGAGACTGAATGTGCTCTATAGAAACTCTCGATACAATAAGAAGCAAAGTCTTAGGGCTATCGCAAGATTGTCTGTGGTCAACACACATAATTATCGCTCCATCACTCAAGCATCGCTCTGAGACTGCATCGGAAAACCATATCAGCACATATTTGATGGCATTGACATATTTCAGGTAAAGGTTTGGCGCTCTAATCTTCTAGTTGTCGATTAGTGAGCTAAGTTTATCGGTTCAGGTTCCACCTTATCGTGAATATAGAGGCGTTCATAAGGCCTGATGGGTAATTGTTCATGAGCTGGTAATCAAATGGCATGATTTGATGACGGGCATCGCAAGGATACGCTGAGAGGAATACCAAGTTCTCTGCTGCTCCGCTGTGGTGATAATATTACATATAAGCTCATCTTGAGTGGATATCACGAAGAACACTCCTCCAGCAGCTGTTTGTCCAAACGATCGGGGGCTTCGAGTATACATGGAAATCTCGGAAGAAAATATCAAGAGATAGTACTGCTCGAGATCGAACTTCTTCAGAGTGGGATTAGGGGGAGACTTGCAAGAGATTCATGTTAGCCGCCTTTCGGCTTCCATTCTTCATTATGGCCATGTTCAGATTTCCAGTCACGATTAATAGCGCTCACTAGAGTACGTAATGATCATGAGCTGGAAGGGATAGCACAGTAAAATCACAAGTGCTTAGATCTGAAGCTGATGCGCTCAATCTAGCTAGTAAGGTTCTTGGTTTCTTTTTTGGATATTTCGGGCCTACATGGACGATAGTCGCTCTACTAGCTGAACTGTAGAACAGTTTACTCTTAAGGGCAAATTTATTCTGACTGAGGACTTTCTGGATACTAAGCATTATCTCTCAGAAAACAATGTATTTGGGCAACCTCTATAAAGTCTCAGATTAGAGCGACTACAACCTTCTTGGCCGATACTCCAGCCTTCTGGAGGTCTACCGCACGCTGGATATCACCCAACCCATGGCCAACAACAAATGGCTCAAGCTTCGCCTGCAACTGTCCGCTGGCAAGAGCCTTCGGCACAAACTCGCCCCAGACGGCTTCGCCTATCTTCTCGTGGGGAGGAAAAGCCGTTGCAAAACAGATGACTATATTGAGTTGGATGTCAGTCAGATAAACGTAGTATAGCGTGGACGGCCACAAGAAAACATACCCATCTTGAGGTTGACTCCATCAGGTGAACTCTCCCGATAATTCACCGTCGCGATGTCATGACTGCCTAGCTGCCTCGCAATGGCTGCGACAGGCTCAAGGCTCTGATCCGATGTGATAGCGTCATAAATACCAGCGATCTCGGTGTCTTTCAGTTCCTTGACAATTTCCTCCACGACAGTTGGAGATTTATAGTCGAACACAGCGCTAGCACCCAAGTCCTTCAGAAGCTGATGGTTGGCTGGAGAGGCAGTAGCGACAACTCTAAGCCCCGAAGCAACAGCCAGCTGAATAACAACGGTCCCGACAGATGACGCTCCTCCCCAAAGCAGAAGTGTTTTGCCGGTGGGCTTGGGACTCTCCGAAGGGAGAGGAAGGTTCAGGTTATCTGGAGAATACAGTCCGGTTGTAGCCGTTGAGATGGATATCGGGAGTACCGCGGCTTGCGCGAAGCTCAAGGAATCAGGGATGACAGCTGTGAGTCTCTCATCGGATACTGGGTAAAGCTGAAATGCACCATTGGCCGGCTCAAAAGTCTTCAGTCCCACGAGATGTCTGGATGATTCCTGATTAATAATTATCTGAAGCCATGATTCTGAGCTAGGTCTGGCCTACGCAATAACCCGCTGGCCTTTCTTGAATTTAGTCACTTTCTCGCCGACTTCTTCGACGGTTCCTGCAACATCTGTTCCGAGAATGAAGGGGTAATTCTTCAGATAGCTACCGGAGAAATATCTGCCACTGTCAGCAGGCGACGCTTATCAATGTTTCTTGAGTGTCTTACTGTATCTTCCAGTCAACGGGGTTCTGTTGCCACATTAGTAAAGGTTCATGACAAATTGAAGGAGCTTCATCCTTACAATCGCCACTGCGTGGTTCTTGATCACCACTTCTCTGGGACCGGGCTTTGGCGCCGGGGCAGAGTCAACCACGTAAGGCTCTGAGGCAGCCGGGATCCACGCAGCTTCGTTTGGAGACATAATAATAGCTTTGGTTTCTTTTTGAAAGGGAGAAAAATTATTGAAACCTGAGGACACCCGGTAGGTACACTGCACTTGTAAACTAATAATATTTTGACCTCTGATATAGATACTTCACAAGGATCTTCTCCCAGGTTTTATATACATCAATATCTATAGCATTTACAATCATTAGAAATAGGCAATGTAAAATCGATTGTGAATTATTAATGATTAAAAATGCGATATCCCATTCACTTTTAGCCCCTAATCTCATGTGGATCCATCACGACATCCAGCTATCTTTGCGCTATCGAAGGATTTGGTTAACCATAATTGACGCAGTGCTCTGATTTCTAAGCATGTAAGATTTCCATCTCCGCATATACACAATAATGAAAGTCTGAACTTCCAGTATGCAAATGATTTTATGCGCCATGCTACGAAGTGTAGTACCAAAGGCAGTAGTTCCGGGTCAACAAGACTTTTAAATAATGATTATCTTCAAAGTCGTATCTACATGATTGAGGTTTGTAAAAGTCTAGACCGGAGTTTTCATTAAATAGAGTGCGGATGTAGGTGTCGCTCGGCGATTCGAACATGTCCTCGGGCGGTGAGATCCTGATATAGTTTAGAGTAGAAACAAATTCATGTCTCTATTTTATATTGATTCTATCTCTCTGCATACGCCTGGGGGGCACTGTGGTTTTATTGGTTTGCCAGAACTGGCTAAATTTGTCATCTCATGTTTCTCGAAGGTAACAAGACAAATATCACAGGTATGATAATCACCACACATACCCTTCGATTATCTCTCAGACCCTAAAAGCCCTAAGCTACTTCTATTATAGGTAGTTAGGAAAGGTTTAATGTCTGCATATAATAATAGTATGAGCTGAGCGTCTTTGGCTCCTAACCCAGCTAGATTTACCAATTGACAACCTCGGTGACTTTTTCTCTCTTTATCAAAAGTAACAGTTCAGCGAAGCGTACCTGGTCTCAAGGCAGCTTGCTCTTCATTCACTAGAAATAAAATTTCTCATCTATCTCGATTCCGGCAACCGTGTTATAACAGATGACGGACCTATGCAATGGGTGCAATTCATTCTTTCGCCAGCAGTACTAACTCAGGAAATCAACCTACCATTCAAATTACTCGGTGGTTTTCCCGAACTCTATAGCACTCGGAGAGATGAGCGATGCTGCTTGCCCCGCCTAATGACGTTGCGAATATCATATAGTGTTCCTCATGGATATATCAACTCGACACCTCTCGATTTTCCTCCCAGTATTCTTTCGTGCAGCTTCTACCTCAATCAGACGCTGATTTTTCATTTTTATCTCGTACAACGAGCATAGTTAAATAGACTATGCTCTCTACACGCTGTTGGATACTGGATTCTCGGGTCGGGAACCCGAGAGGCCGGAGCAAAGCACCGATGAGCGCGTAATAGTGGGCCCTTTGTGGGTTCAGTGCAGTTGTCTTGGCACGCCCTGTATACAACAACCTGAAGAAAACCCTTGATCCGGACGACGGCTATAAAATCTCACTTCTCATTCTGATTTGCTTCTAGTAGATAAATCGGAAGCGTTCAATTAATCAAGATGGATGAAACTTCTCGCAACGTTCGCTACGAACTGTTCCAGTTCTACTTGAAAGAATGCCGCCCGCCCACGGTCGACGAGCTGGCCAAAGCATCTGGCCTTCCATCGTCCGACATTCCTCCTGTCCTTCGCCAGCTTGAGGATGCTCACCACATCGTACTCTACAAGCATGAATCTTGCGCGCCAACTCCCATCGCAATGGCTCATCCGTTCTCTCATCTGTAAGTGTACTAATCACATTATACCTCTCGAGATCTATGCGTGGCTGATATAGTCTTGATCGAGATAGCCCGACTCCCTTTGTGGTGGTAAGAAACCCACAGTTTGCTCCAAAGCACATATCTGCATGCATTGCTGACCATGAACTTAGTCCCAAGGCTCGCGAAGCTGGTGGGCTAACTGTGCCTGGTGTGCATTCGGCCTCGCCGCAATGCTGTCCCCGGCGAAAACGACCGTGTCAGTCCGGTCCGGCTCCATTGGCAAGGAGATGCAATTCGTGATCCAAGACGATGAGATCAAATGCCTCAGCCCTGAGGGAGAGGTCAACACAAGTGACTGCTGCGTGCACTTTTCTGTCCCGCCTTCGACCTGGTGGAGAGACGTTCGGTTTGCGTGCGGAACTATTCAGTTCTTCGCATCTAAGCAAGAGGCTCAGGAGTGGCCTCAGAAGCGCGGCTTTCACGCTGGGGATATTATGAGTTTGGAAACAGCGTGGCTGTTATCGAAGGTGAGAAGATCTTGTGATTTAATTTAGGCGAAATGGGATAATGAAGCTAACATGGATGAAGGCGTGGTATCACAACAAGCATGAACATGGGTATAATCGGAAAACTTCCGCTGAAGTTGAAGAATTGTATACACGTCTGGGAATGACGGCAGGTTTCTGGAAGTCTTGATATCGGTGTGTTAGGCAAGCGATGCGAGGAATGTCCTAACAGAATGTGGTATGTGTGAATATGTAGGTTTCATATTCAGTTCCAAAACCTGCTTGTTGCCAGTTTTGAAGTTGATTATTAGAAGGCAAGGCCTCCTGGGACTAGAGGTTATCATAAGCATACACCACCATACTACTGCACAGTGAATACTCTGTATACATTCGATTTGAATGACGTAACCCAGCTATCGAGTCTAACCAGAAGAACTGTTAAATACCATCTACCAAGACTAATGTATTCAATACGAAAGACTATTGGTGGATGGGCTAGGTTGCATAGCGAGGACTTTTCTTGTGAAGATCTAAAAACAAAACTGAGCATGCATCTAAATTTATATCAGATGAACACTCCACAAAGCACCCGAAATCTAAGGTGAGTGGCGAAGTGAAGTGTCACTTAAAGGGCGCGGGATCCACATATCTCAGATTTTGGTCGGTTCCGGCGTTCCCACTTCAGCACGATTGAGAACCATCGTCTCTGTCATTCGGCCTGTTTCGAAATTGATCTCATGGACATTAACCATCTTGATGAATATTCCTATTTGTTGGAGCCCCTGGACACTGAAAACCATTCAGAACCCACTAGCCTAGACCCTCTTGGGCTTCAGGGACTCGCTCAACCTGACTGGTGGGCGGGGTATGACACTAATGATTCAAGATTCGAAATTGAAGCTTCGCTCCAGGAGACCTCCTTAAGTGCAGCTCAGGAATCCGACTTCTTTCGTCCCGAGGGGTCAGATAGTTGCGCAGAAAATAATGGCTCGATTGAGCGATTCGCTCAGTCCACACCCGCTGCCTCTTCTGAAGATGACTTGGCTAAGGGCCGGTCATCAAAGAGGCTCCCTGCTGGCGAACGATTCATGAGGAAAAACTCATTTCAGCGATTGCCTTCGGAAGCAGTGAAGACTTTAAGGCTATGGTTCCATCAACATCAAGACTTCCCGTATCCCACACCGAATGAAAGGCGGGAATTGGAGCAGCACACTGGACTTAACCAGAGGCAAATTTTTAACTGGTTTGCCAATGCTCGACGGCGAAAGCGACGAAGCATAGGAAAGGCTCCCTCGCCCAGTCCTGAGGTCGATACAGCGGCGCAATCTTTCTTGTCTCCTCTAGAACGCTGGCAACATTCACCCCCTGAATGCGAGCCCGCTGCCACGTCCGACATTCTGCGAGCTCTAGAAAACGCGCCACCGTCTTCTGACTGGAATATCGTGGACAGCAGCGACCAGAGTTCGAAGTCAGAAAATAGCTCTGGCAGTTCCTTCTTATTCGGCGCTCCCTCGGTAGGCACTTTCGAACATAGTGGCTCCTCTGGCTCCGATTTATCGGTTAAACCCCAGAACCGGCGTTTTCAAAGACCACCCACGCCCATTCCGAGCATGAGACCGCGCCGCCGCAAGAAGGTTTCAAAATCTTCATCTCGATTAGACAAGCCGATAACACATGAGCATCGCCCGTACCAGTGCACGTTCTGCTGCGATTCCTTCCGTAGCAAATATGATTGGGTACGACATGAAAAAGCCCTTCATATCTCGGTAGACCGGTGGCGTTGCGCGCCAGAAGGCGGCATCGTTGAGACAGATGGAGTCAACGTCTGCGTCTTCTGTGACGCGCCAGATGCAAGCGACACACATCTCGAGACACATAACTACCTCCGGTGCCGAGACAAACCTCCCGAGCTACGAGTGTTTTCACGAAAAGACCACCTACGGCAGCACCTTCGGTTGATGCATGACGTACAGAAATGTCCTTTCCTGGATAGATGGCGAGACTCCACGCCCGAGATACATTCACGGTGTGGTTTTTGCAACTCGGATTTCAAAACCTGGGAGGAGAGAGTGGATCATGTGGCCGAGCACTTTAAAAAGCGCGCAGATATGAGCCAGTGGGCTGGAGGCTGGGGTTTTGAGCCGGACGTCGAACATCAGGTGGAAAATGCCATGCCTCCTTATTTGCTTGGAATTGAGCGCTCTACAGTGGACCCGATGAAAATTTCCAATGTGGACGTCGCACAGCTACAAGAGGGCGAACCGTCTGCTTCAAATGGCGATTTTCCCAAGGGGGTAGAGCTTTACTGGATTCTATATAATGGCATGGTTGCATATATCAAGGACCAAATATCCATGGGTATATATCCTTCAGACGAGATGATTCAACGCAAAGCTCGTCTGATGATATATGAAAGCGATGATCCTTGGAATCAGACATTCGCTGAGAACCACACATGGCTGGCAGCTGTCAAAAATGATGCGGGTCTGATGGAACCTCAGACCCATATTGCACTGTCTAATGAGATTTGATCATGAATAAGTTCACGTTCATGATCCTTCTGCAATTGCCACTATCCATTATGCTGCTCTATTCTATATCCAATCTATCTTTGGAATTTCGATGTACGATCTAAAAAATACTGCAGCTTAATTTTACTTCTACCGGGTATACCAGCCCTTAATTCGACTATCAGAAAGGGCAATCAGAGGTCCAGAGATGTTATAAAAGTCACAAGTTGAACAAATTCTTGACGTCAGACAATCCAAGATTGAACAGCTATATTTGTGCGTTTTCTAGATCTTATATACATCAGTCGTTAAGAAATTCCATTCCACCTCTCATTTCCCTCATGATATGACTAGAAAGCTCATTCCCAGCAATTATCTCCCAGGTATGAGCATTCAGAAGTCGTCAAGAGTCCTAGGTACCACCAATCAGCGATCTCTCTCTATAAAAGAAGTAGCACAAATCCAACCTACTCTCTGTGTCCACTTAGATAGAATCCCCAGCAAGAGTGATAGGCTGCTTGTTGGTGAATTTCGGGATATCCTCGAAGATCTTGGGGGTTTCGGGATCCTTCACAGCATTCTGCAAGCTCTCGGCGCTCTCCCACTCGAGGGTGCAAGCAATCAAGTACTTCGATGGCGAGCCGTCCATGGCATTGGTGTACTTCTGGATCGACCAGCCCTTGATTCCGTACTTTCCCCAGATTTGCTCAACCAGAGCCATGTGGTGCTCCTTGTAGTAGGCCTCGTCGAAGGTGGTATCCGGCTCGTTCGGATACATGACCACGGCTCTGTACACCATTTTGAAGATAGGGGTTTGGGGGCTTCGGTTTGGTTGTTGGGGTTAATTCTGAAGGTGGGAGTTGGAGGGGAGAGAGTTGAGTCAAGTGAGGGGACCGTTGGATATGTTGTAGGATTATTAATGGTTATTAATAAGCAGTTCGAGTGCCTTCGGTGTGGGTCTTTCATGGGTATCCCTCACACTAGAACTGTTTGATCGTAGTTTATGGGTTTTCAGAGCAAATGAAATGGCAAGTTTGATTTGTGGGTCCGGATGGTTTTCACAGGATAAGAGTGCTCCGTCAGTATTGCTTGCGGACTTGAACCATTGGGAGAATTCGAGACCAAAACTTAATTATTTATGTCGTAGTATCTTTTTTGTTGTCACTTTTATGGCCTCGCTGATATGTGGGGTATAATAACAAGGGTTGATGTTTTCAAGAAGTATTGGTTTCAAGAGCGTTTCTGCAGCCGAAATGATATCAACATGCACTCCTGCCCTTTCGATAATTTAGTCTTAAAGTATCCTGTACTATTATGGCCTTGTTGTATATTAGTTTGGGTATGGATAAATACATACGTCTGATTCTACTAATACTCCTGAAGAAGCTCAAAATTAAGTAAAAGACCCTGAAAGCAGATCCCTTGTAGCAACAAACCTAATACAGCTTCTCCTTGGTTGAGCAATAATAACTACTAGATAGTTGCTATGGTGGCCTCATATGCTGCTTAGCACAGAACTGTGAGAATACATGTTTGTGGAATCAACATAAATAGTGATATCACTACAAGAAATGTCTAAGTATCGGAAGTAAGCTTCTGGGTGCTTTCAATTATGCTCTAGGCTAGTGAATCCTGCCTGCTTGGCTGCAGCACCTAGTAGCTGCCAATCTGATACGCATCGACATATGCTGTGCTATGGCTTGCGTCATAGCGGCATACTTCCGCCTCACAACAAAGCCAAACCAAAACCATGCCAATTCCTCAGGCTCGAAATCACATGGCCGCCTGCATAGTTGAATTTCTGTTAGAGATTTGGCATTCCATCTGTGTTTGCTGGCTTCTTCACTGTTCTAACTTCTTGATCGGCCCGAACAGATATCTGGTGGCTCGTTCTACCCCTCACAGACCTGGACAGAATTTCTTTTCCTCTTGATTTCTCTAGCGCGGGATGTTTTCTCCGATCTTCATGTCTCTGACTAGAGATTTCCCTTTAGTTTTACCTTCTCCATGGGAACATCATGCATTGAACTTCTTTTGCGTGAATTTGCTAGCGTGTGTGCTGTTCCTTGTTCTTCTTGTTGTTCTTTTTCCTATCGGTCGCGCTCTCCGTTCGCCTCAACCTGTGATCTTAACGCGTTTTCTTCCTCACCTGATCGCTCAGCCGATTGTGAAGTCGGTCAATCTTGTTGTTCTATTGCAAGGTGCATTATGTCACTTTCAATATCGATCAGACTTTGTTGAACACAAAATGAAAGCAGCTGCGGATGATGGTAAGCATTTCTGAAACCCATGAATTCCAGCATAGACTCTTATCGATTTTACAGTAGCAGCGCCGATACCCAATGCCACTATCAGAATCTGTGCCCTGCCAATGGAGATGATTGAGTTGATAGCCGGGTTCCTCAGCCCTATCGATCTGTCTCACTTGCGGTCAACCTGTCGCACTCTCTGTGCGAAAACAATGTACAAGTTTGGGCAGACCTGTTTAAGCACAGTCCATACAGACCTGTCATACCTCAGCCTACAGCGTCTGTACGAGCTTTCCCAGAATGTTGAATTCCGTCCTCATGTTTGTGGGTTGAGGATCTCTGCTCTGCCTGGCACTGTGCTGGGAGATGGCTTCTGTTGGACACGAGCCTCGCGTACAGGTGTTCTCGAACTCCCCCATCTTCAACCAGGCGTCAGGGCCTTGCGTCGCGCTCTTCATTACTTACCAAAATGCACAACCTTCATCGTCTGTATCGAGCATCATGATAACAGTATTAACCGCTACAAACCAGCGTATCTAGGTCCCAGCGATGTGATCACCATTATCCTTGACAGCGTCGCCAAGACGGACCTCTCGGTAACTTCGTTCCACATCGATTTGAAGACCAACAGGCCGAGAGGGGCCTTTCTGGACAGCTCCCGTCTTCTTACCGAATGCATCTCTAAACATATATTCATGAGGAACTGGGCTAGTGTACGGACACTGCAACTGCATCATTCTGTCGACAGTAGAGGTGTCGCCCAATGGGCCACCCAGCTTATCCAACGCTCTCATTGTCTGAACAAACTGGATATTGACTTCGACCTTGGCAGCAAAGCCGGCATCATGATAAGGGATCTGTCGAAGAGTAAACTCCTGGCTCCGATTCGCGATCTTCGTCTCTCCAGCCCTTCGTCCCTTAAGGGTGCCGATCTTCTCGCTCTTCTTCGTCGCTTTTGCAAATGTCTTCGCACACTTTATCTGCACCACGTTTTCATTCGTGGTTTGGCATGGAGAGAAATCATCACTGCCCTCAAAGACGAGTTCCCGGATCTTGTTTGTGTCAACTTCTTCAGGCTTGGATGTGCTTCTTTCCCGATTGTTCCTTTCCCCTCCCTAGATGAAAACCTTTTAGTCAAAGGGCCCCAGGCCGATCGGTTTGCTTACCGTTCTAATCAGAGAGGCTTCGTTGACTCTTTCACTCCCACCATGCAGGCTGCTCTGGGGGCTTTGCTGGACAACGGAGAGTTTTTCTAGTGCTTTCTTGTTTCTCCTGGCCTTCTTGTGCATATTTCATGGAGTTTGTTGCAATTTATGGGCGTTGTTTGAAGTGATGGTGGGATATTTGTGGGCGTTTAATTGTGTCTTTTTTTTTATTGTATGAATATGGGTTTGTATCTGCCGGTCGGCAAGGAGTTTCCAATATACAGGCAAATGCATTGTTCTCTTTTAAGTATCTTGTCGAAGCATTTAATAGGTGGAACTTTTTACGGTCTTTGCGGTCCTTGCAGTCATTTCTTTTTCGGTGCATCTGTCTCTTAATTGTACATTAAAAAGAATAAGATAAGCCTGTTCATAATTTATGCGGATCCCAAAGCGAGCTTCATGCAGGTTTACCTCAGGCCAGAAAAAGAACATCTACATCTACCTAGAACCCCATATACGCGGACAAAACCACAGCTCCAAGAAAATATCCCATCGCAAGCTCAATCCTCCCCGCAGAACCAGTCTCAGTCGGCGTAGCAGCAGCGGCGGCAGTCCCATCCCCAGCCTCCGCAGAAGCAGCACTCGTCGAAGCGGCGCTCGTCGCCGTCCCAGACGCCGCAGAAGAAACCGCAGAGCTACTAGCCTTCCCGCTCTTCTTATCCCCCTGTTTCCCTGAAATCCCCGAATCAAAAGGCGGCGACTCCTTGCTCCCCACCGGCCCGCACTTCTTGACCGTCTTCCATCCATCCTCTTGTGAACCGGCCGCTTCGTCGGCTATAGGTACCTGCATCATATAATTACTTCCAATGACGACGTCATTCTCTACCTTGGAGAAATCCTTCAGCTCGGGATCCCCGAACGTCCAGTCGCTGTAGGGGTAGAAGTGGCCTGTCCAGTAGTATGCCAGCGCGCAGGTCCAGTCGCAGTCGAAGTCGGGGGGGAGGAAGGCGCTTTGTTGGAAGTAGCAGTTTTCGCCGTGTCTGGGTGAGGATTTAAGATTAGCGATGCATTCTATTCCCCTCGTCAAAGGGGACGCAAATAAAGCCACGGTCTGGATATGCCAATGGAAAATAAGGTGGTATGCATACTCATCTCTCGCACACCCCCTCATAAACATATACTGAAACATCAACCCCACCGTCTCAACGGGAACATTCTCGGTCCCGTTGATCCACATGAAACCCTTGGATTTGAGCGCCGCGTCGCCGGGCTCGCTACACGCGTCTCGCACGTTCTCGATGTATTCGGACAGCGAGGTCTCGCAGCTCGAGGTGCACATGTTGGTGAAGTCCCGGTGTTGCATGCCTTTCAGGTAAGTGCGCGTCTCGTGGGCGCTGACCAGGTCCACGAGAAACCCGTCACATTTGATTTCGGCGGCGTAGGCGGCTTGGCATTTTGTGGAGGTGGTGGAGGCTAGGTTTGAGGTCGTATAGTTCCAGCGCTTTGTGTGGGTGTCTAGGTTGAAGGCTTGGGTGAGGATGGGGAGTAGAAGGAGAAGTGGGAAGAGGAGGTTCATTTTGCGGATGTGGTTGGTAGTATATAGGCTAGATGAAGGAGTGAAGGGCGAGTTGAACAAAGGAGTGACTGGGTGAATGAGTGAATTAAAGAGAGTTGGGAGATCTGGGTCCAGGCATGGCGTCCGACTTGTTTATATTCTGAAAATGAAATTACCTGCCCAGAAGGGCGCTTGGAATTGCAGGGTTCATGTGGTCGGACTCGGTTTGAAGTAGCATTGGAGCCTATCGTGCCTTTCAAGGATATGACTAGCTCGCGATCCGGTGGCTGGGCATCCCGAGCTGTCCAAGTAGGGGCATACTATACTGCATATGCTCCTCTTCCTGACAACTCAATAGAAACGGGCAACTGCTGTAGGTTAGGCTGTTTGTTGGGTCCAAAGGTATTGTGAACTTATCTGTAAATAGAATTCAGCTCCGTATTGAGATGATAGTATTTCTAATGCCCGAGTCTATGACCCATGCCATTGCTGTGGGAGACAGAGAGACCCTGGAAGTGGGCCCATCAGCGCCAGATAGTCGAGACCACTAAAGCTTAGCGTGAAAATCCCCTTGGTCTATCCAAAATTCGCCCAATCGGCCACCTCCATCTGACGCCGGTTCTCTTTGGTCCGCAGCAGTTATTTTAGTCAATCGATAGAAATGGACTAGGTCCAGGGTCTGGGTTGGGGGTTTGACCAATGGTCTGTAGAATTTACTCACCTCGATAGATCGTGTTACCAATTCATCTTCACTGGAACTATTCTAGCTTTTCTTGCAACGTGCTCTTATAAGCTATGATAATTTCAATTCTCCTGGTCTTGATATCTTTGATAAATATGCTAATATATGACATCACAGCGTATGACGCTCGAAAGATCCTGCACAGAATGCAGCAGCAAATCAAAGGACGGGAACTAAATCAGGGAGTTGGGTTTAAAACATGCTGGGCAACGATCGACGTGTCTTTCCATTTAACAACCAGACTACTCCCATAAGTTGACGACCAACCAGAGCCAAATTTAATCTCATCCCTTCTCCATTCTCACCGCGACTAGCAACCATGCATCAAACTTCTCAGGCTTCCCCAGCCACGCAACCCAGACGTCTACCGAGCAATGTCTACTATTTCCGTCCCTACAGCTACTATTACGTTATGGTTTTCATATTCCTGGGGGCTTTTACATGCTCTGGTCTGTCGGACTACGCATCTCAGGGCTCTTGCATTCTCCTCTGGACGGCATACATTACCCTCACGCTTCTATTGATAACCATCGACCCGCTGTGTGTGTTTGAGTTCAAGTGCCGGGATGAGGACGGGCGCGATGTGATCTTACGCCGTCCGGTGGTTGGTTTCAAAGCGTACGAGGTGGCGATTGATTTGGAGGCCATTGCAAAACGAGAATATACGGTTGAGGGCGGTGGTGACGATGATCGCCTCCACGATGGCTATCGGTATGGATATGCGTTTCTTCGAATTTGATTGCGCGAGGACGAGGTGCCATTGCTTGGCTGTGTTTTCTTCCGGGGGGGGCGGTATCAGCTGATGGTGTCATGTGCTCGTGGCGGACTATAAACCCCCCCTCTTTTGCCTCGCCTTCCTCCTCTCGACTTCGACTCTGCATCACTTTGTCTGCGAGTGTTGGCCCTCTTCATCTTCTTCAAGCCGGCCTGTGGGTTATTCACTTTAGGATGGCTGTATTCTTCTCTCCTTGCGGGATCAATCTTGCCAGGTTTCAATCGCTGTTTCCATTCACTCTGTCACGTGTTGATGCCATGCGTTGTGCTTGTTTCTGCTGGCGACTTCCATCGGCAACCAATTTAATAGAATTGCTGCCTTCTTCCATATGAAATAATTTCATCTTTTCCAGCTTATTCCTGGAATACGCATCTTCTTGATGTTGGTGCTCTTAATGTGTTCGGCAAACCTTGCTATGGTGGATGTCCCACGGATCCAAGCATTAGTAACAGCCCCTCGTTATGTCCAATCCTACAGCATTAGTCACTTGACCTGATACCTTCTATTCCATATACTTCCCAGGTTGTCTCACGGGCCCAACAACCTTTCTCAACAAAAACCAGAAATGCAGTTTGACCTCCCTCCTTCTTTCCGCGCCCGCATCCAACGCCCCGCCCTTCTTACCATGGACACCAAACGCCAGGAAGTTCATGACGATATTATCAGAATACAAAAATGCCTAGAGGATCATCAGGAGAGATTCATCCAGAAAAAGCAACTCCGGAAGCTTGGGATCCGACCGGCCGTGGTGTCTTTTCCCGCTAGCAAATTTCCACAGTTCGAGCCGTGTTTCTTCAGCCCTCGAGATTTTCGGCGTACCGATACTCAGCACTTTCAAAATCCTGTTCATGCTTTGGAGGGGAGAAACAGAGATGGAAGCAAAGGGCTGCAAGCTTTCATGGAACACACTGAAATGCTGCCCGGTCGAGTCCAATTTCCCCCGATTCTTTCGACGATTCACACGGGTAAACTCGGCGAATTGAAACAGGAAGGCTTCGATCTCTCCAGCAATACTTCTCTTTCTAACTCGGGGTTCGTGTTTTGCTCATACAATCTCCAAATTGGATTGGCTCGAAGGCTCACTCAAAACTGAAAACAGTCCACTAAGCAAGGGGAAATGGCCCTTTAGCCCAGAATACCGACTATCGGAGCACAGATTCAAACTCGACCCGTGGAAGGTTGTCCTTTGCTTGGAGGATACAGCCCACACGGTCCCTCATGCTATAATTGACATGGTACTGGATGCAAAGTTCCCCCCCAGTAAGCTTACAGTGAGCGAGGTCAGGGCTATACTGAGGGTGATGGAGATCCGCATGGGTTTCCCATCATATCAAACCCATTTAATTCTTCCTGTGAGGCCCAAACATTATTTTTAGTTCTATACTGGCTCATATTCTTCTAGCTCTTGGTCTTATCATATCTTGGTCCGGATTACGCCAGAATAATCCAAGCGCATCATGATGGAAACCAAATGATACTTCAGTATTCCAGAACAGTTCGCCTTGATGATACATCTGTCAGGACCCTCCTTGGGTATTATTGTAGCAATCTGGTAGGCGTGACAACTCCGGAATGAAGGCTTCTAATCCTAATCCAGCTGTGTGGTACTTCGTCAAACACTTTGGTCGAAGAGATCGGCTATAGCTCTATAGCAGATAGTCTACCACCAGTCAACCATAATGTAATATTAATTTTAGCTATCTCAATCGATTTTTCATTATTTACAGTCAAAGCAGACAAAATAAGCTCACATATGTCACCATGCCCCACACATACCTAATCCCCCTAGGTGCTGATAACCAATCACCCGCGAGAAAACGCATGCCTCATGCACGTCATCCTGCAGACGAACTTACCCTACGAGGAAACACATCCCCCAACCTTAGCCCAGGCTCATGTAGTCAAAATCCCAGTCTGATATCATCTGATAAGGGGATGTGGTTTAGTGGTATAACGTTCGCTTAGCATGCGAAAGGTCCGGGGTTCGATTCCCCGCCTCTCCAGCTCTTTATCGGATTTTCATCTTCGGGGATGTGGTTTAGTGGTATAACGTTCGCTTAGCATGCGAAAGGTCTGGGGTTCGATTCCCCACCTCTCCATTCCGAAGTCTTTTTTTGTGTTTTTACTTTTTGGTTTTGGTGTTGGGTTGGGATGTTGGTTTTGTATGCGAGGTGAGGTGGTGGTGGATAGGAGATAGCCAACTTCAAGACCACACAGAGGAAAGCAGCTGTGCCACATATGCAACGGTGCATCTAACCTCTTATCCTATGATACCCATGATCTGCAGAAATAATATCTTCTCATAAATACAGGGTAGATCTCCCAGTAAAATTATGATTGATTTCCCATGCACATTAACGGGCACAACAGCTGCTGCCAGGTGGTCCTGTTACGTAGAGGAATGTATAGCCACACCATGGGCAAAGAAGCAATATTCTTAAGGACAAGACTGTATGCCGTTTGGACCAACTTCTTATATAACACAGCCCTTGGGCCTTGGTCAAGGACATAATATCGGAGGAAAGTGTGAATTTCATTTGTAGAGACCTTGACTGTTCTTTGCAGATGTCATCCTGTTCGACACTATGCAATGGAATGAGCAGTGTCATCAAATAATACAATTCAACCTAGCGTAAAAATCGCTGCTATACTGGGGTTATGGTATCCATCTACACGTGAGTAGGTGCAGATATTGGCGCTGGCCAGGGTAGCAGGTCTGGGTTTTGGTGCTTGCGATGCTACGAACCTTGTTTCTTTGACTGCTTCTGGGTCTGGGTAGGCTCGGCTTTTACCTTCACGGAATTGCTTTTTGGTTTGGTTTGATTTTGAGTACCCCCCCTTTTTTCTTTTGGTGTGTCCTCCGAAGAGGTTGCTGGGTAGAGGGACAATTCCATACATATATATCGACGGGCAACCCAATGCAGCCAAGCAACATACTTCGACTCATACAGCCAGTGATGTCGAGAAGGACGAGCTAACTAGCAATACACATGAAAAGAATAGCCAGGAATTGATTTATTACGACACTGGAACAGTAAGGCCTCGAACTATTATTATCCCTGGGTTGATTGTAGTGGACAGTGGGTAGGCCGCTAACCTAAAATGGATATTCTTTTGTTTTGGCTTATGTAGTCAAAATGAGGAACCACTTTTTAACAGTTGGCCGGATGGTGTAGTTGGTTATCACGTATCGTTAACACCGATAAGGTCCTGGGATCGAGCCCCAGTCTGGTCATTTCTTTTTTTGTTTTTTTTTGTACTTGTTTGTCCGGCTACTACTGTCTGGATATGGTGGAAGATACCAGCAGTTTATTTGGAAAACTGGAGCGTTAAAAGGAACCACCATCCCACCCCGCAGCCTACAGTCATATACCAAATTCTCGCAAAGCACCTCCTCCAGACCAATTAAACCTCACTGTCCAGCGGCATCATCGCAGTACCAGCAATACCGAAGCCAAGAAGCTAGGTAGAGCCGGATCAGTATTATTACACCGCTGGTTTTTGCTGATAAAAAAAGTTCAAGCACATATTCTCGCAAATCATTACGGACCCCCTTGCTTCCCGCGCTCAGCCCAGTTGATCAAATCTCTGTTCGCTCAACATTTGTGACCAGTGCTCAGAAAGACTCAGAAGTGGGGCAACCAATGATAAAGCATATTCGAATTACTGTATCATCATTGGTGATCAAATCCGAGGTCTAGAGCGCTGATTCATTCTCACCACCCGGCGCTCGAAGATCTTGAAGTAGACTGCAGACCATTTAACCCGACCGGGAAACTAGACATCTACTGGACAGCGTAATTTCTAATTATCTCATTTACCCATCACCGCCCTGCAGCGTAGCACTGGCCCTGCTAGTGCATTCACCATCACTGCGATGATGGTTACAGCTGCATACGTCCTGCAGCCTCAGTTGGAATGTGATGTGGTCCTCTGACACCCGACACCGGATATTACACCTCTCATCACTAAACAATAAATACATTATGCAGCACCCACTTCTGTCCTTCTCCTTTCTTCCACACCTGCTATCGTGGCCAATATGTTCGCATCTATCCCACAAGCAGTTTTCGCCCTCCTCCTTCTATACTTCTGCCAGACTACTATACGCAGGCTATATCTTCATCCATTGCGGCGCATCCCCGGACCCATATCATGGATTATCTTTCCGATTACTCGACACATTTCAGACATCCGCGGGAACTTGGACATCGATATACGCCGTTTTCATGCAAGATACGGCTCCGTGGTTCGCGTGGGGCCCAATGAAGTATCCTTCGCAACACCAGAAGCGTGGAAGGACATATACGGCCATGGCCCGCATGGCCACGGCCAGCTACCGAAAGTGGTAATCTCCGTCAGCAAAGGGATGGATATAATCAGTGCAAACGACACGGATCATAGTCGATTTCGCAAAATCCTGTCTCCCGCCTTTTCTGCGAAAGGCGTGCAAGCGCAGGAGCCTCTTCTCAGCGGCCATGTTGACAAGCTTATCACTCGCCTGAAAGAACTAGCCGGGTCCCAATCCCCCGCAGACATGACAAAATGGTATAACTTAACCACGTTTGATGTTATCGGTGATCTCGCCCTTGGAGAGTCGTTTGGGGGCCTCGACAGTTCCCAGTACCATTATTGGGTATCTACCCTTCTCGCGGCGATGAGAATGAGCCCCTTCATGCGGCTGGGCGATGCCTACCCTTTTATTACCAAGCTTATTCCACCTTTTGTTTTCAAGTGGCTTCTGGAGGCGCGGGAAAGGCATGCAGAATACAGTAAGGCGACGATTAAGAAAAGACTACAAAACTCGTCTGCCCGTGGCCGTGGTGACTACATGGACTCGATGCTGCGTAACCGCGGGGAAAAGGGCGGCTTGAGCTACGAAGAACTCGAAGCCAACGCGACTATCCTCGTTATTGCTGGCAGCGAAACAAGTTCCAGCTTGCTCACAGGTCTGACATACTGGTTGCTGCGCTCCCCCGATGTTCTGGCAAAGGTAGTGAGCGAGGTCCGCACAGTGATGAAGTCAGAGGCCGATATCACCTTTAACTCTGTTACTGCCAATCTCCCCTACACGTTGGCTTGTATCGACGAAGCATTCCGGATGTTCCCGCCTGTCCCAACAGGGCTACGACGAGTGACCCTCACCACAACCCATATCGCGGGATATGAGATCCCAGCTGGGGTAAGTCGGGCATTTTACAATCCCCAGATCTAAAGCTAATGCGTTACAGACCATGGTGTCAGTTCATCAATCAGCTGCTTACTGGTCACCCATGAATTTTCATGCCCCGGAACGTTTTATTCCTGAGAGATGGCTGCCGGAAGCGAAATCCGATCCATCCTCGCCATTCTTCTCGGACAAACGTGATGTCATTCAACCATTTTCCGTGGGGCCGCGCGATTGCATCGGGCGAAACTTGGTATTCGCTGAAATACGTGTCATCATTACACGTATGTTGTGGAATTTTGACCTGGAGCTTTGCGAAGAGAGTCTGGACTGGCTGAACCAGAAGACCTATACGTTGTGGGACAAACCTCCTTTGATGTGCAAATTATCACCGAGGGAGTGGAAAGAATAAATGTAAACCTGAATTCAATTAGACTTGTCGATGATGTCTGAGATGGGATACAGTTGGAAATTCCGGGCAGAACAAGTCACTGCTTGAAGAGTGAGGCCTAAGATACATGCAAATAAAAGCTTTCGAGGACTATGCCGGTATACACCAACAACTACATTACTTCCTATTGTGACATTCTAGCTGTTCATCTCAATCTCTAGACATTCCTCCTTTTCATACGCAAATATAACCTACCACTGGCCTTTGATTCCCTGGGTTGTCTAACCTTCAAAGACAGCAACAGTGAACTGTGTCGCTCCTCGGAAAATATGCACAGCCTGAATTTTGTGATTTCCTAACATCCGAAGAATCACTAGTGTGCAGTATGCATGGCTAATTCATGGTATCTTGGTCCGATTAATCCCCATTCGGCCATAGTACGTGTGCGATAATAATCATCCTGCAGTATCCGAAGACAAATCAGGCTCTATTGTAATTCTAGTTAATTCAACTAGACCCATCATATTATACTAATTGTTCTTACCAAAAAGGGCTTCTTGGGTGTCATATTGGTAGATCAAATTTCCATGCCAAAACTTGCTAGCATCCGCCTTCACCATGTACCACACCTGCTCAAGAGCCCCAACCAGCTCTTCTGGCAAGGGACCCTTCTCCATGGCGTCCAAGTTGCTCTCCAACTGCCCCAGACTGCTGAAACCGGTGATAATGCCATCATTGCCGTCAAGGACTCTCAGCGCAGAGTGGTGAATGCACCAGCGCAATGCCACCTCTACCAAACTAAGACCATGCTTTGCAACCAAGGGCTCCAGCAGCTCGAGCGCGCCGAAGATACTCGATTTGAAATACCGATCGCGGTACATCTTGCCGAGAATACTGTTTTGGTCGCTGAATCGTCCGTCAGAGGGCGTGTTCGTGGATTTGTATTTTCCGGAAAAGAATCCCCCGGCTAACGGGTTGAAAATCACAATATCGATTCCGTACCGCCGACAGCATGGAACAAGTTCTTCTTCGATCCCTCGTGCTGTAGACAACATTCGTCAGTGCTCAATTCCATACAGAAGTGATACTGCAGCCTTACTGATCGCATTGTACACCGCCTGGTAGATCGTCGGCCGAACCCAGCCGCGCTCCTTGCACATCGTCACGATCTCCGCAACTTCAAAGGCGGAGAAATTGCTCAGGCCAATCTGCTTGAACTTGCCCTGCCGATGCAGCTCTTCCAGCGTCGCAAACGTCTCTTCCCACGGAGTGCCGCGGTCCGGTCCGTGGAGGTAGTAAATGTCAATGCAGTCGGTCCCCAGCTCGCGCAGGGACTCGTCCAGCTTCTCTTTGAGAATCTCAGGTCGGTGCGTGCCGGGCTTGATCGGATACCATTTGGTAGCCACTGACAGGCCGCGTTCTTTCCATTGCGCTTTTCGCGTGAAGGCTTCTTGGCGCCCGCCGTCGTATAGACGAGCGGTGTCGATTTCGTGATAGCCCCTTTGTTGGAAGAGGTCGAGGCACTGGTTGAATTCATCCAGGAACGTGATGCGGGCGCCATGGGTGGTATCGGGGCCCAAGGTCATCAAGCCGAGGATGATTCGTTTGGTGGTGCGATTGTCTGCGGACATTGTTGCTGGTTCTATGGGAGTATGGAAAATCGAATTGAATGTAGCTCAAACACCAAGAACTACCCTGCTAGTTTGTGCTTCTATAAGTAGTAGTCTTTCACCAATTGCCACGCAGATACTCGGACTTTGGATCCGTTAAAACCGGTACCTGATGGCTCGGTTCATTGGGAATCCGAATGGAAGGGGGAAGTAGATGGTTCCGGGTGGGTACGAGATAGAAAGCTGCACATTCAATCTTGAGTGGCGGAGACTATCTTCCTCGCTATAATTTCCGACGTAAAAGTCCTGCATCCTGTACTCCTGTCCATAGTATACGGTAGGTAATGATTCAGCGTCGCCACTTGGTGTCTGCCTCCGCCAATGACAGCCACCGCTCAAATGGACCCGCTGAATCAGTTCTTAAGTGGGACCAGTCGCAACGATGAACGGGACATTGCAGGATCGTCTGCTCCCTTAACATGAATGCAGAATGACATCAAACGTGGGCTGTCTTGCTCTGGGAATCTTTGCCTCATCGAAACAGATCTTTCTAATTGAAATCGCTTGGCAAAATGGAACTACACAGACATGATGCTTCTCTCATCTCGCTCGAGAGGAAACGTCTTCGCGACAGGAAGGCTCAGCGAACCATGAAAGAGAAAAGGGAATCTCAGATTAGGATTCTAGAAGAGAGGGTCGCATTCTGCGAGAAATATCATGGAGGTGACTGGATACATCAGTCGGGTCCACAGTCCAGTGAGATGGAAAGTCTCCGTCGGGAAAACAGGACGTTGCACACCCGTCTAGAGTCCTTGCGCCAGATGTTCGACTCATGGGGTGGAGATACTAGCTTCGAGCCGAGGGAGAGACATATACCAATTCCGGGCCCTCTTACAGGCTCTAGAAGACCAACTGAGCCTTTGATGCCGAGCAAGCCTCAACAAGAGGCCACACTTTCCGCTCCAGTGCCGCGTGATTTTACAGACACCACCGACGGACCAGATATTGTGCATCTCCCTGCTCTACACCATCCTATCCATGAATTACCTAGCGCCATTCCCCCATGGTATCTAGTTCCCATGAATGACAACGGCCATCTCCCGCCACGTGTACCCCCTCTGTGTCCATGGCTCTCCCGTCCAGACTTAGTTATTGCTTCTCCCCCTCATCCATCCCCATTAGCTCTGCTTTACGGCACCCGGCGAAACTGGCTAGCCGACCAGATCCACCGCTCAATTCGACAGCGAGCCATCAGAGACTCAGAGTGCCTCGCAGTGGGCTGGCTAGCATACAACTTCAGTAAATGGCGCGTGTCTCCAAACCCGGAGACGTTTGCGCGTCTGGCAACCTTCCAACGGCCAACACTGGCGCAGCTCCAGCACGGACATCCTGTGGGACTCGATCTTCTTCCCTGGCCGCAGCTGCGGTCGAATTTGGCGCAGACCTGGCACAGGTATGATTATGCCGAACTGACGGGTTATTTGAGCTGTTGCATGAAGGTGCGATGGCCCTGGGGCGAGGAGATCCTTGAACCCGACGAGGATGATAATATGCAGATTCGTCGGAAATTTGTCGATGTCTTCACCTGCGAAACGGGATTGGGCTTGACCGATGAGTTTATTAGCAAGTTTCCGGAGCTTTTGGAGGGGATGGATATTGAAACTCTGCGGTTTGATATAACGCTGGAATGTCAAGCTACTTAACTAGCAGCTAAAATGTAGGTTATAGAATTGTTCTTTTTGTGTCAATCCTGCTTGTCATTTAGTTTCAGGATTTATTCAAGAGCGGGTCTTTTCTTTCTTTCTCACAAACACAATATGGGTATGCGGTTGAGTGGTGGCGTACTAGCACTAGGTTCCTGCAATAATCACTTTATAGAGCAGGTGTAAGTCTAAAGTTTACTTAATTAGCGTCCCTCAGACAGAATCTAGAATCCAGGGGCTCGTATATTATGCTGTTCTGGCTGGTAATAAGGCCGTAAGATTGTCGGTGTTCAGAGTTCCGGAGTTTCCGAGTGTGGACTATAGTAGTGGCGACATTCATCTATAAAAGGTATAAATTAACCTGCATTCTATTGAAAATACGAGAAAAGAGACGCCGGATCATAAAAATTTCAGATACTTCTGATCGTGATGGTGTCCGCAGCAGTAATTGGTTGTACCGGCTTAGTGGTGAGTTTTCCAGTCAAATTCGCACACTACAACATAAACCCTGCAGTTTAGATGCATTCTGGCCGGCTAAACATGGATATTTCCAGGGGTCATATATTACAAAAAGTCTGATATCCAGCCCCGCAATTACTCGAATTCACACATTCTCCCGCCGCAGCCTCGAAGATCCTGCTTCTGCTTCCCCGAGCAAACTTACCTCCTATGTCTCGAATGACACATCTAAATGGGTAGACGAGCTATCCCGTCTACCATCACCACCCGATCTATTCTTCTCTGCTTTTGGCACCACTCGTGCTGCCGCCGGTGGCTTCGAGAACCAGTACCGAATCGAACATGGGCTACATCTAGACCTAGCCCGGGCAGCCAAACACGCCGGCTGTAAGGTGTTTGTTCTCGTTTCCTCGTCATTTGCCAATCATAATTCATGGCTCCCTTATGCTCGGATGAAGGGCGAGATTGAAGAGAACATCAAGGCCCCGAATTTCGAACACACTGTCATTTTACATCCCGGGATGATAGTCGGTAGCCGCTCTGAAAGCCGGCCTGCTGAGGCAGCTGCTCAGGCTTTGGTGGGGCCATTGGAACACTGAAGTCGTCGTGGAAAGATTGTTTGGCCCAAGATGCTGATGCCATTGCTCGTGTTGCTGTTAGGGCCGGTATACACGCTCTTGAGCATGGTGTATCTACAGGGTGTTTGAAGGGCGGGTCAGTTGAGGTGTTGAACGGCGCCGATATACTCAGACTTGGTAGAGATTGAAAGGCTTGGGATCTTGGTTTCATGATGCTTATGTCAATCATTTATTGGACTATTTATTTGGTTTTCTGCCCGCATGATTAGTGTTGAGCTTAGTATGCTTAGAGTTTGGCCCATTTATGATAACTAGACAAGTACGGTTTAGGGAGGTTATTTTGAGAAGGGGTGTCGGTCACCATGCCACCGAAGTGTTGTTAAGAAAGATACAGAAGAGAGCTGTAAGGCTGGGAAGCAAGGTTTCTGGTTTCTGTAGCGCAATATTGAAGGGCTTAATAAGAAGAAGGGGATGTGGTTTAGTGGTATAACGTTCGCTTAGCATGCGAAAGGTCCGGGGTTCGATTCCCCGCCTCTCCATCCTTTCTTCCTTTTTTTGCTTTTTTGCCCTACGGTCTAGTACATAATATAATGATATTATCAAGCACGAGTCTTAAGCAGGAGGTAGGTTTGGTTGTCTGTTCCATCATTCTGCGGCATTGGAAGGCATCCTGCTCCCTGGACTAGAATTTTGCTCAGCCCTAAATTTGAACCTCCACGATTATGAAAACCCCTCACTTTTCCCTGTTTGATTTTCTCGGGCATGTGTTTTCTCTTGAGTTATTTCTTTTGAACCACTGTCCCGTTCATGAGTGAATATATATACTCCATAAACACACAATAGTGCACCCGGCTATTTCTCAGGTTCATTTCCTGCGCTGGTCACTAAGTGATATGGACAATCACCCAAGTGGATCATAACAGTATTGCTGAGACTGGGCATATATTGCTAAAGCGTTCTTATTCAATGTGAAACTGTGACCTGCCTTGGCTTAATGTGGTCATATGGTCGGGTGTCTGCCGTTATGCTTGGAGTCTATCTAGTGTGGTGGTACTCCGGGCTAGAACACCAAGATGCTTGGATGGCACTCACCCATCAACGTGTGGTATGATAGAGTTGCAAGATACATCCAGTCCGTTTTTCTAGCCAAATAACTGCATATATATATATATATATATACACAATATCTAAATTGACCATGCCTTCTTGATCAATGGCATACATACAGAGTATCAAGAGTACTGGCTGGGTTTACCGCAGCATGACGGTAGGCAGTATACCGACTACAATAAGCAAAAACTGTCATCAATTGACTACACAATTAATCTATGATGCAGGCAGCAGCAAAAGCAAAAAGATTAGGCCTCCAAACACATTTGAAGGAAAAGCAAAAAGTCAATGGGATGGAGAGGCGGGGAATCGAACCCCGGACCTTTCGCATGCTAAGCGAACGTTATACCACTAAACCACATCCCCATTGGATGATAAAGGTGCTGGAATATTGCATACAGATTCCTGGAGAGATCTAATGTGGGAAAGTAGGGCTGAATCCTGATTGGGGCGTAGAAACACCAACACCAGACAATGCATCCCATGGGCAATTCAATTTGACAGAATGTTCACCATCAGACATCAATCCTGCCCTCGCTAATTAGAGTTTTATAAAGGTGCTCCCTCCTTCAACTGCTGGGAGCAGTATCATCACCGCTTGCTGCAAGAACCAGTAAGCTGTGCATCAAGAGGTCCGAATTGTCCAATCGCATTGGTCATTTCCGACTACCGACAACTCAAACACGCAGCTTGCATAAGTTAAGCGGGTCAATATGCGCCAAGACATCTGCAATCGAAGTAAGAATGAGGTCTTGCCTATGCCAGAATATCCCGACTAAGCTACCGGACGTCCATAGACTATGCCGCGGGGACCTCGGAGATCTGAGAGTCTTGATGCAATTGCTGTCCCAGTTGAGAGAAAAGAGCAAAAAACCACCCACCCTCGTGATTGTTTCTTCAATATACTTCTAGGCTTTTGGGGAGACTCTCTAGGAACCATCATGGCAATAAAAACTAAAAATTCAAAAACAAATGACCAGACTGGGGCTCGATCCCAGGACCTTATCGGTGTTAACGATACGTGATAAACCAACTACACCATCCGGCCAATTGATGGAAGAAAGGTTCATATTTTGACTACATCAGCCAGAGACGAAAAAGACATTCATGTCAAGTGGCCAGCCCTAATTGGCTCCAGGGATAGATGCTTGAAAAAAAGAACTTCCAACCCAGGAAGAGGTTCCATTCAAGATGATTCCGTACTTTAACAAGGCCCCGGTGTACTTTATATCTTGAAGAGCAAGATTATAGGCCTAACCATGTAAGAGTGCGATATCTATTGTATATTTCTATACTTCATCGGCAGGTTAAGATGTTAGCAAATATCCAACAGTGCAAACGAGCTCTGGAGAGTAGCCGTATATCTTCGTAATACAAAACTTCTAGAAATGAGATAGGTTTTGAGTTGGCAAATAATTTACCCACTTAAACCACAATCAAAATATAGCGTCGGGATTTCTATCGCGGAGTGGTTACAGCCCCCATTACTTATCATTAGTGAGCACTGGAATCAACTAGAAGATGTACTCAAGGGTGAATGGTCCTTTAATGTGTCAAATATAGAGCCTAGGTTGTAATCCAGGCACCGCCGTTGAGTTGACAGACCGACTTATTATCAATTTGGAGCCATTAATCTCACACCTCCCTCCGAAGGCTGTGATTGCCGGTGCTAATCTAGCACTGATCTAAAGTACCACTACACCCATGAAGGGACCATGGCTATTTGAAATGTCTATAATGTGGCCTAAGTGCGGCCGATTCCACGCGAGGTTTCTACAGGCCTTCAGTGGCTCCGTGTTTGCCAACTTGGCTCCTCCAGGAATACACCTCTGTGTTCTTCGCACTTGTGCTCTCTCCTACTGAAATTCTACGAGGAATTCGATACTGACATAAGCACAATTCAATAAACGGATTTTTCTAGTGAGCAAATGTTGAATGCTGATACTACTTCAAACATTAGAGATCTTACTGGATAGCATCGTGTTGACTTGGTGGTGTATTGAATGTCTCTGTACATTGGCTACTACCCCGTACCTTTAGTATATAATATGCGTTTTCATTGGAAGTCAAAAGTAGTCATTTAGCTGTTCTCGTAAGGGCTGCGGCAGGTTTCATGACTTTTGCCGCAGATATTAGTTGGATACTACGGATCCGGGTCAGTAACTGACACCACGAGCCCTAAAGCCCTAAAGGGACTACAGCATGGACAGAAATGCTATTTGAAGAGAGCATAAGACTTGAGAGCCCATGGACTTTTCTTTCATCTACCTATTATCTAGGATTAATTAGTATGACACTGGGTGCTCGATAAATAGTTCCATTCTAGTAAGTTCATCTCAAGAGACAAGTGATCTTCTCCCTCCCCCTCAGCAGCTAGGAGACATCCGCTACACAGGTCTATATGAGGAGTCATCAGCGTTGTCTCTTCTCTAGCCATGACTGTCTAGTGGTACGGGCTTACGGCTAAGTGGCACAGAACTGTTTGAAGTGCTAAGTATATACTACTTTAGATGATAATTGTACTATATAGCGGGGAACATATATTACATTCGAACACGCCATAGCTATTTTAATGGCATTACAACATTCTAGCGCAAGTAGTGAGTACCGTGATTATCGGAAGCTAGAGAGCCGGAGCTGATGTCTGTATTACATTCTGTTCAACAAGATCATTGGCAAGAACACCTCCACCAATAGCAAAAAACAAAGATTGCACCCACAGACTGAAGAATAAAATTCCCCGAGGCAAAATCCAAAAAGAATTGACCAGACTGGGGCTCGATCCCAGGACCTTATCGGTGTTAACGATACGTGATAAACCAACTACACCATCCGGCCAGTCCATGCGAACAGTCTGTCTTTTTATAATATATGAACCAAACCTAAATATTCATAGTCAATCCTCCAGATGAGGGCAGTCTTCCCCAGGTGCAAGCGTTAAAGACCTCATGGTACCAGGCGCAAAGCCTTGATGTAACCCTATATTGTGCTCTCGGATCGAAATAGAATGAGGACTCCGAGGAGGTCAATGGATTGGAACTAAACTAAGTCATGGTTCTGTCCAGCAGCAAACCAGAATAAAATAGACAATAATGAAAAAAAAAGAAGAAAAAGAAGAAGAACGTAGAAACCCGAGAGAGACCCAAAGAGGGAAGAAGAAGCGAAAAAAAGAAAACATGAACGAGAGGGCATGATGGTCGCAGCAGACACGAGACAGGAGATGCTTCATGCGGGCGAAACTTCCAGACCGGCCGCCTCCTCCAGTGTTCTTTTTCTAGCGAGGGAGGGCCCTCTGGACAGCGATGGGCTGAGCCCAGCTGCATGATCGAAAATTAGGTGCAGCATGCCGATGACATTCTGCTCGCCGTCAGAATTTCTCAGGTCATAGGAGGCGTAATCGATCTTTACTAGTTAGTTTGAATCTTTCAACTCAAGTCCGGTGGATCGTACCGCGGAGTCGGCGTTAAGCCGGATGAACTTCCACTCCCAGCTGTTGGTAGCGATGCCCCAGATGATAGTGTCTGCCCTACCCGCCTTTTTCCTCGCGTGATGAACCATGGCTAGCAATGTCAGTAAAGAGATCATGAGAAACATATATTGAATTGCTTACCCATGTAGGTAATAGCCTGCTTAAGCCCATCGGCACCCTCGGTTTTCGCTTCGACGACCATGAGATTTGACTCGGGGCTGTCTGGTTCCCCATACCATAGCGTGTAGTCGGCTCTTCCGCTGATGAGTCTTTTCTCGCCCTTGTAGGTCCAGGGAAGCTTGATATCGGTCTCCGCTTGAAATTCGATAGAGCGGTATTGGGTCAAGGCCTCCATGGAGGACCGATGGCCTGCTGCCCGGTGCTCCTTTCTCTTCTTGTCGGCCAGTGTCATGTAGAGGATGACATCGATTCGGCTTCTCACAGCGGCCTCCGTCTCGGAGGAGCCTTTCGTGGCCAGGGCAAAGTCCTCCAGTGTATCACCTGTGTCAATTAGCAAGGTAAATCGAGATGGGTCATTGGGTCAACTCACGCAGGCGAGCGGTCATGGGCTTGCGGTCCTGGGGGCGCAGGACCCACTTCTCCTTGTTCCATTTGAGATTGAAAGTTTTTTCGACATCTTTGGGTTTGATCGAAGTCACAGCGAGGCTGGGATAGCTGGGCTCGGGCTGTGCCTGTTTGCCAGACTCGGTTCTTGCGGCGTTGATGATCTTGAAGACAGTACTGCGGTTCTCAGGGGTCAACTTGGCGGCCAGCGTTTTCAAGTTTCTCTCCAAATCGTCGAACCAGGTGAGATTGGGAGCCATAGTTGTTATCCTAGTACCAGCTAGGAGGTGTTTCTGAGGTGCTTCTCAGGTGAGAAGGACTTTTCGAAAAACGGGAGGGAGCGCAATGCTTAGAAGAAGATGGTTTAGAGAGAGAAGGACATACTGGGGCTACAAGGGGACTTATATACTGGAAAACAGTAGTATTGAGAGGATGTAAGCATTCAAATACCTTACAACATTATGTTAAATGGAGCAATGATTGTTATTCGAGTTGATATTAGCCCTGAATTGGTCGTAACTACGAAGGGCCTTTATCAATCAAGTTTGAGGGGTTTATTGATTCAGTAAACCAATCAAATAGTTACTTAATTCTGCATTGTCTCGCTACCTAAGGAGTATCAGTGGTGTAGGATGCACTTGTGACGCCTTGATCAATAGTATTGTGAAAAGCAATATAGTGAAAAAGACTATAACCGCCAAAATTCACTGCCGCAATTTCCCTCTCAGCATTGTTGGAACGCAAATAGCCGGGAACGCACCAGAGCAAAGTATTATTCCGAAAATAAAATCTCTTGAGATTTATTCATTTAACTGTGGATGCTTGTTAACGTAAGGTAAATGAAGTTGCGCTAGCCATGGTATAGAATGGGGGTGAGAATATGCCCTGGAAAACAATAGCAATAACCAGCAGAGGCTTCAACAATTCACATCACATTCCCCGATGATCCGATTATAATCAAAAGTAGCTGATTTATCCACCCTATATTCATCCCAGATCAAGCATCCTATCACTACACTCGCAGTATACTTCGCAGTATTTGAACACTTAGCCTTGGGACCGGCCAAGGAGATTGCATGGTCCACAATGTCACGAACGTGATTTATAATGCGCTGGCGTTCATTCTCCTTTGTCCAGTCAAATGTTGCTTGAAAGTACTTCACTCCTGACTTATCAGGTTATGTTAGTGCATGTGATGGATTTGAGGGGGGGGAAGCTGTCATCTTCCTTACATGGTAGCCATTATGCACCCATAGAAAATGCCACTTGTAGCTGTCCGTAACAATCCCATACATGCCACATCCTTGCGAATTGGGCAATCCTTCCGGAATGTCCAATACTTCTGGATTTTCGAATATTTCCAGAAGCCTTCGACCGTAAAGCATCATTACTGAGCGTGACTTCGTAAGAATATAACAAACCATTTTATTCCAGATGTACCAACTTACATAGAGCTCCGGGAATTGTCACGCTGCCTCCGTCGACGGGGCCTGATGTTTTACGAACGATAAGATTCGCCTCGAACACCTTCGTCTCGCCGTACCATAAAGTCGCATCAGATAGGCATCTGAAATAGTGTTGCTCCGTGTCAAATGTGTCACGTGTAGTCAAGGTCTCTCCAATAGACAGAAGTATATCATCCTTAGGATACAAACCACTGCTGTCTCCGGGGTGTTTGCTTTTAGCAGCGGCAACAATAGACAGGAGGATAGCATCAACCCGGGAACTAATCAGGCCCGGATTCATCTGGTCGCCGTCAAATGCTACCATGTAGTCCTCGAGAATCGTATCTTAAGACTGTGCATCAGCCTCAGAAGTATCAGAATCATGATTGGAATATTGATCGGTCTTACCAAGATGGCTTGGGAGAATAAGGTCTGGCTTAGCGAGTGGCTGCCAGAGCTTTTCACTGTCCGCAGTACTAGCCCTAACTGGATTTTGAGTGTTTACGAAATTGCTGCTGTTTTCATCCAGCGGATAAACATCCAAGTCGTGAAATATCATGTTGATTATGTCTTTGGTAGATTACTCGGAATTTGGATTGAATTGATGATGGCCGTTGGTCTACGGAAGTTGAAGACGCGAGGATGAGCAGGAATCCTGAGGGAACGATGATGCGTCCCGGAGTCACGGAAAGCATCATGCCGTAGAATAACGCAACCGCAGTCATGAATGAGTCATGAGCAGTACTTTTGTAATAATAGTGACGTAGCCTCAAGGGAACGAAATCCTTACCTTCCGTCCTCGCCACCTGTAGGTTTTACTCTATCTTGACCTTTTGTGTCTCACAGGTTGCCTTATACTAGCCCTCGGTTCATTTCACTCATCAAGAAACGGATATAGAAGATGGCCTTGAGCACCGTTGTTAGATCATCTCACGCATTACCACTCACGGAATCAGAAGAGCAGTTTGTTTCTGCTAGAAACGACAGGGAGGGCGACCACAGCGGGCCAGTGAACGACAAGACTCCTATCAAAGACGTTCTCACCATCATGTATGAGAATGTGGATAAAATATTTCACATAAGACCTAGTGATAACATGAAAAAGTCTGGTTGGTTTCTCCACTCGGGGAGTGAAACACCAGTCCCAAAGCACATCTGTGAGTTGTTTTCGTCTTTAAATCCTGAAGGAATTTCTAACAGTGTGTACACAGTACCTGCTCTCGAGTCTTTTACAGAGACTAGGATTTCGGACGCATCGTGGAAAGGCATACAGGATGCTCGCGTACGAATGGTAATTCTGACCGTTCTTGCTAATCGCAAACGTAATGGACACGTCCAGAATTGCCGTGGGATCCGTACACTGCCACCTTCAGCATACGAGTCTCTCAAATTTGAAACCGACCAGAGAGTGGAGCTTTTATGGACATATCGGCGTCGCCCTGTACGCTTTGTAGGCACGATGAGGTATTGTCTACGGCGTCTTGATGAGCCTTATCCCTTATTCATCATCGACGATAATCTGCATAGGGATCACACGTTAGCGTACCTCGGTAAGTTCAGACAGAATACACAGGATTGGATCAGACTGCAACTACTGACTCGACATTTACAACCCCAGATATGATTCATCACGCTCGCAAAGAAGCCGGGCTCCCAGGACGAACTATATACGGCCTCACGACCGATAGCTATGAATGGTACTTCATCCGGGTCGAAAAGGACGCTACTGTATGAACTCCTTTGTTAGGCTGTCTGCACTTGACAATTTTTTCAGCGCTAACACCGAGAGAGATAATAGTACACCACCCAGCTTCTGTCCGGATATCTGAGTCAATGGGAGGATATTGTCTCCGCCATTGGTGCCATGATTGACCACGCAGCTGGATGTCAATCGGGAATCACACTGGGCCCCGCAGATCTTGATTGGCATATGTGTATCCTAACGCCCTCGCGACGTGCTTTACGTGCTTTATCATGAGGAAGGGCAACAAGATCTCTACAAACGGTCCATTTGCTATTTCAGTTTCCACATGCAGTTCCAGGAGATGGAAGTCCACCAAAACGGTTTGCTACAATCCCCGTGTTATCCCGAAGTAAGGATAGTTTAGCATGGTATTCTTTCGCCGTTTTTTCTTTTATGGACAAAATGAATATTATTGCCCGAGTAAAGTTTTAAAAATACAAAAAAGAACTGACCAGACTGGGGCCCAATCCCAGGACCTTATCGGTGTTAACGATAGGATAAACCAACTACATCATCCGGCCAATTCATGTGAAAATGCTCAAATTTTGACATCATAAGCCAGAATTAAAATTAAGTCTTACCACAGAGCGAGCGGGCAGCCCTAGGTCACATACTAACATCTCATGGCTTCTTTTGCAGCATTCAATGAGATAATAGGACAGGCCCGAGACCTTCCCGACACGGAGAATTTGGACTTAGAATTCGTCCGTATAAACTCAACTACAGGACGAGGAAAGATCCCCTAATCCCACCAATCGGACCCATGAAGCTCTACAGAGCAAAGGTCGGTTAGAAGATGGGCATCAACTTCTCTGCGTGAGCTCTTGCCGGAATAAGCGGCTGTATTAGTATTTTGTCGGAACATGAATGATAATTCTTTAGTTTATCCATATTAAGTTGCCGCTTCTTAGACGAACAATTCGTCTTCTTTTGTAGGGCGAATGTGAGGTGATGTTTCCTTTGAAAGGACCGCCGTAGGAACTGCCTGTTTCAGTTGGGCTACTGGTTGACATTTTCACGCGTACATATTATCGATGATGCTACCCAGTACACAGAGATTTCGAGGCAATCGTAGATCAGGCTCGTAGAAGTTTCGGAGGATCTGGATTTTGGTTCTCTTGCTTTTCTACCCCATAGTTAGCTTCCCTTTCCATTTTTTCTATGTCTCTATACCAGCTTCTCCCTTACTTCCTCTTTCCTTTTACACCCATCTTTGTCTTCCAAAGTCTTTTAACCTTGGGCCTTTCAACCACCTCTTGCTCTTTCTACGGCGTGCAAGTCTCAAAAGAGATTCGCCTTCTCGGGAATAGTGGCTACCGAGTCCCCAGGAAGCTTTACTTAAGCAGGAGCTGTTCAATTTCAACAAACTTCTCCCTCTCATCCAGAGTCTCGAGCCAGATTGGAATAAAGCAAGTTCAATACGGTCATGCATCCCACCTGGAGAAGTGCTAAGTCTAATGAACATTAGGACCCGGGTGGAATCTTGATGAAGCTTATGAGAGCTTTTTAGAGAAAGAAACAACATGATGGAAGACTCGAGGTGTCATTCGACCTAGAAACTTGGTTCGTCCGAGTGTTCAGATGGATGCCCCTGTTGCTTGCCACTTCTACAGCCCCATGTTCACTGTTAACAACCCCAATTATGGAGACCGAAGACCCTTCAAATCCTTCAATTGATAGGCTAAATACTGCTGGATTCGACAGCAATAACTGCTTCCTCTTTGATCACCTTGCTTGTAGGGAGATAAGCAGACATTGTAATGAGGTTTATCCCAAGCCTCCGTAAAATTCATGAGGAATTTGCCTTTGCAGTCCGAAATGCGATGAAGGCGAAGGTCGAAATTTGCTGAAGTGCTAATGTTCGCAACAGAATGCTAAAGAAGCTTGACCTACAGCCTTTTTACCTTTGGGGTAATTATCAAGGATTAGTCCTGTACTTGGACTCCTGAAAGACGGTCTCTAAAATGGTTTTTTTTTTTTAATTCATTTTTTCTTTTTTCAAAAAAGGGACCTACTTCATGGAAGTTCTTGTTTAGACGAGAGTTCTTCAAGGGAGGAAAAAAGAAAAAGAAAAAGAAAGTAAGGCCCGAACCGCGGTTTGAACGCGGGACCTCTCCGACCCAAACGGAGAATCATACCTAATTGGGGTTAGCAAGAAACTAAAGTGGAGTTATCTTGTAGGACATACCACTAGACCATCCGGGCTTCTGCGTGCTGTGTGTAGTTGTTTTCCTCACCCAGAGGCAACACCTACTTCGCTGAGGATGCAAAAATGCAAAAAGAATGACCAGACTGGGGCTCGATCCCAGGACCTTATCGGTGTTAACGATACGTGATAAACCAACTACACCATCCGGCCAATTCATATTTGACGGGCCATATATTTGACATCATAAGCCTAGGGCTTATTTCGGACATTTTGACCTTAGCCTGGTATATCAAACCGCCTTGTTTCTCTTAACATGGCCATATTCTGTTTTTCTGTTCAACTGCGATCCGGTACTTCCTTCTAGTTCAATCTTAAAATGTTACCTCCGATCTTTCCAACTTTCGAGAGCCCCGTATCTTGATCTCCTCTACAAGACCTTCCCTTTTTGCGACCCCTGCACCTGATAAGAGTGTTGCTGTGCATCGTGATGAAACCGCCACTCCTGCTAAGCCCAACGCTAAGGCGAGACTCTTGCGAAGCGACTGGCTATGACCGGGTCGTTCTGCCGCAAAAGTCCCGCTTCAAATCACCCCACCCACCATCGCGATGGTCGAGCCGTCTGTTATCAGCAGCCTTGTGTACTGATTGATTAAGGTATGCCTCTTCTTATCTACCACCTGTGCGATGGAGTTGACTCCAAGTTGGCCTTAGCTTTCCTTGGCCAGGAATGATAAGACTCCCAAGCTTTGCGAACAGATGCTTATAACATGGACATGGTCGGTCTAAGAAACATGCCTTCTCGATTCCCAAACATCTGTGGGATTTGCGACTGCCAGCACCCACTACGCGAAGATGGCCTCCAAAGAACAGGCGGTCGAGAAGGTCGTCGAATCCAATATAACCACAGACTTCGAGTTGGAACCGGGGCGCCTGTATGAACTACCCCAGAGCGATGATACGGACGAGAAGAGAATATTTGATTATGAGTCGGAGCGTTCGCCATTCCCCGAGGGTATGATTTAGACCCCCAAGAAAATCCGACTTGCACAGAGCTTACACTTTACAGTTCGGGCGGTTGTGCCCGAAACGGATGATCCAACTATGCCGGTCAACACTCTGCGTATGTGGACTCTTGGGATCATTTTCACGATTCTCGGATCTGGTATCAACCAGTTCTTCTCGCTCCGATACCCATCCGTTCACATTGTCTCGCTGGTTGCAGAGCTTTTGGCCTATCCATTCGGTGTCTTTCTTGCAAAAGTGTTACCTTTGACAACTATTCGTCTTGGTCGACTTGGGTCTTTCAGTCTCAATCCGGACCATCATTTCAATATCAAAGAACACGCAGTGATCGTGATCATGAGCAATGTTTCGTTCGGATACGGGAGCGCGGACTCAACCAACATCATCCAAGCATCAAGCTCCCAGTTCTATAATTTTGGCCTCAAAGCCGGATTTTCTGTCCTTATAGTTTTATGTGCACAGCTTCTAGGATTCGGAATAGCCGGACTAGCTGCACCATGGCTAGTCGAGCCGGCCAACATCATTTGGCCTCAAGTTCTGTCCAATTGTGCTATGTTGGAGACGCTTCATTCTCGCTCGAACAAGATCGCCAATGGCTGGAGAATTTCCCGCCTGCGTTTCTTCCTATACGTTACTGCCGGCGGTTTCGTTTGGTACTTCTTCCCCGGATTGATCTTTACAGCCCTCTCATATTTCACGTGGATCTGCTGGATCGTACCTCGCAACGTCGTCGTGAACCAGCTCTTTGGAATGCAATCAGGTCTTGGATTAAGCCCCATCACATTCGACTGGAGCCAAATTGCGTATAACACGAATCCCCTTCTTTCTCCCTCGTGGGCCGCAGTGAACGTTTTCGCGGGCTTTGCGCTTTTCTTCTGGGTCGTTGTTCCGGGTATCTACTACTCCAACACATGGTTCACGGCCTATCTCCCCATGATGACTAGCGACGTTTACGACCGAACCGGGGCAGTCTACAATACAGCCCGAATCGTCAGTCCCGAGAAGACCCTCGACATCGAAGCGTATAAGAATTACTCACCCCCTTACCTCGGAGCCACATTCGCTTTTGTCTACGGCCCGTCCTTTGCATCCATTACCGGCGTACTCACGCACATCGGGGTGTGGCACCACAAAGACATCTGGGCTGCTTTCAAGGGCAAAAACAAGCTCGATATTCACGCTCGTTTGATGAAAACATACAAAAACACCCCATGGTACTGGTATGCAGCCATCATCGTCGCCATCACCGGCATGGCCATCGCCATGGTCGAAGTCTACGAGACCAAGCTGCCTGTTTACGGCGTCTTCCTCGCCCTCGTCATCCCCGCCATCTACATGGTCCCCTGCGGCATGATCCAAGGCATCACGAACGTCGACGCAAATCAGCTCAACGTCCTCAGCGAATTCATCGGCGGCTTCATCTTCGAAGGCAAACCTCTCGCCAACATGATCTTTAAGATCCTGAGCACCGACGTCGTCGGCCAGGGCATCTACTTTGCCATGGACATGAAACTAGGCCATTACTTGAAAATCCCCCCTCGCACCCTCTTCCTCGCCCAGGGCCTCGCTACCATCCTCGGCGCCCTCACCCAAACCGGCGTCACCCTCTGGATGCTCGGCCATATCTCCGATATCTGCTCCTCCGACCAGCCGGACGGTTTCTCCTGCCCTAACGGCCGCACCGTCTACTCGTCCTCCGTCATCTGGGGCCTCGTTGGCCCCCGCCGTCTCTACTCCGTCGGCCAGATCTACTCCCCCCTTCTTCACTTCTTCTGGATCGGTGCCATCACCCCTATCATCACCTACTTCCTCTACAAGTACACCCGCCGCAGTATCTGGAAATTCATAAACTGGCCTCTCATCTTCGTCGGAACCTACAACGTCCCTCCTGGTAGGCACCCCTCCCCCCAGATCCCCACAAAACACAAAGCTAAGCTAACTCCCACCGATCCAGCAACCGGAATCAACTACTCCAGCTGGGCGCTCGTCAACTTCGCCTTCAACCACCTCATCAAACGCCGCTTCTTCGCCTGGTGGACTAAATACAACTACATCCTCGCCGCGGCCCTCGACACCGGCCTCGCCCTCAGCGGCATCGTCATCTTCTTCTGCATCTCGTACCCCGGCGCCGTGTTCCCCGATTGGTGGGGGAACACGGTTTATTTGGATACGGCGGATGGGCAGGGCGTCGCGTGGAAGGATATGCCGGAGGTTGGGTATTTTGGGGGTGCGAATGGGACTTGGTCATAATTCTGTTTGTTTTTGCCTTGCCTTTTCTTGAGTTGTGGTTGTTGTGTATATGCTCTATGTGCGGTTTGTCATGGTTTAAGTGGTTTCTACTCGTTGAGTCTGATCAGTGGCTGAAGTATAGCTGATTGAGGGAGCGGAGGGAGGTGAGTTTGCGAATCTACTGTTCGGCGATGAATTGACAGTACGATCTACGATAAGAGCATTCGAGTTCCCGTAAGTTTCAGCTGTTTATTGAGAATGATCCGCTGGGTTTATTAAGTACAGTGCCTCCTCGGTTTTCCCATCCATGACCTCCGATATCAGTAAAACATGATAAAACAACGAAATGAGAGAAGAAAGAGAAAGAACAGAGGTAAAAGAAAAAAGAAGACAGCGTGGGAAAGAAAAAAGAAAAAAAGAAAACAGAGTCCGAAAAAGAAAAGGAACAATGGAAGTATACTTCAACCTAATCGAGTAAGATTTGGTTGCAAGGCATACTTTCATTTGACTGGCAGAAGTAACCTGCCTCTGCAGTTGAAGAGAAAGGTATCAAAGAATTTACTATATCTGTTAGTCAAACGCAATGTATCAAGCTAAGCCGACTGCTAAACTCACAGAGATTTCAGCCATGCCGAGGTCCTCGCCACCGCTGTTGGTCTGAGGCTGAGCATTTCCATTCACGGGGGCACTGGCCTGGGCCGAACCGGTGTTCTCGTTCGCAGCGAAGTAGTCGACCATGTCGGCATCGAGTTCCTCGGTAGTCTTAGGCTTGGGGCGGTTGGTGTTGCGGGCACGAGTACGACGTCCACGCTGTTTACCGGCGGCGGCGGGCTTGGCAGCTGTTGCCGGCTTGGGCTGAGACTTGTTCTGACTGCTTCTTGAATTAGTACATACTTGTTGGTGCCTACAGCAAAAATACTGGAAACTTACGCGACGCGGTCACTGAGAGGCTTGGCAGCAGGGACTTCAGGAGCATGGTAGGCATCCACGACAACCTCAATCTGACGAGAAGTGACGTTAGAAAAACAGAGAGATAAGATGGTAGTTGGCAGTCCAGAACTAGCTCACCTTCATGGGCCTTCCATCAACGAGAAGTCCATTGAGATCCTTGGCAGCTTTGCCGGCGGTATCGGGCTTGCTGAAAACAATAGACGCGATACCACGGCTCGTGCCGTTTTGGTTGTAAGTGAGCATAACTCGTTTGACGGGTCCTGCGGATTTAGAGAAGTATTCCTAGAGACGACCATACACGATCAGTATTAAGGCCAATTCAAATTTCGTTCGCGAAATCGTAAATCAGAACCGGCGGAGAACGCAATCGGAAAACGCGTAGAAGCCCCCAAGTATTGCGAAGAAATGAGCATCAGCGAGCACACAGCGCCAGTTAGTAGTGGATAGAGCCTTTCGAAACGAACAAACCGAATGTTCAACATCCGGAAGTCGCGTAAGATGTGTCTTAACCAGGACGGCATACACTGCTGGGATGTTGAACACCGTTTTGCGCCGCTTGCGTTGATCCACCTCGGTCGAAGTTCGAGCAAATTCTTTCTCATACACGTGTCGATATAAACCGGGAACTGCTCAAATCCACGACCGGCACCCAAAATAACCCAAGCATCATCTGGCAATAGATTCCTTGTGCGGCGTTCCTGAATCCAGAGTATTCCCCCAGGTACCCTCAGTAGCCTAATCAGAACAAAATCCAAGGCTAGCCTCCAACAGGTCGCATGGAAATTGCTCTCGCCCGTCATCAAATTTAGACAATTCCATGCTGGACCGTGGAGAATTATTCCCAAAGCGGGTTGCATGCCGCTGATTCTGGCATAGTATATTTCTGTTGGTCTGCTAATGCGCTCGCTGATGCCCGACACCCATTATGCATGATGTAACAAAAAAGAAGGAAGCGCGGCCAAGCGGAGTAGAAACACGATGTGTTCCAGACATCATCCGCGGCATAGTCTGCGGCGTGGGTCCTCAGGCACGAAAGCTCACATGGCCACCTTGAGCGGGACAACGCATTATGCAAGACTAAAGCAGAACTCAACTTCGGCCCATTTAGCATCATGCTAGTTTGCATGTAGCGTGGAAAATGGCGTTGAAGGAGTTGACTGCCTGCGCAGATGACTCAACGAGAAGTCATCGTAGGAATGTAGGATCGGCGCGACAAAGGTCGGAACGCGAATAAAAGCCGGTTGCGCCTCCAAGGTCTCGAGAAAAATACATGGCGATAAAGCCGAAGGCGAAGGCCTCTCGATCAACATACCTTGATATTGGCCTCATTCACATCGGAAGGCTGATGAAGATTAGCTCTGGGTCCACCGGATGAACAACTCATCAGCAGGGTCAAAACTTACCAAGCCGCTGACCATAATCTTGCTCTCAGTGGAAGCTGGGTGGCCGGCCGGAGTGGCCTTTCCAGCAGGCTTGGCAGCCTTCGTAGACTTCTTCACGCCTCCAACCGGGACAGCACTGGCAGCAGGCTTGGATGCGGCCGAGCGACGAGAACGGCGGCGGTCACCCTGACGACGGTTGACGAGGATCTCGTCCAAAGACTTATCGAGCTTTCCAGACATTGTCGGTGGATAAGAAACGTCGAGAGACTGGTGGGTGCAAGAGTGGTGTTGTTCGGGCTTTTGAGTGACAGCTATTGCGCCACCGGAGACTCTCAAGACGGAAGGGTAGGAAGAGTTTGCTTCAGAAGCGCGTAAAGCGGTGTGAATACGCGGAATTGAAGGTGGGAATATGAGCAAAGATAGAGTAGCAGATAAAAGACACACCACGTACTGATGGAAGACGCGACGCGGGACGATGAAAAGGAGAGAGAGGATGGGAGAATGGATGGGAAAGATAAGCCAGGGCGGAAGGAGATCGAATCGAAGAGGGAAAAGAGGGCGAGGCTCAGCCAGGGGCGCTAGGCCGCTTTGGGTGGTGGCCCGCCGGATGCGTGACTTGACGCTTGCCTGCCATTCGCCGCTGCTGGCGCCTCTATCGGCATTGCTGCCTCAAGGTCACCTAATCGTGAGTCCCATCTACGATAATGCAATGTCAGGCAGCTAGACGACAGCGGATTGGTTACTTCTTCGCGTTGACTCAACTGTTTCTTCCTATCCAACGTGTAAAAGACAATGTCTATTCCGTACCATTGTAGGAACAAGGAACAAGGAACTAACGCCGGAAGGGGTCGGAAAACAACGCAAAGCATGAGTGGCAAAAAGCTCTTAAGATAGGACCAGCCCAAAAACATTGTTGTTGGCAGCAAAATAAATAGAACAGTAATAATAATGAGGCGGACAAAAAAAGAAAAAAATAAATAAACCAAGCACTCCATCCCACTAAACTCCCTATACAATACGGAAACATATCAACAATGATAGATGCTCTCATGATAATCTTGCATACTCTCGTAACATCCAAGCGTGCGATCGGCGTATAATGACCCACTCCGTGCACTGTCTCAGCTCTTCAAAGCCTCCAATCGTCCTCTCATTTGTGCTAGAGCGGCTTCTTGATCCTCGAATGGCTCTTCGACCGCCGGGGCCTCCTCGATCGGCTTCTCGGGCTTGATGTCTTCGACTTGAGAAAGTTTGCCGTGTAGGATCTCCTGCAAGACCTTGTCGACTTCGGCATCGGCTTCGTCTTCGATCTCGTCTTCTAGCAGTTCGTTGCTGGGGATCGCATCGTCCACAATCTCTTCAATGATACCAGCGCGCACCAACTCCGTTGAAAGCTGATGCATTGTTGCCGATAGCTCGGGAAGTCGCACGAGTGTATTGACGTCTTTCATAATCCCCGTCGACTTCTTGAGACTCCCTTGGATCTTGCGCATCGAAAACGCCTCGTTTACTTGCATCTGAACACTCTGCAGCTGCGCGCGGCTGGTAGTCAGACGGGCCGACTGCTTTCGGATCCGCACCAGCTCTCGTGCAAATGTCTTGCTCTCATTCTGCGTCTGCTTGGCCTGTGATGGATTTCGTTGGCCTCGTCGGGAGGCATTCACAATAAACTGTCGTGTTTTGGTTTCGAGGTTCTTCAGTTGCATAATGTCACGATCCAATTGGCGGGTATTCGCACGGATGATTTGGTTGCATTTCCTCATCTGCGTGGAAAAATGAGTTAGTCCAAGTTAAGTCTCGATTGGTCAGTCGACATCAATCCCCATGGGGCCATACCTGCGTCTGAGGATCAGGGCCAAAAAAGACCGCTTTGAGAGTCTCCATGGTGAAGACTTTATACCAGTGAAATCGACCGTGACGGTGGAACCAGACCGTGAAATTTATGGGAAGGGTGTTCGCTATTGTGTCTGGTAGAATCCAAGGGGGTTTCTCATATGGCGATGGCGGAATTCTCGAATGACAGGAAGCCCTTGCGGGGTACCGATTGGGAAGGCGACGAGGCAGAAGTCCGAACCAACAGGCAGGACGGTAGAAGGAGAGAAACGAGTGAGACGACAAAAGGAAGGGTATGAAGATGTTGTATCAAGATCAAATCACACAGTCGTTTGGGAAACCCTCTTCGGGGTCGCTGTTCGCATCGTCGTCAACCTGCCCTGATCCGATAATGGGAGATCATCGCTGCCAACGAGCGAGTCGGCCTGCTGGAGTTGGCCTCTGAATGCCGAGCGCTTAGTCAGTCATACTGGTAATCTTACGGTAACGCGCTGGAAAAGGAAGGACGAGTGACGTCGACCAGGCCTGAGGCCGCCGGCAGACAAACAGGGCAAACAGCGGGCAGGTGAGAGTTCCAGTACTTTCTAGCACCGCTCAAGCCGATCATCAGCTAAGACGAGTCCCTAACCAACTAGCGAAGGCCGGCTTCACTTGCTTTCTTCATCCAGCCCCAGCTTTGCTCTCCCCTTGACTTAACTCACCACCTTCCCGTCAACCCGCCTCTGACTTATCACATCTCTCTCTTTTTGCCCTTATTATAATCCATTATCCCTCACAATGCCTGAACTTCCCAAGCTCCACCCCGAAGGTACGTAATTCTGCGGTCCCTCATACCTTCCCCGCTTTGCTTCTGTTCAACATTCCACCCTGCTTCACAACATACAATTCCTATTCCGCGCCTTGACGCTGCCAGCCCAGTCAGGATGATCATGTCGGATCATTTTTCATAGACTTTGGACTCGTTACTAATCCGACTCCCCCTCTAGTCACATGGGCCCAGCGCTCCTCCACCACTGATGTTGAGCGCAATTATCTCTACGTGAACATCAAGGCTCCCGATGTTGCCCGTGCCGATGCCTCTCTCAACATCACCTCGAAGAACGTTTCTTTCGCCGGAGACTCTAAGAAGGGTGTGAGATACGAGGTTTCCCTCGATCTGTTTGGCGAGATCGACCCCGAGAACTCCAAGACGAACCACACCGACCGTGATGTCGAGCTGGTTCTGCGAAAGAAGGAGCTGAAGGAGGAATACTGGCCCCGTCTGTTGGAGACGAAGCAGAAGATTCACTTCCTCAAGACCGACTTCGACAAGGTATGTTTTCCCACTGGATATTCGCCGGGAGTTGTATTGAGCGAAACACTAACCCGGTAATTCATAGTGGGTCGATGAGGATGAGCAGGACGATGCCCCTGAGGAGGACTATGCCAACAACTTCGGTGGCTTCGAAGGCATGGGCGACCAGGGTGGTCTCGGAAACATTGACTTCTCCAAGCTCGGCGCAGGCCTCGAGGGCATGGGCGGTGCTGGTGGCGCCCCTGGTGCCGAGGGCGAGGGATCGGTATGTTTGAACAACTCTTGATCTATCAATCGGTCCACTTATTAACCTATATCGCTTAGGATGAGGAAGAGATGCCCGAACTTGACGAGGGCGACCAGAAGGCCGAGGGCGCGAAATCCTCGAAAATCCAGGAGGTCTCTTAAGCGGTGAAATGTGATTAGCTTTTGGATTCGATTATGGTTCACAAAATAAGAAGCAATGAAAATTCCTGATGACGAACGACGACACTGGTGCAACTGCTTTACTCGCGCACTGATGGTTAGTCGCTGCTGCGGCAGGTTCATACGCAACTATGGTGTGAAGAGGAAAGTTTGAGAAATAATATCTTCGAAAAGGAACGCATTCAACGGGATGAATGACGACGTGAGGGACATCAGTAGATAGCATCGATATAACTAAGCATGATTCTGTTAGGGCAGTGAGAACAGGGTTATTGGCACGAGCCACTCTACCCTGATCTCCTGCGATGTTATGGGAAGACGCAAGGGCAGATGGCGACCGTAATAATACTAGTCTTATGATGTTATCCAAACCAGGCTCCAATGATATTCTCAATCGTTTAAAAGATGGTCCGTGTGTATACAAAGTAGCGCCCATTACGTCGTTTGCCCTAAACATATTGCTCTTGCCCAGGATACCTAGTTGAGAACGAAACCCCTCGATGATATAATATAAATGATATTGGCAGAGCCAATGATTATAATGAAAACCAACATGTCATCCAGCAGCAACAAGGAAGATGGTAGGTCGCTGACCTCTTGGCGGAAGGAGTGTAAAAAAAAAGAAAAAAAAAAAAAAAAGAGATTGGCGGTTCCGTCACAATTCTGGTTGTGCCGCCACACGCACCTTAGCTAAGAGAGGATGAAACCCACCACATTGAAAATGTGGAGGAGAGCGAACTGAACTTGCAACTTCCCGAGATCAACCACCCAAAAACGCCCCCTCTCTCTAACGATCGTTTGGATCCCCTCTTTCCTTTCGTCGGATCCGATCAGTATCTTCGGACGCTAGACTCCATCGTCTCTCGATTGTTTTCGATTAGCCTTTTTGTGTCCTTTTGTTCACAAGGGCTCTGCGTTTTCAGCCCACCTTTTAGCGCTCCCGGTTTCCCACTCGCGTTTCTTGTGAGAGGAGCGAAACGACCGCCACTGCCGTCTTTTGGCGCGCATCTTGCTATCGCATTTTCCATATACCCTATTTTAGAGAAGAACAAAAGTCAAATCCGTCATCATGCCGCCCAAAAAGCAGGACCAGCCTAAGAAGAAGAAGGCCACCGTTGAGGATAAGGTTTGTACCGATCGCGTGAGCGTGAGATGATACAACAGAGACAGATAGGGCTAATTTCTTTCCTCTGGTATAGACCTTCGGTATGAAAAACGTACGTTGCGATAACCCTCGACTTTGACACCGTTGATGATTTGGAACAAGAGTCGAAACTAACACCTGGATTTCGTCATCGTGCAGAAAAAAGGATCTACCGCGAAGCGACAGATCGCTCAGATGCAGGCACAAGAAAAATCTAACAAATCTCTGGACGCGAAGAGAAAGGAAGCCGAGAAGACCAAGCGTGAGGCCGAGAAGGCTGCTGAGGAGAAAGCCAAGCGGGAGGCTGCAGAGCTGTTCAAGCCCGTGCAGGTACAGAAGGTGCCGTTTGGTGTTGATCCCAAGACCGTCCTCTGTGTCTTCTTCAAGCAGGGCAACTGCGAGAAGGGCCGCAAGTGTAAATTCAGTCACGACCCGAACATCGAGCGAAAGGCCCAGAAGAAGGATCTGTACACCGACTCTCGTGACGTCAAGGCTGCCGAGGAAGAGAAGAAGAAGGAAGATACAATTGACAGCTGGGACGAGGATAAGCTGCGCAAGGTTATCATGAGCAAACACGGCAACCCGAGAACGACGACCGAGAAGGTTTGCAAATACTTCATCGACGCTGTTGAGAACCAGAAATATGGTTGGTTCTGGGTCTGTCCCAACGGAGGTGACAAGTGCATGTACAAACACAGTTTGCCACCTGGGTATGCTCTATCAACTCTTTATTTCTGCCTGGCATACATACTGACTGCGCTTATAGTTTCGTTCTGAAGACGAAGGAGCAGAGGGCGGCAGAGAAGGCCATGATGGACAAGTCTCCGCTCAACACCCTGACGTTGGAAGACTGGCTGGAATCCGAACGACACAAGCTCACTGGTGAGCTGACGCCCGTCACACCGGAAACCTTCGCCGCGTGGAAGAAGGACCGTCTCAACAAGAAGGCCGCCGAGGAGCAAGCTCGCAAGGCTAAGGAAGCCACTGGACGATCGATGTTCGAAAGCGGAGACTGGAAGGACGAGGATGAGAGCAGCGAGGATGAGGATGAGGACGACGGAACCTTCAACCTGGAGGCCTTGCGGAAGGAGACCGAGAGAATCCGTGAACAGAAGGAAGAAGAACGCCTGGCGAAGCTACACGGGGGACCGGTACCCATCTCGAATGATGCGACAATTGCGCAGGAAGGCCAAGGATGAAGTCTGTGCGACATGCCCCCAAGAGTATCACAAGAATCTTGGGTTTAAGGGGTTACGGACCTCTTTCACACTGGAACCGGTGTACCAGGCCATTGTCCGGGCCCGTTGGTATTGCTCTCTTGTTGATGGATGGTAGATGCAGCGCTGCTCTTTTTGGTTCTTGCTTTGTTGATACCAAACTATGACTTTGTATAGATCTCCGCGACCGAGGGCTCCGACGGCTAGCACTGGCATTTTGTTTTGTCATCGTTCATCCTTGCTTTCTTCCTTCGCAGTTCATCTGATTGCAGGGATGGGCTATGCCTGAAGGCATGGGTGGACCTGGTCGAAAACGACCTGGATACACAAGATTGAGATAGATCGTGTGTTGGATGTGTGGCTAAAAGGACCGACATGATTTTTATGCCAGATTTTTTTTCTGTACCTACAAAAATGTTCGTTTGATTATATGAATGAACCAAGCATTTTTTTGGAGCATAAGATACTTGCAACGAGACCGAGTCATGCATGTAGAATCCTTGCATTATTCTAGTTGTTCCATCACACGAGCAGAACAACGTTTATGCAACCAGAAAGTTTTATACACATATACCACCCACATATATATCCAAACTCACAGCGAAGCTTTCTCCAACACCAGCCCATTCTCGCGCATCAACTTGACAACATCCCCAGCTACGCCCCAAGACAACTCGTACCCCCGTCCTCCAGCCCCATAAGCATGAACAATGAACTTGTCGCCCGTCACCTTCTCCGCCTCGATTCTCATCCCACCCTCTCTTGCTGGCCGCCGGCCCACGATGTCGCGGATGACGTCAAACTTCCCTCCACTTTCCGGCGTAAAGGGGAACCATTTAGCGGCGTTCGCTAGAAGCTGATTTCGTGTGTCCATCGAGGGATTGGGATCCCAGTTGTGTGGCTGCTTCGTTCCGCCGATGATTGTCCCGCCGCCCAGGGGACGCGGGATGCAGAAGGACCAGGTCCCGTCGGAGTTCTGGCGCGTGAGGGTGATGTTGCACGGGTTGCGGACGAGACATGTTTGGCCTTCCGAATTGGACAGAGGTCAGGTTAGCCACGAGAACTGAGTATAGTAAAAGACGAGGGTTGGGTGTGCCGCTCTACCTACCTCTGATGATAAACGATTTCGGATCCCCAAACCCCATCCCCGAGCAGTTCACAACCGTCTTCACATTCTCCGCTAGATGGAATGCCTCCATCGCACTGGCAAGCGTATACTCCTTGGTCTGGCCGCCCTTCAGCACAAACTGGCGCAGCATATGCGCACAATACACCGGCGAATTGATCGCAAAGGCGCGGTAGCTGGCGCCCCATTTCACAGGCCCCGGGCACTCCTGCGGCGAGAGTCTGCGGAATTCATCGAGATGGGCGTACGAGTTGCGCACGCTTGTCTCGTCGAGATACTCCGCCGGCGGGGACTCAAGGTGCTCGATTCCCTGCAGCGATTGCACGCCGGAGCCGGGCTCTTGGGCCGCGAGGATTTTGAAGTGCTCGTAGGTGCGCTGTGCTTGTGTCTCTTCTTTGAGGAATTGTGCTGATGACCCGGGGACGGGCCGGTAGTGTGCGCCGGCCCATGGCGAGGCGTAGTTGAGAGAGGTGGTGTTGGGGAAGTCTCGGGCGACGAGGACGATGGATTGTGATGGTTGGAGGTGCTGTTGGATGCGGAGGGCTGTGGAGAGCCCGATTACGCCGGCTCTAGGGTTGGGGGGAATTGTTAGTTGGTGCTATATAAGTATGTGGGAAGTGGCTGATGGAGGTATATATGTTTTCCGGAGTGATCGGCGGCATGTGGCATACCCGATGACAACGATTGTCTCTTTTTGGGCCATGGTTGCGATTGAGAGCTCAAAACTGGTGATATGTTGGGATCATGCGAAAGGAAGAAAATGGAGGTTTACGAGTCATACGATGCTACTCGAGGCTGGCAGGAAAAGAGTAGATAAAGGATCGAGTCCCCGCATTTTTAGACCAAATCGCCGTTATCGGTTAATGTTATGACTGGCCAAGACTCGCCGATTCGGCTACTAGGATGCAATGAACATTGACTCATATCGATCTGGACTTGATCTTGATTATGTGGAGTATCACAAAGAAAGAGGCACTAGCTGTTTAATCTATCATGATCACTTTCATTATCATAGTAGTGTGAAAACTACTTGGGTTGGTTCCCCATGGTCTTTTTAGTTCCCTGCGCTTTTGAACCAGTCTTCCATGTCCTGGTATAGGTGTGGTATAAAGAAATGAAATGGAAAAAATATTTGTACATCGCGTCTCCATCTTACTCGAAATGATCCGGTAGCCTTTCGATCGTGAACTTCGCTCTCGCGACCTTCATGATCGGTACACCGGGGATCTTGCGGATACGACGGACCAGGTCCTTATCGTTAGTGGCGACAATGTAGATTCGGTGTTTCGATACCTGAATAAAATATTAGCATCTTCCCATAGTGTATGCAAAGATGGGGCAAGGTAGAGCCACATACTCGATCAACTATACAGTCATCGGCATACGTGCCGGCATGACTGCATCGGACTCTCTCCCATCGGGGATCCTTGGCCACTCGCAACGCCAGCCGGAACTTGTCTCCAAGTTTTTCCAATTCTGCAATGGTGCAGTCTGTGAATGTGGGGATACATTTCGCGTATAATCTGTTGGCAGAAGCGTAAGCCGATGAACTTGGCCTCAAGGACGGAAGAAGCCAGCCTTACAGATCCATCATCGATGTGAGCAAGTCCGTCTTCGCGCGGATCGAGTGGGACACGAAATTGGTATCGACGAGGACGTGGTAGGGAGGTCCGAGGGAGGTGTTGGCGGCGAAGAACATGTTCGATGGGGCGTTGGGGATGTGTCGGGTCACTTCGTCTGGTTTCTTGTCTTCTTTCTTGTTGCCGGCGGCGGACGACTTGATGCGCTCATCGCGCTTGGTGATAGCGCGCTTCACCTGTGGGGAATTGCTGCGTTAGTTGATGCTCGTGACGACTCGGATTTGGAGACGAGAATCGCTGTCCGTACCTGAGCAAATTTCTTAGTCTTCTTTGCCACACCCATGGTGAAGGACGGAGGGAGGTATTCTCGAGAAGGAACGTCGTAAATGAATCGCGACTTCTGATACAGAGAAAATCGCGAATATCGGGGTGTTGAATTATTGGCGAAAAGAATTGCGTGGTCTGGCTGAGTCGTCCTGGTCGTCGCTCTGGGATCAAGATTCAAAACGATTTATTTCAACGGGCCGACATATGCCCGATAAGGGAATCTTATCGCCGACCCATTGGATGACTCAGCATCGACACCTGGGCATTTAGGCTTCACACCCGACCCTCTTTAGTCTCGTCCGTCCCTTCGTCCCTTGACAGTTCTTAGTCTTACGAATGACAACGAAAGGGTCAGGATTCCGACCCTCTGCCGTGGCTGACCCGGAGCAAGGTAGCGGTCAATGATCCAGACCTTCTCGTTGCTTTTGTTGCACGGCCTCGGGAGTTTAATCCTACAGACGGCATGACAGCCAGACAGCCACCGTGACAGTTCCATGTTGGTTCAGGGATCAAACATCACGACCATAGGCCCCATCGTTCGTATACTTCCACCCGGTGTGGGTACCGGAGGACGAGTCCCTCGACAAGATTTCTCATCACCGTCTGAGCTCCTCCGACACCCCCGCAATATCCTTCTCGCCAACGCTAGCGAATCACAAAAAGCTGTTGGTTGATCACATCACCTTGCATCCGCTTTCCACAACCCGTTGAGCAGATTCAGAACGCTCGCGTCGTATAGATAATCTCCTGAACAATGTGTCTGTAAGATGTTTGTGATTGATTTTATTTTCTGACTTGATTTCCGACATTTAATTTCAACTCGTCGATTTTCCTGTCGGTTTTCCCTCTTTGTCGCTGGCGGTCAACGCCGATTGATGGATGGACTTCCGCCAGTCTCGCGATGATGAGCGGCATAGATAATATTAGGGTTCGATGCACGACTGGTCAATTTCCCATCAATTATACGGGCAGGCATGTGTCTGAATTCGAAACAAATCCCTGATGTCATATGCAACTACTGCAAATGCAATCTCATCCACTCATAGGAGGGGTTCTGTTTTATTCGCTCTCCATCCCGTCCCCCTTTTCCCCCCGGTGCTTCGGTTTCTTGATTCTTAACTGTCCATGCGCCGGCTGATGGGCATGACCACCAACCTAGTTTCTGGAGTGTCTCCTCCAGGGGATGCTACCATTGGTATACCGGGTAGGCAGACAAGAAGGTAGGCGCAGAGCCGGTGCTGGACTAGAGGGAAGAAAAGCCCGGCGTCTATAAATATCGCACGGGATCAGGATGTGATTTGAGCGAGGCGGTTAAGCCACGGGCATCGGACTGCAGCGTAGGACAGAGGGAAAGACCTCTGGTTGAGCGAGAGAAATGGATTTACGCGCCGGGCAGGTCACTTGAGGCTGGGGCACGTGCGGTGATTGGCCGGGCGAAGTGACGAGGGCTGCAGCGTGAAGAAACGCCTTCTGCACTCTCCACCGCCAATCACCAACCATCGTCCACTCTTCCCTCGCATTGCGATCGAATCCATGTCGTGCCGCCGAGGATCGACTACTATCATGGCCCGTTGCTGCATGCTCGTTGGTGTGCCCGTCTCGCTCCTATCACTACTCGCCCGCTAATTAGGTCATAGAACGGCCTGCTCCACGGCTTCCTGGTCGCAGGTAGCGCCCGCCGGTCTCCATGTCGTACGCTCCAATTGCTTGACGGCTGGAGATTTCGATCTTCTGGTGCCGTTGCCTCTGGAGACCTCTCAGATGGTCGGACGGATGCTGTCTACCCGCCTGCTTATCTGTTTGGATGGTCGACGTGAAGCCGGACGGAACCTACGATCCTAAGGGATCAGATCGCGAGACGGGCTAGGATAAAGAATTTCAAATGGAGAAACGATTAATAAAGATCGCTTGAGGCAAAAAGACCACAGGGGAAATCATACTACTCCGTATACCCTGTCTCGCCGGTCTGGCAAGCTCTTGTCGCTTGGATTTTCCCCTCTCCCCGCCTCTCTGCCCAGGTAGGCTTTTTTTCTTTGATCCCTCCCCCCTCCCTCCATAATCCAGAACCATATGTCACCAACGTGGTAACCTGCCGAGTGCCTTGTCCTCCTGGTTTGTCTCCTGCATCTCTGTTCCTCGCCTGCATATTCGCCCGTCCCGCTTTGTCCTTGGTCCAAATTAACAATCTTACCTACTTTTCCTAACCCTCTTATTTTCCCTCCCCCCTCCTTCTTCTCATACCGTTGTCCGGACCGTTCTGTCGGTTCTCCTGTCATCCTTCCCTAACCTAGTCGCTGATCTTCTGTGCCCCCTCTAGACTTTTCCTAGGTACCATAGTGGGCAGTGTCTCGGTTTCTTCAGAGACATCTGGGGCTGTGGCAGGTTGAGACAGCGAGGATCCGAGCCGGTGCCAACAATCCATTGTCCTGTTTGTTTCCGGTCAATGAGTGTGTTGCTTTTGTGGGGATGCTCTTGAACATCGTTTGTTCGGTCACACATTGTTTCACCTCGGCTTTCTGGACGGAATTTGGAAGACCAGATTCATTTCAGAAGCTTTAAACGCTCGGTACCTGTCAAACGGACTCCGCAGAAGGCTTCAACCTGCTGCACTAGCGAATATATAAAGAGGATTCGGCAGAAAAAGAGTACCCTGACGACTCGCCCACCAATTCCAAGCCTGCGTGGCTGGAAAGAATGGTCGAATTGACATGGAACAGAAACCCCGTTCCGGAACCGCGAGCTACGAAATCCAAACCAATGGCGCCTCCAATGCCATCGCAGCCGCAGGTGCCTGAAAATATCGCCTTTGGTCCCTGTGCTTCGACCGCCTCCCTGTTTCTATATGCTCAGGGCTCGGTGATCTTGTGCCTGCATCATGACACGCTTGCGATTGAGCGGAAGTTCGAAAGCCATGCCGAGGATGTGAGTTTCATATCCGTGGATAATGTCAGCGAGCGAGGTGCAGGGAGGTTGGTGGTTAGCTACGATGTCGGACAGACAGCAATTGTCTGGGATTTGTTCACAGGAAATGCGATCGCACGATTTGCCTCCTTCGAACAGTTACGAGTGGCATCTTGGATGCGAAACGGGAATGTGGTCTTTGGTGTGTTTTCCCATCTATATTTCTCAAATAATCAATACTGACACCTGTGTGCTAGGAAATGAGAAGGGGGATGTGATTCTCTTCGAACCGTCTACCTCCGAAAATATATCTTGTCGCACCATTTTTGACCCTATTACCGCCTTAGCGCCAGGGTCCGATTGTCGGACTTATGCTATCGGGTACGTGTGTATCAACACCATAGGGAGCCTTCTTGGCTGACCAATTCAGATATCAGAACGGTTCGATCCTAATAACAACCCTTCATCCGACCTTTACTATTCTTCATACCATGTCAACTTCCCGCGGCCCATCACCGATTGTGTCGTTGGCATGGCATGCTTCGTCGTCAAAGCAAAAGTCGGACATGCTGGCTACCCTGGCGGCTAACGGTGATCTCAGAGTCTGGAGCGTGGCCAAACCGCCGGGCAAGGAGCCACCGCGTGTGATCCGGATCTTGAAGAGGTCAGATACTTCTTCTTCTGCAGAGCCCAAGTGGATGGCTTGGTCAAAGAATGGAAGGATTGTGCAGTATTTGGACGGGTAAGTTTAGTAGCAAGGCAATGCCTCCAAATTCGATCAGAGCGGCTAATGCCGGTGATAAATTCCAGCGAAACATGGTCATGGGACGTCAGGACAAAGCATGTGACTTCGGAACCCATTCCTACAATAGACAATCCTCGCGGGTTTGCCAGTTACGGAGCGACAGCCACACTGTTCACACTGGGTCCTCAGTATACCGTGCAGCAGTATGATTTGGATAACCCAGCCATGGTAGCCAACGTACAGCATCTCCCTGCTGGAGTACTTCCTACGTCTTTGGAGGAGGCCAGAACGGGCTCTATGTCACCACGAACTCTGCAAGAGGCCCCTGATATGCGCGAGTCGGGCCCCCTATTTGGAACCAGACGTGCCCCGTATGACTCGAGTGGCATTGATGCTGTGCGACAACAACGCGCGGACCTGACCAGTCCTGCCTCCTCCCGCAGCCATGCGAACTCAGTGACCTCGAAGACCTCCTCTAACAAGTACAGGATGATGCCATTTTCGCCACCCAGCAGATCCGGCCATACTGGTACCTCATTCTCCATGACTTCGGCCAGTGGCAGAGAGACCCCTCAGCCATCCGGAGCGTCATATGCATACGCTTCGTCGGTGTCGATGTCTTCGGTCAAAAGCTCACGGGCTGGTGCCGGCTCTCGGTTGAGAAACGAGGTTCAACTGAGTCCTGCTGATAAACCAATCGACCTGTTCCCTTTCACACGCGCACGCCTCAATGACGTGCCGTATAGATCCCATCGCCCACTGGATGAGTCGCACTTGACCCCAGATGATCTACGACAGCAAATGCTGAATCTCGTTTTTGGCTGGGAGGGGGATATTGATGGATTGATTAATGATGAGCGTACGTGTCCCACCGCAATTCTGTTCTACCGAGAGTTTCTCTTATTGATTTTTTAACTAGTGAGCCGTCACTCCCCGGGGAGTCCGAGCGCCATTATACTAGCCCAGTGGCTTGGAGAATCAGATACCGACGATATGGTTTCCATGCTTTCGTCGGGCCCTGCTTCTACCGCAGACTGGATGCTTTTAGCTTTCAGTCAGATGAGTGGTGAATCGCAGGCTAACAAAGTTGGTCAGGCCTTTGTTCAAAAGCTGCTGGAAATTGGCGACGTACACACCGCGGCAACGGTCTCCCTGGGACTCGGGGATAGGAACGATGCTATTGAAGTATACGTGTCGCAGAACTACTACATGGAGGCCATTTTAATGACCTGTCTTGTTATGCCAACTGACTGGCAGCGCCAATCTTTCTTGGTGAGGTGCTGGGGAGAACATGTTGTTTCGCACTCCCAGCAGCAGCTTGCGATCCGCTGTTTTATGTGTACAGGAGTGGAACCTTCAGAGCCCTGGACTTCGCCGGCGGCCCAACAGGCTGCGTCATTTGCCGAAGTCATTTCGAGGAGGTCTCCTATGACATCCCCAGAGCCTCAATTTCAAAATCCAGCGAATTTGCTGGCTCCTCCAAACCCTCAACCCAAGGGCGCAAGCGAGACGAGACAGCCGGCCAAAACACCAGCGCTCAAGCTGATCACTTCCTTTGATTCTCAGCCAAGCCACAAATTCCGATTTCCGGGGTTGAAATCTGATGACCGGACACCGACCAATGCTCCCGGAATCACCCCGATCGCCGAATCCGCCGTCGGGGAATCAGCTGTCTCTCCCGGAGGATTTGGTTCTTACAAAATGAACAATGTCCAAAGTATCAACAACGCGGTGAATCCTAGAACTGGAACCCCGGGGTTCTCCAGGCGACGTCTCCCTTCTATTGGAGAGACACCTGTGGATGTGCACCCGCCAACCTTCCCCTCCAATGGCTTCATCAAGCCCGAGGATTACAGTTCAACATCGGAGAATGACGATGCTCAGCAAGATAAGGAACAGCCCAAGCAAAAAGGAAAGCTTGGACTGCTTACTTCCGCGCGCTATGAACCAGATGAGAGCTATAAGCCGAGCCCCCAGACTGCAGTCCAAGCCAGCTCAGACAAATTTGCAGGCATCAAAGGTCTTCCTGCCCCCGCTGCTGGAATATTCGATGCCTTCAAAGAGCGATCAGACAGCCGAATGGGATCTCGAGACCGGAAGCCGGATGGCTTGCAGCTTCAGTTGCATCACGTGAACTCGTCCCAAGAAGACCTGAATGAACAGCCGGATCCGATGATGGGCAGTTTTCGGAGCCCAGCGTCTACGTTGAACGGCTACAGCTCTGCGAAAAGTCCCAGCGTTAGTGGTCGTAGTATCGACCAGTACATAAGCAGCCTTGACGAGGCTAACTACCACGCGAGAAGAACCCAAGGCCACCGCTCACAAGGCCGAGGACGCCGAAATACGGACGATGCAGCCAGTCAGAGCTCTGCCCGACGACATCACTCCAGGAATACCTCCCAAGAGACAAGAGGACGGCATGAAAACCGTTACATCCCTGCGGCCAAGCGCTCACCTTCTTCTCCAGTTCCAATGTCCCCTGAAGAGTTGGCTCATTATCATAATATTGAGAAGAATGGGGAGAGCCATCGGAACAAGCTTTCATCTAAAGCACGAAGCACTAGCCGAGTGAGGAAACCCCGTTCTCGAAATTCTTCAGAGCGTCGCAACAATCGCTCTTCTAGTCGGCACACAGCTAGTCGTGTAGCCCTGGAAAAGAACGAGCCCTCAAGAGGTCGCAGCATGGATAGACCGGCGTCGCGTCCGAGGTCTCCCTCCTCTCCAATTCCCATGTCCGTCACAGACGATGCTTTGAGGCTCGTCACCAGTGATAGAGAGCGGAGAACCCAGCAGCGAAGTAGTAGCCGCCGTCCAGAGAAAGGTGCTGGTGCGACTAGCGACTCCTCCCCGGAAACTAGACGCACGAGGGTGAGGTCTCGCAGCCGTCAAGGTCACGATTCGAGGCCACAAACTGTTCATGACCAGGACGAGTCGATGATTATTGGCCATGGCAACGAGGACATCATCTTGGACGTCAAGACCCAGGAGTTAACCGCTATGCTCTCTCCCGAACAGGCCAGAGAAATCCACTCTGCAACTGTGCCGCCGACTGGATTGTCAGAGCAGAGAAGGAAAGAGCTCGCCGCTGCCGAGTTGGAAGCTCGACGCCTGTCGCTGGCACGCAACCCATCCGCGCCTAATATCCCATTCCCGGGAGAACTGCAGCCCTCGCGGGGCGCCTTGGAGAGCCCGCCTTTCTCAGTCAACTCTTTTGGTCCTCGGACACCGGGCCGACGCAGAGTTTCGTCGAGCAAAGGCTCGCCGGAGTATCCGAGTAGCTCCGATTCGAACTCATCCCGATCTGGCGGCCCGCCGGGGTTGCCGTCAACCCCGAAGGCAATGCGACACCCGAGATATAACGGGTACGAGGAGACCGTGCCATCAGTTCCTCCCGTGCCTGACAGTGCCACTCTTCTAACCGACCCGCGATACTTCATGGGCGAGGCGGAGAGAATTGGCCGGTCCATGTCTGTTCCAGTGCCCGAAAACCAGCAGACAGGAGCCGTGCCCACTGACCTGCCCACCCACCCGAGATTCAACCCGCGCCTTCCAAGGAGTCGCTCAACCAGCAGAGGCCGAAACGTGAGCCATCGACGAGAGGGCTCGCGGGAGATGAGCGGGTCAGGTGGCTACAGCTACGGTGGTTCTCCCGTGACCGTCAGCATCGAGGAAACCATCGAGAATGCTATGCAACAAAAGCAGGTCGAAAACCCTCCCATCCTGCCGGAGCTGCAGCACTTGAACACTCCTCCCCCACCCCCACCCCCATTCATTCCTTTATCGTCGGGGGGCGCATCTCCGCGAGAATCTTCCGGCACCATTGACATTGCCATTGACAATAACGAGAACATGGGCAAATTGCTTCCTCGGGCGATGACTGCCGCTCCAGCCCCTAACATGGAGACACGCCCCACACTCGAGCGCCGCCGGATGTCTTTTGATCACCGTCGCGGCCGAAGTGTGAACGAAAGCTTCACTACGAAAATCCGCAACTTGACCCGGATGGGTAGCCGTGGACCCGAATCCTGGGTGCAACCTGGCGAGATGAATATACCTTACGAAAGCGTGCAGATGGCCGAAGGTCGGATGTAATGCAGGTTATATTTTTGGTTTGACTTTTCATGAATTTCCTTGGTTACTGTTTTACCTTTCCCATTTTACTACGTTTTGTTCTGGGTGGATCTCAAATAGTTGGAACATTGGATTAACGATTAACGACCTCTGCTTTTGATTTATGGTTCTCTTTTTTCATGTTTCCAGATGTTAATGGTATAAGTACCACCAAATCTGTTTTTCCTTACTTTTGATTCTATACCCTTTCTTTTATAGTATGACAGATCTGGGTCTTTTCGCTCGACAGCGACTGGTCACCTTTCTGTCTGCATTTATTTCTCTTCTTACGTTCTTTCGTATCTAAATCGGGCCTGCAAGGGCGCAGAAAAAGTCATTTCAACCCGGGTAATCAGGATGTGAGACTTGTTTTGTCCCTGGTCATTCATTGCCATGCCATGTTACAGTCAGGTTCTATAATTGAATAATCGAATGCGCTCCTTATTGATTTGCTGATGCACTACGTAAGATTTTACACTGGGAAACGTAGAACAGTGAAGTTTGGCTAAACGTACATGTACATTGAATCAAGGCATTCTTTCCATGCCATCACCTTGGTAGATCGAACTTCACCAGCTCTTTCCTCCACTCCAGGAATCAGCACCAGCCTTCCGTTCGGCCTCTACCAGCCGATCGAACTCGGCCTGAGACTGTTGGCGCTCTCGCTGCCGACTCCAATCCGGACTTGAAGCGGAAGAACCAGAGCTAGAGCCAGAGCTAGATGCCTCTTCCCAGGAACCCCTGCTTCCCTGATCCTGCTCCGGAGAGCCCGACATAGTCTGCTGTCTGATCCGTTCCCAGGCACTTCCGCCCTGACTCTTGCGCTCGGCCGCCCTGTACTCCGGAGCCGTGGGACTAGCATCGTCATCATCGAAGAAACTCTGGCCCTGAGGCTGCTCCACAATCGGCTGAGTCTGAGTCTGAGTCTGAATCTGAGGCCGAGAAGCCGACGACTGCGATTCCCAACCCGTCTCCACCGGCGCCGCCTGCTCCTCCACGGCCTCCTTACCCACAACCTGCCCCCTCCTCTTCTCCGCCAACTCGCGCATCATCGCCTCCTTCTGCTTCCGCTGAATCGCCTCCGTGCTCTGGTTCGTCCCCTGCTTCCTAAAATCCTCCAGTCGCGGGTCAACCGCCATGCCCACGCTCTCCGTAAACGCCGCCACGATATTACTCAGCGTCAGACCCGCCAGCGTCCAGAAGAACCCGCGCATGCCCACCACCCCCATGATCCTCGCCGCGTTCGCCGAGTCCGCCTTCGCCATGTTCATGAGCGCCTTGACCCCCTCCACCGGCTTCACCCACGCCCCGTCTTCGCGGTAATACATCCGCCACGTCTCGTGCGTCCGCAGCGTCCGGTTCACGGACCAGTATGTCACTGCGAGCCCGACCGGCGCGCCGAATCGCTCGTAGTACACCTTGCGGCTGGCGTGCTGCGTTATCGCGTCGACTTCCTCCTGTCGCACGGGTCGCTCGGCCACGGCTTGGATCGTGAGGAGACGTCGGTTGATCGTTGCGGTGAGTTTCCTGCGCCAGGCTTGTGGGCCCGGGTAGAATGCCATTATGAAGAGGTCCGGGCGTACGACTGTCTCTGGGCGCACTTGCGCTGGGTGGTATTTTGGGATCGGGAATTCGGGGTTCGGGGGCACGAAGCTGTCGGCGGGGAGGGGGGCGCCCATTGTGTCTGTTGTGCCTTGGGGGGAGGCGTCGTCGAGGACCATCTTGGTTGTTCTCCGGTTGGAGGTCGGAGGAGGTCAGAGGGAGGGTCGTGGAGTGTGGTTGGTTAGGGTGTGGTTTTGATGGAATTGGGTTGGATTGAACTGAATTGAGTTGGGTGGAGAAGGAGAGCTCAGAAGATGGAGAGCAGAGCAGACTGTGCTTGATGTCATGGCGCATTGCTTAGTCAGGACAGTTATGCATAGAGATGGCAATGTACATTATTTCTAGTTTATGACCCGATCGGGAAGTATGTGTATGCGAGGCACTTGAGTACTCATGTTGTTATATGAAATGACGATCCTAATCAACTGGGACATACACTACCAGCTACTACTATGCATATACGTATCTCTCCCTCTAACCGGTTGATCCTCCTAGATCTGCTCAAACGATAGATTCCGAATGCGATAGTACGTATCTACCCAAGTCAGTCAGAGGGCACTTCATCCAGGCAAAAGATACTCACCTTCCGAGGGACCCGGGGTTCCAGACGAGCCTTCCATTTGCAGATTGATGATTCTAAACATGGTTATTGATTGTTCTGTATCTAGATGGAGATAGGGATTGAACTCACAGATGCAATGGCTTTCCTACGTATTCGCCGCCATACTGGGTCGTCACCAGCTCGTCGTCGAGGTAGAACGTCACCGAGATGTTGGAACCGTCTTCGTCGCGGATCTCAGTGCGCACGGTGTGGAAGTCATCCGGCGATGGGTACTCCGTGTCCAGGGCTTGGACTTCAGAGGATGACTTATTTCATTCATTAGTCGATGTCTATATGCGTGGTTAGGGGCGAGGGGAACTTACATTGAAAGTATTGAAGCTGATATCTCCGCTTCCTACAAATTACCCAACAGTTAGTCCAAGTCCAAGTCCAAATCGAATTCCTTCACAATAGGAAGAAAAGCTCACCCTTCCACTCCGCCAGATCGATCTCCGGCGGCCATGTATTCGCGCCATTCAGCCAAAACGCGGGCCAAGTGCCCGTTCCGACCGGCGCCTGGAACTCCGCCTCGATGTTGAAGCCCGACCCTTCTTCCACCGTGAAGGTCGTGGCGGAGTGCACCGCGCCAGAGAGATAGTTGATCTCCTGCCCGCCGCTGGTCGGCTCTTCGCCGGAGACGGGCTTCGCGACCAGCGTCAGCGTGCCGTCCGCGACGGAGATGTACTCCTGGTCGGTGGAGTTGCCTTTCATGCGGGCGGAGCCATTGTGGTCGGAGCCCCAGGGGTAGAGGTATGCGAAGTACTCTTCCAGCGAAGAGACGGAGTCGAAGGCAGTGGTTGGGATGAGGGTTGTTGCTGCGGAGGCGGCGAGGGGGAAGGCGAGGAGGGTGGTTGGGAGGTGCATTTTGCTTCCTCGTCTTAATTGAGCTGTACGAGGGACTAGGAAAGACGGAGCAATTGGAAAAGACCGAGGACTACGGAGTAGGGTCTTTATACCTGCGATCAGACTGTCAGAATCAACGGAGGGATCCTGACGATCCCCGAAGCATCCCAGACAGCGGACCTATGAAGCATGTCACCCTTTTTGTTCGGAGGCTGGCCCGTTCCAGAAAGGGTAATCTGCTCTGACCGAGTCATGTCACAAACCTAATCTATTCCTCCACGCTTCACCTGAAACCCTTATGCAGCATAGTTCTAAGACTATGTGCCAATATAGATTAGGTTACGTAGTCACTGACGTACGGATAATTACACCCCACGCCGGTACGATTCCCAATCAACGTGCAGGTATCAAACATATCAAGCCCTGCAAGCTGAGTGTTTCACCGAAATATCCCCGACGACCCTGGATCGGCAGTGATCTCTTCCTGATGGGGTCGCTCTTTAGCGTAGGGTCAGATGTTTCCTTGGTCAGAAGGCGCACTTGGCGGCGGATGCGAATCCCCGGTTCATCGTATGTCCCGTGTGTAGGGCCCACATCGTCGTTTCGAGAATGCCACCTTAGACCCCTGGGATGTGTAGAGCTGCAAGCATAGACAGCTACGCCAGTATGTGGAACAACACAACACGGCCAATATGTATTCTAAGTAAATGGGACAGGTCGATCATGTCACATGTTACTCGGGCACAGAATGATATAAAGCAGGCCGTCGTCGCTAGATTGAATGATAGCAAGTCTACTCACACTCGTTTGACAACTTTCAGTTTTTCATTATGTTTTCCAATTGTTTCATTCCTTTTCTTCTGGCCTCCGCCCTGCCGTCCGTCCTGGCTGACGGTTACAGCAACATCGATCGGTCTGCCACCTCGGGAGCCCAGTCTCTCCTCCGACTGATCCAATCCCGGTTCGGATCTCAATATCTTTCCGGCCAGCAGGATCTGGCCAGCCTTCAATGGGTGCAGGAGAATATTGGCAAAACTCCCGCCATCCTAGGCAGTGACTTCATGGATTACACTCCCTCCTCTGTTGCGCACGGCTCCAAATCCAACGCCACCGAGGACGCCATCAACTTCCACCACCAAGGCGGTATCAACGCACTCGTCTGGCACTGGCGGGCACCAGCCTGTCTCTACGATACCTCTGAAAACCCCTGGTATACAGGATTCTACACCAAGGCAACGTGCTTTGACGCCAAAAAGGCGCTGGCCGAGGCAAGCCACAACGGAACCAACTATGGCCTCCTGCTCCGCGATATCGACGCCATCGCCGCTCAAATCAAGCGTCTCTCCGCAGCCAACGTTCCGATCTTGTTTCGTCCCCTGCACGAACCCGAGGGCGCATGGTTCTGGTGGGGCTCCCAAGGGGCCGACACATTCCTCGAGCTCTGGGACCTCGTCCACACCCGCATCACGGTGCATCATAACCTTCACAATATCGTCTGGGTATGCAACACCGCGGACCCCAAGTGGTATCCTGGCAACGACAAGTGTGATATCGCGACGATCGATCACTATGCCGACGCTGGGGACCACGGAGTCCTGGAGCAGAAATGGCATGCGCTGTACGAAGTGACTGGCGGTCAGCGAGTGCTGGCGTTAGCTGAAGTCGGCGTCATTCCGGATCCGGAGCAGCAGGCCAAGACTAACACACACTGGGCCTACTGGATGACCTGGTCTGAGGAGTTTATTAAGGATGGCAAGTACAACACCAAGGAGTTTCTTCAGAAGGTGTACGAGAGTCCTTACATTGTCACGCTGGAGGATGCTCAGAAGCATGGCAATGGAACACTCTCGCGTCGTCGCCGTTTCTAGGGGAATGAAGTTGCTTCACAAAACATTAAGAGGTATATTGAGTGTTTTCGTTTGGTCCTACCAGCTTAGAAAGGTGTTGTACCTGGTCTTGAACTTATTGTTAGGTAGTTGTGCTGCCGTGATGTAGACACTAGTCGCTCTTTGAATTCATTCCGTGTTGTTCCCGCGCCGAGGCTGCCATTTATCTTCGTCATAGTAATCACTAAAATTTACTAGCGCCTAGTATGCAGAAAGTAATCGCATCGTTAGCGCCTAATCTAAATATTATTTTAGAGAGGTGCTCGGGTTAATCGCCTTTTAATAATTAACTGCGTATATACTTGAAGTAGAGATGTTGTGCATTATAGAGGAGGAATTGACACTTTGTAATAGATTATTGGGAAATCCCAATACCAGCGTAAGCCTAAAAAATTGCTGAGAATTAACATTCTGGTGTAGTTAGTGGAAGCGTTGATAATCATCAATGATCGGGACTGATATCTCCGCATGATTGAGAATGAAGATGATTACCCGTTAGGATAACACTATATTTCTGTACGCAAAATACAGGAACGACTTTTTTATACAATTGGGGTGATAGCTCAGTTGGGAGAGCGCACGACTGAAGTCAACTTCAATCAGTCAGAACACCTGGCAATCGTGAGGTCACCGGTTCAATCCCGGTTCATCCCATTCTCCAACTTCTTTTTTGCTCTACATATCTAGTGGGACAGTCTCAAAGTGCCAAGATCCCAGTTATCTACTCCGTAACGTATTTCACAAGCGAGCCGCCACCACAAAACGAACCGCCACCTCCACCTAATTTCTGCCTGTGGGCCAAATACTAGAGGCTTTATCAACAAAACAATTATATTTTTATCTAAAAATTAATTAGGAACTCAATTAGGACATTATAATTGTTTATATCCTAAAATATAATAATCACTACAGCGCGGGAGCACTCGTACGCGTGGCCTATCTGCAGGAAATACAAGATCTAGAGAAAACATATTTTAAACTTTATTATCTTTATTCTCACGCTAAAATTACTTTAAGCCCTTTTAAATAACTGGTCCCTCTGTAAGAGCTAGCTGCCTAATAAAATATTTTCTTTTTCAAAGCTTCTTTATATTAGAAGCGCGTAATTCGTGGATTTCTTTATATATAAGAACAAGCTTATTAAGATATAATTTATAACCTTTAATAAACTTCTTTATACGCGTCTCTAGCGAAAACAAAAGGCTCTATATACACTCATATATACACGTTTTAAGTAACTGCTTCACGGTAGAGGCCTGCTTTTCAAGCTGCCAAGTTATATAAGGCGTTTTTAGAGCTATATTAGTTAATTAACTACCTAATAGTATAGGGGTCTTTAGCTGAATATTCAGCTAATTAAATATCCTATCTAAATTAAATAGAACTAGATTAATACCTACAAAGCTATTCCGAATAATATTTATTTAAAAAGCGCGTTCGTGAGTTTGTGGAAAGGCCTCTAAGAAATTAAACTTATTAATATAATTAATTCCTAAGTGTGCCTGCTTCTTTACTAAGCTACTATATATCTACTTTAAAGGTGAGAAGCAGCTAATATTTAGAGGCTGCAGTAGATATAATAAATATATAAATATATAAATAAGAATAATATTATTCTTGCTGTATATTTGATCGAACTGAGATATCAGATAACTACTATAATTATTTAGAATTAAGAGATAATAATTCCCAGTTATACAGCTAATAATAATAAAAATAAAAAGATTCTTAAGCCAGTAAAGGCCTATCTCATCAGTAGTCTATCCATTAGGACTAACTTCAATCCTACTATCGCGTGGGAGCTTAATATCTGTCAATTGGGGTCACCTGACATCACCTGATTCATCAGAATCACCTGATTTAGCCCCACAACCGAAATTATTCAAAATTCACTGCGACTTTATTCTCACTTTATTGAACTCTCACTTCCACCACCAAATTGTATGGGAAAAGTGAGGTGAAACTGAGCTTAATATGAGCGGAAAATAAAAAAGAAAATTTTTTGAAATATTTTTTATTTTGGATTAGCTTATTTTCTTATTTAGGAAATACCTAATTACTTCCTAATTAGGAAACACCTGACTACTTCCTAATTAAGAAATATCTAATTACTTCTTATTTAGGAAATATCTGATCGCGAGAATCATATAATAATTAGAAAACCAGTTATTATCTATTTCCTAATTTGGAAATTAAAAGTTTATTCTTTTATATTTGTAATATTTGATTTATTTTAAATATTTATAAATATGCAGTTAATCTCCTGCATATTTTCATTTTTTTTGATAAGTTGATTTTACTGTTTTAATTTGATAAGTTGATTTTATCTATTCAAGTTACTTATTAATTTATTTATTTATTAATTAATTTTACCCTTTCTTATTAATTTAATTAAAGTCGAATAATCAAAACCTTTAAGCTATTATTTTATAAGGTATTGCTCTAGGATCAGGTAACTACTATCTTTTTATTTGATTTTAGCCTACCTTCGACATCTGACAGTTATAAGCCTGGATTCTCTTATTATTTCTATTATTCTTATCTTTAATTATTAAGATGTTAAAGTTAATTCATTTGATTGAATTACTTTATTACTTTATTGATTTAATTACTTTATTGATTTAATTACTTTATTAATTTAATTATTTTATCGATCTAATTACTTTATTAACTTAAGCTTATTAATATAAATACAAAGCTTAATTTTTAATTAAACCAGTCACATAAATGGATTCACTGGTTTAACATAATTAAAATAATTACTAAAAATAAATATATTTGGGAATTTATTAATCTTAGTCACATGACTATGCCTGATTAACCTGTAAGGCCTAGTCACCCGGAATTATATGACTTAAACGAAAATGCTAGATTAATTATTAATCTAATCTAAAATGATTAAGCGCTTTATCAAGACCTATTACACGATTATGAATTAGTGTTTCGAGAATATTATTAATTAGATAAAGGTTTAGCCCTACTTCTAAGTTAATTAAAAATTTGATATCCTTAGTAAATAGGGTTCTAGTATCTGACCTAGAAACCCCATATCACATGCTACGGATCCTCTAAACAAAATTAGTACTTATTAATAAATCATGAAAAAGGGATATAATTAAGTAATATTATATAATTAAATCCCTGCAAAACAAATATTTAATTAAATCCTATATTTCCTTATGGGAAAATATATTTACTAAAGTAAAATTGCTAGAAATAAGCGAGGTAATAGATCCTTACTAAGTTTAATATAATTTTATTAAATTAATTAATAGTTCTTATTTAATATTTATAAATTATTAGATTGAAAAATTAAACAATAAAATTAAATCACATAAATAAATTCTAATATTTTATAATATGATTAAGTAATTTCAAGATTATGTAAAAATATTCTCTATAATTAAGTAAGTAAATCAGCTGAGCTAAATTACTTTAGTAACCTTTAAAAAAGAGGTCTTAGAAGATACCCTAAGTATTTTAAAAAATATTCTAAGTCCTAAATTTAATCTTAAATCGAAAAAACACTATTATTTATGTAAATCAGACCTGAACTAAGGAAATCATGATTTTAATTAATGTTTCTATATTAATAATTTATTAAAAAAACCACTAAATTGGTCACGTGATCCTAAGATAATTAAATAATTTAATAAAGCCTCTAAAAATCCTAAATTCCTAGGTGCTTTTAAAGCAACGAAAAAATGCTTAAAATCATAGAATCAAGCGGTAAATGACTTTATTAGGAATAGCCTGAAACACTAGTCCTAATTGGGCATTCAATACTGCTGCAGATACCCATATCTGTAATAATTTATTATTATTTAATGATTATTATTAATCGCCTACATTAATTTTTATAGGGAATACTCGAACATTAATTAAAGATTTCGGAATAGTTATTTTAAAACCTTTAAACCCTTATAAAGATAATATAATATTTAAATTACGTCATTACGCCTATATCCTAAATTTCTATATTAATATATTTTCAGCCACTAAAGCAAGAAATTCAGATATCTATCTTAATTTTAGGGCTATATACCTAGAAAGCCCTAATTATATCTTAATTTGCTAAATCCTTGAAATTTCAGAAATTTTCTTAATTAAATAGAATAATAATAATCATATTTAATAGTCACCTGAATTATCTCCTAAAAATAATCAAATTAACCTCCCGAATTCACTCCTGAATTCATTACTGAATTCACTACCAAATAATAAAGTAAATAAAATAAAGGTCTATTCAGCTCAAAAATCAACTTAATCTACTATTTCTACTATTCCAGCTAAATTATAGCATTCTTAATTAGGGCACCTAAGCTCAGAAGCCCTAAAACACCTTGATTTAGTAATTGTCAATTGGGGTCACCTGACATCACCTGATTCATCAGAATCACCTGATTTTGCCCCACAACTGAAATTATTCAAAATTCACTACGACTTTACTTTCACTTTATTGAACTCTCACTTCCACCACCAAATTGTATGGGAAAAGTGAGGTGAAACTGAGCTTAATGTGAGCGGAAAATGAAAAAGAAAAATTTCTGAAGAATTTCCTAGTTTAGACTAGCTTATCTTCCTATTTAAGAAACTACCAGTCGCTAGAATCCTATGGAAGTCAGAAAACATAATTTGATGAATTTCCTATCTAGGAAATTAAAAGTTTATTTTAACTACTGCAATTAATAGCTTTGTTCAGATGATTAATATAAAGGGTCCAGAATGTCTTGCCTATTTATTTTTATGAGTTATAAAGTAAATATTATTACCCTGATTATTCTGATATTATTTAAATGATTTTATTATGATTTATGTGTTGAATCTTGATTGTTCTGATTATTTTAATCATAAAATCGTGATTATTTAATTATTTAATTAATTTAATAATAATCTATGAGGTTGATCTTGAAGGCCTAGATTAATAATATGACTTACAAATGAAGGCCTAGAAGGATTTAATGATTTTATATTTGTAATATTTGCTTAGGGCCAGATTAAATTAGCTCTTATTTAATTATCTATAAATATGAAGTTAATAACCTGTATTAATTCATTCTTTTTATCAAGTTAATTTACCTACTTAATTTATTCAATTAAATTTCATTCATTCATTTAATTAATTTCATCTATCTACATGCATAGCGAA